ACAATCTCCGGCCGGATTGTAGTTTTTAGTGAGGGTTCCACCTCATTCACCACGGGCAGCAACGCCGTGCTAGTTTGTAAAGAGAGTTTCGCCTCGTAAATACGCTCCAGTTTGGCCTTTACCCCCGATTGCGCCACAATCTCCGGCCGGATTGTAGTTTTTAGTGAGGGTTTCACCTCATTCACCACGGGCAGCAATGCCGTGCTAGTTTTAGAGGACTGAGCCTCCTTGGCCGGAGAGACCAACTTCTTGCTAGTTTTTATAGAGGGTTTCATCTCTGTCTGCTTTTCAGCAGGCTGCTCTGAGGGCTCTTGCCCCCAAAAAGACTCTTCTTCTTCCTCCTCCTCTTCGTTTCTCTTCCGCTTCTTCCTCTTCGGACAGGGGGGCAGGCTGGGAAGAGAGGGAGGAGCCGGTTCTGCAAACGTGGTTAGTTCTTGCCTTGGATCATCAATAACATTAGAGCCATACCCATATCGCCAACTGCCGCCACAACCGCTCCATCGGGAAGAGGGAGGACTTTAGGAGATGGGGGAGCTGATGTCGGTAGGGGCACGGGCGGGGGAGGGATTCGGGGTGGCCGGCTGGTGACTGTCTCGTCGACGTCTGCCGGCAGGACGGACATGAACTGTCGCCCATCGGGCGTGGGCCTCGAATACGAGAGAAATGAAGCAAAGCTGCAATCGCCAGCGCGTTCCGATTTCCTTCTGCGGCACGGCAGAAGCAGGAAATCGAGGAGGCCGGCTCATCGCCGTCTGTCCATTTCGTTGGGCAAGATAGACATGACCTGCGGCCCTTCGGGCGTTGGCCGCGAATATGTGAGAAATGAAGCAAAGCTGGAATCGTTAGCGCGCAACGAATAACACATCCAAACGCCTCACATACCGCACAATTGGCATCTTTACCTTCCTTCTCTCGGACTCTGTCCTCCATCCTCGAGCAGCCTGGCAAGAAAACCTAGAGCAACTTGAGCTCGATTTGAGGATCGGGATCTCCTCCAGTTCTTCAGCACGCATTGGCCGTGGGCAGAAAGCCAACACTAGTGGATCATCCAGAGGGCAATCTTCAACCGCTCTTGAAAATGTGCATACACGTCCGAGATGGACACACAAGTGTCATGGACCCGTGATGGTGGAGCGGGGACTCGCACACACTGAGGCATCCTATCCGCCGCCGAGAATGTATCGATCCAGTTCTGCCTTATGTTAGTCTGAGCTCTGCGTGGGAGATGTAACTAGTAAACTTACGCCATAATAAACGTCTTGTTGGCAGGCAGACACATTCAAGTTGCTGAAGTGTCACGGATCTCAGCCAGCACTAGGCACGTCCCGGTCCACGCGACATGACGAGGTCTTGGCACGTGCCGCGCAGCCTGAGGGGCATACCTCAGGATAGTACCTCAGGCTACCTACCTTAAGGTACCTATCTATCCTGCGCGCGTGCGCAACTCTCTTGACAGTCCTTCGTACTGCAATTCAAATCACATTTCTCATCTATTAGTTCGATACACTCTGTCGAGCTGGCCAAATGGGCCCCACACATTGAGGCCAAGACAGTGCATGTCCTGTCGTAGCTGCCCTTCGTCCTTGATAAGAGACGCTCTCTTCACTTGATTTGGTGGCACGACGTTGACAATGTCCACGGTCTGTCTGAACCGATCCATTTTCCCCTTTTCAATGTGGCGACGGTGTAGTCGTACATCCAATCGGGCCCCCACACGTTCAAGTTGGATCTGCTGTAGGAACAGGAACATGGCAACGCCATGTGCATATGTGTTGAAAGCTCCAGGCAGTTGCAACTCGGGCGTGCGAGCTTCAAAGACATGGGCTGGTGATGCGGTGATGTCGCAGTCAGTCCAGGATTTGGCTTCTTTCTGCCATTCCAGCTTCAAAGCCCACGACCTCGCGTGGTCCCAATCGTGCCACGGACCATGAGTTGGCAATCTGGTCCAGCTGAATGGATGCGGTGAGCAATTGGCAGTCACCTCGATCACCGGCCATACCCATTTCCCCAGAGGGATGTCGCCATGATTGGAATACCTGGGTAGAAGTTACCCCGACTGCTGCAGAGTCTTAGTAGAGTCCAGCTCTACCGTAAATATATATATATATAGGTGCTTGCCATAACCCGTGTCCCAGACCTGCACAGGCATTCTGCGGTAAATATGAAGATTTGCCTCAGGGAATTCTTGCTTGACCCAGATGGCTTCGTTCCCATTTATCCGCTTCTGTTATGGGTTTACTCCAGTTGCAACCGTCACTGGCTCCATACAAAGGCCTTGTCCGTCCGCCTGGCCAGCCAGGTTCCTGGGAGGACACATTGGCGATTTGATCAACTGCGAAGATGCTTCCTTGTCCCAAAAAAAATGTGTTGTCGTCTTGGAAACATCACCTGAAGACTCCTGGGCCTGTTTGTGAAAATGGGGAAGTTTCCAACAGCATGCCGAAATACCATGGCACCGTTAACGAATGATCGTGGGGAGGCACCCACCGAGGCAAGATGGTAAAGAAATCCTCGGGTTCCACATAGTTGGACACCCGTAGCCATACCGGTGGGTACTTTCCCTGCATCTCAACGTGTAACTGGACACACTCTTCGAATATTTCCCTGCGTCCACGAGCGCAAATGCGGGGGTGGTTGGCGGCAGTGTTGCAATATGTTGCGAAGAGTGATACGAAGCATTGCTCTGCAATTGTAAAATTGGCCGAATTGAGCAGATTCGGTACTGCTGGTTTCACGCCATGAATGATAGCATTGACCATGCGTTGCAGCTTACCCATATTGCCGAGTGGGTCCTGGACAAGATTCCAGAGGACGAGAGCAAGGTGGTCGTTGTTGTTGCTGTTGCTGTTGTTACCGTTGTGGTTGAGAAGAGGGAGTAGGTAAGTGTGAGAGATATGAGGCGTGTGAGAAGAGGAGGCGCAATTGTGGAGGAGGAAATGGAGTTTGTCGGCGTATTCTCTTGTAAGCTAAGCAGGAATGCTTCAACTGCACGTCTCAGTCGGCCCGGTCGATCCATCACGGCACTCAAGTGAGAAGGTTGGATGGCCGGCAATTGGACTGGGATGGCGACGTTCCCATATTTTCGTGTCGTTCCGATTATCAGAGAATGCTGTGGCACCCACGATTTCCTCGGGGGCGTTGCACAAGGTAAGGAAACATGAAGCCATCCACCATGCTTTGCAGTACCTTGCCCTTGGTGGCCTTGGGCAGATTGCTTTCTGGCGAGAGTCGAGAAAGGACTGGGGGATCTGGCCGATATATATAGGCAGAAACAGGAGGCAAGGGGTGAAGGTGGGAAGAGGGTTGAAGGTGACACGGTTAAAAATGAAAGTGATGAGACAGTTAAAGGTGAGAAGGGGGTCGAAATCATTCATAGAAAATACCTACTGTGCTTCACAGGTCTCTGTAACTGCTCACCGTGTTGGAAACCCCCTTTACATACTGTAGCTCAGTGAACCCCCATTTTCACTTTCGGCCTACTTGACAGCCCTGCTGCATTCCCTCCCACCTAGTGCGAGTCATCTCTCTTCACGCAATGTGTCATACTTGTCAGGAGATTTGTGCGGTGTGCGTGAAGAGAGATGACTCGTCCTAGGTGCCTTCAGTGACAATCATGCTTCAGAATTCTGACGTGACAGCCATGATCTATGGAAATCCAAGGAAGGACTGCATGATGGGTTTCAGAATACGCAGTTCGAGAGACATTCACAGACCTGCATCGTGACGAGGTAACAAATGTACTTCCCTTCCGCGGTATCAGGGAGTAAGTAACATTAAAAATGTTCTCGCAAGCTCCGTTATGAGACTCAAGGATAAATTCGACAGAACAACCGTTTCTGCTGGCTTGCCAGACAGGATTAGCGGACAGTACGTGAAGATATGTTGGAAGGGCGGCAAGCCATATTGCTCGATCACTTTTGCAGCAACGCCCATCTCCCAATCAAAGATTCGTTCCATTCGACATGTATTGCTAACGAATGGCTTCAGAGCAAGGCAAGCATTAGACAGTTATCGAAACAGTCGGAATGATTCGAGCCCTGGAATTGGAACGGATGGCGCCTACCGCATCATAAACTGATCCGGCATAGCTTGTGTTCCCTCGCAAGGGGCCGAAGGCAGAGAGGGGCCGGCGAAGCCGGCGCGGTCTAAGCCAAAAGGCAACTGTTTTCTTGTTAGCACCATGTTTCCAAATGTTGGGGGGGCGTTTGATGACTCACAGAGTACTGAAGAAAAAAGAGAAAAGGAAAGGAGCAGGATCGAGGGCGTAGCGAGACATGACAGTGGTCGGATATGCCTCCCATGAGGCTGTTCTCACTAGCGCACTTCTAGGACCTACGGCGTACTGCCGGAGATTGGAGACTTTTTGCAGCCGGCAGAATTGAGAGCTCGTGACTTACCGCATTTAGCGATATGGCCAATAAGAAAGCCAGATTCTTTACCGCTCTCAGGCTAACTTCTTTGAATAATTCTCTCTTGGCACGCCGCAGGGTACAAGTATCTCGCTCGCCTTCGATCCTGCTCCTTTCCTTTTCTCTTTTTTCTTCAGTACTCTGTGAGTCATCAAACGCCCCCCCAACATTTGGAAACATGGTGCTAACAAGAAAACAGTTGCCTTTTGGCTTAGATCAAGTGTAGTATCTGTTCTTTTCAGTTTAATCTCTGAAATCATCCTACGGGATGAATACATTGATTATTCTCATTTTTGGAGTTCGCCGGTCAAACCCCTCTGTGCTTGCGCAATGGGTTTCTGGCACCGTGTCCGAGGCCTTACACTACCGCCTTGTGACGCGAACCACCCTTTTCATCATTCATTTGCCTTGAGCAGAGCTTGGAGAAGAGAATTAACTGAAACTTAAGAGACTGCGGACTCTAGCCTGAGATGAGCGAGAAATATGTGGTATCAGAGATTTGGGAGCGAGAGTGTTGAAAATTTCAGAGTTGACTTGTGGTGGTCAGTGTTGATACTGGGCCTGAAGTCTTGCTGGCGAAGATCCAAGCAAGCGGCGACAAGATCATCCTTATGCTCTACAGTCCAGCGGATATCTCGAACTATATTACGGTTTAGACTACGGTCAACTTGAAGTCATTATGTATACAGTAGAGGATTTGATATCGTACTCTTTTTAGGTGAGTGTAGGAAGTGGTGTAGCACTGTGGTACGGTACTCTACTTAGAATTTGACTGATGTAAAATCCCATCCCAAAATCTGCCTGTTCTTGCTCCAGAAGACGTCGTCGAATTTGAATCGTATGCCGCCCTACTAGACTACGCTTTGTTATCGCCTACCTGCACCTCGCATTTCTCTTCCAACAGCCAAGATAGACCGCCAAAATGTCCGACGACACGGCCATGACCACGCCCGCTCCCACAAACACGTCCACAGCCGCGTCCTCTACCCATGTTGACCCGGCCATATTTTCATCACTCCAAACAAAAATCGACGAAGAGCAAGCGATCCGCGACGAGCTTAAGACGCATGTAGACGCGCTCTCGAAGCAAGGCCGGCTGACCCAGTCCATCCTCTCAAGAATCCACAACACACCTACAGAAGAACTTGAAGCGAATGTCCTTAATCCGTGCTACGATGCTCTCTCAGAACAGACGAAAACCGTGAAAGCGCTAGCAGAGTCGGCGTCCAAATACCCCTTCTACAAGTGGAATTCGATCTGGCAGCGCGATATCCAGACTGTCATCAGCAGCCTGCAACTCTGCGACTGGCTGAAGAGTGGCAATCTTTTGACTTTGGAGCAAATCGGCCAGAGACTTGATGGTGAGTCTTCCGTCTAGGACCTCTGCAGATAATCGCAATCACTTAGGCTGGCGACAACTACATAGTCCTGAATCTCGAAAGAAAAAATATGCGATATCCTGGCTAACATGGTGTTTTTCTCCATATTGAATAGTGCCCGTCAACCTCAAATCCGAAGATACCTTCCACATCACGGTCGAAGACTACCTCCTCGCCCTGATTTCGACCATCGAAGAGCTTGCGCGCCTGGCTCCTAACGCAGTCACGCTGGGCGACTATGCGCGACCGCTGCAGATTTCAAAGTTTATCAAGGACGTCCACGCCGGATTCCAACTCTTGAACCTGAAGAATGATATTCTGAGACGGCGCGCCGATGGCGTCAAATATAGTGTTAAGAAGGTGGAGGATGTGGTCTACGATCTAAGCCTGCGAGGGTTGATCCCCAAGACTCCGGGGACGGGTTGATTGGAATGAAGGGCAGAGCAGAACGAGGCTGAGAAAGTCCTACCACGAAACATGCTTTACATTCTGCGCGGACGGGGACTCCTGGTCGGTTTCCGCTCAAGTGCTGCTACAGTGTGTGCTGTACACCGTGACCACTAAGCTTTGCGCTGGTCGTACAGTTGTACTGCGGTAGCGTGGCGGACAGAGGAGAGCGGCGTCTGGGGCGGATCTCCACCATCGGGCAGTTCACCTCTACAATCTATGGCAGAGGATCTTCAGGAAGAATCACGCCGAGGAAAGAAGCAAGCTCGAAAGCAGACATGAAGCCAACGATGAAGAACAAGAATGGCAATGGCACGAATCGAATCGAATGAAACCAAACCAAGTCACCCTTTCATAATAGTGCATTTTCATAACTGCATGAGTAAAAACCGTATCTCTCGATCCCAGTATTTCATCCCATATCATAGATATGCAAAAATGCATTTCGAGTCTTTTTCATGCTCAAAAAGGCCCGCCACAGGCAGGCAGCCGATAGGGTATTGTATTGTGCATCACAACCATTCCTTTTCAAACATTACGCCAGGTTGGTGGGTAGCTAGTCGACTGCTTCATGGTGCCGTAGGCTTCTTCAGCTCCTCGCCGTCCACTCTAGCACTGCTCTCTGCCGTTGCCGGATCTCTCAGGCCAGAGGCGGAGCCTGTGCCCAACTTGACATTGACACCACCGCTGCCGACGTTGACGGTTCTCTGGTCTGCTGATTGCAGGTCTGCGCTGGCTCCGCCAACAGGTTGCTCCGGTAGAGGCAGGTTGGCCTTTACTCGGTCGATCTCTTCCGCCTTGTCTCCTTGTTCGGAGAGAAGTTGCTGTAGAGTATATTAGTTGAGTTGAACGAACCCCGGGGATATAGAGTGAGTTGAAGTTGGACTGGAACGTACCTTCATCGCAGAGGTATCAGAGTCCTTGGGCGTCTTGCCGTCGTGGAACTTGGATTCTCTGGCCTCTTGCTTGCGGAGGTCTTCGCTAGTCGTGTGGAAAGTCTGCTCGGACATTTTGGCTTGTTTTTGTGTGATAGATGTGTCGGGATTAAAGAGTAGGATGTTGCGGTGTTTCTGTTGAGTTGATGGTATTCTTGGTTTCAAAGTCGGATATTGGTTCTATGGCTGAATGAAAAAGTACAATTGGAAGTGCTGTATCGCCCTACGCTGTGGTATTTGAAGTGAGCTACAAGCACAGAGTGCGGTGACGACGTCATTGCCAGGTCGTGTACCAATTGTACAATGTAGTCTGATCGTGGATGTCTCCATGTTACAGTGTAGCCTGGCGCCCAATCAGTCTGCGAGTCTTGCTATCCACTGCCCACCGCCACTGACTGTTAATTCAGCGGTGATGCTCGAACCTTCTGCAAGCGACGCCGTATTGCACAGTGGCATGGCAAACTCCGAACTGAAAGCGAACATTTTCTACGTCATCATGGAGCAGACGAAAACATGCATCATTTTCTACTGAACCGGTTTAGCGCATGGATATCAGAGCCGGCTTAGATAATCAAAGCTGCAAACCAATCAGAGTGTCGCCGTACCTGAATCTACGACACCAACGAAAACAGGGCTTTGATGGCACCTAGGTGGATGGGAGACATTCTTTTCCAGTTACTTGAGTGGGCAATCCCTCCCGTTGGATCTGCTATACACGGTCGACGTGGCGTCAGGGTCGGGAGGTTGATGTGCAACAAGAAGTTGCAACTGTAGTGGCCAATTTGGAGTATATGGAGGGAGTGAGCCATGGCCGAATCCAGGCCTGGTTTGACCGCAGATTCAACATGTTATGTGAATATATCAGATGCTGGATTTGAAGCCATGCAACTTTCGGCGATGGCTTTGTCTCTCAGGAAAAGCCTCTCTGATAAGGAGCTGGCCTATTCTTATGAGCCGCTACTTCTCACCCATCGTGGATACGAAAGAGACTTACCATCGTAATGGGAAGGTAATCACATACCACCTGCTAACTTGAACGAGCCGAGACCGATTTGAAGCAGAATCCCAGCACAAAACATATCAAGACCAAAGAGTGGAGTTTCAGGATCGTAGTCGCAAACGGTTGTCCAGGGCTCGACAAGCAGGCGAGAGCTACAGCGATGACGGCCTGAATGATATGATTCCACCACAGATGGATGAGGGCCGTAGCCAGGAACGCAATCCTGTAGAAGATCTGGTAAAACACACCCATATCGAAACTTCGGCTGATGATACTCAAGCGTGATTTCGAGACTGTGCCTGAATAACCTCTTGGTCTCCGGAATTTAGGTACCTAGGTGCCCTTGCCGGAACACATCGAACTCCCAGCATTTAGAAGAACGCACGGAAGACTTCGAGAGCTCGTCAAGGAGATGTTGGAGCCATCATTGAAAGATGCATTAAATAAGGGATAGTAAAAGTACCTGGTACTAGTGTCCAGGAGTTCCAGTGCGACACCCAACTTGAACTCTTTGCGGCGAGTGCGGCGGAACAAACTGCGGGCGCGTCATTTGAAAGTGTAGTTGTAGTAGTGCGGTGCGGCCGAAGTTGAAGTGCAACTCCGTCCGTCATCCGCTTTCAACTTTTCTCCGATCGTCCTGATTTATACTACTTGTATTTTGTCGCATGTAGTAGAGGGCCCTCGGGGCCAGTCCAAACCACCATCTCAGTTCCATTTCCCTAATTTACGTTTCTTTGTCTCGGTTTCCAGTGTCGGTGTCAAGAAGCCATGCCTCGAGATCCCCTCATCGGCCTGGTAGGGAAGCCGTCCTCGGGCAAATCCACCACATTAAACAGGTGCGACGACGCCCACCACGGCCCTATCTACTGTGTTTGATAACCTGTGGTTCCTTTATACTCACTTCTCCTCCGCAGCTTGACAGATGCTAGTTCGAAAGTCGGTCAGTCTTACGCTCCGTCCCAGCCATGAAATTATTCTGCATCTTTCTCTCTGCGCCTTTTCATGGCAAAGCAAAAGGTGCACTGGCAGTGGTGGACATAGGCTGATATGAGATCGCGCAGGCAATTTCCCGTAGGTTTTGAATCTCGACTCCCAGTCCCGTCCGCATATACACACAATATATATCCCACCGTCGTTCGCTTGCAGCGGAGAGCGCGGAGAGACTAATAGGTCGAGCAATCCACCAGATTTACCACGATAGACCCCCAACGAGCCGTCGGATACCTCCAGATTGATTGCGCCTGTGTGCGACATGGGCTGCAGGACCGATGTCGACCGAACTACGGATCATGCGTCAACGGCAAGCGATCTGTCCCGATTGAACTTCTGGACGTTGCCGGACTAGTCCCCGGCGCGCACGAGGGCAAAGGACTGGGGAACAAATTTCTGGACGACCTGCGACACGCGGATGCTCTGATCCACGTGGTCGACGTGAGCGGGACGACGGATGCCGAGGGCAAGGCGACGCGAGGGTACGATCCCAGCGTGGACATCGAGTGGCTGCGCGGGGAGATAGTGAGATGGATTCAGGGCAACCTGATGGAGAAATGGGGCAGTATCAAGAGACGGCACGTCGCGGTCAAGGCATCGGCCGTGGACACGCTGCAAGCCCAGTTTTCCGGCTACGGGAGTACCAGCGCGCTCGTGGCGCGGGTGCTCGACAAACTGCAGCTCAAGGAACCCCTGGAGGAGTGGAGCAATGAGACCATTCTCAAGGTCGTCAACGCCTTCACCGACGAGAAGTTCCCCACCGTGCTGGCCCTCAACAAGATCGACCACCCGGACGCCGACCGCAACATCGCCAAAATCGCAAAACAGCAACCCGCAGACAGGATCGTGCTGTGCAGTGCCATCTCTGAGGTGTTTCTGCGTAAGCTGGCCAAACAGGGCTACATCAAATATAAAGAAGGTTCAGAGTACCTCGACACCCGGGAAGACTTGATTGAACAAGGAGACCCGGACGGAGGCGGGTTGAAAGAGATGGACGACAAGTTAAAGCAACGCATCGAAAACCTCAAGGACATGGTCCTCTACCGCTTCGGTAGTACCGGGGTGGTGCAGGTCTTGACTCGGGCCGCCGAGTTGTTGGGTCTGGTGCCCGTCTTCCCCGTCAAGAACATCCATACCTACGGCTCTGGCGCGTCAGGCTCGACGGCTGTCTTTAGAGACTGCGTCCTGGTCAAGAAGGGCAGCACGGTCGCGGACGTGGCGAGGAAAATCATGGGCGATGCCCCCATTGCTTTCATCGAGGGTGATGGTGGACGGAGGGTTGCAGAAGACCAGGTCGTCAGTCCCGGAAAGAATGACATCTTATCATTCCATGTAGGACGGTGACGATTGTACCTCTTTATGTGCAATGCAACCATGATTTAATTTATACCTAGACACGGATTGATGATTGGCAAGCTATCAGGACTCTGCGTCGATTTTAGGACGATCGGAAGACGGCACAGAATAACAATAATGCATAAAACTTCCAAACAAAGCCATGTTATATATACAGACAGGTCCGTCAGACCTTTTCAGTTCAATGCTTTGCAACTCGAACGCCTTTTGTGGATGCCCACGCGGTCTGCTCCGTCCAGCTTTGCGTTTCGGAGATCATCTTTTGGCCCTGATTCGAGGTGCCGTGCGTGTCGATTTACTGAGGCTTCTGCAGAAGGTTAATTGGTCAGTCAGATAGATGGCCATTAGTGCAAGATGGGGACGGGACGGCATGGCAAGCAAAATCAGACACGAACAGACCACACCAGACTTACCTCTCCTCTCTCCTCATTCATGCCAATCACAGGCTGCGGCGCCTCCGGATGTTCCTGTTCGGCTTTCTTGTTGGCACTCCCACCCTTTTGGCTGATGGCCTGGCTGTCCTCGCCTCCCTGCTGCTTATCCTTGATGCCCTGTTGGGCACCCTTCGATACAGGGTCATGCTGTGACCGGTTCACGGCGTGGCCTTCGGTGCCTCGTCCTTCCCAGCCAGGCGTGCTGTGTGTGTCCTTGGCGAATGTTGGAGCGGTGGTCGAGAGAGGACGGCGGAGCAAAAAAGAAGATGAAGAAGGCGAGGAGAAGGAGGAGCCAGTGAGGACGGCGAGGGAGCGGCGAGAGACAGGTGTGATGAGACGAGACATTGTCGTGTTTGTCGAGTTTGGAATTTGATTTGTTTGTCTTGCTTTGAACTCGCCGTCGAAAAAGGGCTGTGTCTGTCTAGTAGGGACTGGTGGTAGTATTTGCGGGGCGGTCGATCGTGACACGATGTGGTTCGCTTTCAAGTCAATGGCTTTCGATATTAGAAAGCAGTGGCGGTAGACTGCGGTATCAGCAGTGAATATAGGTAGTAGTGGCTGCTGTGGTTGAAGGTAAAGGTCCAAGTCTTTCGATAGCTCGGCTTCGCCCTTTTGTAATGATAATAGTTTCAATACTATGATACTCGACTCGGTAAGTGAAAGCACTTCGGCTAATGATCCCCTTGATGCCAGTTGGTCAGGTCAGTCTTGGGTTCTGCATTGCTCAAGAGGAATTCCGTCGTGAACCCCGGCTCTCTTGCACTGCAGTGGTCACTCGAGTTGTATGCCAGTGACGATGATGATGATGTGATGTCGAAATTATGACGCCATGGGCTCAAAAGTCAAAAGCCTACAAGATACCGTACTAGGTTTAGTGCCGTTGTACTAAGAAAGCTCCTCCGCAAATCATGTGATGCTATTGGCTGTTCACATCTCCTCCGCACTGGCGCTGGTGTTCTCCCCCAAACCGTCCAGCCTTGTGGCTCCACCAACCACACTGTGGGCATTGTGTACCTACCCAGCACCAGTACGCATCTCACAACTCCAGGTCAATCATTTCTATAGTATATGCGTACAGTCCTATAGTCGCCTACTGGTAGAAATGCAGTGAGCATAACTTTATGTCTCGTTCGAACTAGCAAATATGAAATAAGAGACAAAACTCAAAAGCCTTTTGATCGCAAATGACACAATATCTCCGCAAGCACGCTTTGTCTTGTTCGATTGTTGATGTACAAACTCCATTACCGTCCTACCGGACAGTATACACCCTGTGATCAAACGCTCCTCCATCTGATTCATTCATGGTATCATCGTCTTGCGACAGTCAAATCCAACAAAGAAACCAAACACCACTTTTGGGCTCGATAGCCGAGGTAACCAACATCCTGGGTATAGCATTCTCAATCTTCACATTGACACAATCACTGCTGTAACCCCTGTAGGCGAAATCATCGCCTCCCTATCTCGCGGCATGAACAGCTGTTGTCAGTCTAACAACAGCACGAAGGTCTTGAAAGTGTAACAAAATGAACATATTGTAGTTGTTTATGCCTCCACTTCATGGAAGTCAAATTCGTCGTCCACAGGGATGGTGATGCCCCGATATGTTTCAGCGGGGTCGAGACCATCCCCAATCGAGGTGGACCCATTGTGACTGCTTGGAGCGCTGAACAGGAAGTCATCTCCGCTCGTCAGAGATTCTTCTGAAAAGCTAAGCAGACTCTGCGGGACTGGCGCTTTGGTGGCAAGGTCGATCCCGGACAGGTGCCATGCATCAGGTGTCCACTCATTGCTATTTGGCTGATACAATGGGTATCCGGTGGCAGTCATATCACCATAAAGGGCCGGGTTGTCGTCCAAGTTGGTCAGAAGTTGATCCCAGCTTGCGTCTACAATGGTCGGGGTCGGGGTTGGCTGTTTCTTCGGCGGAAGCATTGTGCTCGACGATGTTCTCGTCTGAGACGTCATGAACTCATCCCCCAGTGGCAGGTAATCCAGGTTGATGGCCGTCGTGTCGATCGCCCTGCACGTGGTGGGCTGACTCGGCGACGCCGCATTCAGAGGCATCACTGGCGCAGATCGGGTGGAAGACAGACTCACAGTGCTGGCGGCACGATGCGCTGGGCTCAAAGACGGCGGTCCGTTCTGGATGCCAATGGCAGGGCGAGGGGCTTCGACCGATTTCGATTTCGTGCTGAAGCTCGACCATCTTGACGCTATGGCTTGTAGCTGCTTTCGAGTTGACTTGGACTTAGTCTCCGCAGGAGCTGGCATAGCTGTACTTGGTCGTTGTGGACCGTTATCCAGACTCTGACTCTTTGGCGATGCGTCAGGTCGGCCTTCGAGCGCGACAAGAGAGGCGGCCATCTTCTGGAATTCGGCAGCTGCCACGCTGTGCTCATTCATGAGCATACCGACCGAAAGGGTCAATGACTTCTGGTTGTCCTTGACAAGCTTGCTGTCGTCGTCCAAATCTAGAGTCTGCCACAGAATGGAAACGCCAGAGCTCAACAGCAGATCGGCCTTGTTCAGAGGAAAGGTGTAGTTCATGCGGCGTTCCAACAGTAGGTCCACAATCTGCAGAATATGCTTGCCTGCGGCGGCCAAAACGATACCGGCGGCAGAGGCCGCACTACCCGAACCATGGCAGAGTAGCGGTCGGTGGATCAGGCTTCTTGTGTAAAAGTACGCCAGAGACTGAAATTGTCAGACAGGTTCCAGAGCCAACCAAGGATAGAGACTTACTAATAGCGGTGATCGGCAGCTAATCATATGGGTGGCCGGCTTGTCGTTACAAAAGCGCAAACGTAGATGTTCAGGTAGTTCTTCGGACCACTGATCAAGCTCGTCCGAGAGCGCATGTAACTTGTTCAAGGAGAGCTGGTAGCTTGCTTTTGCCGGGTAAAGATGATCCAGCGCTTTCGAAAGGATCTTGGTCAGGCGGAAGAATGCCAATGCGCTGGAGATCTTGGTGAGTTCCCCTGGAAGAGTGGGAGTGAACCCCTGAGCGGTCAGATTCTCGTCGTCTACATCAGCAGGGAACTCGGTGGTGATATCGTCGTCACGGAGCAGCATCGGTGTGCCGGTCGTAGCAGAGGTAAACCTAGAAAGAGAGTCAGTTGCAGGCTCAGTGAGAGGTATATCAAGGGAGGACTCTTACTTGTCTAGGACATATTGACACCAAAAGACTTTCTTCCGTGTCTCGGACTCCAATGGCGACAGACTGTGATATTTGTGCACTTGATGGAGACCCAACTCGTGACACATGGTCACTGCAATGCCTCGGTGACGGGCAAGATGCGTATAGTCCGCTCGCAACATGTAGCAGATTTGAGCGAGAACATGACATTGCAAGGTAGAAAGTGAGGCATTAGACGAAGTTGAGTAAAGAGCCTTGCGCCATTGAGTCTCATAAGATGGGGTGTTCTTCTTAGGGGTGGTGATATCGGACAGCGCCGAAATCTCGAAGATCAGGAAAAGCTGGGCCAGGGCTTGTTTGTTGTTTTGCCAATTTCCTGCCTCTGGGCTGGCTAGGTACTGCTCGTATACGCGAAGGAAGGTAGGTCGGTGGAGAATCGGAAGCAGAGGTTGCCATTCTTGGAAGAAGATGTTGATGTATTGGTCGGTAAGGATTCTAGGAGGGATTTTGGGACCTGGATTCACGGTCTGCCGGGTTGGTTGAAGGGCATTTTGGAGTTCGGAGGTCGAAAATCCAGGAGACTGTCGCCCAGTTTCTTGCACCTTTTGATCGAAAGCCTCTATGAGGGAAAGGGTCGTGGAGGAGCCAGTCGAGGTCGCTCGAGGTTGGACAGGGGCAGGTATTTCCACATGCAATACTTCTTCTCTGATGGAGGCCACTTCGGCCTTGACTTGGGCCGCATTGGAGGGCGACAAGGACTCTGACCCCTTCCGTGATGGTGGAGAGAAGCTGTGAATGCGAGACAGCATGTCAATCTTCTCATCCTTCTCGTCCAGGAGATCTTTCAGTTCGCGCACTTCCGCCTCGAGTCCGCGCACGCGGTCTTCCAGAGATTCTGTGTAACCTCTGGGGAAAGCCCGACGGCTCAACTTGTCGCTTGTTTTGCACTCGAATCCGACATTGGCACATTGAGTGCAGCAAGGTCGTACACCGTCACACCTGATCTTCTTGCTGCGACATCGGTCACAGGCTTGCGCAATCCTACTCTGTGCGCTGCTCCCCACCCGAATCATCTTCATCGGTAGTATACCAGGCATGGTGGCGGCTGTATACTGGGTGGATTGACGATTTCCTTATAGCAAACTCATAGACAGTGGACAACGAGCAGGTCGAGCGCTGCGTGCCGGTAGATGCACAATGGCCAAGTGATATGATCACAGGTGGGAGTTGCTGGACCTGGGGATCTGTCCAAAGTTGCGCTGGGCAGTTGGAATGGCAGGAGATGAAGCACAGGACCTCGAGTCGGCGGGGTGAGAGGCGGATTATGACAACAATTGCGTGTCGAGGCGACGGCCGGATTGTTCAAATGGTTAGGGCGAGACGGAGGGTTTAGCGGGCGGCGTCCCGAACGTTCGACGATAGTTGTGACCACAAAGCGAGCTTGTTTGGCTCGGAGTCAGGCACTAGATATGCAGGATGGGTGTGATGTGCAAAGGGATGAGACCGTGTTCTCTGGGGAAGGGATTTTGTGGGTGGTGGAGGAAGATGGGTGATTGCGGGTTGTAAAGCCTGGGGATGCACGTCGGCGGCACAAACAGCGATCGGGGGAAAGCTGGAGGCGTGAGATGGAGGACACTGGCACGGGCACCACAACTGGCACTACCGGCACTGGCACTGGCACTGGCACTGGCGCAAGCCCTGAGGCTGCAGCGGTGGGGACTGCGTAGGCTCTTTCTGGGCAGCACTAACAACCTTGGGACGCAAGACAGCCAACTGGCGCAGCCCGGAGGGTCCTCTTCTCCGGGCGCCGGTGCCTGTTCGTCTACGTCTCATCCACTACGACTGCGCCTACTGCTAGCACCGACTCCTAATCTGCCCTCAACAATCTGGAACCGCACCGGGAACCGCACCTTCAGCCTCACATCCCTGCTCCTTTCCAACCTTAAGCTCCTTCGACACCGCTGCTAGCGAATTGAGAGCGGCCGTCGCTGGGCATCTTCATTCTCTGCCCTTCATTTTTCTTCTTCCAGCTGCCGCCTGGGTTCCATTCCCCCGCAAAAGCTGCAGGGCAGACGAATCAGACTCTCGATCGAGTGCGGCAGAGACAACTCGTGGGCATTCGAATCGAGTGTCTTGACGTACGCTTTGGCGTTATGGGCCTGCCGGAGCCTCCAGCCTATGGTCAGCCGTGAGGAACCCCTAAGGCTTCGACGCTTCGTCCCTACTTCCATCGATCCGAGCTGAGGCCGTCCATTCAGGACTTCCATCCAGATCAGCTCCCGTCTTCTCGTTGGGCCAACAGCTCGCCAACGGAGGATAGCACAGTCACAGGCCTAGAAGGTCGATTCGTGTCGCTTAACTACAGGCCAAGCTATCCAGGCCATTCCTCATGCCGTGGCTACGTGGGATATTGTCAGACAACAAGAGCTGAATATCGAGATATACATAAGTTGCCTCTTGAATGAAGCCAGCCTCACAGTTGGTACCTTGGAGCTGGCCTGTGCTCCGACGATTGATGGACATATGGCAGTCGACGGAAATGTCAAGCATGGGCGAACGGAACCTCGCGGGTTTCCAGATGAAGCACATCTGGCTGGCGGAAGGCTTGAGTCCACCGTAGAAGAGCTTCTTTCTGCCAGTTGTGTCGTGTGCATCGGAAAACGATCAAAACTGAGGATCCGGCCAGATTGCACTATTGATGCACAACTAGTTGTAGGGATACATTCAAAGCTTGTAAGCTGTGTGAGCTGGCCACCCCGTCAGCTCGTATTTGTTTTGGCGCGCTCACACCACCTGATGCAGCGTGCAGGACAAGCTTCCGAGCCAGTCCACTTGCGTAGGAGTTTCAATTCCTTAGCGACACATCTTCTACAGTACATGCGCCATTCATGGTCGTTACTACTCTACGAGAAGTCATCTTCTGGGTATTCTCCTGTCGAGTTCGTCTGGCCATGCTCCTGGCGCTCGAGATAGGAGCGAACAGCTGCAGACTCGAGGAGGTTTTCCTTCTAGGCGACGTTAGTAGTGGGAGGGCTGAATGGAGGTGTTGAAGCTTAAGACTTACCTCCTGCTCTAGTGTTTCATAGGCCCTGGTCAACAAGTCGAGCTCCAGCCTCCGAAGTCTCCCGATCGTCTCATGGACCGAGTGTCTAATATTATGTTCCCCTGTGGGAAGGGTCCTTTCGTAGGTGCTTTCACTTGCTGCGAGCTGCATCCCTTGATCTTCAACACGTTGTTGGATCATCACCGTGGCACGCAGGACGAATATATCTCGGAGCTCATCCTGCAGGAGTGTGGAATGGAGGGCGGCTGCGCTTAGATCGTCCCCCTTCCAAGACGCCTTGAGCTCCGTTTCTCCGTCCACAGTCTTCTCCACTCTAAAGTCTAGACCATCTTCCTGGTTGACGCATGCCCACCAGACGAACGAACTATCCCAGCGTAAATGTCCTGACTCATCAATGTAAATGCGAACACCTGGCGCTTCCTGGGCAAACCGGATCTTTGCCAACCGCAAGGGGTCGTCGGCGGGGATGGAAAGACTCAGGAACAACTCCCTGGCGTTGCTCGCGTGCTCCTCAATGAAGCCATAGGAGAAGGCCATTTCGCAGGCACCACCTGCCCCGTACATGATGGTGATCTCGTCACCGTCATTAATAAACTTCGAGTCCCGCACGACAAGCAAGAAGGTCCCTGCATCATCGTCGACCTCGAATCGTGCATTGTATTGATCGTCAGCAGCATGGTTTGCCATGTCAACAACAGGGACCATGCCTACGCCTGCCCCCCGCGGGAGCTCCATAGCTCGAGACCGGTACAGGGCATCTGCAAGTTTCCAGTCATCGAAGTCCAAAAGCCCAGTTTGCTCGTCCCACCACACCCGTTGACACCAAGGAATAGTCTGCGTAGCTTCTTTTAGGCGGTCAAACTCCCGTTCAAGACTGACCAACTTTTGGTCTAAAGCTTCGGCAAGAGTCGTGCCAGTGAGAAGTTCCCTTTCCTCTGGGGTGTAGAATGTTGGAAGTGGAACGTCTTTGGGGAGACATTGGACATAGTCGGCGAATGGGTTCTTCAACTTCAGCCCGGCGTCATGATTGTCGGGGCTGTTGATGGTCATCTGGTAGACAAGGAAAAGAAGAACTGCAGTGCGAGGATTCTGGCAAAGAGATGAAACCGTCAGTCTGCCGCAGGATCTACCTACCTGGTTAAAAAGGTAAGGCATTAGAGGACAGCCTCTGACCTACCTGAAACAAAGAGGCAGCAGCTTCGATGAGTTCTTTGAGTCGTTGGTCAGACTTTGCACATTGTGCCACTCGTTCCTTGGACAGAACAAGGTCTAAGGGAACAGCGACCAGTGGTTCGCCCTCCTCATGGCGAGACGTTGCACGGATTCCACCACCTTTGTCAATGCCATCATCGGTGAAGACGTGGGCCTCAATTGCAGCATTGAAAAGATGAACGTTGTTGAAATGCGCCCACGCTTGCAGGTTTTCCAGTGGCAGAGAGCTCTGTCTCATATTTCAGGGTTGACAGGCGTTTAGAGTGTGTGTCATGGCCCTGTGAAAGCTCTCCAAAGGACCAAGTGATGTTGCCGTTGGGTATTGTAGTGTCGTCCAGTCCAGCGGCGGGAGCAGAGAGCCTTTGCTAACCTGGAGTTTCTGCCGCATCCTTCGATCGCCGCGTCTCGGGAGCCTTGCACTTGGCACCGGCAAACCTTCCAAGTCAGATTCACGCAGAGGTTGATCTCCCATTGGTCAGACCATGTAGCACTGTCCAACTCCATTGCTACGACGAGCTCAAGTTGCTGGTCCTTTACACCAACACAACCGGTCAGGGTGCATGGCATCGAAAAGACCTTGCCCGTGGTCTTTGGCCTGTATTACCATCAATTACGGGCATTTGTACTGTCAGGTACACACCATCTATCAAGCCTATTGAGGAAGGTCTAGCGACCCAGCCTCGTCTTGGCCCCGCATAAGGTTGGACTCCGTTGGTGTCCTGAAACACGCTGGAAACTCGAACATGTCGAAGTTCACACCTGCGAGCCCTTTCCTCAGTTTTGATGCGCTGCTGCCAAATTATCGCTTTGCTTCCCCCTCCGCACGATCTTCCCCTCGTAGTATTGAACAGTATTGTTTGTCTGCCCAACTGCATGGCTACAGCCTCGTCCTTGCGGTGTGACAATGCAGTTGACCAACGTCGAGGGAGAAGCGCGTTGCGTGGAGAGAGCGACCGAGACAAACCGTCAGACTTGCGTACAGCGACATTCTGACTGGTGTGATCCAACAATATTCCAGAAGAACCGTCTTCCTCCTCGGGCGTATCATATCCCCGAGACGGCCATTTGTTTAAATGGCCAGTGGGCCTTTAATTACTCCCCAACGCCTGAGGAAGCCCCTGACGGAGCAACTTGCAGCACTCAGTCCATAGAAGAAACAATTCAGAAAGCGCCAAAATGCTGGAGTTTTGTCACTGTGCCTGGTCACTGGCAACTACAAGGTTATGGCAGACCGCAGTATACCAACATTGTGTATCCCTTTCCCGCCTGCCCGCCACTTGTGCCCACAGAAAACCCTACAGGAACATACTCCCGTTCTTTCAAGAGACCTCCAGATTGGGATGATGAGCTCCAGATCAGGTTGAGATTTGACGGGGTCGATAGTGCCTTTTATGTCTGGCTCAATGGGACACAAGTGGGTTACTCTCAAGGGAGCAGGAATCCAGCCGAATTCGACGTTACGGATATCGTGTTCGACGATAGGCCAAACTACCTGATTGTCCAAGTGCTCCAATGGTGCTCGGGAAGTTACATTGAGGACCAAGATCAGTGGTGGCTGTCTGGTAGGAGTATCGTTACATTTCGTTGACCTAGCTCATTCTGGCAGGCATTTTCCGCGATGTCCATCTCATCGCGTTTCCCTACCACAGACGCATCAATGATGTCTTCATCAAAACTATACTTGACAAAGAATATAAAGACGCTGAATTGATCGTGGACTTGGACCTGGACGTTCGCCAGGATAGTTTCCTCCTTATCAGCCTGAAAGATGGGAGAGGAATAAGCTTACATGCAGAATACAGTTCGATCGAGTCACCGGCGTCCAACTTCACACGAGTCATCCCAGTCTCTAACCCGAGAAAGTGGACAGCGGAAACACCATATCTTTATACTCTAGACATCACCGTTTTGCCTGGGCGCATAAGGCCCACACCCAATCATCGAATTGTCCAGCGAATAGGCTTCCGGTCGGTTGAGCTCAAAAATGGTAATATTTGCGTCAATGGCAAAGCCATCACTTTCCAAGGTACCAACCGACACGATCATCATCCGAATTTGGGACGTGCGGTCGATGAGGAGTATATCCGCCGAGATCTTCTGATGATGAAACGCCATAACATCAATGCCGTTCGGTGTTCGCACTACCCTTCTCATCCCAGTCTCGTCAGACTCTGCGATGAATTAGGCCTCTGGGTGATTGATGAAGCCGATCTGGAATGTCATGGCTTCGCAGCTGCCGGAGCACCCCGAGATCCGGCGGAGTTTACCTCAGATAATGATGCATGGCAGCCCGCGTACCTCGACCGTATGCAGCAGCTGGTGGAGCGAGACAAGAACCACCCCAGCGTCATAATCTGGTCCATGGGCAACGAATCATTTCTCGGCCGTAACCATGTCGCCATGTCGAGATGGGCCAAACAGCGTGACCCGACGCGTCTCATTCACTATGAGCCGGATGGGCAAGCAAGATACACTGACATGATCTCGCACATGTACACGTCGCCTGGAGACTTGGTTAGAGAGGCAGAATCCGAAGGTGATGACTTCACCAAACCCATTATTCTTTGCGAATATGCGCACGCCATGGGTAATGGACCGGGGCTTTTGGATGAGTATCAAGAAGCGTTTCGCTCTCACCGACGGCTTCAAGGTGGGTTCATCTGGGAATGGGCTAACCACGGGCTCTGGAAAGAGGACAACAATGGGAAAAATTACTATGCCTATGGAGGAGACTTTGGGGATGTTCCCAACGATGGAACATTCGTCATGGACGGGCTGTGCCATAGTGATCACACGCCATCACGGGGTCTGGTGGAATTGAAGAAGGCTATAGAGCCAATCAAGGCATGGGTGGACGGCCATGATCTGGTTGTTTCCAACCGATATGACTTCCTCGGACTCGAGCATGTTGTGGCAGACTATCGGGTAGAGGCTTTCGGGAAAGAGTTCGTCACATGTTTTCCTGCCTGTGAAAGCCCACCCCGCTAACACTCCTACAGAAACGAGACGCTGACATGTGGTTTCCTGCAACTGCCTAGTATTCCAGCCGGCACTCAAGCAAGAGTTCCCCTGCCGAGAGATGTTCTTTGCGCAGAAAGCCCACATGAACGGTGGCTGACGGTGAGGTTCCGCGAAAGGGACCGCAGGGCGTGGGCCGAACTCGGGCATGTCACAGCATGGAGTCAAGATCAACTCAGGCAAACTCGCGAGAGCAACATACCAGTGGCACCAAATATCCGTGCACCCCTAATCTCGTACTCCAAGCTGAACGTCTCGTGCACCAAACTCGAATACAAGATCTCCACTCCAACAGTCACAATCACATTCGACCGAATCCGTGGACAACTTTCTACCTGGTCACACCTAGACAGTCCACTTTTGTGCAAGAGCAAAGGTTCTTCTTCATCGCCTGTCCTGGCGATGGACTTCTGGCGTGCTCCAACCGACAATGACCTTGCGTGGCAGACGGCGGAGTGGAAACGCTATGGCCTGCACATGATGACCAGCCGACTGAAGTCCTTCCAGCTAGACCGACTCAACGCCATTGCAGGCTCCGATTCGCCCAACAGTGACTCTGAATCATGGTTAGTGAATGGGGAGGTACGCCTAAAGGCACATCATGCTCTTGCACCACCAAGTCTCGCATGGTACTTTGACGTCGAAACCACCTACATCATTAGCGCCGTGCCTCCGGCGACACCATGGTCGTTTTATGCGACCCTAGAGATCCGCACACACCTCACTCCCCAGGGAGCACACCCGGCCAATCTGCCACATGTGGGCCACAATCTGCAGCTGGCCCCCGGATACAGAAATGTGACATGGTTCGGTCGTGGCCCCGAGGAGAGTTACAACGACAAGCGCGCCTCTCAGCGACTGGGAATCTGGGAGTGTACGGCCGAGGAGATGGCGACGCGTTACGACGTACCGCAGGAGCACGGCAACCGCTGCGACGTGCGGTGGTGCCGCGTGTCTCCGAGTTTGCCATCATCGGATGATTATATCGATGGGGGCGATGACAAACCACTCCCAACCATCTGCGCAACATTTGTTCCGTCTCGCCCCAAACAGCTCAAAGCCAAAAGTCCCGATAGGAGTGGCAATGCTGGCAGCGTTGTGAACGGTCAGGGGAATGGCAGTGGCAGGGGCAGCGATAACAATGGCAATGGTAATAACGACAGCGGCGTGCCGAGTAACAGACCAACCTTCCAATTCGCAACTCTGCTCCACGATGCCTCCACAATCGAATCCGCAAAACATCCCTGTGACCTGCTCGAGCCAGGGGCCCAACGCACCGGCATCCTCTGGCGGCTTGATGCCGATGTCGCGGGCGTAGGCACCGCGGCATGCGGCCCGGCCACGCTGCCCAAGGACCAGGTTGAGTGTAGGGAGCGAGAATGGTCTCTGAGATTGGAGATGGAGTGATGAATCAATCGCATTGCGTCTGAGGAGAAATCAAGCCTTCCCCTGCCTTGTGCATTACATTATACTTTGCCACTGCACAGCATGTAGAGTTCCTCGTTCGGCTTTCCGATAAAATGCAATTGCGGGCCAAGTGCAGTAGAGTGCGGGCTATGAGAAGAAATGGGAGCAATGCACATGTGTTTATTCGGTCTCAGCTTGACACGAACAAGTGTTAACAGTACCAGGAACCTTGTATCACCAGAGTACTGTACCTAGATCCTTTAGAAAATACCTACCTAGGTAGATAGTACCGATCGTGATGCAGCCGGCCAGGCTGTGATTGTGACAAATTGAGGGATGAAAACATGCCCGGTACGTAGGTATGCACCCATCCAGCCATATTTGGGACTACATCATGATGTTGATTTTGACCAACTTGAAGGGGAACCAGAAATCGACGGTGGTACACGGATCGCATCGGAAATGCGGGAACAGAGCAAATGGGAAAGGGAGGCGCAAGAGGACTTAAGTGAAGGTGCAGGTACTGACTGTATCCGGAATTGACAAGAGAATGCTTGTCTATAGGTACCTAGGTAGTGATGTCTGGAAATCAGATTGTGTTACCAGAACCCGGATAAAAGGGAGGCACTTGTAAGCACTGTTTGGCTAGTGAGGGTGACTCGGAGGATTGAAGACTGAGCAAGCAGCCTAAAAGAAGCGATGAAGATAATACCTGTTAACGAGTATTTCTGTTTCTGTACCTGGATGGGACAAATAGAGACCCCGCCAGCACCCTTACAGTCATTACTACAAGTTACTCTGGTAGGAACTTCTTGGGTTTTTGTGAAAACGGTGATGAAACTATCCAACTAAAAACACAACCACGGACCAGCAGGTTTGATAGACTGGATATAGGAGGAAAGTCAACCGCAATGCACAAGGAGTCTGGAAGCAGCCTCGCCAAATCCCATTCCTATACCAACTTGAATCCTGCTTCTACAAAATGCTTGGACAAGAACAAGAAAAGTGTCGGGCGTAGATGGTCGATGGAGACCAGGCCAAGCTGATGCCCCAGACATTCCAGCTACTACCGACGATGTGCTGCATGCAGCTCCTCCGGCCCAGGACAAGACCTATACTCAATCGAGGATGGCGGCGTCTTTCAAGCGTAGTGTGAGTTTGGCGTCGTTCCACCGCCCGTGAGATCTCCGTTCCCGTTATCCACTGTCCAACTGTTTGCCAATCATGGTCGAGACTAACGGCTTCGGGTTGTTGCTCCAAACGGAAACAAATCAACAAAAGAAAAACAATCTGGCGAAACCTGACGTCAACGCCGGTATAATATGCAGTTCGAATGGCAACAAGATCGTGTTCATGTACATTGTCGTCCGAAGGGAGATCAGTCGGAGATGACATAGGTGGCAGTGCCAGAGATGACCGAAACCTGTTGCGGTTGTTAGCACATGTACAGCAAAAGGAGTTTAAAAAGGGGATACTCACAGTGCATCCGTTCGAATTGCATCCGGTGGCGCTGCAGTATTGTCCATTCTGGTATTTGCAGGAGCCAGATAGATTGCCTTGGATTTCGACGGTACCCTCGTATTGGGCACTCGTGGTAGGTGAGTTTTGGAAGATAGACAGCCATGTCACACCTCCTTTGGCACCCACACCAAAGTTGATAGGAGCAAAGTTGCCCAACGGGGTGCCGGCCGAACCCCATTTGCAAGCATCAGACGGACCATATCCAATCGGGTTGAGGTAGTACTGGGCGGAAGTGGACTTTCCTTGCCATGTGTAGTAGGTCGAGGCGTCGGGGACAGCCAGCTCCTCGGTCGAGCCAGGCTGCAATTCCACAGGGATGGTTTCGGATTCAGTACCAGGATAATCGGTACGGCAGATGGACACGACACCACCAGCTTTGTTGGTGGCCTGGACACCTCCGACGCCGGGAATGCAGAGACTGGTGGACAGACTCGGGTTTGTCAAATGAAGCTTTCCACCGCTGCACGACAGTCCACCGACGGACTGGCCGGTGGCACCCTGAGTTGATGGCCATTGACTCTTCTGGTAACCGGGCGGGCAAGCATAGGAACACATCATACCCTCGGTGCAGGACTGGCCAGAAACACCAGTCACAATGTGGTTGACAAGGTTACCCACAATGGTGACGGCCTGGAGACCAGACCATCCGCCCATACCCAGATAGTCTAGGGCCACCGCACCATAGTCGGAGGGAAACGTGTCGCAGCTAAGCTCACCATCAGGGAAAGCCGCAGTGAGCCCAGTTCCGCCCGAGATCGAAGATGAGCCGGTGGATGAGGCTGAGGCTGAGGCCGCTGCGGAAGAGCTAGAGCCAGTTTCGCTAGCGCTGCCCCAGCCCGAAGCAGACGCTGACGAAGTTCGGTGTTGGAAGAATTCGGCAGCACCTGAGTCGGAGGCAGCGGCAGCGGAGGTTGTGGTAGTTGTCGGCGAGTCCGAGGTTGTCGAAGGCTCAGCCGTCGTGGTTGGAGCAGCAGTAGTGCTGGGAATGCTGCTGGTGGTTGGCGTTGCAGCGGCAGCGCTGGAAGAACAGACGCCGGGATCTTGACCGTCCACAAACTTCAACTCGTTGTCCTCCAGACCCGCGCAGACCTTTTCTTGCGTAATCTCCTGGCCGTCCAGCAGGTAAACATAGGCGGTGGGACCTGTAGCATAGGTGGTCTTGGTGACTTCGCGTTGTCTGTGTTGGTGCGCGTGTCGGTGGGCATGGTGGTGCGGTTGAGCCAGGGCAACAGTAGCAGCGGCCGCCGCCGTCAAGGCGAAGGAAGCAAGCTTCATGTCGATAGGTTTGTAGGAATGATTGGACGCAACAGTCTATCAAAGACCTGCCGATAAGTGTATGAACGAGTGTAGGTTACGTCGGACTGATGAACGCGAGGCTGAACGAGTCTGAGGGTGCGACCGGCGCGTCAGTATGCTTCCTTTGTTGGCCCAATATTTGGAAAAAAGAGAGAGGTCAAAGCAAGGAGTTGGAGGCCGTTCGCAGGGTCACAAGGACATACAAAGCCGCAGACGCATATGATCAGTGCTGGAATGCTGGACGTGAAGCGGCTCGGGGCGAGGGCGGACGAGAGAGAGCGAGAGATGAGTTGGCGCGTAGGATAGCTGGATTCTCAAAGGAATGGAACGAGAGAAAAGTCTCTCTGGTAAAGAACGTGAGCCAACTGAGGGCGGGAGAGGAAGAAGAGAGATGTTTGCACACTGAGATACCAGATGCAGTTGTGTTGATGATGGTTTGAGCTGCAACGAGAGAGAAGGGGAAAGGGAGGGAAGAATCAAGAGGCTGCGGTCGGCGGATGCTGGGCATTTGGCTGCGGGCGGGTTTGGTTGGCAGGGGGCTTTGGGGGGCTTAGGCTATGCTGGATCTTGGTCGGCGGGCTTTGTTCCTGGCGCCCGCCCTTAGACTGCGCCCAGTCAAAGTCATTCTTCAGGAACAGGTAAAGCCTGTCACCCGCTGCCATGGCTCCCCCTGCTTTCTTTCTCTCGCCCCTGGCGCCTCCAATGGCCCGCGCTTCACAACAAAGAAATTGCACTCCACTCTGATCATCGACTAAACAATGACCGAAACCCAGCCTGACCCGCCTCCATTAGCCTTCATCTCTTTCTCAGACAGGCCAGTGTGGAAGACAAAGAACTCCTGAACCTTGTCCGTAAAGAGGCCGACGACGACTAGGACGACGACATTTGCTCAGGGAGCCACGAAGAGATAATTGCATCAAAAGAAGAGCTTGTTCTCCCCTAAGAGAGGTAATTATGAATTAGGAGGCGTGGCCACGCAACTGGTCCTCCTCTTGACCGGTGACAGTCCATATAGAGCGCTTCCACTCCAAGCAGACGGAAGATTGTATGCTCCGTTCAGGCCACGCAATCCCGTTACTGGTGTTATTGCTTGGTATTGCAGATCGGTATCGCGCCAGAGAAACCATGGTGGCTCTCCCAAGTCCTGTGGCTGAGGCTGATACAATGTCCAGGCAAACCGGGCAGCTTCTTCGCTATCATGCTGAAAGAGAGCATTCTTGCAACGGCAGACTTGCTTGCGTCTACAAGCGCCCTCTCCACGGGGAACACAGCAGCGGTCCTGATCAATTTCATGCAGAATTACCAATGACAACGGTCCCCAGATGCTCGTCCTGGTCAATCCTGCCGTGCCACTCTATTATTGTATACCAATGAAAGATGATATGCTCGTCAACAGTCGCCATTCCTTCTGCCTTACAAGAACTTTGGTGGTGCAAGACCAAACATGGCATCATAATGAGTCTGCCGTAGCATCCGGTGATCACCGAGGAGAAAGTCTTCGGACACAAGACTGGAACGACAGGCTGGTTGGCACGGACTGACGACGATCTAGAGCCACACGATCATCGATTCCCTCACTGCCTCGATAAGACGCAGTCAGTTACTGATTCCCTGTGCCATAGCTTCTTTGCGGCCCTCTTGAGCGTACGGGATATTGTGTCACCGTTGATGGGGACCGGCCTGTGTGACCCGAGAATTCAAGCAAACCGCCAGTCTACTGCGTACAATCCCCAGTGACAGGGTTTGCAAGCTCACGGACGGTCACAGACCATGGTTCGAGGCTATCGATTTCATCATAGCTGTCAATGCATTGATTGCGGCCCCCGAGTCGCTCGGTGCGACACCACACCATGCCCAAGTATTTGAAGCACGCGTCTGGCAGCACACGCAACTCTGGACCCCCTAAAATGCTTTTGAGTGCTGATCGAGACCGACAGCGATTTGCTTTGCAGTGGGGGACACAGCTGTTCCCGTTTACAGTACTTACGTGCTGCTCGCGGAGCATGACCTGTTCCAAAACTGTCTTTTCCTCTTTGTCACCAACGCAATGATGGGGAATCCGTACAGTAGTCGTTCAAATCGAACAGTCTTCACCCCTGCGCAAGGTTACCGATTACGAGTCCCCCATGCCACCCTTGAGTCAGTGGCTTTTTCCACACTGGCACCAGCGTACAAAAGTGAGTCGCTGACTGCTTGTTGGCCAGCTGAACGGTGAATACTCCAGGTCGCTGGTGGTCAAGCGAGGCTTTGCATTTCGTCAAAACCCCACAGAAAGGGGGCCAAAGACATCCACCGGCCGCTTCCAGCCATACCTGCAGTGTCATGATTGGCTGCAACACCTGGATCTGATATATCTCAGCGGGACGTCAAGCCTCCGTAGCCCCTGGTCGACGGGCATCAACACCAACCAGCACCCTTCAGGCAGATTGGGGTGACAACCTTAAAGCGACGCGACACCGATCTTCCCATGGGTCCCTTGTCGGACACTGCACGCCATAACCCGACCTGCATGTTTGGTTTCACCATTCCTCACTCCTGCAATTTGAATCTGAAAGGAAAATGCATGCACTTTGGCTCTTTGCAACCCAGCCACGTCGTGCAGGGGGAAACGGCCCCTTTCTTTCCAACAGCGCAAATAACAATGAAAAGGAGACTGGCTGTCCAATCGCCACAGGGGGTCACCGCTACTACCACTTTTAGTCCCTACTGCATGATGACCCGCACCCAAAAATCTTCCGAGCCGCAACTTCTTGATGTTCCATGCAGTGCAGCCTGTGCTTTTTTAGCGGGACTCAATCCGGACGCTTTCTCGGTTCATGATTTTGGTCCTTCGTACCTACCTGGGTTTTGTGCCTTGTCTTGAATGGACTTGCATCCTGGATTCATTGCACCACACAGGCACGACCAGTCTGGACGGGTTCTCAATAATAGCCGCCGCCCACATTCCTCACCTGCGATCAGAACTAACAACAACGATATGGATAACATAATCTTACAGCGGGCCCACCAATAGAACATTAGCAGACCTCTGTGGAGCGGCCCGACAAGGCACGTGCAAATTGGGATCGAGGCTTCCAGAGTCTAGACGACCACTTCTACGCTGTTGCCATGGTTGGAGTACTGCCAGGACTTTGGCCCTAGTAGTAGCACAGAAAGGTATGGTTGGTACAGTTACTTCTGACCATGGCCACGTACTTCACCAATCTTTCCAAGAACGTCGATTGATCCGAAATGAAAATGGCTCTCGCTCCAAAGTAGAGTCTAGTTGGAGATAGAAAGCGACTTGACTCTGAACCGGATCAGCAAGGACATCGCATCGAGATCTGCATGGCGCAACCATCCGCAAAAGCGTCCCGGCGTCGCTATGAACTGCGGGAATTCTCGACCACTTTCTGAAATGGCAGGACTAATCAGCCCACCGGGGTCCATTCAACTGCCCGCCATTCTCATATGGCGGTCCCGTCGTCGACGCTCCGATCGACGGCCTCATGACGCGGCCTGCCATGTGTCCCATAACATGCACCGAAGCTTTTTGGATTAAGGCCCATTGACAATCACAAAGCTGGAACCAGTGACGCGCAGTATGAGTCACAAACCAGCTGCCCATGATTGCTTCGAGAAATTGGGGTCAGGTAGCAAAGTGTGCTTGTCGGCTTTTCGTTATGATTGACCATTCGCTCCCGATCCGGAACGGAACAGGAAGGCTGGACGATCCCCTATAGGAGCATGCCGAGGAGGAGCCGGCCGGTAGGTTGCTGTGAGTCTCTTGCAACGCATCGCCCTTGTGCGCCGGCTGTATTGGTTCATGGCTCCTCGGTCAAGGGTACTGCAGTAGGCTGAAAGAAACAAAATTTGCAAGGTACAGTACTACCCTGATGATCGCTCCTCTAGGTTCCATCTGGACGGACAGCACTTGAGGCAGAGATACAGCTGGGCGAAGTCGCGGACCAAGGCACTTGGTATTGTATACATGACGACTGAAGACCAAGAGCAGCCTCCTTGCTGCTGTGGTGCCGCGCTTGCGGGTTGTCTGGGATGGCTGTCAATAGACTACCATTGTCCTTCGGTTACATGAAATCCTCGAAGCAATTGCTAAGGACTGTGGGTTTCCTCGAGACACGGGACGACATCAACGGCTACCTGCGCTGGCATGTCAACGTTTCTCAATACAGACAATTCGAAAAGAACGAGGAACCTCGTTTGTCACACCCAAGCCCAGGGAAGCTCTCGTCATGGACCATTGATTGAGCGAACCCATGTTGAAGATAGCGAAAAGCTCGCTGAACGCGACGAACGCCAGCCGACGTCATCCTATGCGGCTTTTCGACCAATATGAGACTGTAGCACACGTGAAACTAACCAACATTGACCAGAGTAGACGGCAGCTGTGCCGAAAGTTGTAAACGCCGATTACCTCTCTTGAGAAATGGCGTACCTTGTTCCGCATGCTATTGACGGATGCCACCTTCTGGATGTGCCCCCATCTGATAAGCCAGCGGCTTTCTCCTAACCGCTGACCGACGGAGAGTAAGTGTGAATTCAGCTACCACAAAGGGCGGCAGAGGGCAAGTGTCCAACAAGCTCCTGTTGCCGCAGGATAACTTGGGAGAGACAGTGCCCTCTGCTACGCTTCCCCACGAGCTGCGTCAGCAAGGCAGTTCTGAAAAAATGCTCGCCGTCGGGAAGACAGGTGCTTCGAGGCATGCGCCGTATATTGACCATAAACAGATCGACGAACTTCCTGCTGACGCGTTCGCTTAGTGCCTTGCCCAGCGGTTCCGGCACCGCCTTCCATGCGTAACGCCAGCCAACCTAGTCTGAAACCTCAATGACAGCAACAAACATTGAGGGCAAGGATACCAGAAGTCCCAAGGAGGTGATGGCGGGATTATATGTCGGTACTTGAACATCGCCATTGGCGCTGCTCTCTCGTTCACCGTTTCTTCTCAAAACTAGTGGGTGCAATCGCCAGGACGACGGCCAGACTTGCAATGATCAGTCCGCCGGCAATGAATCCAACAATGAAAATACTTCCACGGCTGGCAGGAAACTTGCCACGGATGATCCAGTGCTGAGCCTCGAAATAGCGATGGAACCCGATGAACAAGACAATGATAGATATACCCAGGAACGTAGCCCCCAGAGGCTTGCCGACATGTCTCAGCTTCGTGGCCGTATTCTCGTCCAAAGCCGTACCAGACACCTCATCCCGTTTCAGGAATTGGGTCCCATCAGCGTTGGGAGCTGGTAGCAGGAGTAGCTGGTCTAGCAATGTAGGCCCAAGGGAAGGAGTTGCGGAGGCAGCAGACCCGGCAAGCTGCTGTAGGTACGGCACCAAGTCCGCAGGGATCGACTGTCCCACGAAGGGTGACAAAGGGATCTGGCTCCGGGCTGTGGTGACGCTGGACGATACCTCCGATCGACTGGCAATGGTGGTGTTGAGCCGGAACAGCTGCGTGATGGCAATCCCAATGCTAGCGAAGGCCAGGCTGGTACGCAGCCAGGCCAGGAATGTCCGCTCCAATGCCAAATGATCTCTTGCGACTGAACCCTTGTTTTCTAAAGATACAGAGCCATACTTCTCGGCAAACCTCTTGAGCCAGGAATCCTTCTGTTCCTTCTTCGTTGCAGACGTCGGCTCACGTTCTGGGTCAGGGCTAGCTGTCGGTGGCCGGCTGGAAGAAGCGGATGAAACGTCTGCTGTCTGGTATCGACGGTCGGAATTTCCGTCTGCTCCACGTATTGGGGTGATTTCGTCCGAGTTGCTGGGAGTCCGGCGGTAGTTGGACATTGGATTCTGCGAGTGAGTCTTGGTGCCCTCGGAGAATCGTATACTGGGCACTCTGCTCAAGTTATTGTTTTGGAGAGAGAAGTCGGTTGAAGGTCTGGTTGCCGCGGACTCAGAGGAGAGAGTAGATTGGGTTTCAGGCGCAACATGGTGCTCTTCTTGTTCATGCGAGGGCATAGCTAAAGTACATATTCTCCCAGCAAACTATCTTGAGTCCGGTCGGGACCTGGATGATGCGATTTTTGCAGAGAGGGGCCAATTAGGCTCTGGTCCACAGATCTTTCGCAGTCGATCAACGACGGCTTGACGCCATCTAGGTTCTCAAGGTGGAAGGATAATGTAAGGTATCGACTGGATGCTGCCGGAGGCGGTCTAGCGGTGCCAGTGGGATTGGGCGGCACGCGTTTGAACCACCGAGGCGTGGACCGTGGAGATCTAGGCGAGGCGGCGGCGGGGGTGTAAGTGATGCCTAAGAAACGAATAATGAGCTGTATTGTAGATTGTTCATAAACCCAAGGAATGGCGTGATTTGAGATGCAACTCGTACAGTTTGATCGTGTGCAAGATCGATCGACGTTTCGGCTTTGGTTTGTTTAGCTGCATCATTCAGGTTGGAGTTTGCGGGGACTGGCGCTGGGCGCCCTTGGATGCCCACTCCGAGTAGCAGACGGGAAGTGTGGTTGACCGCCAGGCTGTGACCTCACCGCGGGGATGGCACGGCCGGTTAAAAACAGTGGACGTTCAGGTGCCAAAAACTGTCCACGGGCGACAGAACTACCGCCTAAGCGCCACAGCTTGAACCGCCATGGCCTGTGAGGCATCCCTAGCCCTGCACTGGCAGGTGCTGGTACTTCCGGAGCACCGGTATAGGCCGATAAGCCGTTAGTAAGCCTGTCAATCGGCCACTCGGAGTTGGCTGCGCCCGCCACAGGTGCCGTGATCTCATGCTGGTTTTTGCTGGCCGGGGATAGAGATTCACCAACGTGCCTCAGTATGCTTTGAAACTGTACGTCAGTGGAATCAATCACTGCATTACAAGGACCATGGCTTCTCAAGGCAGTGGAACAAATGGTTCGCAATCCTCATCTTCACCCAGCACCGAGAAGCCTCTCGCAATCCCCAAATTGATACCTCGTTCTCAGCGGAAGTCTTCCACTCCGTCAACACCATCATCGGAACCCGCTCCTCAAACACCTCCCTTACCAGATCCGCCTCAACCAGGGTCTATACAATTCACCACCCCTGTGAAGCGGATATTGTCTCCCTCCGATCACGAAAAGTTCTTGAAATCCTCAACGTATACTTTGATCCAAGCATGGATATTCACGTTGTCAGACTGTGTACGAGGGCGACCCATTTCGGCCGTCGACGACCAGCATTTGTCCGATCGCATCCGACGCCTAGATGCCGTGCTCAATATTATTGAGGATCTCATTGACCAATTCCCTCCTCTTGATACGGGGTCGCGATTTGGGAACCCGGCCTTCCGAAGTCTGCACAAAGCGATCGTTCGAGGCGTTGAGAAGATACACAGGGAAGCGCTTGGGCTAGACGATGAAAAAGCTATTCAAGAGGTCTCGGTCTACTTCATCAACTCGTTCGGCTCAGAGGAACGGCTTGATTACGGTTCGGGCCATGAGTTGAATTTCATGATGTGGCTGCTATGTCTTTACCAACTGCGGCACATTCATCGCGAAGATTTTCTGGCCCTGGTCTTACACACCTTCATGCGATATCTCCACTTGATGAGGAGGATTCAGAGTACATACTACCTCGAGCCGGCTGGCAGTCATGGCGTATGGGGGCTAGATGACTATCACTTCTTGCCGTTCTTGTTTGGGGCAAGTCAGTTGATTGGACACCCGTACATCACACCGAAATCCATTCACAACAATGTCATTCTGGACGAGGAAGGGGACAAATACATCTATCTCAACCAGGTTCGGTGGGTGGACAGTGTCAAGACAGTCAAGGGCCTGCGGTGGCACAGCCCCATGCTGGACGATATCTCGGGCGCAAAGAATTGGCAGAAGATTGAGGACGGCATGAGGAAGATGTTTGTCAAAGAAGTCCTCGGCAAACTGCCCATCATGCAACACTTTCTCTTTGGGAGTCTCATTCCTGGAACCGCAGACATGGGCCAACTGGATCCCGAAACCGTCCGCCTCCAAGCGGAAAGAATGCAGCATGTCAAGGAGTACGGTCACGAACCTGACTATTGGGGTGACTGCTGCGGCATCAAAGTCCCGAGTACGGTTGCAGCCGGCGAAGAAATGCGAAAGCGAATGGGCACGTCAGGCGCACTACGCCCGATACCGTTCGACTAGAACGCAGCAGTTGATTGTAGGAACCACGGTCTGCCAATGTATCGATCTGTCAGTGCACGAGAACGTGCTGTCCCGATCCCAGATTATGTTATTGTACTAGTACTAGCAGTACTAGTAATAATACGTGGTGGTAGCTGATTCAATCGATCGAGGGGCGGTGCTGCGGGACTCGTTGCCTTGACCTGCACTGCAGTTGCATCGCCGGGGGAAGCACCGACACAGGCCGCTGGCAACTTGAACCTGTGCATCGCCACGGACTTCAAGTTGAAGCCGCCGATATGGGCTGGGCCAATGGACCAATCACAGATTGCGAAGGGTGGTCAGGAAAGGCAACCTCAACCACTGCCCTCCAGGACAAGCGCAGGCGGCGAGGCTGATGGTCGGCACTTGAAGCTTCAACACTTGAAGCACACTACAACTATTTACTAGCTACTGACAGACGGAGCGATACTAGTACTGTATGCAGGCTTGTTTTCGGTGTCTGTGGTAGATGCAATGGTCAGATCTGCCTTGCACTTCTGCCTTGGGGGCTCCAAGCTTCTGAACAGCGAATCCATGCCCGTCTTGACCCGAGGCGATCATCACCATCCCCAAATCAAGCGTGGTCTGAGTGCAGTAGCATGCATTTGAGGTTCGACAACACGTTGTCCAGTTGACGCTGTTCGGCTGTTAGTAGCAGATCTAGCATGAGGTAGGTAAAAAGCAGAGCCGAGGAAGAGGAGCTGTCGGCGACAGAAGTACAGCGTGACCTGAATCCTCCACGGGTGTGAATACCGTCAATGATGTGCTCCGGGTGCGTTTCTATACCTATCCTGTGCCCCTCCACTGCGTGAACATCTGTCTCTCTCCTGTCGTCGTCTTCATTGTTTAGCACCTACACCTCGAGGCAAGCACACAACACTGCACGAACCCAACGACTGGCGTGACTGGCACATCTACTCGTGTCCGGAGTCTGGTTCGTGTAAAGTTCACCGCGAACCCCACAGCCAGTCTTCAGCGTCTCTTGATCTCACTCTCTCGCGCCCTCGTTCCGTTGATAACTTCCTCCTGCAACACTAAGCATCCAGCGAGGCAGAGCCCAGTCGATCTGTTTGTGGCTTTCGCCGGAGTAGGTCACCTGGCTCGCTTCACTGGCTCGCTTCACTGGCTCGCTTCACTGGCTCGCTTCACTGGCTCGCTTCAGTCTCACTTCACTCAAAGGTCACAACACCTGCAGTCCAAGTCAATCTTGCGACCTCTTCGTTTCTTCCTCTTTTCCTCCAACCGCGGTCTGCCTACCTGGACAATCCCTTATCCTCTCCTCTGCCCCTCCACAGCACAACACACCTACAGTCTTGTGCCTGTCTTCACAGTCCTTTTCGGTATTCGTGTCGACCGATTCTCTCGCCTTCCGGAGCATTCAAACTCTCCCTGATGGCTAAGATGGTCAAGATGGGCAAGCGGGGCAAGATGGCTGAAGCAACAGACTCCATTAGGCCCTTCAACCCTGAAGATGTGCTCAAGGCACCGATAATCTACGTTAATGATCCGGCTGACTCCATGCCTCATGCTCACTATTTGGCTGACATGATCCCGGTCTCGACCACTGTCTACCTGACCAATCCCGACATTCCCGAGGGCTGTGGCTTTAAGAGCTGCGACCTAGTGGCTTCCTACATCCGCAATGGCGCCTTCACTCACAGTGTGGCCGTGATCATCGATAAGTTGTCAGATGGAGAGACCAAGTACAAGATCGACAACGCAACAGTTCTACGCCAGGAGGCGATCAAGAACAGTACCAATTTCGTCAGCGTCAACCTCTTCTACGACGAGCGTACTCCGGCCGACGACTTTTCCAAATGGGGTACCAACCATATCGAAATGCGAATTGGCAAGCACAGCGTGGCAGAAGTCGCCGAGCGTATCTTTCGAACTCTCTGTATGTGTCCATGACCTGTTACGGATCTCCTTTCTTTTCGCGCCTTTTTTTGCAATTGGGATGAAAGCTGACTCGTTTCCACCCACAAGTCAAACTATTCAGTGTCAAAGAGACGTTGCATCTGATCCCGGAGAGTGAGATGTTGGCCATCGACACAGACAACTACGGGGAGTACAAGTACTGTCCGGTCGGCGATAGCAGTAAGCCGCAGCCGAACGAGAAGGTTCAGTTCGTCGTTCTGGTCCTCACGAAGCCTGTCGTGACGCCAGATCAAAAACTCACATGGACTGTTGTGGACAGAACCGGTATTGTAAGTTTATGTCTTTCCCGATTTGTTTGGTTTTGGACTGCTGCCTCCTTTGTATCGATCTGAAAGCGAAAGAGTTTCTTCCCTTTCATACCCCGAGTGACTTTTCAGGGTCAACCAGACTAATGGACATGTATCTGATTGTTTACTTTAGGCCAATTTCTATTTCCAATACCGAGGTGAATCCTCTCAAGCAACTTGGGACTGGGTTCTTACCTTCAAGCCCGGTGAGCGCCGGATCCTGCCGCGCATGGAGATGGTCGAGGTCAAGGAACGGAAGACCGTGCGGGTTGTCAAAGCACCTTTCCGCGTTGTGGGAACTGTGGTTTCAACCACTGGTCTCACGCTTCGCCAGATCGGCCATGGTGTCGCGAAACTCGGCGAGCTGACCAAGCTGGGCAAGAGTTCGAAGTGGGTGGCAAAACAAGACCTCGTCAATGGCAAGAAGGTCAACTGGACCGATGTGTTCAAGAAGGAAGGTCAGCTCAAGGACGCACAATTGGACGAGGCTATCAGGAATGCCAATGCCGCTGCTGTCAAGAAAACGCCCGTCCAGATCTTCAACAAGACAGGTCAGAAGATTTGGGAAGACACGGACAGTGTGGCTAGCACGGCTGCGCTGAGCGATGAGGACAGAGATGACTTTGTCTGTGTCTTTGACGATGAGAAGCCCAAGGAGTTTTGCTGAGTGAATTGGACTGGACAGCTTGGTGTTCGTTGCCGTTAATGTCACATTCTGCAAAAGACACTGCATTGATGGCGGCTCATCCGGCTTCGTTTCACACCATGGTTGAGGGGCTGGCATTGCGTCCGTGATTCTCGTTCACACTTTTAAAGAACGCCAGGCTTGGACATTGGGACTAGGCACAGCTATGGAGCGACGGCAAGGATTTGTTGCCAGTCTGTGATCAGTCATATTCTATGCCTCGCGGTGATGAACGATGACGAATGAGTTAGGCTTGTGACAGCTGGAAATAAACATCAGGCCATGAGTGTACGATACATAAGAGAGCAGAGACAGGTTTGCGAATTCGTTAGCTAGGGAGTAGGGTGCACAATCGGTCTTTTGTGATCACCATTCCCAGCCAGAGAACTGCGTTCAATGGTTATGTATCACTCGCTCTTCGATCTCCTACAACTACATTACTCATGGCAATGGAACCTAAAAGATACGGATCTGAGTGCGAAGGGCAGGTCGATGTGGACTTCGGGGTGTCTTTCATTTTCTCTATCTCGACCTCGTCCCACTGATGCTTCATGAAGCTCATTTCACGCACTATTCAAAGACACATTCCCATGGCCGGGCAACGATCAAGTACATCCCTTCGCCTCTAGCACAGGGCTTTCCCTCAACCGGTGAATCCCAGTCGAGTATCTTTCCCTCATGAGTGCCATTTGACTTTTGACCATGTGAACGGGGGTATTCGGATGAAAATCGCAAGAGGGGTAGTGAGTGGTAGTTGGAGGTTTGTGGCTTTTCTTGAGATTTTTTTTTCTTTTTGGACTGCTTGACTTTTTGGAGTAGCATGCTATGCTGAAAAAGAGGTCAAAGAGACCACATTTCCCGTCACCACCACGTAGAGGAGCCAACTACTCTCAAAAAGTCATTACTCTTTAGCTCAGAGCAGTGCATTCCAGCGATTTCTCTTTTTACCAGCCGGCGGCGGGTGCAGGGGCAGCAGCGGCAGCGGTAGCGGTAGCCTCTTGAGCCCAGTCACCACCAGTGCCCGGGTCGTTCCAGGTGGCATCGGCTTGAGGAGCACCCTCAATGCCTGGGGCAGTGCCAGACTCGCCAGCCCAGTCGGCGTTGTCAGTGAAACCGCGGTCAACGGCACCAGGGCCAGCCTCATCGGCACCTGGCAGCTTCTCCTCCTCCTTTTGCTCCTCGGCCTCAGGGTCGCGGTAGAAGTAGAGATCGACGACGACGTCCCAGTCAATCTCGCGGTTGGCAAGGGTGCCTCGCAGACGCAGGACCTCACGAGCCAACATCCACCAAATCAGACCAATGGCATGACGACCCTTGTTGTTGGTCGGGATGGCAACATCGACAAACTCGGTCGGGGAATCGGTGTCGCACAGAGCAATGACGGGGATGTTGACGTAGGAAGCTTCCTTGATGGCTTGAGCATCGGTGCGGGGGTCGGTCACGATGATCAGACGCGGCTCCTTGAACGAGCGGGTGATGTAGTTGGTGAAGTTACCCGGGGTGAATCGACCGGCAATGGCGACGGCTCCGGTGTGCGAGGCGAACTTGAGAACTGCACGCTGGCCGTACGGACGGGCAGAGATGACACAGATGTCGGCTGGGTTGTCAATGGCGACAATGATACGGGCCGCGAGGACAATCTTCTCCCTGCGCAAAAAACGTCAGTACTTTTTCCACGGTCTGCTCGTTTTGCCAGCCGCTTCGCTTTTCGGGACTTTTGTGCCGATCGGCGAGGCGAGCTGGTCTTTTCGGACAACTCATACCAGGTCTTGGAGATGTTGATGACATTGATGCCATCGGGACGAGTCTTCCACAGGTATGGCTCCATGTGAACCTGCAAGTTCTTGGATCCCAAGTGACATTGAGCCGCCAGGAGCATCTCAACGTCCTGCGACGTAGGGTTGAAGATAGAGGGGAGGTTTGCTGGGCTCGCCATGTTTGCGACCGTGGATTGTAAGTGAGGCCGAAGGGCGAGTTGTAGACTTGAAGCGGGCTTGAGAGAGGTGAGATCGAGGTTCTTGAGCAGGTCGCGGTGTTGAAGACGATCAAATCGTAGGGCCTCTTCAAAAGTGGAAGTTAGGGCTTGCCAAGATTTTGTTCAATTAAGTGGCCATTCCGGGTTAGTGTGGTTTCGGAGCCGGAGCTACTTTTCCGCGAGACTATGGGTCCTGCAATTGAAGTTTGGAGGCAAGCACTCCATGCATCCTCAGTGAGACAGACGTTCTACTTGAAGTTGTGACCCGGGCTTCAAAGAGAGGGTTCTCCTCCTCCACTGGCATTGCACGACTTGAAGCATCAACAATGCCTCCACGCGTGCCCTCGGCCGTGGCGAGCAGTGTCTTCAATTGTACGTCGAGTAAATCTTGGTTACGGTATCTGGCTAACATTCGCGCAGTGACCAGTCTCCTCCAAAGCTTGCCGTCCGCCGTACGGAATCAAGCCTTCACGAAATGCTCGACATGTTTGTTCTCGACGACACCGGCCTTAGAGGCTAAACGGTCTACTCGAAAGCGCAAAGCACGGCGACATATCGACCCCTACCGCTTGGCCCAAGCCCGACAGCGCAAAGCCGCGAATCTAGCGCGGCAGAAAGTGCTAAATGCTGAGCGCAAACTCGCACTGGGCGACCCGGTCCGGTCACGACCGACACCTTTTATCGAATCTCTACACTCGAGCACTCCTTTGGAGGCCGTCAAGAAGTCGTATTTGAACTATTTGCTGAAGCAGGAAGATCTGGAGAAATCGGTCGAATATTCAAGGTGGTTGACCGAACCGCTGCCGGAATCAAACCAAGTCCCTGGAGCCAACGACAACCTCGAACAAAAGATCCAGGAGCATGCCGCCTCGCATGAGAATGCGTCCAAGGCCCTGCTCGCCATTACTTCATTGGTTAGTGGAAGCAGTAAAGACCGAACTCGAGTAAACATTCAGAGATGCATCGAAGAGTTTGGCCGCCACAATACCGACAAAGTTCTCCCTCCGAGGCTACAGAGCAAGCAAGCTCCCCCAGCATCTTCTGAAGAGGCCGGAGCTGCTGTCGTTGTTCCGAAACGGGTGGGACAGGATACTGGGTCCCCCGAGGTCCAAATTGCTATTCTGACCGCTAAGATCAATGTCCTAGCAGACAATCTGCACAAGAAAGATAAAAGCAACAAGCGCCATCTACGGCTCATGGTGCACCGAAGGCAGAAGTTGATGGCTTATCTGCGGCGCCAGGATCGGGGCGGACCAAGGTGGCAGAACATTGTGGATAAGCTTGGGCTCAACGATGCCATGTGGAAAGGGGAGATCAGCCTCTGATCTAGTACGGCATGAGCACCACTATTGTACATTTATGCAGCGGTTTTGTTGTCGAGGGGACAGTCTTGTGATATCTAATGTGTGGGCTGTATCTTTTCAAATATCGCCATGGCGCTCTTGAGATCGAAAACACAGCAGCCTTCACGATATTTACACCTGGTTCCACGAAGTCTCGGAGTAAAATGTTCGGCCACATTAACTCGTATATATCGCGCGGGCATGATGTAGTCGTCCAACCATGTTTGCAGACTCGCCCCCGACCCGTAAGTCTTACTGACGCGATACGGCTCCGGGCCGGTCACCCTTGTAGAATCAACGCATTGGCTAAACGAGGCCACTCCTACCACAAGTTTTGTGAGTATAAGATAGAAACCAACGCAATTTTCAAAAGTGGTAAGGAGCATCACTTCGTGTTACTCCACCTTTAGCCGTTTCAAGGCCTCTGCGGAGAAAGGCTGAACGACCGAGGGGTTACGGGTTATATTCATCGAGAGGAGATCTTGCATACCAGGTAAACCTTAAGTTGAGCACCTCGGTTACACCAGACTATCGGAGCATGGTATATTGGGAGACCCTTCTCTGCTGGTGATCCGTCGTGTAAGTATAACAGGACTTCAACTTAAACACATTTATTACTCTACGACGCATGTGTTAGAGCCCAGGCTAAAAGCGCGTTTGACGGAAGACCTTGATATACGATAGTAGTGGTGAAGCACTTCGATCTCCTCCTGATATGGCGTCGGTCAATCAGATGGGCGAGGGTACCTTGCCCACAGTCTCCGAGCTTTTCTCCTTGCAGGGCAAGACGGCAATCTGTACCGGAGGGACGGGAGGGCTAGGTTTGTCAATGGCGATTGCTCTGGCGGAGGCCGGGGCCGATATTGTGTCGATTCAGATGAAAGAGGATCCGAGAGCACATTTGCTTGAGGAAGGCGTCGAGGCCTGTGGGCGGAAGCTGTCGGTATTTGAGGCCGATGTTGCGGATTCAGCCGGCTTAAGAGCTTGCTTTGCAAAGATTTGGGCCAGTGGCGTCGTGCCCGATATCTTATTAAACTGTGCCGGCATCAACAGACGAGCCCATGCGGAGGATTTCACGGACGAGGACATAGATGCGGTAGGTATAAAACAAACACCGAATTGCAAGGGTCCTCGCTGACGAGGTTGGGCCCCAGATTTTCCAAATCAACCTCAAGGCATCGTTCGTGGCAGCCCAAGAAATGGGTCGAAAGCTGCTCGAGCTGAAACGGCCAGGCAAGATCATCAACATTGCCTCCATCATCTCGTTTATCGGCAATATCAACATTGCCGCGTACGCGTGCACAAAAGGCGGCGTGTTGCAGATGACAAAGGCAATGAGTAACGAGTGGGCCTCCAAGGGCATCAATGTCAACTGTATTTGTCCGGGGTGAGTTCCAAACCAAGGAAGATCGGCTTTAGCCCCGTTCTCCTCTTGTCTTGGTGCAGTCGAGAAAGCTAACTGACTGCTCTGTTTCCATGTGCCACAGATATATCAAGACAGCAATGACCAAGGTCTACACGGACGACCCGGAATATACCAAGTATATCATTGGCAGAACACCGGCTGGTCGGTGGGGATTACCTGAAGACTTCCGCGGGGCCATCATCTTCCTGGCAAGCAAGGCCAGTGACTTTGTGTGTGGCACAAGCATAGTGGTGGATGGAGGAATGATTGCAAAATAAAGAGATATTCGGGCCTTAACTTTGCGGACCGTGCTGTGACAACATCTCCTGGTCTTATAATGGCGTCCTTTGGCCGACCATCATCTCTCCGCCATCTGGGATAGCTATTGGTGTATTGCTTGTTTAAAGCGCGGTGGAACTGTCTGGGTACTCACCTGGATGGCAGAAATCTGAACTTGTGCTGAGTAAACTGCCTTGATATGCCGCATTGGAATGTCTAATTCACGGTGGCCGTGGCAGCCCTCAGTATGGTACCCCACTATCCCTTCTACATTGCCAGCGGTGTACCAGTAGCCGATTCCACATATGAAATTGTAGAGATCAAGTTGAGGGTAGAGATGGCGAACTTGGATACAGTTACGCGCATTGTTTGGCGCACATAGCAAAAGGCTCCACTGCGATCCTCCGTTTTTGCTTCGTTGTAGGTCTTGTGCGTGCCCGAAGAGAAATCTTCAGCCTTGCCGACAACTATTAGTTCGAAACCCACAGCAATGTTCAAGTTATCGGTCGGTCGTTCTGCTCTTCCACAACAGCCATCAGAAGCATCGGCCTCGGTTATGCCAAGGGCAGATGGCGCGGTTCGAATCAATCAAAGCACCTTCAATGACAATCATACTGATCCGAATGGATTGGGCATGTCTCCACGGCTCTTACGCTCGCAGCACTCCCACCGCGAGCTGATGACGCGGCACCACTGTCCTATCCTAGCAACATGACCGAGGGTCACAAATTCGAAATGGCCCCTATTCGATTGGTGCTGGGGAAACCTACTGCTCCATTGCTGTGATCGTCCACCAGCCGCGCAATGGGATCCATAACACGCGTCTAGTGAGTTAGATGCTTGTCGCCATTTTGAAGCAAAGACGTCGGCGACATGCCACAAACAATCGAACCCCACAACTGCTGCCACTGAAGACGAATCTGAGTATAGAGGCCAAGACTTCTTGTCTCAACGCTTGTAAGCATATTCAAGGTTTGTTTGGCAATATCCGGCCTGCGTGACGGAAGCGGTCCAAGCCACTTACCGCAATTAGAAGACAGTATGAGAAGCACTCCTGTCGTCAGCTTGGGGGGCGGCGGAGGAATGTGGGTAAGCTGGCACTACGAACACAGCGCAGACCATGGTAAGTTGGGAATATACGGGAAGATCCAACGTGGGTTAGATCTACGAAGGACCGTTCCAGGGGGTGTATATAAGGCGAGGTAGGTTGGAGCTTCTTAGCTGTCGGTCAGTACAAGTCTTGAGCATCGCCTCTACACACGAAACCCCCCAAGCTGTTCTCCTCTTCACAATGGTCCGCCTCGGAAACGTCTTCACCACCGCATTACTTGCCGGCTCAACGGTCCTGGCTCATCCAGGGCACGATGTTGCTGAAGAGGCTGCTGAACGTGCCGATTTTTTCAAGCGTAACCCAAAGACCTTACGCTCTTGCGCAGAGAAATTGAAAGCCCGAGGGCATGAATCTGCCAGTATTGCTCGCCGCCAGGCGTTGGCTGATCATCTACGCGTCAAAAGAGGCCTTGCTGCGAAGCCCCTGATCCACCGTCGGGACTTCAGCTCTTACAATCACACACACCTTTCAACAAATGCGTCCATTTCCTTGGACATGGACGAGGCCACTCTGTTCGCGGATAATTCCTCGTGCACGCTCCAAACCGATGTCACGCAAGGCCCATATTATGTCAATGGAGAATTGATCCGCAAGAATCTGGTGGATGATGAGCCAGGCGTGCCATTGACACTAGACATCCAAATTATCGATACCTCAACTTGCGAGCCTGTTCCGGCACTATATATGGACCTGTGGCATGCCAATTCCACCGGAGTTTACAGCGGTGTCGTTGCCAATGGAAATGGGAACAGTAACGATACTACAAATCTCAACAATACTGCGTTGAGAGGTATCCAAGAAACCGACAGCAATGGTGTTGTGCAGTTCGAGACGGTGTTCCCAGGTCACTATAGCGGTATGAGTGGCCTTATCTTGAGGGCCAAATATCCAAGCTGACATTCTCTCTTGCAGGTCGCGCCACCCACATCCACTTGCTCACTCATAATCCCAACTCCACAACTGTCCGTGTTAACGGGACTCTGCTCAACGCGAATACCTCGGCTGAGGTCCACGCTTCGCACGTCGGACAGCTGTTCTTCGATCAGGACCTTATCTCGCTGATCGACACCGTTGAGCCTTATAGTTCCAACACTCAAGAAATCACCTTGAACTCGGACGACAGTATACTTAACCAGGAAGCAGATACCACGGACCCCTTTGTCGAATATGTTCTGTTGGGTGACACTGTGGAAGAGGGGATTCTGGCGTGGGTCAGCATTGGCATCGATCCTACTGAGGACCAAGAAGTCAACTATGCTGCAACACATTACAAGGACGGTGGTGTTTCCAATGACAATGCTGAGGGAGGAATGGGAGGCGGCAGTCCGCCCAGTGGCACCGCGGCAGGGTCTGGTGCGCCTCCTGCCGGAACAATGTCCGCAATGGAATCGACCGGGTCCAGTGCCTGACTTGGTTCAGCCTGAGTCCACGGAGAAGCATTCAGTGGCTGTGGCTTTTACTTCGAGTCAATGGGAAGACGACCTCGCCGATAGGGATCGAACCGTTGGTCAATATCTGTGCAATGGTTGACTTCTCATAACGGCATATAGTACCTCAAGGCCGAGCGCGGACAAAATAAGAGCATTGGATAGTCGCATTCTTCTTTATTCTAGTCGCTCGGTTCAGCCTTGCCCCGCAAAACGAAATTTCAGTACTGACCATGGGGATGCCACCATTCATCCTTGGGTAGTATTAGATCCTTCAAGGCAAAAACTAGGTGCATCATCCAGTGAGTTAATATCACTTATGGTAGCAAATAGGGGTTCCGATAGACAATGACAGACGTACGTCGTTACCCACCATCGTTGCTTATGTAAGCCATTTGTCCCTCGGCTCAACTGTCAACTTGTTCCACGAAGCGCAGCGGGACGTTGAAATGCATGGCGCCCTGACGTACTGTACGACTTTCTTTGTCACAACCTGCAATGGCGGCGCTGAACATGCCCCTGCTATCACAGCTTGAGACGCCATGCTAGAATTTCGCACCCAGGGCTTCCAAGGCTATGCGGTCAAATACTCGCCATTCTTCGACAACCGAATAGCCGTCGCGGCATCGGCAAACTATGGGTTGGTGGGAAATGGACGTCTCTACGTGTTGGAGTTGACACCGCAAGGAATCCAGCCGCTGAAAAGGTATGGACAGAACTAATGATGGCAATCGCAGAGCTGACCGGGCCAATTCAGTTATCCCACACAGGACGCCCTCTACGATGTAACACACTCGGAGGCGCATTCTTTCCACGTCCTCACGTCGTCCGGAGACGGCTCATTACGACTTTACGACACCTCGTTGGCACCCGAGTTCCCCATCGCCACGTTCCAAGAACACTCGCGCGAAGCATTCTCATGCAGCTGGAATTTGACGTCCAAGGCGACTTTTGCGTCCTCGTCGTGGGATGGGACGGTCAAGATATGGAATCCCGAACGACAGCAGAGCCTCTTGACATTGCCGACACATTCATGTACCTACAGTGCGCAGTGGAGTCCACATACGGACGGGATGCTTAGCGCGGTGTGTTCGGATAGCCATTTGCGCGTTTGGGATCTGAGAACGCCCGCCAGCGCAAGCAATCATCTGACATTGCAAATCCCCATCCACGCGGCACCTCTGTCGGTCGGCGTGGGGAAACTGCAACCTACTTTCCCACCAGCAGAGGCGTTGACGCATGACTGGAACAAGTATCGACCCACCATCATAGCGACGGCGGGCGTGGACCGGATCATTCGCACGTTCGACCTACGGCAGCCAAAGGGGCCGTTGCAGATGCTACAGGGTCACGGATATGCCGTGCGCAAAGTCGCCTGGAGCCCTCATCTGCCAGATTTACTGCTGAGCGCCAGTTACGACATGACCTGTCGGGTGTGGACAGACGGTGGTGAACAAGGCGGACCGGCCAGAGAGCTTGGGAGCATGGGGCGACATACCGAGTTTGCTACCGGGGTGGATTGGTGTCTGTTTGGCAGTGAGGGCTGGGCCGCCAGTTGCGGCTGGGATGAACGGGTGTGCGTGTGGGATGTACGAGCCTTCATGCGTCCGTGAATTGAAACATAGATGATTAGCATGTTGTTATATGCGTCCTGAGTCGATTCGAGCGCTTCGTTGGATTTTTGGCTCTTAGAAACCCGGGTACTAGTACTGGATAGATGGCTCTGCAGTGGAACTGGGCTTTACAGGGCGCTCATGGGAGGGGACAGGACATATCCCAGCGAGGCGACACCAGGATGACAGATTTTCTCAAGCCTGAGGAGCATGACAAGGCAAGGCAGACCTGCAACTGCTTTAATTTCCATGTTGCACGACGTCGTCGAGACGAGGGTGTTTCCTGGCGTAGATTGCACGAGTCGTCTGTGAACCAATCAGGCTGCTTATCTGGCCAGTCGCAAGAAAGTGGACCTGATACCTGACCCTTGAACAACACTTCTTCAGCGTGTCTGTCGCTCATATACACCACATGGCCATTTGATAGGCTAAAGTACCAAATGGCTCGAGTTCCACGGTGCACGACGTGTACTTTCGCTTACAGAGAGCTCTCACAAATGTATGATCCCGCAATATCACCTGGAGAAGAATATCCTCCGAGAGGCAAACCAGTTAGGACCAGCGCTCTTGATGCCTTGCTACCTCAACCCCTCCTACAGCAATAAATGGGCCAGGTAGATGAGTTTCTGGCCTGGACCCTCTCGCCCTGTTTGCTGCTCAAAGGTAGGTGGAGTCGATGAAAGCCGTGTGACCCGTCAAGGCAATCCCGAGCCCGATGGACTCAAAGGGCTGGTATTGATAAAAGAGCTGGCCCATTCCTTTCTCTTCTCAAGAGTGTTTATTACAGCTCGGGAAAAACGGTGAAGAAATCTTTGAGCAGCGATACCAAACTTTCCAGGGAAAGGATCGTTTTATTGCACCCTTGAGTGTGGACAGTCCAATTTGAGACACATCGTCGCCGACCTCCAGTGCCCAACCTTTGGGTAAGCCCAGGAAGGAAAAGTAGAAGATGCATCTTCTCCAGGTAAGCATCCTACAAAACTCCTCTCACACCGAGCCGAGACCGCTGTCCAGATATCTGTATCTAACATTGTAACTCTTTCACCAAAAAGATCCTAACCAGATCCACATTCATCTTGACCCTTTTCGCCCCTATCATTCTCGCCCTACCCCCGAGCAATATACACCGAGGGTTTCCATTATCAGTCCCCTTACCATACCAGATATCTTCGCCTTCGCCACCTCACACCCATCTGGTCACAAGAAGAAATCCAAGCACAAGCAGCTGCGCCGAAACATGCGGCACAACCTGCTACTACCAAACCACGATTGACACCGCCGTCGCCGAAGGCTACTCGCTCTACCAGTCAGGCCAGACCGAAGGGTCCGACAAGTATCCGCACGAATACAACGACTATGAGGGCTTCAGCTTCGCCGTGCCAGGACCGTACTATGAGTTCCCGATCTTGAGGACTTTCAAGGCCTACGAAGGTGGAAGTCCGGGTGCGGATAGGGTCGTTTTTAATACGGATGGGGAATTGGCGGGGGTTATTACGCATACGGGGGCCGGGGGGAATGATTTTGTCGAGTGTGTGGCTGGGAAGTAGGGGTGGGAAATGGTGGGATGGTGATGGATCTAGGGATCTACTGTCTTGTCTCTACTTTGGTAGGGTATCTATAGTATATGCATAGGTACTTGGTGTTCACAAGATGGATGAGCAGATGTTGAGAGGTTCGCGGCACTTATTCCAAGTATTCAATTACTAGGTATGTTCGTAAGATGCATACTATACGGTCTCCGTGCCATGCTCTGCCTGCTAAAGCCGGCCCCCGCAAAGTGCGCCGTGGTCCCAGAATATCTTCCCAAGGCTGCGTGAGGACTCGGTCTCACAGAAGTTTGCTCAGTAACAAGACAAGTAAGTTGTCCTCAAGATGCCGGCTTTGTCTGCCATGTCGACGATCTGCTCGTGGCTATGCATCCATCTTCCGAGCAAGCCAAAGCAGGTATTTCCGCTGCAACTTCATGGTGTCAACAACCAAGATGATTCTTCACCGACCATTGCCATCGTTCAAACACTTTTACTGTCTTGCTGAAGACGAGTCAAGACATTGGGACCAGCCAAGCAAACATGTCCATTCACCTTCACCCTTTTTGTCTTGTCCTATAGCAGACAAGGTGAGGCTGCAACTGCGGCTTCAAGCATCAAGGCCACCCTAACCCATTGGATTTCAAGTCCAGTGCCACAACGACTTTATACAATTTATTTCTCAGCCAACCTCTTCTCGACGCCTTCTCGGACCTTCTTCCTGACCTCGGCCAACTCCTCCTTGGAAGCATCGTATCTGACATTTCCAGTCTGATTGAAAGGGTTTTCATCGCTCTTCTCAAACTCCTTGCGCACAATCTCAATGCGCTGGTTTTTCCGCAGACCGGGATGTTCCTTCTCAATCTCCGGCAACCTCCGTTCTTCATAGGCCTTGTACGCAGCCTTGAACCGCCTTTCCGGGTGCCTGTCCAATTTCATATCATTTGCGCTGCCAGTCGTCAGGCTGAGTGCATCCAATGCATTATCAATACCGGAGGCACTGATGGCTTTGTCCTTTGCACTCGGCTCGCCATCGAGTTGGCCCAGGTCCAGAGTGCCGGTGCGTGTCTTCTTCTCGGCCGTCTTCTTGTTGGCACCCTTGGGCGTGGCACGCTGGCTCTTTTCCTCTTCAGCCAGCAGGGCGTCCCGTTCTGCCTTCTTGGCCGCCTTTTCCGCCGCTTTCTCCGCCGCCTCTTGTTTCTTCTTCGCGTCCTTGGCCCCCTTGCTCCATTTTTCCTCTTCCGCGGCCGCCTGCTGTGCTTCGATCGCCGCCTGTTTCTGCGCCGCTGCTTCCGCCTTGCGTGCGTTGCCGGCCGCCTTCTTCGAGTTCTCGCCGGCCGCTTTCTTTCCTCCCATCGTGCCCGAGGTTGCTACTCCCCAACGGTGTGTCGCTCAGGTATGCGTTGACAACGAGATATGTGGTTAGATTGACAATCACGAAGATGCGGATGAATTGCGTCGGGGAGAATGCGCGGGGGTTCACCGGCATGCAGTAGTTGTAGTGATGCGTGGGACTAGAAAAGAGAACAGCACAGCAAGCAGTGCTGCCAATGGTTGTATGAAGTAGAGACCCAACTGAGGGATGACAACTCCGACTGCGGCGTCGATCTCGATTTGCTGGCAACGTCACATGCAAAGCAGGCGGCCCTTAGTTGCTTCGGTCGGTGGGTTTGGTGGCGTGCCTGGCTGTCGAGTCGTGTGCGGAGGGGCAGAGAAACACTGCAGAGAAGCAAATGGATGAACAAACCATGACCACGAGTCATTCAGCCTTATGCGACCTAACTCGTGACTCGGCGAGGCTATCTGCCAGCCTTGCCGGACTTGACGCGGGAGTACCAGTAGGTACGTCCTACAGTACGTAAGTGCATACGATTTTCAGAGTGATAAGGACAGGCTCTAATAGCATTTCTTATGCCACTGGCTTAATAGCTTGTATTCGTAATCTCAACAATAACCGTAGTAGTCATCCTGGTATCATCGTAGCATCCAAACTGATTCACAGTCCTCGCCTTCAGTGTCCACAACGCCTCGCCTTTGAAAGTACTGCAAAAGTCCCGTCCGATCTCGAATCCGGTTAGATCATTCTGAGTGGGGTTCTCATGCCCGCAAAGCCCTGTCTCATGAACTTATAACGGTTCGGCACTGCTTGCAGCCTCCTAAAAGCTTCACGGACATGTTTGGGCTCGACGGGAGTTCGACCCTCCTCAGGCATTTCGAACAGACTGCAGCCTTCCCGCTTTCTCTTCTTCATGGTGTCTTGATCGCCTCGACCGCCATTCGCCTTTTTGTTGGCCAAATCCTCGGCGGCTTTGACCTTCAACGCCTCTTCAGTCAAGGTCTGGACGATCTCAAAGGTCAGGAACCCGAGAATATCGACAACATCGTCGTTAGGTTTGCTCTCGATAATCGTCCCAAATCCCGCCCACTCTCGAAATCGCTTGCCTTTGCGGAACGTGAAGCTGGCTTGCCGACAATCTGACCAGTAAACGTATTCATCTTTGGTCATGTTCTTGGTGCGCTCGTCGGCCGAGGCGAGCCGAGCAAGTGTGGCTTCGTTCTGTTCCTCTTCCTCTTCGTCTTCCTCGTCGTCCCGTTCGGGTACCTGTTCGGCATAGAAGGACTGGACTTCCCACGGCAATATGAGTTTGGCTTTCTTGGTCCCAGTAGATTTTTGGGGTGCAGATGGGTTGACGCCGCCGGAAGCCTGTGAATTGAATTTGATATCAGTAAATGACAAAGAGCAAATATATGGGAGCTGCAAAAGCTGCTCTTTTCACCTACCTCTTCAAAATCTCCCACATCGCCTGCCTCGGCACCTCCTTTGTCGTCAGAATCCTTGACGTTCTTGCGCACATCTTTCCACGAGAGGAATGTCTTCAGCCGTGACACCTTGGCTCGGTCATGACGGATCTGGAAGATTAGATCGACAATAGAGATTGATTTGGAGCCTCGTCGATTGGCTAGACTAGTGGCTTGAGTGAGCTAGATGATCGATGTGTCAGCAACGTGGATAAACGCAGGTAAAGGGCTGTGCTCAGCTGACCATCTCAAGAACCTGTTCCCGCACGATCTCTTCGATCATCCAGGTAGTCTCTGCACTTGGTTCTGCGGTTTCGCCGCTCACAAACATCATCTGCCCAAGGATATGTGTTAGTCTCTTCTTGAACTCTTCCATGGTTTCGAAATCATCTTCATCTGCAGGCAGAGTCGAGGAATTGGCAGGCAGATCAGGGTTCAGTTTGCGGCATCCGTCGTTGGTTGTCGAAGGGCATGGCGCGTCTTCCATATAGGAGTCGGCGGTGTTATGCTCTCCATGAGCGGCGCTCTTCTCGCCGTCGCCTCTAGGAGGCTGGCTGGAATGGTGAGATGGAATGTGAGATCCATAACTTTTTACGCTTCGGAGTGGTTGACCATGGGACAAGGCCGAGTCAACACTGTGGTCGTCCATCGCGCAGTTATTTTGATGGGGTGTCCAGTTGACAATGAATGGTTGCGTTTGTTGTTGTTGTTGTTGTTGTTGTGCTCTATGGACACGTCGAAGTGAAGCAAAGTCTGGTAGACTGGGGGGACTGACTTTGTTGTGAAGAGCAGCGAAGTCTTTCACTCAGCTTAAGTCCGAGCTGTGATATGCTCCTGTTGAGCCTATCGCCTTTGTCGACCAGCATTGCCAATGGAGCCCTCCGCGCACTCTCTGAAGACATCGATTATGCCTTGCGATGGGGTGCGGTGCCCGCCGCCGTGCCATCGTCTGAGGTCCAGTTGTGCAGGTCGTCTAAATCATTGGGATATAGTCCATCGAGATAGTCTCATGAAATCAAATTAATACTCCATGGCGCCATTTACCGGGCTTCGATGATGGTATGGCTGTATGTTGGGAACTCGTGCTCGGTTGATAGAAAGATGGTTGCTCTCTGTCACCTCTCCCGCGCTCCTATGGATCCTGGCCTGATGATACCCCGTGCTTGAAACTTGCAGCCTGCCAAGGGGGTCCTGCTGCAGAATACATGGGCCAAAAAAGCCGGAAACTGCTCACCTGTTGTATCTCCTGCCGATACTTGGCCGGCCTTTCGTTCGCCATTCTGCTCGCCCGACCCGCGAGGTCACCGATTTATCAATTCCCACAGCCCCTAAGCGAATATAATCTTATGTATCAAGTCGATGTCGATAAAAGGTATTGAATACTGCAATACAAGAACTATGGACCAAAATGAGAATGATAAAAGTAGACACTAACGCCGTCGATAGAGTCGATGGATGGCATGTCGCGTTCAGTGAAGTTGAACTCGACATTGGAGTTTCGTTCTTGGATTCTACCGGAGTTTCCCCGACGTGACCGAATCAGCCCTGAATTTCTTGTCTCTTCACAACTCTGGTTTGCTCAAGTAACTGTATACAACCCAAGTCCCAACTACTGGGTCAGGATTACTCAAAATGTTGTACCTCGTTGGCCTTGGTCTGGCTGATGAGGCGGACATCACGGTCAAAGGGCTGGAGGTGGTGAAGCGCGCCGAGCGAGTCTACCTCGAAGCATACACGAGCATCCTGCATGTGGGAAAGGAGAGGTTGGTAGGTTGGTCCTGATTGATGGTACGAGCAAGTACCATGCGCATGGTGGTCGCTGACCTGGCATCGTTCTAACAGCTACGGTAGGAGTCATTCTACGGACGTCCCGTCATTGTCGCGGACAGAGAAATGGTTGAGTCGTCGAGCGACGAAATCCTCGCCGGCGCCGACAAGTCGGATATAGCATTTCTTGTCGTCGGGGACCCTTTTGGGTATGCTTATACTACAATACTCTCAATCTGAATCCGGGCTGGACTGACAGGACAGTGCCACCACGCATACGGACCTTGTCCTGCGTGCCCGTGAACTCTCGATTCCGACCAAATCCATCCCCAATGCTTCCATCCTCAACGCGATAGGCGCAACAGGTCTCCAACTCTACAACTTCGGCCAGACTGTTTCGATGGTTTTCTTCACCGAGACTTGGAAACCGGCTAGTTTCTACGACCGTATCAGGGAGAACGCCTCTATTGGGCTCCACACTCTCGTCCTCCTGGACATCAAGGTGAAAGAACAGTCGCTTGAGAATATGGCCCGGGGACGGAAGATCTACGAGCCTCCACGGTACATGACCGTGGCGCAGTGTGCTCAACAAATGCTTGAGATTGAGGAAGAGAAGAAAGAGCAAGTCTACAGTGAGGACAGTCTCGCTATCGGGTGTGCCCGAGTCGGAGCGGATGATCAACGATTCGCCTGCGGGACACTTAGGGAACTCTGCGACGCTGATCTTGGCCCGCCTCTGCATAGTTTGGTGTTGCTCGGCAAACGGGCTCATGAGCTGGAGCGTGACTACATCAGATTATTCGCCGTGAACGAGCAGACTTTTGATCAGAGTTGGAAGAAGTATCACGATAGAAGCTGAGAATTTGGTTCCATCGATTAAAGATAGGTGAGCAGATTTTTCGCGCAAGAGTGTGGTCCATAAGGGTGTCTCGCTCGACCTCCGAATGAAGCGTGTATGCTGCCGCGAGCGATTTCCCATGTCAGCTGCCATGCCGCTCCCATCGACAGCCATTTGGTTTAGGATGGGTCGAATACAGTACCTCTGGCCCTCATGGTCGACTTTGCACTGCCTCATCCGGATACCATTCACCATGAATTCCGTCAAGTGTGCCAAAGGTCTGAGGAGTTCGACAATGTCATTCCAAGAGAGGCTTCACGAAACAGCCCGATGCCAAAAGGTTTTCATCTGATTTCAGCGACCCCAGGATCAGCCGCTTCTGCCCCACGTATCAATCGAGGGAAGGCACTTGAAGTCGTTCGGCCTGTGATCGCCTCGGGCTTGTCAGATTCCCTTCGCGGAATTTATAGGTTCACTTGCAGCAGTCAACACCGTGAAGTGTTGTCTGCCAGTGGTCAGCACCATTGTGGATGATCAACACCTGCAAATCGCGTGGCTGGCACTCTCATTGCTGCTGCTCGCAACGACTAAATGTGATGGTCGTACTCTATGTATATAAAGTACCAGTGCTACAGTATATTTATATTTCTCCAGACTAGTAGTGGGGGTGAGTGATAAGGACCCTGGGTGTGCCCACCATCCTCCAAGGCCCACTACCATCTAACTGACGGCATGGGCATGTGGCTACCTAGTACTGCTACTAGTGGTATCTTGAAGTTACAGCTCATACTTCTGTACTAGTACGGCGGTAGGTGCTTCGAACCACCGTCTGTTGCACAGAGCAACAGGACACTCTCTTGTACAACTCTGCCTTGTGGCTTCCGGTGTTTCCTCTACGACCAAAGGGGCGGTCGAACGGGAGAATATCGGGGCGGGATCAGGCTGTTGCAACTCAGTTCGGTCTGCAGTTGCTCAGGCGCGTCTTTGCTGCGTCCATCCGCGGCACTGGTTTGCTTGCTCCAGGTTGCACCAAATGTACAGAAAAAATGTCTACTCATACACATGTCCATTTACATCGGTATCCTCAGTTGAAGTTTTCAATACTAGCCAGAGCGACCAGCAGTGCAGTGCCGGAGTCCTCTGACTCGGGGAAATAGTGCGCCAGCAACAACAGAAATACCGAAACCAGCAGTAACAGCGATACAACCAGCACAGCACAGCGGTCGTGCGAATTGTCTTGCCTGAGTCTCACTGCACCCGGTGACTTCGCCTACCTCTACCTTCGGGCCTCTCGAACCGCTGAGAAAACGTTCAGGTCCAAAGCGAGACTGGGAAGACAGCCGAAACCGGGACAGAAGGGTGAAAGACAAGAAGAGCAGGGAAAGAGGACCATAAAAGCGAAGAAATAAACCGGACCGCTAGCGGACACACCACAATGCCAGTCTACCTAGTACACGGCTTCCGATGGCCGCGCGAGGGCTTCACAGGCATCCGCGTCCACGCGGTCGTGCACAACCTCGACGACTGCAGCGTCGAGTACATCCAGAACGACCACTCACGGGCTGAGCTGCTCAAGAGTTTCCGCAAAGCATGGCCGGAGATCATGAAGGAGCTAGATGGGCCAGCCACCACCGGGCGCGACAGTCGGCTCGAGTTTATCGAGCAATACGAACCTGACGACCTGGAGTCGCCGAATGCCGTGAGCCAGCCGTACGCGTTCGTCGGGGACAAGGTGGTAATGATTGCTGCGAAGCCCGGCACTACTACTACGGCACAGACCACAGGAGTATCAACACCAACAATGCCTTCGACGCCTAAGACGCCTGGGTCTGGGTCGCAGCAGCAGCAGCAGTCGAGGAGACAACCGGTTACGTCGCCAAAATCAACGACAACTCCATCGGGCAGCGTTGGGAAGAAGTCGGGCGCCGCCGCCGCCGCTGCTGTCGCTGCTGCTTTTGATCCCACCGCACTCAGCATCAACATTGACGAAGTTATTGCCCAGGGACCAGGAACGTCAGCCAAGGCATGGGAGGCGTTTGCGGATTTGCGCGACAAGCTCGCCGAGGGCGAGAAGATTGGCTGGTGGGTGGTTTACAATGGCGATCCGGAGAGGAGTTATGATGATGACGAGGACGAGCTTGAGGAGGAATACGAGGACGAAGAGGTGGACCAGGGCGAGGATACGGAAGAGTACTACGAGGATACTCATCAAAAGGGCCATGTTCCTTATTCACCGCAACAACAGAAACAGCGCATCCACCGCCTTGAACAAGAGCTAGCCCGAGCCCAGACTCCTCGACCTCGCACCGCTCCTCAGGCTGCCGATGAAGCTAACAGCTCGAGCACCTCAACCATCCGCGCCAGTCAGCAGCCGACCCGGACAGGTCCTTTGCCTCATATAGCTGCGCAACAACAACATCAACAGCACAACAATAACAACAACCTGACTGCTCTCCCCGTCCGTCCTAGTCCCCCAGTGGCGACTGCACTTGCAGCGGCGACTCGCTCCGAGAAGGGGAAACAGAAAGAGAGCATCCCGGAACCCGGGAAGCTGAAGGAAACGGCCAGATCGCAGGGATTGCGCAAAAAGTTTTTTGGAAAACGATTATGATTATGATTGATTATGCTTCTACAAAATGACTTACTGGCCCAGACCACATACATCTTATGACTCCACGACTGTCTAGCAGCATACCTACTAGATTCACGAACGCCCGAGTGAGATCCGGCTCGCGTAGTCCGGACTTAGCGAACACAATCACGGGCATCTTCGGCGGGCGAGCACGTCCTGCCTCTATTTGAATTACAGTGTTCTCCGATTACAGTGCGACTACCTTGTTTGAAAGTGCTGTGACTTACCCATACCTCAGCACTCCACTATCACTAGTCCTGGTCAGTCATCGATAGAATTGGACGTCGATGCATGATGTGCGTGGAAGTCCTTAGATGGCCACAGCATGATCAGGCCCCACGATATCTCGGACTCCAGCAGGGAAGCTCACAGAATTAGCTGCCCGCGAGGCTTTGACCATGACTAGGTAGTTGTGGGATAGACGCCAGCGGACCTAGATCACCAGAAAAAAGGTATGCTTGGGCCCAGGGCTGTCCTCTCGTGGATCCATCCGGACTAAACGGGTCCATCGTGTCGTTTTCGGGTACCAAGAAGATCTGCACATTTTGAGACTCGGATCGCAAACCATGGGCGCAGGGAAAATCAAGCATTTTCGATACTATTACAGAAACCGCTCAAGCATAAGAGCAAGCAATCCATTCCGGCGGTCCATTTCCTCAGTTCAATCTGTTGCAGTCGTTGCACTCTCGGCACAAAGCGGTGGAAGAATCCGACCCAGGTCCAGCCGGAACAGGAGGGTGGATGTAGACATCCTAAGGAAAGCAAACTTTTGAGGGTGAGAAGAACATGAGCCTGCGGCTCACCCGGTCACCTGTCGGTTGGTGAGATCGAAAGGATGTTGAAGGGTCGTCCTAATATCGACCATCGTAGCCGCCGTAACCGCCACCGTAACCGCCACCGTAGCCATAGCCACGAGGAGGGCTTCGTGGCCGGGGGCCGTATGGGTCTCCATTCCGGTAGGGATCTCCGTAGCCGCGAACGGGTGGTGGAGGAGGGCCTCGGCTGTCGTATGGGTCTCCATCATATCGTCTTGGAGGTGGTGGTGGGTAATCCCGTGGTGGCGGAGTTCGTCTACCATAGCCTCGTTCATAGCGGTCGTAGTAGTCATCAGGAGGAGGACGGCGTCCTGGGGAACGCTCACGATAACCTGAACCGCGAGGGCTCCAGCCACGTTGCGGAGGGCCGCGGCGGTCATGGTAGTCGTCCATCGGACCATAACGGCCTCGAGGGGGAGATCTTTGTCGATAGCTTCGCATGTCGGGTCGCTCATCCTGGATCTGGAAGGGGCTTGTGAGTGGGACATGTTTTCTAGAGACGAGCAAGGCAAAGACATACATCTGCAACACAATGAACTGTAGCACCTTTGAAGGTTTGGCCATCTAGCTTTTCAACGGCTGTCTTGAGATCGGCCTGTGTTTCGAATTCGACGAAGCTGGATTCACGATGAGTATGCGCCCTGCACACGGAAGATGTTAACTGACCCTTTGCCATCACGTTCACGGCCTGTCTCTGAATAGACGACGTCTAGTTGACCCGAGTTGCGAGCAAAATCTTTCAGATCCTGTATGTGAGTGAGCACACGATCATCGATAGCACAACACAACGACCAATGTAGCCAAATAATAAGCAATCACACGATATAACAAAGGCAACGGCATAGCACTGTCCGCGGCCAAGAGCTGCTGCATCATGCCCATCGTTCAAATAACTGCGCGGTGAACCGACAGCCGATGGATCGACTATCTCCGCGGTGAAGAGGATCCGAAACAAGGGGATATGGATTGCTGACCTGCCAACTAGTGTCCGGCTGGAGCCCAGTGATTTGCATGCGATAGATTGTACGCCGCGGTCGTGGAATATTCCGATCTGAGGGACCATTGAAGTCATCTTTACGGCGTGGACCTCTGGCAAACTGGACTGTCAAACGTTCACCCTTGAACTCTGTTCCATCTATTCACACGTCAGGCGACCGGGAGCAGGCAGTTGGATGAGAGGATGGCATACGAAAGGCTGTGAGACAAGTCAGCGCAGTCACGGCCATTGAGGTCCGGAGTAAACATACCTGGGACTACGTCCCGCGCATCCATGGGATCCTCATATTCAATGAAGCCGAAGCCATTCATCAGCTTGATTTCTTTGATGGAGCCTGCGCCATGGGTGCCAAAGTGATCCTGGATGTCCTGCTTCGTGACTGAAGTGATGAAACAAAGAGTCAGTGACTGGTGTAGCCCGGAAGGTCTATCAAGCGCATCCGGTTCTCATGTGGTATCGATCCCCCTGAGGTGCAACATTGGCCAGGATAACCCAAATATCAGTTCTAGAATGAGGTGATTGCATACTATTGCGCGGAAGGTTGCCCAAATAGAGCCGGGTGGAGGAAACGTCGGCCATGATATCTCCTGGTAAGGTGCGACCAGAATCCGGGAGATCAGCGAGGACAGGATATCAGGGAGCCCTCAAGCAGGGCTGTTCGCTGGATGGAAGCCAGAAGAGGTACCAGAGAGCTAACTCAGCAGGGAGGAACCGCACAGGAAATACGTAGGTACAGTCTGGGAGGACGGAGACACTGGCACATGAGGATGAGGAGTGGACGAGATGCGAGAAGCAAGTCCAAGTTGCAGGCGGCAGGCAGTTCAACGAGAGTGACAACATGCGCGCTCCACTGGCACTGCACGGCACGCGGCGCCTCACGCCGACGCCTCACTTCCAAATGCGCCACTTGCCAAGGCGCAGGCTGTTACGGCTAAGCACCTGCTCCAACACCGCAGTTTTGAGATTGAGGAGTGAGTATGTGCACTCAACTATATCATCTGTACACAGCGACCGCCCGATAGCAGTGACCGTCTCCTTGCCTGAGCAGGATCGGCTGGAACAGATGCTGCATTTCAAAAATCCGTTCTGGCAGTCGATCGTAAATCAGCTCCGAGCTCCAAATCCCGACGATCCGCTCAACGAGTGCTATCACGATGGATTCGACAAGCTTGTGGACCGGGCTGACGACCTCTTGAGCCTGGCAAACAAGAATTTACACACTTTTCCGTTCAAAGATGTCAAACCCTGTTGGTTCAGGCTATACACCGATGCCAGCATTTCGAAAGCTCTTAAACTGATCAAGGAGGAATGGTTCTTGGACGAACCCTCCTTGTTGTCGGAGTCAGAACAAGTCCAGCTCGATGAGATTGTTTCTCTCCTGGATATGTCATTGATTATGGCTGGTGGGCTCGGTAGAGAAGACATGATTCATAAAATGTTGGAAAAGCTAGCATGTATTGCAAAAGGTGACGAGACTGTGAAGCGACCGTCAAAGAAACGACGTGTCAGGGTCTCTGATGTGAATGGCATGCCCACGGTTGTCGAGTCGCTCCCTGACCATGACGTCTCAGTTCCCGTGCCTCGTTTCCCGGTGTCACGAATGCATCGACCCTCTATGACGGAGTTTTCCAGATTCATGCGTGATGAGAAATCTCCAGTTCTGTTGACAGGAATCCTAGATCACTGGCCAGCACTTGAAAGCTGGAAACAAACCTCATTCTGGCTCGAACAAACCATAGGAGGACGACGCCTTGTCCCTATTGAAATTGGGCGCAGCTATACAGACGACGATTGGGGCCAGAAAATTGTGCCCTTCCGGGAATTCCTGAGCCGGTATATCTTGCCACGCTCCGTCAGTGGTGAAGGATGTGAAGATATAAAAACTGGCTACCTTGCGCAGCATGACCTGTTTCGGCAAATACCCTCTCTGCGTAAGGATATAGCAACCCCGGATTATTGTTATCTTGACGCTCCGCCGGCCGAACCGGGCACTCCAGTTTATCTGAGCAAACTCAAAAAGGACACAGGCAAAAACACCAGTCACCCAACTACGCTTCCCTCCCTCTCTTGTAGCGGCGAGAAGGGTCATGACGGCACTCCTAATGAGGCAGAAGGCGACGCAGAAGTCCACACAAATATATGGTTCGGACCGCCCTGGACTATATCTCCGCTTCACCATGATCCTTATCACAATATCTTGTGCCAGGTCGTAGGCAAAAAGTATATCAGACTGTACTCACCGAATCATAGCAAGGCTCTATACCCTAAGAGCGAAGGCGAACCTGCTCCGCATACCCTTGAAAAATCAAACGCAGATGCTCAGGTGGACGTCACCCAGAACAATCCAGGCCCTGACACCATCGACATGTCCAACACTTCGCAAATCGATGTTGCTGCCATGGAAATGTCTCCTCACGAAGATTGGGACGATGTATACCCCGGAATCAGCAAAGTTCCCTACAAGGAATGTGTCCTGGAAGCCGGTCAAGCACTTTACATACCAATTGGCTGGTGGCACTATGTGCGAAGCTGCTCCGTTGGTATCAGCGTCAGCTTTTGGTGGTGATCTTTGCGGTGGGTGCATTACGGTCAGATATCTGAATATTCATCGATGCGACAGGTCCCAGTGCTGGCCCTAGAACAGGATCTGCCCCAGAATATTCCGGTGACATATTATCAAGATGGACAATCCCTAAAGTATTTTACCAGGAAAACCCTGGTTTGCCCCCGGGTGCTCAAATCAAGCATAAATAATCAAGGGATCAAGGTCGAACATCAAGGAATGAACTTGCTTGCTACCCAGCGTCACATGGTGTGAACTCCACCATGCTGGTAACCCTCCAGCGATGAAACCAAAATCATTGGTATCATACAGTTCAGCTACCAAGTTATCGACTGCTGCACATAAGTGGTTTCTTGCGGGAACTTTGATCAACTGTTTAGGGGACCAAAATCGTGGAGCAACAACTATCTTGCCGGCGTCAGTCATCAAACCGCTGATCATAACTCTTATCTATCGTGCACAAGGCTAAACTGCGTGATGGGCACAAACACAGCTGTCAGCAAGTGGGACTGCACTTGGGGAACGACAGCGCCACCTAGATTTTGTGCTGCGCTGCCAGGAGTCGCTCGCTTGTTCATCCCCGATAAGGCATCGGTGATCCGAAACTTGACAGGGATGCAACGCTGTTTATCTTTCCCCTCCACGTCTGTTATCGGCACAACGGGTGACATAAGGGATTTCCGTCACCTCGGTGGTTGGACGTCCATCTGAGGCCTGCAATATAAGGACGGACCTCAGTCTTGGTGCTGGCTCAAACTTGCCTTTCATTTCCTGGGGGCCTGGTATAAGATCAGGCATTTCCTTATCGCATGCCCTGATTTTGCGGAGAGGATCCACCCCCGCATTCTCAGATTGAAGCGTCACTCAAGGTGTGCGGACAAGACGCCAAAACTGCCAGCATGGTCGACACCGAGCATGAAGGCGGTGCTGCCCGCAGCATGTCGAAAGACGAGGGTCGCCTGCGAGAACTTGGTTATAAGCAAGAGTTGAAGCGCGATTGGTCATTGATCCACAACTTCGGCGTCTCGTTCAGTATTATCTCTGTCATCACTGGTATTACTACACTGTTCAGTTATGGATTGACTACGGGAGGACCGGGGGTAATGTCTTGTGGATGGCTTGTTGTCTGCTTCTTCACCATGTTTGTCGCAATGGGCATGGCGGAGATTGTCAGTGCCATCCCATCGGCTGGAGGACCGTACTTTTGGGCCGCCATTCTCGCGCCCAAGAAATGGGCACCTTTTGCAAGCTGGGTTACCGGCTGGTTCAACCTCCTCGGCCAAGTTGCAGTGACAACAGGGATCACATTTGGTTGCGCTGGGTTGATTTCTACTTTGGCTAGTATCAATGGATATGAGCCAACAGCTGGAAAGACTCTGGGCATTTACGCGGCCCTTTTGTTTTCGCACGGGATGATCAACTCGTTCGGTGTGCACACCCTGCGCTATTTGAATAACAGCTCCATCGTTTTACACTCTCTGGGAATATTTTCATACGCGGTCGCCGTTGTAGCGAAGGCGCCCCATCATCAGAGTGCAAAATTCGTCTTTGCGTCGTTCTATGACGGAACTGGCGACCCTGGATGGTCAGTTCGAGCATCATCCGCCTACGTGGCTTGCATTGGGATCTTGATGTCTCAATATACTATCACTGGATTTGATGCCAGGTACGGTACTCTTGTCTTTTCGACGGTCAACTGCTAACCCTGCATTTAGTGCCCATCTTGCAGAAGAAACGCAAAACGCATCATGGTCAGCACCTATTGGAGTCCTCATGTCCGTTGGGTGCTCTGCAATATTTGGGTGGTTCCTCATCCTGTGCCTTTTGTTCAGCATCCAGGATTTCGATCGCACCATCAACTCGGAGTATAGTCAACCAGTGCTGCAGATTCTGGTTGATGTCTTTGGCAAAACGGGTGCCATTGTCCTCTTCACACTCGTCATCGTATGTGTATGGCATTGTGGTCTCTTCAGTCTGACCTCGAATTCGCGCATGATGTTCAGTTTCGCCCGTGATGGCGGTATCCCACACTTCTTCCACAAGGTGGACGTACGCCATCGGAGTCCAATCCGCACCATCTGGCTTGCTGCCTTCCTGGCGTTCCTGCTTGCCATTCCCAGTGTTGGGTCTTCTGTGGCATTTTCCGCGGCAACGTCCATCGCCACGATCGGGCTTTATCTTTCCTACGGTCTTCCAATCTTGATAGGCATTATCAATCCTGAAGGCTTCATCCATGGTCCATTCAATCTGAAGTGGTTCTCACGACCTGTTGCGATTATCGCTTGTCTGTGGATCGCCTTCATCACCGTCATCTTCTGTCTTCCCGAACTAAACCCGGTTGACAGCCAAACGCTAAATTACACACCTGTTGCAGTCGGCATCATCGGCGTTTGGTGCCTTGGAAGTTGGTTCTTGTGGGCTAAGAGATGGTTCAAAGGTCCGATCCGACAGGTCGAGGCAGAAGTCGCTGGTGTGAATGTTGACGATCCGGATGCGATGGATCGCGCAGAAAGAGAGGGGATCATCCCGGTGATTGATGAAACAAACGGGGACAATGAAAAGAGCATATTGGCCACAATGAAGCACAATTACAACTGAACTGGATGTTTTCATAATGTGCCAGGGTAAGATGCGGCCAAATTCAGACTCGGAGTGGTAACCAGATTTCAATGCGACCAATATTACAGTTCATATGTTCTCCCATGACCTACAAATCCTTCTGTGCCGGGTCCATATGCAGTGTTGTACAACCTCAAGATCTTCGAGGCGCTGCAAAGGTGGGCCTGATAGGGACCGCGCCTGGTCTGCTTTGCGATGGAGGAGATCTAACCATGCACCCAACTCTTGAACTCGATGCGTCTATCGAGATGTGGCGTGGAGGTCAAAGTCAATCAGTCATGTTCAAACTGAACTGGTCCATCAAGTCACAGCCCACAACCTCTTCAGATGATGCTTTATCTTTTAGAAGTTTCCCATCGACCCATTCTCTCTCTAGATCTTATCACCATCTTTGTGTCTCTTTCTGCCATTTTGTCTTATGCTTCATCCCTTCCGCTACCAATATCTTGCAGTATGCCTGACCAGGTCCATCACGATGCCAACTCTGACTTCACACCCAGTGAATATCCATCTTTCCCAGACGACCTTCCCACGGCCTCCTTGCAGACATTTGACGCGTCGGACTTAGACTCTGTCCATCAGGATAGTTCGAGTCCTACTCGGACAAATAAAGCGGACCAAATCCTTCAAAGTTGTCAAACAGACGGATGCTTCTACCTGAATCTTGCAGCAGCCTCAGAAGACATGTCATCAAGTACTCCTACCACTACAGCATCAAAATCTAATTGCAGCACCGGCACCGGCAACAGCTTGATGAAAGACGCAGAATCCATAATGCACCTCCTGCAGCCAATGTTCCAAATGAGCGAGGAAGAAAAAGCGAGCTATTCACCTGTTGCGGACCCACTCGCGCTGTTCGGGTACAAGAGGACCGGTGCAACTGTTGTCGATGACCTTGACACTCTTGATTGTGCCGAGTTTTTCAATGTATGTTACATATATCTCCCACATTTGATGACATTGACTGGCCGACCGTGGGCCATCGACGATAGCATCATTTTCCCACCTCCGTTCCGTTTCGGTGTACCTCGCTAACCCGTCCTCCTCATCCTCATTTGGGGAATACCAGATTTCGAAGAACGATATCATCAGCAGCGGACAACAATCAGTGACAATTCAGCCTGGGCCAGCTGGATCATCCTGTCCAGAATCAGAAGCAGCACCGGAACCAGCTTCGCATAATGACAATGACATTCTCCTACCTCCGCTCATTCTAAACAACCACCAACAGATCCGCGAATTCATGCTCAAATGCCACGAGCTCAGTCTCCTTTTACTAGACCGGATTTCGTCAGCATACGAAGGATTCCCTGTGGAGATTCTACGCTCCATACACCGCTTTGACAAACAGTCAGGGGATCATCTCCGCGTTATTCGCGGACCGGCACGCTTGAACTTCTCTGGTGAAGAGTGCCAGTCCCAGATCCATACCCCAACACACCATGATTTCGGAACACTTACCATCTTATTCAATTGGCTCGGTGGGCTTCAAATTGTCAAACAGCAGGAGGATGGCAGTGGCGGAACCGGCATTGGCACTGGCCCTAACAATGCTACTGGTGCTGGCACTAACACTGGTGGTGCTGGTGGTGCCGACATCTATAAATGGATCAAACCGATCCCCGGACACGCTATCGTTCTCGTCGGCAGTGCATTAGGTCGATTTACTTCTACCGATTCTTCATCTGACCTGGACCCAAAGTTGAAACGAGGCCATGATGAAGAAGGGGGAGAGCTCAGATGGCCTTGTCATCCCGTCAAGCATAGAGTCGTCTCGGCACCTGGTAAGCAGGGCCTGTTTCCGCGCTATGCTTTGGGATATTTCCTGAGACCGGAGGATGATGTTTTGATTAGACCTTTGAAGAATGCTGGTACTAGTAGTACAACTAGTAGTAGTCGGTCTGCCAATGGCAATGGTGGTGGTGGTGGCACCAGGACACAGCCTGGGGTACTACTACAGCCGGAACAACAACTTCAACCTCTGCAAAGGCCCACAAGCCAGGTGACCCCTACGACGGTGGATCATGAGGGTGAAGAAGTTGTTCTCACTGCTAAGGACTGGATTAGGAGTCAAGCCAGGGGATTAGGGATTGGGAGAGTATGAGGATGCGACTGGGGACAAAGAGAAGTTCAGTGACCACTTGGTTGGCTACAAGGCTGATTAAACATTCAAGACCATGGAACATTGTGTGAGAATGAATCAAGCTATTATTGCTTTTACAACCATGGTGGTCCCCAGAAGCCTGCTTCTTGGAGGCTTTCCTCTTCATCACTCAGCCCGGACGATTCTCTGATTCTTCGCCATATTAAGCCGGCTGGGTCGGCACTGTGCTCCTCGTTCTCGAGCTCGTGGTCAGTTCCTCCCTCTGCCACTGCCACATCAAGCATGTCCTACATCGGAGGAATTGGTGTTCCCGGTCGACCCTTAGTAAAATCTGCGCAGGCAGCTTCTTCGTCTTCTATTGTGCTTCTTGTTCTTGAAATTCCTTCACTTTCTGATGTCTTTCCCACGACATGACCACTTGGCGCCTGTCGTGCCATATACGGGGTCGTCGGCAGAGGTGAGGTGAGAGCGGGGTGCGCGAAAGTTGACTTCATCGCCAGCTTTTTTGGCGACAACTTCTTGACTAGGGTTTGTGCGCGATGACGAACAGAGCGAACAAGAGTATTTCTCTCAGCGGCGCGAGGTTCCTTGGTAAGGATGCCGTGGTAGTAATCATTCAGTGCAAGCAGATCAGCATTGGTGCAGTCGTTAGGGTCAAATCCCATTGTCTCGCGAACATGTTGGAGCAGTCTCAGCGCATCCACTGGACGAATGGATAGCTGGTCAGGTCCACGGACACCTTGAGTGCTTTGCAGTTGGACATTTTCACCACCTGGATCAAGAGCAGGAACAATCACGCCACTAACAAAGGCATGTCGAAAAGCATCAGACAGGTCACTGGCTGTCTCCGGAGTGTAAATCTCTTCTAAGTCGCGGGCTCTAGCTTTGCCTTTCCGGGCTTCTCTCACTTCAGCCTCGCGGTCGTACTTTGGAGACAGGTTTAGAGGGCAAGAAGTGCGCGTTTCGAGCCACGTATCTGCGGGCATGAAAGTATGGCGGTGTTTGATGACAGCTGTGACAATAACAGCTTCGTTCTTCTTTCCGTTGTCCATTTTAAGGACGTCGAGCCACTGATCAATAAGGGAAAGTGATGTCGATTTGTTGTGAGAATTGGTTGAACCCTTAATTCCTCTGGATCGGACAGAAGTAGACAATCTAGAAGCCAAACTGGTCTCTTTGACGCCAAGGTAGACGATGTTGACCCACTGATCACCTGGACGCAAGCTTCTCCGCGTCAGAGATCCCATTTCGGCAAGCTTGACTCCTGGCCCCGATATGTACGTTTGCATTTCAAGATCGACCAAGCAGCCAGGGTAGTTGTCTGCCAGAAGATATGGCGCCGGTGGTTGCTCGGCGTCAGCCCCAGACTCATCCGTCATTGAGGCATTTTGCGGGACGGCGGTGATGTTGAAGATTGCATGCGCAGTTGCGCCAAATTTGGGATCCTTGCCGAACAAGACAGTGCTCAAGGTATCGACCCTGACGGCCGCAATTGCTGGCATCGGTGCCTCCCCCAGTGACACCGGCCGGGACACGCTCGCCAACGAAGGCACGGGGGCGCGGAGGGGATTCGGGCTCCTGGCCGGATGATGGGCAATGGGCGCGATGCCCCGGGCGAGAGCCTCATCAAACGACGTTGCCTCCGTTTCGAGGCTGTTGCGACGTGCGGCGGACAGGCGGGCAAGCATTCTGGTGACATAGTCACCGTTGGGGAACCCGTTGCTGGCATTGCTGCCCTCGTCTGCGGCCACGTTGGCAGCCTCCGCGCTGCCAGCGGCGTGGTTGCCGCTGGCCGAGTCTTCCGTCCCAGACTCGGCGCTCGAGGCCGACGAGGCACTGACGCTCGCCATGGTTGTCGTGAAGGCCCGTTTGATGCGGCTCTGCTTGGCACGTGAGGGTTCGAGGGGCTTGCGGGTTGAGGAGGAAGGCTTCTTGGGTTGTAATGAGCGGCGCGAGAGCTACAAAGAGCGTGAGACAGGGTGAAGAGACGTAACAGCACGAAGCCTATCATACCTTTGAGTGGTGTTTGGACTTGTGTCGCTTCTGAGTTGTCGGGTGACTTCGATCTGGAGTGAAAGGAGCAGTAGAGGAAGTGAGGTTGCGATGAGAAGACAGAGGCTACAGCAAAGTCAACAGAGTCCACAGAACCACTGCCATTTCATTGTAGAAGCTTGCTAACCTTAACCACGGGCCTGACAAAGAGATCCTGACCGCGTGTCTGCGATCTGAGGTGGTGTGTTGTGAGAAGAGACGAGAATGAGCCGCAGCCGTGAGAAGAATGGTCTTGGCTGAAGTCGCTGCGCGAGCGAGAGGTGCTGTCTCTGCTCCAAATTGACGACAATGACCCCGAGATCGACCTGAATGTGAACCTCCTACCGCTCTCCTAAGACTTCTGCGAAGAAACACTGGCAGTCTCGTTGTTCACTCTGAGAACCCTCGGCGTGGCATCTGGGTCGTCCTGACGGGCCATGTTGGTGGATACAACTGCGCACTTTGGGGTCTCCGCTGTCTTCGAGAAGGCACTTGCAACCATGCACTGCTTCCCTCCCGTTCTCCCTCCGCACTCAACACTGAAACCCTGACACTCTTTCCTGAGTTATCAAAGTTGTGGGGTTGGCCAGGATATTTCGAAACTGATACTGAGTCTGCGGGCCCTTCTTGCCTCGCCGAAGGCCGGTGACAGTCGTCCTGGATCACAGCCGGTTCCTCATCAAGGTTTGTGTTCAATGGCGGCGCGGCGGCAACCTGGCGTTCCAAGTCGCGTTCAATGGCTGTGTGCCCAGATCTTCTTCCAAACCGCTGCCGGAGCTGATTCTTCAAGATTGAAATCAGGTCTACTAGCAGGGTCACCAATGGAACAGACACCGGCCCGAGCCAGCAATGGTAGCAGTTCCTGAGCCTTTTCCGAATTGACGTCCAGAACCACCGACAGAAGAATATGGCAACACCAAGGAAGACCATGCAAACTATTATGATGCCCAAAAAAAGTCGAGTCTGTGCCCTGTCACCGGCCTCCGTCATCTGACAAGGCCATACATGCCGTACGAATGTGGACTGTAACTAAGACAAGGCCAAGAGGTATGCTCCGTAGCGTACGGTTGTGAAGATCGAAACACAAAATGCTGAACTGGAACAGCAGCGAGAAGACAATGTCTGACGCCGACCAGTACCCAACGGCAGGAGCGTCTCGGCAGCCTCAGGTTCATTCAAGTCCAACAAGGTAGCAGGAGCATCCAAACCACGGCCATTCTTGTGAGCACTGGCAGTCCTATCCAACTGAATGATGCGGCTTCCAAGAGAGCCGCAATCGACCCTGGCATTTCCTGGAGCACAAGGTAATTGTTGACCAGAAGTAGAAGCAAGCTTCAGGGTCGGTTCGGTGTATCATATATCTTTATAGCAGCTCTGACGGCTTCGAGATGTTCTTCGTCCAGCTTAGAGAAGCGGATCTGCCGGTCCGCGGCCAGCAGCATCTTCTGGTGCGGATCGAGGTTTCTCATGTCGGCACTAACATTCGCAGCTCCGCCGCCTCCAAACAGGGCGCCCTCACTCACACTTGCTTGGATGCCGTTGTGCACCCGTGATTCCCATACACCATCCCATTTCCAATCCCCGGGATGCTTTGGGGAAGGACTTGCACCAGCACCAGTTTCCACGTCAGAGATATTGGGCCGGGCATCATTGTTCGCAAGCCCTCGATGTGCGCGCCAGGCATGCCATGCGCTTGGGTCACCAGCCGCATCGAGCGGTATTGTGTCCAGAAACTTTTCATCCTGAAACGCATCCTGGAAGTGATGCAACACGTCCAAAATGAGATGTTTTCGGTCTTTACCCAAGTGCTGGGATGTTGCATTTGTAAAAGTACTTTTCATGCCTGCAGCGGACCGGCCGCCCGGCGGTGTAGCATCATGATCCTGCTCTGTCAGGTCAAGACCCTCATTCGCTTTGACGTTTGTGTCGGTCCATCGAAACCACGCTGGAAATCCATGCCGCAGACTGAATGCCCCTGGGGGAAGGCGGTCCGTATCCAAAGCGCTCAAGGTCGAGGATGCATCGCCGGTACTAGCACTGAAGGTGTACGTCGTCAAAGGCACCACCAACGGATGAAATATATCGCTCGAAAGAGTTACAAGTGGAGGGAGATCAGGGTACGTGTCCGGAAACGTGATTTGAAAGCGAAGCACAGCTCCGGCGTAAGGCCCTGCAGTGCCCTTGCAAGTCAGCTTTCCTCCGCCGAAAGAATGATGCCGTTGTTAACGGCATTTACCTTTATGGACAAACAGCACCCCTGCCCAGAGCCATGGTTTACCTGGAGTAAGGGACAGATAGATACCCGCCGGACAGCTGTCTCTCAGTGCAGAGCTGTCGGCGGTGGTCAGTACAGGCGGCCAACAAGCGAAAAACCACTCACAAGTCCAGCACCAGCAGCTGTCGACGAAACGAGGGGAGCAGAGGAGCGTTGGACATTGTTGTGAAGGAAGAGACGCAGTCGGAGAAGCGTTGTCTGGAACTTGAAGGCGGCCGGGGCCAGGATCAGCATGTCCGCCCCACGTCCGCGCCCAGAAACGGGGGGTTACAGGAACACCACGCTTCCGCTGTCAGCCTCAGCAAATCGCGCCCAGGCACTGTCATGGGACTGGCCGCGATATAAATACTGTGAGACAGAACGATCATTTGTGGAGTATCAACAATCGCCTTGTTGAACAATAATGGTGGTTCGCTGGCCAATCGGTGGGCTATTCTCACACAACTCACACAACTATCAAAAATTGGGTATCAAACAATTCGTTCTATGCATGTCGTCAAAAGAGAAACGCTCGATGAGCAAGCCTCAGAGGGCTAATGAGGCTCTTTTTCGACTCCGAGAAACCTCGTCAAGCCCATCGCTAAGTCCTCCAGCAATTCCTTCAACAAGCCAGGACCCGAAATCGACAAAGGCACTTCCGACTCGGCCTTCTTTGAACCGGAGGAATGCATTGTGGAGTTCCAACCCACGTTCACCCAGGCTAGATGTCATATCTAGACTATTGGTGATAACTCTCTCGGTGACTTGATGGTGGCGCTCAAATTGCAGCACCCGATTAAGCAAGGTCATCAGCAAAGGAAGGAATAGTAAGAGAGAGGCGAAGAGCCAGCACACCGCTTGAGCGATGACCTGCCTCAAGGCGTTCGGTGGTGGCTGACCGTGTCCATCTCGAGCCTCTCCCGAGGGGACTATCAACTGAGGGCCCATGCTGGCGCGGAGCGATTCTACCTCCAGGGACGTCAAATCTGGAGGCAAGGCCATGTGCATGTACCTCAGCGCATCAATCTGCATACTCCGAAGAGTACTGGGGTCACCGCCTTGTTCAGCTTGTGCTCTAGCAGCCATGCATAGCCTTCCTCCGGTAGCAGCCACCTCCCAGTCGACCCCAGATCGGTTTTCTATTTGTGGCAGCATCTTGAGACTGAGTTCTCGAGGACAGATGTTGGAGTCGAGGCTCTCGGGCCCAAGCATGGGCGTGCTGGCACCACTGGGCGGCACTGTGGCAGCGAAGCCTGAAGGACTCTCCCTCTCTTTGCTGATGTCGACGCAGGAAAATGTAAATGCTTTCTTCCTGGTGGGGGCCGCAAGGAATACGACGGCCTTCGCGGAGTGCCGAAGCGATGTCAACACCGGTATTCTCGATCGCACGACGGAAGGGATCATGGTATAGAGGCTGGACTGGTTCACGTCCTCACAAGGGATAGTGCTCGCGCCCATCAGGGCCCTGTCTGTCTGGCTCATGGCGTTGACTCTGTGGGTAGCGGCCTGAAGGAATCTCACGGATAGCGATGCAGATGAGGGAGCGATAACTCAAGTGAAAGGTTCACGACATGAAAAGGGCGAAGATACGGACTTATTGAGGCTTTGCTCGTCTTTGGGATATTTTCACATGCCGTGCATCACCGTGCACTGCACCACAGCATCGGGGAGACAGCAGAGCATGGCCATGTCGAGACTTGAGATTAGTTCGCACGGTCTGTGGTCTTGTTTGAAGAAGAGTGGGATGGTGCGGGCCAGAGGAGGCGCGTCGAAGTCTTTCACATGCAAAATTCGCTATTTCGGGTGGCTATGGGCCTTTCAGAGCACTGCCAGTGCCCAGCCTTTGGCACGTTCTCGCCAGGCGCTACAAGGAGCATCTTCGGTTACTCGGAGATCGGGTGAGATAGGAGAAAGTTCGCTGTTATCAACATCCAATGGCTGAGAATCTCGTCGTCCCATTTTGTCCAAGGATATATAGTATCAAAATAATTAACAGCATGCTAGCAGTCCTCTCTTGTAATCTACTACTGCAGTGGTAGGTAGCGAATATGGGGGAAGATCAAACTGCTCATGTGAAAGGTTTGCCAACTCATGAAGGTCTTCAGAATAATCTTAGTCATCTGCCTGCAACTGTGAAAGGAACGCAATAACATTAACATTTCTCCGAGCCGCCATTTTGGTTAGGAAAATTCCAGTTGTAGCGGACATAGATCTGCTTGCCATGTATTGCAGTATGGTATCAGAAGACAAGAAGACCCAGCCCACTTGTTCGCCAATATACAAGTGTAGTGCTGCGATGATGAAGAGAGATCAAGGGCGGGCGGGTCCGGCTTCTTGTCGCCGTCTAAAGGAGAAGCCTTTGCTTTCATAGCAGGCATCAATGTACTCATCACTGTATACTACCTGGTATCAATTGAGAGGACGATGTCGTCGAGGGTTCGAGGATCCGCAACCCCGTGTTGCAACAATAAAGTGACCCAGACGCTCAACACATGTATATACTGGCGTGAAGCCTCATCGTCTTGCGCCGGAGAGAGCTTACCAGGTAGTGAGCTAGAGTGCCGTTGAGCAGTGTAGGGCTTGGATTGACAGAATTCGCCCGAAGGGGTCTCGTACAGTACTTTCCAGCTAGGTGCAGTGGGTGCCTGTCTAGAGCAGCAGGATGTTTAGAGGATAATAACTGAAGAATTAATTTATGGGCGTACGCAGCCGGTAGGGAGGACTCAATCAGCCAACCCGAACATGGTGCAGACCACCTGCGACCAGACATGATTTCATTCACCATTCAAGGCGGTCAACTTACTCCCATAGCTCCAAGGCAAGGTGATTACAAACACGAGACTACCTGGCTATCTCTGAACGCGCTGCCCAATGACTATGTCCGGTCGATATAATAAAAATCCAGTGATCAAGTTGCAGCTCGCCTGAGAGTGACGAACATACCAGGGCGACCTCAAACCGCTGTTTGCTGATCGATTGGCTGATGCTTTAATAGTATTCGTTCTCGAAGGCCATGGGTACTGTGTATAGCGCCTAGGTAATATTAGACAACCCGCTGACCAAGAAAGTTTGCCCTGCTGTGCTGGCTGGGGATGGTGCGGGAGGGTGAAGGGGTCCCTCACACGAGCAGGGCCCCGTATCAATTGGTCAACACCCATGTCAGGTTGTCGTCCGAAGGGCGTGCATGGCCAAGTCCCCTTGCACCGAATAAAGACAAGAGATGCCTGAGGAGTCATCATTTCCGTCCCCACCGAACTGCGGAGCATTGCAACTGTCCGACTACCTAGGGAAGGCTGAATATCTCACGCCCTCGCTGTCCGGTTCCTCATCCTCTTCTTTCATCTCAATATTATTCTTCAAAGCAGGAAGGAAAAGGAACGGACTGAGGGCGATTGTCCATCCTTGAGTAGATCCTCGAGTTGCGGGGTTTGATTCAAGATGGAATACTTCAACTTCGAGGACGCTTCCCATGCCATTACGGCATTGGATCTGGACGACTGCTCCTCGCTTATGGGGGAGGCCAACGAGGCGGATGCTACAGATTGCTACGAGTCACTCTTCTTCGACAAGTCCAATCCCCTACCGGCACAGCAGCCATCGTCGTCGGCTCCAAAGATCGTCAAACTAAAATTAATCAACAATGTGGAAATCGAGGCCATTCCGCATACCACCGATGGTACCAATGACTTCGTCCCCATGTTTCGTGCTAAAGAGTCGTGCGAACTGTGTGCGAGAATGGGATTGGACTGCTTCTTGGCCACGAGAGGATCGCTAGTTGCCGGGTGTACGTGCTGTATCTCCCTGTATCGGGAATGCAGCTTTGTCCATCCCAAGATCCCTAAAGGGTTCGTCAGCACTTTCCCGGGCATTACAGAAGATCAACAAGTCTGCGAGGGCAGCCTGTCTGAACGTAGGAAGGCCATGAAATCTATGGAGGAAGGACGGGGCCGCAAGACAGGGGCACGATTTCCAAGGGATGCAGTCAAGATCTTGAAGCAGTGGCTCGCGGAACATGCGGACCACCCATACCCCAATGAAAGGGAAAAAGACGAACTCAAACAAGTCACGGGCCTGAAGAGAAGCCAGATCTCGAATTGGCTGGCCAATGCCCGGAGAAGGGGCAAGGTCCGACCTGCTTCGGGACCGTCGTCGCCGATGCTAGGAGCCATCGACATCCCTCCAAGGCCTGACAACCCTGATATCGCGGACCTGAACCCTCTGGACAGATGGAAGGCCTCGCCGCCGGAACACGAACCTGCTTCCATGACTGCCATCGCCAGAGCCGTCACGTCGACGCCCCTCCCGCAAAGGAACTCTTCTCAGTCCAGCCTTCACGGGTCCAGGGCGAGTTCGAAGCAGGCTTCCAGCGAAGATGATTCCTCCTTCTCCATGTTCCGAGCCCCATCCGTGAGCAGTTTCGGAACTCGAGAGTCGAGCAACAGCGACCTCACCTTTGCATCTTCACGCTCCAACAGATCGAAAGGATCATTCGCCTCATCACAAGATCGACGCAGGCGCAGGAGAGCTCCCATGACCCAGAGGGCAGTTACACAACAGTCCAAGTCCAAAAGTGCCAGGATCTTCCAGTGCACCTTCTGCACCGATTCCTTCCCTGCAAAGTATGACTGGCAGCGTCATGAGAAATCATTGCATTTGGCATTGGAACGCTGGACATGCTGTCCCAATGGCGGAACCATGATCGATGCCCTGACAGGCGTGGAGATATGTGCCTTTTGTCGCGAGGCAAACCCCACCGCCGACCATTTAGAAACGCACAACTTCACGGCGTGTCAAGAAAAGACGGTGCAAGAACGCACTTTCTATAGGAAAGATCATCTGAGCCAGCATCTCAAACTGATGCACAATGCAAAGCTGCAGTCGCATATGGATACGTGGAAATCGACCACCAACGAGATCAAATCATCGTGCGGCTTTTGCCCGTCCAAGTTCACCACTTGGCAGCAGCGCGCCGACCATCTCGCTGCCCATTTCCGCAACGGCGCAGACATGAGCATGTGGTCCAATGGTTGGGGGTTCGAACCTTACGTCGAAAGACTGGTCGAGAACGCCTTGCCTCCGTACCTTATCGGCCACGAGAGGATGACCATGGAACCATACGTTGCCAGAGCGCAGGCCACACCGTCCTCCAACACGGACGCAGGCTTGACCAACGGCACGTCCGCTGCCGATGGCTCCGAGCCTGAGCAGATCGTCAAAGATTCCAATTGCTGGGGTCGTCTCGAGCAGGAACTGACCAAGTATGTATCGCAGCAGAGGGCTGCAGGCAAGATCCCGACCGACTCGGAACTCCAGGATCGCGCCCGCATCATTATTTTCGAAGACAACGATCCTTGGAACTGGACCGTTGCCGACAACAAGCAGTGGCTCGACACTTTCAAGTATCAGCGTGGGCTGACTGATGCCCCTGAAGCCACGAGCGTGCCTTCACTGGCCGAGGTGCCGGTCATGGCCCCCTATGTCATCCCGGGCGGCTTGAAGTCCAAATCTCCCAGCGCATGTCCAGGAGGCAAAGGCACTCCAAGACCGAGTTCACTGCGGAGTCTGTCCTCCCCAGACTCTCATCCTTACGGGGTTACGGGAGTCGGCCCGCATAGCGGCAGTGCTCTCACCTCTGCCACAGCGGCGAACTTTGATCCACAGATGGACTTTGACTTTGACAGCATCGACTTCAGCGGTCTTGATCTTGGCATAATGGACGACATGGACTTCGATGTTGGGTTGCACGGTCATCTGGAGAACCCAGTTGGCTCCACGGGAATGCATGCGTCAAGCACGACGGCCGTCGCTCCCAACACCACAGTACCATTCTCGACGAGCGTCCCAGGACATGCAATTTTTGGATCATATACCTTCGGCTCCACGATGGGGCAAGGGACAGACATACCAGTACAACAACCATACGCGCAGCAGCAGCCTGCTCAACCACAAGAGTTTATGACAACACAAGAATTGAACAATTTGGCAGGGACAGGTTATATGGGAACAACTGGGTTTCACTGAATATTTTGGACAGCTGATTGACTGTGACTGACGGAGTCTTGGGATAATGTGACTTTGGTGGCGATTATGATATATATAATGCGAGACGGCTCACCGGTCTTATACTATATCCTACAATTAGAAAATATATGATTCATTCTTCAAGGTGGTGGGTGTACAGGGCGCACTGCGTAACAGATGTAGGGCGCAGGGCGTGTGCTCTCCCTGTGATGATCAAGCAATGCTTCCCAGAATACAGTCCTTGGATCAGGTATCTCATGATTCGTAATCACCACTTACTCATCTATACGTACCCTTGTAGGTAGCAGATCCTTCCAGCCGGTGCAGAGTTGCGGTTTGTGCTGAGTGGTTAGGCAGATATCCAGAAATATATTTAAGTGAGAACTAGATAATTTATCGCTCCCAGGACTACAAGAAACAACACCTTCGGACAGCAACGGCACATTGATTTAGACCTATATGCGTGCCCAGTAAGGTGCGGTTATAGCTGGCACAAGCTACACTGTCAATACCTGTAGAGTACGGTAGCAATGAGCCTTCAATTCCTGGATGAGAGTCTGGTCGAAGGGCAAGAATAGTATAGGTCACAGAAATTGAGTTCACGTGGTCTAAAGTCACGCGGTCTCAATCAGTCCCACTCTTTTAGCCAAATCTGTAGGGCTATAATGTAATTGCGTGAAATCTCTTTCAACAATCACTCGAGAGCCATCACAAGTGGCTCCTCCATCCTCGATGGTGTAATGGTCAACATCGGTCGCTCTCACCGACCAGCTCTGGGTTCGATTCCCAGTCGGGGAGATTTTCTTTTTGTCCGTTTGCTTTTTTCCTCCTTCACCTCTTTTTGTAAGTCGAAACTCGTGCTGTCCGCATTTGAAAAGATGTTCACCATATTCTTTTTTTTTGGAGATCTCAATCTCTGCTTAGCCTTCGACTAATTATTCTGCTTGGAGAATATAACCACTGCACTACTTGAATCTTGCCTTATCACGTGGCTGAGTATTACTACGTTGTGTTTGGACTTCCAAGAAATTCATGTTGAAGTTGTGCTGTTCATGATTATTATGACGGACCTAAATATCGGATAGTTATCAAAAGGGACAATTTGATTAATGGCAGTGCTGCTTATCAGGTTGGTTCTGTAAAGCGTCGACTTGCCTGACCCTCTCTTCAATACTGCTTTGCAAATCCCTAGCGCCAGCTTTTATCTTCCATGCTTTTGATTGAACTCATCAATGACCTCTTTCGTGGTCTTGATGATGCCAAGGCAGCCTGGCGAGTCAGAATGGCAGCAAATACTGATGGGATAGTCCTTGACGGGCAGCTTCACGGTGCTGCCATCCGTTGCAGTCACCGACTGCGTATTCAGCTGCTGACTGACGTGCTTCCTGACATCCTCCAAATTCCACGGCTTCTTCTTCCTATCAATAACGAGCATTCCCTGGTTGTCATATTTGACATCGCCGTACAACTCGGCCCAGAAGGTGATCCCAAGGTCATTGGCCGCCTTCTCCATGTTGGTGCCAGGCAAGCCGAAGACAGGAACTCCCTTAGGAATGCCCTCCATGACTGCTCTGGCAATCTCGTAATCCCGGCACATCATGCCATACAGAATGCCATGCGGCTTGACGTGGTGTAGCGGTACGCCTTCTCTGTCGAGGAAACCTTTCAAAGCGCCGACTTGGTAGACGGTGATGGCCGTCAATTCCTCCGGACTCATCTTAATCTCACGGCGACCGAACCCTTGAAATGTTCAACAGCACGCACTTGTTCCTGGAACTGGGGGTACAAACCTTGAATGTCTGGCAGTCCTGGATGAGCGCCGACTTTGACATTATATTTCTTACAATTGCGGACGGTTTCTTGCATAATCAACGGGTCGCCCGCGTGGAAGCCGCATGCAATATTGGCATGGTCTATGAGAGGTAGAAGCTCCAAGTCCGGACCACACACATAGTTCCCATACTATGGTCGGATCAGTAACAGCTGGCATAATGCGATGAGGATTGCTGCAACTTACAGCCTCGCCCAGATCTACGTTGAGAAGGGCCTTGTGTTTGATTGGTGGAGCAGCCATTTTTGAAGGCGGATACGTTACTAGGTCCACCGGCTGCAGTGTACCTTCGACGAGGACAAAATAATGCAAACCCAGAGCGTCGGTAGCCGGGATCAAATATACTCGAACAAACAGTCCTACCTAGGTAGTGAGCCCGTTCAAGCAATTGCTCCGGTCTGCCGGAACCGCAGCATCTTATACGGGACCGCTATACCAGATCCCATATAACGTCACGCCAGCGGAGATGAACGAAGGAGGGGAATATCCACCCCCTCCACCGTCTTGGTACCGTCTGGGGGGTCAATGGGGGGCTCAGGAGGCCTCGGGCTGCGATCAGATCCAATGGAAGTGTTTCCCTGACTACTAGCACTCTCTGATATCGAGGACTCCCATCTGGCATGGCAACTGACAATCCATGATGCGTTTGTACCTCGGGCCTCATCACCCCGGAGCCGCACTTCCAAAGCTGAGGTCTCTCTCTCAACGCACAGCTTCAGCCAGCTCTGCGTCTTCGTCTCTTCTTGTCAGCTAGCAGCGTCTTCAGCATCTTCTCGCAAAGCACGATGGAGAAGATCAAGACCTTGCTCGTTGCAAACCGCGGCGAGATCGCCGTCCGCATTTGCAAGACGGCACGTAAACTTGGCATCAAAACCATCTCCATCTATACCGGCGCCGATGCTGCGTCTGCCCACGTGGGAGCAGCCGACGAAGCCGTCCTCCTTTCTGGACCTGATGCAAAAGGCTACATCGACGGAGAGCACATTGTCGAAATAGCAAAGTCGAAAGGTGCTGACGCTGTGATCCCTGGGTATGGTTTCCTTTCTGAGAACACCGACTTCGCACGCCATGTTGCAGACGCTGGCATGGTCTTCGTAGGACCAAGTCCTAAATGTATCGAGGACTTTGGTATCAAACATACCGCACGTGAACTGGCGGAAAAGGCAGATGTCCCCATCGTCCCAGGAAGCAAAGGCCTGATCAATTCAGAGGAAGAAGCGGTGGCAGAGGCCAAACGTTTAGGGTATCCGGTGAGTCCTCCCGACTTTGTATAGCGTGACTTGATGTCTGACTGTTGCAGGTCATGCTCAAAGCTACAGCAGGCGGAGGCGGTATGGGTTTGATGGCATGCAGTGATGAGAAGGCGGTCCGAGAGTCGTTCAAGACAGTCAAGTCTCGCGGCGAGACGCTGTTCAAAAACTCGGGCCTCTTCATGGAGAGATTTTATCCAGCCGCCCATCACATCGAAGTCCAGGTGTTTGGTAACGGCCAAGGTCAGGCCATCCACTTCGGCGAGCGCGAGTGCTCCATTCAACGTCGACATCAGAAAGTCATCGAGGAATGTCCGAGTCCATTCCTGCCTAAACATCCCGAGCTTCGTGAGAAGCTGGGATCTGCAGCTGTCCGGCTTGCTGAGTCGATCAAATACGGATCAGCGGGCACGATTGAATACCTTGTCGACGACGAGTCTGGAGACTTCTTCTTCCTTGAGATGAACACGCGGCTGCAGGTGGAACACGGCATTACCGAACTATGCTACGGCGTGGATTTGGTGGAACTGATGCTCAAGCAAGCCGATGCCGAACTAAGCGGCAAAAGTGGCCTTGCCGGCGACTATCTTCACAGCCTTCAGCCGAAAGGTCCCACTGGAGCGGCCATCGAAGTCCGAGTGTACGCTGAAAACCCGGCAAAGAACTATGCTCCGTCTCCAGGAACGCTGCAACAAGTGTCGTGGAAGGAAGTGCCAGGGTCGAGAATTGATGGCTGGGTCCATACTGGCACCAAAGTCACCTCGTTCTACGACCCGCTCCTGGCCAAGGTGATGGTGCATGCGCCTAACAGGACCGAGGCCATCAAGCGAATGTCCGAGATGCTCGAGGGCTCCAAGATCTTTGGGCCGCCCACCAACATTGAATTCCTGGCGGAGATTCTCGAAGACAGCACATTCCAAAGCGGGAGAACCATCACCAAGTTCCTCGACACATTTGAGTACAAGCCTCATGCGATCGACGTGCTCCAAGGCGGAGCGTACACTCTGGTTGAAGACTGGCCTGGTCGCCCAACAGTCGGTAAAGGGTTCTCGCACTCCGGGCCAATGGATCCAGTGGCCTTCCGCATCGCCAACGCTCTTGTGGGCAATCCCACGGGCAAAGAAGGGCTCGAGATCACACTGAGCGGACCGGACCTCAGATTCCTCGGGCCAGCAATAGTGGCCCTCTGCGGAGCACCAATGGATGCCAAGTTGGACGGCAAATCGGTGCCCATGTGGACTCGAATCAAGATCAAGGCCGGGCAGCGGCTGACGATAGGGAAGACGACCGGCGGCGGATGCAGATCCTACCTGGGCATCTACGGCGGTCTGCCCAGCATAGCTACCTGGTTTGGGTCCAAGTCTACGGCGCCCATGACAAGCGTGGGCGGCTACCAAGGGCGAGCACTTGCTGCAGGCGATCTTCTGATGATTACCAAAGATGTACCGGATGTCCAAGGTGAACTGAAGCTTCCGGACCACCTGATCCCTGCGTACCCTGCTGAATGGGACTTGTTCGCCATGCCGGGACCGTACGACGAGGGCTACATCACGCCCGAATCGATCGAAGAGTTCTACAACAGCACCTACACGGTCTCGCACAACGCAGCCCGCGGCGGGATTCGACTGCTAGGCCCGAAGCCTAAATGGGCTCGCCCTGACGGTGGCGAAGGAGGGTCTCATCCGTCCAATGTCATCGAGTACGGGTATCCTGTCGGCAGTCTCAACTGGACGGGCGATGATCCATGTTTGTTCCCCGTGGACGCACCGGACTTTGGTGGGTTCGTGTCTGCCACGACCATCGTCAAGGCCGACTACTGGCGAATGGGCCAAATGAAAGCCGGCAACAAGCTGCGCTTCCGGCGAATCTCGTACGAAGACGCGATCGCCCTGCGAAAGGAAGTCGAGTCCTTCCTCGAGCGGATCCACGAGGCATGCAACGGGAAAGCCAAGTTCGAGGACATTTCGCCCTTGAAATACGAGGGACTCCCCCCTTCCACCCAGAACAAAGGGTGGGAACGTGCCGTGATCCACCAGATTCCCGAAAAGGGCAATCAACCACTGGTCTCGTATCGACAGGGCGGCGACGACTTTATCCTAATCGACTACGGCCATGGGTCCTTCGACCTCAACTACCGATGCCGCGCTGTGGCCTTGTACCGCAAACTCAAGGAGGGCCGTGGCGAGATATCGTTTGAGAACGGCGTGCTGCACACCGGCATGGCCAGTGGCAATTCGCTTACTATCTACTTCGACTCTCTCAAGGTGCCCAGACAGAAGATGATGGAGCACCTTCTCAACCTCGAGACCGAGCTCGGCGACTTGAGCGAAGCCAAGTTCCCCAGCCGCAAATATAAACTACCCATCACGTTTGAGAGCGAGCGCCAGAAACAGAGTATCCAGCGATATATCGAGACGCAACGGCCCTATGCGTCGTATTTGCCTGATCCCATGGAGTTTGTCGCAAAGAATAACGCAATGACCATACAGCAGGTAAGCAGTGCCACTCCACAGTCTCATGCAGTACCCGAGTTTTTGTGTATCTATATGTACTAACCGAAAATATAGCTCAAGGACATCTTCACCAAATCGTCCCTAATGGTCGTCGCAGTCGGCTTCTTCGTAGCCCTGCCAATCGCACTCCCCATCGACCCCCGGCAACGGATCCAATGTCCGAAAATGAATCCATCTCGCGTCCACACGCCTGAAGGCCAAGTCGGCTGGGGCGGGTCTTGCATGGCCATCTACAACGTCGAATCGCCTGGCGGATACATGAACACGGGCCTGTCAATCCCCGGCGCCGATATCTTGGGTTACAAGAAGGGATATAGTCCCGACAAACCCTGGCTGTTTGAGGACTTTGATCAAATTACGTTTTATGAAGTCAGCCAGGACGAATACGAGGATATGATGGCCACGTTCCGAAGCGGCCGGTACGAATACCAGTACGAAGACACCGTGTTTGACATGAAGGAACATAATCAGTTGTTGCGCGATACAAAGGACGAGGTCGCCCAGATCCGCGCGAGGCAGCGAGAAGCGCAGGCCGAAATGGGGAAATTGGAACAGGAGTTGCTGGCTAAATGGAACAAGGAGAAGGAAGCTGGCAAAGTCAGCGTCGATACTGTTCAGGAGTTGTTGCATGGTAAGTGTGGACTTGGAGGCCGCAAAGCGGTCTTGATCTCGGTCTGGGCCTCGGGGTTGAGCATTAAATACTAACGTCTGGCAGATCCAAACATCATTCCCGTCGAGGCCCCTCTCAACGCCAACGTCTGGAAAGTCGAGGTCAAGGAAGGCGACGTCATCAAGGCCGACCAAGTCGTTTCCATCCTCGAGGCCATGAAGCTCGAAATCCCCGTCAAGGCCGAGTCCAGCATGGAAGGCGCAAAGGTCGAGAAATTGGTCGTCAAGCCGAATGATGTTATTGAGGCCGGGAAGCCGCTGATGTTGCTGAGGAAATCAGGGTAAAGCTGGCTTGATAAGACGAATAAAGGCTACCTGATAACTTTGGGGTCGAGATGAGCTCGGCATGAAGCACCCAGCTTGAACTGGTGGAACAGCAGCCCGCCGTGCCGCGCGCTTGAAGCAGGTTCTGTAAAGAATTGCCATACTGTATATCCCTTGACGCTTGTACTCATGTATGTATTGTTATATCATTTTACCTCTTCATCCATCGAATACCTAGGTGGGTAGGGCACCGTACATATACTTCAGTTGCGTGACTGAACTTGAAGTAATTCAACTCGTTGGTATCTACTTTGAACTTATATTACCATGGTTCAAAGTCCGCTGCCAGTATAGAGACCGCTGTCGCTGCATTACTGTGCATCATTATGAAGAGGCCACTTTCATGCCTTGGCCCAATCGATCTTCCGCTCATTCTGCCAAAAATCACCATTTGAACCCTTGATATCGCCAATAGCCAACAAGACAGGAGTCTGCGCACCCTCGTCGGGCGTCTTGGTGCCTCGGCCCTTCGTCATATCTGTATTGACATAGCCGGGACAACAGCAATTGATTAGTGTTTTACTTCCAGAGTGGGCATTCTGGCGCGCAATAGTCTTCGTCATTCCAATAACGCCGGCCTTGGACACAGCATACGCCGAACTAGGCCAGTTCTTCTCGTGCTTCCCCTCGGCGACTTCCGAGGTGAATTCCTCCATGAGCTGGGTGATGTCCTCGGGCTTCTGGGCCTGCAGGAATCGAGACCGGATGGAGTTGGAGTATTGAGAGGTCAAATGTCCCACCATGCTCGCCACATTCACCAACCGGCCACCGTCTTTGATATGCGGGAGGATCTGCTGAGTCGCTTCAAGCGTGCCGTAGTAATTGCAATGGAGGGTTTTCTTGACCACGTCAATGTCGAACCCCTGCAGGGCAATTCCCGCGTTGTTGATCAAGAAATCAATTCCCTGAGGATGCTCTTTTTTCAGAAAACTGGCAAAGTCCCGGATACTTTGTGTGCTGTCGATGTCTAATGGGTGGTATTTGACGTCGGTTAGTCCGCCCTGGATGCGTAGTGCTTTGGCCTTTGTGAGTTGCGGATCGGAATGGAGGGACTCCAGGGCGGCTTTGCCTCGCTCTTCGTTTCGTGCCGTCAGGTAGATGAGGAGTGGGCCGTTGTTGTATGCGGATTTGGGATATTGGAGGGCTAGTTGGCGCACAATGGCTATGCCGATGCCTTTGTTGGCGCCTGTTACGGCACCGACCCGGGTGTATGCTGCCATGATTGGGGTATACAGTACAATGGGTGCGAGGTATGTCGAGGGGAGGAGAAATGCAAGGTCAGATAGTAGGTAGATTCGAGTTCAGGTTGTTGAGGAGAGGCCTGCTGGATTACAAATGTCATGGCCTGTGGACGGCTTACCTTGCGCTATACGTATGTTGTACATTGTAGATGTCATCGAGGGCGCGGCTCTGTGCTGACCGAGCACGACGCCAACAGAAGCACCTCAATCCAATGCACCGATCGGTCATCGTTCTGTCGCTGAGAGCCATGTGCGCCTACAAGCTGCAAAGCTGGTCTCATGTATGTTACTTGCATGTTGCTCAGTATTTCAACTGAGCGCATGTCTGGCAACTTGAACGGCCAGAATAGCGCAGACAGAGCCCAGCCAGATTAATCGGCGTGACGACCGTTGACCGCGGCCGCTGATGCCGAAAGCGCAACGACAGCCGCCGGGACTCGGATTCGAGGGCTTCGGGATGCCGAGCCTGTTTGCTTTGGTTCACATTGCCGCTTATTGGTGGGTGATTCTCGCCGGGCTTCTGGGTCCCAGTTCCAGGGCCGAGGCTAAGCGTGTGCGACACAGCTAATTAATTGCGACTGACGTCTTCGGAATAGACCTGCCACATTCAACTCGAAAGCTTTGCGGCCTCGATGCTGGATTTCTCTCTCCTGTAAACAGTTGAGACCAGTCCAGTTTCCCCTCTGTTTGGAACTGCTGTCGTGGGCGCGACGGGATCCTCATCCATGGCTTCCAAACATGTCTCCAAGCCTCTGTTGAGGCTGGCCAATCCATCTCATCAGCCATGCCGCTCCTTCTCCAGACCCGCGACGTCGCTATTGTCTAGCAACACGACGACCACAACCTTCCCCGCACGACCGAGAGCGCTTGCAACCCGGAGCACGAGACCAGCAGTATTTGTTGCCGGCCAGAGACGATCGATATCTGCAAGTCTGCAGCGTCGGTATGCCGACGTCGAGGTTGACGAAGGGTTCGACCCGGCCAGCATAGAGCGGGAGTCGGACGAGGTCGATGTGTGCATTGTGGGCGCAGGGCCCGCTGGCTTAAGTGCTGCAATCCGGTTAAAACAGCTGGCCAATGAGGCGGGAAACGAAGAATTCCGAGTGGTGGTCTTGGAAAAGGCCGGCGAGGTGGGCGCACACATCTTGTCAGGGAACGTGCTGGAGCCAAGGGCGATCAATGAGTTGATCCCGGACTGGCTGGCCGAGGACAATGAAAACAGATTCACAGGCGCCACGCCTGCCGGGTCGGACAAGATGCGCTTCTTGACCAAGACCGGCGCCCTTCCTCTGCCCGCGCCCCCACAGATGCACAACAAGGGAAACTACATTATCAGTCTAAGTCAATTCGTCAAATGGCTCGGCGAGCGCGCTGAAGAGGTGGGAGTCGAGATCTACGCTGGCTTCGCCGGGGCCGAGATACTCTACAACCATGAGGGTGCGGTCAAGGGCGTCGCGACTAATGACCAAGGTGTTGGACGGGATGGCAAGGCCAAACCAAACTTCGAACGGGGTATGGAGTTCCATGCGCGAGTCACCTTGCTGGCCGAGGGATGCCATGGTAGCCTCACGAAACAGGTCTCCAAGAAGTACGACCTCCGAAGGGATTGCCAGCCGCAGACGTATGGCCTGGGAGTGAAAGAGGTGTGGGAGATCCAGCCCGAAAAGTTCAAGAAGGGCGAAATCTCTCACACCATGGGCTACCCTTTGTCCAGAGACACATACGGCGGCGGTTGGATGTATCACTTCGGCGACAACCTTGTGAGTTTGGGGCTAGTCGTCGGCCTGGACTATTCAAACCCTTGGATTTCTCCATACGGCGAATTCCAAAGGATGAAACTGCACCCATTCTATAGGTCGGTACTGGAAGGCGGCAAATGTATCGCATATGGAGCTCGGGCTCTGAACGAGGGCGGATTCCAGTCTATACCCAAGTGTGCATTTCCTGGTGGAGCATTAATCGGCGACACTGCTGGATTCCTCAACGTGCCCAAGATCAAAGGCACGCACACGTCAATGAAATCGGGCATGTTGGCTGCCGAAGCAGCGTTTGAAGCCCTGAACAACAACAAGGCTGAAGCCACGATCTTCCTGTATAACTACGAGGACGCCCTGCGAGAGAGCTGGATCTGGCCGGAGCTCAAAGCTGTGCGAAACATGCGTCCATCATTTCACAACCCCCTCGGGATTTATGGCGGCATCATGTACTCTGGACTGGAGGCCTTCCTGTTCCGCGGCCATACGCCTTGGACATTGAAGCACAAAAAGCCCGACTGGGCCAACACAAAGCCTGCCGATGAGTGTCCCAAGATCGAGTATCCCAAGCCGGATGGCGAAATCACTTTCGACATTCTGACCAGTGTGTCCCGGACGGGAACGAACCACGAGGAAGATCAGCCCGTCCACTTGCAGGTTAAAGATTGGGAAGAACATGCCCGGAAAGAATGGCCCAAGTACAAAGGCGTGGAGAATCGCTTTTGTCCCGCTGGAGTGTATGAATATGTTGAGGATGACACCAAGGATGTTGGAGTGAGATTTCAGATCAATGCCCAGAAGTGAGTTTCCGCCCACGTGTATCTGATTTGCTTGCTCGCTGTTACTAACAATGTATCCAGTTGCATCCACTGCAAAACCTGCGACATCAAGGTGCCTGATCAGGACATCAACTGGCAGACTCCTCAGGGTGGCGAAGGGCCGAGTTACAGTATTACTTGAGCGCCCGTTGGGACGGACGAAAAGCCTCTCAGATTGCTGGCTACTTCACCATAACGCGTTGTTGATATTGGCGTGGAAGCCCTCATGCGGGCTTGGAGGGCAACGAGCGTGCATGACAAAATGTTGTAACAGTAAAGGCATGCTTGTTAGTTTCAGAGCAGTCATAGTAGCCGAACCTACCGTTGGATGCGTTGCATCGATATCTAGCCAAGTCGGACGTTTTTCCTGCTCAAGCAGTGCTCCTTGTCTCTCCGGATCAGAAATCGGACTCGTTTCGAGCCTCCACAAAGTTTAGTGGCTTTCGTATATGCATGATTAGTCCCGGCGGAATCTCCTGGGGAGTTCGGTGAAGTTACCCGGCGCTTGTCCGATTGAGGTGGCAGCCGTCAATTCTGGCATTTCCGGACGGTATTCTGCTTCGTCAGAACAACTGTCGTGAACAGTAACCCAGCCGTATCCGTGTATGTACTTGTAGCATAGTGAATCTTTGCCGTCCGAAGACTTTGATGGCCCTAACCTGGGGATGGACCTGCCCATGGGGCCATGAAGATGGGGTGCGGCCTGGTCATAGCTGAAGTTTGAGTGGGAACAACTTCCCCAGGCACAGCTTGAGGTTTTCCTATAGCATGACGCCATTTCTTTCGTATGAAGTAATGTGCCCGTGTATTTCCTCGCTTATCTGGAGATCTCTGCGCCGATGGCTACAGACGCTGGGCTCTCCGCCCAAAGAATCACTACTGTTGGAAGCTTCAACAGATGCTAGGCAATCCAGCCCGGCTATAATCGGATGGCGTGTCGCATACTGTGCCTATCACTTGAACCTTACCTAGGTAGTAGCACTCACTCTTCATTACGATGTCCGCTGCCATCGCCGATGAGATGGAATGCAGGATAATAATGTACCGCCATAGGAGCGGCAGCACCGTCTGGTCTTGGTGCCCATTTGACGATTGTACCAAAAGAGGTCCTTTTGCCGAGGTGGATCTTGAGATCAAGTTCATAGGGCATCATTTCGAGATATTTCATCCGTTTGATTGGTGGTAAACCTACCGGTCGACATCCTGGCGTTATCTTTAGGCCACCGGGGCCGGAGGATGATTGGCCAGCGGCGTTGCCAGTAGCGTCCGGATGAAATTCCGGTCGCTGCCAAAACATCCGAAATGGCAAGGCCAAGAAAAACCTAGGTAAGCTTGCGCGGCATGTGAAACAGTTTTGTGGCCACTTGACTCATGATTTTCCCATCTCACCACCACACACTTTTTGACTCCTGAAAGTCCGCCTCCTTGCTCACTCCGGCTGGTTGGGTTCTGCACAGTATGACTGCTTGAGGCTGTCGGGAGAAGTGTGTGATATGGCTACGACTGCATCGGCCTGCAGACGAGAGTCTGGTGCCAAAATGGACGGACTGCGTTTGCAGGTGTTGTGGGCGGCGTCTCCGAGCAGCAGCTTGTAGAATCCGCCAGAGTGTCCCCTTCTCACCTTCCATTCCCCAGCAGAAAAATTTGAAGCACGTGAGCTCGGGCCAATGTCACACAGCCTCCATAGTGGCGGCAACGGCAATTTCTCCGGCCAACGATCTGCTCTGCCATTTCTTTTGTCCGCTGCTGTTTTGAATTGACCTTGCTGAAGGCTTTCATGTTTGCTCTGGGTGGCCGGTAGCAGAAGACAGGCTTTGGTAAAGGGAGGGCGCAGGCATGCACGGGAGCACTGGCATGGCAAGCCGCATGCCAGTGCAGTTGCATTGGCTGTGCAGCAAAGAAAAGGGGCAGATAAGCCTGAGGTGCAAGGGCAGTTGGGCGCTGGGATGACGTCCGCTAGACCGTGTAGGGACTAGCGGGCCAGTAGTCGCCTCTAGCGTCATTTCGGGGCGGCGGGGTGGCCAGGCAGCAGCTGCGACTATAAAAGAGGCCATGCCCTCCTTCCCGCGCGACCGTATCCGACCTTTGATCTCTGACATTTTCTTGGCTTGGCATTTCGCCGCAATTCCACACCCTCGCCATCCACTCTCCACGTTCGTCGGGCTCAAACTGCGCATTCCCACGCCGCACGCCTGCGACAACCTCTCTCATATCCCGTATCCGGCCACGATCTGATCCTCCCTGATCGTGCCTCACATACATTCGGGCGCTCCGCTGCAAAGCCTCTCGAAAAGATTATCCAACAAGAGACTGGATATACTTTGCGAGCGCCGTTCCGTTCTCTTCAAGACAGAAATCAGGGCAAAAGGACATTCAAGCCCGCAAATAGACAGTCTGCACTTTCCGCAATAGTAATTCGCGAGTCCTTTTTTCCTCTTGCTCGTTCTTCCTACCTCGTCGTCGTTGTCGACCGAAGATCAGAAACACCTGGTACTCGGTCTCACTGTCGGTTCCAGTCAAGAATCAAGTCGACGGTGGCCTTGGAAGTAGGGCAGTCGTTTGTAGGGGAGACATTGAGTTGTTCATCTCCCACATTTCGGTACGAATACACACGCACCTACCTCCCTGTCGCAATCCGAGTTCCTCTGTCGCTGTCGAGTTTTGACGACGACGAGCTGCCTGCGCTGCAGTGGGTGAAAATCAACTATTCACTGCCGCAAAGTCAAGTCTCTCGTGCCGCCGAACCGACTGCGAAAACTTCACTTTCCTCTCGCGCCACCTTCACCTGAATCTTACCAACCAGGACAAACCTCGTTCCTAACCAAAACATCTCAGACTGCTTTCATCCTCTCATCAATCTCTCCCTCCCCGATAAAACTCCATCAACCGCAGCGTTTTGTTGCGCTCGTCGAGTACCTCACAAAACTGCAATCATGGAGTCCCTTACCACTCATCCATCCACCGCGCAACAGGCCAAAGCCTTCACATCCCCCGCGTCGCTCTCGTTTCCAGGTGGCGCTGGCGACTTGACACCGCCCTCATCTGAGAAAGATGGACAGAACCTCAACGGTGGCTCCTACGCAGATGGGAAGATGAACGGTCAACCGCAAGGAGGAAATGGAAATGCTTTACAAGCTCCCCAGACGCCTTCGGCGACTCCTGGTGCTGGAGTGAGTGGTATTGTCCCAACTCTGCAGTGAGTACTCCCCTTTGTTGTCCCTTGTTGGTCAACAGAGGTTAACATTTGTACCAAGAAATATCGTTGCTACGGTCAACTTGGACTGTCGTCTCGATCTGAAGACAATTGCGCTTCATGCCCGCAACGCCGAGTACAACCCCAAGGTACGTAAATACGAAACTACCAGTGTTTCTACATGCAGCAGTCTTCTGACACCATGTTCAGCGTTTCGCTGCGGTCATCATGCGTATCCGTGAACCCAAAACCACTGCTTTGATCTTTGCGTCGGGCAAGATGGTCGTTACCGGCGCAAAGTCGGAAGATGATTCGAAACTTGCCAGCCGCAAGTATGCTCGTATCATCCAAAAGCTTGGTTTCAACGCCAAGTTCACGGACTTCAAGATCCAGAACATAGTGGGCTCTTGCGACATCAAGTTCCCTATTCGACTGGAGGGTCTTGCCTCAAAGCATCACCCTTTCAGCTCGTATGAGCCTGAATTGTTCCCGGGTCTCATCTACCGCATGATCAAGCCAAAGATCGTTTTGTTGATCTTCGTCAGCGGAAAGATTGTGCTCACCGGCGCCAAAGTTCGAGAGGAGATTTACCAGGCATTCGAGCAGATCTACCCGACACTCTCAGGTAGGCTTCTTCTGATGTCCTTGGAGTTTCTTCAGTTCTGACTAACAACCTTGACAGATTTCCGTAAGGTCTGAAGAGTCAGTGTCGCCGATCTGTCAACTCACCTGCCGTGTAACAATAAAAATCTTTACCTCCGGTCCTTCGACAACGGTCGGCTTGTCGAGGGATCGTCAGATGCTATGGTTCTTACCAAGCATCTCTCTCCTAAAATTGTGTTTTTTCTTGCTTCCCTGTCACGACTATCACATGAGCATTGCATGGCGTTTTGAGCGAGGTACCTTCTTCGGGGGGCCAACCGATACCCAAGGACGGGTGCAAAGGCCTTTTCAACCAGATTAGACATTGTGTCTTCATCGACAAAGGACATTTTCGCGGTATTCGGCGCGCTGGTCGATTTCGAGTGCCGCCTTGGGGGTGTTGTGTGTTTCACTCTTCCGGTTTCACGGCTGCTGCCCGGTCTTCTGGCGATACATCACAAAGATGTGTTCCGGGCATGGAGGTTCATCCTCTCCTATTTCAGACTTTGGGGGCTCCGAGAGGTTGAAACCTGTCCATCGGACTGTAGCAACGAGAAAAGCAAAAGTGGTGGCGTTTCTTGCATGGCTGTCGGAAGGGTGCTCGTGCTGCTGGAAACATCAGCAGCATTGCATGATAGCTTCAATATGAATCTTGATCCCGCCAAAACGTTTGTTCTTGTTTCGATCGAGTCTGTGATTTGTCCGCTGTCGCCTCTTTGATATCATCACGGCGTCAGATTGTAGTGCAAGTGAACCACCGCCATCGAGTCGGCGGAAGTGGTCGTCGACAGAAACCCCAGCAGTTGTGGCATTCTGCATGAAGTTGGTTTGACGGGCTTGTGTGTCTCATCAGGCACCGCGACTGCACTGCTCTAATCTAGATGAATGATGCCCCTCGAGATCGTGACAAGAATACTTTGTTTTCACATGCTGACATGTTTGTCACGTAGTATGTCATGTCATGGCGTGTGCTTCGGCAGGCGGCTCTTCTGTTGCGGTTGAATTCACTCTGATACTTTTCCCAAGTGATCCGTGAATGATAACCAGTCACTCAGTCCGTGTAGGTGAGGTGACAACGGGTGACGATGGGGTCCGACTCGACTCATCAGCGGTCAAGGGAGATTTTGCACACGGTAAGTAGCAGCTGGTGGGATAGGTGGATAGTGATGAGTAGTGATGCAGGTGTCGTGACGCTTTGCTGGGCTGTGGAATTTGTTGGTGTTGCATCGTGAGGTAGGTATTATTGTACAGCAGTAGTACCTTGTAGTCAGGAGAGGATATGGGCGCTTTGCGGTGCGGTTGTCCTTGAGAACCAGGGGAAATACTGTACCTGCAGTTGAGGCCCAACTGTCCAGTAGAACCAGGTGCAGTACAGTAGACGGTAGCAGTCGTCAGGGAAGAGAAGAGGGAATATAAATAATTACCTCTGCACTGCAGTATAATGTTGGATTGTTTCGAGGGATGATCGTTGCTGGTCCTCACTCCCCCCAAGGTTAGGGTCCTCACTCACCACACCACTGCGCGGCACTCCAGCCTGAGGTATGTAGGTACGGTACTCGATCGCTTATTCACTGAGTTGCAGAGTGACAGATGAATAGTATTGTCTTGTTGTAGGCATCATATTACTTTCTTGAACCATCGCGATGTTGGATGGCAAGGCGCTGAACCAAGGAGGCACCGTATAGCAGGAAGAGTGGTGGTGGTGGTGGTGGTGGTGGTGACAAGTTGAACTGCAGTGCGCGAATAGGGGGGAGTAGTACTGTATAATGAGGGGGTTGCTTGTTGTCTTGCAGTGGGACGCGTGCTCAGGATTCGTGACTCGGGCTCGTGCGCACCCGCGGCTGTGGTTCGCGGTTGTGTAGTATTTTGGCTCGAACTTTTGAGTATGTACCTGGTAGGTAGGTAGGTAAAGTGTTATTATTGTGTCTGTACCTTATGTAGCAGTAGTACTAGGAGAGTAGAGTACATGGTTGAGTGTCGAGAGTCGAGGATCAAGTATTATTAGTTGTAAAAGAACCGCGGGTGTAGTACAGTAGGACCAGAAATATGTAGAATGGATGCCAGTGCACTGGAGTGGCAGATCGCGTCTTGGTGGGGGAGACTCTGCCCTGGTTTGGCTTCGGTCTGTCACTGGACGAACTTAAACCATGGAATCGATAATGTCGCGTGATGAACCTCACTGCTGCTGCTGCTTCTGCTTCTGCAAGAATTTAATCATGCAGTGCGGGACAAAATACTCCCTGATAGGTTATGGTCGTGCAAATGATATGCGGTACTATCAGTAGCAATGCAAGGGATCAAAGATAATCTATGAAGGCAAGACGAGGCAAAGTGGCTTCGATGGGTTTGAGTAGTACGACATCCTCTTCGTTGCAAGGGGGCTCACTTTGTCAAATCCTCGACGGAATTTATATACTGACTGCGATGCCAATGATGCACTGGCACTGGCAGGCCATCTTGGTCGAGCGACTTTGCTACCAACTAATTTACCAGTATTATAGTCCAAGGATGGAACACTAGGAGCAATCCAGACCAGGCCGGATGATACCAGTGCGAGTATATGAGATATATGTATACTTACCAGGTAGCAGCTCGAGTATCTCAAGCCATAACCGCCAGTCGCAGGTCTCTCCTCACGAATTTATATGTCCTCACGAGTTTATATGTCCTCACGAGTTTATATACAGACAAACTTGCAAAACAACAGATTTATAGCTTCGAGTCACGGCGTAGCGATGGTTTGATGTCCTTTCTGGCCAGCTCTTGCTCGAGAATCATGCCTTTGGGTCCAGCCCGACTACCGTCCTCACAGCCGATAAAGTCTTGGACAACACCGGTCGCCGCCACCTCGGCGTCAGTTCTCCAGCGCCATTCTTTGGCTAACTCGGGGTCCAGTGTCCCTTGTATGGCATCGACGATTTTATCACCGATCACGGGGAAGAACTTGAAACCGTGGCCGCTGCCTCCTGTGGCGATGAACAGACCTTTGTACCGCGGGTGGAACGTAATGAGAAAGTCGCCGGTTGGACTACAAAAGGGTTAGACGCGTCCGGTTTGGGGAAAAAAGGGGCTTGATAGCAAGAATGAAAAGCATGGGATCATAGACTGGGAAAGGAATGTGAGGAATTGGAGACTTACGTGTCGCAGTACCAACATATTCTTGTCCTCGAAAACGGACGCTCCGCCATGTGCGGCACCAAGCCTCGCAGAGCTTCGCGCAACGCCTTCTGTCCCTCGAGGGGGATTGGCGTTCCAACCTTGGGAACGCTCACTTCGACAACTCCGCCTTCCTCAGAACATTCGAGGTCATTGTTGAGGAATCCCGGATCGAGCTTCTTCCGGGGGATTTTGACGGGGTTAATGTACCCGAAGCCGTGTCTTGCGATCTTCAACTCCTTTGTTCGTGGGGGGATGATGAACATGCCCCGACTCAGGTTCATGATGGTCGGCCTGTCTTGCATGGCCTTCACCTCTTCATCGGTGATGTTGACATATGCGATCGCCTGACCGGTCGCCAAACAACGACCTTGCAAATCGATCAAAGTCGGACTCCAAGCTCCTGCGGCCAGGATCGTCAGGTCTGCGTGTATCTGCTCGCCACCGACCAACTCGACACCGGTGCATTTCTCCGTGCTGGGTTCCACGAGGAGCCTGGCGACATGTGCACCGCTGCGCAGTGTGACTCGGTCGCCGCCCTCCTGGCGCAATCGCCTCAAAGCGTATGCGACGCATTTCTCGGCATCCGCCCAACCAGAGTTGAAGTTGGCATATCCGTAATCCCCGCTGACTTGGTCGTAGCCCGTCGCGGCTCGGATCTCGTCTGGATTTCGCAGTTCCTTGATCTTGTCCGTGTCCACGTACCAGCGTCGGCGGCCCTGGTTGTCCTTCTCGTCCTCTGCCGCCAGTTCCCGGACCGTCGCCAGTGACTCCTTGACGTACCGGCCGCCTTCTTCTTCATCTGCCGTCAGAACGAACCCGGGCTCATAGTATCTGCCTTCCCCGCCCCATCCTTCTGGCGTCTTGTCGCGCCACAGCTCTTGCGCCTCCAGCGCTAGCCTCGAGTAATGTCGGTAGGCATAGTCGGCGCGCACGATCCGGCTGGCGTCCACGGACGAGCCCTCGGGGTTCGGCAGCGACGGCGAAGCATCGACAATCGTCAGGCGAGTCGCCTTGTATTCTGGCTTGTGGAGGATCGATAACGCAGTGGACAGTCCGAAGACGCCAGCTCCAATTATGAGAACATGCTGAGGGATTGGGCCGTTAGACATGATAGCTCATAATTGAATTGTGTTTTATTTTTCTAGCACCAAGATACGCCTCGGCTCTTATTCAATAGGTATAAGCAGTAGTAGTATAAAAAAGCTAACTGGAAATCGTCAATCGCAATCGTACGCAGCTGCTCAGGCCATCGTGTGCTCGTGTGGATTTTGCAGCTGCTCAGGCTGGGGCTTCGTACCTTTTTTTCTCCGCACTCGCAGTCGTCTTCGAAAAGGCGCGTGCCTCGCAGAAAACAGACACTACTTACTACTACTACTGCACCCTTGAACCGATCCGGCCGAACGGTTTCCGCAGGGAAAAATTATTATCATGTGTTCATCCCACCACTGATTTACTTGTGCAACTCCGACTCCCCGAAGTTGTGGGGAATTGCTTTTGATGCTTGCAACATACTCCCAAACATCCTTGTGTATAGATTACTTGCGATGCAATGAGCCTCAGACTCCCAGTCGCAGACACGAGGATGCGGTCCCTGGCAAAGTCGAGAGTTCCGCACCTCGCAGCCTCGCTACTTGTGAAGCGCGCGACGTCGTCTCCAGGGGACCTCAAACCACGAATACTGGTACAACATGGTTCAAGTTATCGTAACAGTCTCGCCTCCGGCTACAGACAGACGATACCCCCGCCGACCAGCTGCAGCTGGCAACGGCCATTATTGAACCAGAACACCTCCCGCACCTACGCATCGACCGCTCAGAGTCTACCACGGCGGGCTCCCCTACCACGACCATCGCAGCCATCGAACCAAGCAGTTGGTAACGCCTCACCCAAGAACAATGGACCTACTAGTTCATCAGCAGCGGCGCGGGCGCGGGCCTCGAGTCGACCGCAGCGCTCATTCAACATATACTTCTGGGGCGTATCACTATTCGGATTCGTGCTATCAGCCTACCTCAGCTCTCTATACGTAACATACCAGCGCGAAGTGAAAGAGTCGGAACAACTAGACCTGCCCCAGAATGCAGACGTATCGAGCCGCTGGATGGATCTGTCACGCAACTTCGACGACGAAGTCGACATGTCGGAGAAACTGATGGGCTTGCGGTCCAAACGGCGGAAACTTTGCCAGCAAGCCGAGGGAAACGTGCTGGAAGTCAGTGCAGGCACGGGGCGAAACATGGACCTGTACAATCTCGATCCGATCAACACGCCGCGCAACAAAAGGATCAAATCTCTCACTTTCAACGACCAGAGTGAGATCATGGTCTATCAGGCCGAGAAAAAATTTGAGAAATTGCAGGAAGAGACGGATGCCATTGCAAAATTCCGCGGACCCGTTCGGTTTGTGGTTGGCGACGCCGCTGATAAACGGGTCATCAGTCGACCTGAGGGCGGGTTCGATACTATTGTGCAGACTATGGGCTTGTGCAGTATGGCGAACCCGGTGGGGTTCCTTAAGAGGTTGGGTGAGCTGTGTAGACAGCCTGGTGAACCAACTAAGGGACTTGACAATCTGACCAACAAAAAAGAAGACGGTCGTGAGACCGATCAGAGACCACATGGTGAAGGCGACGGCAACCAAGACAAAGGCGGCAAAATCCTCCTCCTCGAACATGGCAGGTCCTATCTCGGTTTCCTCAACAAGTATCTCGACAACATTGCCAAACGACACGCCGACCGCTACGGATGCTGGTGGAACAAGGACATTGACCAGATCATAAAGGACAGCGGGCTCGTCGTCGAGAGCAAGAAGCGGTATCATTTTGGGACCACGTATGAATACGTGTTGAGGCCGCCGCCGCATCAGACCCAAAGCACGAGTACAACTACGGGCCCCACCGCAGCAGAGGACGTAAACCATGCTTGAACTGAATTGGGAGTGGATCATATGGAGAGATACAGATATACAGAACATACTTGTAACAATAGTAAATCCCTATACTGTATTAGTAGTATATATACCTAGATAGTAGTACCCGACATTCTACTCTTTACGAAGGCATTATATCCCATCAAATCGAATACTCGCCAGTGAGGTGTACCGAGCCAAAATAGAAATAATATAACTAGGGCCTAACCGCATGCTGCGTGTGCATCATACTAGTCCACTGCGCGAACATAAAAGGTTGAGATCCTTCGCGAGGGTGTATGCACCCTGACTGCATTCGTGGAAATCTGAAAATACATACATTCTATGAATACATTGTATATATTAAATTGAGCAACACTGCTTCTGCCGCGGCCAATCGATCCACGTGGCCCAGAGAACAGCTACTGGCACGAGTATGCCACATGCTTCTGTACCACTGGACAGTAGTAATAAATGTAATGTATCAGCATTCAGTGATGCCGCCTCGATGCGAAACAACCACCAAAGTGCCTGCCTACCCAAGGTAGGTAGGCTTGACATTGCACACTGGCAGACCTGACTTCGCGGGCGCCGAGTCCGGATCAAACCCCCCTGTTTGAACTTTCATGTTGGAGAAGACCTCTTCTTCGGATGACCATACCCTCCATGAGCTGGTTCGGCTCAGCTTGGAATGCATGGGGTTCAAGTTCGGTCATAGTATGAACGGGCCAGGTAGGTAAGCACTTCAAGTTGTCCGGCAATTGATATTTAGGACACTCGAACCGAAGTGGCGGCCATAGTTCCATCACCTCCGCAGCATTCCTGTGTGGTAAGGTTTGTGGTGGGAATCCTTAGTCCGGCAGAGTTTCGAGCCCCAGCATCTTCGAGTTAGTCGTGCCCGGACAGCAGATCCGCGACACGGCTCCAGAACCGAGCACCGGATACGTCCCTAGACACATACCTAGCCAGGAGATGGCGTTTTCCGGACGATAGCGAGACTTTAACGCGGTTCGCCTGATGTTCGCTTGGATGTCGTCGGTATCTTCGATTCTCCAACACTGCATCGCTGTCCACAATTTAAAAGATGTCTTCCCCACGATTTACGTCATGATGTGTTGGGATGGTGGAGGAGGAACGGCAGTCCTTGGATGTGTAGGAATAACCACACAGTAGTCAGTAGTACATTTGACTGCAGGTGCCAGTGACCGTACAGTAGGCTGCAGCCCATGTTGGCAGATCGGGTATATGGAAGAGTCCCTGCAAGAAATGTATCCGGTAAGGACAAACTCGAAGCAGACCAAAGCAGACCATGGTTGTCAGAATTCTGCCGCATCTGAGGCTGTAGTAGGACATACTACCCGGGCCACGCATGTGCCACTCTTCGGTTGAATCAAGGTACAAACCCCCATCAGCAAGTAGCATGGCTCTGTCGATCAGAACCTCGGGAAGTCTCTCTGCAACTAGCAACAACTGAGGTCAATGCGTCTTACTAGCTGCAGTCAGTCCATGGATGAATATTGACCTGAAGCCACGATTGCGATTGCGGCACCGACACGGGGTGCGGGGGACTGCATTTCGGTCGTTTTGTTGCGGTCCAGGCCAAACCCCGACTTATCAGGGGTGACTTCGGCTGTGTCCCATGCGCAACATCCAGAGGAGGAGAGGAAAGTTGAGATAGGCCATGTGCTGCCATTCCCTCGCTAGCACGGTCGCAGTGCAGTGTCTATTGATACGACATCGACATTGTTGGGCACACTCTTCGCTTAATGCTCGATCGACAGAGATAGACTGCAGTGGTCCATTAATTCAGATACCTGTTTTGAGTATCGCTACCGTTGGCGACGCTGAGACGTTGGAATGATCTTGTTCCAAAAAAAACCACATACTCTTTCCAAGGGCCTCCGATTCGCTTGTGCCCGAGCTACAATATCCTTGCAACATGGGGAGAGCCAACGCCAGGTACGGATCACGTGAAAGATCGGTCCTGGTCTGGTCGTCGATCGGATGCAGCGGATAGTGGAGGTTTGCGGTACCATCAAACAAATCTGTTTCCCCTGTCGATTTTGCGCTGTCTTGGGTATACGTCAATGATGGAGTGCGATGATTCGCTTCAGCCAGGAAGGTCAACGCGAGCAGAGAGGTCTAGTTGCAATAAAACACACCTGCCCACATCATGAGGCAATGGTTAGCTGCTCGCAATCACAGTTGTAGTAGTTCGCTGGATGATCATCAATAATCCCATCGTATTGCGCGAATGGATGCTTGGGCTTTTGGATCTTTACCATGTGCTGTCTGGATCTGACGGGCTTAAGCGTCGCGCAGAGCAACCAGGTCCATGCAGTGACACAAGACAATCTGCGCAGATAGCAAAACGGTCCACCTGATGGGATGCTCGTAACAAGCTGGTGGCACCGCAGGAACATCAGTGACGCCCTCGCTTCAGCTCTGCGTCAATTCTTTGTGAAAATTTTCTGATGGTACTACAACGTTGTAGTAAGAGAATAATTTTTAGTCTGGCTGATGGGGAAGAATATCTCTATTCTAACTGGAAGGGAACCGACTAGCGTACATTTATTCTATCGCAGGCTGCAGCGCGGATGTCATGGGCCCCAAACTGACAGCCACCAAAGAGGCACCAGAGCCACCCCCTGGAGCCTGCGCCTGTCAGCCTAAACTCTGTTCTGATCTGTCGCACTCCAACTGTTTGCAACTGGCTCATACAACACAACAGACTGACGATGCACACCACACCACCACTGCATTGCGTTCTGCCATTGAGGAGTTATCATTATCAACGTATTCAGCCGCTTACAACCCCTCCAGCGTTGGCCTCGGCTGCGTCTCATGTTGGTACTGTCGTTGAAGCTCAGCAATATCATAATGCGTGCCTAGTCCAAACGAGCTTTGATTTACAGGAGACTGGCCCCAGCTGTTGTTGCATCTGGTGTGATGTCGTTCCACTAATCTTCTACCCAGTAGAAAAGAACCGCCGCTACAAATTGTCCTTGATCGCTATCGTTACGTTTTCCGATGCAGATCATTTGACTATAAGCGAACGGACGCAGGATACAGCACCATTGAGAGCCCGGGGTGGTCAACCCTGTGGACACTGCAGTGGTGGCCATGTGCCTGTGCGCGTACACTGAATCTTGAAACGGATAGCAACAGCCATGACCTGCCACCTTGCCATACAGCACACTGCACACCAGTCAGTTCTCTTCTGTGATGAAATCCAACGATGGCGCAGCTGAGGTCGGGAAGTGTTCCGGACAGATGCCGTGAATACAAACACAGCCGAAGGTTTATGGCCAGCATCAACACAGAGCAACGTAAGAGGGGGTTGCAATATGGTATACGACTGGGCGGATTGGCTGTTGCGGCTCGAGGGCCTGAGATAGACATTATTTGACAGTGGTTTGATAGGTTGTCAGACGGTTCGGAGAAAGAACGCCTGGGACGTCGTCGGTGCATCCGCGCAGGATAGAGCAGACTTAGGGCCGAATGCTCAAACGATGCTAAAAGAAGCTCTAGCCAGGGCTCTAGAGCGCAGAGGAAGCAATTTGAGTGGATGTCAGTGGACGGCGGGCTCGATGTTCTCGGATCTCTGGGCCACGATGTTCGGCCAGAAGTAGGTAGGAATCTAACATAGGCTACCGCAGTAGTACCTTTAGGCATGGCTCATGGATGCAAGTGGATGTCGTCCTGCAGTGGTGGTACAGCCTGAGTGGCATTTCTGGCGGGATTCGCGGTGTCTGAAACCAAAAAGCCCATCACTTACAGGCCTTGATCCGGGCTGCGTACCAGGGCTTGCTAGGGACCCGCCAGGGTTTTCCCTCCCTTGCCAAAAATGCATTCCGCCACCTGTTGAAGGCTGCACCGGCGCCTGGGCTAAGCTGCCTGCTCCTCCTCTCCCGGTGCGTTGCCATCATCATACTACTCCTCCCAGACCTGTAACCTGATCCGCCTCTCCTACGACAGCTTCTATAGCTCTGTGAAATTTTTTGTTCCAGCTGCTCTCGTAGTATCTTCCTTCGACGTACAGGTATCTTTCTTTGTCGTGGTGATACTGTACGAGCATTGCATCCTCGTCCGTACCCGAGCCCTGCCACAGCATCCCTCCGACAACTTGCACCAACCAAACCCGCCAACCTCTACTATTGGATCCCCCATTGCGGCATCCAGCAGCAGGCTCCCGGGCACGCAGTCACAATAATAATTATTCTGCCACCACCATCACCCACTAGTACTGCGGGTTACATCCTCTGCTTACGGGTAGAGAACAAACAAACACTGGGAAGACATTGCAGCTTCACCACCCGTCACCCTGCTCGATCACCAACGCCGTCACCATATCTCTCGTGCTCATTGCACTCGCCGCCGGCCTCAGCCAACGTCTACCAGTAGTGGATGCATCTGTGCTTACCGCTGTTTGCTTGAGCTGCCCAGTCAAGTGGAAGTCGCGAGATCTTTGACGCAAGGAGGCGGAAGCATCACCAGTCGAGCTGCTTCCCTGCGCCCTTAGCTGCAGAATTTGAAGCACCCTTCTTTGCGCCGCTCCACGCTTCCCCCGGCACCTTGCATCGTAGCCACGCACTGGCACTGCATTCCAGCTGGCTTGACGTCTCCAACCGCGCCTTCAACGTCCAGGCCTCCCTCCGTCACACTGCACTCATCCTCCCTAGTCGCAGCCTAAATCATCCATCCCCAAACATTTTGCCTGCGGAAAGTCAGGTCATCGCCAACTCCGTCGCACACTGTTGTACCAGGACATTTCTTGTCCACCCCCTTGGTGTTGCCGACACGCCCCCTTCTTCGTACCGTCTTCGTTATACAACATCTCGACGACACGACCGCGGCCTCACCTTTCTCTACTACCGACACATGACACATCTACACCATGCCTTACAACACCCGTCGCAAGTCACTGTCGCTGCCGTCGCTCGGCATCCACGTGCCTAATGCCTCGCGCACTCACCGCCCAACTCCCAAGGCTACACCAACCAGCGAGTCCACGCCGACGCCTCCGGCAAAAAAACAGAAACGCTCTCACGATGGCGACGAACCTCTGTCACCCGTCTCCTCCCCTCGCTCCAAAACTGGCTCTCCAGTCGTTGAGATACCGGCGTCCACCACCGTTCAGTCGCGCAGGGGTGCAGCCGAACACACTCCGCCTCCGTCTCCAGGGCTAGACGCACAAGTGCGCAAGGTGGACACCGAGGGAATCAACGACGATATAGTGATCGCCGTCATTGAACAGCTGGAAAAGACGGGCAATCGACCTCACCTCATCAGAGACCTAGCCACAGTGCTCGCCTCCACAAACCAAAACATTGCGCAGTAAGTGGCGTACATACCGTTGTCTTGGAGTTTTGCTTACTGACTTGCTCAATAGTTCTGCCAACCCTGCTGCGTTGCTCTCTTCTCGTCTGAGTGTATACCTCAAACGACCCTGGACTGCCCTGTCACCGTGCCCGCTGGCCAAGGAGCTCATTCCCGTTCACCCAAGAAAGGTGTTCTACTTCTTGACCACGCAGCCACGGTTACCCTTGCCTGAGAGTTCGGACGACATTCTCCCTCCCCCGCGGATCACTCACAAAAACCTCACTCCCAGTGTGTCTGACCAGAGCCAGACCGATGACGATGTGGATCTGGAGCAGCGAGATCGAGCGCGACTCTCTCCCAGTCCGGAAGTGGAACTCTATTCTCCTGAATTGGACCAAGAAGACTCCGTAGAGCCTTCGACACCCGGCGAATATTTCAGCGCCAGAAGTAGTCTCAATCCTGATGGTACACCGGAAGATCGTCGGCGGCCTAACCGAGCACCCAGCCCTCCACTAGAGGCAGACGAGCGCGGCTTTACCGAGACAGCAACTGCAGTTCGAGCTCGTGGCGTGAGCCTTCAGAATCGAACCGTGCAGCAGTCGGTTGAAGGGGATGAGAACGTCCAGGTTGTGGAAGCTTCTGAAGAGACGCCCGAACAGCGGCAGAAGCGTGACCGAGAGCTTGGGATGGAATTGTTTGGTCAAACCCATCCTAGTCTCCAAGTGCCGGAACAGAAACTGTTCTCGAGCAGCCCCTTGATCCAGGCAAAACAAGATCCGCCGGCCACATTGGCCAAGATGGATTTGGGATTGCAAATGGAGGATGTGGAGATGGGGGAAGCTTCTTGGAGCACCATGAGTCCGGAGCAGATCGAACTCGATGAGCTCGACACACTTTTCTCCGATTTTTGAATAGCATGGGGTGCATTGCTGTTGCCTCGGAAAACCACATCCCTTCTCTTCCTCTTGAGGATCAATCTAGATCCATGTTCTCATCTCTTCCATATATGATCTTTGTGCACCCTTCGGCTTGGTGTTTGAATGTTGCCAGTGGCCCATTTTTGGGACCGGAAAGATGGTCGTCGGAGATAAAGGCGCTGACGTTCGCCAAAGGGTGGGCCTGCTTCCTCTTCCTCTTCTCCTGCTGTCGCGCTGTCGACAGGGAGAAGATTGACGGTGGCCATGATAGAAGCTGTTAGAGGGATGATATACGTGATCTGGAAAAACCATGTAACATTAGCATTGCAGTATCACTTGCCGATGGCAGAATGACATTATAACCGTTGAGCCCGAAAGGCTTTTTCTGAGACAAAATTGGTCGAGTGACGAGATTCAAACCGACTCCGTCCTGCTCGCCAAGTAAAGTGTCCAGTCTCGCCCATGATGCCTGTAGCCAATTAGTTGTGCTGCTTAGCTGATATCAAGTCACGGCTGAAGCCGAATGGAATCTTTTTGCAGCAGCATCATGGAGCAATGGAAAGAGACCGGGGTTCTTGTCATGTGTCAAAGCTCCCCTTGGAACGAAACACCTCAGACTGCAGTGGGCGAGGGTGTTGTCCTGAGTTATAAGTATTGTACGGTTCTTGAAGTAAGGTCCTCGATTTGAAGTCGAGACCCCAATTTGAAGTGGCATGGCTACGAAATGGAGCACAGGGCGCATGTGACTGCGAGTCAGGTGGTCACCTTGGACAACCAGCAGCACGAGTCGTGCTCGGCCGTGATATGATAAGATAAGATTATGCATCTTCTGTTCGGGGCGAGCATCAGTGCTCGGCGAGCCGGTTCTAGCACATCCTGTCCTCGCGGACGACCTAGCACGTGTGCTTGGTAGATGTAAGGTATCTAGAGCTAGCGAGGGCTATCAGAGGCACCAGGAGTTATTTATGTAAGGCACACCAAGGTCAGTACATAGCATCCTGGAATCGAATACTGCATCCCAGTACCAGCAGGAGGCACCAGGTTGTGGTAGGATACAGTTGTACAGTGCTCGGGTGTACTACTGTACTACTGTGCTTACGGACGAACACGGGCGGGCGGACAAAAGAGGCTCTCACTTACCATAAAGGGGATGGAATACGAACAAGCGAGCAGCCAGAGTGGATGTTTCGGATCCTTAAGTTGAGTGTAATCTGAGATTGGCGCATAAGATGCTGATTTAACCGGCGGTCCAGCCAGATGGATTTCTCGGCTGGTACAACTAGCTGTCGCATCAGGATAGGCACAGGGTAGTATACGAATGCGAAAACCAAATGCACTTATTATTACCCGTGCCATCGATCTTGTTATTCCGTGAGCAGGCAGGCAGCGACTGCACACAGTGAACTTTGAAAATTTGAGGTTGTAGGGACTGTGGCAGTGCTGAGGTTCTGGCAGTGCAGCGCAGTGCGATAGACGGTGGTTCTCGCTGTTATGGTCCATGTTGTTGATGCTACGATGTCGACAACTTGAACGCTGGACTGTTTCACTTGCGATATCTCCTAACGCCGCCGGAAGCCCCCGAGCAAATCAATTCCGGCCGGAAGCTGATTGAGTACAAGTAGGTATTACTATGCCCAGCCAAGTTATGCACATGCCAAGGTTCCGAACCCGAGAGCATAAATTACCACTGTACAATGCAGTGTTGTAAGCGCAGGCTGCAGCCAAACACAGCGGCTCCAGAGAGGAACTAGTACGTCGTAGCAAGAGGAAGAGTGGCAACGGAGAGCGGGATCTAAACCGAGTTCAGAGTTTAGTGCGCCTTCGCTGTGCACAAGCCCGGCAGAGACGCTTTTATGAATCTCAGATGGCAGCCTGACACTGGCAGCCAGGTCTGAGTGAGGTACTACCAAGCACTAATAGTGGTTCTCACTCTCCCCTTTGGTACAGAGCCAGCTGCCACGAGCAGTACTACGGGGCGAGCAGTGTTGGGCCTCAGCTTCAAGTTGTGGGACCCCCAAGGCCCTGAAGCCCATCGATCTCCATTAATATTACGGGCACTGGATCTCATAACAATCTTGTGCTTATGCGGTGCAGTGTCGCGATACGGCCCCCGGGTCTGGTGCAGTCCCCTCTATTTTGCTCGTCCCAATATAACGACTTCTCCATTTCCTTTCGACCTCCCCTATCAAGATTGGTTTCATCCGTCATTTTCTTCTTTGGTCCGTCTCGGATGCCTTCTATCCGGTGACATTCTCTGGGCTTGTCGTCGGATACCACGCGGCATACGCCATTTCAGTTTTTCCTCAGAAAGTCACCGCTTGTTGATATACACCTTCCTTCCTCCGCCGAGGGACACCTTAGGTAGACCACCAGCACACATCTTCGCGCTGTCCTGGGCCACCTTGTGCCAGAACAGCCTGCCTATCGGACTATTCCAAGTCATTCTTTCCTTGCTACTTCATATGAGCGCGACTGCTCCCTAATTGTTTGCGGTGCACTTCTCGTCCGCTTGTTGTTTTCCTTGGACCCCGCTAGAGACACCGGCACGGCCAACATGTCTCTAGTAGGGAACTTCACCAGCAATTACGACCATAGCGTTGAGGCACGCGGTGCGGGAGATCGAGCTTTCTACCGTAGAGACTCGCATGTTGAAGTGGAGGAAACGTATCATCCCTTTCAGAGACGATCGCGCGAAGATCACCACCACAACATGCACGCCTCACATCACAATCACCAATTGTCTTCCGAGTCCGGAGAAGTCGAGAAGAAATCCGAAATCTCCAGCAGTTCAGCAGAGGACGAAGGTGCCGAGCAGGTGAAAGAACTCGCCCGACAATTTAGTCGCAGTTCCACCTTTTCCAATGTCGAGGGCACCAACCCTTTCCGTGTCGAACCCGGTTCTACATTGGATCCGACCTCGGACAACTTTAAGCCACGCGCCTGGATCAAGGCCTTGTTCAATGTACAGAAAACGGACGATCGATTCTTGGCCAGGAGCGCCGGTGTCGCCTTCCGCAACCTCAGCGCCCATGGCTTCGGCGCCTCGACCGATTATCAAAAATCCGTCGGCAATGTCATCTTTCAAGTGGTGGGCATAGCTCGGAAGCTGCTCAACGTGGGCCAACGCAGAATCGATATCCTACAAAACTTCGATGGTCTCGTGAAAGCCGGCGAAATGTTGGTCGTGCTGGGACCTCCGGGTTCAGGCTGTTCCACCTTCCTCAAAACCATTGCAGGCGAAACCCATGGATTCGTTGTGGACGAAGGATCATACATCAACTACCAAGGCATCAGCTTTGAGGAGATGCACAAGCACTTCCGTGGTGAGGCGATTTACACCGCCGAACAAGACGTCCATTTCCCCCAGATGACCGTTGGTGATACACTTTATTTTGCCGCTCGCGCCCGAGCTCCTCGACACGCACCCGGAGGCGTGAGCCGGAAGGAATATGCTACTCATATGCGGGATGTGATCATGGCCACCTACGGCATCCGCCACACGTTCAACACACGTGTTGGTAATGACTACATTCGAGGAGTCAGTGGTGGTGAGAGGAAGCGTGTCAGTATTGCCGAGGCCGCCTTAAACATGTCCCCGCTCCAATGCTGGGATAACAGTACTCGTGGTTTGGACAGCGCCAACGCGATCGAATTCTGTAAGAGTTTGCGGGTGTCTACCGATATCCTGAATGCCACGGCCGCCGTCGCAATTTACCAAGCACCTCAGAGCGCCTATGACATTTTTGACAAGGCGATCGTGCTTTATGAAGGACGGCAGATTTACTTTGGCCACAAGGACGAGGCCAAGGGTTACTTCATCCGCATGGGTTTCCATTGTCCCGAGCGTCAAACCACCGCCGACTTCCTAACCTCCATGACCAACCCTGCCGAACGAATTGTGCGTGAAGGATTCGAGAACAGGGTACCTCGTACTGCAGACGAGTTCGCAAAAGCCTGGAAAGAAAGCCCCGAGCGTGCTCAATTGCTCAAAGACATTGAAGAGTTCGACAGGGAACATCCCATTGGTGGTCCGGATCTGGAGAGGTTCAAGGAATCCAGGAGACTTCAACAGTCGAAGAGGCAACGAGTTACATCACCTTACACTCTCTCGTATGGTGAACAGGTCAACCTTTGCCTTTGGCGTGGGTTCCGCCGTTTGGCGGCCGACCCCAGTCTCACATTGACTCAGCTCTTTGGCAACAACATCATGGCCTTGATCATCGGTTCCATCTTCTACAATCTCCCGGCCGATACTAACTCCTTCTATTCTCGTGGCGCCTTGCTCTTCTTCGCCATCCTGATGAACGCCTTTGGTTCTGCTCTGGAAATCTTGACTCTTTACGCTCAACGTCCTATTGTCGAAAAACATGCACGCTACGCTCTATACCATCCTTCGGCCGAAGCCTTCGCGTCGATGTTGACCGACATGCCATATAAGATTTGCAACACGATCTTGTTCAACATTACTCTTTACTTCATGACCAACCTGAGGAGAGAGCCTGGGCCTTTCTTTTTCTTCCTATTGATATCCTTTTTCTTGACTCTGGTCATGAGTATGTTGTTCCGGACCATTGCGTCAGTATCTCGAACGCTGAGTCAAGCTCTTGCTCCCGCTGCTATTCTCATATTGGCCATTGTTATCTACACTGGGTTCGCCATCCCTGTTAACTACATGCTTGGCTGGGCGCGTTGGATCAACTATCTTGACCCTGTCGCATACGGATTTGAAGCACTTATGATCAACGAATTCCATAACCGGAGCTTCAGATGCTCCAGTTTTGTTCCCACTGGCCCGGGCTACGAAAACGTTTCAGGTTTGAACAGAGTGTGCACGACAGTTGGCTCGCGGCCTGGTCTACCATATGTCAATGGTGATGACTATATCAACAGCAATTTCAAGTACTACGCATCGCATCGTTGGCGAAACTATGGCATCCTGCTTGCTTTCCTGGCAGGATTCACAACGACTTATTTGGTGGCCGCAGAGTTCGTCTCGGCCAAGAAGTCAAAGGGTGAAGTATTGGTTTTCAGACGTGGTTACAAGCCAGCGGCATTCAAGGAAAAGAATCTCCGGGATGCAGAGGCCGGCGGTGCGCGTACCGTGGCAGCACAGAAAGACCCCAACGAGCTCCACCCAATTTCCAGCATCATTCAGAAACAAACTGCCATCTTCCAGTGGAAAGACGTCTGCTACGATATCAAAGTCAAAGGCGGTCAGCGCCGACTTCTAGACCATGTGGATGGTTGGGTTAAGCCAGGTACTCTCACAGCGCTTATGGGAGTTTCCGGAGCTGGAAAAACGACACTGCTCGATGTACTTGCCACACGTGTTACCATGGGTGTGATTACTGGAGAAATGCTGGTTGATGGCCGACAGCGAGATGAATCGTTCCAGCGCAAGACGGGTTATGTCCAACAGCAAGATCTGCATTTGGAGACGTCGACGGTCAGAGAAGCGTTGAACTTTAGCGCCCTGCTCCGACAACCAGCACACATTCCTCGGGCCGAGAAATTGGCATATGTTACCGAAATCATCAAACTTCTCGAAATGACCGAGTACGCCGATGCCGTGGTTGGTGTTCCTGGTGAAGGTCTCAACGTTGAACAGCGTAAGCGTCTTACTATTGGTGTCGAGTTGGCCGCAAAGCCTCAGTTGTTGCTGTTCTTGGACGAACCTACTTCCGGCCTTGACTCGCAAACTTCGTGGTCCATTCTCGATCTTTTGGAAAAACTCCAAAAGAATGGCCAGGCTATTCTTTGCACCATCCATCAGCCATCTGCTGTGCTTTTCCAACGCTTTGATCGACTCCTCTTCCTGGCATCCGGAGGCAGGACTGTCTACTTCGGTGAGATTGGCGAGTCATCCAAGACTTTGACAAGCTATTTTGAACGAAACGGTGCTCATAAATGTCCTCCGGATGCCAACCCTGCAGAATGGATGTTAGAGGTCATCGGTGCGGCACCAGGCTCACATACTGATATCGACTGGGTCGAAACATGGCGCAACTCCCCCGAGTTCAGAGAAGTACGTGCGGAACTGGAGCATTTGAAGCACGAGCGATCCAGATTGGCCCCGGTCACATCGCACAGGGCCGACAAAGCCAGTTACCGTGAGTTTGCTGCTCCGTTCTGGGAGCAGTTAGTGGAAGTGCAGAAACGTGTCTTCCAACAATACTGGCGCACTCCATCTTACATCTACAGCAAACTGTCTCTCTGCATTGCATCCGTAAGTGACTTATCCAAGGAGGATCCTGCCCTCCATTGCTCTCCTAGCTTCTAACACTTTTTATTTTCTAGGGTCTGTTCATTGGTTTCTCGTTCTTCAAAGCTCGCAATACGATGCAGGGTCTCCAGAATCAGATGTTTGGCATTTTCATGTTGATGACCATCTTCGGCCAGCTCGTCCAGCAAATCATGCCGCTCTTCGTCACTCAACGATCACTCTACGAAGTGCGCGAACGACCGAGCAAAACGTACTCCTGGAAAGCGTTCATGATGAGTAACATCATTGTGGAAATTCCATGGTCGTTGCTCTGTGCAGTCTTGATTTTCGTGACATGGTACTACCCGATCGGTCTTTACAACAACGCGGAGCCAACCAACGCGGTCCACGAACGCGGAGCCCTGATGTTCTTGTATATCGTGGCGTTCTTGCTGTTCACTTCGACATTCGCCCACATGACGATCGCGGGTATCGAGGACGCTGAGACAGGTGGTAACATTGCCAACCTGGCCTTCTCTCTGACGCTGGTCTTCTGTGGTGTCCTCGTGGGACCTAAAGCTTTGCCTGGATTCTGGATCTTCATGTACCGCGTCAGCCCTTTCACCTATCTGATCGATGGCATGCTCAGTACCGCCGTGGCACACACGACCGTCACCTGTGCCAAGAACGAGTACCTCAACTTCAACCCTACCAACGGTCAGACCTGTGCCGAATACATGCAACCCTACATCGACACACTCGGAGGATACCTCCTCGAGCCGGACGCCCGGACCAACTGCAGCTTCTGCCAGACTCGTAGCACCGATACCTTTTTGGCGGGCATCTCGGCCCATCCGCAATACATGTGGCGCAACTTCGGTCTGCTGTGGCCCTATATCATCTTCAACATCTTTGCCGCCGTCTTCTTGTACTGGCTGGTCCGTGTGCCCAAGAACAAGGGACGCGGGAAGAAAGAAATCGCCACCCCGGAGGCTAGCAAGGACGCCAGTATTTATGAGGCCCCGACCCAGGTGGCTAGCACCACGGATCAACCCCAACAACAACAAGCGGTCATGACTGAAAAGGATGCTGTACAACAGGACAAGACGGCGTTGGCCGATGATTCTGCGACACCTGCGGCGCAGCAGGAGAAACCCCTGGCCGAGGAACCCATTAGACACGATAACAACAACAATGTTCGGTCCGACACCATTGGACTGGCTACTGCCGGGTCCAACAGCTACACGCAGCAACCGCAGTCGCAACTGCAACAGGAGCCAGTGGCACATTCTACACCCGAGAGACACGACCATGAGTTCATCGGAGTCGCTACCACCGGGGATGACAGCAATGCCAACGCCCAGCAAGAGAAGACATCGGCGTCATCAGTGGACCCCGCGGCTGGAAATCACACACTATTCCACGACATGGTGACGGTCCCGCCGCAACAACAAGCACAAGCCGGTCAAGATGAAAAGAGAGACGGAGACGGCATTGTTCGGTAACCCTCGATAAGCGATTTGCATTGCACTGCATTCTGGTGGATAGACTTTGTTTGTTTTGTTTTTTTCACTCTCTTTCTTTGCTTTTTTAATCCGTCTAGCCACGGGGCTGGAAAATGGTACAATAGATTCGAGACTATTTTCTTGTTTTCTGGGGGGCGGGGGTGGTGGTGTATGTACCATAAGTACTGTAATCGTTGAACCAGAGCAGCACGAGGGAAATTAGAAAGGATATCTTAATTCAGGTTGCTGTTGACTTTGGATCTTATCTTCAAGAGATTGTCTCACCACCAAATTTCTATGTGTTGTAGATCTAATTCGAGTCTATGATTCTTTTTCTTTTCTGCCTGTCCTTGGGCGCAGGGCTGGCTGTCGACTACCAACAGCCAGTCTATCTATCTTTCCCCTCTTGACTAATATAACCTGGTTTCACTTGGACCAACAGACTCAATTCCTCGTTCTCCTTGTGACGAATCGTCCCATCTTAGTCAGACCACGCATACACGACCCCAACCCAAACGACCACCCGCGGACTCGGACGGTATAAATGAAGAAATAGACCAGCGCCCAATTCGAGACGACAAAGACCACAAACAGGCCACAATCCCTCCACTTGTGGTTGTTGATCGCACCGTTGGTATTCGTGGCAAGGTACTCTTGGCCCGAGGCATAAGGGCAATATGCACATGTACCATTTGGCAACGTATCGACATAGCCGTGGCCTTGGGAGCGGATGAAATCTGCGGCGTAGGAGGAACAAGTCGACGCCACCGGCACATTAAACAGCGTGTACTCATCGTCGCGACAGCGCACCTGTAAATCCGCCATGGTAGCATCCAACACACCACCAATCCAATACGTGCTCGGGTTCATCCAATAGACCCAATCGCGCCAAAAGGCCGGAAGTTGACCGTACGGTCTCATGATCCCATTAAACACGGAAAACATGACGAAGAAGAACGGCAAAATGTTGCTGATGGTCGTGTAACTCGGTGCAAAGGCGCAGATCCACTGGCCCCAAGAGGACATAAAGAGAAAAAACAACAGACACATGAAAAAAGTGTAGCCGGCCGTGTCTGTGTCTCGCGGCAAGTTTGTCGGATAGTACCACGTCAAAAAATACAAGACAGCCGAAACAACTGCCATGGGGATCTCGGCGACCACTTGGGCCGTGCAGAATGCTATCCACCCGTAGATGCGGGCTGGGTATTCGCGCGCCTCCCAGAGGTCGCGGTTCTTGTAGAACTTGGGGACGACGCCGTTGACGATTGTGGGGGGAATCAACACGATCATAAAGGGAGTAAACATGCGTTTTTGGAGCCCTGTCGCGGAATCGTCGAGATTGTAGAATGCGAAGCCGTTGAATAACCCAATAATCACGCTGACGAATAGCTTTGCGTATAGGTAGGATGGGTCGCGCCAGTATTGCCGGAATGTCCGCTTTGTTAGCTCGTATGTTTGTTGAGATACGGGCGCGGCGAATGCGCGGAGAGGAACAACTTGTTCTTGGTGATTGTCGTTGCCGGTGCTCGACTTGTTCTTTTCGTCTTGTTGTGCTTGGTTCTTCGCTCGCTCCTGTTTCAACCGTTGGATCTCTTCCAACACTGCCGCGTTTTCCTCCGACTCGAGCCATTCCTTGTTCCAGTCGACGCGACTGCCGTCCGCGCGGCGTTTGCCTCCCTTGGCTGCCGTCTCGAGCAGAAACTCGGCCACATTCCTGTTGGGCGGACATACGGTGCCGCGCTTGGCGAAATAGTCCACGACTGCCGATCCGTTTTCGCCAATCGGACCGAAATAAAACGGGTTGCCGCCCGGGTTGAGGGCCAGGACCATGTCGAATTGCTGGATCAACATCGACGACGGCTGGTGGATCGTGCACACGATCGCCTGGCCTGCGCGCGACAGTTTCTTGAGGAACCGCACAATTGAAAATGCAGACTGAGCGTCCAGACCGCTTGTTGGCTCGTCCAGAAACAACAAAAGTTCCGGCTTGGCCGCTAGCTCGACGCCAATCGTCAAGCGCTTGCGCTGTTCGACGCCCAAGGAGCCGATGATGGCGTCTTGGATGTCGTCCAGTTCGAGCAGCTCAATGATCTTGTCGACGTACGCGAGCTTTTCGTGCTTGGGCACGCTTCTGTCCTGCCGTAGAATGGCCGAGAACTCGAGCGCCTCTCGGATCGTCGCCGTCTCGTCGTGGATGTCACGCTGTTCGCAATACCCCGTTCCTCTCTGAAACTCGATCCCCAAGGGACGTCCGTCAACTAGCATGTCCCCGGAAATGGTGCCGGTGCTGTGTCTTTGTGACAGCGTGTTCAAGAGAGTGGTCTTGCCCGCCCCACTGGCGCCCATGAGTGCAATCATCAGCCCTGGTTTGGCGTACCCGTACACTCCGTTGAGCAGTTTTCGTTTCCCGCCGTGGTACGGCACTTCACATTGCACGTTCTCCCAGGTGAAGACGCTCTTACTCGGGGCAATTCCACCAACGCCATCATCGTCCTTGTCACCGTCTTGGCCTTCCTTCTGGCATGCCAGAGTCTGGGAGGATCCACTCGAACTTGGTTCTGCTGCTGCTGCTGCTGTCGCCACGGGTGTCCCCTTCTCCTCGTCAGAGGGCTTGATCTCTTCCAGCATCTTTCTCTTGGCCTTCCGTGTCTTCTTAAATACCAACGCACCACCGCCTTCTTTTGCAAACGAGAAAATCTCCGATGCCAAGGCTGTGACGAGAATGTACAAGACGGTAAATGCAATCACGACACCAAGGTTGCGCCACAGATGAGACCTGGAATACCCGAACGATGTTTCGAGATATGCGTCTCCACTGACAGTGTTGCTGCCCAGTCTTGCACCGGCGAGTGAACAGCCTTGATGAGCCGGGTCGACATTCGGACCCTGCGGCACCAACTCAGACGGTGAGCACTCCATGGTGCGACCGGAGAAGTCGTTGGTCAGCACAGCCTCGTAGGCAAATCCAATAGGACTGATATAATACATCCAGCCGAACCAGATGACATTGTTGATCAGCGTCTGTTTGGGTATCACATAGCCCATGACAAAGATCAAGATGTTGAACGCCAGACCCGAAAACCGCACCGCATCGTCAATGGTCGGACTCAAGGCTGCGAACATCCGGTATAGCGCGGTCACACAGATGGTGTTGATGTAGACAAACAATAAAGTTATGAAGAACTTGCCGGGGTCGCGGTCGAGATTGGCCATGAAGTACAGAATGAGAACGAACACGACGGTCTGCACGGCGATCACGGGCAGATCCAGAAGTACACGTGCAATTGCAACTGCACTGGGTCGGTAGAAGGCGTAGTCTTTGTGGCGGGCGACCACAACTCGTCCACTCACCGCGCGTACGAGTTCGGTCAATTGGAGCCAACCTAGGAACAAGACGCAGAAGACCAGAGCTCCAGTGCGAGAAAATGCGCCCGAGGTGTCGAGGCTTTCGCCATAGAAGAGCGATCCAATGATCAGAGCGTTGGAAATGATGACAAAGGCCTTGGTGTACAGCGAGGTCTTGTCACCCCAGAAGAGCCAGTATTCCCGGATGGTGCAGGCCATGACTTGCCGCCAGAACGAAACCGTGTAGCTGGAGTGCGATGGCAGCATCCGGCTGTTGCTCTTTTGTTCTTGCACTGCCTCTTGAAACACTTTCGTGTTATGGCACTCCGATGCGTGTAGATCTCTCTCATAGGCTTCAACGTCGGCAAGAGTCTGCTGGTAGATTGAGGACTGGCGAAAAGCCGCTTCAAGTTCCTCTGCCGTCTTGGGCGTCGAGGCCTCCTTGCCCGGCTGGAACTGGCGCTCATTCGGGTCACCTATCGAAGTCAAGAAATCCGGTGTCGTTTGACGTTCCGGAGCGTGGAAGCCGAGGTCAAGGAAATATTGCCGCGCAAGGTTCGCCGGGCCTTGGTAGATCATCCGTCCTTCTTCGATGACCAAGACTTTGTCCATCAGCTTGTAAATCCCTTCGCCAGCCTGGTACAGAGTGACGATGGTTGTACGGTTGGATATATCGGTCATGACACGGAGAGATTTGGCATAGTCCAGGGCCGTGGATGCATCCAGGCCCCGTGTTGAGTTGTCCCAACAGACCACGCTGGACTTGGTGGCCAATGTCTCGGCAATTCCCACTCGTTTTCGCTCTCCGCCAGAGACGCCTCTCACATACTCGTCCCCTACTAGGGTGTGCTTGGTGTGGGAAATACCAAACATCTTCATCAAAGCGTCGACAATTATGGGGATCGTGTCAGCTTCATGCTTTTTCGTCTTGTTCATCAGGGCAAACTTCAACGTCTGCCACACCGTCAAGGTTGGGAGATGGTGGTCGTCCTCAGGATTGTAGTTGACTTCGCCCCTGTAATGTTTTTTCTGCTCTTCCGCCGAGATCCCCCCGTAGCTCACCGTGCCTTCGACGGCCGCATAGCTGTCTCTTTGATTGGCGATGACTTTGAGGAATGTAGAGCATCCTGAGCCCGGTCGACCGAGCACCAACATCATCTCGCCATCACGAACGGCTCCAGTAAAGTCCCGGATCAGGTCTCTGGTCGGGGGCTTCTTGCCAAATCTCAAGGCTGGGATGAATCTGCAGACGAGTCGGTATAGGTCAGGTCCAAAGGTCCCTAAGATTGCCTCAGGCAAGGTTTTGATGAACGTGGCTTGGGCGCCCACTCCTTTGACCGTCAAATGTTTGTACACCACGCCAATCTTCTTTGCAGACTCTCCATTGTCGGTCCTCTTCTCAAACCGACCCTCTCTCAGAAACGCACCGAGATCGAGGTCTGTTTCTTCCGCGGGTTCAAGACCAGCCTCTTTGTCCTGGGCCGCCGACGTTTTAAAACTGCCGGCCATAGATGAGCGAGTCCTTGACCGAGTGAGAGAAAGATGAGGTAGGGTCTTCCTCGATTCGCGTGTTAAAGAGCGCTGTAAGCTCATCCTCGTAAGCTCTCTCCTCATCTCCTCAAAGTCGGCCATGGCTTCCTCCCGACGGATGGGCCCTCCAACGTCGCGCTCCCCCCAGGTTCCATCGGGTTCCTGGCTGTCATGGCTCGTTGATGAGATGGTAGACGCACTAGCTGGTTGTGTTGGGTCGACATTATGATCGAACCGATCTCGCCCTTCAATATTGTGCAGGTTATTGACAGTTGCTTTTCATGTCTGGTCAGCTTGGTCGGGCAAGACTCCATTGTTTCGAGGGGGTTTCTTTTGCACATACAATCCTGGTGGCCGTAGCGGCGTCTGAACGTGTCACTGCTGTGAGCGCTGAACATGGTTTTTATTATCCTTATGTATGGCACGAGATGCCTCTCAACAGGGCAGGCGTCCCTTGTCGCTAGGGCTCAGGCCAAACGGGGGGAAACCAGCGAGACCTTGAAGTGATAGGCCCTTGCTTCTAGGGTTATCGAGAGCGACAAAATAGACAAGTCAAATCCAGGGGGGAACGACCGGCAAGACGGACAACAAAGCATAGCATAGCAGGAGGGAAAAGAACACCAGCGAACGGAAATATACCTAGGCAAGGCAATGGCCCGGAGGAGATAACGGCGGTTATTTCCACCCTGGAGCATTATTAACACGGAGAAGAGGTTTTACCAATCATGGCATGTGGCAGACCATCGGCCCATGCGTTGTTCGACGACACTGCAGTGACAGTAGTAGCCATCAAGGCTCGACTGGATTTCTAAGCTGTGGAAGATGGGTCCGACGGTAATACTCACCCAAGGAACTCTCCGCACACTTCAGTGACTCGCTTATGTGTGCAGTGTCCGGAGACTTTCTTCGTGATACTCATGTCGAATGAGCGCCATAGTCTGGGCAATGGGGCGGCCCGATCACCCAACAAGGTGAGAACAACACTGCAGGGGGGAGAAGGAAGGAGATCGAGAAAAAAGTCCTTTTGGTAGTACAACGTAGACGCATCGAGAAGGTGAGAATCTCGGCTGCATTCAGTGGACGGCCGTCTCCCAACATTCAAGTCGTCAGCGATTCGAATATCGGCGATCGACATTAGCGCAAGATGCAAGATGCGGCAGTCCAAGCGAGGCTGCACAGCTGCATTTACAAGATTTCGTCAGACATTTGACTAGTAGTTTTGCTATGGCATGAATCCAGAGGACAGACGCAAGTAATATTGTCTTTACAACTATTTATGGCCAGGATAACATCACGACAACTGATACGCGTCCAACAAAGCACAGCGTCAACAGATGGCTTGCATTGTAGAACAAATACCAAGTACTCCTTCTCAAGGTCCTACTGTAAATACGCAGGTGCCGAATGATATGAGCAGTAATGGCTCGTGACCCGTACCGTCTCGGGCGGAGCATGAGTTGGCCTTGCGGCCGCACGGCCTCTGCGGCTATCGGCGTTAAGACATGCTCTTTTGAGACGATGGTTGTCCTCGATCCGCGGACTTAAAATGTGATATCTTTCAATTTCCATAAGCATCTACCTAGGTAGGTAGAGATCAGAGACAGTACTGGAATGAATGAATGTCCTGACACTGCATGCACCGACAAATCCACCTGGTTGGACCAAGGGCTGTATGCTTAGCAAGACCAGTGGAGCTCGAAGTTTTATACAGGTACCTTGTGCACCAACGGCTCGTCATGGACGTATGTTGTACACGACGACACAGTCCAATCCCCACCACTCATTATTAATTGTTTGATTGATTAGAACATTACCGCACTGTACGGCGTAGTTTTCGGCCGAAATTAACGAAAAACGTAATGATGCGAATAAAACTGGAGACAACAAAAGGACCGTCGGCGATAATGGAGCGGACGAATGGTGATAGAACAAGACAAACCCACCAACTCGAAGAATCGAAAGAACACAAAACGTGCTCTCGACGTATCAGATGCCTGTGCAACTTTTGAAGTCTATTTCTGTTCTTTAATACATTACTTGAGAGTGTTAACCACCTTCCATCATGTGCAACATGTGGAACGAACGTGGCCGCGCATCGTCGTCAATCTCTATGTGCAAACTGAAAGCCACATCTCGAAGTTTTCCGCCAAACAACCCCTCAGTCATGTTGTCGTCACACCGTAAAAATGACGTGCCCCGAAAGAGTCTGTCTCAGAGCAAGAAGGCCATACCTGCGCCAACCGCAATCAAAGACACCACCATCGCCAAGATTCCAGCATCGTCGAATGATGGCGAGCCAGCACCCAATCGACCAGCCGCACCTTTGTGGGTGGCAGAGCTGGCCGCACCCGATGTGCTGCTTCCACCTCCGGATGATGAGCTAACTGTCGAACTGTAAGTACTACTGGGCTGCGCAGTGGAAGAGGTTGTAACTGTGATGCTGCCTTTCGGAACACCACTAGGCATACCTGTGGAGACGCCCTCCGCTCCCATGGTGGGCAGAGGCGCACTGGGATCGACCGTCCATCCTCCAGCTGTTGAACTTGGGCACGGCGGCGGAGTCGTCGTCATGCTGGCCACATAGTCCGCGGACTTCACTCCTGTCGGGGTCAACGTCTTCCATTGTTGCTGGAGGTTGCTGAAATCGGGTTGCACCGGGGTAGGCGTGCCCTGGCGGGTGAATCTGCAAACTCATCAGCATAATCGACACTCGCAGCTTGCGGTCATGTTACCCTTGAATGATACTCGAGCCTTGATTAACATCGGCACCGACTTGCGGTCCATAGGAAACCAAGCCGTACTGGTTCATTTCTTGGATCCACTCGTAGATCATCGCCCCGGACCATGTGTTGACCATATCGGGTCCAAAAATGGCGGCCTGGTCGTCGAAAGTGCGAGGTGGAACCGTATTGCAACCATCCTCGGAGAAGAAGATCGGAACGGGGTAATTTTCGGCATCTGCTTGCAACGCCGAGTAACCGGAAGTGTTGTAAGTAGGCGTCGACCCGCACCATTCATAGCTGTTCAGGGCATAGAAGTCCAGACGCTCCGTCACGTTAGGACGGCACACCAGATAGTTCTGCAGCATGGGTCGAAGCACGGCGGTATCTGTGGCCGAGTAGCCAATGGGGATCTTGCGGTACCCTTTGGCATCTCGGTAGCTCTTGAGATCAACAGCAGCGGAGAGAAGGTAAGGAGCAGATCCTGCGTCATCCACTGCGCGCTGTTAGCGGCGGCCATAGCTATCACGCAGAAGCAATTCAGCTTACAGGTATTGAGGACTTCATTTCCCACGAACAAGCCGGCTGTGTTGTCGTACTGTTGGAAGTTGTCCAGGACTGCCCGATAGGATTCAGATTTGTTCTGCGTCCACGCAGCTCCGGAGTTCTGTTTCAATTAGCTTCCCTAGCCTTCGTCTTGAGGGACCAAAATATCGGGTATCCATACCAGACGAATGTAGGTTTTGAAACTGTCCATGTCTACAAACACATAGATCCCAACCGCAGCAAATGCGTTCATGCACCCTTGGTGATCCGCTGATGGATCGACGTGGTATACACGGATTGCATTGGCACCCAGTTGCTGCATAACGGTAGCATCGAGTTTGCATTGGGTGGCATTGACAAGAGGGTCATCTTCGATCAATTGATAGGCAACACCTGGAAAGGAGAGTCATGGTCAACAGACAGCCCTGGATCTTCACACTTTGCCAGCTTGACCTACCTTTAATAAAGAATTGATTACCGTCGCTTGTGAAGAATTTGGAGCCGACTGCTGAAATTGTTGGGATTGCATTGATACTGACGCAGAGGGCCGCCAGCACCAGGAGGACGGAACTCGTAAGACGACCCATGGTCTTCAAGCTCGTTGGTAGGAGACCGATCGAGGAGTTTTTGGCGAAAAGCGGGAGGCAATATCGGAACGAGGGGAAGACTAAAACACTGCAACAGGCGATAGAGCAATGTATTTGGTCGCTCTCAAGTGTTCTCGTCGAGGTTGGATCGCAGGCAAGCCAGCGAAAAGGTGAAGACACAACCAGTGTTGCCAAATAGCATGTGCCAGTGAAGACAAATCTCCTCCAAAGCAACGCGTGAGATGCAGGCGCTGGCTGGGAAGCCCAAGTAGAAAACAAGAGTACTGGAAGTCCTGCCGAAAAATTCAACGCATTAAGCAACGGGCAGGCGCAGGTTGTTCCGCAACAGAAGGTGCGATTGAAACAGCGCAATAGCAACGAGAGGAAGGCGCAATGCAGGTCAGTCAAGAGCGCTCGACATCACAGCACCCGGTCAACAAAACACACACTGCACTGCAGGAAAACACAAGACACAAAGGAGTTCTACCGGACGCAGGATGAAGAGGACAGCAGAAAACGGACCACAGGTTTCAATCGCAGTTTATGATGCACTGCAGTCGAAGAGCTCGACTCTGTCAGTGGCGGCGACCTTCATGTGCGCCTCACAAAAAGCCGGACTGGCTGTCTGTCAATCGATCAATCGATCAGTCACGGAACGCGCTCGCCTTCCTACTGGCACCCGCAGAGGAGCCGATGCGGGTCTATGGATTGGTGCATCGAGCGGACGGCATCTTTGCCAATCGTTGATACACTTCTCCATGCCTCCCGATAAGGCAAAAACGCGTGAAGAGGCTCGGACGCGGCAGCAAAACAGCACAAGGGGTCCTCAGAACTGGGAAGTTGGCACAGCCTTAACTATAAGTACTCAGGCTAGGCACTGACCAGTCGCTAGCTGCAGATTAGAATATGCGCGTCAAACACCCCCAGAGCGGGCGACGGACACCGTGTGCCCAGTAGCGGTGCCTGGAAGATGCCCCCCTACTAAACTCAAACCTGGAGCATGCCGTGTCAGCCACAGTGGAGTTTTGCTAGTGGTGGTTGTAGTACATGTACTGTAGTTGTAGGTGGCAGCATCAGCTCTGGGCTCACGGGAAAAGTGCCCGACGGGCCTTCTAGACAGCAAGATCCGGCAAAGTATACTAGTACCAGGTAATGTACAAACACAGGCAACTAGATGCCACGAAATAGTCCTGTACCTACCTAGGTGCCTGGTATCTACCTCCAGGTATGTTTTCAGAGACACCGGCAGCGTAGAGCAGATAGATAGGCACATATTGTGGTTGTAAATCTCCTTCCTGCATCGTGCCTGGCCGAATACTAGTAGAATCACAACCGGAAATGAAGGGCCATTGTTGATTCTCATCTGTATGGCCCACGCTGGCTTCAGCAGGCAGTGGTACGACGAGATACAATGAATGTTCCTCCGTCTTCTTTGCGTCACTGGCACAACTGTGTCAATCACATCCTGGACCGACAGCCTTGTGCCACACATGATTGCGAAGTCACATCCACCATCGCAAGCCCATCACTTGAGGCACAAAGTAATCTCGGCTACTAGTATGTGAAAGAGACCACTAGGATTCTACTCTGCGCATGTTCTGATTCGCGGTGGAAATTCTTGATCTCGCCTTCATTACTACTACTACCCAGGTATTGTAGGTATCGCCCTTCCACATCCATGACCAACTCTTGGGCCCCAACAAACAGGCATTATCACTGATATTGCAAGCTTCCAACCAACCTAGGCACAATCGACTTTCCGCCCCCGAGACCAAAGACGACATGCTGAATAAGGTAGCCAAAATGATAGCTCGCCGGGTATCTCGTGTCTCTCGTCATTTCCTGTAACTCCGGAAGAGGGATGAAACATGATCCCACACATTCCATGCTGTCATTGCTATGCAGCTCCCGTAACACCTTGCTGATCCAAATGCATTCATTGCTTTTGCTGAGCCCAGCCCAAAGAAAGTGTCAAAAAGGGTTCACCCTCGTTGACTCACTCACACGAGAGTTCGACGAATGACAAACACGCCGATCTCTATAGCTGCCTCTCCGGCGGGCTCCCGGCTGTGGCGGATGCCGTCCACCACCTCTCGTGCCAGCATTCCTGGAGTGATCTCGATTTGACCCCGTCGAGCCGGCATCCGGCCCCCAGACTTGTGGTAGTCCACCAGATTCTGCCGCAGGCGAGGTTGTTCTTGTTCGACGTACCACTCTTTCCAGAGCGCCCGGTCAAGTACCACTTCTGCGGTCTCCGCGTGAACCACGTCGTACCGGCTGGGCAACCCACGCAAGGGAGCTCTTTGTCCCAGCTCCCGGCACATGGCCTCCAGCAACTGCCGCATCTCTTCAAAACTCTTCATGCCTGCCACACCGGCCATTCGCCCCAGCTGGATCGCAAGCTCCATGTAAAGACTATTCAACAAGATGAATTGACGGAGGAAGGGTTCGATAACAGGGCCGATGTATTTATTGGCAAATGTCGATCCTCCCAACTTGGTAGGATATACCAGTAGCAGGCTACCGTTATTGGCCGAAAGCTCGAGAAGGCGATCGGCGAGGTAGGATCGTTTGCTTAGGGTGAAAAAGTCGTTAACTTCCTGAGCCGTCGTGGGAGGCAGGTAGCGTTCAAGGATGGACACGTGAATACTGCTCGGTGCTGCGATGATGTTGGTGGACCTCGAACCACTAGCAGTGGACAGCTGGGTCTGGGAATGGTAGGCGGGCACAGCAGCAGCATGGGTGAATACGGTCTGATCTTGGAAATAGTCGTCGCTGCTCGAGTAGTTCGTGTTGGGCGTGGCGGGAGGGGACGCCGGGACTTCGTCCATGCTAATGACCTGCGAGACAGCGTGGGTAATGGTAATGTACGGCGGGTATGTGGAACGTCCTTGCACTTCCTCGACGACCTTTTCAAAGACAGGCCGCGTGGTCGAGGATTTTGCCTGTGACGGCAGTGCCTGGACAACCATCTGAAGTTGCTGCTGGCTGCTCGCATCGCCCAGAGCCGAAACTGTGATCATAGTCAGTAAAAGTTTGACAGGGAAGTTAAAAACTCATACCTAGATGCTGGCACGCTCGTCCAAGCCAGTTAGAGCGGCCTGTCTCATCCGGGTTCAGATCTGACCTTGCCGGCATCTGTATCTCTGAAGGTCTGGACGTGGGATTCGAGGAATTTGGTGCATGGTTATTTCGAGCAGATCGCCCCTCGATGTCCATGACTGTTCGCATGCCTTCCTCGGAATCAAAAACCGACGGGGCTTCCCAATCAAACGAGGCGGATTCTTCAGGGGGCGTAAGCGGAGGAACAACTCCACAAGAGGCGGCCAGAGACTGTGCGGTCAAGGGAGAGGAGTGCAACCAAGGTTGTGAACCAAATGCGCCCAGCGGTCCTGCTCCAGGAATTGGGACACTTGTTGATACGGGGATGCACACAGCTCGCACATCGTCCTTGTGTTCATATCTCGGCATCCTTTGATGTCTGTCTGAGGAGGCTGCGTTATCAACACTTCCGTAGCGAGGGAGTGTCAGCAACGGCCGTCGGCTAGGGTAGAAGTTGTCCGGACCATCTCCAGTGTCTCCATCAATCGAGCTCAATGAGGATCTTCTCCTCGTAAACCGCTTCGATGGCCTCTCTTTCGCAAGCCAACCCTGACCACTCCTCGGTCTGTTCAAGCAGAATCCCGCCCACGATCTTTGGCTGTCCAAGGTTTCACTTCCAGGCTTTCCCACGACCTCAACAAAGCTTTGCGGTGTTTCTTCTGGCCACTCCATTGTTGGAGAGGCCAACGGGACCTCTTTGATCTGGATAACGGTGGAGAGCCGCTTCGGTATCGTGAGCAAGCCATCATCCAGCGGCAGAGGCTGGGTGGTCATTGGCGAAGATGCAACCGTCGCCAACAAGGTCTGCTCGCTCGCAATCAAGAGGTAAGGGGAGACTCGAACAGTCGCAAGCAGTGACCTGAGACCCGTTGGCCCGTGTGGTTATCAACCAGTCTCGTTTGAAAAAGGCGAGTCCAGTGCGCTCATCGAGACCAGGGATCCGACGTCGCGCTGCCAGCCAGGTTCGCAGGACAATCTTGAGCCAGCCCGGAATCGAAGACGAAGACGAATTAGCAGGTAGAGAAGTGAACAACAAACGAGGTCGACGGCCACTGCAGTTCGAGAAAAGCCACTATGTCTGTCAGGCAGAGACAGCGCACTACGGGCACATACACCTTAAGCACCTAGGCTGGCACTGACAAAAGAAGAATATTGTCACGTCGGCACGCCTTGAGGGCTCCGGAAGTTACGTGGGCACTTGGGCCGCCATGGGGGGGATTTTGAGGCATTTGCACAATAGGCACAGACTTCTGGACATGCAGAACATTTGCAGGGCAGCGGAAGTGGCAGCGGTAGACGGTCGGTGGCCTGGTGGAGCGTGTCAGTTGGTGTCCACAGGCATCTGCTAGAGACCAGCCGTGGCCGTTGCGGGCTGTTGTTGGCTGTGTCGCCCGTGGATAGTGAGAGCGCAGGGCCGGGGGGATTGTTCTAGACCGCCATCGATCGGCCGCTGGAGGCCACTCACGGCCACTCATCTTCGTGTCCCCCAATCGTCCGCCAGGCATCCCTCGCTACCTTCTGCCGCACACTCGGCCTGTTCCACTCGTCAGCAAGACATTTCGCAAGGCGAGGCAAGGGACAAGGGACACGCTGCCACCGGGTGCTCAGAGGCCCAGGGGAGCTAGGGAGGCCGCAGAACCGAGCTGCCGTGGGCTTGCTTGACTACAGCACGCAGTGAATCAGGTTCGTCTTTTCCTCGCCGGCACAGATGCCCTACTAGTACTGTTGGTGGCTTATAACTGCTGCCACAGTAGCTTCACACAGGCATACCCAGTCTCTTCGTGGCAGGCGTCTAGAAGAGAAGCGAACTGCTGTTCTACACCTCTATTTAACGAACTCCCGCTAGATTGCCTCGATCCTCCCACGATGCACGGGAGATGACTCCAAACCAGGCCAAGGACCGCTCATCCCCAATCCCAAGTGGCCGGCAAATCTCGACCACTGAGCCCGCCAAAGCTTCAGCGGTACCCTCTACCTGATAGTGGCGACATTGTGCTTCGAATCTGCTTCTCTGCCGCATCGACCGAGCTGGTGCTGGACAAGAACTCCGGGTCGGAAATTCACTTTTACACAAGACGCTGGCACAAAAAAAGAGTTTGGCAGCTTAGGAAGAGGTCACCTTCAGTTGAGGCGGTGGCCCCCACACCTGTTCAGTGCTCGAGCGCTCACATGGGTCAGCGTGCTGTACAATAATGCTGTATACCATCGGCCGTCTGACCTCGTGCAATTACAAGGATCCTCGCAACCAAACATTACTTTGCCTGCATTTTACTTGGACGACCTTGGGAGACTAGACTTGCACCCATTTTGGAGCGCATGACACTATCACGAACACGCCCCCAGCGGGAGTTTGAGTGTTTATGCTGCGCACCAGACTCGAGGCGATCGGTAATTGCATTCTGAGTTGGCTTGTCAACCTGTGCCAGTCAGTGAAGCCACCATACCATGGCTCTAGTTATATTCTGTTCAACTTCAGGCATCGTGTATCTTCACCTGTCCTCCACCGAGCTGGTCTCGCCCTATTTCTGACGGCGCCATCTTCGAGCGGGAGCCCTAGAGAGCCTTTCGGCTGTTTCAGCTTTCAATATTTTCACACTAGAAAGCTTGGACAGAACGCCCGGGCCGAAGCTGGATACTTGCATTTTCTGTCCGGCCTCTAGTGTTTGTTTCAGCTCTAGGCGTATTCGTTGGCTCGAGCCATCGATGGCATCGGCTGCTTAGCTGGGCAGGCAGTGCTCCCATATGTGTTATTTTCCTGTTGCTACAGCCGGCTTCATCAGGCTCGCAGAGCATAGTCCAGCCATGTCGAATCAGTGGGCTGCCGACTTGAACCCTGTAGAGGCTTGCTTCCGAAAATGCCAGCTTTGACCACCTATCGCTGGTTGCAGCAGCATCTCCCCTGTCGATCAGTTGTCAACCGAAGCGGGCCAGTTCAAGTTCTGTGCACTACAATTGACAGCTGCCACTGTGGCTCAGCAGGTCTTTTTATTATTAGGATGTGAGCCCACCATCGTGACACATCTGGATTCTTTGTCATCGCAGCATCCTGATAGAAGAGCGTTGCCTGAGCGTGCAGCTTGGCACTAACAAGGCTACAACGTACCTAGGTATGCCCGGTCATCGGTAGAGGTCCGTCCTTGGCCCGCAGCATTACCATACTTGGGTCTCTGGCGTGTGCCCTTCCGGGATCAAACAACATTACGTGACAACTTTGAGGGGTCCAAGACATATCGGACTGAAAGAGAACACTGATCACTACCTTTCGATCGTCGCCTGTGATCATCTTTGCTGGATGCTGGCTTCAGAAACCGAGACGCCTGTTGTGACTTCGAGTGACAGCTTCCGCGGAACATGCAATGTGAGAACGACGACAATATTTCGAGTCAAGAATCTAAATGCGAAACAACTGGTGAGTCTAGATTGTGCCTCAACCCGAGCATTTGGCGCTGTATTTTCTTTTTCCATAGAACAGGAGTTGGTTTCGCCCTTTTCGAAGATCCCGTTTGCTTCACAAGGCTGCCGTGTTTCGAGACATCCGAACAACGTTGGCCCATGGCGTCCCGTGACAGCGTGCTCCCCACAGCAGTCTGGAATGGGCCTTCAGACGCTTTCGCTACCAGGATCATCTATTGCTCGTGGAATCCAGGTCCATATGTTTGTCCTCCAGTATAATGGAATTTCTATGACTCCAGGAAAAGTTATAGGTTCAGACTTTTGACCCTGCTCGTCTATCCAGACAGTGGATACACCTTTGCTAGGACCCCAGCTGCCGGTGGTGTAATTGGCGTTGCCGAATGGCCCAGGACCGAGGGCTGCGGGTGCCTGTTCCATACTCCGCCGCTCATTAGTTTTCGAATTGCTCAAGGTTCGCGACGCAAGCGCCCCGGCCAGCGTTGACAGAGTCTGGGCCGATGCGAAGGTTTGCGAAACCGGCGGTTCAGGTCTGGCTTGACTCTGGCGGACTGTTCGACTTACCTGCCAGGTAAGGCTCTGACCCATGTTATCCGGTCCTAGTTTGAAGAGAAAGCATGGTTCAACCCAGTCCCTGCCTCCAGGTTAGCTTGGATACGCAGAACCATCTCGATCAGCTGTCTCCACAGGTTCTGACAGATCCAAACCGAACAATTTTCTGAACAAGGTCTTGTTTCCTCGCCGCTTTGATCAAGAATTGAGTAGGCCGTTCCTGAATGCGTGACAGCAAGGAAGAGAAAAAGTGCCAGCAAAGACACAAGCAACTCCATTGCATCCAGTATAACACAGGTTGCTGCGAACAGGGAAATTGAGCGTTTGAAAGGCCAAAGACACACGATTATGTCGAAACCAGAGCTGGAGCTTTGAGTGAAAATTCTCAAGCGCTGAGCCCTTGCACACTGGTCAGGTTGGACAGCAACGTTACTGTGTAACCGCTGGTCGGATGCTGTTATACAGGCATTGGGGCCACAGGCCATTTCATATCTGCCCGATCCGTGACACCTTCGGCGAGATTCGCCAACTGAAGACCACCTTCACCGGCAGGCTTCAAACACTGAACGGCTTGGACGCAGGCATTCATTGATACCATAGCATGGCTTGTTTATCCAGCGCAAGTTGCGCACGCGATCATCAGCCCCCTGGTCAGCGTCCCATGTTGTCTAATGCCACACCTGTGGCTTTACTGTGCCAGTGTACAGGTGGGAGCGGTTTGAGTCCTGGACGTATCTGTACGTTTCCGTTTTATGGCACATGTTGCGCTACGGTCTGGAACAGCTATCATGCGGCTGTCCAAAGGGAAGAGGCATTTCTAGGCGACAAGCCATGTCAAAACTGTTGGGTATTCTCGCATCAAGGACCCTGTTGTTGGGTACCATGCTGTTCTGTCCCGACCGCACCTCGTGCAGCCACATGATAAAGCCAGAGATGAAGCCAAAGCAGTTCCCTTGTCTGTTGTTGGAATCCAACGCTTGCCTGTACGAGCCTTAAACGGATTCGCGACCGACTGTGCTTGAGGTACTTGTCATTGCATAAAAGGAGGATACCAGTTGCAGCTGCAAAATCTGCAAATCAAGACGAAAAAGATTCGGTCGGGGTTACTCCCATCTTCCTTCGTCTTGATTTCGTCAGTATCTGTCTTCTTCCCCTGCACTGGTCGTTTACTCCCGTGAAACTGCTCGCACATACCTGACTTTGCCATGTCAACCGTGCACGTGACTATGGCAAGGGGCTGACTAAACAGAATGAGCGTACGGCCGAACAGTAAGTGGCTGGCGCAGATTCGATGGCGGAGCAAGACATACATATATGTACTCTACATTCCCGTTCTAGACCTGTACACACATGAGCCTCAGCCTCAAAACTTCGAGATCTTGAACTTTAAACCTCATCGTGCTTGTCCCGTCAGCGCCGCCCGCTGGTCTGCTATTTCGTCCGAAAATGACATGGTCTGCGCCTGGGTGGCCACTTCAATGCATCCTCGCACTTGAATACAGTAGCGGGCGTAGACAAGTCGTCGTTCTTTCGGCAACGGCATGAGGCAACAGGCTTCATCTTGAATCCCGATCTCCTGCCCTTCTCTGGGAACCATGACAACTGCTAGGAGGAAACTGAGAGAGACGAAGCCCAAGACCAAGACCTTTACGGGGTATGTGCGAGGCTTTTGTTATGAAGAGTGGCACATACTGATCGAAGTTGCTCCCTGGCAGTTGCTGGACTTGCCGGGCACGAAAAGTGAAGTGTGACTCCACACGCCCGGAATGTGGTCGCTGCAAGAAAGCAGGTCTAGCGTGCGGAGGATACGACCTGAAGCTGTACTGGGTCACCGATGAGGACACGGTCGCGCCGTCCGCGATCAAGCGGCAGGCAATGACCTTGCAAGGTAAGCTCGATCAGACTTCAACCTGCCTTCCGCCCAATGTAATGCCTCTGCCAAGTTACTGTTTCGGGGTCTCGATGGCAAGAAGGCGACTGACCGTGTGCTTCCAGGCTGCTCGAGTTGGACGTTTCGGCTCGACGAAGTCGATCGTCAGATAGCAGATCTTGATGCCTGCGTTTCAACTCCGTCTTCAGAGGTCTCAATCACCGTGGGACCGTTTAGCGTCTTCCGCGCAGGAGTGCCTGCGTTGGAAGAGTCCCAAGCGGCTGAGCTAGGTGAGGAATGTACGCTTGAGCCGGATATACCGGCCTCGGGAGAAGATACTTCTTCTGATGGCGAAAGTTTGTCTGGTTATTGTTCTATGGAAGGAGAAGCTTTAACGGAGATGCCATCAGTTTGCGGGGACGAATGGCAGCTTCAAGTCTCGTCACCAAGAAGGGAAGCTTCATCGCTCGGGTACGGACTAACTTCAAGTCTATTTGGTGATCCTTTGATCCATCGTCTTATGGATAACTATGTTTGCACGGTTGCCAATCTCCTTCCGCCGTTGCCACACCCACAAAACCCATATGCCTCGATCTACGTCCCCAAGGCCATGTACGGCGCATCGAACCATTTGTTGGGCGTAGGATACTCTGCATCAGAGGTACCCTCAAGTAATGTCGCCATCTTCTACGCTCTTCTGGCAACTTCAGCTTTTCACTTGCGGGGATCTGATCTGGACGGGGCCTCCGAACTAGACCTCACTGCTCGCCGATTCCGTGCAAAAGCATTCGCCTATCTCCAGAAAGCGCTGCAGGAGCCTCTCACAGCTGGTGAAGACCAAGGTCTTGGCCTAAGCAGCACTTCATCAAATTCTTCGACAGCGGGGGAAGCAATCATCTCAGCAATGCTGACCTTGATAACTACGGATGTAAGTTAGGCTTCGATAATGTACAATCATCTATTTGCTGACATTATCCGGCTGCCAGGTCGTGGAAGGTTCCATGAGTGAATATTGGATTCACCTCGATGGAGTCAACCGATATGCTCGGCAGTTGCGCAGCGAGGTAGGAGAGTCTTCAGGGATCGATCGTTTGATTGCAATTTCATCGTTTCTCTCAACTCTTGCCAATTCGACTTCCGTCGATCTCCCGCCAATCCCTTGGTCCGATGACAACCTCACCATGTCGGATTTGAGCTATTCAGATTCCGTTGTGACAGATGGACTCGAATTCGCATATGGGATTACACCAACTTTGGCAAACTTGATGCGGCGGGTGGTCGTTCTCGCTCAGCACATTTCCTACTATATCTCAAACTCACTAGACCTGCCCCCACGCCTCATTTCGGCGTGCATGAGCTTCTCGGAGACGCTGTCGCAATGGTCGATCGAGTCGGAGCCGCTCTCCAGCATGCTTACCGGCACAGATGCTGACATGAACATCGCCCTGCTCCTGGCCAAGAATCATACCCTTGCTTTCGCCCACGGCCTCAGGGTGTATTATCACACTCGCATCCTCCCGTGCAGCCCGGCCGAGATGCAACGTTATGTTGATTGCGTCGCGAACCATTTGACCATCATCGAGGAAATCAAAACCGCAGTGGGATTTGACTACAACACCGCGGCCACTATCACCTGGCCGGGATTTATTGCATCCTGTGAAGCTGGCCGAGGCCGCCCACGCGAGGTCTGGTACCGCTGGTGGGAGGGCATGATAAAGTATCGGATCGGGAATATAGCACACTTGTGGAAAATTGTGCAAGAGGCCTGGAGGTTGAAGGATGAGGATGGCTCAACCGAGGTCCCTGCTTGGATGCCAGTACTCCGCCGCAGTGGGAAACGGATACTTGCTGTGTGAAGGAAAATGGAGTCTTGCTTGATGGCACGAATCTGTTGTGGATTCCCATGCCGAGGGCGGCGACAGCTCCAGGTTGTGTGACCTCTGTTTCCTCACAATATCACAGGAGATAGCCTAACCAATCTCAGGGTGCAGCGCTTACCATGGCTTTTTCCAGCGCCTTGCCAACCCTCCGGATGCCTTCGACGATTCTATGCTCGTCCTCCCACGCGAAGCAAAGGCGAACGCCATGCTTGATCGGTACACTGGCCTCATCTCCCACGACCTCAAAATTTCGACCTGCCCCCACAACCACCTTCTCCTCTCGTTCGGCGAACTCGGCAAATTCACTGCCGTCAAGTCTATCAGGCAGATGGAGATAGATGTAATACCCACCCTGCACGGCTGGGCATGGCTGGCGAGGGACTACCGACTCCGACTTGTCCCCAAAAGAGACGAGGACGGCGCCCTGGGGCAGAAGGTATTTTTGCACAGCATCTAAGGCGATTGCCGCACGGTGGCTATAAGCAGGGATCAGGACCTTTTCAAGAAAGTCTTGAACTGCTCCGGAGCGGATGGCTTCAGCAATCATCGAGGCAGTAAACTGGCTTGCCGACCCTCCGCTACGCGTTGAACCGCACTTTGACAACCCCAGCGCGAACAGTTCGGTGGATTCGGTCCATCCTGTCCGCAGGCCGGGGCCGAGGACCTTGGAAAAGGAACCGTTGCTCACGACATTGCCAAACTTGGAAATCACACCCCCATCGAGGGTCTGATCGACATCCACGAGTCGAGGCACGGCAGCCTTGCCCAGCCGGGACGGCCCCCAGTGCAGCAGGTCATAGACGTCGTCGGCTATGACCAGTGCATCATACTTGCGCGCCAAGCGCACAAGTTGCTCTCGACGGCGCAGAGACATAGTCTTCCCCGAAGGATTGGAAAAAGTCGGAACACAGTATATGATGTTCTTAAAATGCTTCTGACATGGCAGTGGGCGTTTTGTGGGCTGCAAGGTTTGAAATTCAGGGTCAGCATGGTTGTTCAAGCCAAGTAAGAAACACGGCAAGTTTGTAACACCGAAAGAGCAGGATACTTACGCGCACGTCCAGCCATCCATTTTCAATGTCGTCGCGGGACAGTAACTCCTCCAGCCGCTCCAGATCGATGCCTTCCTGGTCCTCAGGAACGGCTTTGAGTCTACCGGCGAAGCCGTTGTCTTCGAAGATTCGACAAGCCAGGAAATACGTCGGGGCAACCATGTACACATTTTTGGTGTAGGACGGATCAGTATACACCTGGAGGATGCAGGCCAATGCTTGACTTGCACCTCCAGTGATGGTCAACCGGGAGGGAGATGTCCATGGCGTCTGATAAAACTTGGACAGGAACGTAGACAATGTGTCTAAGAGACAATCCGGTCCTGGGTCTGGGCCGTAAAGTAGTGATGGTGTATACAAAGATGGATTTGCAAGCAGTGTTTGGGATGCCGCCTCGAGGAGTGATATAGGAAGCAGCCTGGCGGATGGCCAACCCTGGAACAGATCGATGACGGGGTCTTCGGCAGATGACATGTTGCTGATGCTGGACGAACAAAAGAGAGGAACCGAATCACAAATAAAGCAGTCACGTCGACAAGGGAGGAACAAAGGGCCTGAAAACAGCTCGTCTCGAGAGCTGCATGACCTTTGAGGCTATATTGAAGGAACAATCGAACCAGGATCAAATTCTGTTGCTACTACCACCTTGCTATCACCACCCCGTTAGTATTTCGCCATCTAGGAGTCCTCAGACAGGGCCTGGCCACTGAATTACATGGCCGGCGGCACTCGGCGGCCATGCCAGAAAGAAACTTCCCCCGGAAAAGCAGATGCTGTGGAGGAAACGATAATATGCCACTTGCTATCGGTCCGTTGTTTAATCGCTAACCATGAACTACAACCACTGACAGCTGGGAGAAAGCATCCCAGGGAATCCTAGGGAAAGCATGGCCGGCAGCAGAAGTAGCAGTCAGCGAGAAAAAGCATCCGAAGCTTCAGGATGCCTCATGCTGTTTCGTAAGAGGATCGTCGGGCTCCAAGGCAGCGATAAACTCGTGGGAAACGGTCAGCGAGTCCCGCCTGGCGCCAGCAAGGTGGTCGGACGATCCTGGTCTCGCTGAGAGCTTCCCTCACCAGACGAGGCAAGGCTGGTTGCCGGTCTGTCGGCAAATGAAATCAAGGTTTCTGATGCCAAGACTCGATCGGACCGGGCCCCGGTGCAAAGAAAGGGCTTACGCTAACTCGTTGAGGTTAAACATGCCAAGGCTGAGTCTATCTGTGCGCGTGCTGCAATTGGCCCAAAGCCAACGTCCCTCTTCGCCTAAGCCTTGCCATGACAAGAAAAAAACTCGTTGCCAGTCCACTTCCACCACTACTTCCGCTACAACTACCAATGCTTCCACACCAACTTATCTCGGTTGTCTGCTCATGATCTCGTGGAGGATCCATTACGGATGGAGAACTTGGAGGCGACTGCAATATTGGGTATTCGGTTCACCAGAAGGCCATAAAGGGGTGCCAGTGTGGCAAGCTAGGGCTTCTCTCCTCTCTCCCTCTCCGCAAAAAGGGCTGGCTACCTATAGGCCATCAGGCTAGTATCTTCAGTCATCTAGGACAATAATGGATTCGATCGGCTATGGCAAAAACCCCCCGCCAAAAATGGTCCACAGATGCTACCTTGCATAGCTGGGCGGCAAATGCCCAGTCCCTGGGTCGAGACAATTGGGTGGTTGCCGTATGGCATTCTACAATGTAGCCATTCACCAACAGCTGGGCTATCGCGGAGTTGGAGCCGCTGGTCTGGCCGTTTGACAATCATCACTACTAACAATCTGGTGATGTCTGTTGAGCTCTTTCCTTATCTCGACGTCGTAAACGCTGGGCACAGCGCTAATCAAAGCACCCATGATTTGCAACGACAGCCTACCTACGCGCCTATTAATATTGGGTTCAGTTCCGCGTGTATATACATATCTATATGGGTGTGACTCCTTCTATCCTTCTCATCTCTGTGACCGGGCCACAAAAGTGCTGGCTGACTCCCACCCTAGCCTCCCTCAACCCTTACAGTACATCCTGTTGTTTTAATTGTGCTTTCCCACCTTGTGCCCAAAGGACAAGCAAGGTCTCGGGCTGATCTATTCCGCTCTTTGACTTGCTCGATATCCATACTACCGTCTCAATTCGACTGACAAAGATCTTATACGCCACTCGGTGTTTCCTTTTCCCCTTGGGCGTGTCGAGCCCATCCAGCAATCATGGGCACCGAGCTTGAGTCCAAGACAGCTGGGCAAGATGGCGAGGTGGTGTCGGAGGTCTCTTCCAACCCGCAAGAGAGTACCATGAAGGAACACACCGATATGTACGAACGACACCTTTCAGAGTCGGAATGGCAACAATACGGACAAACCAAGCGAGGCCTGACTCCTCGACATGTGCAGCTCATGGCGCTGGGAGGGTCCATCGGAACAGGCCTATTTGTCGGAATTGGTGGCAGTCTGTCCAAAGCCGGGCCTCTGTCTTTGCTTCTGGGTTACCTTTTCTGGGGAATCCTCTTCGTCTGGCCTTGCAACTTGTGCGTGGCCGAGATGTGCGCCTGGTTACCGGTGCGTGGTACGATTTTTGAACTTGCCGGGCGATACGTGGATCCTGCGTTGGGGTTCGCCCTGGGCTGGACCTATTTCTTTGCCGGGGCCATGTTGGTGTGCACCGAGTATTCGGCCGTCGCGACGGTGATGCAATATTGGAACACGGAAGTCAACCCGGCCGTGTGGATCACCATGTGTCTTGTCGTTTGTTTCATCTTGAACATTGCTGCTGTTAGGTGAGCATTTCTTTACACCATGGATTTCCTCACCCCCTCCCCCCAAGAAGACGACCCCCGTTCCACCATCCCGTCCTTTTTGGGTATATGATACTAACTCAAGTGCGTTCCACGCAGATGGTACGGTGAATCTGAATTCATCATGGCGTCGACCAAGATATTGCTCCTGATCGGATTGTGTCTACTCACATTCATCACGATGGTGGGCGGCAACCCGAAACACGACGCATACGGGTTCCGGTACTGGAAAGACGGCATGGCCATGCACCCATATTACACCACGGGGACGACCGGACGATTTTTGGGATGGTGGTCAGTCGTGCGGTACGCGGCATTCACGGTTGCCGGGCCGGACCTGATCTCCTTGGCGGCAGGCGAGATCCAGAACCCACGCCGAACAATCCCGCGAGTTGCACGACTGGTCTTCTACAGACTTGTTGGGTTTTATGTTTTCGGGGTCCTCTGTGTTGGAGTGCTGTGCTCGTCGCGCGACACCCGACTGATGGGGGCTTTGAAGGACGGCTCGGCAGGCGCGGCCGCATCACCCTGGGTGATTGGGATTGAAAACCTGGGCATCACAGGTCTCCCCGGATTCATCAACTTTTTGATTATGTTGGCAGGCTGGTCGTGCGGCAACGCGTACCTCTACTCGGCCAGTCGGACGCTGTACTCGCTGTCCCGGGACGGCCAGGCACCCAAGTTCCTGATGAAGTGTACGAAAGCCGGTGTGCCCATCTACTGCGTCGTCGCCGTCAGCTTGATCTCCTGCATCACGTACCTGGTCGCCTCGGACAGCGCCGTCACGGTGTTCTACTGGTTCGTCAACTTGACGACCATTGCGCTCATTGTGACTTATCAGGGCATGTTGTGGACTTATGTTGGCTGGTGGCGCGCCCGCGTCGCCCAGGGTCTCGATCCCAACAGTCTGCCCTACAAGGCCCCCTTTGGCATTTACATCTGTGGCTTTGCCCTGGTCATGGGTCTCGCTGTCATGTTGTTTATTGGGTTTGATGTGTTTGTGCCCTGGGACACGGAGGGGTTCGTCACCTCGTACTTTGGAGGTGCTTTTGCCGTCGTCATGTTTTTCTTCTGGAAGTTCTTCAAGAAGACGAGGTTTGCGGATCCGGAAACCGCGGATATCTATTCTGGTAAAGCGGAGATCGATATGGAGTGCAGACATTGGGAGGAGGGTGGTATTGAGGAGGCTGAAAAGGCAAGGTTGGCGCAGATGAATTTCCTCAGGAGGACTTGGGAGAGGATGTGGTAGGAAATAGGAGTGCGGCGGTGTGCCTCTTGTTTTTCTTGTTTTATGATCGTGTCAAATATTGTTGGCTGTTGAGGCTTTTGTACTGTAGGGTGAAGAGAGAGCGAAGGAATAAAGAATAAACAAGCTTGACAGAGACAGATTCCTCTCGTCGCGGATTTAAACCCTTGTTATACGAGTAGTCTCGTGAGTGTGTCGTCTTATAATACAATCCTTGCACTGCTTTGCTTTACATTCCCCTTGCGAGGCTGCGATATACTATCCCACGATACATATTTGCCGTGTACATTATTGTAGACAGAATCAGGACATGATTCATTTTGAGTCAGTATCATCTGTCAAAATCATGAACAAAAGCCACCCTTGTAAGTCAAGTACCAACAGAACACAGAAAATCTATTCTAACCGTGACATTTTGTTCCATTAGGTATCGCGACACTAATTATCCTTGACCTCATGTAGTGTTCCTCCTTCTTCTCGTCCTCTCCAAACCCTATTACCCTATCTGTTGCATCCTGATCTCATCCCTTCCCCGGCCCATCCTCTTTTTGGTTTTTCGTTTCAAGTGCTAGACTTATTTATCCTCTCCAGCTCTTTAACCGTATACTCCCAAACCCGATCCGCCCCACGCTTCTCTCTCAACTTCTTGAGTTCATCATTGCCCCCATCAGGAATCGCATCCGAATCCTCACCGACAATATAAACACCGAATCCGACAACACCATTACTTCCCTGTTGAACATCCGTCCCAGCAACTCCAACTCCTCCTTGATTTCCATTTCCATTTTCAACCCTCCTAAACCTCCCACTCGTGGCCACAAACAAAGTCCTCTCCCCCGCCTCTTCCGCCGAATGTGTCTTCATAACCCACCCACTGAGTTTCTTAATCAGGCTATAAATCCAATTATACAAGAAAAAGGAATTCTGAACCTGCAGCGCCGTATCCGGAACCATACCGGGGAAAGTATGGATGAAAACAACCTTGTTGTTTTCCGGCAGTGATCCCAACTTCTCCAAAAACAACGTCGTCATACTCCCCGCTGCGCCCATGGCGTAGAGCGGACCATATGTGTTTGGCTGTGTCATGCCCAAATCGTCTAGGACCAAAGCACCTTCTTCGCCAGCTCCCAATACGCTGACGACACGGGGACTTGGGGCGCGACGTAACAACGGCAACAAAGTCAATATGATTTGCGCGCGGGAGTGGAATCGGATTGCCATTAAGCGCTCAAGTCCTTCGGGTGACCAGTCGGGTTTGCTGGTCAGGGCGAGGTAGCCTGCCGTGAGGATCAGGAGGTCGATTTTGGGCGAAGCCTCAGAGGCAGAGCCAGAGATGCTTTGACGGGTGGTTGCGTCTCGGACTATTTCGTCTGCTGCCCGTGCTGCGTTGCGCACGAGCGTCAAGTCGCCTGCGACGATCGGGATCAGTGTCGCGGAGCTGTTGAGCGGTTGGAATGTTTTGGAAATCAGGGTTTGTAGGCGCGTCTCGTTGCGGCCGACGAGATAGATAGTTGGGCTGGATGTGTGTTTGAGAAGTGCGACCACGGTTGTCAGGCCGATTCCGTTGGTCGCGCCGACTACGACGGCCACGGGGCCGGGGCCGCCGCCGCCGGCGGATGAGAGGGAGTTGTTGCTTATTAGGACGTCGGAGTAGGAGACCATTTTGCTTTTGGTTTTGCTGTTTTTGGTCTTGTTGGTACTGGTTTGGTGTTCGTTGAGATTGGATTGTGATTGCGTAGATGTTGTTGTTGTTGCTCTCGTTTGAGTAGTGATGGGACTTGGATACTGTTGCGCCAAACCTAGGCCCGGAAGCTCGGTATCTGTATCTGTTGTATGCCGATGGCAGCGACTGCTCGAAATGAGGTAATGAACCTGTCCGTTTCGTCGAGGTGTGGAGTGTGTGAATGTGTAGTCGTGTCGGAAAATGTCGAATATGATTTCGAATACTACCGATGCCGTTCGCGATATGAAACTAGAGTCTTTTGGGATCAAGGACCTATATTTGGACCAAGCTCAGGATGTGCGATGCCAATGGGCGATATCTGATGAGGATGAGGCGGATGAGGCCGGTATAGTAAGGCAAGGCGTGATAAAAGCCCAGGGCACTCTTATCCGCCGACGTCGGGTCGTGTCGTTTGGAAACGAAACGGTGATCTGATGTGATGTGATCGCCACAACTAGGCGATTTTGGCTATTGACTCCCTCCTGTTGGAAAGTCAAGTCTCGTCGCTGGAACCCCGCTCGTAGGATCCAAGTTCGTTTGCACAATAAATGCAGTGCCTTGTACTGTGGATAGATACAGCAGCTGATCGATCGATTTCCGCCTTGACGACTTGTGTGTTGAGCAACGAGGATGAAGATGAAGATTGTGAAAGGTAAATCCACAACCTATGGGTAGGCAGGTATATGTATATGTACACCTAGGTAGGTGTAGGTATCGTGAACTGAATGTTAGTACCCACTACTCACTCGGTTCGGGAGTTAGTGTAGATAAGTAAGCAGGACTAATCTTTGTAATAGTACAGCACACTGTAGCGACACTCTGCTCTAGGGGGATCATCGGGGAGATATATATACTGTACTGACCAACCAGTACCTCTCCTTTGAGCAGGGGGGAAGGGATCTGGTCAGTGTGCCTCTAGGACAAGCAGGAGTCGGATTTCAAAGTCCTCTCCGGATGAGAGGAGAGGAGAAGCACTGGCAGAGGACAGGACACATCAAGCTCCGACTCCGACCGGACGATGGACACTGTGATAGGTTGTAGTGACTTCAAGGCTGGAATCTAGCTTTTAGCTTTCTCGTAGTACAGTAGTAAAGGACAACGTCACGGTAGTCATCGAACTGGTCGTCGTTAGGAAGCCGGAAGGCGTGCTTGTCACACTGGCACTGGCTCCAACCAACAAGTCTACGAGGCTGACGTAGTGTACTGTTACTGTTGCCGTACGTAGGCCCATGGAGCCCTCCGGATATACTGTAATGTGGTCCGAAATGAAATATGGAACCATTCTGGACCAGTGGCTGAGAAACGCAATTGCAACCATCGGGATGACCTGATGATTCTGCGCCGGGATCATATTAGAAATCAGCTGGAAAAGCGAAACACAGACAGAAAGAAAGACTGCGAAAGAAAGTGAGTGGAATGATTTCAATGACACTACTGTGTCGTACTAGTAGCGCCTCGATATACCTATGGACATCGCTTATCTCAGCAGGCGCTGGGTTTCGGCTCCCAAAGAAGCCGGAAGCCGAAGTGGGAGTGATTGGACTACAACATCGCACATCAACAGTAAATACGAGTAGTAGAGTGGTACCAACCATCATGCAAGGCGAGCTGTATTTGGGACATATTCGTAATCATGGAAGATGTGGCCGGGTCAACTACAGCATTGTGTACAGTTTCTAGGATAGGCTTCGGAAAATGCTCAAATGCTCAGCGGAGAGCAGGCCTTCAATTGGGATCCTTCACAAGCTCACACTATAGAGCATGAAGGAACTGGAGCCAACGTAGCTTCTATCAGCCAGACATTGTCACGAATCCGACGTGCACGATCTCGTGAAAGGGCTCTGTGAATACAATTGAGTCGATGCAAACGCATCCATTATCAAAGGCTGATAGGCCAAATGCGCAACGATCATCGCCACGGACCATGGGCTCTCACTCCATTGTATTCTATGTAAGACGAATCCGACGACCTGGTCTGTTGTACATGCCATTTCATGGCTTATGCCCCAAGCCCCATGCTGGTTCGCTGTGAACAGACGAGTTTTATGCGTAAAAGTTGACACTGTGAGATGACAGTCAGTACTTGTAAACTCGACATCTTTTGAATCATATCGACTTACGTGTCTTTCTTCTTCGCTTGAACTTCGTTGATACCATCGACAAAATGCTCGTGGAGGACCTTGGAATGACCCTTGCGAAGTGCGATCATGCCTGAAAACGAAGAATGTAAGTAAACTTGTCAAACAGAACAAGACAAAATAGCCTCAAGGCTTCATCAGATCAACAACGTACCCGCTTCAACACACACGGCTTTGAGTTGGGCACCTCCCATTTCGTCGGTGGATCGAGCCAGCTCTCCCCAGTTGATGTTGCCTTCGTCGATGGTCATCTTGCGAGAATGTATTCGAAGAATCTGGGCACGCGATTCTTCATTTGGAAGAGGAAACTCGATCTTGCGATCGAGTCGGCCGGAACGCAGCAAGGCCGGGTCAAGCACGTCGATTCGATTGGTGGCAGCAAGAACCTTGATTCTTTCATCCGAAGCAAATCCATCCAGCTGGTTCAACAGCTCCAACATGGTCCGTTGCACTTCTCGGTCACCGCTCTTCTCGGAATCGAACCGTTTGGTGCCAATGGCATCGAGTTCGTCGATAAAGATGATCGAGGGTGCCTTTTCCTTGGCCAGGGCGAAACAGTCTCGCACAAGTTTGGCACCATCACCGATGAACATTTGGACCAACTGAGGACCGGCAAGCTTGAGGAAAGTGGCGTTTGTCTGAGCAGCGCACGCACGAGCAAGAAGGGTCTTGCCCGTTCCTGGTGGACCGTACATCAAAGCACCTGTAACCTGAAATTAGTACTTTAAACTTTGAACGACTTGTTGTACTAGGACAGCACGCACCTTTGGGAGCCTTAATGCCAATCTTCTTGAACCGTTCGGCTTCCTTCATCGGCCACACGACCGCCTCGACCAGTTCTTCAATCTGCTTGTCAAGACCACCCACGTCGGTGTATTTCTCAGTCGGCTTCTCGTCCACTTCCATCGCCTTGACTCGCGAATCATACTCGGCCGGCAGCGTGTCTAACACGAGGTACGAGTCTTTGTTGACGCCAATCAGGTCGGCCGGCTTGAGCTTGTTGTGGTCCACCAGCCCAATGAGCGGCAGGAAGATGGTCTGTCGCGTACTGGTCTTGATGACTGCAGACTTGCCCACTCTAGTAGCATCCAGGTCGATGTTGGCACCTTCCTCAGCTGCTTCGGCGTCGACATCGAGGTCGAGAAGTTCGACGACATTCCCAACAAGGTACGGTAATTGTCTGTCCCGGAGCACATTAGCCACCCTGCGGTTGCGGAACAACACAACCATTCGACTTACCTGTTCTGCTCAATCTTGTCCAAGTTGTCCTTAATTTTCTCTTTCATCGTGGTCTCTTCATGTTTCAGCCGCTGGAACTCGCTCTTCAGAATCTTTAGCTCATTCTCAAGTAATCGCCGCCGGTTGATGATGTCTCTGGTGCTAGAATGCAGGATTTCCGCATCGATGTAGTCTTCCTCTTCGTCTTTCTTCTCCGGTTCAGCATCCTTCATCTCGGCATCTTTCTTCGAATCGCCATCGGAAGGTTTCTTGTCATTGTTTTCATCGTCCTTCTTTTGGTCCTTCTGATCGCGCTCGATGTCATCCAGGTCTTCTAGGGTAGACATGGTGGCTAGGGTTGCTGGAGTTCTTCACGGGTGTGTCGGGAGGAGCGCCGTCAAGGTTGACCTAGGAGGAAGATTGACTGACTGATGGGACGTCAAGCTTGTGGACTGCGAGATATCTGAAGATACAGCTTGCAGCAGGCAATGTCCCAGTGTATTCGTCCAGATACCTTTGATGTCCTTGATAGACCGACCGACAAGGCAACTTGCACGAGTGGCTCGACCACTCGCTGCACTCACTGCGCGGCGGCGGCGAATCATTTGCGCCGCCGGACTCTACTTGGCGCCACCAGCACTCAGCTGCACCGCGTCACTCCTCGCAGCCTGATGAATGAATATACGAGAGACTCTTGTACTACTCAAACGCTGTAGTCTTACATCCATACACTGTCAAGCCTCACTCCAGCTCCATGATAATAACAGTTGAACTGCTCGATTGGTATAAAATATTCGCCGAGACTCTACAACACTGCTCCAGTTTGCCTTTGCTTCAAGGTACTTTTTTTATACAAAGTCGTCGCTGTGCACTGCTATTTATGGTCTTGAACGCAAGAATACCCGTCGCAATAATCTATCAAGGGTATAACCCGTCGAGCACAGCCTGGCCCGCGGTGAAAAAGCAATGTAAAGGTCCATCAACTTGACCGATGTGTCCTGTTGTACCTTTTGCCAACACTGCTGTTCGAGCTGTGTCATTGCGCCCATCAATCGTGTTCGTTGAACCAACCTCGTCGTTGCACATGACTAATTACAGTAGTCGACCACAGCCATCTAAGCAGCGAGTGACCTCCCAAAGCCTGCCCGACTGCGCAAGCCCTCTGCAAGCCCCTATCTCCTAGCACCCGCTCAGCCATCAAAACAAAACCTCATAAGCAAAACCAGCAACTGTCAAAAAAGAATGTGCAAAGCTCATGCATGGAAATACCGCCCACCCTAACCCATGACGCCAGCAAAATAAACGTTTCCGAAGTGAATACTTTTTTGTGACTTTTGCCTCCGCGACCTCGACGAGAGGCTCCTAAAGGCCGCCCACCAACCCATGCATGCATGTATCTTGAAGGAAAAGGAAAACCGGGTTCTATCACTTTAAGAGGCGGCCCGCTGTTGTAAATGCCGAAGAACGAGGGAGTGAAAGTGCGATTCGTGAGAACGTCGTTAGATGCAAGTTCGATTAGAAAGATGTCAGCCCGTTGGAAAACCGCGCAGGATGCAGTGAGCTTGGTCTAGCAACATGCTAGCCCAAGCCCACAATGGAACCACCGACACCGGAATAGTGGCACCAGGGGTGAACCGAGTCGACAGACACGCCTTTTTGGACAAAAGTTGCCGGCCATGCCCAGCACGCTGAACGCTAGAAAGAGGCTGGGCTTTTCAGCCCACGACAGTTTGCAGAGGATAGCCTGCGTGAGTGTTGAAGTAATAGTCCGACTGCTTCGCATGAAGGGAGCAGCCACAGTTCGGGCCATGGGCAGCCCAATTCGCCGCCGCGAGCCCGGTAGGGTAGGAATAGGTAGGAGCGTAGGCATTGACCTGGTGACGCTGCGCAGAGTATGCCGACACACTTCCAGAGTGATAGCTTTGACGGCCGTAGGTTGCCGGCGCAGCGGGGTTGTATGTCCACGATGGCGTGTAGTAGTCGGGCGTCGACGGACCACTGTGAGGGGCAGAGGGAGGCGAATATTCCGAGATGTAAGGCCGGACCCAACGGGTGTCGAACTGTGCGCTTTGTTGGTATTGAGGAGGAATGGGACCTTCCGGAGACATCAAGGGCTGATGCTGGACGGAATGGCTGCAACCAAGATTCGTGTCGAGAGGAGCCAACTTGTGCATTTGCTTGGCTTTGGCAAGCTGGGCCTGCTCTTCATAGGCATGCCAATGGTCGACCCACATGAAGAAGCCTTCGTCCTGGTCGTACATCATGCCGTGGATTTCCCAGTTGAAGTCTGTCAACCATTGCAGCTCCATCATGTTCAGCTCTTGCACCGGGATGCTGCTGACCTCGGCCCAGGATCTGTTCTGGAAAGTATTGTCATCCAAGAACTTGCTGCCCAAGAGAAGGCAGGTTGTGAGCATCCTATACACCGTTCCTGAAGCGGAGGTCGATTGGCCACGCTCAGTCACCTGCTTCATGCGTGATGAAAGGTAAAAGAGCGCAAGCATGATGGTAGAACTGGGCAAGCGGGTTGACGACAGAATTTGGGACACATATTTTCGGAACTGCGTTGTCGGAACGGACTCAGGTGTGACGCTATGGATGCTTGTTAGAGAAGAGCCAGTCGCCGGGTTAGAGCCGAACTTACAGTTTTTGGGACATTTCGGCAACGAAGTTGGACATCATATCCATGTCGTAGTCCAGGTGCTGTGCAACACCTCCGGTAGGCTTTTCTTCCTTTGGTTTTGTCTCAACCTGCTGAGTCTGATAATGTGTCGAGTATGAATCCAGCGAATCGGTCACCCGGATTGGAGGCAGGACAGGTGCGCCCGCAGCCGAATATCCGTACTGGTTGCCTGAGTGACCATATGACGGGTAAGGATACTCTCGCGAAGTATGGGCCAGTCCGTGGCGCGCAGATTGCTGGCCATGGTAGATAGCCGAGCCTTGGTATCTGTCGCCATATTCGCGCGAAGAAAGAGATCGGCGGCACCCGTATCCTTGCGAAGCATAGAAGCCGTGGTCAGAGCCCGCACCCATTGGAGTGAGGTAGTCGGTTTGACACTCTGGAGGAGTCGGAGGGAGGCGGGAGTGCTGGCCGTTAGGGCCCCAGCTATGATAGGAAGGCATGCTCCCAAGCAAGGAGATGAGCAGAGCAGAAGACCGAAGCCCTGGTGTAATTAGCACTTGGGTTTCGTGCAGGACAGCAGTCCTTCTCACCTTCTGCGTCTGCTGAATGCGACAACGCCTTAGGCGTTGAAGCCGTAGCTTTTAAAGCCGATCTTTTGCCCCGACTCAGATGCAGAGCATGTGTGAGTGTGGGTTATTGAGTGGCCAAACAGTCAACCCCCAAACGCGATGAGCAAACAGGGTGAATTAGTTGATAGCAGGTCCTGTGTACGACCGTTGGTAATGTGACGGACTGGCGACAAACGACAGGTCCGATTATGAGTTATGGTTCAAAGTGACAGATCGAACAACAGGCGTGGTTGACAAGACTTAGTGAAAAGCTCGTCACGAACAGAGTGCGAGGAGTGGTCGCAGTGAGGTATAAACGGCCGGGTAAGACAACTTCGTCCGACAGGAAACCTGTAAACGGGACGGTTATTAGGATATGTTGCGACTGAGATTAATGGAATGCTTGAGCAGGCTGCAAACACTTGGAAAAGGTGGTTGATGGGGAGTCAGTGGCCGATGGGCCGCGCACAGAGACATACCAATTGAAACGCCACAACCAGCTGCGCTGCGCACTGGCTCTCTAGCAACCGAACGTGCGCCGTACAGGTAAGAAGCGACAGTGGCGCGTTTGTTGTGTGTAAGAAAACTGGCGAGAGCAAGATGTTGTGGTGGCCTCGATGCAAGAAGCGAAGGCAGACTGGGTTCGTCGGAGCGATCTGGGAGACACAGCCACTAGCAGGGCGAGAAAATGGACCGCAGCCCAAGAATCCTGACCACCGTAGCTCGTGACGCGCAGCTGCTTGGACGACAAAGCCTCAAATTGGCCACCAGCAACCAGATTTCAAGGCTGCCTGGGAGACGGGGAGGTGGATGGGATGGCGAAGCAGCACCAAAGGCGTAGCCTGCGACGATGGTGCGGTGGGAAATTGTGGTAATCAAGCTGACCGCAAGGAGTCGTGGCTCAAGAGGCAGACGTGGGCCCGGGTCCGAAATTACCCAGTGCGAGCTCCTTTGACTGTGGCCGAGAATAGCAACGACGGGGGCACCAGCGACACGTCGTGCAGCAGCGAGATATTCCAGATGACTTTTATAGGGAAGAGAGGAGAGGGAGAGGAGGATTGCGAGTAGAAAAACAGCAGAAGGATGAACTCGAATAGAGGACGGGGAGGGAAGAAATGATGAGGGATGAAAAACGGAGCGTGAGGGTGAGCGAGAGGGGATGCAGTGTGTGGTGTGCAGCCAGTTGACAGGAGAGTGAGGGAAAAGATGGCCCTGCCAGTGCCAGTAGTGCAGTGCAGTAGTAGTGCAGTGGTGAGCCTGAGTGGCAGCAGCACACTTTTTTCTTTGCGGACGCAGTTGCATCTGCAGAGGCCCCCCGAAGCCAGACTTTGATGGGCACCTAAAGCCGCGGTGGCTGCCCGGAGCGACGACAATTGGTGGGCGGAGGCTTCAGGCGACTTGGACGGCAACGGGCAGCGCGCGCGGACAGGGACGGCTGACCGCAAAACCTGTGGAAAGGGGAGCCTGCGAAAGGGCGAGGCAAGGGCGAGAGCGAGCGAGAAGCGGCGCACACCGCAAAAAAAAGAGGGTCAGGGTCTTCAACTGCGTAATAGCGGCAGGCAGGTAGGTTGGCGCACTGGGTCAGGCAGGCTCTTAGAGGCTGGACGAGCCTACCAGGAGCCACAGCCATCATCACCGTTACCCAATGCTACTACTAGCACTAACGCCGACCGCGCTCTATACCTCGTTAACCATACTGCTAGAGCTGCACTGTGGCCACTGGCAGGCGAGGAAAATAATAGGTCCTGCGCAGTGCAGTGCCCGTCACGGTGTGAGAGGGAATGGGCGGGCGATGCTGGCGACGAATCACAAACCAGGGCAGTGCTCAGGACTATACCGACCTTGGAGCGAAGTACTGGCAGCCCACTACTACTACCACCGGTAGTGCCCCCCTGCACGCAGTCCAAGTGGGCGGAAAGGAACGGGCTGTGAAGTGCGTGACAGAACCCGAAGGCTCCCATCTTTCAGCTCCTCGGCAACCTTTCAGAGACTCGTCACTCGCTCGGACTCATATTATGCTCCTCACCCATGCAGCGAAGAGGAGTCGAGAGAGACTACTGAAAGCCGCATCCTACGACAGATTGGACAGCGATATACCTATGGGAGATGCCAGAGTTGCCCCCAATAAATACGCAGTCCTCCCAACTACGGATCAGGCTCTGATCGTTTCCGTCTTGCCCGCAAAGCGAATCTGTTGAAGATATGTCAATGGTGGCAGGAGTGGCGGTAGCTACACGAAGATTTCTCTCTGACCTCACTGCAAGTGTACGAAGAAAAGTCGTTGTCTGCCCTAAATTATATTGGTCATCTTTATGGGTATGATTCACCATCCGGTAGTCCCTGCATAGGTAAAATCGTATACGGAATCCGAGGCCGTCATCTTCTCCTCTACTACTATCGGCCTGCCGCTCAGCTTAGAGCACCGCTCACGTCTTACTCAGTCGAACCAGTCGCCACCGCCTCGTGCCACCGCTCCGCCGCTATCGACTTCGTCGTCACAAGAAGTAGCAGTTCGAGTTGCAGTCTATGACGACCGACTACGTGCGTCTGCTTCTTACCTACCTAGGTAGTAACTTTACAGCCACGTTGGTGTGCCTGACTACCTCAGATTATGGTTATATCATAGTCTAGAAACCACTTGACTCGCAATTGCTCCTGACAGATGTGTAACCGCGCAATATCTGCGTTGTTTACACAAGCTGAAGTTGTACCATTATTATTACAGCCGCACTACATAGCCCAAGGCTGGTGCGTGTCGGTTACTCGGCATGGGCACTGGAGGCTGAACCATGTCCATTCCGTATCAAGCAGCCTCAGGCTGCTTGTGTAGACTTTGCCGTTTGAACCACCACTGCGTAGGCCTTGCAAGTGCCCGAGGCGCCTACCATGAGTATGTCTCTGCGCCCAAGTCCACTTTTCTTTTCATCTTGGTGGTCTGAGAAAGGCCCTCGACCGACTCTTGAACCCTATTGATGTTGTGTGCGAGTCCAAAAGGGAGATGGCCATGCTGAGGTCTTCATGAAAACTGAGGTCTCTGCCAGGCCCAAGATGAGTGGGAGTGAATGCCTCTTGATCACGCAACGCCTCGCTGCATCTCATATCCGCGACGTTCGTAATGATTCTTTTCAAGTAGTAGTGGCAACGTCGTGGTGGGCCAAGAGAAATGGGCGCTCGGCCACCAAGTCGAACTCTATCTGAGCCAAGTCACAGCGTTCAGCTGTGTACCAAAGGTACCAGGTAGGGGGGTAAGTTTTCGTTCGGTGATTTAAGCACTGCATTCCAGGTGCTGCTGGTTCCCTGGGGTTGGATGGCAACTGAACTCAAACAAAGGCGGGTTTGGGGGTCGGCATTCCCCATTGTCAAGCCGCGGTAAGGGGTGGCGTGGGCGTTCCCTGCAAATCTTTTGCAACGGTCTTGCCAACACAGGGGCATTGCCATTGAATGGCAAGATGCAAGGATATCAAAACAATCATCTCCTGCTCAGATCTACCATTCACCTAGGGTACCAATCTACCGATGGTATGAACCGTGCTCTGAGTCCATCCTCCTGCTCGGTGTGCCATTTCCCACGCCATTCGGCTTCTCGGGCCTTGGCTTCCTCGAACGCACGGCGACAATCCTCTGGGAGTTCTTCCAGAATTGTTGCAGGGATTGCAGAGAGGCCTTCTTCTTCGTTGGAGCCAGGTTTGCCCAGCCATGATTCAGGAGCTGATTCGAGACAGAAGTCATGAATTCGAAAGTTTCTTCCGTATACGGGGTCCAGCCGAGGGAATTTGGACGCCTGCTCTGGGTTATCAGGAGCATTTTCGTCGTCAACAACCTCCCACCGCGCATGGGTAGGTTGCATATGGCTAGGAAAGTGCATGGCATTTGTATGAATGTCATAGACGCCATGGAGATTTTCTAACCGAGCGGCCGCCAGCATCGAGTTGAACCGGCTAGATGAGTCAGTTTACAACTTTCTCGTTGTAGAAGGGAAATTCCTACCTTGCTTCACGTGCGTGTTCAAATTTCCAATTGTCACTTGTTAGCACGATCTTCCGCCTCTTCGCATCCTGTGCCTTGGCATTGGGGACAGGCACGCTGGGTAGGTTGGTATGATAGACTGCACTCGCTCCATGCCAGGCGACGTATTGATTCCGGTTGTAAGGCTCGCCCGGGGCTGGAAGTCGATCTTCGGGAACCGCCAGCTCTCCCTCAACATCGCCACGTTCCCGGGCCTTCTGCGTCTCATAGTCGTCAATCACTTTTCTTCCGCCAATGACAATCTTCGCCCCGAATTCGCGGAAAACAGATCGGGCAGTAACCACACCGATGGCGCGACCTTTGTAGGAATGTGGTATGAGGTCTCGGTCAATGAGATCTCGCTTTTCATCGTCGTCAATGATGATTTTGTAGAGGTTTCGGTGTTTCTGGAAAAACAGATATGAATCGCGGAACCCAATGCAACGTGCCGGCTCGGTTGAAAGCATATAGAGTCGTTCACCGCGTCCCAGGATTGTGAATGTTCGCACCCGGTACTCTCGTCCTCCCAAGAGATGGCCATCCTTGTCGACTTTTTGTTCACCTTCAGGGTCCTCGGGTAGTAAGACCTCATCGTTGACTATCTCCATTGGGTTTCCGTCCTCATCAACAGGAGCATGAGACGCTCTTGCGCCTCCAGTCCTGTACTTCGCCCATCTGCCGCCTCTGTGGCCGCGGAAGCCACCTCGCCGTTTCGGGGTGCTGACCTCGGATGCGGCATCATTGTTATCTTCATCTGAAGCAGCGGCAACAGAACGTCTGGGTGGCCTTCCTAATCTCTTTCTTTTTGGTAGGAGGGAAGTCTGTCGTCCTGAGCGTCGAGGGGTTGCGGAACGCGAGGCCTGCTCGGAATCTCGTGATGGGGTCGGGGCTCCCTCTCCGTCCTCTTCTTCGTCATCGTTCGTGCCGTCATTTTCGTCTTCTTGCGGAGTAGGCGCATCTGCTGAAGTAGCGGCTGGTATAGGCTCGTCTTCGTTATCCGAAATGTTTGGAACAGGCGTCCCTGTTCAAGGTCAACATCATATGCGTTAAATTTGGTGGTTATCGGGCTTACGCATGGAAGCCGCAGCGGCTTGCGCCGCTAGACGCGGCCGTCGAGCCATAACGGCGAAGTGTGAGAAGGACAATACGCTGGCCTTCTAGACAGCGACTCTGGCGAAACTGCGGACCAGCCAGAATCACTGCAGACCTGGGGACAACGCGGCGCGTGAAACATTCTCGGTCAAGCTTGGCGATCGTTTGGCGCCAATTGGCAACTACTTGGACGTATTTTCGGAACTACTGTGCAGCATTCCTCCTTTTGCGTAAAGACTCCTACCACTGCAGTACGTAGGTATACAGCGTAGGTACTTTTTCATCTATCACTCCAAGCTGTTTTCAAATTGACTTTGCTGAGACGCGATCTACCAGAACACACACCGCTAAGCAACAGGGCACAGCGCTGGCTCTCTACAACAATGCACTTGCATTGGGGGTGGAGGTATACCATCAGACTTGCGGCTATACAACGTACAATGTTGTACACGTAGATACAACCCAGGTCGACAACCTCCACCTTACCATTCTACTACCCCAGGAGCCGGTGATCTTGTGCAACCCCTGACCAGCTACGATGACTGCATAGATCGTTTGCTGTTTTGGGCCATATTTAGCCATATTCACCACAGCAGCAGTTTCATGTCACACGGAACATACCATTTCAGTTTCTTGTCCCGCTGCACGACCTGCGGTGTCCCTGTAGGGCTTATGAGAGGGCCCAAAATAGACAAGGGAAAGGTCTTTCAGCCCCTGACTACCTAGGTATATGGAATATCAGGATGACAGCTAGCCTCCGTGATCGGCTGGTGTTGTAAAGAACATCTTCTGGAACTGCATGAGACACCATACCAATGTGGCCAATCCTCGAGACACAGAAAGTATTTAAGACAAATGGCAGTTATTAGATCTCCAGACTAGTAGAAGCGGAATATGCAATATTTCTACTGGCAGATAACCGATGATCCAGTGGCTTGACGTCGGTGTAGGCGAGACGACCAACGGTCTGTTCTGGCCAGTCAGGACGATGCCATGGTTCAGAACGAAAACTTGAAGCCTGGCATTACCTCCAAGCTCGAGATGAAGGCGTGGCATGTGCTTGGCCACCCAGTTTCTGATCGGGCTGCAGGGTTCCCAACAGTTGCACCCAGAGAGCGGCCGAGAAGCACATGCGATCTGCGGCTATTGCTTGCAGCGAGGCTCGAACCGCGCATAATCGGTCAATTCTGAGCTTGAACCACCTACTATTCAATTATTGTGCCAGTGCTCACCAAGTCAGCATCCAGGCAATCGGCTGGTCCGGTCTGCTCGTTTCCGCTGCCTCTGATGCCCTCGGTCTTGACTATTAAAGGATAGATCGAGATGCCGGCAAAAGGTCAATATTGGAATGCTCAGCGCCGTGGTCCGGCATGACCGCGAGAACTTCCAGTAAATGACGTCGACCCTGGTTGCCATGCTCTCTGCACCGACCAGGTTCGTGTTCTCTCGGGCGTCCGGGGACAGGGTGACTGGCTCGTAGGACTGTGAGTATCAAGCTGGGAATGATGCCGACTAAATGGTCAGCTGGTCGGAGTCGTTGCGACCTGCCAATGCCAGGCCTCTATCAGGCACAAGGACGTCTGGGCTGAGCATAAGGTAGGTTGAACTCCCGCGTCGTGCAGTGCGCAGCTGAAGGGCGAAATTTTCTGGATGAGACCGGGGGCTAAAAATGGTGGGAAAAGATGCCTGAGAGCCTCCTAAGCCCACCCTAGTAGCCCTGCCGAGGCCGCCTGGGACCTGCGCCCACTGGCACTACTACGCTCTACTTTAGCTGTCTCCGGGTGCCTACCAGTGCCTCCCTGACGTACCACACTGTACGACGGAATAGTTTTATTGAACAGCCGGGCAAACTATCAGGTTGCCCTCGCATGCTTTTTCGATCTGCCTAAGGTCGTCACATACTGTGCCCAGTTGTGGCCGTTGGAACGAAGCGTAAACGCGCAGTGACTCTCTGTAAATACTGCGGCAAACCCGACTTGCCGGCTGGCTCTGCGCCCTTCACGTTTCGCCATCATCGCACCACCTTTTTCCCCATCAGTGCCATCCAAGTTAAGCAAGTAATTATAATACTACCGCTACTACTGGTGATCGCTCCAGGAGGACCCAGACCAACACCAGCAGAATATCCCTAAAAAGGCTCGCGGTCGAGTCTCCGACCCTTTCCTCGCTTTGCAACTCGATTATATCACCACCGTTATCCCGGCCCTGTTAAGCTTGCTGTCGTTACCGGCTGAACACTACCTGAGACATCTGCATTGCCACTGATATTCTACGTTCTTACCAACATACTCACCGGGACTGCAAACTTTCCTTTCACCCTTCGTAAAAAACTTGAGGAGCCTCCGAGACGACACCTGAAATCCCTGCCGGCCACCTTCCGAGAATCTCCAATTTCTGCACCTCTTTCGTCACCCCTCCAAGCCCGCGGCCGGGAACCTCAGGGAACTCACCCCTCCATCAACGGGCCACTGCGGTGACCCTAGGCGGCCCTCGTTATTCTTCCAAACGACAAAACATCAATCCAATTCACCGATTCTCGAAGTGGAAGACCTGGGAAAGGAAACTGCCAACATGGCGCACACTGGAGTGAATCCGCATGCAGCTGCAGATTTGTTGAGACAAGCGATGGCACAGAAGTATGTCCGACCTCTTCCTCTAGCAAGCAGAAAAAAATAAATGGTGTGACTGCAAGAGCTGGGTTCATGGCTGGCCACGGATGGGCGGGGCTTGCGTCTAGCCCAGACTTCGAGGTCGAGGACTCATATTTGGGCTCGCACACCTCGTTGCATCTCGAAAACAGATGATGTTCAAGTCTGCTACCATTAGAAGCCATGCTTATCGACTATGGTCTCCCTTTATTGTTAGCAGGACTGCGGAACGGCCGTCATGTATCGTCCACTTGGCCTGGGCTCGAGTCACACCTCCAACCAGTCTCTTTTTGCCGGCACCGGGAATCCCTTTAGATTCTGGGCTAACCAAGTGAACAGCAGTGCGAAACATGAGAATCGAGATGATTTCCAGGACCAAATTGGTTCAAATTCACCCACGCCTTCGGGCGTGGAAACACCCAGACCCGACTTCCACGACAAGCGACTACCAGGTATAAATCACAGCTATTTTGGCCAGGTGGGTAGAGATCCTTCTCAAGACGTGCCATCGCGGTCATCTCCAGCTGCCACGACCTCTGAAGGACCAAGTGATCAAGCTGCACATCTGGCTGGACAAGACAAAGCATGGGGGGAGGAGCGTCGCACATCTTCTGCCTCTATCGGTTCCATGGTGATGGTGGAACGGGCTCAAGAACCCGTACCTACACCACCTCCCGATGAGCCTGCCCATTCAGAGGCCACAAAGCCTGCCGCAGAGACTGAGAGTTCTCGGCTACCGCCAACTCCAATCTCGTCCGCCGCCTCGGTGGTGCACCGAGATGGCGAGGCCGCAGAGAACGGCGGGTCCATGATCGAGGGCGGCATAGCTTCCATCACGCAGGCACTGAGGAATTTCGTTCTTCCGAAAACTGCCTTCGGGATGAAAGAACGCCGCCATCAGTCACTGCCTGTTTCTAGCGTTACCAAAAGCAATGTCTCTGCGGCTCACATTTCTAACCCTACCTCATCTACACATTCTTCGCGGCCACAGACCCCCAGATCTTCATCTCCAAGTCATGCTAAACCACCGCCGTCTGAAATTTTGCCAGAGTCAAGCAAGCTAACTTCCGACGCGGCCGTCGTGCCGCGTGATAAGAGTACCCCACCTCAAACTCCTCGAGCCTTGTCCCAAGAAGACCGCCGCGTCGAGAAGCGCTCACCACTCTCCAGTACCAGCACCGCTGCCGGTGATGCCGGTGTGGGAACCGAGAAACAAGAAGACCAAGACAACATACCGCAGAAGGACATTCCCAGCAGTACGCCGAGGGGCAAGTTGTCCATCAAGATTGCCGAGGGACGGAATTTGAAGCCCTCCTTTGATCCATATGTGGTGTGTCAGTTTGAATGGAACGAATACGTGTCCAGGGGCCCGCGTCACGACAAAATGGATGTCGATGATGATGAGCGGAAAGGGCCGGTGGCCGCCTTACAATCCATTCCGATCAAGAGAACAGACAGCGACATGGGGAAGCCAATGGCGATCCCTATGAGAAGTCGGCAGAGTAGTACAAATGGTAATGGTGACGACCGCCAGATGGAGAAAGTTACTGATCCTCAATGGGACCACGAGGCAACATTGTGAGGAGCCCTGATATATTTTTCTTGCGTCATGGGCACCTTTACTAACCGTGACGCAGTGACGTGGTTAGCAAGGAGTCTGAGCTGGATGTGACCGTCTACGATCGCCAGACTGAAGAGTTCTTGGGCCATGTCCGATTATGCTTGAACTTGACAGAACAGCATCCTACCTTGGAAGGATTTTTCCGATTGGAGCCGCGCAGCCCAGAGGACCACGACATCACCGGCGAGATTCACATCAGAATGCAGTTCTCTAAGGTCGAAAAGAAGCACTTCGGACCCAACGACTTCCAAATCCTGAAATTGATCGGTAAGGGGACGTTCGGCCAGGTTTATCAGGTCCGCAAAAAGGACACGCAGCGTATCTATGCCATGAAAGTCCTCTCCAAGAAGGTGATTATCCAGAAGAAGGAAATCCAACACACCATCGGAGAACGGAACATTTTGGTCCGTACGGCTACCACCGAATCACCCTTTATTGTGGGTCTCAAGTTCTCGTTTCAGACGCCTACTGATCTGTACCTGGTCACGGATTTCATGTCAGGAGGTGAATTGTTTTGGCATTTGCAAAAGGAGGGCCGCTTCAAGGAAGACCGGGCCAAATTTTACATTGCTGAACTCATTCTGGCTCTCAAACACCTGCATGACCATAACATTGTCTATCGGGACCTGAAACCGGAAAACATCCTCTTGGATGCCAACGGCCATATTGCATTGTGTGACTTTGGGTTGTCCAAGGCGAACCTGACCCAGGACGACACCACCAACACCTTTTGCGGAACCACCGAGTACCTTGCTCCCGAGGTCTTACTCGACGAACAAGGGTATACCAAAATGGTCGACTTTTGGTCCTTGGGGGTTTTGGTGTTTGAGATGTGCTGTGGCTGGAGTCCCTTCTATGCGGAAGACACCCAGCAAATGTACAAAAACATTGCGTTTGGCAAGGTGCGGTTCCCACGGGACGCCTTGAGCACGGAAGGGCGCAACTTTGTCAAGGGGTTGCTCAATCGAAACCCCAAGCATCGACTTGGAGCTCATGGAGACGCCGAAGAGTTGATGCGCCATCCATTCTTTGCCGACGTTGATTGGGAAGCTCTCGGCAAGAAGAACATCCCTCCACCATTCAAACCAAAATTGTCCTCTGTCGCTGACACTTCCAACTTTGATCCCGAGTTCACCAATGCTCTCAATACGTCCTCTTCCCTGAACGCTCGAGCAGCAGCCTTGGCAGCAGGGGCTGCTCCTGCATCTACTCCTTTGTCGCCAACCATGCAGAATGCGTTCCAAGGTTTTACGTTTGTGGACGAAAGTACCATGGAGGAGAAGTTTGGCGGTACCCAGGAACCCGAGGACGAGAAGATGGACGAAAAGGAGGAGGAAAAGGACGACAACTCTTTATCACGATCAAGGACTCAAGAACATCGGATGAGTGGCGTGCAGCGGACGGGTGAAGACGGCTTCTTCTTCGAGGAATGATTGTGCCGCGGACCGTTTGCCCTTGGGTATCTTTGTCGTGCTTTGGACAATTACATCCTTTTGGATCTTGTTATGCATGGGCGATGGGGCGGGACTCACTCGAAGCAGCAGCACAACGCGATAATCAAAGGGCTGTCAACAACCCCCTCTTACTCGACTAATAATCTCCCTGTTCATACTGCATCTAGTCGGGGGGTGCTGACATACGATTCAGATGAAATGAATGCTACAGACACGGCAGGTCAGAGGAGAAAATAGGGTGCCATGTAGCGGTGGCGGGGAGCGAGGGAAAGTTATTGATTTTGCACAACCAAAAAACTCGCGGGTCTTTTATCATAACTACTAGTACTAGCACCGGAGAGGAGGCTTTCCAAAACAGGGGGACTGGGGAAACTGGGGACTGGGGTGGGTCAGTTGGGTTTGAGAGTGATTCATCATCGTATTGCTTCAGTTACGAAGACATGGCCTTTCGTTCTACGCGAATCGTATCTATTTGATTCAGTCCGTCTTTGAAGTTTGCAGGGGGTCTCAAATACTAGTATTGAGAGTATGAAAATCGTATAGACCTAGTCAGAGTAGCATTAGGCTGCGCTTCGGTCCACTGCCTCTAGTTGTGGACTTGAAGAGCCTTGTGGAGGGATACTGAGAAAGACAGGAGTAGTTGTACTTTGCGGCTGGGCTGGCTGGATTGGGTCTGGCTTGGTTGACTTTGTTCCGTCATTGCTGTAATGTATGCCCTCGGCTGCTAGCGATCTCCAGATTACCCTGCGGCCAGCGTCGCTCCGAGCCGTTGTGCTCTCACAAGCTCTGCTCCATCAGTTTATGACTTGCTATTCCCGTATCGTCAGACAATTCATGGAATGAATGCCTCGTGCTGTGTGCTTTGTAGCAGCAGCAAATTCCACCTGGCGCCGGTAGCCAAGGATAACCCCGGGGGAAGCACTGCTGAACGATTACTGTGAAGCACTGCTGAACGGTACTGTGTCTGTAATCTTGCCTGCCTGCGTGCGCGCGTCTGTGTCTCTTGTCGTAACTCGATTTATGGCCGAGTAGTACCAGTAGTAGTTGTACCAGTAGTACCAGTTGCAGAGGACGCAGACACAGGCACAGTTTCTTCTCTCGTCTCCGAGCCAACAGGCGGTTTCCCGCTCTTTGCAGCCAACCGGGCATCTTCGTCGTTCATCTTCTCAAAGCCCTTTTCGGCCATCTTGTCGTTGCGCAGCATTGTTCCGGTCGCGGCTTGCAGGCTGCCTGCGACGCCGTGCGCGGCTCCTTTGATGTCGCCTACGAGCTTGCTGGTCGGTTTGGCGTCCGGGTGTGCGGTCGGGTCGGACGTGGCGTAGGGCGCGGAGTTGTCGGTAGGATTTGTGTTTGAGGTTGTGGCTGCGGTCCCGTGGGTATGGCTGTGGCTATGGGTGTTGCCGGTGGTGCCGGTACCAGTGGTGGTGCGGTCGTGAATAGACATTGTTGGTTTGGTTTATTGGGTTTGAGGGCTCTTGAGTCAGGTAGAGGTTTGGGTTGGGTTCAGAACGGGGGTGTCGGATTGAAAGCCGAGTTTGGTCTTTCGTGTCTGTAGGATTCAAGGCAGGGGAGGAGACTCGATGTCAGAGAGGTTTGGTTGAGTCACCGGTAGTAGGGTGTTTCCTTCAATGCTCGCTGTTTAGTTACAAGAGAGCACAGTATGATCAGCGCGATATAAATGATGTTTGGTCTGCGATGGCACTTCGCGTTTTCAGTCCGTCAGTCACTTTCAATTGTTTCCCGCGTTTGTATCTGGAAGGATCAGGCCGTACAATGAATGAATGACGTGTCACTGATGTCATTGCTCGATTACACATCATTCACCAACAGTGTCTATGCTCCGCACTATGAGTCTTTCCTCTGCACTCGAACGAAATTTGTATCGCCGTAATTTATACCAAACTTGAACGACAGTTATGTGGTATCGACGCCACCATTTGATGTATCTCGCTTAAAACCATAATCCTCCATCTTTCATAAGGATCAAGTCTTCATTGTTGATCATGTAACGGGCGGCAGCAAGGCTTGTTCAGAGGGAAAAAATAATAGCAGAAGCAACTTGACCGCCAACTCATTCGATTCCCCTTTCACCAGATTGAGGCAAATCAAACTCGAAGCAGCCTTTATATACCCAACACGACCAGGAGAGCGAGCGATATAAGCCATCCACAATGCCGACAATGTCAGGTCGGACACGGCCGATTGAGAAAATGGCCCAGGCTGCGGCGAAGTGTTCTGTCGAGGTATGTTGATTCTTTTGCTGCTGCTGCTGCTGCTGCTTCTTTGCATGGTATCGATCCTGTTACGTCTATTTTGTTGCCGAGGAGGGTGTTCTATCTCTTGTTTTCATCCTCTGTTGGCTTTTGGGTTTTGTATCCCTACGTGGCCACTTAAAACTTGAGATCCGAGGTTGAGCATGTCCCGGTCCTGGAAGATATGGACATTCTCCGGGGTGGCGAAATGGACGTTGTCTCCTGCTTTCAAGGACGAAGAACTCTTGCTGTTACATGGGCGTGAGGCCCAGACGAGAGTCGTCCGGAGGCGCATTAGACTCTCGTCCTGGTCGACTGCCTATCCCTTTGCCACGTCAAATGCCTTTTGCGTGTCAACCAACCAACATGGCCCTAGCTCTGGCTGACCAACTCTTCTTTCAACTTCTAGGCAACCGCATACGGCAAATGCATTCTGGCAGACTACCAATCGACGTATCAAGATATGTGCGCAAAGGAGTTTATGCGCCTAAAGGACTGTTACTTGGTAAGTAAAAGATCCCATCACCCACCACTGTTTCGTGGAAATGTTCGATTGCACGATTGAATCATATCTACCTAATCTACAATATCCATCTGCTGGCGGACATTTCCTGACTGACTGGCTCGTTACATTTCACCTTGACAGAAACACGCCAAAAAATCATAGAGACAGCATAACAGTGACGAATACGCCAAATCAGAAGAGAAGTGAAGAGAACACTATGTTTATTATCCAGAGAGTTTAGTTACGACCTACGGGAGTTATTTAGTCTTTTTGACACACATATGTCTGTACTTGGACCCGGGGTGACTTAGACGGAAAAGTGACTTTGTTCTCTTCACGCTCATGCAATTCTTTTGACATCATCTCTGTTTCCGCTGCCTGTTCTATCAAATGACATGCTTCTTCTCCCTGCCTGTGGTCATGACATTTCTACTTTTCTTCCTGCTTCCTCATCAACACAGAAAACACCGGCTCTTGAGGGGATCCTATTTCTTCTGCTTTTTGTTTGTGGTAGATCTATCTATCTAGATCTTCAATAGTCTAAGCAAGAACGTGGCCTTCTGCACCTCCTGGACCTCCTCGGCGATGATGTTGGACGACTCCTCCTTGTCAGCATCTCCATTCGGAATGGGCCCATCGACCTCTGTGACGACATGCTTATCAATAGGCCGCCTAAGAGCCTTCTCAATGAACCGGGACTGTTCCTCAAACACCTTCTCAATGCCGACATGGTCGGGATCCTCTTGGACCTTGTACTCCATCTTGACATCATCCGTGGGCTTCAGATGAACCTTTTTCCGCAGCTGTTGGACGCGGTTGATGATTTCGCGGGCGAGACCTTCCTGCGCGAGTTCAGGGTAAATGGCAACATCAAGAATGGTGAGGACGTCATTGTCGGTATTTGTCTCTTGGTCCTTTGAGCTCTCGTCTTCCTTGAGGGCGCGTCTGACGACCAGATCGCCCTCGACCAGCTCGATGCCGGCGACGGTGATCTTGCCGTTTGTAAGATATGCCTTGCAGTCACTGCTCGTCAGGTCCGGCAGGGCTTTCTTGACCTTCTGCACATCCTTTTTCAGCTTCTTGCCCAACACGGGCCAGTCGGCCGTCGCGCTGTACTGCACATTGTACTTGTCCTCGTCGGAAGACAGGACGAGATCGCGCACGTTCAGCTCTTCCGTAATATACCCTTCCAACGAGCGCACGTCGTCCAGATACTGCTGGTCGTTGTGGATCACCACAAGAGTCTTCAGGGGCGTCTTGAGACCAATAGATCGTCGCTCGCGCGATTGGCGAGCGAGTTCAATGACCTTTTGCATTCGTGCCACGCGTCGTTCAACCACAGGGTCAAACAATTCTTGGCGGACTTCGGGGAAAGACAAAAAGTGCACGCTTCGCATGTCTTCGCCGTGCATGGATTTCGGGATGTACGGCAGGAGTTTGGTGTAGATGAGGTCGGCGATGAATGGAGTAAAGGGGGCAAGTCCTCGGACGAGGGTGAACAAGACATCAAACAACGAGTTGAGCGCATGTAAAGTGTCGTCTAGACCCAACTCGCCCTTCAGTCGCTTCCGGTTGAATCGGATATACCAATTCGTCGTCTCGTCGATCAAATTCAACAGTCCCGGCACGACCGTGTACAACCGGTACGCAGCCATTTCTTCGTTGATGTACTTGAGCAGACTCTGGCAGCTGGCCAGGATCCACTTGTCCATGACGTTGGTATTGGTCGATTCGGCCTTTGGATCAAATACATAGTCAATCCCTTCGACCTTCTTCAGCAATTCCACCTGAGCCTCAAAAAACTTGTAGCTGTTCCAGAGCGGCAGCAGTACCTTGGCCACAATCTCCTTAACACCCGACTCTTTGAATCTCAGCGGCTCGGCCCTCACCACAGGCGAGTTGATCATGTACAGCCGAAGGGCGTCGGCGCCGTATTTGTCAATCACCGTCGTTGGGTCGGGGTAGTTTTTCAACCGCTTGGACATTTTCTTGCCATCTTCGGCCAGCACAATGCCGTTGACCACGCAGTTTTTGAACGGCAGCATCTTCTTCAAGTGGATTCCCAGAATGACCAAAGTGTAGAACCAGCCTCGAGTTTGATCGAGACCCTCTGCAATGAAGTCGCCGGGGAAAGTCTTGTCGAAGTAATCTGCATTCTCGAAAGGATAATGGGATTGTGCGTACGGCATACTTCCCGACTCGAACCAACAATCAAACACTTCTTCTACCCGGCGAAGCGTGCCGTTGCCTTTCTGACTAGGGATAGTAATGTTGTCGATGCTGTCTCGGTGAAGATCCGTGATCTCGCCCTCGTAGCCGCTGAGCCTTTTCAGCTCTTCAATGCTGCCGATGGCAATGACTTCAGAGTAATCTTCATTCGCCCACAAAGGTATCGGCGTTCCCCAGTATCGGTTCCTCGAGATGTTCCAGTCTCGAGCATTCTTGATCCACTCTGCGAACCGCTTCTCCTTCACAAAGTTGGGCACCCAATGTGAGCCTGCAATGCCCTCCAACATTTGCGGGATAATACTCGGGACTTTGTCGTTACCGGCAATATTGACAAACCAACCAGACACGGCACGATAGATCAGAGGGGTGTCTGACCGCCAACAGAACGGGTACGGATGGGTCAACTGGCTTTCTCGTACCAGTCTACCCGTACCTTTGAGGTATTTGATGATATGTTTGTCGGCCTCCTTGACATGCTGCCCAACAAAATCCGAGACTTCCTTGGTGAATCGGCCCGTGTCGTCGACCGGATTGGGAGGAAGTTGGTGATGGCTGATGATCCCATTCTCCAGGCCCACTCGGAAATCGTCCTCACCAAAAGCAGGGGCCTGATGGACGATACCGGTACCATCCTCGCCCGTGACATAGGCTGCAGTCAGCACTTTGAAAGCGCGGTCCTTGAATTCGTCGTAGAAGTAATTGAAGATTGGGACATATTGCTTCCCCTTCAAATCTGAACCCTTGTATTTCTCCAACACCTTGAATTTGGCCTTCTTGGGGTCTTTGTACAAGGTCCGCAACAACCCCTCCAGCAAGATATATTGGTTTCCCGACTCCTCGTCGAGGATCTTGACGTACTCGAAATCGGGATTGACCGCCAGAGCCAGGTTGGATGGCAGAGTCCAGGGAGTGGTGGTCCATGCCAAAAAGCTAGTCTTTGGATCTTCTACCAAGGGGAAAGAAACGACCACGGCAGGGTCCTGGGCGTCCTTGTAGTTGGACTGTGCCTCATGTTGACTTAGAGGTGTGCTCAAGGCTGTGGAAAATGGCATCACTCTGTAGCTGCGGTAGACTTGGCCCTGGTCGAACAACTGCTTGAAAACCCACCAGACCGACTCCATGAAAGTCGGGTTCATGGTCTTGTAGTCGTTGTCGAAGTCGATCCACCGTCCTAACCGGTCAATGGTCTCGCGCCACTCGGTCGCATATCGCATAACAATCGCCTTGCACTCTGCATTGTATTTCGCAATACCCATCTCTTTCACCGCCGCGGGTCCGGAAATGTTGAACTTTTTGTCAATCTCGTACTCGATTGGAAGGCCGTGCGTGTCCCAGCCAAATCTTCGCTCCACATAGTACCCTTTCATGGACCAATATCTAGGGATGATGTCTTTGATTGTCGAGGCCAGTAAATGGCCGTAGTGAGGCAGACCCGTGGCGAAGGGCGGTCCATCGTAGAAAGTATAGGGCTTATTGCCCTTCGACAGCCGCAGTTGCGTTTGGAAAGCGTCAATCTCCCGCCAGCGTTGGAGAGTGGCCGTCTCTTCCGCAGAGAAGTTGACCGCCATGGCTTGAGACGTCTGCCGGCTGTTGGGTCTGTCTGGAGCTTGAAGGCGCTTTCAACCGGGAGGGATGACTTACTCGCCTGGTGTGTGAGGGTGAATGACTCTTCCGTACCCTTGTCTTGAGACCGACCACTCGTATCCCACCTTACAAAATCGCAGAGAGCCTGACTCTGAGCGGCCGCAGGAAATCTTGGCAGGTTCTCCGAAATGCGGTGTCACGTGCCCAGAGAAACACACCGCGACGAGGCTGCGATCCAATGCGGAGAACTGCTGTAAATAAAAAGTACCATGTCTATTTTCCCCGTTGATTAAGGTACAGTATTTCAAGTTGCTCACCAGGCGGTCGTGGACAACGGCGTAGACGCACAAAGTCCACCTCAATGTCGACCAAGACCTTGGAGGCTCGGACATTCCTGCTTCGATGCAGAAGAGCTTACAGTTCGACCCCCAGACTCAACCAGGGTCTACGTCCAGCCACGGCACCCAAACAGCATCCTCAACTCAGCCAGATCCGAGACAATGTCGAGCTCTATGAACACAATGTCGTGGTGCGGAGCTACCATGGTCACAAACACATACCACGACAGGTTGCAGAGAATGTTAGGAAGATGACAGACCTCGACCGGCGCATGAACGGGCCGCGACAGACTCTCAATGAGCTACAAAAGCAAATGAATACATCAAAAGGAGACAAGGCTCAGCTCGTGGCGCAAATGCGCGAGATCAAAAAGAACATTACTGCATTGGAATCCGAACGCGAGAGGCTGGGCGAGGAGACGCACACCATGGCCTTGTCGCTACCAAACCTGACTTCCTCGGAGACGCCGACGAACGGCGAACCCAGACTACGGTCGTACATCAACTATGACCCGGAGACTCCTCCCAAATACAGCCAGTCAGCGGACCATTCGACCATTGGAGAGAAGCTGAGGATACTGGACTTCTCATCGGCAGCAGGCACATCAGGTTGGGGCTTCTACTACCTGCTCAACGAAGCCGCTCTGCTTGAGCAAGCCCTGGTCCAGTATGCATTATCAGTCGCCATGAAACACGGCTGGTCCGTGGCCGCGCCGCCTTCCCTCGTGTACTCCTACATGGCCGCGGCGTGCGGGTTCCAGCCCCGCGACCAGAACGACGAACAGCAAATCTGGCAAGTGGCCCAACTGGCCAAGGACGCCGGCAAGCCGACCAGGAGCCTAGCCGCCACGGCTGAGATCCCCTTGGCTGGAATGTACGCTGGAAAAAATATACCGGAGCAGCAACTGCCGCTGAAGCTGGTGGGGTCTAGTCGATGTTTCCGCGCCGAAGCCGGGGCCAGGGGCGTCGACACAAAGGGTCTCTATCGGGTCCATGAGTTCACTAAAGTGGAAATGTTCGCATGGACGGATGCCCCTTCTCCCACTGAAGGACTTCCGGAAGAGTCGAGGCTGGTGCAGCATTCCGCAAAGGTCTTCAATGAGATGGTCGACATACAGAAAGAAATCCTGTCGTCGCTCGGCTTACCCTGTCGGGTTCTGGAGATGCCTTCTTCCGACCTTGGTGCCAGTGCGTATCACAAAATCGACATCGAGGCAATGTTCCCCTCGAGGAAGAGCAGATACAACGGCTGGGGCGAGGTCACTTCTGCCTCTATCTGTACCGATTATCAGAGTCGGCGGTTGGACACTAGGGTCTTGGAGCCTAGTGGCGGCAGGAAGAAATTCGCCCATACTGTTAACGGGACGGCCATGGCGGTTCCCAGAGTCCTTGCTGCCATTTTGGAGAATGGATGGCGGGAGGACCAGGGGTGTGTGATTATTCCCGAAGTCTTGAGACCGTATATGGGAGGTATGGAGAAGATTGGGCCGCGGTGAGCTTAGATTGGTAGACCAGCCATGACTTATCCTACGGAACGAAGCGAAGCAAGTATTATAATAAATGCCATGCAATGGGTCCTGAATATATATCGCCAAAGATCTAAAACTTAGAGTAGACCACCGGTACCCCAGATCTCTGGTGGCCCAATCCAAATCACATGGCAGTGTCACGGCGCGATACCTTACTCGAACTTCACTTCACTTTCTCTTCTTAATAGGTCAATATATTAAAGTCACAGAATTCCTCCCAACATTCCCCAGTTGGATAGGAGCTTCTCCCCTGTGGCCTAGTTGGTGCGCCCAATTAGTACTGATTTATCCCAAAATCCCACTGTAAGCGGCCCATAGTGTACGATGCCATCGAAGGATGTTGAAAAGAACCACATGTAGCAATCGCACGCACCATCGAGATGCAAGTTGACGATTGCTGAAGGTTTCCCCCCCCTACTAGGCACTTCTTCCTGAAATCAGGTTGTCGGGTCGAGTGGCAGGGTTTTTTGGTTTTTGATACCATCACCGTTGTCGACATTTTTTTGGTAATAAATGGCTACTAGTAACATATCCACAGTCCAACTACGTCCTGGACAGAGCAGCACGGCCAATCTCGCTCCAATATGGATATGGCCATCTACACGGTATATCTACTCAAGAACGGCTCAGCAGCGACGCGGGCTGGAAGATGTTGCGGTGGAACGAATCAGTGGGTGTTTTCTTTATCTTTATGAGTGCCCATGCGGACAAGGCTGAAGGCTCAGGAGCCCTCAAAGAGAGGCATCTTATCCCGTCCAATGCAGAGTTATTTATCTGCCCTCTTCACATTTGCTTGGTCTGCCAATGCTCCAAGAGAAGTTCCTATCTTCGATGTTGCCGACTGTGATGGCAGCAAAGCAGAGTTTGTCGCTTAAACCAGGTGCAGGAAGCAATGCGGACTTGTAGTCGATATAAAAGGTGTCCAACAAACAGATCACTCCAGGGTATTCATCTATCTGGAACCAAAAAAAACCAAAAAAAAAAGGCTGAGAACACGCACGCATTCAATGCATGAACAAACAACCAGAAGTAATGCAACCAAGAAGAGCTGAGATCCGATCCTTTGCAAGTTCGTAACAAGATCCCCAGTCCTAGTCCATTTCCTGCTCTTTCAGGTCCGGTTTTATCCAAATATTTTCAAGAATGCCCACATGCCGGCGCTGCTCAGAATAGGAATCGTCAAGTTATCGTCCCAACCCCACAGATCGAGCAGCTCAGATATGCTGGCAATGAAGCCTGTGCAGAGGCTCATGACAGCAAGGGCCACGTTGCCGGATATGATACCTTGGTCCTGTCGCCAGCCAAGAAGCTGTTTTGCTTTGGCGGGTAATGATAGATGGCCCTGAAACATGTAGGCATCGACCGGGTCGTCTGGGAACGGTCCCGTCCGGGGAGCCAGATAACCCCAGAAGAAAATGGCGACCAGGGCACCAGTTGCGAAAGCGGCAATGGAGCCTGCCAGCGACTTTCCCCGACGCAGTCGCACGGTGTAACGGCCGTACAGGCGCCCAAAGGTGCTGGCGGCAGTGTCGCACCACGACAATAGTAGAATGGACACCACTCCGATGTCTTTGGGGTAGAACCTCAACGCGACATACGCGCCCACCAGATACCAAATCACGCCGTTGTAGCCGTCGACTTCGGTCTCGCGCATCAGGGCGCCTAGCACTCGGATATAAAATCGGTTGAACCGCTCTGAATGGTGTCGAAGGACATCGGTAGGGGCGATAATGGCCAGGGCTCCAAGAAGCCAAGGTGTAACAGCCGTGGTCTGGATGCCTGTGGTGTAGAAACGGAGGGTGAAGAAGCCAATAGAGACGTGCAGGAGTTTCCGTGGGATCTCATGCTTGTGTATTAGGTTGCGATAGTGTCGATGTAAAGGTATCAAGCCTAACGGCGACGGAGAGCGAGAGAATTCTCGCCAGGACTTCTTGACTCTATCATAGGGCGAGAGATGCCCATTTGATTCGGGTATGGGTATTGTGCCGTTGGGTAAAGGTTCCGACTTTGCAACGGGTGTCTTGGGCGTAAGACCGCTCAGCCGCCGTCGTTGCCTGGAGCTGCTGCCGCTGGTACCGCCGTTCAGATGGGTGGCTGCGCTCAATATCGGACTTCTTGACCGCGCCCTTGCCCGTTTTTCAAGGCTCGAATCTGACCCGGAGCCATCATTCTCTTCATGGATCGGTTCTGGTTGCGGAGATCTTTGGCGCTGAGCTTTGGCGGCGGACCGTGTCTCTGGCGCAAAATAGGAGTCTTGTCGGTCGGAGGCCTCGGAGGGCGTCGGGGAGGGCGAGATGACTCTCGGAGTCGCCGGGATGGAATACTGAGAGGACATTTGAGACGTCTTGCTAAATGCTGCAGTATCCGGGCGGCAAGGTCGCCGTAGAGAGGTGCCTGAGAAAAGTTGTCTTCAAGCGCACAAGAGGCGGTCGGTGGAGGAGGATGAAAGAGGTCCAAAAATCACTGTCGCAACATGTTGCAAGTTTGTGAAAGTGATGTCCGCATTCTACTCTTGAGCCAGCTCAAGACCAACTTGGAGGATGAAAATACATCCAAAACTGGACCAGGAGTTTAAGTTGTGAATGATGCAGTGCAGTGGGATGAGAGATGTAATGCGGGCGCGTGCCTTGATAAAAAGCATCCGGACCTGGCAGGATTGGACAAGGATGGCACATGCAAGGGTATTTCGGCGACCGTGCGACGGGCGCCAGAGGGTCTTTAGGCTCCATCAATTGCTGAGTTCGCGCGTGGATAGCGCCTGACCTGCGCCCAGTAGGTGGACGTTCCAGGTAACACTGTGGGCAGATGAGGACAGCTGTCAGCTTGTTAGTGCCTAAACTCCACGCCTAACAAGCTTAGATGGAGCCTATTCGTATCGCGCGTCCAATGTCCGTCCTCGGCTCGGGCTGCTTTATTAAAGTCTCGCTTATCGATTGCCAAGTTTGAAAGAATGCGCCGCAGTACTGGTAACCTTTTTTTGAGACTGCGCTTCCTTCGCCGCCATCGAGAAACTGGACGGCCTTCTCTCGTCTGCAAACCAAACCACAAATCCAAGCAGTAAACACCATGGCGCCAGATAGAGGGACAGGGGTAGCAACAGGCCCATCGAAGCGGGCGGCCTCTCGAGCATGGGACTCTCTCACGCCGTCTCTCTCAGATTGGATGCTTGACGCCATATCCTCAATGAACTTCTCGCGAATGACACCGGTACAAGCCTCCGCGATTCCTCTGTTCATGGGCCACAAGGACGTGGTAGTCGAGGCCGTGACAGGAAGTGGAAAGACATTGGCATTTCTCATACCGATTGTGGAAAGACTGCTGAGACTGGAGGAGCCGATCAAGAAACACCATGTGGGCGCCATCATCATTTCGCCGACGCGCGAGTTGGCCTCACAGATTTACAACGTCCTGATCTCACTACTAGACTTTCATGCGCCGTCGGCAGCAGCGCGGCGTAAAGCTTTGGGTTTGGATGACAACGAGACGCACGCAAACGAAGAAGAGACACAGCCGCCGACGTTTCCCCCGTCCACACTCACGGTGATCCCGCAACTACTCCTCGGCGGCGCCACCACACCAGCGCAGGATCTAAGCACATTCCTCAAAACCTCACCGAACCTCTTGGTCTCTACGCCCGGGCGACTCCTGGAGATCCTATCCTCGCCATACGTACACTGTCCACAATCATCATTCGAGGTGCTGGTCCTAGACGAAGCGGACCGATTGCTCGACCTGGGGTTCAAAGAAGATCTCACCAAGATCCTCAGTCTGCTCCCGAAGCAGAGACGAACGGGTTTATTCAGCGCCAGTGTCAGCGAAGCAGTCGACCAGATCATCCGCGTCGGCCTCCGAAACCCCGTCAAGATCGCAGTCAAAGTAAAAGGCGCAAATGGGGTCCAAGACAAGCGAACACCCGCAAGTCTCAAAATGACCTATTTAGTCACACCTGCATCGCACAAATTTCCCGCCCTGGTCTCCTTACTCAAGGGATTAGACTCTTTACCTCTACGCACAATCGTATATTTGTCGACCTGTGCCGCAGTGGACTACTTCCAGGCCCTGTTGCCCTCGATTCTGCCCCCAGATCTGGTCCTTGTATCCTTACACGGCAAGCACCCCGCAAATGTACGCCAGAAGAATTTCATCAAATTCACCAACTCGGCCTCTCCCGCGCTCCTGCTCACCACCGACGTGGCCGCTCGCGGCTTGGATATTCCCACGGTCGATTTGGTGGTGCAGATCGACCCGCCCTCGGATCCCAAGGCATTTCTGCATCGATGCGGCCGAGCCGGTCGAGCCGGCAGACGAGGTCTAAGCGTGGTGTTTTTGCTTCCAGGTCGAGAAGAAGACTACGTCTCCTTTCTTGAAGTCCGGAAAACTCCCATTGAACCGTTAGACCAACCGAGCATCTCAGTAACACATGAAGATCGTATGGCCACCGAGCAGGCGTTCCGAAAAGTCGTTCTCCAAGACCGACTACTGCATGAAAAGGCCCAGAAGGCCTTCGTCAGCTGGGTCCGAAGCTATTCCAAACATCAGGCCTCGTCGATATTTCGTCTCGCCGATATCGACTGGTCCGACCACGCCGCAGCATGGGCTCTGTTGAAAATGCCAAAGATGCCCGAACTGAAAACCTGGGATCGGTCAACTTACAACCCGCCCACTGTCGACTGGGATGCCTACGCTTACAAGGACAAACAACGGGAAAAACAGCGAAAAGAGGCTCTTAAAGGAGAGAAAGATGCTATGGCTGATGGGAAAAAGGAGAACGCCACAACAACAAATTCCAAAAAGCGCCCTTATAGCTCTACTGTCGCTTGGTCCGACAAGCTGGAGCGAAAGGCAACAAAGGCCGTCAAACGCTCTCAGAAAGAAGCCAGGCGCGAGCACGAGCGCAAGGCCAAAATGTCCGAGGCCGAAAGAGAGCGCGAGGCCGAAACGGCCAGAATGGTGGAACAGATTAGGGCACAGCAATTGGCCGCCGCGCGCAGCAAAGACGATGTTTTTGAAGGGTTTGGATGAGAAGGTCCAAAAAAGTACCGTTCGTTCCTATTTCCTTAGGTACCTGCCTACCTACTACTCCACTGGATTTCCACCACCACCGCCACCACCGTTTCCATTTCCATTTCCGCCAAAGAAAAACCCGTCAAACAAATCGTACTGTTGGCCATCGCTCCAATCGTGCTGAAAATCCAATCCCAATCCGCCCATACCAAAGCCGAAGCCAAGATCGAGACCACCGGCGTCAAGGTCAATATCGAAAGACGCATCTCGGTCCCCATCGACGACAGGACCGTCGTCACCACCACTAACAATGTCGTTGATGAAATCCATGCCCGGCGGCGCCGACGACGACGACATAAAGTCCTGGTTGTACATCTTTTGCATGTACAATGGTTGTTCGGGTTCCGAATGCAACAATGGTGATCGTGGCTGTGGTTGTGGTTGTGTTTGCTGCGATGCAAGATGATCGCTGCCATTGGCAGTGGTGGTGGCCAGGGCCGAGTTGCTGGTTGCACCACCAGAAGGAGCGACACTGAAGCCGGGACCAAACGCACCACCCTGCGGTGGTAGAGGTGGTGGACCCAGGGTAGATTCAATGCCACTGCTGTTAATGACTTGGGGGTTGATGCTTGATGTAGACGACATCATGTGCCTTTGGGGAGGGGACGTTCGTTGCTGCTGACCCTCTGGTCCTTTGTGTGGTAATAGTGGTTGCTGCTGCTGCTGCTGCTGCCGCGAGAGTGACGCGGCCTGAAAAGGCTGTGGAATGGATTGTGACGGACGAGTGCTGGAGTCCAGGTCATCCGGAAACAGGTCTCGAAGATCCATGTCGAATTTCGGTGGTGGTCGCTTCTTGACCGGCAGGTGACGAGCTGGGGATTGTGCTTTCGCGGTTAAGGGTTGCGATACGTCGGATCGCATGGGAACGACATTCGTGGCATCTCTTCTGTTGTTGCTGTGGCCACTGCTCTGCTGCTGGCTGTGGTTGGATTGTCCAGGTGGCCGGGGATATGATGATTCCTCCCGGTCCTTGGACAAGCCAAACCCTGGCGTGGTCATGCACATTTGAACGGTAGCTTTGCTCATTCGTTCAAAGGCGTCACGACACGCTTCCGCGGGCGGACATTTCTCCATGAGGTCACCCAGGACGGATGTTGCTGCCAACACGGTGAAATCGAAGTCGTCAAGAGTCTAAGGCGAGCATAGCGTCAGAGAAACAAATGACCTCTTTACTAGTGCAGAGTCTAAAAGGACCAGGGGACTTACCAGCCGGGCTCTGACCGCGGGAGAATGCCAGACGGCGTACAAGAACGAAATCCCAGCCATAAACAAGTGGTGGGTGGCGAGATACGTGTAATTGACCAGTCGCAGCCTATGCAATTGTCGGTATAATTTCAACGTCTTCTGTCCTGCTTCGGCACATTTGAGAAAGACGAGATCTTCGTCTTCCTTCTCTTCGGTCCTGATGCTGGCAGGGCTGGAAACTTCTTCCGTGGGACTAAATTCATGTGCCAACTGTGCCGGGACACTAAGGCTCTGCCGATACAGCATGATGACGGCTTGCCAGTAATTCAGCTCCAAGAAGCGCACGGAAAACCCTACTCCAGTCTCGTGTGGTTCCGGCGCTGATACTTTCCACTCGTACAGTCGCTGGTCTATGTCCCGCCGCCACGACCGGAATGAATCGAATTTGCTCAGGAAAGGCGAGGGCAGTTTGGTATGCATAAACGGGTTGCCTCGATTGGCGCCCGTCAGCCGTGCTTGTTGCGCTTGCTGATGCTGCAGGACCTGGAGGATCTCGGACTGTAGCAGCCTCAATCGGAAATAGTGATGAGCAACTCGCTTGTAGGTAGGCTCGTCCTGGGACTTGGGGGACAGGAAGCCCTTCTTGGTGATATATTTGTCGTCGAGCAACGAGGGGAACTCGGTGGTGACAACCTGATCTGTGATGCCAAATGGCCTTCCGACACAGGTGCTGACCAAACGGTCGAAAGTGTATGTGCACCACCACAGTCTCCTACGTAGGTCTCGGATCCACTCTCGCCGTCCCTTCTCCTTCGCATCCAGCATTCTCGCCGGTCTGGCACTGGCACGACCCGGTGGAAGACTGGTCCCTTGCTTTCCCTCAGCCACATCTTCAATGTCCGATCCGTCCTCGTAGTGAAGGCCAAGGTCGACAGCAAGTCTCATGGCAACGCCTACGATGTACCAAAGTCCGGGTGCCACTGGTCGGAGCAAAGCGAATCCAGCAAGTAACAGGACTGCTTGAAGTTCTTCGAGATCGCCACTGTGCCTCTCACCCACATCCCCTGGACTTGAGCCAAGGAAGGACCCCAGGTGGACAATGGCCGAAGCATGGTATTCCTCCGGCTGTGCTTGCTGGTTGGATAAGCGTGGTCTTTTACTCGTGTGATCTGCTTGTTGCGAGAGAGGCTGCGGGTCAGAGGATCCCCAGATTATACCGGCACCAATTGCGAAGACGATATTGAGGCAGTACAAATCATGGGCTGTCCGCCTGGAAGGCTCTGTAGAATATGTCCGTTCGAAGAGTTCTTGGAAATCCCCTCGATGTAAAATTGGAATCTGGGGGTTGGCATGTTCAAAGTACAAGTTGGCTAGTTTCCAGCCCAGTTCACGATCGGGGAATGGGGCCTCTTGTATAGTGGGCTTTGTCTGTAACCCAAAGTAGGACTCCCGCATCGAGCTCCCTGTCGAACTGGCTACATCGGACACGGGACGGCTAGGGCGTGCCCCGGGGCGCTCGTGGCTGTTGTTGGATACCGAGCTCTTCACGGCCGCCAACACCACTCGAGCAAAGGATATGCCAGATGTAGAGCCCAAGTACCGCGCATCGGAGGCCCCTTGGACCGAGACCATACCGATATTTGACACCAAGTCATTGAGTTTATCGTTGTCAATGTTTTGCTCATTCTTGCGAGTTTGAATGGGTTGTGCAGAGCTCGCATCGGGAGACCGCGCCGCTACCCGAGGGCTTTTTGCCTCTGCTTGCGATTGCACACTATCGCCGAGCTGTTTGGACTCGGCACTGTAGACATCGGCGGCAGCGAATGGGATTCCGTGGGCATTTAGCAATTGCTCGAAATAGGCCAGCCTTGTCTCGAGAAAGTAGACATAACTTCGGGGTATTTCTCTTTTGGCAATGGGATCATAGCCGACACACCTGGCATTTGCCTTGACACAGGTACTGCATGCAGGCAGGCGCTGGTCGCAGCGGTTTTTCCTGACGCGGCAGCGGTTACATGCAGAAACGTTTCTGAAGGCGGAGGTGGCCGACGACGAAGTGCGAGGAGGGGAACCGACAGGCTGCAGAGCGTTTGAATCCGGCTGGTGGGCAGGCTCGTCTGCCGCATACGCTCGCTTGAGGCTGGCGCTCTGGGGAGCAGAGGCGGTCGGGGTCATCGATCTGGTCTGGAAATCTCACCGACATCTTCTGCCAGTGACGAAAACTGTGGTCAACATGCGTAAGGTGCTACCTACCACTACTGCGACTGAGCAACGCAGCATTAGTACGCGATAGCCTCGTGCGACGGAGCGGCAGCCGCCATGACATGTGCAATATGGTCCAGCACTGGCAGCTAGAAACAAGCCGCGAACGATTTCAACCATAGGCTCATGGTCGCAGGAGATCTCTTGTTGCGGGAGGCATCCACTGCAGTGGCTGCTCCATGGCGGTTCAGGTTACGGTGGGCGTCTTCTTGGATGGACATGAACGTGAAGCGGGTTCATGCTTATCGTGGTGATGAGGGAGCCAATGAGAACAAAGCGGCAGCCTCCGCCTTGGCAGCGATAACAGACTCCGAGTCGGATTCAAGTTCGACTTCAATTTGAACTTGAGCCTCCAGGCCATTTCAGGTTTGCCCGTGTTGTTTGCTCCGTGCTAAGACTACCTGATATCTTGACGTCAGGTACAACGCAGCTGGTGTTTCAATACAGCGACACGAAGGGCAAGTAGGGGAGCGTGACCCCAGAACCTCTAGCAAACATCCCATCTCCATTGATACAGATTCATGGAAACACGAGCTGCACTGATGGGATAGTTTGGTTACGGAGTACTGTAACTTGCCGGGTTCATTTACTCGTGAGTTGGTATCTGTCGTCATTCCGCAACCGAAATCCAATCCGGTACAGCATATCGCGACTGGACTCGTAGGAGAAGGAGTGATGCTCAATAGGTAACTCTACTGTGAGAAGACAGCATTTGAGAATCGTGCAAAATACCACGTAATCGGCCGGTCAATGGCGGATACTGTTCAGGGAGCATACGACCTCAAGATTTTGGAGAAGCTGATTCTGAGGGCACTACCAGCTCAGTCTGGAGTCGGGCTTCGGGTCAGCATGTGCCTCGGAGGGGTCTGGAGCCTGATTACGAGGGAGGTTTGAATTTGGGCTCTCGTCCTACCTTCTGAGGGAGGAAACAGAAGATCAAGCCCGCAGTGAGCTATCTCGTGGGAGAGGCTGCATTAGCTTAGAAGTTCCTCCTTCAGGGTTGGTGGCGCCGCCTTTGGTGGTACAGACGATGCTCTTAGCCGAGATGTTTGTAATACCTTACGCATCATACAACCCCCTCAACTGTATGATGAGATGAACCATGGCCGGGCGGACTGGTCAATTGCAAACACAAGAGGGAATTTGCCATTTCTGCTCAACCAAAGCAGGATCCCTGTGGCCAGTTCTCGCGCTGGGTCAGTAGTCAAAGATGGCGGTATATTTCCCACCGAGCCTGGACCTGGTGGGCGTTCTTTTTGAGTTGCTTTTGACAAGTATGTTAACTTTGTCTGCATACGCAGCAAGGCTCACTGGGCTAGCAAAGTATTCCTGCACCTTAGGATGACCTGCACTGCGATGAATAGACTCACTTACCTCGGCAACTAGTTCAGACTGATATACAGTGATCCACGAAGGTCGGGAGTGCAGGACGGCTTGCAACTAAAACCGTGGTAGACATGGCCACATGTTGGAAAGCACACCTTGACCTTTCCAGGTGCACTAGCATTTAGTAGGCCGCAGTTCTTTGGGATTCCCGCATCTTCCCACATACTGATCCGTCGGTTCGAACCTCGAATCATATGTTCACCGCTTCGAATAAGACGGAAGTCTGCGGTAAGAGATGCATGGAGTATCTTGTGGGTTCCCTTCGAAGCGAAAATCTTGGATGTAACCAGCATCACCGCCAACATCGTATGCCATACAGCGAAGGCAAAAGCCAGACGGCGGAACGGCCCAGTCCCACACACAGTGGCGAAAGTGGTAGCCACGGCAGCACCTGAAATCGAAGTCGGGCAGTTGCAGCCATCGAGTGGAGGGGGGTTGGGCGGCTGGCTCGACATCCGCTCTGAGGAACGTGGGGGAAGATGTCGTACACACCAACCCAGGTGTGTGGGCCTCAGGCCGGTCTATTGATCAGCCGGTGAGTCAAGGGAGTTGAAGGGAAATATTCCGCCCGCCCAGATGGTGCATTAGTAACGGATTCGCGAGAGCTGAGAAATGAATCGGTCTTTCACTGTGACGAGGACAGCACTGACAAACTGCCCTGACAGGCGTCTGCATCGGCGGCTCATGAAGCCGAGGCAGCAAACAGAAGCACGCAAAGAGGCCGAGCAGGAGATGGGCAGTGACTCGACAAAGTGATGCGAAGCAACGTGTGTTGGCTAAATGATTACCTGCCGCTGGCTGTGTAACGCGAAACCCAGGGGTGAGTGGTCCATGGTGACGATATGGCCGACTTGATCAAGGCTAGATGCCCTATGAGCCGCGCCGTGCATGGGCTAAGGGACGTGCCAGAGAATGTGTGCAGAGATCTCAACAAGGCATCTCTAGGCCGGGGCCTGATCTCCGTCGAAGTCTGGTGTGTTGTCGTGCCGACCGAAGTTTCTGAGTCACATTGGACCGGGTGCATCATAAAGCGAGGCGCAGTGCATTGCATTAGGGTGTCGCCTACCTGGACAGCTCATCAAAAACCGACCGGGATGTTGCAGAGCCTAGGAGATTGCGACGGCACAAGATGTTGGTCGCTGTGAAGGTGGTTGATGGCGGTGAAGAGGCCATTGCCAGCGCCGCTTGTCGACAGGGAAGGTCGAATCACATGAGTTAACGCCACACGGTTGCCTGGCAGATGTAGGAGCGCCCGACCAAGGCCCTCTCCACGACATTGTGTGTATCTCTCTATTGCAAGGCGTGTAGGTACATCTGATCGAGAAGCAGTAAACACCCTTCTTCGAAGAGAAAGCAGCGGACTTTTTCAAGGGGTTTATTCAACGACTTGTTACCAGGCTGGTACTCACCGGTACCTACTATATATACCTTTAGTATATACCTACCCGAAGTACCGAAGTACGTCTCGGTATGCATGTTTGACCTGCAACCGCCGAAGTCTGGACGGTCAGAACGTCCCCCATTGCTGCGTGCCGAATAGTCCGCAGGTGTTCGACGGGATCATGCTGGCGTGGTAAAAAGCTACCAGGCAAATGGACTAGTGGGCACCTTAACATAGTAGTTGCTACTACTGCCGGTGGTGAAACTCGGCAATCTGCCAGGCATGTTCGAAGAACAACTTCGAACAGCTGCCAGAAAAGGAGAATGAACACATGTCTACAAAAATGTACTGCAAAAGGTTCTGGAACTCGGGCTAGAGCTCCTGGAGAAACAGCCCCCAGCCGGATGCTCTTATTGGCTGCTTCCGCCAGGGATCTTAGGCGTTGGGGTAACCAATTCCCCGGGAGCCTCAGGGGGTTTCCGGCTGGTGCGCGGTTCATAGTTTGCGGTGCGACAATGTACTAGTAGCAATAATGCAACATCGTGTTAATTTACTACTACAGCTTCTCAGCTCACAGCTCAGCTCAGAGGCAACTTTCACCTTCTCCGTGCCGTATCCTGCAACACGAAGTCCGCGGTGCCTCCTGGACGATCCATCCGCCGCCCTCGTTCCAGAAACCGGATCCCGAAGGTGAAGATCCGACAAGAACTTGAACTGGGTTCCTCCTGGGCTTGTCCTTACGCCGAATGATCTGGTGTTGTCCACAGCCCGATTGACAACTTGAATACACTTTTGCCTTGTTCCAAATACTTTTTCCTTATTTTAGACCGGGAGTTGACACTAGTAGTACGGATGATGAGTGATACCAGGAGTACCTGGGACGATGAAGGCAACGCCAGCCTGGTACAACTTCTCAATTGAACATCCGCGGTTTACGTGATTGGCGGCTGTTGCTGCCTGATCCGCTCAACTTAAGCCGTCCACTGCCACTGTGGGCATCATTGGCACTGGCAGGCACAGACCCGGCTGCAGTGACGGCTCGACTAGTTGGGCTGAGCTGCCTGTAGCTCTCGCTAGCAGGACGGTATCTCGCATAGTTTGAACTCGAACTCCGGATGCTCTTCGGATGCTGAGTTTGACTTTGGCCAAAGTACGGATGCGTGACCCTGGACAGCCGGAGGTGAGAGGACGATGGTAGGTGTTTAGGATGGAACCTATGGTAGATGAACCATGCCAGGCGGGTGCTACTAGCATTAGAATTGGCTGATCGTTGCGCTTACATGGGCAGGTATCTCGGCCTTGTTCGAGTTTCATATTCAGCGTTGTCGACAGCTAAATGTCAGCGAGTCTCACGCTCGGCGCGGTGAAAAAAGAAAACAATCTTGCCACGAGCACACCGGTATCTTACTTGCAGCAGTAGTATACCTTGTAGTACAGTAGTGCCTTGGGTAGGTCGGCAGAGAGGCGGGCGGGCAAGCACAGGACTGAAGATCTGCACCGAGATTCTGATTCAATGTTCGACAGTCCATCTGGCTGCCGTCCCCTGCCAGCGCGTCAACTTGAAGCTGGTGAATCAGGAGCATTGATTAGCCACTGCGCAGCGCTGAACAGCCGAGTGCCCGCTGCAGTGTGGTAGGAATCCCACGCCGCCCCCAGTTAATCAGTCCGACTGCCTTGCGCCCGGCAGCACCATCTTCCGCACCGCAGCCGTCGTCTCTGCCTCTGCTTCTGCCGCTGCCGCCTCGCAGGTTGTAAAAGGAAATTGTGCCAACTCGACAATGCTCACTCACCCGCTTTGTCGAACTTGTAGCCTACCCTCACCCTCATGCAGGCCTACGGGCGGCCTCATCATGCGATGAGACCAAAGGATACGACCTCCTCCTCCCATGAAGCCCAAACTCCCCTACACCGATTTCTCCGCCGGTACCCGCTTCTGAGGCAGAGACAGGTTCCATTCATCATTGTTGCCGATGTGCCTATCCTTGTATCCAAACGCCCGCATCATGCACAAATCCCGAGCATGACCTCTTCGGCTAGCCTTCATATACACATCTGTCAATCTTGATCTCCACTAGTGGTGGCCATCGGAGGCTCATCAGTTGCACTCGAAACTTTAGCCGGCTCGGTTTCAACCACACAACTACGGTGTACGCCTTGTTTGATGCCCAGCTGGGCATGACCGCCATTTTCACCGCCTCGGTCGGATCGCCTTTTGTCCACATCAACGGATGGGAAACAGGGATCAATGACGGCAAGCACACATATGGGACCGGTCACGAGGAGGATCACAGACACCGGCTGGATGCCCACAGCATTTGGGGCTCAACTTCGCACGGCATGGTTCTTGTCCAGCCGGTTGGTAGGGACCAGGGCGCTTGAAGTGAGGGCATTCCTGAAACGCCTTAGCTCAAAGTCCTTCGCTGGGGCCGTCGAGTCAACCCTGGGGCACTAAATCAGACAAACTCTTCGGCAAGCAAGCTCCCCGGGGCTCGGAAGACAGGGATCTCTTCCTAGCTTCATCCACTCGGTCAATCGGTCAGGGGCACACTTTACTCGCTGGGCGAATCGCGGTGGCTGCCGTCAGCTCAATGGCCGTTCAGGGCTATCGAGTCACCCTACCTGTAGCTGACCAGCAACGGGTACCGCTGTCGTGGTTCCTTGGCCTCCGATGGTCTCGACGATGGACAACCCCTGGCCCGCACTCAGTGCCGTATTTCCACCATGTCAACTCCCTTTGACACCCAAATCCGCCTGCTATCCCTCGATCGGTTGCATCATTGGATAATTGACAGTTGGCTAGGTCAGATCCTTGTCCTTCGATTCTCTTTTTTCTTTTCTCTTGCAGCGTCTGCAAGGCATGCCACATCATGACCTTGGCCCTGTCTCTCGCCATGATGCGCAACAATCCCAGATCCACACCGCCACTCGTCGCATGGCAGGTGGACAATCCACTCGACTCCTGAGGACCGGGATTGTCGAGCTTCTGCCTCATTTCCATCCTAGGTATTGTTGGACTTTCTCTCTCTCCCCGCTGGTCAGATAGCGGGCCTCCCTCCTCCCGTCCCACCTCAAATTCCCACCAGACCGCAGCTGGCCAGCCAGACGGCATCTCACTGGGCCTTACGCGGACATTTCCCTACGGGTGACATCAAAACCGCTCAAACGGCAGCCCCGGGTATTGGGTCTAGCGTCCTTGATGGAGCTCGCTGCACCTCGCTTCTATGGACCACCGGGCACGGATGTCAGAGAAGTTTCCCTGGGACTATCTGACGCTTCCGCGCTTCCTCGCCCCGTGTAACCGTAGCTTTATTTGGCCACTACCGGCGCGGGAAACGCAAAAGAAAGGCGTGTCTCCATCGGAATGCTGCTCGCCGTCGTGTCTTGTGGTATTCCAACTGCCCCAGGGAGTCCACCGCCTCTTTCCACGCGGCGGCGGATGCACCATCCCGCGACGACTGCGAAAGAGGCGCCCCGCTGCCTCTCCCACGTCGCTGCTCACTCCATTGACTCCTGGAATTTTTGCGCTCCTTTAATATGATGGCCGCCATCCCTTCACGGTTTGTAGGATGTTTCTCTCTTTCCCAGACACCTATCGCTACGCTGCCGAACGACGATACTCTCGGTTCCTCTTTGGGTGACCATGCCTACACATATCTCGCGCCTCCTCCTGCGCAAGCGCGGAAACAACAACAATGTCCACCACCATTTTCCGACCCAGCAGTTGTTCGTCTTGGGTACGTCATCTCGCAGACAACCCCAGAAAATCAAGTGCTGTTGCGAATCTGGCGATATACTAACCCTCATCGGCAGCACTATGTCGGATATGTGAGCCAATCGCTTTCATGTCGATATTTCCTTACGCCTACCGTATGATCGAGTCCTTCAACATCACCCAAGATGAGACTCGCGTCTCGGTGTACGCCGGCATGCTTATTACAGCCTTCGCATTCGCCGAATTCTCCACGGGCATGGTATGGGGACGCATTAGCGACCGCATAGGCCGCAAGCCCGTCCTTCTCTTTGGACTCTTCGGTACCGCTCTGAGCATGATTTTATTTGGGTTCGCACGCACGCTACCCGCGGCCGTCATGGCCAGAGCCTTGGGTGGGCTCCTGAATGGCAATGTTGGTGTTCTGCAGACGACGGTTGGGGAGCTCGTCACCAAGAAGGAGCACCAGCCTCGCGCGTATTCCATCATGCCATTTGTCTGGAGCATGGGCTCTATCATTGGACCGGCAATGGGCGGTGCATTAGCCATGCCGTGCGACTCTTACCCCTCCGTCTTCCCGCGTGGAGGCTTGTTCGACAAGTATCCCTTCCTGTTGCCCAATCTGTTCTGCGTTTTCATCCTGATCCTTGGAATCGTCAATGGGATTCTGTTTCTGGAGGAAACGCACGCAGAAAAGAGGGGTCGCCGCGACTTTGGTCGAGAGTGCGGCAGGCTCTTGCTCGAAAAGTTGTCATTTGAGACCCGCCCAAGAGAGGTCCTTTCCCGCGACAGGGATGACAGTGACCCGCCGCCAGGCTACCGAAGTACCGAAAGCTCGCCCATCCTGCGATCCACCACGACAGAGGATTTGGACGCGGAACTCGGCGGTTTGCATGAAAAGGAAAGTCGGAAAACCTGCAAAACCTTCCACAGACACGTCCTTCTCATCATCGTTGCTTATGCGATCTTAGCCTAGTAAGTCAATCACCCGCTTTGCACACAGGAGATCATGACTGACGTTGGGTACAGCCACAGTGTTTCTTTTGACGCCTTGATGCCCACTTTCCTGAGCGAGGAACCCCAGCAAACAGAAGTCGACCTTCCTTTCAAGTTTTCTGGTGGCTTTGGTCTGCCCACAAAGACAATTGGGTTCATGATGGCGGTGCAAGGCTTCTATTCCATGTTCGCCCAACTCGGCCTCTTCCCGTTCGTCGTCCGTCGGGTTGGGATTCTACGCACCTCTCGAGCTGTGATGACGGTTTGGCCCCTCCTTTATTTCGCGGTGCCTTACCTCGCCCTCCTGCCCGAACACCTGCAGCGACCGGGAATTTACTTTTCTCTCATCACAAAAACTACTTTTCAGGCGATTGCATTTCCCGCAAACGCCATTCTCTTGGCCAACGCCGTTCCTTCCAAATCTGTCCTGGGGACTGTGAACGGAGCGGCCTCTTCTACGGCGTGTTTGGCTAGGGCCTTGGGTCCGGTGGTGACAGGTTATATCCATTCAGCTGGTCTGAAACTTGGGTATAGTGGCCTGGCCTGGTGGGCAGGCGGTCTTGTCTGTGCTGTGGGAGCTCTGGAAAGCTACTGGATGGAAGAATCCGAAGGGCGTTTGGGCTCGGCTTCCCACGAACAGGAAGAGAGTTCTTGCGAGCCTCTGCTGCATTCGGTCGCAATCGAATCGTCTGACGAAAACACTTTGCCATCTAGCAAACCGACCTTGATGGACGATCTGGATTTGGCAGAGCCGATGAAGCTGGACACTGATTTCCAGTCAAAGGAGTAATGGGCAGCTGAACTACTGCCCTGGATGGGGACATTTGCTCGCCGTACAATCACTCTAGCTCGACTATGCTCTAGCCTTGAGCTCTAGAGCCGAGTACGGATTCTCGGCTTACTGCTCTTTGGAATTGGTATACGGGGAATAATTGCGAAAAAGGCATACAATCTTTTCAACGGGGCCGCCGGCAGCACCTCTATGATGTCTTGCTTTGAAGGATGGACGCGAAATGAATCGGGTTTGTGGAGAGATGGAGTTATGAAACCTGGAACCGAGCCGCATTAACATGGTGTTTCGGGGTTGTGCAAGGGGCAGGGATCAGGATGGTCGGGATCATATATCCCTGGTTATGTGGAGTCCTTTTGCTATCTATTTCCTGTTTGTGGTCGTCTTGGGCGGTTTTTTGTCTGAGATACCTTGCGGGCTTTGCTCCCGGTTCTGTGTTGGATTTCGGTTGCATTATTTGTAACACTATCAATGTGTTGGGACTGTACGTTAGGAGAGGAAAGATGTGAAGCGGGTAATGACCATAACGAGATCAAGTTTAGAAGGTCAATCAATACGGATCGATTGTCGAATGGCTCAGCCCCGGTACTGGTATACAGGCACAAGACCTTGGACATTGGCCTTGGGCAATCAATCACAGGATCCTCCGATTGGGAGTCGTATTTCTTATTGTTCTTACCTTCTTATATTCGTCCACTGGAGGAGAACGGGGTGGGATGCCATTGTGATGCGTTGCTGTGTGCCAGTACTACAACGTTGTAGTTGTGGTAGCGGACGAGGCTGTCGGACTCGACCTTCCCCTTTCGGCGACCGAGGCTCGGAGAAATGCGTCGCGTCACAACTTCAACTTGCCCATTGCAAACACAACTTGAAGGTCATGACCGTGAGCGACTTGGATATAGTCTCTCAAGTTCACCGAAGGCCGTGCATGTTCCTGATTTTCTCGTGGGGGTTTGGAGATATTCATACAACCAAAGTCCAGTTATAGTTGTTGCAAAGGTCGAGGTTCTCTCAACGAACGGAGCGGGACAACCGTGCGTGAGGACAAGCTCACCGATCGGAGCGGAATAACAAACAATTCGAGTCCTGACTTTGAGGTAGTCGAGTCACGGGTGTATTTAGGCTATCTAGCGACTGGAACGAGAGGGACGAAGACGAAGACGAAGAACGAGGGGCACGAGCACGCGCACGCGCAGAACAGAACTCAACGAGGGAGAAGAGACCCGGAGACCTGGAGCTGACTAGCCTGCTAGTGACTTGATATTGGGTTTTTCTTTCTCATTTTGAGGTGCTTTACGGCTCGAACGGAAAGGGAAAAAGTATGGCGATGGCGCCCAACAAAGCCGCTCAGGCTATAACCATGGCGACTCGGACTACACGTGGACCGTCATCGTTACTATCATCAGTACCGCGGAGAAGTCTTGCGCGCCGGGCACCGGTTTCGTTCCTCAATGGACGAGAAAGACGATCCATGGCATCTGTCTCTGATTCCCAGGGGAACGGGAAGAAAGTCGCGCCGTTGGAGGGGATTCGTGTCTTGGATATGACGAGGGTTTTGGCCGGGGTAAGTTAGCAAACACTGTTGATCACCCAAAGATGCGGTTGTGATATGATGGAACAAGGCTGTCTGGCTTGACTGCTTGGGACCATTGGTGGCTGACTCTTATGGTGGCGATGTGATGTTATAGCCTTACTGTACGCAGATTCTGGGGGATTTGGGGTAAGTTTCTTGCATTCCATCGGGACTCACTGACGTCCCTACCGTCCATGGTGAGTTGGCTAAGGTAGGCTAACTGACGGGTAATGTGGGCAGTGCCGAAGTCATCAAGATTGAACATCCGACTCGGGGCGATGACACGAGAGCTTGGGGGCCGCCGTTTGCGAAGTATAAAGATGGCGGTAAGTTTTCTTGGTCTTGGTTTCTGCGGCTGAGCTGGGAGATGGGGGATGAGAGCCGTCCCTGGTCGGGTTGTCAGACTGGCTGGTGGTATGAAGGATAAAGGATATGGTAGACTGACCTAAGTTCTTGGACGGCAGCGGTTGTGAAAGGAGGTCGGGCGGGCGAGAGTGCTTACTTTGTTGGGGTGAGTGGTGCCTTGTCTTGCCTCGCTTTGACTTGTTTTACGGTACCTCGCAGCTTCGCTTGAGGCACCACCGCATCGCATGCATGCTTTCTGCGTTGTGCCAGTGTCTTGGGATTCCCAGACTGATTTTATCTTGCCCAGGTCAACCGCAACAAAAAGTCCGTGGGACTATCATTTCAACATCCCGAAGGCATCAAGATCCTGCATGAGCTGGCCAAGACCTCGGACGTCCTGGTGGAAAATTACATTCCTGGTATGTGCAAGTAAACCGTCGAGCGGGTTCGGGAGAAAAGACAAGACATGGTGGTGTTTGTAGAACAGGACAGACTGAGCTAATTGTGTCATTGTCAAGGGGCGCTCAAAAAGTATCAGCTCGACTATGAGTCGTTGCGCAAGATCAATCCACGGTGAGTACTTGGTCCTGATACCTTTGGCTGTGATTGGAATGGATTTGGATTCACTACTATCAAGTACATTCAGTCCTGCAGTGTCTGCACATTACTAACCAGCACTTTGTTTTACTGGCAGACTCATCTACGCCTCCATCACCGGCTACGGCCAAACAGGGCCCTACAGCAAACGAGCAGGCTACGACGTAATGGTCGAAGCGGAATTCGGTCTCATGCACATCACGGGCGAACGCAACGGTTCACCAGTCAAAGTCGGGGTGGCAGTCACCGACCTAACAACAGGCCTGTACACAGTAAACGCAATCATGGCATCATTACTAGCCCGCCAAAGAACCAACCAAGGGCAACATCTAGACGTTGCCCTCTCAGACTGTCAAACCGCAACACTGGCCAACATCGCCAGCAGCGTACTGATCAGCGGCGAACGCGACCAAGGCCGCTGGGGCACGGCACACCCGTCCATCGTGCCCTACAAGGGATTCCAAACCGCCGACGGCGATATCATGATTGGCGGCGGTAATGACCGGCTATTTGGGATCCTGTGCGACAAACTCGGTCGGCCGGAGTGGAAAACGGATCCCCGGTTCGTCACGAATGATGTCCGTGTTGAGAATCGTGATGTTCTCGAGCCGCTTATTGAGGAGATGACTCGTACCAAGACGACGCAGCAGTGGTTGGATGTCTTTGAGGGCAGTGGGATGCCTTATGCGGCTATTAATGATGTGAAAGATACGCTGGACCATGATCATACGAAAGCCAGAGGGATGGTGACGGAAATTCAGCATCCTGCTTGTGGGGATATTAAGCTTGTTAGCCATCCGGTCAAGTATTCGGGTAGTGTTACGGGTGTGAGATCGCCGCCGCCGACGCTGGGCGAACATACGGATCAAGTTTTGACGGAGGTATTGGGATTGGATGGGAAGGAGGTCGAGGAGTTGAAGGGGAAGGGGGTGGTGGCGTGAACACGCAAAAAGAGAGTAAAAGCTGGAGCTTGTGTTGTATACATTGAGATTTGATACTCTAGAAAGACATCTGCTGTACCTTATTACTAGGTACTGTAGTTAAGGGGGAAATAAAAAGTGCCTGTACTGTTGTATCTGCCTGTGTAGGAGTAACCCAGTGGGCCAATGGAGTACTACCTAGTTAGGGACTATACCATACTATATGGCATGCTCTATCTGCCGTATGTTCCTAGGTAGCTAGATAGGGGTTGCTTGCAAGTAAACCCGCGATTCGGGAGGTCCAATTTTGGTGACTGAAGCCAGATTCAGGTTCTGTTCTCTTCCTCCTCCGTCTACTCCTCCGCTCTGGACGTGGTGCACCAAAAAAACAAACAGTAGTGTGGTATTGTAGTACTGAGATTGACATGTCCATAAGCCTGCTGGGACTGGTGTGAATTGTAGTGGTTGAGGCTTGGGAGGCTTCTCCTTTCGTCCTTCTGCCGACATGCTCAGACTGAGCACTCCCATCTCGGCTTTGAATCGGTCGGAACTGCAGTGTGCCAGACGGGGGATGGCTCTAGGCTTCTCTGGATTTCATGACTTCACATCCTGGAAGGTGTTCGACTTCAGCGAGAATGGAGTCCAGCTTCGGACGGTAATCGGTTGGGGAAGCTGTCCAATGGGTAGAGTCAGGACAGCGTGATTTGACATGCAAGGGTCGAGATGTACTGTATCAAGCCTGGAAGGATTGTTCTCATCGTGGACCACTGCAGCCGTTTTCGGTGTCGGTACCGTCCATGGGAACCATTCGATTGTCACACAATGGTGACGACCTTCTAGTAGGTGGTGTCATGACTGCCATTTTCGCGCGGTATCGAAGTATATTTCTGCAGATCCGCGTATCTTCCACGACGACTCAATAAGAGCTATCATCGTTGGTGCAGGAGGACACGACACCGTCGCAGGCTTCTGGTCTCGTGTCGTGTCGTGTCGTCTCGACCGAAGCATTTAACTCTACCCTTGCAACGTCTTGAGCTTCTCGTCGACAAGTCTGCCGACAACCTTTTCCAAGATAGCAGGGGCACCAGCACCGTCCTTTAACGTGCTCTCAAAGTATCCGACGACGCTTTTCTCGACCAGCTTTCCCACCACGTCGATCTCGACATTGACCTGATCACCCGGCTTTTTGGCCGCCATGACCACCCGTTCCTGCGTGTAGGCAATCAACATGACCTCGAACCAGCCCTCCGCATCATTGACTTTGGTGATGGTCAAGCTGGCGCCGTCGAGAGTGATGTAGCCCTTCTCCACCACATACCGCAACACATTTGTCTCGCGTGGCTTCAACCGGAACGTCAGGGCGTTTCCGTCCGGCGTCACGCTCTCAATCGTCGCCACTGTGTCCACGTGTCCTTGGACAAAGTGTCCGCCCATCCGCGTGCTGGCGCTGACGGCTCTCTCGAGGTTGACTCGGCCTCCTTTTTGTAACAGACCCAAATTGGTCCGGCGCAGCGTCTCGGGCGCCACGCCCACCTTGAAGCTGGACGAGTCGAATTCGGTCACGGTCAGACATGTTCCGTTGACCGAGATCGAGTCGCCGAGTTGGGCGTCCGTTAGGATCGAGGCGCAGTCCGATATTGTTAGGGAGGTGCCGTTGCCGCCGGACACGGAGGGGTCGAGGTCTGTCAACGACGTGACTGTGCCGATGGTCTCGACGAGGCCGGTGAACATGGTGAAAAGAAGGGATATTGTTTGGGCAAATCCGGGAGTCAATTGAATTTCTGGATGGATGCTTGAGCTGCGGTAGGATTGTTGTACGGTATGTGCTGTGCTGTGTTTCAGTTGCCAATGCGGCATCTCATCCTCTGTTTCGCGGCGGTTGTGTCATTCTCGCTCGGCCTCGGCGAGTCTTCGCTTATGTAACGATGAGTACAAATAGGTCGGCCGCGACACTCCCCATACAGTCTACAGTACTACCGCTTCGAACAGCAGACATTGCAGTCGACGCTTGGTTGTCATGGTCTGAATCCAATTGCTATATGTACTCAATATGGAAATACAAAAGTTGGTTCCGTAGTCTACTGGCGACAACGCCATGACAATCTGGCCATTGATGAGTACCCGGTATGTCCTCCATCAAGCCCCGACCGACTCAGACTCGGCCTTGAGCAGCTCCTCTGCATCCTTCATGACATCGATGCCATAAATCAACTTCTGCACGTCGGCATCTGCCCACTTGTCCGGGACAGGGCCTTTGCCAGCCTTGAGGGCGGCGAACTGCCGGTCTCGTTCCTTTTTGGCTTCTCCTTCACCCAGGTGCATTTCGCGCCCATTTGCGGCCGCCATTTCGACCAGAGTCTCTGCGCGCAGTTTGCGGATCTGTTCGTAGATTTTCAACGCCTTGTGGATGTCGTCGGGGGTAGCGCGGGCGGGCAGATGAGACAAGACGACGGTCAAGACGCCCGCATCTTCAATGGCTTGGGCAGCGCCCTGTGCCAGATGGGGAAGCGTCGGGTGACAAGCGTCACCTAGAAGAGCCGTACTGCCATGCACCCATGTCGGCAGAGGAGCATGGACTCTCAGTTTCCACTCACAGACCTCATCTTTGGGCACGAGGTTGAGCATGCGATGGATCATGGGGCAAAAGTCACCATAAACCTCGAGCATGTCCTTCTTCGATCCCTTGGTGGTGTATGTGGCGGACGGGGCGGCCGCAAAGTTGACATCTGGCTGTGCGGTGGAGATATTGTAAATCTGCTTGTTCGAGACCGGATACGCAATGATGTGTCTCTTCTCCCCGATCCAGCGCGTGGCCTTGTCGCCCTCGATGAGGGCCAGCAACTCCGGGTCCGACGACATTTGCTCTCTGGTCAGCATGATCCGGTACGCGGCTTGGCCAGAGTCCTTGACGTCCGCTTCCACACCCAGATCCTTGAGCATGGCCACCCGTGTGTTGGATTTGACACCGTCGGCGCCCAGCAGGACATCGCACTCCACCTCGTAGGGCTCGCCGGTGCGTGGTCGAGCCGTAAAACGTGGCTTCGACCCGAACCGGACGTTTTCCGCCGTCGTCGCGAAGACGAATACGATCTTGTCCGATTCTCGCTTGCAGCCGTTGTACAGCTCACCAGCCAATGTGGCGCGGTGGCCCACGGTGTGCGGGTAGCCGTAGATTTCTTGGATGTACCGGAGATCAACGTGGGCGAGCTCCTTGTCGGTCGAACCCTCTCGAATACTGGTCTCGTTGAGCACGACCGCGTCCTTGAAGATGTCGTTCCATACACCAAACCGGTCCAGGATCCGGGCCATGTTGGGCGCCATCTGAATCCCGGCGCCCACAAATCCCAGATTCGACGCCATCTCAAATACCGTAATGTCCTTGAACCCGGCGCGTGCGAGCCCCAGCGCCGCGGACAGCCCGCCCATCCCGGCACCGAGAATGCATATCTTCAATGGTGGGATTTCACCAGTCGCCATCTTGACAATGCCGCGCACTCGACTATGATCTGGTTCCTGGCTGCTGCTCTGCCATCAATAGTAGCGATGACTCGGACCCTTTGCTTTTATTTTAAAGACTGTATATACACGGCACTACTCTACGGGATGTTGAGCTGGGGTGCCATTATTGATGATCATTGGCTGGTTAAACACAAAGGCGAAGAAGCCTTTTGGCAGTTTGTGGGGGTCTGTCGGCAACAGTCTGCGGCACTTGATCAAGTTGGATCTGGGACTTCAACGGTTCACTGGCAGGAGAATATCAGCACCGGCGGTGGCAGCAAAGAATGATGCATTTCTTGTATTCATTCGCCATACCTACTGTATGCCATGGATTGATCAACCGAGTTGGTTGCCGCTGACCACGCGCAACTCGCCAACTTGAACCGGCGTTGAGCAGAAATAGAAACGCCCACCTACACCTCCTCTACCATTATTGTACTAACTCGACACAGCCCGACTCCGCCAGGCCGTCAGTCCATCTCTCATGCCGCCGTCGACTTTAGCTATTGACTGGCGAGACGCTTGGTCGAGTCTAGAAGAACGATCAAGCAGCCGGCTGGCCCTGAAACACACCATGGGCCCATATATACTAGTCCAGGAGCCCGCGGCGGCCGTTGACCCAGCGATTTTGGGGCCAAATAGCCAACTTTTCGGGCCCGCGGATCTCTCGACTTGAGTCCTAAACAACCGGCAGGCTGACATCCATGAGGCTGTGTTATTGAGCAAATAGACGGGTGACTTGATATGGCCATGGACACAATATTTACCCTCGGTTGCCTTAAAGCTTCATTCGAATGAGTGGCTTTCTTCCAACGACACAGCGCAATGACTTCTGCCAAGTATCAAGCCATGGACGGTAGCGGTCCAAGCATCAGCTACATGCACGACATCCCCGATGACAAAGGTGAACTATCGCTGCACAAAATCGAACAACCCAAATATCAACGCCCTCGATGGCGCACTGCTCTGAGGTTGCTGTTGTTACACGGCGTGCCTGTGGCAGCCTCGTGTGTCCTGATCGCCCTCAATGCGGCGAACCTACGATGGCGGTCCTCCCTGGCCAGCGGCACCGGCGACATCCTAAGTGTTCTTCAGATTGCATCGAAAGCGCAAGAGCTGCTTCTTCTTTTTAGTCTTTCCCACGTCGTCCTCTTCTGGCTTATGCGATCCTTAACCACGGGCGATGGAATCCCCTTTGGGCTCTTCGTGGGTGCTTTGGGATCTTCCCTCGGTGCCACTCCCTTCACGTCCGGCGTTTGGTCCTCATTGGCACAATCATTCCGAAAACCTCGACTCCTTCGTCTGTGTTTGTTGGTGGTCGGAATTACGCTCCTCGGGGTCGTCGTGGGACCTGCCACAGCCATTGCCCTGATCCCGCGGCTCGATTGGTGGCCGGATCACACGCTCTTCAAGATGTGGTCGCCTTCAAGCAAGAACTTCGTACCACTCGAGGCCCGCATGTACATCCCCATGGACATTTTCCCAACAAATATCACCAAGGACTATCTCCCGGGTGACTATTGTTCCAACCCGTCCCTCGACCAGGCCGGCTTTTGCCCCTACGCAGGCTTCGAGGACTTGTCCGCACTCTCTTCCGACGAACGCGATGTGAACACGACCCTGGACACCGCGGAGCTAAGTCTGGGCCGTCGAATGATCCGGTCGGATGGGTTTGGAGGGAAAGAATACACCTGTGCCTCGATGTGGACATCCCATCGACTGATCAACAACTACATGTCCTCAGATTACAAAGACGGGCATTCTGCTGTTTCCTCCGTCGAAGCCAGTATCAAAGACACCGCACCCCTCACTCCGCTGGTAGATGTCATCTGCGGGAATTCCACGCCTGGGACCGAATATAACAGAAGTCTGGGCTTCATGTTGAACTTCTTGTCGAATGCCAACGCGGCATTCACCAATGTGACACCCGGCGACGGGCTGAACTGGACAATCGATCTTCGAGATACATGGAACGAGAGCATTCTTCAAAACTCATCGGATCATTTGTTCGAGTGGCGCGAGGACGTCTTCCCCAACAAGTCTGTTCTGGTCGGACTAGTCCTCACTCCCGGCAGCAACGATTCGAGCCCCAACGTGACCGTCTGTGCAGTCAATGCCAAGTACATTGCCGCGAAGCTATGGTACACGTCGACGCAAACGGTGATTTCTTCGGATTTCACCTGGACGCCCAGCATCACCCCAGGCGGCTACCTAGGCTACGGGGACGTGGGCAGCAAGTATATAGATACTCAGCAAATCACCATTTCCAAGGCGTGGGCGGACGTGCTCAACACCAATGGCCTCCTTGCCGATTTGATCGCCCGGTCCATGGCCGACAGCAACCACAGCATGTACGACAACAGTGTGCAGAACGCCTCGGCGAAATCAAATCTCGTCATCCCACACCGCCAGATGGCGGCTCTCGGAGCCGCGGTGCTGGATGGCATTGCCCGCATCGGCGTCAACCACAGCATCAATTCGGGCTCTGGCAGTACTGACGCAACCTGGTCGAACCAGACGGTCCTCATCTGCAACAATCACGGCTGGTGCTCCGAGGGTCCGCTGCTCGGGGGCAGCGAGGCATCTATTCTGAACACGACGCACGATGAATTTTTGCGACAGTATCCTGGCTATACCGCCGACTTCGTGCCCACGGGGTACGCCGATGGCAGGAACGATACTCCGATCATGCATTCATTCGCCATGCCTGCTGATGGATACCAGAACTGGACTCACATTTCTTTCCCCGTCAAGGTGTACAGTTATAGCTGGGGCTTCAATACGACACTGGTCAAGTTGGCCGTCGCGGTGCTTGCTATTTATCTATTGATTGTCCTTGTGCATTGTTGTTTGGTGCTTGTCGTCGAAGGTGACGACGCCTGGGTCCGCGTAAGGAATTTGGGGGATGTGCTCGCTCTCGCTTGGGCCAGTCACCCGCCCTCTCCACCTCCGAATCGCGCGGATTCGTCTTCCTCGTCAGCAAGCTTGAAATCTGAGTCCAGCAAGACCAAGGGTATCTTGCGCAGCATGTCCCAATTATCGAACACGGTTGCCCCATCTTCAGGCCAGGCAAGTCGGACTGTCGGCTGGCACCGGAATGTGGCCCTGAAGCCCAGGTGGGCATCGACTACTGAGCAGGAAATGGGTGGGGACGCTGACTCCTGTTATACTCGGGATGCGGACATGGTTTTTGTGGCGAAATGAAGATCGAAGGGAAACGAAGTGGATGGAGTGTGGCGTAGGCCACGGGATGAATGCATGAGTGGTGGATAGGTTGCTGAACAGGCGTCACGGCTTTCGGATCAGGAGTATCTGGGTCACAGGTGGAATATGGGTTAAGTAGTTTAACAAATTGGTAGTAGGCGTATATATGCGATTACTGTGTTCAACGGTTCTTGATATTGATCAGTATGTACATGCAGCTCGACCGGAATGTTGGAAAAGAGCAGAGCTGTTGATGCGCTGGGCTCTCCCAACTGGCCGTGCCCATTGACTTGGCCTTGTTAAGCAGAGCCTCGTCAGCCTCGTAGCCTCGTAGCCCCGTGGACCTCTCGGCTCAGTTGCCTTGAGCGGCCATTGGCTAGAAGCCAGTTTGTCACTGCGATGCAAGTCGGCATTAAAGTCAGGCATTCGTTGACGAAGCGTTTGATACAGCGAATTTGTTTGTTTGTTTGTTCAGTGAACTTGATTACTGTCGTTCTTTGCGTCTCTAGCCAGGTCCTCTTCCTTTGCTTTCAGCTGCACGCCGCCGGATCTGGATCTATGAAATAACATGACCTCCTAATATGGCACCAACGAATCCCAATCGACTTGCAGTCTCGAACCGACACCCGCAAGAATGACAACGAATCGGACTCGAACTCGAATTCGGACACGAAAATTATAGTCTGCCAAGATGATGCGGATACTTGAAGCACAGGCGCCCGCGCGGCAGACGGCCACAGACACAATCCAGACGCTGAGCAACCGACTATCGAGCGCGACGCTGCTGGAAGACCGACGGGCGGCGATCCTGGGCCTCCGCAGCTTTGCCAAACTATACCCTGCCTCAGTGGCATCAGGAGCATTAAGAGACTTAATCGCAGGCCTACGACGCGATGGCGACGACTCGGACACAATCAAGGTGGTGCTAGAGACATTGTTGATGCTATTTGAGCCGGACGAGAAATCGCCCGAAGCATCCGAAGACATATCGCTATGGTTGGCGGACGAATTCACCCAGCGGCAGGACAACATCACCGCACTTTTAGACCTGCTCGAGTCGCCCGAGTTCTACCTGCGACTATACGTGCTGCAGATTCTATCTCATATATCGACGGCCCGCCCGCAGCGCACTCAGGAGGCCATCTTCTCCGCGCCGCTAGGTGTGTCTCGCATCACGGGTGTGTTAGATGACAAGCGAGAAGCCGTCCGCAACGAGGCATTGGTCCTGCTAGTTGCTCTGACGCCCACGTCGGCCGAGTTGCAGAAGGTCGTGGCGTTTGAAAACGCCTTCGACCGCGTCTTTGCACTGATTGAAGGCGATGGAGGTCTGACTCATGGCTCAACCACGGTACAGGATTGCCTGTCTCTGCTGGCCAATCTGCTCAATCTCAACACGTCGAATCAGTCTTACTTTCGAGAAATCGGCGGCATCGGCAAAATCAAAAAATTGTTATCGGCAGTCGTGGACCAGGAGGACTCCGGCGACGGTGTGTCGGAGTGGATGAAGCCTCAAAGAGATATGAACCTGTGGGGCTTGTTGGGAGTCATCCGTCTGTTTCTCGCCCCCGGCGCTCAGGGCACCCCGGTCAACCAGCAGGCCTTCTGGCAGACCGGAGTGTTGCAGGACGTCTTGCGTGTGGCTTTTCACCCGAATTTTAGTACTGGCATTCGCGCCAAATCTCTCCAGACCTGCGGCGACATTATCCGTGGAAACCATGGCCTTCAGGAACGGTTTGGCGACTTGCCTGTGCAGATTAAACAGAAACGGCAGCAACAGGATACCACATCCTCGACTGCTGCCAACGGACACGCAGTAGCGGAAAAGCAGTCCGCCAAGAAGTCAAGCGGCGTCGTGTACCACGAGCAAAACATCATCGAAGCACTCCTAGAACTCGCTTTGGAATCTTCCCCGCTCCCTCTATTCGATGTCCGATTAGCGGCATGCTCAACCCTAAAAGCGTTTTTCGAAGGCCATTCAGGCATCAAAGCCCACGTTCTCCGTCGAGCCATCGAAGGCCACAAGGCCGGCGACGACACCATCCCCAACATGCTGACTGTTCTTCTCGAACCTCCTGCGGCGCGGAACCGCAACAACTCAGACCCATACCAACAATGGATTGCCGCCGTGTTGCTCATGCACTTGCTCCACGATAACCCGGAAACCAAGGAAATAGCCCTCACGGTGACCGAAGGCGATGCCGAAAGTGGCGAGGAAGTAGTCACATTTATCCAGAGCGTCACTAGCAACGTTGTCGCGGGAGTCCAGCACATCGAAGACGAGCGGGCCCTTTTGGGTTGTCTCATGCTTCTATGTATCTGGCTCTTTGAGGACTTTGACGCCGTCAACGATTTATTGGGTGAAGGGAGCAATGTGCAGGGTCTCATGGCGGCGGTGAAAATCTCACACAACGGGGCCATGCCTCTCGTGGCGGGATTGTGTGCTTTTCTTCTCGGGATCATCTACGAGTTCAGCACTAAGGATTCGCCCATCCCAAGAGCCACTCTACACGATTTGTTGTTGAACGGTCTAGGACGCGAGACATATGTGAACCGATTGACCAAACTTCGTGAGAATCCCTTTGTGCGCGACTTTGAGGTCTTGCCGCAAACAGCCGGCCACGGTGGTCTGCCTGATGTCTATTTCGACAAAATGTTTATCGATTTCTTCAAGGACAATTTCAGCCGGTTCCTGCGCGCCATTGACCGAGATCCCCAATTCGAAGTCTCGATTGTAAGTAATGGCGTGCAAAAAGGCATCTCGCGCGACCTGGTCGACAATCTGAAAGGCGAGGTGGAAGAACAGCGCAAAGCACTCGAAGCCGCCAACGCGCAACTGCTCGCGCTCACGAGGAAACTCGAACAAGAAGAGCTCGACCATCGCCGCACTCGCGAGTCGTCTGCCGTCGAACTGGGGCGCATCAAGCAGATCAACCAGAGTTTACAGGACAATCATGACGAGGAGATGAAAAGGATGCAGGAGAGCTTTGCCCGCGAGAGGAGTGAGCTCATCAAGAATCACCAAAACGAGTCGAACAGAATGCGGCAAGAACATGACGCCACGCTAGCCAATTTGCGCAAACAGCATGAAACGGAGAATTCACGGTTCGAACAACGGCTGAAGCTACTCGAACAAGAAGCAACGCACGAACAAGCCATCTTGGTCGAACAGCACAGAAAGGAAATCCATGATATTGACGCCAAAGCCCAAGCGGCACGTGAAAGAGAGGCCGCTGAGATCAACGATCTCAAGAAAACTATTGCGGATTTGCAAGCGAAATTGAAGAAAGTACAGGATGACCATGTCTTGGATCTCCAGACTGCGCATGATGAGTATCAGGCTAAAGTGAAGAGTTTGGAGGGTCGGCTGGCCAGAGCGGAGAGTCGCGCCGCCGATGCTGAGCAACGTGCCAGACATCTTGGTCAGGAACTTGAGGCTGAAAAGACGCAGCGTAAAGATGTCCAGACTGAATTGGATGATTTGTTGGTTGTCTTTGGGGATTTGGAGGCCAAGAGGTCCGCTGATAAGAAGAGGTTGAGGGATTTGGGTGAGGAGGTGTCGGAGGATGAAGATGAAGATGATGAAGAAGGAGAAGGAGAAGAAGGAGATGAACAAGAAGAGGAAGAAGAAGAGGATGGTGGTGGTGAGGGAGAAGAGGATGGAGAAGATGATGGTGGTAAAGAAGGGGAAGAAGCTGAAGAAGAGCAAACAGAGGCAAAAGAAGAAGAACAGAGACAAGAAGACAGTTCTGTGCAAGACGAAGCGGAAGAAGAGAAACAAGAAGTTAGTCATGTCTCTTCCGCAGATGAGAAAGCTGCAGAGAAGGAACAAGACGCCAGTCCGAAGTCCGAACCCCAACCTGAAGGCAAGAAAGGCAAAGGCAAAGGCAAAAATAAGGCCAAGAATAAATCATCAAGGTAGTCGGTCTGACTATTCGATATTTTACAGATTCGACCTTGAACTCAAACTCAAACTCGACCTTCAAATTCGGAAGGAAAAAACTACCCACCTACCTACATAGTAAACAGCGGATGCAGTGAAATCCAGCTCATAATGGGAATTCAGACCGCTTCCTCCGTTCCCTTATTGATGTTTGTATATTCGTATGTATGCACGTATGTATGTCCTACCGTCAAGGGCCTTCAGATGTGGATTGTTTGTATATCTATCGCACCGTCTGTCCAACAGGTAACCCAGGTAGTTCCCTACTCTACCTAGTCCTGATTGACCGACTGTTGACTGTTTTGTTTGAGATTACCACTCAACTCGAGCCAGCCTTGCCTTTTCCATCGCTTTTCGCGTTGTATCTTCTTCCCTCAGTGGTCGTCTTGGTTGTGTACTGTCGAGACACGTTTCCTCGGCGTGGTTCTGGATCTAATCCATAGCCCGCAGATGGAATGTATGGACAGACTGTCTCTCCCTTTTCTTTTTTTTTTTTTTTGAGTTTTCGTTCTCGGATTCCCTTCTCTTCTCTTCGCCCAATGCCGCGTACAGTACAACACCAGCCCAGTCCAGCCTCCTTTTCTGGCTGTCCATCCTATCCTATCTCTTCGGCTCCGAAACAACATGTTCAGCAGCCATATCCTCGAGATGATCAGCATCCGCATCGTCGACATCCGCAACCGCAGCCTTGTGAGCAGCCAGATTCACCCCTGGGCCAGCACCAGAACCCGTGGCCGTGGTCCCAATATACTCCGAGAAAGCGACATTATCACCAAACAGGTCGGCCATCTCTTCAAGCGTCTTGCCCTTCGTTTCGGGATAAAACACAAAGAAACAAAACGCAGCAAAGGCATCACAAACCACAAACACAATATAATACTTCCACCCGAGGGCCTTGAAGGCCCTTGGACTCAGCTGATTCAGCAACAATCCCACACCGGTCCCCATGAACGCACAGATAGCCGTCGCACGGGATCGCAATGCAGTGGGGAAAATTTCCGCAATATAGACCAGCTGGATGGCATTGTACCCCAACGAGAAAATGATGGAAAAGATGAAAATCCACGCAATTGTGAACCCCTGCCCCACTTTGTTGGTCGATTCGGCATATTGCTTGGTAAACACCATGATGAGAATCATGTCGACTACCAGCGCGACGGATGTCCATGCCAGAGGCAATTTGCGGCCCACACGGTCAATATAGCACAAACATACGGCGTTGGCCATGACGCCCATCATACCGTAGCCCGCGGATACCCAGAGGACGTCGCGGCCTGTGATGCCCACGCCCTTGAACAGCTGGGTTTGGTAGTAGTTGATGACGGAGGAGCCGCTGGTCTGTAGGAAGATTTGGAGTCCAACTCCCAACAGCAATCGGTATCGATAGGATGGTTTGGTGAACAAGACCCACCATGTCTTGATCTCCACTTCGCGCTCGTACTCGATCTGTTGTTTGATCTGGGCGAACTCGCGCTCCATGAAATCCGCATCCGCGTTGATGTCGGCGTGCAGTTTGCCCAGGATCTCGCGGGCTTCTTCGGATTTGCCGTGCTGGATTAGCCATCGTGGACTTTCGGGGAGCCAGAATAGACCGATGATCAAAATCACGGCTGGGACGCATTGGATTCCCAAGGGCACGCGCCATGCTGCGTTTCCAGATGCGAAACTGCCAAATACTCCGATCCAGTTTGATAAAGCATAGCCGCTGGATATCACTTGCGTCTGCAGACCCACGGTGATCCCGCGGATTTTAGGCGGTGCGATCTCCGCGTTGTAGATCGAACTGACTGCGTAGACTAATCCGATTGCGTAGCCGGCGATAATTCGTCCCGCGATCAACATGCCAATGTTGACTGCTGCCGTTTGTAGAATCGCTCCCAGGAGTGCTAGTGTTGATGCTAGCCAGATGGTTTTCTTGCGGCCTAGTTTGTCGCCAAAGTATCCGCCGGAGAGGTTGCCAAGGCCCGTACCTCCTGTGTATATCGATACGATTGCTCCCGTCAGGTTTTCCGATGGGTTGTTGAAGTATGATGGGAAGGTGGCCTGGCCCAGCGTCGTGCTGATGATGCCCGAGTCGTAGCCATAGATCAGCGATCCTATAGTCGCGAAAAGCCTGTATTATTGAAGTCATCTCGTTAGTTAAACTTCGAGGTGATGTGGCATAAATAGGGCGCTGGAAAGGATGTGGTTGATTGTCCAATGTTGGTGACACGGGGCATTGTTCACTGGTTAGCTAAGGTAACTTACGAGCACTTGATGGTATACGCTTTGCCGCTGCCACCCATCTTGAATGATGATCAGTCAGCCGACTGACTGCAACACCTGGTTTATTCTGCTTCCACCCCGAAGAGATTCAGAAAGCACACTGAAAGGGAAAAAGAGATCCAATTTTCTGTTGGTGGCCCATCCTCTCCTCTTTATATTTCCGTTTGGGGGCCTCGCGGATCCTCAGTGGTACTGTAGTAGCCGCTCGTGTTAGTCTTCGATCGCGATTCGCAATTCACGACTCTCCGCGCGACCCATGCACAAGGCCCATAAGTGCCGTAGCAATCATTGACCATTATGGCAATGGCTGAAATCCCACCGGGCTACTACTGTAGTAGTGTCCAGCAAGGCGCAGAAGAGGGGATAGTACCGTGGGACCCCACTGCGCTAGGACAACAAAAAGCTGGAGTTGCGCGTTCGCAGACAAAAGAGACAGTGCTATTGAGTGGCGTATCGATCGGATCGATTAAGAAAGATGGAAGAATGGTCGAAATTGGCATGGTATGGTGGTTGGACAAGGATACAACGTTGTAGAAGTTGTCAAGAGAAGCTTGAATCGTCGTCGACCCATACTCCTAGTGGACCTTCTATTGCCGTAAACCTCGGATACAGACAATATGGCCGAATCCCTGCATCCGCGCACGGTATAGTAGGTATGATTGTCCGGAAGCTGTTCCGCGTCACGCATGGGAAACTTGATTTCGACGACCATCGTACTCTTCTGTCGACAAGGCATGCCGATCGCAATGGATTGATGGCTCACGTGCCTCTCCGGATTTTCACTATACTTGCATCTGTCTGTTTCTGTGGGGATATGGGGAGCAGTTGCCGATCTCGATCTCGTGATATGGATGTACGAAATGGCATGTTGCGGAATATTCATTCGTGCTTTTCGCCGGTATGTGTGGGCTCAAAGACGGTCTTTTTGCCAGAGCAACAAATTGTTCTGGTCCGTTTCATTCGCCGTCAGAAAGACGCCGGCTATTGTCGAGTCCACGTCGTCGCATAAGTGACTGGAAAAACGGAAGGTCGGTGCTTGTACAGTAGTAAGTGTAAGCGACCAGTGTCGTCTAGTCAGTGGAAAGTGTAGCGTATCCACGTTCCGCCGGCTTATTGCTGATTCGGCAACTCGGTCAGCTCATCTATTGCCATCTTCAAGCATGAATGGACGGGTGTGTCTCTGTTCGGCGCATGGTCTGCCGGAGGGCCCACTTGATATCTCCCCATGTGGTCCCTTCCGAGGGACGCCCATGCCAGGCCTCTACACTGTAAGTTGTATGCTGTGGTACTGGCAGGGTGAGTAATGATGAAGGCTCGCTTGCGCTTGATGATGAGGGAGGTTTCATGAAACTTGGTCAGGATACAGCTTGCTCAGGACTTCTGACTCCGAACGTGTTTTGATTTCGGCGTGTCGAAATAAAAGCTGGCGTGAAGTTTGACGCGCACTAACAAAGTAGAACTAAAGCGCCACGAAAGCTTTGTTCCCACAGCTGGCTTCGGCGCTAGGGGAGTCCAAAGCGTCACTGCACGGTGCTCGCCGCCGGTGCTAAGCGCTGGGCGCTGGAGGGTGCTGAGCTGCTAGTACCAGGGCGGTCGCCTTTGACTCTTGACAGCAGTAAACCAAATGTGAGAGACGCGTGGGGGAATGGTGAGTTATCTTACCAGTACAACACTCAATCAAGGCTTGATGCCCACGAAGACCAAAGTTTATTCTCTCTTTTTGTGCAGTGCATGTGAGCCTAATCGTTCATCAGTCCGTCTCTGACGGATTGTGTTACAATCCGTTCGGGGCTATCGCCTTAAGATGCTAGTGCTTTCCAGTCAGTCGCTCGAGGCAGAGCAACCGTCTCCGTCGCTGGTTGCGACGAGGCTTGAAGCTGAGTGCCTGGTGCCATAAGCGTTAAACATGTCAAAATCCGCGTAAATCAACCGATTGGACATCCGGCTAAATGTGTCCGTGGAGAACATACTTTTGACTTGTTAATGCAACCGGGTCCGACGTTCTGTCCTGTGAATAGACGATGGTTCGTACTATTGGCTGGCTTCGACTGTCACAGCCTTGTCGCGCTTGTGAAGTATCTGGGCCGAATGACCCGAGGGCCGGACGGTATTGCTGATGAAGGCCCCCGCGGGACCAACAACCTCTCTTACGGGGGATTTCTGGAGTCTCCGGACATTGCGCTTGTGACCAAAGGCTACCAGCTAGAGTGTTGCGGGAAACCATACCAAAGACTGTGCTTCGCTTTGTCGTTGGGGTAGCAAAATTCACAGGACATGGAATCCTAGCACGGCCCATCTTCTCGACCGGACAAACGCCTGGCTTGCGGCGCAAGTGTGTATTCAGTGCACTGTTGGCGATCATCCCAATCATAAGACAAGGCGTGCAGTACATCTACCGCACACATGACCAAAAGAATCATCGTCACTGGAGGCTCGGGCAAAGCTGGTCGGTATGTGATATCAGCGCTCCTGCAACATGGCTATGAAGTCTTGAACCTGGATCTCTCTCCGTTGGCGGCAGACCTAGGCCAAAGTGTGCATACACTCAAAGTCGACCTGACGGACAGCGGCCAAGTGTTCAATGCGATATCGTCACACTTTCGCCTGACCCAGCCATTCCGGGAGCCGTTGCTGCAGGCACCAGATGCCGTGGTCCATCTGGCCGGCTACGCCAGGAACATGTTGGTACCGGACAACGAGACGTTCCGAGGCAATGCGCTGTCGACCTTCAATGTGGTTGATGCATCGGCAAAACTAGGAGTGAAGAAAGTCATTCTGGCAAGCTCGGTCTGCGTCTACGGAGTCACCTTTGCAGAGGGAGATATCGATTTTCCGTCCTTCCCCATCGACGAGACATTGGATGTCAACCCCATGGACGTCTATTCCATCACCAAGCTTTGCGGTGAGCGCATCGGTCGCAGCTATGCTCGCAAATACGGCATGGACATCTATGCCTTGAGAATCGGAAACGTCGTGGCTACCGACGAGTACCATGAAGTGTTCCGCGATTATGTCAACAAGCCCGATGATTGGAACGTCCACGGATGGTCGTATACCGATGCCCGAGACCTAGGTCAGATGGTTGCCCTCGGTGTCCAGAAGGATGGCCTGGGATTCCAGATTTTCAATGCGACAAATGATGAAATCACAAACAATTGTTCTTCGACCACAGAATACCTTACAAGTCGATATCCCCATACGCCTTTCACCAGAGAGATGGGGCCCAGGGAAGCCCCCATGAGCAACAAGAAGATCAAAGACCTTCTGGGATTCAGAGAAGAGCATAATTGGCGAAAGTACTATGCAATTCCATCGACGGTCAAGTAACGACGGGTGCTGGTGACGTCCAGAGGAGATTGAGAAGCCTTCGGAGCCACTGCCTTTTATGCTCGTACCATCTTGGTAGTAGCGAGGCGTTCGGTCAAAATGTTACTATGTGTACTGCGCTTCTTTCCAATGCTTGATAGATACCGCGGTCGTACTTGGACTTCTGCAAAATCATAGAAACGAGGTTGTTACTCTTTACTAGCACAGTAGTGAAAGGCGCCCTGAGCAGCGCCAGCCCCGTATTTTGGCTTTCGCTAAACCGGGGGAGGAGCGGCCGAGAGATATGGGGGCACAGGGGGGGTATGGGGCAGTCCGCGCGACCGTTGCGGAGACCATCACCGGACCATATCCGTAGGCATCCCAACAACCAGGCGAACGGACTCTCTTGGCTTTTGAATTTAACCATAGTACAACTCTTTTCCGCGAGTGAACGTGACAAGCCGCCCGAGGTGACGGATCGGTCTCTCAGTTGCGGATCCCAAAAATGGAGTCTGGTGTCGATTATGGAGACGATGACACTGGAAACTCGGCTATTTTATTTGGGAAGTGCTTGTGTTTTCAAGAGCATCACGAACTGCAGCCTGGCTTCATGCCCTGTGTGATGTTGTATCTCACTGCTTGCCGTAGTTGACACAGAGAGGCATCACCATCGGCTTTGAACTCGAGCCATACCTGCAGCAGCCATGAAGTTCACCGATGGCATGTGGATGACCAAGGAAGGTTACACCTTCCATTGGGCAGAGCATGCTGAAAGAGTATATGTAAAGGATGACAACCAGGGCGCTGACCTACTGCTCGTCAAGCGGCAGAATTGGGTTGGCGACTCGTTAAACACACCTTCGATCACTGCCAGTTTGAGATCTCCTCGGGAAGGAATCCTTGCCGCCAAGTTCACCCATTGGGACGGAGAGGACGAGGGAGGTCCTCACTTTGAGCTGTTCGAGGATCAGCCGTCGGTCAGACTTGACAATGTCCCAGAGAAGCAGCTTCAAATCAGTACAGGACCACTGGACTTGACTGTAGACACGTCTCGAAATAACTTGAGCTTTGAGTACTCCAACTCGAAGGCCAAGACGGAAGTTGAAAGGCGATTGAGTGGACATTCGTTCAGGTCGATTGGATTCGTGTCCAGCCGAGACACGCCCACATACTCCATTGCCGACGGGCTGTACGCAGAGGAGAAGAATTACATGTTGCTAGAGTTCGACATCTCGGTGCATGAGCAGATCTATGGCCTAGGTGAGCGGTTCGGTCCTCTGGTCAAGAACGGCCAGAGTATCGATGTATGGAACGAGGATGGTGGTACTTCCTCGGAGCAAACATACAAGAATGTTCCTTTCTTCGTCTCTTCGCGAGGATATGGCGTCTTCATCAACCATCCGGGGAGGGTCATGCTCGAGGTGCAATCGGAGCGTACGACTCGAGTAAACGTCGCCGTCGAGGGCGAGTCTTTGGAATACATGGTAATTGCGGGTCCGACGCTGAAGGAGGTCTTGGGCAGATATACGAGTCTGACTGGACGAGCCGCTCTTCCTCCAGCTTGGTCTTACGGCTTGTGGCTCACGACAAGTTTTCAGACCAGCTACACCGAGGATGTTGTGAGCTCGTTCCTCGATGGTCTCAAAGAGCGCTCCATCCCTTTATCGGTGTTCCATTTGGACGCCTGCTGGATGAAGACATTCCAATGGTGCGACTTCATATTTGATGAGGCTCAGTTTCCCGACCCCAAGGGCTATATCTCGCGGGTCAAAGCTAGAGGACATCGCTTATGTGTGTGGATGAATCCGTACGTCGGACAAGCATCGCCACTGTTTGCCGAGGGCAAAAAGAACGGATATTTCATCATGCGTGCGGATACGAGGCGGCCAACAGTATGGCAGTGGGATGAGTGGCAGGCAGGGTGTGCCGTGGTGGATTTCACCAACCCTGAGGCGCGGACGTGGTTCAGCTCGCACCTCCACCGGTTGATGGATCTGGGTGTGGATTCGTTCAAGACCGATTTTGGTGAGAGAATCCCATTCGATCCCAAAAAGGTCAAATATCATGACGGTTCAGACCCCGTGCGGATGCACAATTTCTATGCTTTCTTGTACCAGAAGACGGTGTGGGAATGCGTTCAGGCCCATTCGTCTCATACGACCGGCGCGGCCAAGGGCGAGAACCCGGTCCTCTTCGCCCGCCCGGGTACTGCAGGGTCGCAGAGATATCCTGTCCATTGGGGAGGTGACTGTGAGTCCACGTTCCCTGCAATGGCCGAGACCATCCGCGGCGGGCTGTCCTTGTCCTTGTCCGGATTTGCCTTTTGGGCCCACGACATTGGTGGTTTCGAGGGCCTCCCGGATCCCGCGTTGTACAAGCGTTGGGTACAATTTGGATTGCTTTCGTCCCATTCGCGTTTGCACGGCTCAAGCTCGTACAGGGTGCCCTGGATGTTCGAGGAGAAATATCCTGGCGAAGATGAGAAGTGCTCGCGAGTGTTAAGGGAAGCCACGTTGCGAAAGTTGGCATTGATGCCGTACATCCTGAGGCAGGGACTGGAGGCGCACAGGAACGGAACTCCAGTAATGAGGGCCTTGTTCCTTGAATTTGAAAACGACTTCAACACTTGGAACCTCGATACCCAGTTCATGTTGGGCAGTGATTTGTTGGTTGCACCGGTGCTGGATGCTTCCGGCTGGGTGCGTTTCTATGTTCCAGAAACAGGCACGGCCACTGGAGCCAAATGGAGGTCATGGTTTGATCACACAAAGACTTATGAGGAGGGGAAATGGGTGAGTTATCCTCCTGCAGTCATTCCTAGAGCAAAAACACTGACAGATGTTGGCTTAGTACGTCGAGACGCACGATTTCAACACCCTTCCGCTCCTGATCCGGTCGGGCGCGGTCATCCCCTACAATCCCTCGCTGAAGGATCCTGAAGCCGATTACCTCAACGGTTTGCAAGTTTTGGTCAATGGTCCAATCGCCGAAGACAAGGACGTTGAGATTGTGCTACCTTCGGATGTCTACCATGTCGGCAAGACATTCACTGTCGCTCAGGACCTGACGGTGCGAGCTGACGGTGTGGAAGTGGTTGATCTTACCAAGAGGTCGGTGCCTGCTCTGAAATGAGCGGTCTGTTGCGCCGTGTTCCAGCCGTTGGATACACCTTGGGAAGGTATGCGAGGGAGGTTTGGTAGAGAGGAACCGGCAGCCGCGTTGACAGGCGACATCCCCAGATTAAATGAACCTCTGCACCAGCCAGAGATAGAGAAAAGTATTGCCATCTTAATGACAGCGATAGATTTTCCAAGTGTCATCCATTAAGGCCACCAGCGTACTATCAGCCCTCGCACACTTACCAGAGACACGTACAGTGCCGGGTAGCCAGCTCAAGAACCTGGTCCTTTCGCTGGCCATCTCGTAGTAGTATATATCGATCCACGCGACAGTACAAGGCAATAAGTCGTAGAAACCAGTCTAGCAGCACCGCTGCTCCTTTCACTGTGTGTATGCAGTTGTAGACGCGCCCATAAATGCCAAGACATAATTTTGCGCAACATCATATTTTTCACACCCCAAAATTATGGTCCAAACAGGTCCGCAAATCTTATCCAACATTTACGGCCCTTTTTGATTCCTTGGCGGCGTGGCCTAATGGTAAGGCGTTGCTTTCCGGTTACTCTCTGGTGGAGTATGGCAAAGACTGTGGGTTCGAGTCCCATCGCCGTCGATTGGTTTTTGTTTTTTTTGACTTTTGTATTTCTAGTTGTGATCGATGGTTCTCCTCTTGGTTTTTCTTTTTCTTTTTATTCTTTTGGTAGTATATTGGAGCTAGACTAGCTACATGAAAGTATGGTGTGGTGTGGCCATACCAAGACCAGAAAGTCGGTGATAGGTGGGTGCGTCTGAACGTTCACATGTTCAATTTTTTGAACTGGCTTACTGGACATGTGGGAAAGACAGCAAGGCAGACAAGAGTAATGACACTGGTAAGGCGAAGAACCATGAGATGAAAGGGTGATCTGCTCTGCCGTGGTCAATGATGGGTATAGTACAAATTTTCTCCTAATAGGTGCGGTACCTCAGGAGAGCAAACACACTGGATTGTAAATACCTACAAGAAACAGAAGCAGGAGGGGGAACAAGATATGGAAACTGAATCTACTTTCACATTGTGCACTTTCTTATTTTGTACATCAAGCTGAGCCGGCTGCTGCCTATCAGGGTTTTGGCAGTCAAAGCTCTTGGATCACTTATTCAGACAATGTTTCCTGCAGTGCATGTTGAGCACCACCACCTATGGCAGCGTTTAACGTCGACCATATCCGCCGCCGCCGCCTTGGTTGTATCCTCCTCCATAGTTGTTACCGCCACCACGGCCACCACGGCGATCATCTCTTGGGGGATATCCCTGGCCCTGATTCTGTCCTTGACCGGGATACTGGTAATAGCCATTACCCGCACCCTGGCCGCCCTGGGCATATTGCTGTTGGTAATCTCCATTTCTGCCACCGTAGTACTGGTTCTGACCGCCTTGGTTCCCATAGTACCCCTGTCCTTGTCCTTGGCCTTGGTAGTCGTTGTAGTAGCCACCCTGGCCACCGCCACCGTACCCACCGTATTGGCCTTGATTTTGATCATAACCGTTGGCAGCTCCATATCTCTGGGACTGAGGAGGAGGTGGTGGCGGCCCACCGCGACCAGCAGGAGGCATGTTCGAGGCGAATCGTGGATCGAGAAATGCGGCGAATGGGTTGTCTCTGGAATTTTGACCTCCGTTGTTGTAGCCGCCGTTGGCATTCAAGGGTGGCCGATCAGCGGCATAGTTGATACGACCGCCTCTGTTCTGCTGGTCCATAGGATCGCGACGAGTATTGTCGTAGAGCGGAGCGCCGCCAAAGTCGCGGCCGGAATTCCTGGCCTTGGATCGCAGAATTGCCAAGTCGCTCTTGTCCAGAACTGGGGCGGGCAACACGACTCCGGGGAACAACATGGACTTGTGCACATGCGTGGGAGGCGGCATGGTGAAGTGGACATTCAGCGACCGATCGTCGTCGACCACGGGTTCCAATTTGATATCTGCTTCCGGTCCAACCAGATCCATGTGAGGTAAGAAATCGTGGTTCTTGCTCACTGTTCCGGCAAGGCGACCCTTTCGCATAGACAGTTTGACCGTCTCTTTGCCGTCCTTGGCTTTCTTTGAATAGAACTGCAGAGCGAGCTCATCATACAGGGGGTTCTGGTCGGAAATGATGAGTGCATCTTTCCCAAATTCGTTTCGAGCTCTTTCGTCGTCGCTCAAGAGAGGATACTTTGTTCCCATTGCTTTCAGGAGTCGCTTTTCGTCAATGAATGGCAGGAGCACCACAGCTTTCCAGGACTGCTTTTTGCCGTTCAGGTCCAGGTCGAAATCTTCGGGATAAAAGTCGACGATCTCCGAGTCTTCGTCGGTCATCAGCGGATGGAAGGCCGGTGGAATGGCATGGTTCGAAGACGCAGGCAGCACCCCCATCAATTGTTCGTACGGCCGGAAAGGCGTTCCCTTGTCAAACTTGACCTCCATCTTGTCGATGTCGACAAAGTCGGCGGCGAACGGGGCATAATGGTATGGGTAGTACCACGTCCATGAAGGACAACCCTGGAAGTAGTAGAGCAGAACCCAGCACAAGCCTTCCACGTAAGCACGAGCAACTTTGTGGCGGAACTCAATGTCGTTGGGCGAGACATGGAATTTCTGTTCGTAATAGCGATCGGCATATCCTGGTTCCCATAGTCGTACTGTATCGAGGTCGGGATCAACGGGTGGTGGTTCCTCGTTAGTGTCCGTTTTGGTCAACGGGGTGTTTCGTCCAGGCGTGCCGCTATCAGAAGCCGCATCCTGCTCTTCCATCAGCGCGGCTTTTCGCTTCCCCAGGGCCGATCCAGGTGTATTCGAATCTGTATTCGGGCTCCCATCAGCACCGTTAGCTGTGCCGTTTGTTGCAGCAGTCTTGGTGGGTGTTTCGGTAGCGGCGGCCCTCTGTGCCAACATCTGTTCTTTCAAGACGGCGGCGGCACTCTTGTTGGTCGTCAAGGCCTTGTCAACGGCACCTCTGTTGACAATGGAGTTGTAGTCCAGCGTAGGGTAGTTGGTTGCTTCGAAGGTTTCCACGGGTCCGGTGGGAGCACGTGTATCCACCCTGCCGCCTCTGTTGTAGTCCGGAGAGTTGCGACGTCTCTTGGGGTTGCGTTGAGCTTCGCGAGCTTCCTGCTGTTGCTCCCGCCGTCGCTCATTCCGCTCTCGTCTGTCCGCCACCTCCTTGCGACGTTTGAAAATGGCATCTTCCTGCTTCGCAAGCCCTTGGAGAATGATCTGAGCACGAGCCAAATTGACGTTGCCATCACAGGTCACATAACCGCCCATGAGAGGCAAATTGTCTCTCCAGATGGCAATTAACTTGTCAATGCCGTCTTCGTGAATGTCAAGACTGGGCAAGTGAGGCAAGAAATCATTGCCGACAAAGAAACACATAAAGACCCAATCGTCAAGAGCACGCTCAAGATCAAAACGGAATGGCTGGCCAGGAACAAACATTTCCGCCGCTAGATACTCACGCAGGACAGGCACATGGAGCCAGATAAAGGGCTTGAGTTCTTCTGTCGTTCCTTTTTCATCGAACTCGCCTGCTTTGACCTTGGCATTGCCTCTGCAGTTCTCTGCGTAGTGTCCTTGTTGGCCACAAAGCTTGCAGGTCTTGGCTTTGGCGTCCCTGGTAAAGACGTCTTCTCGAAGAACACGGAAATGCGGCTCATGCGTCGCGATGCCCAGCATGATCAAGTCTGCGTCAAGTCCATACATGACATGTCTTGTGTTGGGGTCATACTCGGGGTCGGAGCGTTGAGAACGAATGAACTGCATGATCTTATGCTCACCTTCACCTGGGACGCTAGCATCGGAGATGATGACCTTCAATTCGGCCCAGGCGGGATCGGTGTTGAGTTTCCATTGTACCCAATATCGGATCGACTGAGCAAGTATGAACATGAACGGCGTGCCAGGTGTGATGACATTACTATCCCATGTTTTCTTGATTACTTCTTCTTCGTCACTGACATCATCCCTATCTTGTTGCTGCTGACGCAGGAGGGTCTGGAATTCGGCCTTCTTTTCATCCGCCTCTTTTGCGTCTCGAGCGGCTCTGAATCGTCGAGCGCGCTGTTGGTTCATCTTTGCTCGCGGAGCAACACCATCTGGGCACATGTTAGCATATCGACAGTGAATAGATTAGTCTAATAAATCACATACCGATAGCAATCATAAGCAGTCTTCGCGGTCGCACCATGTTCACCACACGATCAGTGTACTTGAAGATCTCCATCATCATTTCACTCTCATTCGCAGGAGGCGGCTTGTTCTCAGGATGTGAACAGGGATGGACAATGCCGTTGAAATCAAGGTAGAGATTGTGCATTTCCTCGCCATTAGGGTTGGGCTTGGTCGTGTCGACCGGGTACTGCACGCCATCGATCTCATACGGCTGTTCCTCCACCACCGGGGAGATGATCTTGGGGTATTTCTTGGTGAGCCATCGGAAAAGTGCTGGGACACCCATGGCGACTATTTGTGACTCTCAAGAAATGCGCGACAAGCAGGAGAGGAGACCACAAGGAAGGGCTGGGTGAACAAGTCGCAGCCGGAACAGGCAATTTGAAGTACGCGGCGGCACTAAAACCAGTACTGCAAAGAAAGAAATCCCGCGCTTAACACAGGACAACAACAGTAACAGTTTACCATCTGGCCGCGATCCCACGGTCAAGCTGGCAAGTCTGGGAGGAGATGCCTGTTGGAAAGTTGAGCCTTGCAATCTTCAACTCCAGGTTTGAACTTTTGGACTCGAGATGGGCGCAGGCTTGGCCGGATCACGTGGAGATAGGCTGTGCACTAGTCTCGATGCGGCAGATCAGGGTCCAGGCCTTCTTATCGCATACGAAAATTCCCCGAGTTCGAATCCACGTCCCTGAAAGTCTGTTTTTGTCATACTACAACTGCAAGTATATTTTATTTCCTTCCACGCCGCTGCCGGTCCGTCCTGGGAGTGTCCAGCCTTGACATCCTTGTACAAGGGCGACAACCAACCCGGCATTAACCTCGGATGACCGCAACGACATGCCCTGTACACAAGGCACGCTGATGCCATTCCTGTACCCGTGTTTCTTCGAGTCGACATCGATGCCGCTCCGGCGTCAACTCGCTCGCTTCCCCCGGCATGTCAGCAGCAGACAAGCATATCTCCGACCGAGGAGTGCTTATGCGTCAAGGAGCCAATCCACGCTCTCAGGAACAAAAGCCTCCTCCTCTCGACGGGCGCCGACGTACGAGGCAGGCCCTCCTCCTCCGACGCCATCATCACGCCTTAACCCAGCTCCAGACGACTACGGACGTAATGTCTTCGTGGACAAATGCACGTTAACGATCCACGCTGGATCCGGGGGCAATGGATGCGTATCATTTCTACGGGACGCACACATCTCGGACGGGCCTCCGAACGGCGGTGACGGCGGGTCAGGAGGGAACATATGGATCCAAGCGGTGGCGGACCAAACAAGCCTACACAAGCTGGCGCGTCGGGGCATTGTCAAAGCTGGACGCGGGATCGGCGGCAAGGGAAGCAGCCAGGGCGGACGCAAGGGAGAAGACGTATGTGTGCAAGTGCCCGTGGGGACGGTGGTGCGAGAAATCTGGCGCAGCGACCCAGTAGCCGAAGAGGAGGACCGGCTGCGCGAACTGCGAGGCAGCATGAGCGACGAAGAGCTAAAGAATCCCTTTGAACTGCCGGACCACGGCGGCTTGCGCAATAAATGGATTTTATACGCGGGCGTGACGCGCAACGAAGCCAAAGACGTGGTCGCAAATCTGCCACCACCAGTCAAGCCGAGGAGAAGCCACTTATCAGTTTTACAGCCCGCGGCTCCCATTCACCTGGACCTGGACACCCCGATGGAAAAGCCGATCTTGCTGGCCGCCGGCGCCGTGGGCGGCCTGGGGAACCCGCACTTTGCGACCAAAAACACCCCCAAACCCAAATTCGCTACAAAAGGCGAACTGGGCGTCCGCATCAAATTGGAGCTCGAACTCAAACTGCTCGCCGATATAGGGCTTGTTGGCCTGCCCAACGCCGGCAAATCTACCCTGACTCGCGCCATCAGCAATTCGCGTACCAGAATCGGCGACTGGGCTTTCACCACCCTCTCCCCGACTATCGGGACTGTCGTCCTCGACAACAACCAGGGCCGACCACTGGTCCGCTCGGGAATTGAAGGCCAACCGCCACGCACGAGTTTTACTGTCGCCGACATTCCAGGTCTGATCGAAGACGCCCACCTCGACAAAGGCCTTGGGTTAGCCTTTCTGCGCCATGTCGAACGCGCCCGTGTCCTTGCGTTTGTCGTCGATCTCTCCGCCGGTGACGCCGTTTTGGCTCTGAAGAACTTGTGGAAAGAGGTCGGCGAGTACGAGAACCTGCGCAACAGAGAACTAAACGAACAGACTGAGACGAGAAATGGAAACATCGTCGATTGGGCTCCGTTTGGGCCGCTATCGGGGTCATCGGGGGCGGCGGCCTCATCAATGATGGACAATGATGAATTTTCAGATGGAAACATCTCAATCTTCCCACCACCCTCCCCTTCGTCTGCCACCTCTCCACTAGAACCTCTCAAACTACCGCCCATCAGCGCAAAGCCCTGGTTTGTCATCGCCACAAAGGCAGATAAAGACTCCTCCATCACCCAGACCGAGTTCAAAAAGCTGGCCGAGTATGTGCGACAAGTCGAGTCCGGCGAAGTCGACCATCCTAGTGGTAACCGGCATGGATGGAGACATCGGGTTGCTGCGATCCCAGTATCTGCCATGCACGGCCAGGGCATTGACAAGGTGATTCGGTATACTGCTGGTGTGCTGGACAGTCTTAAGATTAGCCAGTAGGGGTACGCTACACAAAACTACATTAGCAGAGATGGATGCTTGTATACTAAATCTCTGGGACGAACAACATTAGCGGGTGATTGTGATGGATTGGGACCGTATAGGACCAATACAGATCGTCTATTGCAAGCCTAGGGGGGTTGACAACACATATGTCCACCCACGCACACATATATACAATACTCATTGTCTTGCTGCAAGCAATACTGTAGCGCAGATTAATTTATTCTGATTTCGGTTTGGAAGGTAGAATTGAACATAGGGTGACAGTGTGCTTTAATCGGGCACTCTGCATCTTAGCGAGGTTCACGCACTGAGTACCTACCTAGGTGCATAGTAGACCCTCTCATTCCATCGGTGCGATTGAATCCCATCAGTCCAAGTAGCCACAGACTGATTAAGTTGTATACCAGTCCCATTCTACGATTCTTCTCCATCCTCCAACACCTCTCGCCAAACATCACAAACTTTCCTATCATAAATCCCAACCCAAACATCCTCAAACCAACCCTGGAACTCCGGCTCTTCCAGACACTCCTTAAGCAACTCCGCCATCTGCCTCGGAGGACACTTCCAAACCCCACATCCAATAGCCGCCAACAACAGCAAACTCTTCTCCTGTGCCGCCGCCATCCGTAGAATCATTCTCCACCGTTCCTTGAGCCTACGTACATCCTTGTCGAGCTTCAACTGCATGTCCTGCCCCTGATCACCTCGACCACCTCTGGACTTACTTGCTGGTACCAAAGGAGGACAAGCCAAAGCCGCCACACTGGTCACGCTCACAGTAGCCCAGTCCTTGCGGTCTAGGACGCGACAGTCTTTGGCCAACTCATCCCGAAAGATGACCACGTTGGGATGGAATATGCCTGCACATTCTCCTGGATTTCCGTCTCTACTGACAATCGTCCGCCAAGGATACCTCCCACTCCATTTCTCCAGCGTCGGCCAAATCGTCGACGAATAGCAAAGTGCATCCTCCTGCGTTGTCCCAAAGCGATGCCGCCAGCCGCCCGCAAGTTCGGTATCAGATGCGCAATTCAGCACAGCCACTTTACCGCTGTAGTCTGGCCGCGATTTCAAAAGCTCTCGAGCGAGACTGAAAGTATCTCCATAGCGAACTTTGATCGAGGGTCTCGTCGGGTATCCCGGTCTGGCCAGCCGGCTCCGGTCAAGTTCTTCGAGCTGTGATGAGAAGAAAATTGACTCTGGTTGTGAGGAAAACCCCATGGTTTGCAGGACGCTAGGAATCAGAGATAGTGTTTCTTCCGCTATCTCTTTCCGTTTTGTCTTGGAAGGCGGTTCTGATCCGAAAGATGCCCGGCCTTGGTACCGCTCGGATGGTAGATTGTCGTATGCTCGCGGTCTGGCGGCGCTGCGAGGCATCGTGCCACGAGTACGAGTACGAATACGAGTACTTTTGCCTGTTGGTGAGTGCCTGGATTCAGTTGGTAGTATCACGGTCACGGTCACGGTCGCCCTTTAGGTACTGAACACTATGGTGAGTCGGTTTCGTAAATGTGCAGTGGTTACTATCAGTGAACGGGATTTGATTTCAAAGTTAGGAGACTCAGATGATGAATGAACATCTATATTAGTTCTTTTTATGCCAGTGACTCACTGGCATTGTGTACCGTGTTTAATCAACCTTTTTGTTTGTTCGGTACGCGATGATGATCTCCCTTGTTTTCGCGTCACAGTTCAGACTTTCGGACTTCCGTAGCACCTAGGTGCGTTGGACCATGGGAATTAGCGGAGTGGCTTCAGGGTAAGTTAAATGGAATGGACCGAAGTTTACTACTGTCAAGAACTTGGAACCTGAGGGAAGAGACTTCTTGCCTAACAACAATAGGTAGGTACCTAAGATTTATGACTATTAGTAGGATGCAAACACGAAGAGTTGCAAGAGAGCTGCGCGTGGATACCTACCTAGGCAGGGACCTAAGGTAGGTAGATATCCTGCGCGCCGCGCCACGCGCCATTTACGTGACGAGGCTGAGAACTGTGTGACAGATTTAGGGAGATTACGTGCGCACTACAGTATATATATATATACACATTGCAGAATAAATCAACACTTCCTGCAGAAATGTCTGGTCTGATTTCCCACTGCCGGCGCAATGCATCGCCATATCTCCTGTAAGAACATCTCTACCTAACTCTACTAGTGTGGTAACTGTGTATGTGTGTAACTTTATGTATGACAAGTTGAAAACATGATCCGTGTTGTCTTTAAGGTATTGCAAGACAAGTAGAGGGAGCACTGCACTGCTGCTTCCTTTCATAATCATACATACGGTACGCATTGACCTACTACCAGTACCAAGATCGTAGATACTGGTGCATGTGTTTCTCCCGCAACACCAAGTAATACTAGTAGCAAATCTCACCATCCTGTCTCGGTGACCCATCCTGACGCCTTGCTTTCTGTGTACAACAACCACACCATCACACGGGGGTATCTCCATAAAGAAAAGAGAGTACTGGTTAGTCTACCGACCAGATCCAGCGTCCTGCTTGGCCAGCCGATACCGTACGGCCTCCTTGACCAGGTCCGAGTTCCAAACACCATCCTCGCCACTCTTGTCAAATTCCAATCCCGAGAAATCGCCCTTTTCAGCTTCCGCCAGGATCACGCTGAGATCTTTCTTCTGCGATGCCAACCACTTCTTCGAAAACGCCACGGGATCCTTGGCCATGGCAGAAAAGAAGTCGTGACGGGCTTTGTGATGATGGATGGCTTGGACCAAAACGGCAATCTGGTCGTCCAGCTCCGCAATCTGGCGCAGCTGTGCTTGGTGTTTCGGATTCTGCGTCATCTTCATGTACAGCGCGCGAACGGGATCTTCGACCCGAACATCCACGTCGTAGACAGTAGGTTCGAGGTTCTCGTGAAACTCTTTGTCCAGACGAATAGTGAACGGGAGTCTGACCGGGTCGAGCGGGAGAAGGTAAGGGAGGATGCGCTCCGGAATCTGGGGGAAGGAAATGGTCTCAGTACCGAAGAGTTGACGGAGGTTGTCGTCGCAGCGGATGGTTCTTCGCTCGTCTTCTTCTTGAAGTCCGAATAACTTGACATAGTCCCAGATGGCCATGACGACTTCTGCGCGGTCTGCTTCGGTCATATCCAACATGTCAACCAATACAGGACTCAATTTGAACCTCTCGGGGGTCTCATCACGGGTCAGGCAAATGGTGACGTTCATGTTCTCGTCGGCCTTACGTGTGAATGTGAGTGAATCGAGTTCGTCCTCAGGGCGGTGGTTGGGAGGTTTCTTCCAGTGGACACTATAATTGGGGTCGCCCATGAAACCATCCTCAAACTCGACCTTTAACTCCTTGAAAAAGAATGTGAATGGTCGAGACGGCGGATTCGTGTCCTTGGTTTTCTTGGGCTGGGTCTCCTCTTGATTTCCGTCGACATTCGCGTCTTCGTCCTCGGTGTCGCTGTCATCGTCGGGCCAGTCCAGCAGCCTTCCTTGAATTTTGACCTGGTATTTGGGTTCAGCAAGCGAGTCGAAAGTGATGTTCTCGTCGTCGTTGTGAGACACCTGCCATGGCTGGTCGATGGGAGTGGTGGAGATCCAGATGCGCATGGTCTTTTCTCGCTTGACGTGTCGACTCATTGTGTCTTGTATCTCCAATCTCTTGCGCAACATGTATGCATCCAGACGATGTTCTGCCTGCCGTAGGTCATTGTATTGCTTCACGCCGTCTCCAATGACAAGGTCTTCGACGCCTTCGGGGAGGTTTTTGTCGGTAGGCTTTCGCGCGCGTCGTTGCGCCGCTTGGTGCTCCATGGCAGCATTCCGTTGTTGCAATTGCTGGTTCGCCAACTGCTGGATGTGCTGCTGTTGGGCATGATGGGAGGGAGGGACATTGCCTGGATTAGTGGTCGGTAAGTTTCGAGCTCGTCTCATGATTTCCTCAAGGCAAGCAGCGTATGGGGGAGTTTGACCAGTGTCCACCAAGCGACGAAGATCAGGGCTAAGCTTCAAGGGGATTTGCTCAACACTCAACCGGGCCCAAAGATTGTTTGTCTGGGGAGCAGGGCCTGAGATGTTGGAGGTAGAGTCTAGGTTGGAGAAGGTGCTGGTGCTGGGGCTTGTGCTCGAGTCGCACTCACCTGGCCGACGGGCTGCCGGGCCTCTTCCTTGCGGCTGGGCGTATTGCCGATAGTTCTGCATTTGTGGATTCATCCTGCCCGTGTATGCTCCTTGGCGCTACGGGTGATCCACGTATACCTAGGTACCAGCAGTAACCGCGACGGGGACGGGGGACAGTCGCACTCAATACAGGATACGTTAGAGTGTGATCCACTGGGTGGGATATGAACGGGAGGAACAATGAATGCGACAACTTGAACGGGCGACACAGCGACTGGGGCTGCGAATGCGATTGGGACTGCGACGGGGACTTGGACTTCAGGAAATCTCGCGTCGCGATCTCGCACGGCTGAGCTAGTCCTATTCCGGCACGGGGCTTGGCATGGCAGCTTATCACGTGACGGACCCCACGGTCCGAGTTTCGGGACGAGCCACTGCCTCCCACTGGCACTGCACTGCTGCACTGCTGCACTGCCTTGCATCATGGCATCGCGAAAGGGAGGCAGTGCCACTGGCCGGGGAACAACTTGAATGCCCGACCAAAGTTGCCAGCACAACACCGCAAGGCTGTCTCCAACCCATTGTATCTGACGGTCTACTGTGTGTGTTTGCTCCTACCACAACAGACGTGCAAGAATTCCTTTTCGCTGGCGTCGTTGGAGTGAGTGCGTGTATGTAAACATTGTCTTTGTTCTACTGCTCCTACGCACAGCTCTCCTACCAACAAGCAGCTGGAACTATTGGGGTCTCTGTGAAAGCACAAGTATCGACACAATCTCTCTGATCCAACATGGGCAAACCAAGATTGATCATCATCATCCGTCATGCACAATCTGAGGGCAACCGGGACAAGACGATTCACCAAACCACCCCTGACCACAAAGTCGGTCTGACTCCTGAAGGACATCGACAGGCTCTGGAGGCTGGGCAGAAACTTCGTGAACTCCTCCGCGAAGACGACACATTGCACTTCTTTATTTCGCCATACAGAAGAACACGAGAGACAACAGAAGGTATCTTGAACGGATTGACGTCCAACGACCCAGCCCCGTCACCCTTCCAAAGATCCCACATCAAAGTATACGAGGAACCCCGCCTGCGGGAACAGGATTTTGGCAATTTCCAACCTGGAGCTGAAGAAGTCGAACGGTTGTGGAGAGAACGTGCAGAGTACGGTCACTTCTTTTATCGGATTCCGAACGGCGAAAGCGGCGCAGATGTCTATGACCGAGTATCGTCCTTCAATGGCTCGCTTTGGCGGCGCTTCCAGGAAGATAACATGGCCAGTGTGGCGATTCTGGTCACCCACGGTCTGTGCAGTCGCATTTTCTTGATGGTTTGGTATCATTACAGCGTGGAGTTCTTCGAGGATCTCCGAAACATCAACCACTGCGAGTTTTTGGTCATGAAGCAGGCGGCGAATGGGAGATACGTCCTACAGAATCAGTTACGCCGGTGGTCCGACCTTAGAAAGGAGCGGGCCGCTGCTCGACGAAGCATCTCGTCCGCCTCAACACCTGTCATTCCCGAAACGATTCCTGTCAGACGGTGGACTTCTCACAGGACAGCCAATGACCCTACAGGTGCGAGTTACTTGCCACGGCCGGAACGGAAGAGCACACAAGAGATGTTTAACGATGACCCTCCAGTGGAGGAAGAAACTACATCTACACAGAACCCGGCCGAAACTGTGAGTGTAAGACGGATAAGCAATTCTTCTACCAGGGAGCCAAGCCGAACCCGAGTACGTTCCACGAGCAACCTACGCATGTCCATCAGTAACCTGTCACTGGACACTGGAAGGAAAACGCCCTTGACAGGCATAAAGTCGTACCTCGGCCGAGATGGTGGAGGCACACGGTCTGGTCACGGCTCGCCATTTGGATCGGACGATGAAGCGAGCCCGGACACACCACCGCAAGAAACGGTCCCAGAGGCGATAGATCCTAGCGGGCCAAAATTGTCCACATCTTTGGCGCGGGCTCTGAGAGGTGACTTCGATGATGACAATCGAGTCATGGCAGACGCCCTAGGGGACCAAAGTGATGCAGATGTTGACGAAGCCGACCGTGAGATTGGTACCAAGGCACGCGAGGCCAAAGAGATGGAGAAGATATTGGCCGAGGAAAGGCAAGAAAGGAGTCGTAGTGGGAGTGTTTACTAGCAGGGACCTAGTGGATGATTAGGTGGCAGGGATGGTTTGTCAATGAAGGAATGAATACAAATAGAAGGACATAGGGACATAAGACATAAGGATCATTCTCATGATGAATTACACATTTTGCTTTTGTCCACTTACAGTATTGTAATCTGCACTCATTCAAGGTGGTCTACCACGAGGCTGTGACACGCGGGTATTCGACGTGTCACGTGGACCTTCAATTACATGTACAGTGGTATAACAACACCACATCTTTTTGTACAAGCACGCGCAACTCTCTTCTCATCCTCCCAACCAAGCGACAAGATGATATAACACAATAAACCAGCCGAAGCCGCAGCTAGTCCTGCATTACCAATCCATCAAGCTTGGCAGGTCCATTCCCGCCATCTGTTGAAAAAGAGAAGAATAAAATCCAAAATGGCTGATCCGCTCTATGACCTCCTGAGGCCACATCTGCCCACCAGCAGCGGCCTCAGTAATTCAACAGCCGGTCCTCCCTCGCCATCAATATCCAAATATCTATCACGACTTGTATCACTTCGTCTAGACGATCTCACAACCACGGAACCAGAGTCTCTCGCTCAAGCGAACCAATCCAACCTCGTGTCCATCCAAGCATTAAGTGCGCGCTCCCACCGCACGACGACAACATCATCCGACCACTTGTCTACGCTCCAGACATCTCTGCCACAACTATTATCGTCCGTTGAAGCAATCAGAGAATCAATCCCCGCCCTCGACGCCAGTGCCACCGGGTTCGCCAGCGCATATGACCGGTCGAAAGCCGATGAAACTTCCGCCGGCGGCGGCAATGCTCTCCTCGAAGCAAGACGCGAAGCTGCCCTTTTGGCCCGTCAAGCCGACAAAGTCCAAGATATTTTGGAACTTCCGTCTCTGCTGTCTGCTGCAATCGCATCTGCTGGCAGCAACAGCAGCACCAGCTCCGGCTCCAGCACGGCCGTACCAAGTGGCGCCGCCAATTACTCCCAAGCACTAGACCTGTTCGCACACACCAAACGGCTACAAATACTATATCCCGACTCTCAACTTGTTAGGTCCGTCGTTCTCGAAGCCGAGGTCGCAATGCGAGAGATGACGACGAATCTCATCGCTGGTCTCCGATCGCAGAATTTACGGCTTGCCGCCGCCATCCGCATGATTGGGTGGTTGAGGCGTGTAGCGCCTGAATTGAGTGGTCCAACAACAACGTCCCAACCCAATAAACAACAACAATACCCACAACAAACCAGAATATCAAATCCATCGACTACGACAGGCTCAGGAGCAGCAGCAGCTTCCAGTGGACGTGGACATGGAAACCAAGACGAAGGCCACCTCGGAGCCCTATTCCTCTGCGCCAGACTATGTACCTTTCTGTACATGACCGAAGCCTTGGCTCCGCTCCGCGAACTCGCCGATCAAGAAACGGAAGCCAGGTTGAAGGACACCGATCAACATTCACATCGACACTCCTCCTCCACAACAGTGTCAACACCAAAACATTCCCGCACACGCACTCCCTCATACACCTCCGCCTCTCACTCTTTCCAAGGTCAACATACAGAACGCTATTTGAAGCGATACATTGAAATCTTCCGTGAACAATCCTTCGCCACGATCAGTATGTATCGTAATATTTTCCCGCAGGACGACAACGATTTGTCAAACGAGTCCGCGGCCGAACAGAACCGAGATGATTCTCAAAGTGCCGGCGAGGCCGCCGTCCCCTCTTTATCTCTCTGTCTCTCATTACCACCAGCCCTCCAATCCTTCCCGCTCCATCTCGTCGAAAACTTGGTCGCTACGCTAAAACAATACCTCCCCAACGTGACGGACCCGAGTGCACGCGAGAGTTTGCTCATGCAAGTTCTCTATGCGGCGAATAGTTTGGGGAGGTTGGGTGCGGATTTTAGTCTGGTTATTGCTTTGCTTGATGAGGATGAGGCGGAGACGGAGACGGACGCTGAGGTTGAGACCGAGGCAGATGTACAGGCCGCGGCAAGCGGAGAGGCAGAGGTTGAGCCCGACGCAGAGGCAGACGCAGACGCAGAGGCAAAAGCAGAGGCAAAAGAAGAGAGACAGGAACAAGAACGTAAACCTGGACACGAATCGCAAGACGATACCCAAGACCGAGACCACGAAGAAGATAAAGATAAAGATACTCAAGCGGAACCTGAGCCCGGCAGAATTGGTCATGAAAAGGATCAGGAAAGGCAAGGAGACGAAAACACAGCCACAGCCACAGCTACAGCTGCACCGTCTGATAACGCTGACGGCATTAGCACTCCTCAGCATGATGACCGACACCAACAAAAAGAAGACGAAGACGAACCCGAACCTGAACCCGAATGGGTATCAGTGATTAAAAAACATCGCGTCCAAGCGGCCCGGTTGGAAGCCCTTGCCGCGGGTCAAGATCGGCTCGTTGGGGTGCAAAGGCGAGAATCGGGAACAACAATACCAGTAGATATTGCTGTTCGATGATTTTGCCAAAGAAAAAAAAAGGGAAAATATTTGCGAAGAGTAACGCTGAGGCCAGTAAGATCATATGGTGATGATATTATTGATATTCACCCACGCGGAGGCAAATATTGTTCCTCGCTTGCTTTGCTTTGCTTCTTCATTCTTATGTTTTGATCTGATGCCATGCCACGCCACGCCGTAAAGATCATCATCATGTAGTATGTAGGTAGCATTGTACCACAACTTTTGACATTGGGTCAATTCAAAGTCAAATTCATCGCTTGCATACAGTACTGGTAACGAAAACAATCATGTCATGTCCGAACGAAAGAAGCCAAAAGATAATAAGTTGAACCCTCCTGGAAGACAGGGAAATGCGCCTGCCACTGCTGAAGACAAAAATTGGATTTGCTCCATTCCTTCATGGTAAGAATCATCAAACCAGAGGCTCTGGCCGAGTCGTTTTATCATTTTCATTGACATTGGTTCCTTTCCTAATCAATCATTGTTCCCTCGGTCTTTTTAGAACCCCAACTTATGCTTCTTGATCCTCGGAATAACACCAAGCAGCACAAAGACCGCAGCCACCAGGACGGCCCACAGCTTGATATGCAGAACGTGGACATTATACGGCGTAGTGGTGGCAGCAGCAACGACAGCCAACAGAAACGTCAGAATGGTGTATCCGGCGATCCTGTGCATCAATCATGGTCAGTCACCAGTGCACCACAACCACCACCACAACCCGCGACACAATACCACATCCACATGGACATACCGATGATACTTATAAATCGACTTTGCGCGGTCGACACTCCGATAAACCAGCTCAGGCGCAAAGAACGACGTAAACCCAACGAGCCATTGCAAGAAAATGAGTATATAAGCGACCAAGCCCATCTTGCCATGGACGCTTTGGAACCGCGTCTCGGGATGTGAGGCCTTGTTCATTTCGATGATGACCAGACCGGCGATGAGGGCTGCAACAACAGAATCCTTTAGCACCGATCAAATATAATAAAAATGAGGTCCAATTTGTTTTACCTGCCACAGCCAACCCATTGAACACGGCATGTGTATATGTCCCATTGATCTTGTCCTTTTGCAGAGCTGTCGGTTGCAGCACCAGCACGCCTTGAACGAGTAAGAGGAGCGCGAGAGAGTTGAGGAGTGGGTGGAACGAAAAGAAGATCAGGTCGGCTTGGAAGACGGCTGCCCAGACGAGGGCTGTGAGGATCACTATGCCTGCTTGCGCTAGGATGGCTGTTCGCAACAGAAAATCAGTTCGCTGAGTTACTCAATATAATATAGCGACAAGACACCATGTCCTACCGGTTCCTTTGATCAGATTGAATTGCAGTCCTTGTCCGGGCCGCTGCGTGACATCCCCGGGACGACCGAGGAGTGGTTCTTCCTCTTGCAATGCCGGGTTCTGCTCGGGGACGCCGGTCGCTGAAGCCATGATGCTATAGTTATGCGGTTCGTGTGTTCTATCGAAGACCACGTGAATAGCGGATGAAGTCCGAAGGCAAAGATATCAAGTCTCTCGCAGCGGTCGGACGATGATACTCTTGTTCTTCACCGTAGACGAAAGGGATGAGGCCGTGGTCATATCACTGCAGGCTGCAACGCGCAGTGTCGGTGTCTTGCATTATTCATCCTGCGGGAGAAACGAGGAGTCGAAGAAGCCGCTAGACATGGATATACTGAGAGAACAGATCCCAGTCCTACTTAGTGGCAGTCCTTGTCACGGTGGTACTCGCTGCCAGTGGAACACTGCATGTGGTGCAATTGTCCTCAGGGAATCAACAAGCTGACAATCTTCGGCCGTGGATTGGTCGAGGGCTCAATGCCGAGACGGCAGGTCAATGACGCCATTATTTATGTTTCTGACACGCTTTCGGCTGAGGTGATTTTGACTTGAGAACTGGTCGCTTTACAGTAGATATAGAAATAGAATAATAAGCAAGCCAAATGAGATCATGAATCCAAACGCGAGTCAAGTTGATAGGAATGGCCCATGACAGCAGCATCGTACTGTACATATCTATATCCGACCTTTGCAAAAGTCCAGTGGCTCTCCAAAAGTTGAACGTGAAACAAGTACATATGAATGTCGGTTTTGCGTAACGCCGACGCTTTTTGTTACCCAATTCGAACCCTTTTGATTCCTGAACATGGCCCCTATTGCTCACATGAATCATATTCGGGTCCACCAGTTCGAAACAAAACAGCAAGAACTGACTCGACTTGACCTCAGCTCAGCGTCTTCTGTGCGGTAAATAAATATGGTAAAAAGAAATCACCAATCGAATCAAAATCAAACCAGATCTCAGCCCGCATGTTCGCAATTATAACCTCGTTTTCTTTTTGTTGTTATCGTTCATTCGCATTCCGACTCCATTTACTGCGCATCCGGATCCTTTTCCCGTAGAAAAAGAAGAAAAACGGCACCGGGATCAATGCCGCGGCGAAGAAGCCGAAAATGCTTGTACCCCACGGGATCCCGACGTTATGGTACAGAGGCGAGATAATGAGCGGGAATGCGCCGGCGAAACAGGACCGGAGGAACGCTGGAGAAGAATAGTGGTCAGCATGGTTGACTCTTTCACCGTGATTCAACTTACTGTTTGCTGCTATGGCACTCGCCGCATATCTCTGGAACGTGTCGACCAGATAATTCAAGGCCGCCTGGAAAATCGTGAAGAAGCCAATGCCCGCCATGGACAGACCAATCACGGGGGCGATCCAGTGGTATTTGGGGTCGGCGGTCCAGCCGGTGAGGAAGAGACCTGTGACAACCAGTAAATAATCACTTCATGTAGTCTTGCAGCATACACAACAACCTATGTGGGCGCCAGTGCATATGCCGAGAGGTCAAAGAGGTCAAAGAGGTCAAACGACAGAACGAAAAAGACCACGGTTTGAACTCACCCCCGCTAAACAGAAATGAACCAAGCATCATTGGCGGCAGACGGAGCTCGGGGCACACCTTACCCCCCGACTTGCGGTTATATACGAGCTGGTTGTAGACGTTGATCCCAGCACCGATCATAGCACCGATCATGATGGCCAGAAAGGGCAATTCCGAGGGCACTTGTTTCCAGTGACGGTTTTCGGCGAAGATGATGGGAATAGCGCCTATGATGGGATATCGTTTAGTAATGCTGCCTCGCAGATATAGGATGCCCATCGCCCAATGTCGGTTGAGAACAACTCACCAAGCTGCATGTACAGAATACCGTAGCAGAAGCTGGCATATAACGCGACCAGGGCGCAAATCGGAGTCGTAAGAAGTTGAAATGGTCGAATCAAAAACTAAAAGGCATCAGCACGGATAAGACTTACGCCCAGCAAACAAACAGAGCTGCCACCGCAGTGCACGTAATATAGGTAAGTTACATACCTTCCTAGCCAACTCCTTGATCGACACATCCCATTCCTCAAACTTGGCATGAAGCGCCCAGTTGCCACTTTGATGGCGCAGTCGACGGGCCTTGTAGACCAACAGGCGCGGCGGATACGACTCGTCGAGAAAGATGATGTCGAGCAGCAGGATAAACAGCTGGATGATTCCCGTTAGATACTGGGTCCACCGCCAGCGCAGGTCGACCTGGACCACGAGCGCGGCCGAGACGATCGGACCTAAAGCAGGCCCTATGACCACTGCCATGGCATATGAGGCAATCGCTATACCTCGCTGAGATGAGGGAAACAAGTCGGCTAGGACGCCTCCGGTGTTTGTGACGGGTGCTGAAGCGAAGAATCTACCCATAAGACGCAAAGGTCAGCTCGAACCAAACAAGGGATTGAGTTCTTCGATAGTCAGTGGTTCACGGTATGCCCAACTTACCCCGAAAAGAACCTGAGGATCATGATGCTTTGAATATCTTTGGCGGCCCCGGTCCCAAAGGCGAAGCAAGCCGCGATGAACATTGGAGGGAGTACAGCATTCTAGCACGAGTGAATCAAATCAGTATAAGCGTCGGCATCGACAAAAAGCATAGAGCAAGACGATTGACCACCGCATGTGCATGTGCGTGTGCATGCCGGGGAAGAGACGGAGAGATAGCCATGTAGCGCTAATCTGAGGATATGCGTGTGCCTAGGCGCGGAAAGGGGGAAGAGAGTGTGTAGTTGAGAGGAGGGGGGGTGGGAGGTTGTGTGGTCTGAACAGAGGGAAGGGGGTGTGTGTTTCGCAGCCCCTGTAGCCCGACATCGATATACAGCCGCAACCACCACCACCACCAACATCTCATTTCCTCCTTCAATCCCCGATTCAGTGCATCACTCACCTTACGACCATAAACCTCCGACAAAGGCGCCCACAACAACGGCCCCAACCCAAACCCAAACAAAAACAACGTTGTGCCCAACGTCGACACTTCATTCCCCACACCATACTGCCGCGCAACCTGTTGAGTTCCCGGACTATACGCACTCGACCCCCAAGTCGCACTCATAGTCGTGAACCCATAAAGGCCCGTCGTGATGACCTTCTTCGTCATATTCCAATTCAAGGGGCGATACGGATCGTCCGGCCCATCAAAATCGACCAACTCGTCAACCGTGGTCTTTTGATTTTCCAACGGGTGACTGAACGGACCGATGGGTTGTCGCGTCCGGATCCGCGACAGAATACTTTCCCGCCGTGTGATGGTGCGAGTGAGATCGATCGACCGTCCCGTTGCGAACGAGCTGGTTCGGCGGCGATTCCGAGTTCGACGCCTGCTAACTTTCTCGCCGGTACCATTTTGCCCTACTTGCTCGTCCGCTTCGTCTTCATCGTCATCTTCAGTCTCTGGCGGCCCAATGTCGCCGTATTCGGGATTAGTCGTTTGTAGACTCAAATCGGCTGATGTGCTGGATTCCAATGTTGACCTTGCACGGCCAGTGCCAGTGGTACGGGTGGTGCTGTTGGGGCGAGTCGTTGTCGCGCTGCCACGCGAGTCTGCCATGACAAAAACAAATCAACAAAGATACGATGTGCTTAAAAATTTTCTTCTTCGGCCGCCATTGATATGATATAATATGATCCTTCACCTTCGTTCGGCCGGTGTATATGTACTGATACTACTTAGTAGTCTATGTTTGAATTGCCATATTCATGACCTCAAGCACTGCATTGGCAAACAATTCCCGGCCCGGCAAAACGGCACCGGCAGCCGATATCGCGCCCCCCACATCCTGCACTGGCCAGTAACAACAAACCTGAAATAAACATGGCACTATCAGTGACCTAAACCGTGTTAAGCTTTCTGACTGTTTGGTGGGTGCCGCTTTAACCGGGTGCAACCGCCTTGCTTTTTCTTCGATTTGACTGGCCAGCCTTGTTGGTCGATACTCCTGCCAGCAGCGGAGCCTGAGCCTTGAGGGGAACAGGATGCGGAACCAGGGGATAAGATGGTATTAACCTATAAGCACACCAGGCATCCATGGCCCCCAGCTTACACTACGGTCCCTGGGGACACTGGCACTGCATTGTCACATTTAACGCCTCTCCACAGACAGTAGACTAGACCCTACATCCAGGACGACCTCTGGAACAAACGAAGACATACACCGCCAATACCCTCCTTCATCACCGCCAAACCACAATTGGTTGCAAGCATATAGATACCCAGCTATAGATGCTCATCCAAAACTATGCACTTTCGCATCCTTAGTCCACCGCCTAAACGTCTTGCCATACACCATAAGCACAACCATTCCAACCAGACTAAACCCCACAGTCATCCCCATCAGCAACATAAAGGGCCCAGTGAATCCCGATTCGGCCGCCCAGTCGTTGATATAGTAAGTCATGCCGAACTAGATAGACACAAACAATAGTCAGTCACTCAGCCAGCTCCTGCATAGCAACGACAAACGACAAACACAAGAAAGGAATCTTAAGCCTTCAATATTGTATGCAACACTCACCCCAAACGTATTCTTCGCCACGGTCGATGTCACCATGATCTGGCCTGAGATTGGCTTGTAGCAGTCGATCGCATACTAGACAGAAAGAACATCTTAGCTTCGAGTCCAATTTCACTTCTCATCTCCCCAGGATCAAACTTACAGTAATAGCAATAGTCGGAATGCTAACAGTCAACACACCCGCCAGCGTAAACCCGACGATAATAATCGGTTCCCAAGGCCATTGTCGATCGAAGCCCACGCCGATAATCTATTAGGTTACAAACGGCAACAAGTCAGCACAATGCACACGGATTCTTTCTTCTCATATGGCGTCTTCCAGGGCAGAGACCAAAAGTCCTCTCGTCGTACTCACCACCATGCCCACCACCGAAGCAACAAGAAACGGAACCAAAGCAGGCAACCTCTGTTCCGGTTCCCGTATCCCTTTATTTCTTTTCGTCGCCCGCATAGCAACCCAATCCGAAAACGGCCCCGCCGTGGCCAAACCGACAATCGCACCGACCGCAAGGGCAAAATTCGCAAATCCCACATTCGCCGGGGTGAAATTATACGGCGGCGCCGCCAGGGCCTGCGACTGGGCGAGGTTGACGCACAAAAGCGCATTGGCTGCCGCGCCCATACTCATGGCTGCCCAGAAGATGATGGGATAGGCGAAGATCTGCACCGGAGTCAGGACATGGCGTAAAATGGTGGCAAAAGCCGTCGCTCGCCGGTCAATGGGTTGGATGACATTGAACTGGGACCGACTGGGTCTTCCACGGCCGAGATGTTCGTCGACAATTGCATTCGCATTCGCATTTTCAACAACTTCGACTTCGACTTCTCGCTGCTCATTCTCGACGATTTCGTCGGCAGGAGCCTTGTCGTCACCTCCCTCAACCAGTGACGGTTGTTGAACCAGGCCTGCTGCGGCAACCGGATCCTGCTCTAAGAGTCGTCGTGTTTCCGGACTGAACAGTAACAATCCCACAATCTCCACCACCTGCACGATCGTACAGGCCCAAAAGAACCATCTCCAACTGACATGAGCGGCAACGTTTCCCGATATGATGGGTCCAATCATCAGGCCGACAAAGTAGCACCAACTGTACAACACCCCAAAGTTAGTTGCAGACAGAGAAAACGACCGAAAGTATGCTTTACATACAAGTAGACTCCAACATAGCGTCCTCGTTGGTGTAAGAAATACAAATCGGCAACCACTGTTGCCATGATAGATTCGTTGGCGGCTATCATGGACGGGTCAGCCACGAGTGCCATCAAAGTGTTCGACAGCGACATTACATACCTGGACCGAGACCCGCCAGGACACGAGCACCCAGAAACGAGTGGTAAGACTTGGCCAGCGCCTGCCAGATACAACTTGCCAGAGAAATCAAGGCGCAGACCAACAGTGTCGGTCGGCGACCAAATATGTCGGAGCAGGGAATGATGACAAAATTGGCGTATCCGAGACATAGGACAGTGACGCCAGTCTAATCCAAGGTGTCAGCTCTTTCTGTGCTCTGCGTCTGTCTTCCTGCTTCGCCGGGAATACTGACCAATAAATTCACTTGTGTAAGTGATTTGTTCCATTCCGCCATATAAACAGGCGTGAGGGGCGCAATAGACAGAGTAGTGATGATACTCGCGAGTACAAACAGTCCTTGGTTCGTGAGTACGATGGTTTTCCAGAGTTTGGACCAGTTCTGACTGCAATGTTAGCCTGCATATACAATACAAACAACAACGTGCAATGAGCCACTGGGGCACTGCCATCTCTTACCAAAGGATCATGCGGGCTGGCTGTAGGTTGAGGCACCAGGACAGTCGCATTAGGTCGGTTGTGGGCGTGCACAAGGTGGATGCCTGCCACCTCTGCCATGAGCTCGGTGCCGGGAAGCATCTCTACGTGAGTTTCGGCCTCAGCGACATGCCGAATATCCTCGAGGACAGCGGTGTTGGCCATAATGAAGGGCTGTTGAAAGTGTAGAGGCAGCAGACGATAGTATTCCCTCAGCAGGGATGGTCTGTCCGTGATTCGAAATACATGTTGGCGGCAAGGTACATATAGGGCAAATATCGTCGTCGCTGCGTGTTGTGGTAGTGATCAAATTGACCAGTAGCCTTGCACTTGTTGTAGGGTTCCACCAAGCCTCCCCGCAAAAGACTGGTCAAATTGGTCTCTTACCCCGGAATTTCACTGATTGGTGTGGGCGGATTGGGGTTGCAGAGTCAAAACGTCCCACATTGGGGACTTGTTCAACGGGACCTTCTTGACCATGTGGCTTTGAGCGAATGTCAAGCGGCTGGGTTATTCTGAAAATATGGGCGTTTTATTCTGAAAACATCGTCATGCCTTTCCCATTGGCCCTTGGTAACGGTGATGGTAAAAAGATCTTTGTCAAAGGTTCGAGCCATTGCAGGTCGTGCATCCGACCCAGTTGTTTGGGAACGATTTATGCCATTTGCCAGGGCTAAGTATACACAATTGTCGGCGCAAAAGTCACACAGCGTCACTTTTCTTGTGTGGTCCCAATCAACCGTTTTCATTGTGTAATAATGCTCCTAGAATCGCGGCAAACCTGCGGGCAATCTCCCAATGGCCAATGCGCCTCAAAAGATCCGTGAGTCCACACAAGGCCGCGTTGATCTCGGTCGTGGTTGGTCTCCCATGTTTGTAGCCATTAGCTTGGAATAGTATCAATGCAGGGTTGACACCAAGGAGCTTAAACTCTGGGAAATCCAGACCCTCTGTGCTAAGTCCACTCTGCGTATCTCCACCTGCGCCATAGCGAGTGTAGCAGAACCATGCAACGCCTGCTCTGAACATGGCTCGAGGGACGTGGATCGCGGGCTCACACCCTAGAGGCAGGCTTTCCAGTTTCTTCTGGACCATCGTTCCATGAACGACACATCGTTTGGCTTGGTCCGACCTGGCCCAATTGCTGACGGCCATTTGGTCCTCGGCAGAGAGAGTGGGACCATCTCGCCCAATGGCTTTTTCCAAGAGGTCAAAATCCGCAAACATCGACATGTGGGCCAGGTGCCAGAGGATGCTCATATCCATGTGATCTGGTTCCCAGGGAGCAGTTCCGTGCAAGAAACGCCCGTAGAAGGTGGTCAACAGCCCGGATATCTCGTCCATCTTTGCCGAGGTAGCCCGGACGTTGATCCGATTCTCCACGATATTGACACATATCCCTTCCAAAACTGTGTAGGCGGTGAAGTAGCTATTGCCAGGCATGGCCAAGATGTCAAAGTCCACATTTGCGTCAACGGATGCAGGCGTCAGCTCGTCGCTGTCGAAGTTGGTGGGATCATTGAGATATGACAGCCGCCAATCTTCAGGTCGGGCAGCCATAAATGTTTGGTTTGAGGCAGCAACGGGCAACTGGCGCGAGTTGTGACGCAGAAACGGCTCATGGTGGAGGATGCTTGAGAGTTCTGCATCATGTATGTGAACGCTGAGAGCGATTCGGATGAGCTCTTCGTTTTTGGCCCATTCTCTCCACTGATGATCCAGCTCAGCGGGAGATAAATTGTGGAGGTCGAGTCCGCGTAGTCGCTTTGTCTTGAAGGCCCCGAGACGGCGTGCCCATGAGATCAAGGTACCGTTAAATGTGTCGACTATGGCGAGGTGTTCGGGCTCTCCTGAGAGGAGACCGAACGTCTGTCCAATGATTGCTGTTTGGATAAGAGAGATTCTCTCCTCAGTCCCTCGAGATATTAAACGCTCCCAATTTGCCAGCACGGCCTTGTGCAGCCTTTCGAAGATTTGCACGCCTTGTCGGATGGCGTGCACCGAGCCAGTGAAGAGACTGCCGACAGAGCAGATGGATAAGAGAACCATAGAGTTGGCTTTAGAAGGTCGAAAGGTTGGCGCATGAACCACTGGGAAGACGGGGTGAAACCGTGCAAAGTACGACCGGACACAAAGGTTGAGGAAATCAGCAGACGGTAGGGTTTGATCATGTTGTGACCGTATCTGTAGGCTCTGATGAAGCGTCTGGCGGTAAGTATCGTCTACCTCGACTTGAGATGCCGGGGGGGTCGCAGGGCCTGACTGGGGCACCTCTTCACGTCCATCATCCTTAGCAGTAAACCACAAACGTTTCGTGTCAGGTACGGGCTTGTAGCCTGTCGGGCCACATGTAGCATAAGGACTTTCAGACCAAGCAGGCCTCAACTCCGCCATGCTCGTAACTAAAGGCGTATCCAGGATACTGGCGTGAAAATCGCCGTCCACGAGCCAGGAAGGAAAATGAGCCTCGAAATCGAATGCTTCTATGACAGGATCTAGAGTTTCCATTAGCGGATTGGAGGCGCTTGTACTCGAGTAGCTGTCCTTTGAAGCATTCGCATCGGGATGGACGTTTGGATAGGGGGCCTCGCTGCTGGCATAATTAAGAGAGGCCACATCCACGGCGGGGTTGGCCGCTGAATTCATTGCAAGGCTCGAGTCCTGAGGATGAATCATCATTGCCACATCCAAGGGATCGTGGGATGGGAGAGGAGGTCTCGGAGTTTGGTCCGGTTGAGCAGACATGACAGAACCGCGTCGTGGTTCTACCGCTGTGGTGACCGACCCATCCTCCTGATGATCCTTTTGATGCCGGAGCAGAGTGTCGCTAGTAATCCATGAGCAAGATGCATGGAGACACATGATGACAAAACCGGTCACTCACTGTCGACCGTACTTTCTGCCACAGATGGCACATTTGAAAGGCTTCTCCTTGGTATGAGAGCGAATGTGTCGTTCGAGATGGTCTGTTTTGGCGAAAGTCCTCCCACAGGTCGTGCATTGGCGCACTTTACGAGCGCGTCTGCCGCGGGGACCCTTATTAGAGCCTTGCGTCGGCAAGGCTTCGGACATGGCTCAAAACGAGACGACGCGATTCATTCCAATGTCTAGAAGGCTCTTTTCATGCTCAACGTTGGACAGCATTGCTGGAGAGCGAGCTGGAAAAAGGGTGATTGCTGGACAAGGTCGATCGTGTGGAGCAACGAGAGAGAAAACACTGGCCCGAATGGAGGATCCTCAAGTTCAGCAGCTGGTTCGTGTCGCGAGAGACTCGGATCCTGGTAGCCAGGCAACTATTAGTAGACTTGATATAATTAGCCCGTCCGGAGCCAGCTCATCCCGCATCCCGCGAGTTTCTGTGGAATAGACCGAGTCGCAGCCTGTCTATCCAATGGCGGGGGGTCCAAACCTGACCAGTTCGAAATGGTGGACTGGCCGCTTGTTGCAGGCGTTGAAGGTTGGGGGTGTTTGCCCAGCTACACGATTCCCTTTCGCGTTAATGTGGTCTCTTGAGAAGACGGCTCTCCCCGACTCTTCCCCGCCATGATGAGACTGGAGATGGATGCGTTTCTTCCCTCGCAGGACGCATTGGCGCAGGCTCAGTTGGTAAGGTTGAGGCCAGAAACCATTGGCAGACATTTTGCTTCCCCCACGAAGCTCAGAGGGCGAGCCCCAGACTTGCGGGCAATCAGGGTCCGCAATGGGCCAGTTGAGAGGGGGTGAAGGTGCTCGCTTCTCTCCCTCCCAGTGACATTGGCATTTCCAATGCGGGACACTTCTGTTAATGTCCCGTTCAGCCTGATATCTCGTCCTATTACGTCCCACATCGGTTCGGAGGCGAAATGTACCATCTTCACCATCTACTTTCCCCCGGACCGTGGGCCGGAAATGAGTCCGCAGGTCTGTCGAAGCGATTGTCGTAAGGATAAAGTGATGGTTGCCCGAACATGTTTTGAGATGTGATATATACTCCTCGTCTAGACGATAGACAATCTTTGACGTTGCATCTTTACCGTGGTAAAGTTGGTTTATTCTCGAGAAGCAATTTGTTATCGGCGTCTTATCATGGCTCAAAACGAGATCTCCTCGGTGGAAGAAACCGGTGTGATAGTATGCGGCGGAGGCCCAACGGGCGTGGTACTGTCCGCGTTACTGGGGACGCTGAAAGTGCCCAATATTGTACTGGAGAGGGAAAAAGATATCACGAATGACCCCAGAGGGATCGCTCTGGATGAGGATGGCATCCGCATCCTTCAGGCAATCGGCATCTATGACCGGATATTTACAGAAATGGGCTCTAGTAAGTTGTTGTCCTAGGCGGCGGTCTCGGTCTGCCCCGATTAACCAGCAGCAGGCATGGAGGTCTTCAACTTTATCACAGGTAGCAAACCGGATCTGACCAAGAAACCGTTGATCCGGTTCAAGTACGGAACCACCGAGGGAGGCACTGGCCATGTTGGTTTCATTTGCCATAAGCAGCCGGCCATGGAAAAGGCGATTCGTGACCAGATCGAAAAAATCCCTTTTTCGCAGATCCGCACACAATCTACCGTGATGGGGGTCAGCGAAGACAGTGAAAGTGTACAGGTGACGTACCAGGATGGTCAAGGGCAAACCCGTCAACTGAAAGCGTCCTTCCTCGTGGGAGCGGATGGAAAGACGGGCTATGTCCGCAAGAAGTACCTCGAACCCAAAGGAATCATCATGGAGAAATGTGAACAGTAAGTCTCAGCAGCACACTGCATCACACCTGTCGTTGTTAACTCACGTCAGGTCGACATACGAAGAGACATGGGTGGCGCTGAACTGGAAGATATCCCTGCCGACGGAAAAGACGCATCCCGACTTTCCTTTGTGGCGGCTGGGGTACACTCCAGAGCAGGTGTATGACCTATTCTTTCCCAGAGAGTTTCGGTTCTTGTGCAATCCAAACCGACCTTCGGTCTGTGGCAGGTTCGGACTGCCACAAGACCGATTGTGGAGATTCGAGTTTGTGGTTCAGAAAGGAGAAGATGGTCACAAAATGGCGACGCCGGAAGAAGTGGCCAAGATCATCTATCCTTACCTTACTCATCCTGGAAGTCGCTATGGTCTGAACCAGGACGTCCAATTCCCACCGGAATGCATCACAACCTTGCGATCTCGGCCGTTTTCCTTCGTGGCAAGGAGTTGCAACAAATGGGCATTAGGCAGGGTGATCCTCGCTGGGGATGCCGCTCACGTCTTCCCGCCTTTTGGTAAGTGTCTCTCTGGAGAGTCAGATACGTGCTAACCAAAGATACCTAGGTGGCCAGGGCATCGCCTCGGGATTTCGAGACGCGTCAGGACTGGCGTGGAGACTGGCTTTACTTCATCGCAATCCAACCGCAAACCATGAGCCAGTCCTAAGAGCCTGGTACACGGAACGCAAACAACAACTCGAGAAATCGTTGGCCGCCACCATCCGAAATGGCGAATATGTCAACGAGGCCGATCCGCTCAAGCTCCTGATCCGTGAATGGTACATGTGGGCCATCCAGCTGATCCCGAGTATAAGAAAGAAGGTCGAACTGGGGCAACGAGCGGAGGGCATGGCGAGATATCGACACAGCCCCGGACTTCCTTTCCTCGACGATATGGCAGGCGGCTTTCTCCTGCCCCAGGTCTATGCGTACAATTTCAAGACCAAGTCAGTCTGCTTCACGGACGACCTCATTTTCTCACCTGGAAAGACTGGACTTTTCCAGTTGCTCGTGTTACCAGACAGTCCGCGAGAAGTCGATGCTCTGCTGGAGGGTATCGAGGATATCGACGGTCTCTCCGATAACCTTCTCCGCTCAAAGGAGGCCACTGTGTTGATCCAGTCAATGGATTGTACCTTGACGTCGCCGCCAGGATATGTCCAGAATGCGGCACGGATCGCGACGGGCGCCGAGTTCGCAGCCGATGCCGTCCTGTGCAGAAACCGGCCGCCTCCAATCGGCTATGATGAGCTGCGACTGAAGAAGGAGGTCGGCGGCAAGAAGTACGTGATTGTGCGACATGACCGATTTGTCTTTGCAGCTTGCGATAGCCGGGACGAGCTGAAGGAAGCTGCTCGCCGGCTTGTGAGCACTGTGATGTGCAATCAGCCATGATTTTCTCGGCTCAACCTTTGGTCCATTCGGTGCCATTGTCATTGGAGCGAGGCATGGCGGAAATACAATACACAATGCCGCGTCAGATATATATGTATTCCCACAGTCTCGGTTGTTTCTAGGGATTCCGGAATGAACATTCAAAGCTGGAGCACTGTCCCTAAGGTTTTTGCGCCTCGAAAGCGGCCCAGCCCCATTCCACTTACAGTACAAGTGGTACACCGTCGTAGGGCCCCAAACCGCCGCGCCGAAAAGAGTATCCGGCCACACAGTGACTCCGCCGACCCGATAAATAAGATAATGAGGTTCCAAAAGGGAAAAATTCGGGCGGTGTAGTGGCGGCTCGTTTCATCTCCATACTAGTGCGTCAGTGGTCCGTGTGTCTGTCTCTCCAGCCTTATCACAGTATGCAGTGGTACATACTAGTATACCTGATTCAATGCGAAACTGTCTCCTTGACCCTTGGGGCCAACAATGAATATAGGTCTGCCTTGTCCACACCGCTCCATAAGGTATTTGCAGAAATAGTGGTCGGGTCACACCACGATCCATAGGTATCAAACTCCAGGATGGTACAATAATGGGCTTTGCAATTCCTCATATGGCCTTCCCTTTCCCCAGTCGTGACCCGCCCAGCAGACTCTCAATTTTTGATCACTCGGAGCACTGCACTCTAGCTGAGGGAGGTACTGTATGCCATTCTACGACGACTACGAACCTACCCTATCCTCAATATCTACTGGCGCAGTCTTTGACAAGTTGTGTTTTTGTTGCATCTTCAAACATCGATACAAAGTACCCATACCAATGCCCCTCCTCCTGCTGGATCTTCCCCCAGAAATCCGCCTCCAGATATGGACTCAGTCATCCAACCCACGCAGATCTACCCTTGTTCGTGTGCGGCCGCAGAATCATAATCAAATCCACCATCGAAACTTGAATCAGGAGCAAAAGAATCAAAACCTACTTCGCTTCGTCGCTCTGTAGGAAAATGCAAAGCCACCCGCATCGGCACATGCTGCCACAACACCTCCACCTACCACCACTGCGACAACCGCGTTCTCCTGCGTGAACAGACAAATCTTGCACGAAATCCTACCTCTGGTCCAAAAGCAGGCCGAACCACAACAGCGCCGCGCCTTCATCCTCTGCAATAACCTCCGTCTCGACAATTTCTTCAAGTCAATAAATGCAACGCACCGATTGGCGGTGGGTGCAGCATATGCGCGTCGACCTTTTCATGGGCTACCGTGACAGTGACAGTGACAGTGACGGCCCCAGATCCAGCTCCAGCTCCAGCTCCAGCTCCAACCCGGCCAAGGACAAACTTGAAGACAATTGGTTTGCTGTGTCGGCGGAAACCCAAAGGTGGACGAAAACATACGTGGCCAGCGCGCTCAATGCCTATCAGCAAGGGAGACATCTGAGGGAGACATCTGGATGTGAAAGTAGCAGACGAAATCAAGGAAGAAGACTCGACCGGTAGAAGGACCGTGACGGTGGATATTTATCTGGATTAAACAACATTAAGAAAACAAACGCAATGCAACGTCCGAGACTGCAACGAACGCCGAATCATAGTGATGATTCTTCATCAGAAGAGGTGTGCTGCTAATAAAACATGATCGACCTGTTCAACTTGAAGTGAGAACATGATCTCGGAAGCTTATCTTGTCGGCACGTGCACCACTTCATCAGTCTGATATACAACTTGAAGTTGTACTGCGGTGTGTATAGGTACTGTGCAGTTCAGTCCAGAACACCGACCACATCAATGGATTTACCACGACAAGTTGGAACATAAACCCTCACAACAGCTTGCTTCATTTATCAAAACTTGACAACAATACTTACCGCGAATTTCAATCATGTTTACCTACCTCCTGAAAAACAACGCCCCATCGAGACAGGATATTGCTCGTCACTTCATTCATGATTCATTATGGGATGCCTCTTTCCCACACCCACCACGATTTGATCGCAGTGTCGTAGTGCCTCGCGCAATGGCAAGACTTCCCTCCACTTCAACCCGAACTGCACTCTCAACGGAGCTCTGAAAAAAGCAAGCCCCGTGCGCATCATCAGCGTGCGGCGCGACGCCTATGGATTCCCATGACGATGCGCATCTCGCGCGCCCTCCACGTTCTCGTTCTCGTGCTTTCCAGTGGTTAGCCCAAGTCATCGTTGAGCAGAGCCCCCTGGTGGCGCCGCAACCACACCGAACATCCTCCCCCGAATCCCCTATCACTCAATCGTGGGCAGCTAGTCCAAATTCCAGATCATCCGCGTGGTCCATCTGTTGACCTTCAGTCCTGTTGGGGTCGAGAACATCAAAGGGTGGCGACTCTGACAAGCAATCGTTCAGAGTCGTGCGGAAACACCAATCTCCACCATATCCGGCGCAAGTCCCGCCAATCCCTGTGCATCCTGAATTGGAACGCTTTTGTTCTCGTAGTCGTAACCGAGCTGTATATGCACAGCAAGTCTCAGGTGTCGAGCTCATAGTCGTTCTGTTGGCCGTAACAACTAGCATAAGCTTAAAGAAGCCAGTGCAGCCGGCACACACAATCCCGTTCAGCGTAGTAGCGTCTGTAGATCCTTGAATTTCTGCAAAAAGAACAACAATGTCAGTAAGGACGTCCACTCATCGTGGCAAATCAACAAGAGCTTACAATTGGCTTGCTCAGGAAATGGTCGAACCCAGCTTGATATGCCTCACTTTGAGCACTTTCGCTGCCCAGGCCCGTCAAGGCGATAATCGTAGCTGGCGTTTCGATCCCCTGTTCCTCTTCGAATTTCCGAATCTCCTTGGTTGCCACGATCCCATTCATTACTGGCATTGAAATGTCCATCAAGATATACTTGAACCCCTGTTTGCCTCCATGGTTGAGAACGCTTCTTTTGTACGCTTCCACAGCCTTTGCGCCGTCCGTCGCGGATTCGTGTGGGTGATTGGCCTTCTTGACAAACGTGATGAGAAGATGCAGGTTGATATGATTGTCGTCCACCACCAATACTCGTGGCTTGGTGTCGTCGTCGGCTCTCACAGAGGAGCCATCGGACTCTCGAGGCGTCGCCGACCCATTGCTGGAAGAGGGCGAGCCTGTCTTGTTATGGTCTGAGCCCGTGCCGTCGACCTGTACGTTATCATGGTTGGAATGATTGATCCCTTGGGTCTTAGCGGCGTTGGCCGAAGGAACGGTGGCCAGATCCGCTTCTTTGTTGCGTTCGACAGACATGGGAACCTGGTCAGTGGCTCCGGGAGAATGACTGCTGTCCAACAGCTTCATCCGCTGCATGCACCGTTGGAGGACCTTGGCTATCTTCTGCGGGCCGCATGGTTGAGCAATAACCTCAATGATTCGACCTATGTCAGTCAGCCGATGAATGCCGTGAGACCTAAGACTGGCTGCTTCAAAGGCATTGGTGCACAGCACAATGACAGGAATCTCTCTGTTTGTCTTGGTTCGGCCGTGTCGATCCATCAGATAATCAATCGGCGGCGGTTCAGGATAGATGAAAAAGTTCGGTGGCGGGTCGCCTTCCATGTTTGGTGCAGCCCGAACCTTCATCTTGAACCACTGGGCCATCAAGTTCCGTATGGAGTCCTCCACAGATGGCATAGGACGAAGAGTCCGGGGTGTAGGATGCACCTCTGGCTTTTCGAGAAGATGCGGCAGAAGAAGACATAACTCAAGACCTTTGGTCATCTCACGAATCTCGGCGATGAGGTTCCTGTCTGAATCGGAACTGTCTTCTTTTTGACTCTTGGGAAGGCTTAACCAGATTTTAACCTCGGTTCCAATATCCTTTTCGCTGGAAAGGTCAATTGTGCCCCCAAGGGAATCGACGATTTGGCGGACGATGCTCAGTCCGAGCCCGGTACCGGTGGCCAGCGAATCTTCTTGGGAGAACGCGGTGAATGCATGGTTCTTCATGAACTCTCCCGACATGCCTCTTCCAGTGTCGGTCACTTTGAGCATCATGTGCAGATTGGAAGAGCTCTTTTTGCGAGAGTCATCCACTTTGAGTGCAACGTCGATACTGCCCCGACTAGTATATTTCAATGCATTGCCCAAGATGTTCATGACAATCCGCCGTACTGCACCGGGTTGAGATCTGACCATCCAGTTGGTGTCATCGTCGATGTTCAATGTAAGCCGGACAGAACTCTTGTTGGCCACAGAAGCTTGGCTGACGTTCTCCTTGGTCTCTCGCCGTTTTTGCATCGCACGGTCCGCGGCCGTTTGACCGCCGCCCAGCCTCTGGCCATGACCTGACACCCCATCCGCATTAGCAGTGCGGAAGACCTGACCCGCATAGACCGCCTCAACCGCTTCCTCCACCACCACAGCCATGTCAAAGTCCTCAACTAAACTGCTGTCAGAATTAGATGGTTCTATCTGGTGATGGTTGTCGCGAGAATTGGACCTTAGAGAACCACCTTTGGACAAACTGTTGATTTTCGCATAGTCCAAAACATGGTTGACTGTATCGAGTAACGTCTTGCCACATGTCTCTACTGAAATGACCATACTCGACTGAAAGTCGTCCATAGCTGTATCGTGAAGAAACTCAATGCTTCCGAGGATACCATGTAGTGGTGAGCGAAGCTCGTGGGAGATGTTGGCTAAAAATGTGGCTTTTGCAGTATCGGAAAGAGCAAGATTGATTCGGTTCACCTCATTCATGACGGCATTGTTGAACGCTTTCAGATAAGAGATGTCGTCTTGGATATTGGTCAGTCTGTTTGGATCGTTGGACCATATGACCATCCCTGAGTGCCAACGGCCCTTGGCAAAGTCCCAGAGCGGCAAGAAAACGATTTTCCGAGCCCCCGGAAACGCTTTCATTAGTGCATTCGTCGTGGGAAAATGTCGTAACGGTGCCTTCGATGCTTGGTCTTCGTTCATGGCTGCCGTGTCGTCTGGGTTATTGGGGTTCGAGTCCGAGGTCTCGTCGCTCGAGGATGGCTTACCATGCTGGTCAAACGAGAAGCATTTGCCGTCAGAATGTCGACGTACAAATCGACGTAACGTCTGCTCTGGAATTTTGATAGGTCTTCCGGGTTGGAGTCGCGCAATGCCTAGAACTTCTGCGTTTTGGCGTACGGGTCGAGCGGAAGAGGAATCGGTGCTACTCTTTCCAGTGGCGGTAGACGAGTCAGAAGCTGTGGAGTCGTGGGCAGAGAAGTCATGACGCGCATCCTCAGCTGGTTGATTCGCTGTTGACTTCCTCTCATTACCTCGCTTGGTTTTATTGTGTGAATGTTGCATCACTGAAACAGCCTGGTTGGCGTTTTGCATACTAGAACCTGAACTGAGATTGGCCGAGCTTGCATTCAGATAGACCACTCCGTCCACGCAGAGGCAGTCTCGCAGAATAGCGGCAGCCCGATCGAAGACGCGCAAAGAATCCGAAAAAGCTTTCTCCTTTGTTGCCGTCGAGCGATCACGCGCATGCAAACGCTTCGGCCGAGCAGGAATTGTGCCTTCATGCACGACCCCCAAAGCCTGCCGCCTCTGCAGCTCACTGATCAGAACGTCATGCTCTGATGGAAGGTCGCTCTCTGGGGCGGCTGGTCCTTGATCACCCTCCTCAACACCCGTCTCATTGGGGTCTGTCCGCTCTGCACTATTGTTTGTTCCAGGCGACTCCGTGTCAACGCCGTCTGCCTGGGCCTCGGACGACATGCGGCGAGCTTCGGACTGCACATTGAACGGTGGTGGGGGTCGAGAGTCAGGCTTGATTTGAGCCGCTTCTTCTGTCGCGTCACCTTCTATAAAAGTCCCAATGCCTTGGATCAGTCTTTCCCCTCTCGCTCTGGCGCGCTCGTTTTTGACGATCTCCAAGTGCTGTACCACAATGACAGCCATATCGGTCATGAAACGCAGTTGGTCTGGTGACAGTCCGGAGCGTGGTTTGTCATCGGTCACTGTATACACTCCAATGACGTGGCCGAGCTTGGTGGTGATAGGCACCCCACAGTAGAACGATATCCCCTTTCCGGCATACGGGCGGGACTTGAATCTTTCGTCCGCAGCGAGGTCATCGACAACCAGAGCCGGGGCGCTGTATGTGGTTCCATTGGCAGCACGAGCAGTGTACGACCCAGGATGCATCGCCTCGGCGGAGATGCCTAGTCCGCGATCGATATAGGTGTTCCCATACCAAAGCTCGTCTCCGGCCTCATGCTGAGAGTCGTCCATCAGCGACAGAGATTTCGTGGCCTCAGCGATGATATATTGCTTGGAACTATCCAACAGCGTAACCAAGCCTCTTTTAGCGTTCAAACGAAGACATCCCAACTGTGCAAAAGCCGTCAAAGCTTTATCTCGAGACGATCGCGGCTGGTGCCCCTCCACGTGGTTGTCGGGTGGAAGCTGCACTGTGGGGTGGAGGTCGCTGGATATAAATGTTTCGAGCCACGGTTGATAATACCTAGACAGCAAGCAGGTCAGCGAGGATACATGTACAACGATATGCATCTGCGACCTACCTGTGCATATCACGCTCCCTAGCACCTTCGCGCGCCATGTCGAGTGTTTCCGCGAAGGCTACCTTTCCCGAGGCACGCCTCTACAGAGTCGAAAAAACAGCAGAGATGTTACTCTGAACCTTTGCTTTTCAATTTCGCGAGCGTGACTGCAAACATTCTGCGTACGGGCCGGAGTGAATCGCCAGGCAATCAAGACCCGAAGGTTGTTTCGAGCCCAGAGAAAGCAGGAAGGACCTACCAGAGCAGCGAAGCGCAAGATGTCGAGTGAATTGGGGGTGCAGCCAACTTGAACTGACAGAGAGCGACCGGACCAAGGAGCACCACCGGCAGAGTGACGGGTAGGTCCTGGTTTCTGGAATGGACGGGGCTCGGTGTCAGGCAGCCGGGCACCGGGGATCGAGAGGACAGGGATCTGAGTTGTTTACTGCACATCATCACCTTCTCGATTTCTGTCGTTCATCGAGCAATGAATCGAGCAATGGAGCGGGCTAGGCGGGTGCTGTCATTGAGTGTGTGTGCCTGCGAGAAGCGTCGACGAACCGAGAATGGAACAGTGGGTGGGTAGCAGGCGCAGATGCGATCCAGGTGGAGGGATACCGGAGGGACAGAGGAACACCGGGCAGCGGCTGATGTGCAAGGGCGCGAGGGAGACAGGCACCTACAGGAATTTCGACGGGCCTAGACCGGCCGATGCTGAGGGACACTGCAGCGACACGGCGAGAGGCCAGAATCTCGTGATTGCAATGCCGACGGGCCAATTATGGCTCGAGGCTGCCGTCAGAGCGCCGGGGCATTAATCCGCAGGCCACACGTGACAAGAGCTCTTAGTCATTCTCCACTAAACCGTGTCGGGCGAGCCGCTGACACCGCTGGAGCACGTCTGTATCACAAATCCCTCTCGACGCAGAGATACGCGAGCAGTCCTGACCACCACGGTTTACCAGGATTGACCCGAGTGGATTGAAGTCTTGTTTCAAATCTGCCAGATCCATGCCATCCAAACCTAAGCATCGAGATGTCCATGGTCCGATCTAACGCAGTTCCCTTTTGCTGCTACCGCTGGTACCGCTGGTAAATGTCCCCCACTACTGGTACCACACCACGCCGCATTCGTCAGCATTTGACCACCCACATTCACAGCCTTGTCACCACCACTGCGCATTGAGTAGTCCCCGAATGGAGATGCTCGGCCTCTTGGTGACTACTCTATTACAATAACTCACATTCCAATCATGGCGCCCGACAGAGGGTCTCACTCTCGTTCCTCCTCTACCTCCGAACCTGAAGACCACGAGCTATCGGCTCCATCATCCCCGGCGCTTCTCACACGAAGTCAACGAGACATCGCTCGAACCCGCTCCGATCATGCCTGCTATGCTACTCGGACAGCGCCAGATTCAGCTCTTGATGGAACCAACTTCACTTTTCGCGGACTTGCGGTAGGCACAGGAATTGGTATAATAATCTGCTTTTCAAACACATACTTTGGCCTTCAGACGGGATGGGTCTCTGGCATGGCAATGCCGGCGTCCTTGATTGGCTTCGCAGTCTTCAAGGCGCTGTCGCCTTACCTCGCGCTCCCCTTCACACCCGTGGAAAATGTCCTTGTGCAAACAGTAGCTGGTGCTGTCGGAACAATGCCTTTGGGGTTGGGTTTCGTTGGAGTCATGCCCAGTCTGGAGTTCCTTCTCAAGAAAAGTGAAGGTGCGCCCATTGATCTGAGCTTATGGAGGCTTTTCATCTGGGGTGTTGGCCTCTGCCTGTTCGGCGTTGTCTTCGCAGTTCCTCTACGCAAGCAGGTCATCATCCGTGAACGGTTAAAATTCCCTAGCGGCACTGCCACCGCCCTCATGATCTCTGTTCTCCATGGTGGTGCCAAAGATGACAGTTCCAAACCGGATGAGATTGCAACGCAAGGTACGGAGGAGCGTGAAGAACTCTTAAGGGACAGTGACAGGGATGAGCGAGCCAGTCAGGCAGACGAGCGAGACATTCGAGCTGACTGGAAGAAACAAATTCGGTTGCTGGTCATCGCCTTCTCCGGATCTGGAATCTACACTTTGGTCCAGTACTTTCTTCCGGTACTCCACCGACTGCCTGTCTTTGGCAGCTATCTCGCCAATACCTGGGTGTGGAACCTGAATCCCTCGCCTGCATATGTTGGTCAAGGCATCATCATGGGACCGGCAACAACCTTCCACATGCTCCTCGGCGCTGTTGTTGGCTGGGCCGTTCTCAGCCCAATAGCGAAACACAACGGGTGGGCTCCGGGACCAGTGGATGACTGGGAGACTGGGAGCAAAGGTTGGATCGTCTGGGTCAGCTTGGCAATCATGCTTGCCGACGCCATTGTCAGCCTCGGCTGGTTGCTCCTCCTTCCAACGATCAGGTATAGTCCTGGGTGGATCAGAGCAATAAAAGATCGTTTTGCGAGCAGTTCGTCTTGGACCGAGTTCCTTCTTGGGAAGGATCTCACCGGCTACTTTGCCCTTGACGGCGCCTCACGATCACAGCATTCGAAACCCAAGAAGCGGTCGGCAGAAGGACCCGATGAGCTTCCCGACGATGCGCCACCACATCACCTTGTTTCCGCCCGCACCGTCTCCATCCTCCTGCCACTTACCCTTGTTCTCTGTGTTGTCTGCATCCATGTCACGTTTGGAAGATACATGCCAATCAGTTTGAACATCCTTGCGATCCTACTCGCGCTTGTGCTCTCGATCATGGGCGTGCGCGCCCAGGGAGAGACGGATCTCAATCCAGTGTCTGGCATATCCAAGCTGACGCAGCTGGTGTTTGCCCTGATTCCATTGAGGGGCCGACATGCCAACCATGCCATCGTCATTAACCTGCTTGCGGGAGCGGTCAGCGAAGCTGGTGCCCTACAGGCTGGCGACATGCTGCAAGACCTGAAAGCCGGCCACTTGATCGGGGCGAGCCCGAAAGCCCAGTTCTATGGACAGATGATCGGCAGTCTTGTGGGCGCTTTCGTTTCGGCCGCCATCTACAAGCTCTATGTTTCGGTCTACCAAATCCCAGGCGAGCTGTTTGAGATTCCGACGGCGTATGTATGGATATTCACCGCTCGATTGGTCACGGGGAAGGGCCTGCCACCAATGGCATGGCAGTTCGCACTTGTGGCTGGCGTCATTTTCGTCGCGACCACCTGCTTGAGGATATACCTTTTGGCCCACGGCGAGGAAAAGGCTTGGTGTCGAGCACTCCATCCGTGGATCCCGGGCGGCATTGCGGTGGCCGTTGGCATGTACAATACTCCGAGCTTCACCTTGGCCCGGACTGTCGGTGGGATCATCAGTTACTGGTGGGTCAATTGGAAACAACGGACTGAGACCAAGGTGATCGTCCTTGCCAGCGGCCTCATCCTCGGCGAAGGGGTCGTGAGCATCGTCAATCTCGTCCTGGCCAGCTTCGGGGTGCCTCATCTGTGATGACGGGCTCGCCGCGGTATATGATCAGCGTACGTCCCGGGGTGATGTCAGGCACGACGAACGAAATTTAACGAAGAATGCCGAATGGAATGAGAGTGATATATCTACATTAAAAGTACAGGGCGGCCTGATGTGGGCACGATACGGCAGGCGAGTGTCTCATATCTCGGAAAATTTACACTGAGGATAGAGCTACGGTACATAGTGTGTCTTCACCATACCTGGGTACGGACGGCCTCTTTACCTCGCGTTCTAGTATAAACGTAGGTACCTTTATCTACATCTATGCTAAATCTACTTCCCCATACATATGCAAACATTTCGGGCCCATACCGTCTACAGAGATCACTGTTATCCTGTCAACCGTCCCTTCCGGCCTCTCTACCTCAAGCACGCCTCCGTCGTTAAGTGCCTGACAAATGTTCGTTCCTGCCAGTTATCCAGAAGTGCCAGTGTGCCTCAGCTCGACATTCTATTCTAGACAGACTGCATTTTGGAGTTCAATGATTATCGAACAGAGTCTTGCTGAATAGTACCTAGGTACCTAGGTAGGTAGTCCTCCCTCTGTTCAAAAAATAAACAGCAGAATTTGCGAAAACAGCAAAAACAATCAACAGCCAGGATTCGCAATTGGTCACCCACATTGCTACTAGCTGGCCGGTATTGAGCTTAAGTACCATTGAGCGGACGGGAAGTGCTGCTTTCTCAAATGATCCTATGGTCGATTGCGAGGGATAAATGTGTGATTGAAGAAAATATATACCCTTGCTGTGCAGTAGTTGGTACCTTATCCTTCTTTGAGCACCCAGTCCGACAGACGACGATGGCGTAATCGCTGGGTAATCTTGATTCGTCAACGTGAAAACGTGGATATGCTATATACCACTGCAGGTAACCAGTGTATTTGTTTTCAACTTAATCTCAGAGCGAGACAGGCAGCAGGGGAATGGATACACTACAGTTGTACATACTGCTCAGTTGTCCAAGGTAGGCACATGAACGCTCTGGGGACTGACTGCACGTGGAGATCGCCCCAGCAGCCCTCACAAGGCGGTCCTAAGGAACCGGTCCGCAACTTTGACCTCGTGGTAGTAATAGTAGGTTCCCAAAAGTACAAGCAAGATATTAGTTATTCAAATTTGTACTGCTGTGACTGTGCATCTCCTGATGACCGACTGAGATATTGGTCCAAGGCCACAGGCAGTAGTAGTAGCGCCGACCTAAGGCCTAGGATAATCCTAGGTTACTATACCTTCCTGTCCAAATACTAATAGATTGAGAGGGAGAGTGTGTGTAGGTATGTTTGGACTCCTCTGAACGGAGAAACGACCCTCTCTCAACACTTGCCGATATGCTAAAGTTGCATTGTCTGGTTCCCAAGGCGCCAATGCATCCAAGAGCAGGGCCAGCAGAGCCTTCGTCTTCCTAGAACGCAAGATGAGCGGGAGGAGCGTTTGAATATCTCACCCACCAGAAAAGGGAGCTTGACGATACCTGACCGAACAGAAAGGGATCGAGTAGAACGGCTTCATCCGTCCGGAGTTGGCTGTTGGGTAGTCGACGTGTTGTCGTCCAGAAAGGCAGCTACCTCTGCATGACCATATGTTGTAGCGCGTTCAAGAACCGTCTGCCCGAGGGAGTCCACGACATTTGGATCAGAGCCATGCTCCAGGAGAAACCGGATGACTTCAAGCTTTCCAAGCTGAGCTGCCTCATGAAGAGGAGTACCAAGTCCAAATGCTTGTTGTAGCCGGTAGGAATCCGGATGATGCTGGTACATCACGTCGTTCACAGACGCACCTTTATGGAGGAGGTAGGCTAGAACTTCGAGGATGTCTGGTTGATCGCGACGAACAGCGTAATGAAGTAGCTGCCCTGTTCGAACAGAACCACCATGGTCAAATAGCGTTTTGATAATGTCGAGGGGCGCATATTGTACAGCATAGGACAATGGTGTCAAGTCCAACTGACATCCGGCATCTGGGTTTGCTCCATGCGAGAGGAACCAAGTGACAAGGTCTGCATCCTCGACAGCCAGCCTATTGGACACAAGTCGGAAAGTGTAATCAAATAGCAATGCTCGCAGTAACTCAAAACTTACGCAAGTGGTGGCGGAACCGCCCATTCCATCGGTTTGTTTATATCCCATCCATATCCGAGGAATAGTTCAAGTACACGCTTGTCCTTGTTCACTATGGCAGCCTGAATATGGTTGATATCCACAGACACGCCTTGCCTTAGAAGATATTCGACGACGGCTTTGTGGCCATTTCGGATCGCAAGGAATAGACTGCTCCCTGGTCCCGTGAGCCAATGTTCACGATCAGAGCTACCGCGGAGTTCATTGAATATGCGTTGTACTGTAGGCAGGTCTCCTGCGATTGACGCCTCTTCGATTCTGAGGATGGCTTGCTCGCAACTGGGATGCAGCGGAATCGTAGCTTCGGCTATGTCCGTCCCGAGGGAACTGTTGAAGTCGAAGATTTGGTCCACATCCATGGGAGAGGTCTACATACAACAACGTACTGGTAGGTAGGGACGAGGGTGGAGTTAGGAAATTCCGGGGGACCAGCTGCCGCCTGATCAACTCAGAATCAGTGGAGTGTGCGTAGCCCAGCTTTCGTGGTCCTTCATGTGAGCAATTGCAGAGTGGATAGCATCCTACTTTGACAGTAGAGATTGTCAGATCTCACCACAACTGGCGTTATGACTGTAAATTTATTAAGAACCGCCGGTGTCACTAAGAAATGGAATTGTAGTGGGAGGGTCTCTGGAGAAAGGTGCGCTGCAAAAAGTCCATACCGCGGATGTCAAATGCCTTTCGGCAAACCTGCCAGACATTTTTATCGTGTGTTACGTAGGACTTGAAGATTGTCGCAAAAGGCCCAACGATGAAGACCGAATTGTATTGTCCCATGCTTGAACAAAAGCACACCACACTCAATGAGTGTTTGAAGCGCGTTTCATGGACCATGTGAAGCTAACTTTTCCCGGCATGCTTCCAATGTTCTCCTCCGGCCAATCTGGAATTTTGGAAGCGCGTCCTATCTGACAACCTCTTCCTCTCTATAATCGAAACTGATCAGAGCATTTCAAACATTGACGGCACCAAATTCCGAAAATGCCCTCGTTTAAAGATGTCGGCCGGTCCGATGCCTCTCCTAACTTCTCAACGAACCCGGTGCTCGAAAGAGCGCAATCACAATGGCTGTTCACGCCCGAAGAGCTCCTCCTCGCTCCCAGTATCGTCGAAGGAATGCCGGTCGCGCAAGAGCTGGCAAACCGTCAGAAGGGCGTCAACTTCATCACGCAAGTGGGAATCATGCTTAAACTGCCCCAATTGACCTTGTCGACAGCGGCCGTCTACCTGCACAGGTTCTTCATGCGCCATGCGATGGTCCAGAACAATAAGCCTGGCCTCCACCACTATTCTGTTGCCGCTACGGCGCTATTCTTGGCTACCAAGGTGGAGGAGAACTACCGAAAGATGAAGGAGCTGGTGGTTGCGTGTTGTCGCGTTGCTCAGAAACAGCCAAACCTGGTGGTGGACGAACAGAGCAAAGAGTACTGGAAATGGCGAGACACGATTCTACACAATGAAGATCTGTTATTGGAGGCGCTGTGTTTCGATCTACAACTTGAACAGCCGTATCGGATACTGTACGACTTCCTCCGCTTCTACGGCGTGCAGGAGAACAAAGCACTGCGTAACGCATCTTGGGCTTTTCTCAACGACTCCCTTGTCACGACCATGTGTCTCCAATTCGCTCCCAGGACGATTGCAGGCTGCGCCCTTTACCTGGGGGTCAAGCTCGCAGGCGTTAGTCTGCCAGATGATGGGAGGGAAAGGCCGTGGTGGGAGCAACTGGGTCTTGACATCCTTGACATTCAAAGGGGCTGTAATCTAATGGCCGAGGTGTATGAAAATCCAGCATTGCCACGCCAAGGTCACAAGGATGCCTACACCAAAGAAGACGACCTTGTCATGTTCGATCAGACTCGGATGGGCACCACGCCTCAACCTGATCGCTCACCTGCCGACAGTGCGCGAAGTGGCAGCCAAGGGGTCAAGCGGGACAGAGACGCCGTTGACGAGCGGGAATCGAGCGAATGGGGTTCGGGTGCACCGGTACAACGATCACCAAAGAGGTCACGTCGAGAATCTCAAGATAATGAGCCCGGTCAATCTGAACGCAGTTCCCAACAGCAGGCGCCTGCAGATGACCGAAGCCAGAAACACGATATCACTACCGCCGACGATGTGCAGAAGCGAATCGATGATATTGTCAACAATTCTTCGCAAGCTCCGCGGCAATCACACAACAACGGACAGCAAGAGCGGATTCCTGTGTCGCGCCAACCAGAACAGCAGAGCGATAGAGTCGGTGAACAAAATAATGGCCGCAAATCCCCTGGCACGACCGCTCGCGTGCGATCTGTTGCAGCAGACGGTCGACCTGCCGAGGTTGCAACGCAAGACGCTGGCAATGACTTGGACGATGCCGAGAAGGTCGATTACGGTAGCGAAGAGGGCGAATTGTGAACCGGATCCGACCTTGGCCAATTGTCAGGGTGTCAATCATATCAATACACCATCCAACTACCAGTGGTAGGGGCCAATCTGGGCGTCCGTTTCTGCGCCGGATGCGTATGAACTTGAACGGGCTTGCTTACACATCGCGGCTGATTAATATTCCCGCTTGATACGCGGCACAATGATTAGTACCGAGTCGCATTACAGTCGAATTGACATTTTGCGGAGATTCGTTGATCGCCGGCCATCGGAAATCGCGGGGTTAAAGCGGCGGGGCCTCGGCTAATGGACAATTAAAAGCATGACGTCGACTTCAAGTTGCCGCCCTGAGATTGCGATTTCTAATATACGCCGCATTGCGTGCTTCGACTGCGACTCAGCCATTGCATATATTTATCCCAATGGCCGCAAAGGCTTGAACTTGATCGCAAGGCAATTCAAACTGAGCTTATACTATCTGAGGCCACCGGAACACTACCCTACATAGTCTGGAACCAAAACAGCATCAATCAATCAATCAATCAATCGACCTCGCGCCACCATGTCGACGACCACCACCCAGACCACCTCCGCAACAACAACCCTTTCCGGAACGGCGCAAGCCCAAGACGATCCATCCTACGTCCCCCGCGGCCCAGTCAAGGCTTCACTCAACTTCTTCAAAGACCCCGCCGACGGATCCAAGCCATATAACTACATCAACAAACAACCCGAAGGCCAACCGCAGCGCAACTTCGGCTACGATGCCATCGAGGTAGAATTGTCCGATATCAGAGATCACGAAGACAACTACAATCTCGACAAAGATGCCTTTGAGGCCATCAAGAACGTCGGCCCCTCACAAGAAACAGAGTTTGTCGACGACGAACACATCAGAAAAGTCTACTATCCCGAAGTCGAGCGCCTGTTGCTCGACCATGTCCCCGGTGCGCACAAAGTGACTATTTTCGACCATACGATCCGCCGCTCCGATCCTAATGCCCACCGTGCCCCTGTGACTCGAGTCCATGTCGACCAGACGGCCCGCTCGACCGAGTGGCGGGTCCGGAAACATGATCCCGACGAGGCGGACGAGTTGCTCAAGGGACGATTCAGGATCATTAATGTCTGGCGACCGATCAATGGTGTTGTGCAGGCTCATCCGCTTGCGTTTGCATCCGCCGGCACGGTCAGTGATTCCCAAGATCTTGTCCCTGTCGAGCAGCGGTATCCGGATTGGTCGGGTGAGATTGCGGGCGTCAGATATAATCAGAACCAGAGGTGGTATTATTGGTCTGGAATGGATAATGATGAGAGATTGTTGCTCAAGTGCTATGATAGTAGCAACGATGGTGTTGCGCAGCGAGTTCCGCATTCGGCGTTTGTGGATCCGAGAACACCGCATGGTGCGAAGGGGCGGGAGAGCATTGAGGTTCGAGCTTTGGTTTATGGATAGGACAGGACGGGATGGGACGGGATGGGTTAGAATAAGAGTTGCCTTCCTCTGTAATCGACCAACTGGCGGGGAAAGGAAAGGGTCTGGTGTACTAATAGGTGAAAGAAGGAGGAGGAGGAGAGTACCTAGTTAGTCCCTCTAGACGGGGTTCGCATTTCGTAGCGAAGATGCAAATGCAAATGAATAATGACCTGATCAATGTTGATTACCTAGGTACTAAATTGACGAACATGACGGAATCAAGTATTGTGTGCCAGTGTGTTTCTTTATCTTGCAACGTACAGCGCTACATGTTAGCTAGGCTACCTTTTGTCTGCTGTACCTCGGTCCTCAGTTTATAGTAGTAGTGGTTACTCGCTGCCAGCGACATGAAAACCAGTTCATGTCATGTTCTGTCCTGCTTCATTCTTCATGTTGTGCAAATAGTGGGATAGCAGATTTGTAGATTCCGAGTCGCTCAGGGTTGGTGTTGGTGTTGGTGTTGGTGTTGCAGACTACATTGTACAATCAGTACGACAGTATGACAGTAGTACTGTGATTGACGACTAGGTACCCTATCTACTCTTGGGTACCTTATAGGTGGGTACCTTATTCACCACAAGTCGAGTCGTGCCACACCCCCCTTTTCTTCTTTTGGAGCTTTTTTGCGACCTCCTGGATTGGCTGAGAATGAAATAAAGTACATGTTGTACCGTAGATAGACAGATACCTACATAGGCAGGTTGGTAGTTGAGATGTGCAGACAGAAAGTACCAGTATCGCGGTCTAGGACCGTCGTTGTACAATTTACATCACTGTCGCACGTTTTGTCCCATGGTCGGCTTTGCTGGTGTGGTGATCGTGTTCGACCACGAACAGCCGAGGTCGACTCGTCGAATCGCTTGGGAAGGCAAACTTTGGACTTGGGATTCTTTCTTTGCTCTGGTCCGAGTGAAAGGTGACGCTCCGCTGCGCGACACTGTTGTGGTGAGAGTCTTGGTGAAATCTTCAGTTTTGGGGTTTGTTCCCAAGTCAATCGATCGATCGACTGGTCGACTGATTGCACGAGAGGAGAGCAGGAGGGGAGAATATGTCGGTCGATACAGTACAATAGAAAGCCGAATTCGTATTCGAATCGTTCCGCAATGGTACACAGCCCAACGGACTCCGAGTTCTCGAGCATCTCGTGGCCCGACATTGTAGTTAGTCACAAATCCACACCCATTTAGTCGTCCATTCAGTGAGTGGTCCTTTCATTCATCAAGGTGTGGTATACAATTGACGATGGGCCGCGCAGAGTTGGTTCAAATCTGCCACGGCCTCCGGGTCGATATCAGCAGCAGCGACCACGACGCCGACGCCGACGCCGAGACCGTCATCATTATCGTCAGTTTCTGTCGTCGGGGTCAAATGCAACTGCAAGACCGGGGGCGACTGCAGAAGGAGACCCCTGATCTCGGCGTTGGCAATGGAGACGATTTTGCGCGGCCATTCGAGATGGACGTTTAGTTCCGTTTGACCCAAATGCTTAAAAATGGAATGGGCCCATTCGACCACTCCAAAGAGGACTCTGGCGCGGGCACGGGCTTGGTCGGGAGCCGGACGATGGCGACCCCACTCGTGGGTGGCGAGCGGGACCATGAGCAGCTGGATAGCCACAAAATAGGCCAACAGCAGCTGTGCCACGAGATTGTCTGGGTCGAGAAATGACTTGAAACTGTCGTGACCCAGGCCCGCCCAGACGGTGTAAACGGCCATGAAGTGTAGATAGCCCGTGGCTGGGCTGGTTTGAAGACCGACGATGACGTCGACGAGGGCGGCGTGGAAGTTGACTTCTGCCTCCCGGTCGGTAGTAGTAGTTGTAGTCGCAAATGAGGACAAGTTCAAGTTCAGGGCATCACTGATGTGTTGCAGGGCTTGGTGCCCTTCTCGAAGATGCTGGGGGTCGACGGCCGGCAGCCGGTGCAGCCGGGGCGACATGAAGCGGAAATGCGATTCCGGATCAAGCTTGAAAGCGGTGGGTGCCTGGTCCTGCAGGATCTTGGAGGTGGTGAGTGCGCACCCGCGCACCATGGTGATGAAATCGGCCAGCCCGTCGCCCATGTACGACGCTTGGAAGGTCAGCGCGTAGCAGGACGCCAGCATCGCGTCAGACTCGCCGTATCGCAATGTTCCCTGCTGGTGGCTCAATGCCCGGTTGAGGCCTGCCAGCGCCTGGCCCCGGTGAACCAGCGACTCGCGCCGGTAGTCGACTCCCGTCAGCCGGCCCAGGTGCGATGCCCCAAGCGACAGGATCGCGTGCATCAGGTACCCGTGCTGCTCGGCAAACTGGGGGATCTCGTGTACCCATACTGAGTCGTTGTCGACCGGCAGATGTGGGAATGCCATTGTCAAAAAATGGTGGAAAAACCGCATGTCCAACATGGAAAAGGAGGTTGAGGTTTCGCCTTCGATACCGCCGGGATCACCAGCAAAAGATGGCCCGGTCGTCGGATTGCGCCGCAGTACCGGCAGTGGTTGGGCTGTGGTCATGGTCGACTTATTGTGGTTGTTGCGCGATGTCGTGTCCGTGGGATATATGCATGTCAACCCCTTTAACGCACAACTGCTGCATGTCGGCTTCTGCTCGCCGCACTTGATCTTCCGGTTCTTGCAGCTGTAACACCCTCCCCGCGATTTCTTGTGCGACCGCCGCGTCAAGTTTGGCGCAAGAGTCCGCGTCTTGTGTTGTGCTTGCGACTGCTGTGTTGCTGGTTGCTGCTGTGGCGGTCCTGGTCGCTGGCTGATCCCGCTCTCCCTGCCACTGCCATTGCCAGTCCCAAGAGACGACGAGGATGCCAGTACTCCAGAAACGTGATCACACGACCCCAGTGACGCCGTGTCTGGCGACTCGTTGTCTGCGATCTGATTCTGTTGGTCCCAATTCATAGTAGTAAGTGGTATGTATGAGTTATCGCCCGTCATCGGGTACAATCTTATATCCGCCGTTGCGAATGATATTCACCAGAAGATGGAGGGATAGGCCCAAGGCCGGTCATTCTTGCAACATGATATTGAACGGGGCAGTTGGAATGGCTCACGGTCGGTTGAGATATCGTTATATACTCGCGGTGGCCTTGAGACCAGGTAGAGCCAACGGTCAGGCTCAGTATGGTGGTTGATGTAACATGCATGCATACACGCTGTCAAAAGTACTGGCTTGTGGATGACAGTAACCCACACGCGAGCAGACCCGGGGGTCGGGAATGTTCGGCCAAGGCACAAGGCGGAAACAGGGCGTTCTCCGCAGGAATAGTAGCACAAACTTTCGTGTTTTTCCCTTCCTCGCTGGAATGTATTGATTTATGGCCGCGGTGCTCTTTGCAGCAGTAGTAGCAGCAATACAGCCAGACCCAGTACCGCGGGATTAGGAGGAGTCTGGGGACAGGGGAAATTGGCGGCTTGGAGCGAGAGGTGGCGGACACTGGACCCCTTCTGGTGCATTAACCGAATGGTCTCGTCCACTGAGAAAACGGTTCAGCCTAGTTGTACTGTAGAGTCAGAGCCTCCGGGCCCCCAAGAAACACGAGAAATTGATAACATCCATCGTGATGCATTCTCATGCACATAGGTAAGCGCATCGGTGGATCGTGATCCAGTAGTAAGAGATAAGTTCCGAGGGTCTTCCTGCGTTAGGTCAAGCCGTGCGCCCTTTTTCTGAACTCTGAATGACAACAACTGACGTGAAGGCACCACAGGCACTATCTATGTGCGATTTTCGGATGTCCCGAAGAGGTTGGTGGTGGAGTACAAGTAGGTGATCCTCGCAAAAGATGATTCTATGGTGGTCTTGGTAGAGTCAACAAGGTACACAGCATCCTTCTTTGCGCCAGACTTCACATCATCATTGGGTGCTGGAGTGTGATTGATAAATATATTGGTCGAATATAATTACAATTGCTGTCGCAACGGTTGGCTTGACGGCAGCCAAAAATAGCGGACGACAAGCGAGTGTAGTTGGGAGCCTTTGAGCCTTGTGGGAGCGTCGTCTTGAGGATCTTCTGGCACCCCCTGACGTTTCTGCACCCAGGCAGACACGCAACGAAACGAGAAGCTGTATCCATAAGCCGTGGCTGTGGCTTTGGCCTTTCTTTCTCCACGAGAATTTCCAGGGACAGTTGGAGACCCTCTTTACCCCTGATGGTGATACCGCGGGGGACGAGCCCTGGAGAGCCCTGGATGAGCCTTCCGTTTGCCTCCCAAAAATGCATCTTCCCGTTGATAGTCCGAGCTGGTAGTGGTCATGAGGCCAAGGTTAAATCGCTCTTCCAGTCTCTTTCTCTGTTGCTCTTCTCTTCGACACCGTTTCTCTCCGCACCCACGGACTTGATCGAGTTACAGTCTGTTATGTTGTCGAAGCGCTCCAGTTGTCTGATCCGAGGTAGTTGAGCAGAAGATCGCAAGATTCCAGTTCATGTTGCAATTCAGAATGGAACAGCGTTCTGGAATAACCGGAGGACAAAGTCTAGCTGTGATGCGCCATGCCTTTAAGTTTGGGTGTCACTCCCCGGTTTTGGACTACCGGCCACTGGAATATGAACTTTGTCAGTAGATTGATTTCCTTCTCTGAAGCATATGAGTATATGCATCTATTATTGAGATGCATTGTGTTGTAGAAGTTTTCAAGTTGCACGGGCTCGCCTTCTCTGGCTCAGTGCATCGATGACGTTGGCATGTGAAGCTACCACCGTGCCAGGGTACAATTGATTGTATAGCCACCAGCCTCGGTATCAGCGACTGAGACCGACGATGAGCCTGTTACAAACGCCTCACAATCATACAACTTCCATCCTGCTGTTGTTCTCTGTCTTCATCTCGTTCGTTGTGCTAGACTATCGCGGTGGCGTCTTGTTGTCGTTGTCTGTTTAGATGATGGAGACCTCTCTGCGGACACTGCTGAGACTCCTGTTCCCCCGGCTGCCACTTATCATCAAGACCGCCCTTCTCAACGCGCTATCCCTTTCCAAGAGTTCGTCCAAACAGGATGTGAAGACTGAAGTCGCTGTAGTTCTCCTGCGAGATATTACCAGCGCAAGACGCACTATAGGTTTTATGCAACGCTACTCATCGAGAGGTCCTCCCATTAAGGGCCCGACGGTCGTGGCAAAAGTAACAGTCCCTCCACCTCAGGACGACGGTGGGGTCAGAGATGTACTGTGCAGTGCTATCAAAGAGTTGGGATATGGCAACGAGGAATATGCTGTTCCTGACATTGCAGCTGTGGAAGCCGAGTGGACTGGCTACAGAAAAAATGTTCCTCCCAACACGCCCAGACCCGATTTGCCAGAGCCGGAACAGTACAAACTCCTGATGAAGGACGTCTCCTCGCCCGTCACGATACTATACTTCCATGGCGGCGCATATTACCTAATGGACCCCGCGAGCGTTCGCGACACGACGACACGTCTGGCGAAGCTGACGGGAGGGCGGTGCTACTCAGTCAGATATCGGCTCGCACCGCAGCACCCTTTCCCGGCACAACTTCTCGACGCCTTGGTGGCTTACCTATCTCTCCTACATCCACCCTCAGGGTCACTTCACGAGCCTGTACCGGCGGAAAACATTGTCTTTTCCGGGGAGTCAGCAGGAGGCAATCTGGCCATTGCCTTGATGCAACTCCTTCTAGCCCTGCAGAGAATGGGTACCAGCACCATTAGATTCCACGGCACTGATGTTCCGGTTCAGCTGCCTGCTGGCGTTGCCGTCAACTCCCCCTGGGTGGACATCACCCGTTCACTGCCCTCCAATATCGCCAACGCCCACTACGACTACCTCGAGCCTCTCGGTCACACGGGACTCTCGAACACCGAACCATTGCCAGATGAGTTTTGGCCTACATCGCCTCCTCGCGCCGACATCTTCTGTAATGCCTCGAGCATGTTACATCCTCTGGTTTCGCCCATGCAAGCCCATCCAGGTTTGTGGAAAGGGATGCCACCTATCTGGATGTGTGTGGGGAACGAGACTCTTGAAGACGAAGTTGAGGTGCTTGCGCGCAGGATGGCCCAGGGAGGCGGAATGGTCAACTTCGTGGGCTACGAGGGAATGCCGCATTGCTTTGCCATGATCTTTCCAACCTCGCCCATGGGCAAGGATTGTTTCGAGAGATGGGCCCAGTTCTGCTTGGAAGTGGTCAGCGGCTCGTCTCCAAGCTCCAGCAGCACCGCTCTCTGGGCCAAGGCCAAAACGAACCCGATACAGTTTGAAGAAATAGACATACAGAGCCTTAATACGCTTACCGATCAGGAAGTGGAAAAGATCACCACCAATATGCAGAAGCATTTCTTGCAGCGAGAGAATGAGCTGGTGAAGAAATGGACAGAACAGCAGGCCACAGCCAAGTTATGATGCGCCGTCTCACTCGCTATCGAGCAGAACGTTCCTCCAACGCGGTTTTACGACGATAGCTGGGGCCAGTACATACCGCAATACTGCTGGGCCGATACCCCACATCCTGCCTGCAGTCTCAACTGTTGCCGAACCTCCTTTTCAAAGACTTGTACGGCTCGATCTGGGCACCAGCGGGATAAACCTATGGACGAAGATATGGTCTCCGTCACCACAGCGCGAGATATGTTTCCACCGCCGCCGATTTGACCCTGACAGATTTTGCCTGCAAGTTACCTTTACGGCAACGATCAGTTCAATCCCAATGACTCCTCTGGCGGTCTCGCCGGGGCTTGTCTGGTCTTCGACGAACCCAATGCCAAGCTTGGGAGGTGAGGTGTCATGGAACGTCGTCGCGTGTCCGGACAGGCATGTATCAAGCTTGAGACACTGCAAGTGTTGTTTAACAATCTCAACAACGGAATTCTTTTTCACAACTACCGTACAACTTCGTATCCAGTTGGAGAAAGCCGACAAGCCGGCGAGGCACTGGCAATGGCAGTGGAAGAAGGACCAGAAAACGCAAAAAGCAAAAAACAATCGACAGTCAGGATTCCCAAATCGTCACCGACTTTAGTACTAACTGACCGGCATTGAGCTTAAGTACCGCTGAGCGAACGGGAAGCGCTGTATTCTCAATCCTATGGTCGATTGCGGAATAGGATTGTGGATGTTTAACTCTTGTGTCGGTGTGAAATTTTTTGGTTGCGGGAGATCCACCGGAAGTGGAGCGGAGGGATAGCGGGAAAGGGGTGTTGGGGGAGGGAGCGGACCCAATAATGAGAGATGATGACTTTACTTTCAGACCTTCTCTGCACTGCAGTGGCAGCAGTGAACTAAGAGGAGATACATGTTACCATGTAAAACGGGGTGATGGTAAGCCCTCGAGGCTCAGTCTAGCAGTCTCCTCAGCCTTGCGTGCCTACAAAGCCACTGGGGCGGTGTTCATATACGATGATGAACCTACCGTATATAACAAAAATCATACCCTTTCACGTTCTTGATGAGGCCGCTTTCGGAGAAGGTTCATCTGCCTGTTCACGCTGTCGCTGTTCGGTACTGCAGCAGGAGTTGACATGGCAATACCACACGGGAGTAGTCAAAGGACAGCCTCGTCGGAAAATCATAATTCCGGGTGTTCTCTCAGCTCGTGCCAGCCACTTTTTCTTGAGTGATCCATCCACCACCGTTGCGCCCTCCATCCATTCTACGTCCTTGGACTTTGATTGACATTGTCACATGGCGAATAGATCAATCTCCTCGTCGAGAGACTAGTCGCTATAATGTCAGGCACATTCTTACAAGGGCGGCCATCGAGGAGTCTACCCCAGGCTGCAGCAGTCTTCCGATTGAAATCCGTCGATCCTCTTCCGCGATGGACACCAAGGTCGACCTTGATGAGATGTATCCCTCGCTGAAGCTTCCATGGTCTTCGCAGCCTCGAGAAGCTGAGATCAAATACCGCAACGCCGGCCTCGTTAGAACCCAAGGCACCCTGTTCCTCCTGCCGCCTGCGGACGACACCCTCCGCGAGACATACAATGCGCCTCCACGGCCCAAAACTCGCATGTCCTCCGGCGCCGTGGCTCTCTGCAAACACTTTGAACGCGGTGGAGCATCATCTGAACATGGTCGTCCACATCCCTTCTGGACCAAGCCCGTTGGCAGTAATGAGAATAAGACAGAAATAGCACGGGGGATTCTAGAGCAAATGTTGTCGGAAGCCGTCTGGAAGAATGTCATGCTCCTGCATCATGGCGTAGCCGTATACGAAATCAGGAACAGTCGAGGTTATGGTATGAGATGGACCCTAGATATCGAGGAATACCGTGGAAATTGCACCGACGAAGAAGGTGCTGATGGTTCTACCAATTCCAATTCCATCAAAGACGACCATGAGAAGAATTGGATCATCTCCAAGACTACCTTCCGAGGCTTCCTGGAACCCATTGCCGGGTTGGATCACGAGTTGCCGCATAATGATGCATGACAGTCATATCTTCAAGATCGTGTAGGCGTCATACAAGGGCCTGATGCGAAAAGAAACAGATTCTGGACTCCCGGTCTTCTGGTCCCTCTCCGAGGCACCTCTATGGCGGTGGTCTACCTAGGCTTCGACCATACGACTCGGATCGCAAACGGCGCTTCGTAGGAGTCAATGAAGACCCCGTGGGACCAATGTACTTATGAATGTTTATATGACGCTACTGGATACCTATGGATCGTTGTCGAGCGTCAATCGACAGGATTTGTATCACTGACAGCTGCAGGGTCATAATGCCTGATATATACATACTTGTGCAAGGGGCACAGCCTGACATGCGCAAACCAAGAGCTGGGTTGGGGACACCGCTGTGCAAACCATGCCACCTTATCCACACTGTTTTGTGGTTGATCCCTGAACAGCCCCGTCTGGTCCTCCACATGCCTGCCTCTTCCTCCCCGCAAATCACACGTTTAACAGCTCCACCCCCACCTTGGGGGAGGGTCAGAGGACACGAAAGATGGGCATCGCGGTGACAGCGCGTCGAAGGCTGGGCGCAGATGTAACCATGCACAGTTGATCATCTCTAGTTGTGCGCGTCTGCCAGTCCTCATTATTTCAGCCATTTCGACGTTTCAGGTGGACTTTATCCTCGGCATTATCACCAATTTATCCCTCACTCCCGCTTCCATTCAGGAGGCAGACATCCAGTCCGGCGGCTCGTTGCCCGTGCATGAATTGGCTGCTTGACTGATCTGCCACGTCCTCAATCCGCGGTCCTTTCCCTTCAATTTTCGGTCTCCTTCCAGTTACTCGCGCATGTTCTAGATCGCAAGTTTCCCACGTTTGAGAACATGCAGTAGATTGTGGGTTAGGTCGGAGTTTATTCTTGACATGCAGCACATTTCCGCCTTTTGCAGTCTGAAAATCAAGTCCCTGTCGGTCCATTGGCGGTAAGACACGCCACCCGCCCATGATGGCACACAGCGGGTTTACAACAACCCTGTCGGCAAAGTTATCAGCCAGGAGTGGCATGAGTCTTCTGGATCAAAGTAGGCCTTCCAAGTGAACCGCTTCTGGGTATCTGAGCATCCAGGGTCCTAACATCGGTGCAGTTCCCAGACTGAGTGTAATTTCTGGTTGCACACAGCAAGTTAGAAAACGTGTGCATTCGTATTCTCGCGGCAGGATTCCGCAGGCGGGAAGACACACAAGCCTTATTCAACTCCCTCCAAGAGCAGTCACGGTCTGGTCGCGACTCAAGGCTGATCTAACTGCTGGCCCGGTCCCTTACTCAGAACTCACTATTGGTGTACCGGCAGAGACTCATGCTGGAGAGCGTCGCGTGGCAGTGGCGCCGCAAAACATCCCCTTGCTCCTTAAGAAGGGCTTCCGTCGCGTGCTCGTTGAGCGTGGTGCTGGCGCCGAAGCTCAATATGGAGACGAAGTGTACGAACACATGGGCGCCACCGTCGTGGATCGCCAGACCGTGTGGTCCGAAAGCAACATTTTGCTCAAAGTCCGTCCTCCTAACATCGAGACTGAAGTTTCCCGAATTCCAGAAGGCGCTGCCACGATCTCGTTTCTTCAGCCTGCTCAGAACAAGAGCCTGGTTGAGGCTCTGGCCTCACGTCGCGTGACTGCATTCGCCATGGACATGATTCCCAGAATATCTCGAGCCCAAGCTTTTGATGCTCTCAGCTCCATGGCGAATATTGCAGGTTATAAGGCTGTGCTCGAAGCTTCGAATCACTTTGGTCGTTTTCTGACGGGCCAAGTCACTGCTGCGGGCAAGATCCCTCCCGCCAAAGTCCTTGTGATCGGGGCAGGTGTGGCAGGTTTGAGCGCCATCACGACGGCTCGTCGTCTGGGCGCGATTGTACGTGGGTTTGACACCCGGTCCGCAGCGCGAGAACAGGTCCAATCTCTTGGGGCCGACTTCCTCGAGGTCAATATCCAAGAGGAAGGCGGTGGAGCTGGTGGGTACAGCAAAGAAATGTCCAAGGAATTCATCGAGGCCGAGATGAAACTGTTCATGGAACAGTGCAAAGATGTGGATATCGTCATCACAACCGCCCAGATCCCAGGCAAGCCTTCGCCCAAACTCATCACCGAAAAGATGGTTAGCGCCATGAAACCGGGTTCTGTCATCGTCGACCTTGCAGCAGAGGGCGGCGGGAACTGCGAAGTCACGCAACCGGGTAAACTGACTGTCCACAACCATGTTACCGTTATAGGATATACAGACTTTGCCTCTCGCCTTCCGACCCAGTCTACGAGCCTCTATTCGAACAATATCACCAAGTTCCTCTTGTACTTGGCTCCCAAGGACAACCATTTCGGGGTCGACCTTGAAGACGAGGTTGTCCGTGGCTCTATAGTCACTCACAACGGTCAGATCCTCCCTACAGCTCCAAGACCAGCGCCTCCGCCAGCACCGGCCCAGCCACAGCCGTTGCTCGAAGCCAAGCCTGTCGAACTTACTCCCTGGGAGAAGCAAACGAGAAACGTGGCGGCGGTGACGGGAGGAATGACTGCCGCTCTTGCACTTGGAAAACTGACCAGCCCGCTCTTCATGGGTAGCATGTTCACTGCCGGTCTAGCTGGGTTGATCGGTTACCGATCGGTCTGGGGCGTGATTCCGGCGCTCCATTCGCCTCTGATGAGTGTCACCAACGCCATTTCCGGCATCGTTGGTGTAGGTGGATTTTTCATTATGGGCGGAGGGTATCTCCCCGAGACAGTGCCACAGGTGTTAGGGGCCCTTTCTGTGCTCCTTGCTTTTGTGAACATCTCGGGTGGGTTCGTCATCACCAAACGAATGCTGGACATGTTCAAACGGCCCACCGATCCTCCGGAATATCCCTGGCTGTATGCAATCCCTGGTGTCTTATTTGGTGGCGGTTTTATCGCAGCTGCGAGTACTGGCATGGCCGGGTTGGTGCAAGCCGGGTACCTGGTTAGCAGTCTTCTCTGCATAGGTGAGGTCTGACCACACAAACCAGTACGAATGGTGATACTGATTTCTCCTGCACCAGGGTCTATTTCCGGTCTAGCATCCCAGGCTACCGCAAGGACCGGCAACTTTATGGGGATACTAGGCGTGTTTGCAGGGATCATAGCCTCTTTGGGAGCAGTCGGCTTCTCACCAGAAGTGCTGACTCAATTTGGAGCCATTGCAACAGTTGGAGGGATTATTGGTACGTCAAGCCACAACTTGAAGTATTGACCATCTTTATTTGGATTTTATCTCACTCTTGTATAACAGGTGCTCTTATCGGGCGACGGATCACGCCCACTGAGCTGCCCCAGACAGTTGCCGCCTTGCATTCGGTGGTGGGCCTTGCCGCAGTGTTTACCAGCATAGGAAGCGTGCTCGCTCATGTCTCCGACATTTCCACCCTTCACATGGTCACAGCATATCTTGGTGTTCTCATTGGTATGTTTTTACAGTTTTGTCTGTCTAGTTGTGAGCGACCCCAGCAAATGCTAATTATTGTTGCTGTGCAGGCGGAATCACATTTACTGGTTCCATCGTCGCCTTTCTCAAACTCGCAGGCCGTATGTCCTCGCGTCCAACCGTCATCCCTGGCCGACATCTTGTCAATGCGTCCCTGGTCGCCGCGAATGCCGGCACCATGGGAGCTTTCTTGACCATGGCACCTGGAGCACCTGCTGTGGCGGCCGTTTGTCTCTCGGCCAACACTGCATTGAGCTTTACTCAGGGATATACCACCACAGCTGCCATTGGAGGGGCTGATATGCGTACGTGATATCAACTTTGTTTTGTGTTAGCAACCCGAGACTGGGGTGACATCTACGTCCATCCATGGCTTTGCAGCATACTGACTATTTGTCACTTGTAGCCGTCGTCATCACCGTGCTCAACGCATATTCCGGGTTCGCATTGGTCGCCGAGGGATTCATGCTGGACAATCCACTCCTCTTAACTGTAGGATCGCTGATTGGCGTCAGCGGTTCTATCCTGTCATATATCATGGTAAGTTGCAGTAGCCTATTGAACAGGATTCGATCCAACATTGGCTTGTCTTTTGCCGCAAAATCTTCAGATCCGATCCGCCTAACTAAATCAATGCTTACCATATTGTCACACAGTGTGTCGCCATGAACCGATCCCTCACAAACGTTCTTTTCGGCGGAATCGCCCCCATCGCCCAGACCAACCAAGAAGTCAAGGGACAAGTGGTCAAGACGACCGTCGAAGATACCGTGGACGCACTGGCCAGTGCCGAGAATGTGATTGTTGTAAGTGTTGCTGCTGACAGTGATCGTTGTCCGAGCTCTGCGTGGGATCCGCTTCGCTAACACGTTGTCAATTTTCAAGGTCGTCGGCTACGGCATGGCAGTCGCCAAAGCGCAATACGCCATCGCGGAAATCACTTCCTTGCTCCGCAGCAAGGGCGTCAACGTCCGGTTCGCCATCCACCCCGTCGCAGGCCGGATGCCAGGCCAATGTAACGTTTTGCTCGCTGAAGCATCTGTCCCCTACGATATTGTTTTGGAAATGGACGAGATCAACGACGATTTCCCGGACACGGACGTGACGCTGGTCATTGGCGCAAATGATACGGTGAATCCACTGGCTCTTGAACCGGGGTCGCCGATTGCGGGTATGCCGGTGTTGCATGCTTGGAAGAGCAAGAATGTTATTGTTATGAAGAGGGGGATGAGTAGTGGTTATGGTGAGTACGAGTCACGAAGTGACGAGTTACGCAGTAATTCGTTCTGAGTTAAAGAAGGAACTGCGGAAGGAAAGTCGTTAGAACATCGCTGACCCATACTGTCGTTTAGCCGACGTCCCCAATCCAATGTTTTACATGCCCGGCACGAGAATGCTGTTCGGCGACGCCAAACAGACTTGTGATGCGATCAAGGCTGCGTTGGAGACGAGGTATAAAGCCCAGTTTCATGTCTAGGCAGAAAACCAGAATGGAAGTCTAGACAATGAAGAGAAAGAATCAGGGAAAGATTGGGTGATGGGAGGAGAGAAAGACAGCGCAAAGTAGGACAGAGCAGAGCACGAAGAAAACCACCTCAGCTGAGAAATGGCAAAATGAACAGAACAGACTGAACAGAACACCGTGCCGTGCCGTGCCGTGCCGTGCTGTGCTGCATGTGCTGTCCACTGTTTCCCTCCAAATGATTTCAAGTCTCGCTGAGATGGAACGGAACCTGGGCGTGTGTGTGACTGAAATTGAGTGAGCGAGCGAGGAACTTGACGGCGAAAGGATTGGGTTCCCAAGATACCTAGGTAGGTACAAAATGACAGTGCCCTGTGCTGTCGGCTGCCTCGCCTAAGGTACTTACTGGACAAAAAAACAATGCCAACGACATCAACAATAATGGGTATTTCGCTATGAATGCTATGACTTGAATCAATCATCCGCTGGTTTTTGTTCTGCACGAGTATCGTCGCAACACTCCAGCAAAAGAAATTATCACCGTATTTCGCTTGCCTGCCTGAAGAAACCTGAACCTGAACCTGAACCTGTTATCTTGTTTCGTCTCAGCTGGCTCCCCAAACTGAATCCATTACGTCCATTTCTAAAACCATTTCATTCCAATCCATTTCAAGACACGGACTCGGACTCGGTTCCTGGTCCATTCAAACACATCCATCGTCGAAAAGCCGTCTTGGACTCTTTGATACCAGATCCATTTCGAAACCATTTCATTTCAAGACACTTGGTTCCTGGTTCCATTTGCTTCGAACAACTCCGAGTCGTCAAAAAGCCCGTCTTTGGTACCAGACACCAGAAAGATCAACAGAAACAAAAAACAGATCAACGTCAAGTCGTAACCCTCTTAATCCACAATCCCGTAGGCTGCTCATAAAAATCCTCCTTATCCCTCCGTTTCTGGACCCGATGCAACCGTAGAGCCGTCTCATGTTCCTCATTAGTAATATCCTGCAACTCCAAACCCAAATTGACAATCATCTTGTCGACCTCCTTTCGCTTTCTGGCATCATACACAATCGCATTCTTTTTGAGCGATTCGCGCAACTCGGAAATGATCTTGTTCATGTTCCTCTTGCGCCGCGACAGATCTTCCAGTCGGGCTTGAAGCGATGATGCTTTATCGGCGGCCTCGAGCTCCATGGGCGTCGGAGGGAGCGATTTGTCTGCCGATGATAAATGGGTCATGAGACTGACGGCACGTGGCTTGCTATCTGTCTTAACACTGTTGCCGTCGCCGACTGCCTTTCGGGTCAAAATGTTGGAACTGGATTTTCGACCGGACGCGACGAAAAAGGGGGATAGACTACGGTTGTTGTAATTGTTGTCATTATCATAATGGTTACGATCACCATCGTAATATCCTGGACGACTGCCGGTGTTGGCTGCGCTATTGTTTGCTGCAACTCGTTTGCGGAGGATAATCGGCTCAGGAACAGGAACTCCGACTGACGAATCGGTATCAAATCTGTCGGGACTGCTGGTAAATTGTGCCCGTGGGATCGGGGGGCTCGAGGGTATATCGAGGACAGAACTGCTGTACTCGCCATTACTGCTCGTTGTGTAAGTGGCCCAACTGGAAGTGGTGTCGGCTTCACGTTGGAAAGTATGTGGTGGTGCTTGCTGGCGTTGTGACTGCGGCTGCGGCTGGTCTCTCACCACGGTCTCGAGCGATTCGGCACTTGAAGTCCGTTCCGGAGCGGCGTAACCGAGCGGAGCTGGAGCCGGAACCGGACCTGAACCCAAGGTAGGACTATCTGCTCCCTCCACAAGAACGGTACTAGGGGCAGGACTGGGAATCGTGTCGCGAACGGGTGGAGCTGAGGAAGATGGACTCTGGAATGGACTATCCAGCGGTCGCGGACTCTGTGTCGACGCTGACGCCGCACGCGGTGTGTTGCGAACTTTGAGCGGCACGACTGGTCTGATGCTTTCTTCTGATGGAGTCGGTTTGATGGATGGGAGTCTGGAAGCGGCCACGGAAACAGCGTCGATCGGCGACATTGGAGTCGGCTGTGACTGGTCTGGTGTCTTTCTTCCCGGCGCCTCTACTTCTCGTGCTACACCCTCAGGTTCAGCCTTTCGTCTGCGCTCTGGCAAAGCCAAAGGACGAGTCCGAGCCGAGGGAGTGTTCTTGACCGGTTCGACAATGGCGTGTCTGCCACTTGCGCCTTTCCATGGAGGTCGTTGCTGCCCGGGGTTGTCCAATGGGTCAGGTTCTGCTACTGAAGTAGCAGTCTCTCGAGTAGTTCTCTTCACAGCTTCCCGATCCTTGAGCCCTGCGAGGATCTGTCGGGTTCTTTCTTTGAGTTGAGGATATTGATGCTCGACAGGTGGCAGTGCGCCTGGTCGGACTGATGGAGGCTTCCCGGCCTGACTGGGCTCACCTGAGTATTCGTCCCATCGTGTCTCTCCATCTGTCTTCTGAAGTGTCCATTTCTTGGGTACTTCCTCTGGCGACTTGAGAGGTAGTCTGCGGGGAATCTGGCTTCGTGCCGGCTTTTCGTGTTGTGACGAAGAGGGAAAAGATGAATCTATGGGAGAGACCAAAGATGCGTCCGAGCCATTGTGGGCATGGAATGATCCTGGTGTGCTGATGGGTGAGACATTGGGTTGTTGGCCAGAGCCAGACCCGGAGCCGGACCGCGCGTGGAGGGATACTGAGGAGGGTTGATGTGTGTAGAAGGTGGTGTTTGTAGAGGAGAGAGGCTCATGCGCATATTCATAGTCTTCGTCCGTCATGGGAGGTACAGCGCGACTGTAGGAAAGCACTCATGTCAGTGTGATATCCCAGGGTGAACCAGACAGAACAGACAACAAGACAAGGTGCACATACAATGGCAACTCGGGCAGATTGGTCGCAACACTACTGCGACGACTGTACAAAGACTCAACCTCTGGGATTGTCTCTAAATACCGCTCGTCCATTGTTTGCTCTGGGTAGGCATGGTACCCCAGCACGGGCTCCATGCTGGTGTTGGTGTTGTTTGTGTTATTGTTTCTCCTCCACATATTTCGAGTGTCCTGGTAGACAGACCGCAGTTTGTTTAGGAATGCTGGCTACTGACAGCGGGAGGTACAGGTTTGCGACAAGCACCCAACAGCGACTTCATCCCGAATGAACAAGAGGCAGTATCACTATCACTCTTCGTTGCGGCACTGACAGGTATATTGTGAAAGTGCTGTGGTGGTGACAATCGCGGTGTGAGTGAGGAACAGTTGTTTGGCTTGTCTGCACTGTATTTTGATCGGCAATGGTCTTAGAAGCACCTGAATCTGCATCCGAATTCAAGTCCAGATCTGGATATCAGTCGCGATAGCTCATAGACAGCATATCCAGGGGGCGTGTGATTTGTCTTGTTTCGTTGTCCATGCGACTCAGAAAGGGAATTGCTGGTGGTGCCGATTGGACGTGGCGCAGTGGGCAGCGCGAAGGTGAAACAAGGCATCTATATTCAGGATCAAGGACCATGGAACCCGACAGATCCAACTCGGACTCGTGTCGATCGTGGGAGAGTACCTGGGCGTTGCCATGATGGGCGGCCACCGTCGACACCAGCATCGTGTGCGACGGGGATCTCTCCAGCCTCATCGATAGTCGGATTGTTCATTGTCGTGGCTGCAGCCTGGAAATTGGCTGCGAAGTCTCCCTGACAGGGTCTGCGCAACGAAGTACGATCTTCCCTCGACCACGTTGTCTTGCATACCAGGTATACTGTACCTTGTGAAGACTGTACATGGTCTCAGACATTGACACGTCGACTTTTTGTCTATCTTTACCCCAGCTTTTGAACTCGCTGACAGCTGGCGAGCACGGTCCAGGCGGACACTGACCATCTAGTAGTACGACATACCAACTTGTAACGTCTGGCCAGCCCTATCCTCATCCTCCACTCGTACAGTAGATGTCCTGTTTCATCTCGCTTCCAGGCATTTTACTTCGGGTTATTCGCTCGTCCTCGACCCAAACTGCCAACTGCGGCCTATGCCAATACTGCTTTTGGTAGCCATAGGTAAGCACTCCAATGAGCCAGAGCAGCGTAAGCGGAGAGCCCCGTTTCGCGGGGGACAGCCTGTCCGATTTCTAATCCGATAGTGCTTATTGCGGTCTTCTTACCAAGATAAGTGGCACGGTTACAGTTGGAAGACGAGCCCTATATTGCAGGCTCAGGCTCAGGCTCTGGCGATCAATGAATATATACAGATGCAGATACAGTATATGCCACTCTAATCTTGGTGTCTAATCCTGATGTCTCTGTGACCTCCTATCCAAGGCCACTTTGTGACCACCGCCCTGCCTGCCTATGGTGATGAAAGGCACCAGGAACAGCGCAACCACAGAGCCAACCAACGAGACCCAGAAAGTGGCTTGGTACGGCCGGTACATGACGGCGCCTCTGCCCTGGGCGGCCCCTCCAGCACTGTTGAAGACACTGGTCTGGATACCCAGGCCCACGGTGGCAGCCAGCCTGGTGACGGTGTTGAACAGACCACCGGCAACAGACTGCTGGTCCCTCGGTAGACTAGACATGACATACATGTTTGTGACGGTAAACTCGAGGTCCTGCGAGAGGACACTGAACAAGAGGGCCGGGAAAGCCAGGGCCCAGTAGGAGATGTGAGTAAACATGGCGCTGAACAGGGCACAGGCGATGGCGGCACTGACAGCACCAACGATCATAATCACCTTATTGCTGACGCGGTGCATGATGACAGCCGCCAAAAAGTTGACCAGAATGCCTCCAATGCCGGCCGGCAGGAGATGGACAGCATTCATGAGCGGCGACAAGCCATCGATGCGCTGCCACATCAAGGTCAGCCAAAACAGATTTCCTGCAAACCCATAGAAGCCCAGACACAAAACAACAACAACAAGAGTGAAATTGCGATCCCTCCACACCTTCAACGGCATCAAAGGGTACCGGAACACGCCTTGCCAGTAGATGAACCCGGCAATCAAGACCACGCCCACCACCAGCAAGGCAATCACATAGGGAGTCTTCCAGCCGTCGGGCGCATCTCCCGCGAGGGTCATGGACGCAGTGAACATGGCAATTCCCGCCACAGCCAACAAAGCGCCCAGCAAGTCGAATTTGACAAACGTCTCCATATTCAACCCGCCCAGACTCTGTTCGACGTCGTGCGGCGTCGTCCACCATGCCGCCAGCGTGAAAAACGCGTAGATGACCGACATGACCCAGAACGCCGCCCGCCACGTCGAAATCTGCATCACCACACCCGAGATGAACGCCCCGAGAACAAAACCTACGGGGTTTCCGGCGCTGAAGCACGCAAATGCTCTGTTCTTGCGGCGTGACGGCTTGTCGTACACGGCCCCGAGTTTGCCAATCGCCGGCGGCACCGACGCCGCCGAACTGAGTCCCAGAAGCCCACAGAAGACATCGAGATAAATGGCGTTCTTTGCAAACCCGGCAATGAGCAAACAAACACTGAAAAAGGCCAGGCTGATCAGGAACAGCGCCCGACGTCCAAACAGGTCCGCCACTCGGCCGAAAAACAATAAAAACGTTCCCGCGGCCAGCGTCTGCGCTGCGTTGATCCACGTCACTTCAGCCGCCGTCATGTCCAGATCCTCGGCGATGTAGTTGGTCATGCAGATGATGGCGCCCGTGAAGATGGAGCTCTGGCCCACGGCGACCGTCGTCGTCAGCACAAACAGGCATTCTTGCAGCAGACTGTTGAAGCAAGCTGGCCGGGAACCGTACGGATTGCTGTTGGAGTCAGCGTTTTCCAGCGACGCCCCTATTGACACGGTCGGCTCGATCTTGTCGAATTCAAAGGTTTGAGAATTTGTCTCGATGGGCACCTCCATCTCCATCTCTGATAGATTGTTGTGCTGCTCATTTGGGCTGCTCATCGTGGCCACGTTAGACAGTCGACTGGCAAACACTACCCGGCCGGCGGCGCCCCCACCCGAATTCGGCCAACCCCTGTCGAAAGAAAGAGTCTTATCCTTCAAGCTGCCACACAGATCGAACCCAGAACATCCAGAAAATATCCAATCGTAAATTCTATTCTGACCCTCCCCCACGGGGAACTGGAGAAAAGATGGCAAACAAGAGAAGAAGATCGGAAACAAGCACTGAGATGACTGTCGGCTAACGATCTACTACCAGTGTGCGGTAAGCGGGCCGGTGTCTGATCCGGTAGTTCTATGCCAGCTGCCAGCTAATTAATAATAAGGACGCGCAGCCTTGTCCTGACAGCGGGTCAATTCCGTGCACCACATAACTCCTGTACAATGATAGCGCGCTCCTCATTCCCCAAATCAATGGTCATAACTTCATCATATCTTTGGCAAGATAGACTAGATACAGCAATGCAGTTGAGACCAGCCTGGTCATGCACCGAATCAATCGTCCTTGACAGCATTTCAATAAGCCGTGCAACTTGCAGGTTCGAAGCGAACAACTCCTCGAATAATCCGGTCGTCCAGCAGAGCTCCGTTGACGACACCTCTGCGGACAGGCGACTTGAGCGTGAGGTTCATGTACCCGACGCCATGGTCCGCGGGACACGGACAATCCAAACCGTGGACATCAACAGGGAGAAGCAATGTACCACTCTGGTGATCCGTCAAGGTAAGGTACGCAAGCACGGCCCACTGCCCATTGCCCCTACCGTCTCCCGCATTGTCTGGACCTGGTCCAGCCAGTACAAGAGTCCCATTGAGGCTTTCTCTTGCGACGAAACTACCATTTAGACCAATAGTAGGTACCACAGCCCAGACGACCAGACCGCCGAGTTCCTGATATTTCGCATTTGCATCCGGCGAGTCCGAGAGGAGCGGGATACTGACAATAACCAGCGAGCTGCGCTGCAAACTGTCAAGCGAGGCAACTTCCAAAACATCGGAAATATTGGACAGAACATTGCCAAAGACAAACTGATCTGCGGTGCCGGAGACGGCGGTACTCATATGATAAAGCACTTCCTCTTTATTTGTCAACGGCACTACAAACTCGATAGCAGCACCCTTTATCTTGCGAAGTTGCACACCAGACCCAGTGAGGCGCGGCAGGACCAATGGCTTTTCAATCGCGAGCCGGAGATGGACAGCCGTATCAGCTCTGCCAGAGAAGATGGGGACATCATTGAATTTTCCCCTGGCATTGCACTGGTCGTGGGGACGGGCATACTCTTGGAACAAAGTGTCGACTTCGCCACTGGCTCCCGAGGTAGTGACATGGAAATTGAATACTTGCACACCATGGTTCGTTCTCAAACTATGCAGCATCTCCTGCAATGCAACAGCGTAGCTATCGTGCACATTGTAGCGGCACCTGATATTGCACATGGACGCCCAGCAATTGACTAGGTCGGCTTCATAGCGGGCTTCGCGCTTCGACATGCCGAAACTGTGCAGGGCCATGCACAATCTGTGACGAAACCTTTCTTCCGCCGACAAAGGAAGACCCGGCCTTAGGTCATACAGCTCGTGAACGGGCTCCGGGTCCGCCAGCCTTGACAGATCGCGCCCCTTTGCCGCTCGCAGACCCAAGGCGCTGCCGAAACTCATGCTGGACATCAACATGTCAAAAACAAGTTGTTTCTCATCCACCATGCCTGGAGGATTGAATGCTTCTTCGTCGGGAAACAGTCGTCTCAACGTCTCGAACTTGCCTGGCACTGCGGCCTGCGGGAACCCCATTTTGATGGTGGCGTAGGCGCCCTGAGAAAAGGCATACACGGCTGTGAGAGTCGCGGCGTGCAGGATCGTGGTTTTTACCGGCACCAGGTTCAGCGGCATCCCGCCCTCCCAGGTGATGGAGAGGTTGCGCGCCAGCGCCCATTCCTGGAACGTCCACGCGCGTCGCCAGTATGTATACCGATATAGGGTCAGGTCGAGCTGGTCCAGCATACCATAAAAGTCGGCGCAGACTTTACTCAGTTCCTGAAGTCGGGTGTCAGGGTGTCCGTCCTGTCCTGACTGTGAGAACTCGAGTTTGTTGTTATTGATCGCTGTCGCGGCTTGAGTCAGGTCGTAGACAAGGTGGAACCCGTCGCGGTCGCCTTCGGGAAACAATACGGCCACCGTCTTTGCGCGACTGTAGATGTCGCCCATCACGGCTAGTACTTTTGCTTTCTCCTCGTCGTCTTCCTGGTCGATTGATAGCGCGTCCAACCAGACCGTGTCGCCGGAGTTGGCCGTCATCATCATCAGCCGGCGAAACCGGTATGCGCTGTGCATGGGGATGCGGAATTTTGTTTTGCAATTGGTGCATTTGAGAGGGAGCAGAATATAGTCGCCCCAGACGTACGATATGGCTGTGTACTCATGGTGCGGCGGTGGTATTCCTGCTATGATCTTGGTGGTCCATTCCATGAACGTGTGTACGAACACATTGGAACAGCGACGACATCGATCTAGATGAATCTCTTCGTCCCGCGCGGTTGCGAATACGGAGTATGCTTGGGGAGGAAGTGTGAACTCTTGCAGATTCAGATATGCTGGTTTGACGGACAAGCTTTGCTGTGATTTTGTTTGAGATGATGATGTTACCGGCTGAAAGGGTCTGTTACTGGATGATGGTGATTCGGGTGCTGTTGTAGCAGCCTTCTTTTTCTTGCCAAATAGTCTCTTCATGGTGTCGTGCCGTGCGTATACAGCCTGAAATGGGGGAAGATGTCAAGGGGCCGGGGGAACGGGGTTGGTTTGCTTGCGGGTGAGTGCTTCAAACCACTCTTACTTACTACCACAGAAACACTTGTTCTTTCATGAGTTGAGCCATGACGACTTATCAGAGTATTAAAGAACCTTAAGCCATGCGGAAGCGTGGATAGACGGGAGAGGTGCAGCTTGGCTCTGGCCTGGCTCTGCAGTGGCCTGAGACTCTAGTTCAGCAGAATACGAGACACCGCTGCTGAGCTGGTCCATCTGGTATGATATGTATGTATGCAGGCATGCATTCGTGTCTTGTGCAACTTGAACCCTGCAATGGGAGATATTTGGCGATGACATTGGAGGGGCAATACGAGGTTCAGGTTCTAGGCCCAAGCCATTCCTGTCGCTCGGCGTTCAGCCTGAGCTTCCACTGGATCGGAAGCAGAGTCTAAGACAAGTTACCTGAGATTGCAAGGACATACATCCAAGCTGATCATGGTCCATTGTCTCGAGCGACACTTGCTCCAGCTGTCGGTACTGAAGGCAGACCGAAGCTTGCAAGAGATCCAAGAAGCAAAAGTAGATCAGGCTGAGCCGAGGTCGAGCCGAACAATATCCCAGACCTGGGTAGTAGTACCCCATACCCGCAACAATGAGAGTCTCATCATCATCCTGTCTGACTACTAGTAGTACAATGATTCAGTGGCCGAGCATTGATATTGATAGCAATCCAGCCGAGTCACTGGCCAGCAGAATGCTAATGTCCTGCCATGTTTCCTGCTCCCACTGCTCCCTTCGCTTGCACGCTTACACCGATATGCTTGTTTTCCCTTAATTTTGTGACTATAGTACGCACCGCAATGATGACCAAGATGCCGAATGGATGATACTGTAACTCGGATGGTGACTACAACTCGGGCTAGGCACTGCTGTCTGCTGACGTAGAAAGTGAATATAAGTCCAAGTGTTTCGACAGATATATTTGACTTTTTTTGGCATCAAATGCAGGCAACCACCACCTCCCCTATCAGGAAAATAGCAAGCCCCGCTTAGATGTCTAGATGTTTCGTCCACCAGTGACCTCAATAGTCTGACCGTTAACATACGAAAACAACGGCGAAACCACAGCCAACACGGCCGAAGCAGCCTCCGTCGCAGTGCCCGGTCGACCAAGCGGGATATCCTTGTACGGAGAAGCCTCCGAACCCTGACGGTCAGCAATCTGCTTGCTCGGGATTCCCAGTGCAACACGCTGTCCGTCGGCCGTGGTGATGAAGGCACCGGCCTCCTTTGCACGAGTCAGACGGGTATCGATGTGACCGAATGCGATTGTGTTTGCTCGGACACCAAACTAAACACAGCACACAGTCGTTAGCACCACCGCACCAACAACAACAGCAACAAGCGGCGTATCCGGGGCGAGGGAGATCGTTTCTTTTTATGAAGTTAGAACTTGTCCTTACCTGTGGCCCCCATTCCTTCGCAATCGTCTTCGTCAACCCCACAACACCAGCCTTTGCCAGAGAGTAATTCGCCTGGCCAGCATTTCCATGCGTCCCGCTCGTACTACTAATATTGATAATGACCCTGGGTTCACCATCCTTGACTCGGAAATAAGGCGCCGCCTCACGAATCAATCTAAACGGTCCCGTGGCATGAACCTGCAGAATCGTGTCCCATTGCTTATCGTTCATCTTGTGGATCACGCCGTCCCACGTGTATCCGGCGTTGTTGACAATAATATGAATCTTGCCGTTTCCAAACTCGGCCGCTTTTTTCACAAGCACTTTGATGTAGTTGGGGTCCGTGACGTCGCCGGGCACGCTGAGGGCTCGGTTGGGGGCGGCGTCGTTGATTGTTTTCGCCATGGCGTCGGATCGGGCGCTGTCCACGTCGCAGACAATCACTTTGGCGCCTTCGTTGGCGAACAGGCGGGCGCATTCGGCGCCGATTCCTTGTCCTGATCCTGTAACCTGGAAACAACAAAACCATTAGCGTCCACGTATAAACACAAACTCGACTTGGCCTTGAAGGTGAAGGCCAAGTCACAATGGCAGAAAGCAAAGCTGTCGCTGTCTTACAATGGCAGTCTGGCCGGCCAGCAATCCCGAGGGATAGTTGAGGTGGCCGGCGATCTGCTGTGCTCGTTGCGCCATGATGGTGGTGGGACGTTTGGTATCACTGAGAGATGGCTAGAAAGGGGCACAGTATTGGACAGACGAGAGGTAGAGAAGGGAAGAGAAGAAGTCCAAAGAGCCAATGGATCAATTACACCCTACATAAAGGTTAAAAGACGTAGCTACAGACCCGACCTTTGGCATTGAACGCTGCGGAGACACTCAATGGTCGAATGTCCCGACCGGAAACTGGACTTGAGCCGAGGCAATTGTCGCCAGCCTTGTCCCACTTGTTTTTGACTGACCGCAAGGCTGAGCTATTTCATACAATCATCGCTTTCCGAGGCTCGGAGCACGGTCTTTGGCATCTTTTCCTTCGAGTAAACCCTATCTGGCTCTCCGCTTAATATGTCTCTCGATAAAACAAACCTTGCGTATATTCATATCTCATCAGAGGGATTGAAAACAGATTCTACATGTACAGCAACTAAAACAAGATGACACAAATATCACGGACGGTTTCGATTAGAATCCTGCAGTTCCAACTCCCAGGATTGTTCTAGTGATACAAGTTATTGCTTCGGCGTATCCTCCTTTTTCGATGTCTCTTCGACCGGATGTTTGTCCAGACTTTCGTACAACTGCAGATAACTCCCAATCAAGAAAGCCCACGATCCCCTAGTAGAACACCAATAGTCAGCGAATTGCTTCACAAGATGCAAATGCCACCAAATGGGACCCCAAGCAACCTACCAAAAAGTAGCCAAAGACGCCTGATACTGAGCTCCCGAGTTTCCGTACGCCATTCCCAATGCACCGCAAAGAGTGAATCCAATGGCGCCGATCAAATTCCAGAATGCAATATGCCAGCCCAAGATCTTCAAGGCCGGTTTATACCATTTTGACTGTGTTTCGAGCATATACAGTGTACTGCTCACGATGAAACCGCTGCCGCCAATGACCTGGGGGATCCAGTATGCCCCGTTCAGCGCGCTCTGCGGGCTCAGACGGTCATTGATACCAGGAAGCGCAGTGAATCCGGAAACTCCAAACACAGTAGCCCCAAACAGTTGTGCCGCACCGGCCAGGAAACCAAGTTCGTGCAAATAGTGCGTGCGAAGGTCGTGCCACGACGGGAACCACTGCCATTGTCGATCCTGTTTCTGTTCCTGCTCCGACTTTTCCTGGGCCAGCCCGGTATGTTGTTCAATAGCAGCTGCGCTCTTACCTACAAAGTTATGTCGGTTCTGGTGGTGGTGGCGACAGTGGCTTTTGCTCGGCTTCAGACGATACTTGGCTTTGCCGCCGCCACCGCCTTGTTCGTCCATCAGCTGCTCGACTGCCCAGCCGAAACAACCGGCGTGATCGACATTGACTGCCTCAATAATGAGGAGAATCGAGCCTGTCTCAAAGAAGATGATGGCGCCAATGAAAGCCGTTATACCACCCCCGTAGAGGATTTCGTTGTGGAACTCCGTAGAAGGCGCCTCGAGCGGCAGCCATGCGAAGAAGCCCTTTTGATCAACATTAGAAGTTTCTCCTGATAAACGTTTGGTCTGGATACTCGTACATTGATAACCCATACCACGCTTCCCCATGTGAAGATAAAAGCCACGAGCCATGAAACATCCCAAAAGGGAAAATATGTCAAGGTCCGCTTGACGTTCCTGAGAATCTCCCGTGGGTCAGAGGTGCTGCGAGGGGTAAGGAAGCTCGACTCTTCGCCAGGTGCCGGTCTCTGGACTAGAAGAGCATGCCGTCCTTTTCGATTGTCGCGCGACCGCCAAAGGAACCGGACATTCTTCGCAGGTTCAGGAGATTCGTGTTCCTTTTTCTCGTCCTTTATGCGATCACGCACCGAGTCGTCCGTGTCCTGGACGTCGTTTTTAATGTGTGATTTCACCCGCGAAACGGTTGGATATAGGAAATGCGCCCGCGTTGGGTTGAAAAAGCCAACTGGCCCCTCCGCGCGTTCCAAGATCAAGCTGTTGTCATGTTCGAACGGTTGCCGCCGCTTGAAGTGTCTGCTTCGGGCTGGCATGTTATGCTTGATCCCGGATTGTGATGCTGAAACAGAGTTGGATTGCCAGCCAATGGTCCATGTTACACGTGCATTGCTGCTGAAGGACTCTTGAGTGAAAGGACAAAAAGATAGATGACCAAAAACAAGATCTAAAAACAAGGAACGACTGTCAAAGGTTAATCACTCCATGGCGGCAAAAGGACGCGCATCATCGAAGTTACGTGTTGATTGAGTTCATCTGGCAGGATCCTGGTGCAACGACGCCAAGACATGATTGGCTGCAACCAAACCCCCAGGCTGGAATGCTACAACGCCGCAACATAATGGTAGATCACGATGGTTCCTGGAGGGTTGTTGTTATCATCCTAACTCGTAAGCGGAGGACTCAAGATGGTCATGATGGACGAACAGAGCGGCCGGCGTAACGTTCACCATTCCCCATCCAGCTGCGTTACTAAAACATTGCAGACCTCGAAATACTACCTACGTAGTACTAGTACCGTCGACTCGGTGTCTGCGGGGAGGGAGTAGATTGTCTCTATCACACAAATCAACGCCGCATCTCATCGAGCAGCAAGCAGCCACATCCTCTCTAAAAGTCACATATCATTATAATCTGCCTCCTTTGTAGTCCCTATAACCCCCCCCTGTGGGAGGGAAATCCACGTAGGATACACAATATTGTGTCCAAGAATACTTTGCTTCCCGTTCCTTCGCCGTCTGCTCTTGATTCAAGCTGACAGCGCTCACATAAATCCATTTAAAACAAAACCCTGCTACCATCCGGGAGCAAAATCCTTGGATAACCCTCAATGCCTTTTCCACAAGCACCTGGACACCATGACCAAGAAAGCCCGAACACAAAAAAAAATCACACAATCGTAAGCTCGTCGACACATAAGAACCAAAGGGCCGGTGCAAGGCATGCCGCATTGCCCTTCTCTTTTCGCGTTTTAAACGCTAAACCATTCGCAGACGCAGTTCGACCCCAGTTGCTGAACGGTATCGTCCGCACGCCGGCGCATGGCCATTCGGCTTCCGCCTGTAGCAGTAGCAGCAGCACTGTACTCGCTCTCTTGAATTGCGATCGTGGGGACGTTGGGTATCGGCACGATCTGCCAATTGTTGAGGACCTGCATTTTTTGGCAATAAGGCGGCACGTTGCCTTGCGGTTTTCGCTTTTCCACCATCTTAACCAACTTGGGATAGTCGTACGAACCTGTGTTGCTGGCGTCGCGGCGGACTTTCGCGGCCGGTGAACTAGTCCAGTGTGCCGCCCCCGTTGGTTGGCTGGGATACGGCATCGTAAATGCTGGGTCATGACTCGTTGATGGGCTCATGGAAGTGGTTGATGACGGGGTCGATGACGGCGAGGTCACATAGACCGGTGTAGCAGTCGTTGGGCCTCCGACAAATGCAGGGCTAGTGGTGGCCACGGTTGCCATGGATGAGTTGTTCATGTCTTGGCCCAAGAAGACCCAGAATTCGCTAATGGTGGAGTTCCAGAAGCAATACCATGGTTGATCTCCAACATTGAGGTAGTCAGGGGTCTTGCTAGCGCCTCTTTCTACAAGCTCTTCGGCAGCCACGCTTCGTTTTCCGTTGGTCGGAGGAGTGAGGGCATCGCCAGGCACTGAGAAGGTTAGTTTGCAGAACCGCCCAGGGGTCAAGCATACTCACAAATATTGAGCTTATCAAATAGCACGCTGAAAAAGAGAGCGACGCCAAGTTGGTCGTCATCCTTGTCTTTGAAAGGGGAGAGGGTAAAAGCCGTGCCATTGAAGTCTGGGGGCTGTGGCCCATATTTGAAAAGTTGGGGCCTCACAGAGTAGTCGTCAAACACGACTGACAAAGGTGGACGTCCTTGAGCGCTTTCAAAGACATTCAGGCCGAGTCTGGCAAAATCAAAACAGCTCCAAACCGAAGAGTAGGCACTGTCGACAACACACGAGTTGATTTCCTGCGTCTGATTCAGAGGGATTTGAAAGTGGCCTGTAGGGCAAGGAGGCGTCGAAGGACCGGTTTCAGCAGGATCGGCATCGAGCCAGACAGTGGTTGTAGCAGATGAACTGTAAAGCAGTTAGCAAAGTTGTCATATTTTGCAATCCGTGCGATACGTACGCGGCAGCCCGGTCTGCTCCTTTTTTGTTGCCAACAATTCCACCAATAACTCCACCTAACACGGCTGCCAATACAACAACCACAACCAGAGTAACCAGCGTCCAGAGAGGCAATCCACAATACGTCTTTCTTTTCTTGTCCCCAGTCAAGCCTTCCTTTCTGGCAACTTCTGCCGTTGAAGGTTCGGAATTCACGGCGGTCAGTTCCACGTCTGAGCCGGATTCGACGGGTCGAACAGAAGGCCGTAGTGTGTTTGCGTCGCTGATATTGGTAGCATGCGGTTCGATCGTCGCCATGTCCCCCTTTGCGATCACATTGTCTGCATACCGACTGTACGGAGGTAGTTGCTCGACATGACCATCACTTCCCACAATGTCGCCCAAGTCATTTTCAGGTGAAGTGTTTCCGGACTGGTATACTTGAGCAAGCCCTGGAAAGCCCAAAGTTATATGTGGTTCTGGATCATCATCTTCTTCAGGAACAGTGTTCTGGGGATACATTGAATAAGGATGTTCAGGGCCACCTTGTGGAACGAACGGTCGTTCTACAGGCCGGATGGTTGATTCGCTGGCAATGCTGGAGGCACGCGTAACTTGTGGATAGAGGCCATATGGTTGGCTCGGTGCGGTTGGGCCACGATAAGGACTCTGTGCTCGAGGCATTGAAAATCGGGAGGAGGTGCTGGGTGTTATCTGACTATCGAGCGTTGAGTGGGAGGAGAGTGACAAGGTTCGAGATGTACCGGCGAGATGGTCGGATCGACCGGCTGTGCTGGAGGAGAAACTGAGACCAATTCCTGGTAGTCCTGGAGGTGTGTACTCTATCTCACCACGCTCCGTTGTGAGATGTTCCGCTCGGCTATCGATTGAGCTGGTTGGGCTGAGGTCGCCCAAGGATTCAAAAGGGTTAAGGGCATATTCGTCACTGAAAACATTCGGGTTTGAGGTCCGGGTTGAAGTCCTTCGCAACGTTTTTTCTTCGTCGGTCGGTTGGGATCGCGGTGAAGGAGGTCGGCGCGCCATTGGCGCTACGCTGCGCCACCCCTTTCGGGAACAGACAGTGAGATATTCGAAATTGAAGCACTTGGAAAATATGGCGATTGTAAGTGGCGAGATAATGATATTCCCGGCTATTGAGAACGGGAAAGGCGTAAAACGCACATCTGAGAGGGCGCCGTGCGGGTTGATGGTCGTGAGATGAAGTCTTTGGAGGTTGACAGTAGCTGAACGGCACCTGCAGTGGTTCATGAGTTGAGGACCGGCAGGTTTCATCCCACTAAATTACTACGAGACTCATTAGTCTTGCTAGTTGATGCTAGTGGCATCATTCCCGCCAATGTGACCAGTGCTGGGGGTCCGGCCGCCGACTTGGCGCTGGTCTAAGTTCCTAAGTTCTTTCGTCGGATCCATTTTTGGTCTGGGGCTGATCTTCTTCCAAGTGCAGTTTGGCCCGCCACCAACATTGAACCCAAAGTTGCGAGGCCAGGCCACTACTACTAGTACAGTGTACACCAATGCCATACCGAACCATCACTGGCATTGATAGGCAGCCTTGTCTGGGTCTATAGTTCTGCCGGTGGTCTGGCTCGATCCCATCGTACTCTTGATCCGCTCTTTCATCATTGTGTAAACATGTCCGCTGCCACCGAAGTGCAGGCTTTGCTCAGGTTTCTGACCAAAGATGCTCGCATACCTCTGGCCGAGGCGATGCCCAAGATCAATGTGCTGCGAAAACTGCAACTGAATACGCCCGAGGCCATCTCCAAGGCTTCCGAAGATGATCTCAAGTCTTTGTTTGCTGATGAAAAAGTGTTGAGACAGGTTGTCAATGCGGCAAAGCGCGTCTCCAATCCTAAAAAGCGCACAGCCAGTGCATCGGTTGCTTCAGCCTCGAAACGCGTGAAGTCGAAGGCCGAAACCATCGACGATGAAGCTTCTCTGTCCCTTCCTCAGACGAGTCTCTCCGTTGACGAACTAGCTGAAGTCGTCATCGAGACGAACCGAGCACCTTTGTTTCTCGCCTTTACCATTGTCGTTCTTGCCTATACCCATCCTGAGCAACCAATGTCAAGTAGGTGGAGTCTCGCGCAGGCCGTTGTCAGCGCTGGAGCCCAGAGCAAGGCCAAATACCTGGGATTAACAACAGGCCCTACAGCCGAAGAGGACGGCTGGGCAGTGGGACAGCCAAAGGTGAAAATCATGGGGCGAGAAGTGGCCGTCATGCGAAGACAGGTGTTGACCAAAAAAGAGGACGAGCAAACTGCTCCAACTACCGCTTTCTGGGGCTTGGACCTGGAGACTCTTCGCAGGTCTAATGGTCCGCTGATAGCAGGTCAAAACGGCAAGGGCAAGAGTGGTCCACCGATTTACAGACCTGAGGCACCGCTAAACTATCTACTCAAGTCAATGATTGTGGTTGACACGAGCGCAGAAGCTGAAAATGGGACGGAGACCCAAAAATCCAGTGCCAAACAGGAGAAAGCAAAAGATCTGGCTACAAGAAAGGAAGAGGCTGCGGCGATCATTGTCAAGGCCATTGATGTTGTCTGCCAGAGCTGGGCATCTTCTTTGAGCAAGGAAGAATTAGATCGAAGGGCTCAGACATGGTACACTCTGGTCAGGCCAGAAGTGGATCAAGGCCAAGCCGGATGGGGCCAAAGAGGACGAGTGCGCCTCGAAGACATATTGAAGTTCCGAAAGGGATGAAGGAACCGTTTGTGCGAACGAACACTAATGGATAATGTTACAAGTTATGTATGGCACTCAGCAGACGCCCTTCCATACCCAGCGGCCTCTGTGCCTTACTCAAGCATGGCCTGTAACGCCGCACCAGGCTAACAACAGAAGACTACTTTTTCCCAACATTCTCGGGCAATTCTTTCGGGTCCTTGGGACCAACATCGCCTACTCCAAAGTTAGTGTATGCAAGCACTACGACAGATATGGTCAGACGAACCCTTCCAATACCTCTTATCCACCTTGTTGTCCTCTTCGCTCAATTGATTTACCGTTCTCTCGCTTCGCTGTTCCATCTCTTCATTGTGCTTCCTCACTTCAGGGTCTTCCTTTTCGGCCGCGGACTTGGGCCGGTGAATAGCAGGACTTCCGCCTTGACTCGTGGTCTGCGGTGTGCCCTGCGATTGACCCTCAGAAGTCGAGGTGGAAGTGGATTGCGAAGAGGGTTTGGATGAGGATGAAGACGAAGATGAAGATGGCTTTGCGGTTCCCTTGCTGGCCGGGGCTTCAGGCCCAGGATGTTCCATATCGACTTTTGGATTCTTCTCATGGGTTCCTTGCTGCATTCCCGACTGTTCGTTGCCATAGGACTGGTGTGCAAATCTCGCTGGCTGAGCAACTGAGCCGAGAGCTGGGAACTGCCGGGGAACTCTAGGAGCTCGGGCGGCTAGACGTAGAATTGGCTGCATGGTGGTAACCTTTCTGTTGCGGGCGAGTATTGATACGGCCGCTGTGTTGGATTTGGATATTAACAAAGATTGTTTACTGGGCAATCGACGTGCAAAGGCTTTCTGGGACGTAGTTGACGGACAGGATAGCAGTAGAGTCTGAATACTGTAGTAGGAGTGACATGCTCATAATGACAGTCAGATCGATGACTTCATTGCCTGCCAAGCCGGTGCATCAGTGGTGCAGGTGTCTATCACTGCTAACTGGAAATACCTGGTACTACTACCAGGTACCGCTAGTATAGAGATACAACTGTAGACCGCGGTCTGAAGCCACTAAAAGACCCTTGTCGTTGAACGAAAAAAGTATGCAGATGCTACGAAATATCGCGGAGAAGCCAAAAGTACCCGTCCCTTGTGCTAGCTCTACAAGCTGCCTGCGTTGTGCCCCTTTTTCCACATTGTTGTCCGTACTCGCTACATTTGTAGAGTACTGTCGGGTCAATCAGACGATCTCAGCTTGCGCCTCGGGGGGTCACTGAGAACAAGAGTCTCGAACTTGAAGTGGGAGCCACACTGGAGGTTGCCAGACGGGATCGTAGGACATGACGTATTGATATGCCATCAGACCTTAATTTCGCGTCTTTCTTCCCCCGCATCACAACGAATCGCGTCACTAAATGGCCCCGATGGCGTTCGCCTGTATTCTGTTTCGTCGGGCAGTATTTCCGCACTTTGGGCAGCCTCGTAAGGATGCCGTCCTCCCTTTTGAATAGTATGTAGGCACTTATTAGGTAGTCCTACGTGCGGGATTGTATACCTGGCGGAGATGAAGTTGGGATAGATGCAGCGCTGCGAGGAGAAATCAATGGAGGTCTGTACTAGTAGTGAGCAATAGCAACCACAATGGATGGCGTAGTTCAACAAGCAAATTCCATCATAATCATCACCGACAGCCTCTGAGCTGCAAGTTCTGCGCCACAGTTAAGCACTCTGGCACATGTTGTAACCACAGAGACCCGGACATCACATCCCGGCTCATACTTCACAGTGGCAGTACTAGGCTCCATCTACGGGGCACCCTGCACTGGCACTGCATCACTACCAGCCGCAGCACCGTGTAAACCTGAAAACAACTGTGACGTCAACTGGCCTAGCACAAACAGTCGCTGCCCTCACTGCTTTACAACTACATCTCTTCTTGACCTCATCCTCTTTTCCCAAACTTTTTCATCCAAACTGTTTCCTTCCTCACTAGTGGTTCTCATCAAGCATTAGTGACGATGAAGCTATCCCTCAAACTCCTTGTCGTTGCCCTCGCTTCGACCGAGGCCGTCGCCAGTACTTGGTTTGGCAAAGCCGGTATGTAGCCAATGTTTCATCATGATCTCAACCGAAGCTGACTTGAAATTCCAGCGTACAACAAATGGCACGAGACCGAGCTCGAGCGTTGGCTCTCCGACCACGATGTACCTTATCCCAGCCCCGCTGATAGGAAAGACCTGGAAAACCTCGTCAAGGAGAACTGGCAGGCCAAAGTGGTTCAGCCGGTATCTACAGCTGGCGACAAGACAGCCGACCACTACGGCAGCGTCAAAGACTGGATCTTCGACAGGTAAGCTTGTCATGAAATTATATGGCCTGCATACACTAACAATCCTTAGCTGGTCCGAGTCCTCGCTGAAAGCCTTCCTTGACTACCACAAAATTCCCGCTCCTCAACCACGTACTCGAGACAGTCTTTTGACCACCGCTCGCCAGAACTATGACACCCTTGCTAAGAAGCTTGGAGAATATGCCTCGTACCCCGGTGATTGGCTCTATTCGACATGGTCTGAGTCTGATCTCAAAGAATGGCTTGACGAACGTGGCATTCCGGCTCCGCAGCCCACCACCCGTGACAAGCTCATAGCACAAGTTCGTCGCCATGCCCGTCAAGCTTCTCTCAACGCCTCCAATGCTGCATCTGCGGCGAGCGCCTCTTACTCGAGTGGAATCTCTCAAGCCAGCAAGTCTGCCGCAAGTGCTCAAGCTAGCCTTAGCGACGCTCTCTTCGACGCTTGGTCTGACAGCCAATTGAAAGAGTTCCTCGATTCCCACGGTGTCCCTGTCCCGCAAGGCAGCAAGAAGAATGAGTTGATTGCCTTGGCACGGAAGCATCGTAAGCAGGCCGAGAAGTCGGCGTCCTCTATCTCTGGACACGTTTCTGGATCTGCTGCTTCTGCCTATGGTGCTGCCACATCTTCGGCTGGGAACGAGTTTGCCAAAGCTACTGATGATGCCGCACTCAAGGCCGAGGATGCGTTCAACAAGGCTATCGAATCCTGGTCCGAATCTCGCCTCAAAGCTTACCTTGACGCGCGGGGAGTTCCTGTCCCTCAGGGTAGCAAGCGTGATGAGCTTCTGGCTCAGGTGCGACTGAACAAGCACAAGGCTGCAACCGGATGGTCTGCTTGGACTTTCGATACCTGGACGCTAGACAACCTTAAGAACTACCTCAGAGCGCACGGCAAGAAAGTGAGCAAGAAGGCTGAGCAAAACCGTCAAGAGCTGCTGAAGCAAGTCCAAGATTCTTATGCCTCCGCTTCCAAATCCGGCGGCACCGGCTACGCCTCGGTGACCAGCTACCTTGCCAAACAGACCGGTGCTGCGAAGGATACCGCTTTCGACACTTGGTCCGACAGTGACTTGAAGGACTACCTTGACAGCTACGGCATCCCGAACTATCAAGGCTCAACAACCAACGAGCTCCGAGCCGAGGCCAAGAAACAAGCCAACTACTTCCGCTACGGCACGTCTTCGCCCTCGGAGACCATCGTTGAACGCATCAAGAATGGTCTTCAATGGTTCCTTGGCCAGATTCAGGGCAGTGCTTCTTCAGCCTCCGCCACCGTCTCTGCCTCTGGAAGCTCCGTAGCCAGCGACGCTTCCAAGACCGCCTCCAAGAGTGCCTCGTCCGCCTCCAGTGCTGCGTCCAAGAGCGCATCGTCCGCCTCCAGCGCTGCCTCTAGCGCCGCCTCCAAGAGTGCATCCTCTGCTTCCAAGAGTGCCTCTAGCGCCAAGAATGAGTTGTGAACGCATCACGGAACGAATGATACCCCGGAAGGTAGCGGAACTCGAACGAGTGTGACGCACAGGGTGGAGTTGGTGTGATCAGTGGGCATTCGTGCCATGGATTGCCTGAGGGCAGCTTAACGATCTGTATCTCTAGAGCTTAATTCACGATAGCAATAGCACGAATTCCAAAAAGCATGCTTGTAACAACAGTACCTATTTACTAGCGGGAGGTTATGACTCCCTGTCTGGCTGTCCACATTTTGCTATACTACGCTCAGAGTAAAGGCGGCAGTCACAACGGCTAATGGAAGTCTGTCTTCTTGAAAGGCACCAATTTACCCACGACCAGATACTATTTTCCGCCAGTCAGCACATATGTTTAGCAATCTAAGAAGTGATTGCAGCATCCAAACAAAGTTGGGAAGAGTCCAATAATGCATGCTCACCTTCTCATCGAATCGTTCGATCCAACCCTGGAGGTTTTCAAGTTGTTCGGGTGTAAGATCGGCACAATCATCCAGCGGCCCATCGAGGTCCTTTGTCAACATTTCCTCATCGAAGCTCTGACAAGCCAAACCCCTCGTGGCGTCCCGGCCGGCGAAGTTCTCATAGGGACCTCCCGGTCCGTAGAAGTTGCGTCCACTGCTGACGTCGTAGACTTTACCCCGAACAGCCAGGTAGACGGGACTATTGTCCTGTCCGTTGTATTTGAGCAGTGTGCGCGGGGTGAAGGTCTGGAAGACGATGGGTTTCGGGCCCTGGGGCAGCTTGGGCGGCTCGCTGGGTCGTAGTCGGAGGTAGAGAAGGGTCATGATGATGAGGAAGATGGAGATGTTGAGAGGAGTGGCGAGGGCGTAACTAGATTAGACGGTTTGTGAGTTTGAGGGTGTTTCTGGGGGGGACGGGAGCACACGTACAATGATTCTCGCATCTTTTCATTGTATGCTTCGAGCTCTGTTTGATGGTATTTCTGTGTTAGCGAGCGGTACTAGTAGTGGTATTTAGGTGTTTAAAGGTTTGTGATGCGGTGCTCTGGAAGCTTGTTCGGCTTGGGGATGTAGTGAGAGAGGTACAGTATGCAGTGCGAGTTCAACAGTTCGATTGGGGTGGGATGCACACCTGGAGGGATGATTCCGCTCATTTTGACGGTAGGAGGATGTGATATGACGATGACGACAGTTCTATTCTCGGTTCCTTGCTTTGCGTTCGCAGTTCACTGGGGAAGACGAGAATGTAGGCGGTTGGTAAATGGTATAGAATAGATGTGTTTGGACGTATGATCTACCCGGTGGTGGGAGTGGAAGTGTATGGTAAGTTACAGCGGGGCTGCTGGTTGTTATAGCCCTTCGGGTTCCGCTGCAGTGGTGGAATTCCGGCCGCTTCATGTCACACTGCAGACAGTAACCGTGCACTCCGTCAGCACTCGTCGGAGTGCACGGTTAGGTAAGTACCAGGTAGGTGCGTGTTCCGGGGGTGGAGGATTACATAAGCCCCGTTCGAACGATTGAGGACCAGTTACGTTAACAAGCTCATCCGGCGACTAATGTCATGTTTTGTTAATGAGTTAACCTTGCTAGTTCGGGCGCTCAGTACACGAAATATCGCATGATGAGCTGACATCAAACCCCCCGCGGCCATAACCTACCTTTGGTGGTCTGTTGGCCCAGTCAGTCATGGCTGTAAGGCTGACCTCCTGGATATTGCGGGTTTAGCAAAGTGGTCCGCCGGAGTGCCAAGTTAAGCTTCGGCATGGAAAAGTGACTCGCGCGCAATTTGAACCCCAAGTTCGTCGCGACCTGCGACCACAAAAAAAGTGTCAGCATCATCGAAGGCCGAAGGGACGTCTTGGTCTCCTGTTTCTGTGTTTCTGTGTACCGGTCAACTTGTGTGGCAATGTTCTACCCTTAGAACTGCTCTTTGCTTCCTCTGATGCCGTCCTTCAAATGCCCTTCTCACCACGAGTATCCTCCAGGTCATGCGCAGATGCTTTGAGCATGCCCAGCTGAAAAGATACTGGCAGCGCTACCGGCTTGCACTACGATTTTCTTCTCCGCCTGGCCGATTCCACAGGACTCTCTCACCCTCGAGTCCGCCTGACCGACATGACTTCGCATATTTCTATCGACGATGCTTGTCCTCTCGCCCAAGCGCCGTCCAGAATGTCTCCACGACTTTGTACCTGGACAACTCATCGCCAAAGCCGGCCGATGAGATCGAACACCAGGCGCGTCCCCAAGATAACTTAGACTCAAATCGTGCTCAGAGCGAACATGCAGAACATTGTGTGGCCTTGTTGGAACAGTTTCTACCTGCGGAGCTCTGCCGAATCGACCCATCTGAATGTGCGAATACATTGAATGGCAACTCGGATTTCAAGAAGCTACTAGATGTGCTCATAGAGGCTAGGACAACCCATGGTGTCGACTCTCTCAGCCATCTTGTGCTAAACGAGCGCCGGTACAAGGCGGTGTTGCATCTGGTAGACGTGCTGCTGAAGCCGTTCGGGGGTGTTTCCCCTGTACCTGCCGAAGAGCAGCTACCGTCCAACATCATCTGGCCAGCCGCTTCTCTCTTTAAAATCTCGAGGCAGCCTATCGAGCTCGACCATGACTCGCATGTTGGAAAAGGAGCGTTCAGGGCGCTGTCACGGACATATCGGAGTAGCTTCGATGAGATTGAGCGTGAAAGAATATTGCAACATCTCTGGCCTTTCCTTGCTAAGCTTGTATTAGCGTCCACCAGGCGCCCTCCCGAGGAAGCTAAGGCGATTATGAATACCGTGTATCAGATCCTTGCCCGCGTGCATAATCTGGACCTGATACCGCCGAGTGTCTACACCCATGCACTGCCAGCAGGAACTACAACTGTCCGGAGACCACCTATTCTCAATCTCTTGAGTGCGAGGATTCTGTCAACTCTGTCAGACGCGGTCTGGCGGTCACAGCAGGATGAGGCTATCGCCCGGGCTTTGCAGGAGGGCAGATCTTTTCGGGACGTCTCCCACCATCCTCCTGGAGGCCGCTTTCGCCTCAAGGTCAGAGAGCTTGGCCCAGAGGTATGGTTGGAGTTTCTCCTTTGGTGTTGTGTCGAAGGCGGATTCATCTCGGCTGGCACTCGCATCGTCAATGCCTTGCAACAAGAGACAGAGGACAAGTGGTCTCCTGTCCACTGGACCGGTAGTCAGGGCATAGACCAGGAAAGTCCAAAGGTCGACTGGGACAGGGCCAAGCGCCAGCATGGAGGTCCCGTTGGTCAGAGGGAAGCCTACAGTGGTGACAAGCCCCTTGTCGATGTGCCACCTAGGACTGTAAGTGCTGAGGTTGTGCTTGCGCTGGTCGAGTCCTTGATCAACAGTCTTGATGCAGGATCTGCTCAGCCTGGGGTGTCTGTTGATACTGTTATGAGTGAAATCGGGCAATTATTGTCATTTCTTGGGCGGCACGAATTAACACCTGCGTACTTGGATTACCTGACTGTCCGGTTCCTCCAAACCGAGGCAGTCCGCAACCGAGGCCAACTTGATACACTTCGAGACTGGGCGTCGATGGTATCGCTTGTGAAAACACCAGACTTGGGCAAAGTGCGGCCATCATCCGCAGCTGCCTTTGATTTTGATGCAGTTATCGAGCATTCGGAATTGCAAGCGGCAGTTCTCCACCAGGCGCTGCAGGTCTACATCGATTCTAATCTTGTTAGCAAAGCAGTCGACACATTCACCGATATTCAAAAGCTGGTGGACCACAGCAAATTGAAAACCATTGGCGAATTTCTTGCTATGGGTCCTCCCCGGTCTGGATTTTTCTCATCCAGATTGAGAGGCCAAATCGATTATACCAATACGCACGGCCAGCTTCCCATGTACAAGCTGGCACCCTTCTTGAAGCTGGTGGCTGATGCCAAGCTGTTCGGCCTGGGGGATTGGATGCTTTTCTCCGAGGATGTTGACGGACCTCTGATACCGCCATCTGCATATCGCCAACCTTCGATAGCCATTGCCCTTTGTCGTTATGCTGCGGCCCGGGACGATCGTTCCCTTGTTCAGTCAATTCTCCTTGCCCGGAAGGGCTCAAGCAGAAGGCCACCTGTGAATCTGTTAAGAGCTCTGGTCAACACCCTGATTGTTTGGCGGGACTGGGACACTGCTTTGTTTCTGCTTCGAGAATTGAAGGGAGCGGAAGGCGGTGGCTACAGCCCGAGCATGGTTGCCCATCTTGCAGCCACGATCCTACGGCTAGAAGCCGAACCAGCCGATCATACACCTGACGGCCATCCCAGCCAGGCCACCACACTCCTGAAAGACATACTTGAAGGGCGTTATGATTCTTCTGGCGCCTTCAGGATCGATCAAAAGGCAGCATTCAGACGACAAACCGGACTATTGTTGCGATTCATAGAGAGTATGTCAGGAAGCTTAATACAAGCTGTGCCCGCCGCAGTCAGACGCCGCTTCCCTTTCAGCAATGAACCTCTACTGGCCGCCGACACCTTCAATATCTTGCTCTCTGCAGTAGTTGACACGAGAGGAGCTTTGGCGGGCAAGCTCTTATGGGAAACATTTTGTGCTATACCAGCCGTTGGCACGGTCTTGGACGGACAAATGGCCGTCGGGTCTGTAGCTGGTGGATTACCTGAAGCTTCAGGCAGTCTTCCAAAAGGACAGAGGCCCTCGGTGGTCGCAGCAACGCACGACGGCTATATTCCTTTCGAACAACCGGACACGGTCGCCGAAAGGCCCTCGCCATCACCTATCGTGGTCCCCAACGTGCGCACTATTCAGATTATTGTGAGGGCTGCCCTTGCAGAAAGATTTGCAAGTCCAAAACCATCGCGGGAGACCCGCCAGGAACTGGACCAACTTCTGCAGTGGGCCCGGCCGCTTTTCAAAGCGTTCAAGCTGTCGGACGAAGACGTAGAGATTGAATTGTCCATGTCAGGCTCACTGCCAGAAGGATACTCTCGAGGTGCGTCAAATCTGAAGTGGCAAGGCCCAAAACAGACGTTGCAGGAGAAGGATACATTCACGGTGGGCAGCCAGTTCAACAATGCAGCGTTCGTACCGAGACCGCCTCGTCGCCACCGACGAAAGGAGTTCACGGTCAAGCGGTGATAGATCATTTTGTGGAGGGATCATATATATTTTCCACGAGAAAAGGCGTCTGTATATACTATCCGGCACGTCAAGGAGGATCTCCTATGGATTGCATAGTGGGCGGCGTTTGGTTTTTGATGGCGATACCCAGAGATATGTCAGATATCATGAAGATCAGTGGTACTACTCATGGGCGGCGTAGGCGTGACATTTAATGCAACACTGATAAACATGCTGAGAAGGATGGCTTGCAAGGTTCTTGAAAAGCAACACCACTATCAATAAGTCCGGTCACACCCGTGCGTGAAACCTGATGAAGGTATACACAAACAACAGCCCGGGGATCCCATCCGCTGATGTCTGAATATAGCAGTTGTGGAATGTCATCTCCTTCCTCGTCATCAATACCAATGGGCTCCATTATGCATGTAGTAGAAAGGAAGATGATAGGTGCACACTAAATAAATGGGAACAATAAGGTAGACATAGGCCTCGTATAGGAAGGAGACCGGGATGAATTCGAAGTGGGACGGTGGCCAATCACGAGATGAGAAGTCCAGAACATCGCCTGATCCCATCTCAGAACTGTAACAGGGAGCGTAACATCGACCAGCACGAAAAATCAGCGACACTATGGCTGAATTTCACCACAGAGGGTGTTCTCTTTGAACGCATCCTTTCGAACGACTCTCTTGTCCATAGAACTCTCGTTGATTGCGCCTGAAAATCCTACCAGACACTCTCTACACCAAATATACCACGCGGAACCAAACCGGGTCTGTCACTGTTCCTGTCAAGGATTCCATCAAACCTCCGGCAGCCTGATCGGAACCATTGATAGCAACAATCACTGCCTGCTTGTTCTTGATCATTCTTTCCAGTCTTTACCGCCGGAGGGTTCACCATCAATGGTCTCTCTCGATACTGTTCGATGACTTGTTGGTACAGTGGCTGAGTGCTTATCGCGGTCGAATCACATCATCGCAGCACCGCCTCGTGCTTGTCTGAGAGGCACGAGATTTGCGGCCTCCGCCATCCGCCAATCAAATAGTCCAGGGCAACCTCACCCGATCTTCCTCAGATATTTTAAAACAACGACTATGTCCCGGATCAACGGACGTATCAATGCTAATGAAAATGAACAAAACAACTTGAACAATGGCAATATGATCGTGATCGAACGAGATGGCACATCTGACCCGCCGCCGCCCTTCGTGGAGGCTGGTCTTCAACGATTGAGACATCTAACATGGGTGAGTAAAGTCAGCGAGCAACCTTTATGCCCGGTCCATCATTCATTCAATCATCTCTCTTTCGTATTTCACAGAGGTTGTTCTAGATCTGACACGTCCACAGGCATGGTTCACCTTCCCCATGGCAACGGGGGGCATTGCCCTCCTACTATCACCACAGAACCAACCACACAGTTTCCGGGGCCTTGAAACAATCGGCACCATCATCTACATATTCGACCTCTGCATCTTCATCCTCACCGTTGCCGCGATAACCTACCGGTTCAGCAAATGGCCGCACGCACTGATCTCCAGCCTCGTCCATCCGACGGAATCGCTATACTTTGGCACGGCATTCCTCGCCATGGCAAGCATCATCGCATGCATGGCACACTACGGCATCCCGCACTGTGGCCCCTGGCTGGTCGTGGTGTATCGGGTGCTATTCTGGATCTATGTATCCACTACATTCGTGGTGGCGGTCGGGGCATATTCGATGCTTTTTACTAATCCACGGCTCAAGATCCAAGACATGACGCCTGCATGGGATCTGCCCATGTTCCCGTTCATGCTGAGCGGGACGATCGCCAGTTCCGGAATTGAATTCCAACCGCGCCAACACGCGATGCCAATGCTCTTCGCCGGTCTTACTGCACAGGGGTTGGGCATGTGCGTGTCCTGTTTCATGTATGCCAGCTACGCGCGGCGTATGATCCAGTACGGGTTCCCGTCGCCCGAATCCCGGCCGGGGATGTTCATCGCCGTGGGGCCACCGAGCTTCACCACGCTGGCCATCATTGGGCTTGCTGACCAATGGCCCGGTGGATACGACTATTTCGGTCCCGATGCCATCACTGCCCAGGTGGTGCGGGTGCTCGCACTAATGACGGCCGTGTTTATCTGGAGTTTGTCGCTGTGGTTTTTCTCCATCAGCGTCGTCAGCTGTCTGGCCGTTTGGAAGACGTTTCGGTTCCGGATGAACTGGTGGGCGTTTGTCTTTCCGAATGTCGGCTTCACGCTGGCCACTATTAATATCGGCAAGTCCCTGCAGAGCCAGGCGGTCATGTGGGTTGGTTCGGTCATGACGGCATGTCTTATCATTGTGTACTTGTACGTCTTGTGCAATTTTGTGCGCGCCGTGTGGCGAAAAGATGTCCTTTACGCCGGCAAGGATGAGGATAACTATAAACGCGAAAAGATGGGTAAGGCCGAAGCGCTGGGCGATGATGTCGAGAGAAACATTGGCAATCGAGACGTCAAGGTCAGTTGACCCGGAGTCTTACATGGAGTTCTGATCTTTTTGGTTTGGAGACGGTTTTGCGTCTTTGCATGAATGGGCTTTTGATGTCCTGAAGAGCGAGGCGTTCTGCATACTGGCGTGGGCGGAAACATAGAAAACGAAGGGGAATAGACGGAGGCAAAAAACTCTCCATAGAAGGCATAGCCTCGCGGTGGGCCACCTATACAGATGAGCTGGGGTATATAGACATACAACCCTGTGAAAGGTGAGCAGGAGCACACGCAGTAAGTTAGGAACATCAGATAGACGACCGGTTTCAGGCATGGCGAGTGACATAGCCTGGAGAGGGATTAGACTAATAGTAGTGACACTCATCAACCTAAGAACCTCATCTCCGAACCCAAAGCATTCAGTCATTCCACAAGACAGGTTTCGACCTTGAGATTTGCTTACCTACCAGGGCACCTCGGTGTTTTGTTGGGCACCTGCGTGTGGTTCGCCACGTCTCCCGTCGTCACGTCTGCCAGTGCATCCGGTCCACGCCCCAGGTCCGTATCCGAATCCCCCGGAACTTCAACACTGGAAGCGGTGTGACTTCATGCAGTGCTAGCGTGTTGCATAAAGTCCGGGGAGTTATAGTGGACACATTCGGCCACTAAAAGACCATGTAAACCAATCATGCTATCACAAATATATCTTATGCACAAGCTGGCCGGAACGAAGCGAGGCTAACGACCAAAGTGGCTCTAAAGCGTGACTGATACGGCATACGAGCCTCGGATAATTTCCCGCACTGGGCAGATTCAAGATTTACGTTGATTTTTTGTCTGGGGTAAACGCGCGCCGCTAGCCGGATCAGGCATGATGTCCCCCAATGCTTTTTCTGTTGCCGCCGGCGCCGTGGATGCTGCCTACAATAACTTGGATCATCTATGTCCCTGAGAATGATCGAAACCATTCCACTTCAATCCAAGGCAGCATCGATCACCATCACATCAATCCACATTCCACCTCTTCCGAGTCCTCTCACCGTCACCGGCTTCTGCCTGTTGCTGTAGCATCTTCTAGTCAATCATCCGCGTCGAATCACCAGAAGACACGATATCCATTCTTCCGGGCCAGCATAAACTTGGTTTTATACCCCCAGCCAAGCTGGCTTGACCCGGGATCCGGGGACACGTTTCTTCAAGCTTCGCCGTGTGACTTGGTCGGCCGCTCACATCTCACCGCACTGATTTGACGCCAGAGCTTCACTGAAAGGCATGGCATAGCTCGTTTGCTTGCCCCTTGCCCAACGAGAAGACCTGTGTTCTTGCATCTTACAGCTTCACAGAGTGGAGGGTCGGGAGTACAAAGCCCTCCTGCCATCCGTCAGTTCCGCTTGAATTTTACCGTCAGCTTGAATTGAGATCTACGACCTTTTTGCTCGAAGGTCTCGAAAATCTGGGTGGGATTTAATCGAGCTGAAGGTCTCTTTTTTTTTGGCTTAAGACGGTAACTCTAGAAGCGCCAGCTCTCGGACGCAAGGCTGGGAATCATTATTTTGGAACGAGCCAGCTCAATCCGAGACTTACATGACGCGCATGATCATCCTGGCAGGCGCTCCAGAGTCCACCAAGCTCGACTGGAGCGAAAAGTCACTTTTGCCAGAATCGATGCATGTCGAGTCGCTTGCGCCACCTTCGTCGTCAGCGTCGTCCAAGGCCTTCGGCGCGCAATGGCGACAGGTGACCACTCAACGACTTCAGATGCGACCGGTCCTGCCCAAACTCGAAATCGATGCCCCTCCGCTTGCCGATGAGCTCGACCGTGGCGGGGCCGAGTTTTTCTCCGCCGACGACTACGTGGGTACGCAGACACCCGGCAGCGATGTCAGCGGGGACGAATCGCAATCGCAACCGTCGGGGGCGTCGGCCGACACGACATCGGAGGCCTTGTCGGACTACTATGATCACTCGTTTGCCATTTATGAAGCCATTCCTTCGTCGCAACTGTCGGGATTTTCCGACTACACACCTGGAACTCCTACATATGAAAGTAACGACGAAATGTTTCCCCAGACGCCGGGATCTGGTGGAGGCATCATTCGGACGCCCTCTCAGAGGCGGTTGAGCCAGGCACCGAGACCGAAACATCTCAGCGATCTGGAAGACATTCCCAACGCACGATACCTGTCATCAATCGAGCCGCAGACCATGACGGTGAATCTGATTGTTGGGATTCTGTCCATTGCTCCACCGCGGACGGTCATCACAGGGACTAAGTACGGCAAGCCACGCGAGACAGACCTTGTGGAAATGGTGGTGGGCGACGACACCAAGACCGGGTTCAGCATCAGCATGTGGCTGCCGCGGGAGATGCGGGTGAATTGGAAGGACGGAGCAAAATCGGCGCCTGAAGGCTCACGGAGCTTACTGCGCCGGAATCTGCGTACCCTGAGACCCCGAGACGTTGTGTTACTACAGAATGTCGCGTTGAGTTCGTTCCGGGGCAAAGTGCACGGCCAGAGTTTGAAAGGCGACGTGACCAAGGTCGATCTGTTGTTCCGGAAGAAAGTGGATGATGATGATCTAGGCGGCATCTATTCGGCGTCGAATCTTCGGACAGCGTCGAGCCGTGATCCCCAGATTCTGAAGGTCAAGAAAGTGCGGGATTGGTTGTTGGAGTTTGTGGGCGATCGGGAGGGAGGAGGATCTGGAAAAGGGCGGCGGGGAGGCTCTCGTTTAAGACGCGATTACGGTTTCCTGCCTGACGACTCCCAATAATAATGCAGTGGATGAGAGTGAGCCGGGTCGACGCCGACCTAGAATTTTCGCATTCAACATCGGCTGGCCTCGACAACGCGAAAATGATGTTCTGTCATTATGCTGTGCCATGGCCTGGGATTTCTTTCCCGAACTTGAACTTACTGAAGTACATTGGTGCTTTGAATTTGGCCGTAAGGCGTGCTCTTGCGGAGCTTCCATACTACGCGATTTATCACATATTTGGAACGAATTGGCGCTGGAGCTCAAACTACCGAGCCAGGATCGACGCAGTACAGAAGGTACAGAAGCAGGAAGCCTGGACAACGGAGAAAGAACAGATGCCATGGGTCAGCGACACGAGAACCACTCCTATCTATCCCTTTCCAGCCCTTTTGTCCTGCGAAGGATTGTATTATTGTATACCAGCATCTACCTATTAGCCACCTTTTTCATGGGACAAACAGCAGCGGTTTTCCTTTTTTTCCTTTTTTCATCTGGTCGAATTTGATCCGAGATTTAATTACTTGACAAGCATGGCATGGCATGGCATGGCGGGTGAGAGACTGTGCACAAAGCATGGATTGCACCGTAGTTGGCTGGTTAATAATAAATGGGCATGAACATTTTCCTCATTGTTATATATAGTATGTAGGTATGTAGAATAATACTACTACTACTACTACTAGTATTACTTAAGCGAAGAGTCCCCAACGGTCATAACAAAACCATCGACCAAGAAAGGGAGAACAGGAAATGGTACATCCCAAAGTCTGTGAATGTCGTTCAGTTCCAAGTGGGACATTGCAGGAGTGTGTCTATGTCGGAAGGACTGTGACACGGTGTCGTGACACGGACGTGACAGACGGCCGTTGCTGATTCTGGCAAAGTGAGCGGCAAAAAAGGGGTGACAGCAGAAGGAGAGTACAACTGGTAGTGCCGTTCAAGTGTGGCTCAGCCGTCGAGGTAAGGAAGTGCATATTATTATTATTATTGTTGTAGCTGAGCTGAGAAAGGCTTTAGGTCAGCCTTAAAATAGACACGGTCGCTACAGTACATGTCTCTGAGTACAGCTACTTCTACTGTTCAGTTGGAGATGCAATAATGGCTGACTGAAGGCAGATCTGTCTGTTTGTCTGGACGCACCCCTTGAGCTACGATACCCCTGAAACCAGGAGCTGGAACTGGACTCGAGGCCGTGTGGGACATCCAGAACAATAACGGCTCCCAAGCCGAACAACCTTTTTAGTGTTTGGGGGTGCCTGTGATTGCTGGAACCTGAAAATCAGTGTTAGGTGGGCTGAGAGAAAAAGGGGGAAACTTGAACTCCAGCTCCAGCCTCGAACTGAAGGACGCGACGGGTGGATGCGGAAGTGGATGGACAGTGGACTCGGGCGGAACAAATAGCACCATCTCACTCGACAAAAGGGCTGCGGGCCGCGGAGTCGCTATCGATAAAATTGTCACGCGTAACTTGAAGGGTGCTAAATAGCTTGAAATAAAATAAACTGGGGCTGGTGGAGGGATGCGAAAAGGAAAAGGAACAGCGTGGCTACAGTCGGTTGTGGTACAATGGCACAGTACCAGAGCCACGAACGGCTTCATTCAGCCTCCGAGTCAACTCAATCCGCGTATCCGTGGAGGCTATTTGTTGGAAATACTCCTATATGTAGGACTAACAATACATCCGGGTCTGACTGGTGACGGGCGGGCTGAATGCATGATTGACTGATTGCAGCGTCTCGAACTCTGGCTGTCACTCCATCGACAGACAGACAGGCAGACAGACACGCTGCCGTTGTAGTGGCCGTGAATTGTAGTATTGATGTATTGCTACAGTGCTGTGCTGTGCCACACCCCCTTGGAACTAGAGTTGGAACTGTTATTTTGCTAAAAGAAACAAACTGCGACGATGCGTGTGCTGTGCCTGCGCAAGTGGCTCAGACTGAAATAACACCTTCACCTTACTTTATATTCCTGCTCCATCCGGCCACGTCTCGACTCGGCTCTTCCTTTCTGCTCTTTGACCCCCTGCGACACTTTACTCTCACTCAAAGTAATCATTGGCACTGGTAGTCTTGAAGCTACATTTCATTCGTTTCACCAACCTGTTTACTCTTTTCCAACAACACACCTCTCGCGCAACTCACATAGTTTGCACTTTGCTATTCGTGACCCTGCAAGATGAAGGGTAAGTCACACTACAGATCCCAATCTTTTGAGCCATGGACAAGATACTAACTCGCGACAATAGCCCTTATTCTGTATGCTCTGACGACTTTTTGTGTGGTTGTGCACAACTAACCATCCTCCAGTGTCGGTGGCTTCGGCACCAGACTGCGACCTCTGACCCTGACCCTTCCCAAACCCCTGGTTGAGTTCGCCAACCGTCCTATGATCCTGCACCAGGTCGAGGCTCTCGCGGCAGCCGGCGTCACCGATATCGTCCTTGCCGTCAACTACCGCCCAGATGTCATGACCGGTGCGCTGAAGAAATACGAGGAGATGTACAACGTCAAAATCACATTTTCCGTCGAGACGGAACCCCTGGGAACTGCCGGCCCCCTGAAGTTGGCAGAGAAGATCCTGGGCAAGGACGACAAGCCGTTCTTTGTCCTCAACTCGGATGTCATTTGCGAATACCCCTTCAAGCAATTGGCCGAGTTCCACGCTTCCCACGGCGATGAGGGCACCATCGTCGTCACCAAGGTGGAAGAGCCCAGCAAATACGGTGTCATTGTCCACAAGCCCAACCACCCGTCTCGCATCGACCGTTTCGTCGAGAAGCCCGTCGAATTCGTCGGCAACCGCATCAACGCCGGCATCTACATTTTCAACCCGTCCATCTTGAAGAGAATCGAACTACGACCCACGTCCATCGAGCAAGAGACCTTCCCGGCAATCTGCAAGGACGGCCAACTGCACTCGTTCGACCTCGAGGGATTCTGGATGGATGTCGGTCAGCCCAAGGATTTCTTGAGCGGCACTTGCTTGTACCTGTCTTCCCTGGCCAAGCACAACCCAAAGGCGCTCGTGCCCAACACCGAGCCTTACGTCTACGGCGGAAACGTTCTGGTCGACCCCACGGCCAAAATTGGCAAGAACTGCCGCATTGGACCTAACGTCACCATTGGACCGGGCTGCGTGGTCGGCGATGGCGTCCGACTCCAGCGATGTGTGCTTTTGGAGGACAGCAAGGTTAAGGATCATGCCTGGGTCAAGTCGGCCATTGTTGGTGAGTTACGGCTTGAGGAGCAGTGCCGGTTTGTATACTAATGGCCATACAGGATGGCGATCAACTGTCGGCCGCTGGGCTCGTCTGGAAAACGTGACGGTTCTCGGCGATGATGTCTCGATTGGCGACGAAATCTACGTCAACGGTGGAAGCGTCCTCCCCCACAAGAGCATCAAGGCCAACGTTGAGGGTGAGTCAATTGCGATGAATGTATACCAGAGTTTCATGCTAATGTCACCTGCAGTGCCGTCTATCATCATGTAAAACATCCTCACGTGGCTTCATCGATTTCTCGTTGGACCCTGATTTCCCTGCGCTCAATGTGCAATGGGGAAATTGGCTACTCTTCTGCTCCCTGTCTTTAATAGCTTGACTGTTTTCTCACCGCATGCATTGCACATGCGGCAATCGGGACTGAGCTGGAGTTTCTTTTTTTGTGTGGCGGAAAAGACATGACTTTTGCGGGATGATGCTTGCTTTTTGCGCTTTCAAGGGCCCGGCGTGGCGGACGGGTTGCTGCAAATGAATCATGCGTGGAGAAATCACTTCCTGACTACCCTTCATCATACTTGACATGAGTCCGACCCAATGGTCGGGCATGGCGTCAGGCCAGATACGGAGGACATGAAATTCGTGTTTAACTGGTGCTGGATAGAGCCAGGCCAGCATGTAAGGCTGGGGATCCTCAGTTTAGCGAATACAATGCAGACACGCACACAATGCACTGCGACCTGCATCTGGACAAGACGACGATCATGGCAGTATGTGCCTTCTGGTCTAGACGTGTGACTTGTAAGCCATGCGCACCATACGGTGGCTGGACTTGGCTAGTATTGTGACTTTTGTCGACTCTCCTGATAGTAGTACACTCACTGGAATGGTCTGTCGTCGAGATTCCTCTACGTTGTAAATCAGCACTGGTTTTCTGAAGTTGCCGCCCCTTTACAAACGAATGAGACGGTCGCCCCTGCCCATCATGATGATTGGAGCAGCCTGATCACATGATGTGCCTTGGCATCGATCTGCCTTGAGGCTTTTACCGAAAAGAGAATGCAACGTGCCACCATCTTGATACTCCACGTTCGCTCCAGGAACCTCTTTCGTGTTATGTTGTATTATCTTCGATGTCAATACCTTCATTTCTTCCGGGCTGATGCAGCCTGTCTCATTATATTACATTAATCTACACATCCACGGGCCGTGATGGATCGGAAATCTACTAGTAGCGCGACTGGACTCGCCGTCTGTTCATTCCCTAGTTGTTCATCCGCCAGTCAAGTGCTGACCATCTTTTAGTGTGATTTCTGTCGAACCCGAAAAGAGAAGGTACTTTCGAACAACGAGGTATCTGGAAATCATAGACTGACTTCAATAGTGTTCCAAAGACCGTCCGGCGTGCAAGACATGCCTGGCCAACGGCAGAGAATGCCGGTACAGCGGCCGGCCGATTCGTTCTCCCCTGACACGAGCGTAAGGGTTCTGTTTTCCTTGATGCGGAGTATGTCCTGTCTAACGGATCATGACAGTTACCTGACGAGCGTTGAGCGCCGTCTTCAGAAACTGGAAACGCTCTTCGCTCAAATGCATCCTGATGTTGATCTCGAGAGTGCTCTGGGGTCGAGCAGTGTTCCGCCGCTCGAATCCCCGGCCTACGACAAGTTGCTGGACCTTCCGGCATCACCGCTCACTAGCAGTAGCACGCGGGCGGAGGAACTGTCGGAAGCATTGCCTGATGAAGCCGACGGGTTCGACTGGAAAGAGCAGGCGTCCGACATTGATGACATAGCAGATGGCATGGCGGCGTTGTCGGTTGAGCCAGAGGGCGTCGGCTATCTAGGTATGTGGTTTATTCCCATCAGTTGTTCTTATCCAATGCTCATATTGACAAAGGGTCAACTTCTGGCGTCGTCTTTCTTCGGTCTATTCTCCATTGGACAAATGGATCTCCCAAGCATCCGACTTCCCCTCGGGATGTCCGCCGCCTGTTGGACGTACATGGAAAACGGCCTAGCCTGGTGCAGCTGCCCGATTCCTTCGTGTCTCATCAACTGATCGGTCAGATGCTCGATGCATACTTCACTTTCTACCATACTTCGTACCCATTCGTGCATGAGGCCACATTCCGGGCGCAATATTCCGAACTGATCCCCAAACCAAAGGGCCAGGCTTGGAACATGTTATATTATACCATCCTCGCCCTGGGCGCCTGGAACCTGGGCACCGGTCATGCCGAGCTGGAGGAATTCTTCTATCGCAAAGCCAGCTCGTTCTGGCAGGACCAATCCATCTTTGAGACCGCCAGCTTGTCCCTCGTACAAGCACTCGTCCTCATCAGCAACTTTGTGCAGAAGCGCAACAAGCCGAACACCGGCTGGAATTATCTCGGAGTGGCCGTCCGGATGGCATTGAGTCTTGGACTACATCGAGAACTACCTGGATGGAACATCAGTCTCCTCCAGCGCGAAATGCGAAGACGGGTCTGGTGGGGCCTGTTCATTTTCGACAGTGGTGCTTCCGTCACATTTGGGAGGACCGTTCTTTTGCCTGAGAAAGAGGCCATTGACGTTATGCACGTTTTGAATGTTCACGATGGAGTAAGTCGTCTCGAGTTTGTCACTGGAACAGACTAACCATGCTAGCTTCTCACGCCATATACCACCGAGAGACCAGCAGAGCTGCCGGAGCCGACGATCTATTCCGGTCTACGTGTTCAATCCGAACTGCACTTGCTCGCCAACAACCTTTCCAATCGACTACTCCGGGCGACTCCTCTTTCCGCCGGAGAAGCACTGACCTTCAACAAGATGTTGGAGACATGGGCTTCCAAAGTTGCCCCATACTTTCAACCCAGCCAGAAGCCAACGATACTAGAACCATGGTATCTCCTTGCTCGCTCACGGCTATGGTGGCGTTTCTGGAACCTCAAGATCATTGTGTTCAGACCCATCCTGCTGCGCTGCGCTATAGAAAGGCTTGATCCTCGGCATTCTGCCATGCCAACCGCGGAGGAGGAAGAATGTAGACAGATATGTCTGACCAGCGCTCACTTGACAATCGAATCGGTGAAGGAATATGTCGACCAATACCCGCCTACCAGGCTCGCTGGCTGGTATTGTTTGTATGTGGTCGCAATCCCCTTTTTGTGTCCAAATGGCTTACAAGTGGACTTCAGGTATTTCTTGTTTCATGCTGCTCTCATTCCCTGCGTGTGTATCCGGGCCGATCCGCACTCGCCTGAAGCAACGAACTTGAGAGGAGATATCGAGACAACCCGGTTGTTGCTGAGAACGACTTTTATTGACAACCCATTGGCAGTGCGAGCACTGGAAGTAATTGGCCAGATCCTTCCTGAACCGACGGCTCTTTTCGGCATGCCTGCCGGCCAGCAGTTCGATGAAGGTGCAACCGACTTCTCCCTGTGGCCGCTCGATTCGTCAGATCCGCTTTCTTCGTTTGGCTGGCCAGATTTTGGTTGGGTTACCTAGGTCAATTGGTCAACAGTCATAAACACCATTACGATGTAACGACCTCGTTGCGCATTCCTGAAAAAGTGGTATAGCTTTTGTACATTATGATCAAATGCCAGAATCAATTCTGTGGCTTGTTCGCCATTTGAGACAGAATATCCTCCGACACTACGCATTTCCCGTTCAGCTCTGTCGTCAGGGCATATTTGATCAGCTCACTGTCGCGTGAAGCAGGCGACACCTCTTTTAACAGAGTGCATAGTCACAGGAGTCATGTTTTGAGTTGGTCTCTCCTAGTTAGCGAAGACTGGCCCAGTTACAACATCACAAGGATCATATGTCCGGCGAGGTCAACGAGATCAGGAGTGCAGTCTTCCGATGGCCAGAAGTCAGTGGACAGGGGTGAAGTCCGGACCATTTGCAGTGGGACACTACCAGAAGCAGTCGTCCTAGTGGCGCGTGGTACAAAACGTGTTTCTTTGGCTAGGAATATTCAAACGCGGTCGAATGCCGCTTTCCCGCTCTCCAGGAACACCACACAGGAAACATAGTAGCGGAGAGGGATAATGCGGAGGCAACCACATGGCGTGAGCATACAACAACAGTACCACGCATATGCGATTCTCCACCACAAGATGGGATGGTTAGAGATCGGTGCACTATGCTCCGGGCGGGAGAGCATCACATGACCCGTTCAGCCTTCTCTATGAGTTGCCCAATCTCATATACGCAACTTTTCCCGAACCAATTCCGATTTGGGTATCAACCATACAAGCATTTGATTGTGGTTGGTGAAGATCTTCACCACCGGCTCCACGCAGGGTCCATTATGCGCCTGGGAAGTTGAGATCCAAGATCCACTGGCGCCATCACTCCGGTCACGCACTTCATCGACTGTAACCTCGCTGCCGCCTCGATGGAGCACTGTGCTCCGGCCGGAGGTTACAGTGCCTCCGCAAATATACACCAGGTCTTTTCACCATGTACCCCACAGATCTGGGAAGAGATATAAAGTCCTCCATGCTACTCGTGTGATTTCCGGGGTTGGCCGACTATTTGCAGCAGTAACCCAGCCCATCGTTGAATACTTGCAAAACAGATAAGATGTTGCACAACAGTAGTGAACACGAACACACCTCCCACGAGGAGCATGAGCATGGACATGAACTCTATGCCGCCCCGAAAAAGAGTGTCAGCACGCTCTTGCGTGAGAACCCTTATGTGCTGGGTCTGGCCTCCGTATGTGTTGTCTCGACTTGTTCTGCCTCCGTTCACCGACTGACTTGGTAATTCTAGTTCGCTTCGCTAGGTGGCTTTCTGTTCGGCTATGACCAAGGTGTTGTCTCCGATGTGCTCACCATGGAGTCGTTCGCCGCCCGATTCCCTCACATCTATTTGGATAGCGGTTTCAAGGGCTGGTTTGTGTCGACACTGTTGTTGGGTAAGCTGCCGCTACCAGAGGAAATGATATTCTCCGGTCTAACACTGCTATAGCCGCCTGGTTTGGGTCTTTGATCAACGCTCCCATTGCCGAGGCTTTCGGGCGTAAATGGTCCATCATCATGGCCGTTGTTGTCTTCACCATTGGCTCAGCCATTCAGGCTGGTGGCATGACTATTCCAATGCTCTTTGTTGGTAAGAAACAATACAATTCCATATACTGGCCGTCCATCACAGCTTCACCACTAACGTTCCATGTCTAAGGTCGCGCCATTGCCGGAGTTGCCGTGGGAATGCTCACCATGATTGTCCCCATGTACATGTCTGAAGTGTCTGTACCGGGCATCCGGGGGACATTAGTTGTTCTGCAGCAACGTAAGTGAAAAACTTGGTGCCCCCAGTCGCGGTTAGATTTGGCCCAGCTAACAGCTTTGGATGAACAATAGTCAACATCACACTCGGTATCCTTGTCAGTTACTGGCTCGAATACGGTACCCACTATATTGGCGGCACGCGATGCGCTCCCGATATTCCTTACAGCGGCGGAACCGCGTCCGACCCGACCTTCGACCCTCGCCACGACGTCGGTCCCCACGGCTGCACCGGACAATCCGAGGCGTCGTGGAGAATCCCATTCGCGCTCCAGATTGTCCCAGCGTTGATTTTGGGAATTGGAATGCTGGCGTTTCCAGAGTCTCCTCGATACCTGTTGTCCCGGGGCCGCGACGAGGCAGCGCTCGCTTCGCTGTCCAAAGTCCGACGTCTTCACATCGACACTGAAATGCTGCGCACCGAGTTTCTGGCCATCAAAGCAGAGGTTTTGTTCGAAGAGAGTTTTGTTCGTGACAAATATCCTGGCAAATCTGGCCTTTCACTTGTCTTTGCTCAGTATTTCGATTTGGTGTCGACTCGTCCGGCGTTTCATCGTCTGGCGGTGGGATGCTGTATTATGTTTTTCCAGCAATTTGTAAGTTTACCCGCGGCGATATCGTTTTTCGCCAACGACTGGTTATTTTTTTTGTCTGTTTTTGTCGTTTATCTGCTGCTAACTCTTTTCATGTGAAACTTCGACACAAATCACTAACTTATGTGTCACAGATGGGCTGCAACGCCATGATCTACTACGCCCCCACCATTTTCGGCCAACTCGGTCTATCCGGCAACACCACCTCCCTTTTAGCGACTGGCGTTTACGGCATCGTCAACACTTTATCAACACTCCCCGCTTTGTTCTTGATCGACAAAGTCGGCCGTCGCCCCTTGTTGGTCTGCGGCGGCATCGGCACATTTGTCTCGTTGGTTATTGTCGGCGGCATCATCGGCGGATACGGCGATTCATTGGTCTCCCACAAAGCAGCGGGCTGGACGGGCATTGCATTCATCTATATTTACGACATCAACTTCAGTTACTCGTTCGCGCCGATCGGGTGGGTGTTGCCGTCTGAGATTTTCACCCTGGGTACCCGATCCAAGGCAATGTCTATCACGACCAGTACGACTTGGATGTGTAATTTCATCATTGGACTCGTGACGCCGGATATGTTGGATACTATGAAGTGGGGCACGTATATCTTCTTTGCGGCCTTTTGTTTGTTGGCCGTGGGCTTTACGTTGTTGTTTGTGCCTGAGACACGAGGGAAGAGTCTCGAGGATATGGATGTCGTGTTTAAGGATACCGCTGCGCATGAGGAGAAGGAGAGGCTTTTTGAAATCGCTGCGCATCTGGAGGGACGGGTGTTGGGTGGTAGTGATGCGGAAAAGGGGGTGGAAAAGAAGGAGTTGGAGGGGTCGGTGGAACATCATTGATTTGGATTGAAAAGAATTGAAAAGGAAAGCGAAAGGAAAGCGAAGGAAAAGCGGAAAGGAAAAAGCGATAAAGAGAGGGAGACAGCAAGGATGAAGTCTGTAAAACAAAAGACGAGCGGTGATGGGGAATGAAAAACCACAAAACAAAGGCGTTTTGGGCTGGCATCACGCGTGAGTCACTGGCAAAAATTCTCCTGTAGGCTGTGCAGTACACACATATGTATATATATAATCTCTCTCAGCAAAGTCAAGCCTCGTCACTGTTCGTCGAGGAGAAAGATTGTCCCGAAAAAGAAGAATGAATAAGGACTGTATCTATTCTATAATGACAAATTACTGTACCTTCCAATATTTCCCCTCCCCTCCTTTGCTGTCTGTTTTGCAGGAGCCGAGTCGAGTCGAGTCGGTACTTACTGTCCCGGGCCATGAATATGATACATCAGTAACATCACTTTGGTGCTGAGGCTGGCCGCTGGGAAGACCTCCCTTTTTTTTTATAAAGGGGGGAGTTGGGGGGAATCTCACATATCGATCGTATGGCGCGACTGTACTGATGATGATAATAAAGGTCCCCCGTCACCTTTTCACCTTGCTCAAGCATAGCCTCACTCATCCATCCACAGCCTTGTTTGTTTGCTTTTGCTTTTGGTCGTCCCCTGGCGCAGTTCAGCCTCGTTTACCTAGGTAAGGTACCTACCTAGGTACTATGTGGCACGTACTGTACTGTACTGTATTACTGTAGCTAGTATAGGTACCTGTAACCACTCAGATTAGGCTACAGACGAAATAGTGTGCATAATAGTAACTCGGTACCTAAGGAACTCAGGATAAGTGCCAACTAAATAACAGATAGATTGTTTTTTCCCCTTCCCTTGAATCAATTCACCATTTCATTTAGAGAGACACATAAAATAGATATGTATATCTGTATATATGTATATATACCTAGGTACCTAAAGATACTCAACCTTGAATGACCATAGGAATCGTGCCCATCTCTTGTTGGGCCTCGTCGTACTCGCCATCATCGGAAAACATGATCTTGGCCTCTTCCGCGTGTCCATCAAAAGTTTCCATTCCCAACGCTACACTGATCTCGGCGCGATCGAGTCTGTTGACCAACTTGTATTTCTGCTCATCCATATCCCTGTCGTTGTTCCTGTCCTTACTCACCGACTTGGGTTTCGAGTTCGGTTTCACCTGCAGTCTCACCCCCGATTTCACCTCTGGTCTTGCCTCCCGGTTCACCTCGGGTCTCACCTCGGGTCTCACCTTCGGTCTCATCTCCGTTTTCACCTCTGGTCTTGCCTCCTGTCTCGCCTCCAGTCTCACCTTCGGTTCGACCTTCGGCTCAACCTTCGGCTTCGGCTTCCGAGCCCATCCCACAAGAACCATCCACCCCGACCCCTTCTCCCTCCCTTCCTCAATAACCTCATCCACGCCGTCCAACCACTTATGTCTAGCAATCCCAGCCTCAGCCCTAACTCTGACCAACCACTCCTCGTACATTCTGGCGCCCAACAAGCCCGTCAAATCCGCCACGTCCTGCGTCGAGCCCACCGGACCCTGAACGGCCTCAACATCCATATACTGCTTGACAATTTTGCTGATCGTCGACACTTCACTGATCGGTCTGGGCGTGGGCACAAAGGGCTTAGCACCCTGACGCCACGACTGCCAACCACCCGTATATCCATGAACATGCTGATCTGCATCTTCCTGGGGCCGCGGCCGACGACCCATGGGCAGAAACATCCAAGCCCTTTTGACACCAACGTACCCTTCCTTCTTCAGACGGCGCAGAAAGCTCCGACCTGCTTCTCGCTCGTAGCCGCGCCGACGCAATTCCGATCCAAACTCGTCGGAAAGTTTTGATCCACAAGGTCCAGCATGTGCGATTGCAGAGTCCATGACCACATAGTCTAGATACCCGCCTGGTTTGAGCACTCTCAGACACTCGCGCAGAGCTAAATCCCATTCATCGATCTCCGGCACCCCGGGGACGGGATTATGTCGCAAAAGAGCGTGCAAGGAACGTGCCGAGATGACGTCGAAATGGCCGTTGCGGAACGGCAATTGCCACAAATGCGGCACAGATACGGTCCGATGGTTTTGCGGACCTTCGGGCTTGATTTGCCCGGCTGGTCGCTGCCACGTCGCTTGCTCTTTGGTTATGACGGTGTACACTTTGACATTGGGCCATTCTAGAGCTGCGTGCCATGCCCATGAGGCGGTGGATGAGCCTCCGAAATCGAGGATTCGTAATCTCTTATTGCCCACGCATGATGGGTCGTCTAGTGGTATGGTGGATTTTGTGGTCAGGCGGTGACATGCTGCTGCAGAGGCCAAGAGACGGCCTCGGTAGATGGCTTTCAAGGCCTCAATCTGCCAGTTGCATGGCTCAATGGATGCCAAAGCTAATTGTTGTTTTTCTGCCGTCTTGTATGCGATTTGCTCCGCTGTACGCTCAAATACCCCTGTAGCCCGGGGATTCTGATTGAAGGGTCCGGCGTATTTTGGTCGCACTGGCTCGACGAGAACATGCTGTCCGAAGATGTTCTTGACGTGTTCTTCGGGGATGGCTACTCGGGCTGCTTGAATGGCTTCGAGGCGGGGACCGGCTTGGATGAATGCGTCCCGTCGCTTTCGATTGCTGAGCAGGTATTGGAATGCTGTCAGAAAGACTGGTTCTTTGGCTTCGGGCTCGCTGCCTGGACTTTCGAGTTCGGGCCCGTCAATGATCGCTGAGGTTGAGGTGTCGGTCGGCTTGACTTCCTGTGCTGTGCTGGCGGGTTGTACTACCTCAGCCACGGCTGCGGCTGAATCTGATGCCTTGACATTCTGCTGATCGGCAGACTCTTCCGGTGGCACAGGTTCAGTATGAGGTCCGAAATCAGGCTCGAATCCAAGAAGGGTGGATAGATATCCCGTCTGTGCTGCGAGCCATGAACCTGTTCGGTCAATGTTCTGGTTGGCGGCCGCCTTGAGCTCTTCTTGATATTTCTCGTCGTACTCGAAGCCAACCAGCACGGTCTCAGTCTTGACACCAACATCCGGACCGGGATCCGGACCGGGTCCGTAAAGATCAGAATCCTCGGACGGCGAATGTGCTCTCTTCGGTTCAGGGCGTGATGCTCCTACTTGAGTAAAAGTGGCTTGTCGGGCCGTTGGAGGACCTTCCGTCATGTTTGTGTCTTCGATCGCCAAAACGGTTTCGACGACATTGCTATCGGTGGCTTCCTCTGGACTTGGAGTGTCCCAGGGTCGATTGTAGAACTTTTCTGCCGTAGCAGTGTTTGGGACGCTGGACTCTTTTGACTTGTTGAGGCACCAAGTGTGTCGCGCGCCACTGCGCAAGGAGGAAAAGAAGCCTCCGGGAGATGGAATGCTCAGTTGCGAGAAGCTGTAGTCGGATATTGGAGTCTGGCCTTCTGCGCTACGGGGTCTGCTGACCGGGGAAGGGTCAGTGAGTTGTCGCATTTCTTCTTTTGTGCCGGACCGTTTGGAAGGACGGGACCCGCCGGACATGAACGAAATTTCATCAGGGCTTCTTTGATGCGTAGTGAGCCGCTGCAGTGTTCGCAAAGCGTCGGGCGGAAGTCTGACCCCCTGATCAGATCCATTCGATCGGAGGTTCACCTCGTCAAGCTTCTTGATCTCGTCCATCGTGGGCATCAATGGTGATCGATCTTGAGGCGTGGCGCCAGGCACCTGGGGGAAGTTGACCACCATATCGGTCCACACGGGAGACATGATACTGGAAGAACTTGCATTGGCAGAATGGGCCTCGGCCGGCGAGAGAATCACACTATGGTCGTCGCCAAGGGCGATTTCGAGGTGTTGCGTGAGTAAATTGACTGGGGCTGGCCCGCCCCAGCTCTCGCTGTGATCGATCTCCAACTGTTTGATCTCCGGAGTGACCGGCGCACTGATTCCTTGATGATCTGGAAAATCTGATGTCGTACTGTTGCTGTCGCCCAGAGAAGGCGGTGCACTTGCCTCTGGGACACAGCGAGGAAGCGCGGAGAGGGCTCCTGGAGACAGCCGGATCTTCGTCGCTGGAGACATGCCCAGGCCGATTTCCTTGACAGGACTACTACCTTGAAGAGCACCCCAGGAACCCCTGGGAATCAGCAGAGCAGGGTATCTGTTGCGACCTGATCTGTTGCTGCCACAACTGTTCCGGCTGGACTCGGAAGCAAAGCTCGTGGGATCGCTCGAGAGGGATCCGTCATCGCTGAAGACGGTCCCGGAAGAATCACTGCTGTAAGAACTGCGGACCGAGGCGGGTTTTCTGTGGCCTTCCCCAGCGCTGCTTGGGAGGGGAGATGACGGGCAAGAAGATACAGGTGAATCGGCAACCGTAGTGGTCGTTGCCAGTGAACTCTTGCGCGGCGGCGCGGCCGTGTAGAGCTGTGGATTCCATGTCGCCGGATACCCGATCACGGTCGAGGTCGAGTCGCTTCCATCGCCCTCACTGTCACTCTTGACCCCTTGACTTGCATCCTCCTTCTCTTCCACAATGGTATTAAGCTGCCGACCACGGCCCAGCCGTGGTGGAGCTGCGTAAGCGGTTGATGGCAGGACGCTCATTATTGTTTGCCAGGGCCAGCCTCGCGAGATCAAATTTTGTAGGCGTATAGTCTGTCCAAGCTTCCAGCGCTTTCGAGTCAATCGTTCATCGGTCGACTGCCTTCCAGAGGCATAGGTCTAAATGGATAGATATCACACTGAGATTAGTATTTCTAGGCGGGCGCCGATCAACGGACACCTGCTGAAGAACAATTGCGATAAGAAGATTGAAACGAGGGAAAGGCTGACGGCGACCAGCAACTGCAGCAACGATGAGGATGAGGTTCGGATGGAATAGTAACGGCTGAAAGCAGAAGTGGAAGTCTTCACGACACACGCACTCACGCAGGTTGACAAGAGATGAAAGTCTCAGAAGCGCCGCGAAGACGAGCAGACAAACCTTTGGCGCTGGTCAAGACCCCGAGGGGCATTGTTCAGCGGCACCGTCAGTGTCACACACATCTTGTCCTTCAGGTGTGGGAAGCGATACATCTCAAGCTCGCGCAATTGGGCTGACGGGCTGTGAAGTTGGCCTGGAATTCAGAATCGGGGCATTCACTTCTGAGGGATGCTGGGCCCGACCAATGTAAACCTCCGAAGCAACCAGTAGTTGCAGCGAGACGCGCAGAAAGATAGGCTCTAGCTGCAATCTCGACTCAGTAGCGCCGAGACGTGTTCGCACAAGACAGAGGCAGATCCACGATGGTTGGCAGGGAGCGATGCGAGGATGGACGAACAGGGCAAATGATGAAGTGTGGTTGGATGCTCGTCTGCCGTGGTGCCGCTTCCCGGGCGCTTACACGCTGCGCTACCCATGCAATGGATGTTCGTCGTCTCTATTTATGGCAGATTTTGAATCAAGGTGGTGTGTCGAGAGCATCGAGGCAGAGTCATCGTCTTAACCGTCGTAAGGAGTATTGGCATTGTCTTGCATATGAGGGAAAGATCAACACGTAGAACAATGGCAACGCAGCGGCAGAAGTAATCGTGTTCAGCCTTGCGGGCCAGGGCGTGACAAGGCTGAGGTGTTGATGACTAAGGCATAGTACTTCGCCAAACGTCTCGGTGATTGGCTCAATGGAGGACCATCCCAGCTAGGACCAAGTCAGCTACCCCATGTCGATGACCACCTTCACGCTTCTACCGCTTGCTATGTATTCAGGTTGTATGTTTCCGACTCTTAGGCCGAGTGAGTGAATACCCGTGTATGAGGGAATCGAGACGCGATGAACTCCCCTTGAGTCAGATCAACTCCAACCCTAAAGCCAGAATGACTACCGAGGCTGATTACGCCCGCCCCATCCTCCACACTCTTGATCCCTTCCGTGTTTGGCACTCATCGCAAACTCCCCTTGCTCAGTAGGTCGCTATTTACCCCAAGGCCTCCGCTAGTATGGCGGAGTGAGCAATGATGTATCCTTGGCATATACCAGCATCTCCGCGCCACTACGCCAAGTCATATCTGCAGGTAAGCATAGTGATACCTAGGTACTGTTCGTCGGAGGACTGCAAAGCAACCTCTGGAAGAGACGAATTCTTGGCCGGACAGTGTCTAGCTTTATCTCTGTCTCGCTTAATGCTTGTCTTACAGTGAAAATGGCCCGTTCTGCGCCCGCCCCCATCCTGCTGAGAGGAGGTACAGTTCTTCAATACGACGCGAACGATCAAGCGCATGTCTTGAAGAACACCGACTTGCTGGTCCAAAATGGACTGATTGCCAAAATCGGTAAAGGGTTGACCACTCCGCCGGAAACCAAAATCATCGACTGTCAAGGAAAACTGATCTCGCCGGGCTTCGTGGACACACACCATCATGTATGGCAGACACAGTTGAAGGGTAGACATTCAGACGATACTCTCCTGGATTATACGGCAAAAGGTGCGCCGCCGACCTGGGACTCGCAGAAAGGATTCCCGACTAACGTCAAAATACCCTCCATCGGGGTGTACCAGGTAACTGGCAACCATTCAACTACACGGCCAAAGATGTATTCTGGGGCGAGATGGGAGGCCTGATGGAAGCGGTGGACGGCGGAACGACATGTGTCGTCGACCACGCGCACATGGCATATTCGCCCGAACATGGTGAGTCCGTAGAACACCCCTTAATACCATTCCTTCATTGACTTGTCGGATCTTTCAGCTCTGGCAGGATTCTCCGCCACCGTCACCACGGGCATCCGATCCGTCTTCTGCCTAGGTCTCACGCCGCGTATTGACAAATGGGACGACAACGAAGTTGTGCCCAATCCAGAACTGATACCGGAATGGTTCCTGCCTACACTACGAGACCTGTCTGTCCGAGCAGGGCGCCTTTCCCTTTCCAATAACAGGATATCTATCGGGTTGGGATTCGACTCCTATACCCTGCCTCGGGAAGACATAGTTCGTTTCTTCACCGGAGCTCGGGAAGCGGGAGCTAAGATCATCACATCCCATTGGCGCCGAAACAACATTGCCGGTACGGTATTATCTGCCTCAATACTACTCCGTGATTTGCTACCGCTGACATGTACTGTAATATTCAGGAACTGGTCTCTCTGTACCAGAGGCGCTGGAACAATACGGACTCTTGGGATCTGATATCATCCTGTCCCATGCCACCGGGTCAACAGAAGATGAACTTCAGCTCCTAAAAAGCGCAGGCGCATATATCTCTGCCACTCCGGCCACGGAATCCCAGATGGCGCACGGGGAAGTTGTGGGATTCCGAAAGGATGTGCTTGGCTCAATTGGTGCTGACTGTCAGTCCAATAATCCCGGATCGCTCTTACATTCAATGCAAGTCGGCCTGGCCGTATGTCGCTCCCACCGCAACTCGCGCATTCTCTCGAGCGGGAAGTTCCCCAAGGAAGTCGAGCCCACAACGCTCCATGCCTTCAACTTGGCAACAATCCACGGAGCTCGTGCCATAGGCGCAGCGGATAAATTGGGAAGCCTGACAGAGGGCAAAGCGGCCGATATTGTCGTGTTCGACACCGATACCCCTGCCGTGTGCTGTGCTGTCGAGTATGATCCTGTCGTTGCGATTGTGAGACATGCTACGGTTCGGGAGGTCAATACTGTCATTGTGGGCGGCTCGATTCTCAAGGAAGAAGGTCGATTGCTTGATGTGCATCTTGATCTTGATCTGGTGGACTCTTGGAAGGGCAGTGAAGAAGCTAGTTCCCACGGAGGAAGTCGTCTCTCTTGGGGCACGGTGCTGAATCAGCTAAGGTCGACGCAGGAGGAGATTCAAAAGCGTATTGACGGGTGTAATTTGGATGTCGCTAAAGAGAAGATCCTTCATATGTGGGGAGCGAAGAATGGAAATGAAATCTTGGTGTAAATACATCAGCGAGGGCTAAGACTGGTATTGGACTACAACTTCAAGTTGTCAAAGACACCTAGGTACACATGTAATCAAGTGTGTGTCTAAGATACGTTCTTATATTCGGGCATGGCTTGAGCAGGAACTTCCAGTTCTTGAGGCCTAGCCTTTTCAAAGAATCTCACTGCACGGGTTCCCTCCCATATTTGATGTATTTTTAAGAGCTGCGCGCATCCAAATAGGACCTGAAGCCGTAAAGTATCCATTGATTCTATGATTCCGTTCCCTTGACGCACACGTACTGTATACTTCCCGTCTCGAACAGCTCGGCTAGCCATCCACGATTCCCCAACAAGCAAGGCAACAAACACTCCCACACATCCAGAAATCTATCAGTCTTTCCGGCACAGCAGTACAGAATGTGATGGTCTCAATTGGCAAAAGAACCAGCAAGATCAATATTTTCCCAACTCCCTCCAACTTTGGTTAGGAACCTCAACTCAGTTTCTCCTTCTCTTCCCTTTCAGCCTGCTCAATCTCCGCCTTTTCCTCACCAACCACAAACCCACCACCCAAGAGGATGGCTGGCTCATTAATATTATGATGCTCGTAACTCAAAGTCCCCACCCCGCCAGCCTCCATGATCAAAGCAGTTTCCGTCAACGGTCTCCCAACCCACCTGATCGCAAAAGCACGCAAGATATGACCATGACCCACAACCATGACATCTCCAAAGACATTGGGGTCCTTTGGTTTCCCAATCACAGGAGCATGGTACTTTTCACGGATTTCATGGATCAGACTGTCCACTCGCCGGATAATGTCTTCGGGCGATTCGCCTCCGGGACAACCGTCACGCCAGATATCCCACGGCGGTAGGCCTTGTTGCTTACGCATTTCGCGGATCTCGGCGGACGTGACGCCCTCGTAGTCGCCGTATTCCCATTCGGCGATGCGTTCGTCGATGGTGACGCGGGCGTTGGTTGTGTGTTGAGGAGGGGACGACGAGGCCGATGAGGCCACTACTGATGAAGACGATTCGGAGTGATCGTTTGTTGCTTTCTGCCACGGGTACGGGTCCTGACAGCCAATGTTGAGCAGCTCGAGGGTGCGTTGCGCCCGTCGTCGCGGCGACACGTAGATATGTACCAGCTGCCGGGGGACGATTAACCGGTCGTCGCCTACCAGTGCCCGTCCCGTCGCGCGAACCCGTTTCTCCCCGTTTTTCGTCAGTGGTATGTCGGTTCGTCCGGTGTGTTTGCCGGAGAGGGACCATTCGGTCTCACCGTGTCGGACGATGAAACAGCGTGGAGTCGTCATAGTACTTAACTACTCCGAACACAAGGTCCGTTCACGTAACCCCTCTAGCAGAGAGCCTTTTGAATTGCTGCGTGTGTGTTTCTTGCCTGCCTTGCTCTTCCGTTCTGCCGAGATTGAGATTGTGTTTCTTTCTTGTCCCGATTGCTTGCTTTTCTCTCTTAGGTATCCACTGCACGGCACCACCAGTGTCTTCCCTCTCAAAGTCTGTCGCGTCCGATTCGTTCGTTCCGACAATCCAGGTGGACGTTCAATGGTAGAGACAGCCGATACCGTCTTACGGTCTGGTTATGGGGTATAAGTTACTGTAGCTCTGCGGTCGACTTCAAATTTCCGCAGTGGTACCCGTACCAACCGCTGAGAATATCCCGTCCAGTCTGCGTTACTGCGCGTACTGTACTTGAAAGGGGGAAGTGGTCTAGGGCGAGCCTGGGAGGTCAAGATTTGCAAAAGACGGGACGGACTCCAGTAAGGTGTTGAGTACCTTGAAAACAGCCCAGGTTTGGTCAATTGAGCATGTGTACCTATGTATCGATATCTCGTCCGCGCTCGCGATTGAGGACCACGGACACGGTGAGATCATGGAGGGGCACAAGCACTCAGCAATCGCCCGCGGCGGGGCGGTGGTTATTGTCCGGACGGCCCGGAGTGGGTGTGGCTGGACGTTGGTTCGTAAGGGGCATCGGAGGTCGTAGTTGATGCTGCCCAAACTCAAGGGACACCGCCAGTGTCTGTGGGCGCCGCCAACGATAGGGGGCTGAGTCAGCGTCATGATTCCTCAATACTAGCAGCACTCACCTCAAAGAACTCTACAACTTGAAGCAGCCTATATAGAATGCTTCTCTGTACAAAAGGGGAACCATGAGAGATATATCCTCCTACGGCTGGAGATGTCCTTTCACACCTACAGCCAGTTCTAAAGCGTGACCGGCTGGCTGTACTGTATCTTATGGTTACTGAATCCACTCTTTACTCTAGTACAATTCGTAAAGCTCACGCTCCCTCTATCGCAGTCTCCCTGAAGAAAGGAAGAAATGCAGGGCAGCCAGGACCAGAAACAAGCACAAAGGGGTTGGGTGGTGTGCTATGACAATGCATAGAATGGCTGCCGAGTCCCTGTCTGCTCGATCCCTCATCAGAAAAGGGGCATGCTCGCCTCGTCCACCGTGGTTGCAGTCAGCATGGTTGCAGACGAGGATATCCTGAGCCGTCTTCGCTGCTTCGCTCCGGCCACCACGTCCATTAAAAATTAAACATTAGTTTTTGTTGCTCTCTTCCATAACAATTGCACCCTTCTATCCCCAATAAACGCCGTCTAGCTCGAGCTATTCAGCATGTTTCGCTCCCTCAGACACTGTGCAGTTCGGTTGCTCGTGTGACCATTCTGCTCACCAGTCAGCTCACTCGTCCAGATGTCAATTCGGGTCCAGACTGTTGTATCTGTGGACTTACTTACCTTAGCTTGTTCAATTCACCGTGGAACCTTCGGCTTGATTCTTGTCATATTTCAAGTGTTCGCTCAACGCTTCAGCGATCAGAGAGTACCCACAGTTCTGCCATCCGAGGTGCGTCGTATGCTCTTGTACAACAAGCGAGCAGGATTTCTCGGCCGAGTAGGTGGACGAGGACGCGGATCGAAGCCAGGACCAAATATCTCATCCAAGCCAATGCACTCTTCATACGTTGGAATGCGGGCGATTCTTCGGGGTGCCATTCCGGGGACGTAGATAGGCTCTGGAGTCGTGATCGTGATAGCTGGCAGAGGAGGAAACACAGGTGCTGGCAGTTGTTGTTCTGTTGCTTGTGCCGCATCTGCCGACGACAATACCGGAGCAGGGAACTGAAGATGAACTGGACTGTCGGCAGGATTTCGTAGCACCGGTTCATCCTCCAGCGAGGTAGTAGCTGCAAGTTCAGTCGCCCACGGTAGCAAAACACGATTTGCTTGCGGCAGAGAACGGTTGTGAATTGCATAGACGGGGCTGGTCGGGATCGCTGGGCCTGGCTCGTCCATATCCATTTCCGGCCACGATGGCATTGGAACAACTTCGTTGTCGGAGAAAGAAGGATATCTCAACCGCCTACCTCTCCGCCGCACTGGTGTTGGGGTCCGGAGACTTGGTGGACTATGAGAACGGACTTTGGTAAACTCGGGTGTGCGTAATGGAGTGAGATTGGCATCTCGCTTAATCTGCTTGTTGCTTCGTCGCTTGTTGAAGGGCCATCGCTTGGGAGGGCTTGGTTGGACAGGGCTGTAAAACGACCCTGCTGCTGAGCAGTTGTCACTGATACCGTCGAGACCGTCTAGCGACTCGTCTTCTTGTGAGTATTCACTTGGTGTGTATTCGAAACCTGGAGAACAAGAGACGACAATCTTCGACGAATCCCGCGCTACCAGTCTTACAGGGCTGAGGAGGAGCGGCTGCTGCTTTTGCCCTTGATTTGCAATTCCTTCTCCGGATCCTTCCTCTTCAGGAGCCGACAAGTTCTCGGGTGATTGTTCGGCCACTCCATCCCAACCCACACCCTGATTGGTATTGGTATTGGTAGTGGTCTGGTCAGTGGTGCCATCTTCTTGCCAATTAGGCGCACTAGTGTCCCAGTTATTTTCCTTTTGATCACCCTTGCTGCTGGCATTGGCATTGCCAGAGTTGGACTCCTGGATCCCGAGGCCAGTACCATTAGAGACGGCTCGTCCTGGTGGCAACTTGTAGCTCAAGAAGTCGAGGCTGGGTGCCGTGACAGGAATAGGCTCATAAGACTGGGTTGAAACAGGTACGGCCGCCGGCTTTGGTGGTGGGCTCGGTATCTTGCCACCCAAGGCACCTTTGGCTCTCAGGACCATTTCAATAAGCTGGGCCTTCTCCATGTTCTCCAGTGCGTTGACATCCTCGTTGGGTGTGGGTTCCTTTGAGACCTCCAAGCCGATTTCTTTTTTGAGCGCTTCTTTGGTCCGATACTTGAACACGAATCGGGCATATGGTTCGTCCAGACTGTCAATGTATTGAGGCACACATCTCTTCTTGGTGTAGATGAACCCCTGCCCAGGCTGGACCTGTTTGGAAGCACCTAGCTTCTCAGCTATGGCCTTCGGGACATCGTATCGTGGTTCTTCTTCCACATCTGGTCCTTTTGCCTTTGCTGTCAAGGCCTTCGATGTGTAATAGGCACCATGAGGGCCATAGAGAGCACGCTTGCCCACTTTACCGGCATTGGAAGTACTGTCATTATTGTCGTTATCCCAGCCTCCACCGGACTGCTTCTCGTCACTGCCTTTATTCTGATCATTATCGTCGTTCTTCTCGTTCTGCCAATCCTCTCCATCATTGGCTGTGGTATCGTTGGTGAAAACGAAATCATTGTTCTCAACAGGCGGAGTCGGAGGTTTGTAGACATTGGCAGTGTTGTTCTTGGTAGCATTGGCCGCAGCTGGGGTGTTGGTCGGCCAGCCGTCGGCGGTGAGGGTCGGGACAGGATCTTGAGTGTCTTTGGGTTTGCTGGAATCCTCTTTCTTTTCCTGGTCAGTCTTGTCTGTCTTGTCGGCCTTGTCGGCCTTGTCAGCCTTGTCAGCCTTGTCAGCCTTGTCAGCCTTGTCAGCCTTGTCAGCCTTGTCAGCCTTGTCAGCCTTGTCAGCCTTGTCAGTCTTGTCGTCCTTCGACTCTTGATCTTCTTTTGGCTTATCAGCCGTGTCGGCTTTTGCTCCACTGGCATCTGCCTGAGGTTCCGAACATGCGACAGCCGTGACAGGCACTGTTGGAACCCGAGTCATGACGGGGATTGGGGCGCGGGTGTGAAAGAGTGGCACATTACCAGGCGGTGGGTAGGTTGGTACCGGACCTGGTCCGTGTGACAAAACTGGGCCTGCAGGGGTTGGGATCCAGATGGGCACGGGATAGTGTTGCGTCGGGGGCTGCGGCTGACCAACATTCCAAGGAGCGACTGGAAAAGGCGGTGGTGGGTAAACCGGTGGCGGATTCGACGGTAGTGGAACATGTTGAAACTGCAGCGGAGTGTGAATTGGAATTGGCACTGCGCCTGGCAGCGGATTGCCTTGCACTGGATAAAACGGATGATGGACTTGGACTGGCTGAGGAATGAAAGGGCCGATGGGAGGGCTATGGGTTCCAAAGACCTCGTGCGGCAGTCTGACTTCAGGGTAGTAACCGTACACATTCCGTTCAGCGTCATACATGTAATGACGATCATCTGATGGCTGAGGCTCAGGATAGTCGGAGTATGGGTTCGGACGGGTATGCTGGTTTGGCTCACGGTAAGCCGGTCCTGGACCAGCTCGACCGTACTCATGGTCGTCTCTCCAAGTGTTTGAACCATGGTAACGCATCTGATCATCGTACCTCGACCGAGAAGATGCGCCTCGATGATGCTGAGGGCCACGACCATCACCGAAATCGAAGTGAACGCGTCTCTCAGGTCGCGCAGATTGGTAATCAATATTCTCATACTGCGGTGCATGTGCAGTGGCTCCATGTGCATGCGGTTGGCGGCCCTGATACTGAAGATTGGGGGTAGCTGGGTAGCCTCGAGCATAAGGGCTGGCCTTATGAGGTGTGTACGGCGTGGATGAACGAGCACGCTCCCAGTTCCACGATGGATAGCTGGGAGGAGGTGCATCACCTGGAATTCCATAGTACATGACGGGTTGTTGATCACCTGAGCCATCGAACAACGAAGCAAGCTTGGCCGATCTCTTCTCCAGGGACGCGCCAGGCGCGGGATCTGTGGCGGACGCCACTCTCCCTCTGTTGACCCGCGCCTGGCGCGGGCCCACCCCGTCCTTGTCAGCAACGAAGACATCGCTATCTTCGCCTGAGGAAGTTGTTGACAGGTTGCCTTCGTCACGTGTAGAGGCTCGGCATCGCAATACTATGACTTCGATGGTTCCAAGGTCACGGAAATGGCCTTCGTCCACGCCATCTGGCAGTTCGGGAACTATCGAAGGAGTTAGTCACAGCCTATTCCTATTTGTAGTGGGAACGAACTGATATTGTAGTCGTCGAAGCGCCACTCACGGCCCACGTATGATCCATCGCCGATAGGCTTCTCTTTTTGCTTCATCACCAAGTCAACCAAAGTTGGGCCTGCGGATGCGTCCTTCTTCGCCGGTCGTAGATTGACTCTGTTACGGTTGCACTGATACTCTCCGTCGATGAAGACTAGCACGGCTAGGCCTTCGTAGATGAATTTTCGAGATGCAAGCCGAATACTGAAGGGTTGAGGATGGTTGGGAATCGCAATGTAAGTCTCGACGACACCGTCCCCGTACTGAGTACCGTACTCGGGAAATGCCGAAGCTGTTTCGGCCCAAAGGACCTGACAGACCAGGTCTTTGAGGACCGGCATGATGTAGACCAGATTTGTTGACAATGAGATGGAAGATGAAGTAAGAAAGAAGATAGAGAATTGTGTGCAGAGGTAGAGACCCAAAACAGAGTGAGTGCTTCAAAAGCCAAGGCCTCTCAGCTTGTTAGGGCTCAAACGACACCTGACTTAGAAAGCGCAGCCGCATTCAACGCATCATCGCATCATCGCATCATCCCAGCCGCATCATCACCTCGTCAGGCGCCCTCTGGAAGTGGTGTAGTAGTGTCAAACTTGCAACAACGGAAGGACAAGGAGCAAAGGACGTGAGAAGGGCGCCATAAACTGATAGCTCCCACCGGGTATGCACTGTGAAACGCGAGAGCCCCGTTTATATATATATATATATATATATATATATGTGAATATAGGTGTTGAGAGTGAACGCGACGTGAAGTTAGAAGAACCCTCCATCCCCAGGTAACAATGGGCAAATACGGCGAAAAAAGCAGACAGATAGGTTGGGAAGAGCGCGTCACTGTACACTGCTGTAATCCTACCTTCACCATCATCACTGATGACTGACACGAGTTTCGCATACATGTATTCAGATATTGTCTATCTAAACAAACAAAACTTGAATCACTGGAGTGTCTTCTATCAAAACATGAAAGGACGTTGTCCAGATCCCAAAAGCGTTAGCGCATGGCTGCCAATGGATCCCTTTCTGTCGATATCTCTCGCTGCTTTACCACAGTTGACAGGCCAGATCTGGAACCACATTTCGCTGAATCCGCTCACTCAAGTTGGTGTTTGGCGCATGCTCGTGTCCAAACACCATTTGATCAATTGCCCCTTTCCGTTCAGCCACAACATACACTGGTCAACCGCGCCCATAGTCCCTCAAGATGACTGCGACAAAGGCCCAGTCGCAGAAAATCTTCGAGAAACTCAAGTCCAAGCCTGCCAACAAGGTAAATCATTTGCCGGACCCTGGCTGCGAGAAGGCCACCTCGCCTCGCCTCGCACAAAGTGGTTCCTACAGTTATTAACGCGTCAGTCTAGATATGTTTTGATTGCGGTCAAAAGAACCCGACATGGTCGTCTGTGCCATTCGGAGTCTACCTTTGTCTCGACTGTTCCTCGAACCACCGGAATCTCGGTGTCCATATCTCGTTTGTCCGATCGACCAATCTGGACGGTACGCTTATATCCATATAATCCCGCCCGCAGAGCATGCATTGACTTCTGAACAGTATGGCAATGGAGCCAGCTACGGACAATGAAAGTCGGAGGCAATGAGTCGGCCACGAAATTCTTCCAATCCAACGGTGGAAGTGCGGCACTGGCCAGCAAAGATGCCAAAGTCAAATATACCTCCAACGCGGCCAATAAATACAAGGAAGAGCTGAAGCGTAGAGCAGCCCGAGACGCCGAAGAGTACATTATACCCGTTCCTCCATCGCCATCTACAAGCAGGAAATATCTAACGATTGCCGCAGATATCCAGATGAAGTTGTCATCACAGACGAGAGCGCATCCACCCCTGCCGACGGCACTTCGACGCCAGCAGGCGAACCGGCCGACGACTTCTTTTCGTCCTGGGATAAGCCCACGATTAAAAGGCCGAGCAATCCTCCATCCCGCAGCGCCACGCCTCCGGTCGTTTCTCGCACAGCGTCCCCCTTCCTTTCTGCTGGCAACACCACCACGAACGGATCCGCTTCTTCACGGCCTAAGTCGCCGTCGCCGCTCGCCGCTGCAGCCAAGGATGCAGAAAACGCCCTTCCCGCCCCGACCGCCATCCGCACGACCTCGTCATCCGCAATCCGCAAAGGCCCGTCTGCGGGCGGTGTCGGAGCGAGAAAAACCAACGTGCTAGGAGCGAAAAAGACCCAGAAACTAGGTGCTAAGAAGGTCGTGGGTGACGAAATTGACTTTGAAGCCGCCGAAAAGGCCGCAAAGGCCGAAGCCGAGAGGATAGAGAAATTGGGTTATGACCCGGAAGCGGAAAAGGCTGCAGACCTAGCAGCAAAGAACAAATCCTCGACAAAAGAAACTCCAGCCGCCGCGACAACAGTGACTCCCCAGGCCAGACCTGTATCTACTTCTACACACACCCGAAGTCCCAGCGAGCTTGAGCGGTTGGGCATGGGCGTGGCAAGATTGGGATTCGGCCAGGTTGGCGCCAACAAGGCGGCTTCCACATCCACGGCACCGGCCCCTAAGAAGCTAGGATTTGGCAGTGTTGGCGCAAGCAAATCTACTGCAGACGGTAAGAGCAACAACATATGTTGCCCTTTAGCTTGATCTATTTGACTCTACCCATTTTTTTCTTCAAGTTCATTACTGACCATTCCCTTCTACAGACGACTCCGAACAATACGCCCGCCAGAAATTCGGCACCCAAAAATCCATATCGTCCGACGAATTCTTCGGCCGCAACTCCTTCGACCCGAACGCGCAGGCCGAAGCCAAAACACGTCTGCAGGGGTTCGAGGGCGCCACGAGCATTTCGTCAAACGCCTATTTCGGCCGTCCCGAAGACGACATGACTGGTCTCGAGTCAGGCGATTACGGCGACCTCGAGACCGTCGCGAAAGATTTCGTCCGTCGTCTAGGCTTGACTGCCGGTGACGATTTGGAGAACCTTATCAATGTCGCTGGTGAAGGTGGTCGAAAGCTGAGGGGGGCTGTCGCGAGGTACTTGAACAGCTGAGCTAAAAAGACAGAGCAAAGCAAGCCTTGAGATGGATGTTTTTTTGCCCTTGTTGTTATGAAGATCCAAGCTTTTTAGGTTCAATCGGTACACTGGCACTTGCATGTACCTCAGGCTGTACCTGTAGTCATTTGAGTGTCAAGGTTGCTTTCTTTTCTTTCTTTCGAGCAACACCCGGACAATATCAAAATCAGCAAATCAGTGTACTACCTGCACAGCCTGTTCATTCACTCTGGCTCTTGTGTTTGCCCTCCGATCCCTCGTGGAAACCTTGAAGGGAGGCGGTATAGTAGTATATCTACGTCGAGCACCCGTCACTGCAGTTCCGTCATACATACCATGAAATCCTACAGCAACCTACAGCTGATGCTTTGCAGCAACAAGAAGGAAAAGAGCTACTAATAGAAACAGAGGCACTGATTAGAATGGTCAAGTGAGCATTTCTAGTTCTACCTAGATTTGCAAGCAGGCTTGATCCTCAAGTCATCACATCCTGTTGAGGATGACTAATAGGGGCACCAGTAGAGAGAATCGAAGCTTGGAAAAGAGATAAATCAATAACTAATGCATGGAATCATCCATTAAGGATACCACCACTAGTGGTCCAACCAGAGTGGGTGTTCATCAACCGGATTGAGCGCAGGTAACGTCGTGTCTGTCAATCAATCTGGAGAGTGTAGGTCATCAAATCGTGATGAAAAGAGTGGCTGAGTCTTCCAAGAGAACTCCAATGATGATGCAACGGGCACTGCCCTAATTGCAGAAACGTCTTCAGAAAAAGACGCTCTTGCGCTTCTCAGCGTTACTGAGCACCAAGCGCGGAGTGTTGCGTCTGATTGGCTCGACTTCCACAAATCCTGTTCCCATCGAACTGCCCTCATCGCTGCTAAAGCTCCTGGCGCTGGCAGGTCCAAAACAGTCGACCGAAGAACGCTCGCGAGACTTTTCCTTGATCTCAGACCCAATTGCTCCGTTCGCAGCAGCTCGCAGACTACCTAGGCTTGGCTTGCTAGACAGAGTGGTGCTACCAGCAAGGACCGAATCACTGTCAGAAGAGACGGAGAAATTGGATTCGTTCTCGCTGCCGGGTGTCCCAGCTCCAGAGCCCGATTGGCGACCGTCACTGCGACGCTCCCGGCCAGCACGAACCAAGTCATGAACAGCTCGACGTCGTTGCCGAGTAGCAAAGTTCTTGCTGCCCTCATGCTTGGAAGTCGGCTTTTCCTGAAGCTCTTGAAGCAGGGGAGGACCCTTGGGTTGTCTCACAGGATGTTCGCCGGCTCTGCCTTGCCCCGGCCCGAATGTGCCCGTGGCAGGAGTTTGCGGAAACCCTGCAGACTTGATACCGGATCCTTTAGTCCATTCTCCTGCAGTCTTGACATTGACAGAAGATATGTTCTTGCGATGGCCGCGTCGGAAAGCATTGGCAGATGGGGGAGGCAGAGGTTCAACATCTTGCCTAGGAGAAGGGGTCGACTTGGGAGGAGTCTTTGAACGAGTCTCGGTCAAGGGATACGATGTTTCGTTGACCTGTCGCTTGTAGCCAGGAGTGGCGGGTGGCGGCGAGATAGAATGATTGCGGCCATGGGACGCTACATCCTGTTGCTGTTGTTGAAGCGAATTGTCCACGACGATGTTGGATTGACCTGTCATGGGGTTGTAGACAGCAAAGACTCCAGGGCTGCCAGGAACGGGCTGAACAATTGGTTGCAGGCCCTGCTGGAACTGCTGATTGTACAGGCTCAACGGAGAAGCGAAGGGAGGTTGGAACTGTTGTCCAGCATTGTTCAACATCCCGGCGTTGAGATTGAGTCCACCCAACTGCTGAGCTACAGTAGTGACGTTCAACAATTGCTGCTGAAGAGCTCGTTGTTGCTGGGCAAGGTAATTGTTGGTGGCAACCAATTCGTCGTACAGGCTCTGATCCATAGTGTGGGCTCCATCCGCAAGGTCAAGAGAAGGAGGTGCAAGGACTTGCTCCGGACGAGAGAACCCTTGGTGGAAGCTGTGGCGATACGAAGGCCGGTTGCTGGGAAAGTGCGTACCTGTAGCGGTCTGCGGCATTTGGCTGCCATATTGCTGGGAGGCGTACTTGCTGGCTTCCAGACCTAGGCCGTTGTTGGCAGGCGGAACCGTGGCCGACTTGGGAGCGGTACGAAGGCCTGCCAGAAGATGACCGCGACTGGTGCGTGGAGTAGCGTTAACCGTGGCCTGTTGAGTCTCATCGATGGTTGAGATCGTGGAAGGAGGGGCAACACTCAGGCGTTTGATATGAGACCCTTTTCCACGAGACGCAAACCCTGGGCCAGAGACACCAATCGAGTTGTTGAAGGGTGACTGATAAGTCATCTGAGCAACACCGCCAGCGTTGATGCTCATTGTGGTTCTAGAGAGTAACGCGTGATTTTCAAATTGATGAAAGTTCGACTTGTATCAATAATGCGAGAAGAGCCCGGACCAAGCAGGACGAATCTGGGCGAAATAAAACAGAGGACCGTGCGTTGTCGACGCGTCGAAGTGAAACTGTAATGAGGGTCCGAGGTTTTGGTGACCGATTAGGAAGCTATTATGTCGTAGTCGTATGAAATCGATATCGTTGAGTAGGTTCGAGATGAAAGATCTGAGGCCTAGGACCTTGAGGATGTGGCAACAGCTGGACCTTCCTACTCAAATGTATTAGCGGACGACCTGCAGAATCCGACAATGATATCGAAACTTACCAGAAGTTCAGGCAGCTGTGACAGAAACAGTGTAGGAGAGATGGTGAGAATGCCGAAGTGACAAACGGTCAAAATATACAAAGCGGTGTGGATCGTGGCAATATGTCGAGGTTATGTGCAGTACCAGCAGGACAGTCGAAGGCTTCGCGTTGATCGGGGTATGATAATTGCACGGCAATGATCGAGTCCAATAGTGCTTTTGAAGCAGAATAGTTGTAATAAACGATTAGGAGTATGGTACCCTGAAAGGTGATCCGAAGACTGAGAAGTGGATGGAATGAGGCAGTTTTCTCGAGCCTGCGCTTGGAGAGGTTCGAGGCCGGATCTTGATTTAGTTCTCAAATGAACCTAGGTAGCTTCAGGCGATTAGGACGAAAACGTGCGAAAGGGAAGGACGACCGAGAGATGCGAGGTAGAAGGTAGAGAAGTTCGAAATGTCGATGCCAGTACCGACGGCGAAGGGAACGAGACGACAGAGGTTGACGATTGACCGTAGGTGTGTACAAGAGAAAGAGGAAGAGCCGAGTCGCAGCAGGAGAAGATATGTTTAGCAGTAGCAGTGACAGCACAAACCAAGTGATGGAAAAGGAATAGACTGCAGTGGTGCCGAAGAAGGTGGATGGTAGGGGGAGTGATTGATGGATGCAGCAGTGGATGAAGGGAGATCGGATGGTGGATTGAAGGGTTCGTGAGGTTCTAAGGGAGGGAAACGAGGACGAATTGGGAGGAAGATGAGCGGAATTGCTGGTGGAGGTGATGGAATGGCTGTCAGCGCCCTGGCTGAGAAGCGAGTGCAGCAGTCTGACTGAATGACTGACCTTCCACATGACTACAAAAGCCCGCAAAGCCCTATAATCCCCCGCCACCTGACAGGGACGTGAGTGGTTTGAAATCAGTCAGACACAACCATTTCAACTTGCGGCCGAGCTGCCACTCTGCCATGCCCCAGTGAGCGTGAGACGCGTTAATTCGCTATGGGCCACGAGCAGCTGCTAGCGGCACTGTTGCTGGCCTCTAGAACCAGTCGCGACCCCCCGATGATTGGCAGCTGGGGCCTGAAGATGCAGGGAGCAGTGGCCTAGGGCAGCCCCCAGCCCAGGCACTGCTTAGGTGCAGTTCCAGGCGAGAGCGATTGGGCCACAGCCTGCATGTTCACTGTTCTGCAGGGGGTCGCGGCGCCTCCAGCACCAACGGCGATGCCCACTACTACTCGGGCCATTTTCCACGTCCTGTCAAACATCCATCTCTTGAAAGGCTAAAAAGAGCATATGAGATGTACAGTACTGTCTTCTAGCTATTCTTGTCCCAGTCGATAGAAGCTTGGGATCAGGTACCTACCTAGGTAGGTATCATAACCACCAAAATCTTAGCGGAACTGCGAAGAAACGACCTCTGTATCTCACCCCAGTAGATGTTTCACCCACGTTGGCTTCCATCAGCTTAGCACTAACAATTCGCCTCCTGGGGAGACATATGTATACACTAGGTACGCTACTACTCCCTATGTCTAGTTCGTCTTTATTACCCGGAGCTTTTGGTAGACTACGGCTACTGTCAAGGTTTGAGGGTCACGCGAACACAGCTACATGGTCCAGGAGAAGGCCTGTTTTCTCCACAGCTCGCTGGATATGGGCGACTGCTATGTACCGGCTTCTCCATCGTCCTGGCCCTACGAAGGTACCCTCCGGGCGCATACAACAAATACAATCCTGCGCATATCTTGTTTATTATTGTGGGCCACAGGATCTGTCGCTTGTTTGGGCACGGACACTAGAGAAAAGCCATGACAGCGGCCTGATCTCAACTGACGGTGCCAGCTCTGTGGGTTTCGCGAGGGAGCCGAAATGAGCTTGAACTCTGGGCCGAGCTCGTGGCAGCCTTATTAAGCCACCAGGATTTGACCATCTACCCGTTCGTATTTACATGCATCTGGCGACGACATTATTCCAAGGTTGTTATTTTGTCATTGTTCTGATGGGTATTCTACACGGGCGAACAGATGGAAATTGCCTGTTATCTGGCCCTCCCAGCCATGCATACTAGTCATGACATCGACAGTAGTATTCTTAACTGGCGTACCTAGGTAGCGTTCCTCCTAGATTATATCACAATCGTCGTAGCAGTGAAGAACGAGCAACAAAAAGAGATGCCGTGAGCTGCAGTGGTGGTTCGCTTAATGAGTTGAGGATTCTCTCTGATTAACTCGTAGAATTTCATAGCACAGTCAATTCTGACTCCTCCGCTCTGCTATTGTACAGCCTGGGTCTTGATGTACATCCACCGGTTCTTGATTCGCTTTTTATACCACTCGCCACCCATGCTTCTTTTGGTGAAAGCTATGTTAGAAATTGTACATGAAGTCTTTATTTCTCCGTGTCTCGCTTCGTGACACCCGAATTGCCTCTCGCATCATGCGCCGCCCGTGGGACGATGTCGTCTTCCGGAATGGTGCCGTCATCAGCCGCCGGGGAAGGCTTGGGTTGGCTTACCGGAGACGACTTCTGGCCTTCCGTTATGTTTTCTCGCTCAGGTGACATGGTCGGGTCATCATGGATCTTAACCTTGGACGGTTCCTGCGGCGGCTTTGAACTCTGGGTATGTGTCGACTGAGTCTGCTTGTCGTCGGATCTTGTCTGCGTCTCTTGACTTGTAACAGATTTCTCCTGCTGGGGTTCAGTAGCTGGCTTTTCTCCCGTTTGCGCAGGCTTTGACGGTGCTGGTGCTGACGTCGGCTCTTCCAGCAGCCGATGCTGCGATTCTTGTTGCCGTTGCTGCTGTTGAGCTTTCCGCTCCTTGATCTCGTTGACCAACTCTTGTTTCTCCGCCTCCAAGCCAGCGTCTAGCTCTTCATCATCTTCCAATTCTCCCTTGTAGACTTCAGGATATCTCTGGAAACATTGTTGCATGTTTTGGAACTTGTCGATACAGTCCATGCCCTTGGGCTCTTCGGTCGAATAGACGAAGCATGAAAATGCCTCTCGGAACTCGGGTCCGCAGGGACCATGGGCCATGCCACCTAGACATGGGCAATCCCAATTGATCTCGCCGGTCTCCGGGTTGAATGCGCCCTCGTTGGCAGCTTCTTCCTCTAGCTCCCCCGCGGATCCTGTGGAGATTGGTTCGTTTTCCTGCGCCGCAACCGACGTGGATGCATTTTCAGACGAGACTGTATCTGCAGCGGCGTGTAGGGCAGCCGAGTTCGACTGCGTTTGTTGCTTACGGCGCGAAGTCAATGCTTCTAGGGGCGATTCTTCGGGAAAAGTCTCTTCCACGGCTTCGACATTGGGGTTCAAGAGATCTGTTGCACAAATTGTCAGATGAACTGGTGACAGGCACAACTTCCAAGTATCAAACATACTATGCTGCGGCTGCTCAGCGAAGACGGGACTTGTATTGTAATAGTATATCCCAGCAATCGCAATGCCCCATCTCAAGAAAGTACTTTTCCAACTCCTTCGCGCATTTACCGGCGATGTGCTCACAAATCGTCTTCCAGCAACCGTCCGCGGCGCTATGAGATAAGGTCGAGGTGCCGACTGCACTAACGATCGAGCGGCTGGTCGAAACATGATTAAAGAGGTTTAAAACTTATTTGTTCCTCTTCAGGGATTCGAAGGCGGACGACACATAGTAAAACACCTTGAGTCGGAATGAATAAAATGCAGGCAAACTTTTGTAGCGAACAACTTGAATGTATGAAGACTGCCCGATGCTTGATGTAATGCAATATTATTAATGGGCGGGAGCTCCGAATTTCTGGTCACTTCGATGGCTTGTGTTGCGCCGTACCGCAAAGATTATTACGGTAGATCATTTAGGCAGTTCTAGAAGCAAAGCTCGGTACAGAACTTCAGGCACTCGAGAGACAACCATATATGCACAAGAGATGAACATCTCCACCCTTCCACAACAGCGTGGTACGAACCGCACGTCATTGGAGCAAACTTGAAGCTGTAGCGACGCTTCTCCCTCGTTCATCCAACCTCTCCTTGTACTCGTCCAATGTACTCCTTTTCCGCCCTCAAGCAAAGCTTGTCAGTGAGATAATGCGACCAGGGGTCCATAATGAACTGAATGCTGGCCTTCTCCCCCACGTGAAAGACACGAACAAGGAAATACACATTCGCTGGGATTCCTGTGCCCTCGCCCGTGGAGATCGAGTAAGTGCGCGCCATCTTCACTTGTGCATTGCTAAGCGAAAATTCGGAGTTGAGCCCTCCTGTGGTTGTTTTGACATCGAGGTGGTATACAGGCGGTTTTATGACCCACTTCGCTGCCTCCGGATAGTTCTGCGCGAGGTAGCGGGTAAAGAGTTTTGACGTGTCTTCCAGTGTAAAGCTGGCATAGATTTTGGCCTTGCCCTCGCTATTCAGAATTGTGACGAATGGCTTGTATCCGTCCCGAGTTCGTAATGGGCTCGTCCAGTGTGTGTTGGGATCATAGGCTGTGCCGAGCATGCGGCTGAGCTCTTGTGACACCTTGCTCTGGCCAGCATACTCCAACTTGAAGGCATCGTCCTTGGGTGGTAAGGGAGCTTTCCGGAAGAATCTGCTCCTAATCCGGGCGCTCGCTGATAGAGAATTTCCTTTCTTTTCGTCGCCTCGGATAGTCGATCCAGACCCAATTGTAGTTCCAGACCATGTCGACCCAGCGTCAGATCTGACGGATTTGGCGTCGGACGCCCCATCGTCGTGGTAGTCAAAATAAAGATCCTCTCCTTTTAGAACGGACGCCTTCTCTGCGGCTGGAAATCCCAAAGTGCTGTCCGGGCCATGATGTATCACAGGAGTGCCCCCGAGGCCTACTTCTTTCATGGGACCAACCGGAAGGAACATCCGCACTATATCTTGTTTCAAGATGATTGTTCTGTATTTGCTGCGTGTAGGAGTTCGCTCTTGTTTCCGGGGATCGAAGTCATCGGCATCTTCGACTTCATCCGGGACATCGTTGTCAAGATTCAGTAGGGGCACTCCGTGCCTCTGAAACCATTCGTGGATCTTCTGTAGGTTCTCCGTCAGAGTTATTGTGAGCAAAAGTGATTGCCTGTCGTCAATGGTGCAAAAGCGTGCGAGTGCTTCCACCAAGTCGGCCGGAGTCTTATTTTCTTCGAAGTAATTCTCGGTGATAAAGATCTTGAGTGTTTCGTGTTGGGTGGAGAGTACTACGCTGCCATCGCTGGAGCGACCAGGCAAGGTGTCCGTTCCGATATTGACAGCCCAAGTTTGGACGACCTTTGGCGTCGAGAACACCTGCAAAGCTTTTAACTTGTCGATTTTCTCCTTCTTTCCGCGTTCTTTTTGTGGAATCAGCCTGGGGAAGTCAAAGGGTTAGTCTTCATCGCAAAATGAGTGACTGGTGATGGTGAAGTCATGTATATAGTTGGTGAAGTTGCAATAGACGTTTGCCATACCTCGCAATCAATTCAGCCCTTGACCGTAGATCTTCTTGTAAGGTTAGATTTGGGTATGCGACATCCACATTTTCTGCGATGCTTATGACTGCCCGAGTGAGCTTCCTCCTCTCTGCCCCAAGTTTTTGTATCAGAAGAGGCATCTTCAGGACATCCTCGACGCCGAAGGCCAATAGGGGAACAATTCCTTGGAAGCTGTCAAGAAGATGTGCTCGATCAGCAATGAACCATGGCGTCGAAGACTTAGCACAACCCAGGAAGTCCCAGTCTCCCGCATCTTTGGTCGTGTAAATAGGCCAGATAGCATGCGTCAGAAGTGAATCAACGGCAGTACTTATTTCGTCCTGCTCGAGATGCTTCTCCAGTTGTAGGAATAAACTCAAGATGTAGGTGAGCGGATCTCCTAGGTTCATAAATTTAACCTCCCGGACCACGTCAGAAACAGTGGCGTCAGGGACCAGGAAAAAATCGCGGAAGAGCCTCTGGCACGACGGATAGATGTTTTTGAGGGGCACAAAGAGGCGAAGACATGCTGGTCCACCCCAAAGGCAGTCCCCGACCTTTGCCCATCGTGTCGGCGTGCTGCTGGGTATGCAGATGAGCGGCTTTTTTGCGAAGGAGTTTCTGTGCTGATGTTAATGACCTCCTCTAAGAAAGGAAGAATCCCGCATAGGGGTTACATACCTTACAAGTTCTTCGTCATCGGCATACCTGGCTTGGATCTGCTCCAAGAGTAATGCAGCGCGGTCAACAGCTGTCTGTTCCCTACTTCCGCTCATTGACTCCAGGCATCGGAGGTAAAAGCGGACATCGCCTTCGACCCCAAGCCCGAGAACAGCTAGCCTCCGCCAACGTGGATCAAGAGCATCATCGACTTCCACGAAAGGGACTTGACCCTGGGCTTTCTCCACGAGCTCAGGTATGGACAGAAAGACGTCCCGGAGTGGCTTCATAATGCCACCATGACACCGTATCTGTGACTGTCCTAGCTCATTTCTTAGCCGCTTTCGGCAGGGCTCGTCAATACCGCTGCCGACGCAGTCACGGTCATCTTCAAGCCATTGTGAGTAGTGGTTCCAGTTATCGCGTAAAAGGATCAAGAAGTCCTTTGGTTCGTTGTATCTTATGATAAACTTGAAGTGGGAAGACAGGCGCAAGGACGTGGGTTGTTTCGGAATGGGCTCAGCCAATCGCGGAAGTGTTGACAAACCAGCAACGTGCTCAAGCCACTCATACCACCGCGCCCCATCCTCTCCGCCAACATTCTCGTAGTCGGATTGAAGAAATGGGATTTCAGGCCTGCCAGTGAAGTAGTGACTCGCTGCGAACGGTTTGTCGGAGTGCAAGTATACCTCGTCGCCGTGAAAGCGTGCAGACCCTAATCCAGTGGCAAACCAGAACTTTTTTACCCTGTAGTCGTCGACTCTGGCGTGGAAGAGAAAGGCAGCTTGAGAGATCAACTGTGCGACCGTCATAGCGTATGGATTGAACGATTCCTTCATGTGTTCGCGGATGATGCCATAGGCGATGGACTCTTTCCCAAGAACCTTGAGCCCGAGCTGCAGGTACAGTGACCGTGTTGTTGGATTATTGGCCGCACCTTCACGCACCAGCGAGAGGCGAAAACCTTCTGGCGGACGGCAGCTTTCTGCCTCTTGCGGCAGGAATACATAATCTTCCTTTGCAGAGACCCAGCGACCATCGCTCAGGGGAATAACAGGCAACTCGGCGATACGGTCATGATTGGCTGAATCAAACGATAACTTAAGCAAAATTTCTGCAAGCCGTGTATGCCAACCGTCGGGCTTTTGTTCGCGGAAAAGCTCACTATGTTGGGTTATGAATGACGCCAGATGGTCCAAAAAGATAGAGGCGGTCATCTTTCGTACTCCCAACACTTCCAGATTCTCCGTCAAAGAGGTGGGGTATACACAACTCAGATAGGCGCGATCGCTTGTCGGGGTTGAAGTCATAGGCACACCTTCTTTGTCGCAGAACTCATCTGGAACGTCGAGTAAGGAGCAAGGCGTCATCAACTCGTTAGTTCTGCATCTCAAGACAGGCTCTCGTGAGAGTCTCTCAAGGATCTCTTTCCTTGCTGACTCAAAGAACCGCGTCTGAGACGGCCTGAGCGGGATATACTGGGGCCAAAGGTGGCTTATCCGGCCCTGGCAGTATTCCTTTGTCACAGCCACGAATGCATCCACGAAGGCCTGTCTAAGCGCCTGGTTCCATTGCGGGTAAGCCAGAATTTCTTCTCTGTTGGCCGACAGCAAGAAGTCCGCTTGGAGCAAAAACTATACATCGTCAACAAAAGGATCAGAGGCAGCTAGTCACTGCTTACCTTGAATCCGTAGTCCCTGACCGGAAGAAAGGCATAGACCTTCTGTGATTCTATCGCTTCTGCCCCGTTGCAGTCGGGAAAGGCGAGCATGATTTGGGAGGACCTGGCTCCAGGTCGCTTGGGCTCCGCGGGGAGATTTTCGGCCAAGTAGGAGCTGACCATATACCGGAGGGTCTTGTGGTCCTGTGTCAACTCAATTGCTGTTTCCTGGTCATTCCTTTGTAGTTTCTTTGTTAAAGTCGTCTGCCACACTGGCCCAGCTCGATGGATGACGATTTTGACTTTCTTCAAGCGACGGAGGAATATGAGCATACGGGGGTCGAAAGTCTTTAGATCGTGCAGGAGTTGCTTCTCTTCATATCCAGGAGACAGTTGAAGGAGCATTGATGTCCAGGATGGGTCCGTCGGCTCTGGAAAGGCCTCCCAGATAGGTGCGATCATGCCTAAGACATTTCTCTTGTCGAACTTGAAAGTGTACGAATTGGATGAGATCCAAACGATGTCTGCTGCTTTGAAGACCGACTTGAAACCGATTCCTTTCTCTCCGACGTAACTGCTGGCACGGTCCTGTCCAGCCTTGGTGCTGCTACCAACCCTGCAGATGGCCTCGACATTCTGTGGGCTGAAGCCACGCTCGTTGCAGTCAATTCGTAGTCGACGGTCCTTGTAAGTTAACGTGATTTCTGGCTCGGCAACAAGGTATTCATTGTCGTCTGCATTTTGGATCAATTCTAAAAGAAAATGGGTTGATTTATGATATAGCTCATCGGCCAACCTGGAACTCTCATCAATTCACCGGACGGTCTGCTTGGCGTAAGAATATACATACGTGTGGAGAGCATTCTCAAGGTTCTGCACGTTTCGGCTTGAGTCTTGGCCATTGTCAAGTCCTGCTTCCTTACGAATCGCGTCGACATGTTTGCGAGCCCTATCAGACTGGTCTATATGGGGGCTGCCCATCTTGTAGTGTGTCGATCGCGGAAGACAACGGTCGCAAAGAGGAGAGTGCAGTGGTACAAGCTCTATAAACGCACTGACTGACTCACTCTGTAGCTGGTGTCGATTGTAAGACTGGAAGTGGATATTCAAAAGGCAAGCGGCTTGGTAGGGCTGGTCACAGGACACCTCCTAAGCCTTGGGCGAGGCTGTGCCTTTTGTTTAATACCAAGGAGTGGCACCAGATCCTCGAGAGAAGCCCTTTCCTCAAGGCTGAGGACAGCGTAGCTTCGGCCAGCAGAGCTTATCAACACAGGCTGGTGCGCATCATACAGATATTTGAGAGCCTGATGCGACGTGGGCAAATGACGACAACATGGATGTAGGGAGTAGAAGCACAACGCAACACCGAGACATATCTGTCTTGCCCGCCCGGACTTATGTCTGTGACTCATGAATGGAATAGCACGGGACTTGCTGCATATATCCCAAGTTGGGATGCGAACCAGCAGATTCAAATGCGAACCAAGTGGTTAGCCAGTGATCGGGCCGATATAGGCACCACTAGGTCCGTGGCATAGGCAAACAACAAGCAATATGGGGACGGTGCGCAGTGCTTTGTACACAGTGATCACGGCGATCAGCTGCCATTATTGCCGTGCTTGAGCTGCAAGTTGTAGAGCATTGGAGCAACGGGTGGGAGGAGATTGGATAGGTCGATCCAATTGTCCTCATGTACAACGCAGATGTGGGCGCCCAGTGGCATTGGCAGTGGCAGTTCGCCTTGCAAGGCAGAAACTTGGCAGATGAGATACAGGTACGCGTCCGCCTTTGGATGTCAACGACGCCGCTCTACGGGGAATTGCACGTGATCTAAGCAGACACCAGCCACTAGTCCTGATCAGGAACTCTCTGGAACAGCGGGATTTCTTGTTCAAACTCAGAATTGACCTCCGAGTCTCTGCAACACTTCTTCGAACCATCGCATTATTTTAGCGACATCCTTCTCTTTCCGTGGTCGTCCTTTCCCGCGACGAACCTAGGGAGACTTTCTCTGCTTGTCGCTCGAATCATGGAGAAAGAGGTCGGTATTTGCGTGGCGTGGGGCCCCCCGGGCCTTCACTCAGATCAAGGCTCGTTAAGAGGCGTCGGGGGGCCTAAAGACGCTTGATAGGCCATGTTGCTGATTCTGTTTCGGCCCCCTGCCATACTAGTAACCGCCGGCGGTGCTCAATTCAGTCTGGCTAGGGAGGCCCTCACAGGACATGGTGCGGCGGCCTCAGCTTCACCGGCAGTGTCGCTCAGCAGCCTGTCCTACAGCACAGAGTCTCTCGTCGCCGCCAGGTCAATGACATCCTCGTGGCATGCTTTATTTTGATAGGGAAGCAAACGGGCGTAATTTGCTGCGGATTTGTTTCGAATCAATCGCCCATTTTGACAAGCAATCATGCCTCGCAAAGGTTCTCGCGCCTCGAACTTTGACGATGAGATTGACGACGGTCTAGAAGGCTTGCGATTGCGCCCGATCCACCCTCAAAAACAAGAGTCTGCCTCAGATGCTCCCCTACTGCACCATGAAGACAATTCGACTCAGTCTGAGATCGGTGTATTTGGTACTACACCACACAATTCTCACGCACAAAGGCAACGTCGGGGAAAGTACGCTGCTGTACCAGATAGCGATGTTGTCGAGGAGGCTGGCCATGATCGCAAACAACCGGAGGCGACTACATCGCACGAATGGAGTGATAATCGGCCCCGATGGAAGCCATACTCTCTCAGATGGCCTGCTTTATTGTCTACTCTCATCATCGCCCTGGTGCTCGGGATGCTCGTTATCTTTCTCCTCGTGTATTCCACCGTGCATGATGGCCTTGGTGACGACGATGGAACCTCCGTAGTGCTCTTCGGGTGGCGATTTGCTCCGACGCTCATCACAGTGCTGTACGCAATTCTGACCGCAATCATTTTCAAGGATGCTCGGCGAACTGAGGCTTTTGCGCGAATGTCCCATGAATCAGGTTCCTCCTCGACTTCAAGCTTGTTCATGAAGCCTGGACAGTGGTGGGTCATCTTGATTGACAGTTTTCAAAGACGAGAGAACCATGGCCGCATCAACTATTTCCTTCTATCTACAGTACTCGTCAATGTCATCAGCTTCCTCCTGATCAACCCTTTGTCATCTGCATTATTACAAAGCCAACCAGTGGAGCTAATCTCCCAAGTCCCCTTTTCGCGATATGAAGTCTCCGAGACTGAGCCTATCAATATGGCGGGCAACGACATTGTGTACTTTCGAACGATCGGAAACATCCTTCAGAATCTGACCACATCCGCCTGGTTGACGGACAAATATGCTGTTGTGCCATTTTCGCCTTCGTCACGCGCTATCGACTTGGGAGTCGCGGCGACCAAGAAACCCCAGACATGGCAGGCCAACACGACCGTGCTATCGATAGATCTCGACTGCGAGGCAATGGATATCCGAAGAGCCATATGGTTTGAGAACTCCACCAAGAATGGTGTGACATATTACCGGTCTCTGTTGCTCAGCGATAGCGGAGGATGCGAGGCTGGGATCAGCGGATATAACCAGTACATGGCTTACTATGGCGGAGGTTCTTGGTTTTCACCGCCACATGTTGTCTCAACGGTATGGGACGACAACGACTCAAGCCGGTACTATAACTCTACGCAAGCCTGTGCCGATCGACAAGTTATACTGTCCACCAACGGCACCTGGCAGGGCGCTAGATCAGACACCTGGAACGACGGTTTCAAGGCCGCGGCATGGTCGTGTCAAAGTAGCTTTTACGTTGCCGAGATGCCTGTCACGACTACCACAGGAATAAGTGGCACTGTGGTCGATGTTGACGACTCTCTGTTCGCGGCTCAACGCAGTCTCGTGTCGCCGCGCATTCTTGACCAGACTCGCTTTGAGACTGCTTTTCTGGCTCGCAACTGGACAAGCATGATCTATTCCCCTGACATCGACGCGGTGCCGAATTTTGGGGGCGCATCAGCCCTGCTGGCTGCTGCATACGATCTGGATCCCATCAGCATGATACAGGATGGCGCTCTTGGCGAGACCGCTCGAAGGATTAAACAACGGTTTTTAGGCGAAATGATGGTTGCAAGTATATCTGCAAACACAGCATCTCTGCAGACTGGACAGGTCACTGAGAGTCCACGAAGGGTGGTGGTCAACCTTCCCATAGCAGTCTCGCTGGCCGTGCTTTTCATCGTGGCAGCCGGTCTGACCGCTGTAGCTTTGTTTGTGTCAAAGCAGCGCCCTCTGAATCTGTACAACGATCCGGCGTCGGTGGCGGCCGTGGTCAAGCTCATCGAGGGCAACTCGGTCCTTCGCGACTGCTTCAAGCCACAGGATGCCAGCCGCGGCGACGCGGGACACACACTGGACAACACAACGCATTACTTACGCGACGGACTACTCCTCTCGGTCAAGACAGTTGAAGATCAACCAGGTAAGAACCTCCCGTCTCATGGACGGTATAGCGATGCTGATGTGGGCAACAGAGGACATCCCCTCTCCGACAGAGACACCCCGGGATTGGAGGCCCTTTGCCGTGCGGCGACTTGGTGGTAGTCTGTTGCTTTTACTCTTGACCGCAATGCTGGCTGCCATTCTGACCCTCTACGTACTGGCACGGACGACCGGCCTTTATGAGAGCGCCTTCACGTACCAAACCAACTTGCTCTCTTCCAGAAGCAGTCTCTTCACATTTGCACCTTATTCGATAGTGCCCACTTTCCTTGCCGTCCTGGTAGGCCTATGGTGGGATAGCCTGGACGAGACTTTCCGCAGACTCCAGCCTTACGTGACGATGGCGCAAAAGCCGGTGCCAGCTACGCCCAATATTGGCTTGTCATACGTGGCAACGCATCCCCTTGGCTCCATGGTCAAAGCGGCGAGGAACAGCCACTGGCTCGTTGCATTGGTCTCGGCCGGTGCTGTCTTGGCTCAAGTTCTTACGGTGTCCATGTCAGCCTTGTGGCAGAGAGCTGACGGATCTCGACCTGGTGACATTGGTCTGGTTCGCACTCTGGAGCCGAGAACCCAGCCATTCGTCTATGTATATGCTGTGGGCAGTTCCATGGGCGGAGGCGACCCGGAAGGGCAAAATATTCTCTCCAGCTTTTATGGCGACCTGTCGACCAACTGGCTGTACTCGGCAACATTGCAACTTGCATATAACGGATCAGAACCGGTCTGGAGCAGCGATGGATGGAGCTTTGTGCCAGTAAATCTAACTTCGATTCGGGATTCACAAATGTACCAGGATACGCCCTCTTCATCTACCAATGGGACTGGCGGATCTGTGAAGAGTGTTAATGTCACCCTGATAACGCCAGCTTTACGAGCCACCGCGGATTGTAGCGCTCTGGATTCGACGACAAACCTGTCGAGCTGGACGACCGAATGGGACCTGACCGATCCAGGAGTGTGGAATGTGTCGACAAATCCGACTTCTCTGAAGAAAGGAATTGAGGTCAACAAGGAATACGAGCTCGGTGCTAGTGCTGCGCTATCGACGACGCCAATCCTGAGCCGGGCAAGGACAATTGTATGTTGCGCGAATTCATCGGGCGATGGCCACGACTCGGCGGCTATTGGCTATTGGTCCAACAATTATGGACAAGGCCTGCAATATGACTTTGAGACCTCCTCGGGCCCATATCCTCGTAACTTTACGATGAAGTGGATCAAAGGAAACGCCCTTCAAGATGACTATTACATGAACTCGACATATGCGGAATCCGAAACCATGGAATCCCACGATTTCAGACATCTAATCTGGAGAGAAGGCCCGACAATGACGGCGCTTAATTGTCGCCCACGGATAGAATGGGCCAACGCCAGTGTGACGGTTGACATGAGTACCGGCCGGGTGTGGAAATACTCGGTTGTCGACGCTCCAAAGACTGTTGGTTGGCCTTGGACTGACGTCTATCAAAGCCACAGCTACACCCAACCGGGGGACGGCGTGGACAAGGGTGTCATTCACGACCAGGTTACGGTCAGTCCTGGAGTGCTGTTTCAAGACGCGTTGATGTTTGCTGCGGATCTGCAGAAGTTCTGGCCCGCCGGCGGAGCTTCCTACATCCATACGGAAAATCTGGATGACAAGAATTTCAACTTCCGTCTTCCTCCTCAGGGACTCAATGTCGATCTCATGTCATATTCCATGTATCAGCTTGCCCATGGTGATATGGATGTGCTGATGGATCCATCGCAGATGGAGCAGCTCGGGCAGCGAGTCCTGGCGACGTTCTTCCAGCACTTCATTTCTTCAAACGTCTCGGCTAGTGGCGGTTGGGGATTTCAGCAGATCGGAGCTACTCTGCCTGGAGATCTCGGAAACATCACGCATGACGTCCTCAACCCGGGTGACTATCAAGACCAAAACACTACTCTAACTTCCGACACGAATGCTCCGGCCCATGTGGAGATCGCCGTTGAGGTTCTTCAGATGTCACCTGTGGCGGTATACATTTCCATGATCATTTTGTTGATCCTGTCACTGGTCACACTGCTGGTGTATCTGGTGGGATATCGGCATTTAAGGAAATTGAGGTACGATTTTGACGATCTGGCAAGCGTCATCAGTGTCGTCTATGATAGCACGAAATTGCAACGCTGGGTTCAGGACCATCCTGATCCCAAGGATTGGACGCGCAGAACGGCCGATGGGCAGGTCCCGCGTGTTCAGCTCGGCCCGTTCCCTGGCAGTACGGGACAGGAGATATGGGGGATAGAAGTTGTTGATACCGAGCAGCGGCAGACTTAACTTGAGAGTGGGTATCCCACGAATTTACGACAGAGATGATTTTGGTTTGCGATTGAAAAATCGTTGTGCTGGATTTCTCGGAGATGACGAAGCATACGCCTGTCTGGAGGGCCAAGGTGATTTGCCGTCGAAAACGAGGAGGTACCGGGTAGCCCAGTTTATTGTCCGACCGTATATGCCGGACTGTGCCATGTTGGCCCGACGTCCCATACATAGTCCAGACCCAGCTGAGTAACTCTAGTACAGCCCCGATTGTGGTGGACAATTCTTAGGAGTACGACCCGGGGCTCAGAAGGGTACTTATAGGTATACGGCGGACTGGTAGTAGGTCATTACAGTCAGCCTTGCGTGCCAAGAACACCGGGTCCCACTGTCCTCCACTTCCAGCCTCGACCACGACCTGAGATATCAAAGATGGATAGGACAAGGCTTCCGCTTCCCGTCCGAGCCTACATATACTGCAGTGTATCTACTACCGTCTAGACAGCTGTCTTCCTGTCTACTTTACTTAAATTTACCGAGAAGGAATTATTTACAACACATCAACAAAAGTCCAAAATAAACGATATATCGCAACGATTTGCATTTTTATCTCGCTCCAACCACTTTAATACATACCGTTCAAGCTAGGTACCCACGGCACTGGACCCAGTTACACAAAGACAGATCAGTTGGGTTCCAGTTGGCCTGTGCCGATTGGGAGAGAGGAGAAAGTATCACACAAGAACATCACAGCAATTGATCTGATACTGGACACGATATTCGATATCTCCACCTAAACAACATTGGTTATTATATGCCTGTATATCTACATCTACATCTACCGTGCGGGCTACCGTGATATATACACATACACATATACCTGTATCTTGCTGGCGGCAGACCAGGAGCAGAGCAGAGCAGTGCAGACAAAATCTTTGCCTTACTGCATCGCATCACGACCAGTCAACTAACAGACTCGACGGACACGACAAGCCTTACTGTGCTTCTCTCTCAGGATACAACTCAATCTCAATATTTCCCGTTGGACGTCCAGCAAAGCAAACCATGCAGGATCGCGATAATCATTCCTCTTCAAGCTCGGAACCCAGCTCTTCTAAGCCCGAGTTATCAACGACAAGTTCAATCCCAGCGAAGGTGGTCTCTTCATCCGCCGCTGCACCACCAGCTACCGATTCTAATACCACCACTGCTCCTCCTCCAGTTAGTACGAACACTACAGTACCAGAATGGCACCCCACAGGCCTACTGTCCGGCCACCCAACCCGCCCCTACGCCATCATCATCCTCAACCAACCCATCAACTACAAGGCGTTAGACGCCGTGATCGACCATGCAGATCTACTCGTGTGTGCGGACGCCGGTGCGGACAGATTATATAAATACCATCAACAACAACAAGACCAACAACAGCAACACCTCCCTCTCCGTCCTCAGACGCGTCCCCATATCCGCCTCCCAGACGCCATAGTAGGCGACCTCGACTCCCTCAGCCCCCAAGTCGAACATCACTACCGCGCCCAAGGTGTCCAAGTCATCAAAGACCCGAACCAGTACTCTACCGATTTCACGAAATGTTTGAAATGGATTCGACGGACCGTAGAACACTCTCAGCAGTCGTCCCTCACCCTCGCTGGACCGCAAGAGTGCGAAGTCGTCATGGACGTCGTCGTCCTAGGCGGTCTAGGCGGCCGCGTCGACCAAGCCTTTTCCCAAATCCATCATCTCTACATGGCCTCGAACGATTCTGACCTTCTAGTCGGGAGGATTTATTTGTTGTCCGAGTCGAGTTTGTCGTTTGTTCTGGCCGAACCAGACTCCGACAGCACCACTCCCTCTTCTTCTACCACCACCACCACCACCTCCATCCTCAACATCATCCATGTCCCCGAATCCAAACAAGGCTTTTCCTATTTTGAAGAAAACGTCGGCATCATCCCCGTCCTGGGCCGCTGTCACATCACCACGACGGGACTCGAATGGGATGTGGAGGACTGGCCTACGGAGTTTGGCGGTCAAATGAGTACGAGCAATCATATCCGATCAAACAGAATAGAAATCGCGTTTCAGGGGCCTAGACCGTTGTTTACTATGGAATTGGGGAGAAGGTTTCGACATTGCTAGTACTATGTACTACCACTAGTTAGAGCAGGAGGAGAATAAAAATGAAAACAGAGGCAAGAACCAAACCGCGGTTGGATTACTACGATTCTTATCAGTCTAATTGATTCTTTCTTTATTCACTCCTCACTGTGCCAAATGATGCCATGTCTTTGGCGTTCCATCTGCCGCTCAGGGAGCACACGCTGCTAGCAAGTCCCAGTACAACTGAGGCACGGGTTTATTTCCCGCAACATACGTTCACTTTCGCGTCCCTGGGTCATCTTGACTGTAGCTGTCTGCGGCACAAACCGCTCAGTGCTATGGCTATGGTATCTTCCCTTCACGTACATGAAGTGCACCGTCGGGATGTCGACGACCTCTCCCATACACCAATCCTTAGCTTTGGCGGCCTGTCCGGAGTCCTGGGTAGTAAGGGGTGCCTATGGGCGCCCGCATTGGACGTTGCACATGGTGGATCCCAATGGAGGTAATACAGACCTGGTGGTTCCCTGGTGGTTCGGAACGGTCCTGTGCTGATGGAATAGGACATCGTCTTACGCTGGAGTGTCGCTCGGTGTATGACATCGCCGCAGGAATTGTCGTCGATGCTCTGGATCATGCATGCCACCAAGGTGGCTTGTAGCTCTGGTTGGGTTTTTTACGGTTGCGATACTCGCTGCTTCATGTCCTGTAACGGCCGGAAAGGCCAATCAGCCTGGCTTCTTGGATTGCAAAGAACTCTTCTCGGAGGTTGATGTGCGGAAATTATCGTCGTTTTCATCTCCGCCATTCCCACCACGTCGAGTAGATTTTTTGGGGCCATACCAGTCCACATCTTTAAGATTGAGTCTCCTTGCACGGGCGGTGTGCCGTCCTGCTCTCTCGGCTCGGCTAAGAGTCCGGTCGAAGGGATCTGGGCCTGGTTTGAGTCCTTTAGTATTGGGGTTCCTTTGTAACGGGGGTTGCATAACAGGGCCTGAAGAAGGGGATCCATTGGGAGTACCATCGTGTTGATCATCGTGCAGATCATAGTTCAAGACCAGATTCTTGATGCGCTGTTGTTCCTCTCTTTCGGCTGCTTGTTGCGATTTCATGGAAATCGCGAAACTCGAGTCGGATGGTAATTCAATCGTCTTAGTCTGCTCAATCACCTGTCAGTTTGCATCCTTAAGGAAGCAGATAAAACGGGACACTTGCTTGTTGTCGATTTCCCTTTTTGGTCATTAATGAAAATGCCATTGTGTTGGGCTCAGTTCGAACTTCGGCGGGTGCTTCTTCGTCGTTTGCGTCGACTGGTGCTCGCTGGATTTTACGGATCGGAAGGGGCACGTCGAATTGAGCCTTCCGCTCAAATTTGCGAGAATCTAGGCTTTCCGCCATCATCTTCTCGAATGCCCGTTCAAACTCGGCTTCTTCTTCTGGGTCGACCTGTTCTTCTTGACGTAAAACGACAATCTGCTCTTCTTCCTCCTCTGAATCCCGATGGCCCTTTTCGTCGGCCTCATCTTCAGCCGCCGCGGCCTTTGTCTCGTTAACCATCAAAGCTGGTACCACAGGAAAAAGAACTTACCTCGCCTTCCTCGTCTGAAGATTCAGCAAACTCTGCCTCGAGCTCGGCATCGGCCTCACCTTCCTCGGATCCTGACTCATCATTGTCATCCACTTGTTCAACGGCTTTCTCGGTCCCTTGCTGCTTGTATGTTGCATTCACGGCTTCGGCGAATAACCTTGCGGCTTCAGGCAAATCGGTCACAAGCTTCCAATTCGGCCTCACAAGCGAAAAGGTGTCTTGTACCAAGAAGTCAATCTCCATGGGAAGGGGATCCTTGATCAGGATGTAGTACTGGAAGAAGGTCAAGAAGAAGTCGAGCTTCTTACGAGAACTACCCCTGTCGAAGCACACTCCGCAAGTATCGAGGATAGTGCAAACCAACCGTATTCGAAAGAAGTCGTCGGGAGGGTCAAACGGGGTGAAATTGTCAGGCTGTGGTGTTCCGCTTTCATGACCAAAAGTCACGATTCGATACAAAGTATCGAATATAACCGTCGAATCGATCATTTTGTAGTTGTACAGCTCGCCCAGATACTTGACTTCCGCTATTCTCCGTTGGTTGAACTTGAAATCATTCTGTTCAAGACCAAGCGTGATTTGTTCAAGAATGTTGTCGATGGCTCCGATCGCAAAGTCCTGGTGGTAGCGAAACAGGCCCTGGAGTAACACTGCCAGGAGATGGATGTTGCTGTATTTGACTTTGCCCGGCTTGCTGAAGATCTTCTCGAGGAGGTCGACGACTTCCTTTTCCTCCCAATGAAGTTTGCGAAGGGTCTTCAGCACCTTCATGTAGTTGCGTTTGGTCAAGTCCACATAGATCAGCTGGCGCACAAAGAGTTCCACAGGAGTACGCTCCTTCTGCTGGATGGCTGCCCTCTGCGGAGGATCCACATAATACAACGCGTTCTCGATCAGCATACGTTCCTGAGCACCCATGTGCTGGGCGGACTTTTTGCGACTCAGTGTCTCGAGAAACGAGGCCATTCGAGGGGCCGTCTCAGGACTGCGCAAAAGGTAGCGGCCACAATTCTCAAGTAAATGCGCAATGATTTCAATGTTCATCCGGGAAAAGTCGTCCAAGCTGACTTTGAGACAGTGGAAGATGACGTGCTCTGGGACGACACCGAATTTTGTCAACTCCGCGAGATAACGAATATTCATCAGCCGGGCCTGACCAAGGAAATCCTTGGTTTTGCGTCTCTGCAAGCTTCGGAACTCCTCGTCGAGGTGTGCCACAAGGCCTTGCACGATGTCTGGCATATACTGCCCCAAGGTGGCCGCAAGGCGGGCATAGAAAGGTAGTAAATCCGTCCTACCTCTGGGGATGTCCTGGAGAGCTTTACTAAGACGATTGCGAGAAGCCTTGGAGTTGAGGAAACAAAAGTCCAGCGCCACCTGGTCAACCATATCCTTGGTCTGCAATTCCGGGAGACGCAGCAGGAGAGCATCAACTTGGGCGCCAACAGTTTTGTTTGCAATTGCCGTTGTCTGATCATCGTTCTCAGATGGTTTGCCCGCACCGTTCTCAGTTGCAGCAGCACTCGGATCAGTTCGCTCGTCGGATTCGGACTTCTTCTTTGCGTCCTCGAGGAGAATACTAGGTACCCGACCTTTGAGATCCATCAGGTTCTCGTAAAAGCGGCGTTCATCCTCATCCTCCCAGATGCCGGCACCTTCAGCTGACCCTTTGAGATAGTCGCCTGTCTTGATCATTCCGACGCCACTAGCCGTTGCATTATCCGCGTTCTCTTGCTCAGCAAGCTCGGGCATTTCTTGTCCTAGCACATCACACAGAACCTGGGCACCAGCAACCAATTTTTCTTGAGCCTTCAACTGCTTCTCGTAGTTGGCCTGTCTGTCCTCGAAGATTTCACCGCTCTTGACATACGCTTCTGCATTTCGACGGCCTTGGCTGGTCAACAGCTTTTGGTTCCGGATGACATGACTCTTGACACTCCCCAGATAGCGGTCGAGAACGTTAATGAACCTTTGCCGAATGGATTGCGGAATGATCGGTTGCTCCTCGTCGCTTGAACCATTGGCAACCGCACCCTCCTTTGGCGCTTCTGCAGTCGTACCGTCGGCATCTCCAGTTTTTCTAGCTTCATCGGACGGTGGCTTGAGCCCAAGAACATCCCAGGCAAAGTTCTTCACAAACAGGACCGCCAGTCCTAGATTGGCATGTTCAGGATCATGACCAAGCAGTTCTTTCAACACTTCCAAAGGGAAGGGCTCATTTTCGATCTGAGCGTCGGGACGAGTTCCGTTTGTGGCCGCCTTTGGTTTAGATTCCGACTGTAGCTGACCCTCCTTCCCGCGCGCTAAGCTCTCATCTGGCCGATCGACATCGTTTAGACTGCGAAGAATGCCACATATCCAGAACTCGGTGACCACGCGGAGGAGGATCCGATGACGCGAAAGACGCTCTTTCTCCTCCCGTTCCCGGACCTCTGGACTCCAGAGCTTCATCTGAGCCTTGTCCGGGGGTGTCAACCCCTTGCCAAGAAGCCATGCCAACTGTTTCGTGAACTCTGAAGGCCCGAATCGCTGGTGTAGGGCACTGACCACCTCGACCGCGGTCGAAATCTCGCTCGCAGTCTTAAGTTTGCTTAACCCTTCCGCCGTGGCAGAGATGATCTCCGAGAGGTACTTTTGGAGGGATAACGTGCGAACTTCGGAAAGAAACGTGTCCTGTGATGTGGAAGAGAGACCGGTTCGTAGACGTTTGATAAAAGCGGTGTTCTTCTTGAGAGACGAGTCTAGAGATGGTGCTACCTCGTAAACATCTGCGGTATATTAGCGAATTTCAACTGTGCAACAGACGAGGACAGTACCCTTTGTGCCTGCCCAGACGCGCAGATTCAAGTCACGTAGCTCTCCTGATCCGCTGGTTAGTATGCTCGTATCTAGGCGGACAGAGTCAGCCTACTCTTGCGCTTGCGGTCCATGATGGCCCGCGATGTTGTAAAGGATGTGCTGACGCTCGCATGACGAAGAGTAAAGGTTTGAGAGGTCAGTGACTCTGCCTCGTTACGTCAACTGGCAGAATACACTGCGTATAATCACATCAACCTGGCTTCACTCATTGAAGTGCAGCGGTGGTCGTAAAATGTGTCTTCACTCCGCCTTGACATGGACTTGAGGATCCCGCCCGCGATGATGGGCGCCAAGCCAAGCAGCGACCTTGAGGCGTCAATTGAGTCGGAGACGCATCATTGGCCAATAATAATGCAGTGCCGTCCCTGCAGCGTGCCGCCTGCCAATGATCAACTTGAAAGTGTAGGCAAGGGCCCCCTAGCTTATCTTATCGCCTGATATACCATCTGGATGGTATACTTCCATTTGTACTATGTGTACAATGTACACCGATAGCCTCAGATGCAAGCTTAACGAATTGCAGAAACCGCAGCCTTGCGTAGCACTAGTGGTGATCAACTCCCAGCCATGACCTGGCATCCGTTTCATTCGAAGGGTATCTAAAACCTTGCGCCAGGCGCCTCTATTATCTTGAACGTCATGGTATCGTACCAAGTACTACGTTGTATGCCTTAACCGATGGTGAGGATCACACCCCTTCTCCAAATATACGGGCTTTCTGAGCAGCCAGTTTACTTTTCCTTGCTTCGGCCATCCCACGCTCTGCCGTGGACTTCTCATCCTTCTCATTCGCAACCTTCGCCTTTTTCCGCGAACCCACTTGCGGACCTTTGGCGCTTTCAGGGTTTCTCTTCCGCTTCTCTCCTTGTTCTTCCACGTCAACTTCGCCGCTCTCAACTTCGTTGGCAGCGACGTCATCGGCTTCTGTCCAAAGTTCATCGGCCAACCAGATCGGTACAGCAGTCGACGATTGACCCTTGATGTGAATACCTCTCACATTCCTCCACCCCTTGGCCACGTGCTTGTCGATCAGATTTTGGACGACGGCGGCGATATTGTCCGCCAGCTGCTCGGGCTTGAACGAAACGAGGCCGACTCGCACGGCTACCAACGTTCCCGGTCTGAGGCTGACTGGAATAGCGTTGATGGCCTTCTCAATTTCCTTGGCGAGAGCTGCTGGGGAGACGGGCGGAGCGGATCCTTCTCCTTTGGACTGTTTCTTTGACCCTTCTTTCTTCCCCCTTTCCTGCTTTCCGATTGAAATGGGTATGGGCCTCTTTGAGGTACTCTTGTAGAACACCTTTCCTAGTACCGCAGGCAATCGAGTTATTATACGGTCATCGGCGAGAAATATATCGTGTTCCGACAGCAGCTGCCTCCTCTGTTCGAACGTCTTGTATCTAGCCTTCAGTTTCGTGAAGCCGATAATTCGTGTGATTCGGGACTTGAGATCTGCGGGAAATGCGTCGTCGGCCACGACATTCTTGACCGCTCGTTGGGGGTCTGTAGTGATCAAGCATATTCGAAGGTCGGAAGAAGTATTGAGCGAGTGCGGGACCGTTATTTTGCTGGGTTTCAGGCGTGTCTGGTCGACAATGTGCTGTTTTGTGGTCAAGGTGAGCCATATCGGCGCCTCTGCATCACCGGCCACCTCTTCATCCGAGTCAGACGCATCGGCAGCAAGAAGACTCTTCTTATTCGAAGCCTCCTGTAAGCGTTTTGTTTCAGCCTGCACGTGCTGTAGAAGGGCTCGAGAGGCTTTAAGTGTCTGGGATGTTGTTAGAACAATGGCGCCGCATTGACGGAACATAGTAACATACCTGCTCGGGGTCGAGCTGGTACGGTGAGTCCTTGGGGTGTCTGACAGACACCGTCGTCGTCGCTTTCGCCGGAAGAGCTGTGACTGCCATGAGTTTGCGCGGTGATGGACTTGCTGAATGAACTGCGCAAAAGAATCGTCTTCAACATCAAAGTTGGAGTCGATGTTCGCCCAAAAATTTCAGTCGGCGCCGGAAAATCATGAGGCGCCGATGTGGATCGTTCGCGTCGACGCCTCAGGAAGGTTTGCCGGATGTGGGGACCTGGAGCGTCGTTTCGTGTCACTTTCTCACCACAAACAGTTCCACGTCCAACACGCTCGTGACCGCGCCTCATGCCCAACGATCAATATATGCAGATGGCTGGGTTCAAGAGCATCCATATGCCATGATTTTTCCAGGCTTGCACCTTGAACTTGGTCCTGACTCTGATGCTTTCGATCAGCTTGTCTTCCCATCGTGCAACCCCTAATTAAAGTAGTCCGTAAAGGTGCTGAGGGAATCGTCCTCGCTCGTTGTAGATGCTGCCGACCAAAAGATTCAATCAACTGTATCTATGCTACCAATCGAACACTCTTGCATTCCTGACCATATTACACATTCTGCACGCTCTGCACGCTCTGCTACATTCTCTATGTCGGCAAAATTGACGTAGCTGGCGGGTCCATCTGTTACAAATGTGCCTGTGCAAAACGCGCCAAATCGCGAATTGGCGCGCGTAGAGGTGCGGTTGCATGTCACGGTCCGTTTCTTTTTCAACTCCAGTCGACCTCTTCTCGACCACCACCTTCTTCACTGTTGGGTATGTCTAGTGTGCGATCCCTCGAGTCTGCCTCTGAATGTTTCATGAGCAGACTCGACAGCCAGGCACTGTATCTCTTCTGCCGAGGACGCGCTTCCTGCTGGCTGTAGCCGTCCGCTCGGCTGCCACCACTGTCTAGATAGCTGAGGCCAGAGCAACACCATGTCTCCTCCTCCATCCATTCCACGGACGAATGCAGCTCAGAATCCTGGCTCCAAGAAGTCAGCAGCATCTCTCCTCCCTGCATTCGAGCCATTGTCGTCCTCTCCATCGCTCCCGAGGACCCTGAAGCGGAGTCGAGATGCATTGAACGAACAGCCAACATATCCCACGCCAGTGCCCACTTCCTCCACTGCCATTCTTTCCTCCTCGCCGTCACGCATTCACCTCGCCAAGTCCAAGCTGCAGAGGACCTCTTCCACCCTTTCGGAACGTACTCCCCTCGGGGCCGTCCCGTCGATCCAACTTGATGGCGATGGCAAGATAACGCGTATGGGACGATCCAGCGCCTCGTGTGACTACCAACTATCTGCCAATCGTCTGATCTCGAGGGTACACGTCGAAGCTTGCTACAAACCGGCAAACTCGAGTCTAGCACGCGACCGGGTGGAGATCACTTGTACTGGCTGGAATGGTATTACGATACACTGCAGGGGACAAGTGTACGATGTGAAGAAGGGAGAAACATTCTCCTCGGACGTGAGAGATGCCGAAATCATGCTTGACGTTCATGATAGTCGTGTGGTAGTCTTGTGGCCTCCAAAGCCTCATTTAGGCGCTATATCATCGGATGACGAGGAAGAGGAGGATTCTCCTTCGAAGCGCCAGCGGGTCATGTTGCGACATTCGACACCACCAAGTCCCAGTCCGTTACAAACCCGACGACGACCTGCTTCCCCCATTTCTCCTTCGCCTGCCGTCCAAGCCTTGATGCCATCCTCGCCTCCGCTTCCTCCTGCACGTGCTCCGGTGGAAGCCGTCCAAATATATGAAGATCCGGCATCACCACCCAGGGTTGACGGTGCCGCTGACGTCGCAGAGGTGTCCCAGACTACTCAAGCCTTGTCCGAAAGCGTCCAAAACCCTGTCGTCTCGCAGCCCAACATTTCCAGCACGACAGAGGACTTTTCCGACAACGATGAAGAAAACGATCCTATCATCCATTCGTTCGGCCCCTTTGGCGCTAACCTGCTGCCGAGAATGGCCTCTTTCACTACTGCTGGGGATTCTCCCAAGCCCAGTACTTCCATCAAGAGTTCGAGATCGTCACATGCGGAAGCACGTCAAGCTAACCAGCCACCAGCAGTGACTAAAAAGCCTCAGGAAGACCCTGAGATCGACGTCCAGGGCCATATCATTAATCAACTCGCCTTCTCAAGGTTGTCATCTACTCCACTGTCCACCATACTAAGCCATCTTCCACGAGAGGCCGGTGTTCTGTCCATTAATGATATTAGGAAGATCATCAAAGAGACAACATGTATTGGGGAGGTAGCGAGGGAAGGAAAAGATGCCGCTGGGAAGCCTCTGGAAAGCGAGTATTACTACATCCCAGATGAAGATAAGGATGAAAAGAGAAAGGAAGCGGTGGTGAACGATCTGCGGAAACCTGGATTGCGAGCATGTCGGAAACAGCATAAGGTAAGCTTCGGGTGGAAACTTATTGTGAAGGTTGGAACACTGACACGGCGCAGCAATATTTCTGGCGCAAGCCGAAATGATCGACGGCTGAAAAGAATCTGCAACATGGGTTGCTGGGTACTGCGCCTGCAAATGTCCGTGCGGAACATTTTCTTGACGTGACAAAAAGTGATGGTGCACACGGTGCTTATTGTTAGCTTTTCTATGGCATATTTGTCCTTTTTAGCATATGCTATTCCTGGCGTATGTCTATCTGGGGATAATATGGCTCAAGCGTTCAGCATTATGCATAGCATGGCGGAGAAGGGGGTTGAGATTGCATCGTGGGCGGCTGGCTGGCAGTTTTATCAGGCGGAAAGATTGATCGTCTTTGTCCGAAAACACTGTTGACTGTTTGATTCAGCGTGTGGAGAGTAGCTCAGAAAGACAAGGCAACAAATTAGTCGAACAAAGTATCAAGTCCAGTCGAGTTTATCAAAAGTGCCCATAATACCAACAGGGAGCCTGGGGATCCTCAGTGTAAATAGGGTACCCAACCTTAGGTACATGTGCGTAAGGTCACCAGCCCATGTACGAAAGTTGGATGTTGACTAGGTGCCTACCCTGTAGGTATGTCGGTATGTACAATAAATGTCTGGTTGCAGTGTGTTGGCCCACGGACAAGGCTGCGCAAGGCTGGCAACAATCGGGGCAAGTGATCGCCGGTCGGATCATCAGCCAATAATATCATCCAATTCTTACCTAAGCCGGGTCTGCGTGTTCTTTCCAGTGTGCCAATCAGATGCTAGCATCGGAGAAAGTGGCCGAAATCGGCCGCTCTAGCTCCGGAAACAGTTCGCTCTTTCTGGCTGAAGTCACGAGTTTGATACTCGGCATCCCGAGGTTGAATGATACGGTGAAGCCCAGAGGACATCAAGCGTCGAATCGAATCATGGAACCCCCAATCGGATCCGACTGTGGAGGGCGGGTTGTAGTTGTAGTTGTACTGCACATACTACTACTACATAGCTCACTACTACTACTCTTCCCAGTACTGAGACCGCTGCGCCATATACATACATACCTTTTCATCGTGAATTGTTTGGATTGTGGGCTTTGCGTGAGCAACATCATCTGGCACTGGTAGCGGTCCCCGAGAGCCGAACGATCGGAGCTCGCCTGCCCTTTGGAAGTGCAAGTGCAAGTTGCGGAACTTGAAGCAGAACGTCAACAACCATGTTGTCTCTCGCTAGACAATCAGTCTTTCGGACTGTACGTGCTACGCAGCGGCCGTCAACCTCGTTATTCGCATCCTCCACATCCTCTTTTGCTGCACGACTTCTTTCGACACTCGCGATCCTCGAACAAAAAGACGGCAAATTGAACACGGGCTCCCTGGGCGCCGTGACGGCCGGCTTGAAGCTCGGCGGGCCCGTACACGGGATTGTCGCGGGCAAGAATGCAAAGTCGATCGCTCAAGAGTCGGCGTCCAAAGTGAAGGGACTGGAAAAGGTGCTTGTGGCGGAGAACGAGGCCTACGAGCGTGGATTGCCGGAGAACTGGGCGCCGTTGCTGGTGGAGAACATCAAAATGGGCGGGTATACGCATGTGATTGCGGCGCATTCGGCGTTTGGGAAGAGCTTGTTGCCTAGAGTCGCGGCGTTGTTGGATGCGCAGCAGATTTCGGATGTTATGAAGATTGAGAGTGAAGACAGTAAGTATCCTCCTTCTCCTTCTATTTACCCAGCCAGCGGGAGAACGACAGATGATGAAGTTGCCCCTGTCATTTTGGCGGGTGGTTTTTTCTCCTGTCATGTGGTGTTGTCAACATCTACGAAATGCTATTCAGGCATGTGTATGTGTGCAGAATGGTAACTGATCTGTGTCTGTCTGTCTAGCCTTCGTTCGACCCATCTACGCCGGAAACGCCATCCTAACAGTCCAAAGCACCGACCCGATCAAATTTCTTACAGTGCGCCAAACTTCCTTCCCTGCCGCCGAGACGGAAGGCGGATCCGCGGCAATCGAAGACGCAGTCGACCCGAAAGCAGAGTCTCGCACCGAATGGGTCTCTGAAAGTCTAGCCAAATCCGACAGACCGGAACTGGCGTCAGCGGAAAAGGTTGTCTCAGGTGGCCGAGGCTTGAAGTCCAAGGAGGAGTTCGATCGTCTTATCCCGCCGTTGGCGGATGCGTTGGGGGCTGCTATCGGAGCGTCCAGAGCAGCTGTGGACAGTGGATTCGCGGACAATAGTTTGCAAGTGGGCCAGACGGGCAAGAATGTCGCGCCCCAGCTTTACTTGGCCGTGGGTATTTCGGGGGCTATTCAGCATTTGGCGGGTATGAAGGACAGCAAGGTGATTGCTTGCATCAACAAGGATCCCGATGCGCCGATTTTCCAGGTCGCTGATGTTGGGTTGGTGGGCGATTTGTTTGAGAAGGTTCCCGAGTTGACGGAGAAGTTGAAGGCCTAGCAGTAGAGGGGGATAAATATAAACGGGAGAGACAAAATGCAAATATGGTCAGTTAGGCAGGATGATTAGCTTTTTGGAGAAACCATGTGCAGCATTAAGAGCATACGTAGGATCCGGTGAAATGGAGGCTGCGGACGTACAACAGTGTTGGCAGCGCAACCGTGCCATATGAGGTGTGTACACACGTGTGTATATGAAACATATTCAACAGAATTATAGTTATAGTGTTCTGCTGTCACTTGAAGAAAGTCCGATGTGAACTTTCGGGGGAATGACCTGTACAACGTATTTCGTGAATTGATGGGTGACCCCCGAGACTCGGACTCTCACAGCTCATGTTCGGCCGAGACTCACCGCAAATGATGGGGTGACCAAGTCAGTCCCTTAGAATTCAGCCACTGAACGGAAGCCAGGTAGGACTGCAGTGTAGTAGAACTTTGGACTGGGACGAAGAGGAGAGTCGATCTAATCTGCTGCGAAGATCCTTATCTGATACTGAGTCTTCTTATCTGATTCGTCCTGTCGTATGTACACTGGTCCTAGGTACCCTATCTCGTGCTACAAATCTAATCAGATGTATGACGTTGCATTGCTGGGGTAGTAGTTCCGGAGTCCGCAAGATCATCCTGCGTCTCTGGGTACTGTAACAATAGCAGCAATAATAACAATGTCGGCACAATCCGAGAAAACTCCTACATCACCGGTCCCAGCGTCGGGTGAAACAAGCTCGTCGAGCCCAAGTCGCAAACGCGACCGCAAGCGAAGTGACATGGAAAGTGAGAATGAATCCAGCACGTCGTCGACTTCGCTCTTTTCGAGAAGGACGAAGCAAAAAATTCTGGAGCACAATAACGGCGAGAGATGCTGGCATTGCGGTGCCGGTGGTGCTGCGCCAGATGTTGCCCGCGTGATAACTAAGAAAGACGGCTCGGTACGTGAGTTTTGGCGTAGCTGCAACGCCATTCCTCGTATCGTCGACCCTTGGTCTGATGGCTGAATACTTACAGTTCAGCAAATATGTGGCACGGGGCCTTCTGACTTTCGATCATCTTGGAGACGAGCAGAATGGCCTTCCTCTCTGCCCTTCGTGCCATCGAGAATTCGACGACCTCAACAACCCCGGCCTATTATTCATTCCTACTCATCTCGACTATTTCATTAATTTCGAGCTCGAGGACTACCGCAACCGACTTGACGTTACAAGACGGCTGAGCCATATTCCTCCACGGGTCGTTCCGACACCACAGATGTATGCTGATTATCTGAAGGGGTGTGAGATCATCCCACCCGAGGCAAAAGGAGGAAGCTACTGGCGTTACACACTGAGAGATTTTTTCCCTTTGCATGCAGATAAGAGTTTTATTCCGGGTCTGGGGCCTTTCAAAGAGCCAGGTTTGTGGTGTGGTGCGCCTATGGCCGCGCTGAGACGTGCTTTCCAAGTCATTGGCGATCCTGCTACCACAGAAGGTGTTTCAGAGGCTCAACTCGACCAGCTGTGGCAGCTGCGCAAGTTGTATGCCAGAAGAATACCTCGGACTGATCTGCTTCCGTCTCACACATCCACTGCATCCGACCAAGACGCAGGACACATAACGACATCTGACACTGAAAAAGCTGCTCAAGCACCAGCCACTGCGTCAGAAAATGCTGCACCCGCTCAGCCTATCCCAACCGCATTTATCAATGACCAAACTCGAAGGAAGAGAAGCCGAAGCTCTCCAGGTAGTAGTGCAGATGGGGCCGCCGCTTTGGAACCATCCATTGAGACCATCAATCGTGAAGCGAAAGTCCCGCGGTTGGAGAGGTTTGGAAGGGGGTCATCGACCGAGATCAACATCGAGCGATATCTGACTATGCTGAAGTCCCCTACTAGATGAGTTACAGAGTACCACATCAGATCCCAATCGTTACAATACATGAATGCATTCCTGATGTTAACCTGATGCCGTGGCTCAAGTGACTTCAATGTCCAGCAGCTCCACTATGTACCTACCCAGGTGAGGACCACACCCGGTGAATGACTGACATGCATGCATCATAGCAGAGAATAAAGGTATTCGGTCAAGTTAAGCATTTTCCAGCAGAAAACGCGTACTGGCAGGGCAGAGTGGGGGCGTTGATGGATCGTAAACGCGAGCAAAGATTGAACAGGGCGTATAACAGCACAACATGTGGTTGTAGGGCGTATTTGCAAAATCGTCCAGCAAGGGCGGAAGAGGGACAGCGGGGGATAGAGATTAGACCATACCCTAACAGGTTAGACTTGCCCCGTCCTCACCTCGGCCGACCGGGCTCAAGAGTCATACCGGTGACTGGACATTTCTTACGACTTGGGCCCGCCGACTCTCATTTGCTTGTCCTATCGCTCTCCGCCATGCTTACGCGATACCAGTAGGGCCGTGCAAGCGTGCCCAGTACCGTGGTGGATTGCAAGGTTGGTGGCGCAGGACGATTCAAATTCAGCCCTTTGACCTTGACACAAGGGGTCTTCAACGAGCCCAAGAAATAACGCTCTGATTGGCAACGGCGTGTAGCACGCCTGGAGGCTTGTCTAGGTATGGTCAGCCATCCGCGTTCCTTTCCGAGTCCAGGGTAAGCGTGGGCCTCGTATTGCTATGAGTGACTCCCGGGCGCCCCAGTTTGTGGTCGTGTTCGTGTCAAAGCGATTGATGCCTGACTAGGAACGAGTCATTCTGAACCCGCTTCGCCAGCTTGGGGTATAGCTCACTTGAGCTTGGACTACTGGATAATGGTTGCTGTTCTATTCAGTGGGCTGTGCAACCAACATAAATAAAGACCAATGTCTGGCCCTTGTGGAATGATCAGTTTAGTCTATCAACTTCAACCCTCAACCTCAAGGCCGACAAAGTCCTGAAACAAAAAGCATTTATTAGCCAGTTGACAATAACGTCTGCTACTCGTGAAGTCGAGGCTCCAATCCAACTGATCGGATATACACCCAGAAGCGTACAGATATATACAAACCTCTATCCCTTCGTCCCTTCATCGCTTCATCAATCCATCTATATATACCAATTCGGATCACTCCACGATACGACATCTTGTCTCGTACACTATCTCTCAAGAACGGCCCACCATCTCACAAGATTTTCTATCAGAGAAACAAACCCCCAATGGCACCCTTAACCAACGAAAAGACCTCCGCCGTCATGTCAGACACGGCCTCTATCCAAAGTACCTCCACAGTCTCGAGTCTTAAGGCCTTGTTGCCTAAGAAGAAATCGTCGGATAAGAAGACTAAAGACAGAACTCCCCCTCCTCCTCTCAGTTCCGAAGCTATCGAGAAAAAGGCGAGGAGGATGGAAGCCCTGGCACATTACGCGGCTCTACGCTGAGGGTGGAGCAACCAGCAAAACGCCAGGATGCTCCTTCTGAATTTCGTTGCTTTTGGAACACCAGGGATCATTTTCGCCAGGAAAGAGCCGTTCTGACGCCGACCTTCTTTCGGATGCTGGTAGTGCGATGATCATGATCACGTTATTGTTGTTGTTGTTGTCGATCCATCACCTCCCAACCCTGTCGAGTTGCTGGGAGTGCTACATACATAGTCATGCTTGGGGGACGTGTCGTTGTCTACGAGACGGTGAGGTCGGGCATGCAGTTATTGTTATTTGATGGTGATGATGGATGATTGAGCTATGACTATATAATATTGCAAGGGCTGTTTGTTCAGTGATGACGAAAGAATTTCAGGGTTCCTTTTATCCATCGAATATTGGAAATAGATACCGTGAATGAAATACACGAAATACCTAGGTACTCTCAATCATGTCGATTCAAGATTCCATGGCTTCCTTGAGAAACGGGAACATAGTCATTCGATATTGCCTCTGTTGTGAATCTACTGTAGGGAGATCTTGTACCCCCAGAACAGTTGAACCGACAGTAACCGAGGAACGATCCTTGTCGAGAGACAAGGTTATCCTACTAAGCGAAGTAGGTTCTAGTTCACTGTTAGTTCAACACACACACAGGAAGTCGACCATGGCCGCATTGGGAAAGAAGTTAGGCACGTCAAGCTGAGCTTTACTACAGTGGCTGCATGCTTGGTGCTTCCCAGTGCAGTGGAGTCTGAACTACAACATTCAAGTTGTAGGCAACATCATGATCACCGCCATTGGCTGTCGATTTGGGTCTGCGTGAACAAAGATGGCGATAGGACATTAGCACTCTGTTTGTGCTTCTCGTCAGGAGCACGACTCGGGAGCTGGCGGAGGTGCTTCCAGGGATGACCAACGGCAATTTGAAACAGGCAGCAATCGCCTCAAGTTTCGAACATACCAGATACCATAGCCGAGTATCGATACCAAAGTACCGAACACTTGCTCACCTCCCAACCATGCATGGTACCCTGCCAGTGACACTATGTGCATGAGCTCGATGAAGGAGGCCAATGCGCTGGCAGTCTTGATGTTGAATGACCGTGACACAAACTTCCAAGGGCTTCTCGATCATAGTAAGGTAACCACAATGAAAATCCGAGTTGGCCAAGTCTGCATAAGAAGGGTCAAACGTGAGTCATACCTGTCCAGCTTGGATGCAACAAGACGGCTTTGTATCAAGCCGAACAGGGTACATACACAAGGCAACGAGCATACCCCAGCAACCGCTGTCTGCGAGGTCGTGGTTATAAGCTTAAGCCCGAAGGATGCGACCGTTGACCTTCATTGCGCAAAGAATTGTTGATCCATGATCAGGCCATCCATCTCCTTTCTTCCATGTCATGCTCATATGGTGTAATAGGATCAACGTTGTGACTCACTCTCAGCCTGAGGCTGTTGGTGACCGTCACGGAGTAACGATATCCCGGCGTTAGCACAAGACAATCACGTGACCTAGCTTGCCGGATCGGTCGAAGATCATCTCCCATCCATGTCCGGGCTCACTTCGCCCGATTGCATGTCTTCATGCAAGCAACTCGCCAAAGCGGCTGATGCCGTGCTCTTCCAGGCAGTTTTTCTCTTTCAAGTTATGGGTGACGCTATAACACAAAAAGTGAACCCTGCCACGCTTTTTGCAATTGAGCAATATGACGTGCCTTCTCGTATCGCAACAAGCAAACCCTCGAGGTGACTTATGACCGAACCCCGCGGGATTTGGGAACCACTCTTTGGACCGAGCCGAAGGGGCATAGACAGCATTTGAAGAATTTTGTGAAAGGAAATATGTGAGGAGCCAGGACGTGATCCATACCTTATCCCATTCTGTATGGACAGCCTCGTACAAAAATTGTGAGTACGAGTTTTCGACCGCAGCCTTGTGCGGGTGGCCTCAAACAGCTTTCAGCGCCAGGGTGAAGACAGTGTGGAGCCTTGCGTTGGAACGGTCCAATCATATGAATGATCTTAACTTTTTGACCAATCAAATCCATTCCCGGGTCTGGTGATGTACGATCGCCCATCCCTCGCGTTTTGTTAAAGCCGAAGTCCCATCCTATCGAACGGTACGTACGAAAGCAATGCTGATAAACCCGACCAGCACTCGGCTGAAAAGTATCATTTGCTTCCGATCCATTTGTTGATTATTTATATCTTATCTCCTTCTATCCCCCTGCACAGGCACTGCCTAGTCCATACCGAATTCAAATATCTCCTTTTCGTACCCCGAACACTGCGTGTCTTGTCTTTTGTTTGTTCACCGATCTGGTCTTTTGAAGGCAACCATTTGCCAGCACATCTTGAGGAGGCAACGGGCCCAGTGCTAGTTGCGCGCGAAACGGCCGCGATCAACAAAAGTTCTTTACCTTTCCGTCACCATGTCAGGAACAGCCGAAAAGGATTTTTCTGTTGAAAGCGCCGACGAGACTACTACTACAATCCCGATGGAGAAGGATTCCCCCGTTGAGGGCAACAACGAGACTTCTAGCGCAGTCCCGATCAATCCAGCAAATCCTCACTCTCCCGCCGAAAAATCATACCTCGAAGCTGCGCAAGATGAGGCTGCGAAACCCCCGTACAACCCCTGGATGGATCCTGCTGGATTCCCTGACGGCGGGCTTCGAGCGTGGTTGACTGTGGCCGGTGCTGCTGCTTGTTTTTTTGTTTCTTGGGGGTATGTGAAATCCATCCATCCTCTTCACTACTGCGGTTAATTTTACAGGGGCTAACAACAAATTTTTCAGGTGGATTAACTGCATAGGAGTCTTTCAAGTGAGCACTTTGAGTGAAGCAAACTGCAGTGAAAGTCTGATTCTAACTTGTTTCAGGACTACTATATGCGTGATCAACTAAAAGAATATTCACCCTCTACCGTCGCGTGGATTCCTTCACTAGAGACGTTCTTTATGCTCGCAACTGGGCCGGTCGCAGGCTACATCTTCGACAATTACGGGCCCAGGTACCTACTAGTTATCGGAACTTTCATGCACGTCTTCGGCCTGATGATGGCGTCCATCTCCAAGGAATACTATCAGTTCCTCCTCAGCCAAGGTGTCTGCTCCGCCATTGGTGCCTGCTTCCTCTTCAACCCGGCCATGAATTGCGTTGCGACTTGGTTTTACAAGAAACGCGGTATGGCGATTGGTCTCGCGGCTTCGGGGAGTTCGCTTGGCGGTGTCCTATTCCCAATCATCGTTAGTCGCATGATCAGGGAGACCGGCTTCCCTTGGGCTATGCGCACTTGTGCATTCCTGATTCTGGCTCTGTGCATCTTCGCCAATTTGACGCTACGCACCCGCCTTCCACCGACCAAACGTCCATTTAGCATCTGGGCGTTCATCCATCCATTCCGCGAAGTACCCATGGTTTTGACAACTCTCGCCGCTTTTTTTTTCTACTGGGGAATGTTCCCGGTCTTCTCGTTTATAACAACTGTTGCCAACGGCCGTGGCATGTCGTTGGCTCTGGCGCAGTACATCGTTTCAATGCTCAATGCCGGCTCGGTATTCGGGAGGACCCTGCCAGGCATCTTGGGTGATAAGATCGGACGCTTCAATGTGATGACGGTCTTCTGCACTTTCACCACAATCCTGATCCTTGCAGTCTGGATCCCCGCCAAGAGCAATGCCGGACAGATTGTTTTCGCGCCCCTGTTCGGTTTCAGCTCCGGCGCGGCTATTGGCTTGACGCCGGCTTTGATTGCTCAAATCTCTCCGCTCAAGGAAATTGGCGTACGAACCGGTGCTGTCTTCGCCGCCGGGTCCATTGGTGCACTGACGGGCAGCCCTATCGGTGGACAATTGATCACGCGTGACAATGGCGGCTTCTTGTACCTGCAGCTCTTTGGCGGATGTACTTGTGCTGTGGGCTGTGTCTTCTTTCTCCTGGCCAGACTCTACATTGGTGGACCCGACCTGAAGAAGAAGGTCTGATCTCACGCTTATGCCTGTCACCTGTTTCGAGGCACGCATAGGTTCAAAACTGTAATTATTAGAATAGACTTAGACCTTTTTTCCACTCGACGAGCTTCCACCCAACAAGTTTTTTTTTGTTCCTGTTTCACTCGCTCTGCTTTCCCACCTTTCTCCACTTTTCCCCATCTGCTCCCTTTGGGGCCACGCTTTCCTCGATATGCCCTTCACAATTTGCAGGCTGCACCCGTTGGGATTAGTGTAAAGGAAGCCACGGCCCGTAGCGGTTTGGCATCTCGGGTAAACGTACTACGTCAGAGGGATCTGCGTCAGTAGTGGTATGATTTGCCGTAGAGCAGCTACCCTTATTGAGACGTCGTCGTTCTCTCTTTTCATGGCTTTCGGAACAACGATGAACAAGACGCTTTTCTTAATCATACAATCGTGATTCTCACATTGTGCATGGTGATCTTCTGGGCGTCACCTGCCCCCTATCTACTCACTGGGAGCGAAGCCGGCCGAGGATACGACAACGACTAGAAATCCAACAGGGGATTGTAGTCGTCGTCGAATGGATCGTCGCCGCCATCGGCAGCGACGTCCTCCTCGGCCTCTTCCTCCGACTCCTCCACTGGGACAAACGCCAACGGCTTGGCCGGAGCCGCCTTGGCCTTCCCCTTGCCCTTGGCGTCTTTCTTCCACTTGTCGGCAAGACGGCCCAACTCTGCCATGTCGCCTTTCTCAAAGGCAGCGACCATGGCCTCGGCTTTGGCAGTGACCTTCTCAGAGGCGGCCACCGCGCGGCGAAGATCGGCCTGCATGGCCTTTCGCTCGTCTTTCCAGGTACCTGCCAGGGCCGCATCGTTCCTGGCCTCCTGAAGCTGCCCCTGCAACTTCTCATATGCCCGGCACCCCTGCTCGAGCTCTGATTGGCTCATAAAAATTGGCCAATCAATTTTCTCCAGCTGGTTGCCCAGCACACGCACGTTCTCCTCCGTCCAGAAGTCGGGCAACTGGATCGCCTTGGCCTTGGCCTCCTCTACGTGCCAGAGGACGACCGCGACCTTCACCATGTCGCCTGGCTCACGCTTGGTCATATTGACTGTGAGCCACCACTTCTTGTACGCGTCTTCGTCGAGGAAGAGACCGCGGGTGACATTGTGGATTGATTTCTTAGAGAATTCGGGGGTCGGACCGTATGTCATGATGCCGGCGAACTTGGTTTCGTTCAGCTTCATGTTAGACCGTTGAAATTCGAGAGGTAGGCTAGACTTGGCAATGTCTTTGATGGCTTCGATGCTGTTGCATTTGACAATATCAGATTCGATCTCGCGGGTGAAGCGACCATGGATTGGAACAGCGGCATGAATTTGGAAAGGTAGGTATTCTGGCTCGAAGGCGAATGGCGAAGTTCTTGCTCTGTGCTTCTTCTGGATATCTGCGCGCTCGGCGTCTTCGATCTGCTCCCATTTCTCGACGAGAGGATACGTGCTGATCTCGATCTTGGTTGGGCCATGAGTTGGGTGTGTGGTTGTGTCTGCGCCTGAGGATTCGCCTGCAGTGCCAGTAGATTTGTTCTCTTCCTCATCCATGTCCAGTTTGCCCAGTTTGCGTCTGAGCTCAGCCCGAGTTACTTTTTGAGCTTGACCGCGCTGTCTTCTGGAGGGTTTGGGAGGCATGGTGGACGATGTGTGGAAGTGATTTGAGAGCGAGGTGTAGGGACGTGCAGGATCAGTGCAGCTGTTTTCACCAGAGCTGGAAAAGGAATCAAGGTGAGTGAGACCTTAGGATAGCACAGAGATGATGATCCGTTGCAAAAGGAAGTCTTGTACGAATGATGATCTCGGTTCGATGGTGGTGGAAGGAGAGAAAGAAGGGAAGAGTTTGGGTGCGACGAGAAGAAAACAAATACAGGGGTGCTCGCGTCTGAGCTGACGGTGAAGTCTTAATGAATTCACTTGCGCGCAGTTGGAGCTGCAACCGTTACTGTTGTTCATGGTGTTGAGGCGGCCGCCCCTGGAATCGCAGCCTCGTCGCCAAGCCATGCCTCGCCTGCTTCACCGCCAGCCACACACGCCCGTACACCTTCACAAGGCTCAATAGTGAAATTCGCAAAGCACAAAAAGTCCAAAAAGAAGAAATCCGCAAAAAAAATTCAAATTGGTTCGTATTTATAGGTATGGGCTCCCAATCGCTAGGACTGAAGGAGACGGCCCCTAAAGGAACAAGTGACCACCCAAGGCGGAAGATCGTAATCCTCTAATTAGTGCTGTTTAGGCATCCGAGGGCTTGTGTGGACGAGTGGACGAAATCCCAACTAGGCCACCGAACCTACCACGACGGGCGACAGAATTTGGCAACTTCAAACATATATGCCTTTATTTTTCCTGCACAAGTCATGTGATGGCGCCCCAGTCACGCCTGCCCTGCCGATCACGGCAAGCAATAAGTACAGTCCTACGAGGTTGCTTTTAGCTAACACGTTTCCAGGTTGCACGCTTCCATGCCCCTTTTTTGCTCGATTCCGATGTCAGGTCTCTGCTATAAAATGTAGCAGACGAGGCCTTTCGACCTCCCGGACCAGACTCTCAGGCCATGCAAGCACTCGGGACTCTTCTGCAATCTACAATTACCACCGAATGGCAGCTGGCGGTGGGCAGAGCTGGCACTTTTGCATAGCTGTTATGGGTCGAGAAAGGCAAGTCAAGCAGCCAATGGTGAGGCCAGGACTGGGGATATGCTTTTTTGTCGCTCATGGTCCAATCGTGAGCACTAAAGGTTCTCTGGCTCATTCTACCTTGCCTTGACCGTTGAGCAGGGGCTTTTGAGGCTGCAATCACTGGTTCCAACCTATCCCTTTGGGGATTGTCCATTTATCATACTGCCATACGCAATGCTAACAGCAATATCATTAACAGATGCCAGAACCTCAGCCGCAGTATGATCCACTACATTCGGAAGACGGCGGACAGGAACCAGGCGGCGATGAAACCGGAAGCCCAGACCCTGGAAGGGTCTCTAGGCAACGTGGTAGCCGTGTCATTACTGGTCGGGAATACATGTATAGGTGCTGGGATAAGAATGCCTTGCAGATCGCCAGACCGGATTCCATGTCAATGTCCTTGACCAGTCCGCTTGCTTGGGCGTACGTCCGACCAATCCACTTCAGTCCTCCTTGGTCATCGTGCCCGGCTTTTGTGAGGTCTCTCGGCGCGGCCCGAGACTGGATGTTTGCTAGGACAGTATGCTCGTCATGAACAGATACCCTGCCTGGAATTGATCGGACACACTGCAGGGCTGGAATACAAAGGTAAGATACATTCTCCAGGAGATTGAAGTGGATAATTGCCGGAGAGTAGCAGATGGTCCCAGACAACAAGGCTCACTCCGGTAAGCGTCCGCAAGATCTATCACTCTCTAACCAGTTTGAAGACCGCGATCACCAGCCTATGCACGGCTCCCCAATATTGACAAAAAGGCAGCTAAACTGAGTGGATCCCGTGTATCTTGACAAGCCCGGGCATTTAAACAAACAGTACAGTTGGAAGATGTGCCTCTACCTTTCCGCAGAGGCGCGGAAGATGCAGATTTGAGGTGAGTGAGATCCAAGCACGAGCTAGAACGTCAATATGTCTCCGCGACTTATTCAAAGAGGATGCCAAGGGAAGCCCACTCTCTGTGATTGGAACTGTCCCAGTGTGAGTACTCTCGTGGAAGATGCTACTGTATGTATAGGCGCTGATTTCTTTTGGTTATCACTGGGGCTGAGCCCAGAGAAAGTCCGCCTCCACTCATCCCGGCCCCATTTCCGCATTGAGGACTGAGAGTACTAACACAAGGTCTGGAGAATGCCCTGGGTATCTACGAACAGCGACAATTGGCTACGATTTACGGAATGTGGCAGCGCCGGCTATACGAATCTGGATATGGGGGATAACTTCTGCATCAAACTGGCTGGTTATGCAATAACATGCTATTGCTCGGAGGCGTCGGCTCCAACGAGATCAATCTAGGCCCAATGTGATTCGGGAATTCCCAGAGTAGGTATCAAGGTGAGCTCTACTTACTCGCTCCATTGATTACGAGGTACTCTTTCGGTCGCCGCAAAGGGCTTTGCACCTCTCGTTTCTCAGGAGCGTAGAAGGCTAGAACCCAAAGTTTGTTTTTCCCAGCAACTCATCGCGTACCGAAACCAAGAAAGCTTGGAGCAAGCAGCTTAAAGCGATCCGTTAAACTCTACTTCCAGCCGGAGTCGCTTGTAGCAGTCGATACGCCAGCCGACCCAGCGTACGGAAGCACCAGCATCATCAAACCGCACAGACATGTTCGCGCACCATCGCCGGTCCGTCTGGGCGCATCAAAGGGTTTAGCAAAGGAAGTTTCCAACATCATGACTGGCAGAAGAAACATCTTAGGAAGTGGTACTACTCTTGTTCTTTCAATCGAGTCGAGTACCTGTGATGCTCTCGTATCTTGACCTGGCTAGCTGGTCAGTGGCAGCCCGCCTCGACAAATGCCCCTGTTTTTTAGCCTGTAGATAGTGCATCTAGCAAACTGAAACGTGTAAGAGGAAGGCGGCATTGTTCTGCTCCCGTCCACAGCACTGTGCTGAAATTCAGTTGGGGGACACTAGTATCATTGCGGAGGCTGACATGTCGGGTCACCTTCAAAAGGAGAGACAGTCCAGAACGATGCGAACTACCATTATAACATACATGTATACACACCTACATATATAGCAGTAATTTGAATCCCGAGTAGAGTACAGAATGCAGAGCCCGTTCCTGTAGATAGGTACCCTATGTCAACTCTGGTGGAGTTACAGTACCGTACAACTTTCAAGTTCAAGTTATTCAAGGTCAAGTTGTGCTGTAGAAGTTCGCCGGCTCATCTCGGCCCCAACCGCACCCCGCTTGAACAGTGCAAGTGCCACACCAATAATTCTTTTGCACATATTTTTGGTCCACTGAAAAATTGTGCAAAATATGGTCAAATCAGAATTTGGTTTGTCGCCAGCCTCTATGGCGCAGCCTGGTAACGCGTCGCACTTGTAATGCGAAGATCACAAGTTCGAATCTTGTTGGAGGCAACAATAATATTATTTTGTTTTTGTTTTCTGCACTTGCCTTTGCTTCCCCGGTTTTTATATTCCACGTCTTTTTTTTGCGTTTTGCGTTTCTGGAACACGTTTGTCGACTGAACTTTTCTGCGTTCTTTTTTGTTGGTGGTGGCGGTGTGGACATTGCCAGTCACGGTGCCAGTTATTGGTAGTGCAGTGCAGTGCATATAGAACTCTGCATACCAGGAACATCCCCAACTTGAATATCACGGTTTGAAGTGACTACACACCGATTCACAGTGACAATGCAATAAACTGTATGGGCTTACCTACCTAGGTAGGTATTCATTCTCTCGGTCCAGTCCAGTCCAGTCCAGTCCAGTCCAGTCCAGTCCAGTCCAGTCCAGTCCAGTCGCTCGCTCAACTCAACAAAGACGGTCTTGTCGCTGTACTGCTACAGTACAGTATCTACTTTAACCTAGAAGTGCCCAGTCAGGTCTTGCTCTCGAATCCGAATTTCTCGCAGCCTCGCCTTGCCTTGCCTTTCCTTGCCTTTCCTTGCGTTTCCCTGGGCGAGAAGCCCTGCCACGTTACCCTGCATACTTGTTCATTCTATTCCCCTTTATCCAATGCGATCCGTTGGGAAACAGAAACAAAATATAAGGTTCCCCAGAGAAGAGAACGAAACAACTCGATCGAGCCGACACATGCAGGCCAGCTAGGTAGGTACCTACCTTGGTAGGTATAGAGGTATGTAGGTAGGTACACGGTACTTGCTTGGCAAGACAAGATTGGATGCACTGCAGTGTATTGTCGACGGGATCTAACATACCTAATAGTTTCCAAGAGGAATGGACGCAGTGTACTGTGTCGACTGTCGACCCGAGACTTAAGTTGCTTATCTTTCTCCCCCAATGCAGATAGATGGGTATGGTTCTATTTCCTTTTCCGAGGCCTCGAAATATTGAAATATCTTACTGGACATTATTGGTTAGGTGGATGAATAGGTAGGTAAAGAATTGACCAGACCGACCGTTTGAAAGAGCCGCACGCAGCGCTTCTGCGGAAGACTCGGACTTCTGAGAGACACCATGAGAAGGGAATCAAGGGATGGTCAAGTAGCGGGACCGGAAATCTTCTACAGCCGACGCCCGCCCGAATATTGAGTTTCGTACCAAGTATTACAACTAGGTACAGTATGTGGACATATTATCCAGCGGAGTCGCCTCCATGCCTCCCACTCGGAGGGCGCAGAATATGTTCCCGGTTGTGAAGGAACGTTGAGGCCGAGTTTATGTCGATACCAAGCGGGGATCCTGGGTCCAGTTCCGTCATGCAGGGTACCATATCGAGGACAATCGCCTTGGGGTGTCTCACCGACTTATGATCCAGCATGCTTGCCTCGTGGAGCTATTCATTGGTCGTCCTTGAGCTGCTTTCAGCAGACTCTTGGTGCTCCTGGTCCGTTCCTGTACATCTCCGAGGAAAGTGTGATGATTGCTCCTTTCTGAGTCTTCAATACCTGTCTGCTCCTTTCCCACTTGCCTTCTTTTGGTCTCGGCCTGTGGATGTCCTACTACCCGCGAAACCGAGCTTGCTGCTGGTCCGAGTCGGACCGGGAGCGTTAGCAGGATCATTGGTTTAAGCCTACTGGCTTTGGTACGGGTGAGGCTGGCCCCAGAGCAGGGGATTGTCGCACAACGGCTTCAGCCAGAGCAGTGGTGTACCTGTTATCGTTATTGCGGGCGACAGGGATGGCAGTAATCAAAAGGGAAGGGACCTCGACTTTCGACTCCCCGGTGAGGTCCAAGACCACCTGAGCTGGCCTGCGACACAACCACAGATCCCGGATGCCGCCTTTCCCCATGGCTTCCCGATTGGTTTCGGCCTTTTTGTTCTCTCAGGATAGCTCTTTTCCATCACATGACAAGGCTCATCCGGATCCATGTAGATCATACAGCTCTTGACTCTTACTGTTGTTGGTCTCCGGAGTTGTGCGTCTTATGAAATGTCGGCAGTTCCAAGGTTCCGGACTGGTGCCGGTGCTGGGACCTGAACCAGCCAGAGGGTGTACTGCACACCTGAGCCCGTATACATTGGTCGCATAGACGATGGTGGTCTTTAGCGAGGTGGAAGAGAAGAGCCTCGCCGAGCGAGCACTGCCAGGGACCGAATAATCTACTTTCCGACCGACTACCGCACCTGATGTGGCTCTTTGCGGCAGTCGCTGGCTATTACAAGCGACGCGCCGCCCACGCTTTGCGAGCCCGGTCTGAGGCTCATGGGTTAGAACAAAAGTGTCATTTGAGCAGCCACTGTTTATCTTCCGCCGTCCTCGGAACGGCTGGACGTCTGGACAGTGGGTGACAGATAACCCGACTAATGTATTTGAGGCAGCGGTGTGCAGACAGAACAGGCTCTGCTGGCTCGCGATGTTGCACGGATCGATCGCAGTGCATTTGGCCGGCAGAGTGTCGGTGTGCACTATAGGAACTGCTCTTTACTGTCCTCTCTTCTTTTCTTCCGGAGTTTTAGAAGACTAGTCCCTCGGTCGGCACCTTGATACACTCGTAAGGAAAGAGATGTACGACTTCTCCAGACCGCCAAGCAGCCAGAAAGCTAGGGACCCTCTCTGAGAATACAGACTGAGTTTGAAAGTTAATTCCAATAGGGTGGTTGTCAAATCAGATAGAGTGCATAGTGGGTGTTCAATAGTAGTGAGGTAACAGATTCTTAATCTCGGTAAGCCTAAGATACCCTGATCAAAGTCATATGATCTACTGACCATGTGTTTTAGGTACGGGCCGACCATAACCGGGAAAGTCCGGAACACTACGCGGTTATCGGGTCGTGTCTCTTACCTTAGTGAGAGCGGAAGCTCTGAGCAGCTCCAGGAGTCCGTGGATAAGCGGACGGCAGACCTTCGGCCAGAGATGAATGTCTCTATGTGAAGCCGGGCAATATGCCAGGAAATTGCCACCGTAGGTTTGTCTTTTAATTTAAACGCAGGGAAGGGTGGGGTTGATTCTGCTCTCGTTTACCATTTTCTGCTGGCTGATATGTGCCGTAGTGTGAGATGTGCAGTCGCTGCTGAGGAATGAGATGTCCGCTCCAAGAAAGGAGAAAGGTGCTTTGGGCTTGGAGTTGTGATCGTCTTGGCTTTGGCAGATCAAGGGATATATAAAAGCTTGTAGAGGTTCCTGGAGGTCGTTGGGAGACGCATCTTCAACAGCAGCAGAAATCCAGTCCAAGGCAGTTCGATCATTTGGCCACCACAAATACAGCAACCCAATAAGCTTAGGTTCCCGTTTCAAGCTGAAAGGATAGTGAGTGGTGGTCTCTTCTCGTTGTCTGAGAGCGAAGGTTGCAAGGTCAACTGCAATGCTAACATTATCTGTTGTTGGACAACTAGACCACGCCGAAGCATCAGCGACAATATGAAAGTCAATTTGCAAACCGCCGTCTGTGTCATTGCCGTCGTGCTCAAGGTAGCATCGGCTGCCGAGGTGAAGTGCGATTGGAAGTATGTCAACCAATATTTCTGCAATGGAATTTCCAAGGAATGCGCATGTTCATGCAATGGAACGACCTTGGTCTGCGTTGACGGCGGGTCTGGATCCTGTACACACGTCGACGACCCTAGTACTCCTGGGGAGTGGGATAACTGCATGAAGTATTGTAAATGTGTTGGATCATAGTGTCTTCTGCTCAATGGAAAGTCATGATGGAGGAGGTAACGGCAGGACATAGGATCGATGGACATCTGTGATCCTGTCCGGGAGGAATGGTGCGGTCCAGAGCAACTTCCACCATTATTGAGCTAGCTGCAGGTCATAAGTCTGGTTGGGTTTCATCTCCGAGAAAACGTGCTTCAAAAAGCCTTTGCCCATACGTCAGACGGCAAGGGAGAAAGAATAGGCATACAATGTAGAAGCTGGTTGACAACCTACCTAGGTACCATGTCTGTCTCCCAGCATCCCGTAATATTACGGCGTCCTGGAACTGTCTGCGCTTATATTGACACCTGAGCTCCCAGTCTGGTGATGGGAGATTCGACCGGGCAGAATACCATTCTACGGGCAGTAGTTCGGTCTCGGCGGGCCGAGGGATGGTGTTTTGTGAGCGACCAGGTCACGGAAACGCATGAGTAGGGAATAAGACCCAGACTTTCCTGGACTGCCACATCGGGTCTTCCCTCGACTCAGTTCCACATACTGGACGGCCTCCGAGCTTGATGCCCCGGGCGAGGCTGCATGATCTCAGTAGCCCGTTGGCCTACAGTGCCGGACCGAGTAGTGTTGACAAGAGGGAGCGGTTCGGAGCAGGCAAGGTCAAACAACTGCAACTCAGGGCGTTGTGATGATAAGGAAGGCCTTGTCCCTACCTTCTCCGGACCTCACCTACAGATTAGTTACCTTTATTGGAATGGGGCGTAGGCAGGCAGGCCCAAACGGAACTGACTCGGATTGCACGCAGTCTCCAACTCTTCGCACCTCACCCGAGCCCTGCATTTATTGCACCGCGGCCAGCCATTCTCAGACAACACCTGCAGCCGGTCCCTGCAAGAACTTTCGGTGATTTGTCGAGTCCGACTCACTGATGCAAGGTACCAGACACAAAGGCACCTGTCGTCCAGTCAAGTCGATCGATTGTGACACCGGGCCAACCAGCCCGCATATTCGGGGTCAGAAATAGACACGCGAGACGGCTCGGCATTTGGACACGAAGCAGACGCAGCTGGCATATGATCAGCGTGAAGGTGGCCATGTATTTTATGGGACATCAGCTAGGACTGATAGCACACGAATAATGATACCACCCTCCACTGCAGTAGTCAAACCGGGCGACGTTCCTTGAAGCGTCTCACTACTTCGAGCCATGCAGCACAGCAAACCCAGAATGACGCACGGAAAGATGAGGATCAGATCCGAGAATTGTAATCAGGTGGATTTAGTGCAGGCGAGCTTGAACACAGGCCTGTCTGTCCAGATGACAAGAGGTGCCGCCGTAGGAATGCCACTGGCAGCACAGCGCCGGGCACCAATTGGTTCGGTTTGAGGCGCCAGGCTGCTCTCCACTTGGCGACATGGGAACAAGCCAAGTCCGTTGGATATGTCTCAACCATGGCTGCTGAGAGTCTGAAACCTAGCTGAGAAGCGAGAGATGATGACGAAGGTGTAGGGTTGCTCCCAGCCGAGATGGCTTCAGGTTACTTACAACAACTGTAAGAATCTGGTCTGTATTGTGTCACAATCTACGATGTATACGTTTTAAGTGCACGGTTTCGGGTTGAGGTTCAGGCACAGAGGAGGACATCCTGGGCGGCGGGTTGGTATGGAGCTTGGTGGTAGAGCCAGAGGGGATGGGCCCGGAAGCCTGCGACCTACAGTACCAGTAAACGCTGAAAATCCGGGCTAGAATGTTGTACGTAGCAGAGACCCAGGTGCCCCGTCGTCCTTCTGCCGCTGCTGGGTTTAGGCGAGAGGCTTAACCACAGGCAGCTAGAGTAAAGCCTATCGATACAGCAATCCATCTTCCGGCGCCCATCAGCAGCTCCAGGACAACCAGTTACCGCTGGACAATGTTGTAAACTTGCTTCTCGGCTCGCCACCTGGATTTTGTCGTCTGTCTCCTGGCACCAGACACGGCAAGGCAGCGGAAACGCCCACTTGGCCACAGGATGCTTGCAAACAGCGGCTGAACGCCCCCTCTGATGTCCAAGAACGCGAGAAGTAAGCATTATTTATTACAGACATGAATAATAATAATAATAATAATAAGGTGCCGTTTGCATATCCGCGCCTCCGTCCGTCGTCTTTTCTTCGATCCACGACCGATCAAAATCGGAAAGCGAGCATTCTCAGTGGTCCGGCGTGCGAAACAATTGCAAGTCACCTCCGCCCGCCTGCGTCTGCGGCTGCTCCTCCTGCGCCGAACAATCCCGTGTCACTCTGATGACTGGCACCACCCACTGCACTGCACTACACCAGAAAAGCCTCGTGCTCTCACCAGACTACTATTACCACTGCAGAACTATTACTAGTACTACTACCACACAAAACCCGACAGGTCGCCAGCCTCATCATTTATACCTACTCTTCCTTTGTCTCGTCGTCGCTCACTAATCACTGCCAATCATACATACGGCAATAACAGCATTCCCTACCACTCGCTTGGTCCGTTACCCTCCTCATCGGTCACTTACCACATATCGTCCGAAACCATGTTCAGCCTGCGGAAAGCACTCGTGTTCAGCACGTTGGTGCTCGGCGTCTTCAGTTCACCAAGGCACACGGAGGAGGATGACAAGTCATTAGTCAATTGGGAAGCTTTCCAAGCACTCCTCGACACAATCGACCCGAGCTCTCTACATTCCGTGCTGCATGCACTGGCCCCGAAGTTTCAAGATGGTGTGTTCAGCAAGGACCGGGCCGCGATCGAGCACGTCCACTCCGAGAATCCCGTCATTGCAAGCAAGCTGGTACATTTGGCCAAGAAGAGGCAAGTCAGCAACACGACGATAACGACTACATCATCCAAGACAGCCTCGACGCCCGCTCAAAGTAGTGCCGAACAGCAATCGAGCTCCCGCGCCGCCAGCGTTTCGTCGATCCTCTCCTCTGCCATCTACGCTTCCACCGTACCCGGAGCCACGACCGTCACCGTTGCTCCTGCGACACCCACCTCGGCCACGGCGGTTCGTACGAGCGATGGAGCTGTCGTCTTTAGCACAATTGGAGGTGGTCTGGTCACATTGACATCGTCCGCCGTCGGAGTTCGATTCACTCCTAGCACGTCCACCCACCTGTACTACACCACTTTGCCCGATGGTCAAGTCGAGACATCAACGTCGATCGTTGTGGTTAATGCCCCTGTGACGGAAGTTGCGGGTGCTTCTACAGCAGGATCGGCCGCCACCACCACATCCAAGCCCGGGCTGCAGAACGATGCGTCGTCGAATAAGATCGCCGGTCCTCTCATGGCGGTGCTGTGTCTCGGCGGTTGGCTGTTGGCCTTATAACGGGCTTGGTAAATTTGTTGGGTTCGGCTCGGAATGTGGTCAGCTCAACGCAAATGTCTTTTTGTTTTGGTTCCCAGCAACTATAACGACGAAACGGCTCGGCATGTCTCTCATTTATCGCAACCTGCAATGGGCATAGGTTTAGCGTCATTGTCACTCTTTAGCGAGTTTGTGGTCTGGATTTGAATTTGTTTGGATAAGAAGTGCCATCAAATGTGTATATGATTGGGGGAGCTGATATCAAGTGTCATGAAACGGATAGAGTGCTTGGATGATGACAACTCAAAAGCAACAAGGAAGCTTGCGGTGGTTAACTGCATGGACATAATGTGTTTTTATTTCGGTCAGGCGGTATGATTGAACCTGCGTTTGACACACAGTTGGGCTGTCAGTGGGTGAATAGTATACTGCTGCTTACTGGCAGCGAGATGATCAGGCTGCGAGGCATGAATAGCAATCAATCATCTGAACTTGTATGTACACTGCAGTGTATCTGGTGTCCCTGTGGACTGCCTGTAGGTGAAGTTGCCAATTCCATTCAAGTTGCTATTGCTGTTCGTTCCATGTGAGGCAGTGGTTGCTGTTCAAATGGCGGGCTTCGACAGTACTGTGTTGAACGCAGTAGGTCGTGAAGCCTGGACTTTAGCATACTATGTATATGCAAGTCCTATAATAATAGTCCAAGGAGGCCGGCGTACATATTTAAGGCATCTAGATACTCTATATTATTCCTATACTATCGCAGTATTAAGTAGTTGTACATTATGCTATAGCACTCTCAGCATGTAGCCGTAGTAGTGGGTGGTACTGTATTCCCAATTTTGCCGTATGTGGATCACTTCTGGCATTCTCCGACAAATCCACAACTCCCGTCCCATCCCCTGTGCTTAATTTTACTACACAGCCATAATAGTGAACGAAGGATCAACTGCCAATCATGTGCGCAACAGGTAGATCCTGAAGGATGGACACTGACAGACAGGAGAGGAGAAAATCGTAGGAACCTGATACACTGGCACAGCAGATCCAAGTATCCAGCTGGTCCCTGCTAAAGTTCGAGACGACCTTTTGGTGCTGCAAAGTTTGACTCGCGATCAGTCGTTGATCGTGTTGGCCTGTGGCTATGGACAACGTACAGTGCAAGAGAGTCTTTTGTGGGTGGTATTGATGATCATGTTTCCGGATAAAGCACGGAACGAGTCAGGTAGCTGTGACAGATGCAGAAAAATAATAATGTCGCTTATGAGGGCTTGGAGGATTGCTCCTATTAGGTACTTATTTCGCTTCGCTACGTAGGATGAAAATGTGTTGGCGGTCGTTTAGGCGAAGTCTCTTCCGTCTGCTATCTGTGTTCATATCGTAGTTTGTAGAGCAGTAAACACAGACTTGTCTATTGGTAAGAGTATGCTTCGTGCACGTTGTGTTGGCGGTGGTGGTGGTGGGTGCAGCGCACTTTTGTCTCAGATGCAGTATCATCAGCAGTCAAGCGGAGTGCCACTGGTCCACAACCCCGGCGCCAACCGGTGCAATTCGAGTCTGGCGCCAATCGTCGCTTTTGCAGTGTTTTTGGGCGGCGTTTGGGAGCCTCTGTCAGTGGGTAATGTCGGTTGTGGCTGGCACTAAAATAATAATAATCGGAGTGAAGGTGACAGTTTAGAGAGATGGGATGCTGCAGGTCAAAAGGATGAACAGATGGACAGTTTTGGATGGTGGATGCGTGACTGAGCAGGAATTCCACTCTGAATCCGCCGCTGTGACTGGCCACCCACTGACTTGCACAGCCTGCGCCCGTCATGCCAGTGATGCCCCCGAAATGACCCCTGCAGGCTCCGACACAAGCGCATGCTCAAGCCCGCCAGATGGACCCCTAAGCACGTCTGCAGCCTCCCAAGCCTGGACCTTTTGGCCGGGGGTTCCAACTTTCCGTGGCGGCATCTGCCTCTCTCCCTTGCCAGCGCCTCAAGTCAATTGCACCCCGTTTCATCTTCAATTCCTGCCTTCATTCTCTGGTTTCTTCTCTTCCTCTTGCCTCCATCCTTCCTCTCCCTCATTCAACAATTACTGAGCAGTCACCGCGCGTTTGTCGGTGTCGCTCCTCCCTCGCTTTCTTACCAAACTTCGTAATAAATTCGGATTCTTCTGTTGGGGCTTCTCACTCGCTTGAATCCCAACTCCAGTTCATTTTGTTCGCTCCCCCTTTGGTTGGATTGGAACCCGAGAAGATTCACAAGAGACAACTTTTTTATTCTTGAAATCATCACGACTTCGTTATTCTCACCATCATGCGTACTTCCACACTTGCTGCCCTTGCCTTGGGCGCCGCGGCTGCTTCAGCCGCCTCGGTCAAGCGTGCCTCTGGTTTGACCGCAGTTACTGTCAAAGGAAACGGTATTTGCAACCCTCAGACGCGTTAATCACCCGGTTTTAACCCTCTATAGCCTTCTTTGTCGGAAATGACCGATTCTATATCCGCGGTGTCGACTACCAACCTGGCGGTTCTTCAGAGGTTGCCGACCCAATCGCCGACGAAGCTGGCTGCAAGCGAGATATTGTCGAATTCAAAAAGTTGGGCATCAATACCGTTCGTGTGTACCACGTGGACAACACCGCGGATCACGATGCTTGCATGAGTGCTCTGGCAGATGCAGGTATCTACCTCGTCCTGGACGTCAACCTTCCCAAGTACTCGTTGAACCGAGCCGACCCGAACCCGTCTTACAACGATGTCTACCTTCAGAACGTCTTTGCCACGATTGATGCATTTGCAAACTACACCAACACCCTGGCGTTCTTTTCCGGCAACGAAGTGATCAACGACCCGGAAACTTCGGCTGCTGCTCCTTATGTCAAGGCTGTCACTCGAGACATGCGCCAATACATCCGTAAACGCGGTTACAGAGAGATCCCAGTGGGCTACTCCGCTGCCGACGTCAGTGAGAACCGTTTGGAAATGGCCCATTACATGAACTGCGGATCTGATGACGAACGATCCGACTTCTTTGCCTTCAACGACTACTCGTGGTGCGATCCCTCCTCTTTCGTCCAGTCTGGTTGGAATGAGAAGGTCAAGAACTTTACTGGTTATGGTCTTCCCATCTTCCTGTCCGAGTACGGCTGCAACCACGCCACCCGCGATTTCGAGGAGGTCGGCTCTTTGTACAGCACAGACATGAGCTCTGTCTACTCCGGTGGCTTGGTCTACGAGTACGTTGAGGAAGACAGCAAGTACGGTCTTGTGGAGATCAGCGGTGATTCAGTTACTGAGTTGGACGACTTTGCAACTCTGCAGAAGATGTTTTCCAAGACCTCCAACCCTCAAGGTGATGGTGGCTACAACGCGACCGCTGGTTCATCTGCTTGCCCGGCTTACTCGAGCCCGAACTGGCTGGTCAAGGATGACTCCCTTCCTGCCATCCCTGACGGTGCTAAGAAATACATGACTCAAGGTGCGGGCAAAGGTGCCGGTCTTGATGGCTCTGGTTCTCAGAATGCCGGCGGTGCCTCTACCGGGACTGCCACTGCAGGCAGTGGGTCCGCCAGCGAGACGGGCAAGTCGAGCTCTACCAAAAACGCTGCGGTCGGTGTTCAGGTGCCAGAATGGTCCTTTGCTCCTTTGGTGTGCGGTGCTGTGGTTATCATGTCAACATTGTTTGGTGCCACTCTGTTGTAAATTGGGACAACTGTTATCATACACACAAAAACCTGTGACAGAGTGTTTTTTCTGAAGCCAGATTTGGCAGTTTGCCAGATGCCACACAAAACATGGCTGCCTTTCTTTGTCTGGACAGTTTGGGGTTCTGGTTGCAGACTCGGAGGCGTCTCTGACTAACCTTGAAAAATGTATGTATCGGTTTAATCAGAAGCAATAGATTGGGATTAAGGGGTGGATATGAAACAATACTGCTAAAACGTTGCCATCGATTTCTTTACAAACATGATACCGCCTCCTGTATTATGCTATGCGAATAGGTACACTGCTCAGCAACCTGGGAAGCTAACCATAGAGTCATCTAAGACCTCATCCGTCGAAGTGGTTGAAATGTTGCCCATATCCCAATAATGGATAAACTAAGTCCGAGAGGAAAACTGCCATCGTTGCGGAGGTGAATTTCGCCTACCCAAGGTCGTAATGGTCGACTTCATGGCAAGCGAGTCTACTACGCTCAGGGACAGGGCACAGAGACATTGTTCTCCGCTGGGACTTATTTAGAGAAGTTTGCTGTTCGTCTGGTCACCAGAGATGACGCCGCCGCTGAAGTGGACACCGGTCAGATACCGACACCGACGTAGATCCCTTTAATTGCTCAAGTTTTTGTCTGGCGGTATTGGCGTCCCAGGGGCCCATTGAACCAGACTTTTGGGCCATATGGGGGTGTTGTTGTTGTTGTTGTTGTTGTTGTTGTTGTTATGGTGGCGGCGGTTGTTGTTGTCAAGATATCCTTCAAAGTTAGGGGTGGTGGCAGACCGACACTGACGAAGACGCCATGATCTGCTTGAGTCTTTGTCTACCGGCATCTACGTCCCATTTGGTCTCTAATAGCGGTGGCGCTGCCAACGGTACTTGAAGTCGTTTGAGTCGGACAATGGGGCCTCTATCACGATGGTTGTGATTTCGATTCTCTTGGTCATGCTGGATGAATTCGACGCCTTCGGATTTCAAGAGTTGGATTTTCCGCTCGAGAGTCAATTGGGGGTGGGAGATGGATTTGGATTGGTTGTTGTTTGGGCCTTGTGTTGTTCGGTTCTTTGCAGTGGTGGTAGTCCTCGTCTTTGTCTTCGTCTTTGTCTTTCTGATTTTGGTTCTAGTGGTCGTGGTGGTTGTGGTGAGGGTGTTCTTGTTCTTCTTCTGCCAAGTCTGTCCAAAGAATCCGCCTAATGACCCATCGCTCGCAATGACGCGGTGACACGGAACAGTCGGCCAAAAGGGGTTACAGCGTAATGCACCGCCTACGGCGCGCGGTGAGGTGTTGAGGGCCTTGGCGACGGCGGCGTAGGTGGTGACTTGGCCGGGCGGGATGAGGAGGACGAGAGAATAGACTTTCTGTTTCAAGAGATAAGAAGTATAATTGATTAGACTGGAGGCCGGAAGTAATGCATGGTACACGAAACAACAACAAGGGGAGGGTGTGTTCGTTCAATGGGCTGATCGAACATGGGCTAAGTCGATATGAGGGTAGATTTCAAAGCTGAGAAACGAAAGAGGTCTTCTGGCTGGCTGGGTACTCACCTCTTGAAACTCCGTAATGGTGGACATTGGGCGTGTGTCTTCCGCTGCTGGCATCGTGAAGCTGGTGGATCACAAGACGCTCGTGTTGAGGGGACAGAGAAAAGGACGGTTGGTGTTGATAGAGGGGTCTCTCCTTTAGGATGCCAGTGCGCCACGGCGACACAACACTGTTTCGGCCGATTGTAGAGAGAGAAAGTGACAATGCTCTGTCTCCTGTCCTATCTGGTCGAGGAAGCCGTAGACAGCCTTTCTCACGCGTATGCAAGGGGAGCAGCATGCAATGTCAAAAAGGGTGATAAGGAACACCGGGATCAATGTGTCCCAGTGATTTTGGGCTGATAATAATACAGAACAAGACTGGAGGGTCGATAAGATCTTATACCTCCTTTCTTCATAATTCGGTCGAGTCACTACCATTACCGACCGGCAACATGCTTGGGCGCTGTTGACCCAGGTTTGGAGCCGCATTGATGCTGATTGGTCACATCCAGAGCAACAGAGATGGATACAGCAACTTGAAAGTCGCCAATCATACAGGACGCCGGATAGGGTCAGACGGTGCGGGATAGGCAACTCTGCTCTCCAAGCGGGTTGCTACTGTAGGTGTTTGCGCAATGTGTACTGATACGTTTTCATGATGGGTCACAAGCACTGCAGGGGAGGGCAGACAAAGAATAAGCTGATAAAATTATTGTCGAGGCACAACACGCGCATCGCCGCGTTACGCGCTCTCACGTGCGCTGTGTGCATAGTAAGGTACTCGAAATCACTCGGCCAATAGCAATCAAGGTAAAACACCGACCAGAATTGCGGTATACTTCGCCGTATTCTATGCCAAGACTGCGCATCTGGTCGCCTGCTCACATCCTGCTTCAATGTTGAACCGCAGCTCCGTCGTGGACATGTACAGGTTCCCTGGTGGCAGCGCCTTAGATCTTTTACCACCAACCTTTGTCCTGCCGGAAACAAGGTGGCTCAACATGACGGTTGTCGACACAATCAAAGATGCCGTTGGCTTGGGCGACGGTCATGGTACGTACAAGCCTTTCTGAACCTGTCCCAAGACCCCTCCAACTGTTTGCGGCTGACATGTTATGCTTTTGGTTCAGGTGATGCTACGGCTCCGGTCCCAGCCTCTCGAGAAGCGATGTCCGAGGCCAGATTGCCCATGGCCTACCGTGATAGTTGCGCTGGCCTTTTAATCCCACTTAACCACTGTCGACACAAGGAGTGGTATCTGCCTTGGAAGTGCGAGGTATGTCAAGGCTTGGATATCGCAGACATCAATCGCAAAGCAGGACAGGACTGATCACCGATTTTGACATAACCAGAACGAACGACACAGCTACGAAAAATGCCAATATGAAGAGTTTAAGAAGAGAGTTGCGAAAATGGAAGAACTACGGGCGTCGAAAGCAGCTGCTGCCAGCACCGCTTAAGCCTGGTCTGGCCGGGAAAATCTGTTTAAATATGCTTTGAGACGTGCGACTGGAAGCCGTCATTGCTGTATATACGGAGGAAGGATGGCATTGCACATTCGATGGATTCCGACAAGAACACGCCCAATGACTCGTTAGGCGGCTCAACCGATTCGCGGTCAAGATCACGATCTGGATTTGTAGCGGCAGGACGATGGTGCATAATGCAGAAGCACCGAGAAACAAAGCATGCCTAGGCATCTGGTTGTAGTAGGGACAGCCTTGTGATGTGTCATGCTACAATCGACATGGCGGATGGGTCAACCAAAATGCATGGCTCCAACCTGGTCTGCGAATCGAGCTACGCAATGGTATCGAACAATCAAGATCTGCTATTTATTGCGCAACACATACAGTAAAGCAATGGACGATTCGAATGTGACCCCCACGTCGCGAACAGCAGCACTGGTTTGGCGTAGATGGTGTGATTCTGTTCTGACGGAGACGAGTGGACCGGCCTCGCACAGAACGAACTTGCCAACTGGCACCGCATCCCACTCGGCGGAAGTGTCTTGCAAGAAGCCCACCGACCATATGGCGAGATGCTGGTCTCGGGCTGTCCAGATTTGGATTTAATCCACGTCACAGAGCACGAAGCGCACGCGAGACGATACCGGTAGTAGAAACAGACTCGCACTGCAGAAGGACTCGGATCATGTCGCCAACCTCGGAGCCCAAAATCGACGGGGAGCTGTGCGCATCGGCAGCGTACGATGACTAATTCTCCAGTCGGCAGTCGAGCGAGATCTTGAACTCTGCTCATCATCCGGCTTTCTTTTTCTGCAGGTTCAAGTTTTGCTTTCCCTGTGTTGTACTTTTCATGACTACCTAGGTATACAATTCCGAATCTCAGTCGCGATTGTCATTCGAAGACCCTGGTGCCCGCATCTACAAGTACTAGTAATCCTTCGAGCCACAGCAGTCGACTGATTCTCAGCCAGCGGAACTAATTTCTCCCCCGGGAAAAATTGCGCCAACGTCACCAACGGGCCGAAATTTCCACCCACCACGCCCGCAGCGAGAGTGGTGATTAATTATAGATATCTCAGGCACGCGACGCTGCTTCCACTCACTTTACTGTGCCATCCAATTCAGATGATGGCTTCTTGTCCCCTTGCCTGACAGCCTCGACAAGACGTCGGCTGGGACTTTCCATCGCCTTGCGTTGAACCCACCTTGTTCGATGTGGGGGGAGTAATCCGGGCTTCTCGTTTTCAATCTTGTACATATTCCCGACGAGTCGAGGTATAATCATTTCAACGAAGTTTACGACACATCATGGGTCTTTTGTAAGGTTCTATGCTGGTTCGACCGTTTGATCGATGGCCTGACATTCACGCAGAGCATTGGGCACGCCTCTCAGCTGGCCGGAAGCGAAGAAAGCAGCGAATCAAGTCAGAGAGTGGGGGATTGAGGTAAGAAATTGCGGCTAGGAAGACGCCCGGACTATGTTTTCCGGATGCTGATGAGTCTTGCAGCAATTGCTCAACATTTGGCGCAAGGCCAAGGTGAAAGAACGTGATGCTCTCCTGTGGGGGGACGAGGTATGCTTGCTGTTCCTTCTCGTTTCGCGTTGACCACCTATGACTGACATTAAGTCTACTAGATCGAATATATTGTGGTTGCTGTTGATGAAGGCCAGAAGAAGGTCCGGTTATCATTATGCCAGGCCGACGTGTTGAAGGCATTGGCGCACGATACCGAATTGGCGAAGCATGACTCGATGGTGCCAGATCTTCAGGAAGACGTGGTGTAAGCTGTTTGAGCCGTGATCGCCTCAAACTCGTCATGACTGACCTCCCTCTTTCTGTTAGTGCGAGCGGCAAGCTTCCAACGTTCCATCCCGAGTTCGGCCGGTTCATGCTGGAGGCCACCCCAGGTAAACCATGGGGCATCGGATTCAAAGACCTTCTTGATGTCGAGAACGACATGAAACTTCGGCGGGTGATTGCCAAAGCGCACATGCAAGCGCACGAGTACCCGGTAACATTGACGACGTTTCCTCGTCTGGGCACCCGAGACGACTACATTACCCCGTACTACCCCCCGTCGGGTCCAATGTTAAGATCGCAGTTTGTGCCGGACGAAATCGCCAACCCGCACATCCGCTTTCCCACGCTAGCCGCGAACATTCGGGCGCGGCGAGGGCGCAAAGTCGAGATCAACGTGCCGGTATTCCACGACAAAAACACACCGAACCCCTTCAGTGACCCGACGGTCAACTACGACCTGCACAAATGGCCCGAGGACGACGATGTGCGCAACGGGGCAGTCAAGCCGGACTGCGTGTACATGGATGCGATGGCATTCGGGATGGGCAGCTGCTGTCTGCAAATCACATTCCAAGCCAAGAACATCCGTGAGGGTCGGATGCTGTATGACCAGTTGTCGCCACTAGGGCCAATTCTGTTGGCGCTGACGGCGGCGACGCCGATCTACAAAGGGTTTTTGGTCGACACTGACGTGCGGTGGAACCAGATCTCGCGGGCGGTGGACGACCGGACTCGCGAAGAGCTGGGCGAGGTGCCGCTGAAGCATGACCGGTGGCGGATCCCCAAGTCCCGCTACGCCAGCAACAGCACGTACATTGCCGAGGACCCGCGGCTGCGACCCGAATATATGGATCCAGAACTGGTGGTGGACGAGAGGCTAAAAAAGAAACTGCTAGACGGCGGCATGGACGAGTTGCTGGCGACGCATTTCGCGCACCTGTTCATCCGCGACCCGATTGTTATTTTCGCCGAAGATCTCAAGGAGCTGGACCCCGAGGGTTCGAACCACTTTGAAAACATCCAGAGCACCAACTGGCAGCACATGCGGTTCAAGCCGCCGCCACCTGACGCCGACATTGGCTGGCGCGTCGAGTTCCGCAGCATGGAGATCCAAATGACCGACTTTGAAAACGCCGCCTTTGCCATCTTTATTGTCCTCGTTACCCGCGCCATCCTCAGCTTCGATCTGAACTTTTATATTCCTATCCCCCGCACCACCGAGAACATGGACACGGCGCATGCCCGCGACGCCGTTCTGACGCAGAAATTCTGGTTTCGAAAGGATCCCTTTCCTCGCCGAAGTCCGAGACAGTCGCCCAAGTTGAACGGCGTTACATCTACGGAGAGTGTTGGTGGCTCAGGGACAGAGCTGGCTACTGATCCTACATCTTTGACCAGCGCGAACACTACAACTGGCGACGCTACTACCGATACGTCCACAAACCGGTCCATTACGGCAAACAGTACTCGGTCCACAACACCATTTGCCGCAGGCTTCGACACCCCCGTCGAGGACGAATATACATTGATGACGATTGACGAGATCATCAACGGCAGCAATTGCGCCAACAGTGGTGCTGGTGCGCCGACCGAAAACGGAGATACTGGTGATAGTCAAGAAGGTTTCCCAGGCCTCATCCCCCTAGTCGAATCGTATCTGGACAGCGTCAACATCGACGTCACGACCCGCTGCGAACTCGAGCGCTACCTGGACTTGATCCGCAAACGCGCCAACGGAACGCTGTGGACTGGCGCGAAGTGGCTGCGCGAATTTGTACGGTCGCACCCCGAATATAAATTCGACAGCGTCGTGAGTGAACGCATCGTCTACGACTTGTTCAGGGCTGTCGACGAGGTCGGGCGCACAGAGGGCGAGAATGGCGCCGTCGGCTGGGAGATGTTGACGGCCAAAGAGAGGAGGAAGGGGTTAGATGATTGATTTGAATGATTAATTTGTTCGAATGTCTGGTTATACTATATACATCTTGACAGCGCCTTACCAATACTAGTATAAGCAAGATATGACCCTTCAAAACGCGTGAGACGGGAACACCTTAGGTGAGGAAGGCCCTCAATACCGTAACTGGTACTACGGTGATAGTATTGGGCATTCCTTCCAAGGACAGCCTCGTCCATATTCCACATCATAAGCAGAGAAACATGAAAAGCCAGATGCGATCAGGAAAACAGCTCCGCATCTACAAGCAGGAAGTACCTGATTATTAATACCTAGTTACCTAGGTAGTATTTTATGATACGGAAGACGTGAGTGGACATGCTCAAATCAGCCCTGGAAAAATGCAGTGGCCCAGTGGATGCACTGCAGTGTTTGACGTTTTCCCTTCAACTTCTCCGCATGTCAGAGACTTTTTTTTGGAGGCGGTTTTGGTACAATTACAGCATTCACGCTCTTGTCAATCCACCGTCCTACTTCAACCTTCACCTTAGTCAACTTCGTCATTCCTGTAAGAAGAAATGGATGTCGAGCTCGAGTTCCCAACGTCCCCGCCAAAGCGGCAGAGGACGCTTTCTCCAGAAGAAACCCGCGATGCCAGTGCAGCAGGCCAGCCGATCGAAGCGCAATCCGACGCCAAACTTGAGGACCATTCACCGGCTGACACTAGCATTGCACGTTCTGGAGCGGACGGAGGCGCTGAGAAGGCCAGCAGCAATGACACCGTGGGCCAAAATCAAGACCAACCATTGCCAAACATACCCGACCATGACTCGAATTCTCTACTTGACTCCTTGATGCTGCAGGTGGAAGCCGCCTCTGCTCCTCCTCCTGTTTCTGTCTCAGAGCAGCCAACGTCCGCTGCCGCAGAGCCAGCCGCTGGCGAGAACAAGGATATACTGAATGGCGCTGAGAATACAAAGGGCATAGATACACATACGGACCAGATGCAGGATGCGCAGCAGCCGCCAACGGAATCGCGAACCACGGTTGAAAATGGCCGCATGGACGTGACAACCGATGGCGGTATGAACGGTGACGGTCAAGCGACCCAGGGCGACGCACATAATGGGACTGAGAATACCATCACTCTCGATACAAATACTACAATCCCAACCGTAGGGAATGACTCCGAGACGCCGGCCGTCGCTAGTGCCACTGCCACCACCACCGCTACCATGGTGGATGCGATACCTCCAACCGAGACACTGGCACCCGAACCTGGAGCAGAAGGGGCAGAGTGGGAGATCGACTCGTCGCCATACGAGTCCTCTTCGGATTCCGATGACACAACCTCGTCGGAAGAAGATAGTGACGAAGACGAGGATGACGACGACGGCGACTACGCCATGCTCGACCCCGAAGAAGCGGCGCGGATACTCATGCAAGGCGACGGAGGCTCCGATGACGAAGGAGGCGGACGAAATAGAGGGGACAAAGCAGATGGTGCACCTCTCCGGACTGCCCATGAACGACCGGAAGAGGTGATCCCCAAACCGGACATTGTAGTTACCGAGGATATGAAGATTGAAGAACTGGGAAATGTCGAGGTCGTGGTGGAGAACACCGTGGTGATCAAGGCCAAGACCTCTGGCGAGTACCAGGTCCTTGAGACTGGATCTTTGATCTGTCTGCCCGACAGATCGGTGGTGGGAGTGGTTGCCGACTTGATAGGACGAGTCGAGGAACCCAGATATACCATTCGCTTCACCAACGACGAAGACATCAAACAGGCCGGCCTGGCTGAGGTTGGGACCACTGTGTTTTACGTCCCGCATCACTCCACGTTCGTCTTCACGCAACCATTGAAAGCCGTCAAGGGAAGCGACGCGTCAAATTTCCATGATGAGGAAGTGGCAGAGGATGAAATGGAGTTTTCGGACGATGAAGCTGAGGCCGAACATAAGCGCCAGATGAAGGCGCGGAGACAAGGGCGGTCGATAGAAACAGGCCGAGGACGAGGCGGCGGCGGCCCCTCTTCAAGACATCCTAGAGGTTCACATCGCGGCGGCGGCCGTGGAGGAGCAAACCAAAGCTATGGAGGATCCACCGAAATGAATTACGATGATGTGGTAGATGGTAGTGGTGGTGTCGGCGATGAGGGATATACTCCTCTACAACGACCAGCCAACATGGCCGAAATGATGATGACTTCGCCTCAGGAAGTAGGGGCCAGGCCAAGTCATTCATTACCACCAAAGCCCAGCAGAGGCGATTTCAGCCGAGGAAGAGGTGGTCGTGGCCGCGGCGGTGGCCGAGGAGGCAATTCTCGTGGTGGTCACCATCATCATCAACAACAACACGGCGGCGGCGGCGGCAGCGCTGGTTTCGGCCAGTCTTCTCAAGCAGCAGCTGGCTCGTGGAATCAGCAGCCCAGCAACAACAACAGCTTCCAAGCCAGCTTCACGCCGCACCAGATGCAACAGATGATGTCGATGCCGAACTTTAATCTCCCTGCAATGCCCGCATTTCCACAAGGCATGCAGTTCAACAACACACCGGGTTCTTTCAACTTTAACGGGTTCAACAATGGTGCCAATGGTGCGAATTTTCCCTTTATGCAGCAACCGCAACCGCAGCCGCAACAGCAACAGCAACCACAGCAGCAGGGCTTTCCGGCCTCGTTTGGTCCGAACTTCCAACAACAGCAACAGCAAACATATCAGCAACGCTGGGGCGGAGGACAGCAGCAGCAACCCAACGTGGCAGCTCCGGCGTCGTCGTCTAATTTCACATCTGGGCCGTGGGCGAGTAATCCGGCTCTGGCGGCGGCTTTGCAGAGGCAGGCTCAGCAAGAGCAGGAGAGGAGGAATCAGGGATAGTGATCAAGAAATGGACAGTGTACAGTGTACCTACCTCAGCTTGCTGCTGTGAGTTGAAGTTCGAGTTACTGGGTGGTCAGTGGTACTGTGCCAGTAAGATGTGGTGTGGCTTGGAAAAGCGGCTTGTACTATGTCTAACTGAAGGATGATTTCGGGCGAACGAATAAAGAGTGCTATTTGGAGTCCAACAGTGGAATGAGTCTCTATGATAACTACTTCTGCGACTGCGACTGCGACTTGCTTTGAAATGAGTAACTAGACATTGGACCACTCCGGTATGGGGGACAAAGAATTGTTGTAAAATCCGGTCTTTTTTCTTCCTTTCTCGCGCCTATTCCTCTAACTTACTTTTGTCCCCCCAATGCTTTTTAAAGGCCAGTAAATTGCAACAAGCTGAGCTGTACAACACTAGTAGGAATGGCCTATGTCTATGGTATGCATGCACGCAGGCAGTTGGATGTAAACGACACAGAGTACCGTATTTTTTCTCTCTAGTAGTCCCTCCTTGTTTCTTCATACATGCTCATGCATTTCCTCTAAATTGACGTGCAGTGAACAAGAACAAGGACCAGACCAGACCTGATCAAGTCAAGTCAAATCAAGATTCCTCCGGCGACGAACCCAGAACGACGTCCTATACGCACACAAGGAACTTAGTTAGCCATTCGCGTTCAAAACGAAGTCAGATCATCTGAGATCATCATCTCATCTGATCTCAAGCGAATATCAAACAGGAGGTTAAGGTCAAGAACTTACCCTAGCAATCCTCCCACCAAGTCCTCGAACCTTAATGCCTGTCCAGTACTCGAACTGCCACAGACCCTGCGCAACAAGGACCTCGAGCCCCTGAATCGTCTTCCATCCGCCTGTCTGTTCGGCCATCTGCATCACGGCCGTATGGGCCGGTTTGTATGCGAGTTCGAGCAAGATCCGTTTGGGCTTAGTTGTAGTAGCCGATCCCTGACCCTGGCCTTGGCCTTCACCGGCGTCTCGGACAGGCAGAGGCAGAGCAAAGATCCTGCTCAAAGCAGATCCCAGAGTCGGATCGATCGGGATGTTTGCAGGGATGGTGGCGATGGCAACTGTCGGCGGTGGTGTGTTTGTGGTGTTGATGAATCGAGACTTGTTTTCCCCTGTCTTGGCCCCCTCCACCTCCGCATCAAGAACCACCAACTCATACGCAGCCGGAAAACTATCCGCCAACTCGGCCAGTTTCGTCCGGTTCCGACCAATCAGATAGATCGGACTGTAGCCCATGCTGTGCAAGGTCTGGATAGCCGCACGGGCAGTGCCACCACCGCCGATGACAAGACCGGATTGCGGGACATCCCCTATAGCGGCAGAGGCGCCCGCGGCGCGCAGACAGTCCATCATGCCCAGGTAATCGGTGTTGTAGCCGACTAGCCTCGTTTTCTGGGATTGGAGATCCTGGACGGGGACAATTGTGTTGACGGCGCCGATGAGCCGGGCGGTCTCGTCCACTTCGTCCAGCAGAGGCATCACGTCGAGCTTCAGTGGGATCGTGACGCTGGCGCCGCCAAAGTCCTCGGCACGGATCCTGGCCTTGACCTCGTCCACCGACGTCGTCTCGCAAAGCGAATATATGTGCGGAAGACCCGTCTCGGCAAACAGCCGGTTGTGCATGACCGGGGATTTGCTCGCCTGGATCGGCGATCCAAACAGCAAAAACTGTTTTGGCGCGAGCTCGCCGAGCAACGTCAGACCTTGCCGGATCTCTTTTGCCGACAGCTGTCCTGGCGCTGCTTTGAACGGGAGTGCCGGGTGGCTGACGGGCGTCATGAAGCCGTTGAGCACGCGCGACGCTTGGCCCGCCCGGCCCATGTTGATTGCAATCAGTGGCAGGTCCGGGTGCTGCTCCGCCGACCACTGCTTGAAGCGGCGGAGCGAGAAGTTGTCGTCGATCGTTTGCGCCACTCCAATCAGTTTCACTACGTCGCCGTACTGCAGACATCGGTTGTACAGCGGGATCCAGGAGCCCGGTTTGGACCACGATAGACGACCCTGGGGATCGTGATGTGATGCGATGATCTTGCTGTTTGAGCTGCTCTTCAGAGCGGCGATCGAGATGAGCACGATTTCCGGAAAGGTTGCCACTTCCAGGTCCACAAATTCGCAGCCCATCCGGATTGCAAGCGTGCATAACTGCAGGTATTCGGCCTGAGCCGTGTCGGGAAATCGACCACCCTGCGAGCTCGTTCGGACCGTAAAAACCACCGGGAGAGGAACCGTTGCGCGCAGCAGAGAGAGCTGGGATGTCACGTATTCTGTGGAAGGGATGGCACTCTGCGAGTCTGGGTCCTTGAGCAGATCCACTCGCAATTCCACGGCGTCGGAACCAAGACAGACTTCCGGAAGGATCTTCAGGTGTGGGCGTAGGTCTTCGAATGTCAACGACACAAAGAACGATTGTGGTTTCTGTTTGAACTGCGAAAGCACGTCCACTTTGCCGGTGACCACCTGCAAAAACCGGTCAAAGTCCTCGGCAGCCTCGGATAATCGCTCGTTGGGAATGCTCTGGCTATAGTGTACGAGGTTGCTGCATTCCTCGAACCAGGGCTTCCTTCGAAGCCAGACGCCCATCATGTCCTCGACATAAGCTGGTCGTGTCTTGTCGATTTGAAGGTAGTCCATGACTTCGTTGATGTCCCGTTGCACCAGTAGCACATTGCCTTTGGTCTGGTGCCAGTCAATCAACAAGTTACGAGCTTCTGGCATTTCGACCACTCCTCCACCACAGGCGAAGACGTAGCCGGTTGACATGTCTTTCATGACGGATTTCAGTAGTTCTAATTCGCGCGACCGGAAATACTCCCACCCCTTTTCTCGAATTATCTCGGGGATGGTACTGCCTTCCCGAAGCTCGAGTTCCGTGTCGAGATCGATCAGCTTTTTGCCGAGGGATCGGGCCGCCCATCTACCTGATGTGGTCTTTCCGGCACCTCGCATGCCAATGATGAACATCGAGGCCGTGCTTCTGTCCAGCTTCTTCGCATGGGTGGGAGTGGCAGTGTCCAGTTCCACGCCTTCAAGCTTGACGCCGAATACCCGCGCCATCGTGTCCCACCAACCAGGCCATGTCTTTCCTGTACATTCTTTCTCTAAAATGAGAGTGGGCTTGGGGGCCGCAACCGCAAGCACGCTGAAGCTCATCGCGACGCGGTGGTCATCGTAGCAGTGTACTCCTTCTGCAGGTTGTTGTAGCCGAGCTCGATCGATGCCGTCGACCTCAATACCATCATCAAACTGCCGGCAAGTGACGCCAAATTTGGCTAACTCGTCTTCCATTGCTTGGATGCGGTTGCATTCCTTGACTCGTTGATTTGCGATACCGTATATCCGTGTAGTATTCGGGCTTGTTCCCTGAGCCACCGCTGCAAGCACAGACGCCGTTAGGAAAGCATCCGTCATAGGCTCCATGTCGATATTTGCTACGGGTTTCAGCTTGCCGTCGCGAGGACCAGTAACTGTAGTGGAGGTCTGCGTCTGCTTGACTTCGCAACCCATTGGTCTCAATACCTCCATGGCAAAACGGGAATCACCTTGCAGCGACGCTGAGCCAATGTTGGGGATGGTGCATGTTGTTCCTGTTATGGCTGCAATTGCCAGTGGGTATGTTGCCGAACTGGCGTCGCTTTCAACCACGTATTCCGCCGGGTTCGAGTAGGCGCCTTGCGGAATGTGATACGTATGTTCTTCTGTCCGCGACTTCTCCACTTTGATGCCGAAGGATGCCATCATAGCAATAGTCATGTCGATATACGGTTGGGAAATGGGCTTCCCACCAACAAGCTTGAGTGTAACAGGGTTCTTCGCATACGGTGCACACATTAGCAAGGAAGAGACGTATTGTGACGAGACTTTTGCCGCAAGTTTGATTTCGCCGCCATTAAAGCCGCCGGAAGCGGCGATTTTGAGAGGAAGACACCCGGCGCTCTCCAGGTATTCGATCTCGGCACCATTCGTCTTCAATGCATCGACGAGGTCTCCAATCGGTCGCTGTTTCATGCGAGCATTTCCCGTGAGAACCGTCGATTTGACCGAACTCTGGCTCGTAAGAGTTGCCACCGTGGTCAGGAATCTAGCCGCCGTGCCAGCATTGCCCAGGTAGAGTTCGGTAGGGCTAGCTTGTTGTCTGCCGCCATTACCGTTGACCACCAGAACTTCGCCCTCTTCCTCCCAAGAGAATGTGGCCGCACCTAGCTTGGTAAGGGCCTCCAGCATGACTTCTGTATCCGCAGATGTGAGCAAGTTCTTCACGCGGCATGTGCCTTGACCAAGAGCGGCTAGGACAAGAGCTCTGTTGGATATGCTCTTTGATCCCGGAGGTGTACAAACGGCTTTCAAATCGTCAGGTACGCCGGGAATCACCTCGATACTCGGAGACAGCACAACGCGAAGATCAGAGTCGGATACAACGCTAGCTTTCTGTTCATAGGTACGGCCGATCGAGGACAGAAGGACGACTTTCTTCTTTGCACCATCGTTCTTCTTGTCCACGCCCATCTTCTTGAGCATACCGTCCACAGTGCACCTCTTACCACCAGACAGTTTGCGAACACGTTCATCGTCCAGTCGTGTTGGCAGACCATACGCATTCAGGCACTTTTGTAAGCGGCCGACCGCCACGCCACTCAGGACGCCTAGAAACCGGGCAAGTTCCGCCTCTTTAATCATACCAATGGCAACACACTCGCCATGAAGGACCTGAGGAGTCAAAAAGGCCTCTATGGCATGTCCGATGGAATGTCCAAAGTTCAGCAGATTGCGCAGACCACTTTCCCTCTCGTCAATGGTCACCACATGTGCTTTGAATCTCGCCGAGGCAGCGATGATCCTGATCAGGATGTCTTCAATGTCCTTGAACCTCGCGGCGCCTTGCTTGATGTCTGCGTTAACAGCAGCCATGATACGCTGCGCGTTAGTCTCAAGCGCGATAAATTCCTGCTCGTCAGAAATAGCGGCAGTCTTGATCACCTCGGCCATGCCATTGATCAATTCCCTTCGTGGTAGAGTTCCGAGGAAGTCGAGATCAATGTAGATCCTCTGTGGTTGCCAGATGGCTCCGACAAGGTTCTTCCCGAGTGGTGTGTCGATGGCTGTCTTTCCTCCGATGGACGAGTCGACCATAGCAAGCAGCGTTGTTGGTACCTGAACAAACCGGACTCCACGCATGTACGTCGCCGCAACAAACCCCGTCAGGTCTCCAACCACACCGCCGCCGAGGGCAATGATCACAGTGTCGCGACCGCATGGCGGGCTCTGACTCAGAAGCCAGTCTTCAATATCATCTTTGGTTTGTCGAGACTTGGAACTCTCTCCGGGCGGAATCTCATAGACCAGAAGCCGTGGCCGACTGCTCTTCTGCTTCGCTTCAGCCTCGAATACCTCGCGGAAAGAGGCTGTATAGATCGAGCCAATGTTGGTGTCGGTTATTAACACATAAGTCGATGACTCAAGGTTGCTGAGTAAATCTGCAGCGACATAATTGCGCCACAGGCCGAAATTAATGATGATGCTTTCTTTTCCAAGGAGGCTCACCCGGACCTCCTCGCCGGTACCATTGGCCAGCGGCATGATTGCGCATGCAGTGTGCAATCAAGATGTACTCACCGACTCGCGCTGAGGCAGAGGCTCCTCCGGTCTAAGGAGCTCCGAGTCCTTTGATTTTCTCGTATGCCTTGGCATCTCCATAACAAGCTTGGCGCCACTAGCGGAAAGTCATTTTCAGCCTTGTTCGAGTCTTTGACTCTCATTGGCAGATATTGTCACCCAAACAACGCTAACGGCTGTTATCACTGCGCGAGGCTGCCGTACATGACTCGGATGCCCTCGCAGAAACCATTCTCCCAAGGCTGGGCAGGGACAGTGATCGAAGAATACCTAAGTAGACATAAGGTCTCCAGGTGCTTGCCCACTGTTGGCCTGTGATACTCACTTCCTCAGGGAAACTTTTCGCATGGCATGATGCATCCCCGATCCCGGACGAGGTGGTACACCCGAGGTCTACCGTCTCTTGGCTGACCAGAACTTTCTGCTGGCCACTGGCATTCCACGATTGTATCGCGACCATTTGGCAGTTGCGGAAACGCAGCTGATGACCGGTTGGATTCACGCATGACATGAACCACAAGCTGTCAATGGCTGTACAAGGCGACCTATTACTTGAGACATGAAAAAGTGAGGCTGAGGACTCATTCCGTCACGCCATCGGACCTGGGTTCATGGACAACTCACGGCTCAAGTAGCCGAGTGACTAATAAAAGTACCAGGAGGCTGTGCAACCCGCAAGTCATGGGTGCCAGGAAGTTATCACCACAGCCGCTGATGATGGCAGCGGGCTACGGAAGCATTGAGCGGGGATGTTGTTTGCCTTTCAGGCTTCACCGGTCCCAGTCAGTCAGCCTTGCTCACCGGTCAGATCAAGCCGGGCGGCTTTTGCTTTGCAATGCCCTCTCTTGTTGTGCTTAGGCCTCGCCTGCTTCGTCTCGCCTTATCATACAATGATCTGTGTGAAGGACGTCGATAGATCATCCACCGGTCGTAATATATTCTTGGTACTTACACTGATCATACAAGATTTGCAATTATAACGGCAATGGTATAATCATGGACATGCAGCCCCTGGGAGTCGAAGAGATGACTATTCCTCCGTTGATGAAAACACAACACTTGCCATATCGAGGCTGGAAATACAATGAAATACAATGGGATGACCGATCGAACAGACAGACATAGCAGGATACGAAAAGACATGATACATTGTGTGGGTCAAGTATATTGCATATAGCACGGCTTCGAACACAAGGCACAAGTGCCTCCAGCCGCAAAGTTGACAGATGGTAGAATAGGACTGGTTGCCAGAGGAGTGAACATGAATCCAGCGACTACCAGAGAAGGAGACAATGAAGGCCCTATCTGCCGAAAGAGGTACGACAACATGGAACATGAAGTGAATCTTGATAATGAGAACTCCTGTCGGCGCGCTGTAAACTTCATATGCCCGCGAGTGGCCGTTCCAAAGGGGTTTCCTGTAAATCATTATGTAGATCTTGACTGGTACAAGAGATTAATGCTGGAACCTGCCTTTCCAACTATAAGAGACTCGGTAAAAGAACACCAACTCCACTCTCGACTCACTCACTTACGGACTCCGATCTGCTGGTAGAGACATACAGCCTCCAGAAGGTGGAGAGGACGCATGTTAGGGGCGCTGACACCATCCTTGATAGTACTTTCTGGTCAAAGCCTCCTAGTGCTGTATGCGTAGAGCGGAGTTCTTGAGACAATGTCGACACCTCCAATGCCGAACCCGGTTTGGTAGACGCCACAGAATGCTGTCGAAGACGGTTTAACGCTCACGGTTCGTGGTGCTGTAGAATAGTTGTAGGGCTCGGTCTTGGCTACTTCATAGACGTTGCAAGCTGGGGTTCCGTATGATCCATACCCAGAGTCGCATGGCTCAACAGGATCATAAGCTGTGTACGCCCCCGACGCGAGTCTGTATCTTCGCGAAGAAGATTGGGAACTGCGAAGACTCCCGAAACTCTCCTGACTATCATGCCTCCGTCTTTGGTGAACCGGTCGACGACTCAGCCGTATAGCATGATCTGGCGCACTTCGAACCTCTACCTGGACTGGCGCTTCGGTCAACTCTCGTCGGTGTGGGCGCTCGATATATTCATCGAACTCGTTGTAAGACTGTGGTTCACCAAGCTCATACACCTTTGCGGCTCGAGCTCGACGATCAGGTTGCTGGGCGGCAGTAGAGGGTGGCGGTGATGCGGAAATAGTCGAGGCTGACTCGCGAATCGTTTGTAGATCCGAGTTCCTTTCAACATGCTCTTGCAGCCACGCTTCATCAGCCTTCTTTCTGGAAGGACTATGCCATTCCTTCTCTCGTTTCGTAGGAGCCGCCCAGGGGCTGATGCCTCCGCCGATGTCCAAAGGACAAGATGGATGGCCTTCACCTGAGAGCCGGCTGATGGCTCCCATTGAGCTGTTCTTGGAGAGTTCTTGAGCATAGCGTCCTTTGCCTTCTCGGCCACGAGTCACTTCTTGGCCGCCCAATTTGCAAGCACGGCAATCCCCTTCTCGGGGGTAGTGGTATCGCTCCAGGCCTTGACAGCGTGATGAGTGACACTCAACGGTAGTCTTGAACTCGCACCCACAGCCGTACGAGGTCTTCGTACGTACGCACATGACTGCTATCCAGGCAGACGAGCAACACAAAATGAGGCTGACGGGTTCCTCTTGATTGACAGACGGATCAATGCCTGTGTCTGTGTTGCGTGGCGGCCAGTGGTGTCGAATTTTATGCTCCGACCAAACAATCAACAGGTAGTACGGGATCTTCCAAGCTCGCAGGGCCCCGACCGATTGAGCCAGGTACAGGCGAGGCGGTGAAGTTTGTGTAAATATTCTGGGTTGCGGCAGAGTGTAAAGCGTAACAACGGGGGAGAGGACACAAGCAAGCCACACACGCAGAAGGTCTCGACGATCTCAAAACTCCTCAGATGTGACGTCGAGATACATCCGAGACCAAGTCCGGTTTGTTACAGCGTGGTAGTGCAGGTCATGATGGCAGCTCCTGGTCTCACGTTGTTAAGTATAACATGCATAGGCCCGACGGATGTTGACCAAGAACAGAACACAGTAACAGATTGTGAGATCGAGGCTGGTTTTAGAAGCGCCGTCGAGTGATATAGACGTGATGGTAACGATTTCCAGTGACGGGTGCTGCTGGGATGTTCTGCTATAGTATGTAGCTTTTACCGGTGAGCAAGAAAAGACAGCGGATGCCGGTCCCAAGTGGCGGACCAGGTTGCTTTGAGACGAGACCCCGGAGGGACCGCCCTTCGAGATGCATTGTGCAGATTCCTGCCTATCTTGCCTCAGATTCAAGTCGCTAAGGTCGAGGCACGCGAGGGGAAACGCATGGTTCGATGCAATGTTGCGCTTCCAGCCACGGAGGCCATCAGTCGAGGCGTAAAGACGGCGTGGAGGAGAGATCCACATTTGGCATATCTGGGCTTGATGTTTGGTCCAGTGCAGACACTTGTACCACGGGAGGGCGGTCCTGAGCGCCCGAGAAAGCAGGGGAAGAGGCCCAGTGTGAGAGACGGTCGGCTAGAGGCCGCAGATGAGTGGCCACGGCCTCAAAGCATTATCCTGTCACACGCTGTTTCACACTGCCAGTGGCGCCCTCGATTCCTTTGTGGCCCTTGTCTTCCTCGACTCGTTTTGCCTCGACCCAACAGAACATGATTCTCCCAGGGCATATCATCGAAGCGGGTGGCCCCCACTGCGGGAGTGATCAACACTGGTCGGTTGTGCTGATCTCGGGGCTGCGAATTGGCATCGCATCAGCAGGAAACGGCCAGTTGTGACACTCTTTTCATGATGATCCGGGAAGCCCCAGCCTACGGCTTGATAACTGGAATTGTCGTCATTCGCAGTCCGGGAGAAATCCACGTAGCACTGTGCCATTGGATTGGGGCGCCATGTTGTGTAGCTGATGTCCGAGCAGTCTCTCTATCTGACGATTTTTGACCCAGCAGTTACATCTGTGATCTCGTGCAGCCTGACTGTATCTGCCAGAGTCATCGTTAGATGAAGGACAGTGTTACAAGTCGGATACGTGGTGAGATGAGCCTTGAAAGGCGCCGACCGTCAGCCGCACGCCTCGCCTCACTGAGCTTGCCTCGAGAAAATGAAAGGCTAAGTTGACAACAATATAGGCCTGGCACTTGTCTCCGTCGCTTCCAGTCCCGATGAATGAATTCGTCCAGCTTGTGAGGTGGAGAACAGTCACTAAAGCTTGCTACTACCGTCGGTTCTCCTTTCATCGCTCGACACCAAGCAGGGTGGCCGGTTGACTCGGATGATCATGTTGACAGCTAGTGTGGAATATTCCACGGTCAAACGGCCCTTCATTAGTCTCAGCAGCATGCGAGGGCACGGCAGATTCCAAAGGCTTTGTTTGGTAGCAGACCGTGGTATTGCCTCTCTTTTCGACCCGAACGGCGAAGCCGTTGGACGAGGATATAGCAGGTGCCGCCGATCCTTGGACTGTGTAACGGAAGCGCACGGGATGATCAGTATCCGGGAGTCTGAATCAGACCAGAAGTCGAGTTCTTTGCATGGTGTAAGTGCATATGGCGATGTAGGAGGAAGAAGTGGTCTGGGTGCAGATGTATTTGCAAGCAGCTGCGGCTGCCTCGACAACCTCCTACAATACAATTCCACAGCTCTACAGTACCAGATACTTCAATGGTTGTACTACGCTTTCATCTGACAAAGACTCGAGCCGCCATTTCCTCTCCCATAGTAACCACTCAAGCACACTGCGCTCCCCCAATGACATCCATGACATTTTCTCTCTCTCACGCCCACGGCCCAGCAATGCATCCTTCCTACAGGGAAAGGAATCTTCCAGGAACGCCTCCCGACACTCCTTTCACACGGCTCACCAATATCACCCATTCAAGACGCATATCTAAAGGCTTAGAACTGAAATGGCTGCGAAGAGAACATCAAAGGCTCGGTCCAAAGCCAGTTAAGCAGCGCTCCGGCGTAAACGATTGGCATAATCCTCGTTTCCTGCTCGTCAACCCATGTCCATGCCGACCCCTGATACTCAGCCACCATCTGGAACCCCGGTTCCCGCACAAGTTTGCTCAGGCTGAGCATGTGGGTGGCTTGCTGGTTACAAAATGAGACTGACGAAGGAGAAGCGAATGACGGACCGCACCCTCCTTAACTTCCTTGCCTCAACTGAGGTGCAGAGATGAGACACCAGTTCCAATGTTTGCCCATGCGCTTCTCTACGCTTTGCTCTTGCTTGGTAAAGTCGCGGCACTTCCGATCGGAGGCGCCGTCGACTCCAGCTACGATGCTTGGGCTACAGCACTCTCTGATGTCGGCCCCCTCATCCTGCTCATCGGCGAGCGAAGTACCAAACAGCTGCTCCGAGATGTGAGAAGCATCAGTGGTGCTTTCAGCCTCGCCGCTGCGCCCCTGGGTCTGGTCTCGATCGTCACAAGTCTGCTGCGAATGTCTGGTTCTCATCGTGTCCGTTCTTTCCTGGGCTATGAGCAAGAATCACGGAGCGTTGCGGCATTAGAATTGTCCCGTATCAATTGCAACGGCGTCCACCCGGAACTCATTGACGGCTATCTGGTTCGGACAACGGCCGCGATATCTGCACGGCATGCTGGGGTGGTTGGGGTCTCGGCCTTACAGTCTGATCTGACTCGAGAGACTGCAGAAGAAGCTATTGCCCAGGCGACCTGCTGTAACTCGTACGAAGCTGCAAAGGCACGTCTGCGAGTCCCCAAAACAGATGCAAAACTGAAATGGTGCTCGCAAATGGCGATCGCTGACACCAGGCGAGACGGGTTGGAAGACAACCTATTCGGGATTCTGTCTGCCGCTCTGCAGATAGATCTCGTCGATCAGAAAGCTGGAGTGCTCCGAAAGCAACTCAGACATGTTCTTCATCTTCCTGACAGCCAGACGCAGAGCCAACCCAGCAAGGTGCCTCGGGTGACGAGCAAAACTGAGCCTGGAGACACCCTTTGCTTCGTCATCATCTTTGACGCGATCTCTGAGTATTGTACGGCTAATAGCACGTCGAGAATGATCTCCATGCTGATTGGCTTGAGTTCTTCCCTAGTTATTATGGGCCTATATGTGATTGAGCTCCGTTTCAGCCGGGGTTGGACAATGACCACGGGCTGGCTGCTCACCATTATAGGCTATCTTGGGATCGTGACATTTGTCACACTGGCTGCACGGCACATTCAACTAGCATGCTGCTCAATCCGGCTTCGATCGAAGGACGCAAAGTTGTCTGAACGCTGGCAAAACGGACTGGCGATAGCTGCACAATCTGACAATAAAGGGGGTGCAGATTTCCTGGTGGCTTTGAACGGTAGTGCTCAAGTATTTGAAGCCATTTGGTTGAGACCTCTCAATACTGCGGCATGCATCAAGGCCGATGTCATCGGCATTTTGTTGACGCTGAGCTTTCTCTGTCATTACCTCGGCCTACGATCTTCTTCCTGGTGGTTGGGTGTGTGCGAGCTCGCCATCTGCATTTCTGCTGCATTCGCCCGGAGCTTGACGAAAAGCAGACCAGTCAAATTCCAGCTGCCATCGAATGGCTTACACCATTCCAAGGTAGATTGGCGGTGTTGCAGCACCGGGCTCATCACCGTCCAACAGGCTCATGAAGTCGATGATACGACACAGCCACACCCTAACAGACTCGACTTGCGGATTTATTCATCTTATGACAGTATAACTTCGCCAGTAACGGCAGAGAGCGTTGCCTGGCTGTGTGCGGTACTGTGCTTGAATGACCAAACCCTAATGTCGTGGCTATTAGACATCACCGGGATGAGACTGAGTGTTTGCAAGACTCTTAAAGGAGCCCACGATCATGCAATCATTGCCTCGTTCTCAGCAGGAATTTTGTGCCAGGAAGGGCTGGCTTCGACAGACGTAAATACTTGTGTGGGCTTCTCCTGCAACAGTGAAAGTCTCAGTGCTCCAACCCCATGGTTCGCTCGAGCAATCATGAGACAGCCCCAGTGGAGAGTCAACCGCGACGCGTTTGTCTCGATAACAGATACCATCGGGAAGGTCCACGTACCGTCATTGAGCTCGCTCATGACCTGGTGGACGATGAGCGAGCTCAGGAACGGGCCTGAAGACAATCAGGAGAACCTACAGTGGGCATTCCTCTTGCTAAACACTGTATTCTTTGCACTTTTGCAATCTGTGTCTTCTTCTGCAGATACAACATTGCTGCCTGCCGTTGCATTGATACATGGGACCCCAAATCCCAAGATGGATAGTGTGGCGCGATCATTCTTCGAGAGGATGAAGGCCGAACAACTGAAATCAGGAGCTCACGGCTCTGTCAGCCAGCCCGGATCTCAAATTTGATGCTTGAAGAACGCCAAAGCTTGCAGGAGCGGATGAACAAGGCAACGTGGAATTCGATCGGTGTGTAGCCCAACGTCGGAAATGACCCTGTTCTAATATCTATCGGATACCCGGCGTTGAACGCTCATATAGATGTAGATGTCAGTTTCATGGTCTCTAGAAACCGTCGGAGATGCCATCACTTCGTTCACGTTGCAGTCTCTCGTCATTCACCTTCTGCCACCACCGATGTGTTTCGTCTTTTGTCTCTTCCGGCTTCTCGTCCCAAGGCTTTGGACTCAAGATATAATGTATATTTTTGACCCGATCATCCCGCCATATCGCATCGTGAACGCCTTTCCACCGCATCGTCTTTAACGCGTTATAAACATAAGGCAGCCCGACCCAGCGGCCGTGAAACTGATCGCCCAAGAGACTCTGATCGGCAAAGTCGTAGCCCGAGGTAATGGCGCCATTTTGCATGGCGCTGAGAATCTTGTCATAAGTCCCCTGGCTGGGGTTGCAGACAACAAGGCCTCCGTTCGGGCAAGCGATACCCGCAGTAGGAGATGGACCATGGACCTGTGCATCATCGGGTGTATTATGTTGTGAGGTAAAGGCACAGTTCTCCGGCACCCAGTGTTTAGGGTAGTGCGATTTCTTCAACGGGTTGCAAGCACAGGCATGGCTGGCGGCATAGACCCTGTTCCCCTCCCCGTTCTTTTCAGGTCCGTCCAACTCAAGGTCCATCAGTTCATCCATGTTCTGAAGCACCATCATGTCACTGTCCAGTTGTACCACGCGGTCATATTCCGTCAGACTGAATGGCGTAAGCTTGCTCCAGCAGTCGTAGAAGCGCGGATCGTTGGCATAGTCCTTGGAAACAGAGGGCAGAAGGTATGGGATCTTTTTGGCCGGGATATCTCTTCTTCGCAGTGCCTCGAGCCCTCCGGCGGGGAATGTATCGGTGTATAACGCGATCAGGGGGTACTTCGATCCCGTCTTCTTCAGGGAGTAGTCGAGCGTCAGGAGGCCCGAGAGATAGTCGGTGTTGGTGATGAGTGTGGTCCAGACTCTCTTGGGGCCATCGCCGCCGCCATGTTCATGTTCATGTTCACCGTTGACCGCAGCCGCATTACGGGCGTCCTGCGCGTGTGCCTCTGCGATCAACTTTTTTTGGTGCGGTGCCAGCATCGTGATCCGATCTGATCTGAGATCCAGGCAGAATATCTGTATCTGTAAACACTGCAGTTCTGAGAGCAGCTGAGCGAAAATAAAAAAAGTGCTCCGCCTTTCCAAAGCGGTGGTAGAACGACTACATTGCGCGATCCGTGGGTAACACCATAGACTAAAACGTCCCTACCTAGATCTAGTCCCCGTTCGAGGGCGGACGAAGTAAAAGATCCCCTTCTAGATTTATGCCCTGCCGTACTGTAGCCGCTTCTCTCGGGGGCGTGCCATTGAAGTTGTCCTAATAAGCAGATCGGGGAGTCTAGTCGCAGCCCGGAGGGTCCCTGAATCCGTCAATCTGCCCGCATCATCGCAGCGGGGACTGGAGTTCGTCTTCAACCAGGTTAGAAATGCGGCTTCTTCTCCAGGATTTCCCATTAGTTTTTGTGATGTACACGGTGTCTTGGGAACCTCAGCTCTTCGATGGTTGAGGCCAGGTTATTGACCTTTTTGACTTGTCAGTGGTAGTAGTTGGCTACAGGACAATAGCCGCATGGATGGAACATGAACATGTCGGCCAAGTTGAGCAGGTAAGTTTATTTTATGCGGATGTTGTCACCTCCCGCCGAATTGCGAGTTTGTTCATTATTTGTCGTATGCTCATAAATGTTACAACAGTCCCCAGAATGATCCTGCTGCTGGAAGCTTGTCGCCTCTCACCACTCAGCTCCCTGGCAGTAACAATGATGCCAGTGCACTGGCAATCAGCCCCAGTCCGGAGCCGGCAGCCACGAAGAAGCGGGTAGTGAGCAACTACAAAGGATTTGTGGCAGGAGTGTTTTCGGGCATTGCCAAACTATCAGTCGGCCATCCGTTCGACACGATCAAAGTTCGACTACAGACGGCGGACAAGAGCAGATTCAAAGGACCGCTGGACTGTGTGCTGCAGACATTGAGGAAAGAAGGCGCAGGTGGACTCTACAAGGGCGCGACGCCGCCGCTGTTGGGATGGATGGTCATGGACTCGGTCATGCTGGGGAGCTTGACGCTCTATCGACGACTGTTACATGACCATGTTTTCTCTCGACCCGGGTCTGGCGAGAAACTACCACTACCTGCTTTCGGGCACGGGATTGCTGGGATTCTGGCCGGCTCGACTGTCTCGTTTGTCGCTGCCCCCGTGGAACACGTCAAGGCGCGTCTACAGATCCAATATGCGGCCCACAAGAAGGACAGGCTATATAAAGGACCTTTGGACTGTACGGCCAAGATCCTGCGAACACACGGCATTCGAGGTCTCTACCATGGCCTGTTTGCAACTTTGGTTTTTCGATCTTTTTTCTTCTTCTGGTGGGGAAGTTACGACATTATTACCCGCTTGTTTCAGAAACATACGTCTCTGTCTGCTCCGGTGATCAATTTTTGGGCTGGGGGGTTGTCGGCTCAGATCTTTTGGTTGACTTCTTACCCTTCGGATGTGGTCAAGCAGAGAATCATGACTGATCCGCTTGGCGGTGCTTTGAATGATGGCACGCCTCGCTTTAGGCACTGGAAAGACGCCGCGGTCGCTGTGTATAGGCAGGCGGGGTGGAGGGGCTATTGGAGGGGGTTTCTTCCTTGTTTTCTACGCGCGTTTCCGGCAAATGCAATGGCGTTGGTGGCTTTTGAGGGCGTCATGAGAGCATTGCCTGATTGATATATAGAAATCAAAAGGACCATTCGATACGATGTGATACCCTGGAAAGTGACGGAGACGAGTTGACTTTGGTATTACCGCTCTACTACAACATTTGAGCACTCACTCCTCCTTGTTCATGACATTTGCTCGGGGACGAAGCTCAAGGCTGGCTTCCTAGCAATCAAGTAGCCAATTGGCGCTGGTTGGCCTTTCTAGTTGTCTAGCGCGGTTTTGCAATTTTCTACCATAGTACCGAGTGAATATTCTCGTAAACACTTTCCATCAGCAATAGGCCTTGCGAGGTAGTATTGCTTTCGGTACATCAACCCTCAAGACTGCCGCTGACATTGCGGGAATACGAAGCACGCTCATGATCACTTGAAGATTACCTGGTACCTCCTCCAACAAACCCACAGCCTTGCCAAGCCAACGCTAAATTTTCTGCTATAATTCTAGTACTATCAAGTTCGAGTTCTCGCCTACCATCACCAGGACCATCCGCCCAAATTTCCCGGTATCAAGGCACTGATGGAGGGCCCAAAGGCCATATTACATACGCTGGTCAGCGCAGATGGATCTGCAACCTACACGGCGAACAACGGACAGACGATTGTCGCGGGCGTCAACTATCCGGTCGAGGTGCCGTATCGAAGTGATGAAATCCCAGAGTCAACCTTTATCGACGTCAATCTTCGACCGCATAATGGGGTGGGCATGGTCAAAGAGCGACATGTAGAAGACCTCATCATGCGAACACTGCAGACCATTGTTCTCGGCGATCTCACTCCCAGGACCATGCTTCAAATCACCCTGCAAGTGGTGAGTGTCGAGAGCGACGAAAGCCTACCCGGGGGTGTCAAGGGGGGCGGTCAAGGTGAGACATATCTCGACATGCTCGCCTCTGCCTTGAATGCCAGTGTGCTGGGATGCTTGGATGCGGGCGTGCAGATGAAGGCGGTTGCCGGAGCAGCATTGGTGGGCATCGACCAGGAAGGACGCTTGGTTGTCGGGCCTGGAGTGGTACAGCGCAAGAAGTGCACCTCCTTGCATGTTTTTGCCTTCACCAGTGACGGCAAAACAGTCTTGATGGAGAGTGAAGGACAGTTTACCCTGAGCCAGTGGAGACACGCAGAACAGGTTGCCAGAACCGCTGTCCTTGGAAATGTCAACAAGATCGTGACAAGTGCAGTTAACAACAAACAGAACGACGACGGAGATGTTGCCATGAATGGAACGAATACTACTACAACCGAAAACTCGAACTCGGCTACGAGCGTTCTGGATGTGATCAGAAAGGCACTAGAAGCCCGAGTGATTAAGGACGAGGGTCACCGACCAGAGTGAGGATGTTACGGTTTTGCTTTTGGAATGCTGAAACAAGTCAACGAAAAAGTCACAAAAATGGGCGGTTGTTTGGCGACCAAACAGTGGTGAGGTTGCTGGGATGTGAGAGCTTCGAGTCAGCCTGTAAACCCGCCGTTGCAGGGATGTCGGCTCACGGACAGGCCGGGCAGGGGCGAGTCTAGGCGATAGGAATAGCGCCCCAGGGGCCAGGCAGATGCCGGGAGATGAGGCCTTAGGGGCTTCTTAGGCTCTTTGGGCGGGACGGGGCAAGGGTTTGTGGTTGACCCACGCCTACTGTCGGTCCCCACGTGTCTGTCTCAACATGCCCGCACAAGCCCAGGAGGCCTTTTCTGCCTCTACCAACCGCCTCCTTGAACCTGCTTCTGATGGAAAGAAGTACGTACCACAGGCACTACTACCGGTTTCTGCTCTCGCGTCCAAACGTGGAGTCGAGACGGGCCAAGGAGTGCAGACTGCCACAGCCAGAGTCCAGATACCATTTAAAGCCTGGCGACCAGCCCGTCGCCGATGCAGGGTAGAAAAACATACACTTTCTGATTCTGCAACTTCAAGTTAGCCTTCAAGCTTGTCTATTTTCTGTTCAGTTCATAGTGCACGGCAGGACCGTTGCAGTATTCAAGTGTGCTGTCTGTTGTGTCAGCGCCTTTTCTCAACCATTATTTCCAGTTAACTCCGCTTCCCCCGAAACAGTGGCCCGGAGTGCGCTGCTGCCTCCGAATCTCAGGCTGCTGCTGTATCGGACCCCACGTCCGTGCTGCTCCTGTTCCTGTTCCTGCCAGTGTGCCTGAGCCTGTGCCGACACACCCAAAGTTCCAAGCCCCAAACGCGTCCGCAGGCTACCAAGCATACCTGGTAGGAGCCAACCACAGGCAGCACTACCACCGACTATCACCTCTATAGCACCGCAGGCCACATAAACCCGCAGGCTCGGGCTGTGCGGCGAGATCTGACACCTGGGATTGGGGACTTCGAGGCTGGCATCACCACCCACCATCACCATGACCACCACTACCATCGCCGATTCTACCGACCCGCGCACTACTCCCGTTACGACTCCCGCTACCGCTGTCGCTTCCACTCCCACTCCCACTATCACCACCACCACCACTAATCCCACCACCGCTAGTACCATAAGCAGCGCCGTCAACACCAATTCCAGCTTACCATCATCTCCCACCATTTCGGAGGGCACTAGTTCCAGCAACTTCTCTCCGCCGACTCCTGCACCCATTGATAATCCTCGTCCTCTCCTCTCCAATGGCATGGCCATTCCCAATCGCAAGGCCACGGTGGGAGAGAGTATCTTGCGCCAATATGCCCAAAATTTAGATCCCTTGCATACCGATGAGCACACCCATACCGTTCACGATGTCACCGATTCACAAGCCGACGCTCCGGTTGACGATGGCCTGCTGACTTCGACCAACGACCACGGCATCACTCCTTTCAGCAACCCTCTGATCGATCCTTTGCGCAGTTCTTATATCGCACACCATCCGACAGTCCCCCGACCCAAACCATTGCAATTACCGAAGCCTGCCCTTTCTCATCGCAAGAATGCAAGATCAATAGACATTCCTAGACAGACTATACTCAAGGCATTGGCTTCGCGAAGATCCAGTATGGATCCAACCGCTGGTGCCATGAACCCCAGCGCTTTCAATACGCTTGCTGGTGCAGAGGAAGGATCAGAACAGCAGAACAGCCTCTCTCCTTTGTCGTGTCCTACAGCAACCTTCTCGGCCTTACAACCCAGTGCGCTTTCCGAACAGTCTCCGATGGCGACCAGTTTCCTTCGCTCGCCTTGCTTTTTCCACCAGCGGTTTGAGGGTGTGGTTGATCTCCAGAAGGTACTCGAGGAGATCGCGTCTGATGACTATTCGCATTCGAGACTGATGCAGACCGCTACTGGCGTTCGGGAAGTCTCGAAGCAATTACAGCGCAAACCACTCAAGCGTGCGGTGCGAAACGTTATGATCGTGACCAAGGCCCGCGACAATAGTTTGGTCTACTTGACGCGCGAACTCGCTGAATGGCTACTCTCCACACCTCGCTATGGTAGTGATCTAGGCGTGAATGTCTATGTCGATGCCAAGTTGCGGCATTCGAAACGGTTTGATGCTGCAGGGCTCCTTAGAAAGGAGCCCCGGTTCCAGCATATGCTCAAATACTGGACGCCCGACTTATGTTGGTCCTCGCCGGAGAAGTTCGACCTTGTCCTGACTCTAGGAGGCGACGGTACGGTGTTGTTCACATCCTGGCTGTTTCAAAGGGTGGTGCCGCCCGTGCTCTCCTTTTCTCTCGGCAGTCTGGGCTTCTTGACGAATTTTGAGTTTGACAAATACAAGGAGCATCTGGATCGAGTCATGGGTGACGCTGGAATGCGCGTCAACCTCCGCATGCGTTTTACATGCACGGTTTGGAGAATGGACCGCTCTCCTGGTGCAGCTAAAGGCGCAGTGGAGGAGGGCGAACAGTTTGAAGTGCTCAATGAGCTCGTCATTGATCGTGGGCCTTCAGCATACGTTTCCAATTTAGAGCTTTATGGTGATGATGAGCTCCTCACAATCGTTCAGGCCGATGGATGTATCTTCTCCACACCCACAGGATCTACGGCCTACTCCCTTTCTGCTGGCGGGTCTTTGATCCACCCGTCAATCCCGGCGATCTTGCTAACACCCATCTGCCCGCATACCCTCTCTTTCCGACCTATGGTGTTGTCCGACACCCTCGCCCTGCGGATCGCCGTGCCTCACAAGTCTCGATCTTCCGCTTACTGCTCCTTTGACGGAAAAGGTCGCATCGAGCTTAAGCAAGGAGATTATGTGACGCTGGAAGCATCCCAATATCCATTCCCTACCGTTATGACCGGTACCAACGAGTGGGTCGAAAGCGTACAAAGGGCTTTGAGGTGGAATGTCAGAGGAGCTGTCCAGAAGGGCTGGGATGGCGGCGATGATGACGACAGCGACCATGTGGAAGAAAAATGGGACATTGACATGGATGCAGGTCCTTTTGGGGGCACTGACAGTGGCATCGGTCCTAGTGAGGACGGTGACCATGTGGCAAGCCCTATGAGGCCGCAGCTAAGTATGCTGAATATGTGATGGCCACCTAGATGGTAGATTTGGCTGCTTTTGGATCGCTTTTGGATTGCTTTTGGGTCGGGGTTATTGAGAACAGCATTTAGCGCCTTACACCATGAATCTGCATGATGATTGTGACGTGAATTCATACCAGGTATCCTTCTTGGTAAGCCATATGCTTTGATTTTCCCTTTCATTGCTTTCTATACATTCATGCTTGTTTTTCTGTTTCTACCAATGTGTCCATTGGTGCCCAGTTGGTGACCATGGGGACAGGACGAACACAATGCTATGGTAAGTGAGGTGAAAATGAGGCCATAGGTACACTGTGACTCTCGAACACAAGGCTTCTCTTCTACCTATACTATCAATGTGTGAACACAGGTCCGCGAATACTGACCTTGCTGTCGCTCTTCGTCTTTTGCTCACTATGCTGTCTCGCGCTCTCTTCTTCCCTCTTCTCCTCTTCCTCTGCCACAACACTCCCTCTATCCTGACCTTCACATACTTCGCGCCAACTCCTCCTTGCCTTCTTCTACCCTGATCCTACTCTCCACCACTGCCACGACACTCTTCAAGTCAAGATGGACTCCTCTGACAATTCCTCCACGCAAGGCGTTGAAGGTAAGTAGAGCGCCGCGCTGATATTTGACCTACAAACTTCCCTAGCTTCAAAACAAGGGCGCTCTCTTCTTTGTCAACAACTGACTAGGGGGTGAAAGCAGGCCTTGTTGCAAGATTTACGCTGCCAGACGACAGCGACAATCCGTCCGCCGGCTCTGACAATGAGGGGCCTATCGCCGCCGCTGCCGCCGCCGCCATCACCACAAGCAACAACGGCAACAACGGCAACAACGGCAACAACGGCAACAACGGCAACAGCACCAGCAACAGCACCAGCAACACCAGCACCACCACCAACAGCAACAACAACACCAACTCCTCCTCCAGCCCATTCCATGGGTTCATGACCAATGGCACTGGCACTGGCACCCTGACGAACGGCAATGTCAACCACGAAGAAGAGGATGGAGATGAGGAGTCCTTTGATGCTGAAGACGAGGAAGAAGACGAGGGCGCCGTGCTCTCGGGTGGTCTTGGTCTCCGTCGTGTCGACCGAATTTGGGACATGCGGGCATTCGAGCGGCGGGAGTCGCTCCCGAACGGCATTCACACGCCAAACGGGACGGTAACCACTCCATCTGAAGACGAAGACGACGAAGACGAGGATGAAGACGTCTTCGAGAGTGTGGAAGAGCAGCTCCCCCGGCTCCCCAACGGGGTGCACGGGGACGAGCTGGAGAATGGCGATTTGGCAGACTCTGGCGACGACGCTGATGAGGAGGAGGTGGTCGATGACGTTGGCAACGGCGCTGCCGACCTGCCCAACGGCATCAATCATGATTAGCTAGATAGGAGTAAATCGATGCCAGTTTACGCCATGAGAGAATCCTGTTTCTTATGAGTAGTAGGCGCCTTGTGTTCATTTTCATGCGGTGTAGTTGGATACAGTATGCGAGCGTTTAAAAAAGGGGTGGTGATCACGTGACCCCCTCGCAAGGCTGAAATGTTGTGTCGGCACGCTGATTGGCCGACGGAAAACGTTGCCAAGGTTCGACGTCAAAAGTTCATGATTCGCCGCCGCGGCAGCGAAAGAGAAAGCGGCGCATACAACTTTACTGAACGATCAGATCTCTCCTCTCTACGATCAACATCTACACCGAATATCTCCCAGATACATTTTGAATCATTACTACTACTGACACATCAAAATGGCCGAAGGCGGCATCGACAGAAATGCCGATGGTAAGTCCATTCTTGCATCAGCGTCTGTCGATCGATCGCAGCTAACCACAGCGGACACTACAGAGCGGATGGAGTTTTCGACCTCGAAAGAGGTGACGGTCGCGCCGACGTTCGAGGACATGCACCTGAAGGAGAATCTCCTTCGCGGAATCTATGCGTACGGATACGAATCGCCGTCCGCGGTGCAGTCGCGAGCGATTGTTCAGATATGCAAGGGCCGAGACACCATTGCACAAGCGCAGTCGGGGACGGGCAAGACGGCAACATTTGCCATCAGCATCTTACAAGTGATCGATACCTCAGTTCGGGAGACACAAGGTACGTACGACTGCGAAAGTACGAAGCGAAGCGACTGACATTTCCAAAGCTTTGGTATTATCACCGACGCGCGAATTAGCGACACAGATCCAAAGTGTCATCATGGCACTAGGCGACTACATGAACGTACAATGCCACGCGTGTATCGGGGGCACCAATGTGGGCGAAGATATCCGCAAACTCGATTACGGCCAGCACGTCGTCTCCGGCACACCGGGCCGAGTGGCCGATATGATTCGGCGCCGAAACCTGCGCACTCGACACATCAAGATGTTGGTTCTCGACGAAGCGGACGAATTGCTTAACAGGGGATTCAGAGAACAAATCTACGATGTGTACCGGTATCTGCCACCAGCGACACAAGTCGTGGTTGTATCTGCTACCTTGCCCTACGATGTTCTTGACATGACGACGAAATTCATGACGGATCCGGTTCGGATTCTAGTCAAGCGCGACGAATTGACGTTAGAAGGATTGAAACAGTATTTCATTGCTGTGGAAAAGGAGGAGTGGAAATTCGATACCTTGTGCGACCTTTACGATACCTTGACTATTACGCAAGCCGTCATCTTCTGCAATACCCGCCGCAAGGTCGATTGGTTGACTGACAAGATGCGCGAGGCGAATTTCACGGTTAGCAGTATGCATGGCGAAATGCCCCAGAAGGAACGCGACAGTATCATGTCCGATTTCAGACAGGGAAATAGTCGCGTGCTTATCAGTACCGATGTCTGGGCAAGAGGTATTGATGTCCAACAAGTCAGTCTGGTTATCAACTATGATTTGCCGAGCAATCGTGAGAACTATATTCACAGGATTGGTCGGAGTGGTCGCTTCGGTCGCAAGGGCGTCGCTATCAATTTTGTCACGTCCGAGGATGTGCGCATTCTGAGAGATATCGAACTCTACTATTCGACTCAGATCGATGAGATGCCGATGAATGTCGCTGATCTCTTGACTTGAGAGAGATGGATGGGAGAACGAACGCACCGACGCACCACACTCTGGATTCTGGATTGGATTGCATGTCGAACCGTTTGCCGGGTGGTTCGAATGCACAAAGGCGTTCTTCGATCGCACAGCAGTCACATGTCTATCTGTTCATCAGCCCCCAGCCCCTTCCTTCTCGAACAGCTCGGCGCAGAAATGAGCAGGCACTGCACTGCCCTGCATCAATCTTTCAACGGCCAACATGAGTCATGCACTCCGGCGCACTACAGCTCACGACGAAACCATCGAAGTCCGAGTTGCGTTGCGGTCCCTTAGGCTGACAAGACAACCGTATCCCACATTTCAGTAGCGATTCCAAGTTCAACGGACGCCACTTTTCGCGCCCTCGGCACCCTCACGACCTGCCAGGACTCGTGAGGCTAGGGGAAAAGGGGAACCGCAGCGCAGCGCAGCGCATATCATTTTTGAGTCAGACTTGCAAGGGCTTCGGAATGGAATGCCTCATGTCACCTGTGTTTGGTCTGCTCGATCTTATGTCTTGGTGTTTCGAGACGATAAGGATGGAAATGGGTCACAATCCATAATTGTTAGTGGCGCCCTCTACAAATCTCTGGTCATGAGGCTAACAAGTCTGTATGCAGAATACTCACAAACCATTTGTCACTCCCAAACTGAAGAAAGAAAACTGCGGAATACTATTACCGCAAACGTTGGAAAACGTACTCCCAGTGATACTGACCGGTGACTAACCAACTTAGTCCCGCCGGCATCTGTCTATCTATCTATCCATGCCATGAGTACCCTCATGGGCGCGGTGATGAGTCACCCAAAGGCCTGCCCGATGACTGATGAACAGGACAGCAATGTCCAGCATTGCATCTCTCGTTGAGCGATGACAAGAAAGACAAGACGTTCCAAGAAGTCTGTCGTTGGGGGTTTCGAAGCATGGTCTCTGGTCGTCTCTGGTTCTGTCTCTTTAGTCTGTCATTCCCCTCGATTCAGCCCTGCGGACGACGCACCCTTTTGCAAAAAGTAGCAAGAGTTCTTCTTCTGTCGGCTATTCTCTCTCTGCTCGATTCCCTCCCCTTTTTTATCCAACGTAACAAAACTGGGACCAAGTGCTCAAATTTTAACATTGTTTGCCCACCCGCTTGAGGTTGTCGTTCCCCGTCAAGTTACCATCATCACCATCGTATCAACATCGTATCATAGCATACATATCATGTTCGTGGACCTTGCGACGACCACACACGCGCCAACCAGTCCCGAAACCGTTCCGGCCACACCGGCACCAGCGGTGGATGCAGGTTCATGTCTGCGAAATCATAGCGTCCTTCAGCCGTGGCGATCAACTGCTGGATCCTGATCTCTCGGCCCCGATCGCCTACCGCTCGCGCATATGTCAAGGCGTCATGTAATGAACTGATCGTATGGCCGGAGATTTCGAACGGTCGACCTAGAATCGTAAATACTCAGCGCCGTTGCGGTAATAGAATGGACAAAGATACGCATGGACCAGGGACAAAAGAAAGGAAAGCAATGAAATGAAAGGACCCGGAGCTGACAATCGGAAGGTAGTCTGTTCAGAGAATTGAAAAGAACTCGATTTGCAGGTTCTCACCTTGAATCGACTCGGCGATAGCCACGACCTCTCGCACCGTCATACGTTCGCCACAGAATCGAAACTCGCGCGGCCAGACCGGCAACTCCAATGCCGCAATCACGAACCTAGCCACGTCCCGCGCGGCAGTCATGCAAATGGTCGCGGGACCGGGTCCGCCACCACCCCCGGTCGCAGTGACGTCCACAGCAAAAGGAATCTGGGCTGTCCGGCGCCGAAAGTCCATCAGATAGGCGCCTTCGTGAGCAATATCGTTGTTGTTGGTCAGTCCGATCTGGGACGCCGCCAGGCCGCCGGGCGCGAATCTCTCGTAGAAGATTCCACATGTGAAGACTGTGAATGTCATGCCATTGGGTTGTGATTCGAGCTGGGATAGTCGCTGTAAAGCGGCGGCGTGACGTTCGTTATCGACCGGGAGACCGTGCGGCGGCGGTGATGGTGACGGTGACGGCATATATAAGCTTGGTGGTGGCCCGCAGAACTCGGAGGGGACGAATCTTCGTACGTGGACCGCGGCTGCAGCGTCAATCAGAGCTAGTTGGGGGTTGCCGCTGATGGTCGAGATGACTGTGTCGACTCCGGCAAGCTTGAATTGTAGGTCTGCCTGGGATGAATAGTCGACCTGTAGAGATTGAGAGGTTTTGTCAACGATTGCATCAATGGTGCCAACAACAGTGCCAACAGCTCCAGACGGAGGCTGAACGTGGCAAGGCGCGGAACGACGATGAATGTCCCTGAAAGTACAGTCAAGACCTACCTGCAATACCTGCCATCCTTTCGCTATAAGGCCCGGATTGCGCTTTTATTATGATTGGAAATGTCAGCCAAGTTCGCATGCGTCTTCTCACCAAATTCCCATGGGAAGCCAACATTGGGTGCACACACACCGTCCTCGATAAAATGACGAACTGATGCGACGTTTCGGTGGCCAGGCAATTCGCTATGTACTGGGCTAGGCCATTGGTGCCGACGACAGCGACTTTCATCACGGCTGAGCGGTATGTCGAGTCCTGGACTTCTGAGGAAAATCTGGAGGTGCGAGTCCCGTTTTCGACATGGTAGGGTTTGAAAGTCATTGAGTAGTTCTCGTGAGGGACTATAACGGAGGAAAAAAGAGCTGGAATGTCCGATCGCAGATATATACGATAAAAGGCAAGACAAGGGACTTTAAGGGCAGGGGCTCGAAGGAGAAAACGGAATGCGAGGATACTGACGGCCAACCGAGCTTCAATCTGGGGGATATCGAAGATAAAGAGCCAATATAAATAAAGTGCTGGAGGGAATGACACACAATACCTGCCTGTCTGCCTACTTACCGACGTCCCTGGGTTAGACAATTGGTGCCCATGACATGGCCGACTTTTGAGTCACTCTGGGCAGAATAGGCAACAAGGGTTTCCGGTCGTAGCTGGCTGCATCATTGCAACTGGCACGAAGTGGTAGTGTTCTGCACCGGCCGTCTGGCCGGCATGCTGTCTGCCAAGGATGGACAGTGTCTTTTGCATGAAACCGAGTTCGAAAGGACATCAAGTCCCGAATATGGACCAGTGCGGCATGGAAAAAAGCGTGTCATGGTTTCCAATACCAAAAGACCCGTGCAAAAGTTCCGCGAGCAGAAGAGTTATGAGTAGTCGGGTGCCTGATATCTGGGGTCCTTTTGGAGGACTACCTGAGGAGAAAAAGGCTGCCACGATATCAGGGGCTCCCTGTAGGTAGCTCGATGGACATTTTGAAGTTTATGTCTTTTGCGTGTAACGGGCGCGGCATGCCTTCCTCCTATATGCCGGAAGTATAGTCTGACCAGCCAGCCTTATAAGGCCGACCAAGACAGGGGACTCGTGGTTGTAGGTGTCAAAATAGCCCATTCGGCTGATATGACTTGCTGACTCGTAATCGCTAGTGCAGGGCTTGCCGGGCGGTGGCCTGGCAGGGTCGCGATGTTCGTCACCACTGGACCCGAGATTTTTCGATCACTTGTCCTGGATCCCACTACCCTGTGCTTGAGAGAGGGCCACTACGAGCGAGAATTGCGCCCTGATCATTGCTCTGATACACAGTCTCGAACTGGTTGGGTCCGATCGTGAGAAGCGTGTCGCTGCTCAGGGGTCATGGAGGGTCACGTGCTCTCGTGTTTTGGTCGCGACTTGACTTCATGGCAGTGGAGATTGGATGTTACACCGCATGATTTCCACTGGGCGAGGCCGACCATTGGAAATTGCTGGCATGTATAGGTCGACACGGTAGCGCGTGGTCCAAGCCATTCGAAGAGTGAACAGGCTACCTATCCAAAGTAATGATATGGTCATAGGTCTTGCTGAGATGAAGAAGATGAAGGCAGAACAAAATGTTGGGTACCACTAGTAGCAGCAACTGTAGGCAGAATACCCATCACGTGCAGTCACGTGCACCGGCCTATGACGCACCTCTCTGTAGGGTACCACTGCACATTGTAGTGCATTGCTTCGCACACATGAGCAGGAAATTGTAACAAGTCTACACTCCACACGAAATATGCATCATGGTCCGAAACAATTATGATCGTCTTGCAGTCTTTCGGTTGACTCTCGTTCTCAACCAGCAAAGAGTGCATGTCACGGTGTCAGTGGAAGCGGAATAATTCGGCCAAGCCACACGGGAGCCGCATTCACTGCAGCGACGCGCTATGCTCGTTAAAGTCGATCGATGCGCGTCGTGCGGAGCCCCAAGCGCAAGAATGACATGAACCTCTTCTCACCACTTGAACCTCAGCTTTGCGAAATCACTTCTCGTCCCCCAGATCTCCTTCCACACCCACAACAACACAATGGAGGACAAGGACTCTTCTCAGGACGCGGCAAAGCCTGCAGTGCATCACAGCCCTAAGCCTCAATACGCGTTTCAAGTGCATGACCGGTCCATGGCGCCGACAGCCTCGTCCACGTCCAACGGTGTAATCAAGGCCAAGCGAAGACGAACGAGGTCAGTACCTTCCTGGCCCTTCCAATGTGTCGCGAAAGAGACTGACCTCTTCCAGTCCACAAGATCACGCCATCCTTGAAGCGGCATACCAGAAGAATTCCAAGCCGGACAAGGCAGAGAGAGCACTCATTGTCAGCCAGGTTGAGCTGGGTGAGAAGGAAGTACAGGTACACTTACACAAATACCCAACACTCTTTACCTGGCCAGGCACTTACTGACAGCAATTAGATCTGGTTCCAAAATCGTCGTCAGAATGATCGTCGTCGATCCAAACCCTTGCAGCCTCACGAGCTCGTTGCCCACATTCGCAACAGCACCTCTAGTCCTCTCCCACCGCAAGTCACCTCATCGCCGGGCTCAGGAAACACCAATACTAGTAGTCCCATCCCTTCGGTTGCGCCAAATTCGTTTCTTGCACCCCCTGAAACAATTGATCGGCCTGCTTCGCGAGCCTCGAGCATTCATGATTTACTCAACCCAACCTCTTCGGGCGAGACCACCGGTAGCCAAGCTGCGGTTACACAGAGCACACAACAGACATCAGCTCAATGCACACCACCTTCAAGTCTGGAAAGTTCAGTCGCTTCAATAGCGCGAAAGGCAACTCCTCCCATTGTGGACGCACCGGTGCTCGAGGGTATTGAGAAAGCGGCCGAGAGTGGCAGTGAGCATGGCAGCGCTAGGAAACGAGATCATGACGAGATGCTGGGAGAGAAGGCCTCAGAACAGGTCGACAGCCAGCCGTCCGCTCGAGTCAAGGAACCCTTGCGGAGAACATCCAGTATGGTGCGATTGTCCATGACGGTGGATGGAGCTGTGAAGATTCGGACCGACAATGAGCCCACGCCATCACCTGAGAAGCCGCGCGCGCTGCCTCCACATCCAGCATCGCTGCAGAACAAAGTGAAGGCGCCAATGTTTCGGAGCAAGAGTGCCGTGAACAGTCTTGATGCATCGTCTGAGGCGGGTGGAAAGACACAGTTCCGTGGAGTGGGTGCTGGGTTTGGTCGGTCGCGTGATGCCAGAACCTGGGAGTTCTACTGTGACAGCAACTCAAACGATGCTCTTTCGACTCAGGCAGAAGCTGAGACGGCTGGGTCTGCTCTTAGTGCCATCAACCTTATCCGAACCAACAGTTTCAAGTCACGGTCTCCAGCGCTCAGTCCTTCGGTCTCCAAGGCCAACAAACGACTCACTCCAAGTGGAAAAGGTGGCAAGCCAAAGATCTCCCGGGCGAAGTCTTCTTTGGGCCGTTTGCAGGGCTCAGAGAATGCTGTCAAGTCGTCAAAGGGCGAAGCAAAGCGGTCTGGTCGTGATCGAGCTGACTCTGGAGATTCGGACAAGGAGAACTGGGCACCAGGTACTCAACTCTCCGAGCATCCACTCCGCAGAACTCAACCGAGCACAAACCAGCGACCGATTCTCCAAGAGAACGAGGACATGACATTTCCGGATGCCAGCTCTTCCCGAAAGCTGCGTGACAGTAAGGCGAACTTGAATAACAACAGTGCCTCCCCCACCAAAGTGAAAGCCAAGGGTGAAGAGCTTGATTGTGTCCAGGGTCTGCTTTCACTCAGTCAAGGAGCGTGGAAATGAGGCATGCGCACCTGCTAGCATATGGCAGTATTTTGTTTGATTTACAAGCTAGCGAGGCATGGCCTCGTCATAGCGATTGCGAGACATGAACTTTTTTCGGATGTGCATCAGGATACAGGTAGCTTTGCAGCGCAGCAGTCGGCAGCCGGTCCATAGCAAGCACATCTCAGACGTGCCAGTAGCCAGAGTCATGTCATGCTGGTTGAACAAGAACATAGCATATCCCTAATGCTCACACAAGTCAAGTTGTTGGCAATGCAATTCACCTTGTTCAATCTTTCACTCGTGATACCATTTTTCGCTTTCTGTGCTAAACTACCTACAGTAGATTATCTGCATGCATGCTTAATTGAGGAGCATTTCGGAACCTACAAGACACAACCTCATGAGGGTTCAACCCATGCTATATGAGTCCTTCAGTTCGTGTGATTTCATTCTCTCTTTCATTTCACGGCAAATAAACACTCATCTCCAACCCCTTATTATACGGCAACGTCAAATTCGTAAACCCACTATCCTCAGCCCTCAAGTACTCAAGCAGATCCTTATACCCCTTCGCAGCACCAATACTGTTATCCGTGATCACCACCGCTCCACGCCTCAACTTGGGCTGAACGAGTTTCAACACGGGTAATGCCAGGGGACTCCAAACTGAAACACACAAACAGTTGTCAGTCACAAACACTCATCAGGTTATGCAATTGGGACAAAGTGGTTTGCAGTGTTCTCTTACTGTCCAAAAGCAACAAATCCACCACTGGAAGATTTTGCTTGAGAGTTTCCAGAATATCGCCTTCTCTCAGGTCGATACACCCGGTAATTTCGGGGCCGACTTCCTTCCAGTAGGCGCGGGCTTGGTCGGCTTTGGACTTTTCGTGTTCGGTGGCTATCACTGTGCCGTGACGAGGTCGCTCAGCGGCCTTGTCCTCGGTGCCCTCGGATGAACCCTCGGCTGACGCCTCGGACGCAACATTCCCAGATACGGCGAGGGCCAAATATATCGTGCTCACGCCAAAACTGGTCCCTGCTTCCACGACATTTTTGGCATTCGTCGCCCGACACAGCTGATATATAAAGTGGCATTTATCCTGGTCCAAGGCGATAAATTTGTCGCGCATGTAGTTGCCGAATCCGCCTGCCGCTTGGATCTGGTCTGATGTCACGGCGTCTTCTTGGGTGCGTGAAAGGTGGTGTAAGCGGTCCAACAGGGTCAAGACGTGTGGAGGGGCCTTGATTGGCGAGGGAGATTGAACTGCAGCAGCCATGGGGCAGATCAGTTCTCGTTGATGTCAACGGGGTTTTCGGGTGCTACGATGGCTATCAAACCTATCTTGTAGAGCCTGGTTAAAGACCCGGTGAACAGAACTGCTTAGAAGCCAACGTAGAACTACACAATGTTAGAACAGGACCTCATCTTATTATCTAATGGACCTAAGGAACATTGGATATTCGAATGACTCAGAAGAGATGACAACGTGACTGACGCGGCGTGGCTGGCTTGAACCGTAAGTCAGCTCAGCTCGTTCGACGCCCTCGCCCTAGTACTGTAGTAGTAGTCGGTACAGTACAGTCAGTAGTACCTCGTGTTTGTTCGACAGTTCGGTCCACCTGGGGCTCAACTCAACGTGGTTCATGCAGGTGTATGGGACCGCGATTGCTGCCGAGCTGAGCTTGAGGACAACCTTGAAGTCTGTTTCTACCCGAGAAGTCCGATTGTCGTTCCCCCCAAACTTGAGGCCCCAACTGCCAGACCCTTCGGCGCAACAAGATTAGATGAGCGCTACCAATCTGATATGACTAGATAAGATTATGGTCCACATCTCCCCCACCAAATGCTTGAGAAGCTTCAATGTGGTTGATCCGTCGCCAATAGTCGCTTGTTGCGTCGTCCTCGATCCCTGAAATTCGATTTCCTACCACGGGCACTCCCTCGTTGACGTTCACTCCTCCACGCACAACCAGGCTTTGTTTGGGCTGATGGAACTTTTCGAGGAGCCTCCAGGGTTTTTGGGGTCAGCTCCGGGATCGGGGCCCCCGGGACTGCCATGATGATAGCAGCCCTGTGTGGAGGTGACGAACGAACCTGAGTGATACTTCCAAATGGGCCAAGGAGAACAAGGCTCGGGTCTATCGCATTGGCATCGCAGACTCTGTCTTGCATTGTGTGTACGTGGACTACTACTAGTTAAGTACCCGCCCATCCAGATCGCTGGGTAAGGTATGAGGAGAGACTCAGACCCTCTACATACATAAGAACCAAGCAGGGCTGCCGAAGACGACCTATTACTACTACTACTAGCCCTACCCTGCCCTACAGCAAAACATCCTTTTTCTGGTCTCGCTGTTCTCACATCTCAGTGTACTGGTGACAACCACAACAGGTTGTTTCAGCCCCAACCGGCAACGGTGCCACATGGTTACAGCTCGGGGTACATTATTGCCATGTTCGTGTTGGGCGGATGTTTGCTTATTGCATGGCCTTTTGTGGAAACTTATGCTCCACGACCGCTGGTGCGGATTCGAAGCTTTTTCACGAATCCCGACATTATTGCCCCGGCGGCCATTCATTTTGTCGATCAGTTTTCCTACGCCATGACATATACGCCTGCGTTCCAGTGGGTCGAGGTGGTTTATGATTGGAATACCTCGGACGCCACTTATTTCTACTACACGCAGTCGTTGTGTCTGGTTGTCTTTGCCATTGCCGCGGGATTTGCGGCCAGCATGACACGCAGGTACAAATGGGTGGCCTTTTCAGGCTCTTGTATTCGTCTGTTGGGTTTGGTATTGATGATCAAGTACCGTGGTGCTCATTCTTCGGCTTTCCAGGTCGTCATGCCACAAGTCATCCAGGGTCTGGGTGGTGGCTTGATGACCGCCAATCTGTTGGTGTCTGCTCAGGCTTCGGTGCCTCATGACGAAGTGGCCATTGTTACTGGATTCATGCTGTTGGTTATTGAACTTGGTTCGGCTATCGGTTCGTCCGTGGTTGGTGCCGTCCAACAAAACTCTCAGAGGCCAACTTCATCACTACATTGATCCCGTTGTCGGCGGAAACAGCACGGTTGCAGAGTTGATCTATGCCCAAGCTGCTTCGGGTCTGGCCGAGTATCCGCTGGGATCACCTGTCCGGACTGCCACTATCAATGCCTGGACCGACAACATGCATCAGATCTTGATTGCCTCGATTACAATTGCCGCTGTCAATATTCTCACTTGTTTGGGTTTGCCGGACCGGGTCCTGAGTGATAAGCAGAACAATGTCACTGACGAGCCCGTGTCGATTCTGCCGCCTACAGCGGCGCTGCCACGACGTCCTCTGCCGACAACAACTGCTTAGATCGGACTGTGTCATCTTGTGGACCGAAGACCGCCTTTGGACCGGTTATTCGCTTCGCCGTCAAGAAAACACTGTATAGTATGGACAAGGCCAGCACGGCGAGAATGGTATGGAAAGCGTGTCCGGTGAAAAATAGTAAAGAAGCCACGGCCTAGTGCGACATATACCAAGCATACCTTCTGTTCTGTTCAATATCGCAGCACAATACTTTGTGAGGTTCAGTGTCCAGCTGACACGCTCGCTGCCTGATCACTCCGGTATTCTTTCTTGTGTTCAACATGTGCTTTCTCTTGTCACGCATTCACTACTCTGCGGACCCACATAGCATGGCTTCACTTGCAAAGTTGGTCGCGGTACAGGTGGTGAAGTGTACAGGCTCGGCGACACGTCCTGAACACTAACTCGTCACTTATTCACGCGCGCCGTTCTTATTTCATTTCACATCAATCTGAAAGCAAAAGCGCAACTTGAACGCGTTCAACAAATCTTCATCTTTTCCACTTTTGTTACTCCGGTCCTCCATTTTGGTTGTCCAGTGCAAGTCGAGCCTGAGGATTATTCCATTCTCTTTGTTCTTTCTTCATCATCTCATCACTGACTCTGACACCCAGCAATGGCAATGACATTGGCAATAGCTCAAGAGTCTCAACAGGACATTCTGCAAAACTCGGAGATGGACTTGGAAGTTGAAGTGACAGTGAAGCTGAAAATGAAGTTGAAATCGACAGCAACAGTGCGAAACACACCTGAAAATATACTCGAGGCGTCGTTCTCTCTTGACCACGCTGGTGAGCCCGAGGATGTCACTGTCGTGGACGTGGTCGTCACAGACAAAGACTCCGGCGTTCCTGCCACTGGCTTCTTTTCGGTCGGCGACAGTGTGGCTGGCATGTCTCTAGGCAGTGTGTCAATCGCCCCGCAGTGGTGAAGCCATAGACTGACTTGGATCTACGAAGGACACGTAACCGAGAGTGTGCTGGACATTTTTGAACACGCTGGCACTGCAACTTCAAATCGATATCCACTTCGGTCCCAGCACTCGAATCTCAACAAAGAGAATGAGTACGCATTGACATCTGCCGCGGCGCAAACCACAGTCGGGCTACCGCCTAAACTACCCAAGGCTGCGGAGCCAATTGCCTTCAAACTACGCTCGCGAAATGTTCCCATGAACCCGGTCACACCAAGAACTGGACGTGGGATCTCGAAGAGGGGTTTGAAAAAAGCTGCAAAACGCGCGGCGAGGAAGTGTGAGACAACTCTACCGCCGAAGCCAACACCAAAATCTGCAAAAGATCATGATGATGTACCTGTCGAAAAGATTCAACGCCGCGAGCAAAAGAGGTGTGCCGTTCGGTTCGAGAATCATCCGAAATTCGTCAAGATGGCTGAAAGTATGTTCTGAGTTCTCCTATCCACCTTAGTCTTTCTGTGCGATAACTCTCGTATCAAAAGAACCCATGTCGCCTGCAATCCTTCGCTGTTACTGGACGTATGGGTTCTTTCTTGTTGTGGCTCATGGCTAACAAATTGGTCTCCAGGCGATGGTATCACAGCTGCCCTGGAGCACTTTGGCGCAAACGCGGAACGCAAAACAAAGAACAGGCTCGACAAGGCATCCAAGAGGCGATGGCAAAACATACAGACGGGCGAAGGAGGCTCTGAGCAGGGGGTTATCACCGACGAGGCGAAGATGGACGATATCACTAAGGGTAAGTCCTTGAGTTCCTTCCTGTCCGTCAGTCAGCATCTGTAGACACTTTGTGGGACAGGTGGCAAGGGGAGAAATGGCGAAGAGAATGCATTGCCAGCATTGTCTTTTTACCCTGCCATCTCTCCCACTGATGATGCCGATATGCGTTGGGTCGTTCTGTTAGTCTCGTCTCAGCCGGCGGATTCTGTTTTGGATTTGCCTCAGGTCAAGTCCACCACTAAAAGCCATGACTTGCGAAGTCATCGGAAGTACACAAGGAAAGGGAGAACAGAGGCTAATTAAGTTCTACGTCGAACTTACAGCGCTCGAAGGCATTTCAGCACATGCACCAAACCATGACACGCGATTCGGCACCGACAGAGACAGACGCGAGAGGAAAGATTGAGTTGGGTTCGAAATTGCATGATTGCCTCGGAGGGTGAAAGCCTTGATCTTCAGTTGCTTGGCGTCTTGCGATTATGGACTCGGAACTGGCAAGAGCTGCTGCACGCCATTGAGGCAGGAGCAATGGAACAAGGCTAAGTGTCAAACTAGAAGCCAGGCCTCACGAGTCACGAGTCAATACCCAGTTCCTTGGGTTCCTTAGGCCAGGTGGTTGATTGATCATTCAGTTTCCCAGCTTAGGCTTAGGATAGAAGGCCATCCATCAAGCAACAAGAGTGTTCGATCAGAAGGCCAGCCCAGGCCCAGCCATATTCACGCCTTTCGAGTTCAGTCCATCGAGATCCTTTTTCTGGAGTGTCTGGCCACTAGTCTCCGCCGGCTGACCCAAACCGGCCTCATTTTCATTGACATCGTCGGGAACGTCGAGCCCATACTTTGCACAAATCCTCCTTGCGACGCCTTCGCCGCTCCACCAGGCACCGGTTGTCGTGCCCAGCGCAATGAATGGCGATGTATGTTCGCCAGCAAACCATAGGCCGCGTGTGTTTATACTGTTGCGATCCCCGGAGTTGTCCCCACCGTTCCGCATCACTTCAATATCCTCATCCCCTTTCTCCAGTCCGACTTGAAAATTGCAGTAGCTTCCATTTCCGGCCAACCGATCGTTCTGCCACTGCGTCATGAGCAGCGACGTCGGAGTACAAGTTTTGTTTGCTGCAGAATAGTTGGGCAGTTTGCTGTAAAATGGTTTGGCGAATGCTGTGAGCACGGCATTGTACTCGGCCGAATGGGGTTCAAGATTCTTGATAGAATGGACAACGTGGGTAGCACAGGGGCCGTAGATGTAGAAGAGGAGGGTGGGGTGAGAATGTGGAGGGAGTAAATGGGCTAGAGAGACGACAGATTGGTTCCACGGTTCGGAGGCCGGGTGAGGGACATAACTTGGGTCGTGGAAATGGGTGAAGATGGGATATGGAAATTCGGAAGGTGAACTGGAGTTGGAGTTATTGAGATCATCCTCTGAGGTCGGGCTGCTGATAGCCCTAGGGGAGCCTTCGCTGTGTGATTTGAGCCAAAAGGCCTCTGGAAACGTCACGTACAACTTCTCCAGGCGGCCGTAGTTGATATGCTCTATGGCCTCAGCCAATCGTGGCGGTAGAGCCGGTGTGAAGGCAGAGGTATGGTTTCGTTTCAGCCATCCCAAGGGGCATGTAATGACAACCTCGTCGAATGACAGTTTCTCGCCTGTCGACGTTGTCAGAGTGACTTTGTGAGAGGGTCCATCCCCCGGGTTGATATGTGCTGCTGCCGAAGTGTCAAAGTGGACAATCTCGGTTTCAAGCCGAAGGTCGACTTTATCCGGATCGGTCGCCGTACGAGCCGCTTCCTTCAGAATCTTTTGGTATGTACTGGCCACAAAGACGTTGCCGCCATCGACACATTCCTCCAGGAAAAAGAACTTCAGACTCTGTGTCTCGACCGGATCACCCACGAAAGGACCCCACATCTGGCCTTCATGGAGCAGATCCTGCCGTTTCCTGTCGTCAACGCCTTTCATCTTTGATATTCGAGATTTGAAGTAATCAAATAGACTCGTCTGCGGGTCAATCGTCGCCGAGTGCTCGTCCGAATACTTGAACGCGTCCACCACAAATTCCCAGATCTTGCCGGACAGCTCCACGGCTTCGGCATCGGGGCGTCGCGTTCCCCCCGTGTCGAACAGTGCTCCGTCTTCCTCCGGTTCTATTACTGTCGTCTTTGTCTTCTCGGCAAGCGTCATGATCGGGTTTCCTTTCGTCCCGTGGATCCAGTTTGGCCCCATGTCCACCAAGTGTCCGCCGGACTCGACCTGATGCACACGCCCACCCAGTCGGTTACGTGCTTCAAAGAGCGTCACATTGACGCCTGACCGGGCTAGGACGTCGGAACATCGAAGTCCTGCCATGCCAGCGCCCACTACCGCGACGTGCGGAACTCGGGCATTTGCACAGGTAAAGGTAGTTGCACCGCGCAGTGCTTGTTGCATGGTTGCATGATCTGGATGTGATGTGGATGTGGAGTTGGGCCCGTCTGCACGACCATGCTGGTTGTGGTTGTGTGGGCTGTTGGCAAGGTCTCGCGATATGCGAGACATGTAACCGCCTAGGTAAATAAATATCTTGCTCGATTCGCGCCCAAATAGGAAGAGAGCAACGAAGGAGGCTGTCAGTGGAAAGGTCAGTCTTATAAAATCTAATCGAGGAAAAAGTATATTGTCTACGAAAATAGCGTCCAATATTAATATACAACGTTGTATAAAATCGATGACAGCTGTTGTTCGTTCTCCCACGTGGGAAAGCCGCAGCCTTTATGGGTGACAAGGCTGAGTCACGTGTACGGGGACCACCTCCAACTTACTAAGCCGTCGACAACAATCAACAGTCAACCAGTTCAAGCTGCAACACGTCGTTTCGTGAGATCCTGTTTGTCCAGCTACCAGTACTTCTCCCGCTCGTACGAGCTGATCAGCTGTGGTGCTCTCCTTGCTACACAACATGTGACATGCCTCCCAGGCCCGCCGTTCGTGGCGAGTACATCGAGACAGTAAGCCCAAACACTCTCCATCATCCGCGACGAAAGAACGCACCTGACAGCATTGATAGGAAACCGGCAACAAGATCAGTCGCAAAGCGAGCGTCCTCGGGCCCCGACACATTATTCTGGCAGGAAAATGTGTCATCCAGCAGGATGTCGTGATCCGCGGTGACCTCGTCCGCCCTCCACAACCCAAACCCCCAGCACAGCAGAGTGATCAGAAATCCAGCAGCAGTCCCGATCAGACATCGATACATCTCGGGCGCTATGTCTTCATCAGTCCCGGCTGCACACTCCATCCTCCGTCACGGTTGACCACGGTTGCGAACCCCAACGGCGGCGAACCGCAGCAGATCATGACATACTTCATGTTGAGAATCTCTGATTATGTCTACATCGGCCCCAACACGCATGTCAGGGCGGCAGAGATCAAAAGTAATGTCTACATCGGTGCCAATTGCACAATTGGGAACATGGTCATCATTAAAGACAATGTTAAAATCCTCGACGGCACCGTGCTTCCTGCGAATACGGTCTGGGCTGGCGGTACCGTTATTGCAGGTAGACCTGGGAGGGTGGTCGGAGAAATTGGTGAGGGCTGGGCTGCCAGTACAACTAGTGGCTCGACCGTCGACGAGGGAATCGGGGTCCGGAGTAGAGAGAGATGGGCAGCCGTTGGGAACAAGAGATGAATTCTGAACAGTTGTTCACGCCTCATGCTAATATTACATATCACGAACATTTTCCGCAAGCGACCCGATTGATACTCCTGTATCGAAGTCCCAATATCACCATTCCAAGATTTCCCAGAAAAACTCAACTCCGCAATGTCTACACCCACAATGTCGCTTCCGACGCCATTGTCCATCTTTCCGACTCCGATGCGCAGCCAGAGCCATGTGTCCCTGTTCCAGTGAAATACCGACCTATGATCGAATCATTGTAACGGTTTCCGGGAATCGGCTGTTGCGATATATATTCATCAGCCTGGATTCGATGATGGGCTGGCCGAGGACATTGTAAAGTGTCTGTCGTGATCTTTTTGTCTGCTTCTCCGTACTGAAGCCAAGGTTTTGAAATTGTGATGTCGCTTACAGGATGGCTCCTGAGCGGGTGCGGGTGCGAACGCGGGTACAAGCTATTTCGTGACGTTCTGTTTTCGTCGCCGACGCCGACACCGCCGCGAGATACTCTTGGAGCCAGACGGAGACTCGATTTATCCCGGCCAGGTTCTCGTTCTCGTCGTATGTTGAGAGGCGCTGGGACGAGACTCATGTGTTGAAACTCCGTTGGACTCAATTGTTGAGAAGAAAGAATGTCCTCAAGAAGCGCTGCGATGTACTGATCGTCAAACAGCGAATACTTTGCAGAGCATCCTCCGCCTGTTGCTTCAAGTTCCACAATCCTGATCTGTTCTTCCCACTCTGCGCTATTCTGTGAGGAGGAGGATGCGGCAGCGCTCACGACATTCTTTCTTTCATTTGCATTCAATGGGCTTGGGCTGTTGTTGTCTGGAACAACCTCGACAGCATAACCACCAGAGTCTGTGGCTTCTGCGAAATCCGTCATTGCATCGTCCTGTTCAAGCTCCTCGGCAAACCTCTTGACGCTACTACTTCCCGACCAACCGCGATTGAATTTGCAGTCGAACATATATTCGGGCGTCCCTGCCGCTGCGTTGTGATACTCCAATGGGTTGTGTGTGCTGTTGCTGCTGCCGTTTTCCCGAACCCGATTATTAGGGCAAATCCGCGGTCCTCTCTGAGCCTGAGCCTGAGCCCCGATTTCCTTTGGCTCCTGGTGTTGGTGCTGGTTCCGGTGCCAGTCTTCGTCTTGATCTGGAGAGTGATGCTGGTTCTGCCGCCGGTACCTTCTCCACCAGAAAGTCATGAGTGTGATGATGGCCAAGATGGTGAGCGAGACGGTGCAGAATGCAATTGCTGCGGCGTCATACATCGAAGTAGGGTTGATGTTTCTTGTTCTCTTTTTCTCTGAGGGCCTGTGTGTGTATGCGTGTGTATGTGGTATTTCTGTCTCTCGCCATCGGGACAGAACGCATAGATATAGAATATTATATATCGAAAATCGGTCTCGCCCACAGTACCTACCTAGGTATGTAGGTCTTGTACCGACCTAGTTTCAGTGCCTACGTACCTCTTCCTGAGACAGCGAGCCAAACGCTCTGTTGGCCCATATTCTATCATACATCCGAGACAATAACCGAAGGCAAGACATAATGAGACATCGGACATAGTCGCAAGACAAGGCAGGACAGGCCACAATATCAATCACGATCTCAAAGACAAAAAGCTATGATCAAGGACATTAAATGGCACATAAAGACATTTGAGTCAAAAACAGGCCCAGAAACTGAGGAAATAGCTTCAAAATATCCCAACTTGAAGGTTGTCAACCGGGCTACTAGCAGATAGGGAGAAAATATTCGTAAAAGGTCCGACCCACAACGACGAACCAAAACAAAACACAAACATGAATGTGAATCCCCATCCTAATCCCTCCAAGAGAAAAAGTCTCCTATATCTTTTGATCTCGAATATGGTATCATTCCATTATTGTTGGAACTGATGCTTAAGTGTGCACTGAGACACCGTACTCCCTTTTCGTAAGTCTCCCCAGTTTTCCGGCTGCCAGGAAGAGATCTCCGTGCTCTGTAGCCAGCCAACTGCCTCGAAACTCCCGACATTACCCCAATCACGATCTATAACTCTTCTTTCAGCAATCACCAAGACGTACCAAATCCAAATCCAAATCTGAGCAAATTCGAGTCATCCAACCCAACACCGAACAAGAAGCATGAAAACACATCGTCGTCAGGTCATTCTTCGCAGGCACTGTCGTATCCCAGATAATCTTACCTAGTTCGAGGGTTTCCAGCTGCCTGCCGGCCAAACCGTGGTGTCCTACTGGAACGTCCTCAAGATCGGGTATCGTCTCTCAAGAGCCAGTGCTTGACGCTCCCTTCTCAGCCTTTGATGAGGTGCAACCCTCGCTCTTTGTGGCCGAATGATGGGAGTGGCTGGGGGGTCGAGGACAAATGTCCGTTGTCTACGGGCCATTGCTGGTGTTGCCGGTGCGGCTGCCGATGGCATCGGTGTCGTCATTCGGGCCTCTGACGCGGGCGTAGGAGCCCGTGGTCGCGGCGTCGGCGGTGTTGATGATCGCCTCTCTTCGAAACCAGTTCTGGAACTAGTATCGGTATCTTCGGCAGCGAAGGCATTCTGTGCTTCGACTGCTGCGTTTCTTGAGAAACTTCGACTGGTCCCGTACACTGGGAGTTCGACTTCCTCACTGCTGGCATACGGAGGGGGAAGTGACTTTGACGCCGACGACCCTTCGGATATGATGGTTGCGGTGGATGAGGGGCCCGCTAAAGCGGAACGAGTATCGCCGAAGTAGTGATAGACAGTAGTGGTCGCCCTGAGTCTCGAAGAAGACGCAACCGTGGCACTGCTGTCGGCGTTGAGAGCGGACGGCGGAACCGGTTGTCTCGCATACCCTGCCGCGGCAGGTCGAGGTGCGGGTTGTGGTGGAGGGTAGATGGGTTCAGGCTCGTACACGGGTGACGATGAAGCCGAGCTCACGATGGAAAGCTCAGTCAGGCTGGCGTCTGACGGGGTGAGCTGCCCTTCTTCTTCTCGCCTCTGCCGGGCGGCTTGTTGCCGTTGCCATCTGATATGCCTGATGTAATCTCGAGACCAGAACAGACCTAGGAAAATAGCACAAATGATGCATAGCATCAAAATACCAAGAAAGGGGCCCGAAGTACCCATGATTCGAGAAGTGGAAGATCAGGTTGGGGGTTTATCTCGTCTTGCCGGATATTGCTTGTCGGTGCTATCTTCGACGGGTTGTTCGAAGCAGCAAAAAGTGCACATTCGCATTTTTGGGGGAGTACGAGAGACCAGGGTGCAAAGATGGCATAAATAGAAAACAAGACGAAGATGTACTAACATTTAGCAACAGGTCCTCTAGCAGATCACTTGGTGCAAAACTTGGCGATGCCAGAACCTGCCGATGGTTGAACCTTGAGGACCACGTACCAAACTTTTGCAATACTTCGCCTGTAAACAGCGCAGTGGTGTTGGAAGATCTGATACTAGTGCCTCCAGAAAGTCTGCAAGAATCTGGTAGGACTCGCTGATCCAGAGGTTGCGTATCGGCTTGGCTGGCCATCACATTGCTTGTTCCAAGATAACCCAAATGAGCGCCCGGTTGGGACTAGTATGGCAAAGTTAAAGTCGCGAACAGCGTGTGGGAATCGCGAAGACACGTGAGCAGACAGTCAAATACTCGAGAGGCCCAGTCGAGTGCAGTATAGCACAAGCGTCGGTTACTGTCAAGATGAACCATGTCGTAGGGCACGATCGCCCCGAAGAGCGAACAAGAACCATAAGTCTGTTGGCTTACCTGTGACGGGTCAAACATTGACAGTGTATGAACGGCTGGAAGCACAAGGTCGAACGAGAGAACGAGAAACAGTGCCATGCTGACATTCTCACACAGCCGGGTGTGAAGAGAGTTCAGACGTCTCGGCTCGAAGTAGGCGCCGAGAGAGTTTTGTACTCACAAACAACCAGTATGATGGTACCGATCCACTGGCATAAGACAAGAAACATTCATAGGCAGAGCATCTGTTGCTAAGCTTCCCTCTAAGACCGAGGGCGCTCATGTGAGGAGTGGAAGCACGCGCCATGAGCATGACTCGATCATCTGCCCTATAAGCATGGCTGGGCTGCACAGTTGAAGTAATCAGCCAGGCAGTGGTATCGCAGGTCCAGACAACGGCGCATGGCAATAATCGTCATATAGACCGCAATAAATGAAGCTGGGAAGCCATCACTGACCACATCAGACCATCCCAAAGGTGTGGCACAGACAATATGCCAGCCACATGTAGAGCTTGGACATTTTGCTGCACCGCCACGGCCAACGGTTTGTCCGTGCACGATATTTGCGTCAATGGTCGAGGCCGTAGAACAATTGGTGGCAGGGTGGCGGCGGCGATGATGCTGGATATTGAGGTGCTGCTAACATGTCGGGTTATCGAGACGATGGCTATCCTCTAGGAGCTTCGGAGCTTCGGAGCTGCCACAATGCTGTCTATGCAAGTCGAAATAACTAGATTCTTGTACAAGGCCGGATTAGGAATAAGCATCATGGTCTCGTAGAATTTTGTTAGTGAGGGAATGTGTTCGGCAAGCTTGCCTCTGGGGTTGGAGGCAAGGACAGCAGCCGGTTTCCTGCCTGAGCAAGGTCAATTATGAACTAGGATATGACAACGTGACTGGCGGGATGTCTCTGCGATGATTGACATTGAATTCTTCAAGACCTTGCATGAACCACGACGTGTAGCACCGAGGCTTCATTATTGCATTGCTGAGTGTGGCCGAAAAATGTAATTGTATGCCTGAAGCCAGCCCTTGTGACATCTCCCCATATGACTGGACATGAATGCAGATCCAGCAGGATAGATTCTAGTAAAACTGGCGTGTCGCGGGGAAATGCTACCGTCGGTGGCTGTGCTGTTCGATCTGCCGCACGACAAGTGGCAGCGTGGCAGATTTGCGAGGGATGGACGCAATGGAAGGGATTGTGAGACCATCAGGAGGTACAAGCATGTGGGATTCTGCGCTGAGACAGGACGCTTGACCAGCATCGAGTGAACGGCTTGCTTTGGCGTCTTGTCTCCGAGCGAGGGATGGAACGGCATTGCAGCCAGGACTCGCGAGTCGAGACGCACAAGGAGTGTCGCGCGCGTCGAGGCGAGAACAGGTTGTGAGAAGCAGCTGTTTCACCAGTCAGCAGTCAAGCCATAGAAGGCTTGAGGCCAGTGACGGACCCGGATGGCGAGTGGCCCACGATAAATACGCGAGGGAGGGTCTCGAGGGCGTCGGGAGGGTCTGGTCGATGGCGCGTTGCGAGTGTCTTGTTGACCCTTGACAAGGGGCTTCCTATGGCCCGCCAGTCACGCACCCGCCAGCAAGAGTGTGTCAGGCGTGTCGGGCGTGTGTCTCGCGCCGTCTGCCAATGAATGACTGCGTGTCAGAGGACTTGGCCACGGGATGGATCTGTTCAAGATTTCAACTTGCAGTCCATGTTGGGCGCGGTGGGCGGTGGGAGGTATCGAGAAGGATGGCCTCAGATGAACGAGATCGACAGGTAGAAGACTGGTACGTTGTAGGCAAGTGCTGTAGACGAATAACAGGACACAGTGACAATAGCAATGTCTATAGCAATAGCAAGTCCCAGTGATGCGGTGTGTGTAATAGTATTGCGAGAAAATACCAACGATTGTGTAGAGCTGCAATAATCGCTGCCTGCCTGCGCCCGATGCTGCCACCTAAGGTTCAGGTACTGTAGGTGACTGCGCCGGCATCGATTGTCCCCCTGCGTTGGGTGCATCTCCTGTGTTCTCCCTCTACAACAATAATAGTTCAACAAACGGTATTCGTGTTCAAGCCACAACACCTTCGATCCCTTCCCGAAGCAGTCCATGTGCCCTCGGATCAATGGCCATCAATGGTCACGACTCCAGGTCATCCAGCAAGGGATTGACTCCATCACCATGGGACCAAGCCGCTCGCGAGATGGTACCGTCTCTGCATCCTCGCAGCCGCCGCCCAATCCGCACACCCTCTTCGCCAGCCGCCAACACAGGGCGAAACACCTCCCGATCGGGCGTGCATTGCATTCTGGCCACTCTGGGCCAACAGCCGTACATATCTGGTGGCATTCTGCATTCGTTCCCATTCATGTCCACCTCAAGCGCCCTTTCCACACTCCGCCCCAAACGGTGGGCATCCTAACTCACTACTAACCCAGCCCTTCAGCAGAACTCATAAAGCCTCTTCATCGCATCTCTATTGCGGATCGATCTATCTCTTCTTTCAACTCGACCGTGTCCAAGGGGTTGAACATTAGTCAACCAGATCCTCCTTGACTCTCTCTCAAACAACCCTGTCACATTCTCTGGGGCCGGCCTCCACACCTCTCAAGCCTCTTCGAGCCCTCGGAAGTCCTCCACAAATCCTCCTAGAGCCCGAGTCTGGTTCCTGCTAGCAGAGCTGCTGGGTCACGGACCAAGTGAAAGAGAGAAAAAACGACAGCACCGACATCCATCAGCCCCCTGCTCCCCGTTCCAGCCCCTGACCACCCGACAAAAGCCCAGCCAACGACCAAAAAGGAAACCCTAACGGCACACAGCGCGACCATCCGTACCCCGTACCTGAGCTTATCGATCGCCTATCCGCTAGTTACAGGGCCCTTATACCTTTTGGTACTCTCTGACACGGGCCACCCCACTGGCTTGCAGTTGCGACATCACTCTTGTGCACTGTTCAGGGGACTGGCCAGACACTACGCGCCTCTCCCTCAAACACAGGAGCTGCATCCTGGGCCGTGCCTAGGAATTTTTGGGCTATCCGTTCTCATATTCGGGGATATTCTCAAAAAGAGACGCTCAGACCTCAAGTGACCCCCATCCTGCTGGTCAGGACTTCACAGATCTGGTCGACTAATACCAACCTCCTACGGCTGTCAAAAGGCTGTCGCAGTGGTCTGTCAACTTCACTTCAAAAAGTCGTTCACGTTCACTTCACGGCCTAGGCAATCGATAAGGGTGGGCATTGAATCCATAAACTCCTGAACTGCCTCACCTCGGTCACTACTTCGACTTTCATTCTCTCCATCCCGGTACTTGAACTCGACTTCAGTCTTATTGACGGTCTCGAAGTCGGTCTCAACTAATCTCCAACAACCACAACCACATCCACCATGGAGTCTCATTACACCTTGGCCCAGAATCGGGCGGCTTTGGAGGAGTTCGTTCGACAGCCTGTCCGGTCCTATATGGTCCAACATCTGGCGAAGCAAGCCTCGCAGGTGATTCGATGTGATCCAGAACCGAGTCCAGGAAACAACAACAGCCTTCCTACTCCTCCCTCTACGCCTCCTCACCCGTCATGCGCAGCCTCGAGCTTACCGCCCTTGCCAACCCTCGAACAATTCATCAACTCCCTCGTCAAACAGTCGTCTGTTCAGATTCCTACCCTTATGACCTCTTTGGTCTACCTCGCTCGTCTTCGGTCCCGGTTACCGCCCGTGGCCAAGGGAATGCGTTGCACAGTCCACCGCATCTTCCTCGCTTCTTTAATATTGGCAGCCAAGAACTTGAACGATTCAAGTCCGAAGAACAAGCATTGGGCACGATACACTGCAGTCAAGGGGTTTGATGGGTTTGGATTTGGTTTGGCGGAAGTGAACCTCATGGAAAGACAACTCTTGTATCTTCTTGATTTCGACACTCGGGTAACGGAGCAAGATCTTTTCGATCACTTTGAGCCGTTCCTTGCCCCGATCCGCTTCCAGATGGAACTTCAGCAAGAAGAGGCCGAGTTGGCAAACCTACAGCGTGTCTGGCACTCTCATCAGACCTCCTACGACTCCAACATCTCCTTGCCCCCTCCAGCTCGAAAGGAACATATTCTACCCAGCGTAGCAACACCACCTCCAAGAGCCACTGGTGTCTACGACTCACCCGCCTCTTGCGTCGACGAGGAAATTGCCTACGGCCGCTACCCGCTCACCAACAGCAACAAGAGCTCTCTGTCATTACCGGCACCCAGTCACAGACGCTGGGCCTCGCCTTTCCGCAATCATACCAACAACCGGTCCGTATCACCACCCTCGATCCGGGATTTGCCTCCGTTGGTCCCGTCGAGCAGATCAGGAACCATGCACGGTCACTCCAGCTCTCGGTCTTCTTCCATGGCTCCGTCGCTGCGATCTCGGTCTTCATCTATTGCCCCGACATCGCGGGGTACGCCATACAGTGCTACATCAGGCCATGATGACACGATTGTGGTGGTGGATCTGAGCCAAAGCCCCGATGCCTCATACCACATTGCTTACTCCAAAGGCATGACAGTATCACGGCCCAGCTTGAAGGGTCATCAGACTAGCTTTCAAGGCGAGAGCCAACAGCCGGCCAAGAAGGTCAAGTCCGAATCTGGGATGGGCGGCGTCATGGCCAGATTATTCAGCACAGCCACCAGCAACTACAGACTCGGAAGGACACCTGTTCAAGTAGCCTAGGAAGCTCCGAGCGCGGCATACGTCCTGAACCAGTCTCACTCTGCTGGAAGAAAGCGAAAAAGACCTGCTTAATGACGACGGCGTGACCACTGGACCGACTCCAGATTTCATGATCTACGGCAATTCTTCTCTAATGACATCCATTCTGCTTTTACAACATTGCATGGCGACGGCGTTTTTTCTTCGGGATCAAAACAGCAATTCATGGGATATGAAGGGTGAACAGGGCCAGATTGATGCCCTAGTTACCCGATGGGAGGTTTCGGGACACAGTGTACAAACAGATTTATTGCGCGAGCCATTTTTTTGCTCTCGATGCGTGGGTGGAAGGGATGGGATGAGAATCATACTGGCAGTCCATCACTGCAGTTTGCCACCAGGTCGAAACGAAACTCATTGGGGCTGGCTTCAATGGGTTGAGAGTTTCGTGCGGATGGCTGCATCAATGTTTAGATGTGACACGTTGGCGATCCATAGGTACTACAGTACTAAGAGTGCCTCACAGGCATTGCACTGGAGGAGCAAGCCCAATAGGTATTGCTCATTCCAACAATCAAATGGACTTTTTTGCCAGTGACTTTTATTTTTTTCAGTAATCAAGTCTCCTTCTTCTCCCTGTCACTCACGAGTACTTTCTTGCTTTACTTGCTCTGCTGTGCTTGCTTGCTTTGTCTTCCTTCGAAGGCTTTTACTGTCCAGGACGAGTATTGGGACGTCCGTCATCCAACCGTTACGCCCATGCATGATGACCTCCTTTGATTTACTACTGGCTAGCTGCATGGTAGACGCATCGGCATCGGTGCGGTGCAGCGTGGCCCCAGGGAGTGAGTGAGTGAGTGAGTGACTGAGCGGAAAGGAAGAGTGCTGTAGCTGTAGCTGTAGCTGTAACTGTAAGTAACCTGCCTGGTTACAGCATGTACCTACTGCTGCTAGAGCTGCTGTACAGGCTATACTTGTACTTTAGACGAAAGGAATAAAATTCTCTGCTTCTCATCAACCAAGGTCAGGCATCGGCGATCGATGGGTCCCAAGTTCGTATTTTAAGAAAAGAAGACCAGAGCATATGCAAGAACCGAACACTAATCAAATGGATTAGAGTCAAATCGAATTCCATTGCCTCGATTTAATTCCCCTTCTTAGCCTCTAATTGATGCTGATGCTGGTCTTTACTAGCCCCCTTCGTCTCAGACACCAATTGCGGTGCCACTGATGCTACTTCCTCTCTCTCACTCAAATCAATCCTCCTCCCCACTCCCCATCTCAACCCACCCGTAACCAATCTCCCCACAACCCAACCGAGCACAACGCCCCAGAGCACCGTACACGGCCACTTCTGCCATTCTCGATCCCAATCCAGCGCCATGGGCACAGCACCGACCCATCCGCCGACCATACACCCGACTGTCCCGGCCCAGACGCCCGCTTCGTCAAAGGGGAGCCATGCTGCGGCTACGTCGCGCCAGGCCGAGGCAGAGACGCCGTGGGTATAAAATAGAGGTAAAAAGCCGAGGATGGATACATGCATCGCGAGGAGGAGGGTGGTTGGTAGCGAAGAGGTCGGGTAGAGTGGTGCGCCGAGGACGAGGGCGATGATGGAGAGTGGGAGGGGTGGGAGGGTGAGTGTGAGGATTAGAGAGAGGAGGGTTGGCTGGTAGACAGAAATGGTCAGCTATTAGAACATCCTCATTCCATCCAAGCTTAAAAGGAAAAGAGAGATAGATGCGGATACAGTAGGAGCCCATCGGCACATACACGGGGTCAAACATTGAAGAAATAGATTCGCAGACTCACCATAATTCTTCCCCTCCAACTACCTCCAATCCCACCACTGCCGCCATGATGGAGATGGTGATGCTTCTTCTTCAAACTGCCTAGTCCTGCTCCAGAAACACCAGTCGACCCTCCTCCTACTCCTGCTACCGTACCTTCAATGCCAGCAGTCTTTCCAGTTCCATTTCCACTCCCACTACTCCACGACCCAGCAGCAGGCAAACAAACGGCACAAAACACCGCCTGACCAACACTCACAACCACCAGATCCACAAACATCGTGTGAAATGGATCAGGATCCGCGTAGACCAGCGTCGAGGACCGGAGGTAGTAATATGCCGCTATGGCGAAGGTGTGGGCGAGGCTGTACTTCTTGGCTAGAGACCAAGGTAACAGAGGGATTGGGTTTGTCGAGGGAGTGAGGAGACGCGTCGAAGCGCTGCTAGGCTTAGGTTCAGTGGTGTTCGCTGCCGCAGCCGTCGCGGGGACGATATGGTGTGCGACTGAGGACATGGCGCAGGCTGGTCGACACTCGCAAGGTTCGTCCTATATTGGCAGTACTAGGAGGGACAGTAGAGGACCGCCGCGCAGGAGCAGCACAGCAGGATTTCGAGAAAGAAAAGAATGTTTCGCTCCAGGGGCTGTTTATGCCATTGTAGCTGAATTTGGATCACCTGGATAACCTGAGTCAATGAAAGAGAAATAATAAGCTGAACAAGTTGAGTACCATTAGATATTTGTACGTAGCGGCCAACTACCAACAAACGCATTGGGAACTTCAAGTACGAGTCCGAGTCCGCGGTCCTCCAATCGTGTCTTGGCAGCCTCGTTCAGGGTCTCAGCCTTCCTCAGCCTCGTCTCCAATTCCAGTCAGCCACAGTTCAGCCTCAGGGGCTACGTCACATTTATTTTAGAGCCCAGGACATGCCAGCAAAATCACGAATATTATTTTCATGGTGGATGACTTCAGATCATGCACAAATGATAACAAATATCTGCATACTGCTCTTGGACACCGAGCTCATATAGTTGGTCCTCCTGGGACTAACGTGTCCAGTACAGCACAAAAAAGGCACCACTGCTCTAATTCCTAACAAAAAATCTGTCAAGGTCTTCGTCCGGGTATCTCGACCACTCCTCTGGGAATTCGTCCAAGTCGGTACATATGGCCTCGTGAAACAAAGTAACTTCCAAACATACGCCGAATGCACAAAAAGCCGTGTATCGTCGTGTTGACTGTAGAAACGCGCCCTGATCGAATCCTAAATACTGTCTGGATTCCTGAAAAGCCACTCATATTACAGCCATTTCCACAGAGCCTCTGGCGGTTTCAAAGGTGTTTCTGCTCTCATTTGGCGTCCCGTAGACATCTTTGAAAGATTGTTCAGTCTCGGTATCGGGATCCGTCCCACTGAAGCGCGAAACCTCCGGTGGCGGATGGTTCATCTGAAACCCAGGAGAACGGTGTAGAGTTCGAGGTGTACTGGTGTTATGTGACGACTCGGGACTGGGTGGGGAATAAGCTTCTCGAATTGTGGCGTAAATAGGACTTCGCATGCCGTCCAGTTCCTTTTGCAATTCTGCGACCTGTCTTTCTAGGCGTTGACGCGCTGCCTTCTCTTCCTGGATCATGCGGAGTAATATTTCGGAAGAAACGGGGAAAGAAGAGGCGGACGTGCCCTGAGACTGCTCTGCCGACCTTCTGCTGGGATCAACTGGCCGGATGGTAGCGGTTGTTGCCCGGCTTGCCCTTTGGGAAGGGTGCGGGTCGCCCTCAGGTGAAGGCAATGCCGATTCACCAGGAGAAGCCAAGAATGTGAACGCAGTTCCTCGTGCCAGAGGAGCAAAGTATCCGAAATCTGGTGATGATGCTGAAGCGTTCATTTTATGTATGTTGTCGTCCGGGAAGACGCTGTGTATCGACCCCAAATCGAAAGCTTGCGAATGCAACACGGGTTTCGTTATGTTGTTCCCTTGCAACTTGGCAAGCGCATATTCAAAATCAATGAGTTTTACTTCCAAAGTATTGACTCTGTCCTCAATAGTGGTCGAGTCCCGGGCTGGGCAATTAAGTCCGAACTCGAAGCTCTGCAAAGGGTGAATGCCGCCCGGTTGTTGGTCAGATTCGACTGCTGAACCAAACGAGTTCAGAATATGCTCTGGGTCAACAGCGATAGACTGTCCGCTGTAAACTGGGACAGGGTTCTGTATGGCACTATTTCGCCAAAACGCTATCTCATCTGCCCGATCACGATTTGGAGACGAATCAATCCCTTCCTTGCGCATGAGGTCGTTGAGCGCATCTGCACTCTTTGAGCGACGGTTGAGCTGTCCGTCGGAGACACAGTCTTCTTTTGGCCATTTATCAGATAAAGATGCTTCTTTTGCAGACGATTTAACCATTAGTTGGGCCAGTCGTGAATCATTGTCCTCAAACACTAAGCTTGGCAAAGTGTTGCGGCGCCGGCGCCGCGGTGGACCAGTAGAGCTAGGTTCAGCCATTTTGGATTCTTGCTGCGTGGAGTGCGATCCGAGCGCGGCTCTCCGCGAGGGAGGTGCTGGCTCCGATGTCATCTGAGCGTGTTGCTCGGCGACTGTATTGAGTTGTCCATGGTTGTGGTACTGATGAACGCTTGAAGAGATGGGTGCGGATCTGTGCCGCTTGCCGGAAAACATACGCTTCAACACGGCACGAAGACCTCCAGTTCTCTTCTGATCAAGTGACACTTTGGAAGGCATTGAAGACATAGAACGCGGCAAAGTTGATTGCGCCAGAGAGTTTCGGGCTCCAGCGTAAGTCTGGGCATCACTGGCATGGCGAGCACGCAGATCTTGGGTCGGGGAACTCCTTTCTAGCCATGTGGCATCGCCCGGTTGATGTCCGTAGCTGTGGAATGATCTCGTGCCGGGCTTTGAGGCTCTGAGGCTGTCTCGGGGTTCGTCGAATGGTATAGGATCAGATATCTTGATATCACCCCTGCGCAATGCAGCGCTAGTGCTGGTTACACCTGATGACAGTCGTGGATGGTGATCCGTTGAGCGCATTTTGGACAGTTCGACGAAAACCAGCAACTGAGAACGCTAAACCGCGAAGCATCAGAATTGAACGAATGGAGCTGAGTAATTGCGCATCATATTGCTGCGATGCGATGGGTAACCTCGTTCAAACGTGATAGTCCACCGTCCGTAATATCAGCCCCTGCAGCGGGGTATCCGTAGGTCAGCAACTCAATCGCACCTGGAATGCCACCAGCATGACAGCAAGAACAGGTTTCGCTGTGCCCTTGATCATAGCCCAGCACAGGGGTGAGCTCGAGTTCAAAGCAATGCCCTATGGACGACGTCGGCTAGGGTCGTAAGAGAGGTTTTCAGGCTGTCATTGGATTTTATGGGGGAAACAGACAATATTCATTTGATGAAGCAGCCAAAGATAAGCTAGATTCGGGAAACAAGGCGGCGACCGGCTGATAGAAGGGAAGAAGTACGATAGGAGCCTCAAGGAAGCATAGAGGTTCAGAACGCAGTCGTTGCTTCGCTCGATTATAGCCGACGGCGGGCAGAGGCAGGAACAATCTGCTGTCTGGAAGCGAGCGTATACACTGCACTGTACAAACTCACCGCAAACTTGAAGCTGTTTGCATCCTCAAGTTGTGGACGGTCAGAAGATCAGAGGACCGGGGTTGGACGATGCTAGTCTGCCACCCAAAAGGCTAGAACGACAGCATCATGACAGCCACGACAGCTGGACATGTCCCCGCTGGTCGCAATGAAGGCGGACGCTTTTGGCGTTTCAGCAGGGACGGGGGACGTGGATGGAGGGACGATCGAGCGAGATGGTGTGAAGCCAGAGGAAGCCAGGGGCACACGAAGAGGAAGAGTGGGAGACGGAGGCGTCAAGCCGGTTCAAGGCTGCCAGGCTGCGGGCCAGTGAGCGCAGAGGCGCAGCCTGCTACTGGTACTACTACTAGTAGCTAGGACTAGTAGGGTTATTAGCAGTAGTATGTAGTCCGGAGAGTCTCCTTATTTTTATCTGACTGATTCCGTGGCGCAGGCACCTTACAGTGGCAGCCATCAGTCTAAGCGGGAGTCGATGATAACAACACTTCGCCCATTCTATTTATTCACCCTCGCTAATATTATTGTGCTGCTACCCTGTTACGCTTGTGGCAACGATGCTCCGAAGCATCCAGGCATTCCTGTCCAGCTCAGGCTGCTCAGGATATCTATCTCAAGCAACCGACGGGCCGCAATACACCACATTGTCTCTTCTGATGGAGCCACCTGATCCTCCTCTATCTGAAGCAACCGTCCAATCCGGTTTGTTGGACGGGACGGAGCGATGTCGCCTCTTCGTGTCCATCTTTAGGGCCGTCTCCCACGAAGCAGGGGTCTGGTGGGGATGGCACATTGGCAGTAGATGCCCGCCATTCAGCCGTTCAGCCGTCCTACCCTCCTAATCGCCAGCCTGTCTCACCAACATACATACATTTTACGTGCGAAAGGGAAGAGAGGAGAAACACTATTGCTTTGTAGAGCAGAAGCCGGTATGCATCAACAAGTCAAGAGTGGTCCACGTCCTCGACCTGACTCCTCCGCGTGTCCAATCCAGCCTACTATTTACTGGATCACCCCTGAGCCACGCAACACTGCAAGTCATCTTAGCGTAAGACCGGCCACAGGGCGGTTACAGGACGGCCTCTAGGCTTGTCTCTCCAGACTCGACGATTCCTCACATCGCCGTTTCGGAACTGTCCGTCCAATCTTCACTCCTGTAGCAGAGCAGAGGGCCACGTTTCCTGTCGTGATGGTTGGAAACAGTTGTCGAAAGAGCAACATCTTGTCTTGCAAAAAGATCGATTCCTCACCGAGCTGGGCCAGTTCCAAAGACTCCAATAGTGAGTTTTCAGGAAAATACACCCTACCGATCCGCTCGGCGTTGTTAGCCAATCGTCCAGCTGCCACGACATTCAATTTCCAAGTTCGCCTCCTGCTTAAATTATGGTTCAAGCTTCGCTGGCTTGCCTCAACGATGCGTTTTGCTCTCCTTGGCGCGATTCCTCCTGTTATTGGCTAGCCATCTGCATGCCTGACACTTGTTGGGTACAAAGCTGATCTTGTCCGGCCGGCTTTGGAGCTTTGGAGGCTCGTTCATTCGACAGGTTATGCTTTGTCCTTCCTGCACTGGTTGTCGGCCTGGAACTTTTGTTCTCGTTCGACTAGACGTTGAGTGCTGTGTCTGTATTCCGCCAGCCTCTTGTCACACTTCACAACATCACGAGAGGAGCACCCTGGTAATAGTCGAGTTCAAAGCCTTCTGTCGTACTCAGCTGGTTCAACCGCTGCGATCCGGCATGAACCATGATCCCTTCGCTCCAGATTACATGCATTGACAGTCACGCGAAGAAGGCTGTTGAACGGATTGACTCTGCTTGGTAACGAACTTCGAGCAACGTTGCACGAAAGCGATACTCGGCATATGGAGGTTCTGCGCCTCCATTTGCAGGAGACACCGGTTCATTCGCTGGAGAGCTCCTACGTCAATCACCACGTTCGTACTTGAAACGAGTTGGGCCCGAACTCTCTGCCTGCGTCAGTCGTTTCAGCAGCGGCCAACACAGTCAGCCGGACCATGAACTGCCTTTCGGCGACACATCCACGCTGGAAGCACTGACTTTGCGGATCATGGTGTTTTCTAACACTGTCGCATCTTGTCATGGCTGGTCCAAAGCAGTAGACTCTATTCCAGGTCCTGAAGGTTAGGGTATCTGAGATCAGCATTGTCCTCGAGGAACTTCATCCACCTCTTAAGAAATGGACTACCCCTGGACACTGTCTCTGAATCACCGATCACGCACAGATGTCGTTTCGGTCGTGTCATAGCCACTGTTCGCAGGTCAGCCATTGTTTTCGGCGCCTGGTCTCCGCATATGGAACTTTGATGGTTGTCTCGTGCAAAGCACAAATGGCCAGGGACCAGTTCGAATCGACAGTGGAGCAGGTACTTACCGTTCAATCTCCGTTTTTCGGCCAGGAATCCAACCTGCTGCTCAGCATTGCTTCTGACCAGGCTTACAACAACCGCTTCCTTCTCACGTCCCTGAAATCCATCCACACTGCCAAGTTCAATGTTGGGATACCTTGTCTTTAGTAGAGAGCTAAGAATGGCAAGCTGTGCATTGTACGGTGTCACAATTGCGATGTCCTCTTCTTTCACACCAGCCTCTATGAGATGTGTCACATGCATCGCGGCCACAGCTGCTTCCGTTTCATTGCTCTTACTATCGCCGAGCAAAACGGATTTGTGCACCTGGCCGCCTGAATCATCTTCAGTCTTTTCGGAAAAATCCCCTCCCTGGGTATCAAAAAATACCAAGGGTTCGGTGGTGTCTTCGGTTGCCTGCACCTCGTAAGGCAGCTCTTTCAAAAGTCGTGCCTTGACTGCGTCTGCTGCAACCAGTTTTCCGTCATACAACTCATCACTGGGGAAACGCATGATCTTCTCGTGCATACGATACTGCGTGTTCAACAGTCTCTTGATGCCAGAACCATGAATTGCCAAAAGTCGGTCAAACATGGTCGTTTCCAAAGACCAGTTCTTCGCCGCTTTGATTTCTTCATCCTTGATGGAGAGCTTCGCCAGCTCATCCTCTAAGCTTTTGATCTTGGCTTTCTTGTCTGCTTTGTTGTCTTTATTGTCAGCACTTTTAACGGTTGGAGGCAACTGCAGATGATCGCCTGCCAACACCAGCTTCTTTATGCCATTACCACCAAAGACCAGGGGAATCCAGCAGTGGGGCTCCATGGCTTGACTAGCTTCATCGATGACCAGGACATCAAACTGCTCATTGCGCAATTGATGGCTACCGGCACCATGTAGTGTTGACAGGACGACCTTACTGCCCTTCACGAGGCCATCTATGCATCTTCCCTCCCGCTCACGGTATTCCTTTCTCAATTCCTTGAGGTCGGCATATATCGCACGGCGTTCACGGCCATTGCGGGTTTTTCTTATGGAGGCCTGCTTTTCGTCCATTTCTTTTCGCACATCACTTACGATTTCTGCAGCCTCGCTAGTTCGGGTAAGAATCTCCAGAGAATGATTCAAAACGCTAGGCAAGAGGCGGGCTGGATGGCCTAGTCGAACAATGGGGACATTGGGGGCCGTTAATGCCAACCTTTCAACGATATTATCCACGCTGATATTGCTGGGTCCACAGACCAACACCCGCTGGCCCTGCTTAAGAAATTGCAAGATCAATTCAATCAACGTGTATGTCTTGCCTGTACCAGGCGGGCCATGGATCAGAGCGATCTCTGGCGAAGAAAGCGCAAATCGAACGGCATCTTGTTGCGAATCATTGAGGGTGGCATCGTGAAACACGATGTCCTTGGCTTGTTGTGGGTCCGGTGCGCCTGGAGAAGACAGGCCCAAAAGCACACGCTGCAAAAGGGTGTATGACGATTCAGGTGTTTTGAGCAGCTTTGTCAATGCTTGATTCATCCTATAACAGGTAAGCATTGCGTCACCTAACCCAAGCCCTCACTTTGGAGATCTTAGCCTAGGTAACCGGTAGGATTACCTTTTGAAAGTGACATCGTTTGCAAGCTTGACCCTGAAAGGTACCACGAAGGACTGTCAGCCCTACCACGAAGGATTCTGCGATCAGCGAAAGGAGGATGTCATGTCATAACTCACAACCATAGCTTCCCATCAGGCACGGCTTCGACATCATCACTTCCCCCTTCCTTGCCCAGGGCGACCCAGACGGCTCTCTCGCCAACTCTCGTTACCACACCTTCGACCCCTTTGCCTTTCAATTCATTGACTTCCTTCTTCTTGGCCGTGCCCTTGGGCATCTCCCCAAGCCTGACAATATCGCCCGTGCGGATTCCATGTTCGGGCAATTCACCCTTTGAATCCTTGTTAATGACGGCAGAGTCGAGTCCAAGTTCCACCACTGAACGGCCGCCGAGCCCGGTCTTCAGGGACTGTATTGACAAGCTGAGAATCGCGAGGCCTGCACGTGCAAGGGTGCTGGGTGGCGTGGATGACAGGAGGAGAGTGGTCTCGGCAACCTCAGCGTCTTGCTCAATAGAGAGTAATGAGATCAGTGTGGCGAGAAATGCCGATGGTGGCAGGACGGTATGTTTCCCAGTCATTGTCGCCATTGCTCTGAGCGAGTGAGCCTCGGCTCGTCGAGGCTATCGTATGCGGTGTATGGATGGGCAACAGTGGTCGAGGGCATGAAAGCTTTCAGAGAGTGGTGGTATGGTTGGCTAGTAGTCCTTGGTCGATAGATGATTGTATGAAAGCCCGTGCTCGTAGCTCCACCCAACAACAAATAATATTCTCTTTTCGAACATCTAACGGTGGAGAACTGACCCGACTCGGGGCTCGAGACCTCCAACTGGGGATGTGACTTCCGGAGACTTGGTTAAGTTGGGCCTCAACTGCCATACATCATGGATGACGGACTTGGTCCTCAATCTCTGGCAAAGGATTGGTACGGAAGGTGAGGCTCGATATTCTTACTCAAAGAAATGCCAGTGTAGGACTCGGAGGACGTGAGAACTGACAGCTTATTCTGCCTGCTGCCGGAGACAATTGATTGATGAGAATTGACTACCTGGTAGGCTCCAAGCGAGCGGAGTTCTTGGCTTAGACTATATTGTGTAGGTTGTTTGTAGTTCAGTTCGATAGTATTCAAGAATGAGTCGTGGCGGTAGTACCAAAAGGAGACTTTTCGCCGGGAGGTGGTTGGTGGGATGGGAAGCCGGTACCTGACTTATGTAATCTCGAGTCTGTGCAGATTTCGGTTGCCAGTGCACTGGGGAAATATTTATCCGGAATCCGTGCGGAAGAAGCTTCCGAGGGCTGAATTTCAACTTTAGGCGTGAGTTTCGAGTCCAAGGTTGCTTTATTATTCCGCTAATCCCCGAAACTCACGCCTTGGCTCTCGGATGATCTGTTTCTCCGTTTTCCGGCAGTGGCGTTTTTGCCCGTGTGCCAAAAGTTCCTTCTGACGACATACTCCTGAATCATCGACCTTTGCATTACAATGTATTGTTCGAGCTCACCAAAGTAACTTCGATGTACCGGAGTATCCTCCTATAGTGGTGCCTCAAACCAGACAATCTGGATCGCTTCCATTGTATCAACTGCCGATAGTTGTGAGCTCTGGATCCGCCGATGCTGAAGGGACTGAGAACCTATTCACAACGAAAGCCAGCAAGGGCATGCCTGAGCTCAAGAAACATCTGGCCAGGAACTCCTTATGGAAAAATCTCCGTCTTGACCGTCGGTCGATCAGGCCACGTTATGGATATGGTCTATGCGCTTCAAGAGAGAAGATGGACTCGGCATGGGAATAGTCCGTATGACGAGCGGTGCGAGGTGAGTCTATGGTCACGGGCTCGATCTTCTGAGGCTCCTGGTGGTCAAAGCCTGGGCCCTTCGTGGTTCGAGCTTCGGAGTCGAATGATGCAAGTATCGTTGGTCGAGACATACACGTTCCAAAGACAAGCCTTTCACAGGTCTGCGACATACTCGTGAGAGAGGCCATCAGGGATGTCAGTGCTTCAAAGCAGCGATTGCGCTCGTCGCTTATTGGTTTATACTGTCAGAATCTTGTCATTGGCAATGGAAGTTACTTTCTACGGCGTGCCTCGTCGTGGTTAGACCACCTCGAGCAGCATTCTGCTATTTGGTGACCGCCTCGCCAAAGTCAGTCAAGCATCCATCCAGCCATTGAGAATCACTAACTCGCTATACTGTGGAGACCAGAACTACATCTGTGCGCCTGGCAAACCAGTTGCATTGGGGTGGCTGATGCACCGTTATGATGTGTGCTAACGGACGAACCTTAGAGTCCAGACTTGTGGCTAAACCGCTACCGAGAGTCCTCGTCTTTTGTGCCCGAGAAACTTTTACCGAGATTTCTTTCCTGGCCAAGACGATTTGCAAAGGAGTGATGCAAGTTTTGTTTGGCCACTGGGGGAGCTGTGGAGACCACTTCCGTAAGGAGTAGGGACTTTACAGTTGTACCGAAACTGTGCACATCGACCATTTCTCCAATATGTGGAGGACTACGGGTTTTAGTGGCATGGGCATTTCTGTCCTGATGCAAGATGAATCGGTGAGTTTGGGCCCTGAAACACCACGTTTTCTTGTCGCATCTTCTGTCATCAGCATATCTGTTTCCATCATCAGACGAACTCAGAGAAGATCGGCATTTCTGTGCAGGATCGGCGGCTTCTCGAAAAATTGTGAACTTCTGTTCTTCGGTAACTGTGCGTGCGAAGAGCAAAGCTGGTCGTACAACGGTGGTCGTACAATGGGGTCAGGGACGCAGCCTGCCCCGTGCGGGTTTGTGGGTACCCTCGTATTTGAGGAGGCTTGCGGGAAAATCCACCGAGGCCGTTGAGGGTGGACCGTGCCACAATAGCGCTGCTGCGCTAACAGGCGCCCATTGCAAGATGGTTCATCGCCAAACATCATGGTCTGACCGTGCGTTTACGGACATCGTCGGCAATGCTACGAGACAGCTCATACTGTGACGGCGAAGTCGTCGTGCAACTATGCGCTGGCCCCTTCCCTGAGGGCCTTCCCCTTGGTCAGGCCACTGGCATTCCCCCACTGACTCCATCATATCATGGTCGAAGGAGATACTGTTCTATAGTAAGGCAAAGTTCAATATGACGTTCTAGACTCCGGCATGCCGACCTTGCGTCCTCCTGGCCATACCGATCCCCTCCACCGATGTCCCGATATGGACGTCTTGGACGTCTACCCATTGCTTTTTCTGGGCGTCCAGATCGAAGGAATCAGTGGTCAGTTTCCATTTCAGGTACGTTCGAGATGTCTGCAAGGGTCTTCTTGCCTGAGTCTGGATCGTCCTTGTGGAGCTCCCAGGACCCTTTTTGCATCACATAGACGTTGACAGTGGCCTTTCCATTGGTTCTGAAGCACTTCTCTTCGTGAGGACGACCGAAAAGGCCAATACCAGAAGCAACCTTTGGGGATGAATCTAGACGACGAGTCCCTTTCGATAATCCAAGCAATAGCGCCAGGTTTCTGAAAGCAGAATATTCATCTGGATGAAAGGGATGATGGCCATGATGTTGAATAGTTTTCTTGCGGTCTCGAACACATCGAGGGAGAGGCTGTTGAGGTATAAAGTCCTGGAAAGATGCTCATGAAATCGTCTTGAATTCATCATCAACCAACTCACCTCGATCAACAAGCCCAAAGGTTCACACCATCTCAATCTTCTTTTCCTCCAATTGACATCTTTCTCATATCATCTTCGCACACAATCAACAACATGACTTCGAACAACTCGGGTTATGTCTGCATCGTTGGAGTTGGATTTGTCGGCGAATCCCTCCTTCGAGAATTCAGCCACGTGCATCCCACCATGGGCTTCGACATTTCAGAGAATCGCATCAAGGACCTTCGCAGCAAGTATGCTGACCAGAAGGACCTTGTCCTCACCACCAATGAGGCGGATCTGAAGAAAGCCAACCATTACCTCATCTCTGTCCCAACTCTTCTCAAGGCAGACCACTCAGTCGACTTCTCACACTTGAAGTCTGCCCTCTCAACTGTCTTCCGCTATGCACGCCCCGGAAACACCATTGTCATTGAGAGCAGTGTTTCCGTCGGCACCACTCGCCAACTCTTCCAGTCCACCCAGAATGTCTTCCACTGCGGCATGTCGCCAGAGCGTGTCGATCCTGGACGCACGGTTCCTGCGGCCAATGAGATCCCCAAAGTCATCTCAGGGCTCACCCCAGATTCTCTCAAGGTCATCACCGACCTTTACTCGAGCGTCTTCCACCATGTCGTTCCTGTCTCATGCCCTGAGGTGGCCGAGATGTGCAAACTGTTCGAAAACTGCTATCGCATGATCAACATTGCCTACGTCAATGAGATCAGTGATGCCTGCCGAAACTTGGGCATTAACCCGAATGAAGTCATCGATGCTGCTTCCACCAAGCCTTATGGTTTCCAGACCTTCCGTCCAGGCTTGGGAGTTGGCGGCCACTGCATTCCAGTCAACCCTTCCTACCTCATGGTTACCTGCCCCAACCTGCCCGTCTTGGACCAGTCGACCACTCTCATGAGAGAGCGTCCACGGAAGCTGGCTCGCGAGCTCCACGGCCATATCTCCTCGTCCAAACTGGGCTCGACCAACTTGAAACCACGTGTCCTCGTAATTGGTCTCGGTTTCAAGCCTGGTCAGTCTGTGCTCTCCCACTCTCCAGGCATCGACTTCGCCACCGAGCTCCAGAGGTTGGGTTGTGACCGGTTGGCGTTTTACGATCCCTTGGTCGCTCAACATGCTCTTCCATTGATGGAAAAGCTTGAGGACGACTCATTCAACCCCAACGAGCTGGCTGCCGACTTTGACGCCGTTGTCATCTGCTGTAGACAACATGGTGTCGACTTCGACGTGCTTGACCAACTACCATCTGAGATGGTCTGGTCATATGACTGATTGGTCTCCGAACCAAAGCAAGACTGAGACGGTTTGATATTTTGGCGCAGGAGTTTTTGATCGGGTTACGGAAAGGGACAATAGAAAGGGTTTATACATAGACCCCAATATAGAGTCTAGATTAGATATCTGGCCTACACAGAACATAAAAGATATTCCTCATACAAGTCTACTTCTACCTAATTTCCCATTTCCCGTTGTTTTGTTTGTGCACTGTTTACTTGGCCACAACAACACTCCAGTGAGGGTTTCTGTTAGAAAATTGACATGTCAGACGACAAGGCTATCAGTGTTGGTGGGGAAAATGTGCGGCAATATTCGAAAAATGTATGTCAGACAAGGTACCCGCAATTTTAATCCAACCTCACTTCACCCCTAATTAGCCGTGCTGACAGCTCCCAGGTCGAGAGGTGAGTGTGGTCGCCCGCAGCGACGAGCTAGGTGACGTGATCAAGTCAGCAACAACCTTACAAGTTTAACAGACGCAAATCTCGGTACACATGGGTCTGTGCTGCCAGTGCGTGAACACTCGCTCGACAGACAGCAGTAGTGAGCGAGCATTTTGCAACACGCCCCAGGCACACCCAATTTTAGCGTGGGCCACCCATGATGAAGATTATGAGAAAATGATTGACAGGGGGACAACCGTTGGATACGAGTTTCAAGACTAAACTAAGAACGGTATATTGCCATCCAACCGTTGACCAGCGACGCGCACGGATCACCAGCCAGGCCAGGCCGTTACAATAGTTCCACTAGTGCGAGGCTTTGACCACAACTGTGTTCTGGGTACTACAACTATCGCTTTCAAATGATCCCACTGGCTACTACAACGTCGTACTACTGGCCTGCCAACGGGGGGCAAAAAATGAATTTTTGTTACTTGTGACTGGCTATCGGCTTCAAAGTCTGGATCTGGTTTGTCCTCCTAAAAAGTCGGTACAGTAACACCAAGAAGGATGTGTGGGGTTGGCAATGCCTCAATTGGGAAGGTCTTGATCAGTGCACCCCGGGTAAACATGCCCAGCCAAACGAGACGCTGGAAAGACACCCTCTGGACACCCTCTAGTCGGGAAGATAGAACTGTCTGGATGATGTCGACAGTACTCGATTGGGAAGTTGTGTGATGGCGACATGAGGAACCCAGACCCTTGAGATATCTGCTTGCAGCGATGGTTGCTGCTGCACTGTGCTGGACAGTGATCCACCTACAGAGTCTCGACGATACCTCAGGGTCTTGGGGTCAATACCAAGGAATGATGTCGTACTCAGTCGACATCAGTGAGGTTCTGGGCCTGTTCAACCATTTTCTGGCTGGTCAGAGGATTTCTTTCAGCCACCGAGAGACGCCCAACGCCCTCGAGTGACGAGGCGGAAGCCTAAATTACCTATGATCTACACACCCGGTCGATTCAAGTCAATCCATCTTCGCAAGCGACGTCATTCGAAGAACCTCCCTGGCTTCAGTGCTTCCGCTGCGTGTTCTCACTTCGTGCAAAGTCACACACTCGCCGCCATCGCCTTCACACAGTCATCAACACAGTACTGAGAGTCAGCAACAGGTCGCGTTGCGCAGCGCAGCGTCACTTGCTTGCAGGACGTCTGTTCACATGTTAACGGTCCACATTTCACAACACTTGCGATAGAGTCTTCGTCGCTGGGCGACAGATGATGCCCTGGAATGGTTTGACCAGCAGGCTCTTCAAAAAGCATGAAGGTCCCTTATTACCTATCACCGAAGAGAAAAAGGAGGAAATAGAAAACAACAATGCTCCGCAGAGCGTGAATACACAACATAGCATCGAGAACGAGAAATATCCACGGAAGGATTCGAGAAATGACGAGGGCCCGGCTCCCGACCAAGTCCATGGATTACCAGAGATCAAAATCACATTAGCTTCTCCCGAGGCCGAAGAGCCAACCGAGGAAAACACAGAATATGCGGCTCCGGCAGACTACGAGAAAGAGCTTGCCAAGTCTGCTCCGTACCGAAAGCCAGCGGCCTTCAACAACCCCTTCGGCGATAACGTACATGCCCTCCCCCACGCACAGACTACTAATCCTCGGCGAGCGTCGCAGTGGCAGGCCCAGCGAAGGACTTCCAGTCAGCCGCATCTGCTTCAACCTGCAGCACAACCGATTCGAAACTTCTCGCGGCCGTCGTTCCCGAGCATTGATGACAAGATCACATGGCAACCTGACCCGAACCGCTACCCAGCCGACTACCGGCGTAGACAGTCATCATGGGCGCAAGACAAGCCGCGAAGGCCGTCCGAATGGGGCAGAAAGGTATCGACCATCTCAACCCTCAGTACGCAGAGCGAGTATCCCGAGATCGTGGACCCCGTGGATCCAGCCAGGAAACTGTCACCACGAAACCTCGTTACTCAAAGAATCCTGTTCTTGGGAATCGTCATTATTTTAAACCTCGGCTGTCTCATGGCCGCGCTGTTCAGTCATTCGGGCACCTGGGTGTTTGTGTTCATTCTGGTGGTCAAGAGCAAAGACGTGCTCTCTGCTCTTGTCTCTCCCACAGGAATGCTGTTGCGCCGGATATATCACATATTCAAGCCGCCGAAAGAAGTACCGTCAAAATGGATTCTGTCGCTGATCCCCGCATACTCGGAAAGCGAGGAACAGATCGTAAAATGCATTTTCTCGCTGCGCGACAACGGAGTCGAGCCACATCGACAGGTCATGTGTGTCGTGCTGGACGGCAAACCGCGAGACGTCAAGTCGCACTACACCGAGTTGCTTTGCACCATCGAGAGACCGTATGTGTCGTTCAAACATCAACTGGGGGCGCTGCGCATTCATGCTGGGTTCATGAAAGACGTGCCTGTGATCATCATTGAGAAGAAAAAGAACGCCGGCAAGAAGGATTCTCTGATCCTCGCGCACGACCTATTCAATTTCCCCCGCAACAACATGCCATTGTATTCAGAATTACTGAGAAGTGAGATCTGGGAGCATATCCTACCGGAACTTACTGACCAGTTTCCCTTTGAGGGGTTCGACATGATCTTTTGTACTGATGCCGACTCGGTCATCCATCAGGGCGCTCTGGCGTCGTTGACCAATGCCCTGGCGAGGAAAGAGAACTCGATCGCCGCTTGTGGCCTTGTGCTTGTCGAGCTGGAACCTGGGTATGAATGGTCGCTTTGGAACATGTATCAACAATTTCAGGTAAGACCTGCACACATATCCTACTCACATCCCTCCCCCTTCGTATCTCTCTCTCCCTCTCTCTTCTACCTGAAACTAACCGTTGTCTTCTAGTACTGCTTCGGCCAATACGTCCGCCGCCGCGCCGAGCACTTCTGGGGCAAAGTCACCTGTCTCCCAGGCTGCATCACAATGATCAAATGCCGCCCCGAGTGCGCGGGCGCAATCGCAAAATACGCCGAAGCCGTGACTGTAATGCCAGTCCTGCACCACCAAGTCCAATACCTCGGCACGGACCGGCGGCTAACATACTGTTTGTTATCTCAAAACCGCAAACTTACTACCCTGTTCGTTCCCGAGGCCGTCAGCGAAACCGTGGCACCACAGTCCCTCCAACACTACTTGAGTCAACGACGACGATGGGGCTCCAACGCCTACTTCAACAATTACTTCTACATGACAGGCGAGAAGATGTCGCCCATCACGCGCGTGGCCGCGTTCATCGAGATCCTGCGTCTGAGTATGGTCTACTACCGCTTCTGCAATACGATTCTGTTAGTACACCATATCATCGTCGGTATCATCAACCATACCTTTGAGACGGCTCGACTGGCGCCGCTGTTGGCAGTCAGCCAGACGCCGCTGCTGTGGTTTATCATCTCTGTGATGATTGAGCCACAGCTTCGGTGCAGAGCACACAAGTTGGCTATGGGGTTTTGTATCAACAAGTGCGTCTCGTCGTTTATTTCAATGACGGTGTTTTGGAGGGTTTGTCGGAATGTCGGGTCGCAAGGTATGTACTGTACTTACTGAACGCCTCCTGTTGCTCTGCTCGCCTTCGGCTGATCTTTTGCTAACTGTGAACGTGGTTTAGTATGGGGTATATCTGGTGTTACGGCAGCTAGTGGTGCTGCAGCGGCTGGAGCCACCGCGATCACTGCTGCTGCTGTGCCTGCTGTGCCTGTCGTCCCTGCTGTCCCGGCTGCTGCTGTGGGTGTTGCTGAGCCGCCGACGGCTGTGATTGCGCCGACGAAGGAAGATGTGGTGGCGCCTGATCTGCCCCGCCAACAACTGAATGTCTAGAAATCTAGATTGTGCCATTCAGTTTGGCTGGCTCGAGTCCTGTCATGGCCTCATCGGTCCGTTGATTTATGTTAAGTGTCTTTGACGTTCTAGCATGGTGTTTGGGCGGGAGCATAGGCCATAGAGAAGCATACTGTAAATGTATAATGGAAAAGTCGACAGGGTCTTAATTCCCTAGGCATTATCTGCTTGAAAACCGATAGAGAGGCAATATTATATTTCTCCTTGTATCGCTCATTGATTGGTTGTTCTTCGGTGTCGTAGAAACCATTACACCAGGGCAAATATCGAACACATCTTTCCATCAGCCAACTCTGCCTTGAACCGTTGACTGATGCCTCGTAGCGTGCTAAAACCAGAATTTAACCCACAGACATTGTAAGCCGATATATTGCTTCAGTACGCTCAAAATGCTCCCCAGATCCGATCCGCAACATCAGAGAGAATCGCCTTGCCATTTTTGTGTTCATCTCCCTTGGTTTCGTCCTCTTTATAGCTCAGTCCCCTTGTCACAGCCCCAAATGCCCACCCGAACCCGGTCTCTTCTCCGTAATAAACCCAGCCCTCCCCTCCCCAGCCCATCTTTTTTCCACAGTCCAGAACCTCACCAGACTTTCCGCCCCAATCTTATCGTGTTCACGATACAAGTTCGCAATATCGACATTCAACGGACTATCGAGCCCCGGCGACGTCAGCAGCTGCTGAATAGCCCCCATGGTCGTGGCCAACGTATACGTTGGGGCCCAGTGCTCGCCGGACAATAACGTCAAACAGATCTCGCCTGTTTGGAAATGCACGTTTGGATGGCAGATGGGCGTGACGAAGTGTACTTTCGGCGGCGCAAGGGGGTAATTGGGCGGGATGGAAATCTCCAAAAGCCAAAGGCCGTTGTGGTATGGGTTGGTGTGGTCGCGTGGCCCTTGGAGGACGGCTTCCCATGAGAATAAATCTTCTTCGCTGATCGGGGCGAGGTGAAGGGTTGCTTCGCAGGGGTTGGTGTGTAGGTCTTGGAGTTCGCGGGTCAGGCGTTTCAGGGCGTTGGCGGGTGTGGAGCGCGAGGTTGTGGGTGTTGATGAGGATGATGATGAAGGCATTGTTTTGGTAAGGGTATGGTTATGGATCGGTTGATGGGATGGTTAATCCCCCGTGATAGTGAGACTCTACTTCAATGCGAGGGAATGCTGTCGCGCGGAATGGACTGCTTGTGGTGGAGAACGGTGACCTGCAGTGGACAATAGTAGAGTACTGGTATGAGGTTATGTACGGCCGTGATGCTGGAGGCTAGCAGGTTCTATGTCGCAATGCTTGCGGTGTGTGGAGAAGCGATTCCGAAGGGGTTGTTGGAGCAAGAGATGTTCTCGGAATAGTGAGAAGACTGGGCTTTCGTGTTTGATTTGAGGTGGTAGACGGTAGAATGTAGGTAGTCGTGTTCTGAGGTTCAAGTTGTTGTCAAGCTCCGGCGCCGCCCGCAGCCTCATGCAGTGGCAGCCGAGGCTGAAGTTCAGCCTGACGCCCCAGGAAACCCACCAGTCGGAGGTCGGCCAATTCAAGTTCGTGTTCATTCTCTAATAATTGACTCCACGCGTGAAGCCCGCGGGGACTGGCGCACTGATCACTGGAAGGTTTTGGCCACTGTTGGCTACACGCTGGTCCTGTCTGCCCTCTGGCCCTTTCAGCTGTTGAGACTCAGCCTCTATTACCATATGGATGCAGCCGCATCCTCTTGACCAGCCTAGCCATGCGGACCTCCAGGATCTCCCAGGACACTACGCGAATATTCAATGCGGTGTCCCACAATGCGCGCACGGGGCGAACAACCAGGAGCGCAAAGCGCATCGCCTCGTTTGCGCTGGGTTTCAATGAAGAAACCGAGGTACACGAGGACAAAAAGATGAAGCCGGAGGCGGAGGAGGACGATAACAGCGACGACAACTCCACGCTATCCGCACTCTCTCAGACGCCCGACATCGAAGATGCTTTGAGTCCGGAGCTACGGCCTCGGTCTGGGACGAACAGAAAGAGGAAGCTTGGTGCAGAGTCGCCGCATACTGCGAGATCTATAACCACGGCGAAGACAGAAGTGGCTGATACGACGGCGAGGAGAGGTGGGAATACCACGGGGGGAACAATAAAGACCGAAGAGATAGAAGGAACAGCTACACCAACGCAAGCAGGTCCACGGGGGAGAAGTAAAGCCAAACCGAAGACACCTGCTCGCAAGACCACGTTGCCGTCAGGCACAGTCCGAACACAACCTCCGTCGAACTGGAACGAGATCTACGAAATAGTCAAGGCAATGCGACAGCGCAACCCTACAGCTCCTGTCGACACCATGGGCTGCGAGGAACTGTTCTGGCCGACCGCTCCGCCCCGCGATAAACGGTACCACACATTAACATCGTTGATGCTGTCCTCGCAAACCAAAGATACAGTCACCGCAGTCGCTATGCATCGTTTACATACAGAACTTGTGTCGACCGACGAGATCAACCCGGAGGAGGGGGAGGCAGAAACGAAGCAATCGCAGTTGACGATAGACAATATCATCTCCTGCGACCCCAAACATTTGGACAATTTGATCGGCAAAGTCGGCTTCCACAACAACAAGACCAAATACATTAAACAGGCCGCACTCATCCTAAAGGAGCGATTTAATTCAGATATTCCCGACACAATCGAAGGGCTAGTCAGTCTTCCTGGCGTCGGACCGAAGATGGCGTACCTATGCATGTCTGCCGCTTGGGGCCGCGACGAAGGCATCGGTGTCGACGTGCATGTGCACCGCATCACCAACCTGTGGGGTTGGCATAAGACCAAAACGCCCGAAGAGACCAGAGCCTGTCTGGAAGCCTGGCTTCCAAGGGACAAATGGCATGAGATCAACAAGATGCTTGTTGGGCTGGGCCAGACAGTTTGCTTGCCTGTCGGCAGGAAATGTGGAGAATGCGATTTGGCGGGCACAGGGCTGTGTAAGGCCGAAATTAGAGGATGGAAGAGCAAAGTCACGCAAAAGACGACGGTGGTAAAAGGCCCCGAGGGAAGAGTCAAGGTAGAGTTTGACGAAGGAGTGGTCAAGCAGGAAACACTTGGGGGAGGAGAGCAAACTGCGCGGGTGCAAGTGAAGATGGAGGAAGAACTGGGTTGATCATCGAGCAACGGTGTTGCTATGTGTGTTTGTACACAAGGCTTTACCCACATTTTGGGTGGTGCCAGGTTAAGACAAGCCGAAAGAGCAGGCCGACGCGATTTCTCCATTGAAGCTATGCTTGTTGCCCGGCTTCGCATCGTTGTGGCTCTCGTGGGAATTGAGGTCCAAGCCAGCCAACATTTTGGCAAGCAAATTCCGCAAAAGGGGAGGCCGTCATTATCGCAAACATGTTTGCGAGGTACACGAAGCAACTCTGCACTACCAGAACAATTCGAATCAGGTACAGGACCTCGAGGACTCGACTTGACCCCAAAGAAAGAATAGCTGCACCATCGGCGTATAGCGGTTTGTGTTCCCTGCTGAGGTGTGGCGAGCGATGGGGAATGCTACGCCAGCGAGACATTGCCATCGGCCACCAGTGGATCACTGATGATGGGGATAATCACCGTTGTTGGTGTGGTTGAGGATGATATCCGGCTCTCCCTGCCTGCATGCATTGGGTTTGAGGACGGCACTTGGGTATCAGATTTGTTTGTACGGACAGGCGGGCCTGTTACCCACTACCCAGGTACCTACATACCCAAGCGGCCATGCATTGACGCATCTCTGGAAGAATGGGTGTGCAGAGTCGCGGAGAGCCTTTTGCAGGAACTTGCTCTCGACATTTCAAAGGTCGATTCCGGTGGCTTGTGTGACTTACTGGCCACCCTGCAAGCAGATCAGATAGTTCTTTGACAGTTATCTTGTATGGTCCGTCCGCCTGGGTGGTTGGTCCTCCTGTTGACATGGCAGATTCACATGTCAACGGCTACCGCTTACTAAGAAAGTACTGCTGACTAAGGCTTGTACTGCGCCTTGCTAGCCCGGACTCGGACGTAACTTGTAGTACTAAGCCAGTACCAGTCGATATGCACCTCAGTCTATTATGCCTGCTCACATCATATAGTGAAATCAAGGCACCTACACCAATTCCACAGTCTCAATCGTCATCATTTGCACAGTCAACCTGGATTGGAGTTCTTTGGGCGTTGCTATCGAACAGGCGTTTCCTACAACGAGATCTCACTGTATACTCCTGCCTTGCCTTTAGCTCCGAACCACGAACGACTCCCCTACCTCCATCTATACCTTTCGCTATGTCAGGAAGCAAGCGCATCGAGAAATGGGAAATCGACCGCTACTGGGAGATATTCTCGTCGCTGGTGCAACCGCCCGCGACATCGGCTTCGCACCTAACAAACCAAGCCGCAGCCAACGTGCTGCGCAACTCCCAGCTGCGCGATGACCAACTCGAGCGGGTATGGGACTTGGCGGATGTTGACGGCGACGGCGAACTAGACTTCGAAGAGTTCTGTGTGGCGATGCGGCTCATCTTCGACCTCGTCAACGGAGAGTACCAGGACGTACCGAAAAGCTTACCAGACTGGCTTGTGCCGGAGAGCAAAGCACACTTGGTAGCGGCGAACCGAGCATTGACAGGCGATCGACGGGAACAATTTGAGAGAATCGAGGATGACGAAGACGACGCCGGCCTCAAGGACGGTTTTGACTGGTACATGAGTCCAGAGGACAAGCACAAGTACGAAGAAATCTACTCGGCGAACAAGGACCGACGCGGCGAGATCAGCTTTGACAGCTTGCAAGGGTTATACGCAAGCCTGGACGTGCCGGATACGGACATCCGCAGTGCTTGGAACCTGATCAACACGAGCGGGCGGGACACGATATCCAAAGATGCATGTCTGGCCTTTTTACACATTCTCAACTATCGTCATGAAGGATACCGGATACCCCGGACGGTGCCGCCGAGTCTGCGAGCCAGCTTCGAGGGGAACCAGATTGATTACCAGATTGACAGTATGAGGAACCGTCCTAACAAATACGACGAGGAAACTCCTACAGGACGGAAATCCAAATTCGGCGATGCGTATTTGAGCCGTCTGGGAGCTAGAGGAGGGTCGGCATATACTCCAAAGGGGACGGACTTTTCTGACGTGGTTGAAGATGAGGATCTTGAAAAGGTCCGGCTGCTCAGGGAGCTGCGCGAGCTGGAGGCTCAGCATGATGCGGCCATTGCCGCTGCGGAGCGTCGGCGCAAGCAGAGGCAGGAGAATGGGGGAGGGCGCCAACCTGGAAAAACAAACTGGACACTCGTGAAGCGAGAAGCGCAGCAACTACTGGAATACAAACGACGCCAATATTTGGAGCTGAATTCGGAGACGGCCAACAAGTCGGGCACCGACCTCAAGAGACTCAGGGATGATTTGGCATTGGTGGCCGAACAGATTGATGGGCTCGAATCCCATCTCAAGAAACGCCAGGCCGAGTTGGACAACCTCCGTCAAGAGATTGAGAATGAGAAGGCGAGTCGGTAGTATCGCGTGCGGAATTTGGTAATGGGAACAGAAGTGAATAATTCGTGATAGTGGATTTTGGGTGTCAGGAACAGAACACCAGATTGCACCTTCATGCGCAAGGCCTTTTGTACTTGTACAATTGTACTCCCGTGTTACGATATTCAGTGCGATAAACATCAAGCCCAAATGCCAACCCGCCGTCTATCTTTCGGTCCGTACTTTTCGTAGTCCATCTGTGCTGAGGACATCTCCTCTCTTGAAGTTTGCTAGGCCAGCGTCAGCGATGAATTCCAAGGGCTCGACTTGCGCGAGAACAAACCATCAGCTTCTTCCCATGCTCTGCCTGCTCCAAAACCTGTGCCAAACCACACAGGCCAAGCTCTTCGTTTGAACAGCAATACTGAAAATATCACCCCGAAGGAGAAGCCGAGAGCCGATCGGATCACAAAGGAGGAAATCGCACGATCCCACTGTATGTTGCAACAAATTAGCCACTGCATCCATTGACTGAACCCCGACCTCGCGTGTGCAGCGCAGCGTCATCATTGTGGTAATTGAGCGGAACCAAGTAACCTCCGCAGGTGTGTTCTGACAAGTGCACATTTTCTTATCTCTGTATAGTGGATCGTACCTTTTCGTTCAAGAGAGCTTCGCTCACAGGTCTCGTTCTGGGTGCGACGGGCAAGGGAGGACTTGAGACGTTGTCGTCCGGCATCTTGAGAGCTGCGGCAGGTCGCGTCAGCAAATGCGGTGCAAGGGACCAATATGACTTTCCCACCTTGCGAGCGAACAGATGTTATATGCGGTTGGGGAGTATCTGGTGGTAGAGGCGTCGCAGAACACAGTACAGTTCAAGTTCGTGCACACGTCGAGCTGGATTGATTGACGAACTGAAGCTCGATGCTCGCTGCTCTTTCTGCTTCCAGTTCCGCGGCGAACCTTAGCTAAGCAAAAGGGTTGCGGACCAATCGGAGTTCGTGCAGGCAAATTTTCCGGACCGAAGTCGAAGATCCATATCAAAGATCAAGATCAACCATCACGACCAGGCGTAAAGGCACTGTATAATAACGGTATACACTTTTTGTCAACCTTTGACTTTGTCCGTGCAATGCCCAACGATCAAAAGTTACGAGGATGGTGACTTTTGTGCCGCCCAAGTTTCAGCCATGGCACCACAATCCTTCGAGGCTACAATCGCAGGGCTGGACCGAGCGAGTGGTCCTCCCGAGAAGATTTTACAGCAAGCAGCCCAAATTCTAGGTCTTGATCTAGCCGACAACCTCACTACGTCCTCCAAAGAAGTCAGATTCAAGACCACCGCACGCTCACCGGGTTTCAAAGAGCAATGGCTGCTTCGTTGGCTTTTGAAAAATCTCAATGCTTCAGATGCAAAAGGCGAAGGATCGAAGTCGGAAAGGTTGGTGGTTTCCGGCTTTTGTGATTGATCCTTCACGCTGACTTGTGCTAGATTCGTCCTGCTCCCACAGTTTTGGTCGCTTCTTCTCAGCTTGACATGCCGCATTGCAGACGAAGCCTGTCTAGAAATCTTGTTGGAGCGCAAATTCTTCCCTATTCTCGACGAGTCTGTCCGGTTTTGTTTGTCGAATTTCGGCGCTCATGCCGATGTCCCGCGTCCTATGGACGGGGAAGACGACTCTAGAGAGCCGCCAACCAAGAGACGGCGACTGAGTCCTCCAGTGTCTGCCCAGCCGGACGAAAAGCCGTCTCAACAAGCGAATCTCGTTTGGGTGATGCTGCAGGCCGCCTGTCGATGCGTGGACCTCTTAGCATCACCATCGATGCTCCAACGAGGCAAGACTGCGCCGAAATGGACTGCGCCGTGGAACGATCAAGCCTCATTGCTGGGTGGACTTCTACAGGCCGTTGCGATGCTTGCCAGTAAATTGTCGGAGGGTGAGCATGAGCAGCAAGGCACGCTATCACAAGTACTTGATACAGTATTGTCTTTCTGGCAAGGCGATTCTGCTGCCACCCGGGCCCAGAGTGATGATCCAAACCGAGCATTCGTCTTGCACTGTCTGGAACCGACGTTGGTCCTCCTCGATCTTCTGAAAGGACCTAATATCAGTGAAACTTTATTCAACCCAGCCAAAAAGGCACTGGAGCGGTTGATAGCCCTTCACCTAGTTTTCCCATTCCGTGCGATGTTCAACGAAAGATATGCCAAAAAGTGGAGAAATGTCAAGGACACCCTCTTATACGAGCATCTCGAAAACGTGCTCAAAGGTTTCAAAGAGCGCGTGATGGTCGTCAGCGATAAAGATGCTGAATCTAACAAACCTCAAAATCTATCTTGGGTCATTCTCGACATTGCTGCACGCTCAATCCCAGCTTCCGACCTTCGGAAACGACAACAGGAACAACCATGGCTTGACTCGTTGTTCATATGTCTTGTCCATGTTCTCTGGCCTCGCATCCCTCAGATCACCTCTACCGGTGTCGTGCAGAAGGAGATCTCAACAACCTTAGCCCTCAGGGATCGTGAGAGCTGGGTGGCACCTATGGAGAAGTTGATTGATGTCGCGCTGGGCGTCAAGCTCAGAATATCTTTACCCATCTCGGGCTATATCCTCTCGGCCATATTTGCTTCTGAAGAGGAGACTTGTCCTTGGAGCCTCTTGGCCAAGATTGTCCGACTTGACGTCAACATCTTAATCCCCAGTATTGGGCTGTCGAGTTCCGACCAGCTCCTGAAACAAGTTCTGGAAAGAACTGAGTCCGACACGGTGCCAAATGAGCTGTACAAGCTTATTCGAGACGACATCTTACTTGCCTTGCTACGTGCCTTTGCGCGAGCGAGGAATTTGGATGGGTTTATGACCATCTGGCAGCAAGGGCTGGGCGACGCAATACGAGTTCGATACACTACCAAATATGATCCTGATACCATTCCTGCCGTCTTGGTATGGGACGACGATGATATTTTTGACGAATTCAAATCCCTGGCCTTGGTTCACGCACCGCCGAGAATGGGTCAGCGGCTGCTGGGCGAGCTCGTCGAGCAGTTGAGATCCATCTCTCAAGTTGTAGGATCTACGGCCGATGTATTTGCCAAGCTCGCAATCTTCTCAGCCTTGCTCGAGCAGTTGGACATGCAAGAAGCAAGCTTTTCTCTCGACAACAACCAATTGGTCGGTCTATTGGAAGTGGTGGCAGACATGCTGCCCAAAAAGTCCGACTACCAAGCTCAACGATGGCGACTCTGGAGACTTGTTCGTCTGCTCCTCCCGCATGTTGACATCGGCCGCGTACCTTACCTTGAGGAGCTGGTGACTTCCAGATACAGTTTCATATCGCTGCATGACCTGCAAAGTTTAGCACGACCTGACGAATCTCGCAAAAGGGCCGCAACATTCCTGGAATGTCTAGAATGCTTCTCCCTACTTATCGAGCTTGCTATCAGAACCCCGGCATTACGGAAGAATCTGGAAGCGGAGCTCAATCAACTAGCTGAGCTGTTGCTGCAGACGCAGACGCAGACGACGCCCGGCTCTCTGGCCATCTGGAACGGACGAAGCTACGACTGTACTAGCCGGGAAACTCTTGTTTCTGCCTGCGTTGGCCGTCTCCTGCAGCGACCAGAGATCTTTTCCACCTGTCCGACTGCACTTAAGAGCCTAATGGATACGTCTTTCGAACTGGTTACGAAGTCGGCAGTGTCCGGAAAGGCAGAGGCTGTTGACGCCGGGCCAAATCTCCAGGCGCTCTTGAAGTCTATTTTGAAAGATGAAGAAGTCATCAACGATCCAATCCTACGAGAAACGCTCTTGCTACATGTTACAGAAATTCTGAACTCTACCGGGAATAAGCCCGATCAATTACTCTTGCAGAGCCTCCCGATACAGGCGTTGAAGAAGTCTCAGCTGAGAAAGGTAGCTACTGCAGCCGTGCAGCGTCTGACGGATGAATGTCGAGATACCACGATTGAGGGTCTGGCTGAAGACATGAACCTATTGATCCGCTGTGACTCTGTTTCGCCCAAAACCGGAATCGACTACAAGGACTGGCGGCAGTGGATCGGCATCTGTGACAAACTATCGAAGAGCAAAGAGTTCGGCACATCGTCGTCTTCGTGGCCTGCCGTCAATATGATAAACCACACATTATCCCGGGTGTGGGCGCAAGCACTGGCTAGTCAGGACGTTACAGTCCTCTCGGACATTGTTTCATGGATCAAGAAGACTCTTAACGTGGCCAAGGATGAAGGCGGCGATGCGCAGATCAATTTTCTAGCTCTCGAGATCATCCTCGGGCATGCATGTCAGGCCGGTACTGCATTGGACAACTTGAAAGTTATCAGCAGTCGCAAGTTGGAAAAGTTGCAGAAATCGTTCTTGTCAGTATTGAAATCTCGACTCGACCGGATCTTGCATGACCAGGACCAGCAGGTTGGTACTAGTACGACTGCACTCTTCCAACTGAAGCTCGTCGTTTCTGCAGCCCGTCATGTCGGGAGTTCAGGAAATGACGAAGAACTTCGCAAAGCCACCGAAAGTGTACGGGCCATGCTCGGAGACATACCGGAGACCTCAAAGAATTCGGATTCGGGTTCTTCAGAGTGGCAGTGGCGGACAAAAGCTGCCCTCCAAAGCGAATGCATGAAGTTCTTACCGCTGTCCGAGGTCCACCCCAATGGAAAGGAAGAGATAGATGTCGCCGCCGCGCTTCAGAAACTCACTTCCTCTCTATCGACTGAGAACACAAACGCCGATTTGTTGCAGCTCGTTACCGCCGCAGACAATTTAGTGGTGCAAGCCGGTCCAGCAGCCTGGAGTGCCATGATCGACTCCCTCTACCAACAACACCAGGGATCATCCCAGCTCGTGCGTCCCATCGTCATCGCTTCAGTCATTGCACACACAACCACACACGACATTCTGCAGAATCCTCAACTCGCAACGACTTTGGCCGACCTTGCATGCATGCGGAATTTGCTCAATAACCCCAACGGCCCGACTTCTCTAGAAGAATTATGTCTCTGTCTAGACAATGCCAGGACCGTTCTCGAATCCCACCCATTGATCATCAACCAAGCTACTCTTGACAATCTACTAGCTAACATTTGCACCATCGCCTCGTCCGCCGCTGACGACTATATTGTCACCCCGACCACTGGCAACTCGGAAGTCGCAAAAGTCAGTCCACACCCCTCCGACATCTACAACCGTCTATGTGCAGTCGTCGGGGCAATTCTCGCCCGCCACAGACGTCGCATATCCGATCGATATCATTTACTTTTACCGGTCCTACAAACTCTCTTAAGGTGTCTTTTCTGGCCTGGCTTGAATGCTCTTCATGACAACCACAACCCCAACACCAACAGCAGTACGGCCGTCAGCGTCAGTGTTTCCGCATTCGGCACCCGTCACCTACCGAACTGGATGCGCACCTCACAAGACCCTCTGTCCCCGTCCTCGGCGGAACATTTTTCCCGTCTCCTCTCGTCAATTTGTAATCCGACTGTTTCGGCTGCTCGGTCGGGGTCGTCGAAGAAGCGTGGACATAGCCACGGCCACAACGACCTCAATCTCAACCTCAACGACGAGACGAAACGTGCAAGACTGTTAGCAGGCCAGCACATGCAGTATCTCGTCATGGAGTATGCGCGGTGCACACTGGACGGACTGATTGTGTCGTCTGTCAAAGAGAAACTCATGCCCGGAAAGTATAGTGTCATGGGCGCCATGGAGAGGGATCTGCTGCGTGCGTTGAATGCGGCTCTCGATCCGAGTGGTCGTGCGATTTTCAAGGGGTTGTATGATGACTGGACGAGGTATGGGAAGTGGGATAAGAGTTAGAAGTAGAACAAAAGATAGGAAAGATAGAAAACCGAACACGGGTAATCGCGGGTGAGTCCCAACTGGTTTGATTTTGGTTTTGGTTTCCAGACCTTGCTGGCACCATCTACACAGTGTGTACAGTACTACCGTGTCCAATGGTCTGTCCTCCGCCATCAGGATTCTAGAAATATTCCATTTTGACGTCTTGCTTCAAGCTTTACTGGTTTATATGCAGCGAGGCGCCCTTTTCCTTCCATCATCGGTCTCACATAATAGCCAACGCGTTAGGCGGACTAGCCACCCCGCCAGGGACATTCAACACCTCGCTCGTGAACATGAACGTCCACCGTTTCTCCTTGGCGCACTGGCGGGCGAGTTCCTCCAAGTCGAAAAGTTCACCGATCGGCAGGCCGAGGCCGGACAGGATGGTTTCGTGCATGCGGAATTCCATGACGCCCAGACCGCCCTCTGTAGAATTTGTCAACATTACTAAGAGATGGACTTATGAATCGACTAGTGTGATTGCATAGGTGGTTTCTTGTCTTCCTCGCATGGAAGTATAGGTAAAGACAGGTTCACTCACTCCAAACTTCGAATCCGGGCGAGTCCGCACCGACGCAGGAAAATTGAGTATCCCACAGCCACTCCAGCGACTCCAGAGACCCCTTGAGGCCAGGGTAGGTCATGTTCTGATCGGCCATTTTAGCCTGCAACTCGACCTCGGACAGACTTTCGTAGCGATGCACGAAGCCGGTGCGAATCAGAAGAATGTCGCCGGGCTCGAAGGTGATGTTGCATTTCTTTGCGATCTCTTGGATCGTGGACACGGAGATGGCAGTGGCGGACCATGGGTCGTACGAGTCCGGAGTCCCGCTGGCTTCGGCGACGGATTTGGCGTGTTCGACGTAGTCGATGAGGACGCCGCGGCCGACGATGCCGCGTTTCGCCCATTCTATAAATTGATATCCTGATTTAGTGGTGGACCATTGACGGGTGGGGGGATGTGATTAGGCCAAAGGCATGGTGATCAGATCCAGGTGGCTACAGACCTTGAATACCGTTCCGGTGACTCGTTCCAGATTTTAACTCGGCCTGCGTGAAGCCATTGTAGAAGCGACCGTCCGGGAACGCCCAATGCCGGAAACCGTCCCACTGCGTGCTGGTTTGCGTGTTGATTTCGAGGCGGTCGTCCTGTTGGGATCCCGTGCTGTTAGGTACCTTGGTCTGAGAGTGTGACTGGTAGCTGTCTCTGTCTCTGGAACATTGGAGACGCCGAGGGGGAATGCAGTGTGAGGCGGAAGAGGCCAAGCTCTAAAGTGCCAGGGCGGATGCCAGGAGAGGGTAGAGCGGTCAGTAGACAGTAGAGTCTTTGGGACTGTCTGTTCGTCTGTCCCTTACATTACAGTTCTCGGCGATCTGGAAGATCTCGTGTTTCAACCTCGTGCGGTAGAATGGCGGGACGTGCATCTCATCCATACTCCAGTTGAGGCCAATGGACACGCCAGTCTTGACTTCGGCAGCGGCTTTCTTGATGCATTCTGGCGTGAGACGGTTCAGACATCCTAGTTGGTCGTCTTTGCCCCAGACTCCCCAGGCTGAATGTGGAGGGTGGTCGGGATGGAGTGGTAGGTCTTTAAAAGGGATGTGCTTTGGTGAGGTTGTGTTGCTTGCCATTTTGGTAGCGGCTGCCAAGGGGGGTTTTAAGGAGAGGGCGACGGGTCTCAGGCTGGATATTGATCTTTCTTTTAAAAGCCGTGAGCGGCTCCGCGTTGGTGAGAGCAACCGAGTCTGTTTCTGTCGCGTGCTTCGCTCTGCTCAGTCCTGGTATGACCAGGAGAGAATGGACCGAAAAGTAAGGGCGCAAGACTGTGGTGTTCCGTTTCGTGTTTGGTGTTTCTGCTCGTTGGCGCTACTGGTCGATCCCGAAGTCGGACTGGAACCGGCACCGTGTCCACCAAAGAGTCAGTTACTTTTCTCAGCAGTCTGTAGATTTCCCCCTCCATTCTTTGCTTTGTGGTTTCTCTTCTCGCCTGTATGCGCAGTGGTTGAGTGCTCGAAGCGTTGCCATGTCGTGCTTCCAGTGCTGAAGGGAGGCGCTTGACGGGAAATGAGATGGCTTGTTTTTTACGGGTGGTTGGCTCTTCGAGTTAAGCATTGTACGAGCTCGAGACGTCCGCAATGAGATCAGGATGGCGAAGCTGCGGTGAGTGGTGAGGTCTTGCAAAGTTTCAAGCTCGACGTGAAGAGGAAGCAGCCTGCGCCTTGAAAATTCATCGACGTGCAAGAACGGCGGGCAAAGATTTCTTCGCTCTGCCCATTCTGCTTCCCTTCCACTTCCACAACTGTCTTCCTATCTTCCCTCTCTGGATTCGATGTATCAGTTGTCGAATTAGCAGTGGTGAGGAAGTATACAAAACCAGTCCTATTGCGCTCCCTGTGCTGGATTCCGCGCTGTCAGCTGTGAGGCTCAACTTGACCACCTTTTCAACGAAACTCCAGCCAGCCTATTTGCCTCAGCAGGCCTTCTTCTGATCGAGCTATCTTTTCTTCCTCACCTCACCGTCTTCAAAGGTGGCCGAAACACCCTCGGCCTGCAACGCGCCTCGCATACAGAAGCGTCTCACCTATGTGGTTTACACGTACCAGCCGGGCGCCTCACTCCGGCAAAATCGGGCGTCGGTGAGCCATCGCCGAAGACAAAATTGATTCGACGACAACGATTGAGTGGGTGGTCGTTCGTTCATCGCTTCGCAAGACTACACGTAGAATCTTGGTTTGTCATCCTCCATTGGCTGTCTGCAGTACTGGGCATCTGTTCAGCCCACAAAATCATCCCGTTGATTCCGTGCTCCAGCCCAACGTCCATTTTCTCGTCCGACGCCTTCCATGCTTCTACTCTGGTCCTACACTTTCTATTTGCGTCATGTGCCTGGCTCCTGTGGTGGGACACGAGCGGCTTCTTGGATTGCCCTCGATGATTCAGCATATTCAGCGAGCTTCGGACGCAGTGTATTTTCTCTTTGCACACACAGCTTCGCGGTCAGGCCGAAGCATTGTCAATCACACTACAAGTCCATATATGAGACATGTCCACTGCAGCACGCCATGATTCAGAGCCAAAAGCTACTCGTGTTCAGCTAGCCGTGTCTCACTGAAAAAAGTACCCCGCCTATATCTTCAACTGCCGGTCAAATAGGCCCATCCTAGTCCGCGTTCTACGGACTTTCGATAGGAACGGCCTCGAACGGTGCCAAAGCTAAATGACCAGTCTTCTACAATCGGCCAAGGCTTCAACCGGCGCGTTACCGCAGACGAAGTGAGAGAATTAGGGAGGAAAGACCGCCCAGCGGGTGTCATGCTGTTGCACAATATCCCAGCTTTGTTGTCATAAGCCAACGAACGGATTCGACCATTGCGAACAGGAAGCCTCAGTTCTAACCTGCTGACCTGCACTACTCATCTACTTACTCACCGCCGCGTTGCGCCCTTCAACATTGGCCCCGAACCCGAGGAACATGGACTCGTCACATGACTCCACCTTGATGAGGCTCTGCCACCCCTGTAGCCAATAGGGGAGCAACAGAACCCCCCTGGGTGACTTTGAGCAGAAATGTCTTCTGCCTGGCTGCATCCTGTGTCGTATCAATTCTCAAACTATCTTTCAGCCTGACCAAAGTCATTATTCGATGTGATCCACACAAGTTCCATGCATGCCGAGATGTCCCCTTACGTATGCGTCGGACGTGAACGATGCGGTCCGTGGCTCAAACGTGTTGGTTCCGTGTTCCCCAAGCACACAATCCACTTGAGGCTCTGCTACAGCGTACCATGGGAAACTTCATTTCATCCTCCTTGCATTGGGAAGTTGGGAACCTGATCACTCGCTCCATCATGACCAGCTTCTATCATTACTGCTGGATCCCAGCACCAGGTATTTTCAGCCTCATCCCTCGCGGTTTCTTTTACTGCCCTTATCCCCCATTTAAATGGGTTCCCCAAGTCGTTCATAATTTGACACGGTGCTTCCTCATGGTTTCGTCACGTCTTGCTAGTCTTTTCTCAAGTCTCGCACCGGGTCTTGTCTACGGGCATGTTCATCTCTGACCTACCCTTCGACATTCTTCATCATGTGGCTCGACGCCTTGATATACGCTCTCATGGCAGTCTTGGAAGGGCGTGCAGGTCTCTATATCAACAATTGCGGGATGAGGGCACTGCGAAAAAATGCCTCCTGGTCACGAAACATTCTCTTGGATGCGAGGAAAGTAAGCTGACTGTGATCAGGCCGACATACCGCATTCGACCTGGGCTAGACTGGCAATGTCAAATCCAACAGCGGGCTTCCGCGTCACATTGGGTCGGTGTAACGATCATGATGACGCTTTGCAGACAGCTTCGCCATACTCTGCGTGCATCCTGGCTTACGCCACCAGTTTTGTTTATCAAAGCGGGATCTTGTCCTACACGACGTGTTCTACCCTCCGAGTTCTCGACCTAAACAACTGTCGGAACACTGAAAAAGTGTTTAGCAGCACTGTCTTTTGGAAGGCCATTACTCACCAAACTCAGGGCGGCGCCGGACTCGACCTTGAATCTCTTGTGTCTCTGCGTGTCCACGAGTATGCTTGTGACATTGTGGTCCTCGTTTGCGATTTCGGATTCCATGGCCAATATTTGGTCGCGGTCAATATTGCGGAGGGTTTCGAACCACTACAACCGACGGCAGATGTAGGTGGTCTTTCTCGTGTCATTCTTTGCACACGTCTGCGATCCACCAGCAAGTTGTTCGTCAGACACAACGGCCGATATTTGGTTACAGGCACTTATTCTGCCCTAGGAAATCATGACCACCATGAATGGTTGCTTTACCGGTACGACCTCACCACTTCAAGACTCGTCAGTAAGGAACCGTTACAACTGCGAAACTTCTTTGGCTCTGAACTGGGGTCTACAGTCTGCTTCACCATATTTGACGGAAGTTTCTACGCGTTGACAAATCAGACAAGCTTTGAGAGCGAGGAAGTGGACTGGACAAGCTACTACCACTTTATAAGCTTTGCTTTGGACGATCCGCATCCAGATTTGAACATACAGGTCATCTGGAGGAGACAACATCTCGAAGGGCCAATCAATGATGCATGGACTCATCTGGGTTTCCAACAGGATCACCGTAATGGTGAGCTGCTGATTGTAGAATGTAGGAAGGAATGGTTGTCCGGAGGAAGTCAATGCACGAGGACATATTACACTCACCCTTTCCATCGAGTAGTCCATCGCGACTTGGAGGAGGGCCTGCGCCATCCGCCGAATGACCGACTCAGCCTCACCTTAGACTTCAAGAGCAACAGCAGATGGGAGGAATCGTGGCCTCGCGCTGATCGGTTTGTTCATACCGAGATTTCATCCGGCGAGCCTCACGGCGTCAAGGAATATATTTGCGCAAAGACGAAATGGCACGGATACCATTTCAACTCTCAGACATTCGTCGACCTTGTGACGGACGAAGTCAGGGTCGAGGGTGAGTGGCGGGCTAAAGAGCGAATCAAGCTCCGAGTGGTTAGCAGACGTGAGCTCAGTCCTATGGTCCGCGACGAGGATTCTAAGATGATCCCCGGTGGGATGAAGATCAGACCTCGTATGCGAGACAAAGACGGCAATGAAATGCAAGATGGAGAGAAAGCATTCACGGCCAGCAAAGCATCACTGTGGCCTCCAGATGACGCACCGCAGGAGCTTCAAGATGTGCTCTGTCCCGACGGTCGAGCAGGGGATGTCCACGCGGTCCTAGGTGACGAGGGCATCGTCTACATGGCTGGCCCGCGCCGGCAAGCTGACGCCCCTGAAAGAGCCCTCATCTTTGTCAGCTTCGACCCGACATTTGGGTTTCGCAGCATGAAAAGACCAGATGGATCCAGTGTCATGCCGAAGCAGAAATGGCAAGGTTCGCCCTCCCAGTCGGGAAGAAAGCGCAAGAGTTCATCGATACCACGTGAGAATTTCCGAGATGTTCCTGATCTTGAGGACTCGTCACATCTGCTCAAACGCTCAAAGTGGGTTCGCACTGGACAACATTCGCCTACAAAATCGTCGCCGCCCTTGTCGGTGGTCGAAGTTTCAGAACTTTCGAGCATACAAGAACCGTCTGATGACCTGAAGACGAGGCACTTTGTTGAAGAAGAACCCCAGGCTGCTGAGCGAGCCACGTCGCTGACAGAAGTCAAGGTCGAAGAGACAGAAGAGAGCAGCCGTACTCAATTTCTGGGAAAGGAGGTTGTCGTCGATGGTACCGACGGTGGTCAAACACCACAAGACTCCAAAATCCAACGACGAGATTATGCAAGCTCCTCTTCGGCGGCGAGGGGGAAAAGGACCAGCGTCTCATCATCAGCACCGTCCTTATCTCTACAGCCTCCATTGGAACCACAATGGGGATTTGACCGGGTATCGTCGTCACCATCACGACTACCACCAGCAGGACATTCATCTTCGTCTTTTTTGGACCAACAGTGGGATTTTGCATCGGTATCGTCACTGTCGTCGTCGTCTTCACCTCTCTTACCACCTTTGAACGACCTGGCAAGTGATTCGGTTCCTACCACAGCCAACACTGCTGGCTTCGAATCTAATGACGATACCACCGTGAGCGCAGACGGCCCATCTCTTTCTGGTAACGAACACGAACTGCAACTGCTGCAGACTTGGCGCGAGAACGCTGCATACTTGACCATTGGGCGAGGGTTTTGGTTACGATGAGACGCGACGGGGAGATATCTCTGACGGTGAGAGGTGATGACGATGGGTCAATCGGCCAGCCAGCCAGCCATTCGTTCATTGTTCCGCTGATAGCGAAATCCAACAAAATCGAATTTGGAGTGCTTGATACTGTTGACTGTTTGCAGTTTGCAATGCCACGCCGTTCAGTTCGAACTTCCGGGGTTCCCTTGTGTTCGCATCTCTTTTGGTGGGGGTTTTGGATTGAGAGTTTAGTGATGGTGATGGCGATGGCTTCCGTAAAAGGAGGCTTGATAAGATGCGGTCCCGAGGTCAGCACGAGACAGAAACATGAGCATGGGTACGAGCACAAGCATAAGGACGGGACAAAGGGAGGGGGGAGGATGGGCCATTCAGGCCGAGGTGAAGGTGAGAGTAAAGGGGGTGGGTAAGTATATATCACTCCGGTCGAGAGAACTGCAGACAAATCGAGGAACGGAACCTGGCCGTGCTGGCTCGGGATGGACTGGGGCATATCTTTGTCTAAGCGGATTGTTCATTCTCTCCTTTCCTCTGTCCTTCTCTCCAGTACAAGAATATGAAACCCATTCGGAATGACCTGCCTTGACCTAAACTGAGGTATCCTATCCTGCCATGACAGGACCGCACCTCGGAAACCCCGAGTGGGCTGTAGCTCAAGCCCAAAGAAGGATATAACTTCTCGTCCGAACCAAGTTACCAGGCACCACGTGGAATCGACACAGCCCCTGCCTGGCTGCCTGTCTCACCGAAACTGACCACATCTTGAAAGCTGTGCAGAGCAGCACCACGATGGATATGCCGCCAGCACAGGGCCGCCCAAAGCTAGAACTCCTGTTGGTGTCGTGCCGTCTGGACTTCCAATGCGGGTGCAACACAACCATGATATGTTCTTAGTATGGTGCCCCATCCATCAATGGATCGACATTTGCCTGTCCGCTTGGTTTGTCATGGGAAGCGACGGGCAATTGACTTGTTCGAGAACTCATGGAACAACTGTTGGCGATAAGGCATGCAACAGGCAAAAAGGTTTGCCAGGCGGGCGCTGCGAAAATACTGCTCCGGAGCTGTACACGAAACACGGGTGTGTTACATACTTCCGGCGCATTTCGAGGCTCGGTCTAGTTCAGACGCACGTAGTTTCCTGTAAAATTCTACTGTCAGTCGACTATCTCCACAAGACAGCCAAGCTTGGCATGCTGATATGACTCGACTTACCAGGGAATTGACCCTCTCGGCCATTCAACCGTCCGGTCCACCATTCATTCTCATTCTGGGTTCTGTGCACAATCTCAATGACATCGCCAGTCATGAAGCTCAAATCGCCCTCGGCCTGCGCTTCGTAATCGTACAGCGCAGTGACTGTCTCCGCGGCAGGGACGCCACTCAACCGGCTCGGCTTGGGCTTTGGTGGCGGTGGCTTGCCCTTTGCTGCAATCGCGGAACCCAGGGCTGGACTGCTGGGCATACTGCTTGACGAGCCTGCAGGCGAGTACGGTGGAGGTGGATTGGAATGGCCGTCCTCCAAAGTGCTTGTCCTACCTCTCGCAGCATAGGAGGATTTGCTTGCTTCGGCCTCCTTGGCTTTCGCATGAAGCCCGTACTTAGACACACCCCGGGCGCTCTTCAAGCCACCTGTGCTCTTGAAGTGGACTATGGACAAAGCCTCGGCACGTTCCTGTACATCGCCTCGCTTCATCTCGAAAGCTTCTTCGATGTCGAGATTCAGGTTGAAGTAGCCGATATTGATCGCTTGCATCTTCTCGTGCAAGGTGTAAAACAGGTTTAACTGCATGTAGTAGAAAGACTGGAACAGTGGGCGGATGAACTCGGCCTCAAGCGCAAAGAGCTTCGGTAGCTCGTCCTTGAGCAAGTTGTTGAAGTACTCGTAGTCCTGGGTGGCCTGCTCGACATCGTTTTCGGCCTTATACAAAGCCTTTTCGTCCTTCAACGTCTTCTCTTTCTTGTCCTGCAGCTTTTTCAGGGTGGCTCGATGACGGTCATAATCGAGTTGTTTGTGTTGTCGTTTCACCGCCACTTTCCGAATGACCTTGATCACTTCCAGTAACTGGTCGGCCGGCGCTATCACACGCTGCTCAATCATTTCCAATTCGGGTTGCAATGTGGCTTGCAGGTCGCGCACAATCGATTCGTACTCCTCGCATGCGCGAATTCCTTCTGGATTGCCTTCAGGGATTATGGAGTTGGGGTCCGAGACACGCCCTGATATGGGTTTGTAGATCTCTTGGATCGCCTTGGAGAACTCGATCTGGTGGTTCAGCATACCTGCGATTTTGTAAGATACCATGCTCGGAATTGTGTGCAGATGACAGTGGTGCCATACCATTGATTGCTTCAAAGTACTTTTTCGACTCCTCGTGCAGCTTCTTGGTCTCTTTCTCGAGCTCCGCGAATCGCCGCTCGGCATCGATGTAGACCGCATCCTTTGTATTTTCACCAATATTGAAGCGCTGCTTGAACTGCTGCGGTGCGCGAGTTATGCTCTTGGTTACACCTTTGAGACTCATACTTGATGCGTCACTCCTCGCGTGCGGCAGCTAGCTAATAATGAGGACTCGATGTGTGCTGCGTTGGCAGGATGCGGACGTTCCGGATTCAATGTGTTCAGATCGATTTGGTGAATAACTTCGAGAAAAGAGACCGCACTTGACGGGCGAGCAAGATTGAGGGGATTAGAGAGCGTCCAGGCGCCAAACCGGGATTGTGTAGACTGAAAGGACGGGCGCAGATGACTGAGGAGTTGTTCGTTTGGAGAGGCTATGCGCAGAGGCAGTCGAAATGGCCCACTCGCAGAATGACGCAGCACGGCTGAGCTCGGACCGCAACTGTTGGCTGCCTGGGTAGTATTGTCCCTTTAGGCGTACTTGGCTAATGAGTTCCAAGAGGCGGAGGCCTTGTCAAGTCTGGGCAGCAACAGAGCTGGTGGAAGAGAAGGAATGTATCTAATACTATAGGAGGGGAGGCAACGACGTTGTGTACAGCGTAGATACAAGAGTGCCTAGGTCGTGTCCCGGAGGGTTGGAGAACGCACACGGGCACTCCTCCTGGTAGTACTAACTTACAATTTAGGTGGTGGTGATGGCAGGGTCAAAGCAGTTCAGCTCTGCTTGTCGCTGTGCTCTGCATTGTCAGTGGTAGATGACCTGACGGCAGCATCTCATTGGGTGGATCGAGCCCTGCTGATTAGTAACAAGGGTCCGCGGACGCTTTTACAACCGAGCGGAAACTCCGCCTCGGCCGACATGATCTAATCAGATTGCCACGAAACTTCAAGTTCTGCCTCTGAGTCCAGCACCTCATCGTGAGATCAATCAATTCATCACCGCATCCCCCTTCTCCGCCCTGTTGTAGCCATCTTGCGCCCTCACATCCGCCTTCTTCTCCTTCATCTCACATATTGTCAGCTGGACTGACGCGTTGCCAACATGACTGGAGCAGCCTCCTCCGTCGTCAAGCAGGCGTCGCGAGCCTGTTCTCGCTGTCTACCGTCCGGTACCATATTCGGTGCATCACATTTCCGGCCTACCGTTGTCGCCACCTCACGACTTATCAATACTCGCAATTATGTGTCGGAATCGAAGCCTTCTTCGGCCCAGGTCACTGATGTGCAGTCGGCCATCAAAGCGGACCAGAGAAAGTTCACCGAGGAGAGTGGCAATCTCCCCTCGCAGGTAAAAATGCCTGGTGCGCAGATAACAGCGGATGCCATGATGAGCCCTCAAGCGGGTATACTCAAACATGCAAGTATTATGGATCAGGGCTCTCGGCCGATCTACCTCGATGCGCAGGCCACCACTCCCGTTGACCCAAGAGTCCTCGATGCCATGCTGCCATTTTTGACTGGGCTCTATGGCAATCCCCATTCGCGCACACACGCGTATGGGTGGGAAAGTGAAAAGGCAGTCGAACAAGCTAGAGAGCACATTGCTAGACTGATTGGGGCCGATCCCAAGGAAATCATTTTCACCAGCGGCGCCACTGAAAGTAACAACATGAGCATCAAGGGTGTCGCTAGGTTTTTTGGCAGATCGGGCAAAAAGAAACATATAATCACAAGTCAGACTGAGCACAAATGCGTCTTGGATAGCTGTCGACATCTACAAGACGAAGGCTTTGAGGTGACCTATCTGCCGGTCGACTCCAATGGCCTAATCGACCTTGCACAGCTCGAAGCCGCTATCAAACCCGAGACTGCCTTGGTCAGTATCATGACTGTCAACAACGAGATTGGAGTCATCCAACCTGTGAAGGAAATTGGGCAACTTTGTCGATCCAAGAAGGTCTACTTCCACACCGATGGAGCCCAGGCAGTCGGGAAGATTCCCATTGATGTGAATGAATGGAATGTTGATTTGATGTCCATTTCGAGCCACAAGATCTACGGCCCAAAGGGTATTGGAGCTTGCTACGTCAGAAGACGACCTCGTGTCAGGTTGGACCCCATCATCAGCGGAGGCGGGCAAGAAAGAGGTCTCCGAAGTGGTACCCTGGCGCCGTTCCTTTCTGTTGGCTTCGGGGAGGCCTGTCGCATTGCGAAAGAGGAGATGGAAGTAAGTTTGCAGAACCCCCTGTCATTTTGATTTTTCGAACTCGGCTAACATGCATCTCTTTTAGTACGACTCGAAGCGTATCGCGGCCCTGTCGAAGCGGCTGCTTGATGGCTTACTCGCCATGGAGCACACAACCCTCAACGGTGACCCTAAACGCCACTACCCAGGTTGCGTTAATGTTTCTTTTGCCTACGTCGAGGGAGAGTCTCTCTTGATGGCGCTCAAAGATATCGCTCTTTCGTCCGGCAGTGCTTGTACTTCGGCGTCGCTCGAGCCAAGCTATGTCCTGCGAGCTCTTGGAAACAGTGACGAGAGTGCTCACAGCAGCATCCGATTCGGAATTGGACGATTCACCACAACCAGTGAGATTGACTACGTTCTGAACGCTGTTCGGGAGCGAGTTACTTTCCTGCGGGAATTGAGTCCTCTCTGGGAACTTGTCCAAGAGGGTGTGGATCTGAACACCATTGAGTGGAGCCAACACTAGGCTCATCCCTCGCCCAGAACTCGGTGTGTGTGTAAAATATACGCTTCTGTCAATATCAATTGTACAGTCACTGTCGCTACGGTCATTTCAAGCCTGCGAATGAACGCCCGCCTCTCAATAGTCGGGATGGTCTGTCCATGACGAATTTGCCGGTTTCACAAATTGACCATTCTGGCGGAATCTCTATATCCATAGCCTCGAATCATATTCTTGATACCCTGGCCTTGTTTTGTTGCTTCCCATGCCTGGGGTGCATGCTCGAAGTCAAAGATCCTTGAGATCAGACTTCTCATTGGGGCGATGCTGTCTTCGAGCACATCCATTGCGATCTTGAAATCTCCAGCACTGTAACGAAACGCTCCATGCACGTGTAATTCTTTCTCGCTCATTGCCAGGATGGGGAAATTGACCACAGGCTTGCCCAAACCAGTCTGCACGAACGAGCCGCCCGGTCGGAGAACATGTACCGCCGTCGCAATTGAACTCTCTGACCCTGTCGCTTCTATTGCCGCATCTGCGCCCGGACCCAACTGATTCTCCTGTATTAACCTCCTGGCATTCTCTTCCGGTGTGGCATTCAAGTCCGGCTCGAATGTGCTGACATTGTTGAACCCTCTTGCAAATTCCAATTTCTCATCCACCAAGTCGACGGCAACGATCTTTCTCGCCCCGTACAGTCGAGCGACAACGCTGCAAGCCAGACCGATCGTGCCGGACCCCAATATGACCACGCTCTGGCCCGGTTGCACGCCGACCATACGTACAGCGTGTGCTGCCACGGCAAGCGGCTCCGCAAGGACACCCTCCTGCAGACTCACGTGTGGAGGCAGTTTGTAGCAGAAGTCCGCGGGGATCTTGAAGTATTTGCTCAGACATCCAGGACTGTCGGGGGGACATGCAGCAAACTTCATATCCTGGCATAGGTTGTAAAACCCTTCTTTGCACCGCATACACGACCGACATGGTTGGCCCGGTTCGATGGCCACACGGTCACCGGGTTTGAGATGGCTGACGCCAGGTCCTACGGCATGAATGGTGCCTGAAGCCTCGTGTCCCATTACCAGGGGTTGCGAGGCTGAAACAACATTGTCGCCCACGCCTCCATTTGTCCAGAAGTGCACCTTGATAACGCAAATACATGGTCAGGTTAAGGTGTTTCGAGGTGAGGTCTCCCCAGCCTGCCTGACACTTACGTCGCTTCCGCACACGCCTACGAACTTGATCCGTACTATTGCGTCTGTGGGGTCTGTAATGCTGGGCTCTGGCCTGTCTTCGATCTTTGCATTACCTGGACCGTATAGAACAACAGAGGGGTTCTTCGGGTGGTTAGCGGGCGCTGCTGAGTTGTGTTGTATTGCTCACAGACGGCTCCATCGTGACTTTGATAGTGATGTTATGCGGATGAGGAAGTATACCTTCACGACAACGGATTCTGTTGATTCCTGAGGGGCAGCGGTGCCACCAGGATCGCCAATGGTCTCAACCATTCTTTATATGGCAATCTTACGCCCTGCAGTGTGAGATTGGGCTCCCAACTGAACCTTGACCCTGATGCAGGGCACACACCATCGGGCCAAGTCTCGCCGTGCCCCTCCGACCATTATCATCAACGTCAGACCGGGAATTTTTGTGCGAGTGGTCACGTTTGTCTTTTCAAGTTACCGGCCTTCTACCAGACACTCTTCGGCGGTTCATGCAAAGTCTCGCCGATACTCTAAATATGGGCCACTTCCCTTCAACAGGCATACTAAACTTCTCCTCCTCAACATATCAGGCTTCATTATATCTCAAACGATCGAGAAAATATGGACAGCGACTCTCCTGAAACATCTTCTTCAGAGCAGAAAAGTTCTACCGTGTGAGCCAGTCCCTGCCGCGCAACTTATATGGAGTGGGTCCACAGAGGCTGAACGTTTTATTCCAGATGCCATCTTTGTCGACAACGGAAAACCAAATGTGATAGAAAGCTGCCACGATGTGGTTTCTGCATCAAGGCCAAGGTCGACTGTCAATATGTGATGCAGCCGAAGAAAAGAGGCCTTCGAGCCGGCTATGTCTCCCAACTGGAGAACCGTCTAGGTACTATTCCCGAGTTCTTTGACTTTGGAGAGTCACTGACATTGCGAAGAGGCGCTCGAGCAAGAGATTCGAGGTATGAAGAATCAGCGGCTGACTCTGTCACCGTCAACGACACAAACACCTGCCGCGCCAGTAGTCACACCAGCCGGCATATCCACCATTTCACAAGTCATGCCTTCCCCAGCTCAGAACTCGATCTTCAGTACTCCTCGGAGCAACACCAGTCAGCATTCCAGCCATCGACGAACGAAAACAGAATCGGATGCTGCTGTAGCCGACTTGATGACTCTGCCCCACGCATACATATGCACATTGGCGGATTTGTGGTTCAAAGAGTCCCAACCATGGGTGCCCATCTTGACTCGAAATCAGATCCAAAACGCACTGGACAACCTTCCGCTACCGCTGACGCACATTGATGACCTGGTGCTGAAAGCGGTCCTGGCGCTTCAAATCAAGCATTCCAGCCAAGCCATCTGTCTGGGTTATCATGGAAGACTGCGCCTATCAGACCACCTTCGGTCTCAAGTGATCAACGAAGCCTTCTCAAAGGCGTGTCTGAGCTCTCTGCAAGCATTATTGATCATAGCCATTCTCGACTATGGCGCAGACAACATTCCCAGCACTTTCAGCTTATTGTCTGTCTGTCGACGCATGTGCGAGAACATCGGGCTCTTCCGCAAACTGCTGAAACAAATGGAAGTGGAGAATCCGGCGCAGATCGGTCCACCAGCGATAGTAAGCAATGATGGAGATGAGCTGGCGATCCCGTTGACATGGGCCACATTAGCTCTCGATGCTGCCACGACACTCGGCATCAGCTGGCGAGACGTGTCAGCAGCACTAGTGGACCATCTGTCCAGCGTGGCCTATGTCAGTACGCCAGACCTCAAGGACAGTTTCCGCAGCCACGTCCACTTGACGGCGATTGGACTACAGCCTCTGCACACGTTTGTTCATGACCACTCGCGCGGGAGGTACGATCATTCGCGAGCGAATGCGCTCGAGGTGTGCGACGAGATCTATCACAATTTGATGAGCTATGTGCGATCGCAGCCCAGTTCAAGTTACACGTTGCTGGCGGACGGGTTGATCGATTTCGACGCTTATCTGATGCAGACCAGCTTGGTGGCTCATGCAGGGGTTATTATCCTGTATCAGCGGCTCGTTGACTTTGTGGACGATCGCTCACTCCAAGAGGTCCCCGTCCAGCGATGTCTTCAGGCATGCCAGGATTTGGTCTTGACCATACAAAGTATCAGTGACGCCGATTGCGAGTTAAGTACTCCCGTCATGGCCAGTATGCTTTTCGTCGCCGCGCGGTTCAAGTTGATCCTGTATCGCATGCTGAATCGGCCACGGGAGCCCATGTTTGACTCCCTCATGCATGGGATCAATATGAATGGTCGCCGCTGGGAGGTTGCGCGCCGGTTGGATATTGTGCTGCGCGCGGCTATCGTGGAGGTGGACTCGGATGGACACAACAGTTCCGAGTTGCCGGTCGACTTTTGGAATGTCAAGAAGAGTCATTTGGATATTTCGGAGGAGCTGAAAGAGTGGGTCGAGGGGTATAAGCATTCATTGTATGTTGGTGCTTTGAATGGGCCTTATGTGTGATGAGGCTGGCCTGAGAAATGGTAGGTAGTGTTTGTTGGTGTGTGCAGTGGTACTACTGTAACAGTATCAGGGTCACTTCGGCTGCCCCTCGTGGTGTGGGGTGGTAGTCTAACGTCCGCCTTCAACCACATGGGGCGACAGGGCTGTGCGGAGTTACTGCTCTCGGACACCCGATGCCACTAGCCCGTACTGCCGGTGAGCAGGCGTACAATACCGTACAGCGGCGGTCATCGCCTGCGTGGTGGCCGGCCTGCGATTATCGGCGGCGGAACATGATCAAGTCCATGAACCCTGCAGCGCGTCTCTTTTCGCCCCTCGAAGGCGACATCATCGAAAAACCGTCGAGATGATCGATCAGGCTGTGTTGATGCAATTGCTTCCTACAATATTGTATCTCGGATTCAATCAGGAGTATTAACAATGCCCAGACGTTGTCTGAATGATGGTCCCTCGCGTGCTTGCTCTCGTCCGGCGAGACCCGCCGCAGTCTGAGTCCCGTGGGCCGAGATTTCCATGTTTCCATCTTGATCCGAACATCGCAAGATTACTTTTCGCTTCACACCATCGTTACCAATCTTCTTGTCCTCATTCTTCTACAACCACCTCGTGACCTATTTCCCTATGAACCTCTCCTGCTGACCCAATTTCCCTTTCTTTCACTTTTCCTGTATTTCCAGCACACTACACAGCCTGCGCGCTCCGGTGGCGGCAGACTGCATTCCTTTGTTGAGTGGTTCTGTCTCCCACCGTGACGGCCTTCACCATATCCCACCCGAATATCGTCGTCGGCTGTCTGGCCACGCGGAACTGCTTTGTACATCCTCAGCGGATCTCTTGGTCCAAGATACCACAAGGGCGCAGATTGCACGCCTACCATCCCTCCCGTCGAACAACATGCTTCCTCCCATCCCGCGGCCCGAAGACTACGGGGTCTCCCCAGACAGAGGGTTCCTCCCCTCTGAAAATCCCATACAATGTCTCCCGCATCAAGTCTACGATCGCTGGGAGCGTATCATGAACAATTTCCAGTCGTTATTACTGTCGAAGAGACTGCGTACAGTCATAGACAAGTTACCTATCATCCCCGCCGTACATCTGGAGACCGAAGCCGAATGGCAGCGAGCATATTCAGTGCTGACATTCATGGCCCACGGCTACATCTGGGGCGGGGACAAGCCGTCAGAAGTGAGACTCTCGTCACTAAAAGAACAAAAAGACCAAAACTGACCTTGGACGCAGAGATTGCCTCCGCCAATAACGTATCCCCTCCTACAAGTCTGCGAACACCTTGATCTCCCTCCGGTAGCCACTTACGCCGGTCTATGCTTGTGGAACTTCAAGCCTCTCTTCCAATTCCAACCTCTTGTCCTCGAAAATCTGTCCATCCTGAACACATTCACCGGATCGTTAGACGAACAATGGTTCTACTTAATAAGCGTCGCCATGGAAGCAAAAGGAGGACCATGTATACCCATTATGCTGAAGGCCATCCAAGCAGCGCGAAACAACGACGCCGAATTGGTGACAAAAAGTTTACAGTCATTTGCGCAGACGCTAGACGAGCTGGGGACTCTGTTGATGAGAATGTATGAGAGTTGCGACCCTCATGTGTTTTATCATCGAATAAGGCCGTTTCTCGCCGGCAGTAGAAACATGAAAGAGGCGGGGTTGCCGCATGGTGTTTTCTACGACGACGGCAGCAGCCGCTCCACATGGCGACAGTATGGCGGCGGCTCCAATGCACAAAGCAGCATGATCCAGTTCTTCGACATTGTTCTGGGCATCGAACACAGACCGACAGGCGCCAAAAAGGACGAAACGTCCGAGTCCGAAGCCGAGCCGGGCGCCGCGCCCAAGCCCAGACACAACTTCATCCACGAAATGAGACAGTACATGCCCGGGCCTCACCGGAGGTTTTTACAGGCTGTCGAATCGGTGGCCAATATTCGCGATTTTGTCGAGTCCAACAGATCCAGTCGCCAGTTGACCATTGCTTATGATGCGTGTCTGGCTATGCTCAGGTCTTTACGGGACAAGCACATCCAGATGGTTTCGCGGTACATTATCGTCAAGAGCAGAGAGTCTCGCAGTCTGAGCCGGACTCGACGCGGGAGTAGCAGCGGCGGCAGCCCAGAGGACCACCATGCATCTACCCGAGGCAAGGGAATTGCTTCGATCCGATATGGCGGTGGACCGCAAGTGGGTGGTGAGGATCGGGATCGTGGCTCAAGTAATAAGAACAAAAAGATGCGAGGTACCGGAGGAACCGCCCTGATTCCGTTCCTAAAGCAGGCCCGAGACGAGACTGGCGAACCTGCTATTGATGACTGGGCAAGGAAACTGCTGATGGGTGGTCGGCGGACTGAGGCTGATGCCGAGATCGCCTTTGAAAGCAGAATCACTGCTGCCGAATTGGATTCCGATGAGCCCCAGATTGTTGGTCTCGCGGGGTCGTGGAACATGGAAGATGCTGGCGGTGGGCTTTGTGCTTACTAGCATTGATTCGATGAGTCGATTAAAACTTATGATGATAAAAATTGCATGATTTCGATCGGGTCGTATGTGAGACTCACTCAACTATGGGTGTTAAGTCTGGAATGGGATGGTCCGGTACTGCAGTCATGGTCTAAAGGACCCATTTGTTTATTACCTAGTGATGACATTATTGCATTCATGGCATTCTGGAGAAAGGAAAAGAGCTTATTAAAGAAAGAGGAACCTACGAAAAGCCAAAGCTGGTCTCAGAACAGCAGGCCTACAAATTAAATGCAGCGTCCACCGATGGCGAACCACGTTAATATCGTTCCAGAAAGAATCAATCTCCATTCCCAACTTGGTCTGTAAAACACGTCCAACTTCGCTTGTTGTCATTCACGCGTTTTGGACTCTGCTTACAACCCACCTGCAGTCATCTACCTACGACATTGTATAGCTGTAGCCAACGGTAGGACCATCTGTGTCGCCAATAAATTAGGTACCTAGGTAGGTACTCTACCTATCTACCTCGTACACTATTGTATAAGGTATGTAGGTACCTAGGTAGTTCTTCTGGGGCAAAATAGGGGGGTCACGTGCACCAAGCCTGAAACTGAAACAGAAATCACGTGTCAAGCTCCGCTACGAAACGTTCTTTCAACCCTTGCTTGAACCACATTGCTCCTCCCCAGCCTTGATCTCGTGTACTTGATACAGGCAGCTGTAAATATATATAGCTGTTTCGTCTCTACCAGTTCGAATTCCATTTTCCCAGGCTCCAGTCCACCACCTTTTGTTGCGAATAGACAGCTCGGGGTGTCCTTTCCTCTCTGAGTTGGATCCCTTCTGAACTCCGCCAATTGTCCATCGTCGTGGAGCAATAACTATGGTTCTGGAAAGAGATTGGAAGGATGAGCTTGAGCTTTTCCGGGCCGCTGTTCGATGATGTGGTGGATAGAAAATGGTTGGGCTCGAACTTTGCTTCTCGCTTTGATAGATTGGTAGGGTAAAAATTCAAGGTAGGCTGTGAGTATACTAGCTCTTACCTTTTGCCTTGGCTAAGGATGGTGGATGGCCGGACTGGGTTCGACGTTCGTCTGTGGCAATCAATATCTCCCTTTCCAGATGAGCCGGATAGGAATCCATGGATCATCCCCGTTTGCTTTTGTTGTTCTCAATCACAGGTCGGTTCAGAGTGTATCTCATCGGGGCTCGTTCGGTTCGTCATTTACTTCGATCACTATCGGCTTTCCATTGCGTTTGCTCTCGAACAAACGCAGGGTTCTGGTCTGGGTTGAGTCTGGTTTATACTGCCATGATTTCCTGCTCTTGAGGCGACACTGGAGGAACTCTGTGCATCACGACGCGTCAAGTCGCCATTATGGACCCGACCTTGTGTGGAGTCCTTATCAGCGGTGCCTCACTGCGGTCTCTTTCGACTAAGCCGCCGTCGACTTGAACGGTTGTCTCCGTTGACACGATGCTGTCGGTCTCTCGACGCGGGATGTCATTGGTACTGAGAGCTGTCCAAGCGATCTGCTTGTTCGAATGTGCCAGTTCGAAAGGTGAGATATCCCTGTCTGAGAACTGCGTCAAGGCCAGCATTCCGGCGAGCTCACTCCCTTGTCCATGATCTGTTCATGTCATGAACTCACATTGATGAGCTTGTACCTGTTCTGATGGATTCTTCATGTCCTTTGCCGAACAAGCCACAAGGCGACGTTGGACCGGCTGCCGGAGTCCATGTTGTCCTATCTTGATCACATACATCCACCAAGCGAACAGAAGCCTCTCGACCTGGCAGGGCATTTGGCCTTGTATGAGTTGTGCTGTTGCGTCGACTGCGAGCTGGTCGTATAGCCGCAATATCCTTCGATGAAACGGCGATCGCTCGAAAAATACTAAAAGGTGTCAGCTCAAATTCGTACCGTTCAATATGATATAGGGGTTCTCTCACCATATACTAAGCCAGGTTGTTGCCATCTTTGTTGCTAGACTGGACGGAAGTATGTTCGCCGCTATGATCAAATGTCAATTCTCAAAGGTGAGAGGTTCCCCAGCTGCGACATCCTGAGGAGGGCACCAGCAACGAACTGCTCAGATGCGCAGCGTCCCCTGGAGTGTATCTCAGACGGTAAGCCGATCCGTGGTAATGAGACTCGCCAAGTCGATACTCTTACTTTCAATGCCGCTGATGTATATGGGACGGTGCACGTGTTCGCGAGTGATAGATCCCGGTCTCTTGACCGCAAAGGTGACATTGGGCAATCTTCCCTCTTGCAGCTGCGAACAATCCGGGCGGCCTCCCCTGGGATTCACTGTGTTCAGAACAACACTGCGGCAGGTCGCAATTGTGGCCACTCCCATTGGCTCTCTATTGAGTTTCACTTCACCTTCAGCCAGCTCAATGAGGCTGGGTATTGGCGCTCCCGCGACCGTGATATGCTATTGTTCCCAACACAGGGAGAATCCACGCGCTCGCAAGTGAAGTGATACTAAATCCCACAGTCCTACTTCCTCAAGTCGCAGTTCATAATTCTTCTGCACTCACCTCCATTCTCATCCTCTCTCACCCTTTCGACCTCTCCTCCTCTCCATCCTTTCCTCACAAACCACCTTCACACTCTGACTAGCCATCAGAAACGTTAACATCAGAGCTTCGTTCTGTCTATCACATTGATCAACATCATTTTCATTGTCGACTTCCAGTATGGAAGCTCCTACGGGAGGCCAGGGCCGTCGCCCAGACGAGAATGAGTCTGCCAACGACTTCAACCATCATACTACCGCGCCAACCTCTAGCTCTACGGAGCAAACAGCGGCGACCATGGAAGGAGCAGTTGATTTCAATGACCCTTCATGGGTAATGAACTCGCCACTGTATTATGGTGACACCCTTTATGAAACTGAAGTCAACGACCCATTACAGTCCATGTTCTACCCACCTTACGTTCCGGTCGAGACCAGCAATGCGACCAATACAGCCGACAACAACGCTCAAGAGACCGATGAGCCGGAGACCAACGGGCTGGACATGTCCATGTTCATGTTTGATCCTAATAATGAACTAGGGCTGTTCGATTCCTTTAACGGGATCGATCCAGACGCGTTCGCTAGACTCTTGCACGGTACGAACAGTGAAGCCGAGCCTCAGACTGTTGACACCGACAACAACACCAATGCCGATGCAGGACTCGAGTCCGTCAATGATCAAGTTGGCTTGGATAATAGCAACGAAGACAACTCGAAGTCTTCGGCTACCATTGTCAGCAGCCCTCAAGGCAACTTGAACGACACTGTCGCAGAGACCAGTGTTGGTTCATCTTCTCCCAGCACGAGCGCAGGCGCTTTGTGCTCTGCCCCATCCTTTGCCGAAAATACAAGCGCGGCTGCAGCAGTCGACAACAAGTCTTTGTTGACTGGCGCAGGCAACTCGGGCGATATTTTATCCAGTGTCACTGAACATCTGAACAAGTCCCCAAACACTGCCAACAACCTTGATTCCTCCTCGGTTGATACAGGCAATGGCGCAGTCAATGGCGCAGTCAATGGCGCAGTCGGCTCTGACCCTTCTGCTTCCACGGCATCCAGCCCACTGTTCCCTCCTGACGGCAGCGCAGTCCGGGAGCCCACACCGCCAAACTTCAATATTTCCGACGAACTCACTCCGAACCCCTACTGGGACAGTCCCACTCAAGACACTCAAGAGACCTCTTTGTCAACCACTACCACGTCGTCTGAAGGTCGTAAGGAGTATCAGTTCGTGCCATACAATCCTCATCAAGAGACAACTGCGAGAGATGCAACCACAGAGTCGAAGGCAAAGAGACAGCGCAAGGCTGGCTCTACCAGTCCGGCTTCTGGCAGTGGTCAGTCCCATCTTTCTGCTCACCTCTCGGCTGTGCAAACTCCTGCGGACTCCAACAACTCGGGTAGCCCATCGCACCCTGCGTCTGCTCCAGGCCGACTTCAGCATGATAACGCTCATCATCCAGTGGCCGAGTTTCAGTCTCCATCAGGCTCAACTGGAAACATTCGACGTCGTCTCACTGGAGAAGTGACCCCGACTCCTGTGGCTGGCTTGACCAATGATGTCCATGGTACCCCTTCTACTCAGTCGAATAATAATGTCGTCAACGCAGCTGGTGGTGACCATGGTCCCCCTTCTGCTCAGTCGACCAACAATGTCGTCAACGCAGCTGGTGGTGTTCATGGCCCCCCTTCTACTCATTCGACTAATAATGTCGTTAACACAGCTGGTGGTTATGCGACCAACGATGTCGTCAACCCACCTGTTACTCAAGCGACGAACAGTGCTGTCAATCCACCCGCTGTTGCGGCTCAAGCGACGAACAATGTCGTTCATATGTCTGCTGCTGGCCAGGGCCCACCATATCCACCCCCATGGACAGGAATTCCTGGCATGGCCATGCAAGTGACAGGAGAGAGCCCGTTCTCGCTTCCTACAGATTCCTCTCCTACCCCAACCATGAAGGGCAAGAAGAGATGTGCATCCGAATCTCCAAGAGGCCTCCCTCCGACCAAGCGAGTCGAAAGAGAGACAGAAAGCGCAGAGGAAGACGGCAAAGTCGTCAAAGTCGGCAAAGACGAATTAGGTCCTCCCACCATCCTCAAGCATGTCACTTCTGAAGACAGACAGAAGATGTACTACGCGAGTCCCGAGTACAATCTTGACAAGACTACGACCCATTTCACTACAAAGCCGCCTGGAGACTACAAATGGTTGGAGCGCATCTATGGAGATCCTGAGGCTCCTCCATCGAGAATGTCCCAGATTACAGGTTACGAGTTTCCTGTGCCCCAGGTCTCCGGCATGATGGCCCCTTACACAGATCAGCAGGCCAATGCAGAATGGCTTGAAGAGATGAAGCTAAAGGCTGAGAAACTCAAGAAAGAAAAGACCGACTTTGTTCAGCCTTATGGATTGATTCAAAAGCAACGTGCAACCCAGGCCCAGGCTCAAGCTGCAGCTCAGGCACAGGTGCAGGCACCTGGCAACAATGGTCATGCTGCTGCTGCCACTGTCGCGGCTCAAGCTCAAGGTCAAGGTCCAGTTCGTCCCCAGGTGCAGGCACCTGGCAACAATGGTTATGCTGCCGCCTCTGCTGCTTCTGTTGCTGGTACGCCAGCGCAGACGTCCCAGGAAGCAGGTCGCAAACGAAAACGGGCTGGTTCACAAGTCCAAAACGATGGTCTGGTCCAGAACCCGACTCAAGTCCAGCCAATGGCCCAAGGTCCGATTCAGGCTCAAGCTTATGCTCCGGTCCAAGGGCAACCACAGTTCTACCCTCCCCAGAACTACGTGGCTGCTAAGGCACATGGTGGTCATCCAGGAACCCCGGCTCCGCTCGAAGCTGGAGGCTATCCCCAGTTACAACAACAAGTTCATGGTCAGACTTACGCTACGGTCCAGGCGAATGGTGCCATGCCGGCTCAAAACTATGTCCAGCTTGCTGATGGTACTTGGCTGCCTTTGCAAGCATATGCTCAGACTCCTGCGGGACAGGGTCAAGCACAAGTTTTCAATAATGGTCAACAGCATGGATTCGTGCAGGGTCACGGCCAACATTATATTGATACTAATGCTCAGGCTGCTCAGGCTCATGCAGCACAGCAAGCTCATGCAGCTCAAATGCAAGCACAAGCATATGCCCAGCAACAGCAAATGATCGCTCACGCCGCGGGCACACAACAAGGACAACGCTCAAACACTGAAACAGCAGCCACTCCAGCACCGCCTACTCCGGCGGCCTCTGGACGTGTTGGAGGTGGACGTGTTGGGGGCAAGGGTCAGGTCCAGAAACAGCCTCGGGCTCGAAAACCTCGCCTCACAAAAGCTCAGAAGGAGCAGCAGCAGAAGGACGCGCAGGCGCGTGCCTCTGCTGCCCAGGTCCAAGTGCAATTCGGGCGAGCTGGTGGTGCTCCGGTTCAGATCGACCAAGCCCAGGACCAGGCTCGAGCCTATGCCGCTCTGGCTCAGGGCAATCCTGCCTATGCTGCTGCCCATGCGCGTGCGCAAGCGCAAGCCATGAATGCAAACAATGTCTATGCACATGGTCAGGCTCAAGTTCAACCCGGATTCAACGGCCAAGTCGCACCTCAAGGACATCATGCCGCCGCCGCTGCACCAGCAGAGGTCATTGTTATTAGTGATGGCGAGGACGAGCAGGCTCCACCCCCTGCTAAACGTCGCCGCAAGACATCGACGGCTCGCAACCAGGCGGGCATGGCAACAAATGAACAGCTCTCCCGGTTTCAAGCACCATACATGGCAGATTTGTTTGAGAACGCGCAAATCGCCCCTGCTGTCGGTCTTGGCCTTGACCTTGGTGCGGTTGATCCGCGATTGGGCAACCAGCACATGGCTATGCAGAGTCACGCCAACCAGCACATGAACATAAACACGGTGTCGAATGCGGGCAATAACATCGATCCAAGCCTGCAAATGGCCAGCACAGCTGCGGTCGAGAACCAGAATGGTAGTGTCAATGCCAGTGTCATGAATGGTCAGAACTATGGTAACCCGCCAGCGTCGCTAAATGAGCGACAAGAGGCATGGAAGGGTGCCAATACGAATGTCAGCCAAGATGCGAATGCCCAGACAAACGTCAATATGGACGGGAGGGGTATGAGCTCTATCAACGGCGGCAACAACATCGGCAATGCCATTTCCCAGGCAAATGCCAACAATTTGAACTCTATCAATAACGATGGATTGAATGCTTTGAACGGCAGCAATGTTGGCGAGAGTGTCGGCGTCACCACGAACGGTGCCGTCGCCTCGACCAGCAATAATGCCAACACTACTAATGCCGGTTACAATACCGAGCTTGCCACTACAGCAGCACAAGCTCAGGCACAAGCTCAGGCACAAGCTCAGGCACAAGCTCAGGCACAAGCTCAGGCACAAGCTCAGGCACAAGCTCAGGCACAAGCCCAGGCACAAGCCCAGGCACAAGCTCAGGCACAAGCTCAGGCGCAAGCTCAGGCGCAAGCTCAGGCGCAAGCTCAGGCGCAAGCTCAGGCGCAAGCTCAGGCGCAAGCTCAGGAACAAGCTGTACAAGCCCAAGCTGCAGAGCCACCTGTGGCCAATGATGCAGATCTGAACACTGATTTTAGCGAGTGGATCAACTATGATCCCGACAACACCGAGGAATCTGGTTCTTCGAATGCAAATGCGGACACAAGCTCTGCAAGCAATTCTCAACACACCTCGTCCGAAGGCCAGGCCTCAAAAGAGACAGACCTGACATCGAACCCAGGACAGGAAGAACCTACTGGTCCTTCTTCATCAACTGGAGCTGAAGCCACCGCACAACAAGCACAAGCCCAAGCATCCACTGGCACTTTCGACGTCAACGAACAACTAGACTTTGATAATCCAGGTGCGGATTTTACCCTCGACCCGGCCTTCGACTTCGATCTCGATATTACCAAGCCTATTGATTGGGACAAGGAGTTTGCCGGTTACTGATTCCGGATACGGCACTCCTTCGGGTTTCTGGTTCGGCACGCCAGACTGACGAATGGTCTCGAAAATGAAGACGGATCGCAGTAACGAACGGATGCCATTCACTTTTTTTTCGGACATCAATTGGTTTGATGTTCGCATCGTTTAGGAGATAAGGAGTGGAGGAGCTGGGAGTTGGGATTCGTGGAGGAGTGGAGGAGATCATGGGGATTCGCGGAGGAATACCGGGTGGAGGGAGAACCCAAAAAAACACTCACCGAAAAAAAACACGTAAAAGAAAAATCAAACGAAAAAACGGCAAGTCCGACTGCTGCGTTTGTGCTTGGTTGATTGCCTTTTTGCTTGATTGCTTGCTTCTTCTCTGGACCGCGGCTCGTCTCAACTTTTGCAAAAGCTGGTCCAGCAACCTACCTACACCATCGATGGGTGTTGACACGGACGCGCATCATCGGGCGTTAGTCAAAAGGCGTTGGTTATCGGTCATTCAATGCGTGTTTTTTGCACTTGGGGTTTCTTCGTTCTTGTTACTAGGAGTTGGTCGGCTGGGTACTGGATGCGTGGGTTTTTGCACTTGGGGTTTCTTGATTCTTGTTACTAGACGGTTGGTTGCTGGTTCCTGGTCATTGGGATGCGGGCGTTACTTGCTTGGTTGTTTTCGGTTGGCGTTTGTTTATGCTTGGGTTTTCTCACTGGACACGGGACACTGACTGGGGACATTCAAATCCTCAAACATCACAGTCCTACAAGTGCAATGCAGTGCGCGCGCGTGTTTTTGTTTTTAGAATGGCATTGCATGTTTATAGAGGTACTTCAATTCAGAAAACATTAGATGGGGAACATGGTCTTCGATCCTTGAAAGTAAACCTTGAACTACTAGACGTAACTGGAGCAGAAGCGTTCAAGTAGAGCAACAAATCCGTCTTCCACATTGATGGTTTACACGACCAAGTCAAGTACCTAAGTACCGGGTAATCGTAGTACTATATCATATCTCAACTTAAGCGTGTAGAGGTGCCCTCAGCTCATAAGCACCACCCGCACCTATTCCCATACCAGCACCCGTACTTGAGGATACATTACTACCAGGACCACCACCACCATACACATCAGTTGCACCATCGAGCCCACTTGGACTATCGCCCAGATCCAGCCCCATACCCTTCGCGACCTTCCTCTCCAACCAGCGCCTTTTGAATTCCTCTCTGGCCAATTCTCTTGTACGTCTGGCCCAGACTTCAGCGCCCAGCCGGCCACGCACAAAAGCATCCTGCAGAGCCAAGATGGCCGCCTCGATCCCCCTCTCCTCGCAGGCCGCGTCGTATAATTGGCGCGCCACGACAGTGGGGGCCATCAACATTTCGTCGACTTTGGGGATATCGTTCTGCTGGGCGCGTTTGCGGGCGGATGAAATGACCGAGTCGGATTTCGCGAGCGATGTCTGTAGGAGCAAGATGTTGGACTTAAGTGTCGCTTGGAGAGATTGTAAGTTGGAAATCTCGTTGGAAAGAGTTTGGAAAGTTGTTTGGAGTGCGGCATTTTGAGAGGTTAATGGGCCTAGTGCGGCTGTGGATTGCGAGATTTGCGCGTGCAGTGATTGAGTGATGAGGTGGGAGAGGTGGGTTAGAAGAGCCTCTCGTTCTGGGTTGCGTGGGATTGGAGGTGCTGGAATGTTGTTGAGGCCTGCGCTGGTGTGTGGATGTTGTGAGGTCGATGGCAGAGGGATGTCGAAGGGGTCGTCGAGAATGTTAGGCGTAGGCGGACGAGGAGGTTTGGGATTTGGGTGTGTCGGTTGGCGTTGTTGGTCATATGGTGGTTGTTGTGGATGGCTAGGGAGAGGAGGAGGTCCATATTGATTTGTGTATTGTGGTTGGGGATGTGAGTGTTGTTGCGGCTGCGGTTGTCCAAGAGGCGCCGGAGGAGGAAAAGGAGATGGACCTGATGGATAGTATTGAGCACTTGACATAGGTCCAGGTGGCTGTCTTTGCCCTTGTCCGTATTGATTGACAGCGGGTCTACTCCGGTCATATCCTTGATCTGGTGGAGGACTTTGGATCTGGGGGCCAGGCGGATATTGCTGTTGTTCCCCTGACCGTGGTGGTTGATTTCGGTACGCTTGTTGTAGCTGTTGTTGTTCGTACGCCGGCTGATGCGGTGGAAGAGGTACACTACTCTGTCTCAGACTAGTCGTTCGTTGTGGCAAGTAATTCATGCCGCCTGTTAGCTGTTGCACATTCCCGTCGGCGTAATGTTGTGGTGTTCTCGAGGCCTTCAGTCCCGGACTTTGTGGCAGTGGAGGCGGAGCATCATATCGTCCTGAACTTCGGTATGCGACAGGAGATTCGATTGGACTTGGACTCGGACTCGAGACACCATTAGCTGGTTGTTTGGGTGGAGGTGGGGGCGGTACAGGAGCTCCCGACTGTACTGAAGGAGGCCTTGCATCGTACATTGAGGGAGGCCTTGCACCATGCATGGACGAGGCTGGATGCTGCTGCTGCTGCACCTCCCTAGGCAGAGGCGGCACAGGCGGTGGAGGAGGTTGAACCGGTCTTTGTTGTTGCTGCTGCTGTTGAGGTGTTCTCGCCATCACAGGGGGTTCTTTGGCGAACACATCCGACAAAATAGACAAAAAGTCCACAATGTTGGATCTCTATTTGCAATAAGAATCATTCTTCTCTTCTCACCAACGGTTTTCGACTGAGCAGGCTCACCTCCCATGTTTCCCTCCACTGTGCCAGGTAAGGGTGATATATCTTCCCATCTCCGCCGACATGTTGTCCCGGTCGGATCATCATCTCCACCGTCGGCGTGACATAGCAGATCGGCGGTTCATACGGGTAGGCGTAAGGGATCCATAGCGATATAGGGAACCGATATGTGTTCCCTCGGAAGGTGACCGGGATGGTTCCTTTGAAATGGACCAGGAGTGCGGACGCTCCATTCTCGAATGCTGCAGACCACGATCAGTCTCATCTTGTTTGTATTATATTGACCCCTGACATACTGTAGACATCTGTCCGGGGAGCAAGTCCTGGATGGCGGGCGAGGACGTGAGCGAGGTCGGAATACGCTCGATTCGGGTCGCGGTATTCCTGGACTGTATCAGTTTGTTGCACTTCCCCGAGGCCTGGTTCAACTGTACTCACATGTTTCAAAACATCATACAGCCAGGTGAGTGTCTTTTGTGGCACTCCTGCCATGGCATTGAAACAAGTGTTGCGCCCTCCAAAGTTGCTGAGATGTTCTATCAACAACACTGGCACCGCAGGCACTGGTACTGGCAGACCGGGGCGGCCAGATCTCTAATTGGCCAAGGCTGTAGTGGACGATTGGACTCGAACGTGGGGGAATTGCTCGTTACGTATTGTAGGTAAATGCCAGTATCCTAGAAGATAAACAGGGACCACTTCTGAGCACTCAAAAGCGATAGTACAGATGTACAAATGAATACAAAAGATAATCAAGGATGAACATGCATCATATTGATTGATGGAGCATAAGCAATAGCATCATCTGCTCCGGGGTATCATAATCTAACCAAACACTTCACCCAAGTATTGCTGATGCAACGTACAGGACAGTGTCCTCATTCGCAACTCGAAATCCAGGCCAGTGGTGCTGCACAGTGCTGTAACAGAGTTGTGTAGTCTACTTCTGACCAGCAGAAGCCTCCTTATCCAACTCAACCTCAACACCCCGCTGTCTAGTCTTTCCCTGGTCGTGGATCGCATTATATTTCTCCTGCTCGGTGCGGTCGCCAGTCAATCCCGCAACAGCACTCCCGAGAGCCCCTTGGACACGATCGCTGACACCCTTTCCAAGATCATTCAGTTGGCCCTTTGCCTCTTTTCCTTGACCCTGGGCATTCTGATCACGGCCTTCTTGCTTCAGACTCTCGTTTCCTACCAGATTGCCCACCGTCTCCTTGGCGCTGCCGATGGTCTGATCCCATTTGCCTTGCGTCCGGTCGCTGTCGTCTTTGGCCGCTCCCGTGGGAGTGACTGTGACGGGGCCTGCCTTGACGGCCGAATGGGAAAGGTCGTGCTCGGTTGCTGCCTTGTCCTTGTATTGTTCTGCTTTGGCCTAATTGCAATCACGTTAGTGTCGGGTTGTACAGGCCACAAATCTCGAGACCTGGATCTAAACCTACCTTGTCTTGAGGATTGCCAGTTACAGCGGCGATGCCGGATTGAACATAACCAGTTGCTGTGTCCACGGCGGACTTGAGTGTAGATGGGCTCTCGTTGTTCGAAGACATGTTGATGTTTGGTTGAATGCTTGAATACAACAATGTGTGGTGACGAGCAGATGGTTCTTGTTCAAGTTTTTGATTATCTTGTTGTTGTTTGACCTAACAAACTGAGTCGGTACCTAGGATGGAGACACCTTTATAGATACGGTACAGGTCGACGCAGGCACCAGCAACATCTGGTGTCATCGCGTCTCATCTGGTCGATCGGATCGATACAGAAACAAAGCGAAGGGCGGATGATGCCGATGATGTCATACTGGGCGGTCGGGGACGCGCCACTTTGGGCGAAGATGAGGAACATGAAGCCACAAGACGAATCGCTGCACCACTGGCAGCCATCAACACCAGAAATGTGGATTTAGAGCGTAACAACTGTACTAGTAACCAGGATCGCGAGACATTCTGCTTCAAATTGCCAGTGTCAGCTGGCCTATGGGTTGCCTTCGATATTCCCGTGCTTCTACAATGTTGTACCCTCCACCAAGTTTGAAGTCCGGTGATCTTCTCTGGCACCGACTCAAAACCTCAACTTTGGACACACAAACACTAGTAGAATGGCCACAATCCACATGGCAAAAATCATAGCGTACAGCTTCAGCCGGCCGAACCAACCCTCCTCCTCGCTCATGCGTCGCAAAAACGCCATGTTCTTGCTCGCCGCCTCCATGCCACTCACACTCAGGTCCAAGCCTTGCAATGCCCGACCTAGGATTCCTTTGTCCTGCTCCAACGAGAACTGCATTGCCCTGCTCTGCTGTTTCAATTGCGCGGCCATTTTGACGAGAGAGGTGGTGATATCTTCTTGCACTCGTGAAGAATCCAGTAACGACCGCTCCGTCGACTGAAGGTTTGAAAAGCCACTTGTCGACGCACTCTCTGACTTCGTCTCCTGCTGACCTTTTCCTCCTCTGTGCCGCATTTCAGAAGTAGAAGCGAACAGTTCTCCTCGTGTGTCTCGGGCCTTAGACTCGACCTTGTAGCCATCTCGCTCCCCTTCCACTTGGCTTACAGGCCGTCCATCTCGCAACGTATCGCCATCTTTCCGTCGTAGAGTGCGGTTGTGATCCTCGGTCTCGTCCTGGACCGGCTCCTTCTGGGCCGTTTCCATCGTCTCGATGTCACCATTGTCCAAAGGCGACTGTTGCCTTTTCAACACATCATATAGCGTCTCCTCATGGACCAGGCCAATCTCATCGCCAATCCCTAACTTCAATGGCCCTTGCAAGTCTTTGTTGCCGTCTTTATTGCCCATCTCCCGCTCCACCTCCCGACCAATCTCCTCTACCCGGTTCCTCAACTTCTTTATAATAGCCCTCTTTTCCGCAAGGTCTTTCGCGGCATCATATTTTGCTCTTTGTACACGGAGATTCTGTGCCTTCCGCTCCAACTGCAAAAGCACCGTTCGTGCTCCTTCAATGCTGTGGAGCCATTTGTTGCGGTAGTATGGAAGCGGTGACCATAGTTCGGCCTGGATCTGTCGTTGCAGCGCAGTGAGACTGCTGGCGTTCTCGGAAGAAGAGGAAGCCGAAGAGGAAAGGGACGGAGTGAGAAGAATGAGGTGCTGCAGCCGTATGAGCGTCCGATGGAGGTTCAGATAGTCCACTTCGTGTTGGAAAGACCGAGGCTGATGCTGATGCTGCTGCTGCTGCTGCTGCTGCTTCACGTTCGAGTTGTCGTTCAAGTGACCTGCTGTAGTCTGCTCTCGTTTCAAGCTGTAGCCGCCCGCTGGCCCAAACGGGAGCCCTACAGGACGTAATGCTGAAGTCAAAGACATGATGTTGCTGGGACTTCCGAGGAAAAGGTGGTGTTATTTGTTCATCACTGCCGGGCCTGGCATAATACTAGCAGTATACTTAGTATACAGTCCCAAGTCTGCAGACAGACAGGTGTACCTAGGTACCTAGGTAATCAACTTATGTATAGCCGGTAGTTGCGCCTGGAAGTCATCGCAGTTCAAAGTTGCGGACGTGTACTTTGCCAACGCGAGTCCGGGGCTCTGCTTGGCAGGCCCAGGATCTCCCTGTGAGTTACGTCTCCGTACTTCTGTGCCGCCGCCCCTACCTACCTAGGTACGTATTCACCACATACATACGAAGTACATGAAATCCTCTAGTAAGCTTTACAGTCGTGTTGCCTATGTCTCTGCTTGGTAAAGCGATGTACACTCAGTGGCTACTAGTAAGACACCTTTAATTTCTTTTGTCCGGAATCTCTAGCTCAAGAACGCCTCCTCATAGCCCAACCGTAAAACCTGTGAACGCTTCATTTCTCGAAAGCCCGCGGGTGAAAGAAGAAAAACATTGAACTTGCTCGTACGTTGGCGAAAACAAGGTCGTAGGACAGAAATAGGCTCATACAGCCAATATGAAGTCCGCTGGCCCAAACCCTGCGAACCCCGTGGAATCGCACTCGCTTGCCATAAGAGACGGTCGGAAGACTTCGGTCTTACTAGGCGAAAGCGGAGATATACAGTCCTGAAAAGTTCGAAACGCATAATAGGTCCAAGGTGACAAGTCAAGCGGTAAAAGATAAACTTGCCAACGCTCCCGAGGGAATTACGCAAGTCACACTTGGCTTCGGGGGGTCAGGCTCGGGCCACCAGTTCGCATTCATGTGGCAACTCAGGTCATTCTAGCCAAAGCCATCGTCGCTGTCATCATATAAGGCCGCACATCCGCAAGTTTTCCTGGATGATGATATCTGTAGGATGTCAGCTGTGAGCCGCGTTTAGAGGGGCAGCTCTCCACATACCGTTGACCGCGCTCATCACGAATCTTATCTGTGTGGTGTCGGTGGCACAAGTAAAGTGGGTGTAGATTTGTTTGGTCTCGGCTTGGTTGAGTGATACAAATCGATTCAGGATGTAATCACAGGCAGCGGCATAGTCGGGTCCACCTGCGCAAACAGTAAGCAAAAACCCCAACTTGAAAGGACAGGCGTAGCGCACCTTCGTAATCCGGGAAGTAGTTTTGCATCGGGCTGACGGGAAGCTTCTCCTTGAAGCGGTCAATCTTGTTCAAGAACAAGATAATGCTGGTCTTAATAAACCACCTTGAGTTGCAAATGCTGTCGAAAAGGGTGAGCGCTTCTTGCATCCGGTTGACGGTCTCGTCTTCGAAGAGTAACTGGTCGTACTCAGAGATGGCGACCAGGAAAAGAATCGTCGTGACGTTCTCAAAGCAATGAATCCACTTCTTCCGTTCAGACCGTTGACCACCAACATCAAACATCCGGTAAGTCAGATCTTGGATGATAAAGGTCGTCTCGGTGATACCGGTTGTCTTGACTCGAGATCGCAGAACATCCTGGTCGTTGGGTAGGTAATCGTGGGCCGCAATACGATCGATTGAATCGAAATAGCTGGAAATTGGTAAGTCATCTCCCAACACACTCTGGTTTGTCTCGCTTACTATTTTGCAGAATCGTTCAACTGGTATTCCCTTGACCGCTTGAAACATTCTTGAACCCCGGCGTCATTCCACAAAGCCTTAATTGCAGCTCCAACCTCGGGAGGTAAGCTATCCCCTTCAATTTGCGGAGGCTGCATAAAGATCGTCTGGACGTGGTATTCCGCTCGCGGATCGTCGAGAGGCAGCTCGAGGGATTCCATGGCCTCGAGGATGACGCGCATGGACTGCACTGTGTTGGAGAAGATGATTTCTTTGAACGATTCCCGTTCGTCTCGCGAGTAACCGCCCTCATGAATGAGCTTCATCTGTTTGAGAATTGTAGACTTTCCCGATTCTCCAGCGCCTGCACCTCGTTAGGATCTCCCTAAAGTGTTGTAGATATTCCTAACATACCAAGCAGGAGCATCTTGATCTCATTGCGCTGGGCGATCTTGTCTCTCTTGAGTTGATTTTCGATCTCATCGTTCCTTGCCTTGCCGGCGGTATCTTCTTTGCTCGCACCGCACCCCATGGCAGCAGATCAGACGTCTATCGAACGAACGTATGTATAGGTCTGACTAAGGTCGCGGTGAACTCGGACCTACAGCCACAGCTATGACGGTCAACCCCGAACAATCAATGAGCTGGTGTGGTGTGCCGGGAAGCGGTGACGCTGTGGTCGCGAGCCGATCTGTACGTCTGAAGGCGCGAGTTGAGGGATTCGTTGCTCACCTTGGGTCAAGGTCTGGCGCTCCAGAAGAGCAGCAAAGCGTTTGCAGTGAGAAGTGTCAAACGGCAATGTCACGCAAAAAGAGGTGAAGGCTGGGTTGGTTGGAAATCCGAGGATGATCACCGCGGGAGAGAGCGAGAAGCGGAAGAATTGGCTGTCGATCAGTGAGCTGGATGGTGCGAGTGACGGGGCGGGAGCCAGTGTCAAGGTCTTGCAAGGCTCGAAAGGTCGACGCCGGTTCGATGCGCCCTTTTGTTCTGTCGCAGGCACAACTTGAGAACACCAGTCCAGCACCACACAACACGCTGCAACTGCGAAGAATAGGTAAAGGAGAAGGGCAAAAGGGCCAACGATGGTCGGATCAATTGTGATGGGGATGAAACAATGAATGCAACGGAGGACAATTAATGGATGGCGACAGCCAACTCAAGCGAGGCAGGAGAATCGAGGAAGCAGTCGAGTTGCAGACTGGAGTCTAGTTCTAGTTGGAGTCGTAGCCGTAGTAGTAGTCGAATGCTACCGCCAGTAGTGGCCCCAGGAAGGCCCGGTGCAGGTGTGCAGGGGACGACGGGGGTGGGTGTAGGCGCGTTGAGGGCGCCTCGGGCTTTGGAGGCTTTGGATGGACGGTCAGTTCAAGGGCCAGTGGCCCAGGGAGCGGGTTAGACAGTGCCTAGAGTGCCTAAAGTGACTACCCAGGACCTCCTAAGAAGTTAGCTGGGACCCCGGTCCAGGTCTGAGTCGGCGAAGTCCAGGTCAGACTTCCGGGAGTGTCTCTAGCCTCTTTCTAGTGCGAAGGTCTAACTGCACAGCGTCTAGAGTGAGGGCCATCGCCTGCATTTGGACCCATAAAGTTCCAGAGGCTTGTCCCTGCGAGAAATCCGTGCCTTTCAAGGTGTCAACGTCCAAGCCACAGCACTGCTCACGTCTGGTGCCTTTCTTGATATACGCCTATTGCGCCAAAGCTCGCGAAAGACTCAATGACAGGAACGAGTGCTGGTGCGCTGGAGCCAAACGACAATACGCTAGTTACCAGGTATTTTGTGCCTCGACCTCGTCGTGTCTGCCAGTGGCCTACTACTGCGGTAAGTAGCCTTCTCTCCAGCTGTGGCGACACTGACAGTTCGGTGGCCGCCATCGACGGATACTGTGCCATTTGATCCGCCTTTGTCGCTTTCTCCGTTCACCAAATCGATCACGAAACCTCCCTCCATTTCAGTCTCCTCGAGCTTAAGCGGTCCACTCAAGCTACGCCATCTCCTGACAACGTCTGCTTACTGGCAGATACGCTCTCCTTACTATTCCAACTTGAACCTTGACCCCGGTGCCTAACTTGGCTTCTGGTTGACATGACACCCTGGGCTTGCCCACTTGGTGGCACCAATAAGGCTAAACGCTTCTAGTACTTGAACTGGCGCAGGGGGCAAGTAGTACAGGCTCCGCTGCAGCCCCTCCAGGCGCCCCGATGAAAAATGATCAACCCGAAGCATTATGACAGCGTCGGACGGAAAGAGATGCGCGTAACATCGATGCCAACCAGAGCGGGATACCCCTAGCATCTGCAGCAGAGAGGCTCGCTAGTGGCTCACAAAACCAAGGCTGTACAGCTGGGCATTTTCCAGCAACCTCGCTAACATCCTTCTCCAGCGATCTAGGGAATTCCGGTCCCCTTTGAAATTGCAGCTAATTCCCTTCTCGCTCGCTTCTAAGGGCTGAGGAACACTTTACTCATAACCCCTTGCACTGGATGCAGGCCGGCAACCAACGGCCGTCCTCGACCCCATCGATGGCGAGACAGCTAAGATTGTACTGGAAGGTCACATGCGGTTTACAACAGGTTCTCTACCAGGTCTGGCCAACTTCGCAATGCCCCTGGGCAGGAACCATGGGCCGGAGTTCTCAGATTTCTGTTTCGGGGCCAGATTCAGCATACAGGCATGTTCGCATGCCTGAAACAGCGCCGCTGTCGTAGTATACCACGATGCCTGCATTGTCCGTGCTGGCTGTTGCTCACATGTCGGAATCGAAGCAACATCAAAAACATAAAATGCACTATTGGAATATCGCAGCTTTCAGTCCCGGGTATGCGGCTATGACTTCTGACAGGCGTCGGACTGTCGATCAGAGCCGGGATTTGTGTGCAGAACGAATCCACCAGGAAAGTGACATTATGTGTTTCAAACACCACAACGCTATCTTCCTTTCAAACTCGTTGCTGCAACAAACCGACCGTCAGGTGCACCGTCAGGTGCTTGCTCTTATAATGAAAGGTGCAGAGATCGAACGATGAGCCGAGTCGAGAACCCCTGGAAGTCCCACTGTATTTTGCCTGCAACTCTCGAACATCGAAAGCCTTTCGAACAATAACGTGAGTCGTTTGGAGACTTGACCACCAGCTCTTCTTACAGCTGCCAATGCCAGCCACCTTGTCGTGCAACCTGTCCAAACAGAGCTCTGTCTTAAGCAGCCCGTATCAGACTCGATCATCCAATTATCTGCGTAACCTTGAATCCCGGCATGAGCGTTTCCGCCGTCAGCCGTGTCAGCTGAAAATCGGTGCGCCACCTGGCTGAAAATTGACGTCTATCTCGCGTAATACAGGCAAGATCGCTGTGAGGAGCAGACCGCTCATTGAGATGGCAGGCAGCTCCCGCCCCTGCCGTCCCTCAGAGATAGGCTGAGGCTGGTTTCGGTGATCTCAACACACCAGTCACCACACGACCCAGATAACTGGACGCAGGCTGGTTCATGGATCACATTTCATTCATTCAAGTGGTTATCATTGTGTAAGTATCCGTCCGAAGCAGGCAACGTCGTTGCTCTGCTGGTAGACGGCATGTCACGTCGGCTCAGAAGACAGCTTCTGGTCATCCGCCATCAAACACCCTGTTGAGAGGTAACCTGGCAATACAAAAAGACCAGAAGAAGAGTCGAGACTCATAACAGACGGTGAGACGAGTTTCAGCCAGAGCTCACTACTCGCAACAACTTGAAGTACAACAAATCGTACTCTTCGCAACCTGAAAGGGAAATGCTCCAGCCCCACGTCAGCCTTGCGCGCATATCATGTGGGGTCGCGTCCTTCTTCCAGATTTGGCTTTGTCGCCAGTTCGATAATGAGCATAGGCGAGACGAGACGACGAGGAACTATTCCGACTCCCACGCGATTCCAAGCATGAGAGATTGCTGCTACGCGGCCTGTCCGACTTGAAGTGCTACAGCCCATTCATGGCAGGAAAGCCGCCACAAACCCGGCTCAGATCCCGGTGGCCCCTCTCTGTGACCTGCCTGAGAAGGTTGTTCCTCGCCTTATATCTCCCAAGTCCCAATAATACTCACACTTGTAGACCAACGCGCAGCGAGTCCTTCTCATGTCATGGTCTTGTGGGCGTTTCGAACCGTGTCGAGAAAGACCAGTAGAGCGCTCACAGCACCATCACCACAACGTAAACCTCACCCACGATGTTCTTGCAGCGCGAGAGATGCCCGCCGCACACCTCTGGCGCTATTGGCAATAAACAAAAATGCAAAACGTCGTACACAGCTAGTCAATTGAGCTCGATTGCCCTCCTTAGTGCGAACCAGATCGTAACAAGCCTGGAGAGAAAGTCAATGTGGCAGCTTCCCTGTCCCATCTCTGGATTTTCCAGCTGACCGGGACCGAATCCAACTTCGATGGCAGTCCGGCTTCATGGTCGTAAAGGATCCGGGATGCAAAATATAGGATGCCCTCGAACCGTCGATGTCGTCGACCAGTTTGTGTTCTAGACAACAACGGCCTACCAAGAATCATGGGTTTCTGGCGTCTCCGCACGAGGCTGGGGAAACGGTGAGCAGCTCCAGCTCCAATTGGCGGTTTGTCGTACTAAGGCTTCTCCGCAACCTCAGCTCCCAGTGCCGCTCTTTGTCCATCTCTCCCCGGTCCGGCCCCAACCCTTCCCCTGTTCCAGACACGGTCTGGAGACCCTTCCTCCGCATTCTTAGCCCCATGCTTGGGTATTCCTTTACGAAGACTGGTGGAAGCCGGAGTCCACGCATCCGCGCACATGTTTGGAAAGATGTGGGACTTCGGCTTCTTGTCCTTGGGACTTGGGACCGTTGAAGCTCGACCTCCAGACCTTGCCTTCTCGTCGGGCGCTTTCGAGTAGTCACCTCAGGACATTCTCCCTACCCAGGTTGACCATGGCTCTAATCGGCACGTCAACAATTGTGTTTCCCAAGTTGGACGCCAACAAGGACCCAGCGAAGTCCAAGAGGAATCATGTCTGCAATGTATGTGGAAGAGCCTTCAAGCGAAGTGAGCACTGTATTCGCCACCAACGCGGCCGTAAGTCGAGAGCAGCTTGCTTCACTGATCCTGTCCTTCCGTTCTTCGCTGACTGTCGCCAGACACCCAGGAGAAACCATTTGGCTGTCGAGTTTGTCGACGGCGATATAGTCGCAGGTATTTTCAACCAGGCAGTCATGTTGCTATAGGGCATTGCTTACCCGTGCCTGCCTTTGCAGAGACTTGCTTGTCCGCCACGAGAGGACCCTTCATTCCCCAGAGCAGCTCGCTAAAGCAACTGAAGAACCGCCTCTCAAAAAGGCCAAGTCGTCGCCTCAAGCATCTCGTTGGTTAATCCTCCCTTTATGCCGGCGGTGTCAACTGACTAAAACTCAACAGCTGTTGGATCAAGAAAGGGCACCGTGCCAATAGATCCTTGTGACGAGGAAACTATTTTGGCTGACTCAACCGAGAGCCCTTCCCGGTCAAGAGGTAATGAGCCACAAAACGGCGCTAAGGAGAGCACGAAGGCTTCCGACGCATGGACAGCAACAGGGACACCTCCTGGATCACTAACTGCCGATGGCAATTCCAAGTCTGAACAAGCCCACGACTCCCCAGAAACCGCGCATCGTGCAAGGGCAAATGACTCGTCGGTTAGATCCCAAGCAAACGGCGCGGCTAATACCGCTCCAAAAGGACTCTCGGTTACCACCAGCCTTCCGACGACTGATTTTAGTGTCATCATGCCAGAGCTCGACAAGATGCGCACATTCCCTACCACAGTTCCGTTACCTGACCTTGACGGAGATCTCGAGTTTCTGGACTTCTTCGACCCTTTTCTGGGATTGCATCCCAAGCAGATTGAAGCCTGCGCATTCCCACCTCTGCCGGTGAATGCTGAGGGATGGTCACCACTGGAGAACTTCTCGGCTTCAAGCCAGACTTCGCTGCAGGATTATGGCTTTCCCGACGGTCATGGGCCGACTTTGGCCAACGCTCAGATAGCTGAATCTGGAGACTTGTCTTCTCACACAGCTGATTCATCAAACTGCGACCTGGAGCAAGGGTGGAGGCATGATGACGAACAGTCAATACCGGCACAGGTTGGTAGCCTTAACGGAGCTGAGACATATCAAACACCTCAAATGGAGAAACCAGTTGTCGACAAGCACGTGAATCTCGTCTTCAGCGAAGAGGTCAGGACAGCTCTGTTGGAAGATTTATCCCATCGGGTGTCCGACGACCTGCTACAAGGTTTCCGGTTACCAGGGATTACGGCGCTGCAGAAGTGCTTGGGGACATATGTCGACTCGTTTCACGTCCATATGCCCATATTTCACTTACAGACATTGAAACTTTCATCTACCCCTTCGCCTTTGCTGCTGGCGGTCTGTGCCATTGGAGCCCTCTACCGCTTGGAACGGAAAGTGGCAGCGTCATTGTACCTGATGGCAGACCAGGCGCTTTGCGCCACTGTTGATCGTCGTGGCCGGCCGAACCAGAAACCGCGGCTATTAGAGGATTGGACCCAACCTGTCACCGAGGAGCCACGTTCGCATCGGGAATGCATATGGACTAGTCAAGCACGGCTTCTCCTCTCAATGTTCGCATGCTTCAGCGGAGAACCCGATGTGGTTGCAAAAGCTATTGTACAGTTGGGCGAGTTCCTCATTGTAAGTTGTTGGGCTAGATTGCTAGCCAGATGCTAATACGAACGCAGGACTACCGCGAGCTTGCTCCTACTGTGAAGTGTCACAAACCTGGGCTGGAGTGGCTGACTTGGGAGCAATGGATTGAGCGGGAAACAGTCAAAAGGTTGCCTGACGCGTTTCCGTCGTGTTATATTCGCATGCTGATTCCCCCGGCAGATTGCTATATGGTCATATAATGTTCGGCAATTTGGTTACCATTACATATGGCATCCCGCCTGGATATTCGATCGTTTCGGACGGATATATTGAAATGCCATGCGAGCAATGCCTCTGGGACGCCTCCACGCCCGAGAAATGGCAAGAGCTTGCGGCTTGGACGGGTAAAAGCTCATCATTGTCCCTCAGGGACGCGGTGTCGAAGTTGATGTGCGCCAACCCATCCAATGATGTGCCTGACGAATGTTGGACCTGGTCCCCATTTGCAGTGAATGTGGTCATCAACGCGGTGTCGATCCAGATCTGGCACATCACTCAGGGTTCGTATTTCCTGGGCCATTTTTCCGGCCACGAATGGCCTCAGGAAACGCAAAAGTCGCAACTATGGGTACAGACGGAAGCGGCATTATCCAGGTGTCGCGCTCTAATTACCCAGGCACGGTCGGATGCAGACTACGCCTGGGCGGAGGCTGACGGACCCCTCCTCTTCAACTGCCTCGCTGTACTACGGGTCAGTTATTGCCGCACTTTCACCGGCATCGGAGCGGCAGATTCTATGATGCTTCTGAAAGGCAGCCGCGCCGAGCTTGTTGCGTCGATCGAAGACTTTGTCGCCATGCCCCAAGATAGGAGTGACCGTGTCACAAGGGCGGTTACTCGGGCTTTTGAGGGCATGTTGATTCCGTACAAGTCAGGGACGTTGCTCATCAAGAAGACTGCCGCCTTGACCTGGGCCATAGGACACGCTCTTGCAGGCTGGGAGACAGGTAAGTTGGGAAGATCAATTTTCTCATTCTGCACCGTTCGCTAATGCCACCTTAGCCTTGCTCGTGACCAAGTGGGTATATACAATTGAGGTACAAAGCCGCCGGGGAATCAACGGGACCATCACTGAGCGAGAGGCTCAGACCATGCAGAGCATTCGAGATCTTCTGGCTGATCTTGAGGACGATGAATCGGTGAACCAAAACTCCGTATGCTTGGCCGCTACGCTGGCGCGACATTGGGCGGGATTCTATGATGATACTTGGGTCTGGGGAGTGACGCCTCGGATGGGCTGGGCTCTCCGAGAGTTGGCCAACTGTTACGAGAGCAGCTTGCCTGATGGCACTGGCAGGTTAGCAAGCTAGGTGTGCTCCGAGGGAGGGGCTCGAGAGTGTGTTGACTCTGACATGAAGAAAAGAGACATTCAATGATGAGACCAGGCAAAGGACGACGCTGTATGATGTACGCTACAACGTGTTAACAGTAATAAATACGGCCATCTTCCCAGGGTCCCCAAGTCGTCTCCATCAGTCGTGCCGTGTCTGGGGATAAAGGTCTCGTCTGACAAGCTGTCAGCAACGGATCGAGCCGTGTGCCGCGTTCAGCTTTCCGCTTGTCAGACCGGCCAATTTCCGGGCAGGCGGAGCTCCCATCAATTGATCTGATCGATCGGTTGATCTGATCTGATCTGACCGCGCATCGCATCGCGTCTTCGGCGTTGGTCCCTGTTTGCTTCGGTCATTTACTCTGTGCGACGCCAATACATTAAATCTACTGTACACCATTTGCCCATTTTCTTAGGTACTTCAGAATCTCACAGAGCGCCCAACTTGCGGTCACCGTTTGCGCAAAGTCATCTATCTACTCGCGACGAAACGGAGGCATCAGCTGCTGCTGACCAGGCGAAATGTCTTACGAAATGTCGACGCGGCATGCGACACGTATAGGAACAAAACGTAAGCTACTATAGCACCGCGCATGGAATTTCAAAAGATTCAATGCAATGTCGCGAAGCGCTCAACTAATCTCTGTTCGCACAGCATTCAATCGCGAAAGTCAATCCGACGAAGCCGAGCGCGAATACGACCGCCTCCGTGATCTCGCACGACAAGAAGCAGCCAAACGATCATCCTGTCTGGCACGGTCCCAAGAAGCCTATAAGCGCGGCGACGGGGCAGCAGCCCACGCGCTGTCCGAGGAAGGCAAAGCGCACGGTCGAAAAATGGAAGAATACAACAAACAAGCGTCCGAGTTTATCTTTCGAGAAAACAATGCGCCCGGCAGAGTCGCTCCGGACACGATAGATCTGCATGGCCAGTACGTCGAAGAAGCGGAAGATATACTGGAAGAGCGGATCCGGTATGCTCAGGCGCACGGCGAGGACCATTTACATGTCGTGGTTGGCAAGGGCAACCATAGCGATGGACATATACAGAAACTCAAGCCGAGAGTCGAACAGGTCTGCAAGGAGTTGGGGCTACAGTATCGCACGGAACCGAATGAAGGCAGAATATATGTCGACTTACGAGGTGGGAATAATGGGAATTGGGCGGGAGGCTATCAACCGCAGCAGCAGCCGGCGTATCAGCAGCAAACTGGGCAACAAGGGTATGGATATGGACAGCAGCAGGCATATCAACAGTATCCGTCGCAACCTCACCAGCAACAGCATCAGCAACAGCAACAGCATGGACAACAAAGCCAAACGGATCAGGTGGAAAAGGTGGTTAAGAAATTCCTGCCGAGGATTATTAACAAGATACTTCGGTGGCTATGTTGATGTTGTACTGGAGTTAACTTGCTGGCGTCAATTCAGCTTGTGGCTTCTTATGCTTTCTTCCGTTGACCCATATTGTGAGGCAGCGGCAGCGGTTTGAATGGTCAGCCTTCCAGCTTGCCCGCACTGTACGGGAACGACAACAAGACAGCCGCCAGCTTTGACCAGTTCAAAGCAATCCGGTTCAGTTTCAGGTGGTACCAGACCAAACCGACCCGACACCGCGCGATCTAGCATGGATTAGAATGCCGGGTATCGGCAGGCAGAAGCGACCAGTTCGTCCTCTACAGGCTCTAACCTGACAAGGCCATGCGATGGCTCCGAGCGCCGCTGTGATGGAAGCTGACTGAGAGCAACTGCCGAGTATACCCCAGGAAACGGTCGCTAAGTTGACCCTGCTGTGTGGCTACCTGCGGTCGCTCTGGCACACAACACCCGTAATATACGATATACTTTGTCCCATATATTGTGATCCTTCACAACAACATCTAAAGTTGTGGTAAACTGATAAGGCGATAAGAGATAAGACGATAGGACAGTGCACTGACAGTGCTTGGCACGCGGCCCAAATTCCTGGGGTTCAAGTTACTTGATTGCATCAAGTCATGCACTGATCTTTATCTTTCGCTAACTCCTCAACCACCCGCCACTGGAGCTCACCCGACGCGGTCCATCCTTCCGTTACGGCCCTCGTTTGTTATCTTGAAGATGCTTTCGTTGGGCGATTTTCGCATCGCCAGCGCCTATCCTCCACTCGCTGGTGCCACATATCGTGGTCTGGCCCCAATGCTACCCCCGGAATCCACAGCGCGAGAAAGAGCGGACGCGCGGGAGCCCATAGGCCAGTTGAAGAACATTGATGTTGTAGAAAGACTGTCTCCCATGGCATCGAGTCTGTTAGCAGCCAACATATCGTCGCATGGATGCATATTATGATGCCCTCCTGTTGCGCCCGAAGTCTGGAGTTAGTGATCAACACAAACCGCCGATCAGTGGCACGAAGACGCGGTGAGAATAGCTGGTTATGACGACGGTTCAGCCATGGATGTGCAGGGTCCGCCAGTGGCTGCTATCACGAGTGTGGAGCAATATCCAGATCCCACGGGCCATTCTCGTATGCTGGACCCGACTCATGTGCAAGACAAAATCTTCAAAAAACCTGATGATAACCACGAGACCAACGGGACTCGCCTTTTTGTGTCTTTCTCCCTAGTCGTTCGGCTTGGCTTGTGTCTCGCTCGACGATTTGACAGTCGTTGTCCGAATGAGATCTTTGACCTCGAACCATCTTCTCCGTCCAATTGCCTCTCCTTCTAGAGGGCTACCCCCGGTCTCCCCAAGGCTGGCTGTCGAGCGCTACACCGCACTAGCCCTCGAGTTGCCCTCACCTAGCCTTATGATCCCTGCGCGACTTTACTGATAACGCTGCATACTTGTCCGGTCGTCGTTCGGCAGTGTGACATCAACCTTAGTCGCCTATCCGCTTACGACGATATGAACGGCCAGGTTATTGCTTTTGTTTCAAGACCCATTTAAATCCCTTTTATGGTCTCATCGGCCCGCGACATCGACATAGAATTAGAGACTATCGCGACCACCTCATCGGGCTTATTGCCACGATCTTCCCCTTGTGAAGATTCCGAACCACTACTAGAACGCTCTCAGGTACAATTTCCTGGGATACGGCCTGTGCTTGACAACGATAAGTCAGAAGAGAGCCTGAGTGGCATCGCCCTTCGTGGGCTCTTCCTTTTACTGCCCACCGCTACACAACGGCAAATCACTTTCACCATGGCGAGATTCAGAAATACTAAGGCAGCTGATGTGCTGTCGAAGTTGGCCACCAGCCAGGAACCTGGCCTCACCAGCGCCCAGTTGATGTTGATCAACGAGGATTTAAAGCCCGTGGAACCAGAACGCCGTCAATGGGGACCTTGGAACTTTGTCGGTAAGAAGACGGTCTCTCAGTCACTATCAAGTTGACGCTGCTTGCTGACGGGTGCTCGCCAGGGTTTTGGATTGCTGACTCGTTCAACATCAACACTTGGATGATCGCTTCTTCGAGTATCGTTGGTGGCGGTCTCGCATGGTGGCAAGCATGGCTTTGTGTGTGGATAGGTTACTTTATCGCCGCCGTCTTCATCTGCCTGACTGGGCGCATTGGTGCCGTGTACCACATCTCGTTTCCGGTCATGTCACGGGCCTCTTTTGGTATCTGGGGCTCCTTGTGGCCTGTCTTCAACCGCGCAGGTAAGATTTCAATATTACCGCCATTCTAGAAATGGCCGTTGCTGACATGTACCTTAGGGATGGCGTGCGTCTGGTATGGCGTTCAATCTTGGATAGGCGGCCAATGTGTGACTCTGATGATCAGAGCGATTGTAAGTCTTGACAAGGTCGACGTGTCATCACACCATAGAACGTTGCTAACTACGACCTGTAGTGGCCGTCGTTCTATACTCTCCACAACGGAATCCCTGGATCAGGCACGACCACTAGAGATTTTGTTGGCTTCTTCATTTTCTGGGTCGGGTCTCTACCAGCCATTTACTTCCCAGTCCACAAGATTCGACATCTCTTTACAGTCAAGGCATACTTTGTGCCATGTGCTGGCATGGCCTTTTTTGGCTGGGCCATTGCAAGAGCACATGGAATCGGTCCTAGTGAGCACCATGGATGAGAATGCTTTTTGTTATGCCATGATTCTGACTTCCTTTAGTTGTTCATCAACCAGCGACATCAACCGGATCGAAACTAGCTTGGGGTTGGATCTCGGGAATCATGAGTTCCATTGCCAATTTTGCAACTCTCATTGTCAACGACTCGTAAGTGTGACTGAACCTGCAAAGGCTGTGCTTCATGGCTGATCTTTCCCAGGGATTTCACCCGGTTCGCCAACCGACCAGTTGCGGCACTCTGGTCGCAACTCTTTACAATCCCCATCGGATTCGCCGTCACTTCCTTCATCGGGATCATTGTGTCGTCATCGTCCACTGTGATCTACGGCAATGCCATCTGGAATCCTCTCGACCTCCTCTCACAGTTCCTCCTGGATGACGCAACAGGAGCCGAGCGATTTGGTGTGTTTGTGATTGCGGCTGCATTTGTGTTGGCTCAACTGGGCACGAACATTGCAGCAAACAGCGTGTCAGCCGGTACCGACATGACAGCCTTGCTTCCTCGATATATCAACATCCGCCGCGGAGGTTACATCTGCGCCATTATCGGTCTGTGCATGTGTCCCTGGAACTTGCTCAGCTCGTCGAACAATTTTACCACGTATCTGTCCGCGTATTCGGTCTTCCTGTCGTCTATTGCCGGTGTCATCCTCTGCGATTATTACATTGTCCGAAAAGGGTATCTTGACCTCAAGGGGCTTTACCAGGCGCATCATGCCTCACCCTATTACTACTGGATGGGGTGGTCCTGGCGCGGTTATGTCGCTTACATCTGTGGCATAGCAATCAATGTCGTGGGCTTCGTGGACGCCATCGGCACGGAGGGTCCTGTGAGTAATTCATTCGCTTTTCCTAGCAATTTTGGAGTTGCATTTTGCTAACCCCAATACCATTCAGATGCCCATGGGCGCCGTCTACATTTATCGATTCAACTTCTTCTGTGGCCTCATCGTCTCCATGGCCGTCTATTATCTTCTGTGCTGGTGGAAGCCTATTCCTGCGACAAGCACTGTTTGGTGTGAGAAACCTGACGCCGCGGACCGGCAGTTCTCGGTCGTCTATGATGGTGAAGGTTACGACGAGGAACGATCAATAGGCAGCGTTGATGTCGATGACGGCACCGGCGTGGGTGGACATGCCCAGCATGGACGACCTGAATTTGGACCTGAATTTGCTCAACCAGATGAGAAAAAGACTGTGTACAAGGACAAGGCGCATGAGGCAGACTTTTGAGCGGCAAGTGACGATGGTAATGATGAGGACAAGTACAGAAATGGATTGGGGATGATATTGATGTTCTTACAATGTCTGTGGCGAGGCCGAGCCGGTCATTGTGTTAAGACGGGCTCGCGCGCACGGTATACAAGTTGCCAAATGATTCCCACAACAGAGAGGGGCATTTATTTGTATCTACATCCAGTTTGGGACGAGAAGATACGATGACATGTCCGCTTCCGTCAAGACCGTCTATGTTTCTTTTATCAGGAGTCCAAGGTCTCAAGGCGTGCACAATCGTTCTGGAGGGTAGGTATGTAGATAAGACTCGACGCGATTCGACTCGGACTTGGACACGGACTCGACTAGAGCTGGAATTTGGATGGAAGTCTAGGATATCTCGGGCAGCAATTCTTCTCACTGGTCCAGCCCGTAACCGTCTGTGATACTACCTAAGGATCTATTGACTTAATCACACGATGATATAAAGGAATATGAGGTATTTTCTACCAAAGTCGCTCTCGTGAGCGTGGTCGGTGTCGATGCAGCAGGGAGGTAGACGGACTAATACGGTTAGTATGTGGTCGACAAAAGCGGCACCTACATTTCCTCGGAAAGGACACCAACCTCAGCCTGAGACGCCTCAACCTCAACCTCAACTCTATGAATATGGCCTCATGGCTCATCCAACTTGAACCACTGTTCAAGTTTGTTGGGAAAAACTGTCCTCCTACCTCTTGACGGAATCACACTGTCCCATAATATCACACCATGGACCCAAGTCCAGAGTATGTAAACAGAGGGACAGATCCGGTTCAAGTGCGAAAAGGGTAACCAGTGCTCTGGCATGCTCCTGAAATGGACTCCCACTGACCGTCAGTAGAGCGAAGCCTCAATCCGATCCACGACCAGCAGCTATCAGATTTTATCTCCCTCTGAATGTCGCCCTGTACACGTGCTTTGCGTCACATCTGCTCGCTGCTCTTTATGCTCCAATCCAGGACTGTGACGAGACGTTCAACTACTGGGAGCCATTGCACTATCTGACCCATGGCTATGGCCTTCAAACATGGGAGTATTCTCCCGAATTTGGCATTCGCAGCTGGGCATACATCGCCATCCACGCTATTCCAGCCAAGATTTTGAGCTTCGTTGAACAGTCCAAGACCTTTGAGTTCTATGCTTTGCGAACCCTCCTAGCCTTCATCTGTGCAGCGAGCGAGGTCCGGCTCTATTCGGCCATATCTCGAGCTCTCAATCCGAGGGTTGGCATAATATACCTGATGATTGTCGCCGTCACTCCCGGTTTCTTTTATGCTTCAGCTGCCTTCTTGCCGTCCAGCTTTGCCATGTACACATCCACCCTCGGCCTGACGTGCTTCATGGACTGGCATGGCGGTCCAAAAACCGCAACAGGCATCATGTGGTTCGGCATTGGGGCTTTGCTTGGCTGGCCCTTCGCCGGAGCTCTCATCCTGCCATTCGTCATTGAGGATTGGCTGATTGCTGTGGTAGGTCGAGTGGACCTTTTCGACACCTTCAGGAGGTATCTTGACGGCGCCGTCCGTTGTCTGGTTGTTTTGGCCTTGCAGGTCAGCATCGACACATTTTTCTACCACAAGGTCATTGTCGTCCCATGGCGCATTGTGGCGTACAATGTCTTCGGTGGCAAGGACCGTGGTCCGAACATATTTGGAACAGAGCCCTGGGACTATTATGTCCGCAACCTGCTCCTCAATTTCAACATCTGGTTCATTCTCGCTTTGGGATCGGGGCCACTGCTTTTCTTCCAGTGGATCGTCTTGAGACAACATACCACGAAACAATCACTGCTTAGGACGTTGACCTTTATCACGCCGTTTTACCTCTGGCTGGCGATCTTCACTGCCCAACCCCACAAGGAAGAGAGGTTTATGTTCCCAGCCTACCCGTTCCTTGCCTTGAACGCTGCCATGGCATTCCACTCGCTTCTGGCGTGGGTTGGTTCGTCGGATTCGGTGATTTTTGGCAGAATCCCGGCCAAGCTGAAACTGGTCGCTATTCTGTCCACCGTCTTTGTTGCTGTCAACGCTGGGTTGTTGCGAATCATCGGCACAGTCAGTGCCTATCGCGCGCCTCTGCAGATCTATGAAGCCCTCGAAACTGCGAACGCAACGAGAACTGGCGACACAGTCTGCTTTGGTAAGGATTGGTATCGATTTCCATCGTCTCACTTCCTGCCTCACGATATGCATGCAAAGTTCGTTAAGAGCGAATTTGATGGACTGTTGCCTGGAGAGTTCCGTGAGGCCGGAACAGGATTTGGGTTCTTTCCGGGGACTTGGCTCGTCCCTTCGGGAATGAATGACCTGAACCGAGAGGATCCGGGCAAATATACTGATGTGAAGCACTGTACCTACCTGGTTGACTCTTACATGCCTGGCACTGAACCCACCGAGCATGAGCCACTGTATGTCATGGATGATGGCTGGGAAAGGGTTACGTGTGCCCCGTTTCTGGATACCGCCAGGACGGGAATCGTGGCACGGACAATTTGGATTCCAGAGGTCTCAGTCATTCCACCCAAGTATCGTCGACATTGGGGCGAGCACTGTCTTTTGCGGCAAAGGCAGAGCATTGCGAGTTGAATGGTCATCATAATGAATTGAACAAGACTTCGGCATCTGGAAGACGCGAGTATGACCCCAGACATTGAGTATCTGACTGGCCCATATGTCGTCGAGATTGGCCACCACCGTCCCTTCGCTTCGTCGGAATACCCAATACCCTGCTGCGCAGCAGGCTCTCGTGGTGAGATGCCGCAACGGCCAGCTCCTGCGGAGAAAACCAGACTATTCCCGATGTGGCATTTTGTTCCAGCAGAATCCGACCATGTGATTGGCTGAATCCGGACCGCACTGTTGCATGGATGGTCGACGATAAGGGTTTCGAGGGGCATTTGCGATAACAAGCGTGGTAAGGCAATGCGAACGCTCGAACCCCTATGTATGCAGGTCACAAGTGTCAACACCAGTGGAGGATCGGCATGTCGACTCGAGGATATGCTCCCTCATGCTGGGAAGTCTTATACATATCTAACCCCGGCCATGCCCTCCCGCTGAGTTGAGTTCATTCAACTTCCACCTTTCGTTGTAGGTAAGGCATATCTTGGTTCTTCCTACTCGTAACACAATGGACACCCGATTCCCCAAACGGTTCTTGTCAGACCTGGCCGCCAGGGCACACCCTTACATCGACCGAGCCAGTTCACACCTCCAAGAACCGGCCCAACACTGCTCGTCGGTCTTGAAGGCAGCCGAACAGGAACTTCGCATTCTCTCTCAAAGACCCTCGTTCCAAAAAGAGATTGCCTTCTTCTTCTTTGCCTTGTTGCTATGTGCCATCGTTGCCATTTCACGCCATCTATACCTTCGCCATTTGAATTCCCCTACCACCACCAGACCATCAACTCCATCCACGGTCGAAAAGGCACCGTACACGAAACCCGCCACCTCAGCCCGCCAACCAGGAACATGGCCACCATCATCATTCAAACGACCCACCCCACCACCCTACCCCAACTGGTCGATCGAAACGACCAAACCACTCCCCTACCGACCCTTCCGATACGGCCCAAAATACTTCATCACCATGGGCTTGAGGAATGTGAAATGGGAAGACTGGATCGAACTAGACAACCAATATCCCCGCTACCACTCCGACAAGCAACGACGGATTCTCGAACGCGGCTCCAAATGCTGCAGAACCGCCCCCGAAGCATATCCCGCTGCGGTAGAACTACTCGAAGAACTGCGCGAATACCTCTGTGACCGATACCCAACCCTCTACCAACGCACCTCCAAAGGAATCAAAAACCTCTGGTCGGGGGAGGAACTAGACACGACATCGCGCCCATTGCCCGAAGACCCAATGCAAACATGCGGCCGCCTAACACAGGACGATTTGGCCATCATGATCGAACGGCCCGACGGCCAGTATTACTTGCTTGCCGGGTCGATCCTGTTAGCTGGCTTTTGGCGCCTGGAGGACAAATACGGCATGCCACTGTCTGAAATCCACACGAGCGGCGACGTACCCCAGTTCCGCGAGAAGCTGGAAAAAGGAATGATGAACTTTTTCAGGAGACTTAAGCCGGAGGAATTGGTTGCTCGCAACAATTATTTCCTGCAGGTCGATGATAATCTCGCTTGGTCGCATTCGATTGGATCCGAGGATTCAGATGGCATCAGCTGGAACACGGCGGAGAAGGATCGAGCGATCCAGCATCATTATTTCCGCTCTGAGCGCCAGACGTTGCGGCGGTTGCCCAAGAGCGGTGGTGTCGTGTTTACGATTCGTACTTATTTTTTGCCGGTTACCGAGATTGCGGAGGAGGATTATGTTCCTGGACGGTTGGCTAGTGCTGTGAGGTCCTGGGGTGATGATGTGAGTCGGTATAAGGGGAAGGAGAAGTATGGTGATGTCTTGTTGGAGTACCTTGACAAAAAACATCAGGAGCAGATTGATAGAGGGTTGGATTTGGATAAGGAGGATGAGAAGAGGAGTTATCCGTGGTGAGAAGGACAGTGGCCAGGGACATCCCGGGGGAATGGGTGTTCGGGGGCCTAAAGTGGTGAGCCGGTGGAAGGGAGATGAGACGTGCACGTATATGACACGTACATAGGGGGTAACAGGTGCCCGTCCACATACAGTATACATATGTATATAGTAGCGACCTGAATATGGTATTGAAAAACTCCAAGCAGGATATCCTCGTCGCCAACGGATGGATGGATTAGCTCAGGCCTGGATTTGTTGATTTTCGCCCTTACCGTCCGTCGCCCAGAGACGGCGGGGGACGGCTAGGCTTCTGCGGCCTATCTACAGTATCAACCCAAAAACTACTGTAGAAGTGACATTGATGAGTCATTACACCGGTAGTCAGTCACAGACATTGCAGGACTACTACTATACGGACACCATCATCGTGGGGAGATCGTTGGGCCGACTGGTGAGTACATGTAGTTCATGCATGGTGTAAGCGCGTGTGTGGATATGTATATTTTGATACCTATCGATTGTCCGGATTTGTACGGGTATTTTTATATTATTTCTATCCCACCTGCGCCTCCCAATTCAATAACAATAGCCATACAACTGACCACTACTCACCGACACAAAAATCCGGATCACATCATAACATGGCAGTCAGTCAGGATGTAATAATTCATGCATGTATGTTACTAGTATCTCTCGGGACGCCGAACTGTACAGACTAATGGATGAGATGACAATCCTTGCTCATTCCAACATCAGCTGAAAAGGCTCAAGACTCATGTCTTGTTATCTTGTTCATCTATTGTTACAAGTCATAAACCAATCCCTACCTCGCTTCGCTCCGTAAGCCTAGACCCGACTTCTTCTCGATGATCCTCCTCCATCGGCAGCTTGTTGCCCAGCAGCAGCGTCGGCGTCACCGTGTGTCTGTTCGACACCAGCAGCTTCCCTCATCTTCCTCCTTTCCTCAACCTCCCTGATCCTCAACTCATTCCTCTCATGGATCCACTCACAGCCATCTCGGAACTCACAAACCCGACATTTCCAAGCATCATGGACCTCGACACCCTTTGGAGAGCGTTCGCCCTTCCAGAACGCCAGGACATCATAGAGATACGATTTCAGGAACGACGGGTTGAATATGATTGATTTGCTGCCGAGTAGCTTCGATCCGGTCTTGGAATCGACGTACCGCGCCGTCAATAGTGGTGAGAGACGAGTTGGAAACGAGGCTGGAGTTGAGAGTTGGGAGAGCGATTGAGGGGTTGAAGAAGCAGTGTCGGGAGAAGAAACCAGAAACGTTTGTTTCAATTGGGACAGCATAAACTCCCAAAGACTGGCGAGGTTGTTGTGTTGTAGTAATATGTCCATGGAATCCTGAGTCGAGGTCCAATCCATGTCATCGGAATGAGGTATGTTTTCAAACCCTTCTTCTTGGTTGAGATTGCCAATCTGGGCAATAAAGGAATCAGAAAAAGTCTCTCGCACATCCAAATCGTACCGCGATGCGAGGTGGTCAAGAGAAAAATGGCCCAGGGCCAGATTCTCAAGTATGTGGTGATACAAGTGCAGCTGCACGATCGTCGGGCGGATGCTGGATCCTGTGGGAAGAGTTGACGTCCCTCGAGTTTTGACATCGGTGATATAGATTCTCTTTTGCCCATCCTTATCCTCTCTTCGTGTCGTTGTGGAAGAGTCAGAGTCACTAGTATGGGATTGAGAGTTCGAGTTTTTGTCATTGTTGTTTGTAAGTGCTTCAGTCAACGTCTGCCCTTGTGCCCTCATGTCGGTGGTGCTGGTGCTGGTGCTGGTCACAAGGTAATCCCTTATACTGGCCTGATATTCCGGCAGCAGAAACCTCTCAGAGTCCTGCTTCGAACTCGACAGCAAATGCTTTAAACTCTGCTTTTCCAGTTTCGGGTCGGGACATTCGTAGCTCAACTCGTCAATCACCCCATTGACCAGCTCGCCACCAATAAATCCCCAGACCTCCAGCTCTCTAGTTCTGCCCGTGGCACGCAGCGTTCTTAGACCCTGTATGACATTCCATATTCGCAGACCCCAGCTATCTTCCTTTTTGGTCACTGTCACCTCGACTGTGGCGTGGACTTCGTCCTCCAGCGCTTGGTGGACGGCCGTGCCTTGCTTCATGGCGGGAGTCCTTCTTTTGCGACCATGTTTTGTTAAAACGTAGTAGTATTGCAGTTCGCACCAGGCGGGCGAAACGAGGTCTGTTACTGAGAGCGGCTTTTTGGGTGGTCGTCGGAATCGGTCTAGTAGGCTTCGTGTATCTGTATCTGTGGTATCCGGCTGACCTTGACCATCTCCTTCTGCTTCTCCTTCTCCCTCAGGTGGTAGTTCATCGTTGTGGTTTCGTTCTTTGCTCGGTCTCGCTTCAGCTAGCCGCTGGTCAGCGTCAGCTCGTCTGTAAGAACAGCATTGTTTCAAGTGCTTTCGGTAGTATATACTTACTATTCGGGTCGAGTATGGCCTGCTCTGAAGACTCGGACTGGTCTTGTGCGCCCCAATGACGCGCCGCCTGGTGACCAAACACCTTAGGCAGACGAACGGCTCGAGGCGCTTCATAGTCCTCGATATCCGTCACCACCAACGGCGCGGGCGCGACAGCTTGTGCCCGACTGGTGGCGACCTCAAGAAGCAGACGGTCGATGATCTCGAGTTCTTCAGGGTCTTCTGCAAAGTCGCTGTATTCGTCCTCGATGTCCACGTCCTGCCATTTGCCGGCTGCTATGTTCAGATCTATCGTCGGCGTGTCCACAGCCATAAGTTGGTCGTTGTCTTGAGATCCGGGTCCGTTCGCAAGATTCGACATGGTAAGGCCTGACTCGTGCGTGAATGTGGAATGTGATCCGTGGTGGCGATTGTAAGCGTCATGATCCTAACTGCGCGACTTTGAGGCTCCCTCGAGACACGGACCCTTCGACGAGTGAAGAGGAAGAGCTCATGGTTGATTCACAAAGGATACCTAACGGCCAAGTCATGGCATTTGTATATCGTGGGTCGAGGACTCGTAGAAGGAGCCGTCTGCCTGCTGCAGCGCTCGACTGTTTAGACGCGCCGTGGGGGCTTGTTTATTACTTGCATCTGACTCGTCCTCGACGCACGACCAAAGTGTCACACCAAAATATGAAGGATGGACGCAATCCAATCGCTCCCACGACTCTATTGTAATTCTATACAAGTTGTCGGGCTTTCTGCGCCGTACTGCTCTTCTATCTGGGAAACTGACCTTTCTCTGCTTCGAGTCTATCCAACGTCCCAGCAATGGTAGCCACACTGCCAACCGTCGCTCCCTGATGGTGTTTCATGGACGTCCGCCTCATCTTTGTTGATTCGCTCGTGGGACCCTTTTATCCTGTATTCTTGGTCTTCACTCCCATAAATAAAGTCTAGTAGGTTGTTGTCTCACTTCACCCGAACTCCCTCCGGAATGACAGGTCTGCTCAAAGAATCCGTAGCCAACTCGATCTTTTCCTCCTTTCTGTTCAAGAAACTCAAATATGCCTGCCATGCGACGGCAAAGATGCCCGAGAACATGAATCTATATTGCGGCATGATGAACCAAAAACTGAACGCCGTGACCGCAGGCCATAGTTTGAGCGAGTTCACAATGCTGATGGGCACAGTGCCTTTGATTCGGGCAATGATGCCAGAAGGCGGCTCCCCGGTCAAGATGGCTTGCATACCGAAAAAATAGGTGTTGAAGACCGGCGTGAACACGGCCTGGTTAACCACGACTTTGGTCGCAATAGACGCAACTTTGGACGAGAAGTTAAAGTTCCTGCCCAACCAGAGAAACCTGTTTCGTTTGTCTCGTGTCAGTCCAATCCACAACACTCTGCTATGCTCGCAATCTCGTCGCGAGAAGCACCTCGCCACGGTAGAGCCTGGTGCTCACCGACGGAGGAACGTCACAGACGTACCATTTATATCCTGGAATCGAGGCCACTGCCCCGATCGTCAACATCCGCAATGTTCGGATCGGATCATACGGCTCTCCTCCAATGTCTTGCGCCAGTAGATCACCACACAGATAGGTGATCAGGGTCGTGGATACTTGCACGGTGTACGGCCTCTTCACCTGAGTCCGATGGAACCAGCTGAAGAAGGTCGAGACTGGCCCCAGTCGGTGGTACCATAGCTGAATGGGAATATCGACCGGTCGCGCCGCCGCTTTCGTAGATTGGATGCTCACTTCGTTCGGGACATGGGGAGGAAGCGCTGTCTCGGTCAACTTGGTCGACTGCTCTTTGGGCGACGAGCTGGAATTGGATGCGCTGCGCTGCTGGTCATGTTGAGGCCGCCGCCCCCGTGGTATCCGTGGTCGTAGCGACCTCGTACCAATCTTGACAGTCAGCCGCTGCAGAGTTAGCATCATCGGTAGGGTGCCATGATTGAGAATGATACTTTGACACGTCCCATCAAAGCGTTGCACTTGGGATTGTTCACACAAGACTTTTCTTACCTTTCCATCGGGGAGGATTGGACGCGGACAGGGCGCCGATGACTGTTGAGCCGAATTCGGCTGTAAGACGCAGGTCCACCGCCCAATGACGCCTTTTTTAGGCATGGACCTCGGGTCAGTTTAGGCAACCCATTCCCTATTTCGGGCCTCTCGGCAGCCTAGAAGAGCCCCATCGGCCCTATTCAGGCATGCCAGATAAGCAACGTGCAGCTACAAGGCGACACGCGCGATTTCCTGTAAATCATCGACTACAGCGAAACTACATTGATGAAACAGTAGACAGATTCATGTTTGGACGTGAATTGTATTTTCAACGTCTATCTCGATGTCGGCGCATTCTGCTGTGTCCAAGTCATGTCTGTATGATTGGATTGCTGTGATGATACAAGCAGAAACGCCGAAGCCCCAGGACCACCCGATTGTGTCTTTGGAAAAACAATACAAGCCATATGATTCATTCCGTTTCGCCGGTGCAACTCATGAAAACCCCGATACCCATCATCATGCCCAACTTCCCATGTCTGCTGGTTGAATCATTTTGACCACATCAAGTGGCAACGAATCAAGAGACAGTCATAATCTAGGATCGTTCGCCACGAAGACGACGAGCAAGCTGGATGTCCTTGGACTGGATGGTGACACGCTTGGCGTGGATGGCGCACAGGTTGGTGTCCTCAAAGAGAGAGACGAGGTAAGCCTCAACGGACTCCTGGAGAGCGCCGATGGCCGAAGATTGGAAGCGCAAGTCAGACTTGAAGTCCTGGGCGATTTCACGGACAAGACGCTGGAAAGGGAGCTTGCTGTAGGAATTGTTAGCTTTCTAGGTCAAACTGCGATGAAGTTGTTTGTCAGACTGACCGGATGAGCAACTCAGTCGACTTCTGGTAGCGACGAATCTCACGGAGAGCGACGGTACCAGGCTTGTAGCGATGGGGCTTCTTGACACCTCCGGTGCTTGGTGCAGACTTGCGAGCGGCCTTGGAGGCGAGCTGCTTTCTTGGGGCCTTGCCACCTATTAAATTCAGTCAGATAAGCTGCGGCGACGACGAGGTTGAATTGTCAGATAACTTACCAGTGGATTTACGAGCGGTTTGCTTCGTACGAGCCATGACGATGGATATTCAGATGAAGACTTGAAGTTGTAAAGAGTTGTTGATGGGTTTGTTGATGAAAGGTGGGAAGGTTGGAGATGATGAGTGAGGCTGACGAGGAAGAAAGATAAGTGGTGGAGTGGGCGGGACAGGGAGGTATTTGTAGGTGAGGAAGGGCAGGCAGCGAGGCTTGGCGGGCTGATCCAGATGCCGGGGAAGCGTGATGCAGAGTTCAGAGGCAGTGACTGGCAGCAAAATAATCAGTGATCGCGCTACCTCTGAAAGTTGCAAAAACAAGTGATCAGATCAGAGCTGCGTAAATTGATCCGTTGTCAGGCGGCTTTTTGCGGGCGCCCGTGATTCAGAATTATTCTCGCCCAATTGGGATTGGTGGTGATCCCGCCCCTTGGCATACCACCTCAAGATCTCCCGCTTGCGCTGCACACCTGCTCAACCCTGCAATTCGTATATTCAGCAAGTGATAATTTGTAGTTAATGCTTTGCAAATAATCGCAGTGACTCATTGCCTCTATTATCTTCAGGATCAGTCATTACAGGCAGTGGTGGGCGCGAAATCATTGGAAGCAGAGCCGCAGCAGGCAGTACTGCAAGAGGCGGCTCTGAATTCTGATTGGCTCTGATCTGGCGTGCCGTGGTTGATCTGGTTTGGGCTGCCGGGGTGCATAAGTTCCTCCCCGCCCGCCGTGTCCCCAATCAAAGTTACTACTTCCTCTATTCCATCCACAACCAACCCAACACCACCCAGACTCAACTCTATCTCTCTGTCTCATCTTCATCCAACTCTTTCTCCAACCAAACTTCATACCAACTCTATCATCATGACTGGACGCGGCAAAGGTGGCAAGGGCCTCGGCAAGGGTGGTGCCAAGCGTCACCGCAAGATCTTAAGAGACAACATCCAGGGTATCACCAAGCCTGCCATCAGACGTCTTGCCCGCCGTGGTGGTGTCAAGCGTATCTCGGCCATGATCTACGAGGAGACCCGTGGTGTCTTGAAGACCTTCCTTGAGGGTGTCATCCGTGATGCCGTCACATACACTGAGCAGTATGTTCTTCTACCTAGATACCTGTACTGGCATATACTGACTTGTTCGCTAGCGCCAAGCGAAAGACTGTCACGTCGCTCGATGTTGTCTATGCTCTCAAGAGACAAGGACGTACTCTCTACGGTTCGTACTTCTGCCTGTCTTTGCCATCTTTCCATATATTGACATCGCCCTTCAGGTTTCGGTGGTTAAGCGCATTCTTCAAACACTATCACGACATTGTCCTGTGGCATGAGCCATGTCTGCCATCATACCCATGGCATGGTTTCGCCACATCTTTTTTGCTTTGCTGGTTTTCGGAGTGGTGTTGGGCGACATGCAAATGGGTTCTTGCAATGGGGTCGTCAAATGGTCATGGTTATGATGGGATGGCAAATTCTCAGGTGCCTTGATGTATCATACGGGCACAGCACTACTATGAGTCAGCCTGGGTGGCGTTGACAGACGAGCTGAGTCAAAACGACATAAATCATCAGCATCAACATGAAATCACTTTTTCAAAGCATTCTGTTCATTGTTCCTTGTGCAGTGTACGCCTTCGGTTCTCGTGTCATGTGATAGCTTCGCTGTGGCGGGTTGTGTCTGGGCTGGCACCGTCTTGTGAGTTTCGTCCCGGCTGTTTGGCTTCCCGGCAACTTGTGGTTGCTGTTGTGACGCAGGTGTACTCTTGTCATGGTGTCCGCTAGGTATGACATGCCGTGGTGCCTGTTTGGGCGGTGATGCCACGGGTGTTGTGCCTAGTTCCGGCTTCTGAAACAGCATCACCTGCTTGGATACTGTAAAGCCTTTTTTTTTTCTTCAGGAGAGCGTTAGGCGCCAACTACGAGGTTCAAGTCTCAGTATTGAATGGCAGGATCTACTGGGCCTCGGTTCCAAGGCATTATCAAATTATACCAGGAGTGCGCAATGGTGACTCTTGTATTCATGCCATTCTGGTGTCTGCATGAACCAGGCTTGTACGTGAGGGTGCCCAGTCTCGGGATCTATCGTGGCTGTGACAGTGTACTCGTCATTGCGCTGCTGCCTGCAGTGGCTTAAAGGGCGTTCGAATGCATTTTCGACTTGGATGTAGAGTGGTGACCATCGCTGCGCCTGGCTTCGGTGCATTGCAAGAAACGGCGCCATGCAATGACCGACTCTGCATTGGATTCCACGCGTGGTTCAGTAGTTTACTTCGAATGTACAACTTTGATGATACCTGGCATCTTACAATTGGTCAAATCTGGTTGTGATAGACCATTTACGTGTGTTTGTTGTTATTCGTTGTTGTGGTGTGAGCGTGTGGTTGATATGCGGATAAATATATTTTTGTGTTATGCGGAATTTATTCTTGCACAGCCATCCTCACAAACTACATACTAGTACACCATCACATTACCCATGTAGCATTGCTACGGCTAGGAAGCACTATCACAGGAGCATTCATCTTGTTGGCCTCTAGGAGAATGACCACCTGTAGGATTCAATTATTTGCGCAATACGACACGAGGCCACAACTGCGCTGTTGATGACCTGGTACAACGATTGAGTACCTACTAAGCACAGGCCGAGCTTCAGCCACTGCCAGGAACATATCACAGACAAGCTCAAAAAGGTGCAATGCGAGATCCTACAGCGGCCGTAAAGGGCGCGGCTCGATGACAGAGCTGACAAACCGACTCCTTTCCATGTCGCAGTCAGCAACAATTGAGACACGTTCAGGTCTCCAAAGTGTGCGTGTACCGGCAATAATGAATCCCGTATACCGACCAGGCTGAAGCAATGAGGCACGGCGGGAGATCAGCAACAGCAACCCGAAGGCAAATAACACGAAACGCCCACAGTGGGAAGGGTTGCGATCCGTTCGCCGGTCCCCTGGTCAGCGAACTCGATGAAGTAGCTGTCCTCCTGATCATCAGCCTGTTCCTCGAAGCACAGGTCAGCACCATGGCTGAGCACCTCTTGGCCGAGAATACACAAGCAAAGCATCGTACACAACTTGGAAGTCAAACTATCAGAAACGGAATGACATGCTTGAATCGGCAGGTCGTACGATCTCAGATCGACGCGTAGACTACCCATCACCGCGGAGATTGAAGACAGCGCAAGCTCAGCCCTGCGGATGTCGTGTGTTCTGTGACACCAACACAAAGGTAGGTACAGTCCAGCTTGCCATGTGCCTCAGGGCGACAAACCTAACGCAAGCCGAAACAGCTTGTAATGGTTGCCTGTTCCGGCGATCTCCTTTCCTGACTCGGATGGACGTGGCACATGTGGCGGTGCATGGCTTCGGGCCACTCATACATCGCAGGGATACAACCCCGTGACAAACTCAGCTCCAAAGCCACAATGAGCAAGCCACACTGGACTGATCCAGCGACAAGTTGCCCGGAAAATCCTGGTCCCAGCAGTCGAGGCCTGAATAACGACGACAGATCAGGCTGTGCCGAACCATTTTCTTGGAAGCGGGCTCGAAAACCTGCCACGGGAACACCGAATCGAGATGTAGCCTGCTCCCAAGTAAGACTCGGCGTTTGCGGCCTACAGTTGACAGCAGTCTCGTCGACCTGTCGAACGGAGTGTGTGTTCTACCAGAATTGTTTTGTCTCTACGGAATTGTACGGTCGCAGGGCTTGGTTGGGCCTTCTTCTTTGGGCTAACCAGGTCGGCTGCAAGCTGCAGTCCACGCTCCCGGAATGCACCGAGCGGTAGCCGGCATCAGTTGCCGTGTAGCACCACTGGCACCCTCTTCTTCTGCAGGTACTCCTAGAGCCAACAAACTCTCACGCAGCAGCATGTTATTCGCCCAACAGAATTTTCCCAGCGCTGCATCGGCGTCTGGATCGCTGCAACCCAACGACTGCCGGCAAATCGGCAGTCGCAGTGTGGTACAGATCAGCCCTGGGAGCCGTTGGAGCGAGTCGGTGGGCGGGGCCAACTGGGTTCAACCCGATGCGCTGCAACTGCAGGCTTGACAGACCCTGGGATGTCCCTGCATCACTGGCATCTGCTAACCGCTACTAGTAGTACTGATGAACACATCGACTTCTAGAAGACCTTTCGAGACAAGGGGTGGGCCCGGGGAGAAATTCCGCCCACTTTCGACGGCAGAACTTGTCGCTGGCAGTTTGATCGACCATTGAGGTCCATTCGGCTTGACCACAGCCTCGATATAGCTGTTAATCAGCCTAAAAATAATGGCCAATCCCCCAGAGTAACAGAAGGACGGGCAACGGATCCGGCTACCCACGGGGACGCAATCCATAAACATGGAACACGATGATATGGACAACGATCGATGTACGGAACGTACAGACTGCCCAGTGCAGCGAGTCTTCTTGGTTGATCATCGCGGCCGTGCATCGACGCGAGGGGTCAAGCCACTTTCATTGCAATCGGTATCACAAAGGCGCGCGAATGAGATGTCATCCTTACCCAGCTTGGATCACCATTCCGCGTGTCGAGGCCAGAATAGCAGTGGTATTACTGGAGCAGAGACTTCAATTACTGACTGATGCCTATCTCAGCAGCCGAGGCTTCCATCAGCTGTCGATGACCAATCTGAAGTGAATCATGTCAGCTCGCAAGCCAACCATTATTGTAGCCTACACATGCCTGTTTGAGGCACCTCGGAGATGATGGAACATCTGGGAAAGTATGCAAGTACAGCTGCCTGCAGCAGGCAACACCGAATCGGGTCACCCATGCGAGCTACCCCGAGGAGTAACAAGCTGAGCCTTCCCAACTTGAACTTGCACATGTTGATGCCCGAGGAATTCTAGAACCCGAGCTAAAAGTTACGGTAGTTGTACGCACGACAGCTAGAGGGAAGCTGCTCGCAGGTTCTGGGTAATACGAGCCGAAAAATTCCCTCGTCCTAGCGTCATTTTGTAATAACCACTCACCTCCTTTGGGTGAGTGCTTAGGCATCGATGATTGGTGAAGGAACATACACAGCCACAGGGCTGCCACCATGAGCCAATAATGATTCGAAGCTGTTTGGTCTGGCCAGCCTCAACTGGAAGCGCTATCGTACTAGTGCATTGTAAGAGTTTGACTGCCAAGTGTAATCGTACGTACAAACAAACTCTGCTCAAGGGCTGGACTCAGCCAATGTGGTGCACGGTGACCCCGGCCTAACAAAACGACAGGGAATGGCGGTACTACCCAGGGCTTAGTCGTACCTAGGTCGTGCTAACAAGACCCTGCCTTCAGTACCCGACATGCAGCAGTGCCAGGGAGTAGCATTGCAGAGATGCATACCTCCAAGGCTGCACCGAGCCTTGACACACTGCACTGCACACGAGGGTGTCGTAGCCGCGAATGTCCGGCGGGCCCTGGTCGCTCAGCCCTTTTCTCGTTTGCTAATGATAACAACAGAATTACCGATAAATGTGCCAGACTCGGCCCAAGAGAGCGAGCATCACAGCATGAACATCACCACATCACCAACTTGAACGACGAGCATCACGACTGGACGCACTGGCACCCTCTTGCGAGCGTTGGCCCAATCCGGAGTAGCGGCCGCGGACCCTGAAGCATCATCCGTTGTACCCACCACTAGCGGTGCACCACTTGAACCCTGCCATCATCGTCCAACGACGTCATTTGGTTGCCGACTGCCCGCATAAACCAAACGAGACTGCGCTCTTTTTCCATCTTCCCGCCGACAATTGTCCATCAATCCCATACCAACCATACCACACCACACCACACCACCGAGGCCTCTTCCTGGTCACTGTGCACTGCCGCATTAAGCAGAAGAGAAAATTCTCAATACTAGTCGATAAACCTGAAATCAGATTCTGCCGCTTTGACTCAGCCAGTCCCGCATCTCGTCCGATACCTCCGTTCCTGCATCATCTGCTCCATTCCAACTATTTCCAATCCGGTCCCCGGTGACCCCGTCTTTGGCCGGCGGGACTTCAAATCCTTCCTCGACTATAGATACATTTGCCACCCTCCATCCTCCTCTCGCATCTTCTCCAGACTGAGTATACGATACCTCCACGCTGTCCTATTACCAATCCACGAACGTCGAAACCAAGATCGCAACTATACAACCCAACACCTACTCACCTTTCGCCTCCTTTCCTCCTTCCTATCACTCTCCTTCATACTACACATACTCTCATATGCAAAGACCATCACCAAACTCACAATCATCGAACCCGAGCGTCCGCGTTCAACAGTCTACGCCGACGCCCTCAGAACAAACATCCATGCTGGCGCAGAGTTCTTTGGTCGGTGGATGGAACGACGGGTATAACGCAGGAGGCTTCTTGAGCGCCATCCCCAAGAATTTTCAAGACCAAAGATTTCATAAGAGAGGCTCCTCTGGTTCTTCCGTCACCTCGGGTGGCCCTCCTTCGCCTCTCAACCACAACACCATATACCCTCACATAGTCGCCACCTCCGACTCTTCCAACTTTCCGTCCAGCTTCGACTTTGACTTCAACCAAACTCCTCATACTGCCAAATCTGAGTCTGCAATGATGTACTCTACAAACTTCGGAGGTCCCGTTGACATGAGAAGGATACAGTCGGCAGGCACCGACGACCGCGCGTCTTACTCACTTTCCGCGCCTCACTCGGCGTCGACAATGAGTCACAACTCTCCTGCGACACCGCAGACGACATACGAGCCGGAGTACGACGAGAAGCACGTTTATGGTGAGAATTCTGCCGACGACGATTTATTGTTCGAGTACTTACAATTTGACGCAGGCTACCCTTCGGCCGCGTACCAACAATCGCTGCAAGACGTTTTCCCCGATCAACACTTTAACATCGATTTCTCTCATGCGCAGCAACAGCCCCAGCAACAACAACAACAACAACAGCAGCAGCAGCACAATGTCCCGCGGATGGGTATGCCGCAACACCGACAAAATATGATGGCTGAGAGGTTACAAGCGGCCCAGCAGGATCATCTGCGCACGGCTTCGCCAACCTCAAATCCGCGGGACAAGTCACCGTTCCGGCAGAATTCTCCGTATAGCATGCCGGCTCCGCCGCAACGGCCACCGACCTTGCAGAAACAGCGGACATCAGTGTCTCCTAAGGAGTTGATGTTGGATGACCATGACATCGATGACAACCAGACTCCGTTGTTCCCGGATCAATCACATCAGATGTTCAACAACAACCGGAGGGTCCCGTCAAACTTGTCGACCTTTACCACACCTACCCTGGCAGCCTCGGAGTCTTCGATGCAAATCCCTCAACAATATCCTTTTGTCAGCCAAAACAATCAGCAGCAGGATATCACACCGGACTTCCCGTCGCATCTCCTGTCGATGGAGTCCACTGGGGATGAAGGCCCTTCGGAACCTTCTAGTCAGCAGTCGACGCAAATGCCTCAGCCTCAAACCCAGGCTGCTGCGCCTCAGTTGCAGTCGCAGTCACAGTCACAGTCACAGTCGCAAACTCAGCGCCCTGTTGACACATCGTCTGACTCAGGCACCTACTCTTGTACGTACCACGGATGTCACCTACGGTTTGAGTCACCGGCGCAACTCCAGAAGCACAAGAGGGAAGGCCATAAGCAGGCATCACCCACCGGCGCCACGTCGCCTAATCTGGCTCTGCGCAATTCGCAGGCTGGTCCTCACCGGTGCGACCGGATCAACCCCAGCACGGGCAAACCCTGCAATTCTGTCTTTTCACGGCCGTATGATCTGACTCGGCACGAAGACACGATTCATAATGGCCGGAAACAGAAGGTCCGGTGTCATCTGTGTACGGAGGAGAAGACTTTCTCGCGTAACGATGCGCTGACCCGCCACATGCGTGTCGTTCACCCTGATGTCAACTGGGTCGGCAAGCAGAAGCGCAAGAATGCCAAATGAGCGATTGATGCCTGACGACTGCCATTAATTTTCGTCTCCTTGCGGAGAGAAACCGGGAGATATGGACTGAGTTTCCATTATTCCTGCGCCTTATCCGAGTCGAGCCAAGTCTAGATCAGGCGTTACCGCGCCGTATGACCGTCTCGTTGCAGCAACATGGTTTTGCTTGCAAGCAAGATGTTGGTTATCAACGTCTGTTGCGCCGCTCCGCTCCACACTCGGTGGTGATACAATTTGGTGCCCGAGCAGAGTTGATGCGACGAATCTCATTCCCCTCTCATGTCGCTCCACTTTACGTCTAGCTCAGGCGCAGGCTACGGCATCGACTCGGTTCGTCCACGAGCAACTGCCGAGGCTGATGGATGATATGTTGTGTTGCTGTTTTTCTCTTCTTATGATTTGTTGCCTTTACATCTTTGTGCTTTTCTGGTTTGGTGAACAAAAAAAAGGGGTTGGATTGGGACATGATCAATAGACTGACTGTACCAACATCAATGTCTGGGCGGGTGATTTCAAGAGTCTTGTTTGATTAGCCTTGAGCCTTATCTTTGCTGTCTTTTGTACAGAGCAGAGCATTGCAGTGTGAAAACAAGATGGCATGCATGGATTGGCACAGTATGTGGTGATTGTCTGTCACTGATCCCTGATGATGATATATATGTACAGTACCGAGTACTTACTAGTAATGATGACGAACGGACGATGGGGATGAAAATGAACATAACATGAAAATGAATCAAAAAAAAATCAATGAGTCTCTCAACTTTGATTGTATAACAATCGATTGCCTTGTACTATGCGAGTTGTAATTACAGATTTGTCGTTACCTATCTGTTATTGGGCCTCATGACTTGCGGTTTGACCCAGCGCAATCAGTCCGACAGTCCTGAGAGGTAGCTATGTTGCCATTGGATAGAGGAGATATTTAATGTAGGGCCAATATATGTTCGATATGGGATCGGTTTGGAATCGATTCAGAATCGGCTCGGAGTTAAGGCGGAGTTAACATATACCAGGTATGGACCCAGTACTACCTCAGTTGTATGCGGTGACTTGGGTGGTTGCAAAAGCCACAATCGTATACATACTTGCCGTTAATACCTCATTATTGATACTAGTACTCGATATATTGATGAACTTGAATGCCCTGCACAGTCGAGTCCCAGTTCTTGTCTCAAGCTACTTACCTAGTTCTGAGTATGTACGGTACCAATCTAGAGCAGAGAGGGCCACCCTGGGGCTGACTGCAGTGGCGGTATTTTGATGCATGTGTGTTTACAATGAACTTGAATGGGATATTAATACATATGTATATACTAAGCTGAGGCAGCAGCTTAAGGTAGACAACGTACACCATGAAGTGAAAAGAACCATGAACCCACGGACCATGTGCGAGAGAGCATTATTTGCGCCATCACAACCCGAAAGGATAAGTCTCGGCCTCCTCCAACGGCGTATGCGGCTGTTTCTTCTCGAGCGCACCTACCGCATGAGTCGTATCAAAAAACAAAAAAGCGTCAAACTGCAGGGCCAGCTTTGCGCCACTGTAATGGCTCCACCGCTCAGTTGCAGGGCGGTAAATAACACCAATGAACCGTTCGAGTCTGGTCGTGGCCAACTGGCGCCGCGTGTCTTCATCACAATGGCCTTTCCGCATATCGATCAAGAACCTGCTCAGACCGGTATCATGGCAGACTCGTTCCCAGCTATCTTCGCGGGACGGATTGACTTTCATGAATTGCATGTCGTCGTCCCACTCGTGGGCGGCGGCGACGGTGCCGTCGTGGGTGCCGCAGCCGACTAGGACGACATTGTCCAGGTGTTCGCGGCACAGTTGACCCAAATTGATTTCGCCGCGCGAGATACCCATGTCGGTATACCTTGCGTCGCCGAGATGAGAGTTATGAGCCCAGACGATGGCTTTATTGTTCGGGCTGCGGAAGTCAAGCAGCCGCTTGAGCGTTTCAAACATATGACTGTCGCGTAGATTCCAGGTGATTTCGTCGCTGTAGTACATTTTTCGATAATATTCCTCAGCGTCGACGACAAGTGTCGCATTCTGCTCCGCGCTGTGGAAGTGTTCGCCATCGTGGATCTTGGCCGAATACTCAAGTCGCTTGCGCAACAGTTCCAGCAGCATCTTGATCACGTCCTCCTCGCATGTCTTCCATCGTCCACTCCGCATCTTCATTCCATATTCGTGTTCTCGGCCCGCCCACCGCGACAGCTGGCTGTATCGTTGTCGGGCCTCTTTGGCCATTTCGGGATCGACGGATTCCAAATACTTGATCACCGCGGCCATTGATGATCCCATTGAATAGAGGTCGAGTCCGTAGACACCGGCCCTTTCGTTAGGTGGTAGTCCGGCATTGTAGTCGCGGAGCCAGTGCACAAAATCTTGAAATTCCCGGTTCCGCCACATCCATGTCGGGAATCGCTTGAACATGGTTTCTTGTGCTTCTGTTCTTCCGGGGTGGTTTGGCCATCGTCGGACGTAGTGGTCGATGGCTTCGGCGTCGGGCCAGTCGGCTTCCAGTGCTACAATCTTGAACCCGTGCTCTTTGATTAGTCGTTTGCTGATTTCCGCGCGTGCCGCGTAGAATTCGGATGTCCCGTGGCTGCCGTCGCCTAGGCAGACCACGTTGTATTGGCCTAGCCAGTCGAAGTTGGCGGCGAAGGATGTGCTGTTGATGGGGGGTAGGGCTTTGGCTGCCCGACGCATGCACGAGGCGAGTGCTGCTGTGGCAGACATGGTTTCTTGAACTTTCAGGTATCACTTTTCGGTATTCGTTTATCAGCAGGAGACGTTTAAATGGAGACTTTCGTATGGCTTAGGGAGTCAGCATCAATTGTCGCGAGGGTCAGACATGTCTGCCCGAATAATGGTCTTATAACCATCATATGGGCCGGACATGCTTGGCTGGAGACACGATCGACAAACCCGACCGGATGATGGGTCCCTTCGAAATGAGAAGAAGTCTCTTGATCCATCATCGCCGTTGCACGACGATACTTGCAACTGGATTGGTGGTGGTCTGGTTCTGGCCGTGACCACGTGACCTCGCTTGGAGGCACAATCCGGGGTCATGTGACGTCATTGTGACATGATCGTGACAATGGAAGGCTGGACACGCATCGAACGCATGCGGAAGTAATAAGATGCAGTCTGTATGGTCGAGGAAAGGCCGTTACTTGGTGTGGACGCGTATAGCAAGTAGTACAAAATAGTACGCGGGTGTGGAAATGCCACATCATGCTATATGTCACAGCTGCTCTGATTCGAACTGAGCAAGCACACCAAGGCCTCGATCACAGTAGAACAGTCATCCGCCGCCAATATTATGCCTCGAACTCCATCGTTACCTTTGTTAAATGGTACTATACTAGGCCCGACAAAACAAGCCAGCACGCTCAAACGGACAGCCCTCGTCCTTCTGCTTCCACGTTCTCAATGTGCATGGTAGGACGATTCTCAAGTTTTGCCATCCAGTCTGGTACCGGATCGCTTTCGGCCAAAATTGGCTGACGGTAACTGGCGGTCGAGGGAGACACAAAGGAATCCACGTCGGCAAGGGCGTTGGATAATGTCCGGGAACTCGATTGCACCAGGTTGACCAATTTCCCCAAGACGGCAAATTCCATCTTGAGTTTGCACGAGTAGATGAGCGACTTGAACGCTCTCTCCATCGACCTCAACCCTTTGTATTCCAGGGCCAACAATGCGATATCCATCAAGATGATTATGGTGTTGATAATGAACAACTCGTACATGACCCGACGGGTGCCCTTTCGCGATATCAGCTTGAGAAGCTGGACCGTCTTCCACAGGTATATCCCCGAGATGATGAATTCCTGGATGCAGAAGCCGGTCATCTGGATTTTTTCCATGTAGAAGAGCGCTCGGGTGAATGCGGGCTGTTCACTGCCATAGCTCTTGCCGTACTGGATCACCGTGGTGGCCGTGTGGAAGATGAGAGCGTCGACGATGATCATCCACTTGATCGCGCGCAGGACAGTCTCATTTTGCAGGATCAGTCCCAGTCGGGAATAAAGGACAAATGCTTGACCCGTAATGAGCATGACCCAGCCGATCGTGGCTAGCATCATGCAGGCCCAGAAGGCGGTGATTGCGAAGTATTCCAGGATATAGCCGACGCAATAGGGAACAATCCCGATCGAGGCGACAACCAGGGAGACAAAGTAGAGGCCGCGCCATTCTCGAAAGGTGGTGAAGATGATGAGGAGCAGTTCCAAACAGTTATAGAGGGACAGGGTCATGCAAGTGACCACAATGATGGGTTGAGCGGTCCATTTGCCCTGGAATTCTCCTTGATGGTAGGCGGGAGCCATGATTTGGCGCACATCCGATCATAGTTGATGACGCCGCATGAGGTTTTTCTTGTCGAGCGTGATTGAGTGTAAAGCTGGGGATGCGTATAAGGTAGATAAGAAGATGCAACGGACGCACGGAGAACCAGATGGTCGGTGGAAAGCTTGGGTGGGAAGCCGAATATCTGGGGTTGCGGGGGGTGGACGCCTCTTGATCTGCCATCCCGTCACCTCCCACCAACCCAGGATATTGCCCTTCAACAGGGGGCACCTTAGCTAAGCGACCCGAGGCGAGATTGTCTCCCTCGCTTCGAATAAATGGCCAAGCCAATAGCGGATAGTTCGTGTTACCAGAGAGATGCAATCCATCTCACAGCCCATAGCGCAGCCTGCCGGTGGCACTGAGTGCGCGAATATAATAAGGCGACGTGCACCCTCACCACAGACCGGTCGTCAGCTTTCCTTCTGCCTTCTCGATAAAGAGTCTCATGGCTGGATAATTTCGCGCAGGCATGGGATACTGGGCCATGTTCGGGATACCCTGGTCATCACCGCGCAAACAATTACCCATTTTTACGCGAGGCGCAATTCTCCGCGAACCCAGCCATTCCAGGTCTTTCCCCTTTCCACAAATAGCAATCTATGCCCGTACTTATCGAGATCGACGCTTTCTCGGGAGCATATCAGAGAAGTACTTCCCGGGTAACGTGAGAACAGTTTAGAACACATGGGTGCCGCTGCGGACGATCATATGTTTGACATTCCCACCACTTGATTGTTGTTGAAGTGGCGTGTCCGCTTATTATCCTTCGCGTGCGTGTGAAAAGTGATGATAGCCATTCTGCCAGCTGGTTTGACCAGCCGGGATGATGTACGTCTCCCGATAGACCCGGTGTTTGTACTGGCAGCATGAGCATTGTCGTCTGAGTGAGCCGTTTTATTCCTTGAGACCAAACCCCGATACCTTGTATGTGTGCCGATGGAATATCCGACGGGATCTGAGATCTGAACAGCTCGGATTCATGCTGATCAACATTTCGCACCGGACACAAAGAATTCGAGACCGGTGAGAATGAATCAGCATAGCCTATAAGAAGGCTCAGCGCCCATGAGGCCCCGGACCACCTGGAATCGAGCGCAACCGGTGCAAGGGTAACTCGTCTCGCGCGACTGCACCAGAAACTCAGGTTGGTGCCCGAGTCATCCGGCACATATCACATAACCACGGCAGATCTAGGCTTTGCAACGGCCCGGTCAGATCCATATAATACGTGCTGTAAGCTTTGTAGATAAATTCTTTGGTGACGCAAAGTGCTATCTACAGCTCCGCTGCGAAACACCCTGCCCGGTTATGTCTGGCGACAGAAAACCTTGATGCGGTTTAGCACACCGTGATCCCGGCAGGCCGAAGTCTAGGTCTTATAGGTGACCTTCGGCTGTCGGAAAGAGCATGCTGTGCCAGTCTTAGAAGAGTGAGCTTTTTCCACGGAGATGACAAGAAGGAGTCAGAGCAAACCAAAAGAGTCATGAGCCATCTTCAGCACTCCGGACTGCGCAGCCCGTATCGAGGCACGGTTCATAACCGTCATAATCGGTATGGCACCATGAGACCACCAACTGACGCTGTAATGTTGGGACCGTCGTGGAGGGTCGTTGTAATGTTAGTCAGGTGCAAACCGATCTGATTCCAGCCCAGCACTGTCCGGTCACCTAGGTAGGCACTAGACACGGCCCTTCATCACTGCATTGCTTCTGTGCTCGATGTCCCAAGCTCGAGCGAGAAACACCGTGATTGACGGCATCATGACGGACATCAACCCTCAGCTGTACATTATACGCTGCACAGATATGCGTCGCAGCCTCGCCGCAGTGACCGTCCACTGCAGTACATGACCACCAGACGCACAAGGCTGACTCGAAGTCGATTTTCACAATCGTCCCAAGTTAAGCCCGGTCAGTTCAACCAGCAACCATCAACGGCGACCCAAAAATGCTCGGAACTGAAAGAAGAGGTATTCAGGACTTCCACCTCGTGACACAGCGACCCCATCTTGATGAGCTAGATATAGCATCGCCGGTGTTTGATGTACGGTGATTCTCAGACTCCGTTGATGTCTTTGGTGGGTTTATATTTACATTTTAGGATTTCACGTGATGACGTTCTTGATAGGCCTTTCTCGCGCTTCAAGTTGTACAAACTCGGATGGGAGCACTGCCATGGAGCTCACGGTGTCCATTGTAAGTTGTACATACCGCAAGGTCTATGACTTCTTCCCAAGATTAGCCTGCCAGTGGGCAAATATGATGGGCGGGACGATGTTCATCTAGAACCCCCCACGCAAACCTTCCTTGTGCTCTCAAGCTTCACCCACCACAACAGAACAGTCACACAGCCGGCAGTTCATGCAGACTGCCGACGACGTGGACATGGACATCTGACACGCATAGGTACGGATTCGGATCCCCACAGAAGCCACGCCACTCGACATGACACACTCACACTCACACTCACACCGTGTGGCTTATAGACCAGAGCAGACCCGTCAGAAAGAAGCCTTTTTGCTCCCCAGCCATACATTCAATGCTTCAGCAGGCGCCTATCTGCCTGTTTGCCTGTCTGCCTGTCTGTCTATGTGTCTGCGGCTCTGGGGGAATGGAATGCTGCACTGTAATACTGTCTGCTGACAAGTAAAAAGACACGACGGCAGCCGACATAGCACGACCTAATGCGATGTGATGTGATGCGATGCGACGAAATGAAATGAAATAACACGAGGCGTAGGATAAGAGGTAAGGCAAGCAGTGCGAGGTGGAAGATGATATCCAAGTCCAATACCACTACAACACTAACACGCACAATACAACAATAATCGCAAAGAAGTCGTGTCATGGATTCATGCTCCATACGCGACGTGACAGTGACACCTCTCAAACCTCAACCATTGCAGTGATAGTAAGACTTACTTGGCTGCCTGATGCAGTGGGGTGGTGCCAGTGGCCACGACATCAACATCGAGACTCGAGGTTGAGGCTCCCACTCACGACGACGTCTCCTTTAAAAAGTGACCATAGACCAAAGCCCCAAATCTAACCGGAGTACAGCCACCAATACCACAACCAGAATTGGAACGGATGCGTCCATGTCTCGACTTGGCTGTGTGACTCTGACTCTGCGGCTCCGTCATGTCCTGCCACTATCCTGCGAACATGTAGGACGAAAAGTCCATGCCGGGCGTGGTTACACAGCTGGATGTGACCTTGCTTAAAGGTGGGTGGTTGCATGTACAACGTTGTATGTCCGAGTAAGCATCAAGAGGAGACACCTACCTGCGTCTGCAAGTGACGTAAGTACTACACACAAGAACAGACAAGAAAACAAAAGTAAGAAAGAGAAGAAGAGTCCTAGGTGGATTTTTCAAGGTTATAAGCATTCAAAAACACCTGGCCCACAGCAGCCTCGGCCTCCCAAGGAGTTGTGCTGATTTGTCCGATGGTCAGTGTCGGTAGGTATAGTAGGCACATAGCAACAGTATATATAGTAAATATAGTCCACAGTCGCCAACACACCTGACCATACCAAGTATCATCCCACAACACAACCCAAAGGAGGAAGCCAGCGTACATGCCCATGGTCCAACACATCCACAAAGACCCAACGAAAAGGAATGTAGTAGAATGTTTACCAAGTGGTAAGTGCAAGAGGTAAGAGTGTCATAGATAGATACCAATAATCATAAGCCCATTGGATCAGGCTGACGACACCTTCTGAATTGTCATGTCGATTTGCCCTCTGACAAACAAATCGGGAGATAGAAAACCCAGTTTCATGAATATCTACCACCACCAACTCCGTGCTGTCGTCGATAGAAGTAGTCTTGAAGCCCAAGGATAATCTAAGAGAAGGTGGTCTTGAGAGTGGCGCTGGAGCCCATACCACCACATCCACCAGATGGCGCGCCGTCGTAAGTGCCGTAGTTGGCTCCGACTTGCGAACCGTTTTCGCAGTTGATCAGCTCGTAACCGGTGATGCAGGAGTTGCCGGAGCTGCACTTGAAGACACAGGTGTTCATGTCGCTGGTGCACGAAGGGCCGACAATGCTCATCGAGTGGCCGCTCATGTTGACCTCGCGAGAAACGTCGACCACGCCGTATTGGCCGAAAGTGAATTCACCCCAGGTGTTGGAAGCCTGGCCGTTGACGAGAGAGGTGTCCGAGTAAATGGCGGTCCAAGCACCCGATGCACCATCGGCGAATGAGACCTTGATCGACTCTCCAGCCGGGATGGAGGCGGTGATGGATGGCTGAACGGCGTTGATCCAGGAGCCGGCAACGCCCCAGACCACAAGGATCAGATCTTCACCGGACTCGTTGACGAATTCGTTCAGGTAAGGACCGTCAGTGCCGAGCCAGGCATGGCCGTTGGCAACGGCAGAGTTGACACCCAGGTTCGCAACGCCCAAAGAGGTGAGTTTGCTGGCATCCGTGGCAGTCAAGGCTGTGGCACGTTTCCTATGGTCCAAGTGTCAGTGACTCCTAGCGTCTTGTGTAACAGGTTCCCAATGTTGTCTTACTCGACTTCAGCGTGATCATGCTTGCGGGCATGGTTGTGGAAGGCCGAGTGAATGTGGCCGAGGCTGGCAGCATATGCTTGGCCGATCGCAAGGGTGGCCAGCACCAAGGACTTCATTGTGCAACGCATTTTTGCGAGTCTTGATTTTTTGTTTGGAGAGTTGTGTTTTCTCTTGAGGTCCGGTCAAGAGAAGATGTTGCGTTGAAAGCGATGTTCGCTGGATAAAGGAGTGAGTGGTTTCGCGTTTGTTTGGGACGATCACAGATCGAGTCTCTGTAAGGAGTGTATAGGGGAAAGAGGGAGTGACGAAGCGAACTGGCTTTCGCGTGAAAGAGTGAACGCGAGCGTAAGCTGGTACGGCTGGGAAAAATGAGAGGACGACGTTTGCAAAAAACGTCTGTGGGTGAGGGTTATAACTATCCCGTCGGTGGACACGAACTTGACAGAAGAGAAGGAGAGGAGGAGGAGAGAGATAGGAACAGACCAAGCAAAGCAGAGATGCAACAAACAGAGACCCAGGGAGACGCGGACCCAGGCACCGCAGAGGGTTGCAGCAACGGGACCAATTGACAAGCTCCGCCGGGGATGGAGACCGGCGGCTGACCCATGCCCGTGGCGTGCGACGGGCCCAGGAGTTCAGCATCCCCCTGTCTTTGCTTGGGTTTGTAGGCGGTCGAAGACCTGGGCCCGCTTCAATGAAACGGCCTAGCTTCAGTTTAGCCTCAGCCAATTTCCAGGCACCTGGCGAATGAAGTCGACTGTTGGTTTCGGTACCTGGCGCCAACTGGCGCTTAGTCCATCCCCTACGTCAACCGGCGTCGTAGATCGGACTCGAACATTGCTCTCATTTCGGCCTCTGGCACTTTGACAGATAGAAGGGGCTGGGTCCCAAAGAGGCATGACTCGGGGGTGTGTATATTGCTTCGCGCCGCGACAACACACGTCAGCTCCTGGAATGTGCAGAGCGCGCGCGGGCAACCAGATGCAAGGTGAAGTTTGTCCAATCCTAATGCCTGATGCTGGTCAGATCCAGAATCGTGGCAATTGGGCCCGTGCGTCAAGTCCTCGGGCCAAGACCAAACCCCCAAAGACCGCCAACGCACAATTAGTCGTGGCACGAATCCATGTTTGTCCATCATCGAGCAGCGATACAGCTTCCAACACATGTCCGGATGGATCATGATGGGATCTGCGGTGGAAGTGCCCTTGTAGAAAAGAACGGCCGAACGCCCCAGGGTAAGAAGCCGTCCAATAATACCCCAGTCTTCCGGACTTTTACCACCATCTTACCAAGTCGGGAAAACTCTGCCATTGAATTGTCCTGTCGGAGATAGAGGAGCTAGGTTTGTAGGTCTGAGAACTTCGCATCACCGACCGTGACGGCTGGCAGTTTTTACGACGAGGGTTGTTGTTACTGCAGGATCCTGCAAGACCTCTAGACGTCGGACTGAACCTGCAGCAATATGCAAGGTGGTCCGGTCAAACTGTGCAAATCATTGGCGCATAATGTCTGACCGCTGCACCTGGACTGCTGAGACTTTCTTGATTGACACCTCTCGCACAGAATGCTGTCAAGCCGTCTCGAAGCCCAGTCATGCGCAGGTTGTAGCATACCTCATGAGCCGAAAAAAATCTCGTTGCAACGTGTGATTCATGACCCAAAGGCGAATATTGTAGCGGCGCAAACCGCTCAAAGAAGCAAAGCGTGCCAGGACCGAAAACCACCGTTTTCCATGTGGGTTATGGAGTGGATTTTCATAGTCTTTTTCCTAGCGATTCTCAAGTTCTGTAAAAGTCTCGCCGGTACTGGCCTTTCTATCGAGGCTTCTGCAGGTACTGGCCTTGGCGACTCGTGGACTTCCCGCTAGATTGTCCCTAATGGTGTTGGGTTCTTCCTCGGGACGGCTGGCACCTTGCGCCAAGCTGTATCTGTAAGGGACGAGTCGCATCCTACTGGTTGCGCGTTATGTAGTGGATGTTGATCTATGCGTAATCTTTATCATGACTTCGGTAACTCTGATAAAATTCCTGCTGGTGCCGTGGGCGCGGTCCGGGTGTGTGGTGATGGCGCTCACAGTCCACCAGTGAGAATGCTTGCGCAAAGCGATATTGGCCATGTATTCTCCATCACGACATTCGAGAAGTCTACTTCTGCCTGCCTTGGAGCCGCTGTCTTCGGACTTCAACCGCGCTTGATGCATGTATCAGCCAGTCAACAGTGAGAAGTCAGACGTGGTTCCTTCCTGGCTCCCGGGACCAAGGTTAGCGCTGCGGACTTTCATTATCTAGGGCCTCCAAACCGTTGGCGACATCTTCCGCAAATGCCATGTTCAGCAAGGTGTATCCGCAAGGTGAAGGTCGGTACCCAGCATCTTTGCCATGGAATTCGTGGGTCCATCAATTCTTCACTGGCTCATACTCCACGCTCAATGATAAGACGTTTCCGGTGGAATCAATCGGACCCTGCGCTGCTGTCCATTAGTTCGTTTGTCGCTGCAACCTCGTATCGGCAGGCATTTTTCGAGGCAAAGGATTGGGAGTCCGAGTCGGGCTGACACAGTCATGGCGATGTCCTGCTGCAAGGTCTCAAATGTACCCCCTGCTCGCAGCTTGCTGACTTTTAGGGAAGAAAGCTCCACCAACGCAACAGGCAGCCGAAAGGCGAATAATGAAAAACACTTCGGATCAGGATCGGTAAGGCAAGAGGGAGGAGCAGAAAATTCTTGATCGAGGGTAGAGACGGCGCATGTGAGGGAGCAGTGAATGCAGGGACAGATATTGCTGCGTGACCAACTACCGAGCGAAGCATGCGAGTCCATTTTGATCAAGTCTCCCCCAACATGCTCGCTTGTTCGGCAGCCTTGAAAATGTCACGGCGCGTGCGAGGTGCGTAGTCCGTAGGAGTGTAGGTCTTTGTTCGGCGTCCCTTTACTGGGTAGGTAGTGGCTTCATTCATGGCCTTCCAGTCCTAAATGTAGGTACCGAGGGATTCAGACAGCATTGCCTTGGTCAATGTGAGATTCTCGGCTCGGGAGCAAGAAGAAATTGGGGACCCTGGAGTGGAAATCCATAAGCAGGATGCTCCTCAAGCAAAGTTTCCAGTCTTGAGGTTTACGAGATAATGAAGTCAAGACAAACAACCAGATGTACCGCAAGTGTGTGGTACGTACCTACTACTATAGATTGTCGTACAACTTGAACTCTGGGCAAGCGCAGTGTCCGCAACAACTTTTCCCCGTACCGACCTCCACTCCCCGTGATCTGCCCCCTTTTTCGATCTTCTCTGCCCACCGGGGCCGCATCGAAATTAGGCTTGCGTGTACCATCAAACAATGTCTATCTATCAGGTCAGGCCAATTTCGCTGTGATTCTCCTCCGCCCAACGTGTTGTTATATTCCAACTCCAACACAGCGTACCCCATCGGGGCAGCTAACCTTCGGTCCATCAGCAGTGCTTGAGCGTGGACACAACAACCGGTCTGTCCATGGTCTTGAACTCCACCCTGATATCCATACCCTAGAGGTCAAGCACCTTTTGCTGTGCTTTCCATGAGGTATGCGCCAAGTGGGACCCTCTTAACATGGAACTCCCTCTCATTGCGAAGCAAGCCCCCAGCCATACGATTTCCAATGATTGAACGTGCTCTCGCAGCAACTCCGGAACTTGCGCCGAAGAACTAATAAGCCGCCCGCGTATTGCGGCTATCCCAGCCCCGACTGCCGCTTTGTGTCAGTGTATACAACCGACGCAATCATGAGAGCGACACGTAATGTACATGTCAAAGCCGCGAGCCCTGCCCCAAGTCAGGCTCCTAGCCAGAGACAGTAATTTACGGGAGGCTCCTTGTTAGGTGCTCCGATCAATGTTGGAACCATATCGATCGGATCGAGTAGCGGTGCGCTGTCATTTCCGTATGTGGCCCGAATATGTTCATCAAGCATGGCTGTGTCTCACCTGGTACGTCCTGGCAGCGGGCAACTTGTAAACTGGGGCCCAGTGCTCCGCGCGGGAAGTTGCTGGCTTTAACGTCGATGAAGGCCACCCAGAGTTGATACCCTCGGGTACATTAGCCTGGTCGGTGAGCCACTGAGTTAAGACCAAGGACAGATGGACCCGGCCGGTGCTTCCTTATCTTGCTGGTTCCGTAGCCTCGTCTGCAGGTTCATCCATTCAGTTAAGTCTCGTTCATTCATTGATAATATTTTAAGACCTCTTTGACCGACAGCCTCCCGGTGAAGGCCTTGTTACTGTCAAAGTTCACAAGTCGTCCTTGCAAGCCTCAGAAACAATCACAGCTTCCGTAACATAAAGGTGTTCTTCTTCATGTAGATATCGGGACTGACCTGTTGATTGGTTCAGCCGGGTTGCTGTCCAATCCTGCGTTCCGCATGCGGCCGTCGACCAGATAGGCGAGCCTTTTCAGTCTGAGGTGTTGGACAGGGTCATGATAGAAGAACTTCTCTTGAAAAGTCTTCAAGACCTCGAAGCTATCCAGGTCGGGATGAGTCGACTGAGCTTTCCGCACAAGTTTCCCCAGGCCAGTCTTGAAGAGTTCTTCAAGAAACCAGTCTTCCACTTCACTATCAACAGCTGAACACATGGCCCCAACGCTGAGAATCCAAATTTTGACATCAGTGACTCCGACCCATTCAGTCTGGGCATTACTCTGACGCTGCAGGATTGCTTGCAGTTTGGGAGCAATCAAATATCCCAATCTTCGCAAACCCAGCACGACCATAGTCGTAAGGATCCACATAAGCAGAGCAACCCGTAGGGCCTCATGGCAAGTGTTCGAGAATTTCATGGCAAGCAGGCGATATCTTATAGCGGCGTGCCGCCATTGGACCCATCTCGCTGCGTTTTTGGTGGCCTCTACCGAACCCGCGGCCGCGTTCGTCAAAACCCAGACGCATTCGACCGTCTCCTTGACAATCTCTGCTAGCTCATCTGGGAAATAGCCACCAGCTATCTTCGCCTGCAAGGCCGGTGCGATACTGCTGAGGTTCGGTTCAGCCGCTAATTGAAGAGCCGGCGGGGTGACAGTCCAGTAAGGTCCGGGGTCATATTCGCACGGTAGATCGCATGGCTCCAGGAGAACGGCAGACATGTGGCCATCACCTATGATGAAGAGTTCCTTCACACAGGGATCGGGAACCTGGCCAAGCCCACCCCATGAAGCGAACAGTGCCTTTGCTGCTCGCATGTGGATCTTGGCTGCTGCATAGTTCTGCCGATAGGCTTCACCCGCATAGAGGTGGAAGATAATCAAAAGAAGCTGATGCTTCGAGGCGGAGCTGAAGCGCCGCCGCACGGCCGTGAGGGCGTTTCCCATGTACTTATCAGTGCCTTGGCCCGGAATCAGGTCCACATTCTCGATCCTGGCTGCCATACAGGCAAGAATTGCATTCATCTCCACCTCATTTTGCATTGCACGTCGGATCACGGCTGGTGCAGAGTTTTGATAAGTGTACGAGCCTCCGGGAGACGTCCTGCTCTCTGCATCCCATACACTAGGATGATATTTTTCGCAGAAATATGAGCACAATTTGGCGACATGAGGATCAAGCTTGACCACTGACTGGCCAAAAGGGTCCAGAGAATCGCTGATGACCTGGGTAATATCCGCCGGAGAATCCGCAATCTGCTTGCTATTCTCGGCAAAATTCAGGAGCACAGCTGATGATCCTTTGGCGGCCGACTGTTTGGCCAGCTCGTACCTCTCGGACACATCGACGCCCGCAACTGAGTTCTTTGGTAGGCGTGGCTTTTGGGGATGAGCACGCGAAACACGCCTCGTATGACGAGGATGAGAAGGCAGGGTTGTTGCAATGGCGTCGCGCTCCTCGCTGGACTCTTGATTCGCGGCTGAGTAGGAAGAGTCGCCGTCTGTGCTAGTCAAACTTGTCTTAGACGAGTCGGTTGAAGTGTTGGATTCCTCTCTGATAAAGCTTTGCCTGAATTGGTGGTTGTAGCGGCCACGGTTGGATCCGGAACGGTTGTGTTTCCGACCGCGCTGAACATGGGAATTAATGGACGATTGCTCGGAGGCGTTACTGCGAGTCAAGGATGCGCTACCGGCGTCCTTGTTGACGAATAGAAACCGAGGTGACATTTTGGAAGTCAGTCAATGAGTCTCTGCAGAGCATCATCCTTGACGCCACGCTCCATCGTCGAACCGAAGATTGCCGAAGTCCTTGTTGAGCGCTTCGTGTTGATGCGGGGCCGCTGGAACAGCACACTTGCGCCGACACTCTTCGCGCATAATAACCTCGAATATGGTGATTACTCAGGGCCTTGTGAAGTCATGCTACCCGACGTATCTCGGGCGGCGTGTACAAGCAGTATGCCCTCGATGTGAACGGGTTGAGGACGATTATCACACGGCTGGCACCTCGCGAAGATAGCTGAGATGTGATAGATTTAGGCTCGGCAGCTATCAATCCGGGCCGTGCACTTCAAGTGACGCTAATCCTCTATCGGAAGTACTAGACTCTTTTCGGCGCAGTAGTTGCCCCAGCAGAATCAATCCACATCTCAAGGCTGAAGAATCGGCCACGGCACCAGGCAAGCCATAAGGCTTAGCATCTCGGCCAACAAAGTTGTGAGTTTTGTATTTACGTCACTGCTGATGATCGCCCTCGTCCGGCTTGGAACCATTCCCGAATTTCTCGTAGAACTCCAGCGTCATGGCAGCTAGAAAGCAGGGGATCTGCTTCTTCTCCTTGACCCAGAAGTTGACCAGCTCTCTGATCTCTTCACCAAAAGCACTGTCTGGGCCTCCACTGATCTTCATCGTTCCGTTGTCTCCATCGAAGACAATGTAATTTTCTTCTTCTACTTCACTGTCCTCGTCTGCATCCTGAGAGTGACCGTAATATAGGCTTGACACCTTGGCTTTGCCGTTGGGGAGGAAATTGACCTTGTATCCCAACACGCTGGCGATAACGTCTCGGAACTCGGCCGCTTTCTGCGTCCAAATTTCCCGCTGCCGCCGCATGCGCTTCTCCTTTTCCGCCACTACCATCTCCATATCTTTCAGATCCAGTTTGAGTGCATCCACGGTACTCGTAGGGACCATCTTCACGCTCTGAAGATCCTCTCCATGCAGCTGTGCGAGAAGCTCGGCGTTTTCCTGCTTGAGCGTGCGGAGTGTCGACATTTTGATAGCCGCGGCGTTGGCCGTGGGGTTGTCTCGCAACTCCAAAATTCGTGTCTTAGAGCTTTCACGAAGGGCTTTCAGCTGCTTTTTGGTGGCCTGCAAGTCTGTCGCCAGCATTTGTGACTGCTGAGCGGTCTTCTGTAATGCGATTTGTAGGTTCTTGTTCTTGCGCAACAAAGCCCCCAGCTGCGAGTTGCTTTCGCCACCCGCATCCTGTGAATCCGCCGAACGTTTCGTTCCTCGGGGCTCCTCCGGAGGTGCAGGGGCTGCTGGAGGAGCCGTCTCCAGTTTCGTGAGGTCGGAATGGAGCTGCTGCACCTCCGCTTTGTATTGGTCCACCAAGGCTTCCAATTGCTTGATTTGCTCAGAGCGCTGGGCGTCAAAGTTCTGGTTATCCATTAGTACCGTTTCCTCGGTGTCAAATGTCTTGAGTTGGGCGCGCAAATATTCGACCTCTTTGACCGCCAGGACTCGTTGTCTTTCTAGTCGCTTGTAGGCTTTGTTGTCGGGAACTCTATCGCCTTGTCCAGCTTGCGCTGACCTCAACTTGTCCACTTCGGCCTTCAGGGTTGACTTCTCTGCCTCAAGGGCTTTTATAATCTCATCTTTCTCGGCCAGATCACTCTCCACCGTGCCGAGCCTGTCCGTAATCGAAGCGTACTCGATGCGCTGCTGAATGAGCGCTTTCACCACCGCCTCAGGGGACTTCAGTTCGTCCCCGTTTCCAGACTCGCTTTCTAGCAGTGTTGTCCATGTTCGCTTCTCGTCCTCTAGGATTTCTTTCTGGATCTGAGCCTCGCCCAACTGCCTTTCGACGTCTTTCAAGACTTGTAACTCGATTTCAAGCCCATGTTTCTGCTCCTCTACCACTTGGACGCTGCGGTGAGTTTCACGCAGTCGACGCAGCTCGCCGAGTTGCTCCCTATTGGTTGCCTCGAGTCTTCGGATATGCGACACCTGCTCGGAGAGCTGATTCTGCAGGACATTGAGTGCGTCGCCATCTGAAGAATGCGATTTCAACGAGGCCACCTCAGCTTCCAGTGCCGCAACCTGGTCGTCTCGTTGTGACAGGCGGGTTTGTACCGATTCAAAATGCTGCGTCAAGTCGTCAAGCTCTCGCTTCATGTTATTGACCGTGTCCTGAAGAGCCGCACGCTTCGCCTCGACATCGTCCAGTTGGTATTTGTAATGACGTTCTTGATCGGCCAGTCGCGCTTGCGCATCCTCTGCGTCTTCTTTGAGTGACGAGTTCTGGTCCTGTAAATTGCGCAGCTTTCGCTCCAGGGCGGCCTTCTCGTTGGTGCTCTGGTCCTGCGCCTCTCGGAGTTCTTTGGCCAGTGCCTCTTGCCGTTGCATCGCCTTCTGGGCGGCACTCTCGGCGGCCTACACGAGTAAGTCAGAGCCTCTTCCGCACTGAAATCCTTGTTCGCACCTGGTACTTCTTGAAATCAGCCTCCGCCCTGGCCTGCTGGTCTCGAAGCTCTTTGTCATGTTGTAATGCTATCAAGCCCCGTTCTTGTTGTAGGTTCTTCAATTCATATTCGAGCGAGTTGATTCTCGCCCGCAGGTTCTCATCGTGGGCATGATCTTCGAAAGCATCAGTATCTAAGGTTTGTGGTATCCCATTGACGGCGCCCCATCTCACCTGGCCTTGTTACTGACGATTGTCGCAACCTCGATTGTCGTAAAGGTTGCCCGGTGTTTTCCTCTGCCCCGCCCGTGATGAAGTCGTACGTAGGTTGCGTAGTCGTATGTCTGGTATGCCCGGCCTGTTCCGAGTCAGCAAGGAAGCCACGGCTGGCTTCTAGCATTGAACCTACCGCCGAGGTCGGTCGCGGAAGGGCTGACTGCCCCCCTTGGAGGCTCTTCCTGCCGGAAAGTGATGACCGAGACGTCGAAAGGCGCATCCTTTTCGAAGCCGGCGAGCTCATCGCGTCGGATTAGGCAGTTGGAGCCCGACCAAGTCCTAGGACCAGCAATCAAAACTTATAGTCAAACTGCCAGTGCGACGTTAAGTCCCATTGCACACTGTTTACAGCCTCCCATTTCGGAGTTCTCGAAAGTTGGCTTGGCTTCATGCTGCTTTTTACTGGGTACAGCATACGATCATTATTGGCTGACCGTTGGTAAAGAGGCATGTAGTGACCGATTTTGATAGCATGACTCGCCATCTGGTACACTCACGTGAATCGCATGATTCGTGGATGGCCGCCTTTCCGCCAGACCAAAGTACACCAGCGCCAGCGATAGACTGCCGCCGATAAATATACAACCTCGCCGACTGGATAGACGCGATGGCTCGCTCTGGAGGAAAACGAGGTACAAAGTCAACAGCTGCGTCATCCTCCTTCAACCCGAAACCACAGGCCAGTTCTTCCTCCGGCCCTCCTACACCTTTCCAGTATGCCCCCGTCTCGCTTCGACCATTCCTCTCGACGCTTCCTACCGACCATATATACCTCGTTCACCTCGATAACACACCTGCGAGCTTGAAAAAGCGAGTCTTCGTTGTTCCTCTACTCCTCAATATTCTCATCATTGTCGGGCTGTGCGTCCGAATCTACTATGCAGCGCCAGTCTATCTTGAGCAGATCATTACGGTCTTTGGCTATGATACATCCTATACCGTCAACACGAAGACTGCAGGGGCAGGCGAACTCATGAACATAATCAGTTCCAGGACGTTTTTGTTGATGGTGGACTATGCCATTTTTGCATTGATTGGCAGTTGGCCTCGAGAATTCTTTCTTGGGAGTAAGAACTCTAGATTTATGGGGCCGTGGCAATGGCGGTGGAATCTGGGCTTCAGGGACACTGAGATCATTGTCCGGAGAGGAAGAAGCTGGGATACACCGTTGCTCGTCGGGGACATACCAGATCAAATCAAGACCTGGAGGATTGACGAAGAATTGGCCATCAAGGTCAAAGTTGACCCTGCTATGCGAACCTCTTACATCGCAAAGACCGGCTACCTTCTCCTCGACAAGGACTGGGATCTGGACTTCACGGCCATGCTGGATGCCCATCGGTTGGTGGATAACGGGACCGTGCAACTGAAGGACCTTGAGAACCTGGCACTGGTATATTACAAGAAACAGTGGCTAGTCTGGCATGTGCACGAGCAGCTTCCGCAGCCGAGCAAGGAGGCTGGGCAGCAAGATGACAACCTGGAGAAGTTCAGGGCCAAGCTTGCAGGCCTCGGGGCAGAAGACGTCTTCTTCCGCTGGATTGAAATTGTTCAGTTTGAGACGTCCCAGCTGGGAGGCTTCACGGAGGAACGGCGAGGCGAGGCCCTGCGAGAACTGAAAAGTCGTCTGACAAGGAAAGGAGTGGATTTTGCCAGTTTCCTCGAGGATATTGGTGGACAGGATAGTTTGCCTGGGTTTGAGTCTCAGCGTACAACATAGACGAGCTTGGCCTCCAGATTCTGGAGACAGGTAGAGGCATGATCGAGACCATGATCACGAAAGACACCAGCAAGACTACCACGGTCTTTGCCAAAGCTGAGATATCGCGTCGGCTGTTGGCCTGTTTAGAATCAGTTGCGACTGTTGGCGTGCGATGTTGCCCCTCACAATATTTTTATACTTATCGCCAGTTTTAACCCGCGCTCCATTGGCATATTGAAGACGCCCCCAAGTAAAAAGTTCGCCGGAATCAACTGCCTCCTCAACCTGCGCCCTACAAACACCTGCCACAGTACACTCATTTACTCACTTCTCACCTCGAACTCCTCGTTGCCCCGAAAAACCTCACAAAATGTCTGCTTCCAAGCTATATCTCGCCGTTGTCGGCGTCGGCGGCGTGGGGACAGCATTCCTGTCGCAACTGGCATCGCTCCCCTTCAAGCTTCGACCGACGTTGGTGTTCGTCTCCCGATCCTCCAAGCAGCTATACACGCCATCCTACGACGCTGTGTCCGTCTCTGATCTACAAGCGTCCACGTCAAAACTGCTGTCCCTGTTCGAACTGGTGAACTACCTGTCCTCGGCGCCAGGGAAGGCCATCCTCGTGGACAACACATCGAACCAAGACGTAGCCAACGCATACCCATCGTTCCTGCGCAAAGGCATCAGCGTCGTGACACCGAACAAAAAAGCATTCTCCGGCACTTTACAGCTATGGAACGACATTTTCGATGCCGTCGAGTCCTCGGACGGCCAGGCACTGGTATACCATGAATCGAGCGTTGGGGCTGGTCTGCCTGTAATTTCGACGCTTAAGGATCTTGTTTCCACCGGCGACCAAGTCACGCGCATCGAGGGTGTCTTTTCGGGCACGATGTCGTTCCTCTTCAACTCGTTCGCGCCGGCAGATGGGACCGGTGACGGCAGCAAGTGGTCCGAGATCGTGGCCAAGGCCAAAGAGGCAGGCTTCACGGAGCCAGACCCACGAGACGACTTGAATGGCATGGATGTGGCTAGAAAATTGACCATCCTCGCCAGACTTGCTGGCCTCAAGGTCCAAGGTCCCGACAGCTTCCCTGTTCAAAGTCTTATCCCTAAGGAACTCGAGAGCGCCAAATCGAGCGATGAATTCATGCAGAGATTGCCCGAATTCGATGGCGAGATGGAAGGATATAAAGACGAAGCGGCCAAGGCTGGAAAAGTCGTTCGCTATGTCGGATCAGTCGATGTTGCTGCTGGCAAGGTGAAAGTCGGTCTCGAACTGGTCGAGAAGGGAACGCCCATTGCCAGCCTTAGAGGAAGTGATAACCTTATCTGCTTTTACACGAAACGGTATGGTGCGAACCCGTTGGTCATCCAGGGCGCCGGTGCCGGTGGCGAAGTGACGGCCATGGGCGTCACTGCAGATCTTATCAAGGTTGTCGAGCGGCTACGTTAGATTTAGAGCAGGTGTAAAAGTGGCAAAAGTTATACTTGACTGTACAACTATATACGCCATTATCCTCGTTTTGTCTCATTCGTGCCAGAGAGACGCGCTGCTGGTTCCACCCAAGAGGTCAAGCAAGTATGCGTTGACACCGTCAACTCCTGAGATATCTCTTGACAGCTTCACCCCAGACAGCACCTCGTTTGTAGAAATGCATCTGCGGGGCATTGCCCGATTTAAGACCGTCAATTGCAGTGGCCAGCTCCTCCCCGAGGCCTTCATCCTTGATCCGCTGGATAGGATACAAATAAGTATGGAATGCAAAGACGAGCGCTTGGGACTTGGGCAGCCGATGCAGGGTTTGGCGCTCGCAGCGCAAAAAGGTCTTGTCGACGTCGATGTGATCGAGCTCCTCGACAACGTCACCTTCATGGGCATGCGTCGAACCCTTTGCCGCCGCAAACAGCTCGCTGTGCGTCGTGACGGTCCAGTTCACCCGCTTGACGTACTTGCCGGCCTCGACTCTGGAGAAGAAGCGGTCCATGCTACCCTCGAGCTTGGCGGCATAGCCGGGAACGGGCTCGTGGATGGCTGCCAGACGCTTGCCGAGCTTTTCGGCCGGATCAAATCCTGACGGGCACACATTCACATACGCCTCAAGGACGTATTTGGGGTCTTCAGTGTCCTCTTCCGGCAGGAGGAATAGAAAGTCTTCATCCACTGTCTGGCCGAGGGTATGGAGAAGCTGCTCCGTTGGCGTCTGCGGTGTCACTTTGGCCGGAAACAGGGCCCCCGTGACACGATTCTCGAGCATAAATGTCTTGCCTTGCTCGTACTCGGTCTCGTGCAGCTTGAACAACGTCGGGAACCGCAGTGGTAGGTACGTGCCGAGGAGGTACTGGTACAGCTCGACAACGGCCGGGCGGATCCGAAAGTCGTCGTGCACGTTGATAACGTGTTTCCCGTGCTCGGCCATGATGCGCCGTCGGTATGCGATGCGCTCCTCGTACGTGTTGTCGATCATCAGCAGCTCCGAGGGCGACAGATTCTCAAGTGCTGATTCGTCAGACTCGGCTCGGTAAGGTCAGTCTCTCCCTTTCCGCTGGGAGCGGGGGCACAGACAAAAGAAAGCGGGCAGGGACATTCATATGGCAGATGGGACTGCTAATGCCATGGGTGTGGAGGACGGAACTTACCCATTGTCAAGTGATATTTGGGCTTGAATGGCCGGAGCTGCAATGGTTCCGTTGTCTTCCAGTCGAAGTCCGCTTGTTCTTCGACTGGTGGGAACTCGGGGGCTTTGAGGTACCGGTTGTCATGGCCGGCTTTTGCTGCTTCTTGCTGGGGCGATGTTAGGTTGAACACGTGCTGGGGATGGTAATAGAGCAGACTGGATAGTCTTGAACAGTTCACGCACCTGTTTGACCTTGGCCTGTCTAATCGCCAAGAAGACAAAGACAATCAAAAGAATGACATTGAGGTAGTTGGCAAGCGTAAACCGCGAGGCTGCTTGGATATCTTCCCAGGACCTTATGTGCCATAAAAAGGAGGGCTTTTCAATGTGAGACAAATGGTTTGGCATGGCGCAACACCTACACCGCAACCTGTGGCCACGACCAAGTCACAAGTTATTGGAAATACCCTCAAACACAGGCGGGTAGTCAAGTGATCTTGGGAACACTTCAAGCTGTCGAGAAGTCCTAGGTCGTGAGTGATAGTAGCATGGTTCAGTGTAATCGGCATGAGCACAACTCTAGGTCATGCCAGTGTCACCATGATCAGAGATAAACGCTGTGAGCGAGCATCTGCTGGGCCACTTCAATGCACGCCCAATGACATCCATGAACAAATACACTTTGCAGTAGTACCTAGGTATGTAACCGAGGAGATTGGCTGTACCATCCGAGTCCCCATAGTATGGATTAGCTTGTTGATATGGGTGGGCCTGGGGTAGCAACCGGTGCATGGTCTGGATGGTTGACCGCTCTTCTCCGGCAGACTCGCTCCGAAACAGTCATGTGATCAAAGCAGGGTTGCTGACTAAGAATGTTTTCAAGAAGCTGCACGTGCTCACCTCCCATTCACATGCACGCTAAACCCAAAACACCATCTGACGCTAAGCTGTATCCATTTTTGACGCTAAACTCCATTCATCGAAACGGTGGACAAGTGACCGACAATGGGTCAGATCATCAGTCTGCCTGTTGCTGGCAACGATGTTTCCATCAGTCGTCAGTTTGATAACCAACACGCCCTGATCCAGAATTACCATGCTGTCAGAGGTGCCAGGGTGATGGCTTTGAAGGTCTACATCTCCCACACCGGCCAAAGCCTCACATACACCAATGCCGATCCGAATACCCGTGTCGAGACCCTGCGGACATGGATCGAATCCACCGCAGGTATACCGACTGGTCGTCAGATCTTGATGACCAGCCGTGGCAAGAACGTCAAGAACTTATCTAACGAAGTCGAGGTCTACGTCTACGACAAACAGGTCCTCTCCTCCGACGCCCAACCTCCAACCCGGAACGATCTCGAACTGTCACGGCTCTCCGCACCCCCTTCCTCCCTCGCCGATGAGAACAGCCTCAAGGCATGGCAGGACTTGTTCATGTCAAGACGGGCATGGGCGCTGGAAGCCTTTGAAATAGCCAGGACCGGGGTCGAAAACATCGAGCTGTGTGCTGACGAGGCCATAATCATTGCCCGATCGAAGCAAGTTGCCTTGGACAACCTGCGAACCCACGTGACGTCCCTACAGCAGCGATTCGAAGAGACACGTCAATGGGCCGAGAACTACATCCAAGACCACCGGGATGTCCTCGAAAACTGGAAAGCACGTGTCGGTGCACTGGGTGAGTTGCCGGTGCGCGAGGACGTGGCCAAGGTCCTGCGTCGCCAGGTCGAGCAGGAAAGTGACCGCATCGCTGCTCCTATCGGCACTCTGCTTGACTTGGTCGATCAAGATGCACTTCATGTTGCCGCCGAGAGTGTCCAACAGAGTTCGGCTGAGTTCGAAGGGAAACTACAAAAGCTTCAAGCAGCCATGGACAAGCTCAAGATCGATACCAATGAAGTAGGACGCCGGTCGACGGCCATACCGGAGATCGACACAAATGCTTTGCTGGATGAAGCTGAGACTCTGGCCAAGCGTATCACCCTTGACTATGAGGATGTCCTGCAGATGCAAGACAATCCGAAGTCGGTGGCCGCGGTCTCCAGGAAGGCTGCAGTCCATACAAGAGAGTTACTACCCGCCCTCGAAGCTGTGGTGGAGGAGATCATTCATGCATCCAAATCTGCGTCAGAAGTAAGAAATACCGTGTCGAATGAGTGGTATTCCGCCCTTCGAAATATCTCCAGCCTTCAGTCTCGCCTTGCTGAAGCCCAGTCTGCTACGTCGAATCTCGATTTCCATGACGACGAGAATTTTCAGCTACTGAGCCGGATTTTCCACTTGCCATTAGTTTATGGTGCAACCTTGATCGAGGCAACCCGCCGATCGGAATGGACGGAGCGGATGAGGGCCGAGATCGATGTTCTCCACGAAGACCTGTCCGTCCAGACGGAGGAGGAACAACGGCGCCGCAAGAAATGGACCGCCGCACATAATGATTACTTGGACCAGGATCTAAACGCCAAAGACGCCCTTGTGGATCTGAAGGCCTCAGCCCCGAGGAACTCATGGCCATTCGTGATCAGGGATGAAATATTCGCCTGGGTGGATGACCTGACGGCTTTGAGGATCGATGATGCCGTCGAAGCCCTCTCACAGCGATTGAAAGATCTGGACGCCCCAATCCGCAAGCAGAAGCCAAAGCCTTTCAAGAACGGAAGCATCCATGATCTCAGCCAAAGTACGGCCCTACGCAGCGGAACCGACGTCAAGAATTTACAGGACGAAAAATCTAGGCTTGAAGAGAAGCTGAGAGCTTCGGATAGCCGAGTTCGTAAATTAGAAGATCTGCTCCACCGCCAAAGCCAGATGAGCCGCCCGCCTAGTGGGATATTCGTCCCCGGCGGCGCCGCGGAGTTCGAACGACAGACGCCCTCACCGGGTCCGGTCGCAAGGCAGAGTGACCTCTCAAGAAGATCGTCTGTGTCTCTCCGCCGATTGTCCAATACTCAAGATGAGAAGTCTCTCGTGCAGAAAATAGTTGCTTTAGAAGGGCAAGTCCACAAATTGCAGGAGGAGGCCCTTGCGGAGAGACGTTCAAGCACGGAAAGCAGAGACAAGATGCATGAGGCCGAGCTCGTCAAGAGAGACCTCATGGCAAACTTTGAAGCCCAGAAGCAAGAATTCGAAGAGGAGCGCCAGCTGCTGGATGACGAAGTGCATAGGCTCAAGGTCAAACTTGACGAAGCAGAGGACGAGCTCGATCGACTAAACGAGTCCAGAGACCATCTGCGGACGGAACAGGATCAAGCAATCGCCAACCTCCGTGAGGAGTTGGAACAAGTGAAACGAACTGCTGCGGAGGACGTAGCTAAATCAGAGCGTAAGCTTGAGAATGCTCAGAAGGAGACCAACATCCAACGCGAGAAAGTCGCAAACTTGGAGCGTCAGCTGCACCAAGTGAGGGACGAAAGAGCTGCTGCACAAGCTCAGAACATGACTTTGGCGAAGCAGCTCCGAATCATGGAGGACCAACAGCAGGAATACATCACCGTCCTGCAAGGCGCGCATTCGAATCTGTCTCCTGCTGGTTCTCCTCCAGACAACCTCCAGCGTCTTGTCAATGCCCTTGAGATCCTTTCAGAGGGAGCAGCAATCCATACTCGTGGTCTCGATGATTCCTTGCAACTTGCGCTGGCAGAGAACAAGGCGCTCGAGGAGAAGGTCCTGCAAACCGAATCCCAAGTTAAGGCCTTGGTAGCTCAGCTGTCCATGGCCGAGACGCAGTCTGCCGAGCTGCGGGAGAGCCTTGACCAGGAACGAAGCAAGATGTCAGGCTTGCGCACTGAGCTAGCCAGTGAGCGGGCAGAGATCCACAGCCTCCGGGAGAAGTTCGCTGCAGGCGAGACGGGATCGGATGCGCTGAGACAGCAGCTGCAGTCGGAGGCACAAAAAGTTGTTGAACTTCTGGACCTCAAAGCCGAAGATGAAGCCAAAATTCAGCACCTTAAGCACGAAATCGAAGAGCTGAGACGTGAGTCCTCGACCGCTGCCGAGAAACAAGACACTTTGAAGAGGCATCTTGATAGTCGCGGCGAGAAAGCCAAGCAATTGTCGGAACGTCTTTTCCATCATCACGACCGAATCGTCCGCATGCTGGAGCAGTTCGGATACATGGTGTCGAAGCAAGACGACACTCTGATCATCCTGCGCGCTTCAAAGGTCAATGCCAGTGCCATTCTCAGCGGTGGCGAAGGCTCCGGGGCCTCCACGATGAAGCGTACGATTTCCGGCTCCGCACCTGTACAGCACTACTCTGATCCTTCGGATCTGGAAACGCTCTACTGGATGTCCGACAATGACCTGGACTCCGAATCAAGCAAGTATACCAGCTTCCTCGGCGCTTTGCAGCGTCTCGATGTCGACAGTACGATCGACCTGGTCACCAAACGCTACAAGGACGTCGAGAGCCTGGCCAAGAAATACCAGAAGGAGTCTCGTGCATACCGTGAGCGGACACATCGGAGTCAAGCAGAAGCTCATGACAAGATCGCGTATCGGAGTTTCAAAGAAGGCGACCTGGCGCTGTTTCTCCCCACTCGGAATCAAGCGACACGACCGTGGGCGGCATTCAACGTCGGGGCGCCCCATTATTTCCTTCGAGAGCAAGACGCACACAAACTGCAGGCACGTGACTGGCTACTGGCGAGGATCACCAAGATCGAGGAACGTGTGGTTGACTTGTCCCGGAGCCTGTCCACAGGTATGCAAGGCAATGCCTCAACCAGCGCTAGTGTGGACGATGGAGGATCTATGCGGTCTGTTGAAGACGAGAACCCATTTGAACTATCCGATGGTCTTCGATGGTACATGATTGACGCCACCGAAGAAAAACTGGGCGCTCCCGGCACGCCATCCGTCGGCAAATCCACCGTCACAGCCTCCAACGTTGAAGTTAAGGGCCACATGGGAACGGGACGGAAGGAACATAAATCGGGAATGAGCATCGGAGGCGGCATGGGAGGCGCAAGTGCCACGACAAATATGGTGACCAAGACATTGACCAAGAGCCTTGACAGTCGTCGGTCCAGTTCGGGCAGCAAAAAGAGCGTGGACCTCAAGGGCAAACACGATACCATCGGCGCCAGCCGGGGTGGCAGTAATGTTAAGGACATGACCAGCAAGGCGCCACTCGCACCGATCAAAAGCGACACCGATGCAGAGCAGGCTCAACCCGAATGCGACGAAGCGGGTGCAGACGCGGACGCAGAGACGGAGCGTGATGAGGGAGAGGCGGCACGACCTGACAACCAAGCCGGCCCTGTGGCGAGTATGGTCCGCCAGCCGACCGCCGCCAGCGCGACGGACAGGGAAGATGCACAGGTCTTTGAAGTGGTGAGGAGGGATCTCCTGCTCGGCCCATGAAGCATTGCTGCTTGACAAGTTGAGTTGGCTGATGATGAATCAATTCACCTTTAGACCGGTCCTGGTCCATTTGCCTCTGTCGCTCCCGGGGAGGCTGTGTCCATGAGTACCAAACGCAACCCAATGTACGATTTGTCGTACTATCGTCCCGATACGAAACCTGGTGGTGTTGGTGTTGTGCTGGAGCGTCTCCGCCACCACCCGCCCCTACATCCCCAGCGAGCAAACAACATGAACAGCAACACTACGGGAGATATCTCTTCCACAAGTTTGTCACGCCCTGCGTCGCAATCAACGCTGAGACGAAACGTTGTCGGGCAGACACCGACAGCGAGGCCCGCCCGACAGGTGGGATCCTCGAGTGTGTCTTCCCCATCTCCCTCGAAGCCCAGAGCTTGGGATAAGCTGTTTAGCATGGAGTACCGGTCTTAGTTTACAAGAAGAAGCTCGCAGCGGCTGTACGAGACATAGGGCCTGTCGTTTCTTACTCTAGCTAGCAGACAATGCAGGCACTGTGTGTTTCTCTAACCGTGAACTATCGGACATGAACTTGAACAACATGATAGGCAATCCTTCCATCTGCGTATATGTCCCGAACGTCCTATTGTACCTAGGTACTAGTAATAGGTAGTAGTAGCGGTGACCACCGGAAGGTTATTCGGCCGAGCAGGAAAACGAGTAGGGCACGTGATCTTGGGTGACGTTTCAACTTGAAGTTCGTGTTTGAAGTGCCGGTGCATTGGCCCGAGGAACCTCATTCCAAATCAAGTTGCCAGTGCAGAGTGCCATCAGGCCCATGGGCGAGCTCAACGTAGCAACCTACCACTAGGAATGTCATCACACGAAGCATGTTGATAATTAGAGCTGGATCAAAACACGGTATTCATGCTCGATCACGTGATGCGCCTGGATGCCGTGCCGAAACGCGCCCGTCCTGCAAGTCATCAAGCGATAGCGAAATGGCTGCTGCTACAGGAGAAAGTAAAATGTTGAAGTGCAGCTGAAGTGCAGGCGGAACAGGTTCAAGTTACTATTATGTGAGGATGATGTAAGATGGATTGAGAGCAAAGGAGTTTGCTGAACAGAATGACGCGAGGGTGGAAAGTTAAGGAGATCAGATTGCGTGTTTGACGATCTACTAGTGGGTGGTTGGGTCAAAGGGAGGTAGGAGAGGAAGGGAAGAGAAGCGAAGGAAGTGAGGGAGGAAGAGCACGGAGAAGGAGAGGGAGGAGCAGCACAGAGCAAGGACGAGGGGAGGATGAGGTTGATGATGATGGCATGTTGCTCTACCGCCAGTAGCAGTTGGCGGTTGATGGAGATAGGGGATGATTTGATCGTGGTACAGTTTTGCCCGCCTACTAATGATTTGGGCGTTGTCATTTGTTCACGTTAGGGATCAGGATTGTTATTGTTTGACTGATCTGGCGTGGCATTTGGCTGCCGGCGGGCGCCTGTGAGTGCTGCGCGCGCTGTGAGTGGCCCTGCGCCCGGAGCGAGGGAGCAAAGCTGACTTGCGATCAGTGATCGGGGGGTTTGCTCGCTGCCTCGCACTGCCAGTTGCCAGGAGTGTACCTAGGTAGCTACGGCCACACTGGGCACCAGCTGCCGGCCCAGGCCCGCACTGGCAAGTAGTGACTGACCGACTGACGGACTCGCGTACGAGTAACAATACACCTCAATGGGGGTGATAGCAGTAGTAGCAGTACTAGTAGTGGCTGTCGTGCCAGTGATGGCAGCCGTAGCACCAAGGGAGGTGCCTAGGAGGGCAATAGCAGCAGCGGTAGTTGACTCCCTGTCACTGGCAGGCAATAACAATACCGGGTAACGATCAGTCACTGCGGTCAGTCACTGGGCAATCAGTCAGCTAGTAGCAGTAGCCAGCCCGCCAGCCAGTGGTCGGTCAGGCTCCTCCCACTCCCGCTCGCAGTGGCACTGGCACTCTGCCACTCTCCCTCCCTCTCCTACTACTACTACTACTCCTACTACTCCTCCTACTACTACTGCTGCTCTCTCACAGTACTGCTTCCTCTGCGCTGTACTCACCCATTTCGCTGTGCACGCATTCTACGCCCACTGTTCCTACACATACGCCATTTGGTAAGTACACGCCTTTCTTCTCTACCATCTACCACCTCGTCGCCCAACTTTTTTCTCTGTTGTCGCTCATTGATTCCTCGCAAAATCCCCGTTCAAAATGCCCTTCTCGTCATCATCCGACCCTATTTGCCCTCTCCCGCAACCTCACCGTCGCCGTCGCAGCGGCCGCCGCCATGGTCGCCGCATCATCACAGGCTAATAGCCACAACCACAATTCGCATCGCGCAATTCTCTTCTTGGACGCGTTTTCGCATCGTTGGTCCGTCTAGCTCCCTTATGGATGCGCTTGGTCATGAGCAAACACGCGTTTGGAGCGCGATTGCGCCCTTACCAAACAACACTGCACGCAATCACCTGCGCAACCTTTTACCTGCGAGCGACTCCCATGCATTGAGATGCCCTGCATTGGTTTCGCAGGACCATTGTCGCCAAATTTCATTGCTTGCGCTGCCACTGCTTTGTCACACTTTCAACCTCACCTGCTTCCGCAAAGTCCTACATATACCTGCAATATACTGACGCGTTTCTTTTCTAGAACACCTGCCTCTCTCCAAAGTTCAGAACCCTTTACGAACAACACAATGCCTAAAGCCAGCAAATCCTCCAAGACCAAGGGTCGCGGTGAGAAGAAGAAGAAGGGTCAGTACACACACTCAAGTCCACATTGCAGGATCGCTCGAGCAGAACTGACGACTCTCAGACCCCAACGCGCCCAAGCGAGGACTCTCCGCATACATGTTCTTCGCCAACGAACAGCGCGAATCGGTCCGTGAAGAAAACCCAGGCATCAGCTTCGGTAGGCCCATTCGTCCCACTACGTGCTCACCCGCGCATACTCATAGCCTGTACAGGTCAAGTCGGCAAGGTCTTAGGTGACCGATGGAAGGCGCTCAATGAAAAGCAGCGTGAGCCATACGAGAAGAAGGCCCAAGCCGACAAGAAGCGGTATGAAGATGAAAAGGCCAAGTATCAAGTGAGTTCAACCAACCCACTCTAAGGAGTTAGAACGTTTATCTGACGCACGACCAGGCCGGCGGTGATGCTTCTGATGACGACGAATGATTGATGCGACACATGGTTAATACACGTTGACATGGTCGCCTTTCATTCTCCTATTTTGTCGTTATGCTTTCACTAGGCAATGACTGGCTGGGAGGGCGTGGGTTTTTGGAGTCGGCTGCGGAACGGTCGGTATGCTTCATTTGCAGCATATTACGCGAAATGCATCGAGCGTGTAAGACATGGCCGGGGGAGACACACAAGACACGCCTGTGTCACGGCGAACGATCGAGCTGCAACCTCATGTGTTGAGCATACCGGGGGGTACTTGCTGTATACTAGCTCATTATGCAATGCAATATCAAGTACACCTTGGCTTGTGACCGACCTTTACTAGTAGGAGTCTGCTCGGGTGTTTCTAAGATAAGATCTCGGCGCGCGGACGACATGGAACGCGTCGAGCACTGACGCGCGTGTCGACCGTGTTGCCGGGAGTTGAAGCTCTACAACATCCACATAGTACTAGAAGCACCGTTCCCCTTCAACTTTGATCATACAGTAGATCTTCACACGCCGTCCGCCCTCATCGAATGTCCTTCTTTCAGATTGCTGGGGGCGCAGGAATCTCGGCTGGGCTATGTACACATTGAATCCGAACTCAGTCTGCTGTGGCCGACCTGGGCACCTTGACTTCGCGCTTTTGGCCCCTTCTACGTATGACTCGCGCCTTGGCCTTCCCCCCGGGAGCAAACGCAATGCCCAGCGGCTGCTCTTTCAGCCTCCTTTGAGTTATACATATCAGGAGCCGTACAGCTTTCTCTTCTCCAAACCAAAATACAGGACAATGATCGAGCGACCATTTCAACTACCTGTCAATGACCCTGTTGTAAGCCACCATCACACGCCCAAACACCCAGCAACAGAGGAGAGAAAGACTTCCGACGACGGCCCTCTAATGGTCGAAATCGAAGCAAGGTAAGACAGTATTCTCCTCCATGAACCTGGTTCCGTTGCATCTTTTCAAGATGTAAGCACACGTCGTACTGCGTGACAGGCATCGCTTGTCTCCAACTTGAACGCGATGCAAGCTAGTCCTGCGCATGCCTAGACCCTAGGTGACAACGCCTACAGGTATGCCGCTTGTCTCTATGGGGCGGTACTACTGTTCGCCAAAAGGACGTGAAAGGCCCCGGGAACACCCCGGGTTCACCAACCTCGAACGGCAAAAAAGGAAAAATGTCCAACTGGCCCTTCGACACTGACAGAGCATTACGGGAACCACCTCAGAGCTTATGCTGCAGTGCGTCTGTCAATGACCGGGTGCGACAAATGGGCGTGTGCCATGCCTCAGTGGATCATGCAGCAGCGCCGTTGACCATCGGTTTCGCCTGCTGTCCGCTTGACACGTCAACGACCTGCATATGGTTGGTCTCCACGTATTACGAGCGTTCCAACGCCGCCCGGACGGTTCTGGAGAGTGTGCCGACCTGGAAAAGAGGTCGAGGTTCAGACTCATCATGGACTTAGTCGGAATCTGATTTTGCGCTCTGTCTTTGTCTCTTCATTGTTGCCCATCGTCGTTTACCATGCATGGAGCTACTACTTCGCGAGGAGGCTCGCCGAGCCCTGGAGATTGCGGACATCCTCAGCATCATTAGAAACTACGACCCGGACCAGGAGCGAGAAATCACCCTGGCGATCACCTGGCTGAACAATCTCAGCTGGGAACTCCGAGGTCTCGATGTCCAGATTGAAGCTGCGAGAGGGGTCATAAGCCGGTCGGTTGCCGACGACCTGGAACTGGTGCAGACCAGCGTGGCCTTCACTCTCGGGGACGTTTGGACAATCCTGGGCAAGATCCCTCTCAATCCCACCAGAGCGGCTTACCAAGATGCGTGGAGGGAGATCAGTCGGTATTGCCTCGACATGGGCAAACAGGCCCTCCATATGCGATTGGAAACGTATCAACTCTTTCTCAGCGCACTTTCTAGGATGGTGAGAAGGTAGGTCGAACCTGTGTTCGCGCGGGAGTTGGACTGGCACTCAAACTATTGTCGGACAGCAAGTCTTCCAGTCGGACCCGGATGCAAGACCTACGTGAAGAGATCTACGATTTACAAACTTTACAGCGCGACAACAGGCGGTTGATCTCGGCCACAGAGGCTCTTTCCAACCTTTCCATGGCAACACTTCAACCGCCAGGCGGGTACCAAACTACATAGAAGGTTGACCTGGTGCACTGACGGGACGGCAGTTATGAGACAACCTCCTTCTCACGAACGTGTCAGGCCTGCGCCATTGCAAACTCAACGGCCCATGTCTCCTACTTCCTCCCAAGAAAACTATGAGACTCTTCACCAACCAGCAGCTCCCAGCCCGCCGGGTGTTTCTTCTCCCGCCACCACCGCCGGTTCCATTCTCAGTTCCACAGCGAGTGCAGAGCCTGGAACACCCCATTGGGCTGCCACCATATTTGATAACCTTCCATTCACCCCTTTTGATGATGATCCTCGGCCGTGAGTTCTTTTTTGCATTCTCTGTGTCTCTGACACTGACGAACTTGATCAGCTCGTGCTGCTTTGGAGACAGTGCTGGCCGAGGCCGCAGCTTCCCGGACTTGGAGTTTGAAAGAATCTTCAAGATGTGAGACAATGAACTCATGCAATTCCAATCATTGACGTGAAACAGTAAATTTCCTGGCGGTCTTCGGGTGAAACTGTACTGTAGAGCTCGCGACCATCAGTGCAAGATTGTGTGCGAGTGGTCGGAAAGCAAAAAAGAGCCTCGGCGATCCTGTTGGGCTCTGACTGATTTGCACATACGACGATCTGGACCTTTCCTATACCTCTGTCGTCCTACCGTGGTGGCCACCAGTACATGCTGGGCCAGTCTCAAGTGCACTTCATACGAATGTAAGGATTTGCGTCGGCTTGGGCACATACATTTCGCTGACGCCTGCTAGGGCTAGTGGTGTTCCACTGTACCTTTTTGTCATTGCGATCTCACGATGGTGCTAAACACGTTAGCAATACCTTGGTCTTGGATCATGTTCTCAAGGGGGAGATGACAGAGTTTAGCGGGTACGGAAGGATGGTTCTCTGGCATGGACATGGCATGCTGACTCGTCCAGAGCAATTCGGGATAGCGGGTACAGACATGCCTTGCGAGTGTATCGAGACAAGAGCACTGACGCCGTTCGGCTCGAGGCATCGATTCTTGATGGAGACATGCGGCAGTGAGTAGATATCAAGTCGAGGGGCGCGCGATGTTGACACCTTCAGCAGCACCCCTATTTGGACGGCTTTCATCACTCACAACATCACATCTCCTACTTGGCTTCGCTGGCTGAAGAATAGCTCAACTGTCTATCTGGCCGAACTGCAACGGCGAGTCTTTTCGTCGCAGTATACGCCCCATGTCGCCGCCAGCGGGGAGCACTTTCTTGATTTTGAATTGACGCAAGGTATGGACAAGCACGGCGATTGCGCGTACAGTTAACCCTGATTGACCCTGACTTGGACAGACGCAGCGGGTTTTGTAGAAACTATCGAGGAGATTGGCGCCGAATACCGCCGCATGAAGGCGAAGTAATGCATGGCAGCGCTTTACGACCTCACGACCTTGACGACTGACGACCGACGACCGACGACCGGCGACCCAGGGGTGGCTAAAATTGTTGTTGTTTCCCGTTTTTCTTATATACCAAGGCGAGGCTAAATGCTTGTTATCCTGTGTTATTGCTTGTTGGCCTGAGAACACGACGTGATGACCTGTTCGCCCTGAAGTACGCGTTCTATGCAGATGACAGACCGTCGGGGTGGTGGTCATACATTTGAGGAACCTCTGTGGTAGAATAGGAGATGGCAGCCCTCCGAGCAAAAGGCTGCCGAGTTGCTACAGCGATTTATTCTGGCGGCTTGCTACAGTCTCCTCTGTCTAATCTGAAATTGGCCAGACATGTATACTGCTACAATAGAAGTGACGATTCTTTCGCAGTCTCTCGTCGGTCTTAATGCCGTGTTTGCCGAAAACTCCCCAATTGCGTGCGCGTTGGGGGAGATGAGCGGAAACCCCCCGGACGGAGATAAGCAGATCCAAGATTCATCTTCGGGGTCATCTTGTGGACAACGACAGCGGCATTGAACCCTTTTTTTGTACGAAGCCTCCAGCCGTGTTTTCTGGGTTTATATTCCGTACCATTCTCCCGCCTCAGGCAATGGCCGGCCGCTCGTCTGTGTTGTTGTGTGCTGGTGAGGGTAAGATCTGGGCTGCTCCGTCATGTCGCAGTCATCTGAACCGCCGTCGACGGTGACCAACAACCAAGACGAGATCTCGAAGACGGCAGCGGGCGAACCCGTCTTGCAGAATGGATTGCCGACGACCAAACGAGGCCTTGTGCAGGCGGCGCATGATTGCTTGACATATGTGCCCCCGCGATGTCGCTACGACCCGGACAAACCATTCGAATTCTCGATGGGACTGAATTTGCTGTTTGGTAGGCCACGAACGGAGACCCTCAACGATTAAGAGGCCAACGGTGCTGATACCAGTGGTGTAGCGTTTGCAGGGTGTTTCACGGTTGCCAATCTCTACTACAACCATCCCATCCTCAACCTCCTCGCCGACGATTTCCACGTTACTGACGAAGAGGCCTCGTACATCCCCACCCTCGCGCAGGCCGGATACGCAGGAGGCTTGTTGTTCTTATGTCCGTTGGGGGATTTGGTCAAGAGGAGGCCATTCGTGCTGTGGCTCGTCTGGTTCACCGCGACACTATGGTACGTCCTGAATTGAGCCCTGGAGTGGCAGAAATACATATACATCTAGCTAACAGGATGAGCCAGGATCGGCCTCTGTGTGACCAAGTCGTTCGCTGCCTTCGGAGCCATATCCTTTGTCACCAGTGTCACCACGGTCACACCGCAACTGATGTTACCTCTGGTAGGTGACATGGCACCACCGCACCGTCGATCAACGTCGCTCTCTATTGTGGTGTCGGGCATGTTATTGGGAATGCTCATGGCTCGACTGCTGTCTGGTGTGGTGGCCCAATTCATCGGATGGCGATATATCTACTGGATCTCGTTCGGATTGCAATATCTCATCCTGATCCTGCTTTACTTTTTCATGCCAGACTACCCATCTACAAACCCAGGCGTGAATATCTGGAAGAAATACCCGTTTCTGCTCTGGGACATATTAAAGCTGGCGGCGGAACATCCGGTCCTTGTGCAAGCGTGTCTCGTGGGACTGTTGACCTCGACCATATTCACGAGTTTCTGGACCACCTTGACTTTCCTCCTGGCTGGGTCACCTTACCACTACAGCTCCCTTGTGATTGGGTTGTTCGCCCTCATCGGCATTGGAAGCATGACTTGGGGCCCCATCTTTGCCAGGACCGTCATGGAGAAGCATCAACCTCTGTTTTCGGTCATCATAGGTGAGTTGGTATGTCTGGTCGGAGTCGTCATCGGAACGTATACCGGGAAATTCACTGTTGTCGGCCCCATCCTGCAAGCTGTCGGTATAGATATCGGCCTGCAGACGAGTCAGATTGCCAACCGTACCGCGATTTATGGAGTCGCTCCCAAGGCGAGAAACCGTGTCAACACCGCTTATATGGTCAGCGTGTTTGTTGGGCAGCTCATTGGGACGGCGGTGGGAAATCATCTTTACGCCAATGGTGGCTGGGTCTCCTCGGGGTCCGCTAGTGTTGGATTCGTCTGCGGGGCGCTGTTGGTTTGCTTTGTGAGAGGACCTCATGAGCGAGGCTGGGTTGGCTGGCGAGGAGGGTACAATATGCGCAAGGGTGTACCGCAGAAGCCACAGTCTCAGACCGTCGAAAGAAATCAAGAGTTTGGTAAGGATGAGGGACGACCTCAGCCGTTTGCCCCATCTAGCCCGGAAGAGAAGAAGGAAGATGCCGTACCCATACAGCAGTCGATACACGTTGCTGAGGATCCCGACTCACCGGAGCGCACTTCGAGCGAGAAGGTGTCGTCTGAACCGGAGAAAGTGTGATCTGCGAAATGCGCCGGTAGGGACTCCAACCTCTCCCTCACCGCAGGACTAGTGCTGGTCTGGGTCCTTTGTCTTTCACGCGCGTACGGATCATGGAATGGACGCCCAGGACTAGTCCTACGACGCCGGCTCTGCGAGATTAGCTTGAGGAGCACCTTCATCCCGAAGGCTTCTCCAGCTTGGCAAGTCCTGAGCTAACTTCGGCCTCTCGATGTGCACAAGTACACCTTCCCGAATGTTGAGCAGTTCGCCGCGGAGGCTGCGTCGAGCGAATGCGACCTGATCTCAATGCGCGTTGATACACCATGGATCACCTCACGAGGCCTGTTGTTGACAACTGACCGGTTGACACCTGGCCCACGTGACCCAGTCAGTTGGGCAGTCCCAGGTCAGCTGTCGTCCATTGTGTCTGTGGTTGAGAAAAAGATCCAGGCCAGTGTGGATTGGCAAAGGGATATTGTGAGGGCTTCTCTCAGATCTACATAGCGAACCGGAACGATGTGCCCCTTCTCCATTGTGTTGTGACCGGGTCCCGCGCACATTCCTTGCTGTCCTCGCGTTGGAATTTCAACTTCTGCCCTACCCATCCGAGTCTTCAAGATGGCCGTCGCTCCAACATTGAAACATCTCTTCTATGAGCTTCGATTTTTAACTTGTCGCCGATCATGGCGGTCCGTTCCTTTCTAACAAACCATGTCAGTGTTTATATTCTGTTCGTATCCTTTTACTATTTCAATCGTGTCGTTTGCCAGACTAGCTCTATTTATCAACTGGACTCCGAATACTCGGGCAACAACTTCTTTGATGGATGGGATTTTTACACGGTCAGTGTCGCGTTCGTTGAGGAACGTACAGTTGCTCATTGGTACAGGGGGGCGATCCCACCGGTGGATTTGTTACGTGAGTATATATCTTAACTCATGTACATTTTGTCACGACTGACCACTGCGACAGATATTACAGCCGCTCTTCAGCCCAAGGGGCTGGCATGATCAACTCCAGTGATACCTCGCCTGTTTATATCGGGACAGACTACACAAGTACCATCGGTTCGACGGACGCAGCGGGCAGACCCAGTGTTAGGATCTCCACACAGCGATCATGGACCCACGGTTTATTCATAGGAGATTTCAATCATGCTCCTGGAGGGATCTGCGGAACTTGGCCTGCCTGTATGAACAAATCCTAGGGAAAGTGAGGCTTGAACTGACCATGGCAGTTTGGACACTGGGGCCGAATTGGCCTAACAACGGAGAAATTGATATCATGGAAGGTGTTAATCTTCTCACGCACAATGGGATGACACTTCACGCGTATGTTTGTGGAATCTGCAGGTTGAGAACTGCTGCTGATCGGCTAGATCTCCCAATTGCTCGATTGCAGGCGACAGCAGGACTATGACGGGACAGTTACAGACGACCAATTGTGCCTACTATGTGAGTATTGTGCTCCAGCTACTGTGTTTTGTCGACAGCTGACCTTGGTAGCCCGGCTACAACGTAGGCTGTGGAATCAGTGACAATCGACCGGCCAGTTTCGGCGCTGGCTTCAATGCCGTTGGAGGTGGCATTTATGCGATGCAGTGGACGTCGGACTACATCCGGGTCTGGTTCTTCCAACGGAATTCTATCCCGTCCGATATATTAAGCAGAACTCCCAATCCCGCGAACTGGGGTCTTCCAGCCGCCAACATGCAAGGTTCTTGTGTTATCGACGACCATTTTCAGGCGCACAAGATTGTTTTGGACAATACGTTCTGTGGAGAGTATGCCGGACAGGCAAGTGTGTGGAATTCAACTACAGGCTCCTGTGCGACGTCCACCGGCTACTCTACTTGCAAGCAATATGTTGCTTCTGAACCGGGGGCTTTTCAAGCATCGTATGTCATAAATTATGCTCCTTTGGTTTGCTGCTGACATCGACCAGATACTGGAGTATCAATTCAATTCGGGTATACCAGCTTGTCGACCCTACTCCCAATGCCAGCACAACGGCGACACCCTACATAGCAAGCGATCAGCCGACAAGATCCAGCATCTCGACAAGCAGTGTCCCTACGTCCGCACCAACAACCTCGCTTTGTCCAACCTACAATTTCACCGTGGTCCAAACCGCAGGGTTGAAGTATGAGATTGAATGCGGCGTGAACCCAGCCGGATCCAATATCGGTGCTCCTTACCGTGGGTTTGCGGTGAATTCGTTTGAAGACTGCGTGGCAGGTTGCAGCTACTGGAACAATAACATCACGGCCAACAGCTGCGGCGGTGTTACGTATCAGATGAGCAACAAGGCGTGCTACTGGAAGAGCAGCATTTCAAGCAACCCGATTGACGCACGGTTCAATGGTGCTCGGTTGATATACTATGCTTATCCTCAAATCACCGACAATCCCAACATGACCGTCTCAAGCACGAGTACGACGTCGTATGTGGCCACGACCGTGACGCCGCAGACCTATGTCAACCCCTCCGCGTCGTCGACTACATCATTTGTCCTGATCACGGGTACTCCGGCGTATTCCAACACGGATGGAGTTGGTATGGGTGGAGGTCAAACTAGTACGGACACCAGCTCCAGCTCAACGACAGACTCTACCACCACGACGAGTTCGAGTCGAAGTCGGTCTCGGACTAGCTCGTCCACCTCTACCAGTTCGTCAAGTACGATGTCGACGGCGACCACATCGTTGTCTCAGACGTCGTCTGCTTCGAGTTCATCTTCTGTCTCTGCTTCGCCTACGAGTACTTCTTCATCGTCATCAACCTTGTCCACATCTTCAGCGCGGAGCAGCTCAGGATCAACACGGTCGCCGTCCACCTCAACAACTAGTACAAGTCGACAGCCTTCGTCCACAACAAGCCAGTCCACAACCCAGGTAGTCTCAACTACAGCCAGTAGCTCGTCGAGTTCCACAGGCACTTCAACGTCTACCACCACAATGCAGTCTTCATCCACATCTCTTGGTACAACCACGCCATCACCAAGCCAGTCCCAGACACAGCACTCACAAACGTCAAGTATGCCCACACACAGCTCAGTGCAGACGAGTACTGTATCCACAAGTCATTCCCTGTCGCCAACATCGGCCCAGACTTCGAGCGTGTCGACATCTCCAGCACACTCGCCCAGCACTACAACATCCGCTCCTGATCAGCACTCTCCGACCACTACAGCGTCCGCGACGACAGTTCAATCGACCACAACCACGAGCACTGGCTCTCTAGTAGCCAGGAGTGATACCAGCACAAGTACGAGCACATCCACATCCACATCTGCGCCTACGACTACAACTACATCTGTTCAGACATCCTCGCCTCCACCTCCGTCAACCACTTCAGTCTCATCTTCCCTCGAAACATTCACGACGACCACTACAACAGTGCAAAATTCGATCCCGATAACGTCGTCCACATCTCAATCCTCTTCGCTTCCCGGCCCCTCGGAAGTGGCCTCGTTTAAATATGCCGGCTGTTTCGGTCCACGACCTGGCTCGCGGTTTGCCGATTCGTTCTTGCTCGTCGATACCTCGGAGACCATGTCTGTCGAACAGTGTGTCTCGGATTGCTCGAGGCAGCGTTATGCCGGAATATTTGATTTGTAAGTACTATTTTTGTCTTTGTCATCTTCGCTTTGGCTACTCTTGCTTGTTTGGCCTTCAGCCCTGAGCTGGATGCTGTGCCTTTTACCAATGAGGGGAGCCTCTTTGTATCTTCCCTCGATCCGCAGCAGGAAAACTACGTGCGATGGTTATATCAAAGAAAGCCCTTCAAGAGGGTCGACTTTGCTCTCTTGCCTCCCTTGAACCCCCAAGTTGCCGTCAAACTCTCTCCCAAAAAACACCCCTTGCGACCCACAGATGGTACTAACCATCGTCCTCTTCTCACAGGCAATGTTTCTGCTCCAACTTTTCTCCCGACTTGGGTTCTTCTGAATCTGATGATTATATCAAATACCCCGACTCAGCATGCAACGCCCCTTGTCCCGGAAATCCGAGCCAGAAATGCGGCGGCGTCGCCCGTCTTTCCTCCCTGTTGCGCGCGAAACGACAAATCTCAAGTGATGACCCCGATGAAATCATCTTGATCACACTGTATAATAATACTATACCGATTGATGTTGGTGTTTCGAGTTCGAGCACGACCACGAGCATGACGACGACAATAACTACCGGAAGTAGTACTTCAAGTGGCACCGGCAGTGGCAGTGGTATTTTGATATCGTCGTCGTCAACATCGTCACAAACAACAGCGACAACGACAACATCAACACCGACGGCAACAAATGATCCTGTGCAGACATCTCCTATTACAAGTCCAACAATCACATTCCACCCAACCACAATTTCAACAACCTACACCACCATCTGCGCCCTACACTCTGTGACATGTCCAATCAGAACAGCGACCTGTTTGACAACTACTGTGACAATGATGCATTGCGGATGTACGGACATGCCGGAGGCGGAGGTCCCGATGACCATGACTACGGTGGTACTACCGTGTCCCTCTACATCTCCCGTTAGTGGTGGTGGTGATGACAATGGTGGTGATAGTTCGCCAGACCAGGACAACGCGAGTATAACGACTACGACAACATTGACAATCCCATGTGAATCAGCAATATCAACGCTCCAAAGTCAAGTTGATTTTTGGTCTGCGACAGCCACTGCTGCGGTGCCTGGTGATGAAGGTATTCCTCACGCCCCCTTCTCGGCATATACCTTTCCAATTCCGTGGTCAATGGTATCCGCTGCACATGTGACACCTGCACAGACAGCTGCACCTGTATCAACTGGCGTAACTGCGCAGAACAACGAACAACAACCAGAGAAAGGTGCAGGAGCAGGAGCAGGAGAAGAATCCCAAGGCGTGGGAGAAGTGTTTGCAACCAGCACAATCACAATAACATTGGCGCCCGTACCTGCGAAATTCACGTTTAATGTGTCGTTGCCGTTGCCGTCGGTCTCGGCCCCGAGACTGAACAACACCATGAATGTGGGTGGTAATAAGGGACCAGTACCGGTACCACCGTCCAATACGGCATCGTTGGGAGCTGGTGGTGGACAACTAACTCTGCCGACGCAGACGGGAATGAGAAGTGGTGCCGTTCGATCGTCAGGTACATTGGCATTTGGATCTGGATCTGTTGTGTCATCTCTTTTCAACTTGGTTTTGGCTTGGGGTTTGGGTTCACTCGTCCTCCTTCTCCTTCTGGGATTCTAGTGGTCGCCCGTGCGCGTGCGTGTGCGTCTGCATGTGGACTATTTATTAGGTGGCTGGCTACAATGGTTCAGGTTTCATGTTTCACGCTTGAGGTTGCAGATCGGGGGCCATTTTCGGATTTGGCATGGTGGATATATGGAGTGATATGGCTATGATATAATATGTTTCATCTCTTGTCACGTCGAGTTACGGAACGAGGAAATGTCATTGATCACGTAAAATCACTGTAATTAAAAACCGTCTGGTCTGCCTGTTCCATTTATTGTTTTGTTCTATCTGAGTCATGCATGCATGCGTGCATACCTTAAAGATAGGTAAGATTATCTGGCCGTGCCGGGGCCTATTATCCTGGAGGATGCCTTTCCAAGCCATGCTATGAGGTCGTTACTAGTACTGGTCCTACTACCCCTGCTGCTACTACTACTGCTACTGCCGCAGACCACGAAGCTAGAATAGAACCCTCCCAGACAGGAAACAAATGAATTCGCTCGTTCGCTCCACGTTTTGCAAAACAATACTCAAGAAGTAGTCTGAGTTTATTCTCCTTGTCTCCTTCTCGATGGGACCGGCAGATGGTTAAGTAGGCTCCACCCTTCGTCCGCATAATCCAACCCTGTGCGCAGCTCCCTTGATGGTCACTGCTGGTTGAGGATGTTGGTTCCTTCCTGGCAGGAATATGTTCTGGAGCAACCACTCACCACTTCAATCACCACTTCAAGCGGCATTGGCATTTTAATAATCCAGCTTTCAGCAAGTGAAACAAGCAAAGCACATATCGGGGAAAGCCCACCCATCCAGGAAGGAGTATGCTGTCCGTTGACGCAGCGATTGCTCAGGTCGATAGTATCGAGGTCGAGAATGTGTACTTCGCAAAAAGCTAGGTCGGCCAGCGCCCTGTGAGATCAGAGCCTTGGGCTTTTTGATGTGCTCTTGATGTGTTGTGCTGTGATGAGAACTGAGAACTGCATCTGGTGGAGATCCATTTGAAAGAGAGCAAAAAGCTCGGTTGAAGAGTCAAGAAAGCCGAGCCTGGAACATGCATTTCGCGGTCATGACATTTGACATCGCAAACTGCGGAGCCAAGTGTTGGGATTTGTGGATCTAGGTACTTTAGTGCCAACGTAGAATCGGTACCATTCGTCAATGCGGTGAAAGCGTGGGAAGGTTCCTCGTCCGGTCTGGGGTCAGATATGTCAGTAACGAGACACGTCTCCTTATCCCGACAATCTATGTTTGCGTAATTAGTCGCAACTCATTCAACCAGACGAAAATAGCTGCGAATGATTTCCGCCACAACACTTCATCAAGATTTGACACTCTCCCGCTTTATCGTCTCTTTCATGTGGGCTTGCCTGGCAATACACTCTGAGATCCTTCTGACGTTCATTTTCATTGTCCCAGCGCTGGTGCTGCAAACCCTTCTGCTCCCATTCGCCAAACTTGACATCGAGAAGACGCTCACCATAGGTGCGAGCTCCGAAAATGTGCTTCCACAATTCGCCGACGAAGCGACGGATATTGTCACCGGATGAAGGAGGGTAAAGGGGTGGGTGGCCTGGTTCCCATTGGAAAGGTGGTAACACAGGTTCCGAGGGAAACTCAGCGCCACATCTGTTCGGGATGCGCTCATCTTCCCAGTGAATAGAGGTGGAGAGGTATTGAATGCCGCAATCAAAGTAAATTTGCAACTTGTCCAGCTTGACGTTCTTGAGTTGGTCCAGGTACCCCTGATAATCATTGATATTGAGAAATTGTGTCTTACGTTTAAGGTCGAAGGTAAAGACCTTCAACTTGGGGCACGATTCAAGGATCTGACGGAGCTCATCCGTAGACAAGATAGGCCGTCGGGGCGGGTCAGTGTCCGATGTTTGAACATAAAATCCATGGGGTTCGCGCTCGTGAAGATGAAGTGCTTCCAAGGTAGGGCCGTGTCTCGACAGAATGGATTGCAAACTGACTTTACCGTGCCAGGACCAGAGACTCAGTGTCGACAAGGGCGCGCAGGTTTCAATATATTTTTGGACAGCCTCGACAGTCTCACGCGCGGTAGTTGATCTGAGATTGAGACTGACATGCTTGAGATTGGTGAGAACCTGTGGAGCGCGATCAAAGTATGACTTGGTGAGCATGCCCCTGCTGCACTTGAGGCTCTCGAGAGCAGTCAGGTCGACGACTTTTGACCAATAGTCGAGAGCATGTGCCGATAAAGGCCAGCCGTCCAGTGTCAGATGACGAAGCGAAGAGGTGGGCTTCTGTTTGACATGCCAGGTTTCCCAGCCGGCCACCATAGCTGGGGTCAACACCAGAGATGGGTGGGCCCCAGAGGATATCACAGAGGCGAACTTCAAGTTTGGCGCACTGTTGATGATCTTCTGAAAGAGGATGTGTTCCCTTTCAGTCCGCTGGGCGTCGCCGTATACGACACAATCGGCTCCGAACGATCTCAGACACTTGCTTACCAGAGGGCTTTTGCTTGCCTCTGGCAGTTCGTCGAGCCAGTCACAGTCCGACGGCGTCACCCGACGCACATGGAAGTGGGCTCTTGGGTGTCGCTCCTCGAGAGTCTGGACGATGGAGGCCAGTGGCGGGAAGTAACAGTCCCAAGTCAAAGTCTGCAAGTTGCCGATCTGACAAATGAGCTCGCTCAACTGCCCCATAGATTGGTAAAACTCCGAGCGTCCACATGGGCGGCACCGGGTAATTGTCAGATGGCGCACTCCTCGAAGAAAGTCATCCGTCTTCCATGAGCTGGGTGGTAGTCCTGCTCGTTTGACGAAGCGCTCGGCTTCATAGTCCCAGTAAATCGTTGCTCGTGTGACGAAGCACCCGGCTTCATGGTCCCAGTAAAGCGTTGTGTGGCGATGGCGGACAAGTTGGACAGCATTATTGAACTGTTTGTTGACTCGCGCGAGTGCCGGACCGGTTCGAGGTGAGGTGTCGCAAACATGTTCTAGAATGGTCGCCAGAACCTCGATCTCAAGATCGAGGATTGTTGTAGGCGCTTTCACTTGATCCATGGCAGCAGCTTTGCAGGTCAACAACAGTGGGCAGCAGAAGGATTATCGACTGTGGAGATGGGTTGTCAGAAGGAAATCACAACACAGACGAGATCGGTTGCCACATACTTCGATACGGTGCCCTGAGGGGATGAAAAGCAGAGAGGGTAATGTCTGGAGAAGAGGATTTGGTGCAGACGGGTGTGACAGGGAGAGGTAAGAAGGGGAAGGTTCCGAGAGAATCACGAGGAGTAGTAGTGGTAGGAGTAGTCGAAGTTGTGGTAGTGGTAGTGGCAACTGTAGAGGAATTGATCCATGAGGGCGGTGGGTGGAAGCAGTAATGGAGCGGTGGGAGAAGATGAAGTGGTAGAGCAAGTGAAGGGAGATATATAAGTGGCAGTAGGAGTAGGTAGGTGAGGTAGTAGAGGAAGTGAAGGGAGTCATTGTAAGTGAGGCTGTGCTGAGCAAAGTACCAGGTACATGTAAATTAAGGCAGATGCGGAAACTGCCCAGTCGCAGGCACCACTGGCAGCCTGAGTCAGCGCGTGTTCCACGTGACAGACGAGGCTGTGAGGCTGTGAGGCTGCGAGGCTGTAACTCGAATAGCGCAGTCTGAGTCCCCCTCAACAGGAAAAATATTGGATAGGAAAGCAAGATGGTTTCATGTTTGATGACAGCATGTGGATACTCACCTCTATTCATAATCCTTGTGTGTCCAGTCTCTGAGTCAAATCAATTTCTAGAGTAGGGGTACCCTTCAAGGTCGGCCCATAACACTGACTCATCACCTCAGATGCCTTGCTCCCTGCCACATGCTATCCAAGTCATCATTCAACTCCGAAACCGCTTCTAGCCTTGTCGCGCGTAAGAATATCTCTAGAAGTCTTCGTCTATGATCGCCTCGTCTAGTTCGGACAAGATGGACTCCTCCAGGAGGCTGTTGCTCGCAACATAACTGAAACCGCCAAAAGGATCAGACTTGCTCAAGGCCCTGCTGTGTCGCCGAGTAGCCGTCTCAATGGGGCGACCTGTAAACTCCTTCGCAAAGTTCTCTGCAAGCTCGGGGTTTGTAACCAAAGGTCTGATTGGTGGCTCGAGTTCCCGCGCCTCCAACTTTTTCCAGTCAATCTTCTTGAAGAACCGGTGCTTCTTGATGATAGCAATATCGTTGGGACCGACGCCAAGTCGCTTCTTGGGCTCCTTGCGCAGGAATCTTGTAAGGAGGTCTTTCGCATCCGGGGACAAGAAGTACGGCAGGCTTAGCTTTTGATGCAGGATGTTTTGTTGAATCTTGGTCCAGTTACCTCCCCCGAAGGGAGGTTTGCCTGTCATGAGATCGCATGCCATGGCGCCCAGCGACCACCAGTCACATGCTTTTCCATATCCTGGACCCCAGTCAGACTCATCGGAACCACGAATGATCTCCGGGGCCATGTATTCGATGGTACCAACCCCGAGGCTGTTGCAGCGACTGCCACCTGGAGTGTTTGCGTCTTCGACCGCCACCTTGCTGAGCCCAAAATCCGTCAGGAGAAGATGGCCTTCGGCATCGAGAAGGCAATTTTCAGGCTTGAGATCACGATAGATCACGCCGACAGTGTTGTGCAGGTAATCAAGTGCTAGGACGATCTCGGCAATGTAGAAGGCCGCCACCTCTTCCGAGAAAAACTTTTCCAACTCCAGATGGCGGAAAAGTTCACCGCCAGAAGCATATTCGAGAATGAGATACAACTTCTCATGGTCTTGAAAGGCATAGTAGAGGTTGACAATGAAGGGATGACGGTTGACCAGTTCCAGAATGGTGCGCTCGGACTTTGTGGATTCGATGCGCTTCCGATGGACCTTGAGAAAGGCCTTGGTCAGTTGCTTTTGGGCAAACAAGCGGCCTGTCGCATTCTGGCGCACAAGAAGCACGGTGCCGAATGCACCATCCCCCAGGCAGCGGATGGGGGTGAAGTCGGCGGCGGTCATCTTGCGAGCTATCATGGAAGTGGCACGCTGATCGGCGGTCATGGTCCCGGCTGACGTGGTGCCGAGTCCTGTATCGGCCATGGACTGGCTGACAAAGTCCTGATCGATCGGAACGTGGTAGCTGACCAAGTCCTCTTGCACCTCGTCGCCTTGAACGTCGGAAGCCGCGCTCGCCGCACTGCTAGTAGCCTCCGAATCCAGAGTGTTCCGGACACGCGACGTCGAGCGACTCTCACTGCGTGAGTTGAGAGCGTCGAGTTGAGCCTTTAAGCTGCTGATCCCCGGTGACTGCGGTCGCAGCCCGGGACTGGCACCAGCCAACGGAGGCAGACGCGGGTTAGGTGACAACACTCGAGGACTGGTGGTGCGTGACGCATCAGAGTCTTCGGCGCCCGAATCGGCCGGAGTGAAGCCTCGTACAGTGTTCAAAGCTTGAGCCGCCTTCGCCTTGTTGTGCTTCTTCTTCTTGTTGCGCCGGGCAGCCGTGGTGGACAGGATGGCACTGCCTTTGACCTCCTGTCGTCCCCTCTGGCTTGCGGCCTCCACCCCGCCGCCGTTCATGGCACTCGACTTCTGCGGTGTAACAGGAGGGCTTCTCGTTCGGATAGGGGTAATCTCGGGTTCAGCAATATCTGCCGCATTGTTTCCCAATGCAATCGAGCTGAGCGCAGCTTCCAACTCCGTAGTAATATCATTGGGCTCACACGCAGCACACGCAGCGCCCGAGCCCTCTTGGGTCTTTTCCATGATTGTTTGAGTGATTCCAACGCTCATATTTCTTCGAATGTATGCCAGACACGCTTAACTCTGTCTTTTGGATTTCGTCTAACTCTGTGGTTTGGATTCCAGTAAAGAGTATGGGGATATACTCGTCCCGACCGTCGTTATATTACCGTCCGCCCTTGTTCAGGACGGACTTTGCGCCAGTAGCCAACCCGAGTCACCGGTGACGACGTTGAATGCGGTTGGGGGGAGATTCACATGGGAAGGGGCAAGCAGGCCATAGATCGCAGGAGTGCATGCAACAATAATGTAAGAGGAAGTAACTGCCCTGTGACCCATTGAAGGAGGACAAAATCTGACAATATTCGAGCCCGGAAAACAATACACAGGAGAGGTGAAGCGGTGGTTGTGAGTTCGCAAGGGAAGGGGAGGATGTAAAGTAGTCGGGCGGGAAATTTTTGGGCGCTGCAGTGGCCGCAAACGTGGTCGGTGTCAGGTCAGCACTGGCACTCACAAGCACAAGCACAAGAATCTGGGAAATCCAGTTGGCATCGGGAGTGGAAAATCGTGGGAGCCGACGCCGCGACCAGCCACAGAACGGCCCCGGATTCATCACGTGAAGCATGTGGCAAGGCCGTTTCTGGGGAGTTTGACCCGTCGGATAAGCTTCTGGATTAACATAATTCCGCGGGCCACTCCGTCGATTTCGTCTCGAGACTGCTGAACAGGCTCTCATCTCTTAGACCATACCCGCGTCTATACACGTTCTGGCTCGAAAAGTCCTCTTCTGTTATTGCCAGTGCATCCGCCAACGATATATCTTCCCATAATGGATAAAGTAATACTGAAGAATTTGAGCTTCGATCTTGCCGTTGGCTTCGACGCCTGGCGACGGTTCGGCAAGGCTCAGCCCACCTTAATCACGCTTGAGGTACAGCCCGAGGCCAACTTCGAGGGCGCAGCTGCTCAGGACAATGTCAATCTGAGCATGGACTATGGCGCCTTGTACAAGAGGCTCTGTGGCGGTCTACACCCGGGCGAAGTTTTCCCGACCGTTCGCGCCCTGATATCTCGGCTACACAGTGTGGTGTACGACTTTACCAAGCTTGATATCGACATTCTCTTCCCAAAGGCTCTCCTGCAAGTCAACGGTGGAGTCTTGTACCAGTTCCAGGTGGACAATTCAGGTCCTGGAGTGGCCATGTCGACTTTGAGCGTGACTGTCAAGCAGATTGCCTGCAGCTGCATTATCGGGGTCAACCCACATGAACGTCTTTACCAACAGTCATTATTCATTGATATCACTATGCCTCTGATGACCGCTGCTGTCGGCTCCGAGCCTCCCGAGGAGTCCTACACAGTAGCATTGCATGACATGGTACGAGAAATAGTCGAAGTAAGTAAACGCTACCTTCCAACTGCCCAACTTTTTTAGCAATACTGACAAACGTCCAAACAGAAAGTCGGTGGGTCGGCATATCACACATTAGAAGCTTTGGCAACCGCCGTCGCTCAAATAGTCACAATCAACTATGGCCATAAAGCCGCAAAAGTCCATATCGACAAACCCAGCGCTATCGCAACCATCGAGGCCGCTGCGGTCGAGATCACTCGTACCAAAGGATTCTTCGAAAACAAAGATTTCTGGAAAGTCAAGCGCCCTTAGGCGAACTCAAATGTATCAACACTCGGTCAGGTCGACTATACTGACTCTTGGAGCGGCCCGGGTCAACCTGCGCGGGCTATTCCGGTTGACATCATCCGGTGCTTCTCTCCAGGTTCCTGGGAGGCTCGGGCGCGGAATCGCCCGGAGATGTCTGCCCAGGGGCTTTTCGATCTCTTCTCTGGCGAGATCCGATCCATTCCTGACAAGCTCCTTTGTCACCCCATTCGGAACGACCTGCCTGGAGGGCGACTGTTGCTGACTTGCAGCTATATAAGGAGCAAAGAAACTCTCAATGGTCCGCTTTGGTCTGACCGGGCTGGTTGTGGGCGAGGCAGGTTCTTCGCTGCTTGGTCCCTCATGATCAAAAACCTTCGCGTCTCTTTTCCCATGTCCCCGCTTCTTGCGCCGTGTCACAGTATCTGGAATTCGCTCAGATTGGAGGTCAGCATTTCCAGTGGAGATACCCTCGGTTGTGGTCCCCGTCTCGTTTACGGGTGAGGACGTTATTAGGAACGGATCCTCACGAGACGCTGCTTTCAAGATTGGAGGAGTCCGGAGGCTGGACATACTATTAGAGTCGGGTTTGGTTGCTGCGACAGGCACTGTTTGCCTCAAGGCTTCTTCGGCGCCATCGACTGCGTACCGGGCTTTGCTAGGCTTGAAAAAGTGTTTTATGGCGGGCGAGTCCACATTATCAAGTTGAATCGGTCGGGGTTTTGTAGGGGTCCATGGCTGGGAATCATGGCCAATACGGGTTCTCCGCGAAGGTGATAACGACTCTGAGGTCTCAGAGGCGAGCACAGACTTTTCTCGGTCTGACGGTTTGGATGCAACGACATAGCCCAAGAGCGCACCAGCCTGCATTCCACCGGTATTCTTTTGTTTTTGCGCTTCTGTTTGCTTTCGGCTCTTGCGTGTCGCGAACTTCTTCGGCTCGGCTTGGATCTGCCGCCACTTATCCGCATGCTCGCGCGCCCCAATGTTGACGATGGTCTCGGCAATCCACATCTTCTCCGGAGCATGAGGTAACCAGGGAGGAGACTTCCGTTTCTTGGAGGGACTTGATGGTGTAATATCATCATCGCCAGCAATGCCAACTTCGTCGACTCCGCCATGCTCCTCGGCAGCAAGACGATCCAAATATTCTGGGCTGTCCTCCTCGGCGTCCAGATCGAGCCCAACAACCTCAGCCGGGATAACCGTCACCCGAAGTTCGGGGATACCGTCACTGACGAAATGTTTGCCGCGCTCTGTGATCTGTTCGACCGAATGTATGTGGGAATTGGCTACGCCGCGGCGTAAACCATCAGCGAGTAGAGCTGGTGCCATGACACGCACAAGTTTCCACGCGCCGGGTTTGTACAGCCAGTCGAATGTTTCCCCAACGTAGGTCCTCAGTGCCTCTATATCAATATCAGAGTCCCATGCTTTCATCCACCTGCTCTCCAGTGCTGGCAGTTGATCTTCCGGTGTAACTGCCGGATTGATGTAATATCCCAGGATTCTTCGATCCGGGAAATTCTCCGGGAGCTTGACATTCTTGCGTCTTCTAAAATAGCCACTCTCATTTGTCTCGAGTTCGAATTCCAGTCTCTCCCTCCATTCCCGAAGACCATCTTCATCGTTTTTGCGCGCGAGTTCCACGAGGTCAGCCCCAAAGCCAGCCCTTGCAATTTCGCAGGCCAATGTAGAGCCGATACCAGGCACCCCAGCCTCATCATAGTCACCCCCACTTAGCAAGGCCACGAGAATCATGCCGTCAGGGTCCAGCCCGGACAGAGACTTGATTCGTGCAAGATCAAGCACATTTACGTGAGTAGGAGATTTGTTGTGTTTAGACGCTTCTTTGGACCAATCCCTCAAAGTCAAAGAGGAGCCAAACATGATTGCGTCGACGTCTTGGCTCATGACTGCGTCGACGAGGCCGTGTTTTTGAAGCATGGCGCATTCCGCCTCAGCCTCGCCTGGTGCGGTGTGAGAGGGGAAGCGGAAGGCCTGGACGAGCCTCTTTGACATCTCGTTTGAGATGCAAGTGCCATATTTCGACACAGTCTTGCCCCGTTTGGTAAGGGGTTTATTCTTGCCGTCGTAGACGAAGACAGGGTCGATAGGCAAAGCGAGCAATTTCACCAGTCGATAAAATAGCGTTCTCAACGCGGGGTTCTTCCCACCCTGGCCGGCTTGGGTTTGGAAGTTCCATATCGCTGCGTCAATGGCTAACCTGAGAGGACGCTTTGATTGTTCCAGGTGTTCTATGGCGAGTTTTGCCAATGCCACCCGCTCACCCTTGCCGATCTCTTTGAGTATGCTGGAAGACGTCAGCATTCATTTTACTCGGTTATCGGTGCTCCTGCGTAAATCTTTACCCTGGAATACCCATCACTGCCTTCACACATCTTGCTTCAATCTGAAAACACTGCTTCTAATGGTGTCGTCGTACGCTGTGCGGCCTTGTCGGTCAAATCTGGTAGCCTTTGTTTACATCAGCCTGAGCCCTGCGAACCACAAGCCACTCCAAGGGCAACCGCGCGGCTAAACTTCGGTGCAAGCGCGACTGCTACTACTAGTACGGGGGATTACACTGTCTGCGGAGCGCAGTACTGGTAAACAGATCAATCTTGGAGGTGAGTTCAGCGCAGCGGGAGAAGGATGAATATGCGTTCTGATAAAATAATTTTGGCTACCATGCTGGCTCATCTATGCTTACGGTAACCAAGGGGACCACAGCCGTGGTTTTCCTTGTGAACTTGAAGCAGACCGTGACTGGGACTAAAGATACTGGACGTGCTGACTAACGCAGCCTCGGACTCTCTCACGTCCGTCCCATTGGTTGGTGCCCGACGTGCGTCCGCATACAACCACAACCGCCCCCAGTCCTCCGCAATACATGATACTGCAATGTTCCCTCTTCGACCAAATCCCTAGAAACATACACGGCAGCCGAAGGGTGGAGGCGACGCAGTAGTCTGCAAGGGAAACCATGAGCCATGGCCACGACAGTCGCCTCCGCCATTCGTCCCGGGCTGCGTGAAAGACAACTATCTGGTTCTCCTCATACTCCCACTAATCGATACATCTCCTCCGTCCAATCTTCCCCGGCATCCTCATTCTTCCGTGCTGAGGAAGACCCCATCATCCTCGAACTCGACCCTCGTGGACTCAGTGCAGGCTTCCAGGGCGAAAGTGGCCCTCAGTGTACCATTCCATTTACACCCCAGAATTCTAGAAGGGTTGGGGACTATCGCACACATCTGCCAGACTACAAGAGAAGAAGAGTAGCCATACATGCACGAAGTAAAGAGTACGAGCTATGGAGGAACGACTTGGGCGACGCCGATCTGGGATTGCTACAAGATAAGCTAGAACGCGCCGTTCGCGAAGTGTACAACAAACATTTACTTGTCGATGCCGGTGTTGCACGGTTGATCCTCGTCCTGCCGTCCCTGGTTCCTCTCCCGGTGCTATCCACGATTCTCACCCTCCTTTTTGAGCGATGGAAGTACTCATCCATCACTTTGCTTCCTGCACCTGCCATGACCATTGCCGCGGCCGGTTTGCGGTCTGGTTTGGTGGTTGATTTAGGATGGGAAGAAACGGTCATAACGGCAATCTACGAATACCGTGAGGTGCATGTCCGTCGGACTACCCGTGGCATGAAGGCCCTGACAGCCAAGGTTGGTGAGCTGTTGGACACAATCAGAATGGAGCAAGATGTGTCGATTCGAGATTCACTGCTGTTGGATTTTGATTTTGTGGAGGAGTTTGTCGATCGGGCCGGTGCGTGTCATGTCCTGGTCATCAATGCCGAGCAAGAAGAGCTAGCAGTAGGCATGAAAGGACTTGACATTGAACAGCACCCGTCCTCCACTCCGAAGCATATGGAAAGCCCAGACGTCGTAATAGACTGGCCAACAGCGACCTCATCGCACCCGATAGCTATTCCGTGCGAAGCTCTCCATCTCGCTACTGTCGAGGCCATAGTGGGGAAGAAGGATGAACTCCATCCGGATGACCACGAGCAATCTGCCAGCTACCTCCTGTATAGGACACTCCTTTCTTTGTCCAGCGATGTCCGCGGTGTCTGCATGCCTAGAATCATCTTCTCTGGTCGTGGTTCCAAGGTGTCTGGTTTGTCTCAATGCATTCTTGATACGGCCGACTCCATCATATCTCAATACGGTTGGACTGCCGTAAGGGGAATACACCATGAGCGCCGACGAGCAGGACTTGCAGAGCTCTCGCAAGCAAGAGCGTCACCCGCGGATGCTCGACATGACGTGAACCAGGCAGGAACCGACGATTTGGTCGTCGAGCGATTTTACAGGCAAAAGATAAAGGACGCACCACCACCAGTCCGTCCCGTTCTTCGGCAGGTTGACTCTCTCGGACCGTGGGCCGGCGCCAGCCTCATCACAAGTCTCAAAGCAAAGTCGTTCGTGGAAATTGATCGAGAAAAGTTTCTCTCTCATGGTCTCGCCGGGGCACATCGGGATATTGAAGCAACCATCGGCTCCCAACGTGCGGGCACAACGAGAGGTGGTGAAAGGACCAGCTGGACTCTGGCAGGATGGGGTTGAGACAGGGCCATGATGATGGTCCTGACCTAGCAGGTGCGATGCTTGCGAGGACAGTATCCGTGTCTCTCTTTCCTGAGCGGTGGATGACAGTTTGACCGCCGCCAGCGGGCGCTCCCATCGCTGACCTCAGCGAGGGGAATTCCATCAGCGCTGATGATCAGAGACGGGGTAACTGTTTGATTAACAAAGTATCTCTCATTCTCATTTCAATTCGCTTTCTCATTCTTGTATCTTGAACCTCTTTTTGCAGGACCACCACATTTGCATGCATTGTATATCATAAAGCTTGTTCGTATCGGTCGTTCGCTATGGCACCCTTGGGAGGTCTCCTCTGCTGCTGTGATTGTCGACGACTGATCCCATTCAGACTGTGGCCATGGGGGCAGCGTGCAGAAGGTCGAACAGGAATGGGAAGAGGCAGACAAGACGTAAGAAAGGCGAGATCGAAAGAGGTTCGACGAAGAAGACTGAGGAAAAGCCCTGAGTTGAATACAATCAGTGAAGGAGCACGTGTTCTCTGCTTGTCCACCGCCTTTTGTTCACTTGCTAATACTTCACAGGAAGACGAGCCTGCGTTGTTTGCAGCAAGCACTGGCACAGCGCTCCATTACGACACCGCCGGCACCTCAAACAAGCCAACACCATCAATTACTACTACTACCTGTCCTCAACTGCAATTGCCTACTTTTGATCAAGACCAAGAGCTTTTCCCGTCTATCAATTGTTCTGCGCCCGCAACTGTCGAGCCTGCACACAGTGCTGGTGGAGCGGCCGCTGAACCCAAAGAAGTTGAAACCTCAGTTGTGCCTCACTTGGCTGCTGTGACTGACGAAGTTGTTGCGACTGCGATCTCGACTTAGGAAGAAGAGCCAACAGCCGTCGATCCATCCTCACCAGTCGATAGTTCACCCAAGACTTCTGAATCCGAGCACTCTGACCATCGCAATAACAAATCACCCTCGCAGCCAAATTCTCCCCTGCGTCCACCTCCGGCCGTTCGATTTGATGAACTTGTGACCAACATTTCACCTCTCACCTCCAGCACCAACCTCGCAGGGCAGAACGAAGCCAAAGCAGTTACGCCACCACGAGCACGCATCTCAATCAAGCCCCTCTCCCCGCCTGCGGAGGTGACTGGCAACGAGGAAGAAGGTCTCACTGATTTCGATTTTGACTGGGAAGCTCGTCGAGCGTCGATCCGAGCACGCTCTCTGAAGAATAGACTGCGCAGGACTCTCGACGCTTACAACTTGAGCAACATGGCTTCCGAGGCAGACCGTGCTGAGTCGCTCAGCAGCTTGAAAAGCCTCGTTTCCACGTTGAGAAAGGCGGGTTCTACCCACAGCAACAACAGCTCCAAGAGCGAGAACTCTGAGAACGCCAACGGACAGGCATCTGACAACCTTCCCGAGGACCGAGCGGGCCTCGAAGCTCAACTCAACATCCACCTTGGCCGGCTCGACCGGCTTCGCAACCAGGTCCGCCTATTCAATGACCTCATCAAAGACTACTACGACCTCCTTGACACCCAGGCCCGCATCCATGCCAAACTTCCAGAGGTCGAGAAGACGGTGCTCGAAGAGCTCGATAATATCCGTCAGATGCGCGCCGCCTTTGAAAAGTCGGTTAAGTTCCACCATGGCAAGATTGACCAGATCGCAGTAGCCAGAGCGCGGTTGGATAAGAGTCAGGGCTTGAAGTGTACCGTGTGGGACATGTACATGGGATTCAAAAAGGAGGCCGAGTGGGCTCAGCTGTTTGCATTTTAAGGATGTCAAATTGGACTCGTATGGGCTGGGTCATAAGGAGGTTTGAGGTCAGCAAGTTCGCATGACTGTTGCCAATTCGGATTCTCGATCGTTGTTGCGGAGAGGTGGTTTGGAGGCACGATGCGGTTGTTGCTGAACTCAGCTGGTTGTTACGAACACATCAGCTGCATCTACTGCTAGGGGGTCAGTATGACTATGGAAATCAGTGCTGGGCTTGATAACAGTCATGATCCAGCTTGGGCTACCAAATGCCCTGGATATGTGTCGACTTGGAGCTGGAGCGGAGGCAGAGGCAGTTTACTCCCAGAGACCATTACTAATACATTAATACTCGCAAATTCGACGAAGAAGATGTAAGGCGATCGTTTGACCAAGTATTCTAGTCCACTTGTTGCTTTCCACTCTACGTTTGACGCCGGGGAATGCTTCCCGTGGCCTCCGACTCCTGATTCCAGGGGTCGACCCAACCCTTCCGGCGGATGATCTGTCCACTTTATACCCAGGTAACTGAGTTAGATATACCGTGACTATCATATCCAAAGATCCGGCAGGTGGCAGGGGTCAGCTAGTATAAGAATGTCGCTCATGTCATGAAGTTTGTGCGTAGATCGATGATCGAGATAGGTGGTTCTGTGGGTGTGTACTGCTTGAGTCAATTGACTGTCTCCAAGGACTGTCTCTCGAAAGGTGAGGATATCATCGTGTCATGTGGTACTTTCAGGGCTATACCAGCGATGTCTGGTGGTTGATCCATGCTATGAGGCGCTGCTGCTGGTAATAGTAATGCCAGACAGACGCCAGGATATCCTATCCATATTCTTTTGTCGTCTTAAAGACGATTGTAACTGTCGAAAGCAAACCTGGTTGTCTTGTTCTCTGTAGGCAGAAATTGTTACGCCTCCTCTATTCCCAAACTGCGGCATCTCGCTCTAAAATCGTCCATACTCGTATAAGCACCACAGACCCTCCTCTTGCCCTCGAAGCCCAGACGGCCATGCAAGACGCGCCAGTTGTCAAAAATGACAGGCTCGCCAGGTTGCAACTTGACCGTCAACAAGAACTCGGGGCTCTCGAGGATACGGGCCCACTCTCGGGCGGCAGCATACCAGTTCTTCAGGGCGGTATGGCTAGGGAAACTGGGGCTCGACGGAGCCAGCCGGTCGAGATTATTCCAGCGGATCTGGACCAGAGTCGCTGGCGACGGGGAGGACGAGACTTTTCCCGTGGGCGAACTGTGGTTCAGCACGGGATATCCCAGGACAGATGAGTTTGTGTTTAAGAACTCGCCGGCGGGTGAACCTAGAGCGGCCGAAGTGATGGCGTAGTTCGACAGGGCTTGGTAGTGGTTGGGGAAATGCTTGTACAGGTATTGAGCAGCGGCGAAGCCATCGACAAATGTCGATTCGCCGCCCTTTCCGGGCTGTGAAGGGTCTTGTGCCGATGTATGTTCGAGGAGATGGAATAGTTGCAGACCCGCCGGGTCGGTGAAGTAGGTTGTATCTGTGTGCGGCGGCAGCGGGTCGTTGGTGTACGCCGTGTCGATGGGGTTGATTTCGCTCGTGAAATCCCAGAACCCGCCGTAGTGCGTTGCTCGGATGTGTGCGATCCGTTCGATTAGGGATTGTGTTGCTTCGGGCGTCGCTGGCGTGCCGGGCATGAAACATAGGCCGTATGTATGGATGTTTTGCAAGAATTGTTTGAGGCCATCGGGACTCTGAGTGTTCATGATCATGTCGTACGGCACGCGTGGTAAGTTGTCTGGTGCTGCGGACGGCGGGACGTGGCGCCATGCCCGCTGTTGTGTTGTCGGTGTTGCTGATGGCCGTGTCTTGCTCGGCTGCATGAATGGCGGGTGTGTCTCGAGCCATTCCCATGGATAGACGCTTTTGTGGGTGTCGTTGCTGTTGCTGGGTGTCGAGGAAGATGCTTGGTTCGGCCATGACACTTCAAGGCCCGCCGGTGTCGACAGCACGCTCGACACTTTGATCTCCGGGTCGATGGTGAATGTGTCCAGCTGCCGCTGGTGCGTGCTGGGGTGCTGGCACTCGCTGCACGGACAGTGGTCCCGTAGCCAGAACGACGGGTATCGAAGCGCTGTACCGTTGAAATCGACGATAACTTCTTGGTTCGCCATGTCATTGACCAGAACTTGTGGTAATGAAGATGTTGATGTTGATGCCGGACGGGCCCGGGCCGCCGTCCATCTTGACGCTGTCACCGTCCGGCTGAGAGATCGACGCAAGGCTGTTGTACCGTTGTACCGACTTGATACGGAGGTGGAGGCGGAGCGAAGAATCGTCCGCTGCTCCTGTGCTGACACTCCAGAAAGCTGCCTCTGGCTTCGGCTGGTCCAGCAGTGGTGCTGGAATTTGTGTCCTCTGCGGACAAGCGTCGGCGCCGCCCTGAGCTTCATGGTCTGGCGGATACTCGTGAGCAATGGAAATGTGGGACGACGTGTTAGATTTTTTAAAAAAAGAGCGCGACAATACCGTGACCCTTCGACTTGTGGTGGCACACAAACTCAATGAGAACTTACGGTATGATATGATATTAAACCAAAAACAAGCACTTTTAACAGAGATACAGTCCAGTCTGTTCGGTCGATAGGATGTCGGGCCCAGCGAGATCGGCCCACGAGATAAGCCGAGGCGGACATTGCCCCTGGCTGGCTTATGTCAGCCACTCGGGCGCTCATCCATTGGGTCAGCGTTCAACCACCACCACCAACACCTGAAACATAAATACGCAGATCATTGGCATGCCAGTTATTTGATCTTCTCTACATAGACACTTGACGCGAGCAGCCATTCCTCAGGACTGACGATCAGATTCTCGGCCTGTATGCTACCATGTACGACGAGAGACGGTGCGTAGAGTACGAGTGAATGGAGCCACGTCGCGTCGCGTCTTCCTGAAGCTACCGTACATACCTCACAGCCTCACGGGATCCCTCTCGTCCTCAACCCTATCCCTATGTAAGTCCACACGGCCGCCGGTGCGCACTCTATATCCATATCCATCTGGCCTACATTCACTACCCCATCACCGGCTACCACGGCAACCTTCAAAATTCCACTGTGAATACATTTCGGTCGCGCAATTCCCTTTGACAATCCACCGAGCCAAACCCAGGGCCTCGATGGCTCAGGCGTTTGACAGAGTGGTGCGTTACCCCCCAAAAACACCCACAAAGTCTTCTAAAACCAAACCAAACAATCTAAATTCTTCGTAAGAGGAGCTCTCTCGAAGGAAATCCTGGGCACCAATCCCTCTCTTGCAAGGTAGAAGAGCGTGTGGTTCCCCCCTCCTGTCAAGGGGGTAACACCGTTGGCCGGGCTTGAGAGTGTTTGAATGTGGCAGCCACCCAGCCGGGGTTTTCACTTGGTTCGCAACCTGTTTGTCGAAGATCCTAAGAACGGGAAAATTGCCTCAAGCAGTTTGGTTCGAAAGTTTTTTTGTCAATCGTTTGATTGAATTTCCAACTTGTAGAAATAATTTGCGGACAGTGTGATTTGAACGGTTTGTGCGAGTGAAAAAGATTGAGGTGATAACTAGGGACCAGCCCTGGATTATCTACCTTAGCCAAACATTGCTATTTCTGCATTTCCTTTCCCGAAGACGATATTGTTTGTACAACCAACCGATTTCCTGCACGTCCTTCACGTCCGATTTCCTCCACGTCCAAGTCCTCCACGATTTGCCCTAGTTTGCCTACACCAATATATCTCCACGAGCCATTGATATCCTCCACCTGTCTCCCTGACTTACCGTTCTTTGGTCGTCATCTCCAGACTTACCGTCGATGAACTGACTGCGATCGGTCTTTTTCCGATCACAACACAAGCAGTACCATCAAAACGATACAAACCGAGATGGAAGTTGGCTCCGGGACCTGCCACCACAACGGCTCTGCATCACATTGAGAATTGAACCAGCACTCTCTCCATGGATTGGGTCGACACACGCGGTATTGCAAAGGATCCTCGAAGAAACTGCACTGCGGAATGAACTTTTCAAGTGCCCATCTGACGAGAAGGTATAACAAGACAAGTTGAATCACCAGGCGAATGACCCAGAAGGCAACCTTGACCACGGAGAAGAGCGCGACTGCGACGGTTTGCATCATGTAGACAGGTATCATTATCATCGCGAACATCATCTGAGTCAGTTGAGAAATGAAATCGGCGAAATCCACCGCACCCGCATCGTGGTGGACGTGGTGGTACGCAACCTGTGGAAAATTGACGGTGATAGGGGATGCAAGATTGGTGCGAGCGTACCTACCATTGTGTTGGTAGAAAGTGGTGTGAGGATAAGATCCCGGGCCGGAGTATCCATAGCCAGTTTGACTGTTTTGGGAAGTCATTATTGCGAATGGATTGGGATGTCAAATGGTAGTGGGTGAAGGGTTAGTAAATAGAGTATTGGTAGATGAGTGTTGGGAGTGGAGTGTTACCGCTGGGTAAAGGAACAGTACTGAACCTGCAGACTGTAGCGTTGTCAGATGAATGTATGCTTGAAGATGAGATGGAACAAGATAGATGTTGGCGAGACGGTTAGACAGGGGAGCTCTGACCAGTGAGGACCTGAGACGTGGACGAATAAAAGATTGCGTGTTGGGATGTAGAAAGGAAGGAAGGTTGGTTTGGTCGAGAGACAGGAGATTTGTAACTCTCCGTGAACTGTTCCAAGGCAGCGGCAATGAGGTTGTCACAAGGCAGTAGAGTATAGGCTATCATTGCCATGGTGTCTTATCACCGCTTATGATGAGGCAGTCACTGCATCGTGGCCACGTGCAACTCACCCACTGCCATACCTCGAAATCTGAAACAAAGGGGCAGAAGAGTTCTTTGTTCTCTCATGGTTAATACCTACCAACGAACGCATTGAGCTGCATCGTAAGGCGGCCAGTATCAAGCAGTTCCCTTCCGCCTGTGGAGCCAGCGGCAGTGTGGCCCAGGCCAGTCTCAGCCAATGTACAGCTGAGGGTCGGCATTAAAGAGGGTGTGGTCAGTATTAGGGATGTCTCAACGTAGTAGCAAACCGGGCAATTTAACGCAGGAAGGGAAGACTGGTAAAATAGGTCGTAATAAATAAAATATCATTATCTTCGTGTCATGGGAATTTGGTCTGACAGCTCGCTAGTGTCGTCGCTTCATCCACTCAGGCCATCAAACATAAGCAACCGTGGGTTTCAGATTCGCAACCGGCACTCCGCTGGTTGTCTGCACCTGGGCAAGACCAACTCTGCCTGTCTCCTCGTCCGGCGAACTGACATCACCAATCTTGACCTTGACATCCCGCAAAAGTCGAGCTCGCTGCAGGCCACTCAGGGTTGTGCCATTGTCAGGTAGTTCAATGTGAGGGTTGTCTCTTGTCAGGCTGGAGACGTAACCGAAAATATCCGGCGCCAGAGTCCTGGTGCGTAACCAGCATGCAACGATGGCGGCGATCAGTAGGATAGTGCACGAGACAAAATCGACGGCGATCCAGCCCCACAATATCGCATAATGCGGATCGTACAACGCACCATGGAGTCGTACGGGTTGGAAGTTCGGGTCGTCGCTGCTAAAGGTCGGCCCAGTGCCGGTCAAACTCTGCGAAAGCATGTAGTAGCTGTTGAAGTAGAGCGTGAGCGGCGCCTGGAGGCCTCGCGGTTCGGCTGCCAAAAAAGCCTCGTAGTTATCCTGCTGCCCGGTGTAACCTGGAGGCGGCCCGATGAAATTTTGAAGGCCCAAGACCAGATTGGCTCCGGTCGTCGTGGGCATCGAAACATTGAGTTGTGCGCCACGAGAGAGTAGGAGAGCGCTGAAGAATTCAGCGGCGAAAGCATCGTCATGAAAGGGCGTGTTGAACGAGGTGGCGTTCCGGCGAGAAGTGTTGTTGGCGTAGCGCAATTTGCTCGGAAAGCATCCTGGTGCTGCACAGTGGACTTTCATGTCGACGTTGACATAGGTAATGTTACACGTCTGTCGCGAGCTACCATATGACGTGATGCCCTGGTCGTTGTACGGTATCCAACGCGTCGCCAACGTGAACTCACGAAGTGGATGGCCTTGAATATCTCGAGGCGCGTCGGCTCGGACCTCGGTCATGTTGAAACTGATGGACTGATTCATGTATGTTCCACTAGGGAAGGACTCATATGGTAAGATCGACGGGCGGCCACAATTGACCGACAAGTATTTTGTATGATAGGTGTAGTCCCCCAGGACGTTGTTCACCTGAATAGCCATGACGCCGGCCGAATCGTAGGCGAGGGAAAAGTAAACCGGCCTTCCGACGAAAGACGAGTAGTCACCCGCGCTGTGTAGCAGCGATTGATGAGCAACATTAACCCATCCATGGCGGCCAGGATGGGCGGGGACGTATGCAGCACCGTTTACCGACCAACCCTGGTCCAAAATAGCATTCAAGTCGGGAACAAGTGCTGACCCGATGGAATCGGTACCCCAGCGTGACGACGCTATTGATTGGTATTCTGGATTTGCGAAGCCTTCGGCGGCAATCAGAGCGGCGTTTAGATCGGCGACATTGAACGAAGAAGATGCGTCGTTGAAGCCAGAAACGTAGTTCGGCCCCGCAATGTAGCCATCCATCTTGTGAAAAGATCCGGAACTGACCCGTTGGAATTCGAGCTTGCTGGCCTGGCTGCCTAGATAGTAGAACGACCAGAGAGCAACTAGGGCAACGCTCGTGGTTGTGAAGGCACGTAAAGACCAGATCAGTTTGATCGTGCTCGGAAGACTAATGCTTCCCTGAAGCTGCTCGAGCTCTGACACTCGAGCCCCACTTTGGGCTTTCCACAAAGCATATCGCCGCACCAACGTCGATATGACCGTGACGAACACGATGGTGAAAGCGGTGGTCATCTGTCCGTTGAACTCGATCAAGAAAGTGGTGAGTTTGCTGACGAGATCAATGTCGTTGCCGCGGTGTGATCGGTCCAGCCTCCATGCACCGATGACAAGGCCAATTTTGGCGATGAGAAGTAACGGCACGGCCAGAAGCACCCCGTCGTATATCCACATGAACATTTTACCCTTTGTGTCTGGCACCAGAGGTACGGGTTCTCTGGGCCATGCTTTCGCGGGCAGAGCCTCGTCGAGCTTTTCCTGATTGGGGTTTCCCTGTGGGTGCGGACATGCCGGGACCTCTGTTGAATCAACGACAATACCCTTCAAATTCTTTTGAGCGGCCATTGTATCGGCTCAATGAGGACAATCCAGTGCGGACGGCGAGAATGAAGGAGATGCAGAGGGCAGGACGGCCATCTTTTAAGCAGAGACGAAGGATCCACTCACACTTTTTGAGGTCGACGAGAGACGTCCATCACACCTACCTGCAGAGGCACAGCTAAGGCGAGACCTCAGGGCATCTTTACATACATTGGCGAATTGCCAGTAGCACAGCGGTGTCGCCGACACACACGGGCAAAAGGAGTCTGAGAGGCTTCTGTGGCACGGCTGAGAAAGACGTGTCGACGGCACGCGCCAGACAGGAGCCTACCCCTTTTGGGCTCAGCCGAAGTGTCTCTTTTGGCTCGAGGCTCGTCTGGACGCTTTGTGGCGTTCCCAAACCAAGCTGCGGGAGCCTCCGTCACAACTCAATTGCGACGTTAAGCGAGACATGGGTTGGTGAGTTCAACAAGACGGCATGCAAGGCGTAGAGCAGCCTTACTGATATGGTCCTCGGCTCTGTGTCGCAACTCCAGACTTTCAGCCAGCAACAGATTTTTCGCAACCTGCTGAAATCCCACGCCCCGGATTGGAATGCTCCGCCGAAGTTGTTGATGACATAAGCAACGGCGATAGTCCTGCGGACCTTACAGGCGGGAGCGCAGATATTTTACCAGTAGCCCCTGGACATGTACCGTATTCTGCATTGCAAGTTGTCCATGCGCCAGGAGTATAAGTAACTAGCCTGACGCAGCTCAAGGCCGTGCTACACCCTCTGACTGCATCAAGAAGGATCTGAGGTTGACTTTACAACATCAGTCCGCATAGGCCGCCGTAGTATGGCAAAACATGAACATCGGCACCAAGAAAATGCCACCCAGTCTGCCCAAGCACACATTTTCTTTGTCCCTTCGAGCGTATAATGGATCTTTGTTACCGCTCAATGGCGAGGACACGTTGTCCAGGCGGTTGCTTTGTTGTTGACAATGGACCTTTTTGTTCGTCCAAGAATAGTGTATTGATACTATAAATACCCTGACACAAAAGATAAGTTCTGTCGAGTCCTCTCATACACTGCCTTGATCGTGACGCAACATCGAGAGGACAGGACTGATTTTAGGAAAACCCCAAGAGAACACCATGAGCGGCCCAGTTCCGATATCACCTCTTTCCGCCGCGATCGAGGTTGTCTACCCGGCGCGAAACCCATCTGAGGTATGGCGTTCAGGGTCGGTATCATCGAAAATCTCCCCCATGCAGACTATTCGAGAAGAAGAGGAAGACGCAGAAGAGCTGGAACTCACTGCCGTCTCTTCCCACGGATCATCTGTGGATTCCAACGATCAGAAGTCGTGCCACACTGAGATGGAGCATAGTGAGGACATTTCCCCGGAACTCGCAGAGTTCGTTGCGAAGATTCGTGCCGCCATCCAACAGCAAGGCGAGGACATCAGAATGCGTAGCACGAACTCCAAGGCTGTGGAGCTTCAGGAAGAGAAGAAGTTGACAATCCAATCCAAAGCCGGCAGTAACGCTGCGCGTAACTCGCTAATCTTTTTGAGAGACAAGGCCAGTATGGGCGTATTAAATGCGAAGGCTGGGGGCAGGAAGATATCCAAAGGCTTCAAGTCTGCAGCGAATCGAGGCAAGCATGGTGCATCCGAACAGAAGCCGGCTTCTGATTTGCTCGAACCGAAGAGTAAGCAGCCATGCAATGAGCCCACCGAGGAGGATATTGACCCCTGCCCATCCGACGACGCAGACGGCGAAGATGTGCCTTTGCTTTCTTCCCAATTGTCGAGCTTAAACTCATCCTCAGACAAGGTGAGCAGGAACGGAGCTCGACTATCTACGTGGGGACTGTATTTACCCGACGCAAAGTTGTTTTCCGGCAAGACTGTCAGCATTGCGCGAAGGACAGGTTCCAGCCAAGCTGAGAGTGCCAGACTGATATTCCAGAGCCTGCGCATTGGTCGTAAAAGGTCTGGCTGGTTCAGGATAGATGGATAAAGGGAGGAGATCTGAGCGCCAACGTGTCTCTGTCTTTGACGTTAGATATATAAAGCATCACCTACCTTGGTTGCCAAATTCAGCCGCAATCTTTTGGGTTCATGTGTGACAACGGATATAGCATGCCATTTTACATAACCTTGAAACACTTTTCAGACACTTGCAAAATGTTATACGATAGCCAGTCGTGGTTGATGGAGATCACATGGCGGAGGATCCGAAGGACGCCTTTCCATACTCGCCCAAGCCAACTGATCGAAAGCAGGAAGTAAGCGGTCAATGCATGAAGAACTTGTAGAGCATTTTGACACGCGGCTTGGAAAAGTCAGCCGCTGCAAGAGATAAAAGCTGTTGCTTGAGCGACGTGGTTCAAAGTCATCAGATCGCATTATATAATCACATATTTCTGCCCAAACTGCACCCACCAAAACTCGAACCACCACGACTCGTCGGCAACAGCCCTTCAAATTGCTATTCGATATCTTCAGCCATGCCTCTTATATTGATCTCGAGCTCCGAACCGTAGTGCTGGCAAGACAGCATGCACAGCCTCCTCTCGCACGCTACCCCTACCGTACCTCTGCAGCGCGTCGATGGTCCCGTGAGCCCATCAACCGACTTGCCCGATCGCGACCGCACGACATGACCTAGTTTCGACACATATAAGCTGTACTACTGCTTGTGAGAGTGCAATTCCGCGGACAAGAACCCGGAAATCATATAGCTGCTGATTTGTGTATCGGCTATATAGTTGGGATGATCTACTTCAACTTGTGGTATAGCTTCATTACACCACTGTCACCCAAGTACCGTGCTGCACCTCCCACCACACTTGATATCCTTCGATCGAACCAGCGAGCCGTCATGCACGCCCCTCCAAGACGTTCTGCTGATAAAAGGTACTCATGCGATATTCGGTGTCACCATCATACTGCGCCAATTCTTCCAGCGCCTGGCGACCCTCACGTTCTATCGTCTCCTTGATCTCGGGACTTCTCGGTGTGATTCGGCATTGGAAGGGCTCCGGGCGCCAGTTGAGGCCGTTGCTGTTTGCACGGTCAGCACAGTCTGCATCTGTCAGGGAGATAAGCGGTCACACTCACGTATACTTGAAGATGTCCACTGGAATCTCGTTCCCATTCTCATCCAAAGCTTTTTGAACGTTGAAGCCCCATAGGATCCGCGCGACGGATAGGTAAGTGCCTTGTTCGGCAAGACCTTGGCCACTACATACACGTCGACCCCAGCCGAACGTCATGTAACCCTTCTCGTTCGGAAATGGTCGATGCAGCGGATGCCCCTTGAAGAAGCGGTCAGGGCAGAACCGGTCCGGTTCCGGGAATTCGTTTTCATTTCGATGAATGGCCCAGACATTTCCTTGAACCCACGTGTTCTTGGGGATATACCAGTTCTGTGGCAGCTGTCAGGAAAAAGAAAGCAAGAAAGCCAATGCTGGAAAATACCTTGTAGTAGTCGTCCTGAATGGGTGCATGCGGCTGGCCTCCAATGATGGCCACCGATCGCCACCGGAAGACTTCTTTGGTAAAGGCACGAATGTAAGGTAAGTCATCGTCCAGATTCGGGCTGCGATAGGGCCCAACAACACGATCCAGCTCCTCCCACGCTTTGGGCAGCACTTCCGGGAACGCGCAGCACGCCAGGACAAAGGTAACGAGAGTTGAGCTGGACGTGTCGCTTCCGGCTCCAAAGAGATTTCCTGCTAAGGACGCGATCTCTTCCATGCTCAGATTATACTTGGGCGCCTCCTGAAAAATCTTGGTTGAATAACATGTGTTGTTGCCGTCGCTCTTTCTGGCCGCCTCTTCGGCGAGGGCATAGAAAAACGACCGACCTCGGCCACGGCCGCGTCCGAGACCATACTTCCACGGGGCCATCCAGTTGGGGAACTTGGCGAGGACTGTGGGTTGATCAGTATCGCATATGTTCAAGGGGAGGTATCATCTTACATGGGAATGTTTCCATCAACATGGGAAACGTCTTTCCCGGCACATTCAGTTCGGCAGCCCTTTGCATCACGGCAATGACTTCGGTAATGATGGGATCTTCCTTGCTCCGGATCCGACGATTGAACCCGATAATGCTGACCACCGACGCAGCGTATCGTTCAAAGGACGTCACATAATCTTCCGGATCTTTCAGCAGTTCCAGAGCCACCACCTTGCTCTCGTTGTTTTGGAAACCACTGTAACTGCGCACATGCTGGAGGCCGACTCCCATATGCGTCAGTTTTCGATGTACTCGCCAGCGGTCGCCATAGTACATCGTCACCAGGTTGGATTGTCCGGTCCCCAGCTCGCCAAACACGACCATCCGGGGTCTGGATGAATAGATGGCGGCCCGCTTATCCAGCAATTCGGACGCCGCCCACGCATCGCAAATCCATATGGTCGGATTCCGTCCGATCCAGTAGGTGATCATGGGCGTCTTGTACCGCTTGGCCAGGTCTTCGAAGTAGAACCACGGTTTGACGTCGGGCAGTTGGAATGTGTTGCCCACGATGGGCCACGGCATCGGCCCTGGGGGCTGCAGAGGGCGGATGAGTATTGTATTGGATATGCATGTTCAGCTCTTGACAAGACTTACCATCTTGCTTCGCAGAATCAGCATCCGCGCATAATCGATAACCAAGGCGATCAGCCCGAAAATTACTAGGCCCGCAGCGATATGGCTGGCGCTAGGCGCCGCGTGTTGAAGATGCAGCATCACACCCATGATTGTACCAGTGGTGTTAACCTCACAGCTACGGAAATGTAAGCCAAAGAACAACTCAGACCACCGCAAATAATTTAGAACCGGAAAAGCAGAGCACAGTTTTATTAAGATAATCTCGGGACTACCTAGGTATGTACGAGGTTTATCATCCAGAAATACTTTGCCATGCCACCCAGCAGGTATGGTATACTATTAGGCACAACTCGGCATTTGCATCGACTCGAGGTTCGCCATGATCCCACTGGACGCTTGGGTAATTCGACTGCTTTGGATTGGGAGAATGGACTTGTGACTGCTTGGGAGTGCGTGGGGCTTGATCGGTTTGATATGGTGCTGACCCCAGTGCGGGAGCCCCATATGGAGGAAAGATGTGCCACTGCACCGTGTTGTGCGGAGGAGAGGTCGATATCTAGGGGCCTGAGGATCGTAGTGATGTCTCTCCAGAAATCGGTGCAACCGAAAGGCGGAGAAGAGTCTTGTAGAATTGGGGTTCGAGTGAGCTTCAACGACGACAACGGCCACAATTGGACCTACGATAATAATAATAACTGTATGCACACAGTACTACAGAGTGACTGTCTTGACCCGCGAGGACAAGCTAGGTGTCCGCTTTGACCATAGAATTCCTGGATGGCCGGGAGGGGTGTGTTTGCTTGCTTAGTAATGAACTTGCGAGATCTACTATGTAAAGACCGGGCTGACTGACGAAGATCTACCAGTAATAATCCATTTTCCGTTTCCAGAAGGCCGTTCGGACCCGGAGCCTGGGGCGCACGTAATTGTGAACCATACTCTACCAGCTATTTCCCATGCCAACGAGTAAACTACCTAGGTAATAACCGTGCATGCGTTGTAGACAAAAAAACATCACATCATCCGCGCCAGGGTTGCAGTTGCACAACTCAACTCAACTCGTCAAGGTAATCAGATTAAAGGTGAAAAAAATGCAAAAAGACAAAAAGAAATCTCAGACTGACGACGGCAGGGGTCGAACCTGCAATCTCTTGATTCGTAGTCAAGCGCCTTGCCATTGGGCCACGCCGCCGAGAAGTGATGATGAGAACCCAGATGGAACTGGGGTGATTTCTTAAAAGAAATTTGACGGCTTTTTATTATAACGCATTGCTTTTTGTGCGCTATTCCAGTTACGGAGTAGATCGGCGGTCCAAAGTAAGGTAGTACGGCGTCTTATTTCCTCGGCTTACTAAGTAATTGCCGTGCTTGAGCGCTAGGCCGTTCTGAAGGAGAAGGATATCTCCGCCAATCACAAGCACGCTAAACGACAGAGGTCATTGTTGAGTACTGTATTGTAGCTACCACCTTACTCTACTGATGAATCGCTTCTCGACTTTAGTGCCGTCTGCTTCACAAGCCTCAACATTTCTGTGAACTGGCGGACCTCTTGGAGGCGTTCGTCTGTCGTTTGTGTCGGATCTGCTGCTCTCCAGTCCCCATTCTCCAGCAGCCCCTTCTTGTGATGCCATAAGATTTTTTCTTCCCAGGTTTACGCCTCTTTGACGTTGTCGGCCACCAGGTGAGTAGGCCGTTTGGGAGCTTACTGTTCACCGCATCGGAATCTACCGTAAGGCGTTGGACTTGGACCGTGGTGTCGGTTCTAGACGTTAGGGAGGTCTCTGGCATGCCTGACAAATCCAGGCACAGTACAAAAACTTCATGGTTTCCCAGTTGTGCGAGGCAAGATGCGCATGACAGGTAGAGGATAAGTTACGCTATGAGATGGCCGCCGCAGAAGATGGTGCAGTCGACTGCGATCTTCTGAGAGCACACTTCTCCTATGATCAGCCCATTTTTCAGTGGATGGTTCTCCCACTTCATTTGGAAGATATCACTCCTTGTCCCAGGAGATGAATTTGCCGACAGAATTGTTCTAACAAGTCCATTGTCATATCATACGCTATCATTGGTTTAGAAAATTGGCCCCAGGATCTATTTACAAACAGAGCGACAAGTCACCTGCCTCCAGTGTCAACTTCCACACATCCAATCTGACAACACCCTGCACGTCCGTTGTCGGCGGAGACGGAGGCTGTTCGCCGTCAAACTCGTAGATGGCCAGGCCAAGCGGCAATGCTCCAGGTTCCTGATACTCCAACAGGCCGTTGACGTTCCTATATTTGACAGAACCTCGGAACCCAGGTAAGGTGGTGTATTTGCTATCGAGGGCGGCCCATGTCGCGTCGTCCGCGTTGCGAGTCTGCACGCTCAAAAGGTATTTCGGCCTGCTGCTGCTGTCCTTATCATTGGCTACCTCCCTAGCGATCGTCTCATAGCTCCGCAGCCCGGCATGCCAGCAGCTAAATGCGCTGCCCATGGACCCATCCGCTTCGGGCGGCAAGACCTTGGAGACTCTGGGCATGTCGAGGAATTGTTGGCTCGTCAACCAGTTCAAATCGCTCAACTTGACCAGGGCAAGGTATGGCCATTGCACGGCAGCGATACTTTTCTCCGACGCGTCGGGGTTGACTTGATTATTGTTGTTGATTCGATCGCCGAAGCCAGGGTCGACGTATGCATCGGAGGTTTGATCTATATTCTTGTACCGCAGAAAGAGGCCGCCGTTGCCAGGACAGTTGAGTACGTCGTCCTTGTGCTCGTCGTACCAGGTGTCGAGGACAGATGGGGACAGTGCTTTGTTCATGATACTCGTCGTCACCCAGAGCACACCCTCGACTGGAAGGGCCGGAGGATCCGTGGAAGCAGCCATATTTTTTGGTAGTGTGGACGGTGATCAAGCTGCTCGGTTATGAGGCGCTGTGAACCGAACCGTTCCTTTTCCGCTTTATTGCTGCCGACTGTAGTGATTGTGGATATTAGAGTACTGGTACTCGTAGCGAACAGTTACTTCATCGATCGTCTCGTGTCGTCGATCAGACTGTAGACCTCCAGAGAACATATAAACGCTTGGAGTTTCTAGAATTGAAAACGAGTCGTCGTGAAGTCGCCTCGCGCCTGTCAAGCTCGCGTGGCCGTCATGCCAGTCGTTCACCTCATTTCACTTACAGTTATGTACTATGCCTACTACTCGGAATCTAGCAATGTACTAGCAGTGAACCTGCACTGTACATTGGACAGCCTGCACTGGCAGTGGGTGACAGCATCGTGGCATCCGGGTCCGTCACTCACCATGCATGCATGCCAATCTGCGCGGCTCCAGAGACTACTGCCCCCTTTTTAATCTTTCCACCTGTCACCTCAATCAGCTCCCCACGCGGCGGCAGGCAACGTGCAGTAGTAGTAGTGTAGTTCCGGCGAGCTTATGCCGGCCGATGAAACAACATACACCCTGCATAGCAGACGCAGTGTGATAGTGTGGTGTGCCGGGTGGATGGCTTTATACCGACATTCGGCGTGCGTGGTTGTATTTCTGAATATAAATATTAGAAAAATCCAAAGATCCAAAAAGCCGACACCTTGGTCCAAAACCACTACCACCACCACTACTACTCGACATCAACTGTCTACCTCGACATGTCGGCTTTCGTTTGGGAGTGAAGCTGAGGGCAGCCCATGACTATGGTCACTGATCATGCAGAGTCACTTCGGAAGGTTTCAAATTCCGCGCGTGCTTGGTCTGAAGCACACATACCTTACTTTACATATATCTAAAACAAAACAGGTAACCGCCTGCTTGTATCCCGCTCATTCTCCAGTGCTGCGCTGGGGACTATTATGTTCTATCGAAACTCAAGCCATGCCCACCACTTCATCCATCTGAACCCATCTTCAACACTGCCAATCTGTCTCTGCGTGTTATTCGCGACCGAATTGGTAGGAGAGTCCAACGGCCGTCCTTCAACGCCACCAGCACCACCACTGCTCTGATTCTGATTCCAAGACTGCCCTTCACCATCCCCAAACGTCCTCTCCTCCATAACGGCATGGACATCAACCTTAACAACCCGATCCTTCCAAGCACCATCATCTTCTGCAACGACCTCCTCCCACATCTGGCGCCAGCTCTGTTCATTATGTCGATACCGGGACTTTTTATTCGGTTCTCTCGCATACTCCCCAGCACGAATATGACCAGCCTGACCACCACAGATCAATGCTTTTTTCGTCGTGCCCCTCCCTTCCCCTTCCCCTTTCTCTGTCTCGCTTGCATGGTTGCCATAACCACTCCCCAACACCAACCTCAGACACCGCCTCGCCACCATCTTCTGCTCATCCAGCCCAAACAAGTGAAACACTGCTGTGCAATGTAAAATGCCGACGCGGCCATCACACCGTCGACTCAATTCGCTAGACGGAGAAAAGTCAAACACGTCCGCGGGCGCAATGAAATGATCCTCCCAGGGGAACCTGTCCCGGTCTCGAAAGAGCGAGTATCCGATCTCGATGAACTCGGGATTCAAGTCGGCGCCCATGAGACGAGTGGCATCGGCGCCATCGTGGATCAGTTTGCGTATGTCCTGGCCGAGACAGCAGCCTAGATCGAGGAAGATTGAATTGGAAAGAAAGTCGATAGTAGTACGACCTGCTGCGGTCGACGATCCATCTGTAGTATTTCTGGTTTGAGACGTACCTGATTCACTACTGCTCAAAGCAGGTAGTATCTCGCTCCGATATAGTGGGTGATCGGCGAGATCGAGTTCTAGAAACCGCCACCGGCCAAGACACGGGTACGGATGGGTGGCGTATGCGCGGTCCCGGACGGTCGTGATGTGTGCTTTTTGCTCCTGCGGTGGGATGCCTGAGTACTCGGCTAGTAGGGCGGACATGGCTGGAGGGATGGTTTTGAGAGTGGCTTGGTAGAGCTTTTCAGGTCTGGATGGTGATGATGCTGATGATGCTGATGATGACGGTGGAGGAGGTGTGGGCTGGTCGGACTGGTTGGGGTCTTGTAGTGTCGACGACATCTTTACTTTCTGATTTCCTGGATCTGAGACAGTATCAGGCAGGACTGACTTTGATGCCAGTGGGAAGGGGAAGACCTAGAAACGACGGTATGAGGTTCGACTGGTGGTGCAATGTGCAATGACGGTCGCTCCGGGTGACCAGAGTGTCCGATGGTACCTTTGTGCTGCCAGTGTTGAAATGTTTCTTTCGTTGAACGCCCTTCCAACCTTTTACGCAGCAGATCTTGCTAGATCTGGGCCCGGCCGATAGTTTAGTTTAGATCAGGATAGAAATGTTATGTTGTGCCTTACGGACCGATGATCAATGAAGTTGTAGGTTGGCACGCGATGGATGACGCATACTAGTATAGTACTGCAACTCCGGCCACGCAACCCCCCACCCAAAATACGCAAAGGGTTAAAAACGATTTTGTATAATCCCCGATCTGTCGCCCTACAGCACTACATATAATCCCCGATCAAGGAGTGGAAGGAAGGGTTATGCAGGTGATGTGCTATCGGTGACTCGAGCAGACCAGGCGGTCGCACTACTTTCCATAGTGCTGGCTCTTCCTTTACAAAGGTTGCGAACTGATCGAGGTATCCAGAGGTGTATCTACTGCAGTCCCATGTGAATTTCAGTTCGTCTCGTGGGATCCAGCAACGGGGCATACATTGAGACTGACGTAGCGATTGGCGCGTCTCCAAATCGCGTAAGAATGGCTCTACAATGTAGGGAAGAGAGATGGGCAAGTTCATCCTGACTCAAGTACGAAGCGGGATCAGGAAGAAGGCATTGCTGTTGTGAGCCAGGCGTGCAATTGGGCCTGGTGCCAAGCAAGTGAGGGCAATTTGAAGACTCCGAGGGGTAAAATAGGCTTGGCGTATCGTAATAGGTTCGGTCCAATTTAAAAGTAAGGTATATGATTAAGTACAGAACAAAACCTGTCAACAATCACAACAGGTCGCTTAGCTCAGTTGGTTAGAGCGTGGTGCTAATATCAGTTTACACCTGGTAAACGCCAAGGTCGCGAGTTCGACCCTCGTAGTGACCATCTCAATTTTTTCTTTTTTCCCATTTATTACAATACGGCTTACCTAAGCCTGTTCGCGCGGCCGACCAGTGGGCGACGAAATTCCGTCCCTGTTAGCACTGGATTGCCTAAGAACTCGTTCGGGCATATATAATACATATATTTTTAGTCCCGCGCCGCCATCGCTCATAAGTATATACTTGCACCTCGAGCTTCACATCCGTATCTTCCAAACTTGATAATTCCATTTACAAGAGCATTCCTGCTGGACAGTTCGTATTGTAGTACAACAAATCCCCCGCGATGAATCCTCAGCGAGACGAGCGTCTTGCACGTCTTCTCAAGGAACAGCAAATCCCACAGCAAACGGAGCACAACAAGTACTTGGAACTACGACCCACACATTGAAGCATTAAACCCCAACGACGCCCCTGCTGTCATTCACAAAGTCCCCGAGGATATCCAAGAACTTGAAGAACCTCCCGACATTCCCACGCTTTCGGATGACGATAGTGACATTGATACTTCTGGTCTTGACGGCTTACTACCTCAGCAAACAATCTCGGCCATTTCTGAATTATTTAGGCAACAGAGGCATAGGAGAAATGAAGGCATCCGCAGAGCCGTGGAACCGCTACAAGAGGCTAGCACAAGATTTCACGCCCAAATGCAGGCTGATATGGTAGACCTAAAGGCTGATCTGAACGGCCTTGAACAATGCATACATATGTTGCATGAAATGTTGTCAGAACTTAAAGTGCAGGGTCATGTCGAACAGGTATCTGGCACAAACCCACAGCGCGTCTGTGATCTGTAGGACTAGTAGAGTCCGGTCAGGAGCTGGCTCTTTCCGGTGGAAACATTATGCTCAGTGGCCTGGCAGTGGTCGCAGACCTCCAGCTTCATTCCAGAACAGCTCCAACAAACAGTCCAGGAGTCAAACGTCGGCCAACCTCGCCTTTGCGGAGTTCATTGGGTGACCAAGCCCGCCTCAACATTAACGTTGGAACCCTGGCTCTTTCGTTATCCAAGCATTTGATCAATCAAGCACCCACATCTGCTTCTTGGCTTCCTGCTTGCCGCTTTGCTCTCCTTTCGACCAGGAGACTTCGATCTCCAGGGACCGTTCTCGCCCTTCCTTCTTCTCATACTTGATTTCACCACACACCACCTCTCCAGCTTGGAACTCGTCTTTCGGATCCTTGATCAGCAATATCCCCTGCTGCCAATGGGTAGACTCGGAATACGGCCCTGTCGAAAACGAAACGAGACCCTTTTGTTTTGCATCGGCGGCCGTCATGCCAGGCCTAAAGCCGCCGCTGGTTCGAGAGGTGTCAAAAATGATGTCGAACCAGATCACGAACCCTTCGAGCAGCTTAAACCCTTCCTTCCACGTCGTTCTGAACGGTTTGGTGAATGACAGATCTTGCACCGTCGTCTTATGCAGGTCGAGTTCGAGGAACGTGCAACTGTCGGCGGCTAGTTCTTTGTCGTCGACAACGCGAATAACAACTTCATCATGCACCCGCTCCAGCATCGCACTCATGTCGAATCCGTAAACGTCACGCCAGAAATCAATGTGTGAGGCCTTTAAGTCGGAGTCGGCCAGCGGCGCAACCCACAGACTTGCATGAGACGGCACCATCAGGCCATCAGGAGCGAGATACTTGTCCCGCGCATAGATGACCGAGTCAAGCATCGATTCATACAATAGACAATATCCCATCCATTCACTCACGATCAAGTCGACTTGAGACACCGGCAGGGTGACTTCCTCGATCTTGCCTCTCAGACACTTGACCGTGTCTTGCAGACCGTTACGGAACACGTTCTCACGGGCCTTGTCAATGATGTCCGAATTGTCGACCGCAACGACCAGCTTGGCACCGGCTTTGGCGCAAAACATGGACAAGATACCCGTTCCGCAGCCCACGTCGAGCACAACCTTGTCTTTGAACAGGTCCTTGTGCTCGTAGATGAAATCGCGGTATGCGTCGGTCCGGATTCGATCTTTGATCATGGATTCATGGATCCCGTTGTACGAGTACGACTTGAAATAGTCGTTGTCGAGAGACCCGGACCCAGACCCAGTCCCTTTGACGTTTGCATTGCCAGCAGGCTGAGATTTGGCGTCAGTAGATGATCCTGTTGCTGCTGCTGTCATCTCCGACGAGTCTAATCGCTCCAACATGGCTTTCTGCACCTCTTCGCGATATGCAGTGAAATGGGATTGCAAGTTCGCCAGCTGTTCTCGAAGTTGTTCGACTTCGCTGGCTGGACCAAGACTTCCAGCGTCATCAAAAACATCGTCTAGACTGTACAGCAGTGCGTCGTTCTCCAAGGTCGGCTTGAGATATTTGTCGTCGTCGAAGAGCGACTTGGACGACACATCCGGTTGAGTTTTGCCGGCCTGGACTTCTGACCGGATATAGTTGACCAGTTTGATGGTGCCGAGAAAATCGAGGTCTTCAAATTGATTTATAAGTCAGTTTCGATTGTGCATGTACGAACGCGCGCACAATACGTGAGCATGTGGTGGAGGGAATTCACCAAAGTCTTTCCTCAGCTTCCAGATATCGAAACCATGTTGGTCTCGGCTGTAGGACAGCATGCTCCGGGCATCGGGGAATGTCTTGTCGTCAAAAAGCGACAGTACCGTAGCAGATTCCTCATCCGGCTCGACGTCTTCCCAGCCTTCATCGTCCATGGTGTCGAGGGGATCCGACGAGGACGACGAATCGCTGAGATCGTTGGTGAACGACATGGTTGTAGCTAAGTAAAGAAACTTCGGCGATGGCTGCTGAGGTATTTCGGATAATGTTGATGATATCAAATGATAATTCTACTGTATTGGTTCTATGCAACCGGATAATGAATTGGACGGGAGTAAAGTGCTCGGTTGGGGTCCTCAGACTTTGATACTGATCGATCGGACGGGCAGAGAAAATTCAATGGCACATCACGCCAAGTCTACGGAGGAGCGCGGGGCCGTTTGGTGCGGATGTATATCAACACGCAGATTAACCCCCTGCGACGACAGCCTTGATGCAAAAGCAAGGATTGGGATAATGGTAGGTGTATTAATGAGATCTTCGTTCAAAGCGTATCACATCGTAAGTAGCATTTTATTCTCCTTCGGCCGAAGATGTTTCTCGCCAGGGTTACTGGCCTCCCGTCCCCACAGGCTCCCCCTCTGCTCGTCTTCATACCACTGTAGCACCGGCACCCTTCACCCAGGCATCTACTTCAGCCTTAAAGTCCGGCTCATAAAGCCAAGTCAAATCAAACTCCTGGCGCGCGACTTGGTCCTGTTCTGTTTCTGTGCCCTCGGCGGCTGCAGCTGGATGCTTAGGCATTCTCCGAAGGTCGATCTGCTTATTCAGCTCCAAAATCCTGTTGATCCTATCCTGCCGATAACCCTGCCAGAAGGTCAAAGCATCTTCGAACCTGACTTTGCCCTTCTGACTCGCCGCCAGCAGGAGGGAAAACATATAAACATCCTCAAAGGCCTGATTGATACCCTGTCCCGCACTGGGCGGTATGGCATGAGCGCTGTCGCCTAGAATAACGACCCTTCGTTTCGAGGAAGCCCACGTATCCAGTTTTGGAATGACATAAAAGGGCCAAACATTGATCTTGTCATGGGGAATATGCTGGGTGGCAGTGACGGCAACTTCACCAAAAGCCTCGGCGTCGTCTTGCAGGAACTTGACTAACCCTTCCTTATCTGCCAGGAACTCGTCCCAGCCTTCACGCGTGAGCTCCGGCAGACGCCTCTGCTTGCCGATAAGGAACTCGGAGCCATCGACTTTCTGTGGAGCAATCACAAAGGCACCTTTGTTGTCCTCGGCGACGATGGTGAGCGGCTGAGTGATCTTGCCAGTGCCACCGTGGTATTTGACTTGGTCGGCTGGCACGGCCGCCGTGATCCCAGCCATGCCAATGAACTGGGGCGTGATGTCCGGATAGAGGTATTTGCGCACTGAGGAATGGATACCATCTGCGCCGACTAGCCATGACGCCGTCGACTGGGTGCCGTCCGTGGATTCCCAGATAACATGGTCGTCTGTCTCTTCGACGATGCGAGCGTACTTTCTGCCGTAGACGACTGAGATGTTGGCTTGCCGTGTCTTGGTTAATATCACGTCGATGAGCTCGTGCCGGTAGATCCGGTTCGCTTGGTACCCGTACTTTTCTTTGCTGCCGAACTCGTATGTCTCGATGAGGGTGCCGGATACAGTTTGCATTTCGAGGAGTTCGAAATTGTACCCGCGCTCGCGTACGTCTTGGTATACGTCTAGGGCGTCGAGGATCTTTAGTGCGTTCGGTGATAACATGACTGCTCCGCCGATGTTGAGGGGTGCAGGTCTGGACTCGTAGATTGTCGATTGGATTCCTTGTTGGTGGAGGGCTAATGCCAGGGTTAGCCCAGATAGCCCTGCGCCGATGATTGCAACTTCGTCGGTTGTCATGTTGACGGATGATATCCCACGAGGGCTTGGGAAATGTTTTTTGCGGCAGGATGACTTGAAGTCTTGATACACAGAAAGACGATTGACGATTGATATTGCGTCCGTAGAGATATCGACCTGACCTTCATCCAGCGGATACTGCTGGGTTTATATCGCTCTCAGGTTAGTAACAAAGGGGCGGCCTGAGGAGACTTTACCTTTCGATCCATTATTGGCGCCTCAGGCTGCCAATGATCTACAGCACCTCTAGCAGGTGCTGTGTCTAGTACAAGAGTAAGTAGATGCTGTAAGCAGGTCAAACCTTGCAGCGCGTCACATCACATCACCATCGCCTACAAAAAAGCCCTGTCGGGAACACGCGGTCATAGTTTCACGTTGTGTTTGTCAGCTTAGAAAGCGAAGACTGAACGCCTGAAGCGATGGGACTCGGTCAACGACGGTCCGGAGCGAGGACGAGAAGGCTGATCGTCCCATTGTGGAGCAAGAACTTCGGTCACTGTTTGGCTGCGCTGCACCGCCGAGTCCTTTTGACGTTGAGGCTGAAGTCGAACTTTTGAAAGGTTAATAAACTGTTGTGCTGGTCAAATCTCGCCCGTATCCTCGCTTAGAAGGTTGGACTATCTCCGCTTCGGCCGAGATGACTCAGCCTTCCTTCCACGAGGCTGTTACACTGTTGACCACCAGCCAGCTAGCCTCGCGCGTCTCATTGAAAGATGAACGGTATGACAACAAGAGGAGCTGATGCTGTGTCCTACTTATTAGTACTGGTTGTGAATCCGGCTGGCTGAAGAAAAGTGTATATATGGCGCTGGCCCCATCAAAGAGATGCTCTCGAAATCTCCTCGAGAAGCAGAACACAGCTCAGCGAACAGAGGAGACAATCGGAGTCTATCATACCGCCAGCCATACCAGTCCAGCCCAGTCCAGTCCACTCAACCACCGCGGCCAGAGCAAGAGTTTAATATAACCATCTCTACCCCATTCCGGACAGTCTCTCGACCATGTCTTCTTCATCCTCCCAGATCTTCCTCCTCGGAGCGACCGGCAGAACAGGCCGACTGGTGCTGGCCGAAGCACTATCGAGAAATTACCACGTCACCGCCATGGTCCGCAAAGCGAGCCACAATCTGCCAGAACACGCCAACTTGACCATCGGGGTCGGGGATCCCACCTCGACGAATGACGTGAAGTATGCCCTGGGTCAATGCATACCAGACACGCCTGTGGTCATCATCAGCACACTGGGCCAGACTCGAACCTCAGGCAACCCATTCGCCGCGACGACATCACCCCCACGGTATATGGAAGCCTCGATTCGCGCAGTGATATCTGCGACCGAAGAAATGGGCAAGGAGTCTCCGTCCTTCTCGGTCCGCAAATTGGTGGTCATGTCCATGTTCGGAGTGGGCGACTCGTTTGCCAATCTGAATTGCATCATGCGTGGCATCATGAAGTGGTCAAACATGGCGCAAACGTTGGAGGATCAGGACCTGGTTGGCGAGGTGGTCAAGGCAGCGCAACTGCCGTTTGTTTTGGTCCGGCCGGCAATGCTCAAGGAAGGAAGCGTGGCACCTCTCAAATTCTATGAGAGTTCGGGAAAGGGCGCCGGGTTCATGCCCAGCGTGACGGTGCACAGCGTGGCTCGGTTCCTGGTGGATGTGGTGGCCACGAATGAATATGACGGGACGGCACCTGTGATCACAAATTGAGCAGAGAAAGAGAATGGCTTCGGTTGGGACTTGGTTGAGGAGCAGATGATAATTCAGGTTACTCAAATGCTGGCTGGTCATGATTATATATGACTCCAAAGACAGTCCTCCTATGCAGATAGTCCATCAATAATCCTGTTGATGTACAAGACCGTTCAAAATTACCAGCTCTTACCCAAAACCCTTGCCCACTCCTGCATGGTATCCTTCGGGCCGGGTCTATCCCATCTCGTTGACTGGGCCGTGGGTTTCCATTTTGAGCAGCACGAACAGGTCGTGCCTGGTCCACCAGCTTCTCAGACGCTTTCCCCAGATGTACACCGGGATGGCCAGCAGAGACAGAAAGATCGAGGTGCCGCCAAACACGTACATGATCTGTTCTGGTCCGTTGGCTGCTACCCAGTCGTTGGCAAAGTTGGAGAGACCATAAAACATGAAGTTCTACCAAGGTTAGCAAAAGACAATCCCCGAATGACGTAAACTTGTGATGACCAACCTTGAACAGCATGTTCATGACAAAGATTTCGTTGCTCTGGCTGCGGAAGGAGTCCAGACCATACGACAATGTCGAGAATATTCCGATAAGCACACCAAACATCATTACGCCCTGGAGAAAAGCACACAGCTCTGCAGGAGATCCGATGGACATAGTATAGCCAAAGAGGAACATGCCCAGCCCGCAGGCGATGCAGGCTGGAATCATGAACACCAGACGGAATTCCGGTTCACTGTACAGCATTGCATTAGCACACCCATCCAATGATGTAGGATCCTGGGATTTGTGATAAGTTGACATACTAGACACCCTTGTTCTTCTTGGTCAGGTACTTGATGACGTAGTCTCCGGTAAACCCGCAAGCAAGGGACCCGAGGAGACCTCCTACGAAAGGTCCGGCACCGATATATCCAACACGAGCAGCGTCAAAGTTCCATGGCGGGCCAGAGAAGATACCGGACAATATGATGGCCGACCCAACGTACCTGTTATAAGCGTAAGCTGCTGTTTTCTGAGGGAGACCAATGGAAAACTCTCCAGTCTTAAAGTGAGGTACTTACCAGCTGTTCAGAAGTCCAGATGCAATGACTGCATAACATCCAGCAGGGTTGAGCAGAGTCAGGAACGGGCCAAGAAGGTATTTGAGGATGCTGTCATGCGAATAGACACCAGTCCAAACGGCCAGCTCCTGAACGAAAGACTTCTTCTTTGGGATGCTTGTCGTTTCACCTTGGCCTGGCTCTCCGACGGTCTCTTTGTGGGAGTGCTCAATGACCGCTAACTCCTCCAGTTTCTCGTCGCGGTTTAGGTCGGTATCGTAGCGGATGTCGCGGATATACGTCGTTTCGGGACAAAACAAGAACATCAGAACAAACTGTGCCACCAGGAAGATCTGGAACAAATGAAACAGCCATAGCCATCCCAGATCCTGGAAGACTTGACCGCATATGATAGACGCAAGGCTCGAGGCAGCGTTGAGGATGAAATTGATGATAGCGATCCGCAGACCTCGTTGATGTACGAAATAGATATCTCCAACCGTCGCCACGATCAAGGATTCGAACGCGGATGTCGAGAAGCCTTGGATGATACGAGCAGCTAGGAGGTATTTGTAGGAGACGCGGGCCTCGCCGATTGCCGTTCCGATAATGTCGAAGAGTGTAGAGACCAGAAAAACGGGCCTCTTGCCGTATTTGCGGCTGAACGCACATACTGTTTGATACGTCAGTCTCTCAGCCGTTAGTACTTCCTAGGTATCACTAACCGAACGGGCCGGAGCATCCAGCAGCCAAGAGATTGTATCCAGAGACCAACACAAGAGTCGTCAATGGTTTGTTGATTTGTTCAGACATGGAGAAATATGAAGCATTGAGGAGTGGTCCCTGGACCGTCAGAATGGTATATTCAATCTTGGATCGTACTTCGCTTACATTGGTGCCGGCATTGAGCATAGCCCCAAAAGACAGAATTGCGATGATGACCTCTTTTTTCCACATGGGCCAGTTCAGTGGGTCATTGGGGTCTTCACTAGGTTGTGGTGACAGCACGATGTGAGCATCCCTGCCACGGCCATGCTTGAGGCCTGAAGTGATTGCTTCAGCATGAGCGGCTTCATCGTTGAGCAAGACCGTCCCCGGGACATGGTCGAGTTTTGTGTCTGTCAAATACCGGATCAGCGTGGATGATTGAGGACGATTAGGAGTGCAATACCCTCGAGAACACCGAGCCCCATCTTGCGTGTAGAGGCCAATATCACCGTGCAGCTGAAGGTTCTCGGACTAGCGGTGTGAAAGCGATGATATGTTCATTCGCCGGGCAAAGATGTCAATCTCAAGCCTGGGGAATCCTGAGTACTTAAGGTGGGAGGCTGAATCCCCGCATAAGATAATTGTATAGAAGTGAGCTCAGCCCTTCGCCAGCAACTAGCAACATGGTGCAGGTCACGGTAATGGTGGTTGGGATAAAGGAAGCTTCTCCAACCACACACCAGTCGGGATTCGGTCCCCGGCGGAGTTAACCCAGTAAGAGTAGCCATGGCATGTCTGGACCCATCTTGCTTAGGGATAGCCAAGCTCGGCACATCGTTGAGAACAACTGCCGTGGAATGGAGATGCCTGGCATGGCTGACCAGGGGGGTGCGATTGCCTGTGTTGTCAGTTTGCACGGATGTCGCGACAGCGTGGAAGCTGTAGGACGCGCTGGATCCGAAAGTTGTTCTTCGGCCCTTTGACGGTATCGAGTATGCCAGCTTCCCCAAGCATCCGCACAGTGCAAATGACACTTGAAGACTAGGGATGATCCGGGGAAGAGCTTTGTGGAGTAAAGACCTGTGGGGTGGTGGATACGGGACAAGTACTGGGGACGGTCATCGCTTTCTGGCCTCTGCAAACCCTGTCTCCAAAAAGGTTGCAACGGAATGAGCATGCTTGTGGAGCTCAATGGTCCTGGCCTCAATTGTCTACGCGTATGGTGTACGCCAGGACAAGAACATGGAGTCTGAGAACAGCTAAAAGTGTCCTTGAGATGCCCCTTTCCACGTGCAGACACCGCACTAGTACAGTAGGCTGCACAGGTCGATCTCGGCGACTTGAGCCTTGATGGGTATTTTCCAGCAACCGGTTGCCTTTTACTGGCCAGGGGCGGGGAGACAAGGCTCACTACCGATGAGATGGTCGTTGCTCCCATCGAGCGACATCCTTGTACAGATTGAACCGAATAAGCGGTTCAAGATTCATACTATTGTTTTTGTCGGTCCAATCTTCCCTCAGGTTGGATGTAGCCAAGGATCACACGAGTGATAACACCACCTTGGACTGTCACGAGGAACATGGACGCGGAGAAGCAGTATGACTTTGGTGCTCGAGTAAAGTGCTTCTCCTCACCGTCGTAGTTCATGCCCTGGACGTCGTAGTTGTGCCGAGTGTCGGATCTGGCGCTCCGTAGTGCAAGATCCTGCTTCTCGGTAACAGATTATTTGCCGATCTGGACTTTGCCTTCTATGAGAGTTAGTTGCGCTGTTGCTCTGCTGTTCCTCGGCAGAACACAGACACATCCAGGGGCTGTACTTTTAGTTGAGCCAAGTCTTCGCGAGACACCCTTTCGCTATTTAGAGTTTCGTTAAAGAGTGCATGATGAGTATGTTTTAGTCAGTTTGGCACAGTCTGGATGTTATCCGATGTATTGGAGGGTAAGAGACCAGCAGTGCCGGGGTTGGGAGACAATTCCAGCAAACACCGTCTTTCCAGCATAAAATAGCTTGGTTTCTTTCGAAGTATAGGCGTGTCTGAAAACTCCATGATGCTCTGTAGCTATTGTGACTGCCATCCGAACTTTCGGCATTGAACCAGTTCAAGTTGGTCCTCTGCAAGGCAATTTGAAACTGTTAAATTCAAGACTTTGTTGCAGATTTGGCCATAACGTCGGCGTCCATGGCTCCAGCAGGAGCTGCCAATGCGCTGCTGTTCTGGAGTGTCCAGTCAATCGGCTTGGTTGTAGCGCTTACAGCTTTCTCTGGAGACCTCAAGGGACCATAGTATAGGCCCTCAATCAAAGTTTCTTGGCCGTCAGAGACAGTGCCTGATTCGGAACGGCCAAGCTGCTCTAGATTCAGACCAGGTCGTGGCAAAGTATACCAGTACTTGTCATGGCCAACATCCAACATCACACCTAGCTTCACCGGGTATAGGTATAGGGATTGCCAGTGTGTCGCTTGAAAGCCGGTGGTCCGGTGCTTCAGGTCGAAACCATGTGTTGACTGTATGCTAGCTTGGCAGAAGTTGCGTTATACTTCACGAAGATGCTCTGGTCTGGATGCTGAGTGGCTCATAGCTCATAGCATGGCATGGGTTCAATAGAAAGCATCAGCAGAATTTGGATAGGAGATGAAGCGTTGCACATCTGATGGAATGAAAAGTAGAATGAATGAACTTGTAGGGACGTGTAGAGGGTAGCTTCCCACCGGCATCTTAGGCTCTCGCCAGACCTGCCCAAAGAGACAGACTAGTAAGGAACTAGGCGAGAAAGGAATAGCGTGATTGTGGTCAGAGACACCGCTTCAAGATTCCCAATGGAACATTTTCCTCATTGTCTTTTGCAACTGTCGCAGCCGTCCGACATGAAATGCTATTGATGCACTCAATCCATGGGTGCAGCGAGTGTCCTGCATTTTCAGCACATTCATTGGTGCAGATATGCAGAAATAAAAGAAAGGTGGTGTGCAAAAAGACAAAAAGGGTCGATTGGGGAGCAATTCCTGCAGACGTACTCAGAACACTACTCATACAACCGTCTGGGCCATTGACACCCCAACCGACCGACAGAAATTGTGCAACAATGAAATATATACCTTGTTATTATTTGTCTCCGCAAAAAGTCCCCTAGCATGAGCTTAAGCGTCCAAAAGGAAAGGCCACCTCGGCGGCGTGCCAAAAGCCACTGGATTGGACACCCCCAAACAAACGGCAAATGAGAATGTCATAAGTCAGTTTCGTCTCGAACGGAGCTTCTGAGCGGTGATGTGTGTCGACAGTGTTTTGGGGAGTATTTGCGCTGCTCTGAAACTCCAGTGTTTACTCGAACTCAGAGTTGCAGGTAGGAGATCAGAACAATCGAAGGACTGGCCGCCCTCATGCCCCATAATCAGGAAGAGGGGTAAGAAAGGGCTTACCACCAAGTTTCTACGTGGCCGTGCCTCTTTGCGAGCTCAGGTAAGTCCTGGTAAGTCTTGGTCGCTATGCTGTCACCAGTGGGAGGTCGAATCGAGCTCGTAGGCTCATTCATAGTGAACCCCGTTGCCTTGAGTGAATACCAAAGCAGAAACCGCTCATGGCCTGGATTAGATCGGTAGTCAAGCTCTAATTCGTTTCGAGCTTCGGACCAGGACTCGCATCCTGCAGCCGAGAAGGCGACCAGAAGCTTCAAGTCTACGAACATGGTTTGTGACCGATCTCTCGGAGCTGGACTGGTTCTACCATGAACCGTACCTCTAGTATTGTCCGTGCCAATCTGGCCGTGTTTCTTTCCTGTGATTGTGCCACAGGCGTGTGCTTCACTAAGGCGCTCGACTTCGGCCAGCCACACTCCATGGCAAAGGTATTGATTACCATGTTCGACAGGAAGGGTTGTCGGTGAATTGGCATTTCTCTATGTCCATGTGGGATATAACGAAGAAAATCACGACGGGTATCATGGTTGCCACCAGTCCAAGCGGCGCTTTTCCGAGTCTTTTGGATGCTTCTTACGATTCAGTCGAGCATCTGCCGGACGCCCAGAATGACAAAGAGATATGAGGCACGATGATACCAGTACAAATCACGAGATGGAACTCACCCCCGGCGATTCGTATCCGGAGATTTCGCCCGCATGTGGAGGTCAGCGATGCTACAGCGCCCAAGGCACCAGTTGAGTTCTGTGGCAATAGGACCCCTACCTTACCTTGCGTGGGCAGGTACAGCACCGTTCAAAAGGCGCGCGCATCAACCTGGTACAACAATGGCCCTGCCTGACTACTAGTAGCCCGGCGAGGTGGAAGTTGATACGTGCAATCCCCAGTGGTTGAGCAGGAGAATGGTTGTTTCAGTATTACTACCTGTGTATACAGCTGGGATTTGGGCCTTGCTAATAATACCCAACGTATGCGGTACTTGTGGCTACATTATGTCTCTAGCTTCTTGTCTTGTACCCTACAATTAAAATCAATGGCAGAACCGCCCCAAGAAGACGTACCTAGGTAGTTAAGGACAGGCGAATCCAATATACTGCACAATGACAATCGTGCTGCGAGGCTCGCAGCATCATACTGTAATCTGCCGGGTTCGGCTGCCGACAGTAAGTAGTACTGTACTAGGTACTGTCCCTTACCCCAGCTGCTCGCTCTTCTCCAACTGGGAAGACTTCATACCCAAACGACCTCCAACCCTCCTCAAGAAATCACACAGAGGTAATAGTGCAAACCTCTCTTTCCGCAGACACCAGTTAGAATTTATCATCCTCAAACACTTTCACTCAATCGGTACTAGAAAATGGCACCCAAAGGCCCTTACAAGCTGGTGACAGTCAACACCGCCCCGGAGCGCGCAAAGCGACTGATTGGCCGCGTGGTCGAAGACCTCAAGGATCAATATACGATTCAACATATGGCGAATTGTGAAAGTATGTCACACATACACACATATACATACACTCTCTCGCTGTCTCTTTCCTTCCTTCTGTACCCCTTCGTCCTGCAAGAGGTCTAGCATGCCATTTCACGTGTCTTCATCACGAGAAGGAAAGAAGAGGACGGTCTGCTAAATCTCCCAACTCTCCCAATTATTGATCATCTATCTAGCCATCGAAGCAGTCGAACCCACCGTGAAGGAGATCCAACCGGATTTACTGGTAAGTGTCGGTCACTGGCCCTTCCGTCGGGGTTCCTCAGATCGAGAGGCCCTCTGTCGCCCATCTCTATGTTGACTGATCTATCTGACCAAACGCACCAGTTCTGCGCATCAATGTGGACACCCGAAGAGAGCGCACGCATCCAACAGATCGCCAGAGACAACGTTCCAGGGATCAAGACGCACGCGATCCCACAAGGACTACAGGTCGAAAAGGGGCCGGATGCAGTGGTCGAGTATTTGAAGGAGCAAATTCCAGGAATTCTAGGCTAGAAAACAAACCCCGACGGTGACAGCGACAGCGACTCGTTCCTTGTCTGGCCATCAGCCTCACGCGGTGGAGCAAACCATGACATCCCATCCAATGCGGAACAGGTCACCCAATTGCTTGCCAGTGATCTATTCTCTCCTCTCTGGTCTACTTCTACTTCTGTGTCTCCTTCAACCGTATCCTTCCCTGGTCATCATACACCAACTCAGTCATCTTCACACTCCTAAGATGATCCACGCCACCACTCAACTCGCAATCATGATAAAACAACCACCATTTACCCCTATATTCAACGATACTATGGTGCGTCGTCCATCCCGAAACAGGCTCCAAGATCCGTCCGGCATACACGAACGGACCTAGCGGGTTGTCTCCAACCGCATAGACCACGTAGTGCGTGTCGCCCGTCGAGTAACTGAAATAGTATTTCCCTCGGTACTTGTGCATCCAGGCGGCCTCGAAGAAGCGGCGGTCGTGGTCATCCGCGGAGAGTAACTTGCCGGTGGCGGGATCGAGGATCTGGATCTCTTGCACGGGCGACGCGAACGACCGCATGTCCGCGCTCAGCTTGGCCACGCGTGGCAGCAGCGCCGGGGTATCGGGGCCATGCGGTTCCTGGGGGCCAGACTTGGAGGGGTCGAAGTGCCATTCACCGGCGGTGATGGGGCTGGTGCTGTCTGTGGTGGTTGCCGACTCGGCTTTGCGATCGTCGTTGTCTTTGCCTTCGGCTTCGCCTACGGCTCCGCCAGCTTTCGTCCAACACTGCAACTGACCACCCCAAATCCCCCCAAAGTACAAATACGCCTGCCCATCATCATCAACAAAACTCGCCGGATCGATACTGTAGCTCCCCGGTATGGGTTCCGGGTCAGGTTTAAACGGCCCCTCGGGACGGTCGGCCACGGCGACTCCAATGCGGAAAATGCCCTGTTTGTCCCGCGCCGGAAAGTACAGGTAATACTTGCCGTCTTTGGTCGCGGCGTCAGGAGCCCATAGTTGTTTTGATATCCAAGGAACATCGGAGGCTTGTAAGGCCACGCCGTGGTCTGTCACTTGCGGTGGAGATCCCGACTCAAAAGGGTCGCTCAGTGACAGGACGTGGTAGTCGGCCATGTCGTATTGGTCGCCATTGTCGTTGAATGGGATGTCTGTTTCGCGGTCCTTTCAAAAACCAAAAATCGAGGTCAGTGATGATTGCTCAGCTGTTGAGGAGACGGCAGTAAGGTGGTAGGGGATCGTGGAGGTCTGATACCGTAAAGCCCACGAAGGTATCTCAAGAAAAACCAAGGGCCTTGTCGAAGGAGTACGAATCCAGAAAAAGTGGATGATGCATGTAGGATATATGCATCCGGTAGTTGTTGCGGAGTCGACGTTGTTCTTGCACAACACGAACGATCTCACCCATCGCACGGTGCCTTACCTGGGCGGGAGGCATAACCCGAGTGGTAGGAAAGACGCATCAAGAAATCATGTACTGCTAACTCACATGCGACGGATAAATATACAACTTTCCCTCAAAGACATGCGCCGACGGATCGGCCGTGTAGATGTGCGTGACGAGAGGCTTTGGGTCCGTCATGATCGATGGACTTGACACACGGATGAGCGTCAACTACAGCTCTCCCTAGATATCGTGCAATTGTTGAATGGACGATATCTGGATTGAACGCGCCCGCGATTGTTGGCGGAGAGGAGGGCCGATCGAGACTGAATACCCTTGGTGTTCCAGCCATCGTTCCGTTCTCAGCGTCACCTTATATATGCCTGTAGCCTCCCTACTACTGATCTAGTAGTGACCGACAAGGTGAGCGTGTCCTGTGCCATGGTAATGTATTTAGCCAGATTTACCCGGTGAGGTTGCGGTTGGAAACAGCCACTGCCAGTAATGGATGATGATATGACCGAGCGCTTGGAGCCCCGGAAATAGCCACCCATGGGAAAACCTCGGCAGTTGACCAGTGTCCGCGCAGCATCGTTGTCGGCGGTGCTTCTCACACGCTCAACAGACCGAGTGGACAAGAAAACGCGTCAACGAACGGAAAAGGAGCTTCCGCTCTATAGAGGTAAATTAATAAATAATACATGAATGGATCCAACAGGATCTCGTCGCCTCTTTCAACTTGCCTTGCTCACAATCCAGGGCGGAACGCTCGAAAGGGTTCTCATACAACGACGTACAACTGTAGATTAGTTATAACTTTTGTTTCCTCTGTCAATAGCAAGGTGGAAGCCGAAACCGAGGTCAAACATATATCTATACACAGTGTCCAAAATACATTGTGAGGGTCTTTTTTTACAATGCGAAGGCCAAAAAGCCCATGACGGACAGGATTACTCCTGTATAGCCTTGGGCGCGGGTCGCACCGTTAACTGGGGCGATCGTCGCAGGGGCAGTTTGACTGCTCGAAGTCGTGCTGCCTGCACCAGCGGACGTGGTAGACGCTGTCGAGCTTGCCACTGCTGAAGTGCTCAGAGAAGCTGTGGTGGCTTTGGTCGAACTGCTGACGCCGCTGCTTGTCGAGTTGGTAGTTGAGTTGCCAAACGGAGCGGAGCTATAACTGGTAGGGACGGCGCTGCTGCTGGTGGTGTTGCTGTTGCTGGTATTGATGGTGGTGGTGATTGATTGTGTGGTCGATTGCGTGGTCGCGGAGGATGTGGTAGACGTTGTCGTTGTTGAACTCTGCTCTTGGGCCTTGTTAACCATTTCCTTGACCCATCCCGCCGCAGCATCGGTGTAGACGTCAAAGTATGTCAGATGGGTAGTGGCATCCTCGGAGCCATAGCTAGCCGCACAGATCGGGTCGGTAGCCACGCAGTACGATCGGAGCACGCTTGAAAAGCGGTTGAGCGTGGTGAGTTGTTCAGCGGACCGAGGGAACTAGAGAAAGAATCGGTTAGTCAAGCTGGTCCCCAAACTGAACCACTGGATATCATCTTCTGCAGTGGGTGACCGCCGTTTGATTCTGTGCCGCCATGGCGAGCGTACACTGCAATCGCGGTGTGGACAAGCGAAAGGGTTTGGGGTAGCTTACAAGGCCGGTTGCGCCAGCTCCAGATTCCACATTATACGGCTGTCCGGCCACATGGCGAGTATCACCGAACACCAATGCTGCCACAACTATAGTCGTCCAAGTCCGAGTCAGCAAGACGTTCGTGAAACTGGTTAAGGACAGGCATCCTGGTTGCTGAAGCAGGATAGGGCAGATACAACTTACTCTTGTTTCCTGGACTCGTGGTCGGGTCCAGAGCTGCATTGACTGGTTGAGTACAGTTGTTGAAAAAGACACCGCCTCCTCCACCAAGAACGTCACCCACAATCTGAGCACCCTGCGAGTATCCGCTGAGAACGAGCTTCGCATCCGGGCAGCGCGCGGCATAGGCCGTCACCTGGGACAAGCCATTCTGTGCACCTTCGGTCACGGAGGCGCAGTAATCGGCCTCTACGGGGTTGTAGTATTGGATATCTTCGTAGTCACAGCTGTCGAGTCCGTAACAGATGGCACCGGCCAGTTTTCCTTGTCGTCCTGGGTAAGGCTCATTGTTTCCTTTTGCGAGGAAGATATGAACATCCTTGCAGCTGTCGTCTCGTCTCCAGATCGGCTCGGCAGTCGAGACAGCCCACGTGAGGGCGAAACTGGCCAAGAAAAGCCTGGAGCTGGAGGTGAAAAGCATCGTCGTGAAGTTGGTTTGGACGAAAAGTTCGCTTCCCTTCTGTGTTTCGGGTCATGGTGGAAGCCATGATAATATATTCAAACAACCTGTGCCTAGCTCTTTCATCTGTCTCCGCTTCGCCTGTTGTACGATTAGGAGATTCGTCGCTGTTAGCATCGTTGTTGAGGACATCAACTGTGGGTAAGATACACAAACACCATCCGATAGGGACACTTGAGTCTTTTTTGACAGTCTGAACCCACCGTACCGTGGATCCGAATATTGCCCTGGCCATGCAAAACGTGGTGCAATGGGCCCCTCTAGTGCGAGTTTGTTCCAGAACAGACCTGCTTAGGCAAAGATGTGGACATTTTTGTGCCGTGCACAGCTAAAAATATCAATCCTCTAGCAACTTTGTTTACCTGCCAGTGGTCGACATTATCAGCTGTGTGTACAACACCTCTGGGCAATCTTTCGTTAGTATCACACTAGTACATAAGTAGAGTAGCGCGTATTCAACTCCCATCTTTCCCAGTTGGCACTAGCGTATTACACATTTCTTGCGCTTTAGTGTGGCAGTTGTTGTCGAAACAGGTACTGTACTGTCATTTTACTGATCCTGACTAAGCTGGCGGCTGATCCGGGAAAGTCTAGCGAGAGCGCACTAACGAAAGATACCCCCGGCGTCGTTGTAGTTGGTTGTGCGAGATACGGGCCGAAGCTGTGGTAGCGAAAAGTTGCCCCCCTGTATTTTGACAGCGGTGGAAGCATCCCACTCGTTCCGAGCTCCGAGACATCCAGAGGCCGGATGAGTTAGGCGGCTCTGGAGGATAAAGAATGACCCCCCATTAGTATCAGGCTGCCGTAGCTCAAGTCGACGATGGTACCCTGGTGATCATATTGATGGTACAGGCATAGACATCATCCAAGGACCGAGAGATGCATGGCTGAATTAGCCAAGATGGAAGGTTGTTCAAGCCAGCGACATCGGCAAAGAATGTCCATAACCTCGGAGTACCCCGTGCTCCTCTCTTTTCAAATGCCACCATGAATCTTGGGTCTTTAGACAACGGTAAACAGTACTAAATCTGACAGAAGTGAGCGTGGTGAGCGTAGGATTGCCCAATATGAGAACAGTGCTGCAGAACGCCCAGGTATTCACCGGCTCCAACGTGGATTCTGAGAAGCTCAAACATACGTGTATGGTCATCAACGACGACCTGATCGAACATGTCGGCTCAAAAGAAGACGATGCAGTTGTTGCCGCAACAAAAGACGGAGCCAGACTTGTTGATCTCACGGGTCATACACTGGCTCCGGGGTTTGTTGACGGGCATATGCATCTTCTCATGTTCGGGACGTCTTTACAGAAAATAAGCATCGACCATTGTCAGTGTCTCGAAGAGATACAGTCTACAATTTGGGAAGCTGCCAAAAAGGATCGAATCAGCACCCGCCTCATGTGTTGTGGCTGGATGCACTTCATGACCGACGGGAAAGCTCTGGCGAGTGATTTGGACGGTCTCGATGAGCTGGACAGGCCAATCTTTATCGATTCCAAGGACTTGCATTCCTGTTGGTGCAACACTGCGGCATTGAGAGAGATGGGCGTTCAGGACATGCCCGACCCGCCAGGCGGCGAGATCCAGCGGGATGACAAGGGTATTGCCACGGGCCTGCTGAGCGAGGCTGCTGCAGTCGCCATCGTCTGGCCACATCTAGCCAAAGTGGCCTCGATGGAGGAAAAGTTGACGGCAATCAGCGATGCCATCAAGACATACAACGCGTCAGGCTATACGGGAATGGTGGAAATGGCCACGGACGAGAACATCTGGGAGGCACTGCTGGAGTTCAGGTCTAGAGAACGACTGTCCGTCCGCCTGGCCATGCACTGGCTGATCTACCCTTCCAAGACAGACGAAGAAAACTTGCGACAGGTTGACCGTGCCATTGAACTGTGGCAGAAGTACAACTTGGAGACCTCGCCCGATTTCCGTATAGCCGGTATCAAGGTCATTGGTGATGGAGTGGTCGATGCTTGCACCGCGGCCCTGTTGGAACCCTACACGAAGAACGGTGTCTCCTGTGGCCCGCTCTGGGACGCCGACATGTTGAAACAAGTGGTTCACAAAGCCGACGCTGCAGGGCTTCAGTGTGCTCTGCATGCTATTGGCGACGCTACTGTCAAAATGGCCATCGACATCCTCGAGGGCGTTTCGTCGAGTGGCCGCCGCCATCGTATCGAGCACCTTGAACTGACTTCTCCAGGCGATGCGAAGCGCCTGCAAGAGGCCGGTATTACTGCTTCGGTGCAAGCCGTGCATGCTGACCCAGCCATCCTGCGCGAATGGACATCTCTACTCGGCGAGAAAAGGAGAGGTCGTGCTTTCGCCTACCGGGAATTCCTGGACGAAGGTGTCAGTCTGGCCCTGGGCACTGATGCACCTACTGCACCCAACCTCCCTCTACCGAACATGTACATCGCGACGACGAGACGGTCAGCGAGGGAACCGGAGTCAACTGAGGTGGTCAATCGGCACTTTGCCTTGCCCTTGTTGAGTGCCTTTTCAGCAGCCACCTACGGTGCGGCATATTCTTGTTTCATGGATACCATCACTGGCAGATTGGCCCCCGGAATGAAGGCAGATTTCGTTGTGCTGGACATGCAGTGGGCGCCAGAGACATTGCTGCAAGCCAAAGTGCTTCAGACATGGTTTGACGGAAAGAAGGTATTCGACGCGGAAGAACTATAAGTGGTTGTGTGAAGCCAAACAAATACATACATCTCGTACACATGTCGTCAAAAGCTGGGCGAGAAGCAGCTCAATCTCAATCCAAATGTGCCGAGTTCAGATTATGAGGAGGACGATGAGACTCCTGATATCTTGTCCTTGCCATCTTCTGCCAATTCACTGGTCTTCTCACTGGTGGCTTGAGCTGCATCCTTTGCAGCAGTTGTGGCATCCTGACTGTGTTTTCCAACCGTGTCATGCAAGTCCGAGGTGATTTCCTTCGAGTCGTCAGTCGCTTCTTGCAATCTGTCCTTATGGGCTTGCATCGCCTCTGCGGTGGTGAGGTTGTCAGTATTTCGCCAATGAGAAGTATCGTAGATCAGCGCCTCTCACCTTCGCTTCCTTTGTTGCCTGAAAACATCCCGCCGATTTTGCCAGCACCTGCACCTAGGGCACCTCCTGCAAACTGTACTGTGCTCCCAACACCGTCGCCTACGCCTTGGACTGTTCCGGTCACACCTTCACCGAGTGCACCAACCGTGTTTCCGACGGTGTCAACAACTCCTTTGACGCCGCCTCCAAGCGTGCCGCCGAGAGCAGTAACGGCGCTTTGAGCGTTTGACGAGACTCCTTCAGCCTGGTCTTGGGGGACTTTGCCAGCGATAGCAGCTCTATGACATATCAGCTTGCGGGGTTCTGGTCATGCAGCGGCACCAAGTCTGCCTCCAAAAGTCGTACTTTGTTTGTTCGGCGATCTGCTCGCCTTTGGGATTGCCTGGTAGTAGGTCGAGATCAATGACTCTGTTCTCTGCTACCTTGACCATGGTGAGTTGTTGTGTTAGCCTGTAATCACCGAGTCTAATACTAATACTTTATTGCACGGGTTAGATATGGAGGCTGTCAACAACAAGCATAAGATCCTATTCCCTCCTCGCAAACAATCACAGCTGAGTCACTGGTGACGTAAGGAGAGGAACTCATATTGCCAGCCGTCCACATCTCATCCATGACGATCTGAGCCGGGAGGGTTTTGTGAATTCAAGGAATTCTAGGCTGTCGACAACAGTACTTGGTTGGTAGAACAGGGGTCAGGCTATCTCGTGCCGTGGCAGGTTGCGGAGGGGTGCGATTGCGATTGCGATTGCGTAGCAGCCCTCGCTACACCTTCTCTTTATGGGTCTGGCCTGTGGTGCTCGTGAGGTCACGTGAAATGCATTTGTTCTGTTGCGGTGCGCCGTAGCTTCTTATCGATAAGCAAAAATTTCGAGCGGAGGGAAAGTTCATCAGCGCAGCCCGGCTGCCAACACCAGCACTGGCATATCAAAGGGCTTTCTTTGCTCTCTTCCGCTTTACCCAAATCACCACCACCGCTACACAACAATATGGCCAAAACAAGGAGAAAGAAGAGGACTCATGTTCCCAATAATGATGTACCCGGAAAGCCAGGTCAGGCCAACCGCCGGCCGAAGAGCATGGTCATTCGCATGGGTGCCGGCGACGTCGGTCCCAGCGTCACCCAACTGGCCAGGGATTTCAGGACGGTGATGGAACCGGACACTGCCAGCAGATTAAAGGTACGCTCGATATGCATTGACTACGCTGCAGTTCTCAGTGACTGACATGAATGGCCAGGAACGCAAAGCAAACAAACTGAAAGATTACACTGCCATGGCTGGTCCATTGGGGGTGACGCACCTATTCCTATTTTCACGATCCAAGACCGGCAACGTCCACCTCAGAGTTGCATTGGCCCCTCGCGGTCCAACGCTTACCTTCAGAGTCGAGAGGTATGCCCTGTGCAAGGATATTGCCAAAGCGCAGAAGCATCCGCGCGGAGGAGGGAAAGAATACCTGCACGCTCCGTTACTGGTGATGAACAATTTCACATCCCAGGCTGCCGGAGAGCCCAATGCCGATCCGATCAAGAAACAGCTCGAATCCCTCACCACGACCGTCTTTCAGGGCATCTTCCCTCCCATCAGCCCGCAGACCACACCGTTAAATTCTATCAAGCGAGTGTTACTGTTGAATCGAGAGTCACAGGCAGAAGGAACATATGTCATCAGTCTTCGGCACTACGCGATCACCACTCGCAAAGCCGGTGTCTCGAAACGAGTGCGCAGATTTGACCCGAGCGAGCAGCGGCTGAGAGAAAAGAAGACCGGCGCGCTACCAAACCTGGGCAAACTGGATGATGTGGCGGACTATATACTTGACCCCGCAGCTGGAGGGTACACTTCAGCCAGCGAGACCGAGCTAGATACCGATGCCGAAGTGGAGGTGACACAAACGACGACCCAGCGGGTATTGAGCAGACGAGAACAGCAGAAACAGCAGGCCGGTGAGAACGATAAGGGCAAAGCAAAGACCGCCGGCCCTGCATCGAATGTGGAGAGACGAGCTGTCAAACTGGTGGAACTTGGCCCGCGCATGAGACTGCGCATGGTGAAGGTGGAAGAAGGGATTTGCGAAGGCCGGGTCATGTGGAACGAGTTTGTGACAAAGACGAAAGCCGAAGAAAAGGAGTTGGATGAGAAATGGGCGCAAAAGCGCAAAGAGAAAGAGGCCCGTAAGCAACAGCAAAGGGAGAACATTGAGCGCAAGAAGCAATTGAAGAAGAACACGAAGGCAAATGCCGGACAAGGTGAGGGCGAGGAGGAAGATGACGAAGAAGAGGAGTGGGATAGTGATGAGCTAGAAGATTGGGACGACGACGATCTTAACGACGACGATGACTCTGGGGATGAAGACGAGGAAGACCAAGACCACGACCAGGAGATGGAAGGTTGAAAGCTCACGACATACTGGTTGGAGGATGGTCACTCTTTGACCAGGCCTCCTCATCATGGGCTGTGTTCAATTCTTCATGACTCACGACAAGCAACAAGAATTCCCAAGGTATCCACGAGCGACCCGTGACACAGACGTCCTATATTCGTCACATTAGCGCCGAGATCAGAGCGTGAGCCGGAAAGAACCCTCACAACAGGCCAGACTCGCACAAACAGCGAAGCCGGAGCCACGATCCGGGTCAGACTTGTCGGGGACTGCGGGCGACGCAGCGGCAGCAGGAGGATGGCCCGCCCATAGGTGACGGTGTGGGCGGGTTCTCTACATCACTGAGATATCTTCCACACGTCGACAGTGGCCTGCTTCAGTGCTGGTGCTGAAATGCCGCTTCTACATACCATTTGCAGCGTATGGAAGGATCAGCGTCGGAAGTCATGTTCAGTGGTCATCACAATAATGCCAGAAAACTGTAGCAAGGCCTTCCAGATCCGAACGAAAAGTGTCAACTGTGGTCGGAGGAGAGTCATTCTTGATCTAAACCATATAAATGTCCAAGCTGCCTTACTCTTTTGAGCATCGCCATCGCCGCCGCGGCCGAGATGCGAGAGAACCTAGAAGACTTCCAGCGCATTGCAGGCCCAACAGAATTCCAAGGTTTCCGGACATAACATTTCAAAGCACCTCGTCACTGTATCCATGCGTTCAACTGCCTTTTTTCTTCCCTTGCACAAAAAAGCACTTCATGTTGACGGTACTTAGCAATATCCACGCTCGATACTTAGCTTCCCAGGTGCTCGCAGTAACTAAGTTGGCCATGATGCGATTTTCTTCTGGTAATAGCAGACACAATGGTTGGTTGGTTGGTTGATAGAGATCCGTTGAACGCCAATTTCTGAGGGTCATTGATCTTTCCAGCAGTTTCGGTTTGACCTCCGTCCCCATTCTCGGTACCGTACTCAACCATACAGTTCGCCCAATTTTGATTCTGTCGCGGCACTGTTGGATTCATTCGGCGTTGCACGCATTGCAGGTAGGACCGTTGGGGCCATATTATTCAATCTCATCTGGCAATTAATTGGTCGTCATGCGAGCTGACGCTTCCCTGCTTGTGCTCTGCTTTGTAGCCGAAAAGACATGGCCATAGAAGCGGAACGTAGATAGACCGAGACCGATGGGACGGACCGACAACGATCCATTCATTTCTTCCCAGACGCATAGCGTTTGGTCCATTCCCTCGCTTCTTTTTCGAAAGCGGCCCGGTCGCTGCGATACTGCTCGGCAATCTTGGCCTCGACAGCGTCATCGGGATTTGGTTCTGTTCGGAAGAGTTAGTACTGATAAGTAATGAATGGAAATGGCCTCGCCATGTCTGGGCGGACATGATTTCGGTGCGTGTCCGTCCGCCGTTTCATACATCGTACAGTACCTATACTCATCGCAAGACCCACGTACTGTGCGAAGCAATAATCAAAACAAAGATGGCATGGAACACCGTGCACGAAACTAACCTTTCAACAACTGTCTAGCAAACTCAAGCACGGCACTCATCTTAGTGCTAGGCTTCCATTCCGAGTCCTTCAGCATGCCTAGACACATGGTCCCGGAGTTCGGAGGGGTGTCGTTGGAGATATTGGGATGGTACACTTTTGTGGTGAAGACGACGGTGGGCGGTTTAAATGGATAGTTTTGCGGTAGGTTGATGGATAGATTGAACATGCCGCCCTGAATGAACAATAAATGCGAATGTCAGCCAAAGAGTCTAAAACACATTCATCAATCGGCTTTGGCATGTCACTGTTGTGCACCATATTGTCGACACACTTTATCTCGTCGTAACGATTGTCATAGTAGTAGTGACAGACTTACCGCATAAGGCGATCCCGCCGGACCTTCCATCGACACTTTCCACTGATATAGATTCGCCTCGTCTGCCAGGGAAACAGTGATTCCTTGGGGCGGTGAAGAAGTCAACTCGGCAAGTTCCTATATGACACCGTCCGCCCATGTCAGTCAGTGTCGATAGATAGATCTGTTTAGGCAGGCAGGTAGACAGCCGGATTCCGATTCAAGTTACCACCACCGGGCCGACAACAGTCTCAAAACTGACCTTGGTGATACGTTTCTGGCTGGCCATGATGGGCAACGTAGGTAAAGGTAGCCAGCTGATTGATGTGAGATCAAGTGACTACTCTAATTTCGAGTTCTTGTTCGCCTTGCGGGTTCGAGTTTCCCTAACTGGTTGTCCGGGCCGGTGTCGACGCCAGCGGGTAATAGACACTGCCCTGGTGGAAGTCCAGTACACTCACTATTGACGGAGCTTGTGCGAGATACACAGACGGAGAGAGAGTGAGTGTGGATCTGTAGTGGGTTGGGTGCCAGGCAGTTGTCGTCACGGACGGACGGACGTAGCACTGCCAGTGTTGCTTTGGATTTCTCTGCTTTGATCGGAAGTATTAGATGTGGGTTGTTTCGAGTCGTGAACACATGAGTTTTAGGACCATCCTAGGTAGCGAATGTAAGATAGACTGGAACAAATGATCCTTTCTGAGGACAAGATAGGTACGCCGATCAGTGCCAGCGAGGGCCGGTTCGAACCGTTCAATCGACGTCAATCAAATTGCGATAGATACAACAGAAGTTCACCGTACTCAGTATTGGGAGTGCTACTGCGGAGTGTTATTAAAGAATGGGAAGTGTTACTGCGACGAGGCTGCACGGTTGAGGAGTGTCAAAAACTACATCCCTCTCGACTTGTTCAAGGTAGAAAACAAGCTATCACACCACAGCTACTGATGGATTCCTGCATTCTTTTTGGGTCCTCTCTATTGGAACTGCCTCCGCTAATCGCCAAAGCCGCTGTGCAGGTTCACTCAAAGCCCGACTCTCTCTTCCCTTCATATCTAGGAAAAGGGAACACCACCTCATTATGTACCGTACCTCACCTGGCATACTCACGACGCCTACTTCACCCGTCGGTGCCGCTACTTCTGAACGTGACGCATATCTGACAGTACTCGTGGGTCAAGTCTAGGACATGCTGAGGGAGATTGGTCGATTGCACGATGCTGCGTACTTTGACAGCACCTTCCTCCTCGATCAGTTTTCGGATGGAGTAGAACAGCTCTGGAGAAAACTATCGAACTAAAGTCAGTATGTGACCGTTGATGTTTGAAATGGTCGTAGCTCTTACCTCAGAATACCATCTGTACTGCCAGGTGATCAGCCGGATCAGACATGCCAGGGTACTCCTCGTGTCGCCTTTCTTCTCATACATGCGCATGATGCCTCGCATCGCCTTGGGTGAGAACCGAATGTTCAGACATTGCTGATAGGCTTCTAGTGCCTCATTGGTGTGATGTAACCGTTCGGCAAGGTCGCCCAGGATCTCCCACTCCGCAGCCGACTTCTTGTACTGCATCTGCTGTTGGCGGTACTGTCCCATCTCTGTGCGCCAGATAGTGTATATCCGGAGATCTTCGTAGAGAACCATGAACAGGTTATCCAACCAACGCTCACATAGCCGCTTGTTCTGGAATTTGGGGTAGTGTGAGTGATTGGCCTCGGCGTCGTCGTTACCCGATTTCACCTCCGCTGCAGCCACGGTGGGGACTGGCTTTTCCATCGATTGATCAGCCCTGACCATGGGGTTCTCGTCATTGTCTCCGTTGGCTTTAGGCGTTGTCGAGGCCCCCTGGGTGAGCGTCTTCTCGTCCTCGGCCGCAGAATCTTCGCCGGAACCGTCTTCTGAGCCTTCACCGTTGCTGGCTTGTGGCTGTCCATTGGGGGTCCCAGAGAGAGCGATCGTGCTCGCGTTCTTACTGGAGGGCATCTTTGGCGTTATCGAGTGTTGTCTCTCCGAACGATATTCCTCCTCCATGACGAAGACCTGACTGCGGGTCTTCAGCAGTGAATCCCACCCGATGGATGCAGCAATCCGCGTAAGCAAACTGTATGCCTTCAAGAAGGTGCCCTGGTAAGTAGCGGCTTGCAGTTTTCGTAGCGACACGTGTACAGAGTCATATGGCTCTCCTTGACGAGGCTGACCCTCATCAATCTCATCCAAAGCGCTTTCCGGGAGAATTGGCAGAAGGACCCGGCTTGGCTCCGGCATCCGGGGCGAATCCTTATCTTGGTATGAGAACATTGGACAAGAGTTGAGAGTAAGGAGTGCCAGATCCCACTGCTCCAGATCAACGTAAACCTCGGCCAAGCGTGCCCAGGTGCTGAACTCGCTCGGAGCTGCCGTGACGCCTTGCTTCGCCAACTCAAGAGCCCATTCTAATTCGCCTTTGCTCTGGCAGAAGGCTGCTTGACAGTCGAGGAGAGCATAGTCCATCGGCACATCCTGCAAAGCGTCGTGCAACAGGCGGACGGCTTGGACTTCTTCGTCGCCATCGAGAAGCACCCTTGCCAGAAGTGAGGACACTTCCACATCCTTTGTGCGCAGTTTTTCGAACAAGTTCACACCTGAAGCATACCGTCCAGTAGTTCTGATGTACTTAAGAAGCCCAGCAGTGAGATGGTTGGAAACAAGGTTGGGAATCTGAATCTCGGGATCTGATCCGAGTTGGCGGCCGCTGAAGAAGAGTCTTTCCGCAGCCTCGAAGAACCGATGTTCCTGCTCCGTGTTGGTGATCGGGTTGAACCTTCTAACACCTATTATCTTCTTGATAGTGTCGCCACTCCCGTCGTCGGAATAGGAGTATGCGCGCAGCACGGCACAGAGGAATGTTTCCAGCCAGAGTCCTTCCGTCGCCACTCGCCGGTCGCCTCTTTCATCCACGCAGTAGCTTTCTACACTTCCAGGGATCTTGACCTCCACCCGCATGTCCAGATGCGAAAATGCATTGTAGCAACAGTACAGGCCGGACACAACCTTGTGTGTCTTGTCCGAGGGATTGAACGTCAGCGTGTTGACATAGGCGGCCAGACTGGCGGAAGAGGAGGCGTCGACACCCGTCACATGGTGGTATACTCCCGTCTGTTTGGCGCCAGCCTTGGTACTTTGCTTGACCAAATGGACCAGGTCAGGAGGGCCCAACTCGCGCAAGCCGGGCAGACTCTCCGTTCGCGCATCTACTGCCAAACCGATATCGTCATCTTCGATGATCCTGTCACTCGCATGTCAGATAACTTGGACCATAGCATGACTCGCAACCTGTAGACTGACTCTGGTACCGCCGGTGCGAGCATCACGGCGCACCACCGTGGGTGGTCTTTGGTGGATTAAGGACAGATGGACGGACACGGAACGAGAACACGGCGGATTCCGGCAGTGGTGGGGCGCAAGTGAAGATAACACGTCGAAGAATGCGTTCAGGGCCTCAGCAACAAGGCATTCTACCGACGACACAATAAGATGGTCGACTGCAGCTGGGAAGACGGGGAAATTGTTATGGAATGCATTCGTTGATTGCGATGCTCTGCACTGGCAGTAGTAATAGTAGTATTGCACATAGTACTATCGCATTCGCCAAGGTTGCCGAATCTGGCCTCGTTCCTAATAATAATACGTGACTTTCGCGTCAAGCCACGCGTAACTTGAACCTGGAACTCTTTTGATTCACGCCTACAATAGATCTGCCTCAAACAGCCTCACTTCGACGGATCTGCCTTCACTCTACGACACATTTCACGGAGGCCAGACCTACGCATCGCTGCAGGGCGTCCCAAGTCAAAATGAATTTCTGATAATTCCTGCCATTCCGGTGATGTCTGCAACTGTTCTCGACGGTGAGATAGACTGGCCGTCCTCGTTGCACCGCCAATGTCCCTCCCTTCTTTAGCGATAGAGAACATTCCGCAATATGTCTGGCTTCACAGCCCTCAACGTCGAACCAGAAGACACATTCGAAGAGGAGATCGACGACACGAGGGAAATCCAGCTTGAAGAAGCATTCAAACTTTATCAAAATGCCTTGAGACTCCACTCCCAAGGTCCCGAGTACGTCCAAGAAGCTCTTGAGGCCTACAAAGAGCTGTTGCAATCAGAGGTCTTCAAGTACCCTGAAGTCGTTTCAGAGTTCGCCCACGAAGAACTCGACGATGAAGTCATCCCATCAAGCGCTCAGCTCGACGCCGGATCACTTCCACTGCTCCCCAGTAACGCCGCCGAATCGTCTGCCAGCTCAATCCCTCAGCTCATCTACCTCGCCTTCAAAAATCGAGGCCAGTTGCTGTTAGACATCGCGCACCATCAATTGTCAAACAAGGAAGGCTCGCGTTCTGATTTATGTCAGCATTACGCGAAAGCTTGTGATGAGAGTCTGCGAGATTTTGCCAAAGCCTTGGAGCGAGACGACACCGACCTTGACTTGTGGAAAAAGGCTGCTCGTGTTGCGGACGTGTTGTCGACACAGAGAATAGCAAGATTCTGCTTGGAGAGCGTGATCGCTGCAGATGATGAGGATTTTGAGCACTCGATAGATCTGTCCGGTCTCGATGAAGCATTTGCAGCGGGAGAACTGGACGAGGTCGTTGCCTTGATCCAAGATGACCTTACTCAACTTCGTGGATCCGAGATGCGGCCCAAAAGCAAATTGTTGGCTCGCTTGAAGAGGACGAATGACCCATATCCATTCCTTCCAAAGCGTGCGAAAGTTCTTGAATACAATGATGACAGATACCGGCCGCTAAGTTTTGCTGTGGGCCAAATCAATTTGAAACCATCATCCCCCGATCTTTTCTCCCTTGGCCGGGTCATCCGTGACACTGTTCTCGGTATTCAAGAAGGCTCTATGGCATTGAGCACAGCCACCATCGTTCGTGCCGAACTGCAGCATCCGAGACTCATGCTAGATGACACCGAGATGACTTTGAATCCCGACAACAAACCCGGGACAGACATGCCACCCGTCGACAACTCTCCTTCGGAGTCGAAAGAAGCACCGTTGTCTCCTACCACCTCCCGAAGTCAGCCTGATTCAACCATAGAAGTGGAATCATTGACCTTGAAGCATGCCAGCGAACCTGAAGGTGGAAAAGATAAGGAGACTAAAAAGATTGAAGAGCCAGATGGAGACACGATTGAGGTTGACCAGCCACATGAGGGAGTGTCCGAAACTCCAATAGTAAATACACGGAAGCGGTCCGCTACAGCTGCTGGCAATGAGGAACCTGAAGGTCGCACGAAAAGCAAACGGATCCGTGCGAGGGAGTCGTTGGCCGGAATGGCCGCCCAGGAGGATGAGACAATGCATGAGGATGTTCAAGCTTTCCAGGACCAACTTGCTGTTCTTGACCAGGCGGATCAACTCACGTTTGAATCTGCCAACCTGCTCCTCCAACCGATTGGCTTGAAGCTGTTTGATTCTGCTGCTGATGTTCGAGAAGCGTTCTGGCAAGGGGACGACAAGCTCAGCAACGAGGAGACATCCAAGGGAGCTCATATGGATTTGCAACTTCTTGCCGACCTCAAGAATGCTCTGCTGGAATGGTCTGACGAAAAAAGCCATGCCATTCTACATGGGCATGGCAACCAAGATTTTGTCGAGAATTCCGCGGGAATGTCGCTGTTTCTGCAGCACTCCAAAATTGCCACATCAAAAAGACCCATTGTACCGACCGGCTCTGATGAAGCAGCCCTTGTCTCGGCAGTCACGCAGATCAACGCTGGGGCGACCAACATCTATGATGCGGCATTTTACTGGCTCTTTTCGGTTCTTAGCAGCGCTCAAGGCGAAACAACGGCGTGCACTTCCTCTTACTTGCAAGACGCATGGAATGAAGACATGAAGGAAACCGTGGTACAGTTGGCCTTGGTCGCCGAACCTCAGTTATATGAAACCATGCGTCAACGCCTGGACTGGCTGGCAACTTCACAAACTGGGACAGGTGCCCAACGGGACTTAGAAGTCGCACGTCACTTTGAATTTGCGGAGACTCTGTTCGAAATGCATCTCGACTTGTATTCGGCGGCCACTAGGCCAAATGCCAAGGTCGACGAGGTGACTCGCGTCGGTCAGCGCGACCGCTTGATGAGATGGTCAAGTCTCGCGGATGATTTCATGCACCTCTACATCGATAACTCGGCCGAACCAACAATGACGGACCCTCTCGTTTTGAGGCTCATCTGGGCATCGACCATCTACGCTACCTTGGCCGAAGAAGTCGACAAGACACATGTCGTATTGTGCCTGGAAGATTTGAGAACAGTGTTGGAGCAAACGCATGTCGACCCAATCTTTCTCCCGAATAATACCTCCATGCCGGTCATATCCGTATCGGCCATTGACCAAGAACTGTCCCGCCTCAACACTTTGGACTTCTTTACGAGTGTTTTCAACAGTGACAACAGCGACCCAGTGGCGGTGATCGAGAAGCTGGAGCCTATATTGGAGGCTAGTGCGCGTTCTCTCGAAGATGATGGCTCAAACCCCGATCTTCTGGCCGGCCTGACACCACAAGCCGACCAACTAGTCAGTTTCTTAGAATCTGGCGATGCCGCCCTCAAATTGTTTTTATGGCGACGCCTGCAGAACGCATACACAGCGATTTCGTATACTCCAAAGGTCGTCTCCTGCCTGCTGAGAGCTCTCGAGACGAGTGTCAATCAACTGTATACTTCCCGACATCTTGAGGCAGATGCTCCGGACCGCCAAATCTCGATGCTCAAATGGTTGCGGGATATTGATGAGATTCTTGCTCGGCTACTTGCTAAGGTCCTCGATGAGCCCGCCGCATATGAATGTATCGATGACTCTCACCTTCGGTCGTCGTTGAAGGCTACGACCGCGCTTGCTAAGCTGCTTCACGGTTTTGTGATCTATGATGACTCCATCAGGATAGGTCAGACGCCCGGTCCACAGCTCAAGGGCACCGCTTCGACGAAGTTGTACGAGAAGAGTAAAGACCGCTTCAAGGAACTCTTGATCCGCACGTGGATTTTGCAGTACACTCTTGTCAAGGAAGCTACTGTTCAAGATCGTGCTTCATATCCTCGCGCAGGTGATGATTTGGCAGAATATCTAATCAATCTTCATCATGCTATGGGTATGCGGCAGTATTGCAAGCATGCCAACAAGGCGATTGTCAAGTTGGTCAAGTCCGAATTGGACACACTGGAGACCACTCAGGACTATTCGGAAGACTTGGCCCAGGTATTCTTCGATCTATATCAGCTTCGATTCGCCAGCGGATTTGGCGATGCAGACCATGGTTGTCCCCCAGAAAATATCGATCGAAAGACTGCTTGGCCATTAGTTCCGACAATCATGAAATACGCTGAGCGCCACAACATCAAGGACCTGATCAAAAGTGAGCTCAGGACCACGATCGAGAAGGTCCAGCAGGCGTTGGGCACGGTGAAAAGCAACCCTGCGCTTGCATATAATAAGCGGATAATAACTGCGTACCTCAAGTCGACCATCGTCCCGGAAGATCTGTACCGAAGCATTCGTGGCATTGGCGATTTGCCGACTCGTCCAGTACATGGCGACACGCAGGTCGCTGCTAGCTGTGGATGGTATTTCCTACTGGGTCACTTGACTCTTGCCAAATTCAAGTCGGTCAAACGGGTCAACCCCACGGCCACCGACGATTTGGACGTGGCCGCTGGGTTTCTTCGGCAAGACCTGGACCATAACATTGAGAAATGGCAGAGCTGGTACCGTCTCGCACAAGTTTACGAGGCCAAGATCGAAGACGATCTTATCTGGAATGCTACGAAACTGAACGAATCTAGAGGCGAGATTGCTCTGCTAGAACGGCAAGCCATACACTGTTACATCATGTCGACTGCCATGGCGATGAGGTTGGCGGACGCGACCCTCGAGACGGCGCATATGATTGAAGATATGCTCGCAGAGTTTGGGAGCCGTCTGTATGCGTCGTCTAGGCCTCCATTGAACATGGAAGCTTTCAGAACGGACGAACAACAACGTCCCTTGAGCAGCAGTGTGGACCAGACCATGTCAAAACAACCCTTTCATCCCCCTATTCGCGAGTATTCACTATGGAGGTTTGCTGCTTATCTCCTGAGCAAAAAGCTTACCGATCGACCAAAGCATTGGACGGTGCATTACACGCGCGCAAAGTGTTTATGGAAGATGTTTCAGTCACCTGAAAACAATGGTCGCGTCTCGGCGGAAGATGTACTTGACGCCATCACGGAATCCATCGAAGCATTGCCCAAGAAAGAAAAGTCGAATGAACCTATTTTGGAGCCGCATTACAAACTCGTGTCGGTGATCTACAAGATGGTCAAGGCTGGCGCGCTCACGTATACACAAGCCAAGGAGTACATGCAAGCGACCCGGTACGCCCACAATGTCCGCCTAGCGGAGGACGAAGAAGGCCCGCTGTGGGTGTCGTATGTCCTCGATATCTTGAAGAAGCTTGGCAACGCCGACAAGTCCAACTGGCATCATCGCATAACAGCCCGTGCTGCCCACGTCATATACGACGACGACGCCACTGCCGCCGGGGCTCTTGGAGCTAGACACCAATTTACGCAACAGATCTTCACCAAAACCATGACAATACAGGTGTGGAAGCCCGAGAATGAGCGTCCCGGCCGGCACTATGTCTATACCGGTCGGTATGTTACTTTCTTCGTGCACTTGTTGGAGCAACTGAAGGACCGAGCCAACATGGACCAATTGGTGCGGCGGATCCGGAGGAAGACCACCGACTTTCTTGACCACGGCAAACTGTGGGAAGAGGTTGTCACAACCTATGTGCGCCTGATGCGGCGCATTGGGAACATCCCAGAAGGCCGTGAACGCGCTCTCTTTGATGGTATGAACTTTGAAGAGTTTACCAAGCGGTCGGAGAAAATGGAGACCTGGGCCCGAGACCCTGAAACTTCGTCGGTGTTTCTAGACGTCATGCGCGATGCCATCGACCTCAAACGACTCAACAACAGCTTGATGAAAGGACCCTTGATCGACGACCTGATCGGTGACTCATATGCTTGCTTATATGAAGAGTTTGTCAGGCAGCTGCCTCCCGAGGAACAGCCGAAACCACAGGCGGCCGTGTTGCCCCAGGGCACTTTCATCAACATGACGACGGATCTGGCAGGTGACAGTGAAGATGCCGAACGCGCGCGGCTGAACGACATGCTTCGTGCGCAAGGCGATGGTGCTGCCGACGGACCTCTGGCGGTCTCCATATCCGCACCTGTGGGTCTGGGTCTTCAGACGCCTTCTGCCCTTATGGGGATTGTTGGTCAAGCCGAAGTACAGCGAGTACCAGGTAAACCCGGCCGTACAAAGACGGTGACCAGACGCGAAGTCCAGCGGAAGGCCGAAGCCGCAATTGTCAAACCCCCGCCCATCAAGACCCCAATCCTGAGCAAGCGGCCTATTGTGGAAATACCTCGCAGAGATGTGGAGTCGCCCATGGACAGACGTCTTGCAGAGGCCCGAGATGAAGACCAGGAGGCTAGCAGACCCAGTTCACAGGGTGGCAGTGTTCATGACAGCGCGGATGGCGAAGCCGATGGAGAAGAGAATTCGGGTAGCGAACTCAGCGACCTTGAAGACATGGGCGATGAGAAGAAACAACTTCTCTCAGAGCTTCAGAATGCCAGGGACCATGGTGGTGAAGTGGAAAACGAAGGGGATGGTGGCGACGACGAGGAGAACGAGGATGATGATGGCGCTGGTGGCGATGCTGGTGAAGATGGTGGAGAAGGTGCCGAGAAGGAGGTTGTCGAAGGCTCGGGAGAAGAAGACGACGGTGCCGGAGAAGACGAAGAGGAAGGGGAAGAAGGCGAAGATGAAGGGGAAGAAGGCGAAGATGAAGGGGAAGAAGGCGAAGATGATGAAGGTCTTGAGGAGCCTGCCGGCCACTCAGCTGATCGACAGAGGCCCAACGTCGACGACAGTATCGAGATTCAAGATTCTCAGGAGAATGCTGACGGCGCCGGCGCCGGCGGCAGGGAGAGCACAGCTGATGGGGAGGCCTCCAGCACCGTCTAGGATATCTCGGTCAGAGATTGCCCGGTAGTGTGAAAGACTTGTTTACAGGGTGCGGAGATGAAGACTTCCGCCATGCTGTACTGCACTGCAGTCATGGCCTCTTTTCGATGCGAGGCGAATGATGCCTCCATTCACGGCTCATGCACAATGGCTAGCAGTAGGTGCCAGGTACTTAGCTGTCTTGATACTTAATCTTTGATACTCGTACCCTGCTGGCCTAGCATGGCATCGACGAGTACATGTTTCCATGAAAAGGGAGTGTTAACTCTGTCCTCGTCTATGGCAATCGTCGGCGTTAGCATCTGGTCTCATACTTGTCGACTAATACCGGTACTGTAGTACTAGTAGGCGTGTGTTTCTTCTCCAAATCCACGGATGGTAGTAGTAGTGGCAAGGCTGTACCGCAGGAAAATATTTCTCCAACTCATCATTTATGATTGCTTCTGTAATTACTGTTTATTATTTTATACAACACTACAATTAGAAAAGTACCGTACACGGCCGGTTGCCTGTTGTGTCCCTTCCCTTGCCTGTGCTGAACATACACTGTTTGCGTGTCTTGACGAATTATTTCGAGAGTCTTGTTATCAACAAAAGACAGATGCGCGGTGTCACCGGAGTCCATCTATCCGTCTCTGTTCTTCGATTCGCATGCCTCTTCGCCATATTGCTCGGCCCCAGCACCGTCTCTTTTGCAGCACGAGCAGTGTGGAATTGGTCGTTGGAACGGTAATCTCTGCGCATTGGGGCAATCGTTCAGTCGAAATCCTCAGACGGTCGTTTCATTATTATTGTCAGAGTCACTCTAAATCTTGGATTCTTCCGATTCGGACTGCGATCGCGAGTCGGGAACGCGCAACGAGCACGCGCGCACAATACACCACCAATTCGTCCACGTGCACAAATACCACGGAAGAAGAAGGGGCAGGAGCAGGAACAGAAGAAGGGGCAGGAGCAGGAACAGCGTCTACTCGCATCACTGGCAGAACGCCGAACAACATAATAAAAAAGAAGGAGAGAGAACCGACAGCGACAATGGCGGACCCAAGCTCAGAATCGGGCTATAGCAACTACAGCACGGCTGAGCTGATTGAGCGCATCTCGGCGTTGGAGCGACAACTCCGCGAGCAAACTGCGCGGGTGTCTTCGCTCAGTGGAAGTGATGGCAAATCTACATCTATATCAACATCTACTTCAGACGCAAGAGCAACCACTTCCACCTCCAACGCAGCTCCAAATCCACAATCACAAGCACAATCACAAGCACAATCACAAGCACAATCACAAGCACAATCACAAGCACGGTCACGAGCAAGGTCACGCTCCGCATCACCCTCCAGACGCGCCCAACCATTCGATCCCAGCAAGTACACGACCCGCCACATCGCGTTGAAATTCGCATACCTCGGCGGCCGGTACAACGGGTACGAGCACGCGAATGGGAACGTGGCGCCCCTACCTACGATCGAGGAAGTATTGTGGAAAGCACTCTGCAAGGCCCGACTGATCAGTCCGCCCGTGGCCGAGGGGGCGGACCAATCCACAGATGTGGTGTGGGAGAAACACAGGCGGCTTTTGCTGTATACGGACGGCAAGAGTGGAGGGAAAGACGAGGCGAAAGGGAAAATCAGGCTGGATGTCAATTGGGACGGGTGTCAATACAGCAAATGTGGGAGAACGGATAGAGGCGTGAGCGCGTTCGGACAGGTCGTTGGGATCCGGGTGCGGAGTAATCGGCCTATCGAAAAGGGAAAACCACGACGACAAGAATCACAGTCCAAATCTTCGACGTCTACAGCGACAACAAATACCGTCCCGCCGGACGGCCAGTCGGAGTTAGATGATCAAGATGCGCTTATGATGCCGATGCCCTCGATTGACGTGGAAGATCTGGAAGCCGAGTCCTATGCCAGACCGTTTGATCCGATCAAGGATGAACTCCCGTACGCAAACATCCTCAATGCCATCTTACCGCCGGATATCCGTGTGCTCGCTTGGTGTCCGGACCCGCCGCCGAACTTTGACGCGCGCTTCTCCTGCCGTCAACGGCGGTACAAGTATTTCTTCACGAATCCGGCGTTCTGTCCTACTCCCGGCCCGAGGGGTCTGAGATCTACCTCTGCTGTTGCGGAGGGGGACGAAAAGCAAAGCCAGATCAGAGAAGGGTGGCTGGACATCGAGAAGATGCGCGAGGCCGCAAAGAAGTTGGAGGGATTGCATGATTTTCGTAATCTGTGCAAGATCGACCCGAGCAAACAGATGCCTAGCTGTGAGCGGAGAATCACGTATGCCGACATTGTCGAGTGGGAGGATACGGGCAAGATGTTCTCGTCGCACCCGGCGCTGAATCAGACTGGCGCCAGTAGCTCGGGACTGGACAGTGCGTCTAATTCCAACGGTCTGAATGTTGCCGCTTTGCTTGGAAAAGGGGACGCATATTCGTCATCCCCGTCGCCCACTGTGGCTGGGGTTGGAGGTGCAAGTGGACCTAAAGTCTATGCTTTCTGTGTCCATGGATCTGCGTTTTTATGGCACCAAGTCCGATGCATGGTTGCAATATTGTTCCTTGTAGGCCAGGGACTGGAGCAACCGAGTATCGTTGACGACTTACTCGATGTCGAGAAGACTCCCACAAGACCGATGTACGAGATGGCCGACGACGCCCCGTTGGTGTTGTGGGACTGTATCTTCCCGGACAATACCGATGGGAACGGGGAAAACGATATGATGACCGACTCGCTCAATTGGATTTATGTGGGCGATGAAGCCGGCCTCGCTGCACTCGGGGGTAAGGGCGATGGCAAATTCGGGCCTAATGGCATCGCCGAGGACTTGTGGGGACAGTGGAGAGAAGCCAAGATGCAAGAAGTCCTGGCTGGTAGCCTGCTTGATCTCGTCATCGCCCAGGGTGACGGTTGTGCGTTGACCCGTGAGCGTGGCGGCGGCCGTGGCAGTCAGAAGGTCTTTGATGGCGGCAGCGTTGCTAGGCTTGCGGGTCGCTATGTGCCGGTGATGAAAAAGCCCAGGATGGACGCCTTACATGTGCAGAATGCTAGGTGGCTGAATGGGCGGAAGATGAGGCGCGATGCTAAGGCTCGGGAGGCAGTAGAAGCACAGGAACGGACGAACGGAGCAGCCGATGCCACAGCCGGGATTCCCACCGAACAGGACGAGTAGAGCCAGCAGTTGCTGTCTCTGGGGTAAATCGGTATGGGCTGGTCATTGTGCAACAAGGTGCTTGTGTTATGTTCAACGGATCCCCGTGTACAAGCATTTCCGTGCACCCCTCCAGACTTCTTCGAGGATGTCGCGCCGTGGGAGGAGTGTCTGTTTGAGTGACTGGTCAGCTGGTGATATGATATGATCTGGACTGGCTTTTACATATTGATTTGGGCAGTTGGTCGTCATCTTTAATGTGCATCCTTGGTCATGGTTATAGACCATGAATAGCCTTGTCCAGCCGCTGCAGGCAGCGCAAAGACATGAAACACATGGAGGACATGTATCACGAATCAAGTAATGACCATAGAACAAACGAGAGAAGCAAACAGGATGGGTTAGATACGTGACATGACTATGTTTCCAGCTAAAAGCGCAAAGGAGAGAAACCTACTGGGAAAACAACCACCACCTCCGTAGCCCCTTCGACAATCACTGCTAGGTAGAACCTGACTTGGAGCCCTTTGAACGCCTCGTGGATGACAATGTCTTGGATCTGCGTGGTCGGAATGAAGGTCGTGGTCGGACCCATGAAGAAGTATCGGGAGCTGGTGGACGTTTGGATCCCCAAGCCTTGGAGGACGAGAAGGGATTCTTCTGTTCGAGTGCAAGTCATTTTCGGTTCGTCAGTAATGGTGTAGAATCAGCGTAGTACGAGTCAATCCACGGAATATCGGGCAAGACAATATCAGAGAGCAGGGGTACGGGAAATCTAGGGGGTCGATGTCACCGCTAATGGTAATGTCTCCATGAAAAGTACTGCAAGGACCATTGATTGGTGAAAGTATAGCAATAACTAATACGTACCGACATAATCCCTCTTCAGACACATATACACCACGGCCAAGCTCAACGGCGCCAAAATCCACCATTCCGTGCGCTCGGCGATAGACTTCACCAGGCTACCCCCGACACTCAGTTGGAGCGCGGTGTCTGAGTAATTATCCAGAAATGCAAGGAATGTCCCGGTGGCCGTGGTTGGCGTGCCTCGTCGATGGTGGTATTGTTGGGCCTTGGCCACATTGAAAAGGAGGACGTAGAAGACCAGCATTATGCGGATGGTGTGGCGTAGGACGGTTGACCAAAGCAGGTGATAAACATTTTTTAGTCTCTCTGTGTATTTGTAATTGAAGTGCTGTTTGGAGACTGGTGTCGAGGGTGATAGCGCAGGTGCTGGGTTATGTCGTGGCCGACGAGTTGTGACCGTGAACAACACAGTAGTGGGTGATGGCAGATAGACTTCGAGATATTGTGTAGGTCCACTGAACATGGTTGTTCTCACTCAGGCGTATCAAATAAGAAGATGGTTATGGCTGGTTCTTGGAGCAAGGAAACGCTGGCGATGTCCTTTGGTGGGATTGATTGTGCAATGTTTCCATGGAGTAGTTTCAAAGAAACGTTCGTCTTGGACGAAGATAGAGCCTGCCACAGTTGGATAAAGAGGCTAAGCCTGCATATAAAAAGGTTTGAGATATGATATAACTGTTTACTGCCAGTGCATCATTGGAACAGGAGGTTCGGTAGGGGGGTCGCGAGTGGAGGAAGTGAAGCCGGAATGGAACAGGAATGATCCGGAGCTAGCTTCTTCTGGTATCTCAGCCTCAGGTTTAGAGTCGGCAGACCTTCCGTTTAACTGTCACCGTTATGCAATGTTCGGGCGGGCGTTTGCGCCTTCAGACTTGGGCAGCGATTCAACCAGGCTCTAGATACAAATAGACATTTCAATTCTCGCAGTTCGGCTGCACAGATTCGCTGCCCACTATGGCTGACGACCAGCGTGAGACTGCAACCTTTTCATCTCGTAATACCAATACTGACAGGAAAGAGCGAGATTCGTCCAGAGACGAAGGCCGTCGGCGCAGCAGATCTCCTCGCAGAGACAGGGAAAGAGACAGACGTGAAGGCCGACCTCGGCGCAAGGATGCAGGCTTCAAATGGAAGGAGAAGCGCCAGGACGATACCGAACCCAGGCGAGACCGCGATCCCGGCCTTCAGCGCGGCTACAGAGACCATTATCGACCACGATCTCGATCCAGGTCACCGCCTCCGCGGGCGCGTTTCCCGCGTGGCTACGATAGGGACCGACCAACGAAGAGCGATGGCGCAGAGAGCAGGCAGCCGGAGGAACGAAAAGAAAAGAAGGAAAAGAAGGAGAGAAAAGCTGCACCTCCGACGCCCAGCCAGCCCATGATCATTGTCTATGTCAACGACAGATTGGGCACGAAGAAGGCTATACCATGTTATCCCACGGATCCAATCAGTATGTATACCTTGTTGTGGTTGCTTTCACGGTTCTAACAATTCGCAGAGGACTTCAAGGTCATAGTCGCTTCGATGATTGGTCGGAAACCCCACGAGATCCTGCTGAAGCGACAGGGAGAGAGACCGTTCAAGGATCAACTTACATTGCAGGATTATGGTGTTAGCAATAACGTCCAACTCGACCTCGAAGTCGATACGGGAGATTGAGCAGTGGTATTCGACTGGTCCATAATGCAATAATTCGTGCTACATGAACTAGTGAAATAGTTGGGTGAACGGGACGACGCAGCCATGCAAGGGTCTTGCCTGGTTATGACTCGGAGCCAGCCTTAGGACTCCTATCCCACCATGGCACTCCAGACGGCCTTACGACACATGTTTTATACTCCATGCCTGTCTTAGGACGTTCTGTACACAACGTGCAATAAGAGTCTGTCTCGTCCAACCGCAACTGACGCAATTTGGCCTCGGAAGAATGAAATGCGGAAGGTGGGGCGAGACAAAAGTTCTCTCCCTGCGGATTCACCAACCACTGCACTTCACGTCTTGTAGATGGATTTTCTTTCTCGTTATTGTCATGCCGACTGTCGCCGGCAACCTGGGTTCAGGCCTAATGCAGGCTTCGTCTTCTTCGGTCAACATCCTATCGTCCTTCGCTTCATAACCTTTTCCTGAACCCCGGCTCAGTCGCAATTGTCCAGCACGGTGGCTATATCTTCTCTCCCTGCCGCGTCGCCTAGACGTCCTCTCCTCGAACCTGACGCCATAATGGTTCGCAATATCGTGGTCTTCGGCGGCTCGTCGCATCCGACGCTGACCGACACGATTTGTGAGATTCTAGGCATCCAGCAAGGTTCAGCCCTCTTCTCGAAATTTTCTGTCGGTGAGACTCGAGTCGAGATCGGAGAATCCGTCCGTGGGAAAGATGTCTATATCATACAGTCAGGAGGTGGAAAGGTCAATGATCATTTCATTGAACTTCTGATCGCCATCTCGGCGTTCAAGACCGCCTCGGCCAAAAAGGTCACCGCGGTACTTCCGCTATTCCCATACTCGAGACAGTCGGATATACCCTACAACAAGACCGGAGCACCCCTGGTCAAGGCCTCGAGCATGTCCAACAAGCTGGTCGCGGACTCGACCGGCTACACATTCGACAGCATTCCGCCCACACCACATCCAGACAGGGGAGAAAGCCATGGTCTGGCCAATGGACATCCTCTTCACAAAGCAGCCTCTAGAACTCAACTCGACGAGGTCGAGAATAGCCCGACGCACCAAGCTCGCTTCAGTCACTATCGGGACTCGAGCACGCATTCCAGCACTAAGTCCGCAGAGTACTTCCCAGGCCCTCGAAAACGGGGCGATTCCGTCACATCCCTTACCAACGGGGCTGGCAACAATGAGTCTCCACAGACTGTCGACCCTCAGGACCATTTCAAACCCCGTCCTGGCTATCGTCAATGGGTCGCCCAAGCTGGTACCCTCGTGGCCGACCTTCTCACGTGTGCTGGGGCAGATCACATCATCACAATGGACTTGCACGATCCTCAGTACCAGGGTTTCTTCGACATTCCAGTGGACAACCTCTACGGTCGGCCATTGTTGAAAAAATATATTCAGCAAAACATTCCGGACTACAAGAACGGCGTGATTGTCAGTCCCGATGCAGGTGGTGCGAAGCGGGCTACAGCGATCGCCGACTCATTGGGTATGGACTTTGCCCTTATTCACAAAGAACGCCGTCCAACTAAGATCACCGACCGCCAAAATGCCACTATGATGTTAGTTGGCGACGTTACCGGGAGGGTTGCCATTTTGATTGACGACTTGGCCGACACCAGCAACACAATCACTCGAGCCGCCAAGTTGCTGAAAAAAGAGGGCGCAAGCAAGGTTTACGCTCTCGTCACTCATGGTGTTTTGAGCGGTGATGCTATTGATCGGATCAATGCGAGCGCTCTGGACAAGGTCATCGTTACGAACACCGTTGATCAGCAAGATCATCGCAGACGATGTCCTAAACTGGAGGTGCTGGAGGTTGGACACGTGTTTGCCGAGGTGAGCCACCTGTAGAAGATGGTTGTATGAAATGTTTTTACTGATATACGTCTGTCTAGGCTATCCGACGAGTGCATTATGGAGAAAGCATTAGTGTCCTCTTTCAATACGACTAATGGCGGTCTGTCACAACAAGTTGTATGCTGATGGCTGAGCCGAGTTCCGCTTCCATGCAGCTCCTAGCTATCGCAGCCAGGCATCATCCTGCAGTCTGGATCACGTACTTTCTCCTGTGAATATCGCAGAAGGATAAAGGTGCCAGTTCTGGTCCAAGCACTTCCAGTACATTGCTGAATCTCAACGGGTTGGTACATGTTGCTATGCGATCTTTCCAAAAGACCAAAACTCTACAAAAACAAGACAAAACTCCGAAAAATCAGAAGTGCCTTGAACCAAGTGCTGGAAAGGGCTTCACTCAGGCGTTTGAAATGGGTCTGGAGGGCTGTTCCCATACCAACGAAACCGGATGGGGTACTTTAGGGGCGGTAGTCTGATCAAGCTTGTCTGAATTTCCATGGTTTCAATTTCCATGCTGCATGCACACAGTTTCACCAACTTCATTTACATGGCAGGCTCAGGGTCCGTTCCCTGGGGCATGGCGGTAATGTCATTTTGACAGACAAAGCCGCAACGTTGGATACATGGTAGTTTCTATTGAGATGCGATGTGGAAAATGAAGCGGGCAACGACAGCAAAGCAGAATCCATAATCTGAAAGCCCTGGATTTCTGCATACATACCTTGGTATGACTGTTGCAAATATTATCCCCCTTATCATTGTTTTGGATCACGGTTGTAGTCTGTCTCTCTGTGTTGTGCCTTTTTTGCTTTTCCCAAGGAACAGCTTTCCAGTTCAACGCAAGTTGCAGGGAAATTTCCCGCCCACTGCAGTCTGGCGGTCATTGCCACCGCCTCGGAGTGACTCCTCCTTCCCTTGATGCTAACGCGAGGCAGGCGCGGAGTTCGCTCCCACCACTTTAGGGTCAGCTGCTATCCCGTCACCTCACAGTTTCGTACACAAACTTGAACAGACATCATCTCCATCACGATGATGGACGATACAAACCTCCCTGCTCCGCAGCCGGATTTCAATCTCCTTTGATTCTGCTGCCGACGATTTTCGTTCTGTTTCGAATGAGATCAAGAAAGCACAAAATCTCCCTGCACTGCAATCACCAGCGGCGAAAGAATCCTGCCGAGCTCGAGCAAATGAGAGAACAAATGGACTCGTCATGAACAAAGTTTCTATTGATACTCGTCGAGACCTCATGACTAGGATGAACACAGGGTATACATTACTCTTTTTTTCTGATGTTATTTATACTAATTCTATACGAGTAGCAGTCATTTGCACAACAATGCAGCTCGAGTTCAGAATTCCTAACATGTGGATGCAAATGAGCTTGACTGATCCTATCGAGGCAATGCCAGTGCGCAACTTCAATGACCTCTCATCATACCCGAGCTGGGCTCCCGCTTCTCAATCCCTTCACCACTGCAGCACTGTTATTTTGAGATTCCCTACCACATCTGCAGAAATTGGGCGGATGGAGGAGCAAGAAACGGATCGTACCTCACGAGAACTTGGTATACAAGCTCCTGGTATTGCCATGAGTCTGGCTGCCATAAGAGAAGACGCCTGGGTGCCCATATCGGCTTAAAAGCACAAGGTGCATAAAGACACGGACCAAGACTGTACTAGTCACAGAAAAACAATGTGAAATAGCAGGTAATTACCTAGGTAGTTTGCATCCTCTCATAATATGATGCGTTGAACTGATATGCTTGCTGACTGCCCACTCCCACCTCCCCAACCCCCCACAAAACTCCCACCATCTTCCTCGTAGTAGTAGGAGTATCCCTCCTTGTACCGGAATCACCTACTCCTAATAGTACTACTTACCGTACAGGTATGCATAATCCAGCCTCCCTACTAGTAGCAAGTTTCGAGTCCTTCTTAGGTAGCCGAACAGTAGCCACCGCGCCCTTCCAACCCTTCAGCCCTGATCGTTCTCCTCCATCCCCATCCCTCTTAGACGAATCCGATGTTGGCGCTGACGCTGACGCTGGCGCCGGCGTTGGCACTGGCAATGGCACTGGCACTGGCACTGGCACTGGCACTCGTTCTGGCGCCTTCCATCTATCCTTATACCACCTCCTCTTCTTACCATACATATTAGCAGCGTAACTCGGGATAGATTTCGCCATGGCTTGATCCCAAGAACTAAACGCCTTTTCGTAGTCACCGACCACATCGGGCGGCGGTGCTCTGGGCCAATCGAATCGACGATGCAGGGGCAGCGACAGAGGCGGGGACAAAGACAAAGCCAACAAGACCTTCTCGCGATGTGACGAGATTCGTTCAATCCTGTGACTGATTATGGTCATCAGTCCGCCCTTTTGTTTCAGTTGTTCTAGTTGGTGTAAAGCGGCGGAAATTCTTCTCTTCATGCGCTCGCGCTCGTGATCGATGGTTCCTGACGCCACGGTACGGTCGAGCCTGAGTTCAACTTGTTTCCGCCCGTCGCACCGAGAATAAAGGATCGAGGTTCTATAGCCGGCCGCGACCGCCTGTTCTTTCGATCCCAAGAAGCTGGGTGCTGCCTTGCCCGTGCCCTGACCATGTCCATTTTCTGTCGGGTCCAGTCTTGAATACTTGACGACTTCCAGGTTGGCATTGGGGCCAGCTGAGTTCCGGTAGTAGGCCATCAATCGTTTGTCGGTGAAATCAGGGTCCAGGTATCCGTGGTCAATTGTGCGGGTTTGAGCTATCTCGTCCCAATAGTCTGCCTTCACGACTTTCGCGAGGTGGACCGGGATAGGAGGGGTGTCGTGCGGCTGTCCCAGGTCGTCGTCGTCGTCGTCGTCGTCGTGTTTCCGCTTTCGAGAGCTCCGCGTGTCAGTGGTAGCTGCCGCCCTCCACTCGAATATAGATCCATCTCGGGAAACGTCTCTGGTACCAGAGGCGGCCTGCCTTACCTTTTCAGGAAGGCGCGGTCTGAGAAAGACAGCCATCCTGTTGGCTTCCGTTCATCACGATAGGCGCGAATGAATGACAAACAAGCACTGCAACTTCGCCCGATAGGGGAGCGGGACAGAGAAAACGGAGAGCGGGAAGGGGGAGAGACTGTGGGAGAGAGGACACCTGCGAGAATACTAGAATGCAAGAATGAGAGACTGAAGATATGCAACATCAAGCAAATAGGTCGCTCGTCGATAAAGCTGCTGGGATACATAAGCCACGAGGGCTATGATGCATGCAGACGAGGACCTGAGAGAGGACCTAGAGGAGGACCTGTGTGAGTCTTTCCGAATGCAGAAACCAGCACAGCACCAACTGGAAAGTGACATCCGTCGAACATAAGCTAGATGCGCACTGTACTGGGAGGGAAAGTGCTGGTCAAATGCTGTTTGGGCTACCATCGTTAAAGTAAACCCCAGAATGAGTTGGAAATGCTGTCCATTAGCCTTTTCTATCAAGCCCATGCCAAAGTTGGTACACGCCGCGAAAACCGCCTCCCCATGCCGAACGCCGTGCTGTCCACGTGATTACCACGCCCTCTTTCATTATTAGAACACACTGATGTAGTTTCCGATTCTCTCCTTCTGGTTCTGTGCTATGCACTCGGCAATCCATGTGATGTTTCGGATTTCCTAAAAATGTCAGATATCGTCTAAGGTGGGAGAACGCGTGCAAGACCAACCTGCTCTCTCAGCTTCACCCAGGCATATATCACAGCGTGTGTGAACTGCCGCGTGAAAACCATCTTGGAGAGTTCCATCTCTTTTTGATAGAACAAATCTTCCAAAGATTTCGACTCGGTGCCCATTCCTCCCGTCATGTTGCCGCCGCCAACCCCGCTGCTTTGGTTGAAGCCGACCTCATCGAAGAACCGTTTGTAATCTCCAACGCCACTGACCGCCAGTCCAACACTTTCCATATCATCTGCCCTTGAGAGCATCAACATGCCCTCAGGGTACAACTTGCCGAACTCCGGGTACAACTTCCTACGTTGCTCCTTGGTGAGTTCTGTGCCAAATGAGTTGATGGTGATGTTAATGGCTCGTCGGTCGGCTTCGAATTCTAGTATTTCTGACATGATTTCTCCGGTGGGAGTTAAAGCCATTTCAGGGTCATTGTTGACAAAGTGGTAGAAATCTTCCAAATAGTTCTTGTAAAGGGTGTTCCGCACAATCTCAATGTTGAGCTCGTCGAGGTCCTGGTGGCTGAGGCTGCCCTTGAAGTATGGGGCTAGGGGGGTTTCGATGAGCACTGAGTTGTACAGCTCCTCAATGTTGGTTGCCACGCAAAGCACCGGCATCGTCTCAAACCAGCCCAAAGGATGACATCGTTCCAATAGCTCTTTAGTATCTCGTTCATGCAACGTTCCGGTAATCAGAAGAGCCACATTGTCGATCATGTATGAGTATGTCAGGTACTCCATGAACTTGGCGAGTGATCCCGTCGCCTGGCCCTGCAAATATCTGAAATCGGCAACAAGCTTCTCAGTAGTCCTGAATGCTAGGGCGGAAGTGGAGGGGTTCGGTGGTAGAGTGGAAAGAGATTCGCCATAGGCAGGGCCAAGTTGCACCTTGACGTCGTCAATCGACTCGCATTGCGTGAGCTGCGAAGGTCAGTATTCAGCCAGGAAGACCGTAGGAGAGGATATACATTGCTGTAATTGGTGCTCGTCAACAAGGAATTTCGATAACCGCGCACTATGCCCTCCAGATAACCGCCGTTGACGTTGAACAATAGACCTGCAGCTGTGGTCAGTGGTGGATCGAGTATGATACCAGGCTACATACCCTCCATGTTTCTCGTCTGCTACAATTCTCGGCGGTCTTGAAGGACAGTAATCGGTTCGCAAAAGAAACCAGTTCCGGTAAAGTTATCAGAAAATACAACGCGAGCTCTTGACGCGGGAGATAATGTGTCTGCGGACTGGCAGGCGAATTACCAGTTCAAGTTCCCTCCCGCTTCAAGATGGACTCGGAGTGCAATGAACGTGAAGCTGATGTTCGCCGCACCTGCCGCTTTAAGCTTGACCATTCAGAGCCAGCAGCAGCCGCTTTAATGAATCCCCCAGCTGCAATCTCGGTACTTAAGACAGCGTCAGTGCCTTTCTCTCTCAGTATAGCCTCTTGGCATCGGCTACCCAATCCAGGCTTGGCGCAAGTGGGCCGAAAAAAGACAAGCTGCTCGAAATTTTGGAGAACCCGAAGTTCACTTTGTTCCTCGCAAGACCAACTTGAACCGAATATTAAACAATATTCTTACGCTCGCTCGCCAACTATTTGCGCGCGAGGCGCAAGTATCGATATGACGCTACTCATCCTTACCGAGACGGCCGCCGGCTATGCGCTGCTCAAAGCCAAGGACAAGAAACTCCTCAAGCGGGACGATCTCTCTTCCGAACTGAGTAGTGTTGAGAATGTCACGTCGCTGTTGAAGCTGAAGGAGTTCCAGAAATTCGACAGTGCCGCCGCCGCTCTTGAGGAAGCAGCTGCCATTGTGGAAGGAAAAGTCACCCCCAAACTTGCCTCTTTGCTCAACACATTGAAGGATGAGAAAAAGATCTCTCTCGCTGTCGCCGACCCTAAGCTGGGAAATGCGATCGGCAAGCTTCCTGGCCTTGAGATCAAGGCTATCGCCGACTCTACCACCGCCGACCTCTATCGTGCCATTCGCGAACACCTACCCTCGTTGATTCCCGGACTGATGCCTGAAGATGTCAAGACAATGTCCCTTGGTCTCTCGCATTCGCTGGCGCGGCACAAGCTCAAATTTTCTCCCGATAAGATCGACGTCATGATTGTTCAAGCTATCGGTCTTCTTGATGATCTGGACAAGGAGCTGAACACATACGCCATGAGAGTGAAGGAGTGGTATGGGTGGCATTTCCCGGAACTGGCCAAGATCCTTAATGACAATCTTGCATATGCCAAAGTTGTTCTTAAGATGGGATTGCGTACAAACTGGGAGAAATGTGATCTTTCTGAGATCCTACCGGAAGAGATCGAGGCCGCAGTCAAGGCCGCGGCGGACAGATCTATGGGGACGGAGATTACTGAGGAAGATCTGGAAAACATCCAAAGCCTTGCCGAACAGGTTGTCCAATTCACCGAGTACCGGACACAACTTGCCAGCTATCTTTCAGCCCGGATGAGGGCTATCGCCCCCAATTTGACTGCTCTTGTCGGTGAGCTGGTTGGTGCTCGCTTGATTGCCCATGCTGGAAGCTTGATGAACCTTTCGAAAAGCCCTGCTAGTACGATCCAAATCCTGGGTGCCGAAAAGGCGCTCTTCCGAGCTCTCAAAACCAAACATGACACTCCCAAATATGGTCTGATCTACCATGCTTCTCTTATCGGTCAAGCCTCAGGAAAGAACAAGGGCAAGATGGCCAGAGTTCTAGCCGCCAAGGCCGCACTCGGATTGCGTGTGGACGCCCTGCAAGACTGGGGTGACGATGAGGCAAACATTCCCGAGGATGAGAAGGCTGCCCTGGGCTTGGAAGCGCGAGCCAACCTTGAGCGCAAGTTGGCTGCCCTGGAGGGCAAGCCGCTGAAGCCTCGTGGTGTTGCAATTGCCCCCAATGGTGTGTCTGCAACGCCGCAACCCCAGAAATGGGAGATCAAGGAAGCTCGGAAGTATAACCCGGATGCCGATGGTCTGGCCGGTAACGAAGGTCCAGCCAAGGAAGAGAAGAAGTCGAAGAAGGACAAGAAGGAGAAGAAGCTGGTCCAGGAGATCTCTGAGGACACTAAGATGGCCGACGACGATGAGAGCGACTCACAACCAGACGAGCCCATAGATTCGGATGAAGCCGCGGCCATCACGCCATCGAGGGGCGACGGTGTCAACGGAGCCAGCTCTGCTAAGAAAGCCGAGAAAGACCGGAAACACGCCGAGAAAGCGGCCCGCAAGGCTGCTAAGAAGGCAGAGAAAGGAGGCAAATCCGGCAAATCGAGTGAAGACTCTAAGCTGGAGGCTTTGGCTGCCAAATGCGGTCTCAGTGTGGAGAGGTACAAGAGAAAGCTTGAGCGGGGAGAGATCCAATTCCAAGAGGACGGCACGCCCGTGGCCATCTCCAAGAAAGACATCAAGAAGGCGAAGAAGAAGGCCGGAACTGAGGGAGCATCTTCAGCCAACGGCGAAGTGGAGGGCAGCAAGAAGCGGAAACGAGGAGGAGAGGAAGAGGTCGAGCAGTCCAAGTTGGAGAAGAAGAAGAAGCGGAAAGACAAGGCATGAACGACATCTACTGAACACGTCTCTTCTTTGGCAACGGAGTTTCTGCTTTGTTTCTTCTGTTATTCCACTGCATGGCGTCGGTTCTGGAGTTGTTGGCTATGTAGCGTTGTCCGGAAGATATGTACCACTCGCGGCGGAATAGGGGGGCTTGGGCTGGGATCGCATGATGGTGTTGACCTAGTTTGCTGGATGAGTAGCATCTCGCTGAATGGCATTTAGCAATTTCAGCTAGCAAGTTCCTAGTACCGTGACATTCTTAATATCCAGATATAGTTATTTGTAATGCGCCCAGTAGTACTTCTTTGCACTAAGTCACGAATTGTTGGAATTTGGTGATCGTGGTACTACACAACATGTGTGTACTGTCTAGCAACCGACATTTTCCACACCGCTTCATCATTAGGTAGTGAAATTCTGCCGGCAGAACATCTTGCAAGTTGGGCTGCAGAACAAACGTTTTTCCATACTACACGCGCAACTGTGGACGTCTTCCTTTATGCATTTGCAATGGCTTGCTTGCTGCCTTGAGCATCGCATCGCAGATACAGAAGATTGCTTTAGGGTCCCCATTTTTTCCACACAGCCTCGCCTCTCATTGACCGTCGAAATGAAGGTCAGTTGCGGATGGCTCAACGGCCTACTGGCCTCGCAAACCCTGGTCGACGTTCGAAGACTAATGTTGCGCGCGTTTGCAGGTCCTTGACCCCCAAGCGGCCTTGCTCACGACGACCGAAGTGCATCGTTTCCTCGCAAGCAATCCCCCACGGCAGCAAACGAAGAAAATAGGATCGTACAAACCAGTCAATCTGAAAAACTACCAGACTGTGCGGGAAGATGTACGTCTACAATCCTGCTCTCCAGGTTTACAGGCAGACCTGTAAAGGCGCAGAAAGTCTGGAAGCTGACCCGGTTGTATTAGTTTTTACACTACGTTACAACGACGGTACCCTACATTGAAACCTTCCCTCCGCCAGAGGCCTTTGTCAAAGCAGTTGTACCGAAGCTGCGGGCAATCGGCTTGACCAAGACTGAAGCATTAATGCTGATCAACCTGGGCGCCGGCCTTCCGAAAAATCGACCATCCCAACCACCTGCAGAAGGCGTTGGAGAAGAGGGCGCAGAGGGCGCACAGGAAACTCAAGAGTCCGATGACCGGCAACTGCTTGCAGTCGTGATCGAGGAGCTCACAGACAGGTTCCCGGACGAAGACGGCGAGGACACGGTCGGCAGGATATTGGAGATTATGCAAACCGAATTCGACCAAGCGCAGGCTTCTACGAACGGAAACGGAACAAACGGACTTGATGCAGCTTAAGTTCTCATGACAGCCACTGCCTGACAATAAGGTCTATGTCTTTCCCGAGACACTCGCGGATCGTTCTCCCAGCCATCGCAACATTCTACGCGCATATGTCGCATCCAGGATGCATGCTTGGTTATGTTTCAGTCATTCAAGGCTTCGTTGGCAGGATACGGTTCTCCATCCGCCGCTGTCGGTCGTCAGCAGACCTTTTGATGCACCTGAACCCCGTCCACAGCTAAGGGTTTGTGGTGGAAGATGTATGGAATCTAGGTTTAGTTACAACCCCCTGAAGTCATCTCCGATTAACCGAGTACACACGCAGGCTCCGGAGGTCAAAATGTCTACGCAGGCACGAAAGACACCGAATGGCCCGAGAGAAAGCGAATCCGTTGCCTGTGAGGAAGTGGCGCCAGATACACACTTTGGATCTGACAAAGAAAGCATGACACTTGAAAATGAGTCTCAGTCTACATGTCACGCTGTCAATCCCTAGCTGCTTGTCTAGGAGGTGAGCATAGTAATTGCCAGCATTGTCCCCAGGACTGGACAGGAGAATCAGCGGGCAAGCAGTTGCACTTGTGAAGGGCCGAGACATGTGGGACGACATCAGTACAGAGAGCCAATTCCAATAAATGAAGCGAGAAATCGATAATTTTGCACACTGCTTGCATAGGGTACTTAAGAGGAGGTTGATGAACTGGCGGTCCTGACGAGATACTCTTGCTGAGTATAAAGCGAACAGCCCTGAATAGTGGTGGTGTGGGTGGTGGTGAGAGAAATTCACGGTCGCTTCTTCACAGGACTACTCAAACTGCAACGGCCACACTGCCACATGATAAACCTTGAGCTCAGACACGGCTATTCGCAAACCATGTAATAAACGCATGTCCAGTTGCGAACAAACTCGCCATGGTGACAGTACAGATCATTCATCAGCGCGTCCTTCACTGGTGGTTCACCTATATCGGCAATATCCGTTTAACGAACCTTATTCCGAACAACCTAGGCTTGTTCAGCCTTGCTGTACAGCCTTGCACGCATATTATAGGTATATCTTAGACAAGAAATATGAGCTGGATAGCTAAAACGCCATTTCGCAACATAACACCCTGGTGGAGTAACTCCTACCGACATCTGGTCAGTCTCTAGCACCCCTCCTGTTGTTCACATGGCAATAACCAGTCACGATCTAAGTGAAGCCGGAGTATATGCTTTACGTAGGCTGACCATCAGGTCACTCTACTATTGCGCGAGCGTCAGATGAACTTCACCGACCGGCGACTCTCCTGCGCAGGCTCAGAAGATATTAGTATCTCCTTCTGTCGCCATCGTTTCTGCCTACTCCTTCTGCTTCTTGCTTCAAGGACACCACTTGAGTTCCTCCTCCACTACTCAACTCAGGCTCTCTCCGCAACCTCCAGTAACCTTTATTACCTCAACAAACGACCCCATTAATAAATAGCCTGCGTGCTTGTTCTCTCGCCATGGTTCAAAAACTTCACGGAGGGGTGACGAAAGTTCAACCTGTGTTCAGTTATCCGGGCACCAAATCTGTCACCGTGGTCATCGGAAAAGGAGAGCGACAGCGCGAATTCCTCGTTCACCAGAAATTGCTCTGCGATAACTCAAATTTCTTCAAGAGAATGCTTCCAGTCGAAGACGGGCCAGAATATCACGAGGTTGGGGAACAGCCACATGCTGCGGCGGACGAAGGCTTCGTTCATGTTGGAGAGCAAAAATACTGGCTTCGAGATGAAGATCCGCTTCCCTTTTTTCTCATCCAGGACTGGCTCTATTCGGGGCGTGTACGGGCCTTGTCTACCTACACGGCCTATACTACGCAGTGTCCTGAAGACGTTATCTGGTTAAAGGTGTACAAAATGGGAGTCCGACTGGAAATGGACCCTGTGCAAGTTCTGGCGACGGAGAAGTTCCACGAGATGTTTTCTAGTGCATCATTGGCCTTACCAACCAAGGATTTCATCACTGCTTTGTTCCTTGACAGTCCTGAGTCAGTTGTGGCGCAGCTGGAGTGGTACATTTCAGCCCATGTTGCGTTTTGCATCCTCCACACCCGTGGCACTTGTTGCTTGGCCGATTACTTCGACAATGAGCGTTTCGCCAGGGCGGTGCTTCAACGCATGGTCAACTACATGCAAAATGGCCTTCAGCATCCAGCTGCTGATCCGCGACTTTCTGCCCAGCAGATGGCATTTCATCACAACCCAGTCGACAAAGTCTCTTCTGACGACAATTCCGGTGCGTGGATCAACCAGCTTGAGGACTGGGGCTTCACGTTGCACGATTCAGCTCCTGCACTACCTCCTCGGGATGAAGCCAGGCGATCAGTGGCAGCCAAAGTTCGCTTCGCGACCGGTCTGCAGCAAGAGCTGCCAGGGAACGCATGTGGAATTTGTGGGCAAATTTTGAACACAATGCGCGCAACTACCGTCGTAGGACCAGCAGTGAAACAGAATGCCACAGAACCACTCCGGAACCGAGGCGTTTGCGGATACGGCAGCGTCAAATCAACTCGCGACCGCTTTCTGGACAGACTGGACGGACTTGATACGTACAGAGCCAAGCGAGCACAGGCTGAGACGGCACATGGCAATCAGGCAGCTAGGGCACCCCAGCCAAATGTGGCCGGCAACAAGAAAGGGCCCACTTACTGGAATGATAGCTGGACTGTTGAGTGGGACTCTTTTTGGGATTGAAACTTCGAGCAATATGGCGGCTCATGAGGGCCGCTAGCATAGGAGATGAGTAGGCGGCAGTCTTTGATGCAACCGTCCCAACAGGCATCCGAGACGTCAGGGGCCGCTGACGCTGGCTTCGGGTGCACATAGAAGACAGGAAGCGTTTTCATGGAAATAGCAATGTCTAAACGGTGCATGTACCTGCAGTGGCAGGAGGATGGTGTGCAGTGCTTACACTTGGCTGCGGCGTCGAAAATTACAGTGATGCAGTTGTTCCGCTGCAAGGAACAATAGCCCACTAACTGCACCTGCTTGATTGGTTTTGTTTTCTTAGTGCATTCTTTCGCGCGAAGTTCCCAGGCAAGGCGATCACAAAGATGATGGTAGGCGAGACAAAGACTAGAATCGATAATAAAAGTCAATAAAAGTGTTTTTCCGAACTGATACATTGAGTGAAACGTTTCTACAAGCAGAGTTCTGATCAGGGGTCACAGCCTTGTCCGAGGACCGGCGGACTCGAGAGCAAGGCTGAGTGGAAATCGAGGACCTTGCCCGGCGTCGGAAGGCGCGTGCGGGCCGGGGCGTGGGATCGTCTGATAAGGCGCCTTATCAGCTGTTTATCTGCGTCTCTCCGCATGGTATCATCCCTCTGCCTGGACGACTCATCGCATTGCACCGCATCCCATCTCATCGCTTTCCCCATCCACCCCTTCCACCCCTTCCATCCCCTTTCTCCCAGACTCATCGGTGTAGACTCATCGAGATAGACATCCAATAAACCGTCAAGTCTCTATGATGGGTAACTCACAGTCCTCCAACAAGCCCAACGACCAGGCGGCGGTCGAGAAGATCCTCGTGCAGCAACTCCAGAATCTCCGCACGCACGAGAAGATCCGCCAACTGGAGATTGAGAAGGAGTACATCCACGTCGAGTCCGAGAAGGGCATTCCTCAGAGCTATTCGACCGACCCCAGACTGTCGGTCAAAACCGCCGAAGAGTGGGAGAAGGAACTGCTCTCAGACCCCAAGAACCGACTGGCATTGAACGCCTTGTTGTCCAACGACATCCGGTCAGTGGTGTCCAATAAAGTCGCGACTCTGCCAGACACCCAGACATTCAACATCAAGATCCCGTTCGAAGGGGCGCCGGTCACAAATCAAAGGTCATCGGGAAGATGTTGGCTGTTCGCAACGACCAATGTGCTCAGAGTGCCCGTGATGAAGAAGTACAACCTCAAGGAGTTTGAGTTGAGCCAGGCATATCTGTTCTTCTGGGACAAATTAGAGAAGGCCAATTGGTTTCTGGAACAGATTATCGATACTGCCGACCTAGACCTAGACAGCAGGTTGGTGCAAGAGTTGTTGGGTGCTCCGGTCAACGACGGCGGTCAATGGGACATGGCGGCCAATCTGGTTGCCAAATATGGATTGGTAAGTCGATACATACTGTACCTACACGATGCTGTTTTACTTTCAATATCCCACTCAAGCAGACTTCGCCTACTCCTGTGATATCCATGCACGGAGTAAAAACACCTTGCTAACAAGATCGTGGTATAGGTCCCCCAGAAACTCTATCCAGACTCATACAACGCCATGAACTCCTCCGCCATGGGCTCCATCCTGACCACCAAACTTCGTGAAGACGGCCTGGTCCTGCGGTCCCTGGCAAAGAGTCTATCAGACGGCAAGACAACGAAATCCAAATCATCGCTAGTCGCCGCGAAAGCCAAAATGATGCGCGAGGTCCACTGCATTTTAACCCTGATGCTCGGTCCTCCGCCGAAGCCCGACACTAAATTCATATGGGAATACTACGACGCCAACGACAAATACCACCAAGTCAGCAAGACGCCGCGCGAGTTCGCCGCGGATCTGTCTCATCCAAGCGTGGTGCGATCATTGAACAACGCCGACGTTGGCAAACTATTCAGCCTGGTCAACGACCCGCGCAACAAATACAACCAACTACTCACAGTCGAAAGACTAGGCAACGTAGTCGGCGGACGGGCCGTCACATATGTCAATGTGGACATGGCGACCATCAAAAAGGCGACCATCGCCATGCTCCGCGCGGGTCTGCCCGTGTTCTTCGGCAGTGACGTGGGCAAGTTTTCCAACTCGACCTCAGGGATAATGGACCCGGCCCTCTACGACTACGGCCTCGCGTTCAACATCAGTCTGAATCTCAGCAAGAGCCAGCGTTTGAGAGTGCGCGAGTCCGCCATGACTCATGCCATGGTCCTCACCGCCGTGCAGGTCGAGGACGATGGTGTGACTCCTGTGCGCTGGCGCGTCATGAACTCCTGGGGCGAATCGGCTGGCGATAAAGGCTATTTCGTCATGACTGATCAGTGGATGGACGAGTTCGTCTATCAGGTCGTAGTGGATCCGGGCTTCGTCGGCAAGGAGATCAGGGAGATTCTCAAGACCGAGCCGTTGGTCCTGCCGCTTTGGGATCCTATGGGTGCTTTGGCTTGAGCTGCTGAAATACTGTACTGAGGAGGAGGTGGATAGTGATGATTACGAACCGGGAACTGTTGGGATTGGATTGGATTGGAAGCTAGGGTTGCACAACTCATGGCACAGCGAGGCTGAGGCTTGTTTGGACCATTTTCGAAAGGGTATAGGTATGGGTCAGCTAGGTATAAGTGGCATAGCAGGGCACTAAGATTATAGCGTTTATTTGATTGTTTCTCCTTTAATGCTGGCCTAGAGTTGGGACCGCTAGCTGGCACGGAATCGGAATCAGAATCTGGTTGTAGAGCGATGGTCCTTCTCAGCAGCGATGGTCCTTCTCAGCATAGTGCACTCTACTGCCTTAGGGTGCGTGATTTATGTGTCTCACCGAGACTGGACCGGACGCTTCGAAAGGCGGAAGTTGCGGAGGACGATGGGAGTTCATAAATAATTTTTCAACCTCATCAAGATGATGCCGATAGAGACATATGTGGTAGTAGCAATCGGAACATGGCGGATCCTGTAATGTCTGAAGCTGCTTGCAAGAGAGGACAAGGGTCAATCATAGTAGGCATGGTATCTGAACTCATTGGAACCGAATTATCTCAATTGAGGATCAAACACTGGGGACCTCGTCGCGGCGAGGACCCAGGCAAAGATTGGTAATTTCTGTCTTGACAGTAACGCCCACACTGATCCTTTGTAAACGCCGCTGCTGTGGTAGGCTGATCCTGCAGATGACGACTCCCCGACATCCGAACGGCACAACGTACGTTCCTCGTCTGTGACCTGTTGCGCCTCAAAGCCCCTCCTCAAGTAGTACCCGATCAGCAAGCCAGCTGTCCTATATCCAACGCCCATGCATCCGCTACCAATTTATGCAAATCGCTCACAAAAACAAACACTGACAGCAGGAAAAAAAACCGGTCTTCCGTTCGCCACATTCGGCCATGGTCTCGTGATGGATGATGGTGTTCTGGGACTGGTTCGGAGAATCAATCCTCCCAGCTCTTCTCAACCGTCTCCCGGACTCTCTTGATGTATTCTTTCCGATTGTCCTTGTAGAGATTCGATGCCTCGACATTCGCCGGTGATGACGTGTTGGGGTCGTTGAGCAGAGATTGGATACTGGTGAGAATGGCTGCGACGTCGTAGGTCGGTGACCACCGGTTCTGCAGGATGTCCAGACACAGTTCGCCGGTGCCGTAGACGTTGGGGTGGAACATTTGAGACACGAACTTGACGCCCGGCGGTTTGTTCGGGTACGCTTCTTCGAATTGCATGACGAGGCGGAAGGTGCCGTCTTCGAAGGGTGTGTCTGCGGGACCGATGATGACGGCGTTCCTGGAAACATGAACGTTAGCACAATGGTTCCCAAGGTTATAGGTTTCCCTGGACCAGGGAGCCTGGGAGTCTCTGTCATACCAAGTCATGACATTGTCTGCGATGGGCGAGGCAGACACGCCGGCAGGAGGGTCTGTTTGCATGCGCTGTTGTGGTTCTGTCAGTATCCTCTGTTATTCAGTGTAGTAGGAGTCTATCTATCTCAACACCATCGACGAAAGTCGAATTGGTGCAATTCTGGCTGGGTGGACTGGGTGGGTGATTGAGTACCTTAAAGTCTCGCATCAAGCGGCGTCTGGCTGAGGTCGACATGTTGGGCGGTAAGCAGTCGGGACTTCAGCAAAAGATTGTTAGGAACTTGATATCCGGTATCGACTTTTGGAAAGAGAGAACGCTTCTGGGTAGGTATCAGAGGAAGAGTGGTGTTGTCGGAAGATCACGCGAGGTTTGGTAGAGGACTGCAGTGGTGCAGGTGTGAGGCGTATGTAGTAATAGTGAAAGTGCCAGTGGCAGTCGAAATGATTCGCGCGACTGAAATGCGGCTCTGGAACTTTACAGAACCGAAGTTGAAGAGTCATGTGATAGTACTTCGGTTCTGGAGTCATGTGATTGTAAACGTTGTCCTTAGTCAGCACGATAACAACGTGGAGTACCACCAACAGGGACACCGATCCCGGCATTGCCCCGGCCCGGCGTGGAGATTTGGCGGGATTTGGCAAGAAGATGCCGAGGATAGCCTTCAGCGCGGTGTTCCGCATATGCCCATGCCACAAGCTGAGCGCCTGGACAAACGTTCCTTGCGACTCGACGACTGGCATGGCTTTGCCTCCGTGCCCACTTCATTCTTGATCACTTAAGTTAATCATTTATACCTAGGTTCCCAAGAAAATCCATATATTCGGTGGCCTCCTTGTCTGCTGCTAGTGCATTGTACTGTACCTCCCTCCCTTGTAGTGTTCGACGTCTTGATTGCACGCCTCACACCTTACGCCCGCGTTCCTCGCTCTGTGCTACTACTACCCGTGTCGTCTTTCTACTGCTAGTTCGAGCAATCCCTCGGTGCAGAGACAGGACTCGAAAGACTGAGAAAACTGGCATCCCTTGATTCCCCATCCGTCACAATGGCACCCTTCACAGCCACCGCTGCCCGCGCAGCTTCGCGAGCCTCCAGCTCGGCCTCGACCGCCAGTGCCCGGCTGTCCCAAATGCGAAGCCACTTCAGCACATCCAGCCCGGCAAGAAAAGAAATCCAAGAAGCATACATCCTCAGCGCATCGCGGACACCGACAGCCAAGTTCAATGGATCATTCTCCAGCCTCTCCGCACCACAACTCGGCGCAGTGGCGATCAAATCAGCGGTTGAAAAGTCGAAGGTCCCCAAATCCAAAATCACAGATGTATACATGGGCAACGTGCTGTCCGCGAACATGGGCCAAGCCCCGGCGCGACAAGCGGCCATCTTCGCAGGACTGCCTCCGTCCGTCGAAGCAGTGACAGTGAACAAAGTGTGCGCATCAGGTTTGAAGGCGGTGGTTCTAGCGGCGCAAAACATCCAGCTCGGACTCGCCGAGGCCCAGGTGGCCGGCGGGATGGAAAACATGACCCGCGTGCCATACTACCTGCCGCGAGCATCTCAGAATCCTGCCTTCGGCCATGTCACCCTTAAAGACGGCTTGATTGAGGACGGTCTATGGGATGTCTACAACCAGTTCCACATGGGCAACTGTGCGGAAAACGCGGCCAAGAAGTACAACATCACCCGTGAGATGCAGGACGAGTATGCGATCCGCAGCTTCGAACGGGCGCAAAAGGCCTGGGCCGAGGGCAAATTCAAGGAGGAAGTCGTGCCCGTCACCGTGCCGGGAAAGAAGGGCGACACTGTCATCAGCGAGGATGAAGGGTACACCAACCTCAAGAAGGACAAAGTGTCGACTTTGAAACCTGCCTTTGTGCGCGATGCCTCGGGCACCGTCACCGCCGCCAACTCGTCCACGTTCAACGACGGCGCCAGTGCTTTGGTGTTGGGCAATAAGGCGATTGCCCAGCAATACGGCAAGGACAGCCGCGTCCTGGCGAGAATCGTCAGCTCCGCGGATGCCGCCTTGGATCCTGTCGACTTCCCCATCGCCCCGGCGAAGGCTGTTCCGTTGGCCCTGGAGCGAGCCGGCATCACCAAAGACGACGTCGCCATCTGGGAGTTTAACGAGGCTTTTGCTGCCGTCATCAAGGCTAATGAACAGGTAAGTCGCGTGCCTAGCTTTTGCTTCATCTTTGTTTTGTCCCTGTACTGCTGTACTGTATGGACATACTTCGGATCCGAAACTCCATAATTTTGCGGAATTGGTTCCGAAGATGCATCTTTGTCCCTTTTCGAGACTTGGCCCACCATGCCGGTATCGATGAAGCTCCGCACGACGCATGATCTACGAGTTATGAGTTCAAGCATTTACTACATCGTGAATCCGTTTGTATTTCTAGTGTGTCTAACCAACTCTCTTCTCCCAGATCCTCGGTCTCGAAAACGCAAACGTCAACCTCCTTGGCGGCGCCATTTCTCTAGGTCACGCTCTGGGAAGCTCCGGTTCCCGCATCCTCACTACGCTTCTGCATCAGCTCAAGCCCGGTGAGTACGGTGTGGCTGCCATCTGCAACGGCGGTGGCGCCGCGACTGCCGTTGTTGTCCAGAGAATCGCGAGTGTCGAGTAATTTCCTATTTTCTCTGCCCCGCGAGCGTGTCACGTGTCTGCATGTCCGGACGGGGCTGGTATAGTACTCGACAAGCGACCGGGAGATGCTTCCAGCAATATCGAGGTGCCCTATGGCGACAGATGACGGATTACGGATCTTGTGAAAACAACAGTCACCGTTTGAAAGCACCAGCAAAAGCAAAAGCAAGCGTTTTCAGTCGGATCGAAGTGCGCAAAACACAGGATGGCGCAGTGGGAGTTCTGTGAAAATATGGCCTTTTTGCACTTTGATCTTGGAAGTAGGAGGAGGCTCCAGCATAGTATAGCACGCATTTGACCTCGGTAGGAAATGAATCCACAATGTCGCTACTATGCTCCACGTACAGCACCTTTCGCGAAACAGCCCAGTAGAAGACGCAAGTGTAGACCCAAGAGATGATGGCCAAGAAAAGATGTAGTCGCTGCTGCCAGTACAACATATAGTATTGTAAAGTATGGTATAAAGGTAGTCGGTAGCATTTGACTTCTCCGCCAGTTCGGGGCTCGTGGGAGCCCCAGGCTCCACTGATACAACTGTTAACATTCTCGGACTTCGTCTGTGCTGCCAGTGGCAAGCACCATCGCAAATATAGTGAATTGTTCGTCAACATTCTCAACTTTAGAGTGTGGTTAATCTCCCAAACACCTGTGGTTTCGTCACTCTTCGTCCTGGTCGCTGAGTGACTCGAGACACTGGGTCAAGCGGTTTGAATGGGAGAGTTGGAAATAAACATATAAAGCAAATCTAACCCAGCGCCGTCACCGTCCCCTGTGCGGTGATTGCTGTATCATAATTCTCCGCCTGACCTGCAGAGGAGACATGGAATGCAGTCTAGCACTCGAGTGGTTAGCCACGTTCCACGGTCGAGATAGGCCGCACTGTCGACGTAGAGAAAAGCCAATACGCCTCAATTATTAGCTGATTGATCGTGTCCGACTGAGAGATTTCTTCCTCAAGACTTTGGAGTTCTTCTTTCCAGGAACAGTTACCACCCCTACTTTGCTTCGCTGTTTCCCATCCGTGTCCTGGAGCCCGCCAGGAGTGCTGCCATTTCTAGCCGGGCCATCTGTCTCACAGCTGTTGAAATTCAGAGAAGCCGCCAAGTCTTGCATATCCGGTCGTGTAGACCAGTAGTCCGGCAGTTGCGTTTCATAGACGATAATGCCACTATGCTCCATGCTGAGATTGGCGGAGGATTGGCGTGAATGGTGCGAACCTGGCGTGGCCGTTCCCTTAGTAGCGGACTGTATGGGGGAATGCCGAGACAGATCTTGATGTGAGCTGTTGGATTGCCGGTAAAAAGTCGAACCCTCTTCAGAGCTTAGCCACGACGTGCCGCGACGATGATAAGTTGGAGCACGACTCGTTGGTATCGGAGGCGGTTGTTGTAGGTAAGGATACTGTCGAAAGGTTGCGGCATCGGCAGTATGGGGCCTGGGTGAATTTGTTGGGAAGGAGGCAGTCGCCGGTAAAGTTGTATAAGAAGCACTGAGCATATTAGAGCTCCACGGCTTCGACGTTACAGGTGAGGGGGAGTCGAGGTGAGCTTCAGCTAGGACAGGTGTGCTTTGCGCAGCGGCGACTGGAATGTTGAGTGTCAAGGGACTGTACTGAGCCGATTCGACGGCAGAAGCGCGGTTCTCAAGCCTCCCGAGCGTGTGATAGAGAGGGAGGTGAAACTGGTTCACCCCACTCGTGCTGATCATGGAGTTGTGAGGAGACCTTTCTGATATCCGTGACAGCGTGAGCTGGGAACGCTGGGCCAAAGGCGAGGAGGGCGTGCGGGTAGAAAAAGATCTTGAAAAATTTATGGGCTTGCGGCCATCGGGCCCCGGAGAGGGGGGAGGAGATGGCAAGGTGACTTCCCAACTGGTCATGATGGGCTCCTTACCCTTTTCCGGGGTCCGGGCCGACGTATCTGCAAGGCTTTCACGTCTGCCAGCAGTCGTTGTAGCAAAGGATTCCGGACGTGTTGATATGCCTATCGATCCCGTCTCGACTTGGGACATTTGATCTTGCCGTGATGGCGACCTGTCCATGATCGTATTCCACCATTCGAAGGGGCTCCGCCGCCCTGTCGCGGTGGATTCATTATCTGTTAAAACCCCAAACTGCCTGACTCCGAACTTCGACCCGGTCAAAGACAGATGCTGAGAAGTCGGTACCAGCCGTCCCCTTCTCAAAGTCATTCGTCGAGTAGGAGTGGTGAGGTTATCAAGACGCGTTGGCCTTGGTCTTCGTCGGACAATCCAGCATCTCAGAAGAATGGCGACTGTGACCAGCAACAGTACTGACCCAACGACTATGAGCACGATGTATACCCATAGCGGCAGGCCAGTGTTGTCGAAAAGGGTCGGCATGAAGTGGTATATGGAGGAAAGGATTTGCGTAACATCGAGTCGCACTTGGAAAAAGAGTGGAAGGAAGAGGTCAGTGCGGAAAGAATATACTTCCAGATGGTGGCATCTGACGGCAGTCCTTGACAATGAGCGGCTGAGTGGCACCTCCTGAAGTTCCACGTCGGGTGGCCGGTGGCAGGCTTGAATCGATATCGGGAACGATTTGACAGCAGTTGACAGAACACTGACGAGGTCTGGCTGCAAATGGCTGGCGGAAATGCCGAGGATACGTTGCTTTCCTACGGTTGCTCAACCAAAAGGGAAAATGGTATGGCAAATGTTGGCCGTCAAGGCAAGAATAGTGCGAGGGGAGCAGGGATCAGAAAGCTCAAGATGTAAAGAGAAGAGAAATCCGGCATACTAGTAGATGAAATATACAAGACAGAATGTCGAACCAAAGAGTTTTGGAGGGAGGACAAATCAACGACCAGCAGCTTTTCCGGCGGCAGTCGAACTGCGATTGGAACAGAACGACCATAAGGAGGATCGGGTACTGCGCGGGCCTCAATAGGGTTTCCCATTCTCGTCAGGCATATGCAGACGTGTGGAGGAAACCAGGGCAGTGCGAGACAGATTGACAGGGCAGGTGTTGCTCATTGTTGTTCACCGGACCAGGGTGCCTTGGATTCTAGTCATGAAGGTATATCTCGGCTGCCGAAAGGCTTGCACTATATGCCAGACTTTCCATGGGCAAAGGGCGAAAACCTGGAAACTACAGTCGACGCGAAGAGCGGTCTGGGTTGTGGCTAGCCTCGTGATCTGACGTTGAATGATGGGGTCGAATTTTAGGAAGCAATTACCATGGGGGCCTGCATTATTGCAAACGGTGACCAGTCCGCTATGGGAACGACTGGCATGGTCCGTTATGGTTGCCGCACTGTGCCGCAAGAAGCTGTGCAGATCCGCGGCCACATGGGGAGCCTGAATCTCGAGTATCTTGTAAAGCGGGCAGGTGCAGAAATCCGGCGTCGCACATGGGTGGATTTGAGATGAACATGGCCACGGCCACGCAGAAGTAAGGGTGAAGATGATCAGTTCCTGGATGAATCACCGCGTACGGTGCGGTGCCGTCGTGATACTCTTGACATTTCGTCCGCCCGAAGTCAAAGCCCCGGGTGGAAACTTGAGCCCGAGACCAAATGCAAGGGGTGACAGGATGGGTGAAGGGGATCGCAAGAATGGAAGACCACCACGTTTCTGGTCAGGCTCCGGGCTCTATGAACTCTGATCGTCAGGGACTGGCAGAGATAGACCATGGTAGTCGGTGAGGAGGCCAGTGAGCGCCGATTGAACTGACAGGGGTGACGGAACGTGCCTTGACAACACCAGCAAACACCCCCAGACGAAACTTTGTACGCCAGGCCCAGCATGGCAATATTCACACACTTTTTTTGCTGAAGGAGATATGTTTGGTTTCGGACCGTTTGATTCCAACCAGAAGAGCCACGGCACTTCGAGCATTATTGTTTTGTTTTCGGCTTGTTGCCCGCCTGAAAAAAGACGAAACGAAGGCAGTTGTCCCTGGTGCTAAACGTGGCGGATCCTTTTGGGGGGCTTGTCGCCTTGAAAACCGGGGGACGGCGCGCTAACAAAGCGCCATTGAAGCCCGTGCGTTGATCGTTCCCGCTGACCCTGGACCTGAAACAACCTAGGGAACAGTGGTCGCCGTCGGTACGACTCGAAGTCTTTTGTACAATGGCGGAATGGGAAACCCACCATCGTCTGACTGGTGATGCGACCTAGGTATGCCAGCAAGCTCGACCCGGCAGATGTGAATAATGTCTGGAAGTTCCAGTTCTCGACAGTCAAACGAGAAGCGTTTTCCGCCCATTTTGGGTCGCGGCTACAAAGTTCCTATCTTCTTATGGTTACTAACCTTGGGCACGTCTGACTCAAGTCTTCGCCCCAAAGTGAATAGACACGGGCTATCTTTGTTGCTGTCGTCGGCTTGAATTCCATTTTTTGCCGTGGATCTCCCGTCGTTTCGTGGACTTTATGTCGGATGATCAACAGTACATACCTAGTTAGGTACCGTTGCTCCGAAGGCGATCCATGTCTCAGGCATAACGCCAGGATAGTTGTATGCAAGGGAGGCAGCACCAGTGAAGTACGAGAGGTCTAGTCAGGCGGGGCAGGATTGGGCAGTCGCCATTGTCGTGTACATGGTGACTTTTTTTGCTACTCATCAGACAACATATCTGAAACGATATCGATCAGGTTGCAGGTCGTAGGGAGGACGGCTGATGTCGATCGTGACGTCTTTGAGACAGCATGCCTTCTGTCTGAGTCTTTTTCCCGCAGGTAACAGGGAACATAGGTTATTGCTAACGAGCTGAGGAGTAGATAGGTAGAGGGAGGCCCAACCCATTGCCTCAGAGGTCTGATCTGAATTCAGTAGCGAGATATGTCAATTCTAGACAAATCAAGTTGCTAACTCGAGGTGCTTTGATATTATCGAAAGCGTGGTCAGGATCATGATGAGCCCGCTTCCAAGCAAAATACTGTGCAAGCAGCGGGAGGACTGGCGTATGAATCGTGATGAATTGGGGTCTCAGCGGAGGATGGACATGTTCCTCTCAGACTGCAGTGGCAGAGGGCGCAGGTGATGCGTGCGCAACTTGAAGTCAGCAGCTGAGTACCAATCCTTTCGGGACCGGAAAAAGTGATGGACCGAGTTACAGTATCACCTGGCAACTTAATAATTCACTGGCAGCAGGGAAATTCCCCGCGTGCCGCCTGAAATGGCAGCCGGACCGGAACTGGGTTGGCCGTCACGGTCAGCTCCAAGACAAACTTGAACAACCCTCGGGCCTTCCACTTTTACTCAGGCTCATCACCATTATTGCAGTGGCACTGTACAGCCTGAATAATACCGTGAGATACTACTAGTAGTTCCTCCCCTGGCATCTTCAGGAGGCTCATCTTGTTATCACTGCAACTGCGACTGCGACTGCAACTTTGAACTTGAACGGCGAGATAGTGCCAGTGACCCTTGATCTTGAATTTCCCGCCTTGTGGTATCACACCTCAGCCACCGTGACCGCCGCCATCACCACCTTCTCCCTCGCAGTCCCCCCTCTGACGCTCTCGGCTACGCTGATCGCAGCCTAGAAACTATGTGCTGACCTGGCTCATTGACCGCCTTTATGACCACCTCTACCATGATGTTGTCCACTAGCTGATCGACGGGCTCATCAACTGTGCTCACGTCTCCGAGTCCTTCATCGCACCCTCCGAGTCCCTAATCCACTCTCCCCGCAATTCGTATCTACTCGACTGCCGAAATTTTCGGCCACCAACGCTGCCCGGTTCAGCCTCGTTACTGTCCCTGTTGCTGCCGCCATGGGAAAACAACCGGCGGTGGTTATTATAGCACGGTAGGTCTATATCTGTTGCGTGGCGAAGTTCCTCCCTTCGTCAGGGCTAACTGTTGGCCGACGCAGGCACGGCGCTCGTCTTGACCAGGCGGATCGAAACTGGCACACCACGGCCGAAGAGCCTTACGATCCTCCTTTGACTTATGGTGGTTGGGTTCAGTGTCAGGCACTTGGGGTCAGGATCAATAATGAGTTACATAATCTTGACAGAGAACAACAGACGAGCCTCGACAAGGACGAATCTTCTGTAGACGCACGGCCTAGAAAGCGACGCAAGATCATTATACATACCTCTCCATACTTGCGATGTGTTCAGACTGCAATTGCCATTTGTGCTGGCATTCAGCACCCTCAGTATCACCGTCGCCCAGGCCTCAAAGCTCGACACCGGTCGACTCCAATCCTTCGCGAGGACGCGCCAGACTCAGTCTCTCCCTCTTTCGTTCCTGACCCGAATGCGCTTGAACGTACCACTTCCCGGGACCTGTCTCAGACGAATCGATTGGGATACAACACCTGCTTGTTGCGTATTGATGCGTTTCTGGGGGAATGGCTCTCTCCAGGCTATTTCGAGCACGCCTGCCCTCCACCTCCCTCGGCGGTGATGGTGTCGCGAGCAAAGATGGCATTGCAGAAACCACAAGAGGAGATCAAAGGGGCCGATATGTCCGCGTCTTACCTCTATGAATCGCAGTCACCGGAACGGGAGGAGAAAGAGAACGAGCTCGCGACCGTTGCGTCCACCGAGAAGACGGGTTTAAGAGCCATGGCCGCCGTCGGTCATTCCCTGCCTAAGCGGCCGCGGAATGTTTCCTTCGGTACCGAATTGGCAAATGGTGCCAGACTTCTCAATCGGTCTCTCCAGCAGCGGCAGCCTGTGGGATACAGTCCTCCTGTGCCCATGTACGCCATGGGTGCCTCGGACAAGATTCCTCCGGGCTTTGTTGCCCATGCTCGAGATTGTTGTGTTGTAATCGACCATGACTGGGACAGCCAGAATGATGATCTGGATTGGGGCGATGGGGGTCAGTTTGATGAGGAATGGGGCAGTATGCATCGAAGATTCCGCAATGGTTTGCAGAAAATGCTGGCACATTATGAGATTGAAACTGAAGAACAGCAAGAGCGTAAGGGAACGGGACCAGATGAAGATGAAGACCTGGTCCTTATCCTAGTCACCCACCAAGCCGGCTGCAATGCTTTGATTCGGCTCTTTACTGGAGCTCCTGCCCTGCACGACGTGGGTCCAGCTTCACTGACCATGGCTGTAAGGAAGCAAGACGATCCAAGATCTTTGGCAGATATCTCTCCTTCGCGGCGGCGGGGATCTCTCGATCTCGCCATCGCCGGGGACTTTGACATGAAAATCATCGCCTCGACGGAACATCTTCGTGGCGGATCGGCTTCTTTGGTATCGAACTCGCCACGACTGGGTAAATCCCCAGCGTTTTCCAGTCGTCGTGCTGTGGGGGTGGGAGCAGATACACCGGAGGGATTTGCCTTGGGAGAATCCCTCAATCACCGGCCGTCGGTCTCATCACTAGGCAGAAGCGCCAGTCAGAGAACGCACGCCGCAGATACACCAAGCGAGGTTGAACCACCGACGGGTCTGTGGCGTCGCGGGAGCCGGTATTCGAGGGATGAGACGGCCGAGTCTGGCGAAGCCATCGTGACACCAAGTGTGCAGAGTGTTGGTACGCCTGGCGTTCCGCCGCCGCAGGAGCTCTGGGGCGGCACACCCAATGATGGCGATGAGCAAAAGGAGCAGAAGTCGGAGTCCCGTCTGTTGCCCGTTAGGAGCGCGAGTCAACGCGGACTCTGGGGTGACCATTCCATTGCCAGAGAAAGAAGTCCCGGGAAAAGAAGGTGGACAGCAGGTGAGAGACCACGCTGAATGCCTAGCTATTGAGAAGTGAGCATTGTGATGGGTACTGTCCCAGAGCAATACGGAATCGTGGGATGTTCAGATGAGGAATGAAGAACTGTGTCTTAGGATGATGAGCCGAAGGATCAAGCTCAAGAGCTATGGACGAATGGCCCCTTATAGTAATACGATAAAAGTCAAACATTATTACCTAGGTATATTCCTCCTTCTGACTGTACCAACCAACGACTAACCTCTCGTTTGATTTTCTCAATAATCCCTTGATCCGAAGCAAAGAGACCTGCAGCAACAGTTCTGTTCGGCTGTCTTGTCGAACTAGCCGCAAGAAACAACAGGCTTGGGTGCCTACTACTGTGTAGGTAGGTGAGGACGATGTGACCATCTCCAAGTCGAGTTCGACACAGTCAAGGTCAAACCCCCCGCGTGTCCCTCCATGCTATCTATTGGTGAGCATCGATAAGTGGTCTGACCTCTTTTCCGTATCTCTATTTATTTCTGCAGCCCATTCAATTTCCATTCAACCGAAGCTTGGAATTGTACGAATGATGCACGCTTCAGACCGACAGCCCAGAAAAGTCAAGGTGAGCTACTAGCAGTACTAGTAGTAGCTGCAGTAGGACCAAAGACCTCCGGCTGCACAGTCGTGCTACTGCCACCAATGTTGTTCTCTGCCGTCTCTCTATCTTTGATTGCAATCGTGGCACACAGATTCGGACTCAATCTACTATGAATGGGTATATCATATATACCTTACCTTGTGGCAGGTATGGGACCTAATTTATCAGTAAATGATTCTACTATGTGACGTGATGCCCCAGTGACCTTGTTCAATTTGGGGAGGATTCTACAACTAAAATAATCAAACAGGGTCTGGCCGTCCGTCGTCCACTCCATCTAATCTACAACTACTATCGATGGATCTGCGGAGGCGCATGGACCCCTTTGATCCGTTATCAGAAAAAAGACTATTTTTTCTTTTGTTTCACTGGCTTCGATATCTCGGCGGTGACGTCGAAGGTAGTAGGTATTGATTGATCATTTTTCCACTGCAGTGCACCAGATTTCAATGTATCTCTGGTGCAGGGAGAACCTTGACATAGGAACTTGCTTTTTGTTAGGAACACTTACCATTTTTTTTTAATTTTTATTTTTTGACACAGTTCAAGGTTGCACTTGACGACGGAGAAGCTCAAAAGGAGTCAGTGGCGAATCTAATATATTCCAGCATCGGCTACGGGAGTATCTTTCTTGGAGGTGCTGGGCCGCGTTTGGTTGGGCTGTCTGATAGGCAATGGGCTTTAGGACGTGATAGAGGAATAGAGGGATTATCAGCAGCAGCAGCAGCAGCAGCAGCAGAAGCAACAGCAGCAAACCTGTGACTGAGGGAAACGGCCAACGGAGCCACCATTTGTGTACGTGGAAAAGCGGGAAAACAGAAGAAACAACCATGGGCTCACTTCCCAGCGGGCGAGACAATCACCAGCATGGGCTGGATCAGATTCCGCCGGAATGGCCACTCAACTCCGTCCCACTGGACGCAGATATTCACGATAGCCGGGACGTGATCCAGCAGTGTGGTCTGCTGACAGCCAAGGAACTAGATATCACCAACACGGTTGGAGTGCGCAGGATTCTTCGACGGTACGGAGAAGGCCACTGGACAGTCGAGGAGGTTCTGCGGGCGTTCTGCAAGCGGACAGCCATCGCGACACAGCTTCTCGGATGCTGTACGGAGCTGATGTTCGAGTCTGCCATTGCTCAGGCCAGGGAATTGGATCGTTGGTATGCTGAGACAGGCCAGCTTGTCGGTCCGCTGCATGGGATTCCTATCAGTATCGGTCTCCAAGATGAGAAATCGGACGATGACATATCGAGATTCCAGATGCACGATAATTGGGAGGACGACGATGAGGAGGAGATAGCATTGTTTCAGCTGCAACGGCTTGGGGCCATTCTGTACGCTCAGGCCGAGACAAGTGCAAATGCTGGAAAACCCAAGCCCAGCTCAGGGGCTGCGGATGATGATTATAAATCCACAGGGCAAATCCTGCAGCACCGCAGCCTGAATGCACTCAACGACCGGCTCGCCAGCTCTGGAGGCATCGGCGCCCTCGTGGGCTCACGAGGCTCGATATTAGGATTTGGCACGGATTCCGGCGCCGCCGTGAGCATTCGCATTCCTGCCGCTTCGCAAGGGCTGTACGCCCTGTGTCCCAGTGTCGGAAGGCTGCCGTCCCGTGAGTCACGGCAAGATCAAAAATATACCATTGTCCGCCCAGTCGCGGGCCCGTTGAGTAATTCGTTAGGCAGTCTGGAACTGTTCATGCAAGCTTATATGAGCATGGAGCCGTGGACGATGGAGCCAAGTGTCGTGCCGATTCCATGGCGGTACGAACTGGCCGAGCCACCCAAGACAAAGGATAGGAGCGGGTCTGTCAGCGGGTACATATACGGGAGATTCAACGACGATGACGATGTTGATGATGGCGAGGAAGACTACGGTGATGGTGCTCCCCAATTGGGGCCTAACGGTGGTGTTGGTGACTCGGATCTGGTTCTCCCTCGCGCCCTGCGCATTGCGGTTGTGGTGGACGATGGAGTCGTCACGCCGCATTTGCCCATTGTGCGTGCCGTGCGCGAGCTCGCAGGCAAGTTGAGACAGTGTGGCCATGAGGTCGTCGAGTGGGATACTTCGTCGCATCGTGCGGCGTATTATGACTTGTGGGTGCCTGCTGTGACAGCGACAACCACGAATAAAACGACGGTTGACCATGACCCAGCGTCACGGGGGAGCATCAGCAAGGATGGTTCCGCCACAACCACAACCACCTCGGACAGTCCTGGCGCCCAGGACGGTACTGGTCTCGCAGACACATTAGCCAACACACATCTCGACCGTGTAGACGACACGGGGGCTCACAACCACAACCACGATCCGACCGACAGCACTACTCATTCTCGCCCTCAGCTTTTTAATCCACACAGCACATCTTCCATAGGCGAGCGCCAAAGAATCGATCTCGCTGCCCAAATCTGGAAGTTCCGCCGCATGTACCTCCGCCACTGGCGAGCGAGCGACATCGACGCGTTGGTGATGCCTGTGACGCCTTGGGTTGGCATACCCAGCTCTGCGAGTAGAAAGCACTCCGCAGCCGAAAAGTCTCGTCAGGAAGAGTATTTTGGATATACTTCGATCTGGTCGCTGCTCGACTACACGGTGCTCACGATGCCGGTGGCGACCGTGGACCCTGTGCTTGACGATCCGAGATTGCAGGCTTCGAATGCATCCACAAACACAAACACTAGCAACACTACCAACACCACCAGCAGCAGCAGCAGCAGCAGCAGTGGCAACAGTAGTAGTGCTCAGGTTGAAAATATCACTGCATCCCGCGGCGATGTGCCACCTCCTACTACTACCAACGACAATCGGTCTCACGCCAATCAGTCAAAGCCATACACCGATCTTTGGGACTCCGGCTTGGTCCAGAACATGCCGATCAACGTGCAGATTGTGACGGGTCGGTTTGGGGAGGAAAAGGCATTTGCGGTAGCCAAGGTGTTGGAACAGTTGCCGTAGTAGAATTCATTCAAGTTTTGCTTTGTGCATACTCACTTACCACTTCGTTTTTGTAGCGGCATCATTGTGAGATATATCTACCTACCTAGGCACTGTAGGTACTAACAACCTACCTGAGGTACATAACACCCTAGCACTCTAGACACCCAATGAGTACAGTACCCAGAGTAGGATTAGGGGAAATCCAGTCCTCAGAAGATGCTCTGTGTTCATTGCGCGAGTTTGAGTCTCTCACGCGACCTTTTTCAAAAATTCGGCAATCTTCTGGCCCACAATGTCATACGCCTCCTCGGGCAAATAATGCCCGTACCCGTCTCCCACGCCGTAAGCCTCATAGAAGTGGTTGGACTCAGACCCAGACCCTTCAGGCGGCGGCTGAATCCAATCCCTCCAAACGGCCTCTACATCGACCGTCGCGCCCAGCTTGGCCTTGGAATACAAGACGAGCAGCGGCACCTCAATCTTGCGACCGGCTCGCTGGTCCTCCTCCTGCTGCGTAACGTCCGTCGTCGCGCCGGCCTCGTAGTCCAGACTGGAATAGTAGATGGTGTCGCGCTTGGCGAAGAGGACGCCGTAGATGTCGAGAGCGTTGTTGGACGCGATCCGATCCCAGGACTGTGGATTTGACCCTGCAATCCGCTTGAGCGCCTCCCGGCACCAATGTCCACCCCAATATGCGGTGATCATGGCGGTGGCGAGGTCGGCGTTGGCCAGCAGTGGCCAGTGGAAGTAGCCCGTCACTGTTTTGGGGTCCGAAAAGGCCTGCCATTGACTCAGGGTGGGGATGATGTCCATTAGAACTGTGCCGATGACTGTTAAATTGAGGGTTTGGAACAGAGACGAAGAAGAGTCCGAGGGTGGATGGGAGAAGTCAACGGCGAGACGGTGGGCGATGCGGGCGCCCCTGTCGTGGCCGCCTAGGATGATGCGTCTTGGGGAAGATGAAGAGGTGGCGGTTGTGTTGAAGACTTTCGATAGCGCTTCGAGAAGAGCAGTGCCGACGGAACGTTTGTCGTTGCGTGATCTGTCCTCGATAGGCGTGGAGATGCCATATCCTGGGAGCTGGGAGACATGTGAGTAAGGTGGCTAGATTGGTAGTCGAGGCAGGAATGGGACATAGAAAAGGGACTGAGAACAAGAATTGATCGAGCTGGGAAGAGAATATGACAACTCAGGTTAGAGATGGAGAGTAAGAGACACACTTACTTCAGGCACGAATAGAGAGACTTTATGGCATAGAGGTGATGCAACCTGTTTGTCTTCGGTGAGTATCATGTAGCCCCGGAGGTCCTGGTGAGTAAGGAACGGTGCATGGTTGCTAGACAGGCACGGCTGTCGCCAATGGAACCTGTAGTAGAAGTGAAGGAGTGTAGTCCACACGAGGTTGAAGCGAACAGGGGTAACTGAGACTCACATGTCGGAAACTAATTTCGGCCGGGGAACATGAATTAGTTCTCAAGGTCGGCAACATCAGGTTCTCCCTAGGGCCTGCAATACAGAACTTACATGTACGCTGACTGGGGATAACCGTGGATCAATGTCAGTATAGGTTTGTCAGGCCCACCATCGTTGACATAGCTGTGGATTTGAGATCCCAGAGAAGTCTCGGTCATATGGTGGACGAGCAGGCGGGATTGATACAGAGCTTGAGTCTGCGCCGCTGCCATGAGCACGACTCTTGTTCTGATTTGGTTTAGAAAAGGATGATGGTAGAAAAGGAAATACAAGTATAGTGTTTCAGGGCTCTTTAGGCTGAACTTGAAGTGATTGCCTGAAGCAAGTTGCAGGGCAGGCGAAGGTTTCTAGAGTCTTTATATTCTGCTATGGGACATGATACGCTGCGTTTTGGATTAGTCAAGGGGATGATGTGATGTCGTGAGCAGAGAACAGCCGAGGAATCCCTCTCTCTCCAGAAGGAGATGTTTGATTCGGATCTCGAGGCGGAGAAGTCGCTCGTATGCGGATATAGAGTTCGATTTGCCGGCCTCATAACAACAAGGTCAGTTGCGGTTTCGTGTATCATTGGCATGCCATGCCAGCAGTACCCATACTGAGTGACAGATATCACTTCTATGATACAGACTAATCGGCTCGTGAAGGGCGCAACACTGCGCGGCAGGCGCCGAGATGGGTGAGAAATGGAGGTCACGTGGAGTCACTGTAACCGTCGAAGCAGCGGAGTCCAAGATATTTATCAACCCCTGAATTGATCTTTACACGACGCCACGGTATGAGAGAACTGGTACGTTGAGGCACCAGGAAAGTCCTGTTCTTTCCTGGTATAAAGATGCGGCGTCGACCAAGGACCCTGCAATACTACACAGTACACAGGAGGGAATGATTAGCATCGTGTTTATCTGGTTGAGAACCAGGGTAAACAAAGCCCGTAAAACCTACCAAAGATATGGGTGCCTCAGCTGTGATGGTAATCTCTGCCCACCTACAGTCCTATGCCCGAAGTCTACGCAGCGGGTCATTTCCGCACCCCACCCGCATCGAATACCCTCCTATTCAACAGCTATTTACTCGCCACAGACTTGCTCGATTTTAACGCTCTCAACTGCTATCGACTATGCTTATCCTAGTGCTCTGTAAATAGCGCTATTTACAGAGCCTAGTGCTTCTTAAAAGCGTGTATACCAGCCGTCAGCGTCTAGTACGCTATTTACGCGCGTATAAATCGACCTTATTATTTCGTCGATTTGCTCCTGCGGTATAGCGTTCCACTCCTCTACTATTACCTTTGCGAATTCATCGAGAGCCTCTTACGAGTTACCGAGCTCGAGTAGGTATAGGTAGTATTCCTTTAGACGCTATTTAAGGATCGCCTAGACGTATTCGATCGAATTGAGATCCGGCGAATAGAGAGGCTATTCGAGCCGCGATATACTATAAGTTTCGAACTATTTATTAACCCGACTAGCTATATAAATAGGTACGTTATTCTATATAAAGATATTACTCGAAGACCAAATTCTCGGTAGTTGATCGTCTAGTACAGCCACGTACGAGCGTGCGATATACCCCTAATTAGGCGCCTCCTCGTCTCGCTCTATTACTACGAGATCTAACCTACTACCGAGCTAAATAGCGCTCTAAACTATAATAGAGACGTCCTTGCCTTTAGGTTAAGGGTCTATTATCTTCTTCTCCTACTTCTACGTTAGCGTACGGAATATAAAGATAGATATCCCGCTAGAGCCTCTTTCGATAGAACACTCGTCGGAGAATCGAACCTTACTTCACTCGCCCTCGGCGTCCGTAGTCCAATTTTTATATCTTTTCGCAAAGTTCTTACGCTTAAGCGCGTACGTCTTCTATAGAAGAGGCCTTTTCTTAGCTAGCTACTTCTTTATTCCGAATTAATTAAGAAAGCGCGAGACCGTACGGCGCTTTATACTAACGCCGGATTTACGAATAAGATAACGGTACGTCTACCGCGGATTTAGTCTTGCTAGACGAAGAAGTATTCTCTTATCGCGTTTAGATAAAAGAGGAGGGCGCCTAGAGCGTAGGCGTGACGCTAATCCGATTCGAGTCTCGCTTAATTAAACTGTTATACGCGCCGTACGGATCGGCACGTTATATATATCGCTTATGACCTTCTAGGAGGCTCCTACGTCGCGTACACCTTCGATTTTAGATCGTAAATAGGGAGAGAGCTCGTGTCCGCGCCTGCGATTTGCGTCGATTAGCCCTAGAGGTACTCGTTGAGGCATAGTTGCGTGTTAAAGAGGAAGAAGGTAGGAGACGCGTGCGCGTTTTGTAAAAAAACGCGCTAGCGATGCGTGGACTTCGGGCACCTAATTGTATAACGATGCTGTGGTCGGCGGGTCCCAAGCCCACGGCTTGTGAACCCCACAGCCAGTGTGGGAGTGAGAGCCTAGGGAGCCTATACCGAAGTCCTCTCGCCCCCTATAGCCCCTGACAGCGCGGCTATGAAGACGCGCCACGGCAGGCAGCACACTGTAAACTGCGGGCTGCACAGGCGTGGTCAGCACTGCAATCATCCCCTATAACATAGTAATAATGGGGAGCCTCCTTAGCCTGCGCTGCGCCTATCGAGTTGGAGGCTGAACCGAACTTGGACCAGGCACTGACTGGCCTGTAATCTGGCCTGCACACAACGCAACGCATGCAGTGTCCGTCACTCAACCACTGGATGCAATGCAATGCAATGTAATGCACCGCACTGTCCTAAACCGTCTCGCCGAACTTGAAATCCTTCCGTTCTAGAAACCCTCGAGTTCATTAGCAGCATCTAGGTCGTCGAGTGACTAGAGACCTTCGACTCTTGGTTTGTCGCGACTCGCAAACGCCCCCAAGACAACCAGTCAATCACCCAATCCCTTGAAGACGCCAATTTACCGCGACCGAAACCCGAACTTTCTCTGTTTATAATCCGCGCCCGAGGGCTTACACTCCCCCTTCTGATGCTTTCCGCCTGGCCCGACTGAAAAGATCTCGTGGAAAATAAACATGGCGTTAGTCGCATGATTGTATCTTTCTAGAAGTCACGCTGACCATGAATTCCAGTTCGGCCGCGGGAGGCAGCGGAGGGGGCAACAACATCAAAGGTACGGCCCTCTACCCTGTCCAAGTCGATGCTATCTCAGTCTAACATATCTCCATAGTTGTTGCCCGTTTCCGTCCTCAGAACAAAGTCGAAATCGCGAATGGAGGACAACCGATTGTCCAGTTTCTGGGGGAAGACACCTGCCAGGTCCAGGTATGCCAGGAGGATGCCCAGCAAGGCGCGCAAGAGGCAGGGACTCACAATTGTGTATAGTCTTCCGAAACCAATGCCCCCTTTACCTTCGACCGAGTCTTCGACATGTCCTCCCAGCAGTCCGACATATTCGACTTCTCCATCCGATCGACCGTCGAAGATGTCATGAACGGCTACAATGGAACGGTTTTCGCGTACGGCCAAACCGGGGCGGGAAAGTCGTACACAATGATGGGCGACATGGATGACCCTGACAAGAAGGGTATAATCCCGCGAATAACTGAGCAGATTTTCGATTCCATCCTCGTTCACGGCTCGGCACAGATCGAATATACCGTGGGTATCTCGTATTTAGAAATATACATGGAGAGAATACGCGATCTGTTGAACCCGGTTATGGACAATTTACCTATCAATGAAGGACCTAAAGGACCTTATGTGAAAGGCCTACGGGAAATATACGTCAATACGGTGGATGAAGTATATACGGCAATGCATCTGGGTCAGCGCTCGCGTGTCACAGCCTCGACAAACATGAATCTGGAGTCCTCACGGTCGCATTCGATATTTTTGGTCACAATCAACCAGAAAGATGTCAACACCGGGTCGCAGAAGAGTGGGATGCTGTATTTGGTCGATCTGGCCGGTTCGGAAAAAGTGGGCAAGACAGGCGCAAGTGGACAGACGTTGGAGGAAGCAAAGAAAATCAACAAAAGTCTGAGTGCGCTCGGAATGGTTATCAATGCTCTAACCGATGGCAAATCCACGCATGTCCCATACCGAGATTCCAAGCTGACCCGAATCCTACAAGAAAGTTTGGGTGGCAATTCGCGGACGACCTTGATCATCAATTGCTCTCCGAGCAGCTACAACGATGCAGAGACCGTCAGCACATTACGATTCGGCATGAGGGCGAAGACGATCCGCAACAAGGCCAAGATCAATGCCGAATTGAGTCCAGCTGAACTGAAGCGCCAACTCAAGCTTGCTCAGAACCAGACCATGACGTTCGAAAAGTACATTGCCTCGCTGGATTCGGAATTGCAGCTCTGGAGAAAGGGAGAAACGGTTCCGAAAGAGAAATGGGTGCCTCCCTTGAGTGGATCCGGTGGGAAGATGGACTCCAGAACCAGACCAGACACACCGTCACGAGGGCCTTCAGACCTTCTGCGGTCGGAAACGCCCAGCCGACCTGACTCTCGAACCGGAGAGAGGTCCAGCACTCCCAGCATCATACTCGAGAAGGATGAGCGGGAGGAGTTCCTGCGACGAGAAAATGAACTCCAAGATCAATTGACAGAAAGGGAGACTCAGGTGGCCAACGCGGAAAGAAGTCTTCAAGAAGTCCGAGAAGAGCTCAAATCGTATAAAGAGAGCGCCATGCGCACGACAAAAGAAAACGAGACGCTGGCGGACAAGCTCAATAAAACCGAGCTGGAATTACAGAAGTTGTCGTACCAGAGTAAAGAGGATGCCATCACCATGGAGGCTCTGAAAGATGCCAACTCTGAATTAGAGACCGAATTGGTTTCTGTCAAACAACAGCTACTCGAGCTCAAGATGAGTGCGAAGGAGACCACCGCGGCTTTGGACGAAAAAGACCGCAAGAAAAAGGAAAAGATGGCCAAGATGATGGCAGGCTTTGACCTGGGAGACAGTGCCTTTTCCGAAAATGAGGCCCGTATGCGCGACATGCTCGAGCAAGTGGATTCTCTGCATGCTGCCAGCATGAACGGGGAGAGTGTGCCCACCCATGTTTTGGAGGATTTGAGGGCGAAACTACTCGAGTCTCAAACCCTCGTCCGTCAAGCAGAACAGTCTTTGAACGAAAGAGCCGACAACGAGAACGAAGAACGGACGCTGGCGCTCGAGGAACGATTGGCATCGGTGCAACAAGAGTATCAAGATCTCTTGACCCGCAATCTAGGGCCTGAAGACGTGGAAGTGGTCAAGTCGAAACTGGAGCAGTTATACTCGGATCGCCGGGAAACACAGGCTGAACTGGTCCGTGACTTGAGGGATCAACTGACACAAAAGTCCCAGGAGATCGAAAAGCTCCAGAAATCCATCACGGAACTCCAAGCTCGAGGAGCGGCCAATGGAGCAGCTGGGGTTAACGGGACTGGCAGCAAGACCTTGCAGCAACAGATTGCCGATTTTGATTTGATGAAGAAGAATCTCATGCGTGACCTGCAGAACCGGTGTGAACGGGTGGTAGAGCTGGAGATCTCTCTCGACGAGACGCGAGAACAGTATAACAATGTGCTGCGGTCGAGCAACAACCGCCAGCAACAGAAGAAGATGGCTTTCTTGGAGCGCAATCTCGAACAACTCACCGTGGTGCAGAGGCAGCTCGTCGACCAGAACACGAGCCTTAAGAAGGAGGTCGCCATTGCGGAGCGGAAGCTGATTGCCCGCAACGAACGCATCTTGAGTCTTGAGAGTTTGTTGAGTGACAGCCAGGAGAAGTTGACGGCTGCCAATCACAGGTATGTGCATGATCTTTTGTCTTCTCACTGTTGTGCCTTGTCCCAATGGGGAGGTGTTTGGGCACATGTGTGATATTGTGGCTAACCTTTTATTGTGTTGACAGATTCGAAGCTCAACTCGCCGCTGTCAAGGAGCGACTGGAGGCGGCCAAACTGTCATCAAGAAACATGGCCCCGGCTGGTGCTGGTGCGGCCAGCACAGTAGGCGGAGGGTTCAATAGCCTCATGAGCGCTGGTGCTCGGATAGCCAAACCGCTCCGTGGAGGCGGTGGAGCAGCAGCGCCGAACAGCCTCGACGGTGCGAATGGAGGTCCAACTCACCCGGCTCTATCCAACGTGGCCGGCTCCGATGGCGGGAGTAATAAACGAAGCAGTTGGTTTTTCAATACGGGTCGGTGAGAGAGACCGGTAACGGACGAGCCTTGATGATGGAATGAGAAAAGAGCCGAGTCCCGACTATCCGACCGAAGGTTGCCATGCTTTCATGCTTGTCAAGAAGCGTCCATCAACGAGAATCTGCCGCTTCAACTGGACCGCATGATCGACATGACACATGGATTTCCGCCTAACCCTTGCGCCGGCCGGTGCTGGACAAGGATCATTTCATGCATAACGAGCGATGCTTTGTAAAGGATGTGATTGCCGGTTGGGAAGTCGGTATAGATAGACGGCACGCAGATGTTACACCAAGGGACACGCCGAAGCGTAGCAGCGAGAAGAATTGAAGACTTTTTTTTTCCACCTTGACTTGACAATATGTACGTATATGTCTGGAACAAGACGAGGTCCTGCTTCGTTGCAAGCTGTATATGAGGTCTATCCAAGAAGAAAAGAAATGTCTGAACGTGAGCTGAGTGGCCGGGGAAGTAAACTGCAGTAAGTCGTGTAGCACATCCGGTACTAGGACCTGGGTACAGCTTGAATCGATGGTTCAAGCTCGCCTAATGCTTTCAAGTTTTGTATGTGGTGCGTAGTCAAGATGGGTGCTCCGGAAGACAAAAACAATACCAGGTACCTAGATACTCCATCATTCATTCAGCTCTCTTCTCCTCTCCACATCCGCACAGTTTAATCCACCACAGCCTACAAGGAAAAAGTAAACCTCCGAGGGTCATCTAAGCCAAGCCTACTGTCCCTTACAAAGGTCGGCAATGGGGTATGACTACCTAGGAAGCAAAGTATCCGCCCAGACAGTGAGTGGGTTTTGCTCCTCATGTCTATCACGACAATCTCCAACTGATGAACAAAACAATCCGGGGAAGTGGAACAGGGCCGAACAGGAACCTGAACTTCAGGCAACCGAAGGTGGGTTTCGGCGGATCTACACAGGTACAAGTACCATGACCTCGGTACCCCTTTACGCTCGCCTATCTATTGTCTCTATCTTGGTTTGAACGCCGTCGAACGTGCAAAGAGAGACCATCTGATGATACTTATTCTTCACGTCCATTGCCAGTGCCCCTGCGACTGGGAAACAGCGAGAACTAAATTTTAACTACACTACATATAGCAGCAGCTACAGTAACAGCAACAGCATCCACAAAACCTCACAATGGGATCCTCCGTATCTCCCTCGGCCGCCAAACGCAGCATCACAGACAACGACATATCGACCCTCCGGACATTACTGTCCGTCAGCAGCCCCACGCTTCTAACGCCCCAGGACGCCGAGTACCCCGCGTCGATCCGGCGATGGTCGCGCGCGGCGGAGAAGCCAGCCGGGGCAGTTCTATGTCCGAGCAGTGCGGAAGAAGTATCGATCGCAATCAAGTATGCGACCGACCAAAACATCGACGTGGCCGTCAAGGGCGGCGGGCACTCGACGGCCGGGGCGAGCAGCACGTCGGGCGGCCTGTTAATCGACCTGGCGGCCAAGATGCGACAAGTGTCCGTCGACGTGGAACGCAGATTATTGCATGTTCAAGGCGGCTGCACCTGGGGCGACGTTGACCAGGCCGGATCGAAGCACGGCCTCGCCACTGTCGGCGGCACCGTGGCGGACACAGGAGTCGGCGGATTAACTCTGGGCGGCGGCTACGGCTTCCTCAGCGGCCAGCACGGGCTGACGATTGACAATCTCGTCGAATGTACTGTTGTCCTTGGCAATGGGGAGATTGTGCGTGCGAGCGATAACAATAACAACGACCTGTTCTGGGCCATCCGAGGAGCCGGGCAGAACTTTGGCGTCGTGACTGAATTTGTGTTTCGGGCGTTCGACCACTCTGAAGTCTGGGCCGGGCTGCTGCTGTACCCTCCTACCCCGGAAACATTGGCTCAAGTCGTGGCCGCGACAAATGAACTCTACATGCCCGACAGCAATGGACGGACGAGGGGCGCTGGCCGTGCTGCCGGAGGATTGGGACTGGCGCGTCCACCACCTCCACCCGAGAGCGACAACAGTAGCACTACTCAACCGGAGGTCATGATTCTCGTCTCAGTTATCTACTTCGGCTCCGAAACCGAAGGAAAACAAGTATTCCGCCCCTTTTACGAGATCAACAACGGTGCCGGTGTCGGTCCCGTCGTCGATACCACAGCCGTGGTTCCTTATCCTGTCGTGAATACTCTTCTTGCACCGCCGATTGGTCTGCGCTCAAGCATGAAAGGCGCAGCGTTCACATTGCCCATCCGGCCCGAGTTCGTGCAGACCGTCTTGGACGAATATATACAGTTTACTAATGATGCCAACAACGATACTGGATACAGTCTGGTCCTGTGGGAAATGTACGATCCCGCCCAGGTCGTGACCAATGCTAATGTCGGCTGCTTCGCCAATCGCGGCTGGCATCTCAACGGCCTGATTTGTCCGCTGTGGACGGATCCAAAAAAGGATGCCGCTTGTCGCCAGTGGGCGAGACATATTAATGAGCTGTTTAAGAAAGAGCTTGAGAGTAGGGGGAACAAGACCGGTACGGGTGTCGATGGCGGTGTTGGGCTGAGAGGCGAAAAGGGTGCTGTTTTGCTGTATGGAAATTATGATCGTAAGTGCCTACCTACCTTGGCCGAGCTGAGTGTTTTATCTTTCATTGCGATTGGTGTCCCTCCTCTTCTCCTTCCTGCCTTTCTTCTCTCTTCTTTGTTCTGCCTGCAGTGCTCTGTTCATTTCACAGCACTGCAGTCCTTGCGGACTGCACTTTTTGCCCTTGCCCTTGCCCTCTCTCACCTCCCCTCTTCTCTATTTGGGTTTGGCCAATCCTTGCCCATGATTATGATACGATCATTATGATTCATCTTCGACTTTTTCTCCTTTCAACCGCAAACGCAATGCATTGCGAGGCTACTAGTATCCTCCGCTTGACCCTTGACTAACCCCCGCATTTTTCCGGCATGCAGAATACGACGAACGGTCCCGCGACATCTTCGGCGACAATTACCCGAGGCTCCAGGCCTTGAAGGCGCGCTATGATCCGACAAACACATTCGATAAACTATTCCCCATCTCGCCTGCGCCGCTGGTGGCACAAGAGGGGTGAGCCGGAAATCAAAGGAGAAACCGAACAAAAAAGACTTTGGCCACGACCACGTCGGTATGGGAATATATCTCTGGCAGACAGACTACTCATAGATTTAAACCACGTCCTTCTGGACTGTAGACCTATTAGGTAGTATCACCACTACTGTCTCCAGTACTACTACTGCTGTCACCACCACCACCACCACCACCAGGAGTATCACTGTCATTGTCACCACCTTTCCATCCAACCGGCACCCCATCATCCGTAAACCTGGCCCACTCGAACCATCCACAACCATCACCCCCGTCCGGCTTGTTACCCACCTGACACATCCACATGTATCGGCCACGGTTGGCCTTTTGCCTCTGCACCGTTTTGAGCACACAAGGCACGCCGCAGCGGCATTTGGGCGTGTACTTGGGCCGGAACTCCTCGCGGTACCAGCGATAAGTGATGTTGATGCGTTTGTTGCCTGCACGAGGATGTGGTGTGATGGTCGGCGCAGGGGCGATACTGTGTTTCCATTCCTCCTGCATTTCAGCGTGCATTACCAGTAACGAGTTGTGCGGGAGGTGGATGGCGATCTGGCCGGAAACATCAGCGGCAGCTGACGATGAGGAACTCTTGTTCGATGATGACTTGAACGGGGATGTGGAATTCGAGACTGACGCTGCCGCCGCCGACGGAGCTGTTGAAGTTGATGGAGTAGTCCCCTCATCATCGTCCTTGGGCACGATCTTCCGAACGCGGAACTCTCGCGCAACACCTAGGCTCAAACTGCCTATCACGGCACGTGGCCCGAGGTACGAAAGCTGGTCTGAGTGATACCCGACGTGCTGGGAACCGCCGTCGTAGCAATTGACAAATGCCGCATTAGGTTGCCACGGCTTGGAAGTCTGATACTGCAACTTCTTGCCTCCCGGATAAGCATCGCGGATGCGCGTGGCGATTTCGTCATTGACGGCATCTCGAACGAGGTCGCTCACATGCCGCATCACAGGTAGGAGCTGACGGATATCTCCTATGTCATTGCCGTTGTAGTAATACTCGCTGCGTTGGCGGTGGATGTCGGCCAGACTGTCGACGTAGAAACATGCCGTGTGGGGCGATTTGACCACTTGGTCGAAGATCTTGAAACTAATGCTCTCGTAGCTGGGCACTTCGGCAAGCAGTTCGTCAAGCAGCGCGTTGGCGAGATCAGTAGGCAGGAAATTGTGGATGATGGAGCATGGCGTGTGTCGTGCAATGTCGTCCGGTGTGTACAGGTGTAGTGTCTTGCCCTTCCTCGTCAATGGTTTATTTATTCTTGAAGCCACTCCCGCCCTGCTCTTGTCTGCGTATGTGAAGGGTAGCGCGCTCTGCAGCCCCGGCGTCATCGAGATACCAAGAGAGCGTTTGGCCGCGGGTGACGTGGGCGTGCTCCCATTTGTCTTGATCGACTGTGCCAGCGTCTTGACAGCATCATCCACACAGCCTTCGCAGGTCAATAAGACTTCTAGTAGGTCTTCAGGTGGTCTGTTGGGATACAGGGATGAGAGGATTGCCAACTTGATGTCGGTCGATTCCTCTTCGTGTTCTGCTTGCTGTTCACCATCTTCGATTCTTGCTCGTGCGGCCGTGAAAGCGACAATGTCGGCGTCAGTCTGCGTGAGGGGCGAACTACGACGTCTCTTGCGGGATACGAAGGCGTCCATGGTCACCGTGTGTGGATTGTTCGTTCATGATCTCTCGACTGGAAGCCATTGCTACATGAAGAGCGACTGTTGGTGTTATGGCCAGCCGAGTCTGAACTTTTGTTGCTATTGAATTGGCGAGTCATGGACCGCAAGATGGAGATCAGTTGTTTGATAAATGACAGGCGGAAAAGTACGCGGGAAAGACGTCACGGTGCACGGTGGGCGCGTCACAGTATGCACGCACAGCGTTGTCGCTGACTCAGCATCGTAAATTGGAGGCCATCCTGGGCGGGTAAGGAAGATATGGGTATGCATCATATTCTCTTTTAGATTTGGGTATGTTGTTTTACAAGACTGTATCTGTGCCAGATTCTATAGCGTTGACATCGTTCTGTTCCATACTTTGTGAAAATCAGCGGCCTTCACTGTGATACTAATATGGTTATTATTCGTTCGGTGTCCCGGATTGGAGATTGTAGTACATAATACAGGCAATGCCAAACTCTGCATCGGCCTCTTCCTGCTATCCTGACTCTGCGCTAACAGGAGACCGAAAAAACACGGTTGTGCTCTATCAACATACAAGTAGTTGTGTACAAGTCCCCTCCTCGCTCAAGATAGTAACTCCGCAGGAAAGTCGACCTGCTGAGCCCACCTTGAAACCGTATTCCCAACCAGCAGTATGGCGGGCCGGATTGGTGTACATGGGACACGATGGCTATAGGGTGGTACTCGGCTGTCAAACAGCTGGGAAATCCGAAACGACCGTTGTGTCGTCTCTGAATAGGAGGGGAGTTGAAGAAGCCGAGACTTGGTAACAACGGACCTTCCAGATGTCGCCCGCTCTCTTCCAAAAGCTCAAGCTCTCCAACCGAGACCAACACAGCTTCCTAATAGCCGAGACTGCTGTCGACTGGCTCTTTGATTGTCATTGTAACGCACCTGCCTCAGGCTGACTGTATGTTGTTTCCGAGCACCCGTTTCCCTCCAAAATGCACAGCATCTACTGCGATTCGGGCGGAACATCGTCAGAGTTGGCAGGAGCCTCATTTCTCGGTGCCCTGTTCGAAGAGCTGAACGAATAGTCAACTCGTAATCTTCGACCGTAAATCTCTTTCTCCGACAGGACCTTCATGGCCTCCATAGCACTCTTGACGTCGATAAAGTCGGCATGGGCAAAGCCTCTGGGCTGTCCGGTGCGGCGATCGATGGCGACACGGACGTCGATCACGTTTCTGATTCCACGGAACAAGTTGCTGAGGTCACGATCCGTCATCTCAAAAGACATGTTACCAATGAAGAGCGTTTTGGATGGCGGGTTCATTGGGCGGCGGGTGGTGTTCGGAGTGTCCATCATACCGCTGCTGCGCGCGGCGTACTGGACGGTGATACGACGACCCTCAAACATTTGCATATTAAGAGCCTCGAGAGCAGCGTCCGCAGCCTCCTGCGTCGAGAAATCGACATAACCGAAACTGAATTCCATTAGTCTGAGATCAAGGTTCAATGGCGGAGGGATACCAACCCTTTGCTTAGACCTCGAGTATCGCGGACAATCTTGCATCTCGTCACGGTGCCGAAGCGAGCCATCTCTTTGACCAAGTCGGTTTCGGTCACATCGAAGAACAAGTTCCCAACATAAAGAGTCGGTTTGCGCTCAAACAATGCCGCATTCACCCCAGAGGGAGCTCTGCCCGTGGCTGACTGGTTAGGAGTCGACGAAGCAGCCACGCCCTCGTTGATCTCGGCGGCCGGCAGCGTCTCTTCACTTGCTTCTGTTGCGTTGGCGGTTTCTGCTACGGCTGGCGCCGAGTCCTTGGGTGCTCTGCCACTCCGAGGTAGGATTTTCTCATTGGTCTCAGCAGCCGGGATTGTCTCGTCCGTGGCTTCAGTCAGGTTGGCTGGTTCTGCCGCGGCGGGAGCTGAATCCCTGGCCACGTTTCCTCTATCAGCTGCGAGCTTTTCATTGGTCTCGGCAGCTGGAAGTGCTTCCTCAGTAGCCTCTGTCAGGTTGGCCGGCTCTGCAGCACCAGGAGCGGAGTCCCTAACAGCGCTTCTCTCCTTTTCGCTCTCGTTGGAAGCCCACCTCCGTTGGGACTGGAATGCGGTAGTCTTCGAGGCTATCCGCACGGAAGGCGCGCTGGTGGAAACGTATGTGCGGGTGGGTGTGATGAGAGAGGCTGATTGGGATGAGAGGAGGCGCGAGGCGCAACGGCGGATGGCAAACCTGAAGATCCGATTAGCATTGAGCAGGCGAAGCGAAGGGGCAGCAGATACTCACATCTTGAAATAAACTGGGTATTGTCTAGAAAATTGAAGAGATGGAAGGCACTTGCACGGAATTGAATCAATGTACAAAAGGATTGGAAAAGAGGAGATGAAGCTGTATCGCAACCACAAGTACCCAGGGTCCGTCAAGTTCAACCTGTTCCAGGAAAAAGTTCGAGGAGGGATCAGAGGAGTACACTAACTCAAAACAGTTAGATCGCTCGGTTGGAGCTCAGCCTTGTCCGCCAATAGCCTCGCAGCCAATCTGCGGCAGAAAGATGCCACTGGCATGTACACGGATAGCTGTACAATGCTGTATGTACCCAGGTGCTACTCTCTCGCGGCGCCCGGGTCTTGCCCAAGAGTGACTCAGGAAATATGATGGCTCTGTGTTGAAACCGTGCATCTCCACATCCATACATGTTCTATATTGCTTCAGTAAACATATCTGAAATACAAGTTTTCCTTGTCCGTCAAGTCGTCAAAGGCAACGCGTTCCGCCTCCTTTTCGTCGAGACTCAGCTTGTCTCTCTTTTGGTTCTCCGAACGAAGCAGGAAGGACAGAGCGACCGCTAGGACAATCACGAGAACGTAACAGCCGATGATGCCCTCCCATAACCTGGGATAATGCTGCCCGACGGTTTCATAGACGATGAAGAAAGGGGATGCGATGTTCCCGACAGTGTAAAAAACAAACGTCGCCGCCGCCATGTAGCTCTTCTTGGTGTTGCCGGCAACGTTAGCCATACCCATACTGACAGTCAAGCTGGTGACAGGGGCAAAGAACCCAATGATGGTGTAGCCGGCGATGGGTGCGGCCGCATGCTCGTACCAGCTGCTTTTCCATATCATGGCGCAGCCAGCAATGACAGGCAGGGAGCATGCAATCAGCATGATTAGCCGGACATTGGGCACCTTGAGGCTGAGGAAACCGGCAAGCAATATCCCCACGGTGCAAACTCCGCCCATGGGCATCTGCCACAAGAGCGAATCATACGCGGACCAACCGAACGTCGACACGATCAACGGGCCGAATCCCGACACGGCACCATTGACTGAGTATGCTGCACCCATCATGATCGCGATCATCCAGACTTTCAAGTCGAGCAACGCTTCTTTGAACTGCGACCATTTGATCTTCTGACATCTCACGCCCAATTGGCTCATGCGCAGCCTTTCAATCGCGACTCTGCGCTCTTCATCCGTGAACCACCATGCCTGTGCCGGCGAGTTCGGAAAGAACAGAAATATGCAACCGTACAGGACTGTGAGTGCCCCTGCCATCAGATACAGATACTGCCATTTCTTGAGGTCACCCCCTGTGATGTGAGCAAAGCCGTAATTGATCAAGGCCCCGATGACCGTCCATGCCCCGGTTGCGGAGTACCAGAGACACTGTCGCCATGTCTGCTCGGCCTGGGTGTAGAACCCGCTCACAATAACCATGAAAGATGTCGGCACAATTGACTCTGCGAAGCCCAGGAAGAACCGTTGTGCCCAGAGGCCCTTGTACGTTGTGACGCCGGCGGTTGACATGGCAATGACACCCCATGAGATCACTACCAGGCCCACCGTGCGGCCCAGGTGGAAGCGTTGAAACAAGTAAGTCAACGGGCCGACGCCGGCAAGCATGCCGAAATAGAACAACGAGGTCGCCCAGCTGAGGCGAGTGGTTGACACTTTCGGTGGTGTCGTGGTTGGGTCTGTGACCACTTTCAGGTGCAGATCGGTCACCATGCCAAAGACTGCTGCGCCACCCAGAATTGCCTGGAAATAGAGGTGGTGTCAGCATGGCTGGCTATCCTATTCCTTGCCATTTGCTGCCAACCGATACCCAGTCACGCAGGACCATGGGGCGTTTTAGGACATTAGATGGGGTAGATTCGGCTCACCTTATCATAGTAAACCAGTCCATAGCCAAAGAACATCAATGGGATCAAGGCCAAATCGATCTTGCGAACCACTCGGCGTTCCACCTCCTTGTCCCACGATTGGGCATATTCCGGCACTACCGAGGCAGCGAGATCTTTATCACCTATGCGAGCGAAAGTCATTATTGATCGATCAAGTCTGTTGAAAATAGGCAGCTCAACTCACTTGGCCTGCCCAACATCGCGCCTGCTTGCTCGAGGAAGCGAAGACAATGCACTCAGCCGTGTGATGCCGCTGTGTCTCGACTGATCTCAGCCTCTATGGCTATCGTCCAAGAAATAGGTCGCTTGGTCGTTACTATGTAGGCAAAAAAGACAAGGCTAGGTCGGGGAGCAAGTTTCTGCCCGGCAGGTCGATACAGTTGACCTGGGTAGCTAGCTCTATATCAATGGGCAAGCTATTCCAGTAGTACCTTAGATTTCCCAACAGCCAAGGGAAGAAAAAATACAGCTTTCAAGTTGGCCTATACAAGCCAATGCCCAGAGCCCGGTTCTCATGTTCTTGCTCTTGCGACCAAACAAGAGACTCAACATAGAGTCCTCACCCCACTTGGAGCTGGATCTGGCCTCATAAGGGTCTAGCAGGTCTCCAGTCGTCCCTCCAGTCGCCCAGCTGGCACGATGCCGTCCCGCCCTTTTCCATTTCAGGTTAGAATTGAAAACGTCTTCAGCAGCCAATGGGAAGAGACAAGGCTCGGTGCATAAGGGTCACCCATATCTTTGAGCGTGAGTGAACAAGGTGGTGCACACTATCAATTCTTGCGACTTGGACTGGAGGTATTCATTTAGAGGCTGATCATGAAAGCCCGGCCAAGATCTCATGCAAGCAACTACCGAGAAGTCATCCGGGGTGCAGACGAAATTTTGGGGCAGCATTCCCGTCGACACAATCGGGAGTAGAATCAAGCCGCTTTAACACACACGGCTTGGCGGGCCGCTGCAAGGCTCCGTGTCCGCGACTCGCGACTACTTCTACTTCGGTAGTACGACTACTCGACTACTAGTACATAAAATGTGATGCATTCAACTTCCATCGACCCCTCCACGAGATCAACCTCAAGAAAATGGCCAGTAGCCATGGAAGAACTCATCATCCCCTTGAACGCCACTCCTAAGGTCCAAAGCAGCATCCGCAAGTTTGAGAACCTCTCCCTTGCCGAATCTTCGTCATCAAGGCCGACGGATAGAAAACCCAAAGTGTCCGTGATCGATGAGGACTCCTCCAGTGAAGCCCAAAGCGAGCCCTTCACTCTCCGACCGTCGGTAGATTCCTCTCAGAGCTCGATTTCAGCGCAGTCAAATATCAGAAAGCATAAACGCCATGACTCAACTGCATTCATCCAGAAGTCCTATCTAGACAGGAGCACTTCGGAATCCCTCCCCAACGATGCACGTGAAATTCTGAAAAGTCAGCCTGATCGAGAAGACCTCGCAGCAGTCCTGCAATACCTCCAGTATGGTATTGATGGCAGGCACGACTTCAATGTGCGCCTTCCTGGTCCGAAAGCCTCACAGATCGTCAATGTTTTAGTTACGGTTACCGTCCCAGACCAGTGGCCGCACCTGCGCCGCTCCGACCTGGGACGGGCCGATACTCAGCTCAGAAACTCCCTGTTATCGTGTTTGACCAGTGTTGCCGGCGTGGGTGGCCTGCTCATGCAAATCAGACGGCTCTTTTCAACCACTCCAAACCATAAGAGTCCTATGCTCGAAAATCTCATCTCCGTGCTCTCATGTCTCCTTTCGGGAAACAGCGTACTGCGGGGTTTTCTGTATGACACGATAAAGTTGTTCAAAACCGAAACTCAGCGCCGGGTGTTCTGGCAAGAGGTAACCTCTCTTCTAGCCGGCAGCAAAGTGCTTACCACGATGGCACATGTGCTTACCACTCTTCTCAAAACTGGGGACCAATATGAGGGATATGCCTGGCTTGGGGATGGGCGGCAGTATTCTCAGTGGCTTGCCCGAAATATTTCAGCTGCTGCCATCGACCTACATGGGTCTCCCAACAGAGACGCTCAAGAGATGAGCATGCTCTGCCAAGTACTCAAACGCGGCCTCAGTCTTGGTTATCGCGGTATGGTCTTTGATACCTGCCCCTAGTGAGTTACCTACTGACTGGGATAGATGCTCTCGTGATCGAGCTTTATACCTCACTTCTCCTTGGAAAGCGAGCACTCTGGACGACCCTGCACAACTTGTTGCAGCCCCTGCCGGCATCTGTTCAGATGGGCCTTTTCGATTCCATCCTCCGTGATTTGGCGCGGAGATTCCTGCCAGACAGCATTGGACCTCTGACAGCCCGGGACCTGCACATCAACTCTTCTACAATCGCTGGGGTAGCAGCCATGATCAGGGGTCTAGTGCAGGCCAATAGTGTTCTGGAAGCACATGTCACTCACTGGCTGACCAGCACTAATGGAGAGTATGCCGACCTTGGACTTGACATTAGAAGAGCGGTGATTGCAAATCTAGCCACAAATCAAGGTATGCCCCTTCTGATCCATCCATGGTTGCGCCACTAATACTAGACAGACACGCTGCGAGAAATTCTGGAGAAAAGCTTGGAGCGTTTTGGCAGTAAGCTTCATGTTCAGCATGATCCGATTGTGCAGCAAGAGTGTAAGTGATCTCAGCAGCTATTCATTCGATTCTATCGGTCTCTCTCTGTCGTGGCAGAACCTGTGCTTATGTTTCTTTCCACTCTGCAGCCATCGCCCAGACGATACTACTCATTATTGGCTATATCGACCGGTTGAATCACCAGGCAGTTAAACAAGTCTCTGGCTCGGGCACATTCATACGTATGGTATCCACCCGCCTTTCCGCGTCGGTACCCCGTGCTCGGTTCTTGGGTATGATAGTGGCTGTGGCAGTTTCTAAGTTGGTGGACAAGCCTCAGAACGTCATGAACTTTGGAGTGGAGGAATTAGAAGGAGAAGAAGCGCAGCGATTGCTGGGTCTTGTCCACATTCAGGACAGAATTGGGACATTGGACGATTTACCGAAGACCGAACCCCAACGGGAAAAGATTCATCATATCATCAAGAGGACCAATCCCACCCATCCAAAACGAGTACCAGTTTCCGCTCAGCCTCATAGTTCGAAGATCATTGCTATTGAGGAAGTGTCGGAATCTGAAGATGCGACCTCGGATGAAGAAGAAGCCGGTCTTCGACCCTATGCAGCCCCAGACAGCGATCCCTCAGACTCGGAGGAAGATCCGACTCTCATCAACCGTAACAAGCCCGCTGCTCCAGTCTATATCACGTCGCTGATAAAGCAGCTCAATGTCACCGACGATCCATCTACGGTGGAGCTAGCTCTGAAAACTGCTCCAGCGCTGATCCGCCGAAAAGCTGATTTCGGCGATGAAGTATCTTCCAATCTTCTGCAGCTTGCCTCAACTCTTCTCAACCTCCAGGAAGGCATGTCGAAGCAAGAAATGTACCAATTGAGGCTTGAATCTCTGATAGCTTGTTTGATTGCCAAACCTGCCGTGATGGGCCCGTGGCTCGCAGGGATGTACTTCGAAGGAGACTTGGCAATTTCCCAGCGCGCGTCACTGTTAACGGCAATTGGTCTCGGCGCCAGAGAGCTCGCAGGGTTCGACGACGATAACGAGCAACAGCAGTCACTTCAAAAGCCGGAAGACGCATCGTTCCCTTCTAAAAGGCTTCCCTCGCATCTTGAAGGGACCTATGCCAAATCATCAATAGATGAGCTGTCAAACACTTTGTCCTATCGCACCCTGCAACCGATGGCCCTCGAAGCAGCGGACAAGCTTACAGGACCTAACGTCTTGAAAGTCCGGACCTTTTCATCGCGCATGGCTGTTGCAGCAAAACAAGCAGCCAAAGCCGAAGCTCGCTCGAAACGCATCCCAAAAGACCTTCACAAACTGCTGTGCGAGGGCATGTGCCTACCTCTCTGCTCGCGGATGACATTGCTGCTCTCTTCACTTTCCACTACACCGTATCTCTCCAATTCGGCGCTGTTGCAGCCCTCTCTGCTTAAGCTAGCGCTGCAGACTCTGATCGTCCTGGTCTCGACAATAGGCCCCAACGCACTTCAATTGCCAACACTGACGCACGAGTCTCTGCTACTCCTGACAGAGCTTCACACCATTCCGTCATTAGCGCATGACCCGATTATCTTGCCGCCAGCACTTCACCTACTGCTCACACTCTTGGACTTGAACGTCGAAGCCGGCCCCACAGCCGAAGAGCGCCTCGTAACCGATTCTGGGTCAATGGTGGCCGAGCTTGTTTCCTGGGCTTCGGGGCTGGGGAACCGTGAATCGATCACAGAAGTCGATGCTGATCCCGGGCTTGGGATGGCTATGCCCTGGCCAGTGCTGGTGGCAGGGATACAAGTCAAATGGCAGGAGATAGGAAGGAAGTTTCAAGGGCACATGCTGGGTTTGATGGCCAGTACTGACTTTGACACTTTCTAGCGGAAGACCGCGCTAGGGCGGCATTGGAGGCCGTGAAATCCAGTTCATGAAATGAGAAACCTCCCACGTAGTTCTACCCATGACACTTTACTAGGGATACCTGCCGGTGGCACTGGAGTCAAATACAAGGATACGATAACGGCCTGTTCTCAGGTAGTAGAAATCCAGTAGTGGCGGGCCAACACCCGTGCATGCACTCATCAAATTGAGCGTGTTGGTTATGAATAGTTCAGAGGACCGTCAGCGGCTGTTCACACTCAAATTCTGTTCACGAATCTTTGTCGCCAAGAATCTCACAAGGCTGAGCTGTCGCAAGGCTGAGCTGACCTCATCCGAATCTAGCAGTGTGTGCAGGATGGATCCCTTCCAAGGTTCCTTTTCTCTTCAACATTCCCGTCCCCTTCCTTATCCGAGTATCCGCGGTATAAGAAGCGTCATTACAGTAGTCGCGAAGATACTCTTCCAGGCTTAAATTGATGCTCACCTAAATATATGATTAACCAGCTCTGCGACTGCGTTTAGACCTAGGATTCATTCGTTTGTGCCTATCCATTATCAGCATGTCAATACCTATATCTTCACTTCTTACCAACGGCATTGCCGGGCCGGCGCGTGAACGATGGTAAGATAATGCAGACTTTTCCAGAGGAGTCCCGGACATCTGACAACCATAAAGGGCATATTTGGACAAGGTGTTATCCACAACGTCTCCATACGCGGGAGAAGAGTTTGTCCCTGGGGAAGAAACAATCAACGCACTGGAATCATCCAGGGTACTGGTGATTGGCGCAGGAGGACTAGGATGTGAGATCTTAAAGAATTTGGCATTGTCAGGGTTCAAGGACATTCATGTGATCGACATGGACACCATTGACGTCTCCAACCTCAACCGACAGTTTCTTTTCCGAGAATCAGATGTGGGCAAGTACAAAGCCGAAGTGGCCGCGGCATTTGTTGAACGGCGGGTCCCAGGAGTCACCATCACGCCGTATAACGGGAAGATACAGGATAAGGACGAAGAGTACTACATGCAATTCAAGCTCGTGATCTGCGGACTCGACAGCATCGAAGCCCGACGCTGGATCAACGCCACCCTGGTCGATATGGTCGACATGGAAAACCCGGAATCCCTAAAACCGCTGATCGACGGCGGCACCGAAGGTTTCAAGGGCCAGGCTCGTGTCATCTTGCCCACACTCACGTCTTGCATCGAATGCCAGCTCTCGATGCACGCACCCCGCGCCGCCGTGCCACTATGTACCCTCGCCACGATTCCACGCCAGCCGCAGCACTGTATTGAGTGGGCGCACATTATTGCCTGGGAAGAACAGCGCAAAGGCGAACCCTTGGATACTGATGATCCGGAGCATATCTCGTGGCTGTATAATACAGCACTTGCGCGGGCGAAAGAGTTCAATATCCAGGGCGTGACGTACTCAATGACCCAGGGCGTCGTCAAGAATATCATCCCTGCAATAGCCTCGACCAACGCCATCATCGCCGCCGCCTGTTGCAACGAGGCCCTTAAGATCGCCACCTCGTGTGCACCCTTCCTGGAAAATTACATGATGTATACGGGTGATTCGGAAGATTCAGGACTCTACACGTACACGTTTGCCGCGGAGAAAAAGGACGACTGCCCTGTCTGTGGAAACCTCGCGCAGAATATTACTGTTGATCCGGACACGACGCTCGAGGATTTCCTTGCCAGCTTGGCCGAACGCGCCGAGGCGCAGTTGAAAAAGCCTAGTATTCGAACAGAGTCGAAGACGCTTTATGTCCAAGCGCCCAAGAGCCTGGAAGAACAGACCCGGCCGAATTTGCGCAAGAAGTTGAGGGATCTGGTTAGTGATGGCGAGGAAGTCGGGGTTTCGGATGCGGCATACCAGATCTCTTTCAAGTTCAGGCTGGTGTTTCAGAAGTAAGAGTCATACTGGGAGGCCGAGTGATGATATAGCCATCGCTGGCTCTTCAGCCCAAGGCAATGCAATGCACTACACAATATCAACAATGGGAAAATCAAAAAGCCGACACGAAGTGATGTGATGGTAAAACAGCACTTTTTAGCTTGCCATGCCATTTGAGGTACCTCTCTACATCCACACCACTAACACCTTGCAGATGCCATAAGAAAACGCCGATCCTTGCAACCAAATACATTTCCCGGTGTCATTACAATGGACTGTGTCATTGACCGATCCCCTCTTTACTTCTCCATCTCGTCAAGCGCTCGGAGCAGCCTTTTGGCCTTGTACTTGAGAACATTGACACTCTCCAAGAAAAGCATGTCGCTAGGAAACTGCCCTGTACTCTCGACATTGAAGATGAAGTGGTCCTGCACCCGGCCCAGCTTGACCTTGTCCTTGAATTCGTCATGCCGCAAGCACTCTCGCGACACGGTGTCGCGCATGGGATCTTTGACCACGGCCTTTTCGTCGCCTTCGCGCCCGTGATAGGCAGGATTATCGGACGCGGCATCAGATGGAGTCACGCGATCCAGGTCAATGACTCCAGGCGGGAAACATTTCTGAAATTTTCTCGCATCGGCTCCCAGGATGGGCTTTGTGATGGTGATGGTCGGCATCAGCCGATACGTTGCGGTTGCGACAGGACTGAACTTGGCGTGGTCGGCCCCGATCCCAAGGTGCGCGTGTAAAACCATATCGATCTCTTGGCCAGGCCGTAACTTTGCGATCAGAATGTCCGGGCTGACCGGTTCGATGGGTCCGTCCTTGAATCTCTCCTGTTGTTGACCCTGCGGCTCCCACTGGATATGCCGCGAGTAGACGGTGCTGTTGATGTATTTCTCTTCGGGTTCCGTGGCGTTTTTGTCTGCGTGTGGGTTGCGCTCGCATCGAACGTGCAAATGCAAAACAACGGTGTTGTAGTCTGCCCGTCCCGTCCCTTCAAAGCCGAACTCTGGGTTTGAATCGATAAACCATTTCAGCCATTTGAGACCCTCTATGTTGCCCTTCAGAGGAATTAAACCTAGTCGGTGAGCTAGCACTTCGTCCGCAATCACCGAGGTGTTGTTCTGGACGTAGACCTTCTCTATGGCGAGCGTAGGGACTTCCGCGATCAGGATGCGGCGGAATGCGTTCGCAATGGCGGCGTCGACCCCGATGAGGGAAAAGGTTGCTTCATCCGCCTCATTCTGGTGGAACTGGACTTTCAGATTGTCCTTGAACTTCGGAAGAGACCAGGAATTGTCTTCACCGGCGTGGTGGCCTGGGAAGTCGGTGGAGGTGATGTTTGTCACGGTTTCGGGATTGATGCCCACAAGCTGGGAACTTGTCAGACCATGCAGACAGCTACCCCTGATAGGATTGTCTGCTTACCTTCCGCCTATCTAGGCCATTCTGTGTTGGCTTCGTGGAAGCCATGGCGTTGTTTAAAACTGCAATGGTTTCTTGCTCTGCGAAAAAAAGAATGCGACAATGTCTCTCGTAACTTCAACTTTTGCCTTTCTCCAAAAACTTGAGCGGGGACTCGGAGGATTGCTGCGGACAGAATTATGTAAGCATTTGCATCCAATCAGCGATGTCCTGATTCGTGACCGCGCTAGCCATTCCCGAAGCTGTGAATTGATTGACCTCACTACTATTCAACTAAACTGCACGTTGCGTCGACGGCAAACTCACAGCAGACATCAAGCTTGCCGTTGGCTTCAAAGGGGTTACCAGCAGAGCAGGCTTGAGCCATCATCTTTGTTGCCTTCAGCTGGCCTTGCGCCGACCTCTGCACAATGGCCGCGTCGTTTGTGCGAGCCGCCGCGGGCAGGCACTCCCACTCCGCCAAAAGACTTTGCCTTCGAACCGTCTCACGACAATCACCGCTCTTTTCTCGTTCCTCCCGCACGATCTCGACGACATCCATCCGGAATGGCAACGTATTCGAAAACACCTCTCCAGACCCAGAGGCGCCGCTAGGCCCTCTGGGGATGACCATGAGTCCGACCGACGCCAGTTTCAGCAAACACGTCCCCGAGGCAGCGAGTTTGGGCGAGGACTACCAACCGAGGAAGATCCGCCACTATACCGTCAATTTCGGACCTCAGCATCCCGCCGCGCACGGAGTGTTGCGACTGATTCTCGAACTGAACGGAGAAGAAATCATCCGAGCGGATCCTCATGTCGGATTGCTGCACCGTGGAACAGAAAAACTGATTGAATACAAGACATATCTACAAGCTCTGCCATACTTTGATCGTTTCGACTATGTCTCCATGATGACCAACGAGCAAGTGTATTGTCTTGCAGTCGAGAAGCTCCTCAACATTGAAATCCCCGAACGAGCAAAGTGGATTCGGACAATGTTTGCGGAAATCACCCGAATTCTGAACCACTTGATGTCCGTCCTTTCCCATGCAATGGATGTTGGTGCTTTGACTCCTTTCCTGTGGGGATTCGAGGAGCGAGAAAAGCTGATGGTATGTAATTTTCCCCTCGCATTCCCATTCCTGTATACTGATATCCGCGCAACAGGAATTCTATGAGCGAGTCTCCGGTGCACGACTTCACGCTGGATACGTCCGTCCCGGCGGTGTCAAGGCAGACCTGCCATTGGGTCTATTGGACGACATCTACGCCTGGGCCACGCAATTCGGCGACCGGATCGATGAAACAGAGGAACTCCTCACCGACAACAGAATCTGGATCGGAAGAACCAAAGGCGTCGGTGTCGTTTCTGCTGCCGATGCCCTCAACTACGGCTTCTCCGGTGTCATGCTTCGCGGCTCCGGTGTCCCCTGGGATATTCGGAAGAGCCAGCCGTACGAGGTTTATGACAAGGTCGAGTTCGACGTCCCCGTCGGTCAGAACGGTGACTGTTACGACCGTTACCTCTGTCGTATGGAGGAGTTCCGTCAGTCGCTGCGCATCATTCATCAATGCTTGGACAAGATGCCCCCCGGCCCCGTCAAGGTCGAAGACTACAAGATCGCCCCGCCTCCTCGTGCTGCCATGAAGGAGAACATGGAGGCCCTTATCCACCACTTCTTGCTTTTCACAAAGGGCTATACCGTGCCCCCGGGCGACACCTACACTGCCATTGAAGCCCCCAAGGGAGAGATGGGTGTTTACCTCGTCAGTGATGGAAGTGAACGTCCTTATCGGTGCAAAGTTCGCGCTCCTGGCTTCGCTCATCTCAGCTGTTTCGACCAGATTAGCCGTGGTCATCTTCTCGCCGATGCGGTCGCCATAATTGGCACAATGGATCTTGTATTTGGCGAGGTCGACAGGTGATCCTGTACTGTAGCAGAGGAAGAAGAAGCTGTTTTCGAGTTCAAATAGTTGCAATACGATTGAAAAAAGTGAAAAAATGATACCTAGGTATCCTGGTGTCACAGTTGGTACATGTGAGACGCTCCAGTAAGAAGTGGTGCGCGTGACTCAGCCTTGTGCATATCAAGGCTTGGCACGGAGAGGAGAGCCTCGCGCCTACATACCTAGTACTAGTCCTAGCACCGAGCACTCGCTCTCCTTGAGACTCTGTCTTTGAATTCATGTCATACCTTGCACATACGTCTTGTTCCGTACGTCGTGGCAGTGCTCCGTGATACCTGGACCAAGCAAATGGCGTTGTCGACATCACAAAAACTCCTTGTAGCATACCTATGAACTCCAACGAGACGCCTGGAGCAATACCACGGCGTACTCCCGGGGGAGACAGACGACGTACTGGAGCAACAAGGGCCAGCAGCGGAGGTTAGGAGTCAGGAGGACCCCCGGTAGATAGACAGACAGATAGGGTTGAGACCTACATAGACCCGGCAGGGACTAGATTAGGTATGAGAAGCACTAACTATCTAACTCCCATTGCATTAGTGCTGTCAAGGAGAGGACTTGGGAAGAGCTGATCGCAGGACGAGGTAGTCATTCAACGTCCGAGCAAGAGATCAGAAGCACTGCACGAAAGCTTCTGAAAGACAGAGATAGGGGGATGGTTCTTTATTGGAAGGTCTTTCTAGGTACTCTACACCAGGAGATATAGTCTACTCCAGGAGAAATAACCTCACGTACGAGGTTGGATGAATAAAGAATCGAAAGAGACTGTCGCACAGGATCTTGGCACATGTAGAAGGCCATCCACTGAGCTGTACTCCAATGGAATACTACCCTTCCGCAAAACCGGGCGTTGATAGGCGCTTGCTAACGCTACATGAGTAGAAGCAAAGTTGATAACAGGACCAGTAAAGGAAAGGTCAACGTCGAAACAGACACGTTCTGGCTCTGCTTCCATGGTCTCTCTCCGTCAAGCAGATAGACGCATTGAATGGACCTGTTCATCGTAGGCCACTAGGGGCGGATTTCCACCCGCTGATGAGAGTATCGTTCTGCCCTCTCAGTAAGAAACATCGTATCGGCGCATACCTAGGTAAACAGCGTCTTCTTGACTTTGGCCGTCACAGCTGAAGAACTTGTTCCGAAGGCAAACCCACAGCCTTGCTCATTTGGATCCCGAAAAGCTCTTTCTTCGTTCGTGTTCTTTCGTAACCTCGGCGACCAGCCTGTCGGTTTGTTCCTTGTCCTTCATTTCCCTCACCTTGGCAAGGACCACCTCCCGGAAAATAGCACTCTTTGCGGCATTGCTTAGATGTCTCTTTTCGGGGGCATCGCTTGTTGAGAGACCTCGGCCGGGCGATACGCCACGGATTTGGTTCTTGACCGCCAAGCCGGCCGCGTTCTGGGCATTTGCAGGAATGTCATTGACATCTGGGGAGTGAGGATCTTCGTCGTCGAGCACCCTGAGAGCCTCGATTCGGTTGGCGAGTTTCACGAGCTCGATGCCGCGCTTCAACTTCATCTTGGCCAAGTATGATCTGATCTCTGGCAGCAGATCGTGTTCTGAAGCGGTCTCGCCGGTCAACCAGATGTGCTTGAGTGCTTCTTTACTCGTGGCGCGGCGTTTGGGGTCTGGTTGTAGAAGAGTCATGATGAAGTCCTTGGCGTCCTTGCTGACATCCTTCCAGTATCTTTCGTGGAAGATGATACGACCATTCTTGCATTCTTCGATGAGGTCCGCGAGAGTCTCGGATCGGAAAGGCGAGTAGCCGCAGAGGAGGGTGTAAGTGATGACCCCCAAAGACCACATGTCGACGGGTTTGCCGTGTCCCTGCTTAAGCATAACCTCTGGAGCGGCATAGCCAAATGACCCTGCCATCGAGGTCAAAACCGCACTTGGGCCATCAAGAGCTTTTGCGATGCCAAAGTCCGCAAGAACTAGCGGCGAGTCGGGGTCTTTCGTCAGATAGAGAAGGTTTTCAGGTTTCAGGTCTGGAAATGACCCGTCGTCAGTATGAGCCTAGAAGTGTGGATGCTCTAACCCTCACCTCTGTGGACAATGTTCCGTTCGTGAAGATAGTCTACCGCCTCGAGGACTTGTTTGATCGTCTGGGAGGCATCCTTCTCTGTAAACTTGCCCTTATCACAGATCCGATCGAACAGCTCACCCCCGGTAGCAAGCTGGGTCACAATGTAGAACTTGTCCTGCGCCCGAGTTAGTTGGCAAGACGTTAAGACCGGAAAGAAAGCCTCAACACACTCTTGATTCGAACCAGTCCACGAACTTGACGATGTGAGGATGGTCAAGCGTTTGGAGCATCTTCAACTCATCGTATACCATCTGTTCGTTGCCCTTAACGCTCTTTTTGAGGATGATCTTGACAGCAACCTTCTCTCCATTGACTTCTGCTTCTCGAACGATGCCATATGTGCCTGCTCCAAGCGTCTTTCCAAAGCGATACTGGGCTTTCTTTTCGTAACTTTCGGGCTGGCCTTGCAGCTTATTCAACATGCCGGTTACTGAAATCCAATATGGTCAGCATTGGACTCGGGGAGCTCGCACGTCGGAAACAGCCTCAGCCATAATGGCCAAGTAAATCAGACAGAGACGACCAGCTGAACTTACAACTCATGGTTGCGGCTGGCCAACGCAGTGCCTGCGTCCTCTCACCGGCCACTGCACGTTCCCAAGGATTTCGGTTCACGACCTCTTGTTACAAGGCCAAAGAGCAATATGTGCTTGTTCACGGAGTCAAGGCCAAAAAAGAATCGCCTGAGCAGCAGAGCTTCGTCTTAAACTCTTTGCGAAAGTGTTGACAACACAGCAGCCGCACGTAGTAGGGGATCCAGTCAGGTTGCGGGGTAAATTCGAGGCAGACAGCGAAGGGAGACCGGCTTGCAACACTGCGGTGCAGTGGGCGACAGGGATAAGATTAGGAAAGGCAAGCGCGAGAGACGGAAGGAGCTGAGCGAGAGTTACAGAATACTGAGGCTGAAGATGTTCGGGACAAGGAAAGCAGTGCTACGGCGGAAATGGGCAATTTGTTGGTATCCAGCTCAGGCTGGAGACTGGAGTCACTAAAAGTCATTGGCACCCGCGATCCGTAAGTTGTTGCTTTTTTGGGGGCCGCGTTTTGTGGCGGAGCATGTGGCTCAGCTGGAGATGGCTCTACGACTACACAACCAGCTGAACCAGGCGTTTGCCCTCCCGTTTCATGTCTATCTACCTAGTGTGATATGTGGACACCGATATTATTTCGCGTGCGCCCAGTTTGGAAGTCACTGCTCAATCATCGGATAAACCCTCAGAGAGTTGCCGAGATACAACCAAAAACCAAGTCATGATTTAACTGTTGTATGGTACACAGTAGGTACACATACCTACTCACATGTCTCTTCCTGTCCTTCCTCCCGCAGGCCGGGGTTGCTCCAGTTCGTCAAGTCGTTCAGATTATCAGATATTGAACATCAAGCTTCTGATCGCGTCAACGCAGTAAGACCTGTTATCTTTCGGCCCTCCCAACCGGTCCCTTTCCATCACATTAATAATACCCGCCTTTATCCTCAGATCTGTCTCCCGAACCATCCAGGGAGTGATGGGGTTTAGCCTAGCCTTGCAATAGGCCTCTCCATCTGATATGGTTTTCTTCCAGCTTCCAGCTTCTCCTGCCATTCTTCTTGTTTCTACATATCGTAATCGTACAACGGCGGTACCGGGAGGATTGTTATAGCGTAGCAACGTGCGAGTGCCCCGACCTAGCCGGTGGTTTGTTATCAAGTCTCTTCATGGTTGGTCAGGCGAAGAGATGGACCATTCTTGTTTGACGCGGATGGTGTTGGTGGCACGTGTGGTGTCGAAGCTGACGTTGTCGTCGTGATCATGGCTGGCTTGGCTTTCCACCTTTGGAACATGAGAAAGCTCCACGACACTGTCGTTGCGGTAGTAGGCAGCTCCGCGAGGGTACGGATCGGAGGTGTTGCCGCGACGACTGGTCCCGAGGAGGCGTGGGAAGATCAAGTTGATGACGGGCCGCATGGCGGGGATACAGGCGCACATGATGCCGACGTTCAATTCGGCCGATGACCATGTCGCAGCGTCGACGTTGTCGTGGGTCAGGTCGGATGATGTGCTGCTGATGTAGAGTGCATGGAGCCGGAGAATGGAAGTGATACACCCACTTTGCGGTGCCACCGTTAGCCCTGCCCACGGATATATGTAATGTATAGAGTCTGGTTTGGGCGGGAGGGAGACGACTCACAATCCTCCTAGCGCAAAAACCACAATCAGCGTCATCTTCTGCTTTCGGGGAAGCTGGAGCCTTTTCAGAACAGGCATCGGCAGCACCAAGATGGCCAAATCGGTGGCTATGTGTAGGGCGGACACGCAGAACCAGAAGGCGATCAGGTTGATGCAATGACCGCTCTGCACTGTCTTGTCCCAGAAAAAGGCAATTGGCCAGCAGGAAAAGCTAGATGTCAAAAGCATTGCCAACCCCGCGACCACGATGAAGACGATCAAAAACCAGGCGGCGGTGCGGAAAGATTTCTGCACGAAGAATCGTAGATATTGGTACAGGATCGAGATCTTAACCAGGAAAAGTCCCAAGTTGTAGACGAGAATGCTGGCGTAGAGTAGCTGTGCTTTTATGTCAGCCGGCCGCTGATGCGCAAGAGCATTTCTGTGGCTCAGAAATAGTACACACTTTGGACAAATCCTTCTGGTCTTTATCGCTGACTGTCCAGGAATGCCGACCTAGACCGTGTTCCTTTTCTAGAAGGAGGCAATGTCAGCTTCTTCGTGTGGCGGTAACCTCCCGCAGATGGACTTACGTAGGCCTATAATCACCGTGAGGCCGAACGACAAGACCAGGGCAAATACGATGAGGCCATCCTCCAGTCCGGCTCTCCTTATCACTACAAATCGAGAGATGCAACGAAGGATGATAAACAAGAACGCCAGCGCGTTGAACACCGTCGCTGTCACCACAGCTTGCATGCCACGTTCGAGCCCCATGGTGTATTCGAGATGTCGCCACAATGGTAGCCACGGTAATGTCAAGCAGCAACAGTCAATGTTCATGGACCAGGCACAGCCTGAGCAAAGCCTAACGGATGTTTGTGGAGTGGTGTGAGCAGGAGGTGGGCGCAAGATATGAGTCTGAAGATTAACTCGCTTGTCGTGCCCCAGGCCAGGGTGCCTGGCCCCCTTCCACCTCATCACTTTAGGATGGGCAGAATATTCTTTCTCGCTCGCAGCATGGCACTCCCTGACCCTGGCGGCATTGTGGGACTGGGGAATGGTCAAAAATTGGACAACATTTGCGTCAGTTGGGGCAGAAAAGAAGCGAGAAGTAAATCAATCTGGGGTATGCGGGCCCCATTGATCTGGCGTGCGCCTGCCGACGGGAAAGGACGAGCAACGGAAATGGAAGTGAAACGATCATGAGAAGCAGAACAGACCAGGTTCGGACGAGAGAACGAGGTACCTAGAAAGCGGGTGGATTGGCTTCCCCGGTTAGCTCTTCATACACCGTAAGGCACCAAGGCCCCACAGGAACAAACCTGGCGCAGAAATGGTCGCACGCTGGGGCTCATTCTCGAGCTACATCAAAAAGCGTGCTGGTGATTTATACAGTGTACTAAATTAGCTGCTCATTCTGAAACACAGCAAAGTCTTGCCATGAAGGACATACCAACCGAGCAGTGCGAGGTCGATCGACCCCCAGAATAACAAGCCCGCTTCCCCGATACTGTAAGTCAAATACCATGAACTGAGCAGGGACGGCACGCAGTCTTCATACCACACATAGACTGTAGCCAAAGGCTTTGATAAGAGTTAAAGGGGTTTGCCAGTAAGGTTAGAGCCGGCCTGTCTACCGGTAGTCAGGCCCTGGTGTCGCGTTGAGCCGGGCCTTTCCAGGAACGTGTACACCTGCAGCTTACCATCATCATGGACGAAGCTCCAGCTCAGGGAAAGGACTCGGCTATTCCGACTAGTACTTGCTAATCCGAATCCGTGTCGAGAATGGAAAGATCGGCCACACGGAGGAGGCGTTGTTAGTGCGGCGGTGAGCGGGACGCGAACATCGTAGAAGCAGCACCAAAGCCCTGGCCGGAGCAAATCCAGTAGTAGTGGGGATTCTCGAGCCTGGAATGAGTACATGGATGGCCTCAAGTACCAAGTTGTTGATGTGCGATTCGGCTCGCAAGCACATCCAACAACCTACCGAGAATATTATTGGACCATTATTGAAACCCGCAGTCAATCTAGAGGTATGCCTTTGAGTGATGGGGAAGACGCCGTTTTTCCAAAGGGTGGGAAGGATGCTTTGCTCAGCCTCCCGCTTGTCGGGCAGCTCACCAACATTTTTCTCTACCTCAACGATTCCGTGCCTGACCAGTGACCCTGCTCACCAGTTTGTAGCTGGCCTAGGGAAGATCTGCAGGGGACTTTTCGAGAGGAGTGTCAGACCACCACTGGCAGTGTGAGAGGCTGGCTGATGAACGTAGGAAACGACGACGGAGTTTTCTAGTCTCACTGGCACGGCGCAGACGACCAGCGGCCGATAAAGGGCAATCCGAAAAGCTAGACAATAGCCCCTTCGGCAACATGGACCGAACGACAAGATGTGATGCCCATGAGGAGCAACGGGGCCAACTGGGCGCTGGTAGACGGTTAGCGCAGAAGATATAGTTACACTGGTGGTGGTAGAACATATGTGGTAGCAAACAATAAGACGGTGGTTTAAGGTGACGAGAGATGAAGAAAGATGCAGTGCAGGCGGTCAATGCCAATGGCGCCTTCATCCAATTACGGGCCAAAGGAGCCAAGGCTGCGGTGGGGCAAAGGGGACTTCCTCTCATGGTCTGGACTTCCTACATACTATCACCAAATATTGTACGGTACTTTCACCTCTCTATTGGGACCTCGATACGCATCCTAAACCATCCTATTACACTCGATTAACTACCAGGTACCTACTAGTAAGGTCTCGTTGCCGAGTTGGGTACTTGGTCCTCTCACGCGAGCTGCTCCATTGAACCGTAATCACACCCTTCGTGGGCTCATTCGACAATCAGTCCGCGCTTAAAACAAGCGCCCATTAGCGGTGCTCGAACGTAGACCGCCGCTTGAGACTCAAAAACGAGAGGAAGACATCCCTCGTGCAAAAAGACCGGCAATCACCCGGGAGGCTCCACTGATGGAAAGCACAAGGTTCTCCATGATCGCCATGATCCACAGGCACAGAGATGGGGTCAACTTGAAAGTAAAGACCTTGAAGACGGCCATAACTGATCGGCTACATGCAAGGCGACTTCTGTCGTGCGAGGTCTCACATTTCGAGGCTTCTCGAGTTTAGTTTTACTGATGAGTTCCAAAAGGGACGGAAATGCTGCAGTAGGCGGCATGCAACAGACGAGCTCAAACCGATTGTGTGTCGTGTTAGCACAATTTGAGAACGGAACACACGACGCCGCTGCGTGGATCGGCAACTGAGGCAGTGACCCCAACCTCTCAACGCAGCTTCTTTGTACGAACTGGAAGGGAAGCAGCGCTCACTGGCTTGGAATTCAGAGAAGTTATTAGGCGATTCACCTGTGCATAGCTGAGGTATGCACCTTGCTCTCGAAAACGATAGCGACTGCAGCGAGAGCAGTGAGCCACTCTCTTTTCCCTCGTCTAAGATAGCACGGCAGTGTGTGTACCATTCACCTTCCGCCTCGTGTATACCGCTGACCTGTCCTCTCCTTCACCAAACCACGCCGGTGGACCATCATCAGTCTTCCACTCGCTTTGCATCCTCGTGGTCTTCTGCAGAGACGAGGGCGCCCTTATCGCTGGACCTTGAGATCATCCTCGCTTGGAGCCTTCTGCCGCCTCGCTTCCGGAACACACGACGGCATTGGTGTCTTTGAATTTGCACATTCACCCTGGAAAGTCTGTGACGGACCCCATCTCACGGCATGTTACGGAGCGTCAATCGAACTTGGAGAAAACAACATTCCAGGATTCAGTCGGGAAGTTCGTTGCAGTTGAACTCGACTTGCCGCCCCCACGCTATGTGGTTGGAGAAACTGAATCTGAGACGATCGGTAGAAGTGACGTCTTACAGTAGAAATCCTGCATACCCACGTTCCTATCCAGCCTACATACCTGCATTCACTAACGCCAAGCTCACAAATTGAATGCCGCCTAACCAAATAGAAGTGATTGATTTGAAGAAACTCCTCAATGGACAGGCATGACCACGTCGAAAGCACCCGTGCCGATATTCCCTCTGCGCCCAGCAACAATTCTGGCACTCGGCCCCAGCAAAGGGTCGCTTTCACCGAAGAGCACCGCATCCTTGAGGAAGCCCATGACCGTCTCGAAACTCATTTTAGCGAGCACGCTACCCCCTTCTCTGACCAGACCATGTCGACTGAAGGGCTGGTATGAGCCCGAGTTGGTCATGGCATCACCGATGAGGTTCAGATGTCGCATGTCAACGGTAATGCCGTGGCCCTTGAAGACGCCATCGATTTCCTTGATGATGGTCATGCGGGCTGCTTCAACTCCGTAATACTTGAGCATGTCGTGCACCGAGTTCGTGTACAGCGAATGAGGATAGATCTGGTCCTGGTAGTCGCGCATGGCCAGGAGGTTGACACCTTCCGTGGTGATCACCGGCTCCTTGACCGACTCTTCTTGTCCCGTCTCCTCGTTAATCCGCTTGACAGGCTTCCCATCAGGACCCTGCACCTCTTCCATGAATTGCGTGCACACACCCAGGCCAGGAATCGACTGAATCACTGCTGCGTGAGCACATTTCTCCAGGATCGGCAGGAGCAATAGTTTCGGAGTGTTGGAGTCGTAACTCAACACAATGCGGCACGATTTGCCTTCATTCCGAGCAAAGTTGAACCGTTTGAGATGGGGCAGGTCGGCCTTGAGCTTGGTTTGGCGTGCCTCTTCTTCCGAGTCCACGTCTTCAGCCTCGTCATCCTCTGCCTCATCATCTGGATCTTGTTCACGCAGTGTCTGCGGCGCTTTAGGAGCGCGCCGTGCCTTCTTGGGCTTCTTCGACGGCGTATCCGCCTCTTCATCACTGCTTAAGGCTTCGTCACCGGACTCATTGGCGATGCCCTGTTCTTCATCGTCAGGTTCATCATATGTGTCCTCCCGTCTACGTCTGGCCGCGGCATCCTTGGCATCATCTGGATCAGCATCCTCGTCGATGTCGTCTTCCCCGCCTTCTCTCTCCGTACTCCGGCTTCCGGTTGGTCGAGCTTCTTCGACCACACCAACTGAAACGCCGACAGCAGGGACCGCTGCAGTAGTCTCCGACAACGAAGCCTCTCGGGCCTTCTTCTTGAACTCATCCTTGATCATTTTGTCAAGGCGAGGCAAAAATCTCTTCTCGAAACACCGCAGAACGTCGGCACGTTGAATGGCATACTCCTCTTCGTACTCTGCCGGATCATATAGCTCGATACGAATATCGTAGATCTTCTCATGCTCGTGACCAGCACCACCACCGGCTCGTTCTGTCACTGAAAGTGTATTGATGACATGCGCCAATGATAGCCGGCTGATACTCTTTGCAAACCGCTCGCCCTCTGCCGCTGTCAGCTCTTCGATAGGCTTCAGTGTCATCGTTGGCGTCATGATCTTAGCGCTCGCCGTCATAATGATTTCTCGCAACCGAGGAATACCAAGCGTGACGTTTTTCGCCGAGTGTCCTGCCAAATGGAAAGTGTTCAATGTCATCTGAGTAGACGGCTCACCCACAGACTGAGCCGCGACGACCCCAACCGCCTCACCGGCATCCACAATTGACTTCATGTACTTCAGGTCCATGACAGACTGGAAGGTCTTCTTGCTGACAATGCCACCAGGGTTGGTCTTCTTGTCCCTGATAAGCTTGTGAGGGTTTTCTTTGATATAGGCGCTCAGAGCTGTGGCAAAAGATTCAGATGTGCTGCCAAAATGACTGGCAGGGGTGAAAAGAGCTGTCAAGGGATCCTTCGCCTTGCCCTTCTTTGTGGACTTAATGATGGCCTTTTGTTCATCAGCCAGACCTTGGTTGGGGATTCTCGAAAGCACCTCTTCCGCCTTCATCAGAGTTGCCACAGATTGGTGATTCTCGGCCAAGAACGTAAACTCCTTCAGATGTTTTTGTTTCGTGATTTCAAGACCATCTTCGCCGTAGAGGAACTGTATGACATTGCCATTTGAACTTTCCCGCACTGACGTGTCATACTCAGTACGGAGTCCTTCGAGTCCTTTGACGATGCAACGTTGTAGATAACCGGATTTCGACGTCTTGACTGCAGTATCAATAAGACCCTCTCGGCCCGACATTGCGTGGAAGAAGTACTCTTGGGGACGTATACCAGTCAAAAACCGACCACACACGTATCCACCAGCGACAGGGTCGGTCTCATATGCACGGAACGAGGGGAGAGTTTTGCCGCTGACCATGACAGGCACACGTCGTCCCTCCAGCACCTGTTGACCAAGATTGCAGGAAATAAGGTTTGCATTGACACTTGAACCTTTCGCACCTGAAATCGTCATGGCCTGCATCTGATTGCGTGGGAACGGTTTTCGGAGACCCTTTGGCAGACAAAATTTGGAGACGTTATCTGTGATCGACTTGACCTTGGCTTTGTAGACCTGATCTAGACCGTTGAGCTGGTCGTCGTTGCGTAGAACATTTTCAAGCCGGCCTACGAGCTGGGGACTTTGGTCTTCGATCTTGTTGGGGTCCAATGTAACATATTCGGCCGCTACTTCGAAACCCATTCGCTTGGCCTTGCTCAACTCTTGACGTCGTTGTCTATCGCCTTCTTCGGTCAGGTAGAGATCGTCCATACCACAGGTCCACGCGCGTTCATTGAGATATCGCGTGAGAAGGCGACCGAGTATACTCATCAGCTTACCAGCTGTGATATGACCGTAGATCTCGTGGACAGAGTGAACGAGGCCTCCAGCGCTTGGACCAAGCTGATTCTTATCGAGAATGCCGGACAAATGTTCACCATCTCGGAAAATCACCACCTGTTCGGTGTCACGGAACACAATGCTGTCCTTCGTCACAGTCCATTTCTTCGGATCATTGGATGCCTTTTCGCCCCATTGCTCGGAGGAAGTCGACGACTTGCTCGTCAGATTGAGGCCATGGAACCTGTCCGGAGTGATGTTCTTCATGACAGTGGTGATCACCTGTTTGCCGGTCCACAGCATCTTAGGTTTAAGGATGGCAGGCTCCACCATCTGAATTTTCTCATAAACAGTGTTGTAATCTTCCGGCCTCAGACAACTGTACAGTAGCTGCTGATACTGCTCTCGGTCAAAGAAGACATCACGGCTGGTAAATTGAACACCCATAGAGATATGATCCTGGATCAAACCACGTAGGGGCTTTCCAGCTGTGGCAGACAGATACTGGTGATCTGTATCGGCGATCTGCAGTGCCTCGGTTCTCGCGAGCTCATTCTGGGGGAAGTGCATGTTCATCTCGTCGCCGTCAAAGTCGGCGTTGTAGGTATTGCAGTTGGCGTAGTGCATGCGAATGGTCTTCTGGTTCGTCAACACGCGGGCACGGTGACCCATCATGGAAGGCTTGTGTAGAGTCGGCTGCCGGTTCATGACAACCACGTCTCCGGTTTGCAGGTGTCTGTATACTTTCTTCCCGGTGTCACCCTTTGCGCCAGGGACTGTGGAAGTCATCAATTGCTTCGCAAGGGCTTTTCTTTGGTCCAGCGTCTTGCGCTTGAGGCTGAGGACCATGCCGTTCTCATTCTCGATGGCAGCTGCACCGGGGTACTTGTCCATACCATTGATCACGGCTTTGCTCAGCTCCTCATAGTTATGGCTCGTAACAGGTTCCGGATATGTTAGCTTCTTCGCAAAAACAAGCGGCACTCCGATCTCGTTAGTTTCGATGTTGGGGTCAGGAGAGATAACACTTCGCGCAGCAAAGTTGACTCGCTTGCCCATCATATGCATCCGGAAGAGACCTTCTTTCTTCTCCAAAATTTGTTTGATGCCTTGGTCCGTGGGCTTGCCCGACGCCGGTGGTGGTGAGTCTATAAGAGCGTTCACAGTCTCCTGAAGGACGATCGCTGCCTGTATACTCTCGTTCAGGGTCCGTGGCCGAACCGAGTCGTCGGTCCTCGCTCGTTTCATGTCTCGCAGGATGTGTCGTACATCGTTGGCAGCTTTTATGATTTTATTGAGAGTGCCGTTCATCTGGTTTTCCAGCATCTGATCAGGCCCTTGCCTTGCAAGAGGACGGAATCTGTTCGGAGGAACTAGGACGGCCGTCATGAAGAACATGTCCGGTGAAACAGGAGCATGTTTGCGACCCGGTTGAGAGGCGTACATTAGGCTGAGCACCTCCTGCTCCCTATCGAACAGCAAGGTTAGCGCCGCATAGACTTCGTTAGGCGTCATATACGACTGCACGTCGTCTTCATCCTCGACCTCGGCGTTCTTGGATTGAGCCGCAGTCTCTAACGCGTTGCGCATGGCAATCTCTTCTTCTGCACCATGCGCTTCTGTAGTCTCACTCTCGGCGGCATCAGACATAGCAACATCCTCATCGTGATGCCCGTTGACCATGTGCTTCTTGACAGCGGCTTCCTTCTGTTTTCTCTCCGACTGGAGGAAAATGAGCGGATTGGGGGCTTTCATGGCCAAAACGCGCATTTCCTCTTTCAGCCTTAACGCCAGAGGCTTTTTGAAGATCTTGACATTCCTGTCTTTACGGTACGTATGGGTTGCGCCGCCGCAATTCGCGCATTTCCGGAGGTGTGGAATTTCTTTGAGGAAGTCTGCAATGACAGCTTTGCGGGCAGCGATTGCCACAGGATTCTTTATAAGAGCTTGCGGGTCAATCAGCCCCTTCTTGCGCGCCCTTTTGATCGCTTTGTTGGTGGCTCTTGTCCTACGGTCGATGAGATCTTCAATTTCTTCCCCTGCGTCGTCTTCCAAGATATCTTCGACAATGTCGTCTGTCTTAGGCTTCTTAGGCTTTTTCCCGCCGAGGTGCATGGCCTTAATGGTTTCATATTCTTCCACCAATCCATATTGCAGAAGCCGAAGGGCGCAGACTGTCTGGTTGATATAATTCGGCGCAGCCTTGAAGCGGTGGCAGTAGGCGCATTTGGCGCGTAACAGCCGTAGCGTTGAGTCCATATACTGAGGGTGATAACATGGAACTGGCAGCTCAATGTGACCGCAGTGACCGGAACAATGGATAGCATTCATGCGACAAGTCGAACAGCTGTGGTACTGTTAGCACAATGAGCTACCCACCAGATGTCAATCTCTTACTTTGCGTCCAGCGCTTGTATGGCACCTAATGCCAGATCGTGTACACCACCGGGTATAGGCCCAAACATGGAATCGAGCGACGGGGTGGCATAGATCTGCTTGACTGAAATCCTCCTGATCTCATCGGAGGCAAGCCTAGAAAAGGCGAGCCCACCGGTGGCCGCTGACAGAGGTTTGTTATTTCCTGCCATTGTGCCTCAAGACCAGACTACGGCTCCCCGACTGAGATACAACAATGTAAAAGTGTTTGGCGACGCAGCGACAACTTTTTTCCCAGTCGGCGGGGATTTGCTGGAAACTTTTTTTGGAGGCGTCGGAATGGATCGTCGGTGTCGGCGGAACTAAAGTCCGTGACTACGGTGCAGGATGAAGGTTACTTGTGCAATTCTCAGTACCACGTGGATCGGCGCGCTACGGGATATCATTCTTCCAGCCGTCGGCTAAGTTACTACGCGAGTCAAAGAGTTCCTGCGCTCAGCATCAAACAGTCTATCAACCGTCAAATGTGTTGAATTTATTCACAAGGACAACTGTTCAGCTAAGGCTGCTCCTGACTCAAGGAGCTGTCTACAGGGCCCAGGACCCGTGGCGACCAGTGAGTCTTCCTCCTGAGACACCCGCAAGAATGGCAGACAAATCGAACAATGTGCTGAAAAGGCTACACCCGGAAGACGGCGATGACCTGGAAAGCCAGAAACGAGCGAGATCCAACAATGGCTCTCCACGTCCGGCGACGCCAAATTCGGCGGCGATCGGGGCTGGTGGAGCGAAGCCCGACGTGAATCAGATGCTTGCGGCTGCCAGAGCAAGGGCGGAGGAATTGAAAGCCAGGTTGGCAGCGAATCGATCCGGAGGTGCGACGAGTGCTTCAACAGCACCAACACCTAGCGCTCCTCCGGGCCCTGCACCGAGTGCGAGCGACCGTATAGCGCAACTAAAGGCTCGAGTGGCTGCAGTGACAAGCCGTTCAGCAGCTTTGAGCAGCAATGCTCAGCAGTCCAAACCACCGGCCACAACGACCCCAAACTACACTACGCCAACATACAGCGATGATAGCTCCAAGGCGCGTGGAGGTCTGGACGTCGGGCTACACCCTGCACTGCTGGCAGACGTGCATCAGGACATTCAAAGAAGCAAAGGACGGACACCGCAGCCCAAATTCGCAACAGCCATGGGCAACAGAAGGACAGAATCACCTGCCCCGGGAAAGGCGCAACTGGACCTGTCGGCCCCCTCGTTGGAGGAATTAAAAGCCAACCCATACTTCGACCCTAATCTGGGCACACGGAATGTACTACCCAAAGAACGACATTCGAGACAATTGATCTTCAACCAGAAGGGCAAATACATCCAGCAAGCCGCGGCGCTTAGGCGGCAGGCGCAGCTTGAGGCGATGAAGAAAAAGATCGCCGAGCGAGCACGACAAGCCGGGCTGGAAGAAGACCTGGACACAGAGAAGGCATTTCTGGTGCCACCGCCCCCGGAGATTGAATGGTGGGACGAAGGGTTGGTGGACGGCAAGAGCTACGACGTGATCGATGACCCGACGAAACTCAAAATCGACACCCCAGACTCCATCATCACCATCTACATCCAGCACCCGGTGCTGATTGAGCCGCCGCAAGAAAAGAACGCCCCGCCGCCCAAGCCGATGTACCTGACCAGCAAAGAGCAAGCCAAGCTGCGGCGGCAACGACGCATGGCCGAACTCAAAGAACAACAAGCCAAGATCCGACTAGGTCTGGAGCCGCCGCCGCCGCCAAAGGTCAAGAAAGGCAACCTGATGCGGGTGCTGGGCGAAGAAGCGGTCAAGGATCCAACGGCCGTCGAGGCCCGGGTGAACCGCGAGATTGCGGAACGAGCGCAGAAGCACCAGGAGGCCAATGAGGAGCGCAAACTGACCAAGGAGGAGCGGCACGAGAAGCTGGAGCGGCAGCAGGCCGAGGACGCCGCGCACGGCATCCACGTGCGCGTGTACAAGATCGACAGCCTCGCCAACGGCAAGCACCGCTACCAGATCTCGGTCAACGCCGACCAGAACAAGCTGACGGGCGTTGTCATTCTGCACCCAAAGCTCAACCTCGTCGTCGTCGAGGGTGGCGAACACTCCATCCGCAAATACGACAAGCTCATGCAGCACCGCATCCGCTGGCAGGAGATGGAGGCGCCCCGCGCCGTCGAGGAAGGCAACCGTGAAGTCCTGGCAAAGTGGCTCGAGGCCGAGGATGAAAACGGCAACCTCAAAGATCTCAGCTTGAACAAGTGCGAGCTCATCTTTAGCGGCGAGGCCAAGCAGCGCAGCTTTCGGAAATGGCTCGGCGCCCGCGTCTGCGAGACCGACTCCCAGGCAAAGGATGTGCTGGCGCGTGGCAAGATGGAGAACTTTTGGAACTTGGCAAAGAGCTTCAAGAGAGAGGTGTAGGGGTGGTTGCACCCGGCGAAACCGTGTCCAAGTTGGCTACATCGGGGAAGGCAGACAACTGTTGGCATGATACATCATGACCGACTTCTACCTACTGGCTCCTAATTCCGTAGGTAGAACCTGGCGGTGTATTGTGCAGTAGCACGATTAAAATTACTTGTGCAATGAATATGAATTACAGTCCTGCCTACCTAGGTATTCACCTGGTAGGAACCTTACTGATGTGCACTGCGAACCGCCCAATATACATTGTATTTCTACCTTGAGTCTGCTCTCAACATTGGACACCAGGATAAAATACTGTATCAGAAGCCAGGATTGTATTTGCTCTGTACATGTATCCAGCAAACACAAGATCAAGCTTTGGGCCTTTGACCTCATCAACGCCCGACATGAGTTTAACAAAAGCAGTGACCGTTGAACAAGGCCCATAGCACCACGAACGCACAAACCGACTCGGAAAATTTTTGAGCAAGATCTAGCAGGCGAGAGTAGAATAGCGACACAAAAATACACAAAATACGAAAAACATATATCAAGGTCAGGCATTCAACTTCTTGACAGCGGCGGCAATAATGTCCGCAACCTTCTGGGTCTGATGTTGTGCCTCTGCCCAGTCGCCGGCGTCAATAGCGTCTCGAATGCTCGGAAAATACGCTTCATCATAGCCCGACCAGGCCTGCGGCGCAAAGATGACGTGCTTGAACTGGGTACGATTGGCGAGGCCGCCTCCTTCATCGAGGTCGAGCAGGTCGGTCTCGAAGTGGGCGATGCGCTCATTGTGCTTGCTCCGAGCTGTTGTCATGGCCGAGCTCTCGAACCCGCCTGCTCCGAACACAAAATTGCGCCAGATATCGTCGAACTCGTGGAACTGCTGCGCTTCGCGGGTGAAAGACTCTGCGGCCTCGCGTAGGGGAGTCAGGTCCAACGTGTTCTGGCCGCTGGCAGTAGAAGCAGACTTTACGTACGTGGCCAGGTCGTCCACATACTTGGTGACAGCGGTGGCGTAAGCATTCAGATCAAAAGGAAGCAATGGCTTGTCTGCCATCTCGAGAATCAAGAGGGCCAGGATTTCGCCCATGGCCTTGTGGTACTTGAAATCAGGATCGCCAAACTTGGACATCCACTCGAAGTTATCGTAACAGCTGTGGTAAGGGTATCTCTGACCCTTGAAGAACATGTCAATGGAAGATGTACCGACGATGTCTTGGAAAGCGACAAAATCACTACCAGCACCAAGTCCCTCAAGACCCTGGTTGGACGACTCCCAGATCTCGTGGATCGAGCGGCCGGAAAAGGGATCGCCGACACGGTCCAGAACGTGAGCAAGCGAACGCTCGAATAATGGCGAGGCTGCTGCGTGGAAATCAATGCCTGTGACACCCACATCGACGTTCAGATAAGCCACGCCGTCTTTCCGAAGCTCTGCTAGCCGGTTTTCGACATGCTCTGTGCTGCCGATAAGATTATACTCCTCCCCATCCCAGCTGGCGAACTCGATTGTTCGGAGTGGTCGCCATCCGAGGCGGCGTAGCTCACCCAGGATGCGGATGACTTCAAGCATGACCGCGGTACCACTGCCGGGGTCTGCGGCGCCCGTACACCAGGCATCTCGATGATTTCCCACCACCACTCGTTTCTTGGGTTCTTCCCAACCTGTGATTTTCCCTAGAACGTTATAAATCGGCTGCTTGATCTCTTCATCCTGAACGTTTTTGAGGTTGACCTTTGGTGAATCTGGACCTCCAGTCCAATATTCCGTGTTCGGAGCACCCGTCCAAATATCTGTCATCTGTTTGCCATGGCCTTTGATCGCTTCCAACAAGTGCTTCGCATCATTCCACGAGATGGGGATGGAGGGGATTTTGTTAAGTCCGGGACTGTCTTCGGGTTTTAGACGCTCTTTCTCGGCAGGAGTCGATGCCCACCCTGGGGTGAGTACATCCCCCACTACCCAAGACATGAGACTTACAGCCCCCCGTTGCACGCCATCGTCTGGCATAAAACGTCCGTCAGGAAAGGTAGGGCCCTGAACAAAGCCATCTTGCGAAGGATCCGAGTAAATGATGCAGCCAGCTGCACCGGCCTGTTCGGCAGCCTTGACCTTAAGAGCCCGATCACCTTCAGAACCATAATACCGGACAAGAACGATTGCATCCTTGACCGAAATACCATTATCAGCAAGGGTTTTGAAGTCCTCCCTAGAGCCGAAATTTGCGTACACCAGAGGTCCCGTCACATCTCCACTTCTTGAATGTCCATGAAACACATATGCTTGCTCTTGATCTTCCTCGATCCTCGCTTCCCATTTCAAGTTATCAGGCTCCACGATGGCGACTCTTCTCCCATCCTTCCGAGGATAGTTCAAGTAGACATCGAACCTCTCCATATGCACATCCTCTAGTTCCGAACCTTTGAAAAGCTCCGCCACCCATTCTCCCAGCACATAGTTACCCTCTGTGCCCGCGATATGCGGAAAGTCCGTGATGTGTTCCAGGTATTTCTGCATGTGGCCGTGGTCGTTCATGTGGTTCTGCACGAAGACCCTGATGGATTCCGGATCGTACATCTGGCCCATGCCCATTCTGTTCTTCGTGAATGATAAGACGTCGGAGGCTATCAGCACATATAGGACACCCATGATCAGGAAGATTCCAAACAACCGGCCAATGATGACGACGCGGTTCGAGTCGAGTTGTTGGTAGTCTATCCGGGGCCATGAGAACGTCGGGAGATATTGGCGGAAAGAGGGTAAGGAAAGGGAGGAGAAGGAGTTTGTGAAACTAGAGAAGCGCTTCGAAAGACGATGGCGAAGAAGGGAGCGGTTCGCGGCGGCATCACTCAGAGGGTCTTCGACGTCCATCTGTTGCATCTCCCGACGCACTTCTTCGTCTTGGTTGTGTTCTAAGCCGTCGAGCGAGTCCAGACTGGGCCGTACCGACTCGATGGTGGGCGGCTGGTAGTTACCAGTCTGTCCCCGACGGAGGAGACCCTGCCTTTCCGCATCGTCGCTGATTTCTTCAGGGCCGAGTCTTGCCTGTGAGGACGCCGGGCGGGACGAAGTCGCCTCCTCGTAGGTGGGAATGGGCAAATGTTCATAAGCGGATTTGTTGTCGCCCATGGTCGGCGGGAGTCCTGAGTGGTGTCCCGCAGGACGCACTCACAGTCGAGTTATCGAGGATGCATCCAGGATCGAGCGCTGTTGCGGCAACTCCGCTCAGGAAATAACCCGACAAGTGAACAGCTCGGAAACCTATGCAATGAACGAATATGAGGAAGAGGAGGAAGATGGCAAGGATGTCTGTCAATGCAATGCAGTTGTGAAACTGAAGCAGTGGTGTGGTGCTGAACGGCGACTGCAACTGGGACTGCGCCTCGTTCCGACCCCGAGTCTCGGCTCCAGCGACGAACTGAATTATTAGTTGGAGAGAGTTGCGCGGCTCATCAGTCAGCCAAGCACACCATCTACAACTTGAACACCACCACCAACTGTCCACTGCCATTACCAGCCTACACTTATACATGAAGGATTCTCGACATGGCTCAATGGCCCCAGTGCTGTCTACAATCAATCCTGAAGTTGTAAGAACCATAGGTAGAGGTGTTGATCTGATAGTACGGGTGTCCCGTTTTTGTCCCCACGCGGCGGGGATTGGCCTTTAAACGTGTCTAGCTTCGTCGATAAATGGACGTCTCTGGCCTCGCTTCCCCGAGTAAACCTTGGTGTAGTCTGTCTCCACGCTGTAAAAGTGCTCCGATAGCCTGGTCAACAGTGGATGAACTTTCTCACAAAATATCAAGTACTAGTAGTAGCAGTCGATGCATCAGACCGACAACCTGAAGCGCTCGAACTGGCAAGATCAAATGCACCTTTTGTCAGACCATAATATTTTCATTCCCTGTATGGAAACTAATTGAAAGACTGGCGTCATTTGAACCAACTGCATCAGGCTGTACATCCCGGGACCGCTGATTCAACCTACATCCATATTTCTATTTGAGCACGGCACCATTGTATCCCACCTCCCACCACCTTCCAACCCTCATCTGGCAAAGAAAGCCCAGGCACAACCATGTCTGAAGATTCATTTGTCGACGGCGATGCGGAGGCAGCCATGCGCGCCATGATGGGATTCGCTTCTTTCTCAACTCGCCGTCCCAGAGAACAAGCTCGTAAGTCCAGACTGAATTCCACCGCTAATTCCAGCATAATGCCCGCCTGTTGCGATATGCGTCCACCATATCCTGCCGTCGATAGCTTAGTACTTGTTGACGATCCCACGGCAGAAGCAATTCAATATGTGGACCGTCTCAGTACATTCCTCTGACAGGCGACTTCTCTGTCCCGAGCGCTGCACCCGCCTCTGTTTCTTTACTATGATCCCCTCTTTTGCAGTTTCTATTGCCACCAGGAGCTTTGATTTCCATAATACTCATTCCCCGACCCCCATCATCATCCCCGCCAAACCATCTAGCTATCCGCCGAGAAGAGCCAAAATCCACCAAATATCAATCAGTCTACCGACCAACATTCTAACAACTTGATAGAAGCACCACGGTCACTACAATCACCTCCACATGCCGAACAAATGGGAGCTCCCCCACAAGCCAACTCCACCTTCTCAACCCATGACACAGACTCCCGAGACTCCTTCGAGACCTTATATTCGCAACCTCAACCTCCAGCCCAGTCTCAGGCCGAGGCTCAACTAGGCGACAATAATGATGGCCAACCACCCTATCCACAACCGGCCCTTGATGAAGCAGCATCTGTTCTTGGTATGCCTCCAACACCGAGCGAACGCTCCTATTCCACCCACGGAACGAGCTACGCCTTCAGCGCCCCGAACAGCAACACATTCTACACTCGCGCCGAGCTCGACGAATGGGCCAGAGGCAAGGTCAACGCCAGAGGCGACGTAGTCTACTTCAAACCGGCATTTGTATCCGACGATCCATGGGCCAGGCTAAGACCATCGAGAGGACAGGACTGATCATACCTAGGCAAGCATAGCTTTCTTGAGGCCCATTATGCAAATAAACCTCTGGAAGGTACGCGTGACTCTGCTTTGGCCAAGATGCCCAGGTTGTGATGGCCAGTACAGTGGCCATTTTATGACGTCCTGCCTCACCTCCGACTCCTCCGTAGGAGAGGGCAAGGGTCAATGAATACCCACCACCGGATGCGATTGCCGCCCTCAGTTCCACTGGCAGTCATTCATGTCACAGTAACCATGGAGCGAGACTCGGTTACTATGGAACAGAACAACACACCAAGCCGTTCCAAACTCCAAAAAAAATGAGGCCAGAACAGTCCCTTCTATCACAATCATCCACCCACCGATTGAGCTTTTCATGATGCTTGATGAACTGGGCAACACAAAGTCCACCGTCTATCTCACCAGCAGATAGACATGGACCAATCAACCACAGAACAAGAACACCATTAGCTGAGGACACTAAGATACCATACAATATCTCCCAACGCCAGTGTCTGGGCCTGCCCGATCTTGCCATGCCACAAGACAAGACAAGACTTCAATAGCCAGTGACCTCAGAGTGCGTTGCCTTAACTTGGCAAATCAAAGAGAGAAAAAAAAAATCGGAAACAGCCATCTTTTATCTCTTCTTCTTTTAATATTCCCTGTGTCTCTCTCTCCTCATCTCTACCTCTGCAATCCTATCCTATCTTATCCTCTCTTCCTTTCCGTTTCTACTCAAGTCTCCACCCACATCCCAGCAAGTGCCAATGCCAAATGCGAACTCATCACAAGACACTGGCAAGACGCACCAGATGAGGGCCCGACCACACACCAGCTCACACTAGACCAAAATCAATCGCTTGCTTAGCGTTGCTCTACCGGTCGGTCAACTATACGAGGTCGGCTGAGTTAGGGTTACAGCGGGCACTACTCTCCTTGGACCGCTGTCGGTTTATCAGCTTCACCTGAGGATACTGTACCTGGAACGTCTGGGGTACCTAGAAGCAGGGGGGAAAACAAACTGTAAGCTGCCAGAGGCGTAAGGTAATGGTAATCTACAGTAGTCCCTAATTAGTTCGTGGCTACCTAAGGAAGTTGGCTGTACTGCACTACTAGTAGTACCTACAGTTATGACAGTCAACATCACTGTCACCAGCCTTCAAGTTTGGCAGTACTTACCTACCCAGGGCCCTCGGCCCCTGGCCTCCGGGCCCAGCCAGACCCAAGAGTGCCATTAGTAGTGGTAGTACTACGAGCACTCCAAAAGTGCTATTCTTATTATCATTGCTGTACAAATTAACACCTAGGCAGCACCATCAGCGGTGGGCGGCAGGCAAGGCTCAGGGCTCCCGGGAGCAGCTTCGGGAAACCATGGCCTTGGAGAACCCTCTCGGTGAGCCCCTGGGTTGTCTGATTCCTACTGTACCAGTACTACAATATGAACTAGGTCTACAGTTTTACTTTAGTGGCCAAACAACGGCCGATAGGCTGAATCCTTTGTCTGGATTTTCATGGCGCTACTGGAACGGACCCAAATACTACCTAGTACCTCAACGAAAAGAAAGAAACCCCCCGCTGGCAGCATTACAAACAAGGGATGAAACCCAGCACCTTGAGCCACACCAGTCGAAGTCCGCCAGTCCACTGCAGTACAGTACCCTTGAAACCAGGACACTGTTCCAGTCAGCCACTGCACAGGGTCAGTGAAGATGCACCAACAACTCAGCAGGAAAAGTAGATTCCGGACCAGACAGTCATCCCAGGCCCGTTCCACGCATCCCACACCTTTCACACCACACTTTTAGCATACCAGGGCCAAAGCCACATCGGGTTTAGCCAGACTGTTCAGCCCAGGTGAGAGAAACCCTCCACACCATCTGCGGTTTGGCGCCTCATACAGCAGCAGATTACAGGTCTGATGACGGCCCAGGAAACGAAAATCCCTGGACCACGGCTTTCAACCCAATCAGACGACCGTCAAGGTCGCACCAAACGAGTGAAAACAGCAAGCGTACCTGCATAGGGGCCCAGGTGGCACGCGGAATACCGGCTACTGTGCGGTCGATCGCTGCAGTGTTATTCGGTGACCCAGACCATGCATTTTCGGGCCAGGTTTTGGCCGGCGTCATGCACGCCATTCTTCTCGAGGCCCCTGCAGCCCCAGGGGCAAAAGCAGCGAGTCGCCTTGCCGGATTCGTGGGGTGGAGCGGAACAACAACCACTTGCCACGTCAACGACACCGGCGGAAGCTCGCCAAGGCCGCAATTGCGCTCTCCGAACGAATGGTTGTTTATGCCTGATGGTGAAAGCTGATTTGCTGCCTTTGAACGTCATTCAAAGTTCCCGCTGGTTTGCTGGGTAGGTGAAAAAACCTTCCAATGCAGCTCACACCAGGACAAAATCCAACTCGGAAAAGGATCAAAATTGTAATAAAAGCCCCTCTCAAAATACAGAAATCAAGGAAACTCGTGTCTTCGTCAAAGTCGTGCTCGTGCCAAATTTATGCGTGGCGAGAGCGGCTGGCTTTGGCATAAGCTTCCGGGTGCTTTTTCTCTGCCCGGGTCTTCATCGAGCTGCCCAAAGTCAGCGAATCTGTTGCCACAACGTGGTGTCAATTTGACGTACGAGATCTTCCTGGATGTATATTCGATATCTCTGCGGGCTTCGCGGGCTGCTTCAACGCCCTCCGCAAAATTGACTCTCGCAGTCTTCAACCTTCTCTGCGCAAGGGCTTGCAATTCTTGGAGCTCTCGCTGTTTGGCATTCAGCTGGCCGGATCTTTCTTTCTTGTTAGCCGCTAATTCTGAGAGTCCACTCTCAGCACGATAACTCACGTTTGCGCTTGCTTTGCTAGCGATCGATCCATTCGAATGGGATCAAATGCGCTGTTCATTCTCTCGCTGAGCATGTCAACGACATCAACGCCGGGAGGAGCGTTGTAAGACTCATAATCGCCGCTGCTCAAACTTGGGGCGTAATCACAATTGCTGGACCGGGCCGAGTAGGAGCCGGCAGATGTCCGACTCCCACCATAAGAGGTGCTGGTGTCGGGCAACTCGGGCGGCGACACAGCCACCTTGGAAACGGGATAGCTGTAAGTAGCCGTCTTCGGCACGATGATGGGTAGAGTCTTTTGATGAGTAGCATAGCTGGTGGGGTGACGGGGTGCGTAGGTAGTCATGATGACACAAGGTATTGGCAGTGGGTAACAATGTCAAGTTAGTAGCAAGGACACAAGTCAATGTTATTGCTCATGGACTCAAAGTCAACTGAAGGGGATCTTGTTTGACTAAGGCAAATTGGTCTTGAACTCTTCTGAACAGTCAGTGATGGGAAAGGACGAAGGAGAAAGAAGGGCTTCCGGCAAAGATGAACGGGTTTATATAGACACCCGGACACTGTCCAGGTAGCAGGGGGCAAGATTGCCAACTCACACCTACCATGGGATGGGCCAATATGATTGCAGTCGAGACACCGCGTGCTGTCATGAAGAGCCACCGACCCCGCTCAGGAAGCAGGATGAGCAGGAAAGTAGGACCAATGCGACGAGGATGGCGAGACAGGGTCGGCTCCGTCCGTGACATTCCGCCCGGCAGAGCGAGGACAAGACACTGCTGGGTGTGAATGGCCAAAGAGAGCGGAGGGTGGCCCTCCATGACCCAGCGGCAGCATTAGGTCGGTTGGGATGATGGTCTCAGCTGGAGCCCGAGTCAAGCAAGAAAACGGGAAGCCGCCGTTGATCATTGGACCGACGAACCATTTTGCCATGTCCCGCGGTCCCTAGTTGCGGGATCTAGGCGCGAGACGGCGGACGGGAGTGGCTGTTCAAAGGAGCGACAATGGGGAAAAGGCTCGACATTGCTGAACAGGGGCACTCTGATGCTCGGGCACAGCGTTACGAGAGGCCTTGTGGTGGGGCGACAACGAGGTAGAGAGCATGGAGGCCGCGACACACTCCAGGCGGGCCGCTGGCATGTCTGGGAGGCGCCGACCCAAAGTTCCCAGGTATCTGATACCAGACTATCTACTACAGTTGTGGATTTTTTTTCCTTGCCAGTGCCAGTGTGTCCAGCGTGCGGTTCAGGGTCAGGGCCAGGAGGGCTCGGAGCGACTAGCAGGCGATGCACGTTGAAGCAGCAAGGAGCCGGTCAGGAAAGGTCAAGCGTGGGATAGGCCGTAGTAGGCAGGGTGTGGAACATTGGCATGGGTTACGTAGGAGGGTTGGCGATGGTGTGGTTGGTCTTTTGTGTTGGGAGAGGGGACCGCGCGGGTTGGCCCTTCAAGCAGAAACAGCCACAGTCTGGAGGCTGTCGAACCGTCGGCGGTACGGTGTCGGAGTCTCAAAGGACGACGTCGTGGTACATCAAGCAATTCAATGTTTTTGGAATGCTGCTGGTGGGGATAATTGGGTAGTCATGCTTCGGATTTGCTGTAGGGTTCCCACGAGAGCATCGTCGCATCTTGAAGTGAGTGGAAACCGTGCCAGTAGCTGTGAATGCATGTATACTACTGCCATTCAGCAGGCATCTGGCACAGGCGACGAACTGAAGGAAAGGATGACGGGCGTCCAAAGCGGCAGTGACAATGATAGGACGAGATGAGAAGGAAAGAAAGGCGCAGGATCGCACCATGGTGTTGATTGGCTAAAACCCACGAGTGGCACGGTACTAGTGGAGATTGGCTTATAGGCTCCTTAGGTGCCTGGGGCGCGGAAACCGTACCTACGCATTAGGTTCCAGGCATGCCTCAGGTACCTAGGTATAACAATGTACAGTAGTACTGTACAATCACTGCTGAAGCTGAAGGGCTGGAATGTTGCCTCTCCCATTCAAGTTCCAAGCTCCTTAAGCCTTCTATACAGCCTGACTTCATGAGCGCGCACAGTCATTGCAATCAGTGAGTGGTCAGGTAAACAACCTTAGGTAGTTGCTCAATCATACATTACGTACTGTCGTCGCTGAGGTATTACTAGTATTGTATCTCACCTGTGAGCACTGAGCGCGCACCTTACAAACTACCTGAACCTTCACTACCTTAGCCATCGATGCTCGATACTCCACTATCTGTTCATGAGGGTCGTTTCAACTCCCAACTGAATGCCATGCCAGACCCCATCACCTGGCCCCAGTTGCGCCGTTGCCCTAAGAAGATCCCTTCATTGATGCATGACTGACTGGTCTGAGACGAGAGAACTCCATTTTACCACCACCACCACCACCGCCACCACCGCCACCAACCCCATCCTAAAAGCATTCTGTTTGTTCGATTTCGCACAACCAGCAGAAATACAGGCAGAGCGCCGACCGCAACCCCTAGCCCCTTTTAAGAGTCCCTGACACAACGCCGTAACATTCTGGTCGCATCTGGTCTTGTGTACGCTGGCCCCTGCCATCAAGACTCAAGAGGCCTATCACGTAAGAACACGTGTGGCACACTAGGATCAAGCAGTGTCATCATCATCGTCCCCAACACGTTAAAATCAACCGGCTTTGTAAGATAGTCCGTGAATCCAGCATTCGCCGCCGCCGCTCTCTCCTCGGGCATTGCATTGGCTGTCAATGCCATGATCGGCGATGGTCGGTACCCATGACTTTTTTCCCATTCTCGAATTTCTCGGCAGGCATCATATCCATTCTTGATCGGCATTTGGATGTCACAGATGATCAGAGAGTAATATCCGGGCCCTCTGGCTTGCACCATGTCGACGCACTCCTGTCCATTTTTGGCCGAATCATTCTCCAATGCTACCTTGTTGAGGTAACGTTGGATGACCATGCGATTTACATCGCTATCTTCCACTAGCAACACTCGGTACTCGCGGCCGCCAACCTTGTCCTTGACCAGCTTCGCTATGTGCCGGAAATCGTCAGAACTCGATTGGGCCACCTCCCGTGCCCGGTCTTTGCTCAAGTTGCGCAGTTGTGCAGGGTCGAATATCATGGCAAACACCGAAGGTTTGACTGGCTTGTGAATCAGGAACGCCTTACGCCCACTAGCAGTCAGCAGCGTAAAGTCTTCCAAGATGTCGCGCTTTTGATAGTGATCCGTAATAATAACCAATGCCGGAACCACTGACCCAGTCCAATTCATCATCCGTCGCATGAAGAGCATGATGTCGGACGTCGCAGGAATGTCTAGAACAACGTGCGTGAAAGCTGGAGGGGAAGGACCATTCATCAGGCCTAGAAAAGAGCCAATGTCCGGGATCGTTGTCACATTGGCCGCGATCTGATAAGGCACCACGTGCTCAATATGTTGTTTGATCGCCGTCCGCGCGTGCTCGGCTGGACAGATGATAATGATCGAGTATGTCTGAGGGTGCGCCGTCTCGGGTGTAACTCTACCACCATCATTATCGCTTTTGCTTCGTCGATACACCGGGGGCGATGAGGCCATTTTCGCCACGATTGATTGTGGTTCGCTTGGGCTAGTAACCGCATCGCGTGAGCCTGCCGATTCGGGCGTGGGCAACTGAGAAGATATCGATGATGTAAGCACAACATTGCCCGAGTTGGACCGGGTGGACATCGCAGAACTCTCTGATGGCTGTTCAGGCGGTGATACCACTGGTGGGGAAGAGACGAGTGGTGACGGCACAGCTGGCGACGGCAACGAAACCGGTTGATTGTCAGGAGAGCTCGTATATCTCGAAAGACCTGGCGTTTGAATGATGCCTTCCATCGAAGGTGTGAAGCCCCTAGTCGAAGCCATGGTGGGCGTACGATTGTCTGATCGAGATCGTGGACTCCCGCCTACCGATGGAGTTAATCTCTGCTGTCCCGGTCGTACTGTGGCAGGGGGAGATTGGACGTCCGACCCAGGTGGAGCCAGTTCTACTTTAATGTAGAAGCTGAAAGTAGAGCCTTCGCCAGCTTGGCTCTTTACGGATAGCTCCCCTCCGTGCATCTCAACCAGTTGTTTGGACAGGAAGAGACCCAGGCCTGAGCCGGCCTCGTGGTTGCTGCCGCCTCCGATTTGGCCGAACTGCTTGAAAAGCCGCTGGAACTCGTTCTCATTGAAACCACGTCCGGTGTCGACAACATCGAATGAGAGCAGAGCCGTTGTCGGCGGCTCTTGCTCCGCACTTGACTTCCCTTCCTCTCGTAACGAGCATCTCATGTACACCTCCCCCTGCTCCGTAAATTTGACCGAATTGCCCAGCAGATTGAGAAGAACTTGTCGAACCCGGAAAGCGTCACCCTTGACCATGGAAGGAACATTGGCATCAAGCGAATAATTGAGTTCCAAGCCCCGCTCAATCGCTCGCGAGGAGACAGTGTCGATGACTTCCTCGCACAAGGTGCGCACATGGAACCATTTAGGAAGCAATGTCATCTTCCCTGCCTCGACTTTGGTGACATCTAAAATGTTGTCGACCAGTTCCCGGAGATTGTTGGCGCTGTTCTGAATAGTGTCGACAGTCCGTCTTTGATCATGGTCCAGTGTGGACTCGACCAGCCAAGGCATGCTCCCCAAAATACCATTCAGCGGCGTCCGAATCTCATGAGACATGTTGGCAAAGAATTTCGTTTTGGACTCCATCTCCGAGTGTACCTTGTGATTGGCCTGGTTGAGTTCTCTCTCGAGGTTTTTGCGTGTCTCAATGTCGGTGCACGTTCCATACCAAGAAGCCCGACCGCTTTGACTCTGCCACAGTCCAGTGTCTACCCGTACCAGCCGCACCAGAAACCATCGATACTCGCCACCTTTCGACCGCAATCGAATCTCTGTCAAATATGACAATCGCCCATTCTCGTCCTTTTCCACCAGGACTGCTCCCTGCTTAATCATGCGGTCAAGCGAGGATGGGTCGGGTGAGAACAGATTGTTTTGGGCAGGCAAAGGCGGCGCGGCAGTTCGATTAGAATCCCCAGAGGAATCGGTTTGACTTCCTGATGTGGACGATCTCGCAATTGCTGCCACATCGCTCGGCGATAGAATACCGCACTTGTGAAGGTCATCCCGGTGGACATGCTTGGCAAAACCCAACCCTCGGGCATCCTCCAGAGTCTGGCCGGAGTACGCGTGCCATTGCTGGTTGACAGCTACGATACCGTCTCCTTCAATGGCCTCAAAGAGGACTTGTGGGATAGCATCTGCCAGTGCGCGTATCTTGGTATCATGTGCCAAGATTGCTTCCTTCTCACTCGCCTCCAAATTTTTCATGTATTGCTCGTGTACGTCCAGAAACGACCCGATCCAATACAAAAGTCGGCCATTGTTGCTGAGTAAGGTGCTTGCCCGGAAGACAAACCACCTATAGTCACTGTCACTGTTGAAACGCTTGACGCGTATATAATGAGTGAACTGGCTGCCTGTCCTTAGCGCGTCATTCCAGAGTTTCACAAGGCCATTCCTGTCTTCCGGGTGAACGTTCTTCCAAGGGTCACGAACGCGGCCTTCCCCTTGACTTCTAAACGCATCAAACTTGCGATTTGTCCAGACCAAGTCGCCGGTGCCAGGCTTCGCAAGGAACAACTGAAGTGGCACGGCATTGAGCATTAGCGATGATATCAATTCGGGCAACGGCCGCTCGTCGTCATCTCTGAGCTGACTTTCCCGGCGCGGTGGCTGCCTCCGACCTGCAGAATCAAATCTGTCATAGGCAAAGCTCCAAGAAGAGTCTCCCAATTCATTTTCAGAGGCATTGCTGGCCGATCGAGTAGTCAGCGGGCTCGATGGTTCGGGTAGTGCCTTCGGCATGTTTCCGCTGGCCTTCTTGCTGCTTTGTCTGGCGCTCGATGCTGCCTTCTCGGACGATCGTTTAGACTGTGCTAGCTCGTCCTTGTTCGGACGTTGACCAGGAGTGAGAGGCTGTTGACTAGTTCTGTGCCGCTTGAGAGAGAAATAGCTATCTAGCATCTCGGTGCCAGATTTGCCTGGCGTTGCCGGCAGTCCGGGGCTAAGCCCCAGGTGTTCCATCAGCGGCGAAGGTCCCACAGAACTGTACGGACTCTCCCGAAGGAGAGCAGGACTGTCTCCTTCCTGAGATCGCCATGCTCTTGATTTTTCCTTGTCCTGCGCAAGCTGTCCACTTAGTTCTGCAACAAGTTCGAGCTCAGACCCTTCGTCAGAAAAAGTACCTCCCAATCCAAACGCCGCTCCATGACGATTACTTGGACTGCCACGGGATCGGTCCTGGAGAGCACTATATTGCTGCGCCAGAGAATAAGAGCTCGCCAGATGCGGGACAAGTGCCTCTAGCGAACGTCGCAGACTGCGTGGATACGGAGTCAAGGGTGTCAGGAATGAGAGTATGGCTGTTGGGAACCTCAAGTTCGAAGCCAGCGCGCCTCTAGACAAAACTGGCTGAATTAGAGGCAAATGGATCAAAGTTTTTGACATATCAGCTCCGATCGCGGTCAATGACTGATTGGCACTCGTGGCATAGTCGTATGGCGGGGGATTTTGTTCGAATGCAGCCTCATCTATTGATGCAGTGGCCTGGACAAAGAAAGGCGATTCGGCTGGATCAGGCCGTGCCGCAGGCGAAGGCGAAGGGCTTTGCGACCAAGGAGACGGTTCAGGCTGTTCTAAATCGTCGAATGCACGCGTGGGACGACTGAAAGACAGCGATCCTTCCGAATATGCGGTTGAAGGGGTGGGCGGTTCGAATCTATCGTCATCGCGTCCCTTGATGGTAGGTGATCTGCTCGGAACCGTGTCTGTGTATGCTCGTGTCAAGACGATCGGCTTTCTCTTGCCGAACAAAGCAACAACACCAGTGCGCACCAAAAGAGGGTCTGTTTCCGCCTCGAGTGGCTGAATAGAACGGTGCACATGGCATCGTAAGGTTGAAGACCCCGATCCGGAAGAATAGTACTGTCCTTTAAACGACGGATCTGTGTCAGCGGCGGATACAGACTGAGGTGTAGGGGCTTGTCGTGTCAGCCGCGGCAGAATGGACGAACTCGACGTCGAGTTTTCCTCTTCCTGTTCCTTAGGAATGCTACTATGAGCACGGACAGGACCAGCCGGTCTCTGGCGAAAACTGCTTAGGGAGGCTTCGGGCACTGGTCCAGCAATCGAGTGACGGGACAGGAGAGGCGGTCGGCGCACGCTGGCAGCCAGTAAACTGGCGTCACTGGGCATCCGACTTGATGGCTCTGGCCGTCTTCCCACAGAGGTAGCGTCCGCCTCGGAGGCTGTGAGCGATTCCACACGAGAAGGAGGCACGCCTTCAGCGCCACAAATATTATAAGTAGCTTTCTGACCCCACGGCACATTCTCCAGATCAGTGATGTCCCCCGGTATGGCAAGTGAAGCGCGTTCCGCACCGTACGCTTCTGAGAGAATCTCCGTCACGTTAGCCCACCACATATCCAAACCGGGTTCAGAATTCAACATGAGGATGATGTCGTATAGGTCGGGAGTGGGGAAGTTGGGGTCGTCGGCAAATGCTGGACTCATAGGCGTCTGTCCCAACGGCGTACTAAGATCAGAAGAGGAGGCTTCCCGCTGCGGCTCAGGGCGAGGCTGCGCTATTGTTGACGACTCCTTCCCTCCAGCTGGTTCATTTGTTGGCGACAAAAGTGTGAAAGGTTTATGCGACGGTCCGGAGCGTTGACTGACACCACGATTCAACCTCATTGACATCCTGGGAAACGGATAAGAAGGCGTCCTAATGGCGCCTGGGGTGGTGTCAAAGGCCGCCTTGATCGTCTTTGTTGAATCGGTAGACATGGTCCCGGTATGCACCGTGTTGACCGATTCATCTGAGCTAGATTCTGTATGAACAAGCGGTGCTGGTAGTTCAGGTGTTTCATCTGCTTTCGCAAGTTCGGGTGAAGAAGAGCTCGATGCTGCAGCGGCACGTCTCTGTTGTTTTTGCGCCAGAGCAGCACCCATTCTTCGTCGCATAGCCTCCATGCCCCCGGAATTCTCGCGTACCAATACATTTGTGACTTGACTGTGGACAAGCGACTGGGTTGCGGAGGGGCCGGCAGCATTGCCACTTCGATTTTCTGCCATAGTATCTTTATTGCCCTGGGATGAGCGACGCTCCTGGCCGGGCCGTGAAGAGTGGCCATGCTGTGGCAACCCGGCATTGGTAGGTTTAGTGGGCTTCATTATGGGTGCAGACACATCCAGCTTCGGTGTCTGCAACCTCGAGAGAACCGGCTGGTAGTCATGGATAGAGGTCGCGGAAGTCTCTTGGTCGTAGGGAAATGAACAATGGCGCAGCAAGCCGCCAGAGCGAGACCGCGACGAAGCACTGTCTTAATTCATGGCGACGGCTGGGGCGACATCGTCTGAGGAGGAGGTTAAGTGCAAGCCAGATGTCGTAGGCAATGTCGGTGCGAGGACGAGGTAGGTGTCTTCGGGACGGCACGTTGAGATTTAGAGACAGCAAATGGCGGCCAGCTTGACGTCGTTGAGTGCAGGCGGGTAACACAACACAATCAGCAGTAAGTGAACAAACCAAATGCTCAGGAACAGCGGTAGAGAACTGTGGCCGGTATGCTAGTATTTCGTAGGTCTAGGTCGCAGGCGGTTTGGTAGAGTGCAGTTTGTGCAGAACTTGAACCAAAGAGTAGACACACACACTGGCAGTGCAATCCGAGTCAGTGCGTGCCGTGTGAGGTGGAAGGGTTTCGCCGCGAAGCAATTGGCAGTGGATGGATCGCGGCGCGGGTGGCTTTTTCGGGGGTAACTGTGACGGAGGCACAATGACGTCGATGTGGGCGTAGGTCCTTTTTTTGCTGGCGGCCAGTTGTGGTAACCATGCACTGCAAGCGCACCGTCAGTATGAGTGCCACCTACCTAGGTAGGCACCTGACCAGCCGAAGCCAGGAAACAATGCCTCTTCACTCATCAGGCTGGGGGCAAAGCGTGATCACAAGGCCTGGGTTGGGCGCCCTACGGCCAACAAAGGATCTGTTCTACTACTGGCCGGTTTTGTCTACAGGGTTGTACTTACTACCAGTACAAGTAAGTAGTCGCTGAGAATCTTGACAGATACATAGTACCTAGGTAGGTACCTGTATATCGCCACCAGTGTTACTGGTACCTTAATCATCTCGATACTTGAATTACCTGGTAGTAGGGGACAGGTTTGACTCGACATACTTATCAACATTGTACCCGTGGTTGAGCAGGCAGAAGTTGTACCTAGGTACCAGGCACCAGGCACTAGGTGCCTGGTATAGAGAGACGACAGACGAGAGACCAACAACAACCCGCAGCTAATAGAGTAGGTCTTTGTTAAGCAACCGGGTGTCTTCCAGCGTAGCCTATGTATGTCCATGCCGCACCTACCAACTGCGTGATAGTGCCCAAAAGTTCCTGTGTTAGTAGTACGTAGTTGTATCCACCCGCTCGGCCTCTCCATAACAACAACGAGTAGCAGTGGCATTGTTTTTGATCTTTTTATCATCGACTCCAGGCACACTCCACTATCAATGCCACTAGAAGCCCAAGGTATTCTCTCTACGTAGGTTAGACTCGATACCATAAGTAAAATTCAGTTGGTGATATAGTGTATATCTCAACGTCATACCTAGTATATAACCGAGTAAAAGCGTTTCTTTACTTTGACCGAGAACTTCATAATTGAGAAGGCCACCCACTCACTGGCAGTCCATTGTCGCACTGCAGCACACTGCAACAGAGATACAGTGTGGACCCGGGCATTGCCTGCATGGCTCTGTTACATCACGTCAAGGTAGCACTGCACTGCGCTGCAGCTGTTTTGCAACGCCCTTCTGGGCTGTGGAACCTGCCGTGGGCAGGAACGTGAATATCGTTGAAGATCATCCTTCCAGTTCCGTGTGAGCCGTCTGAGTAAACCGTTCGACATTAGCCTGCTGTTGATCAATGGAGTTGCCTGTGCCGTCCACAGGAACCCTTGGAAATAGAGATATTGACAAGTTGGATTTGCACTTCATCTCGCTGTTCTGTAATTCGGCTTATAGTTGTATACAGTGTAGGCAGCAAGTCTTCCACGGAGTGACTTACTACAATAGTACCCGCCGTACCTGTTGCCTACTACCTTATGGTAGGAGGCCGGTACTAGTAGATGCGAGAAACGCACAGGCATTTCAACGGGCACCACAGCATCCTTGGCCGTTGTTACAGTACCATGTTGTCGGGCGAACTGCTTTTCGGAGCGGCCCCCAGCCAAACCAGGCCACGTAAGCGGGACTATTGTTGTTTAAGCTTTGCCCGTCAGATGGTACCTGCATCTTCCTATCAAGGTCAAGCCTGGTCTGACTACTATTAGGTACCTGAGCACAGGCTCCTGCCGCGCTATGGGTGTAACAATACTTTTTTGTTCGGGCAAAGTATATAATTATGCGGAACGGCCTCCATTCCGGCGGCGGTGTCCGGATGTCGGCATGTAAATACAACTTCGAGACCACGACGACCCAGATCTTGGTGAAGCTCGAGAACTCTGCTGCGGTCTCAGTCGACTTTGATAGATTTATAGATCCGGTGCACGAACGCATATGATGCGAAAAATCCGATCGTCCCTATGGCGCGAGTCAGTTTGCTACTCTCTTGTCGATGTTCAGACATCTCAGGCGCACTCACCGGTTAAAACAAACACCAAGAAGCTGATGAGCGCAGAGTAGCCGACATAGAGGACTGCACCCGTCAAGCCCCCAAAGCTGACTCTGGTCGCCCAGAATCCCAAAGCATTCAGAAACACATAGCCTCCGGTCATCCCAGCACCGAAGAACGCCCTCCATTGCCAGCGGTAGTCTTCAGCACAGAGCAGGAAGTACACTAACAAGATGGTTGTACATGCCGAGGTAAGAACCATCAGCCCATAGCAAATGAACAGAAATCCAAACATGTAGTAGATCTTGCTCGTCCATAGAGAGGTCATGATAAAGTACAGCTCCACGAAAATGGCGCAGAATGGGAGAATGCCGGTAAGAAGTAGAGAAGGCAACGGCCGGAGTGATCGTCCAACTGGTGGTATTTGTCTTGGAATCTGATTGATCCGTGTCGGAGGTTCGATGGCCGGCTGTCGGAATCCATACCATGAACCGGCCACACTCAGAGGAACGCTGATCAGAAACCATATCGCGATGAGCGCCAGCATGGTCGTAAAGGGCACCGCTCCGCTGGAGCCTTTCGCCCAGACGAAAAGATTGAGGAGGAAGAATGCCCCAAAGACGATACCGGGAACGAACAACGGTGTCAGCATAATATTAAGCTTCCACTTTTCACCGCCAAAAGTCTTGTATACACGGGCAGAAACGTATCCGCCGATACACCCAAAGAGCGTGTACAGGAGAAGACCGATCGAGGTGAGCCATCCACGATTTGACGGGGACAAGAAACCGAGCATGGCAAACGCAACAGTCACCCCTGTCATGACGAAAAGCTGCGCTCCGTTCCCGAGCAGAACGCTCAGCATGAGGATATGACGAGGGCTACGGAACACGTCCCCGTGTACCAGTTTCCATCCGGAATCTTCTTGGATGTCGTCTTCCACGGCCGATGTGCCCGACAGATCATCCAGGTTGATGTTGTCTAGCCGGTTATATCTGGCGATATCCTTGTGAAGAGCTCTCACCAGTACTGTGCTAACCATGCCGACGAGGAAGACGACAAAGATGGCCGAATTAATCAAGGAGAACCAGTGGATCTTGGGGTCAATGATGTGAAGGTACTTGTCCCAGCGGGTTGCCCAGGCAGTGTCCGAAGGGCGCCAGTAGACACTGTATGTGTGGGTGACAGGGGTGTTGCCGTTCTCATTCAGCACAAGTGGGCCAGAGTCAACGGCACAGTCGGCCTTCCCCTGACCGATGGGTTTTGAACGGGCATAGGATTGTGGCTGGACCAAGACGCCGACCACACGATATTTTGTACCTCGAAGACCCGCCTTATGATAGTCGATTATGATGTCCCAATGATTGTGTAGCACCTTTGTCCCGTCTTCTTGCACCTTGCCCAGGGGAAAACCTGGACTCGAGAATTGCTCGTGGGTGATAGGATCTTCCCTCAATTCCGCAGCCGGCAGACCATCGATGAGAAGGTTGACATTGTATGCCTCCTGGATTCTTGTATTGACAAATTTTGCCGATCTGTCGTCCAACTCTGTGCTGTCACAGGCCGTCTTGCATGTCTCATTCCGGCCCATGAACAACTGAAAAGGTGAGGTCTGGATACGGTCACCAAAGATAATGCTTCCCAGAGATTCCCGAACTGGCTTTGGGCCTTCTTCCGGTCGACAGAAGTGGAAAGCTGGATGGTAATAGTCGTAGGAAACAACGGCGTGGATTTGCTCATCGCGCCGTGATATCGAAGGAGTCAAAGCATTGACAGTAAGTGGAACGCGATCGCCGGCCGAGTATGATGACGGAGCCACCCCAGGGAGATAGAAAGCAGTGGCTTCCTGTAAGAAAAGGCAGCACACAAGTGCTGCTGCTAGTAATCGACTCATCGGTGCGTGATACGTCCGCTGGGCTTCCCGTGTGGTTGACATAAAAGGAATCTTTTGAAGTCTTCGGACAGCGCGCAAGCACGTCCAATCCAGTCAAGGCAACGAAACTGCGTGGGGAAGACACTGTCGTTCACCTGAGACTCATGTTTCCAGCTGGCAAGTTCGGGCAGAGAGCTAGCAGAGCCGTTGGTAGTCCAAAGTGCAAAAGATCGAGCAACCGTAGGTAGTTGCGTCGACTGACAGGGGAAGAATGGGAAAGTATAACATCTGATCGGGAAGTACAGTACAAAGTGTCATTTCATTTACTAGGTATTGAACAACGCTAGTCCTGCCAACAGCGCGTGCGCGTCATACTCCATCCATCCATCCACCTAGTGCTACAACTGCTAAATCCGTGCCTGACACGCAATGGAATCAAGCTGTACCTCCCATATCGGTGCCTCAATGGCACCGTAACAAGGAGGGCTTCTCAGCCGGAGGAAGACCGTCTCATCACCTAGCTACTAGAGACGGTTCTCTACCACGCCTCGAGCTTGACTGGTACTGCTACAAGGAGTATGATTTCCCAGGCGGGCAATGCGGAAAGTGCATCTCTAAGACTGTGACACTGGGGGACTTTGTCAGAGCGGGTTCACTTGATTTCGGTCTCGGCCACTGCCATCGTTTCGTGTGCTAGTATCTTGGGTTCGTATTCATCACTGGTCTCCATCATGTTGAGTCCTTTCCACAGTATAAAAACGAAAATTCCGGGTCTTTGCACGGGGTCCAACAAGTTGACATGTAAGCATAAACCAACCAACGTCAGCCCAAATCATACAAGTCCATCGTAAAGAGAAAGAGCGGAAACGATTGTCTCATCTCTTTTGCTCCCTTCCTTGAACTCGGCCATGTCCAGGCTGCCATTTTCGTCTTTATCCATCATCCTGAAAATCTTCTTTACTCTCTTTTCGGGTGTGTCTTCATCCTCAGGCAGCTTCACCATTGAGCCCACCTGGGAGTAGAAGACGTCAGTAATGAACACGAAGGGTGTCCGAGGACCAGGCTGAACTCTTCTTACCATTTTATAAATGGCCTCCACAATTGCCAGCATCTCGTCATAACTGATCTTGCCGTCGCCGTCGATGTCGTACAATTGGAACGCCCAGTCCAATTTGTCTTCCATCTTGCCTCGACTGGTCACGCTAAGCGCGCAGATGAACTCTTTAAAATCAATGGTCCCGCTCTTATCTGAATCAAAGACCTTGAAGACGTAGTCTGCAAAAGAACTCGGGTCACCGAACGGGAAAAACTGCCGGTATATCTTTTGGAACTCCTCCTTGGTCAATGTGCCGGAGGGGCAGTCCTTGAGGAATCCTGGGAATACATTCAGCCGCAAACTCGCAATATATTGCATGTCTCGGTCATACCCTTGTACCATTGTTGTAGTTCTTTCTTGTCGAAGTGCGTCGACTTCTGCAATTCCTCTAATTGTTGCGGGGACAACTTGGATTGTCTAAAGCCATTGTGAATCAGCATTATATATCAGACTCGAGACCCGACCGATCTCGCCGAGTTCCCGATCATGGTGGCTCACTTCTGTCCCATACTGGTAGCCCGCTCGGGCCCAACGGCCTCGTTTAATTGATGATCTCAGGACAAATGCGCTGTAAACGGGCACAGACCGTCGAAGGGACACAGCTGCAGCGTATTGTCGTGTGAGAGGCGATCCAGGTTGCGGCGACTTTCTGGGTTCAGATGATGGAGGTGACGTCGCGGCGGACAGAGAATGTAGGTAAGAGGGGATGTCACAAATCTTCACGGCGGCAGTTTCAAGGAGAATCAAGGACTGCCTTCGAATGACAATAATGTGGACGCAGTATCGTTCCCTCGAGTTGTTGCATGCAGCCTGAGGGCAGAAACAATGGAGTTGAGTGTCACTTCGGCGCTTGAAACTCGGTAGCGGGGCGCAAGGTCCGGACAATGACAAAGCCGCGTCCATCTGCGGAAATCAAGAACTGCTACTTAATTTACTACTGCTACCTAGACTACGACAACCTGAAGTACCAGGTAGTACAACACTTGAACTACAGGATTTTGACCGCGTGGAATGAAAAGATACTACGGGTGACCACAAACCACAAGTACCAGGTACCGGTGCCTTGCGCACCTACCTGCATTTCCTTGGTCTGGAGTTTTGACCTTCTGCACCTCTTATACTCAGGATGCTGCAACAGGCCATCGCCAGCGTCAATCATTGACCGCCACAAAAAGGTGTCTTGTTACCAACTCCACGTACAGTACAACAGCATCTATTCTAACAATGCTGCCTGGTTTGTGTAGAGCACATCCACCACATTGCTGAGTTTCTCGATGGTGGCCAGCGCCGCGTCGTAGCCCGCATCTCTCTCCGCCTCTTCGTACACAATCAAACACCCTTCGCCCTGGTCTAGCACGCCAACGATGACCTTGTCCAGAATCATTTGGGACAGTTTCCTCTCCACTTGTTGCGTGTCGAGACCAACCATTTTGGCAATGTGGTCAATCTCGACTCGACTGAAGGGCTCAATCACCTTGATCAGATTCTGTTCCAACATGGCATCGTACAATCTTCGCAGGTGGTTCCGGATGAACACGTCGCTGCCCAGCTCGTAGCGATAGTTCGACAACGCTTGTTCGTACTCCTCCAACGAGCGGTTCGAATGCGCTCGGGCGACCGCCTTCATTGCCTCCAAACTTGTCCCCGCGTATTTCTGCGCCTGCTTGGAAGCGAGAATAGAATTAACATCATCCACCAGGTTCAGCATGATCTTGCACAACAACATGTACTGCAAGGCCGAGGTGGCGCGAGCAGTGTCATCTTGGGCGTGGTAACCCTCCAGCGCCTCAATGAAGTAGGAAAAGGCCGTATTGAAGTCCTTATCTTCTGCATGCAGCATGCCACTCTGCATGTCAAGTCCAGCTTGTAGCAGTGGTGGAGTGTAGACTGAAGCCGCGGACGTTCTTGCCGAAGTCAATGCAGCTTTGGCTTTGGCCTGGTTGGTGAGAGCGTGGTAGACCCGGGATTCCAGTAATTGCACTTCCACGAGGACCAGTTTATCATCAAGCCGCTTCAACTCCCGCAACAGACCATTAATCAGTGTGAGTGCATCATAGTAAGCCTGCTTTTGCATGTAGAGCCCGACCAGTCTGGTTTCGAGGTTTTGACGGAGGAAGGATCGCTTTTCCGAGTTAGCCCACTCGATACATGATTTGGTTGTCGCGATTTGAATTTCGAGCGTATTAGGAATTTCCGACAAGAAGTCGAGTAACTGCCGCACTGATAACAGTCAGTAGACACCATACAGGGGCTTTGCTGAACGTACCAAGCTTGGCCGTCTTCGCTTTAGCGAAAGACGATAATGTCGACCGACTCGTCTTCACCAGTTCAGCGAGATCCTCCGGCCGCTTGCCATCTCTGTAGAGCTCTCCCAGGCCAACAAGCGCGGTCTCGTAATTTTGCAAGGCTGCAGGATTGGAGCCAGGCGGTTGTGATAGGACCTCCTTGTAGATGTTCTCTGCTTGGGCAGGATCCGACTTCGCTAACTTCTTGGCCTCGATGACTTTGTTCTCGTTCGAAGGCGGAGGCGCCATGGTAAGAGGACTGCAGTAGAAGAAGGGCGGCAAAGGTGTACGGGGTAGGATGTTTGTCGACGGGGACAGGAGAGAACTGGTCGCAGATGGCGAGGCTATGAGGGTGATGCAGATGTACCTGGATACACAACTGTAGTATGTATGGACTTGTAGTTGAAGATGGCTGCACACTGGCAAAGAGACGCGGGTGGCATCTGGCGCTAGTACTCCAGCGGCGTGCAGGCACCACCAATGACGCCGCGGTGCAACCACTCCCAAGTTTTGACCGCAGGCGAGTCGACATCTCCACAAAAAAGTTCGTTGCATACCGTTCTACGGCACTTTATCACTCTGGCAGTCGGTTCCTCAGCGCTCTATCTACTTTTTTGCGGCATCTGATTACATTGCGCTCCGCCAAGATGTCTCTATAAACATGGTTTGTGCATTATCTTCGAATTGTCATGCTCCAATTGCTAACTTCTGGACAGAAAATCAAGTCTTTAACAAGACCGCCCGCGCCTCCGGGCGACGGGGCTGTCCGACAACCTCGCAATCTCGATCCAGCCCATCACCCGTTCGAACGTGCTAGGGAGTATACACGTGCTCTTAATGCCGTCAAGATGGAGCGTATGTTTGCCTCGCCGTTTGTGGGACAACTGGGCGAGGGACATGTGGACGGTGTCTACACCCTGGCGAAAGACCCGGGCTCGTTAGAGCGATTCGCCAGCGGGAGCGGAGATGGAGTAGTGAAAGTGTGGGACTTGACGAGCCGTGAGGAGGTATGGAGCGCAAGAGCACATGAAAACATCGTCAGAGGCATGTGCTGGACGCCAGAGCGCAAACTGCTCTCTTGCGCCACGGATAAAACAATCAAAGTCTGGGATCCATACAACGGCGAGAAGAAAGGCCTTCCGCTGGCAACCTATCTCGGACAAGGCGCATTCACCGACATTTCACATCACCGCGACCAGCCCTCCTTTGCTGCTTCTTCAAGTGTCATTTCCATCTACGACCTCTCGAGACCGTCTTCAGGACCCAGTCAAGTCCTTCGATGGCCGACCTCTACCGACACCATTACCGCCGTCTCTTTTAATCAGACCGAAACCTCCATACTCGCCTCCGCCGCGCTCGATAGAGCCATTGTGCTGTACGATTTACGGACATCGTCACCTCTGTCGAAAGTCGTGTTACGGCTCGCTTCGAATGCCATTTCTTGGAATCCGATGGAAGCGTTTAATTTTGCAGCAGCTAATGAAGACCATAACATCTACATATTTGATATGCGGAGACTGGACAGGGCTTTGAATGTGCTGAAAGATCATGTGGCTGCCGTGATGGATGTCGAATTCAGTCCTACCGGAGAAGAGTTGGTTAGTGCGTCGTATGACCGGACTGTGAGACTGTGGAATCGGGATCGTGGTCACTCGAGGGACGTCTATCACACCAAGCGCATGCAGCGCGTGTTTTCAGCACGCTTTACTCCGGACAACAAATATGTATTGTCTGGTTCGGATGACGGCAATGTCAGAATTTGGCGAGTGAATGCATCTGAGAGAAGTGGTATCAAATCAGCAAGACAACGGCAGAAACTAGAATATGACCAAGCACTGGTGCGCCGGTATGCACATATGCCAGAGATCCGACGAATCAAGCGCCATCGACACGTGCCGAAGACCGTCAAGAAGGCTGCAGAGATCAAGGGAGAAGAGGTCAAATCAATCAAAAGGAAAGAGGAGAACGTTCGGAAGCATAGCAAGAAAGGCAGCATGCCTCGCCAAAGCGAAAGAGAGAAGATGATCCTTGCGACTGAGAAGTGAAATGTTATGCCAGAGGAGTATGGAATATCCTTCTGAAAGGAGACTTTACAAGGCATGGCGCTCCTGCGAGTTCGACCTTGCTTTTAGCACCTCCTAAGCATGCGCTGGAAATTGCGCATTGACGGATCGAGTATACGTCTCGGTTACGATCCGACCACGTGTTAGAGAGTTTGGGCAGAGGTGAGTCGCAAAAGCGGCTATCTCAAGATGCAGGCCGAGCCTCGAATATCTACGGGTGGCTCTCCGGCTGCCCATATCGACGGATGCCTCTGCACTCGCCGCTGGAACAAGTGATGATATGAAGCCACCATCAGGCTAGATAGGACCGCCAGATATGGGTTTATCCTGGTCTATCGCTGTAATGACTACAATGACCTTTATTGCCTCCAGTACTAAGTATCCTCCAGAACTTAATGTAGTCGATGCATTAGTCGGTCTAAGTTCTTCTAGCGCCCTGTGCATAAATTCTAGCCAATAATGAGTATGGTTTGGAGCTAATTTTATTCACTAAGAAGCAAGTGTATTTATCCCAGGCTAGATGGAGTAGGTTCAGTATATAACCAACAGTTCCCAACTTGAACTTATCTCTGCAACTGCCAGTACCTAGGTACTGAGGAAATACAGTCTCCACAGACGCCTGTCCTATCTTCAAGCGATTCGACATGATGATATGTGCCTAGGGCACCTGCACGATACTCCATCGTATGGTCGTTAGCCCAGTGAAAACACAGCACAGGGAGCATTCATTCCTATGTTGATGAAAAGCGTGTTTGAACAATATGGCTTTCGGTGGCAACACATCAGCTCTAGACTCGTTTCTTGCCGAGATCATCAACAGCGTCAGAAATAAGAACGGGGCGCGCATTACGGAACTCATCCAGCTAGACTTCGACAGCCTGGCCCCAGAGCGACAAAAGGCCTACGGTGATTTGAATCAGCAGTTGAACCGCCAGTTCCCTCCCACCAACGATGGCGAGCTGGTTGCGCGGTGTAAGAACGCGCTTCCGCAGGATGAGTTCGGAACGTTCAGCACCACGTTTTCCGAGAGCATCATCCAATACTTCCGGTATTTGCGCGACTTCACTACAGCGGACAACCAGGCCAAAGCGTCCAAAATCAGACAATTGACGAGGTGAGTCTCGAGAGGCCTTGATTTTCCTCTTTCCCCAACCGGTGCCCATGCATGGCGGATGAGGGAAAAGAAGCCAGAGGGCTGATCAGACTTGCAGCCAATGTGTGATTGCGCTCGGGGACTCAAAATACGGAGTGATCATGATTCCCATTGTACTGTCATTTTCGCGGACTCTTGCCGTGGTCGCGACCAACCTGGACCGCAACCCTTCTTTGATCCGAAGCACGAGCCTTACAGCAACGCAAGATGCCGATGATGCGCCGGGGAAAGTGAGTTTTGTTGAGGATGCGGCCAACGTGCTACGGGACGCATTCATCAAGTGTCTGGCGGGAAGTCCAGGTGTTCAGCGTACCACTAGGCCGTCCGCCGACGACAAGCGCATCGGCATCTACCTTACGGCCAACTCGTGCCTGAAACTCTTGTTACAATGCAGGAAGCTGCGAAATGCACAGCAGATGTTTTCCAGTATAGATGCCCAGTCTCCACCGTTGTCATATTATCCCGCAGCTCAGCGGGTCACCTACCTCTACTACCTGGGACGATATCACTTTGCAAACAACCACTTTCGGCGCACGCAGGCTGTTCTGCAAAAAGCGTATGAGCAGTGTCATCGTCAAGCCATCAAACATCGAAGATTAATCCTGACTTATCTGTTGGCGGCCAACATCTGCATAGGCCGATTTCCTTCGTCCGCCTTGCTTTCTCGGCCAGAAGCATCCGACATCGGGCAGATGTTCCTACCTCTATGCCGAATCATCCAGAGTGGTGACCTGGGACGGTTCCATCAGTATCTTGATATTGATAGCGTGTCAGGGAAGTGGTTCTTGAAGAGATCCGTTTTGCTTCAACTACAGGACCGTTGTGAGATCATCGTTTGGAGGAGTTTGGTTCGCCGGACCTTCCTGCTCAGCGGATTTATGGGGGAGGAGAAGAAAGTGCCTTTCCTTCGCTTACTATATGTTCGACATGCCGCTTCTTGGGCTCTGAAACGGCTAAAAAGCGGCAACGGTGGAGGCGTGTCCGCGGTCAGCATTGAAGAGGACTACGTCGATCCCGAGTTTGCGGACATTGATGCGGCGATCAACGAGACCGGGTTCGAGCCGGAAACAGGACAATACCTTGATGAGTACATTGGTCAGCATGTACCAGCCGTGGGTGAACATGAAGATCTGCCCACCATGGCGGAAGTGGAATCTGTCGTTCTGAGTTTGATCCAGCAAGGTCTGCTGAGGGGCTTTACGCTCCACACGAACCCTCGGTTTGCGATACCGGGAAGCCAAAAGGCCGGAGGGCCAATGCGTGCAGGATTCCCTTCAGTCTGGAGTGTGATCATGAGCAAAGCAACAGAACAGGTGGTGCCTGGCCTGGTAGAGGAGGGCAACTTGAGTTCAGAAGGAGGAAGAGTGGTTCGCATTTTCGGAGCCAGACCGGCAGGCGCGTGAATGTGCCCGCCATCAGTTATTATTAGACATCCTCGAGACCCATGGAGACGGTGCATTTCAGAGGAGCAGTTGCTCAGCGTCCGCGAAGAAGAGCGGTTAGAGCAAGCCTAGGAGGTTGCTACTATTGTGAATAATGCCATCCAGGTCACTCGCGGTCAGACGATCTGCATTGGGACGGCCATGGCAAGGAACGCCGTTCTCTAGGGCTGTGTTCTGCTTTACAGAAATGCCTCACCAGTCTGCCCCTTGCTGCAAGGCGATGAGGTCAACAAGGCAGACTTTGATCGGACAGCATTGGGGTGTTTCGAGTCATTACACAATTGTGCAAAGGGGAACCCGGGACAGGCGTCCGTCTGGTGGAGGAGCTTTTGAGCGAGGCTGAGCGACAGATCCTAGTATGCTAGCCACCTGGTGGAGGGGACGTTATGCTGTGCCCGCAGGGTCAGGGACAGCCAAGCTAGAGTGCTGTAGCCATGTGCTCCAGTGTCAGTCGTGCCATGGTCTTGTGATGTGCTGGTCTCAGGAACTCTGTCGCCGAACTACTGTGTCTACCACAGTACCGCGGCGTGCATTGTATTTCCTCTCGGCTGATGGGTGCCGACCGTGGAAACGGGCGAGGGCATACCGCAACGCCGAGCCGCCTTGAAGCTGGCCCGCCGTCTACGAGCAGGGAAGGATTGCTAGCATTGTAAGCCAAAAACAGCCTTCAGAAGAAGGGTATCAAGTCTGCGCCTCAAATGCCGTCTGCTCTTGCTTCCCACAAAGGAGTCGCGAGACTGTCGCGTGCAGACGATCGCCTGTTTGATTGGCTGCCTTCTGGCAGCTTTTGACGCGCTGGGAAATGCGCCACTTCGACAAACTGCATCGTACATTCTGCGCTCCATGCGGACACGGCCAGTATTGCCTGCTCTTGCACGCAGTAGCCATGCCCACCGGCATTTCTGTTTGATGTCAGGTACAGTCAAATAGTGCGTGCTTGCGATTGACTCACAAATTAAGCCCAGTTCCGTGTCGCATGCGCTGCCTTCCGGCAAGACGCACCGATGACTAGTATATCTGGGCGCCCGCTCTGCTCGACTCTTGACCACCCACCGACCTCCTCGCTTCCGAGGACGTTGTTGCTATTAGTATGAGTATTTCTAGGCAGGCTCTGCTCCCGCAGTCCTTCAAGATGCTTTGAAATTCCCACTTTTGCGGACTTGCTCCGTTCTTCTTCACCAATTCTGCAATTGGGCGCAATGGTGCCTCTCCAGCGTTGAGACGCTTCAGACGAGCCAACTCACTATTCCCCAGATCTCATCTTTCGACCGTTAGGACTTGATTGGCAACATTAACCAAAATCCATGTCAGGAGTGGAAATTGGCATTGCTGTGATTGGGGCGGTGGCAGCCCTGGTCACGGCATATAAAGATGCTGGTGGGATAGTTGCAAAGATCAAGGAACGCCGAAATGCCAGAGGTGCGCTGCCTCCAAGCGTTGCTTTGGAGGAGTCTCTCGATGAAGGTCACCAGGAGATCGAGAGGATCACAGCAAAGGGCATCAAGCGGTTTGGTGCCGACTTTGAACAGGGCGACGGTGAATAATCACATGCTGACGTGTCGGGCTCTCTTTCGTTTATGCTGATTGTTCTAGATATCGCCCACCGAGCCCTGCAAAGCCTCACCATTGAAGTGCAGGCCTCTCTACTTCGCCACCTCACTCTGGCTGTCAAGGACGATAGTGTCACGGACTTCGAGGCCTGTATCGATTCAGCCATCGAAGCACGACTGAAGGCGGTCACGATTCTCAACGAATTGTACCTACGCCAACAGAGGCGTTTCAGTGGCCAACGTGAGCCCGAAGACAGAGTGTCGAGGGCATCCACTGCAGACACCAGGGAATCAAGGGACAGTAGACTGAGTCAGAAAGGACAGGAGGAGTCGTCTCTGACCCTCCAGAGCACGCCCATTCCCGTGTCTCAAGCAACTCTGCCTGCCCCTCCCATGGCGCGAAAATCGTCCTGGAATGTTTTCAAGAACTTGCATCGTGCTACCTCCCGCGAACAGACCCAGGAGCACTCGTCAAGTCCTCCTACCAAGCGGACCTCCTCTGTTCACATGGAACCCCCTGCCGGTCCTCTACGCGCGACTACAACATCATCGATGTCCGTTGGATCGTGGGAAGATAGTCCTCGGCCGCCAATGCTCACCCCTCCTCTGAGCCCAGTACCAACTCTCTCGTTCCAGGATGCAGTTGCCGAAGCGGGCTTCTGCACTGGTGCCACATACGCCCAGCAGGGAATATATGAGAAATCGTTACGAGTTTCGATGAAGAACATGGAGTGGTCCTGCCATTGCCGAAAATGCCCGTTTACCACCCCTGCTGATCGAGACGAGCATGGCCGACCGAAATTTGACGATAGAATATACCAATTGAGCAAACTACGTTTCCGGACGTTGTTTCTGTTCAAATCTCATTTACCCGCCACAAAGCAGAAGAAACACCTCTACAAGTGTCTGATCTGCGCGCTGAGCGGAGATTCTTCCCCTACTTACGACGGCGAACTCCATCTTTTTGAGCATATTTCCCATCATCAGGGAGCGTCGTTTGGCACGGTGGAATTGTCTGGTCCGATTAGTTTGGAATCCACCGGAGTTACGGTTGCATCTGAAGCATCATTTGACATTTGCTTTCCGTCAGCTAGGAAATCGTCGCTTCCTCCTCCAAAAGGCGCGGTTGAGCTCGATGGGTTGGAGGTTTGGGAAGCCGACACCCCTGAGATCACCGAGGTGGACGACGTCTTCAAGAATCAATGGGTCGGGGAGGGTCTGAGGTAAAAACTTTAGAGAGTTCTCTTGATCCTCTGTTACCCAAGTCGAAGCGGTTCTACACACAGAGAATTCTGTATCTCGTGGTATATTCCACCAACTATCAGTCTTTTCTCTGGTTGCAGAGAGGATTCAATCACCGGCATCCTATTGAAAACTGGCTTCGAAAGTGGAGTTAAAATGGGGATGTGTGATGCAAAATGCAACAGCGTGCATTGTCCTGGAAATGTATCAAGGATGGAACATGTCTCGTATGTGATCGCTTCTGGTTCTCGTCTATATCAGGTCGTCTCAACTTTTGTCTCAGTCTGAGACCCTCCAAGCTATTGGCGTTCATTGGGTTGGCCGACTCCGTCCAAGCAAATAACACTGGGTTTATTCCATCATTATGGTGCAACCAGCTAGACGATGGTATGCCGACGACTCTCATCGCCATGTATGACTGCTCTGGAAGGAAGCCGGAGCAGAATCTTGACAGCTTTTCTTTCCCATCAGCTCGCATGAGCTTGTTGGGGAGCCTGACATGTCCGAAAGAAGGCGAGACGGTTGCTGGGTCAATTCATACGAAGAAGGGCTTAGAGTTAAAGATCTCACAGGGAGTTATTGATGCACTCATGGTTCAAGCATCCTGTTCTTCTGGCTATCATAGAAACTCCCGCGCTCCATGGGGTGCCAGGAAATAAGGAATAACACGGAAACATGACTTGTTGTACTGTATCCGACTGCCTCCATGCAGTGGTAAACAACCACAGACCAACTCTTGAATCATTCCACATGCTTTTAGACTGAACTCATGACCTAAAAGAGAACAAGCGTCTTGCAAGACCACGGCTTCTGCAGCGCAAGAACCTTCCAAGGACGCGGCCCGGTGTTCTCGGGAACTGTCCGTTGTCTGACATTGGATTACCCGATATCCATAGTAGGATGCAAATTTTACTTAGGGTTCGTTTGGAAAAGATTTTTGTCAGACATTTGTATTTTATCATTCCTTTCCAGAGAAGAGCACGTGAGCTGGCTGCCATATTGGTACTAGCCCCTGTGTCCTTATCTCTCGAGTCAATCTCAGGCTCCAGCTGTCGACTTGTCACGGCAGACGCCGAGGGGCAGGGCCACCCAGCCGTCGACCCTCCCAGTGTCCACACCAACATCCGCCAACCAGCCAGACCGTCAGCTGTTCATCATCGGCCCCTCAAGCCCGAGTCGAGCTGGGTAGCCTCCGTCCATCCACGGCGCTGGGATCAATCCAGCGCCCCGTCTTGCCGTCCGCTCTGATAACAGCGACCAGGTCGAACCCTAGCCTCTGTCAACAGCCAACGAGGCCGATGCTTAGCCGACTTTCAAGCTTGCTTGCGCCCACTTGGCCTCGCTTCACTCTGTTCGCCATCGCGCGATCGTCCTATCATGCACCCTCTGAAGTGTGCGTATCTTTCGGCTCCCGCGCCTCCTCCACCATGGCCACCTCTCTCTCCAACCGTTGCGAGCGACCTCCAAGATATCAACATACTGTACCCTGGTCAGCCTTGCCTGCCTAGAGATATCACTACGCTCCATGCTGCTTCTCCTCTCCTATGGCCTTGACACTATTGTCTGCACAGACTCGCACTCGATCATCGTCAATATTCTTCCGTCCTCCTGCTCTCTGATCGATCACTGCGCCTTACCACGCGACCCTAACAATACTGAACGGAAAAGAGAAGGCGCATAAGTCTGGGATAAGGTCGATTGGTTCAACAGCGTATCTGCGACTGAGTTCACGGCGTCTTTACGCAGACAACAAGACACTGCAGCAACGAGAGCTCTCGAGGCCATGACTGGGCTCCGAACGGTCTCGTATAAGCAACACGTCCTTCCCTGCGACGAGAGATTATGCCAGGGCTCAAAATGCCCCAGGCGCGCTTGTACCACGATGGACCACCGGCGCTGCAGACCAAGCTGGATATGAACCCTACGTTGATAGTATCATGGTGGTGTACATTGTTCGCTCTGACAGCCATACTCATCCGTATATTTGGTCGGTGGGTTCGCACCGAACGATTGTTCCGAGAAGACAAGATCATGTTCTACAGTATAATTCCGCTCATGATCCGGATGGGCCTTGTGCATGTCATCTTGATCTGGGGAACGAACAACACCGAGGTTGACGGCTTGACACATCTGGACATCCAACATCGTGAAACGGGAAGTAAATTGGTCCTGGCTGCCCGAATCTTCTATGCCGCATTCATCTGGGTGGCCAAACTCACGGTGCTCGAGTTTCTCAAGCGGTTGATTGGAAAATCATGGGCTAGATCATATGAGCTCGGTCTGCGGATGATTTATGGGTTTCTCTTGGTCACATATATTGGGGTCGTCGTCGCCACTCTTTCGGAATGTCAGCCGTTCTCACATTACTGGCAGGTCGTTCCAGATCCGAGTCCTAAATGCCGAGAAGGCTTAGTACAACTGGTTGTTATGGGAGTGTGTGATATAGTCACTGATGTTGTTTTGATTGCCTTCCCTATCCCTCTGGTCATGCAATCGTCGATGCGGTTTAGGAAGAAGATATCGCTGGTCTTGCTTTTCTTACTATCCGTCATTCTGATCGGCATCACCGCCTACCGGATACCCTCGACGATTTCGCGGCGTTCCTCTCAGCAGTACCGGTCGTTGTTGGCGTCCCTCGAAATCCTGGCCGCTGCTGGTGTAGCCAATGCCATTGCTATTGGCAGTTTTATCCGCGACAAGGGAGTGAAAAAGGCCAAGTTTCGGGCTTCATCCATCGATGAGACCAGTTCGATTGGCCGCACGGTTACCCGCACACGGTCCCGGTCCGTAACACACCATCACTGGGGATCGGATGAAGATTTAGCCAGGAGTGTCGGCGTGTCGTTGCCTCCATTGCTGAGACACGGGACCGCATTGGAACCAATTCCTCGACTGGCAGAAGCCGCTGAGCCAAATCCGATACAAATCCGAGACATGGAATCGGACCTTCGGCGTCACGATTCGGCATTTAATTTGGACTGGAAATTCACGCACCGTTCCCGATCGAAACAAAGGAAGTCTATGGACAGCATGACCAGCGCATCCACGGACGTCAAGTTGGAAGATTTGAAAAATAGACGCTCAATGGATGAATCCAATAGTCCCGGACATGCGGAACCAGAACCGGATACGCCGAGCAGAATGGGCTTTTTCGATGTTGGCGGACTTGTCGATAGGCCGGCATCTCCGTTACGGCAGGGATCGCCCGTTGACTCTGCACGACAGCATTCTCAGTATTCCCAGCATCAGGGCACACGATCCGGATCCAAAGCTTTCCTTACTGATATTGGAGGATTGCTCTCGCGACATTCACATATCCGCGAAGAAAGCGGAACGCGTTCGCCGTCAACTTCCACGCCCTTGAAACGAACCAGTCCAGACCGTTCGCCCATGAGGTTGGACACCAGCAGGCATATATCACGAAGCAGTCGAGTACCTTCTCAGCAGGTAGATGAAGGTCGTCTGCCACGACGACCTAGTGGACCTGATGATTTGGATCTAGCCGACGCCGGTGGTCTGTTACGAGGGTAGAAGAGATGCAGCCGACGAATCCCACACTCCAAGGGATGGTCCGTACTTACGAAGGCGGCACCAACCTGAAGCGGTGTCTTCGCTCGGCGGGGTTTCTTACCCGGAACTCTTTGGATTTCTGAATGAACCATCTAGCGAGGGCGTTGGAGGCGTTTTGCCTTCCTTTTTCTAAGACTTTGTTATTTTGGAAGGTTTCCCATTGTACAATTTCGTCAAGGCTAATAGTGGTCAGTGAAGGCCGGGCATAATCTAGGAGATTCCAGTCATGGGAATCCATCACGGCCAGAAGAGAAGAGGAATGAAATGCCTTCAATTAAACTTTTTTCAATTCAAAGCCTGACGGCTCAGCTCACTCTATATACGTAGGGTACATAATCAGCCTTGGTGCGAGCTGTTCTTGTTGGCTAGTATCATCTCTACCTGACTTTACAATATGGAAGGGGAAGACCGAAGGGGAGAATGCAGAAAGCAAAAGACTATATATCTGTACGATTTGCGATCTGCGATCTGCGACTTGCGCACTGGTGTACCCACTTGACCACCAGGGTAAGTAGGCACCACTGCAGGCAGTTCCTTTCGAACGCGGAAAAAAAGGTTTATATATATGCATACTGATCGACATGCGAAGTGTAATTCCGGACCATAGACCCCGAACACGGAAGGACAAGAAGCATGATGGTGGTAGTAACATTCCCTGAGGTGACAATATACTTACCACTACTTGGTTGAGCAAGCAAAAGCCATCGAGAATGGCACCAGGAGTCTGAATCTCCTTTCTTTGACCGGCATCAAACAACAGTCACAACGCCACCGAGACGCGTCGTAGTCGTCAATTCTTTTGTCTCTCGCGTCCCAACCACCCACTCACTCACTGGATGTCTCATCCACAGGTACTGTAGGTACTAGGTGCCTGCATATCTACTGCATAGCCTTCCAGCCAGGCATCTCCGAAGCAGCTCTCCGCTCAACTTTCTCAACAAACATAGCCGGCAGACTCCTACTACTATCAGTACTACCCAGCTTATCACCGTTTTTCAAAAACGTTTTCCCGGCCGCAATATATGAACTCGCAAATTTAGCCCACAACCCGCCAACAAACTCAACTGCCTCCTTAGTCGTTAAGTTGACTTTTCCAAGCGCCGACCCATAACAATGTAAGTACGGCCGTGGGAAATAGGGATCATTATCAAAATACGCCTCGACCGCACTGTCCATACCCGTTTCGTCCATGGTAATATCACCGCACTGGTTGAAGTCCAGAACCCAGAGTTGTAAATATCCGTCGCGAAAAGTGAAGTTGAGGTTGGGGTTCCTGTTCCCACCACTGTCAGTGTGCTCAGGGGCCAACCTAGTCGAGGTCGCGACTTCTGGGTTATCTGGATTCGGGTTCGCAGGGTTCGCTCCAAGCACAAACTCGACATCATGAGCATCGATCCCCGCCCCAAAATGCATCATGGCCAGCGCGGCCGCCATGGACTCGACAAAGCCATCCAAAGGCAAATTGAGGGCATGCATCTGCGCCAACGTCAACGGCATATTTCTCAAAATCCCATACTGGAATTTCGTTCTCTGAGAGCCCAAATACACTCTAACCAAACAGTCGCGGTTTTTGGGATTCTTCTTCGCGGCTGCACGGTCGCATTCTCGAAAGTATGTGTCGATCAGGGCTTCTCTGAGAACCTTTGGGAGAGGCGGAATTCTTTCGGCGGTAAGGAGTGCATGGCCAACTAGATCCTTGATCTTTTTATCGTCGGTCGGAAATGCGGACTGATGTTGCTGTCGAGACCACCATTGTGCGGCTTCATCACCGAAAGATATGGAGTAGTATTGTGGAATGTGAAACGGTACAGATACCGATGCCTGCGTCTGGGACTGGGGCGGACCTCGAATGAGCGAATCATATGCCTGGCACACGATCTTGTGCACGGCGGCTTCCACCCGTAGTTCAATGTCGTCGTCGCGGAGACACACTTTCACCACCTTCCCCGTGTGGGCCCAGTCGTAGACTCGGCCGAGTCGTCCTTCTCCGATACTGACAAAGTCAGGTGAGTGCTCACTCTGTGCTGATTCATCTGCTAGATCTGCTTGGTCTTGTTCAAGATTGGGATCAATTGAGATTGTTGACTTTGTCGACAAAAGAGTGGAGAGAAGCGTCGCAGGCGGCATTTGCTGGTCGAGGAGAGCTTGGAGGGTGAGGTGTTGCTGGACGGGTTGAGTAAGTTGAACTTGCGTATCTTGGGAGGCAGCACAGCAGTTTGCCTGCGTGTTTCCGGTGGAGTCATCGTTCAAATTCTTGCCACATCGCTCGGTATCAGAGAGAGGGAGGGACATTGTGTAGTAATCCAAGAAAAATAGAACCACAGGGGTGCTAGAAAAAGGTGACTGACAGACAGACATTAATGGAAAGTTTCCGGATTGAAGCTGAAGGGAAAACAGCAAGTTTCACTAAGTACATGTAGGAAGCAAAGCCCTTATGAGGATCCAGACTATTCGTAGGACCGACGAGGACCATACGTACTCCTGGTCAAATCTAACTTCCAGGCAGCTGTGTACCAGAGAAAGCGGCCAGGCGGCAACGCAGAAAAGTAAATCAAACACCATGGACTAGAGCCGCATCCCCAGTCCCAGTCCGCGCTCGTATCCTCTGCAAGGAACATCCATCAGAACTCACGTGCAAATCGACCGTGAACTTTCTCCCATTCTTGGATGAGAGTCTTGACACCATCTCCAGACCCATTTCGCGGTCTCTGTTCGATCTCAGCTGCGTTGGTGAGTGGGTGACGCGTCTTCGGTGGTTCCATCTCAAGACTGCCTTGGATGTTCTCATAAGCGGCTGTTGCAAGGTCCGTTCTGCCATTTGCAGCACTCTGATCTTCGTGGGGCACCGGAACTGTCGCGTCTGCCTGTTGGATGGGATCTGTATGATCATTGCGAGGAGTTTCCTGCGCAGTCGACACCTGCACTTCTTTTCTGTCACCTGCATGTATGACATCTGGGTCCCTCGCATCATCCTCATAATAGGAGCTCACAGAGGCGTAAGACTGGGAAACCGGCAGGGCTTCAGAACGGAATACAGGGAATGCTTCAGCAGCAGATAAGGACACGGCAGGCTGAGCCGCGGTCTGTAATGGTGGAACCGGCAGTGGCGCCGAGGGACCAGTGCTTGTTTTCTCCTTATCACCGTAAGAGTCGTTCAAGTTCACGGTCTCGAAGGCATGGTGCTCGTTCCAGGCTGTCATTCCTGAAGAGCTGGCCGCAATATCCACTTCATGGCTGTCGTTTATGATGATCCTCGGGGGCTGAGTGACGTGGAAGTTCTCCTTTTGATCATGATTTTGCGTGCAGGTATGCTGACTGGGCGCCATCGAGTGCGGCCGAATCGGCTGTCCTTGTCCAACATCCAACATACTGATCTCGTCGGCCTCGAGTGGAAACAACTCATCAATATCGGGAGACTCGTGGCGAGTAGGAATTGGATCCAATGCGGGGCTGAGTTGATACTCATGTCGAAGAGGACTGGGGCTTCCAGGAGACACGGTAGCCATATTATCGCGCTGATGCATCATCGAATGTGGAAGCAAGACAGATGACTGTCGACGGGAATAAGCGCTGTAGTCGCTACTGCCAGTCTGGTAGGAGTGGCGGACCGAAATCGGTGGTGCGAGGTGACCGTCGCTCCAGCGTTGGCGTGACGCCTCTGCATAAGGGTCTTCCGTATCGTAGGAGTGGGCTGCATTACCGTGGTCTTCGGCCTGATGGATTTCAACCTTGAAAGATGTGCTCATGTTAGTACGAAGCCATCTTGGAGTAACAAACCAGGCCCTCTTGCAGGACAAACAAGGGTCAAACCAAAGCTTCAATGTGTTGCTTACCTTTCGTGAGGAGGCAGAAGCTGAAGCCGATCCCTGTGATGCCGACCCCGAGCTATTCTCGCCGATGCTGCCCCATTCCCAGTTCCTATTTTGCCAGAGTCGACCAGCACCGCTAGGCATGGCTGGCGGATTCGTTTCTCCAATCTCCAGTCTTGCCTGTCTGCCTCTATGCCATGCATACAAGTTGTTGATCCATCTGACCTCCCTCATGCGGGCGTTTTGAGCTTCCGAACGGGGTCTGTTAGGATTAAAGACATCCGCGTCAAGTGTTGCGCCTGCTTGACTCGCCTCATAGCCAATGCCAGTCGATCTATTTCTCTTGCCGCATCCGCCGCCATTTCCGGCACAGAATCGAAAGACACTGGCTATGACGATGATGACTGCAAAGGCAGCGACAATAACAATGCCGACGATGACAGAGGGAGACACGGCTAGAGAGACTTGACCGGATTGATTGTTGTTTTGTGTTGGCGCCATTGTCGCAAGATGAAGGGAGCTGGAGAAAGGGAGTTCAACATCAGTGATGGCAATTGTATAGGTAATGGAGCACGGAATCCTGAACCTAGATGAAGCGCAAGGACAGTTGGGAAACAAACCTTTTTGTCGTCACGAGCGCCCAGAGCGCACACAGAGGAGCGACCAGTTCTTGTTAAGAAGCAGGGAGCTCAAGCGGGAGTAACGAGTCTCTAGCTGCTTTTCTCTCTGTAAGTTTGCGTTAGAGAAATGAATGAGCTGAGGTCGTCATTTACCGTAAGGAGTGGACTACATCAGTGCGGTTGGACTTTGCGATGATCCTATTTCAAAAACGATGAGGAGGAGACGCGCATAAGCATCAAGGCAGCTCTGAAGACAGTAAACTTGAGGTGCAATCTGTAGAATCTTGTTCCAAAGTGTATGTGCGAGTAAGGTGAGCTAACGGTGAATCCAAGTCGAGGGAGGGTGGTCGCGAGAAGGTGAATTCACACACTTGCCCACGCGGATGTAAACAAACCCAATATCATGGTCGGTGAATACATCACTGCCTGTCGAAACTGCGGTGCCCTTCGCACCATCAGCAGTACCATCATCAGAAGCCCCTTCAGGCATTTTCTTCAACACAACCTTGGTTTGTTTACCAACAGCTGCAGCAAATGCAACAAAGCGTTACAACGCGATTCTGTGCGACATCGACCACCTCGGTTTCGATCATGTGCGACTCAATGTTATATGGATGATGATTCTCCTTCGCTCGCACTTGGCTCCTACCTTGCTCCCTCGAGGGATGATATGAGAGCTGTACATTATCCCAGAATATGTCGATCAGGAGGCCGCCCGAGCTATGTTGAGGCCACGTGGATCATTGGCCGGGACGGATCGGTTCCGAGGACAGATCTGGTCAAATTCCAAATGCTCCTGGTCCCCTTCATCCATTACGTGATGGCCAGATCAGTGCCTAAGTGGCTCAAAGAGACGTGTGCATGCGAGCGATGGTTTTGCAAAAGGGTTGATAAGGTAGAAGAGCGGAAAGTGGATGAAGCTGCTTATGTTCTTCAGAGGAGTTGTTGTTGTCGGCTATTCTTGCCATCTTGCTGTTTTGGCCCCTGATTGCTCATCAGCCTCGTCATTCGTCTACTAGAATCAGCCAACCCCTTTTCTCCCTTAAGAGGATCCACGCTCCCTCAGATCGCCCATCCCCCATGGGAAAAGCGTCGTCATCGATTTCCAGCGACTCATACATTACTGCCTTCAACAGTGCTTTCGGCCCTCCTGTGGCATTAAGACCGCACCGGGTCGTCCATAAGATCAATCACGCCGGGCCGAAAGCTCGGAGTGTATCCGCACACACAAACAGCTATATCGGCAAAGAAAGATCTGTCCCACAGCTCGTACCCATCAACGCCTCACAGAATGTTGTCACTCTTACCAGATAACCATGCAATGACCGAATCAACCTCTGCAGCTCCTTCTTTCGCTCCGTCGAAGACCTTGTTCATGCTATTGCTCATTTTCTGCAGGGCATTCATAACGTTGTTGTCATCGAACAGGTCTTGATGAACGTCAAACAGTGTTCTCATGGTCTCTTGACATGTATTCATTTTCTTTCTCATGTCATCAAAACTGATCTTGACAAAACCCATCTGTTTAATGATCTCATTTTTCGCATTTGAGGGCCGGGTTGATGTAGGAGCCCGAATAGGCTGCGGGTCCCTGGAAACTTTCGCATGCATCTGTCTCGGCTGAGTTGGAGCGGAGGGCTTGAAAGCCGGTTTTGGATCTGGAACAGCTGGGAAGGCTCCGCTCGGTCGGGCGTTACCCTTGGGCCGTGTTGGGAGTTTAGTAGGCCGATGATTCTGACCTCCAGAGACCCTCTGTCGCTTTGCGCCGTTGGCGGGACCATCGCCGATGTCCAGCATATTCTCGTTTTCCGAAGATGTGAAATCGATAAGGTTCTCGCTCATCTTTCTCTTCGCATCCCACTTCTTCGCGTGCTGGGGAAGTGAGTTTGCTTTAGGCTGGATCGATTGGATCTCACGTTGTCTCTTCGCCATTGCCTTCCTCTTGTTCCTGGTATTGCGGTTGTCCCACCTCCCGCTAGGCCTGTATCTGTCAGGGTAGATTGGATCTGGTGGGAGGGAGACTCCCTTGATTTGACCTGCGCCAGGGTTTACCTGCAATGCCAGTCTCTTGACTGCCCATATCAGATCGAACAATGCTTCGTGGCTGAAGGTGTTGAAGCCTGAATTGCTTGCGGCATTGGCGACTTGGAGTTCGAAACCAGTGAGTTCGATTGCTTGAACACATCAGCGATGCTCCCACAATAGTATAAGACGTCTGCGTCTCGCATACTCCCTTGAAAAAGGCCCGTTACACCGGTGAGCCGATGTTCATACCAGCATCCGGAACCTCGCCCGCAATACCCCAAATGCTTCCATGACACGCAGGTTCCCCGTTGCTGGAAATGGCTGGCCAACCGACCCGTGTCCCAATGAGCAAAGGGACAGATATTGGTTCCAAAGGCATCGATGTTTGGACATGCCGGACCAAGGGCCCAGTATCGACATGTGTAGAGCTTGCTGACTGGATTCGAAGCCATGGCGGCCAGTCTACAGCAAGACGGCGGTAGGAGGAATCTGGTCTTGCAGCCAGAGACTGGGTAGTGGTGGGCTCTCTAGGCTCAAGAAGACACTGGAGAGGGAAGCGGAGCACGAGGTGATGCAAAGAGAAGTGTCTCTGCAATGTCAACAATACCAGATTAAAAAACAAATACAAAGTGGCGCAGTCATGCAGAACTTGAACAGCAGCAGGAAGGTACGCGAGTTGCACACACAACGGTAAAAACTCGCGTCAAAATGCGTTCAATGTCTAGTCGCAAGCAATACAACACAGCTTGTCCCCTCGTCCCTTCAAACCATCAGACTTATTCTCGCGTACATCCTTTGTCAAAAGTGACCTTCTATCCATGCACTTATGCCGATGCTCTACGCTTCAGCGACTTCAAGCCAGCCTTGACAGTGTCCGTCTGTGTCCGCAGTTTCATCAAGACATAGGCTGCTTTGGTTTCATTGAATACCTTTGAAGATCTCTTTCTGCTCGTCGTTGTAACAGGTTTGGCACCATCAGAGTCATCAGAACCAGCATCATAGTCTTCATCAATGTCCATTCGTACCGCACGGGATTTGGGAGAGACTCCTTCGCTGAGAAGCGATTCATGAGCGCCGTCTGCAGCATGGCCACAATCTCCGACCCGGGCCTTGATTGGAGCGTACAGGGGCGTCCGTGGAGGAGGCAGAAGGTCAAGAGGAGTGTGGGAGCGTGGAATATTTGCAGCCGCCCTCACTTTGCGTGAGCCACCATGAGGAGACTGCGACCGAGTAGTACTGGCAGGGGACCATGGATCGGTGAAGGACACCTTGACTGGTGGAGAACGGGGCGAGTTGACTGCAGACCAGGGGTCACTGAAGGCGATCTGTGGGGACGCCGAAGAGAGCTCGTATTTGTCCTCCCGACCCGAGTCAGTCGAGGACTCGCTAGAAGTATCAGGGACTTGGTGTGGTTTTGGCATGAGCTTCTTGACTGGGGCTCGGGACGGTGGTGTCAAGGGTGTGCGTGGGCTTGGTATGCCAGACGATGAGGTGCCAGCTCCCTGCAGCTCCAGTTCCCGGTACACCTGAGCCTGGGCTGCACATCGTTTGGTGATTTCAGGGTCGATTTGCATGGATCCAAAGCCGTCGGCGTCTTCAGGAATACACATTTCAGGGAAGTCTTTGCCGAAGACGGGTGTCAACGCATAGCGAATTTTCCAGCAGAAAGTGGCTGCCACCGCCTTCGCCGCCTCATATGGGATCCAGTAACCTGATACAACGTCAGCCCATTCAGACAAGACAAATTGCAAAACAAGCCCATTACCTTGTGCGACCAAGGCTCCTCCTGTGATGCTGTGGCATATATCTTTCAATCCAACGTTGCGGGAAAGCATCTTCGCCGGCGTTGTCTATACTGTGTCAGAAAGGTCCTGTCTTGGGTGTTCTTGTCTTCAAGCCATGTCTTGCCTTGTGCACGCACCTTGGAGTAGTTCCCACACTTGAACAGAGGCGTCGTTCGAACTAGGCCAATGTTATAGTCCCAGAGCATTGTGTACGTAGTGGAATCGCCGGGGACCTTGAATTGATACTGGAAGACTGGGCAAGGTTAGCTGGGATACGTGCTTGGTGTACCGTTCAAGTCTCACCTTCAAAGCTTTCCCTGCCTGTTCTCTCCAAGTAGAGCTTCTTCTCGCTATTGTAGGGAATATGTCTTGGATAGGACGCAATATTGCCGACAGGATAGACCTCGAACATCTGATGTTTGACAGCCAGCACTGGATCGTCATCCTCATACGGTGGATATCGACATTCCCCTCTGATGTTGCCTGGCTTGAAGACCGCGGCATCCTTACAGATCTTTTGCTTCTTTCGGATCGGCTTATGCTGCGGATCCCCGGAGGCGTCCGAGAAAGCAGACATCTGACTGTCGTGAGTAGAGATCTCGTCTTTGCTTTCCTCGTTGCTGTCTCGGTGGTCGTCATCCACCAGTGGATTGAGGAGGGAGCGAATGGCAGCCATGATCAGTTCCTTGTGTTCGTAAGAGGAGATTATCTAGCCGCAAGGGAAGAATCGATCTCTGGATAATTCCTCTTAATGTAGCTTGTTGTGGGTATCCCGCCTGTGCTTGCTTTGACTGGCAAACATAAAGTTGCAAACCCGTGTGAACACAAAGCTTTTGAGTATCCCTCAAGCTGCTCAGTGTACAAATAAAATGAATGAAAGAAAAAGGCGGCCACGAGTTCAAGAGGGGTTTGAAAGAATGAAAACACGGTCTGGCCTTTGAGATCATGCAATAACTCCTCCTGCTAAAGCAGGCAACCAGCCTGTGCTGAGGACAGACAATGCGACTTTTCTTTCGAGCATCTCCTCAGACGAATCGGAATGAAGTCGATTCTGTATTCGACTGGACATCTTGGATGAGCGGTGAAGGATCGCTCACCTTCTTCCTGGAGGACAACATGGACTGAGTTCTCAAGGTCCTTAGCAGTCGAGAACGGCACGACAAGAGAAGAGCTTGCCGACTTGAGGAATCCCTCCGAAGCCCCCAGATCCCAATCTACGCAATCACACCCTTTTCATCAAGCAGGAATATTGGATTGCAGTGCCATATACACATAGTCTTACCGTTGAACTTTTCAATTGTGGCAGTCGTGATGTCCCGGCGACTATGGGTCACCATGCAGACTTCCTTCGAGGCCGCGGAGGCTGATAAGGGAACACCGACCAACCCACCAGGGCGCTGACAACCCGCCTCGGCCCGTTGAAAATGCGCCGCGTGTGTAAGGCGATCTCTTTCACCTTTCTGCCTGTGCGGGATCTGCCCTGACGGCTTTCCAGCCCGCGAGCGGTACATTGCATCGTCAGGTTGCACAGCTTTGGCTCCTTATTGGTTAGCCTTGCCACCGCCTGTAGGGAACAAAGAAATATCAGTATCAGAATCTGCAGGCAAACACCACGTCTTTCTGGTCCATTCCTTTTCTCTTCCCTTCGATCTTGGCTTGGCTTGGTGATTCACAGCTGCAGATTACTTTGGGCCATGCAGCGTTCGTCAGGAGGGAAAGTGAAAGCATCTATGCGTAAGTGCTTGCTTGTCCAGAATGAAACATGGTAGGTAATTCTGTCAATTCTGTCATCGGTGTTCCAGTGCATGTACTTCAAGGAAAATCAGCTGATGGCATCTGTACCGCCCCTGTCCATATTTGCTCCGTTGCAACGCTAGCAAAAAGTACCAAAATCGTCAAAGCAAGTAAATCCAATACAACCACCCACTAATCGCTCTCTGAAAATCCATCCTCTGAGAAGCCCGCATCGCCGTCCTCCTCATCGTCATCATCAAATGCATAGGTTTTCTTTGCAGCAACAGCTCGTCTCGGAGGTCTAGCTGCGGATTTCCGGGTGACGGGCTCATCGGATTCAGAGGCAGTTGGAGACTTCAGAATGTCATCCGCTAAAGCATCGGCATCCATATCATCGTCTGAGTCCACCACCCTCTTCTTGGCCAGTCGCTTTGCATAGGCCTTGGCGACCGGCGACTGTTGAACCTTCTTCGTCGCAGGAGCCGCCTTCTTTGCAGGAGCTTTCTTAGCTTTGGGTTGCGTATCCTTAGCTGCCTTTTTCGCAGGGACCTTCTTGCTGGCTTTGGCCATGACCGCGTCACTTTCGGAATCATCATCACCCGCGCCGGCCGTAGCATTGGCTTTCTTAGGGATGATATCGTCCTCGGACTCGTCGGCGACTTTTGATTCTTCCTTGTTCGTGACAACGATGGAGCGTCGAGGCGATTGTTGAGGAGCCAGCATCTTGTAATCAGTCTCGTCATCCGACAGATCCAAAGTGGCTTTTGGCGCTGGTTTTACTGGCACCATGTGGCCGTGACTGCTGGTCGGCCGGGAGGCGGAAGCGGAGAATAGGGTTCTCGATTCGTTGGCGGGGTCATTCGCTGTTTTGCTGGGAAGTCCCTTGACCATATCACCAAGATCCGCAAGCAAGCCGTCTCCATTGTCACTGTCAGAATCGCTGATCAAAGCATAATTTGTCGGCTTCTTTGTGACGGCACGGGCTTTCCTGTTGGCCGGCTTCGGGGGATCCTCCTCCGAATTGGCTTCGTCCTTGACAGTCGCAATATCCCCATTGGTTTCAGGCTGCGCAGTTGCAGGTGGCTCGGTCCCCTCACTGGAACCATCAGTGTATAGCTTACGATGCTCCATCGCATTTTTCAAAGCATTGGTCTTGGGAGCAGTGTAGGCCGTAATCGAGCGTTGTTTCTGTGCCGGCTTTGCTGCGTGCGCAGTCTTCTTCGCTTTGGGAGCTGACATCTCAAAATCGGAATCGTCGGAGTCACCAAGACCCTTGCGCTTCTTGACAGCTTTCGAGCCAAGCGCTGTGGCAAACTTCTTTGACTCACGTCTCCCTTTTCGAATGTTTCGCTTTCGGTTATGTTGATCCTCGAGCTGGAACCTCCATTCAGAAATGAATTCGTCAAGGTCCTCTCTCCATAGATCCTCCTTGGATTTTTTCATCAGGGCATCGACTTCGGCCTCCTTGTCACCAATTTGTCTCAGGAGCTTCTCTACACGTTCTTGTGTAAGAGACCAGAGAGGCATGCCGAGAAGGTAGTCATAGGCGCTGGCATCGACAGATCCCTCGTCTTCGTCTTCGGCGTCCTCTTCGGCCACTGGCAGAATTTCATTCTGCTTGGACGCATCTACAGTTTTCGGGTAAGCGTCAAACCCGAGCTTCTTCAGTTCTGCGACGAGGACAGCCTTCTTCTTCTTGGAGATGTTTAGCTTGCCATCGATGATCATCTGCACGAAGCGTGCTTGATTGGTCAGGCGCCGGAGCGTTTTGTTCATATCTTCCAGAAGCCACTCCTTTCGCTTGGCGTACATCTGGAGACGATAGCGGTAGAACTCGTCCATGATGGCTTCCACGTTGGCATATTTGGTGATGCGTCCCTCCGGGTCAAATGCGACCAGATTTGATGTTGCAATGGACTTGGTGAGTTTGAACTTCTCCACCAATCCCTCCTCCACAGCAGACTTCATGTGTTTCTCATCCAACTGAATGACGAAGTGCACAGTCTCGTGGGTGTTGTAGTCCTTGTAGTCCTTGATGAAGGATGGCACCTTTTCAGCCTTGATGATCTCTTCAAGCTTGTCCTTGAAGTCCTGTGTCCATGTTCGGATTGGCAGTTCGGTGATTTCCACTTCGTTGTCGGCTGTTTGCTTGATGATGCCGCTAAAAAGGAATCGATCAGGACCACCTGCTTTGACTTCGCCCTTAAAGCCTCGATACCAGGGCTGCATGGGTTTCCAATCTTCGCCGTTCATTCTGCGTTTGAGATTCTCCACAATGTCCTCAGGATTATAATTTGGAATATAAGAACTCCAACCAGTACCGATACCGTCAGCGCCATTCACAAGGACCATAGGAATGATCGGGGCATATACTTCGGGTTCGATTGTCCGTTCATCGTCTGTATTGTACTTGAGCAGTGCCTCATCATCCGTGTGGAAAAGTTTCCTCGCGAATGGCGATAGACGGGTGTGGATGTAACGAGCACTGGCGCAGTCGTTGCCACCTTGATTCCGCGTACCGAATTGACCAGACGGCTCCAGAAGGTTGACATTGTTCGAGCCAACAAAGTCTTGTGCCAAGCCAACAATTGTTTGCTGCAGAGACGCCTCTCCATGGTGGTAAGCAGTCATTCCACTGACCAACCCTGCTAGTTCGGCAACCTTCATATCCTTCTTCAGGTTTCGCTTGAAGCATGCGTACATGACTTTCCGCTGACCCGGTTTCAAGCCGTCGACAACAGAAGGGATCGATCGAACATTGTCCGCCATGCTGAAGAGGATTAACTCTTTGTTGACGAAATCGGAGTACGAAATTATTTTCGCTGAGTGGTCGAGATATGTCCCTGCCTTGAACTGACGCAGCCATTCTTTTCGCTCATCCGCCTTCTTCTTTGAAAAGGCCAACTCTATCAAGGAAGCCTCTTCATCCTTCATGACGTCGAACTCCTTGTGATGCTTGTCAATGTCATTGAAATATTGTTGTGCATCTTCAGACGTGCTGGTACCCAATCCCTTGTAGTACTTGTGTTCCCAACCACGTTCATGCTTATGTGCTTCTTTCCATGCCTCGTACTCTGGCATGGTATAGAACGCCCGAGATTGGGATGGATTCTTTGGGTCGCCTCTGTACACTTTGACGATGGGGGTGATGAACTCAACTAGAAATTTTGGAATCTTCAGCAGGCTGGGGAACTGGACCTGCAGGAAGTTGATCAACAGGCCCTTAATATGGCTCCCATCATGATCCTGATCGGTCATGATCATGAGATGCCCATACCGGAGTCCGTGTGTATCCGTGTAGACTTTCTTGTGCTGAAGTCCCAGGAAGTTCTTGATGTTCTGGATCTCCGCATTTTTCGAGATCTGGTCGATAGATGCGTCTCGAACGTTGAGAAGCTTGCCACGAAGAGGAAACACGCCAAACAGATCTGGTCCGACAACAGCCCGTCCTGCCAGTGCGAGCCCTTTCGCCGAATCACCTTCCGTCAAGATCAAGGTGCACTTATGACCTTCTCTTGTACCTGCTTTGTTGGCATCTGTAAGCTTAGGATTGTTCATACGGCTCCGCCTGCTGCCGTCTGATTTCTTCAGTATCTGATCAGCTTTTTGCTGCGCGAAGTGCAAAATATTGTTGATGACTTCTGTCTTGGCCACCTTCTTCATAAACTCCTCAGAAACCTGGCATTTGCTGCCGAATTGACTCGGTTTGGTGGTAAGCTGTTCTTTGGTTTGAGAGGTGAACGCGGGGTTGACAATCAACGCGTTGACGAAGATGAAGATGTGATTTCGGATCTGGTTGGGCTTCAAGACTGCGCCCCCTTTGTTCTTCTTCTTGACAATATCCATCAGGCGGTTGACGATCTGGTCTGCAATGTAGTTCACGTGTGTGCCTCCCGAGGTTGTGGCAATGGAGTTGACAAATGACACCTGTTGGAACGAGCCATCAGAAACAGCGAACCCAATCTCCCACCGTGGATCCGGCGACTCTGTGATGATTTCAGAGCTGTCGTTTGCCGCTTCCTCGCCTCGCTCTTTCTTGATAGCTTTGGTGTACATTTCACAGTACTTCTTGAAATTTCGCACCGGAACACGGGAGCCGTTCAATTTTACCGCAACTCCCTTGCAGGTGCCGGCTAAATCGTAGACCCGGCGCTTGAAAAGCGCCTCGAGGTCATCATCCATGGCATCCATGCCAAACTTCTCAAAATCTGGGTGGAACGTCACTTTGGTGAAATCCTCGCCTTTGGTGGTATCTGTGATTTTGGCCTTTCCCATCTGAGACATGTTCTTGGTCCAAATTTGCTTGTACTTCTTCTTCTGACGGGAATCTGCAGTTTCGACCGTGAACTCAGTACTGAAGATATTACAGAGCTTGGCACCGTAACCGTTTCTCCCACCAGTGATCTTTTGTTCGTTATCGTCGTAATTGGAGCCGGTGAGCAAGTGGCCAAAGATCATTTCAGGGATGTAGATCTTCTCCTTTGAATGGATCTCAATGGGAATGCCCCGGCCGTTGTTCCAGACACTGATTTCTCCCTTTCCTCGGTCGATTGTGACGCGGATTTCGTCCATTGTCTTGTCGTTTTGCTTGTTGTCGGCTGCATTGACCAGAATTTCGTCAAAGATTTTGAAGATACCCGGGACATACGACACTTCTCGGAACTCCATACTATCTTGCTCCGTGTTGTAGACCCACATCTGCTTCTCTGTGCGTTCGACTGAGCCGATATATGTGTCAGGACGTTTGATAATATGCTCCAGCTGTGTCAGCTTCTGGTATTGTTCCGAGACACGTTTCTTCTTCTGTGGCTGCGGCGAGTCGTTTGCGCCATCGGTACCTATGGCTTCATTGACCACGTCACCAAGCGGCTTTTTGTGGCTGCCTTTGACTGGGTTGGGCTTTGCCTTCTTCGCTTGCGGTGGGGTGTCGCCCAAAAGTGACTCGTCGTCAAAGACTGGTATGGACTCATCTTCCGAGGCCGCATTCTCATCATCTTTCTTTGAGCGCTTCTTTGGTACAGCTGCCTTGGGTTTCGGTCCTGGTTTCCCCTTGGGCGCAGTTGACTTTTTGGCTGCGGGTTTCGTGGCGGCGGCCTTCTTGACTGGCTTGGCCTTTGCCTTCTGTGGCGGGTTAGTCGCCGTTCGTGCTGGTTCTCAGAGTCGCACTTACTGTAGCTGGCGCAAAGTCCGAGCTGCCGTCGTCGACGTCGAACATTGAGTCGTCCATGATTGCGAGGGGCGATCGAAAAATGGGTTGCGAGTGCTTGTCTAAAAGCGCCCGTGAAGAGGGCCTGATACTGATCGCACTACTTGCATGAGTAGAGGGGACTGATGCGGACCTGAAGTTCCGCTCAGAGTTCGAGGCTGGTTCGTGTACTGCGTTGGGCTTTGTAGCGGCCACTTGAAGAACCGAAGATTTGTTTACGGTGCGATCATGTCAACAACAACATCAAATGCAAGGTTTATCGCACGCCCAGTTACGCGCAATCTTGGCGCGATCATGCGCTAACCTATTTAGGTAGCAGGCTAATACTGTGCTTAAGGGTCGGCAACTTGGTCTTGATTAGAAGATAATCTCGTTTAGTAAGGTTACTGGGTACTAAATATTATGAGCGCTCAGGTAGCTAATGGAACAACCGAGTTGTGATATACAGAGTACATTCATTCGAGTATGCTGTGAGCACCTGTGCATGTAGGATGATATTGGGTATTGTGAAACTTTAATACAGCTCTTTCGCTCAAGTGACAAGAGAGCGGAAGCGGGAACGCGTCTAGAAGCCAACCCCTGGAACGCGGCGACTACACAAACTGGAAGACGGTCTACTCAAGTTGCCCTCGGCAGATCCTTCTGGTGCAATGGGGAGTTTCTACTTGAAGTGTCTACCTACTAATAAAACAGAGTGATGTTACCGCAACTTGAACCAGCAGCGGTCAATGTTCTTTGTGAAGTTGTACGCTTGTCACTCCTAAGGAGTCTGAGCACTGACACCAGATGATGATTTGTTGGACTTCTTTGCGGGTGAATAACCCCCACAACAACTTCCCATTGTTGACGCGCCTGGTCGGGACCTCCCGTCGAACACCATCGCCTGCATGCACTCACACAACTTACAAGCATGCCCTTTGTGCCAGTGATAACCCCATGTGCTGCGTCGTTCATGGTGTCAACAGTGATTCTTCTTCTGTCAGTTAAGCTTGAATATGATTATAGGAACCGAAATTGCTGGAAACGATCGCCGATCAGCATTGGACGGGCCATCTGATGGAGGGTGCCACCTTAGGAGTAGCATAGCAGACCAGGTTTCACCAGCCCCTGGCCCACCTCAGACTGGTGTTCTGATCCATCCTGCGCACTGTGCTTCAGGTCTTCAACTCTCTTCTACCAGGTCTGCTGCCTTCTTGCCCCCCTGTAGTTGTCCTCGACGACGTCCATTCCTTTATCTTGCGCTGGTGTAGGATCAATTACTCCCCTCGCACGGTCGCTGGCGAACCTTGCGGGCAGTCTTTCCTTTGATCTTTGTTGCACACCCAACCTCCACGAGAGTTCACTCATTCACCCTCCACTTTGTCACTTTGGCCGTCTCTGCCTCTTCAGGCGGCCTCTCTCTTAAGGCAGAGCCATCGTCACCATTGGAAGCGTCACTCACCATGGCCGAAATTGCAATGGACGTCACGCAACATATGTCCCTGGGATATGCTACCGAGACCGAAGTCGAAATATGCCCAGAAGATATTCCCCTTCCCCGGAGCTCTATGATCACTGTACGCCTCTCCGATGCTTCCGCCTTCTCCGTCCTCGAGGAAGATGTCGAACTGGATGTCTCGCCCGAAACTGCACCGCTTGGAAGCTCTCCTTCATCTATACGTTCGAGCCGTTCATCGTCACAGTCCTCCGATAAGTCCGCTTCATTGAACTTGGTGAACTGGGAAGGTCTGGAGAAGACGGAGGAGCAAGAGCCTCGGGATGAGGCGTCTGATGAGGTGAGTCTACACAATGGTGCATTCGAATGCCACAGACTGATTCGCATAGTCAACCGCCCTCTTGCTCGCCCGTTTAGAGAAGGAAAATGCTGCTTTGGCGACGGACCCGAAGGCAGGCATTGCTCCACGTACCCGAGCGCGGAAGAACACCCGACCACCGTCGATCCAGCAGCTGAAGAGGATGGTTGATGGCCCACAACGTCAGTCGTTGAGATACTCACTGCTTCCTGCTCCGCCAATGACAGAATTGGAATTCTGGGCCGCATTGGTTCAGGATTATACACAAACGGCCCAACGACTTCCCACCCTCACCTCTAACAAGATCCGCGGCGGTGTGCCACCTCCTCTGCGTGGCGTGGTCTGGCCCAGTATAGCCAGGGCGCAGGATCCTTATCTCCATTCTGAATACCAAAGACTCTCCAATGAGCCAAGTCCATATGATGCTCTGATTGGCAAGGATGTAGGGAGAAGTTTCCCAAATGTCGATATGTTTCGGGAGGAAGATGGTGACGGCCAACGAATGCTGGGGAAAGTGTTGAAGGCTTTCAGCCTGCACGATGACAAGATTGGATATTGTCAGGGTCTTGGTTTCGTCGTCGGGCCCCTTTTGATGCATATGACCGAGCCAGAGGCTTTCAGTATCCTCGTGAGGTATGGCAATATCATGGCACCCCACGGTGAGAACACATGCTGACGGCCTACAGACTCATGGAGCATTATGACCTTCGATCGTGCTATCTGCCCGACCTATCTGGACTCCATCTTCGAATCTACCAGTTCCAGCAACTCTTGACTCGCCATCTACCTGACTTAGCGGCTCACTTTGACGACCTCAAAATCGAACCAGTCTACGTATCCCAGTGGTTTTTGTCCTTTTTCGCCGTTACCTGTCCGCTCCCAATGTTGCTACGGATTTACGACGTTATTTTGTCCGAAGGCGCCACGGAGACCCTGATGCGAGTTGCTCTTTCGTTGATGCAACGGAATCAGAAGAAACTGCTTGCATGCTCAGAGTTCGAAGATGCCATGCAGTTTCTACTGTCACGGAGTCTGTGGGACACCTATGCTCAGCAGGCGGATGACCTTGTGGCAGATTTCGTGTCTCTCACCAGCTTGGTCAGCCAGGAACATCTTCAGTCCTTGGAGACCACCTTCCGTCAGTCCCAAGATCTTTCTGCAGCCCCTTCTTTGATGACTGCAGCGTCAAACTTTCTGGGCCGATTTTGGGCTGCCTCCTCACACGCGCCGTCTCGCTCCGCAAACCTGAGCCTGCTCATTCCTGGCAACAACAAATCAATTCGGAAATCATCTTCGGGACACAGTCTTACATCTACGCTCAACTCTGTCGAGACCAGCAATTCAGATGCAAGTACGATCGCCACTGAACTGTCCGATGAGTGCTCTGTGAAAGTGGTATCTTCCACCGTTGTAACAGCGGAAGCCAACGTTACTACGGCAGCAACCTCTAGTGATCGGAATTTACACCATCAGATTGAGGACCTACTCACCGAATTATCCAAGCTGCAACGTCAACACGTCGAGCTCGCTCGAGAACTCCAAAGAGAGCGTGAAGAACGCGAAGAAGATCGCCAGATTGCAAGGACATTGCTAGACCACCTTCAACGACAAACTGCTGCTATCCGAGAAATCGCAGAAGGAGAAGCCAATGACGAAGACATCGCTTTGGACACGCTCATGGAAGACGCCGACCGACAGTTATGTCGACAAGATTCGAAGCGGACGTCCATTATCCAATCGAAGCATCAGCTGCGCGACGCGGTATCGGAGTGGAAAGAAAAGCATGAAGCTGAGGCCCTGAAGTGTCGGGAACTCATGAAGCAACTCGATGAACGAGAAGCAGAACACAATTCGCTCAAAGAGGATTTGCGTGAAGCGCGGGCGCGCATCCAGGATGCGCATAAGGACAAACAACGCCTGGAAAGGACAGTCTCGGAGCTTCGCTCACGAAACAACTCCGTGCCTGACTCACCTTCGGATTTGTACACCCCTGTCGCAGAAGCCCCAGACTTGAAATGGCCTCCTTCAAAAACCGGCCTTCGGGAGCTAAAATTGGGCAAGCCAGATTCTACCAGAACCTCCAGCCTTGGGCCGTTTTCGAAACGATCGAGCAGCCTCAATACCCAAGCTATTCTCGCTACAGAGAATCACGAGCCTGTGTCCAACGATGCGCTCTTGCTCGAGTTGGTGAATGCGAAGACGGCCGAGGCCATGGCTCGACAAGAACTCGAAGAGACGAAAGGAAAGCTAGAATCTCTTCGAAAGATACTGAGTGGCTCGACGTCGTCTCCCTCCGCACGCGTGGCTTCGTCCGTCTCACCTACGTCGTCCAATGCTTCGACAGTAAGCCCAAGCACAAAGGAGCCACCCAAGCCTGCTCATGCAACATCTGCAAGTACGGGCGGATTCTTCAGTGGTTGGGGAAAGCGTAGTGCTTGACCAGTCCACCTGAATCTCAATGACTCCTATATTACTGTGGAACTTTCTTGCGATGGATGATCTGGATAGTAGCCAGTTGACTGGCCTGATGATGGGACAATAACTTTTACGTAGCGAGACTGTCAATTTACTGAAGAGACTCTTTGGCCTTGCTCGAACTGTTCCTAATCCCCATGTCTTGTATGCTCATTCTCTGGTAGCTAATGCCCGTGGCTGTCGAGATATCGTAGCAAAAAAAGATCGAGTTCTCCGTCCTCCGCTCGGCTGCCTCGACCCATGCAACCTAGAATGTATTGGTACTGCTAAAGTTTCCTTAGGCCAAGGGGCTTCTTCCCATGCTGACATGGCTAGCCGCACCACCTTCGTCCACTGATCAAGTATAAGATTGATTCTGCAAAGGAACTAATGGAGGATCCTCATGGCCCTTCGATCATTCTTATAGTCTCGCCATTGGCTCACGGTTGCTCTGCACAGAAACCCCAGGTAGGTGCGTACCTAGAGAATGTAATCTGGACTTATCACCTCATTGAAAGATGTTATGACACCAACGGGGAGTACCTCTGCTCCCTGCTGTGGGTAAGAGACATTGTCCTGAGTGGGGAAATAGCTTCCGGCCTGGGAGAAATGATAGTGGATCCATTCCATGCAGACGTCTCGACCTCCGTTGTGATCGATCGGCTTGAGCAATATTGAACCTGTACTTCCTTCTGACTGAATCCAAATGATTTGCCCATTCTTCTTCTCCTTGTGAACCTTCAAAGTCTCTTTAATATGCAGTCGCCCGTATGACCGCTCCGAAGCTCCAAAGCCCATGTCATCAAGGGCGTTGTCTGCGGCAGAGCTAAACCCATAGGCAGTGATAGGAAAAGGAGAGACCCAGTGCACAGTGTATGAGTAAAGTGACAGAGAAATATCCCAAGAACGATGAAAAGGCACAACGGTGATAGGCAGCTGATTTCCTGGGAAAAGCAGGATAGTCAACCACCACAAGGCTGAGGAGGGCAAGGGGTTGAAGTGCCATTTTCTGACGCTGCTTTAACCAGGGCGGAGTACAGACAATGACGGTACAGGCCCATGTCCCGCTCACCGTGGACATAGCTTGCAGGGTTCGCCCCAACAGCCTTCATGGCATAATCTCCAGAGCAGTATAGCAATGAGATACAAAGATCCACTCTCGCTCCCAGCATGGAATCATTCATGAAACTCGTTCAACACGAGGTAGCCTCAGACTGTGGCCAACCCCATCGATAAGGATCAAGGCAAGCCTTATCGGTAGTAAAACAACGCTTGACCTACCAGGGTAATCTACCCGAAGACATCACGTGTAGAGCCATGCTTGGCGTGGCATTTGAACAGCACTCAAGCACTCCTTGTCCTGTGCCAGTGTCAGGCTTCCAACCTCACACTTACAGGTTCATTCAGCGACAAAGCGTGTTCAGCTCGCCCATCGATCTCTTCAGTCCGTCGTGGACAGTGATACTTCCGTCATAGCAGAGACCCTGAAATCTCTTGACATTCTGGACAACGGGCAAAAGACAGCCAACTCAGTGTCGTAGTGCTCCGAAGCGACAGGGCAACTGTAAAATGGCCAGCTCCGCTCCCGGGAAAGAGATTTGCCTATCCGACGCGGGTATATCTCGAGGATGGTCTCGCCAGTATTAAAACTCCGCATCCTCGTCCGCCAGGACATACTTGAGAACCAGCACAGGAGACCTGTGATGCCGCTCAAGAAGCGAGGAAACACCCCGCATGATGGCCCTGTGGTTGTTTGCAGCATGTCTGTGGACCTCTCAGCACTGCGAAGAGGTAATTGTATCACTGTTCCTTTACTTTTCTTGCCTTTCAGGATGCCCAAGCCTTTTCAACACAGCATCCCATACTGGTGCTCTGCATGAACGTTCATCTGGCTCAACTGCAGTCAGTAGACTTGAATTGGTGACCGAACAAGCCCCGAGGGCGCCTGAAGTCTGCCCGGGGTCATAATGCTCTTCGGAAGAACGAGCTTGCGTGGCCATGACCATCGTTCTCTGCTCGCCCCTCCGCAGGCCGGTGGCTGAGTGAGGAGAAGGCATGTATATGCATGAAATCACGCATTGATCGTTGATGTATGAGTTGTGAGGCGTGTTGGCGGCCTACCAACTGGACAATGACAAAGAAGAGAGGGGCGCGGTATCAGTCGAGTGGCGTGAAGATGCAAGTACGTTAGCGAAGTGCTTACTAGGAATTAGGTCAACCTTGTCGACTTACCGAGGTGAGGGCAGAGCTGCGAAGACTGGCAACAGTTGAGACTGTTGCAGAGCGGAGCACCTGCACGTCACGGGTCATTGATGCAGCTCTTTTTGGGAAGAATCTCGCCAGCCACTAACACTAGCAGGGCCACTGGCCGCAAACACTCGAATCAACTTCTCATTTTCCGCCTGTTCTAGCACGACTCCAACCTGCCGCGCCATTTCGTTAACTGTGTTGGTTTCTCTGCTCCCTTTGAATCAACACAGCAGGTTGTACTACACTACTTGCCTGAACATCGCCCCCTTTTGGCCTACTCCTTGTTTCCTACACTGCTTTGACTGCTTTTGTTATCCATCCTCAAAAAAGCAACGCCAAATCTCTTCCCAAGCCTCCAAATCGATTGTCAGTGAGATGGCCAAAGACAACCCGACACCGGAACGAGCTCCGCCCTCACGAAGCCTCCCAACGACCGAAACCTGGTCCGATCTGAACTATGTAAACCATCTCTATCCGGAGATCGGAACCCATGAAGCCTATTTGCATCGCAGAACCTCCGAGGATCGAGTTATCGCAAATCTTGAGATCCATCGACCTCCCCACCACAACACGCATAGCCCACGTCGCGAAATGCTTCTTGAGGGAGGAGTACAGTATCACAAGGCGATGTTACGGTGGCATCAGAAACGGTTGAAAAGAGTGTTGCGAGATGGTCTGGATTCCGATGCAATTGATACTTGGCCTCCTCAAGCACAAACCTCTATGGAACAGATAGACCCGGCACTTTTTGGGGTCCACGACGCTGTTGCAGAAGCCGTGGAAGCTACTGGCTCTGAACGAGTCTCTGAACTCCAGGAGGCTGCTGACTATCAATATGCTTTGGAGGTACAGGCTGCCGAGTGGGTTGAGGCTCCTCCCCATGGCCAACAAGGCCTTAGATCCCCCGAAGCTCTTGACTACGAGCACACTCCTGCAACTCAAGATGCCACCAGAGTTCAGAGCCCTGTTGAACCCGAACAGTCTCCCGAGTCACAACAGGATACTGAATCCGAGTCTGATCATGAAGCACAAGTCGCACGCCAGTTTCTTTTAGACATGCAGGGCATCGTGGCTGAGAAAGCCAAAGACGCTTATTTGCCTGTGCCAGAATTTGACCCTTTTGGTGAGGTTCGTGCTGCCCAGAAACCTCTGTATCCAGATCCCCTTTTGGGCAGGCCTGTTCTGGCCAGTGAGGTTGTCCATGACCAGATGCCACTTGAGGGCACGGGGCAGCCCGAAGAAACGAGAAAACGTGCCCACGTCAACGCACCGGTCTCCTCTCGGACGCGTGCAAAAACTCTAGCCCCGGTTGAGGGAGCAAGACCGAACACGCCGATGATCCCTGGAAATGTCGAGGAGGAAGGGCAAGCGAGTCTACCTCAAGCCCTAGGCCTCCACGGTATGCCAGAAGGAGATCAGTCCGCAACTACTGTAAACCCAGACGTTTTAGCAACTGGTGGCGGCAGCTCAGAAACTCCACAGGTCCCCAGTTTGCAAGACCTCCAACCATCATCAGTGTTTCCTGGTGCCTTTTGGTCTGACTGGCTCTCAGATTTCCCCCCAGCATCAGGTCCTTCCCTTTCTCACTTCGATTACAGACCACAGACTCCACCAGAGTTGCACCCTCAATCCAATTCTGGATTTCACGGACAAAATTACTCGTCCTCATTGCGTCCCCATGTTCCTTATCCTGGAGAACAGTCAGAGACATTTACGAGCACGTGGTCGCTAGCAGATGAAATTCGGAGATCCAACGCGATGTCAGCTGCTTCCAGTGGCAATCCGAACGTGGACATGTCGCTCGGGGCGACAACGGCACCTCCATCATACATGCCGGAAAGCCGCCGTGGAATTAAACTCACATTCTCTCTAGCCAAAAATTATGGCCCTCCTGGTCTTGGTCCGGACGCGGACGAAGGTCGTCCGATTACACCGCCAGCGCCAGGGTACTGCCGTAAGACTTACGTTGAGAAATCATTAGCAGAAGAATTCGGAATTATACTCGACGAAAGCTCAGGCAGTGAGTTAGAGGATGAACCAGAGGGCGAACAAGAAGGATTCTCGACCGAGTCTGGTTCCGACTCCAATTCCAATTCCGAGTCCGGGTCTGAGAGGTCTCCTAGGCCCAAAGACGATAGTCCCAAGACACGTGCCAGAAAAGCCTTGGGGCCAATCAGTCCGAAATCGCACGCGCGTTACATGGCGGCCAACAAGGATCCCGCAAAACATATCCCCGATCCTGCTATCATAGCAAAGCTGCAAAAGTTGGCCAGAAAAGATCTCAAGCGCAAGGCCAAGAAAGAGAACCGTGAGGCTGAAGAGGCATCGCCCAAAGCCAAAAGCAGAAGATTGGGGCCAAAAAGGACGTGAACGTTAGCGATTGGGAAAAAAGGAAGAAACAATTCTTGTCGAAACAGCAATAATGGAGCGAAGGTGGCAAGCCGATGGACATTGGCGGGCGAAAGAGCGAAGGGTCTTTTGCGAACGAGGCCGAGAAGACAGTTTGCTTGGAAGAGCTGCTTTGAGCAAATTTCTATTGGGTACTCCGTCCATCACTTTCGTAAGAGACGTATTGGTTATTACCTTTCAATCATACGGGGATGGGTTAAGCCAAACCGACAAGACTTAGCGTCTTCTCTCTGGGTGCGAGCCAAATTCACCACACTTCGACCAAGAGCTTTACTGCTAGCTAAGCTGCGAACACCGCTGTCTACTGACGTGAACCAAGACCGAACGAGGAATCCCCCAGATGCCAGTTTATCGAGGTAGACGGACAAAAGTTGCGTTACCGACTCCTTGCTGGGGTGTGATAACCCATGTATTTTGACCAAGTTGAGGCTATTGAACCGTGATACGTGATACCTGGAGTGAACGGGTGAGGTTGGCCATTCTAGACTGCACTATTCTCCCCCTTGACAGGAGACCTTGTTTGGTGAGAAGATTTATACCTCATTCCTCGTCATCACTGCTCGGGAAATCCAGATCGAGTTTCCTCTTGGGTTGTTGCGAAGGGGCTGGAGCATGAGCGGTGATAGATCCCCGAGCTTGCGAGCCACTCGGCCTGCCATCGCCTCCAATGGACCTCCTGGACATTTCCGGACTGGGCCATTCACGGTGTTCTTCCTCTGGTACATCTGCTTCGTGCTCTGGTTCGGCAATGTCCTCTGTATCCCGGACCATTCTTTCCACTTCCCGGTCTATTGCAGCCTGCGCCTCGGCGTCTCCCCCGTCTCCTCCCGTAGAGGCGGTATGTTGCTGCCGCTCCTGCAGGAGCTGAAGCTGTCCTAGCGCACCAACGCGGAGCAAATTCGCATCTGGGAACGCCATACCCATCTGCGCGCGAGTAAGAGCGATAGTGTTATTGATGCGCTCGAGCTCAGCCTCGGTCTCAGCAGTGGCATTCTCATTGGCATCCCCTTTCCCGCCTACTGAGTCGGGACCAACGCCATTCGTTGTCGTTGTAGCTGTAGATGCTTTGTTTCTCGCCGCAATCTTCCTTCTGATGGCTTCTGCTTCTGCCTCGCGTGCCGCCGCGGCATTGTGTTTCCCGATCCGCGCTGCAAACGATAATAGTGTCTGATAGTCAACTTCTGCCACCTTTGAGTCTGTGTCTTGATCTGCTTCCGCGCCATCTGCGTCCGAGTCCAGTGAATCCAGGATAGATGGGTGGATATGGCCGATCTCTTGTCTAAGAGCCACGCATTGTCGGATGGTGTCTCTGAGCTGTTCTTGCAGGTTCACGACCTCGGCCCGGAGGTTCAGGATCCGCGCATAGTTCTGCTGGTGCCTTTGGAGGAGGTTGAGAGACGCAGTAAGATTGTCGTCGTCCGAGACAAGATCCCTGGCTATCTGCGGCGCATTGGTGAAGGTGTTGGTTTGCGTGAGGGAGGTTATGAGGGAGTTTAGATGGCTTTCTAACGAGTCTAGCGGTGCCAGGACGACGGAGTCCATGGTCAAGAGTGAGTACGAGAATCTGCGATCCTGCCCGGACCAGAGAAACTGCGTTGGCTCATGCAGAAATTCGATTCGCAACAACAGGGTTGTAACATGTCAACTCCGGGGAACCGTAAAACTACGTTGTACACGCCGCGAAAGGCCCGACGCGGAGGAATTGCTCCAGACGAAGTTGAGCCGCGCACGTGATCTCTATGTCTACTTCAACTTGAACTTCATCTCTTTCTCTCTGCGCTTGTACTACCATGGTCATTATTATTCGGGCACTATAATCGACCTCATCTTGCAATTTTGAGCTTTCCCTGGTGGCGGCCTTTGCAAAATGCCCGTGAACCACATACCCTTTTCGTGGATTGGATTGTAATTGCCGGCCACGGTTCTAACACACTCTAGCCTCACACCACACCACCAGCAAATAGCATTGTTCCTCCCTGGCAGCTGTCAAAGTATCGTCCCAGATATCGTCCAATCGCTTATCTCCTAAGTACTGTCACCCACGAGCAACTTGCAGCAGTTTCAGTCAAAAGGTGACATGGCATAATCCGCCGAATCTGCATGAAGTTGCCATCGTGGGTACAGGGGCAGTCTAAGTGACGCCTCCAGGACGTCTCGTCCGCCACGTAACAGATGGGAGACCCAGTGAAGAGAACGACTACTACCACTACTAGCTGGCTAGATCGTCTTGCTTTGCTGCATGCGACTTCACAAGTCTTCAGGCCATGCAGCAAACCCACCGGGCCTGACCATCCACCGCCACGCAGATAGCGTGTTGTTTCATCAAATCGCATGCCACGCATGAGGTTTGGGTACGAATCGTCTTGGTACCTTCACTAGTGAGGTAGGAAGCCCGTGGCCTCGGGATTTGGGTTTGTATAAATGTCACTTTTCTTCTCTCTCGCTTGATAGCCAGTGGCACTTTTACAAGCAAAACTAACACTCATAGCATAAATGTTGCTGACACATCTATGGTCAAAAGACCTCACGACGCTTGTCGGCGAGGTCGCGGCAGCCAGCTTTCTTGTTTATCTCCTCGGCCTTTTCATCTATAATCGATACTTCCATCCACTGAAGGATTTCCCCGGACCATTCTGGGCTTCGGTCACGTCTTTGTGGTATTGCCGAGCGGTTCGCTGTGGCCGAGGAGACGACTACCAACTTCCCATCCACAAGAAATACGGCACATTCGTAAGACTGGCGCCCAACCTTGTCCAGATTTCGGATCCGGCAGCCATTGAGACAATTTACGGGCCGAAACATGAATTCGTCAAAGGCGACTTCTACCTGGGATTCAACCCGAAGATATCCAAGAGGCAAGATAATTTCACGGAAGCCAACGAAGCCGCCCATACTCGTCGACGGCGGACCGTGGCTCACCTATACACGCAGGCAGCGGTGCTGGAATACGAGCCATGTGTGGACCGATGTATCGCGCTCTTCTACAAGAGAATGGAGGAGTTCGCCGCCTCCGGGGCCGTCACCGACATGGCCGTGTGGCTGAGGAAGTACACATTCGACATCATCGGCGAGATCTTTTACGGACGCGAAGGCGGATTCGGCTTCATTCGCGACAACATCGACTACAACAACTGGTGCCATCTGATGGACGTGATGCCGAACCCGGTCGCTGCGATCTCGTATGTGCCGTACGGCCTGCGAAATCTGTACTTTATGTTCCAGATGCTGTGGCCGGAGACCCGGGCGGGCGCCAAGGGCTTCTTCACCGTCATCGACCAGTCTCACGCCGCTGTCAAGCAACGCCTGGACGACATCGCAGCCGGGAAACCAGTGAATCGGCAAGACGTGCTAAGCAAACTTTTGGACATTGTCAGTGAGGGGAAGCATGCCGACTTTGGTTTGCTCGACGTGACCACGGAGATCTGGACCATGATCTGGGCGGGCAGCGACACGACGTCGATTGCGCTTTGCTCCATTTTCTATCATTTGCACAAGAACCCCGCGACGCTGGCCAAGTTGCGGGAAGAGATTGACACGGCCTTTGCCGACGGCACACTGAAAAAGCCCATCCGCTTCAATGACGCCATCAAACTGCCCTACTTGCATGCCGTGGTGCGCGAAGCCATGCGCATCCATGGCTCTCTGGGCACGGGCCTCCCGCGCGTCGTACCGCCGGGCGGCGTTGAGATCTGTGGCCGCTACTTTGCCGGCGGCACCGAAGTCATCATGAATTCCAATGCCGTGCAGTTCGACAAGGCCGTTTTCGGCCACGACAGCGAGTCTTTCGTCCCCGAGCGCTGGCTGCGCGACGGCGAACGCGCTGCCGCACACATGGAGAGGCACACGTTGCAGTTCGGCTATGGCAAGCGCATCTGTATCGGCCGCCACATCACGAACACCGAAATGTACAAGTTGCTCCCGACCATCCTGCACGACTTTGAGTTCGAACTGGTCGGCAATCGAGAGTGGGAGGTGTGGCGCGGCTGGTTCCATCAGCCAAAAAATGTCAATGTCAGAGTGACCAGGCGGGCGCCCAACTTGAAGTCATGAGTCGCAACATCGAAAAATGATGAGAGCACCAGGGGAGTTTTGAAGGCGGTGTGCTGTTGAGCCGAACATTTTACTAGACCGGTCAATTGATTGCAATCAGCGTACCTTAAGGGTGCTCGTACATACTTGGTAGTCAAGCCATTGTCTTTATTGCCGTATTGTCCTGGTCAGGCTTTGCGGAAATAGTTGCCAATAGTGTTCTTCTGCGGGCTCTTGTCGATGGTCTTGACTCGTTTGGCTCTGGGCTCGTCGGAGTCTTCCTTCTTCTCCGGCTTCTCTCCCACTTTGAGCAGCTGCATCAATTCCTCGAATGCTTCAACCGGTACCACACCGCCACTGGCCTCCTTATGGCCTCGGGCGAAGCTCTCTCCCAGCCTGTCTCTGAGCCCATCGGTCGACAGGGCCGCAGCAGCCTTTAGACTGTCGATGATGTTGACAGGCGGTTCTTTTGTCCTAGCACATCGTGCGATACGGCAGGAGAAGTTGACCATGCCGGGAAGATACCCCGAATTGGCACAAACGACTATCTCCAGAGCCTTTGAGTTCAAATGTCCGGCCCATCGCGTCGCAATCACAGGGTGGACTTGCGCGGGTGTATGGATTCTCAGGACGGCTATTCGTCCGTCGGCACTGAATTTCGGAGGTGTGTGGGTATTCAGCTCGACTTCTGCGTTGATCTCGGCGCGAGCGCTCTGCAACCGGCCATTGCTCAGAAGGTCCTTGGGGTCCGTCGAGTTCAGAAGTGCCGTCCACGCGGTGGCCACGTCGTACTTTGCTGTTCGACGCGGCGCGTTGATAAGCGATACCGCGTCATTGATGGATTTCTTGGTATATATCTTGAATGTTTCCTTCATGTCCGGGAACGGTGGCGTCCATTTCAGAGTGTTCCCCAGGTCGCCATGGGTGCCAATACATGCCAGGTAAGCGCATGACGAGGAGAGGTCTGGGGCAAGGGTCTTGCAGATCTCGTATGTGAGTAGCGAGCTTGTTGCTACCGGCGGGTAGTGGCATGCAGACACCACCTGCGCGCCTTGGGGGAAATGGTCGCTCAAATGGTGGTCAATGATCAGCGACTTCGTTGTGGCTGAGTCAACCACCGGGGGCGCGGCGACAGAACCTTGGTCCAGTACGAAGATATATGCTGCGTCTTTGGCGGCCATGGCTTCGCGTTCAGATTGCACATGGATGTTCGACCCCTTCTGAACCAGATGGACATCGATCAGAGATGCATCCAGGCCCAACGCCGTTAACGTCCGGTACAGTATGACGCCGGATGAGAGGCCGTCGGCATCCTTGTCCGGCACAATCAGAGTCTTTTTGCCGCTTGATGCGCTGTCCGGTCGTCAGGGATTGCGTTGCAGAATAGAAGAGAAGGGAGGGGGTTGGTGCCAAAAAGCGACATGAACCTACCACTCCTTTATGAATTCTCTGGCTTGTTCCAGAGCCGCTTGGGGTGCAGGCCATATCGCTTTGCCGCTCTCATCGTGCTGGGGCTCGATATCACAATAGTCGGGAACTTGGGGCCGGGGTTTCCCGTTGGCTGAACGCTTCATGCCGCGCCAGCCATAAGATGATAAAATGGGAAGTATTCGTTGATGGCTGACTGAACGAGTCGCGGCGCATAAAGTGACCTCTTCAGCCGAGCACCAGAATGCACGCGTTGTACCAGAGCCAGAGGCGCGAAGTAGCCTGGAAAAGGCTTGCATCAAACGATTGACAAATCAGTGTTACAGATTGTAGTAAGAACGTTCCTGGCAAGGCTGGGAAAAAGTGAGAGAAATGGATGACGTCGAGATGCAATATTAGTTGTCAGACCGAAAATGCTTTTCGCCATAAAGGAGTGTGATTGGGGGTGGACGGGCAAAAATATTGGCGTGACGCGAAGGCAGCGACAGAACCTAGAACTCAAAATGAACGTCTGACAACCTGCGGATTTCTATGGTTGTATGCCAGTCCATGGCCCCCAAAAGCATCCAGGCATCAATCTATGCTTGTTGCCCTGATCACTCCATCTCTATCCTCTTCATGGGAGGAAATAATAGCATACGATGTGAGACACTCTGCGCTTAGGTGTGCACTCCACTGCTACACCGTCTTATACACCATCTCCCATGGCATCTGTTTCAATCTTTCTACTATGGTTGTGCTTGACAAATAACTCGGAGGCCCGTTATGCCTCTCAGGTTCTATCAATCGCCTCCTACGCCGCCTTGGGGGACTCCTACGCCGCTGGAGCCGGAGCAGGCTCCCCTCTTTCCGTTTGTGGACGTTTCACAGACGCATACCCGATACAGATCGCCAGCGATATCGGGCTGGATATCCGAGGCTCTCCCTTCCGGCATCTCGCGTGTGGCGGATCTACAAGCACGAGCGTTCTCTACAGTCAGGTCCCTGACATTGGTAACGCAGACTTGGTAACCATAACTGTGGCCGGGAACGAAGTAGATTTTTCCCAAGTGCTCAACGAATGCATTTATCACTGGCATCCGTTCTCGACATGCGAGGCTGCAATCACTGAATCGCGAAGACTACTGGAGTCATCCGTTCTCTGGAACAATTTTGATGCACTCGTCGCCGGGACTGTTGAACGTATGAAACCACATAGCCTTCTCTTGGTCACCGGCTATGCCAGGTTCTTCAACGAAAAGACAGATCTCTGTGACCATGTGACTTTCAGCAGGACCCGGCCTTTGGACTACCTGACCAAGTCGAAAAGATCTTCCCTGAATGCGCTGGTGGAAATGTTGAATGAAGTGATCAGAGCCACGGCACAGGTGCATGGAGCTTTGTACGTTGACATCGACACCGCATTTGCAGGTCATCGTTTCTGCGAAGACGGGGTCCATGAGCCGGACCTGGAAAGAACCGATACTTGGTTTCTTAACCTTCCACCATCCGACTTTGGCGGAGGTGGCAGAGGTCAGCTGCTGCAAGGGCCAGAGAGGACGCCGGAGAGGCATAGGGCCCACGTTGACGGTAGTGGGTTGCCTACATTGGAAGACTGGGTGACATTCCATCCAACGACCCTGGGCCATCGGGGTATTACTGAAGAGATCATGGGATTGCTTCGAAAGATGGTTCGGGTTGTCGAGTGACGTGCAACTTGAAGACTTTGGAGAATTCCTAACCGTTACGGCGAAGACTGCCAGTGCTGGAATGGGCACATTGATATAGGGTATTCGTTTGAGAAACACCCAAGATTCTGTCTCCTTTCGAAGGGGCTGGTATCGTATACATTTCCGTTTCCCACTGCCTTCTTCAAGTTGATCTCCTTCATCTCGTTTCTCCCTTTCACAGTTCCTGAATGCTCACAGTGAGATTGAAGTTGGTCTAGACTCCAAACAATGACGTAGCCCGTAATACCTGAAGCCGCGCATCCTGATTGGCTGGCTTCCACGACGCGTTCTGACTTCCAACGCGCCGGCAAAAGTGCAGCGCGGCGTGTCTCTCGCCAAATGTGTCTGCAGTCCGAGTCTACCGCCTCTAGACGCTCCCCGTTCCAAGCACTGCACACTGCACACGACCAAGTCGGGCTGATTCCACGGATTCATGCGCGCGCTCTGTTCCATATCTCAAAGCTGTTCGATCCATTTCTATCCTCAACATGATCTGTTGCTAACCGTCCACGCGATGCACACCGACACAACCGCGCAGCAGTCGCCAGTTCTGTTGGCCTCTACGACACGATCATGTACCTACCTCGACCATTGATCTCCCACCTGTACACCAATCTCGTCCGCTCACATCACCCTCTCTCACCACCGGTCCTTCTACTAGTTGCTCTCGAACCGGACTCATTATGTGCCTGTCGCATACTCACCGCCCTCCTCAAACGCGACTATATCCCCCACAAGATCCAGCCCGTGTCTGGCTATGCAGACCTTGCTCGGGCCGGCGAAGAGCTGGTCAGGCCAATGAAGACTACAGAAGGCGGTAGCGGAGGCGTTGTCATTTGCCTGGGGGTCGGAGCACTCGTTGACCTTGGGGCCATTCTGGGCTTGGAAGATGAAGACTCCCTTGACTCGATGTGTGGCGTGGAAGTATGGGTTCTCGATGCACGAAGACCATGGAACCTGTCCAATGTTTTTGGTGGAATCCCCACGGAAGCTCCATCAGGTGAAATGGACGTAAATACGCGCCAGAGAAACCCCGGAGTCGAGAAAGGTTGCATTCAGAAGAACTACAAGTCTGGCAAAGGCGGTATCATTGTTTTCGATGACGGCGACATTGTAAGTGAGTTAGAAGCGGAAAGAAACGCGTATTACGCGTTGGTTGAAATGCCCGATTTCGATGAGGATGAGAGTGACGAAGAGGAAGAAGACGAGGAAGATGAAAGCCAAGAGACTTCTTCAAGAAAACGGAAATCCTGGTCTGATCGGGAAAATGAGGATCATGAGAGTGACGAGGACGATGAAAGGCCTCGCCAGAGGAGGCGGAGCAACTCGGCAGGGTCGTCTATCGCGTCGACTCCTAGAAGCAAGACTCCCTCCTCTTCTCAACCGACCTCGCCGATAACGAAAGATCTCTCTGGACAACTTCCGACCTCTAAGCAGCTTCGACAACGGTTGCGAAAGCTACGACGACGAAATGAAGAGGTATTGGAAGAATATCGAAACCTGGGAACGTCCTACTCAGAACCAGTTGCAACGCTCGCCTATTCTCTTGCTGCGGACCTGGGTCGAGAGGACAATGACATTCTTTGGCTTGCTATAATCGGCGCCACTTCGCTTGAATTATCGGGCCATACGTCCACCGGTCTGGGAACGGTGGTTACAACAACACAAGGTCTTCCACACGAACCTCATAAATCGTGGCGGTCGACGCGGTCGTCACAAACGTACGCACTTCTACGTGACGAGGTCAGGCGGCTCAATCCACCTCCAGCTGACCAGTCGCCCTCGATTTCGCCCGGTGCTGGCGGAGGGGTCAGCTCACCTAGTGATAACTCAATCCGCCTCTCTCCTGATCCTCGATTTCTTCTGTTGAGGCATTGGTCTCTATACGACAGTATGCTGCATTCCCCATACCTTGCTGCACGGCTGCACGTGTGGAACGACTCTGGAGTGAAACGTCTGCACAAGCTGCTTGCAAAAATGGGCGTGTCCCTCACTCAGTGCAAGCAGACATATACACATATGGACATGGACCTTAAGAAGACGCTTCGTGAACGCCTCTTGAAATATGCCGCAGTCTACGGTCTCGATGATCTTGTACCCTCTGGGTCTGGACGAGCCACGTATGAACAAGAAGGATGGGGTTTCATCCGCTCTTGGGGGTGGAAAGCGCAGTTATCTGCTGTCGATGTAGGGGTCATTCTCGGCGCCATCCTCGATGTCGGAACCTCCCACGGTTTGGGTGCAACCACTGCGGCAGTAACAAACAGTGGCTTGTTCTCGTCTCAAGCCACCGCTACTACGGAAGACGTTCCCGACCGCTCCGAGGCTCTTCTTCCACGATTTTTTGCGGCCTACGACGCCCTCGCTCCAAGCCATCCCAGCCATCTTCTTGCAGCAATTCCTGCTGCCCAGCATCTGCTGCGCTCGATCTTACGCACAGGATCGTCCCTTCTGGTCAAGCATCAGATTCGACATCTGCGTGCTTTTCGTATGGGGGTTGTCAAGGAGGGGCCGGACTTGGCCTTATTTGCGAACAGTCCCGGTGCTCTAGTCAAATTGGCTCTCTGGGTCGGCGAGGCAGTTGCTGTGAATGAACGAGAGAAAAAAGGTCCGAATGAAAGTGCCACGCCGCTAGTCCTCGCTGCGCTTGACGAGGCAAGAGGCACTTACGTGGTCGTCGGAACAGGCGGCGGTATCGGCAGTGGAGAAGATCTCGAAGCCCGCAAAGAAAAGGCGGAGCGCAAGGCCAAGAAAGAAGCCGAGCGAGAACAAAAACGGAAAATCCGCGAAGAGAAAAAGGCGGCTCGAGCGGCGCAACGAGAACTCAATGGTGACGATAGCGATTTTGGAGAAGAGGACGAATCCGAATCCGAGTCCGGATCAGACAGTGATTCGTCGTCCGAAGAGGAGGAGGATGAAGCCGAGCTAGCCAGAAGGCGTAAGCGAGGCTACGGCCATAACAGGTTTGGCATCGCGTTTCAAGAAGTGGTGGAAGAAACCAATGCCCGGGTCAAGATTGACAGTTTTGATCATTGTATCGTCGAAGTAAAGAAGGAGGATCTGGGCGGATTCCTTGAGGGATTGAGTCTAAAGGCCGTGGTCGGGCGTTGATACCGGGACAATAAGTACTTTTCGATCAGCACAGGGTTGGATATTGCGAGACTCGTCCAGTGAGTTCGATGAGCAAAACGAAACCCATTCAGGGTTGCGGGAAAGGAGAAATGTAGATTCTCCCTTTCTAGTTGACAGTTTGAATAGTGTGCGACGAGCGTGACTGAGGTCAATGAATGCATGATTCTTTTTGCAATATAACTTCACGCTTACTGGCCCTAATGTTACATGTATACCCAGGATTGATTGCCCACAGGTGTATGGTTTCTCCCGGGCACACCATGCGTTGAAACCACAACCTTCCTTTGGAAGAGGTCGGTGGGCAGCAGTCTTTCCCCCCTTTCTCTTCCAGGCAGCAGCTCTTTTCCCGCCGAGGACACAGGCATCAGCGTCTTGCAAGCCAATATCTAGCCCGCTCCGCCGGGGTGTCCAGCCCAGCCTAGCTTGCTCTCGTCTGATGGAAATTAGATCCCAAAGAAAGAAGTTCAGTCACCGTGACGACACGATACCCGCGCCTTCTCAGTTCAGGCATAACGACACTCAACATCGGCAGCGTCCACCTTCTGTCATGGCACACGATAATGCCGCCGGGTCTGACCATGCTCAAGATGTGGCGGGCATTGAGTCTCCAGAAAGGAATCTGCGCGTCGTGCGGGTAGATGTCGCCCAGCACGATTCGGTGGCCGAGACCGGGAACCGTTCTGCGCATCTGGACTGTGAAGAAGCCGCTTCCGGGACGGAAGTATTTGAGCCGAGATGAGAGCCGACACCGTACAGACTCGTAGATATGGTCCAGCTGGGCGTCAACATCCTTGATCTGCCGGATCAATTGGACAGTGGACAGAGATCGAGATGGCTCATCGTACATGGCGTGGTTGCCTAGTTCGTGGCCGTTCAAAATCAATTGGCGGAGTGTCTCTTCATGACCGGGGATGTGAGAGCCGATGATGAAGAATGTAGCCTTTGCACCGTGGGCGTCAAGAACGGCCTGGATCTCGCGCGTGTGGAGGGATGGGCCGTCGTCGATGGTCAACGCCACGATCTTCTGGTCTGTCGAAACGTGGAAGAGTACGTTCGGCCAGCGACGTTGGAAATGGTTGATTAGCCATGCAGGAGGCTTGTAGAATATGTAAATGCATAAGAACAGCGATGAGAATAGGACAATGAGGATGGAGGATAGGTTGAGGCTAGGGGGGTAAAGCATTGCCGGACCTGGATATGGAATTAATTGGTGCTATGGCATGCTCCGCCGTCGTGGTGATTGGGGTATTGCGTATATAGTGCGTTGTGGTAGAGTCAAGGCCACCTGGTTTCGCGCGAGCCCTTGCTAGACCATCGAGTGGCTGCTACCTCGTAACACCGAGTATGACATTCAATAATGCATCGCGTTGTGGCAAGAGGACGAGGCTGACACCTTCAGGAAGTGGGTCGCTAAACTTGAGACTCTTTGAGATAACAACGACTTATGTCCCATCCACCTTCTTCTTATGTTGCTCTCAGGGCTCGCTAGAGCCCTCACATGAGGACAAATTCCGTTGCCTTGAGAGCTGTAAGGCTGCAAGGGTGTGTTCTGGTAAGGCCGGATATAGACTGATTCCCATACCTTGTCATTGAAGAAAGGGGGTCAAGGCCGGCACGATTCAGGGGCAAGCGGAGTATTGATTTTCCGAAGCCTGCGTCTTTCCGCGCCATCCATGCGGTCCATACTCGGTATCCACGTCCTCCGACTCCAGCGCTTATCAATACGGCATCCTTGAAGTTGACCACAACAGTATTTGTGTTGCCACAGCCTCTGGCCCAGAACACGCTCTTTCGACCACGGAAAGCAGCCCTCTTGAGCTCATATCTATGTCGAATTCGCGGGTATAATCGACGCGAACATGAGGATATGACCTGGCACACCCTACCTTGAGAATCATATAGACGGACATCTCGTTCGGCCTGCGCCCAACCATGCGGCCCTCACACTTCCTATGGACGTTCCTGTCCCTAATGACAGTCGCCCATGCGGCTCACACGTCCAACTGGGCAGTCCTGGTGTCGACATCGCGCTTTTGGTTCAACTACCGTCATCTAGCCAACACGTTGTCCTTATACCGAACGGTCAAACGACTAGGGATCCCGGACTCCCAGATCCTCCTCCTTCTTCCGGACGACATGGCATGTAACCCGCGAAATGCCTTTTCCGGCACCGTGTATTCGAATGCAGACAGACGCATGGACCTCTACGGCGAGAACGTCGAGGTCGATTACCGCGGTTATGAGGTGACGGTCGAGAACTTCATTCGGTTGTTGACCGACCGGTGGGAAGAAGGCGTCCCTGCCAGCAAAAGACTGCAGACGGACGAAGGAAGCAATATCTTGATATACATGACGGGCCACGGCGGGAGCGAGTTTCTCAAATTTCAGGACAGCGAGGAAATCTCCAGCTGGGATCTGGCGGACGCATTTTCACAGATGCGCGAAAAGAAGAGATATAATGAGATGTTGTTCATGATCGACACTTGTCAGGCCAACACACTGTATCGACAATTCTACAGCCCTGGAATTATTGCAACCGGTTCTTCGGAGGAAGATGAAAGCTCATATTCTCATCACGCGGATAACGATGTTGGAGTCGCGGTCATTGATCGCTGGACTTATTATGTTTTGGACTTCCTTGAGACACAGGTGACAGGGCCGACGTCGGATAAGACTCTAGGCGATCTCTTTGACAGCTACGATGTCGACAAGATTCACTCGAACCCGGGAGTTAGGTGGGATCTCTTTCCTGGCGGAGAACAGGCCGGCCGAAGCCGAAGAGTGGTTGACTTCTTCGGAAATGTTCAGAATGTCGAACTCCAGGGTAACAAGTCAAGTGTGGAGCGTTTGGAAGAGGACCTTGAAGGCTTGAAGCGGCTGGTCCAAGAGTATCAGACATTTGCTGCCGCTCAAGAAAGCAACAAGACGCAAATGGACGATGTGATGGATCAGCGAACTGCGAAAGTGAGCAGACAACACAAGAGATCCATGTCCAGTCATAATTCTCTCGGTAAATTGGACACTTCGGAGACCACCCAGTGGACTCGTCGTATCGGGGGTGCCACAGTTCTTTCAGGACTCGCCGCACTGTGGTATTTTGCTCCCAAGCTTGTGTGAACTTGGGTCGATGCACCATGGGATGTTTAATCTGACAATTGACGTGGGCCTACTGCTGCCACGACATGGACCAGGCTTCATCTACCACGGACGATGAAACCGTGGCAGACCGGAAAGTTCTGTTTCCTACAAACAATGGTCGGGTTCCCTGCCTGCCACACGATTCAAGGCGGTCACATTATTCGGGAGGAATTACGTGATTATATTATGCAACCTCAGGTTCTGCCCTCCCGAGGTGTTCTTGAAGAGTCTGGGCCTTGAGCTGCCAGAGACCGCAGTATGTTTCCACATGTGTACTCCAAACCCATCTCGCTTTCACCCACGAGGAGAAACCGCACCATTCTAATCTGGTGTAGGGCATCTCTTCGCCCAACCAATGCCAATCCTGGGGCTTTCCACCTGCATGGGTGCAGTGACGGCTCCGAGATGCACACTAGAGCAAGGGAAAAGGCCAACCATGAAGAGAAAAGGAGTCGGCCCTATTGGTATCGTGGATGTTGGCACATGCTCTCCAGCAGCACCATCTATCTCTCCCTGTTGGTGGCCGGACTAGCCATGGCTTTGACGAGTCGAGTCATCACAGCCATGTCCAGTGGCTTTTTGTTCTCCGACAAAATATGAGCGTCGGTTGTGGATCTGGATGAGGCTCGCACTGATATTGAGACTCTTCAAAAGGCTATGGGAACGTACAGGTCAAACGACCACTTTGAGAAGAGGCAGCTTTCCACTGAGAGAAGCGCAATGTGATGGGAAGCCTGGGAGGTCCGTCATGGTCGTGCCAGGTGTGGACGGTCTTCGCACGGGATTGAAGTTGTACGTTGAATATCGAACTTCAGGCTGAAGCTCAGTGTAGAAGTACTGAACTAAGAGGGGGACGGCGGAGAACCAATGATCAAACCAAACAAAGGTTTCCCTCCTGATTAAAGAACCAATCGATCCTGACAGAAACACCCTCCAGAGACGGAGGCATGTATAGGCCCGGAATGCCCATCTGCCAGGTCGGTGGACTAGAAATAACGGGATAGTTTGAGACAAGAAGCAATTCATTATCGCTGTATAACTCGGAGTGTCATGCTTGACCGTGTCAGGGCTAAGCCAGCATTTATCCTCTTCTACGATTTTTCTTCTCAGCCCTCTGCTGCATGATCTTCCTTCTCTTTTCAAAAGTCTCGCCAATTCCCACTGCCCCTGCACTCGAGCCGTCCCCAATTGGCCCATCTGTAGTATCGCGCCTTCTCTTCTCCCGGCGCTCCAGCAAGTTCGCACCCTCACCCCTCGACCGGCCGGCCACGGTCCTGTTGATCCGGTCGCCGAGGCCACCAAGCCCAGTCCAATCTTCGCCGCCAAACATGTCTCTCTGGTTCCCTTGTCCACGGAGACGGGCTTTTCTTCTTTCGGCCTTGCTCTCGGCAGGTAGACGGACGAAATTGCTTTCTTCATATTCGGCTCGCTCGCGCTCCTTTTCACGATCCCGCGAGGACATGGCACCCCGGCCGTGCTGTAGAATGGTGTTATTGGAGCCGATGGACGGCTGTGAGCGTGGTGCAGTAGATAGTTCTTCGTCAATATATTCGTCCAGAAGTTGGGAGCGGCGCTTCCGCGCGGGGGGTTGCTGGTCGCGGTCTCTAACAGAGGGAGGCTCTGGCATGGCGGTCGGCGTGATACGAGGAGGTTTGTATGCACCTGTACCGGTGCCTGTGCCTGTACTTCTCGATGAGGCTTCCGTTCCAGACTTGTTGTCCGCGGTCTTGCGTAACAGGGCAGCTGGTCTAGGACCGGCCGATATTTCAGCGGTAGTCCCGTTGAGCTCGTCCTCTTCGCTGCCGCTTTCCTCCTCATCCTCGGGGCCCGACACTGATTCATCCGAGTCGGAGACTCCATCGTCCAAACCCCGCTGCGTCTTCGACTTGCTATTCTTCTTCGTCTTGTCGGCAGGTATCGTCGAGGCCTCCTGATTGGCACGCCGGTTGGCGTCTTCGGCAGCCCGCACGACCTTGTCGATTTGGTATTTGAGTTTGCTCTCCAAGGGCCGCACGCCTCGTTCCAGGTAGACGCGCAATTCGACTAACTTTTTGACCACGTCGGTCGGCTTCAGACTGGGCGCAGCGTCGACTGAGGCGTTGGTGCGGCCGCCGGTGCTTTCCCGCAACTTCAGGAGGACAAGAAAGACCAAGTTCTGGATGTACGAGAGCAGGATTTCATTCTTGATGTCGAGCAGGGAAATGCCGTCGGTGGGAGGCAGGAATTGGTCGCCATTTTCGGGGAACGCAGACGCTGCTGAATGCAGGGCGTCGGTTAGGGTGGTCAATAGACTTGTTGGCGACTCGACGACGGCCATGGCGATGGGAGTAGATCGATTATGAGGAGATTGATGCGAAAGCTGCTCTATTCTCTTAAAATGGACGATGGGACTGTTTGATGGTTGCGAAATTTCTTTGTACGGACCAACTGCGCAGGCGAAAATTATCTTATCGATAAGGGAACAAAGCTTTTGACTGATGAGAGCATTTGTTACGGAATCTCTCCAATTTTCAGACACTATGAAGGGATTTCAGATGTCAGACACAAGCAATTTCACTGTGTATACTGTAGCCCGGCATGTTCAAGGGCGATAAACCTGTGGCGTCCTTTCTGTAGCATTGGGTGGTGGAAAAGTTGATTATAAGGGACCGTGTCATGCTCTCATATGCCACAAGGCGAGGTCGTTTGGGCCAGGAAGAAGTCTACAGAGTTTGGCGGCTCGACGTGAGAGTCCCAAAAGCCTTCGGTGGCTTCGAAAAAATTGCATCTTCTGCTGAAAGTTGGCAAAGAGATGTATTGTGCATTGAGGCCCTGGACCATTTGCAGCAACGACCTGGTGTGTTATCCATATTGTACAATAGATATTGACTATGCCATCCACGCTTGCATGGAATATCGACTTCTCTCGACCTGTATTGTGACACCGGCAGCTGGCTCTGCCACTAGTTGTGCAACATACCGGCTGGCGTACTGTAGGGTGCGAAGTGCCAACTGAACATGCGCCCACTGCATCTGTCATTGTAGATTTGGACTCACGGCATCGACGCTTTCTTTCCTGCTCTTCCTAGGCAGTCTCTTTTCGCCCTTCATCGTTGTTCCTCGCTCTTAAAGCAGTGTCTGAAACATTTCCATCTACGGTCTCCGCCTGTCATCACAGGAACGTCCTGGGACAGGGGCATGGCTCCAAGTTCGCTTCGCTTCGCATCGAACCATGACGTCGGTTTTTCTCCTTTTTCCCCTGCCAACTGGAACTGTTACCACAAAGAGATTGTTGCGGAAAAGTTGGGCAAGAGTCGTCTGGAAAGGATTAGGGGGATTGCACAAGGCATGAGCAAAGAAGTGATATTATACTCTGGTCTGAGGTTCCGATGAGACTCTCCTGGCATCTGTTGCAGTTCAGGTTCCCATAGACCCTGGAAAGAGTGGGCGGACTCCCCAATCGCACTGCGCAGTTTCACGCCCATGCCGCGCTTCGGAACGCCCCAACATTCCCGCAGTACCCTCTGGTCTTGACTCTTATTACAGGCTTTCTACTGGGACTTGAAGCGCTGGATGATGGGTGGTTCCGTCGCTTCATCCAAGTCTCCAGCCTCCGAGTTCAGATACAGTCTTCACGGTCTACCCTACGCTTCGACGGCCCCTTCAAAACCTCCAATCCGTGTGACGAGCACCACCTCGTTATATCGACTGCCCGACCCCGACACCAACGAGGCTCAGGGTTCTGTTGCATCCGTCGGGGACGACGCGTCGACCTCGTCCAATAGGAAATATAATACGAACGCGTTACCTCACGATGGAGATTGGGTTCAAACCGCAGGTGCAGGCTCAATCTCCGCGCGAGATAGTCAGACAAGCCTCGATACAAGGGCTCCCACAATCAGCAGTTTAACGTCTGCCGCAGCGAGCGTACCTCATATCCGCGTGAATGACACCAACTCCAGAGACTGGACGGCTCTCGACCACAACCTCAGTAGCAGTGCCCAAGAAGATAGGCGATGGTTGCCTCTGAGGAAATCAAAGTCTGCCTCAGCAGTCTCTGGGAAGGAAGCACGAAGAGACGATAAATTCAGAGGGGTTGCTTTGGATATAGACATCCCTACGGGTGGCTTCAGCGACGACCTGTCCACCACCAACATCGAATTCTCGAAGCGGGGGAGCATGTTGATCGATGGTCGAAGGGTAAACCAGAACGTCCGCCGAAACTCGCCCTGTCTGGCGCCGATTATGGATGACGACAAGAGAGAAAACGGGGAGCGGCATGTCACAACCAGTGATGCTGCTGCCTTGCCGGCTACGGCGCCATCGTCCACGACGGCACGGATTCTGAGGGAGCGGCAGCCGGTCAAAGTCCTTTCCGCCGATGAGGAGATGCTGTCCGAGAAGGTCCGAGGGTTCTATGCCGCCGGCACAGATGAGCAACAAGCTACAGAATCCTCGACCAACCTAGCTGCGCGAATGGGGGCACGATGGCAGACATCGTTGGTGGCTGAGGGCCAGAGTGTCAGTATCCCATCACTGTCTCGTGCCACATCCACGACAGACCTCAATGATGAAATCAATAGTTCGACACAGTTCAGCGACACGAGGTCCGCAACCCAGAGCTATACAATACCCGAACGTGAGGAAAATGAACTTGCTGGTGGGTTGGAAGACTGGCAAGATGTCAACAGCGCTGATGTTGATCGCTTTGGCTTTATTGTCACAAGACAACCGGCCACGACTGTTGACGGAGCCGATGAATCCAGGCCTCAAGGTTTGACCCGAGTTTCGACAAGTCTACAACTTGCCTCAGAAACTCCGCGAAGGAAACAAACCCTACGTCGAACTCCGAGTAGTGCCAACGGATCAGCGAGATCAGAGCGGGACAGACACAGCGGTGCAGATCAGACGCCTCCACGGCCATCAAGTTCCCAGAGTGGTTATATCCGTCGGCTTTCCACAGGCCGCCGAAGCGTATCGTCGCGGCTTCCCGTGCTCGGTTCCAAAAACCGTCGTTTGATGGACTCGGCCATGGACATGCTCACACTTCCTCGGTCAGCTCAGTCTGTGGTCGAGGACGGACATGTACACATTGACGATGCTCGAGCTCGGCGGAAAGAAATCGAGCGCGAGGAAAAGTGGCGCAAAATGGCACGACCTATACCGCCGGCCTTGGACCCCAAAACGGGCCTTCCTATCGTTGGTGGTGGTTCCGAGACCGGCTACACTTTCGATACCTCATCCAGCAAGCTTATCGAGCGGACGTGGAAGGGCATACCAGATAAATGGCGAGCCACGGCCTGGCACAGTTTCCTGAGCACATCCGCTTCGCGCCGTAAGGATTGTTTGAGTGATGGCGAACTGATCGCTATATTTCATGACTACCAAACACAATCATCTCCCGACGATGTACAAATCGATATCGACGTTCCTCGCACTATCTCTTCCCATATTATGTTCCGGAGACGGTACCGTGGTGGTCAACGACTTCTTTTCCGTGTCCTTCATGCAATGTCCTTACATTTTTCGGAGACGGGGTATGTCCAAGGCATGGCCGCGTTGGCCGTGACGCTACTGGCCTACTATGATGAGGAGAAGGCCTTTGTTATGCTCGTCCGGATGTGGGAACTACGAGGGCTAGGTGAGCTGTACAAGGCTGGATTCCAGGGGTTGATGAAAGCTTTGGATGATTTCGAAACGGGTTGGCTAGGACAAGGTGAACTTGGACGGAAGCTGGTACGTTGACATCCGCATGCTTGAATTGTGATTTTCGTTGCGTGAGGAAAAGGGAGGCGCACGACGTCTTCCAATATTGATCCTACGAGTCCTCAAAGTTTCCATGCTTGCAGGACAAGAGTCTCAAAGTCTCTATTGATAGTTGTTCCAGCCACTTGATGGGTTCCCTTCTTCCCTTCCACCCCCGATTTAATTTGCTCTGTCGATGGGGCAAAAACTTAGTACTGTATAAGGGCAGCAGCTAATCCGTTCTGTCTTGCAGGACCAACTCGGCATTCCACCCACCGCCTACGGCACCCGATGGTACCTCACCCTCTTCAACTATACAATTCCATTTCCCGCGCAGCTTCGCGTCTGGGACGTGTTCATGCTTTTAGGCGACGACAACATGACACTTTCCAATTCCGCCACCCCTGCGACGAGTAGTGGCACCGCTACAACAAATACCCATTCTACCTCTCATACCCCTCCGAGAAACGATCAGTTTCCATCACAGACTGGGAACAATGACCAACCTCAACAACCCGACAAGCAAGCATCCGCACATAACGATGACGGGTCACCGTCCTTCGGCACGACCCTCGACGTCCTGCATGCCACTTCGGCTGCCTTGATCGACGGCATGCGCGACATCCTGCTCGAGTCCGACTTTGAAAACGCCATGAAGGTGCTCACCTCGTGGATTCCCATCCAGGACGAGGATCTGTTGATGCGCATTGCAAAGGCAGAGTGGAAGATGCATTTGAAGCATCAGCAACACCAGCAAAACCAACAGAGCCAACACAAAAGTCGATAAGGGGCGCACGAAACGAAACGAATCACCTTTCGGCTCTTTCGCCACGGCCATGTTCCTGTGACAGGAGCAATTCTTTAGTGATTGGTTATGATCCATTCGGCTACCACCATAACCATCACCCCCTGCGTGGCGTCTAGCTGGGCCCCTCTGTGTAAACTTGGGGATCTTGCGAAATTCCTTTTTATTTCTCCTTCTCAGACGCTCCTAGCATAGCGTTTCTAGCATATTGCGGATTCACATGTAGCTCTCAATAATTCATACTTGAAATATCATTGCAAAAACAAATCAACCTATTTACACTCTAATAAGCACCGTGATCAGCTATATAATATACCACTGTCCTAACAACGCTGAGTCGCGACATGGGGTCGCTCAGCTTTTTCGATTCTACTCCGCGCTACATAGTCCCTTGACTACTGGACTGCTGCCGGACCTTCTCTAACTTGAACCTTTCCACCCATTCTCTTGATGGCTGGTCTCCGTATGAAGTAAATGCCTCCCTCTGTGATAGTACAGCCTTAACAGCCCAGCCGAACCACTGCGTGCCGCCCCAGAAACACAGCCCCACAGTCAACCCAACCGATGAAGAGCTGAAGCAGTTCAGCAGTTCAATGGGAAGTGATACTAGGAGGAAGGGTGTGAAAAGAAAGCTAGAACCTCAGCAGGGCCGGAGGCAGGGAGGGAGCAACAAAGGGGGCAGGAGAAGCAACATAACGTTCTGACTGCTTTACTTCGGCAAGCAGGGGACCGAAGGGGCCAGATGAACTCGCTGAATGCCATCCTGTACCGACATCACCCACGCCTCCGTTCATACAAGTGTACATGCGCATGCTGTGGGCCAGAACGAGGATGGATTGCTCTCGAGTGGAAAAGAAGACCGAAACCCCGACGGAAAAACTGATTCTCGAATCTCATGGACCCGGCATGCATGTTCCATCTCTGGCAACTTTCCATGACTGCGGGCGAACCACTGCAGTAGTCTCGCCAGATTTTTCACTTTTCTTCGACAAAGCCTGGTTGGACAAAACGCAAGAGGCCGAGCTTGAGCATCCGTCCGCAGCCGTAGTGGTGAATTTTGGGGCAGGGCTAGAACTTCCATGGCTAATTGCTGATAGGGGGTGTCAGGTCTTTTGCGGACAGAAACGCCACCCAAAAGATGCAGCTGCCAGGACAATCCGATCTCCGGAACTCGACAGCTCGTGGGAAAAGAGCTTCATGATCGCGAGCTCCCTCGCCTCGAGACGTGGGATACGAGCAATCAGAATGACACAAAACTTACCGGGCGTAGGCAGCCGCCGGATCACTGAGTTTCTAAATAACCACCCAGTGTTTGCATCGAGTATAGATCTGCGGCTCTAAGAACTCAGGTCTCTGTATCCTGGTAGAAAACGTGCAATTGATCGTCGAACACTGTGACAAGCGAACGAGCCACGCGAGAATGCAGATCTTCCTGGGTCAACGTCCGAGTCCCCGGGTGCTTATTGATGTCTGGACCTTTCTACAGTCAGCAAACCAGAGTGATTCGTATGGGCATAGTTCAACAGCATCAAAAGTTTGTTAGTCTCCGTGGACCGGGCGCGACCCAAGCCTCATCACCACGAGGCCGAAGTTTCTCGCGCTCTGAGAGCGTTCTAGGCCCATGATTGGTATTTCTCGTGACATTAAGACAGTCTAGGAAGAGCATCGAAGAACACACGTCGAGGCATAATGCGGGCGCGGTCGGAACAGATGTCCGTATGCGGGAGGAAGGGTCCAAATGGTGGCAAGTTAAACCCCATCAAACAATTCAGGGCCAGGAAGGACTGACGTTCCCAAGGGGTCTTGAGGCTTTAAGGGTCTCGAAGGTTTCCAGGGTGGTGAAGTCAGCGGCTGCAGGTTTGACAGAAGGTAGTCGAAAAAAAGAACAGGGAATAAGGCTTCATGGACCAGATCCAGCGGTGTAAGTGACAGTCCGAAAAGGAGACAAGGGCGCCTTCATTGTTATTGAGCTCTTTGCATACCAGTTGGTCGAAGGCAAGTCGGCAGCAGGTTTCCACAACAGGGGACTGTCCAAGAAGGCAGGTTCAATCCGCCTCATCCCTGGCCATGGCTGGAGGATTAGCAGCCTCGAGTGTTGACAAGGAGGGCTTCCAAGTGCCAGAACAGTCGGTCGCAACTCTTTCCGAAAGTTCGCCATAGCAGGGCCCTGCATCAAGCTGTGTACAAGCATGCCACAACCCAATCGAAGGGCGCCAGTTGCAGAATAGGCGGCCCGGATTATCAAGGTAACACTTCGGACTGCATCGACTTGCTATAACGGTCGAAGGCGAGAATATCCCAAGCCACGGAAGGCAAGACCGTCATCTCCTGCTGACATCCTGGATGCCGCGTGCCGACGATCACTGTCGAGCGGCACATGGTGACGAGGATAGGCCAGTTGTTTCGCCAGAACACGTGTATGCTGTGCAACACATGGAGGCATCGCAATAGGACCTGTTTGGTACTGTGAAGGTCCACGGAGCTCCGCAAACGGCGCCATTTACGTCAAAAGGACACTGGGCAAAATGCCCGACAGGCCAACGCGAACGTCAGTACATCATGGATTCCCGGAAATGGAGATAGGCACGTTACATCAAAACGTGCCCAATCCATGACGGCGTGGCAATTTGCACGCGGACTAAATAGCTTTGACAGCTTTGCAAACAGGGGACATGCCTGTGGTTTGACTTGCCGTAGCTTTTCGAATGTTGTCATGTGGGCTACTGTATGTAGCTCACCTAAGAGAGCTGGCGAATCGCTCCTCGGCCGAGCGACCAGAAGAGCAAGAACAGTAAGTTGTCAAGAGCCTTAGAAAGCATGGCAGAGAAGTGGCTTCGTAACTCTGTATCACTTCGACGGCACTGCTGGCGGTAATGAGCCAAGTGTGCCTGTATGTATGTTGTGAACTTGTGCTCCAGAAAAGCTCCTCTAGTCAATGCAGCTGTTCGGTATGCACTTTCCCATTGAGTCGGGCCATGAGGGTCGACATGATCCTGTTCGCTTAAAGGAGATTGACCTGACGGGGCGATCCCCAAGTAACCGGCAGAGGCTGTTGCGCAAATCAACAGGACATCTGGCGTATGCGTGGAGCAACGTAGGCGAGGGAGGTCCCAAAGCCGGACCATTTACAACAAGCCCCAGGCATGCCACGCTACCGACCGGCCGCCGTTCCTCCGAGTCTGTCGTGTGGAGGTCGGCCTAACCTGCAGGTATACCGAACCGATCTTTGGAACAGGGAACCAGCAATCTTGGAACCGCCAGGAGGGCCTGAGATTGCGTGGAGTGGCTGCGCCAGCACATGCACTCTGACGTTGTCCAGTCATTTGGCCTATAGAAACGCTGTGCACCGAGTACTTGAAAAGGTAAAGTGAGTATGTGGTCGACCCCCTTTGGGCAAGGGTCCTCCGCTTTCGGTCCTCCGCTTTCCATCAATGACCCGAGAATGCGAGACACTCATCAGGGACTCCTGCAATACCGTAAGACAGTGATTTCGCTGCGAAATCATCAGAATCTCGAGTGTCGACTGGCGTGAACTCGGCTGACGGCGTCTCGTACAATGTTTGGCAAAATATCATGGATTTTTGTGGCGTATTTGACAAGGATCCATTCGCACGCTCATGGTCTCAAGGTCGGAGAATTTCCAGTTAGGAAGGTGTTAGCTGGGTGGACGACGTGAACCCTTGACACTCCTCGCTGCAAACTGTCGCGAGAGAGTGCTGCATCCTGCATTTCCACCTTGCCAGTTAGGGGACGCTGCTCTGGTTTCCTACCTACCTTGTACTAAGGTAAGGGAGTGTCTGTATGTATGCCCTGCCCCAATCCCTGTCCGAGTGTTTATAACGGTCATTTCAAAACATGCCTGATATCAGGTGCCTCCCGGGCGACGGATGGCATTTACGTACGCCGGCGCCGTCCAGGCACGTAATGTCGGAGGATTGGTGGAAACGGTCAAGTCAAGACATGTTCCAATATGAGTTGGTCTTGCCGATCAAATTGTGGCCCTCAACAGGGCGCATATTGATGCAGTGATGATTTACCGTCAACTATGTTGCCGCAGTTGTCTGGACGCTGGGCTCACTGCATGTTCGAAGGGTGTTGTGGAACAGGGCAAGTTCTAAACAGAGCAAGGACATTTTAAGACTCCCAGAAAGGAACAGCGTATCCTCTGGTTGACCAAAGCTCTCCCGTCCGGTGTTTCGCATTGTGGCACGTGAGGACTGCATTCTTCAAAGTTGGCTGCTAGGGATGCTTTCATGTTGGACAGGGCGGACTCGCTGTGGCCATCCTGAAGCCTGTTGCAGGTGCAGTGCTATTGCCGACAATAATACCTAGGTTTGAGCGACATAGTGACGAGCCCACCCGTTGATCATCGCAGTGGTGACAGCGGGGAGCTCCAATAAACGGTTCTAAGTAGCTGCATCGGAGTGTCGTATGCTTTTGAATGTAGTCTGCAAATGTGGCTGGAATGTAGTGCTTGGTCGCTTGGACTTTTACCAGGTTGCCGGTGCTGAACTTGGAAAGGGCGTGATAGACGCCGATCAGTGTCAATAGCGTAGCCCTGGACGGGCCAGCTGGATGTAAGGGATGTTGGTACACCGGGCAGGTTTCCTGCCAAGGTCGAATACGGTAGCAGGCCATTCAAGTCGGATGCTGTGTTCCTATCGAACGGAACCATGAGGCAGATCACTGTAGCTACACTGACCACCCAGCAGCTGGGCACACGGTCTGAGTTGGGCACGCACACCTCCAAGGACGGGTAAGCAATGGAATAACCTTCATGAGGTTGGAATGAAGCCGTCCAGGCATTTTGGGCGACATGTTTGTGCACCGCCAGCTGACAGCAGGACACCCTAACTTGGGGCATTCTGATTGTAAACAGAATTGATCGACAGCCTGAGACTGGCACGCTCATGGCGCCAGGGGTGCCATGAGTTTGCCATGCCTTGAGGGCAAAATGTGGACGCACGCCGGTGGGAGGGGCGTGGACAACGTGCTTTTAGGCAGGGATGTCTGCCCGGCGGCTGGTGTGGGCTCGCCTAAAGGAGAGAAGATAGGCACCATGGTCGATGGCGCACCACGCTTGGAGGTCGTCATAGGCAGAGTGATCGGCCAGCTCATCCCTCAGAGGGGTGCGATGGGCGAGAACGATGATTCCGAGACGAGCGGCCTAACACAAGTCCTCCTAATCCTAATTTTGGGGGAGCGTAATAAGCATGCTGTGGCTCCAGGCGGGCCTTGACTCTAGCTTGTCACAGCAAGCTGCTCCAACGTCAAAGGCCGAGTGTGTGGGTATGGACCGTTATTATTGTTACCATTCCCATCGAAAGGAAACGGTGCTGCGAGCCGAGAGGATCGATTCGACGCCGCGATTGACGGCCGCACCACCGGACAAGTGCGATCGAGGGAGTTGAAAGTTGTCCTTTCCAGGCTTGATTGTGCAATAGCCGAATGTGCACGGGGCACGCTTGGGGCATATTGTTAACCCCTAGACAGATTGGTTTTACTGGTGAGTTGGCCACGAGCTGTGAGGTGGAATCATTACTCGAACTTGGTCCAACTTTTTGTTTTACTTGTTTACCCTCTCACGGTCTTTTCTAAACCAGGAAGTGGGTTGGACTGGGTCCGACTTCTTTGGGGTTGCCGTGAACCGAGATAGATCTCGATTGAGAAAGGTAGAAGGCTTCTCGAAGCAAAGCTGGAACGGAGCGGGAAGAGATGCAATAGTCTCGGTGAGAGAGGCACTGGCAGTGGTTGGTCTCGCGGTTAGGCCGGGAGTCCCGAAGATAGCGAAGTAATGGAGAAGGCCTGAAAGGATAGCTAAGGCATCCGCCGTCTGCAACAATATGTCCGATCATTCTTGACATGTACTTACTACTACTGATGAGGTAGAGACAGCACCTGGCTGGCGTAATATGGGGTAAATGTCTGGTCCTACTACTGCCTCCTACGGTGGGGGAAATGAAATGGTTGCTTCGATTTCTTCACGCCTCCATCCTCGTCAACACGGCCTCCTACACTGGCACGGGCACGGGCAGTGTTTATAGTCTTGTTCCGCTCTTTTCTCACCTGCACCATTGTTAGGTAGTCAAGCTTCTCTCCTGGTAGACAAGCTGACGCCCGCCATCTCCGTGTTTGTCCTTTGCATTGGCCGGTTTCGTGCTAGGTTGATGGCTTGGGACGGGATCTGTCACGCTTCTTCTTAGTTCATACGCTCATTGACCTCGCTCGAGGCCGTCTTTACCGCCGCCATCCATTGCCCTGCCAGCCTGTCACCACCCTACATACCTACCTGGTACCCTGCTCTATCCACCCCGGTCCTTGCTCGCTCTACTACGGCTGTCTACTGTTGCTCCGGTCCTGTCGCTCTCCGCGTCTCTGGCCGTACGCCTGTGCCACCAATCCACCCACCGCCGTCATCCGCAGGGTCTCCTCCACCGTCTAGCGAAGACAAAAACAATCCAACGTCCTTCATTCCTCCATGAAACGTCCCTAAAGGACCCATCCTATCCTTGCCTTTCCTTGGTCCACGCTTGACCTCTTTGGCACAACGTCTCTAGCTCCATCAGTGGCTTCGTCCCGACTGGTGAAGTGTCCTGCTTGGGTTAGTCGTCCTAATCCCGGTCATTCTTGGGTCCCTGCCTTTTTATCAACCCAGATCCAGCTGCTCAACAACACACTGGCAGTCTGCCCCTCTACGCGAAACCCGATCTACTCTCCAGTATTGCTCCTAGGCTCCTGCCCTTGCAAGACCTTCTTTTCCCATCCACTGGACAAGGCCTATCTCAAGGGCTAGAGATCTAGGTACAAAGCCATAGTCCAGGACCCCGGCCTGATTTTGACGCCCGGTCCCCGACCAAACCATAACTATCTGGCCTGTTCTCTATCGTGCAACACTCAGACATTTCTCGGGTCTGGAACTGTCACAGACGAATCCACCAGCAACTTAAACCCCGAACGTCATTGACAGCATCCCTCAATCTACTCTGCTCGGACGTTCCCAGGGCTATATACAAAGCCCAACAGGGCCCTGGTTGTTCCTCTACACAAAGACACCATCACAAGCACAGGCGTTTCTTGTGCATGTTCTACAGCATACCGCTCCGTTGCTCCAATCGACCATTCGACAACCGCCTCCATGTTATTATCTGTGGCTCCCCCTAACCCTATGCACAACGACTTCAAACCGCCTCATGACTACCCAACTTATACCAAGCCCAATCCCTCGCGATATTCACCTCCCGAGTCTCCTCGCAATCTACCATCATTCTTCGAGGATTCGAAGATGAACAACTCCCATCGAGGTTTGCCCTTGCCTGCTGGTCTAAGCCTTCCTGCTCCTGAGCGTGGTCATCCCTCCGCTCCTCTTCCCCTTGGCCATCTGCCCGCCCCGCCTTCGCAGTGGGCGGGCCAGGATGAATCCATGAGAAGCTGGCTTCACGCAAAGGCAGAGGAAGATCGGCGGAAGCAAGAGGAGGAGAAGACTCGTCAGGAGACATTGCGCCTCGACCAGAGGCGCATTGAGCAGAGCATGTTGCGGGACTCTCTGCAGGGCGGAGTCCCTCCCGCCATGGTCCCCTTGATCTTCGCAGGCATTGGAGGGGGTTCTCTCCCGGGGCAGGCTTTGGAGTGGGCTCAGCAATACCTGGCCAGTCTCAGTATCCAGAATCAACAGCAGCAACAGCAGATTCAGTCTCAGCAGCAACAAATGCAGTTTCAACAGCAACAGCAGCAACTCTCGCCCGACATCCATCGAGACACGACCAGCCGAATGATACCTCCCAATCCGTATGGGGGCCATCAGCCTCCGTCCTTGCAGACACAACTTACGCAGCCATCAAGTCAAGCTCGCGACGCTGTGTCTGGGCCACCCCCTTCCACTTCGCTTCCACGATTGAACACTACAGACTTCATTGCAAATCCGACAACAAACCCAGCCAGCAGACAGCCAATGGCGCAGACGCAGCCGCAGACGACTTCATCCGAGCAGTCGTCCGGACCTGGCCTGTTTTTCCATCACTGGACGCCTCCAAACCAGACTGGGGGAGGAAACCAACCAGCCACACCATCGGGGAAAAGCAACCAAGGCTCGCCATTCTCCCAAAGTGCAGGGTCACATCTACGGTCGGATTACCAAAATTCGCCCAAAAAGCGCAAAACAACAGGAGGCCAGAGCATGCCCATGCCGCCGACTTCTCAGAGGTCTGATCCACCACATCCCATATCATCTCGCTCCTCGGGTGAACGGGAAACGTCCCCAGGACATCGCGGTCGACCACCACGACACTCACGGCAAAACAGCAGCACGTCGTCCCGTGAGTTGGACTCCTCGAACCGCAACATTGCCCGCCCCAGCAGTCGGCAGCGGCGGAGAGACGACTTGAGTGGCGTAGGAGCCGGCCCAAGAAGGCAGTTAGTGGACTCGTCACCTGGTGGATCAGGCGAGGACCACCCTTTTCGGTATGAGTCCTTCAAATCTGAAACACGGTAAAGTGCGCCTCATGGCGGATTCGGAGATGAGTCTGGACCAATTTGGTAGTAGGACAAAACGGTGGGGTGGGGTGGTTCAACTGGGGTCTTGCGATTCTGGACGAGTATCCGGCACACCGCCATCGTGATGGTTCAACAAAGTGGATGCCAGTCCAATCAGCCTGTGTTGCCAGGCAGCGTTGCTTTCTGACCGACTATGTATTTACTTATTCCATTCCGGTTTCACAGTTCCGGGGCCCATTTGAAGGCTGGTTTTCAGTCATTGTCGGGACATTTATTTGGGTCATTGCGGGGCCGGACTTCTGTGCTGATCCGGTCAAAGTGTCTTATGAAAAGGCAAAAGTTAGACGGAATGCGAGATAGATTGAGGGTAGCGAGGTGGCGCATTATGCTTCATGCTACAGTGCACAATGCAGACGGGCGTGGACACAGAGAGATCTTGGCGTAGATGATTCTTGAGCAACCGGATATGTTGAATTCCGAGTCAGTGGTGGACATACAGTACTATGATACGTACGTTAGACATGTACAATGCAAGACGCCCAGCAATACAAGCGAAGATAGCCGAGCCTAGAGTGCGTGGATTCCATTTCGAGATGCCCACATCGTCGATACGGAAGTTGCGCCGGCGACGGAGGTTATTCTGAAACTTGATGGAGGAGAGTCGTGGAGATGTGGTGGAAATTGGATGTTCAACCCACGCCTCGCACAAGCCACAGAAAGATTGACGGACGGGCCCCAGCAAACCTGAAACATGACAGCCGCACCGCACACCACCGTCTGTGCCCCGTTAACGTGGTGACAGGATTCTTCCCGCATATGGAGTCCTTGAACTCTTGGTCCAAGTGTCTTGTGCTTTTCTTCGCGCGTCGGGCCGTTGCAATCATCTTTCAACGCGTCAAGCACATGCCTCGTGTTTTAGCAGTGGGCCCCAGTTTGCCGACTCAATCTGTACTCCTCGAGCCAGTCGCTTGAGGATTGGGAGTGTTGAACAGGATTTGCATCATTCATGACCATATCCCGAAAACCCTTGGATCGACAACATGCTGGTATCGGCGTGATTCCCGTAGTCACAAGTTGATGATGTTTGCAGAGACCGAACATGAGATTTGAAACGTGGACAGAGCATGTTGTGAACCGTGGCCCTTTTCTCGACCTTTCTGGGATTGCTTACTAAGCACAGCCTGAACGATGTGTCAGCCTTGGCAGTCACGTGGAATTGTACTTTTGATGCCAAGAACAACTTCGGAGATCCGGCCACTGGTACCGCAAGGCTGCAACTCCTGAGCCTATCACACAGCAGCCCTGTACACTGGCAGTTTTGTACCTCAAGTTGGGAGCCAGCAAGGCAATTGCTGCGTCGCCTCAACTGTTCAACCCCTCCTGCAGATGGATTCCAGTTCCATCCTACTACCCACGGAAGCCATTCAAAGCCCTTCAGACGCCACTGCTGGGTTGCTCTACCTAGACCACTGCAGTTATCCCATATCTCATTCTCAGTCGAAGCTGAATATGATTGTGAGACCCTCCCATTGCACTCAACATGCCAGAGCACTGTATCGACAGACCCAACCAGGATGCTCTAAGTCATGATACGGAACTTGTTCTATGACGATAGGACGATTGAACCTTGCATAGGGTTGGATGCCTTCCTCAACACAAGCGCGGGCACCTGCCAGACTGTCTTCTGGAGCTCTCTGGTCTCCTCTTTTGATCGACATATGTTCGGAGATGGGATCCAGTGGGGAGGCGATACCGCGCAAGGAGCAACTAACATTGAGAAATTCCATGAGTCCCTCTTTCTTCCAATTCAACAAAAAAAATTGGAGCAGAAACACCCATGAGGGCTCTTTTTTTTCCTAGTTGCGCTCTACTCCGGAACAATTCAGAAGCAGTTTTATCATCGAACATGACGGCATTCGACTGATTTGGAACATATCGCATCGATATATTGGCTAGTTTGTCAGCATGTTTGCAGCTAGACCGGACCAACTTCATGCTATTGCAGACGCAGCTGCCTTATCTTATAATACCTACGTCTGGGAAAATGGCCAAAGCTCTCGATGTTCTTCTTGGTCTTTGCGGCTACTCCTGATGCCCCGGTAGTGGGAGGTTCCTGCCGTATCTTGTGCGAAGTTCCCTCCAGAGCCGAGAACCCCTTCCGCCTAGGATCACGCGGTTCTGCCGGTTATGCCCCGACAAGTTACAGGCCTGAAAATGAAGTTCTGCAAGGGAACTATACGTGGGTCGGGATCAGACATGTCACTTTTGTCTGCGTGTTGATCCATCTCCACTATCCTGCGTAAGTCCGACGTTGACGACGCCCCACAACCCCAATAGTCGACGATGCATCTTGATGCGCGATGGAGCCTGTCGATCAGGGAGCGGTCTCCTTATTCACGAGTGGTATGATCCTTTGTTTGCCCGCCTTGCTTTAGGTCGTCCATGCTGTCGGTACTTTATTCGTTCACTCACGGCACAGGAGGCAGGCTGATTGGCGTATCTGCCAACTACACCTGATACTCCATGTGTACAAGGTCTGTCTCGCCATTCCCATGTACTTGCTTGCGTTTGGCGCCCCTTAATCTTCTTCTACTGCCCACCAAGTCGGGTCTACCGGAGCGTGGAAGAATGATTCATCCACGATCCAACGCAGGCAATGGGCTTATGTTCATTCTTATCCTCCAGGAGCCCCTGATGTGGAGAAGGATGTGACAATTGCTGCATGGACCATCAAACAACTCTGGGTCCGTTTGCCCCCTCCCAAATTGAGACATCTGGTCAGGAACCAGTCTGCTCCCACGAGTCAGTCTCGATTCGGATCCATGCTGTTGGCACTGCTGTTTGCTGCAAGAGGCCAGGAGTAGAGATCGGCGACGAATGGGCCAAGAGTCCGCTGCACTCCAGCTTTCCTGAACATGTCCGGATTCAGGGGAAGATACTTTGAGCACGGGCCCAAGCCTTGTCTCACTTCTCGCCTTGGGAAGTGAGTCAAGCTGTGTACGTGATCTGCTGACCGTACCAGGAGTTTGCAATTTTGCAGAATGATATTCATCAGCGCTATGCTCCTTCGGCCACGGTGAGAAAATCTGCAAATGGAAGTAGGTCTCTCACTCCATTCGACAACAGGGTAATCCTGTCAACTCGGCTGATTTCCAGCCCCCATCATTGCAATGTTGCCGAGTCGGACGAGGCTGGAAACACTGCGCACGGACACACCAATCCGGACCGTTGCTACCCTGACCCGTAAGTCGCCTAATCTTTCTTTGTCTCTTTGAATTGCAGGAGGACCATGTACATACACGCGTGAAAAGCAGATATCGTTTGCAAGAGCCTTCCTTCACCCACAGGCCCGGTTAATGACGTCCACTAGCAGACCGTACTACTCCTCCCCTGTGGAGGGAGACAGTCACCTCCGGAGGTTGGGCGAGGCCGTGCCCCGACCATCAGGTTCAACACTATTGGGCAACTGATCACTCTAGGGCGACCGGGCAAGGCTGCTATGCAAGACATCGCTGGCGGGCCTTGGGAGGTCTACTTATTCCGATTTCCCAACTTCACTTTTGCATTCTCAACCACAGCCCGCACGTTTGGGTATGACTGACTCTAACAATATCCAATATTACAGACGGATGCCCATCGCTTGCTTTCGTGGCATGGGAACTCATGTGTTTACGGAGCCAACCAAAACCACTCATGGACTGTGCGGTGATAGGGTTCCGTAAAAGTCGCGTACGGCGACGGGCATGCCTCTGCATCTTGGGAGTTGCGGGTGACTGCACGTCGCCCTACTCGAACAACTCCTGGATGCAACAGAACGTAAAAATTATGGGAACCTATCCCGGTGCATGGTCGCTGACGACAATAATGTCTGCTAATGTCTATCATGAATAATCATATTGGGTATATCGTGCTGACAGTATTTACAGGAACAGCTTCATCCTCCAATCCCGCCAATGAAGCTGATACCAAAGGGGAACTTTTATGGTTCTTTGGCGTTGATCAACAGCTTGCGAGCTTCCCGCAAGTCAAATCACTACTGACTCAAAAAGGTTTTCAAGAACCCAACGGCGGCTTCCAGTAGTACTGGCTGGTAGTTCTGTCTCTTTGCATCGGTAATAAGGGAGGTCTAAAATTATGATTAGTACCAAGGTCATTGTCAGGGAGTGGGGACAGGGAAGGGCACTTACGGTCGATTCCAAAGCATTTGCGAACTTCTCCTTTGCAAACTTGCTGAAAGCGGCATCGACGCCATCAGCATCTTCAAAGGCGCGGGGGATGACCTCGGAGAAGATGGCGCTCCCGCCGGCGGCACCGGCAATCAGACTGTACCACTGTTTCCGCTGGTCGGGATGCATGAGATCCAAGGCCTTTGCGAATTTGATGGTTTCGTAGGCGGAGACCAGGTGAATGACGGCGTGGGCCGTGGCGACCTTCCGGATCAAGTCGTCCTGCTTCTCGGCTGCGACAGTGGGCTTTCCAGCCCGTTCGACAACAAGGCCAGCTCTCTCGGAATCGAAGCCCAGATACCACTGGACAATGCAGCTGTCGTCGGCAGCGGCGTGGGTTTTCATGACCTCCTTTAGAACGTCACTGGCCTTGTTGAGCAAAGGCAGCTCGACTCCTAGTCTGGCCTCCTCATCTTGGATAATACCGACGTCTTTGTTGATGATGGCGGTCGCGGAGGCCAGGGGCGGGTTGGTGCTTAACATGCGGGGTCCACGGTTGTCGAACATCCAGCTCCAGCCGGGCCGTTGGTTCCCGGTCGCCGGATCCTTGGAGACGACGAAATCGTAGAACTTTTGGGTGTCGAGACCATTGATGGCGGCCAGGCCCATAATCTCCGAGGCGGAAGGGATGTGAATCCCGGCCATGACTTGGTTCAGTGCCTTGGCGGACTGGCCGGCGCCCAACGTGCCGGGGATGATGAACAAAGTCTTGCCCTTGGTGGTGAGGTTGTCCAGGACGATTCTTGGTTCGGGCTGCTCCAAGATGGCCGGCTCGTCCGTCGAAGCCATGATGGTCAGGGTGCCGTTGATTGACCGTGCCACGCCTCCGGAGACAGGGGCGTCGATCAGCTTGACGTCCGGCCGCTTGAATTCGTTGGTCAACCTCGACCGCACGTTCAGGGGCTCCGTCAGAGGGATCGTCGCGTTGATTATCACGGTGCAGTCCTTGCGCAGGCCGTGCACGGCCCCGACTTTCTCGTCAAACAGCGCAGAGTGCACGTGGTGGTGGTTCGCTACCATCAGACACACCACGGGGGCATCCTTGACGGCTTCCGCGGGAGATGTGGCCGTCGTCGCTCGCGAATTCGGGATCTCGTTGCACGTCTTCTGCCATCGCTCCAACGTCGGTCCGTAGATGTCGTATCCGCGGACTGGAAAGCCCGTCCGAACCAGGTGAGTCGACATGGCGAAGCCCATGGCTCCCAGGCCGATGAAGCCCACTTGCGGGAAAGAGTCGGACAAGGTATTTGACGCCATCTTTTTGTTAAATGGTAAGATCAAGGTCTGAGTGTGCTATATCACCCCAGGTTTTGTTGTATAAGCTATCGATACACAATGAAGAGTCGTGTATCTTTTTTAATAGTCTTGCAGAAAACCCAATGGAGTGGCTAACAGCGGCAGCAACAACGGCAATTAGTGATTGTGATTGACTTTTTGAATATCAAGAGAAGGTAACGTTAGAGGAAATGGCCGAGTCTGTGATACGAAGAAAAATATTTCGTTGCTATGTCTCACATTCAAAGACAACGCTCTTTTGTCGTCCATTTGAATGCTCGATTTAATTCACCTCAGGTTGAATGTCGACCGAAATGCCGCCGGTCCTTCGTCGGCTGATACGCCGAACCAGGCGGTTTGTGGGGGTGGAAATGGGGGCGGCCTTAAGAGGCGGCGACAACGTCGGATTCCCGCCGGCCTCTTTCGGGCAAAGACCGGTGGGTGGGCAGCCCTCGGCCCTATCGTATCACGTGAGTGAAGATTGTCACGTGCCATGCCGGAAGAGAGATTCTATCGGGCCTTACTAGTATCGCCATCCTTCTCTTGGGAATTACCCTCACAGTCCTGAGGCGCGGACTTGAATCTCTGAAAAGACCGTCCGAAATTGATTCAGCCCTCCTTGTGCATGATTCTAATATTGTAGCAACTTTTGACCTCCAGTGTCATGAGTCCTACAAAATTGGGGCTCCCTGCCACCGGCATTCGGTGTTTACACTGGTTAGTCAGCACGGCCTACTACCGAGTGACGGACTTGAACATAACAGTAACGGCGACTTTGGATACGACATGTCTTTCTCGGTGTCATTATTGTCATCGTTCAGCACCTCTGTTGGCCCATTCAAGCTGAATGCCAAGAGCACTTCTCATGATGTTGATGTGAGAAAATATGAGCCTGGATCATGATCTTTCCACCATAGCAAAATCCTCGTCAACCATAGTTGTTCAAGTTGCAGGGGACATCCTCGCCAACCTCAACGTCATAGTCGTTGCTGACACGTCCTTCGACCACTGCCAGTGTGCACAGCATCGTTCGTTGGCCAAGTTCAAGTCGACCTTCTCAAGTTCCACCAATCAATCTGCTCCCAAAGAATGCCTTACTCATGATACAGGCTGTGGCTTGACTTGACAATCCCTGCTTGTTCCAACTTGAAGTTGGACCCTGTGGCCGGTGACGTCTACCACACAGCATTACTATCATCGCAACACTGCCCACTGGTACAGGGATTGTACTGCAGGGCTGGCATCCCAGCAGCAGGAGCGTTTGTTGTTCAAGTTGGAGCCATGTAAACTAACGGGACATTCCATTCATGTGCCGCTCAAGACGGGCGGATATGCACTTGAGGCTTGACCTGGACTTGGTCCCATGATGCCATCATACTGGCATCCACACCTGACTTCCAGTTGCACCTGCTGTGCCAGCACTCAGTGTCAATGCCAGGCCCAATGCATGACTAGTATTATCTACGTACTCCTTTCGCTCGATTGCCCAACTTGCGACTACTGCACTACCTACTTACCAGACAGTATCAGACTCAGACAGCGCAGAGAGCATACATTGGGACCCAACGAACTCACCGTGTACTCTCTTGACATTGTCACCTAGTACAGCCTTCCGTCGCTTCTATCTATCTATCATTCTATCTCATCCTGTCCTCACAAGGGACTGCGTTGCGACATTCGTCCCCGTCCTCCCGAGCATATCCCAAAGGCCACAAAACATTTCCCCTGATCGACCTGATCATACCTTGAGTTCATACATCCTGTCCATTGCTGTGTACAAATCCCTCTTCATCATGTCTAACAACAACGCCAACACCAACACCAACAACCAGGCGTCCTCATCCTCGCCCTCGACGGTTGAGAGCGCAAAGAACTGGTACAACAAACAGTACGAAAACTGGGTGCCATGGATCGAAGACAAAGTCCTCGGTTGGTGGGGAGAGAATAAGACCAGCTATGTTGCCAAAGGTACGTGCGACATTTCTATACCATCCCGTCTGTCACCGTGGGTTTCTCTTCTGTGGACAGCCAGATTGTTTATTCTAGTACTGGCCGCCAATTGCTGTTTGGTTGCCGTTATGGTCGTTCGTTACCAAGATCGTTGCCGTTAGCAGAATTATTAGGTGAATTGGCAAGATGCCGTGCCTTATGATGAACACCTTGCCGCGTACCAAGCGCTTTGTCCAGTATGCTAATCTATCATTTTGTGGTTCTTTTCCTCAGACAAACTCAATCAAACCAAAATCACCGGCGACAAGAACGTCGATGCCATCCAGGACGGCATCAACGAGGGTGTCGGCGGCCAGCTCGGCAAGGGCGGACTCCTCGAAGGTGTGGGCAACTTGACGTCCAAGGAGGTCTTTACTCGGTCCGAGCGACAGGGCAAGAATGACAAGGGTGGATATATTTGAAGGGGTTCTTTCGATTACCTAAATTGGCTCGAACGTGTGGTTATTCAAACCGCTCTCCACGGTAAGAGTAGGTTCCTAGAATGTGCGGGTTTGTTATTATTCTGAGAAACGAGAATTTGGGCGCTAAGATGCACTGGGCATCGCAATTGCTTTGAAGGACTGGATGAAATTTCCGGCTTGCTTTTTCTTTTCCTTTTCTGCTCGGCCTTACCTTATAGTACCCCTGACTGCCTTGCATACATACCTACCTAGGTACGCTGTTAGATACTATAGGAATTTTATGAGATTCATATTGTTAGCTTCATGGCCCGAGTGGATTGACCGGGGTTTCTAGGCTAATCTGATAGAGGCCACATCAGACAGATGATGGCGGGAATCGATCAAACAGATGACCCATGAGCGTGCCTATCTGCCTGGAATATTTGTACACCAATGTACAATGTACCAGTCGATGATGAGCAGCAAGTGTCTCTACTGAGAAACCACTGTACACAATGGTAGACAAAATATAGGCTGTACTCTGCACAATACTTGATGTAAGCTAGCGATCAGGATCCTTGAAAAATCTGCGATGACATTCAAAAGTATTTTATTTCTATTCGACGGGAGTTATGGCAGGAAAGTAGCTGCCTCCTCGACCGTTCAACATGCTCCCGCCAGTGCGGGAGACATGGCTATAGGTAAAATATATGTATATACAGAGGTGAAGAACATCAAACAGTCAGACTCCTTATACATTCCAGTATGGATCTTTCTGACCGGGACTGGTCCGTCCGTCTTTTTCTCACTTTGTCTTCTCCTTTTCTCTGCTCAAGGCAAGGGCACCCTTTCTAGCCTTCTCGCGCTTCTCCCTGATATATCGCCAACTGCGGGCCCAGCCGGCCGTGATGGGACCTTTGATGGACTGCATGATACTAGGCCAACGGATAGTTTTGACAATGACCTGGCGGACTTCTTCGCGCAGGCCACCGCCCTCAGTATCTTCGGCAATGCGGCGCTCAAAGGGCCCTCCCTCACGTTTGCGGATGCGCTCTGGATCCTCGTCTTTAGTCTGCTCCAGCATTTTTTGGAATTCGCCGCGCGGGATGTGGAATTTGGACTGGTACTCGAAGTAGAGTTTCTGACGGAACGCGCTGGGCAGGCGACGGACCATATGCCCTCTTGTGACGGGGTCCATGTTCTGGGCCAGCTTGGCGTTGACCGTAGGATCGTCCAGCCAGTTTTTGTTCGAGGTGGCCGAGTCGACGAACGAAATGTTGGGCAGATTTTCGATCAGCGGCGCGTACAGTCGCCGAAAGTTGGGTAATTGGTGCTTGACTATGTTGTTGACTTTGCGGGGGTCGTCGCCGCCAATGCTCATGCGTGGATCGCCCATGTATGAGATACCCGCGATGGTCGAGTAGAGTTCCTCTTCGGTGAATTCGGGCGGTAAAAGAAGTAAAGCGGTGCGCACGGCCGCGATTAGGTTTACTTGGTTTGCTAACCGTACGGCTGGGTTGTCGCGTAGGATCTTGACAGGCTTCTGTAGTCGGCCGGCCAGGTAGAGCGTGTTCCATTCCGAAAGATCTTTGCACATTGTGTCGAGATTGACCACTCCGTATTTGATCAACGTTCCATTGACCGTCACGTATGGATTGAAATAGACGCCTGCGCCGAATGAGTCTTGGATCTTCGAGACGGCGTATGATCCCAGCGATCCAACGGCCGAGTAATGGTCGCGATGTTCTTGTAGGTTCAAAGAGTGCCAATGTTGCGTGTAGGAAACGCCGAATATGAAATCAATCATTTTTTGGTTTCCGTTTTGCACTTTCGTGATTGCTTCTGGAGGTGATGGGTGCAGTTTCGAGTTGCCGCCTTCTGTGTTCGAGCTCTGAGGGAACACGCCCGATCCGTATGCAAATGCATATCTGATCGGAGCTCGAAATTTCCATAGTATCTGTCGCAGTGCTTCCTTGAACTCTTCATTGATGATGATGTGCTGGTTCACTCCGAAATCCTTCCCTGGCAGCTCGGAAAACTTGGATATGCTAAGGTCCGGGTTCTCCTCCCAGTCAGGAGCGTGTAATGTGGAGGATTCTGATTTGGTGGAACTGGTAGAGGACGACTCGGGACTGCTGGGGGAGGAAGACGACGTCTTGGAGGAGCTTGAAGGTTGTCTTGCTTTCGCACTGTCGAAGCCTGGAGGTGGTGGTCGATTGTCTTGCTTTTCACTTCCCTCTTTTTCGACCGTGGCATATTGGCGTGTTCCATGGAAAAATTGCAGTCGTTGGGATGCTACGAGCAGAGGGAGTCGCGTCGGTGTTGTGCCGCATAGATCCTGGAGCCCTCGCTTGCCCAGGATACTAGGCACGACTCGCATAACCATGTTTTGAATATTCCTCGGTGTTGTCTGGGAACAGCGACCATTCTCGGAACCACTACCTCGCTGCTGAGATCACCAGAAGCTGTGTCGTTGAGTACCGCTGCAGTGCCAGTACTTGTAGTCGAGGGTCATCCGCATCTGGGGTGCTGAGCCCTGCGACCACGTGTAGTAGGGAAACTTGGGATCTCACCTTTGCGTCATTGGGGATGCCCGGTTCAGAAGTGACGTGGCTGCTATAAGTGGCTCACGCGTTAGCTCAAGGACTGTAGGAGAGGCAAAAGCGGCATGGTTTTCTGCCCCGTTGCCGTTGTCCATGCTGGCTGAGGAAGGTCTTCCGGCAACTGTTATGTCATCAGCCAAGCCTGACGCGACATTGACTGTTCGCATTCGGCAACAACAAACAAAAGTGCAGGTGCAACGAGAAGCAACTGTCGCTCAACAGCCACTTCCCTTACACAACCAGCTTCATGGAGTTCGTCACGCTCGAGGCGCGTCTGGCGACCTTTGAGAAGCCATCAAAGCGTTCGAAACTAGGATGGCCTCACAAAACGCCCACACCGGAAGAACTCGCCAAGGCAGGCTTCTACTTCAAACCGTCCACCTCCAGCAATGATAACACCATATGCTTCCTCTGCGAACGAGCGCTAGGAGGGTGGGAACCAGACGATGACCCAGTCCAAGAACATCTGAAGCACTCGGATGACTGTGGTTGGGCCATTTTGATGAACATCGGTCAAGATGCAACATGGGACACGAACGAGATGGAAGACCCAACCGGGCCACAGATTACGGAAGCGCGAAGGAGTACATTTTCCATAGGATGGCCTCACGAGTCAAAGCGCGGATGGACCTGCAAAGTTGAAAAGATGGTTGAAGCTGGCTGGCACTATGCGCCCACGCCTGACAGTGACGACTTTGTCAGCTGCGTCTATTGCAAATTGTCTCTGGATGGATGGGAACCAAAGGATAATCCATTCGATGAGCACTACCGCCGGTCTCCAGAATGCCCGTTCTTCCATTTTGCAGGCACAACTGCGCCATCCAAACGCCCCAAGGCAAAGAAGGGTCGCGCGTCGAAAGCTTCTCGGACATCAAAAGCCTCGACGAGATTATCCACACAATCTAACTCTACTATGCTGTCCGAAGCACCTAGTGCCACAGAAATACCAGATCTGGACGAATCAATTGATGCCAGCGAAGTCTCTGTTATGTCGACCATGTCAACAATGTCAACCGCCTCGACGGCTACTGCCACCAAAGGTAAACGGAAAGGGACCAGGGGCAAAGCAAAGACTACCAAGGCAAAAAAGGCCAAGACGACCAGATCAACTAGAGCGAAGAAGGACCAGCCACCGCAGGAAGAGGTGGTCGAATCGCAAGTGATGGAAGAAGTGACAGTCGAGGTTGAACAAACATCCTACCAGACTGGAGGAGCAACTGGAGGGCAATCTCCCACAGCGAAGTCACAAGAAGAACTCAACCTAGTCAGTACGCCTGCCGCCGTGTCCTACCCGACCATACCTGGTAGTCCAGGTGCGCCCGACGAAATGATTAGATTGAGCCCCGTTGCCGCTCCTCCACAGATTTCACCCACGCCCGTCAAAACGACACGGAGAATGTCGACAAGAAGGTCAACGACGGCGACCCCCCGGGCGACCGTGCCCACGGAGATACAATCCGTTCCTGAAGGCCAGTCAGAAGCCCCTCGCTCCACCCCACCCCAAAGCCCGTCTCCTCCCTCAGACATCGAAAACGCCCCTCCCAGCACCCGTCCGGCGTCTGTCCGCCCTCCTGTATCTGTCTCATCGCCACACGTGCAGATCCAGAGCCAAACGCACACTCAGACCGTCCCGCTGGCGCCGTCCTCGCCTGCGAATGAACTGGCTCCGGCCTGGATGCCCGCTGACGTCGAACTCATTTTCCAACCGAACACGCCTCAACCCGCCGATCTTCTCGCACTCACCGGCGGCACATTGTCCGAACAGGAGAAGTCGATGACAGTGCAGGAGTGGATCGAATATATCGCCGAGCAAGCAGAAGCCGGGCTTCGCAGCGAGGCAGAGCGCGTGGTGGGCATTTTCGAGCAAGAGGGACAACGAGCCATGGGTGTTTTGGAAAGTATTGCGTGCATTTGACCTTGAAAGAGTTACCAGGCTTACTCATGGAAAATTGGCCACATACACACATTGGGATGGAATGGTCAGGTCACCCGTCAGGTCGCCCCAGCAGTGTCATGGCGGCTGGTTGGATGGGTGAAAATGTAATGAACCACTGGATTCAGACCTGTGTTTTGCCGGCGTCGACGGATTTGGCTACCTACCGAGCAAGGAGTTCTAGAGAAGGCTACGGGATTGGCCACAATCGGTTTAGCATTCCTACTATTGAGCGTTAATGGAGTACACAAATTTGATCAACAGAAGGTGCTGCTCTTGATAAGTTCTTACAACGCTGGGAGATACAACAGCAAACTGCCCGACCTTTATGAACGCACTGCAAGTGCTTTTGACTAACACCGATGACGAAGGCAAGCCCATTCAGAAAAATGCGAATTGTAAGCAACTCGCAGCGCACGGGTTCACGGCTGCACTGAGTCTTGCAATACCGTCATATGGCAAGGGCTGCTTGCCATATTGTCCACCTTATGGACCACGAGCAACCCTGTGGGTGAACAAGTTCACGGGGCCCGACAAAGCTATCTTTCGAGCGGCTCCTCACACAGCAATATCAGCGCCCACTACATCCCGCTCCTCGATCAACTGGGTCTTCGGCTTGGTACTGGTGCCAGCCAAGGCAGCATCGAGACTACGGAAGCTTTCCAGCTCCTGCATCTTGGCTGCGTTTTTGGGGAGTTATCAGTGCCAGGTACAGTAAAGTGAGAGAGTTGGATAAGGTAGGCAGCTGGCCCAAAAGAGGGGGAGGGTAATGGAGACAAGAAGCACAAAACTCACCATCGCTGACGGGGCTGGTTGAGAAAATGGCCTTCTCCCGCTCCCCTAGGCTAGGGAAAATGCCTTCGTTGATGAGCATTTCGGCAATCGCGCGCTTGCTGCTCTCCGAGTCTTTGTCCTGGGTAGCAAGTTCTTCGCGTGCCCTTCCCAGACATTCGTGATAGTAGCTGGAATGGTTGATGTTGCAGACCTGGTCCCAGTTTTCGGACCTGTGGATGGGACAGAAATGGCGGGAACATAGAAGACAGGTCTCGAGAAACTTGGTCGTCGGGGAGAAGTCGCCTGGATTCTGTTCGTCGCATAGGTAGCACGACTTGACCAGGACGGGTTTCTGAGGTCTTGCTTTTGGAATAGCAGATACCGTCTCTGCTAAGGGACTAGTCGTTGTAGATGGTGCTACGTGCCGGGCTGCTGAAGCAGCCGCCGTCCCCGGAACGTTGATGATAATGGTTGGAGGAGGGGCCGAGGACGACATTGTTGTGATGTGTGGTTCTGGTTCGGTTGTGGACGAGATTCAATCAAGGTTGGAAGAGGATGGAGGTTCTTCCAGTGTGGCTGTAATACTCCAATTGTCGCGAGGCCTGACTCAGGCCACTGCAGTCAAAGGAGATCCGGGGGGAAAGCTGTAAGATTTATAGATAGATATACGAGGTCAATGGAGGGCCTGATTGGGGAGGGGGGAAGTATTTCCAACTCTATGCTGACTGACTGACGCGGTCGAGAAATGGGTGTGTGTGCTCGTGGCCTTACTGTGCGCGTGACACAAAACATGAAATATATGGGAACCATCTGTGGAATAACCTCTTTTATTTGGGTTTGGGCTCGACGACAATTGTCGGTAAGCACTGGATCTGTTTTGCGATCCATGTCCGTCACTTCGAGTAACTCAGCTGCGTCAGTCTGCACATGCGCGCCACATACCGAGTCGGCGAGATGTCTGACTGGCTACGAATGTGGCTTGCCAAGGGGGCCTGGTTTCTCGTATGGTAGTCATAGTGAGAGGGGCCGTGGTTTCGGGTCCGGAGCTTGGTCTGTGGTGAAGACTCGGAGTTCTCTGAAGCAACAGACATGCTACAATGTTGTACGGCAGACGCCGCGAAGTCAGCATGGATCGTCAGGGTCTTGTAGAAGGGTCAAACCGTAGCGGAGTCCGAGGCCCACAAGGAACAGTTATCGTGGGGATAGAAGAACATTTCTGTCAAGGGTCAAATTGAAGTTTGACATCATCATTTCTGTGATCGAGCATCCGTTCGACTGCCAGTACTGCTCAAAGTAGGCCACAGTAGAAGGTGTAGATTGCGAACAACGAACCTGCACCTTGAGGCGCAGAGGCAGACGAAGCGTTGATGCTGCATGCGGTGCAGTCTCTGGGAAACGCCGTGAAGTACCTACACAGCGTGAAATGCCAGTTCTAGTGCTAAGTAGTAGCTTTAGCACGACGGAGGTCGGAGTTCTCGTTTCTCCGATTGCCGTGATATTCCACTTCAAGTTGACAGTGACCTCTGCTGCAACTTGAACTCGAGGGATCCTCGTCTTCAAGTTTGACCCTGCCAGGACTGTGCATTATTATACGACAAGCGGGAGGGCATATGGTCTGAGGTTCCTTACCCATCGTCTTCAACACGAATTTCCTGATGACGTCGATGGCCAGATCGATCGCCAACTTGAATGGCAAATATCTGCACTCGCATTGACCCGAGAAGACATGGCTGTCTGTTTGCATACCTAGGTACACCGTACATGATACACTCGGTAAAGGATGGCCAAGACCTCCCGATTCAGCCAAGGAGTGACTGAGCAGGGGAAGCATTACATCACAAGCACCATTGATCCTGAGCCCCTACTCACACTCTTGAATATTAGGACCCCCCTATACACACAAAGTCATCCACTTCAGAAGGCTGCAACCCTAGACCAAACCCCTCATATCTTTTCGCAGACGGTGATAAACGGTGATACGACTCCTTTTAAGAAGTCAGCACAATCCGAAATGTGTCAGATTCTCGGCTGCATGAGGAGAACTCACCACTCATGAATAATCTTCCGGTCGACGCATCATGTATCACGGTCGTCATGATAGGCAAAACCTCCCCGTCCGCGTCCTCGATCACTTTGAAGAGCTCATACTCATACTTGTCCGGGACATTCCTGTTCAACCTTCTCACGCGCCAGACAGTAGCCGAGGCTACGGCTTTGAGGGGGTCGTCGAAGGCAGTAAGCACCTCCGCAATCTTGGGAAATCCCGCTGCGAAGATATCACCGTTCGCATCCTCTGAGAGATTGTCCATAGGGTAATCGAGGTCGATGTAGTGAACCTTCTTCAGCGAACCATCCGGCAACGGTTCAAACACAGTTATACCGCCGATGGCAGCGCTGGGGACGTACAGTAACCCATCACTGGCCAGAAGAAGTCCGTTAGGAAATTTGAATCCTGAAGCGACTCGTTTGCAGTCTCCACTGGCCGAGCAGTAAGAGACGTCGCCTGTTCCCAAATAGGTGGATAGATGGTGTGGCTGGAGGTAGAGAAAAGGTCAGGGTCAGCATCGTTGACCATGATTCAACCTCCAATCCAATCTCCAGTCTACGTCAGATTGGGACAAATCCTGCTGGGCACATCACGGGGCATAACAAGAACACATACCCAGCCAGTTTTGTGAGGTCCATGGTCGTTGGTGAAGAAGAAGCCTCCATCCTTCGTCACGGCGATGTTGTTGGGTGTTGCAATTTGAGGATGCGCGAACGTTTTGGCATGCTCCATGGTATCGGCGCCCGGCTTGGTTCTGAATACCTCAATAGTGGAGTTTCCTCCCACCACGGCGTTATCGAGCAACTCTCCTGTAACGGGATCAACAGAAGGCTGGGCATTGATCAGCCACAGTTCAATCTCCGAGTTGTCCTCATCTGGATTTGCTTCTGCAGATTTGCGCCTGGTTCCCGTTATGCCCACGACGTGGAGGCGACCATCGCCGTGGACGCCCGGGAATCCTGGTCTCTCAAGAACATGGTAAGTGAACCCTCCTTCGCTCGACGGATTGTCGAGGTTCAAAGCCACGACATGGTCGTGTAGTGCTCTGCCGGACGCATTCAAGCGGTGAATACTGGAGCAAAGTGCCTTGTCAGTTTCTCGCCAGCTGGTCCATCAAGAACGGAAAGGGAAAAGGTAATCAGCAGTCAAAAAGGGGCAACTAGCGTTCCCCTTTGGGGGGATGCCATATCACACTGCTCGGATATACCGGCCACTCACTTGGGCATCCACTCCTTCCTGGCCATCGGATCGGAGCAGGCAAGAAACAATGTCCTCGACTCTTCGTCCAGCCACATGTCTTCACATGCCTGGATGTTGGGATCGCCATGGATACGATGGCATTCATACGGGAACTCGGAGACATGTTGGATCGTGCGGCCCAACCCTACCGTCGCAAAGAGGTAGTCTTTGAGAGCGAACTGGTATAATAGGGCCGCGAGGCCGAAAAGAATCGACAGAATAGAAAGACTGGACGGCATGATGCAGGTGATAGTTGGTGCCGCTGCGAAACAACGGATGCAGATATTGGGATTCCGGCAATTCAATGCTACCGATCACGTTCTGATATCATCCAGGGTGTGACAGTGAAAATTCCTGGAATTCGCAGGGCAAGAAGTCCACCTTGGATACTAATATTCTGCTTTGGCTCGTAATAAAGGCCGTCCAATCAGTAAGAACCAGCACCAAGTTCGATTTCCCGCCGATGGCGGAGATATAAAGGTAGATACCAAGGTATATAATATAGTAGTTACCGATCGACCAGCTCCAAAGCGGAGAAGCAAGAGCGGTAGACTTCTCGCCCGGTGTGTCGATACAGGATCAAGATGAAGAGTGTGAGGACAGCTCAATCCCCACTTCCGAGGTCAGCTCACGGTGTTGGTTGTCGATGTCTAGGTCCGTACAGATTGAGATTGGCGCCCCGTTGGACGATTAACCCCAGAGTTTGCCCCTCACCTCCGCGACTCCCGAGGCTAGGGCTCCTCCTCCACGATAGAAAGGAGTACCAGTCGTACTACTGCTGGGGTTGCCAAGTATCCCTTTTGACTCGATAAGATATTGAAGCGAACACAAAAGCGAAGCACTTGCGCAGCAGATTGGCTTGTCTTTCAACTCTCAAATTGCAAAAAAGGTCGTCTTAAGGTCATGACATTTACATCGTATCAAAGGACAAGCAAACACTATTTCAAAAAAAAGGTACATAAATGATCGACTCCGTCCGTCATTTTAAGTATTCGTCCCCGGACTCCAGAGCCATGACATCAAACATGGGTTTGGCACTAAACCAGCCGGCTCGCGGGGTACCGACGCTCTTGTAAGTGAAGGCGGCATCCTCATCGTCGATCTTGATAGTTTCGCCACCTCGGCCGGCGGCGGCAGCATCGGCCATCAACTGCGTACGACAGCACTTCTCAAGTGAGATGAACCAGAAAATACAAGCCTCGATGGTCTGGCCGACGGTGAGAAGGCCGTGGTTCTGCAACAGACAGGCCTTCTTGTTGCCGATGGCACGGGCAATGTTCTCGCCCTCCTCCTTGGCCAGCACGATGCCCTTGAACGAATTGTACACGGCCAGGTCGTTGTAGAACGCGCAGCTGTCCTGGGTCGTGATGTCGATGGGGCGGCCGAGCGTGCAGAAGGTTCGGCCGTAGATGCTGTGCGAGTGGGCGGCGCAAAGGACGTCCGGGCGTGCCTTGTGCACTGCCGCGTGGATCATGTATGCTGCCGTGTTGAGCAGGCGGTTGGGCCCGCCGTCAACCACTTTGCCTTCGTGGTCGACGAGAATCAAGTCCGAGCGTTTGATCTGGCTAAATGCCAGTCCGAACGGGTTCACCCAGAACTTGTCCGGTTCCACGGGGTCGCGGAGCGTGATGTGTCCGGCAACGCCTTCGTCGAATCCATACTTGCCGAATAGTCGGAAGGCCAGCGCCAGCCGTCCTTTCAGGTATTCTCGCGCCTCGTACTTGTCGGTGAAGCGGGGTGGGCCGGGGAACTTCTGTAGTTGGACTACCGCTTCGCCTTGCTTCAGTCCTGGCTCGTTGGGTGCGGTGCCTTCCGGCTGCGCGTCCGCGGTGTCGAAGCCCTTGGAGGGCGTCGAGGTCTCGGTGTATGTGGCGGTTGGCGGGGCCATGGCGATAGAGATGAAGCCTTGTGCCTGTAGACTTGGTCGAGTGGTCAAAATGAAGGAGTCACCTAAGGGAAAGAATGGCGACACTATATGTTAGAGACCAGGGTCAAGAAGTGAGATAAGAAGAGAGATGGCCAGGGCAGGTTGGAGAGGAGGCAATGTCCGTGATATAGCCATGCCCGGGTTAGCCTTCCTCTTATGTTTATGGCTGTGGACACTGGACGAATCAGAGCCTTGGGGATAGAGATATGCGACGTTGATCGGTCAAGTCCCGAAGAGCCTCGGGTGGATTGACATCTCATGGTTGGGTCCCCCGCAGTGGCTCGGGCTTTGAGCACGCCTTACGATCAGGGAATTTGGTGAGAATGAGAGAACATGAGACGCCTGTTTTGACCTGTTGTAGGCAGGCTGAAATGGATGGCCCAATCCACCTATGCAGGGTCTCCACGCACCGTCCAGTAGTAGTGGCCCTGAACACTCGCGGCAATCAACGAACTCGGCACATACGGCATCTGAAAGACGTTCGCTGGAAAATTTGTAAAATATTAACAATGTTTTCCACGTCGCATAGGAGCGACATCGATAGCATTCTCAGCGAAACGTTCGTAGCATGGGAAACAGGCGACTTCGGTGCCGTTGCATGTGGAGGGTGCCGCGACGGACACCGCAGTGCGACTCTGCTGTGCGTGAAAACGAGACTTGTTTCCGCGAAAAGACACGGCGATTTCGTGCGAGGTGGAAGGATACCCTTCAGCAGCATAGCATTATCAGTTCAGGATCACTTGACCATGTCAGGCGCGTCTTCCATTCTCACTCTATTCTGCATGTGTTGTTCTTGAAGCTGGGTCTGGATCTCGCTGCTCGTGGCCAGTGGCCAGTCGCGGCCTTACGTAAGCTAGGCTAGGCTTGAAGAGGAATAATGGCAGCCGCCTCCCGAAGACCCTGCAAATCGCTGGAATTTTTTTGGATCGAAGACTCGGACTCGCAGGCCCATGAATTTCAGTTGTTGTTCTGTTCATTCAAGCCACCGAACGATTCATCCCGTCCATTTTTGTCTTCACGAAACTCCTCGACCTTCTCAGTTTCACTCATTCTCTCCCTTGACCTGGTTCTGTTAGTTGCTTAGCCACTTCTGTTGTGAACACATCGTTTGCCGGTTCATTCTCTCCGCAAACACCGTCACCATGTACGGTGCAGCCCGACAGGGGCGTCTGGTTCTACGAGCCTTGCGATCCGTTCCTTCGACATCCTTTTCATCTCCTGTATCTCGCACGTTACCTCCGACTAGTCGATTCGCTCCCTCAAAGTCAATCAGAGTCAATCTTTTCTCCTCCACCTCGAGATATGGCCAACAACAACATGCCGTCGCCGAAGACATGGGAGCGGAGGACCTCTCACATGTAAATCGCGAGTTCAGCACGTTCACCGAGCTAGGCGAAGCCGGAGTCCTCGATAGAAGAATCGTCAACACATTGGCCAACAGAATGAATATCCAAACAATGACTGAAGTCCAGCGCATGACCATCAACGAATGCTTAGACGGTTCAGACGTGGTCGCTCAAGCCAGGACCGGCACGGGCAAAACTTTGGCCTTTTTGACCCCGATTGTCCAACGCTTACTGGGAGATCCTGCGCTCAATACTCGCAGAGCTTCCATTAACGACATCAGAGCCCTCATCCTTTCACCTACGCGAGAACTGGCCGAACAGATTGGCGAGGAGGCAAGAAAGATCGTTTCCGGGACTGGAGTTCAGGTGCAGACAGCTGTCGGTGGCACACAGAAGAGGTATCACTTGAAGCTGATGCAGCGAATGGGCTGCCATATCCTCGTTGGTACACCGGGTAGAGTCAAGGATCTGCTGTCCGACCCCGACAGTGGCGTTCGGTTGGACAACATCCAGACCTTTGTCCTCGATGAGGCCGACCGACTCCTCGACATTGGTTTTGCCCCGGACATTGCGGAAATTCAAAGCTACATGCCTCCCAGAGACCAGAAAGACCGACAGACTCTCATGTTTTCGGCGACCATGCCGCGCTCGGTGGTTGGGTTGGTGAAGCAGACCATGAAGCGGGATTTCAAATTTGTCCGCACCATTGACCCCAATGAGGCCGCCACCCACGAGTCGGTACCGCAAAATGTCGTTTACCTGCCCGGCTTGGAAAACGTACTTCCGACCCTTGCCGAGATCTCCTACAAGGCCGTTCAAGCCCACAAGGCCGACCCTACCAACAACCCTCCCTTCAAAGCGATCATGTTCTTGTCCACCATCAACGAAGTCAGAATGGCATATGAAGTGTTGAGAAATATGCGTCTGCCAGGGGCTAAGGCTGGATTATTCGCCCCTCACCCACTTGCTCCATGCAAAATCTTCGAGATGTCGTCCAGACTGACCCAGGCCGAGAGGACCCGCAACTCGCAGGCGTTCCGCCATGCCGAGAGCGCCATCTTGGTGTCTTCAGACGTTGCGGCAAGGGGAATGGATTTTCCCAATGTGACCCACGTTATCCAAGTAGGACCGCCGAAGAGATTGGAAGATTACGTCCACCGAATTGGCCGGACTGGACGTGCTGGCAAATCGGGCCAGGGCTGGCTCATCCTGCAGGACGACGAGCGCAACGAGTTCCGACAACTGGTCCGTGACCTCCACGCCCACAACATCTCCGAGGACGAATCACTGGAAACGGCCAAGTTGGACATGACACAGCCGACCCAGCTGTCCGCGGAAACCGGCAAGATCATGCAAATGGTCGAGGCAGGAATCAGAGGTGTCCCCATTGGTGATAAGATCAAAGCCTACGAGGGCGTCTTGGCCAGCTTAAACCAGTCGTCTGTCCGAAGGCCCAAGCAGACCATGGTCGAGATGGCCAACAATCTTGCCAGATACGGTTACGGTCTGGAACGCACACCTCGTATCTCCCATTCCTTCGCCCAAAAGCTCGGCTTTTCTGGCGTGAGGGGCCTCGAGTTCAATGAGCCCGGCTACGGTGGTCGTTCCGAAGGCCGACGAGACGGTTTCGGTGACCGAGGTGATCGTGACCGCCAAGGTGGTGGCCGTGGTGGCCGTGACTTTGGTGGCAGAGGAGGCAGAGACCGGGGTGGCCGGGGATCCTTCGACCGAAGACAAGATTTCGGCAACGACAACAGCTCGAGATCGGGTGCTCGTGGTGGCTACGACGGCCTTGGGGATCAAGGCAACCAATGGTAGACAAGCCAACACATTGTTAAAGATCATGAGTGGATTGGTTTCTGGACTTGCCTGATCTGATGGGGATGGTGTCGGGAGTTTTCTGTCCGTCGTATATGTTATGGACTTATACGTCAATGGAGTCGGGAGGAAGTGGGTCAGGCGTCCTTTTCCCCCTTTGTGCTTCTTCAGCATCCCTCCTTTCCTGTTCTGTGTTTTTCTATCACTCGACAAGGTGGAAGGGTAGCAGCGGCATTCATTGTCCTTCTGTACAAGGGAGATGCCTTCACCAACCTCTCGTCTCGGCAATTGGAAATCTACCTTCAATGCCATCCCCGGTTTCAACGTTCATCCACTCAGAGAAACCGAAACGGAAACGACACAAGTCAGCCCTCTTTCTCCGACATCTCTCCGCCATCAAACACCCAGCGGAACAGACAGCAACGCATCCGAAACCACAGTCAGTCTTGACCCTCCGTTGCGCCCAAACCTCCCGCCAAACGCAAAATCTAAACCGCGCGACCTTCATTGAGTTCTGCCTTGGGTTATACTTCGAGCGGACCGACGAACCTCCACCGACGATACAACCAAAACATGCTATCAGAAAACCCCTACGCCGGCGGGGAACTTCATGGTCCAGGCAAAACATCAACAGTCTACACAATCCATTTGTTGTACCAACAATGAACCAACAGTTCTGACTAGTCGGTGGAGGTATAGCCTTCCTTCCTGCCTGCCTCTCTGCCATGATTATACCGTACTGCCCTGTCGATCGAAAAGTCACCATTTCTTTGCTTGAAGTCGAATCTTTGGTTTCGCATTTAGGAGAGTTCAGGACTGTGGCGCTGCCAGGACTGATTGGCGCATATATCTCCATCGGGAGGTATCATTCATTCTATTACTGGGCTATACCTCAGTGCGTCCTTGTACCAATACGCATATTTCACCTTGTTCATTGTGGGCTGTACTAGTTTCTCTGGCAAGCATTGTGGTCTAATGCATTCAACGGTCGTTACGGTCGGTTATGGTTCTGGGCAACTTGAAGGGATCGCAGTCCTCTCATACATAAGACAAGAAATGAAAAGAAAAGAAATCTCCTCTTCGAATGTTTGTTCTTCAAGTTCACTTTTTTTTGGAGTGATCGAATCATTTACACATTGCTTTCGTCATGGTTAAATGCTCAGTAAGCCAAGCACCTGAGCATCGTCAACAGGGGGCTTCATTAGCACCACTGTTGGGTGCAGGTTTGGACGCAGTTCAGGACCATTGATCTCTAATGGCTGCTCCTCCACTGCTGGATTTCCTCCTGGCTAATTTCTCTCAGGTCATTGACATTGGCCACCTCTCCTGTGACTGCTCCCTTGACCATTTCGACAGCCCTTCCTAGGGAAGTGCCCTTGGAGACAGCATATGTTGCGGTAATAGTTTTAACTTTGATGATGCCGATACGTGGGTCATTCTCACTGCCATCATGGACACCGTCGCCCAAATCGCCGACCCATGTCTTCAGAGACGGGGTGTAGTATTTCTTCACCAAGCTTCGGTCGTCGCTGACAGTGGCTGTGCCAGAGATAGATGCCCACGAGCCCGAACTGTTCAAGAAGGAGACGTTGACATGCGAGTCGGATTCGAGGTCAGAGGTCTTGCCGGAGTGGGTGTTTGTGTGGAAGATGAGGTCGATGCCACCGGTCTCCTTTATGGAGATATCAAGGTCAGCAGGTGATTTGATTATGCAGCACAGCCAGAGAAAGGACCGAGTAAGTACTTACCTGCGCAGCCAATGCCATGCAGCGGGAAACCAGCAGACCGGAGTCGGCAATGCGGGTAGTCAACATGCCAAACTTGCAGGCCCGGATGAAGTCGCTGAGATCATTGATCTTCTCCTCCACACCAGGCTCATCCTTGTTCTTGGCCTTGTATCTACCAGGAGGTCAGTCGACGTACACCCTCTCTTGTGCTTTTGTGCGGTGGTGGAGGAACAGCTGAGCGCAGGAGACGGGTGATGGGACGGTACTCACGGGTCAGTGGGCTGCTGTGCGGAAGTCATAATGCCGGTATTGCTTAGATGTACGTTGTATTCAAGTTCTGATATGAGATCGAAGGACTGTCTCAGACAAAGGTAGACTGAAGGATGAACGGAAGCTGGGGAAAGGGTAAATAAAGGTCGCTGAAGGGTTAATGCACAACTTGAATTGCCCGACAGGTACTACGAGTAGGCCGTCGTGTTATTACTGGTGACGTCGACTGTGGCAGTCACGCAAAAGGCAGTCACGGCCGGCAGGTACGCACGGGGAAGGCACTGCGATTGCGAGTGCGGGAGGGATGAGAGGGGCAGGAGCAACCATGATGCTCATCAGTCCACTGCCACACTCGCACGACTGTTGACTGGTACTGAAGTTAATGCTAGTAATAATGCCAAACCTTAGTTTTTGCCCGATTCGACCTCGGATGATGAAAGGTCGAGGCCTCCAGATGGCAACACGCATGATGATCGCAAATCATGAAGACTGCGTCACTCTCGGCCAGAAGGGCTGACGTTCAGCCAATTGCTCGTTCAGCCGTCTTTGTCTTCATAGTAACTCTTGTGCTTCCGGGGATCGATCCTGTCGTTCAAGAAACCGTGTACTTAACGACGTCGTCGAAATACTGGTATCTGTTGAGACTTGCTTCCGAGTTAAAGTCGGCGATATGCCATGAGGTTCATCGTCGCTGGTTTCCATGACGAGGCTGAGATGCGTTGAAAGCGTCCCCACTCAACCACAATGACGTCATCATCTACACTTGAATTTCAGTCACGGTTTGGATGGCACACGGCATACTCCTGTATTGGAGACCCCTTGGGCTTATTGTCCAATATCTAACAATGTGGTTTTATATGCGCTGCTTTACAGTTGCTCTGCATCAGCGACACAACCAGTAGCATATATAATCCCGCAAAACCGAGATTGATGCCCACCGGATAGTCACGGTGTCGCTGCATAGTAGGCGTAAAGTGAAAAGGAGAGTCTGTGGAGGCCAACCGCTACCGCGGTTTCGTTGCCTCAAGCTCTGCAGAAACTTATGTAAAGCGCGCACATTGCTGTGCTCTCTCCTCCGGGCTCGAAGCGGTACCTGGGCGGCGGCCCAAGGCGAGCGATGTAGACAGCTCGACATGCCATAACACAGTCTGCGCATCCTCGTATGTGATGAGCGTGGTTGATCTGGTTGTCGTATTAATTGTTTCTGAAATGATATCTTTCAGCATACTCTAGCATCGTTCAGAAACTCGAATAGGCTCCAAATGTGTAGAAGGGAGTCGCAGTCCGTCTCCCGTGGTAAGAGTCCACTGCGTCGGAAAGTCCACGAGGCGTATCGCCCCAACACTCCCTGTCATCGGCAGAAGTTCTCCTTCGACACTCTGTTCAAGATTGTCTTGACGAAGACCTCCCCGCTCTGATGGGAGGTGGACGGATCTGGACTCCCGAACCTTGACTCAATGTGATTCTTCGCCTCGTAGGCGGCCGAAGATCGAGTAAGATATCGCGGAACCAACCTGCGACGATGGCAAAGACCTGCTCACATATCTGGCCCGTTTCATGCGATCGATAGGCATCGATTGAGTAGATCGTGACCTAGTGAATAGGGAAGAAGGAGAATCCTGAAACATCCATTCGTCTTGGTGTTCTTTCCCTGATAGCACTCCGCGGGAGCCAGCCCCCCGATGCGTTCAGTGGATGATTCCCAGTCGGCCTTCCCACTCGTCTTCCTTCTTGATACCATTCTCGCCACCGCCTTTCCTCCGCCTCTCGTTTCGTTTACGTCTTTTCTCCTCCCTCTCGGCCGCGTCCAGCTCTTCAGCTTTCTTGATTCGGGCCTGAATATCAACTTCTCCTAGCCGTTTCTCCTCTTCCTCTTGTTGCCTCTTGCGGGCTTTGAGCATTTCGAGTCTTTCCCGGACCTCCTGCAGTGTCGCACGCTTCACGTCCCCAGATTGGCCCGTGTTGAAAAGATGTTGCTTCGAGTTCAGATGCTCAATGTATTGTACGTTGTCCTTGTAGGTGAGATCGCAAGCCTCGCAGTAGAACCCAGCGCCTTTGCCTCGCTTTCCAACGGTCGACCCTGCAGGGACAAGTGTGCTTTTTCCGACCATGCTAGCCACGTCCAGTCGCGAGTTTCTCGCCGACGTCGACTCGAGAGCCGAGAAATCCACTGGCTTGTGCCATTTCTTTCCTTCTAATTTGGCTTCATACCGTGCCTTGGCTTCTTCTCGCTGCTCCTCCTTCTCCTTTTTGGCCTTTGCTTCATATTCAGCCTTGTCCCAGGTTCTGCGAAAGTCGGTATCTGAGGCAGGGGCACCGTAGGCCGATTTGCGTTCGGCCATCTGGCAGAATTGGCGGCGAAGGCCAACAACAGTGGTAGATACGTTAGATATGTGATAACACCAGCGAGACGTTATCCCGAGATGAAGCGGCCTGGAGCAGAACAGAGGGTGTGGTGAGTATGCGGCCCAGCTGTTTGGGGCAAATGAATGATAGTAGAAGTGCCTGCGTGCCGGATCGTCATGCGAGATACACTGCGGCGCTAATGATGCCGACCTGCGGAGAAAATTGGTCGCGACCGTTGGCAGTTGGAGTCAACTTTTCAACTTGTTCTACGATGCGACAGCTGCGATCCCTCGCAATCTGCTTGCTTCTTGTCTTGCACTTCTGATAAAATGGCTAAGAAAGCGTCTCCCTTTAACCTTGCGCAGTGCGCAAGGCCCAATATCCTCAAACTCAAGCCCTACCGATGTGCTCGAGAGTGAGTGCCAGCCCCGCAGCGCAGTTCGTTCACTGACTCACCAATGTAGCGACTACAAGGATGACGGAAAGAACATCCTCCTCGATGCGAACGAGAACGCCTACGGTCCAGGTCTGGCGCTGAATACAAACGGAGACTACAAGCATGACCACGTCGAGAAACCGCGGGTCGACTTCTTAGGGCTAAACCGATACCCGGACCCTCACCAAGTAGCACTGAAGGAACGCTTCTGCCGATTGAGGAACACGCGCACACATACCGATAAGACGCTCAGGCCGGAGAATATGTTCTGCGGTGTCGGATCAGATGAAGCCGTTGATGCACTGCTGCGATGCCTCTGCGTCCCTGGAAAGGACAAGATCTTGACTTGCCCTCCAACATACGGCATGTACTCTGTGAGCGCGGACGTAAACGACGTGGAAGTGGTCCATGTGCCGTTGAACGCAGAAGATGGCTTCTCTTTGCAGCCGAAACTTATTGCGGACAAGCTCTCTTCAGATCCCTCGATCAAAATGGTATATATCTGTTCACCCGGTAACCCCACCGGCGCAGTCATTTGCAAGGAGGATATTCAGCAAGTGCTCGAACATCCGACCTGGAATGGAATCGTGGTGGTGGACGAGGCTTATATTGACTTTGCTCCTGAAGGATCAAGCCTGGCGGAGTGGGTGCTTGAATGGCCGAATCTGGTTGTTATGCAAACATTGAGCAAGGCCTTCGGCCTGGCAGGAATACGGCTAGGTGTCGCATTCAGCAGCCCGGAGATTGCTGGCTTGCTCAACAATATGAAAGCGCCTTATAACATCTCCAGTCCCACGAGTGCTATCGCGACCGCGGCATTGGAGCACGACAATCTGAAAGTCATGAGACAAAATAGAGAAAAGATCCTCAGGCAGCGAGACAGGCTCCTGCAGGAACTTCCGCAGATACCGGGAGTTGGGCGCTTTTTGGGAGGAACTGATTCAAACTTCCTCCTTGTTGAGATACTCGACAAGCCACGGGAGCAGGGAGGTCGACCGGACAATGTGACCGCTTTGGCCGTATACGAGACAATGGCCGGGCAGCGTGGAGTCGTGGTAAGATTCCGTGGTAAGGAGTATGGATGCAACGGATGTCTGCGAATCACTGTCGGCACGGAAAAGGAGGTAGACCGGTTCCTGGAAGAACTCAGATCGGTCTTGCAGCAGATATACTCGTCGCGCGGCTCCCAGGTAGACGGCGTAGGCGCAGAGGAAGAGAAGCGTGAAACAGAGGCCAACGGGGTGTTATCATGATGCAGAGTGATAGACTAGAGATATACGACCTCAAGCGAATGCTACTAAACTTGAATAGGGAGACTGTGCTGCTGTAAGTGATGGCGTGGCTGGCATTAGTAGAGGCTGAGGAAGCATGGGAGTTGAGGTTTGATGATGGAAGATGGATCCCATGTTGCACGCGCTTCGCTGATACGCCTGCAACCCGCGTTATTCCCAAAATCGACAATAGTAAAGAAACACCCTGTCAGCGCATGCCAACACATCACACTGCACATCGTTCTCGTTGCTTGCTAAACGGAGGCTGCTGTGCTTCTCGACAGCCACACATCACTGGATCGTCACATCACTTCTCTGCCTGTTCACCCTGCAGCCCGACTCGGAATCGCCTTGCAGCCCGAGCATTGCGCAGGAACAACAACCAGAATCTCGCCGACTCGTCCCAACCCTCCCACGATTGTATCTTGTCCTTCGGCCCATCCTCACCCTCGTCGGCGCGCGAATGACGAGTCTCTGAAGAAACTACCATTCACATTCGACCGCTAGATTTCACTTCACTGCCCTACCTCGCCTGTCCACTCCGCCGTCGCCTTACCTCTTCCCGATATTTTCTCTGCGACACTTGTCTCACGCTGGCCAGTCCGTCGCACAACAACAACGGGTCCTGATCTTGCCTGGTCCAAACACCCAGGATCCGGGTTTATCTCTACTAGATCGATTCACCTCCGCCTTACACCCCAGTCAAACTGCTGAGGCTCAAAGACCTATCCAGCTCTTGGTGAACCATGTTTACGGAAGGAAAAAGAAGGACGTTGATCGATAAACCACAACCCTAAGACTCTCCGCCTGGAACTTCTTCCCAACGTAATTGACAATGGTCAAGGCCGACGTCAAGCGCGATTACTATGCGGACCTGGATCTGCCGCCAACCGCAGATGCCGAAGACATCAAGAGGCAGTTCAGACTCCTGGGTAAGAGAGGTGGTAGGCCGTGGTTTTGAACTCATGACTTACAAACATAGCGAAACAATTCCATCCCGACCGAAATCCCGGCCGTGAAGTCGAAGTCCTGCCAAAGTTCCAGGCAGTTCAAGCAGCACACGAGATTCTGAGCGACCCCGTCGAGAAGGCCAAATATGATGCCGCGCGCGCCAAACTCACTGGTAGGAACACCGCCAGCAACTACACATCAGAACCTTATGGCTTCGCGAGGTCTGCAAGCTATCGTACAAGCACAGCCACACCGCAGTTTCCCTTTCCTCCGCCGCCGAAGACAAAAGATAAACGACCACAGTTCCCGAGTCCGACCCCCAAGTCGCAGACATCATCTGGTGCGGAGAAATTCAATGCCTTCACCCGCGGAGCACCACAGTCATGGGATAGAGCTCGCTTCGACGATGCTAGGGCCGAAGCTGCAAGAGTCTTTCCCAATATGAGACCATCGCCGACTGCTCCACCGGTTCCGCCACGAACGCCTCGTCAGGCTCCTACAGCACCCAAGCCGTCCTCTTCGTCTGATATACCCCACGCCTCAAATATGCCTCCGCCAGGCTTTCCTGGGTTATCTCGGACACAGAGCGCGCGAAGACAGGGCTATACAGCCGGCTCCCATGGTGGCGATGAGGCGCCAGCCCCTCGATCTGCATACTCGTACGTACGTGGCGATCGTACAGCGGGGACTGGTTCGCATGGCTATGTGCCGGATGACCACATGCGGTCACCTCCCGTCTCTCGGGTTAGGCCTGCTGTAAGTCCTCTACGACATACCAAGTCTTCTGACTATGAGATGCGGAGTGATTCGTTCGGTGGCTCGCGTCCTTCGTCCAAGTATGCCGGGGTGAGTGGCGAGAGGACTGACATCCACGGAGATGGCCTGCATCGTTCTGCCAGCGTGCGGAACTCGCCAGTCGACCCGCGTTGGGATGATCGAGGCCCGTTCGGTAGGTCGTCTGCTCGCTTTGACCACCCTCCTCGACACCGTAGTGAAAGCCCCGGAATGAAGCCCAATGGGATCCATGCCGATTTCTCGTCCGATACGTCGTCGAGTGAGGATGAGGCATTGAACATGAACGCACGACCAAAAGCTGTGCCACGACCCAGAACGAAACCCGGCTTGAATCCTTTCGGCAGGACCGTCGATCCCAATCCCGGACTGACGGGACAGTTTCCCAACACTAATTACACTAGGATTGTCGACGAGAACCAGTACAAGTATCCGCCTCCCGATTCGAGGGAACCTGCTCAGAAACCTTTCTCCGCGCCTGAGGCAGCGAAGTCTAACGGCACACCCACATTTGGAGGAAATAGTGGTAATCAGGATGGACCCAAGTATGCCCCCTCTCCAAGAAACCCATTTCACTATCCTTGGTTGGAAAAGACGCCTCCCGGTCGTCCTGCTCCTAAAGGGACCTGTTTCAATGGTCTCCCTTCGTGGGCAGTTCCTTCGAGTATCTTTCCACAGAAGACACCTCCCCAGCGCGAAAAGCAGGAAATGAAAGATGACAAAGCCCGTCACCCTCCCTCATCTTCTCCGTTTCATACGTCCGGTATGGTTGCTAATCCCAGAAGCAGTCATGACAACGGCCCGTCCAATGTCCAATCCAAGTTTTCGGCGGATGAGTGGCATGACAAGGTAACAGTTGAGGACTTCCTCCGTCCGACTGACCCTCAAATGCGAAAGCCATCACCTTCCAAGACCAGCCGAGCGGGAAGCAAGTCCACCGCAACACGAGCTAGAGGATTGTCCAGAGGCCCGGATGCGGAAAGCAGCTCCTCTTCCGACTCTGTAAGTGGCGGATTTACACCCCAACGTGGCAGCGGTTCGGATGGCGACCACCACGACAAATCGACCGCTTTCCAACAAGGAAAACTGCCGAAAGATTGGGCGGCCAAGGCCAAAACTGCCGCAACCGAACCACCCCCTACGGGAGCAGCCCAGCGGGCCAGGAATTCGCCTGCGAATGGTGCTCGAAATCGAAATGTCTTCGTGGAGGATGAAGAAGATGTCATGGACCTAGACGACACCCCTGCAGGCTCTGGAAAGCAGGAGGCTAATCACGTCGGGCATCAACCAAATACGGAAGCCCTCCGCCCATCTTCAGAAAAATGGTCTATAAATGAAGGTGTCGATCTGAAAGCTTTCACCCAGCAGGCACCATTTGCTCCTGCGTCGACTGGTTTGAAGGATATGGGCGATATTGCAACCCATCTCCCGTTCGAGTCACGTCCCGCGGCCAGTGTTGATGCCGGTGGGAAAGCCGCGGCGAGGCTACGTGCACTAAACTTACCTAAACCGCCGAAGCCAGTGGTACCGCCAGCCGTGGATCGTCTGGACCAAGCCAACTGGCTACAGTATGTGGAGAACATGAAGGTGTATATGCGAGAATGGAACCGATTTAACGCCAAAATGATTGAACATTTCCGCATTCGACAGGATCGGATTGGTGAAACCATGGCGCCGAATTGGATCAGCATGCGTGGTGACGGGCCGGATGCCGACAGTGTGGACGGCTTAACTGGGGACGCAGCGAAGAACTCTCACGAGGCCGGGTATGCGGCGTACATGCAGTGGTTGAAAGACGACGCACAATGTCGGGCTTGGTGGGATCATGCGCACGATGAACACATGAAGTGTCTGGAAGACCTGGGGCGGGTTAGAGAGGCGGCCAAAAGAAACCTGCGTCCGGTCTGAGGACATTCATTTTCTGGTCAACAGGAGAGTTGGAATCTACGACGTATCCTGCAATGGCAGTTGATGTAACAACAGGGTGGATTGTACTTTTGGAGACTACGAGATCAACCACACGAGTGGATGAGTGTGCGTCAGGAGTCAACCAGGCACGTGGAGTAGTTCTTGACTCAAGACCATGAGAGCTGTGACCTATCTCTGGTCCAAGATCACGAAATCGTAATACGATGTGTAAATGTACGCGGTACTGCACCGGACGTTCCGTCACTACAATGTTATAGCCGGCGGCGGGCTGTATTTTGGCCTTTTGGGCTCCTTTTAGACAGCCCTTGCAATCCGAGCCGCAGAGGTATTCCATCAGCGCTGGCTAGACAGCCACCCGGATGGGATCCAGTAATATGGACCTGGCATGTGAAATTTACAATGTAAACACCCTGTTGTACATTGTACAGTATTCGCAACCTTCTGTCGGGATCCGAGGCTGCCACTGACACTGGCACTGCCTGGCAATGCTTCGAGTTTGAACTGTGATTGGTTTATCGGCGGCAAGGCTGGGGCGACTTGACTGGGACCAATGCACGGCATGGAATGCCATCGAAAAGAGCTGCCACCACCACGCCTGCCACGGCCACGGATACGGATAATGCTGCTACCGAGTAGGGGACCACTATGTGCTACATTGTACATTGTAAGGGACTGAGGGCGGTGGCGGTGGTGTAGGTGGGCTCATAACAGCTTGCTTGAAGCCTTGAGGAGGACCAGGACCCTTTATTTTATACACCGGTACATTCCATCCGTAGCCACGTATCAGATATATATAGGTACCAATTCATGCATAGCACATGTCATTTCCGCCTTCTGTCATCAATCAGCCTTCCACACTCTATGGCGCGAGCGGCAGGTTGGGCTAGGATCGGGAAGAGTGTGTTGAACAATACGAGCAAAAGTGATAAACGACAGATCTGTGATAGTTTTTTGTTATCGGCGACTTCAACCCTTCCGAGCACCCGTTATTATTCTTCTGTCTCTTCTTCTGCCCACGGATTCCGACGGCAACCAAACCACCACCACCACCGTCTCAAGAATAGTTTTAACTACAACCATCGTCGCGGCATTGCTTCGTTGACAAACAACTCGTCGACGCGAGGATTCCTCTCCTCGTCCTCGTTAGCCGGGAGTTTATCTTCGTCTTCTTGTTCTCAACATCCGGCTACCTACTCCACCGCGGGGTCGTTTATAACTACTGGTAGGACCCTGCTGCCACTTTCTTTGCATCAGTTGAGAGAATATTCATCATCATCTTCTTCGACTGCTCAAACTCCAACGACATCATCCGAAAGCCATTTTCAAACTACTTCCAAAATGGCCGATAGTAATGCAGCACAACAAGCGGTGACGGCACGCAAACGGCCACTACGACACGCATGGTGGCGCGAAAGCAGCGTCTACCAAATTTACCCTGCGTCATTCAAATCAGCCAAGAGCATCGACGACGGCACGGGACGGATCCACGGCGACTTGCGTGGGGTGATCGAGAAGCTAGACTACCTGGCCACATTGGGGGTAGACATTGTCTGGCTCAGCCCGATCCTGCAATCGCCCCAGGTGGACATGGGCTACGACATTTCCGACTACCGGGCCATCTACCCTGGCTACGGGACGATGGAGGACCACGACGAGCTGATCCGGGGCCTGCACGAGCGCGGGATGAAATACGTGATGGACCTGGTGGTGAACCACACATCCGACCAACACGAATGGTTCAAACAATCCCGCTCGTCCAAAGACAACCCCTACCGCGACTGGTACATCTGGCGGCCACCGCGATACGACCCAAAAACAGGCGAACGCATGCCTCCCAACAACTGGGAATCCAACTTCTTCGGGCCTGCATGGACATACGACGAAGCCACGGGCGAATACTACCTTCACTTGTTTGCATCCGGCCAACCAGACCTGAACTGGGAGAACCCAGACGTCGTGAAAGCCGTTCACGACATCATGCGGTTCTGGCTTGACAAAGGAGTCGACGGGTTCCGAATGGACGTGATCAATTTCATCTCCAAAGAACCGGGTCTACCAGACGCCGAAAAGACCCGTCCGGGATTCCTCCAAGACGGCGTGGAGAACTATGCATGCGGCCCCCGCTTGCACGAGTACCTCCACGGCATCGGCGACATCTTACGCGAATACGACGCCTTCAGCGTCGGCGAGATGCCAGGAGTCTTCGACACCCGCGAGATCATCAAAGCCGTAGGTCAAGACCGAGGCGAACTAGCCATGGCATTCCAATTCGAAATTGTCGACCTCGACCACCAACCGGGCCAGATCAAATGGTACCCACGCGAATTCCAACCGAAAGCGCTCAAACACATCGTGGCCAAATGGCAGTCGTTCATGCTGCAGAACGGCGGCTGGAACGCAGTATACATGGAGAACCACGACCAAGGACGCTCCATCTCGCGCTTCGCCGACGACTCGACCCCCAGCTACCGCGTCAAATCCGCCAAACTGATTGCCGCGCACCAAGCACTGCAGAGTGGAACCATTTTCTTGTACCAGGGTCAAGAACTCGCGCAGATCAATGTCCCCAAGGAATGGGGGCTCGACCAATACCGCGACATCGAGGTCCAGAACCACTGGCAGACCGTCCTGCGCGATTTCCCCGACGACAAGGAGAAACAGGAAATGTTTAAGCGCCAATACCGTCTTATTGGTCGTGACAACGCCCGTACCCCGATGCAGTGGACGCCCGATGAGAAGACGTATGCTGGCTTTCTTGCACATGATGCTCCCCCCGGTGCGAAGCCGTGGATGTCGATTCATCCGGATTTCAAGGACTGGAATGCCGTGAAATTGCTCGAAGACCCGCAGAGTCCGTTGCACTATTGGCGTCAATTGCTGAGGCTGCGTAAGGAATATAAAGACATTTTCGTCTATGGCGACTTTGAGATGTTGGATCTCGACCATGACACTGTCATTGCTTATTTGAGGACGGATGACTCGACAAAAACAACAGTCGGCGGAGGAGAGGAGGTGGAAACCACATCAGCAACAGCAGGACCAAAAGATGTGGTCCGTCCAACTTGTCTCGTCATCACAAACTTCTCCCGCTCCCCTGTCGACTGGGTCGTGCCTGACCGCGCCGTCCCCGTCCTTTTTGATACGTCGTCTGAAACCCCACAACTGAAAAAAGGCGCCGTTTTGCCCCAATTTAGAAATTATACTGCCCGAGAGGACGGTGCAGACAACGTCGAGAATCATGTCTCCAAGACTCCCGACGGCAAGTGGGTTCTGAACTTGAGGCCGTGGGAGGTCATTGTTGCCATGGCTGGAATCTAGACACATGCGCAGAGAGAGGCAAACAGAAGTGGGGGAGAAGTCGAGACTGGGTACATTATTATACACATACACACGTAGACACCTATACAACAGATGATACCTTGACGTATATAGTTTACCACGAAGAAGACGGTACCAGCGCGTGACAGGATGACAGGATGTTTTATATCATTTGCATTACTTTGACAGTCACTATTAGGTGCTCTGCCCTCTTCCTTGACCCTCTTCCTGGGCCTTCAAGTTGTATCATTAAAACCCAAAACTATCCAGCAAACTATCCGCGCTGGGCTCGACAAATTGCGTGGGAGGCGGCTTCTTCTTCTTGTCATCGCCTTTCTCCGGTAGCTGCTGGTCTTTGGCCAGTAACCCACCATCTCCCTCGCGTGAAAGTGCTTGACCATTGCCGTCTTCTTCGCCCGCTTCAATTTCCTTTTCAAGGTCGACAAATGTCTTCCTCCTCTGGATTCCTGGGCTTGGTGATCCTACACTCCCCCGTGCGCGATCGATAGCCAAATCCAGATCTAGGTCCTTACTCTCAGGCACAAACTCCCAGTCTCGCACCAAGGACAAGGCGAGAACGTCACAGCCCATCCGAAGATACTGTCTCACACAACGCATGACAAAGTCCCATTCCTCTCTGGCGTTGATGACACTCTTCCGCCATTTGTTCTGTTTGACGAATTCGGCCCTGAGTTGCAGGTACAAGATTGTCAGGAGAGGGTCGTTGGCAGCGTAGCTGAGCGATCCGACCATATCGCCGTTACCCTCGACAATACCGTCCGGTTGCCCATTCGTGCCTGCATCGTCTTCGGCCCCTTTCACCAGTGAGACGCCTAACACCTGGTGAACAGGGTGCACGAGCACGCGGATCGCTTCTTTGCGGCGGCCGAGTAAACAAAACGCCCAACTGGCCATCCAGCGACCTTGTTCGCTTTGCACTGCCCGAGGGAGAATTGCTTGATGCACCAATCGAACCATGTCTTCTGAGACCGTCGTCGAGAATTGCGGCATCTCAGACTTATACACTCGCGCAATGGCGATTGCGAGCTGCATATCCTGCAATTGGTTACGACAGACAGCAACCGCATCCCAAACACTGCCAGCGAGCAAGAAGAAGGCAGCGGCATATTGAAACCGTCGCTTGCTGAGCAGCGCATAGGCATTCTTGAGGGCCGCCTCTTTCCACCTCGGCTCGTTGAAATTGTGGGCGAGGAACTTCATCGTGTTCTCTCGTTCGCGGACCCCAATAGTCATTCGCCACAGACCCTGAACGACCGTTTTCTTGCCAAGGGCAAAATAGTGCAGCGAGCAATCTACCGGGTTCTTCTCCTCTTGTTTGGTATATTCGGCTCGAGCAACGTTTTCCATCTGCAGTCGAAGAGCTTCGCTGTCAGACAACCAGCTGAAAAGTCCCGATTTCCGCGCGGCTTCCCATGTGAGTTTGCCTCCATAATGTTGCGTGACCGCTTCGGCCAGAACTTCCTGAGACGTACTTCTTGCTGCAAATGCAATCGCCTTCCAGGGTACACAGTCGTCATCACCACATGCGTATAGTGCTTGTAGATAGCGTCTCCCATTCGCATCGAGAGAATGCTCTTGCTTCTCTAGCTCCGTACATTCTTCTACCAGTTTCACAAGCTGCGACTTTTCTTCCTTGTTCAGTTGCCACAGGTCGTGCCTTTCCAGGTTCTCGTTCAGGCTTGGAGAGATCTGCGCCAGCTGAGGTTGAAAGTCGTCGTTCAAATCCCCGTTGGTATCGGTCAGAGAATACCATTTTGTTTGGGCCTTTCTATCGTCCACCAAGACCGTCTCGAGATCCAGGTCAAGGAAGCTGGGCAGTGTTTCCCCCTCGGCCAGAAACCTCAGAGAACGGTGGAGGCGGTATATGATGTGTTTAGTAGCTTTAAGACCACCCAGCCATGTCAACAACGACAAAACCGTCGGGTGGAATAGAGGCAACAGCGAATTGAGCATCGCCATAACAGCAAAAGTCGAGTCATTGTGGGGAATTTTCCTTTGGACATCTTGCAGAGGTCTCGAGTCCTGGTTGTGATCACTGATGGCGAATCCCTCAAAGACGAAGATCTGGATGCCAGTGCCAACGACAAGGTCGCCGCTTCTTAGCCAGCATAGATCACCAACAGATTGAGTGGTGAAATCTCTCATTCTGATATGCCGGATGTCAACCCAGGATCTCTGGAGCCCAGGGTAAGCATAACGAATCTGCGCGAGGACCACGATGTGATAGTAAAAACATAATGCAACCAAGGCTGAACCATCGGGGGTCACAGCCCAGGCAAAAGTCTTGATGGTATCAGTTCCATCCCATTCGTGCTCGTATTCCCATGCTCCCGATTTGGCATCCCAGATGCTCATGCTGCTGGCGTCTTCGTTGACCACTAGAACCTTGCCGTGTCCATTAGCACTGATCCTCTGAGGTGCTCGTATGCTGATGTCGAAGATGGCACCCGACGTCAAGAACGGCTTGGCCGAGTCCGTTTCCTCCTGCGATTTGACCAACTCCAACGTGCCCTCTTTGGCCAGAGCTGCCGCAAATCCGAGCGCATTGATATCGCGCGGATCCGTGGGCCGGTCACTTGTACTCATATTATCACAGACGGATAGCAAGGCCCGGAAGCGATTTTGGACGTGCAACCGCACATGTCCTAGAGAACGTATGATTTCCAGACGTCCGTTACTCATGGTAGAACTCCGGTCGTCTTTTGCTGGGAGCAGCAACTCCCAGGCTTCTGCACTGTTGTCCTGATAATAGCCCACAATAACGCGACTTGTCAATGCCCGTTCCCGGCCGACTCGGCTTTGCGTTATGCATTCAGGAACACGGTTGTCGCCGAAGCTTCGAGTGCCTAGCCGCCGGGCTTTCGCCTCTCGAATGTCCCACAGCTCCAGACCGTCCGAGGTCAGTATTGCTGCATATCGTCCACGAGAGAGAATGACAGCATCTTTGATATCGTTGTCGACCGCAAAAGAGCATCGTCGCAAAATTGGAGCAGTGGAGTGGCCGAGATCGTGCTGCCATACACTGGCCTGGCGCTCCTCGGTGGCGGACAGAACGACAGTTCCACCGACATTCCGCACGACGCGCTGAATTGGCGACCCGTGACCAGCTAACGTCGAGATCAGACGGGTGCGATCGTGTCTGATGGCCGTGTCGAAGAGATGTGTAATCTGACTATCATACCAGTCAATGTCACCAGCAAAGGAGTGCATTAGTATCGACAAGGAGGACCGAGTCACACCGCCTGCAAATATACAGAACTGAACATAGTCTTTCATCGGATCGCTCAGTTGCGGGACAAGAACGTTCATCCCGTCCACGTGCGATATATGGAACACAGACGGCGGGATTCTGTTCTTGTACCCAGCATTCTCTATACCCCAGATTGACATGTGGCCGAGGCCGTCGAGAACGACGCAGATCTCGGGACTGCGGTTGGCTATTTCGATGAGATGCTCGAGCGCATGGTCGGTCACCTTGGGATTCGCCCCTTGCACAGCTTTCTCTGTCGCAATACAGAAATCACGGCTATCGACGATGAAGGCGTACCGCCTTGTGCTCATTGAAGTGACACTCAGCCGCCGGGGCTGTATTGAAGCGTTCATGTCGATGGTCGCAACTTGCTGGAAAATCGACAGCGCATGCGGGTCAAACGAAGTCCATGCTCGAATGCGGTTGTCGGAGCAGAACGTATATAGCAGGTTGTCCAGGTTTTGTTCCAGATGCCACGGTTTCCGCCAGTGTAGGTTGGTTACCGCAGCTGGGTGTGGTAGATATGAGACATCGAATTTGGCGTCATACGACAGCCTCCTCCATATCTTGACCAGTCGGTCATGTTGTCCGACAGAGGCGACAAGGCTGCTGTCGGGGGACAAGCACGCCAGCGCAGTAGGATATGCCAGTGTCTGATCCCAAGAGATGGCCGGCTCTACCGTGTCCGGAATGAACCAAAGCACCAGTCTTGACCCTCCGAGCAGAAGCTCTTCCGACGTGCCCCAAGAAAGCGAAGTCACCACCAGATCATTGTGATTGTGTAGTTCATGATATAACACCCATCGAAGAACCCCTTCGTCTCGTCCCACCGGTCGGTAGACGTAGACATGTCTGTCATCGCAAAGCGCTATGCGGCCGGTGGTCTCCTCGAGTGTCACCGCAATAAGTTCATCGACCGTGTCGACATAGATGGTTTGCAGGATCGTCTGCGGTCCGCTAAGGATGACCGCGGCATTTCCGGAGATGTATGCCTGCGATTGACGTGAGACTTTATCCCAAAGAGCGAAAGCCGGAAGAAACTCACAACGAGACGAAGGCCATCCCAGTAGGCAGTACTCAAAGCTTGCCGCTTCGACTGGGGCCGGCCTGGAAGGATGGCTCGCATATGAGAGGAGAGGTCACCCGTCAGTCTTTGGCCACATTCCTAGTGTTCAAGACTGGCTGTATCGTGGTGTGTCTGGTCTGGCTGTTTTCATCGGTGCACGTAAAGAGGCCCGCAGGAGTCGGAAGCATGAGTCCTGCCGGATATTGTGTCGGATCGAGGACAACACAGTCGCTTGGTTCAAGTCGCGCGAAATGGAGGAACGCGGCCAACTTCCTCCGCATCGAGAGTCGGAGAAATGCAGCGACACTCAACAGCACAGCTGTGTCACGAGGCTGCCTCTCGTCTTGTTAACATGTCTCATGATAAACCTGTGCCGTGTGTAACACTATTTGCTTGCTCCTATTTTCAAGGAGACCCCTGAGATTTGTACGGTGCGTAACCACGCGTGTTGTGGCATTGTCCTTTTACTACATATACTAGTCTAACATGCTCTCCAGCATCATGTCATCTCTACTCTCTTCCATCGAGCGATATGATATCGTCCACTGTTCAATATCTGTAGAGAAAATGAAAGCGAGGGCATCAGTATCACAATGCTCAAACTTTGAGTTGCTTTGTACAGGTAATGCATGCTGAATTCCACGCTGCCACCTCACTGTATCACTGCAGAAGGAACTCTGGGCTCTTGAGGTCTACCCAACCCAGGTTCGGTTCGCTTTGTTTCCAGCCCAGGCGCTCCTGAACAAGTTTCGAATACGTCTTGACCTCCTCAATGGAGTATGACAGGAACGAGATCTCTTCCTGACGGTGCACTCCCGTACATGAAAACATGGCGTGGACTGTCCTACTTTCAGGACCACCTGAACCCACTGGCTTCTCGTAAGCCCCGCCACCATGGTAAAGACTGCCCAGCATAATGAATGCTTCGCCTATTTGCATCTCCGCATCAAGCACGCCATGGTTCCCGTCTGGGCCGAAATCTGGTTGATCGTCCCCCCAGAGATGACTCCCTGGAGCAATACGCGTGGCTCCGTTCGCCTTTGACGTGTTGCAGCCTGGGACGAAGAGACCGAGGAGCATGTCACGGTTCTTCTCATACTTCTCAGCCTTGGTGTGGCGAGCATGGTGATTCTTGTCATCGCGGTGCAGACCCTGTGCCGGGGTACCTGGCGGAATGTCGAAAGTGATGGAGATAGACAGCAATGGATGACTTGTCGTTGTCAGAGGATTAGGACCATACCAGTGGGTCGTTTCCAGCGCCAGAAAGTGCTCGCAGAGGGCCTGATATATAGGATCGGAGAAGAACTTCTCTCGAACCGTTTGACTTCTGCCGACCAGTCGGGTCACTGTTCTCGTCTTTCCCCCAAGCGCTGAAGGACAGTTAGCTCATTGCTCCTGGATCAGGGAGACATTACATACCACCAACTTTGGCTCCAATGTCCTGCTTCTCTAGCCAAGGTTTCACCTCCTCATTTGCTTGTTCCACCGTGGCCTTGTCCGTGAAATCAGTGATGATGACGCAGCCGTCTTCCTCTACAGCGGTGATAAACTCGGACAATGGAGCTGATCGTGGTATTCTCCTGACTCGGTGCGTCAGGGAAGGACTCTCGGGTTTGCCATTGACAGTAGCCTGTCTTCCCTGCTGAAATAGTCCTGCCATCAGCCGGCGGCTCTAGTTATGACGAGATAACTGTCTCTTCGAGATAACAGAGCGGTTGTAGCCATTCAAAAGCGGATCGAAAGGGCATAGACCCTTCACATATACCAAATATCACAGAGAAAAGGACAAGTAATACCTGCTCTGGGACTCACCTCAGTATATTCGCCCATGGTTTCCCCACGGTATTGCAGTACCGTTCGTCCAGGATCCCGGATGGTAGCTGAAATTATATCACGGGTATTGCGAGGAGCCGTGGATAAACAGTCTGGACATCACCCATGTCTTCGAGGTCCCCAGGCATATAGCTATATATCACTTTATAGGAGTGTCAGGAGCATACCCCAATATTGAGGCCGGCAGGAGTCAGCGGGCCATATACTGTGTAGTCGCTGAACTCCGTGGATGCCGGCGACGAAGGGGTTGTCTATCGGATAATCCCTCAGCCCCAACAGCTCTGCTCTATCTGCAAAGTACCCGCCTTAGAGAGTAACAGTACAGCCGTTTATAGATAAGCACTGCCCACCGGAAGCTGTCTGCGAGGGTTAACTGCGATATATCAGGATTCGTAAGTGATGCTTTCCGCCCACGGGTAGAGCAGGCTAGGCGCTTGACCGCTGGGGAGACTGCCCAGTTTATTCCCCGGAGTCTGGCAGCCGAAGTGGGGACCGTTGATTCACACACGCATAAGGATCCCCCGAAAGCGCTGGCAATGAATGGCAGGTTTTTGAAGTGTTCAGGTAAACAAACTACAGCCTCGTCGTCGGCTGAAACGCTCGCTTGCGAGATAGTGGTTCATTTCGTCAGTCCCAAAAGTTTGCCGGCGACAGGATCCCACTCGGTGTCCCATCTGCGTCTGCTTTCAACCCTAGCGCCCTCCTTCAGTTTGGCCAGCTGCTGAGAACTTGGGTCGAACAGTTGACGGAGAATGTCGGCCAGCTCTTCTGCACTGCCAAAGCCTTTGCCATTGACATCTTCGGTGACGAGCTCAGACCACGCCTCGTACTTGTTCCAGCCAGCTACAGGCAGCGCGGCACCAAACATATCCACGACTTTCATGGGAAGATCAACACCGCTGCTACTGGTATGTAAAGATACACCGAGGTCTGCCGAGCCTAACAGCAGAGCATAGTCCTCAAAGGTGAGCCAGTCCGTGTAAATGCTCACCATTTCTAAAGCGTCTCCTTGGCGCAGATCCCGGATCTTTTCAAGATAGAGCTGTTTTTGTGGCCCCTTACCGGTAATCACCACGGCCAGCTCTGGAAGGTGAGGATGTGTAGAGGTAGCACTGGCCGAGTAGCTGCACAAAGCATCAAGAAAGATGCCAAAATCCTCGTCAGCGGTCCAGGAGGTCGACGAAACGACGAGCCTCATCTTCTTGTCTACTATGGCGTTGAAATGTTTGACTAAGACTGCGTAACGTTGCAGGAAGGCAAGCCGCTCCGACTCCAACAAGGGCTGGTACAAATTTGCCGGTCGGTCATGTAAGGTTAGTACAGGTGCTGTGATCCGGAAATTCGATCTCAGGACCCTGGCCATTGCATTGGTGACAGTAAAGTTTGCAAGAGCGGCCTTTGCCAGGGTGGCCTCATACCACTTTGACACTGTGACCATGGGATGATCTGAACCTAGCTTGAGAGCAAGAATGGAATACCCAAAGTTGTGCCAGTCCACAATCAACCCGGTCCGCCGGAAGAAGCAGATGATCGACACAATCAAAAGAGTAGGAATGGAAGGCGGGTTCTGCAATGACGATTGTCAGCCGTGAAGGAAAGCATGTCGCAGCGGGGGATGTCAGGCATACCTGTACAAGCATCCACTTCGAGGCTGAGGCAGAATATCCCAAATTCTGCCATAAGGTCCAAACTTGTAGCAGGACCTTGATTGGGGCTGACAAGAGGAATAGGTGCTTGTTGCTTGTTTGCAGCCAGTGAGGAGCCGGGCGAAGAGATAGAATCGTCACATGGGGATGTGCTAAAAGCTCGGGCAGAGGATCGGTCTCTGTTTCAATGGTATTTAGATCATTCCAACAGACAAGGTCCTGCGTCGCATACCTCTGTAGCCGATCAGCTGGACATGGCCGCCATGTTTTGCAATGCTGAATGCATGATATTGCATCCGCGGACTTCGCCCAATGTCACCGAGGACCACAACTGCGACCTTGCATCTCTCATCGCTAGCATCGCGCTGAGACGGCAGCAAAAGCAATAGTACAGTAAAAGCCGTCGAGATGAGGATGAGCAGAGTTAGAAGCATCTCTCGAATCAGCAGCACATTCCAGGGTCGTGAATGTTTCCAACCGCGTCGAGTTTACTGAGAAACAGCGGAGCTGCTAAGGCGATGTATTTCCTTCTGGTGTCAACGCCCGCAAGGGAGGTTGAAATGACGTTGAGGTACTGTCAGTGCTGAAAGAAGGGTCACAATAATGTCGCCCACTGCGCGGTACTAAGGTTGGCTACCACCTTCCCGCCACCACCAGGATCCCGCCACTAGTGAAATCCTACTATGCCGCGCGCGTTTGTACGCACTACGCAACGAACAAGTTGATGCCGAGTCTGCGATTTTGTATAGAGAATAACTATGAATCTAGCTACTCTGGCATCGCGTAGATCGTCTCTCTATCTAGCAGGATAGCGCAGAATAACTCGCTTTCCTCCTATGAGTACCCTCTAGCCTGAAAGACGTCGACGACGTCCTAGGAGCGCTTCTTATCCTGCTTACGAAGGCGTTTATTGCTAGCCTCTTCTTTATCTTCTCGTACGCGCTTACGTACGGCTAGTAACTTAGTCTAAAGCACTCTAGCCCTAGAATCGACTACGATAAAGCCGCGTGTGAATAGACGCTGGGCTTTGCGTAGAGAGCGAGTTAGTTTATGACTAATAGACGCGTTTAGAGTCGTTAGCGAGGCGATATCTATTAGCGTCCTAAGCGTACGCACGTCCTAAGACTTAGAACGCTCCGGGGTAGTTAGTCTAGCCTATCTATAGGCTATAATCTCTAGTTTATTAAGTACTCTGTTAGGTGCGATCGGCTAGAGGCCACTTCTGCGCCAGCCTATAGAGATATATTATCTAGTAAAGCCCTATTAACGCGTACGATAATAGAGAACGTTAAACTAGGCGCGTAAGACTTAAGACTCGCCTGCTAGAATGAATTTCTTAAGGTTTTAAGCGTAGTAAGCCTTAAGGCGACTAAATAGGCCTAAATCGTACGGCTAATAGAGATACGACGTATAAGGTAGTAGATAAACGAGCGTAATCTGGTTTACGAGGTAGAGATAGATAAACTCG